ACGAGAGCACCTGCCACTTTCAGAACTGCCCCTCTTCCTGAACAAGACGTACACCCTGAACGTGCCAGTCTACACCGTGTGGGGTGCCTGTGAAGACGTTCAGGTGCTGGAGAAGCTGAGATCGGGCGAGTACAAGGTGGACAACCTGCACATCATCGATGAGGCGCATTCGCGGCTACTCGATGTAGGTGGCGTCAAGTTGCGACTACTCGGTCTTGGTGGCGCTGTCGTTATGCACAAGCTGTTTGACAACGGCGAGGGCAGGACTACCATTGCAGGTGGACAGGGCACTATGTGGACTACTCTGCTACAGATGGGCGAACTCGTCGACACAGCCAACCGCGTATACGATCCGACAGAAACCCGCATATTCGTCACCCACGCATCTCCCGCCCGCGAAGGTCTGCTCAACCAGCTGTCCGTCACACTCAAGGCAGACTTCTCCGTCTCCGCTGGTCTGCATTTCCGTTACGGCAGTTCGTACAACGAGTTCAGCGTCAACCCCACTCTCGACCACTATCGTGGAAAGCTCGCTGCGTCCAAGGCCTCATTCAACGACGTGTGGGACACTGTCAAGACAGAAGTCGAGCCAGCAGTTGCTGATAGCGAGTCCCAGCAACGTCTGCTCGCCCTGGCACTGGAAATCGTAAACAAGATGCCCACCGTCGCTAATGGCGGCAACCCGTTCGGTGGCCCTGCTCCTGGTCCTCAGAGCGGTCAGATCGATGAGAGTGCTTTCAAGAACATGTGGAACTTCAACCTTGCAGATGCTGCGTACGGATGGCTTGTACTCGACATTGACAATGGTAGGATTGGTACTGAGATGAGGGCCCAAGGTTTCAACTTTGCCCACCGAGGTGGGAAGGTTGCGCCCGGTCAGACCCAGCCCGCAGCTGCAAACACCAGCACTGGTCCTCCGGCTGCAGTAAACCCGAGCCCTTCTGCTCAGCCCTCGCCTGCTCCAGGACGTCAAGCTGGACCACCAGCGAATGCTCCTCAGCAGCCCCGCCCCGCTGTCGCAACCCCGCCGGTTCCTCAACAACAGAAGCAGAATGCTGGCCAGCCTACACGGACTGGCCCCTCCCCTGCCCCCGCTGCAACACCCAAAGAGCCCGTGAAGGCCGCCACGCCCCAGCCTCCGGCCAACAACACGCCAGCGAATACCGCTGCTGAAAAGGCTATCCCCAGCGAGGTCAAGCCTAATGGCACTGCGGCGCCAGAGAAGGGTCCTTCGTCCCCAGCGCCCCGTGAACCTGTTGAGCGCAAGGAAAGCAAGGGTCTCTTTATCGCTGGTGTAAAGGATGAAGAAGAAGCCAAGAGTCTGCTCGCCGAAGAAGACAGGTCTAAGGTTGAAAAGATGGAGAAGATCAAGCACTTCTTCGTCGCCCACTTCGCTACCTCGCAAGATATGCACGGTGCGCTCCGTCGCGTTGCAGACGATGTCAGGAATGCCAGGGGTGGTCCAGACAACAAGACCGTGAAGGTGTACAACGAGCGCGGTCCGGGTAGCAACCAGCCTAGGTACGGAGCCGGCAGCTGGCAAGCTAGCAACCGCGGTGGCGTTCAGGGTGGTGGTTACCGAAGTGGAGGCGCCTCAGACAGCGAGGGTGGTCGTGGCGGTCGCGGAGGCCGTGGCGGTGCTCCCCGTGGTGGACGAGGTGGCGAACGAGGTGCTCGCGGAGGCCGTGGTGGAAGGGGATCATTCAGAGGTGGTGAGGGTGCTGCTGCAGCTTCGACTGGAGGCGAGTCATAAAAGCTCTCCAACCGCACCTCTACACCCCCACCGACTCTGATACCCCTTCTTTCTTCTTCGGTTCCGTGCTAATGGCTTTCATTGTAGTCATGCCACGGTGTCACCTAAGCGAATTCGCTTCTGGCGACGTCCGCAATCATGTGCTCTAGCTCTTATCATGTTTTCTGGGAGCGATTTCCATACCTTCTTCATAGCGGGCGTGGGTTGTGCGGGTTCCTTTTTGGTCTTTCTAGATGGGACCAGGATTGGTGATCGGCGCTATGTGGTCCTTGTCTTCCGTGTTTGGATCGCTGAGAAGGCTTTCGATGATGATGAAGTATGGTGTATGTATTGTAATCACAAAACACTAAAAGATATGTCGTGAACAACGTTTCTTTCATCCCGTCAACTCTAGGTCTGTAACATGCATCACGTTTTGATTAAAAGTTCCTTGAGTTCGCATTATTTACAATTCGTGAGCACCTTTTCGTATAAGTGCAGTATGTATTGCAGGAGTTGCAAGTGGCTCGTCTGTTCTGCGTCATCACAGTACCGATAATTTGATTGTAGGTATTCACTTTGATTGATTTCTAACTTTGGTTCCAGCGAATTTCCGACGACATGCCAATCTAGGTACATTCCTCGGTCATATGTTGCTTTTGCCTGGATGGGAATGCATAGCTTCTGGCACTTGGTACGTCTGCACTTTTTCCATCTATCCGGTACACAAGATCCGTTCTTCCTTCTTCATATACGCATGGAACGACGAAATCCAATCATCTCAACAGTGTCTATCCACAACAAGCACAGTTCAGTTAGCAACATCTTCCGGTTTGAGTGTCGAGTCCTCGCGAAACCCTATCTGATACAACTCCCCACCAAGAGCCAACATAAACCTATACTGTTCATTTCAAAAGGAGATATGCTGACCATCCGCATCAAGGGAGTGCCGGTCTGCGACCAAATGATCCCATCTAGTTTCGAAGCCCTGCCCAAACAACTACGCCACGCCCTTGAACACGTAAAGCTTGAGTACCAAGCATACGACGAGACGGATCATGTCCTCTATGAACTGGGAATTACGGGTCCTGTCAGCATTATCTGCAATATAGACGCGCCGCTGTTGAAAAACATCACTATTTCGAGCCGCGCGAGCAGTCGGGTGAGCTAGAAGTCATGAAGAAAAAAAAAGGACCATTGCAGTAGCACAGGGCTGAGGTGTGGTTTCGTTGAGGTATTCGAATCATTGCTGCAAAAGATTACCTGCTGTAGCGATCGCTCCACGAAGAAGCTGGTTTTATATCAGTTGTGCCTTACACTTAAAGTCTGCTCTGACGGTATTGACTACATCCCCTTTTGTATTATGATAGTATAGAGAACGTCGTGTATCTTCAAAATGCTCTCTACTATGCATATGCCATATCACCTGCTTGAGTAGTTCAGTACATTTACAAACACGTTTTTTAACGTCACATTTACATTATAGGGCCGGGGTAAACAATGTGATCGAATTATAGCTTGAGGTACCTTGTCGTACGAGAAGTCTTTACCTCAAAAGTCAAATATAGGACAACAGCACCGTTTCACGAGCCCATGGACACTTTCATCAGTTTCACCAGAATCATCAACATCGCTCTCGATATGACGCCGAACACTCCATCTCCCAATTCATCTGAAGCAGTGGTCGTGAGTCTGGCTGAGTTGGTGATCATGGCTCCGGTTTCAGTGGCTGTGGTTGTTGCCCTGGCAGCGTTTGTGAAGCGCTACCCTCTGGATGCACGTCGGCATCATGTTGTGGCGGGAACAGCAGGTCCGGCCGCAGGTGAAAACTCTCATATCTGTCTGGTAACGGCACAGTCCTGGTGGGGCAAAGACTACACGCACGAGTTCGGCCAGATCTCTGGTTTGATAGCCTCGAGGACGCCCTCATGGTGAGTCTTTCTGTACGCTTCAAACTATCCTCATACCTAGGAAAAGTTAGCCAGGATGCCTTCGCGGTGTCATTAGGATAGGGTAGGCTGTACAATTGCGCGTCATCGGGGTCCATTCGCTCTGTGGGGTGCCAAACAACGCTCACAGGACGGCTTCGTTGTGGATACGCCTGCACTATACGCTCCCGTGTAGGCTCCAAACTATCTCTCGCAGTACTCTGGAACGGATTGACTCCTGAAGACGCCAGAAGATTCCTTGTAGCACTGTGGGCCGGATTGATCAATGTGCGAGAGGAGCCTTCGTACGTGCCTCCAAGTAGCCGCGAAAGCACTTCGTTAGTACTCGTTTTTTGTATTTGTATATCAGACATTACAGTATGCTGGTAGTTACCGGATTGAACCCTCTGGCGGATTCGAGGAATTGGTCTAGGCAACCGCGATACTGGGAAGGGACTTGACATTATTTTGTCTGTGGCGGGGACTAGGCTCATTTCCTCGTCTGGTTGCACATCATCATCATCTAAACCAGCCCCGCCTCGCAAAAATACCGTTTGTTCCATCTCGAGGGGCTTCATCTGTGGGCGTCCGGGCGTGATCATCCACACTCTTCTTGAACCATCTCTGGCTCTCGCTATAGTCGAGCGCTCTGGGTTCCGTGGGGGCATACCATCTCCAAAATGACAGTCGTCCGACTCGCTTTCAGATTCATCGCTGCTGGCGTCGTTGACAATGGAGCCCGAATGGCTCCGGAGGCCTTGGGCTTCAGTGATCTGCATATACCTGCGTGAATCTCTCAAGTCCGGAAACGACACAGAGGGCACAACTCCAAGACGCTGCAGAGTCGACCGAAAGTTCTGCGATGAGGTGGATGCAGAGGCAGCGGGAGGTTGTTCAAGAAGCGTTGTTTCCCCACTGTGTAAGTCCAGCTGCGATGAGTCGTTAAACGCTTCTATGGAGTGAGGGATCGGCAATGACGGAAGCGCTTCAACAAGTGTAGTATCACCACTGTTCAGGTCGATTTGCGATGGATTGTCTAAGGATGCTATGGATTCTGGGTTTGACTCAAGGCCTGGTGGAGGACGTATTACGTGATGATACGTATCGCTTGACTTTGGTTCATCCAGTGAGCTTGTTCGGATACTAGACACTAGTGTCGGGCGGCGTCTGGTGTTGTAGACGCTGTGGTACTCCACCTGTTCCTACCACGGCAAAGCCGCGAATTCGTCATCAGACATGAAGGCTGGGTGAAAATCCCTCAGCGCCTCAGTTGCTTGTTCATGAACCCTCCTATGTCGCTCTTGTACTGTCTTTACCAAGTCTCGTTGCTGTCGCTCTTCCTACGAGCCAACCTCGTCAGCCCAGCTACGTCCCTTCTCCATGGGTGATGGCAAGCCGGTTAAGTCGTCTATCTCCTTCGCCTCGGTAGTTGCTTTGGCCTTAGTAGAGGGTAATTCTGGGAAGTCTGATGCTGAGGGCGGAGGGTCGTCGCGCTTTTTCTGGACGCCTGTCGGCCTTGGGTCGGACTCTCGGTAGTCGCCACGGCCACCCCTACTGCCACGGCCTCTACCTCTACCACGTCCACGGCTCGATTGTGCGACAGGTTCATGATAGTCTTCAGCTCCATTGGATCCGTTGTCGACTGGTCTTGAGGGTGCGATACCACCATGTGCACCGCGGGCAGCGCCTCGTCGCTTCTCCTCTCCAGTACCAGAGAAACCATCCTCTTTCTCAAAGTCCCACTCCCTGCCCCCTTGAGCATTGAGCTTGCGCTGCCGATTCTTCTCGCGCTCCCCCATCATCTGCTGACGACTCTGGCGCTCTGCCTTCTGCTTCTCCGCGAGTGCCTTCTTGCGCTCCACATCCTGCTTCTGCATGACGGCTTCTCGAGCCTCAAAGTTGCCCTTGTCGGCCTCAGCGCGAGCGTGAGCGCTCTGACGGGCTTCATTCTTAATGCGCATGTTGGCGAGCTTCGCGTTCAGCTCCGCTTCTGTCAAGCGCGTGCGTGCAGCGCCGCCAGTCAGGCCTCTATCGCCGCGGACGGCGTGCGCGGGTTTGTCCTTTGGCTCAGTGGGCGCAGAAGGAGGGACCGAGGATTCTGCAGTATCGGTACTGGCAGTATTGGCGGCTGGGGCTGGGGCTGGCGTAGTTTCCTTGGAAGCCTCAGGTACCTTCTTGTCGTTATGCTCGAGCCGAATGTCGGTGTTGTGTCCACCACGACCTCTTCCACGACCCCTTCCTCTACCACGGCCGCGACCTCCTCTCTCCGCGTTCCTTGGCTCTCGGGGCGCATGCGGTGCTAGGTGTGCTTGGGGTGCTGTCGGTGGATGTACTTCTTCGGGTACAAATTCGGCGGCGGAGGCCTGCAGTTCGACGGGGTTCTGCTCAACAACAGGCTCGGCTATAGGCGTGATGTCGTCGTCAAAGAAAAGGTCGTCTGTACTTGCGGTCTGAGCGAATGGATCCATTGTCGGGTCGTTGAAAGCGGGGTCATAGGACCTCGCGTTGTCGGTCTAATGTCGGGTCAGCGTTGTATACCAGCAGAACGACAACAACAGTGGAGGAGTGCTCGGGGGTAATGCACTGGTAGACATACAGGTGCAGACGCTGGCTCTGGTGCAGCGACGTTGACCTCCGGTGCTGCTGCTTTCTCCGCCTCATCGGGCTGGGTTGCCCACCTGGACTTGAGCATGATATCTGACAACGAGTAATACTAGGGTTAATCCAGAAAATAATGACTTGGATACAGTGTACGAGTGTTGTGTTAGCGATGTGATGTGGGGGGTCTTGGTCACTGCGGCTGGCCGAATTACTTGCAGGAACCCTGAAGTCCGTGCTGAACAGCTCCCCGCACCTGCATGTCCAGACCCTGACCTGCACGGATCCTTCCTTTCCCCACCAGAGCCATAATTTGGGGAAAGCTACGAAGAGGCTCGTGTTCAGTAGGTTGTGCCTGACACTCGAAATTGCTTCAAAAGTATTGACCACGCCTTACATTATGCCTGTTGACATGAAAAAACACAGCGAATACCTTTAGTGTACTATAGAAGTACGACGAACACGCGTTGCAAGATGGCAGAATGGCAGACATGATCACGAAGATTGGCAAACTTGATATCTCCCGTCTGTTCTTAGTACCTGTACTAATCTCAGTCTCGTAACAGGCATCGTCACGCAAGGAAGACCACGACAAGATACCGCTCGTTTGCAAGCTTCACTCAACTCCAACCCAATAACACATGAAGGCCGTCGCTAAATGATGATAAAAGAGAAACGCAGGCTGACGAGCGAGTAAAAATACATAACGTAAACGCCAGAACAATGGGATAGGTGCAACTGCTGACTTAGTCATTCGCGTCATCTCGAGTCAAACCCATCAAACGCAACGATAAACGTAATGCAAAACTCAGTCAAACCAACTCCTGCCGGTCTCTACTGAGTATGCATCGGCGCATAATACCCAGGAATGGCGGTCCAGTTACCAGCCGCGTCCCAACTCCCATAGTATACAGCCTTCATCTGTTAGTAATGCGCAGCATGCTGCTGTGTGGGCAGATCTTGGAAGCCTCCTGTCTGCGGGCTCATGGAAAAGCCAAACCCGTTGAAGGCAGCCCCGTTTGGGAAGACGTACTGAGGTAATGAGATTTGTGGAATCGTCCAGACAGGCAGCCCCGAGGGTGGGGTGGCGGAGTAGTGAGTGAGCGGCGTGTGTGCTCGCTGAGGGTCAACAGGCGACGACGTACGGGAATGATGGGAAGAATTGGGCGACATATCCGGTGGAAATATGATGGGAAGCCCAAAGATTCGCGTCAGCACATTGGTTTCTTGAGTGTTATCACGTGCGGGTAGGCCGGTTGTGACATCGAGTTCGTCAGCCTGATCAGGAGTTGGCTGCTTGATCTTACAGCTGATGATAGCGGGATCCACAAACGCCGGTGCATTCGAAGCGTTGTTGTTCGTAGCAGGGCGCATCTCAGCCTCAACTGATTCCAGGGTGCGGGAAACAACGGGGCTGGTGATCGGGGCACGGGCAATGGATGAGAGATGGCCCATGGAGACAGGACTGCGGGGACGTCTATCCTCACATGGTAACTTGACGAAGATCTCGTCAAACTCGGTATCTTCGCCATAATCCGGTACGCGAGATATTGACGAATCGAAGAGCGAATTATAGATACCGACTTTAGCCTGGCCAGCGTCCTTGACGATGCCGAATAACCGATGAAGGGAAAGTGAAGGAACGACCTCGGTGCGCGTCGTCATGTCGTCTTCAGTGAAGCCAGTCACATTTGGCTCAACCTCGAAGCGATTGTCGTCTAGGCACTTGATAATCGGCTTGGCCTTGTCGAACTCAACTTCATCAACGGGATGGTACTCAGCGTCGACGGACGTGGTGTACTTGCATCGGATGAGCATCTGGCGTGGTGTCTCCATGGTGTTGTATAGGTCGGCTTCTAGAGCCTTGCGGTACGCGACAGTATCTACGGGCTGTTTAGGCACCATCCTGGCATTTGTAGCCCACGTTGAAGCGACTTTGTCGTTCGGAGCAGCCTTGACTTTCGCAAAGGAAAACTCTTTAGCATTCGGGTTGAGCATGCTAAACTGAGGAGGCGTGTTTGTAGAAAAATCATCGGTCTTGATATGTTGAGTATTGTCAACCTCTTGCTCGACCTTGCTTGGGTGTAAGGTGGTGGTGACCTTGGTTGGAACATTATCCTTAGGACCAATAGCGACCTCCACGACCGGGACCGGCTCTACCATAGCGACGTACTCAGAATGTGACTCGACTCGGTGAAGTTTAGATTCAGCGATAACCTCCACTGGAATCTTCGTCATCGAAGCGGTCTCAATATCACCAGCGGCTTCCTCGTGCGCGGGCGCAGCCTCCTTAGCAACGTCGACAGCAACAGGCACAGACAGAGTCTTCTTTGCCTTGGCCTTCTCAGCGGCAGCGGTACGTTTCGCCAGCATCTTCTCCTTCTGGGCCTTCTTGTGGTCCTTTAGACTCTTCATCTTCTTGTTCACAACTTCGCTGGCGGAACTCTTAGGAATAGCCATGTTTGCGGCTAGGGACAGGACTGTTGTTGAGATGCTGTCAGGAGCCGCTTCAGGTGAGTGGGTGATGGTAGTGCGGGCGCGAGTGTGGTTCGCCATTCGCGATAGGTAAATTAACCGCGAGAGAAGCAAAGTCGATTGAGCAATATAGCACAAAGGCAAGTTAATGCGTGGAGCGAGCGGAGTTGGAATTGACCAAGGTCTGGCAGGCTCAGCGGGGAGGTGAGTGGAGGAGTGGAATAAACCAAGGTGGTGCGCGAGAACGTTTAGTGTACGTGAAAGATTGGATTATATTGATTCTAGGAGTCTTACACCTCTTCAGGCACTAGTGCTGCGAGAATGGCAATAATTACCGTTGAAGAAACTTGGACCCGTGCGTTGAGGCAAAGGAAGGGGTGAAAGAAATACTACAATGGTCAAACTCGCGTTGTTTGTGCATCAGACTGACGAAGAAGTCCTCACCGTCACGCGGGAACCTCAAAACCGTAAAGCTAGAACAAAGTGTCATTATCATCCTGGAAGGAGTCTGCGCTACCTGTTTATGATCTTCCAGTGTATGGTACATGGTACGGGTGCTGACGATGTCGAGCAATGCGGTCCAACTGAACACAATGACGGCGATCTGGTAAAATTGTGAAAGAAACTCGAGATGACACGATACTAGTAGAGGCTGGGCGATGCAAATTAATGTAAGATGAGAAGCGTGGTGCATATGCGGGAGTGGACTGATCGGAAAGACTTCCCAAAAGTACTACAGTGCTGGGCACAGGTATTCAAATATTAACATGACCAACATTGTTAATGCTCAGTGCAGTGGCGAGAAGAGATAGTTAGCAGTCATTACGAAGGTGCAACAACATGTCAGGGTTTAGGTGTTGATGGTTGTGTTGCTGTGTGAGGTGTCGCAGCACCTTGGAAGTGGCCGCCGGAGCTAAACCTCTCGCGTCGACGAAACGCTGACTAAGCCGACCAGTAGAGCTCACGATTCATCTCTCCAGCCATCCCTCTGCTTTGACCTTTACTTCATCATCGATCTGGAAGTATGCCGACACTCACGGCAAACGATGGTATCAGTCTCCACTACGAGACGTATGGCTCCCCCGATGCCGCTCCCTTGATCTTGGTAAGCTCCCCGCCATCGAGCGCATTTCGTCAGCGCGCCTGACCTTCATCGTTAGCTGCACGGCTTCACAGGCTCAGGAGCAGTCTTCAAGCGCAATATATCCACACTATCCCAAAGCTTTCATGTCATCGTCCCCGATTTGCGCGGTCATGGCGAGTCCGACAAGCCCAGAGCGGGCTACCATGTCGCACGTCTAGCAATGGATCTGAAGAACTTGATTGATTTCTTCGGTTTCCGCGACGGTACCATAAAAGCCATCGGTACAAGTCTAGGTGCGGCTATTTTATGGAGCTATAGTGAGTTGTTCACCACCCGTGCGTTCTCGCACATGGTCTTCGTGGACCAAGCTCCACTGCAAAATTATCTCGAAGATTGGGGCCCTGAATTCGGAAACCGGGGATGTAACAACCCAGAAGCACTGAAAGAGATGCAGAGATCGCTCATTGAAAGTCCAAAAGAAGCGCACCTCGGTACTATCGCAGCATGTCTAGGCTATAGATCACACCCACAGCCTGGCGACCCAGCATCAGATTCGTCAAAGTGGAGAGAGGACGAAGCATTCTTCTTGTCAGAGGCTTTGAGGGGAAACGGATGGTGGTATGGAAAGCTGATGGCTGATCATACGGCAAATGACTGGCGACATCCCATCGCACATTCGTTTGGACCACAGAGCAGGAGCCCAACACGAGTACTAGTCGTGGCGAGTAGCCGAAGTGGATGCTTTCCTGCTGCAGGGCCGTTGAAGGTAGTTGAACTGGTAAATGGAGGCGAAAACGAAGGCCTTGCCAAGGGAGTGACTGTTGATTGGGGTGGCCACTGGTGTTATTGGGAGAAGCCTGACATGTTCCATGGGCTTGTCCTCGACTTCCTCAAATAAAAAAGACACCGCTGCAATACCACGCTATCACGCCAACCGCCGATTCGCTTCGGTGTAACAACCTGTCTTCGTGTTCTTGCAATACTAAAAGGAAGATTCGTGCTTCCGACGCATAGGCAATATGTCTCAGCAAAAACACGCCAAGTGCAGCTACAACGCTCCGTTTCGACTAACAGGTTGTTGTCGATGAGGATAAAAAAAAGCAAAAATATACAACAGCGTGGGCTTGCTAGTGCTCACCTACCCAACTACTAATTTGCCGGTACGCTGCTCTTATCTGGCTGGATATATCGCCTAGTAAGCAACCCTGATTCGCACGCCCAGGCGTCTGACATCTCATTCCCGGATAAGTCACTTACGAGCTTCGCTTTTCTTGAGTACCTCTTCATATCAGATTCCATGACTTGAACGCCACGGATGGTAGGGCTCTTGTTGATCACCTTCACCCTTAGTCGAGCGAACAAGTGCAGCAATAGTAGCGCTAAGGCAATGAGCGCGCCATCGAGGACAGTCGCGCCGTTCAAAAACCCAGCCGAAAGAACCACCATGACGAGGAGGTAGTTTCCAATGTTGCCTAGAAAAGACGAGGACTGGTTCTTGTGGGAGCCTGTGGTGATTCGGGATGATGAGTTTGCTTTTCTGGTTCGCAGCCTGCCTATTTGGTGTCGCAGCCTTGCTGTATGTTGTTGAATCTACGAAGCGACATCCCTGGGTATCTAGTATATTGTTTAGATGGACGGGTATCGAGCCCATGGTACTTTGAATGCCGGGAACGGGATCGTCTCATCAGTCTGTTGGGACCGAGACTCAAGAGGACGAAACCCAGCTGGTGTAAGATGTAGATGATGTTAGACTAATGTTCACTCACAACTCTTAATATCGGAGGTGTAATACGTGCTAGATACATTGATCTTCGTGCTATAACTGTATCACGAGATTTGAGCATGGCTGAGCAGACCACAAAGACGATATCCTATGCCTTATGGTTGTATGTACAAGATCTACCGATTTGATCTATACTGTACTTGGGTGGTAGTCGTTCAACGTCTTGACCGGAAGCACACGACAGTACTGAGCACCCTCAGTGGAGCTCCAACACTTGTCACATGGTCTATTAAAACCCCACAGACTTTGGGAGCAACGTGACGATCTCTCTAAGATTATATCACACGCATCTACAAGATATCTACTTCCCTATCCCACTACTTTGGTCGACAAAGCCATTTTAGCCGGACCAAATCTCTGCTATTTCCCCGTAAACTAATGGGTTAATCCCTAGTTGAAGCAAGCTTGATGAAAGCCTCTTTGTGCTCGGTGGCCCACTCTCGGAAGGTCAAAGCCGGTCTTCCCAGCACGTAAGGAATATCGTCACGAATGGTTCCAATGTAACCCATCCGGCCGTCGACAACTTGGCGCATAAAATCAACGCCGCCCTCAGCATACCAAGGTTCTGCCCCTGAACCCGGAGCTGAGACCAGTGCCTTAAAGTCGTCGGGTCCTCGGGGATTGAAGGCAATACTGCGACCGGTGACCTCACTCAAGATCGCAGCAACCTCTGAGCCGTTCAACACGTCGGTGCTCATCCAGTAGTCGCGTCCGTGGTGCTTTTCAGGCCCGTCACGTAGAATCGCTGCCGCCATTGCTGCGATGTCACTTACCGCGATCCAGCCCACGCGACGATTCTCAACATATAGCGTTAATTTATCTGCTTTGGGGTCTGTGGCTGCTAGCAGATTGTCCATGAACATGTTGGGATGGAGGTGCGTCCAGGCGAGACCGCTCGCCTTGATATAGCTCTCGATGAGCTGATGCCAAACAAAGTGTGGGTCTGTCGCGTCCCATTCGCCAAAAATCCCAAGATGAACGATGTGTTTCACACCGGCCTTCACAGCAGAATCCACGAAAGTCTTGCTTTGCGTCAACATCGCGACTGTGTAGCCGGTCAACAGGAAGACGCGATCCACACCGGCCAGAGCGAAGGCGAAGGTCTTGGGGTCGTCCAAATCTAAATCGACGGCTTCCTTTCCCTCTTTTCTCATCCGTTCCACTACCTCTTGATGTCGGGAACACAAGCGAAGGCGAACGTTTGGGGATTGTTCGAGGTTTTGGACCACCAGACTACCGATCTACAACATACCTAGGTAGCTAATCTAGTGCCTGATTGCCATGCTCACTTCCTATTCACTCACACACAAAGTCTTCCGCGGTGTAGTTTGCAGGATCTCCCGTGAAGACAGCTTTCTTTGGATATTGGCAAAGCAAGCGTTCCCTGTCCTCAGCGTTCCTAGCAACAAGCGTTTCGGGCGCAATATCATTCTCGACCCAGTCGACCAAGGCGGCAAACAAGCCGGTAGGGGTGCCACCCTGGCTAGGTGCACAGTGTGCTGCTCCAGGGGCTTCAGAATAACGGTAGAAGTCGCGTAAGGCGGGATCGAGAGCAGCTACTCGATCATAGTAGTCGCGTGTATCACCGTAGGGTATTGATTCATCAGCCTAGACGAATTGAATCAGTTAACCGTGTCGCGATAGCCTCTTGTGGCATTGGAAAACTCACTAAACCGTGGTAGGTAAGTAGCTTTCCTCCAGCGGCGCGAAACTCTTGTAGATCTGGATAATCTGTCCCGATAATGGAAGTATACTCCCGCTTTCCAGCATAAAAAGCACTAACCCAGTCCTGGCGTGTCATATTGTTCAAGTCGTAATTCGGGTCTTTTTTGACAAAGTACCTGATCCAGTCTGTGAAGAGTGACTGTCGGGCAGGTACACATGATCCGTTGTCTGAGCAAGTGTTGTCCAGAGTACCATAAAAGTCTGTCGGGTTTGTGTCGTATCCATGGGGATACCATAGGAATGTTCCATTGCTTGTTCGAGCACCCTTCCACAACGCGGTCATGGCCAGAGCAGCGGCTTCTGATATAAGTGAAGGTTCACCAGGAGAGCTGCAGTTCGCTGGATTTCCAATCATGGATCGAGCATCGAACTTGCAGCTTTCAGGGTCGGAGATCAGCCCATCCATGAGCCCGTCATTGTCATCGCAAGCAGCGATTGCAGCTTGCCTCAGGGAAAGGAACTCGCACTCGTGTGGAAAATCGTTTAGCCCATTCTGGGCAAGCTCGAATAAGACTTGTTGAGGGAAAGTTGACGAAGATAAAAGTGGACTCCAGTTGATAGCTGGAGCTGCCGCCGCGATACCATCGAAGATGTCTGGAAACCTCTGGGCAAACATGTAACCCTGTCGGCCACCTTGAGAGCAACCGTTCCAGTAAGAATAGTCCGAACCGTGGCCATACAAGCTTTCAATCACTTGTTTGGTAGCAATAGCGCCATCTATCAGGCCATTGAATGCAAAGTTCTGTAGCGCGTTGTAGTCGACGTTGCCAGGGCTTGTTAACGCCCAACTTGCTACTGAGGTGGCGTTCTCAATGTGCACTCCACCATCCACGGAGGATGTCGCAAAACCTTCAGTTAGGCTTCCGAACATTACGGGAGCAGCTTCATCAAATCCTGCCGACCAACCTCCGCCGCCTGCCATCAACATACGGCTGTTCCATGTAGGCTTCAGAGGAAGCCAGATTTGTGTACGCAGCGTGTCGTTCTTGCCTGGATGCGTGTGCGTGAGGGTAACATTGCAAAAGTCCACGGAAACGTTGTTAGGGAGAAGGCCATGGTTGTACCATAGTCGGCTCTCAATGTCCGAGCCGGTGTAGTTCAGGACTGGGTGGGCTTCAATAGCAACAAACTCAGCCCCGAATATGACTGGATAGGGGATAGCACCAGGCGTACAGTTGCCAATTGCTTGATGTGAAGCCATGATGGAGAAACTGGGTGCCAGATGAGAAGTACTTACTTGTCGACAATCAAGCCAATCGAGCTTAGGCCTCTAGCTTGGCTTGGCCATCGGAGCAAAATAGCTTAAGTGAATTGGCTTGATGGGTTATAACCGATGAGCTTGATCGATAAGCTTGATAAGATTAATGCTTTAGCGTGAGGCTGTTAGTGTTGCAGCAGGAGCTATCTCACGATAAGTTTATGGAGTTAAGTTCTGTCGCATAATCACGTAACTACTACATGATTAGTGATCTATGCGTAGATACTAAACTCAACACTAAGAAAGCATTGTGAGATCGTCGCTACAGCAACAACAACAGCCCTACGCTCCACGCCTAGACCTATTAATCTCATCAAGCCCATCAATCAAGCTGGTGTGTACGAGCTTAATCAATACTATTTTACTACACGCTGGGCTTAAATTGGCTTAAACGTAGATGGGCAACAGCTTGATTGATGAGCTTGATCTGGCTTAATTGTTGACAAGTCTGGAAGTAAGTAGGCTGGCTGCTTGTGGTACGACACGTATGATGTCTGTCAGGTAAGGCAGCTAGGTCAGCTATATATATATAACGAATTCACTGCATTCTTTGAACAGCTGGGTATGAGTTCACTCTGACGCCCAGACAATGTCTTTAGGACAAAAATAAGTCGAACGAATGCGGGCTGTGTATTCATCCGACGATGAGCCCGTAACAGTAAATGGGCAAGCCTCAGTATATTTGGAGTATAGCCGGGCCAAGCTCGGACTGTTTGTTAAGACGTCACCTTACCGCCGATGTGTACTACTAGCAACTGGATGACTATCGCGTGTTTTCGCTCACTTGCAGTCCTACTCGCCCACACTCCTACGCATGGGTTCTAGAAGATGAGGTGAAGAAACTGCAATTCATTGCCATGATCTGAACTGAGATGGTTCCGATGACTGCAGTTGCCTAGATAGTAGTGTCCAGAATTATTATGACTTCGACTTGGCGATCCATATCCCGGCCAGTCTGTAGCCCCGTCACTCCGCCTATTCAGCACTCCACCGTTCCGCCAGCCGAGTTAGTAACTTCGAAGGGGATTCCAGATTCGGGATACTCACAGTTGGCAGAGCTAGCGTCAAGGAAATTGAAGGATTTAACGTGTCGCATCCTTCCTTACATCTTCTGCTCTTTCATCCATTCGCCTGCTCGCCTAGCCATATTTATAGCCTCTTGTTCGAAACCCAAGATGTGACCCAAGAGCAGGATATCGTGTGGAACATGCTCTTCGATATCAAGCTGCAGATTGTTACCTGCTTCCTTCATTTTCTCAGCCCATTCAACGATATCAAAGTACAGTATCTCTCCACCGCCTGCGTTGACCCACATGGGTACCTCTGTCTTGAATGTCCGGTTCTTCTGCGAAATGTATGGCTGTGACAGGACCTGCTCGCCAGCTTCACCAGCATATGCCGTGGTGCCCCATGATGTGAAGGGCGGAGAAAGGTAGTCTGTAGCATAATTCCTGTTGTCATAAACGTATGATCCGGAGGTATCGGCTGGGTTGGTCCAGGGCGACCAAAGAAGCGCTGCAGAGGGTGCGGGCAGACCAATGTCGGAACCGTAGTCGGAGATGTAGCGTAGAAGCGCGATGGATAGATTGCCGCCTGCTGAGTCTCCCGAAAGTATGATGTTTTGAGGGGGTATCTTGAGGTCGTTCAGGAGGTACAGGTATGCTGTGACGCTGTCTTGGAGAGCGGCTGGGAACGGGTTCGATGTCTTCGAGACAGGCAACGTGGAGAGGCGGTACTGCGGGCAGAAGATGTGCGTGGCGGGAGTGTATTTCAGAAGCTTCTTTGCCATAGCCCCGCTGGCTGCCGTCCGTCCATCTCCTGGGTCGAGTTAGCCATGAAGATAGGTATCGCAAACACTATTGACTAACCCGTGACGAAAGCTCCACCATGTAAGTGAAGCACGACCTTGATCCTAGCCTTGTCGCTACCCGTACCCAGCGGTGCAGGATACCACGTCGCACCAATTTCCACTGGCACAACGTCCTTGTTGCTCCTCAAGGGCCCTTTGTATGATTCATTCTTTGCCGGCTTAATGACTACGAATCGCTCCTTCTCTTGATCCGGTGTGAGAGGCAGCGGCGTTTTGACTTGCACTTTCGCAACGTGCCATAGCCCGGAGAAGAAGGCGTGTACAGTGAGGGCCTGCCGAAAGGTCCAGCTCGGGTGCTGGCGGCCGAAGACGAGGAACTTGACAATGTATAGAGGGAAGCGCACGAGCTCGAAGCCCAAAGCGCCCAGCGCATATACGCCCTTCAGAGGATGTTGCGTGAGGTCCACCATCATAACGGCAGCGCTGGCAATGAAGACACTGAGAACTCCATTGGAAATGGATGGCTTATATCATAGTAACGGTGGATCCGGTCTTGCTTGTGATCGTTGAGGGGGACGGCTCCGTCCATTCTGGGCCGAGGTCCTTGGCGCGACTACTTCGACGTTCCCCAGACCTACCCCACAGTACTACTTATAGACTTACAATGTTTTCTACCGACGCCCTTTCCCCTAGACATTGACGACTTTCTCATATCAGTGCCTTCTGGGCAAGCAGGCTTGCTTCCATCACGATTCTGCGATACCACCTGGACGATTTGAGAGGTGCTGCTTCTCTGGGGGTAGAAAATGCTCAGATACACCTGGCGGATCTTCATCCAGCTTGTCTTCAAAATAAACTTGGGCTGACATCGCGTTGTAGTGTTTCTTGGGACGATCCACTTTGTCATCCATCCAATCTCATTATTGCTACTCTGTGGAGGTTTGCAACATTTTTTGCTGTACTAATTCTTCCTACTGAGGTACCCACACACCACCCGCACCGTTCTGCCGTACGAGCTTCATCTCTTCCTTCCAGGTCTGAAATTCGAACTTGGTGTCCTTCAATACTCTTCATTCCCTGGTGCTTGGTCCTGTGGTTCCTCGTTGGCGGGGTTCGCAGTCTCGTTTCACATATGCCTACTATGGGTGGTCAGCGCCTTGAGATCCAATTGTATTGCCAACGACTGCCGACTGCCTTTTGTTCTTTTTCGACCTTGGTCGATACGCTTGCGGAGACGCGGTTGTACTTCTCCCAGCCTACTCGGCGTGAGGCCTGCCAGCTCCGAAAGGAGGATCAGGACCGAATCGCCCCATGCCATGGCATAACTGGTATGACCATAGCTTAGACCGTTTGGAGGTGCTTGGTACGCATCGCTGATGTTCCATTGTTTGCACACGTCATCTGTCACCTCTCCCATCACTGAGTTGGAAGTGGGTGATACCGGAGTGTTAGACACGATTCGTGTCATGATAAACGCTAATGCTGGATAAGTTCAAGAGCTTAGGTTGGGCTTGAGTGTGTGTCCATCCGGATCTCGACCGCAGAGTTGCAGTTCTGGCACAAAGTCTCGCAGGCAAAGCGTTGACACACAAAACGGAACATATACAGACACAGTGCGATCCGCGGATAAATCTCCCCTAAGCGCGTCAAAGGGAGGAACGGCCAAAATACGATGGCGGCGTTGCATGTATAGCCTTGTAAGCTCTTATGCCTCGGTCTACAATGTTGCCCCTATCCGCACACTAGGCCCACTGTGCGCAGTACTGAATACATGGCCTGCACGTTCAATCCAAACACTGGCGAGGTTATAGACAGTCGCATATAACTTTGAAGGGAAGTACGACAAATCTTCCATTCTGTCAATAGCTTTCGCAGCACCGCATTGATTGTAGACTCTGAAAGCTGGAAACTCAGCCAAGCTTTTGCGGGTCTGATCCGTCGAAATCTCCGACGAAAAAACGGCTGGCTTTGGTCACCTATTGTCGCGTGCGTTCTCCGGAGATTCCCAGGACCAATCGGCCAAGGCACAATTCCAACCATGCCTAGGGTCCTGTTTCCAAATTTAGGTGACAATTGCTAGAGATCGTTTTCCAGGCGAGGCTTTCCCTGACCCTTGCTAGGAGTAACCGTAACTCACCCACTCTTAGTCTCTATACAACATCGTATCCCGAACACGATGCTAGTTGCTGCAACGTGCACCGTAAAAGCCCAAATCCTTTTGCGCATTGATCGTGCGCTGCTAGAGTGGCTCCACACTATATCCTTCAATAACATTGGGTAGGTATCTTCCAAGACCTATATAACGAGTGCGTGTCCAGAAGTGTTTACCATCATCTTTGAAAGCCCTGCAATACTTCGCCACAAAACACACGAAGTGCGCTTACCTAGATACCATGAAGAGAAACCAGTTGATCAGCCTCGCGATTCTTGCGCCGAGCTGCCAGGCATACGTCTGGCCCAGCCAGTACGATCAGCTCGACGATCTCTTGTATCTGCAGTCTGGTTACATCAAGGACGGATCGCTTTCAGATCGTACGTACCCTACATTCTTCATGTGTTCCATTCCAAGCTCACGAAGCAACAGAAGTCATGACCTGCGCATTCGGCGCTAATCAACCTGGCATCCAGAAAGCTGCAGAATGGGTGCGAACCGCCTTCCATGATTCTGTCACACACGATGCCACGACCAAGACTGGCGGGCTGGATGCCTCGATACAATACGAACTTGATCGACCGGAGAACCTGGGTGCTGCATTGAACAACACCTTGGCCGACATATCAAGTTCAGTCAACATGAGGAGCTCCGCTGCCGACGTATTGGCCTTGTCATTAGTCATGTCCGTGGCTCGTTGCGCCGACATGCGCGTTCCTTTGCGACTAGGCCGCAAGGATGCTGCAGAAGCTGGTATCAAAGGCGTACCAGAAGCCCACACCGACCTCGACACCACTAGGAAGAGATTTGAGACTGCCAGTTTGAGCGAGACCGATATGATCACCTTGATCGCTTGTGGTCACAGCATTGGTGGTGTTCACTCTGTCGATCATCCCGAGATTGTATCTGGCCCAGTCACCGCTGAGAACAAGGCGAGTTTCGATACTACCCTTGGTGTCTTGGACAACAACGTGGTATTGGAGTATCTTGACAACTCTACGGCTAATCCATTGGTCGTCAACACCAACAACACTTTGAACTCCGACAAGCGAATCTTTGCTGCCGACGACAACAAAACCATGCGCAAGCTTGCAGACAAAGCCTACTTCAAGTCCCAGTGCGAGACCGTCTTTGAAAAGATGCTCAGTCTCGTACCGGGCGATATCACACTGACTGAGCCCTTGGAGCCAGCAGACATCCGCCCTTATATATCTTCATATCAACTAAAGGATGGTTTGGTCGAAATTTCTGGACGCATTCGTGTTCGAGTTACGCCAGTGACTGGTCGCGATCAAGATAGCCTTACAGCTTCTATCATTCCAGCACCGCGCGGCAATATCACAGTTGCTGAAATCGCCGCTCGCCGTGCCACTTTCCGTGGAGGAACCTCTTTTGGATACTTAGACGAGAACTTCCTATGGTTCGAGTTTGACCAAACATTGAACGCTAGTGAGGCGTTTAGTTCGTTTACCATTCGCGTCAACGATGATATCTACGACAACGGCGGCACAGGCGGATACCCTGTAAACGCTGACATTCTCTACCAAGAAGCACAATCCTGCGTTGTCTGGGATGCGACCAAGCGTGAAGGTACGCTGAATGTTACTGCTGCCGTATCCAAGTCCCTTCTCCAGGCTGGCGCCGCTCCGCAGATCAACGTTGTGAAGAAGACTAAGGTTCAGGGCAACTTCATTCCTCGCTTGCAGCCGGAGACCATCCCTATGGTCCGATCAAGCAAAGAGACGGCAGGGTACGTGTACTATACTGCTTCGACGACCTTGTCTGGTGATGGGCTCGATCCTACGCTTGACATCGCAGTTGGCGATTCCAAGGTAGAGTTCATCAACACAAACGGCCTTACTGGTCATGAGTGCGCTCCATTATAGATACCCAATTCTCAATAGTCATATTTCTTGTTCCAATCTTACGGAAACCTCGCTGAGAACAGTGCCATATTAGCTTTCTTCACATCTCGCTTCCTTGACCTAACCAATATGCACCGCTAGCCGGAAAGTAGTAAAACAATCTGCTTTCTTCTAGCCTAAACTCAAACCGTATAGTCGACTTCGTGAGGCTCGAAACTCCTCGAGGCTATGGGTCACGCATTGAAAACATACTGATCGGGTTCTCCACATCCCGTTTTATGCTTCATTTGCATAGTACCCCAACTCTAATAACAATACGCAGCCTTCATAGCGTCCTTTCGTCGGAGTTGGTTTGGCAGCTCTATCCGTATCCTGTTTTTGTTTCTACTCGCACATTTGTTTATTGCTATGGCTGATGGGTGAATCTTATCCAGCGTCTCCCTTATTGAGCTCTTCTATTGCTCCTTAGCGTGTCGTGGTGCCATGTGCCTCGTCTTTGTGTGTGATTTTCCTAGTAGCTGGTTATTGTAAGCAAGAATGATTTTGTACCTGATTATGTGCTCCAAGGTTCAGTTCGACCGCCGTGAGTATTTTCGAAATATGGTTGATCCTGACATACGCATATTATGACGATGGAGCAAAGAAACCATGGAGGTCTTCAGTACAAAGGCCCTGTAACTTGCGATATTGAAACACCCAGGGACTCTCACCAGCATACTATTACACTCACTGCTGTGCGGATGATTATGATCAGGCATTGACTTTGACTACGAGGCACAATGCCTTTGGATCGAGGTTTACGAAAAGATGAACGTCATTGATTCGGCATAGTTGCATAGTCCTCCTGCTTGCACAGGGATCTACCCTCCCTACCAGGACACATATGCGCCCTAGCATTTTTGATACCCTCGCTAGTATTCGGAATTATCTGCAGCGCGATCTATGATGTATAAGCTAACCAAGCCGAGATAGCTGAGTCAATCTCGTCGTTACGTTACTAACAATGCCACTGTTACGCATGCTTATAATCCTAAATCGATAGCAGCATTCTCAACTTCTACGACCACCTGGTGATGTTCTTCCCTTAGTCGCTGCTTTTCTCTTTCATATCTTTCGATGCTAGCATCCTCGTCATCCAGCAATGCTTCATATAGCGCCTCGCATTCTGTTACGAGTCTTTCTTCGATCTGCGAAGCCCAAACACAATAATCCCCGTATGCGTTGGCGAAATTGGAATCCGTCAGCCACCAATCGATCAAGGCTATTTCAATTCCATCATCCATACCACGGAAGAAGGCAAAATCAATATGCTTGACAACGTTGTTTCCGTATGACACGCTCACGAGCTGAGCGTTGTGATCAACATAACCCACGCAATCTTGAACAAGTTGATGCGCGATTTGGCGTACAGGTGCACGAGCTCCGAAATAATGAGCTAGACTACCTAACGCTATTCCGTTGAAGAATCCATCGTTTGTTGGATCAAGGTATATTCTTGCAAAATCTTCTTTGAGTTCTGCTGTCGGTGGAATTGTATAATCGGGAAGGCATCCTCCCATATGGAGTCCGCGTTCCATGAGCGTCTTAACGGAAACTTTATGGATGAGATATCGTTTCGGAATTTCCCATTCGAAGATGTACTCGTATCGGAGTCGTTCAGGATTTGAAAGATTCCATCTCTTTGCCAGATCTTCCGCGTGATGATAAACATGACGGTCTATATCAGGCACACAGAAAAAAGCTACCCAGACTTGGGTCGGATCTTCATGTCCATTATAGACTTTGCTGAAGGCGCGTCGAAGAGTGTCGATGAGTCGATTACTTGTAGAAACCAGCGCCGTACATGTCTTTGTGCGAAGTTCGATGTGATTATCGAATTCGGCACGAAGATGAACAGAGCCGAAGGGCCGTCCTAGTGCATGGCCTTTGCCAGAGATAAGGGCACCAGCGCTGCTATCTGAATAACATCGATAGAAGTAGCTTCCGGAATTACTCATATTGCTGTGTACTGTATGTTATGGGGAGAATCCCGCTGGTTGCAAACGCCTAATGAGTTGTTCCCCGCACAAGCATCTTGGCAAACGAGGCAGGCCTTCCAAGGTCCCCGGGTTGCTGCGGGGTGGAAATACAATACTCCGAAGGTCTACAAGAACGTATCTTGCTATGAAGGGAGGGTCGTTAATACGAGACCTTTTTAAGAGATTGGTGCAGCTCGTAATGGCTTCGCCAGACGGGGAAATGATGATGAGTCCTGGTTTGCCGCCAGGGACACTACCCAACTCCGGGCTTATTGTTATACCGCGGACTGTCCCAGAGGTAAATCTAGCGAACAGCTTCCTTCTAGCAACATGAACAAGAATGCGAGTTTGGAAGAGATAGTTCGATGAAATCAATACCACCACGAGGAACCATATTCCCTCAGTGACATGTTCAACTTCGCTGCTAGAGTGGTTTAGCGCGCGATCATGGTGCTCAGTAGTATGCAATATAACACCATACGTCCCGCACTTGTCAGTCTTCCAGATGAATGATACTCTTGAATGTCTATAAGACTGATCCGAGCTCTAAGCCATCCTTCGTCATCTAATGATACATGATCCACATTGACCATACCTAGAACGCCGAACCCTGTAATTCGATCCTACAACTTCGATGAAAGCTTTCCACTCTTCTTCGCAGTAAATGTGGCGATGAGATCCATCAACGCCGGACTCAGCACATCGTATGTCTGCAGTCCCTCTTTCCTGAACTTCTCTCTTACAGCATCCATTTCCTGCGGGTTGAAGCCTTGCTCGATGATGCTGCTGACGAACGCCGCGAATTGGGGCTCTTGCCATCCTTCCTTATCGCTGAGCTCAGTATGTACGAAGTCTAAGCCGGTGAATGCATGATCGATAAGGATGCGGCCGAAGAGATGGACTCCACAATCCTTGCAGGCATTGCGTTGGATGGCTGCGGACTCGTCGATTATATGTAGCTTATCGCCGTTGGCAGTTACGGAGACGGCGTCTTTGGGAATGACGCCAACGACGGAGAAGAGAGCGCCTTTGGGCTTCCAGCATTTCGAGCAGCCGCAAGCATGGTTGTGTGCGACGTTGCTAGCAAGGGTCACTTCGACCTTCTTGGAGGGGCAATGGCAGTAGAGCTTGCCCCCGGAAAAGTTGGGGTCACCCTTCTTGATACCGTTATCAATGGCGGGGTGAATGGACGGCATGATGGTTGAAGATATACTGATGGTTTGTTTGTTGAAAGAGATGGTTGTCTGGAAGGGATTGGAGGTTACAAGTTTGCAAATGTTTAGGTACCTGGCCGCACTATATACGGGTTCCAGTTCTACATCGAGACTATTAACCCCCTCACCGGACTGCGCAACCGATCAAGAAAGGACCGCAGCAAATATGGTGCGATCGCATGTAAACTGATGGGATTGTGGACATGGTGTGCGGAGCCGCATAGTGTTGCCGCTTTAGGACACTCGGCCCTTCCCCGCCTCGCATTAGAGATTACCGCAATCGAGGTGCTTCGGCGTGCCGATAAAAATGGTCCAGTGCCGCAGCGTCGCGCACACATAGAGGGTACATGTTATCGCAGTAACTCCATATTGCAAATAACGATCGCAAAGTCAACAGACGTAGATTCGTTGGTGGTGTTACGGCGAAGCGGAGGCCTCGGAGAAACCCTGACTTTTGCCGCCTCCTCCTTTTGCATCCCAAACTAGCAGCTCCAGCGAGAGCCTCCCGCACATCGTTCGCAGGAGGAATCACAGAAATTAAAGTCTTATTATACAATGACAGCCAAACGAATGGATCCATCCACAAAGCGTAGACGCGCCGCACAACGAAAAATTCGCCGCATCGTGCGAGACCGCCTGTTCACCTCCCATGAGCTTCATCAGAATGAGTCCAGCGCCTCTCAGACCGTCTTCACTGTAGATTCGACTACTCGATGCTACTTTAATGAAGCCGTTCGTTTCCAGCAGCAGCAGCTCCCTGATTCGCCGTCTGACAAGACTCTTCAATATCCACCATGAGTTGCGCAGTGATCGCTCTGCCCTCGAACAACAGCGCGGCTTCTTCTGCGGCACAGCGTTCAGCTATGAGCTTGGGGCGTTTCTGATGCAATCGCGGCATCTGTATATCCGCGCGCTACTTGATGAGCCTCTCCTCGGGTGTTTTGAACTCTTCGTTTTTCCCGAAATCTTCGTCGTATCTGATGTCCAGGAAGTCGACGCGCTCTCGAATATCTTCTGTCTTTTCCTTATGCTTGGCGCCAATCTGCGGACACGACTCTGCGTTGGACTTCTGAGCTTCAACTGCAGTCATCCATGGGTAGGGTTCTTGAGCGCGCGTTTCGGATCGGGGGGTGTCTTCAAAACGCACATGCTTTCGATGCCTTCGCTGATCATGATCCAGATAATGTGACCGATTCCGACGTTTTTCTTCAGGCGTGTGTACTTTTGCATTGATAATTTGAGGGTTGCTGAAGATGCGCCCATTCAGTTCGGTATCTTTCGGTCGCGCGTGGGCTGCGTCGTGGTTTAACCGAACGCGTATCATATCGTGGTTGTCAGCATCGGCAATCGCGTCTCCAGAGCGCCTCTATGATCATTCCAAGTGTGAACTATGACGTAGTTAGTCGAGCTGGAACCGTGAGCCAGAGGCTTATGCGGCGCCTGGGTGCGAATGACGCGACAGACGTTCTAGTCCACAGCGCGCTCCACTGTTGCGGTGGTAAACAGTTCGAAGGCGCGTTATCCACATACCAGAAATCCTTTGGGTTCGTATGATTGCGAAACTTATACGCGATGCCATACGCGGCAAGTGGTGAATGATTCGAAGTGGGGAGGCTCACTAGCGCGTAACGCAATCAGTGAAAGATATCTCAACTACCAGAACAAGCAAACGATATTGGTAGTCCTGCGATAACGCCCTGTTCTCCAAGTGTCTTGACAGTGAAGCTTCGTATGTATCTGTAGCGCGTCTAGTCAAAGGGCAGGGTGCGTGATAGATTGCCTTGATGTCTTTCGGCTGACTAGATCAGTATGTGCCAACGTATCGTATAGGGTTGATACTGACGTATGGAGGTAGAGCGAAATGAGTGCAAACGGTTAGTGAGAACAGTACTGTACCTGGATACCGCCTTGCAACTCTTGTGTATTCATAGATCTTTCTTGGCACGTCACTGAAGTCGACGTGTGCGCCACTGAGCAGCTACCCATGTGCAGTCATCACCCAAAGTACGCACCAAGTCTCGCGCGACTCTCTCTTCGCGCTTTATGATTAAGCATGAAGTGTACATCACACTACAAGCAGCTGATGCAAGCTTGCCGACTCACCAAGGACATTTTACCCCAATCCCCAAGATACGCCATCTTGCATCTTCTCTTGTCGCATCTCCATCCCCATTCTCTACTTTTGTCTTAATCCCCAACATTTACAGCCCCATCTTCATACCGTTCACGTATTTTACCCTAGTGATCACAACCCAGTAAAGCAGGCATGACAACGCGTAACTGAAGCAGGTCGCATCCTGAGATGTGAACCCATGTACGGCAGAAAAGCACGTCGCAATTGGTCGTGAAGATGTTTGATGTCGAAACAGACATGGAGGCGGCGCAGCATGTCGCGCATGAACTCTGGGGGCTATTTTTGAAATGACGGGAGGGTGGAGCGATGGATCAGCTGGGGGGCCGTAAGGCTGGCGCTGGCACGGCGGTTCCTGGAACTTGGCCCCCAGAGAAGTCTTGAGAATGTTGTCGCATTTGCCGCTTTGTGTTGTGAGCGAATGCGTGGTCCGTCTTACATATTACAAATGCATGTCGGCGGCTGCCGTCGTCGTCGTCGTATCTTCGATATTGAATTTATCAGCCGCACGATCAGGTGCGATGTCACTTCCACCGATGAGCACTCATCGGACCAGTGACTTGTCAGCTTGAACGAGTTCCTGAAGGCTCAGCCCTGTGAACGCGGTGCTGCGCCTCACCCGCGACCATCCACCGAACGATGGCTTCCCAGGCGAGGATGCCACAAACTACCACGCTTCGACCACCGAACACCTACCTCATCCACCTTGCCATTGCCCAATCACTCACAGCTTTTCTGCCAGTACCTGAGGCCAGCACAGCCCTGTTTTCATGACTTTATCGCAGCGATGTATCCATTGCGACTCGGCTACCGACCCATAGTTGGAGAAGATTTTCTTGGGTTGGGCAGGGCCGCTATGACTCCACGGAGCAAGGACCCCAGCAAGCGAGCGCGACACGTTGGCAATTGCACCGGACTGCACGAGAATATGCTAAGGAAAACCAAAGTATTGGACTGTGGGGAAGGAAAGGTCTGGTGGTTGGGATGAGGTTGGGTTCGGACGGGTGGGCAGACGATGATTTGGCGATGAGTCGATGGACACGTTGACCAGCAAGCAGCCTCGCCGGACGGAAAGGGCACGTCCTGGTAAATGCGGGGAGACGTGAGCTGGCAATACAGCTTGCGCAATGCTTTTGTCTGAAACAGAGGCCCGGACAGGTCCGACGATGCAGGAGAGTGATTATATGAGTGATTCGAGACCGCGCGCGCTGGTGGGTATCGTGCAGGTACTCGATCAGGTTGACCGGTGAGGCTGCAATGCATGCATGCTGCACCTCTACGACGTGGACTAGAGGGTTAGCTGCATATTGACCGGTGACACTGGAGCTGATGCAAGCTCCACTGGAGAATAAGAATATGCATATCATATGCAATTATCCATGATGGATTTGCTTTCGTTGAACTGTCGTTGTTCTGCTGGCTTGGCCAGTTATGATCGGGTTCCGAATATTAATAGAGTGGGTCTGGTGCTGGCAATTGACCGGCAGACTGGCATCACCCACGGTGTTTGAGGATTATCAGTTGGGAACCTCCTTGATGAGAGTGAGATAGCTGCCGCGACACAGGGACAGTTGTCAATGCGCGATTAAGATGGGGAAGTGTTCTGGAATGTACATGTCGCTATTCAAGTCTGGCTAGAATTGTGGTGTGGAGAGGTTGGCGGGGCTATTTGCGCTGGACAGTGCGAGGTGCAGCACCGAGCTCGTAGCTCCTTAGGTTTGCAGTCTTCCTCCTGCTGTAGCATTATGACCAACATGTGTTTACAATATGTGACGTCTGGTATTGGTAACTCGGGCGTTCTGCGGCGGACGCGCAATAACTTGTATAGGTTTCTCGTTCGATCTTCGTATCGCGGGTTGAAGCGAGACAGTTGCTGTTATCGTGAGGCTTCTATTGTAGATCCTCAACTTTTGGTAATATGACCGTGGCAGTATTTATGGCAGTGGCAACAACGTCTACTGAGTGCTTGTGGTGGTGAAGGATGTGAAGATCGTGAAGATCTAACACTGCCGGCATGTGCGCAGCACACCTGCCGTTCAGCGCCAGTACCCCGCAACACCACCAAACCATTATCACCATTGTCCACTCTTAGTAACCATATCAAGGCTCCATTTCACTGGGCACACTCTCGAACATCACAAACCACAATACCTCCGTTTGTCGCCACTAACCTGGCAGACCCTGACATCCATCCCGTGTGAGAATTCAAGGTTCTCATCCGGACCCTGACGTCTGCCATGCCCCGCATCGCAATCCTCCCCTGACAATAATCAGAATTCTGCCGTCAAGAACCTTGGTGATGAGACGCCATGACAATCAAGGCAAGCACCCTGAATGTTATCAAAACACCTGACCAGGGCCCCGGCCCAGCTGATGATGATGTCGTCCTGGGTTTGCTCTGAGGCTGGGGCCATGTATGTCAGACAGTGGCTGTGTGGCTCAGTATTGCACTTTGACCCGGAAGAAGAAGTGGCATGACAGTTTGCTCAACCGCGAAATGCACTAGCAGCGCGCAATGCAAGTCTCACTTTGATACTGCGAGAGGGTGTATCAAACCCACAGTTATCTTCGCCAGGCGAAGTTGAGGGTGCAGTGCGCGCGCCAGGCAGACGTCAGGGTCCAGTCGCACACCAACAGGTTCTTGGTAACGAGGATGTTCACGCACCCGTATCCGGCGCCGGCGGTCAATATATTCCTGGCCACATGATGGGAAACTTGTCTAGCGATAAGACAAGGTGTTGCTGGGTGTCCTGGATCGTGATTGGTCATGTCTAAGACGTAACAAAGGGAAGAGCCATGAGGGGAGCAGCCGAGGTGTGCAGAGTGTGGGAGTCATTGTTGGATCAAGCCTGTCTTGTGTGTGAATGTTTCAGAATTGTGTGGTTCAGTGATTCCCATGTGTGTGGAGCAAGACTTACGCTACCAGTAGGGCATTTCAAAGTGGTCAGTAGCAAAGTCCAAGAACACCATGGAAGTCTTGTTGAGAGTATTGTTTGGGTAATGGGGCAAAGTCATTTCATGATGGCACAGTGATGTTAGATAATTAAGAAGTATCTCCATTATTAGCTATCTAGCTAGATCCCTTAGTCTCGATCCAGCAACGTCATTCCAAGTTTCCTCCGCATCATCCAGGGTCCATTACCCTGGAGTGCATCATCCATTCCCCCCTCAACACCGCAAAGGTGGAGGCATGCAACTGTTTGATCCTTTCTAGGTATCATTCCACCGTTATCCTTTCACTACCCAAGAGCATGTATAAGCAACGCAGAAGCAGAGCGTGCAATAAAGCATGTATGAATGTGTTTTTGGTGGTGGCGCGCACCGGTGCGGAGCTTTTGCAGCGTCCGCCCGCGGATGTTGTCGTGGTGGGATCGGAGCGTTTGACCGCGCGGCCGCTAGGCCTCGTAGCCGTAGATGGTAGTGTGGGTATCGTATTATTCAATAAATTGTATTTTGTAAGGCACAAAGAAAGTCTTCAAGTCATCATTCATCGGTAGTAGCCAGACGACCGGTGCTCGCGAAGGTCCCGTGTCGATGGCTCGCGGACCTCGACGGCGTAGTGCTTTGCAGCTCGGCGCTGCTTAGCCAGGTCCTCCTCGTAGAGAGAACCGCGCTTGGAGCTGGGAGTGTTGCTAATCTCGGCGAGTGGTCGCTTTGGCCTGGTGGTGGTGTGCTGTGGCCAGTCGACAATCTCGCCGTTTCGTGATCGCGCATATGGCTTGGTCTTGGTCTTTGGCTCTTGCTCAACCTTGACGGAGTGGCTTCGTCGGGGAGAGGCGGGTGCTGTGCGAGGGGCAACGTAGTAGCTGCGGTCCATGGAGACGAATGGCTTGCGGGATCGGTGACGGATGCTGCGCTCAATGGCCTTGAGGAGACTGCAGACCTCAACGTAACCGGCTGGGATCTCTACGCGGACAAGCTTGTTGTCTTCCTCGACAGTTGAGTAGGTGGCTCCGTCGGACTTTTGGTAGATGTAGCGAGCGACTTGTTGGGCCAGGCCGTGGCCGACCTCGCAGAGCTGCTCGTGGTTGCGGTGGACTTCATAGGGGTTGTGGCAGTAAGCACACTTCCTGGCGTGCATCTCGAAGTGGTAGGCGGCCCAGCTCTCAGCGGTGTTGACAGGACGGGAGAAAGAGTCGACTGGGTCCTCGTAGAAGCCGACCACGCGCTCCTTCTTGGCCGTGGAAGGCCGCGAATGAACGATGGTAGGCTGGTTTGTGCGTGCAGAAGGCATCTTGGGAGATGATGTGGGCGAGTTCTTCAGGATGGACCTTGGGTAAGCCGTTGTGACGTTGTTGCCAAGGTACGGAATGGTAGCGATGAAGTCACTCCCGGTATGGGAGGGTGCCTTTGGTGCAGTGGTGTTGTTGGTAGATTGTTTCTGGTGAATGTGGTAGAGCGTAGACTGGTAGTTGTATAAACAGCAGGTCGTGGTCGTTTGGAGTTAGTTGGTGTAGATGGAGGGGCCATGGTGGGCGCGGATGCCATGGAATATATGTCTTGATCCTCTACAGCGGCCGCATGCCCAGGGTGTGGGTGGAAGCCTGAGCTAGGCCAGGGTTGCCTGCGCCCATCAGCAGAGCTAGGTTAGCGGCTCCTAGCCTCCCAGACTAGGGGCCCATGGCGTGCTAGCGAGGGCGGTGACTGCAAATGTTCCTCTCGATCCGTGCATGACGACCATGTCTTGGGAACTGCCGCTAGAGGCATGTTTCGTCAGTCAGAGGGCCGTCAACGGCCGCTGGTCGAGGGCGCTGTCATTGGCGATGGTGAGCTGTCGTCTCGCTCGCTGTTGTTAGAGCATGGGTCCAGAGTGACAGCAGCCGCCGCATCGACTCCTGCCGCGCCTGTCAACGTGTTCAGTCGGGCAGAGAACCCCTATGCTGTCTCTCCAACGACATCGCTCGCTCACTGTGGATGGCGTCTGATCATTCGATGCTGCGCCTCATGTCGCTATCCGCGTTCGCAGCGTCTTGAAGGGTGGGCGGGTGCCGTCGCTGCCTGTTTTCTCGAGGCATCAGCCACGGCAGCCACACTCAATCCGGCCTAGACCACTTCTTTTCCCACCATCGCACTGCTCAATTGCGCAGCACTCGCACAATCTCACCGCTACACAAGTTCGCGCATAGCCACAACCTCCCGCTGCTAATCCGTCAACTAATGCACAGCATAGAGTGGCTGCCGATGGCTGTTGGCGCCCATGTGCGTGTTTGCGTGTCGCTACAAAATTGCATCCTTCGTCGCTGCCATGGTTCAGACCGGCGGGTGCAACTCACGAGAAGACCCGCAACACCTCACCTAGGGCAGTGCAAAAGGGCATAGCTTCTTCTGCGCCCTTGATTGTGCACCAGTCGAGGGCGCCGAGTGTGCAAATTGTTTGCGTGTCGCTGAAGGACTCATCAGACACGCTGCTACTCGACGCTTGCCGAGCAACGTGCATGGCGCTATTCACCCATCACCTTTCTCTTTTTGGCTGACCGGAACCTGGCCCCTCATCATTCGTCAATTGGGCTCTCTGGTGACTCTCTTCACTATCGGCGCGTTGGCACAGCAGTTCGCCCACCCTGCCGAACTGAACAGGCCCCATCTACCAATGTATCCTGTGGTACACAGCGGAGCGTTTCATCACCAGAAACACGTTGACAAGCGCCCGGATAGTCATGTTTCAGGTCCAGCGGTCACTCAATTCTGCCCACGGTGAGTCAATCGCGCCCCATTTGGGACATTCACGGTGTTCCTCTTGGCACCGTTTTATGACTCCCACCGCGACACGACGGTCGGCACACCCCGAGTGTTGGACCATGGAACCAGAATGCCAGTTGCGCTTGTACGGCTTCTAGGCATAACTCTAGTGGCACATGATCAGATCGCTATCCCTGGCTGGAGTTTTCATGGGTTTCTAGCGCAATGTCACTTGTCACGACAGCCGCAAACACGGGTTCATCGGCTCTGCACCGCCACACAATGCCGCTAGTTACACGATAGAAATTTCCATCGTCATTCTGCCCCTCTCGCATCTTCCTCCCCCGTACTGAGACCCTCTTCCAAGTCTTGGATGCATGAAGACTGGTGAGCGCCAACATCCGATATCCAGAGTGAAGCCACACTGTGGCGCCTTAGTAAGAGTCTCCTGTAGCCTAGGAATCTACGGCATCTTAGTGTTTCCGCATATTGTACTTCGGAGCATAAAACGTTCCGTTACTCTTCACAAACTGTCTCAGTTGCCTTATGGGAAGCAACCTTTGACGCACATGGTGCCGATCGGTCCTTTCACAACGTAATCTCCATAACTTGTTCATGATATCATTCTTTCCTCATAGTCGGCTGATTTTATATCAGGTCCGTCGCGATCTGGATCAGGCCATTGGCCTATCACAGTTGCCAATGCCTAGGCAGCAAGTCCCCGCTCCACCTGAGAACGAGGTTTGAGCGGTGGATATCGTTGGAGCAAGTGATGACCGGTCTAGTCTCTCAAGCTTGAGTCAAATGGCACTTTGGTTGCTTACTCAACGCTCTGGACATAGGCTTTAGCATGTGACCTCTTCACGTTCCAGGTATTGTCGTACCGCTAATAATGTTAGCACATGTATGTACGCTACCATCTGTAGGGCTATTGACCGTCTCCGGTCTCGATTCCATCAAGACCGTTCAGGTTCGACCGTCTAGCCATTTTCATACTGACAGTGCGTTAGGGTCCAGACAAGTTTGTGGGGAAGTGGAACGAGTCGGTCACGTGCAGACCGTTTCATCCCTCCAAGAACAACTAGCATCCGCCTCTTGAACACGACGCTTACTAAAGCCGCCAGAGACGAGCCACGGAAGCAACCAGTATTGCAGTCTTTCTTGGTTTCCCTATCGAGTCCGGGCTGAAGCTGATCTGTTCCCGTAGTAAGCGACAAAGCTGACCAAGTTGACCGGTCGCTGGGCCTTTCATCAGCACAAATCTGTTCTTCACAAGATCGAACACCGATGAAGACAACTCTCTGTCAGCTTGCGCTATGCATCGTCCGATTGTCGCGCTGGTCTTGGAAAAACTAAGCAGTGGCAAATATGCGGTACAAAGCTCCCTACTTCCAGCGCGTCCGACAACGCCCCTACACTTGGCAATGAACCTTGGAACGGTTGCGCTTGTGAAGTGTTGATAGTAGATGAGCAGCGAACAGTCGGTACATGATCAGCTCACTGCTTACCTGTACACGCAAAGCCTCGACGAGAGCCGTCAGCCGCTGACTACCCCACAATCTGGCTGTCTCGCCGTTTCCGTTTACCGGGAAGTGCATTGTGGTGCTTGCTTTTCAAACTCAATCGCGCTCCAAATAGTCGGAGATTTGTTCTGCAGATTCTCCGATCATCGCGAGCAGTCGCGCAACTTGAACTACGGGCAACGCCTCAAAGCCTCAAAGCACTCCAACAACTACGCAAAGCATACAAGATACAAGAGAATGTTGACTTCTCCAAGATGATACGGTGAATTGACATCCAAGGCTGAGACACATGACCGCGCGTTTCAGCGGAACGGTAAGCCTTAGCCTGTTCCTGGGCTAGTTTGCGATCTGTGCTTCCACACCTCACACCGCTTTTCAGCGAAACTTTCAGCGTAGCGACAGATTTTGCTTGAAATACCTGCGGTCCCTTCTATTCTCCTAATTCTTTCTTTTCTAAAAACCTTGCCTTGACCGGTCGCAGAAAGGAAACGACGTCGCGAAACAGAAAGAGAAGAGGAAATGCCACCCCGAAGCGTGTGTTTGAATGTGTTTACGTCCAGTCTTGGCGATGGCAATGGAGCGGTGAACAATGGTCGACATTCGATAATGGACAGAAGAGACAGCGCGCAGAGTGGTATGTTTGGTTTCTTCGAAGTTGTAATCGCAGACTTCGATATTGGTGTTGAGACGCATATTGACATGGCGAATTAGACATTCCGAGACGGTCCTCCGACGGCTCTGTCGCATCGCAAGCCACGCCGTCAGCGTCCACCTCTCCGCTCCCAGCTTTCAACCGACCCGAACTCTTCCACTCATTACGTCCTATGGCCAGCACCGAGAGTTTGAACGGCTCTTTTACCAGTAAACGTAAGTTTGGACTCCTATCTTCGGTTTCCATGTGGCGCGATGCAGGAACCCGATATGATTCGCTACGCTGCATTAGTGCGCATGTGTTGCTCCACTTTATCCCACAATTATCGCGGCCGCTTTCATGGCCTGGCACTACAACAGCACTACACCAACTTCAAACATCAAGAAGGGGACGTCGTTCTAACACATAACAGCCTGCACAACATGCTCTGGCGAACCCGCACGTCGCCGCTGCTCTCGCTGCAAGGCCGCCTACTACTGCGACCGCAACTGCCAAAAGTCGGACTGGAAGACTCACCGCAACGTCTGCGAACCCACCACGCAGACCTACTCCGCGCCTGCCACACCTAACTTCTCCAACCCCGCCAGCCCAACCAACGAGTCTTGAAGACGTGGCGTTTGATATGTAGACTATCGCGTACCTACACCGCCGCGCTGTAATGAGCAATGAAGTGGGGGAACAGAGGGGCCGCTGTCGATGATTTGACGGAAGTGATATCAAGAGCAGGATTTGCTACGAACTAATGATACGAATCAAATGGACATGGGGGAAAACTGGGGCGTTTATGCTTTATGAGGGTGTTTGGGGTAAATCTTTAGAAAGAGCGAAAGCATTCAATTGCACTGCATAGCGAAACTAGCGAAATCATACTCATTCTTGGCTTTTTCTGGAAGAAAGGTACATCCATGCGCATTGCGAAACGTGAGGTCGTTGGAAAGCTATACGCGGCGCTAGTTTCGGCAAGTGTTATATGCGGACTAACGTATATGGTAAGATTGATTACTTTGGGCAATGGCGCTTAGATGATCAGAACGCGGTTTGTGATCTTACCGCTCGAGTGCGTCGTTTTTCTACTGACTCGTCACCGTAAATATACGCTCACCGCTCCTATCTGCAACGCTTCCAATCCAGAGCTACGTGTCATATTCCTTCGCGCACTGTTCAGTGGGAGCCATCGCTATGGCACATTGTACCTGTATTTTTCAGGTTGCCACGTTGATAACTGCACAATACACAAATTCCGCACATTCCTTCGCAGAGAAGTTTCTTGCGCTGCTCGCTCGGAAGACATGGAAATTGTCGCTACACGATCGTTATCTCTTGATCCACGAAGTCTTCAACCTCATCCTGGTGGAGGATTTCAAACGCGCGGATCCTTCGTACGATATCCGGACCTGTCGGGACTAGTATAAGACCGCTGTACGTCGGTAAGACATCGCCGTCAGCGAATTCTGATCTGTATGGGCTATAGCTCACTGGCAACGTTTCCCTGTGGCGAAGCTTCATGTGCAGCAGTAGCAGTACTAACCACAGATTTTGGTCATTAATACTGTCTGGTAAACATAGAAAGCCATGTGGAGAATATACGAACATATTGGTGGAAACGAGCATATCGTGCTTCGTCGCTATCTAATTGTGTTGGGGCTTTTGAAACCTGGATGGACTCTCCTCGTGTAGTTGCTCTATGGAAATAGAATGTGTAAAATCTTCTTAACGGTAGGTCTTTAGGGTGACGCTTCGCATAGAGGGATGTACAGTCTCCTTCTCGGTTCTCAACTCTGGTGCTAAAGCCGGTAAGTATTTTTCGCGAATCGTTATCGATGCTCGTGTCACTTCTCCATACGCAACATGTTCGTTCCTGGGCACGGATTCCACTGACATTAAAGTGCAGCAAGTTTCGCATAGTTCCTAGATCTGAGGTAACATCTAGGCTCCACTACTGAACAAAGCCCAAAACCATAATGGTGCTCTATAGACATCGCTACGTTTGCTTGGTTCCCAATCAAATATTCTCGCCACCACAACTGGTTGATGATACCATATTGCCATATACCCGCATAGTATTCTCCGAGAATTGGGGCAGACCTTTCGACCAAGGCTGCGATGGCTAGCAACTTGTCGCTTTGTAAAGACATAACCATTTGTGAGTAATTTTGGACTAGCCTAGTCCATTTTTCAGGAGCCTCTTCTTGATTAGCGCTGAGCTGAGAGACCAACTTTGGCACTGGACTATGCTTCAGGTCCGCATTCAACGACTGAGTGAGACTCATCATTCCAGCTGCACACCGCCATTCTAGAGTTACAGGGGCGTACAAGAGTAGTCGATTCGCCATAATCTACTCCTGTAAAGCCCAAGCTCGCTTACCCAGCGGGTTGTCTTGCTGATCTGACGGTGTGGGCAAGTCGGCCTCACGACCGTTGACGCTTCCAAATCGCTTCGACTATATTCGCAACGGTATGTGCACGTTGGGATATTTAATGGGTAGGCGTCGTCCCAGAAATCTGTCTCCCACATCTGCTGCGCTTGAGGCCAAGGTTGTGACATAAGCCTTGCTGTAGATTCTGGCGACAGGAATGATCTGCAACCTATCATCCTGGTTGGCCACGCTGTAGAGAACGAGTTTGACCATCTCCAGCGGGTATTTGGCGTTGATCTGCCTAGCTATGGTACTGTCGTCAAGGTTATCGATACCCAACTTATGGCGCAAAAAGTAGGTACCAACGGACCATGTCCTTCGTGTTGCTTTCAATGAAAGAAATTGCATCACATATCCATCGCAAGTCTGGAGTCCAAGTCTCATCAATAATTTGTAGTGAAGACATGCCTAGGCACATTGAGGTTACGATATGTACATCTAGTAAGGTGCATACGTGTATATCCATAATATGTGGCGTTAGTTGTCGTAAATTTTCTCATACATGCTTTGACAGGTTTGGGAAGCTTTTTGCATCAGATTGCCACTACCCACTCGTTATGGATCAACAGCCGAGTTCTGATCAGACAGCCGAAACCTGTTATTTTACAGAGTCATCGTTGGTTTGCTATCCTCTTAGGGAGGAAGAGCGGGTTCGGTTGCATGCTAGCGCAGGCGCTAAGAACCTAGCTCCAAACATCCTTGGAAGCTGCAGCTGGCCTTATTATCCCCCCGCTTCCCTTCGTTGCTTCAACATCATTCTGAGTCTATTGTGCAGCGCAGGGTTTTTTTTTAACATTCGAGAATCGCGATACCTCGAGTATTTAAGCGGTGTCAAGCGAGTATCTGTGAGCTATTGTTGAGTCGAGGCAGTGTCTACACTCCGTTTAATGCTAAACTCGCTTCATCACAATGGCTAGAAACCCCCTCCGCGCACTACGGAAGCTTATTCGTACCAAAAGATGGTTGACTAAACGTCGAACTTTAATTAGCCTTCCTGTCGAGCTACTCCAGATGATCGGAATGAAGCTTATCGACCACTCGACTTATGAACATCTAGCCATACCGCAATCTACGCCGGACGGGCGGACGGCAGTTTACAATACTCGTTTATCATGTCGATGTCTTCGCGACGCCTTCGAAACGGTATTCATGGAGATCATCTACGACCTGCCATATCGTTGCACAGAAGAGAGTTTGGGCCGTTTGATTCAGCTGTTACAAGTCCCTGAGGTGTCAAAGAAGTTTAGACAACTCACTATTGTCGGAGCTGATATAGTCAGTGTGGAAGCTGAAGAAGGACAGACCACCTGGATGAGACAAAACTTGAAGAATACTTTCAGGACGATCCTGAACCTCTTACCTCACTTGACAAGTATCAGATGTATTCCAGTTAGTGAGTACAACTTCGAACGAGAAGACGGCCAAGGAAACAGTGCCGTAGTCGAAGGGGTTGGAGAAGAGAATCTCCATCACTCGGTCATTATCTTGACAGTATGTTGAACCACTTCAGTAGGTTGCCTAGGAGGACGCTAACGAATCAACGTAGAGCATTCAAAGCGCATTAAGAATGACTGCTCACACAGCAGAGTCTTTCACGTTAAGGTGCAGCTATAGTAACACCGTCAAACTGGAGGAGGGACACAATGGTACAATCCGCGGCCGTGTAACTATCTTTCCTCTCCTTGAGGGCCATGACGATCGTCTCCAGCATCTCACAGTCGACTTGGAGTGTCTTCAGACATACGGCGTCAACGCGGGTGGTCAAATAGCACTACCCTTTCTCGCAAGCTTGACAATCATTTTGACACGACCCGAGATTGATTACGAAGAAATGCTGGGATTGGATATTCTGGCGAATACGATGCCTGGACAGCTCACATTCACCGGGTGCGTAAGCATTTCTACAGGTCGATTGTATTCCCTTGTTTCGCCGTTCAGTACGCGGCACAAGCCACCGTCACACCTAGTCTTGTGCCAGATAGCCATAAGACTGAAGCATCATCGTCATGACCCCAATCCGCCTCGTCCAATTGGTTTCGCGGATAACTTCCGGATCGGTGTCTTCGAAGTCCGAGACGTAACGTGGAATCGATATGTCAGCAGACGTTCCAGGCGAGAGAGCAAGGGACGATGTGAGACAGGTTGGGATTTATTCCCTCATCTTTGTGAGCTAGCAAACGTTGTACGTGTACGGAACTCGCTGGGTGAATACGAAGACTTTCTGGAGAGACCTGATGGGGTTTTGGAGATTGAAGGTTTCAGCGATCTCGACGAGGGGCCCAACCAGGATGAGAGTATTGGAACCGACTAGATTGTTGGGTATGACAGTGGCATACCGTCGTTGGCGTGGATACGACACCAAGAAGAGTTGTATGATCTGAGAGTCGCTCTATGCTTGAAGACGACTTTTTCAGCCACCGCCAGGTTTCTTCTTCAGCGCTCCACCAAGAATACTCGGATCAAGCATCTTGGCCTCTGGCACGTCAATACCGCATCGCACCCACATGCTGCTCCAAAGTGCGCCAACGGCTCTCTCTTCGGGCATAAAAACGACAGTGTTCACATACGATCGCGTTGTGTTGTAGCAATCCGGCATGTTGAACAGTTGCGCCTCGCAGTTGTCGCCCTTGTTCGAATAGAACACGCCGCATCGCGCTTCCCTCGGAAGGGTGATGCAAGTACCGTTCTTCCACGTTTCGAGAGGTGGCGGGAGATAGGTCTTCTGTAGCAGTTCGCCGCGACAATGTTTAGGACCGCCCGCACCTGAGTATGTGAGAGCAACGATCGGTATTCGCGGGGTGGTCGGCGGTCGAGGCGCTGGCGCAGCGGACGGTGTAGGCGTAGCTATGGGCCCCAAGACACCTTCAGCGCTCCAGCTGGCGCTTGTTTGTGGTTCCGGTGTGAAGCCGATCAACCCATCCTGAGTTTCGGTCATTGTTGTGGGCACTAGCGTCGCGCCGGATACGATGCTGCTGCTGTTATACACATCACCACGATCGAAATCCGTGCCGTTCAACAGCGCTTTTGCTGCGACAACGTCGTCTCCGTTTCCGACTCTTGCAGCTTGCGCGAGATTGACCTGTATGACTTGTAGTGTTGGTCCGCGTACTTCGATCGCGGTCGCTAGCGAGATTGCAATGAAGAGGAGAAGGAATACGGACGACGCGACAAGGATAATGCGTCGCGGTATGGAGGACATTGCGATTGCATTGGGTCGGATTTGAAGATTCGAGGAGTTTGGGGGAATGGCGCGTTAGAGTGCAGACGACGCCAAGACGTCATCGGAGGTTGCTGCACTACGCGTTTCATCCCCACGCCCTCCCAAAACACCGTCACAGGCAAAACTCCAACACGTGCCTGGAAGCCCGTCTCCAAGTCTTGCGCTTTGGTTGGATATATGGTGTTCCGCGTAGTTCTACTATCAGTACGATGGCGTTCGACGCTTCTCTCTGTGGATTCGGTCATAACTCTGTTGTCCATCTTCTACAAGATGTGGTATGAATCTTGAGGCCTACTCGAACTTTTAACACTTCGATAATATAAATACATCGTAGCTTTCGGTTCTCTTATGTTCATGCAGGAGCGATTAGAATCCGGCGTCATAATGAAAGGAGCCAACCGGATTGATTTGCGAAAAATGTTCACTGCGACCAGTCAAATCGGTCCAGATGGCTGTTCGATCGCAGTATGCTCTCGCTCAACTTTTCATACTAGCATCTGTCAAGAGGTTCCTTTTCATTTTAGAGGCGACAAGCAAAGGAGAAATTCTAACACCTGCTTAGTCCGCTACAAACATGAGAGCCTCAAAGTGCTGTTGCAGGCATATCAGCTCTCAGGCCACGATGTAGCCGTAACAATACTCTCTCTAAACGATGACAGTAGTGCAATATATCTTTGACCTCTATTCATATCCCCACCAGAAAACATCGCGATAATAGCCATTACGTGAGGCTCTACAGCTTCAAATTGCAGAGCTGTATTGGTGGTCGGGCCGCGCATTTAGAGGTGACCCTCGGTATTGACCTGGCCAGCTTACTGAACTCACATGTTAACCAAGGTTCGGAGGTGTCGCAGAGCAAAAAAATAGGATCAAGTAACTCAGTTTCATAATCCCAGTGCAGGTGAGTTTCCGAAACACCTTGTATTCGTAAGTTTGGAGCTATAAAGCCTTGCAAGCAGAGCAATTAAGCTACAATAGCGATAGAACAGGTAGATATACCACCTCGTAATAGCTAAGCCATACATCTGTTGGGCCGATATCCTAACATCAGAATAATGTTCTTTAGGCTACCTTGACCCAATCACCAATCGCCAGTCCCTTCTCCTTAGCTGCCTCCCTCCTTGACTTGGACGCTGGGTCCAAGTATGGCTTTTCTCCGCACGACACTGCTCGCAGTCCCACACGGTCTCCAATGCCGGCAAAATTGTACGTTGGGTTATGGAGTGTGCATCGATTGTCCCAGATGGCCATGTCGTTCACGTCGTTCCAGCGAAGTCGCACCTGGAGATCATGATTGTCCTTCAGGATGTTATTGACGTACGATAGAAGCATCTCAGACTCCTCAGTCGTGACGTCGTTAAAGTAGCCAACTTCTGAGCCAGCGGCATAGAGGGACTTCCAGCCTGTCACTGGGTTGGTACGTATCGCAGGATGAACAGCGATGATCTCTTCACCCACGTTCTCTGGGTATCCGCGCGGCCCACTGTAGACAGAGGCGCCGTTTGATTTAGCCGTCGCGTTGAAACCTGCGCGGTGGAATGTGAAATTCAGCGTTTCGAGGAACTTTTGAAAGGGCTCCGAAATACGGTCGTACATCTCGTAACCGGATGCCCAAAGTGTGTCTCCGCCTGTGGGGGGAAAACTGGTTAGTCGTAAAGAGGAATAATCCGATGGCACGTTCTCCCATTGAGTATCAGAGTGCCATAGGTCAGAAGACTGCTTCCTGTGGGGATCGCGGGAGATCCACCGTCTTTGTGGTGAAAAGTTGCTTGAAAACACCGGAATTGATCGTTGTGATCTCTTGGTCTTCTTGTGGCTGGCCGGCGACTTTGGCTCCAGTGTTCAGAATCGGGTGAATATGCACACCTGATTCGACAGGTTTGCCCGAGAGTTCGCCTAGGCGTTGGATGAAGCGCTTTTGAAGTTCGCCAGTAAGGTTGTCTTGCTTGCGTAGAAAAACGACACCACGCGTAGCGACTGTAGACAGTGGTGGTTAGTACCAGGTACAGCCCGATCGAATGCTGGAACATACTGATATAGGCCAATTCTCTAATCAGCTCATCGGCATTGGGACTTTCCATCAACTCCACCACATTGAGTGTGGGATACTCGCGCCCGATGACGGGAGTCACTGTCAGGCACCAGGTTACTCCGGGCCCGTTCGGGCCGGTATGCCAAGCAATCGCAGTATATTAGCCTACCTTACCGCTGTTGTAGCTCGGCAGCGGTTCGTCTCTAGTCTTACAAGGCAATATACCTCTACCTCCACTATCGTGGTGCATCTCGTATCTATGAAGACTCTATTGCTTGACAGCCACATCGAAATACCTAAAATGGTCAAGGGCACCAGATGGCTCGATTGGGCTTTTCATAAGCTGACTCTTGGCTCCAGGCACTTGAGTGTTCGTAGAATAGTCAACTGCAGAGGGCGCCATGTTGCTGGGCTGATGTTTGATGAGTAGATTTGACAAGGTAGGTACAAGATAGATAATGGTGGTAGATAAACCAACTCTGGTAGTCTGTGTCTCTTATACATATCAGCCTTCAGGTGGAGTGGGCGATGGGTGTCGGACGCTGCCGCAAATGTGCCCTCGGCCCGAGCGTTAGCGTATTGTGCTGCTTGGGCAAGTTCACAGTTCTACGATACTACAAATGCGCTCTCGGCCCGAGCGTTATAAAATCCTCCTAGGTCGAATATTGTTGTCTAAATTGCCCCACCCTTTCCGGCCCGAGAGGACACAGTGGTGTGTTTATGAACCATTCTGTGAGGAAGGACATGGTGCTCACGCATCTCTCACAAAATATTCTGGATCCCTCAAGCTACCCATTGACAAAATGCCCGTCTACGCGCTTTGTGGGGTTGCGCTGATCACAGGCACCGCAGCAGGTCAGTCACGAACCCTAAACAAATACCACTAGATTGCGCAGTCATTAAACTTGTGTAAGGAATCGGGAGAGGCACTGCAATTGCATTCGTAGAAGCAGGCTGTCGACACCTGTGCCTAGGCGATATTAATGAGGAGGAATTGGCGCGGACGCGGGATCAACTGCTTGGAGTTGCCCCCGAAGCCGAAGTGCTCATGCTTCATGTCGACATCGGGGATGAGCAGTCCGTTCTAAATTCCGTGGAAAAGACGGTCGCCAAGTTTGGCCGGCTCGACTACGCATGCAACGTAGCCGGAATCGAGCTTGGCAATATGCCTATTCAAGACATGAGGTCTGATGATTTCGACAGGATCGTGCAGGTCAATGCATACGGGGTTAGTCAAATGGACATTCTATATTTTGAATGTGCGAACTCTGCTAATTCGCCATTTTCATAAAGACTTTCCTCTGCCATCGCGCTCAGATCCGACAGATGCTCAAGCAAGACCTAGACTCCGGAAGAATTCGGGGCAGCATTGTGTCTGTTTCATCTCTTGCTGGTTTGAACGCTTCGCCCGGGCTTTCGGCATATTGCAGTACGAAGCATGCCATTATCGCCATGGTTAAGACGGACGCCTTGGACTATGGGCCCCACGGCATCCGTGTCAATGCAATATGTCCCGGCCCGACTGAAACAGAGGCCTTCTCAAACTTAGTAAACGAGCAACAGAAAGCTGTCATGGGCAGAGCTATTCCTATGCAAAGGGTGGGCACCTCCGAAGATATGGGTAATGCGATTGTATTTCTCTCTTCCCATTGTGCTTCATACATCCATGGAGTAACATTGAATGTCGATGGTGGCTCTTTTATCAGAAAAATTTACTTTAACAAGGAGACGTGGTAATACGTACTTACTTTGCAGAGGAAGTGCTGACGAAGACTTTGGCAAAGAATAATACCAATCGTGTAATATTGGCTTGATCTGATACATGACTGCTTATCAATTCCATAGAGACATCAAGTATAATATCTGCGCATTTTGTAGAGTAGCACTCGTTTCATGCTCTAATCTATTATCTTCAACGACTCTGCTTCTTGATAGTTGGGATTGTGATAAATCATTGCCGGCTTTGATTCATCACGAAAGTGAGAAGCAAGAGCTAGCACTCGAATGGGCAAAGTATTGTGCGGACTTATCAGCACTTGTGATAAGAAATGATAGAACCCGCGATTAGTGCTTTCTATTCAACTTCTATCATTATCCGACCGTCCCTATCCTCTTTTGCGGAGTGCACAGATTGGAAAATAGATAGTCTTATTTTCAGCTTTCGTAGTTGCCTGTGTAGGACGAATTACTCGTTAAATGCTACTATGACCACTTAGTCATGAAAAATGCGCGGATAGATGTTGACAGAATTGCCCCGTCAGTACCTCACGGTCCAAATACCCCTCATGATTCATTCTTCTTCCAGTTACCACCGGCGTCAAGTTACTGGTTGGATAACCGTTCCCATTCCTCCCTGATAAGGGCAGTCCTGTCCTTGGACCTAGGTAAAATCTCGCACGCAAAAGGAACAGGGCGACCTGCTGCGGAATCGGCTATTGCATCACGATCAACCTGGATTTCTTGACCGTTGGCTGTAGTAGGGCGGATGTCGAATGTCCATAGAATCCTGGCCGTAGTAATCAAGAGGTTGTTTGTAGCAACGTGTATGCCAGGGCACATTCTTCTTCCCGAGCCAAAACTGTAACCACCGCGCTCTCTTGGTGTAGCAGCGGAATGAGATGCAAAAATGGAGGTATTCTGGACCTGGCGCTCGGGTATAAAGTCTCGTGGGTTGGGAAAATCTTGCTCCTGGTGATTGGCAGCCCAGACGCCGAGGATGACCGTACTGCCCTTAGGGATGCGGAAGCCACGATAATGGTCTTCTCGTGATCTTTCGTATGGAATTGCTCCATTGAGCCCTACAGGCAGCCATCGGAGAGTTTCTTTGGCCACTGCGTTGAGATAGGGGAGCTTCGCAAGATGCCCCCATGAAGGTATAGTATCCGGCCCTACTACGGCATCGAGCTCCCGTTGTGCCTTTTTCTGTGCTTCTAGATAGAGCAACATGGCCTTAAAAAAGGTCTGCAGTGTGTATATCGAAGTGTCGGCACCCGCTTCGAAAGAGACGCCAGCGATGTATGCAGCCGCGTGGTTTGTGAGCAGCTCACCATCTGTGGTCCCTTTCCATCTCTTTTGAGAAGCGGCAATCTCGCGAGCGAAGCAGGTTGAAGAACCTTTGACTGCCTTCTCGTAGTACTTGTAGAATACGGCGCGTTCGCTTTCGTAAGCTTGAACTGCCTCCTAAGCGAGAGTATTCCACTGGCGGGGAATGATATCAAGCACAGACCTCACTGCAGGAAACATGTCCAGAAGCTGGGATTTTCCAACAAGGCGTATAAAACCGTGAGAGTTTTCTATTAGCTCTTTAGTCTCCTAACTCTCTGTTTCTAGAAGGCGAAGGCCGTATGTAATGCTTGCAGAAACACTCCCCATCGTTCGGCTAATGTGTTTAATAAAGCTGCATGGCTTATCTAGCAGATTAACGCAGAGTTTTAATGTCTCAAGTTCTTAGTATAGGATGTATTTCCGCGCAGTGTTCATATTGAGAGCGGCATAGTAAAGCTTTCATTCTAGACGCAACACGTCATTGTAACCCCGCATCACTGTACGAGAGTTTTCGAAAAGGTATCGCATATAAGTATTCGGACGGTCGGCATAGTTGGCGCCCTTAATATCAACTAGGTCGTGGATGACTTGTCCATCTGCAAGGACAATGACAGTCTTCTAGCCGAGGATGAGGGAGTAGATAGGACCATCTGATTACTTTTTAGTCATCTTCAACCGGGATGTAGATAGATTGAAGGGACTTACATTCTTTGGCCTATAGTCGATACTGCTCATGAGACTTTTTCTTCGGCATTTGATGCAGGTTGCTAATAAGCGGCAAGGTCGGCGGACCCGGTGGTAAGTCGCTTGCCCGGCTTCCTATACGAAGCACCCATATCATGACAAGTGCTCCGACTACAGATGAAAATGCAAAGAGGCTACCACTGAAATACATGGCTACTCGCTACATGAATTGTGTTACAGGCGGATGTACCAGGTCTAAAGTTCCATATAGTCTTTAAAGTAGTTCCTTCAATTCCTAGCATCTCCACGGATGCTGGCGAGAACCTGTACCGTCCCCAGCTCGGTTCCTGAGCGTAGTTTTCTCTATCCTCTATTTCCTATTCGCTACAAGCCTTGTAAGTAGCCTTTGCACTGCTTGTAAAGGCCCCGTTCAGTAATTCTTTTCCCTTGCAGGAAAGACGCGTCATGAAGCCGAGCCGGAGGAGGCGAGTATCTCACCATTGTAACTCCGAGCGACCGTCGGCCCGAGAGAACATTTCCTCCGGTTATGTACGGAAAACAGAACATATGTCGATACGGATCAAAAAGATAAGAATTAACGTCTTGTTCTTGACCTTAACATCTTCGACTTAGAGCTTTGGAATTGTACGCATCGACGTTGCAGTATGGCTGAAAAGTACTCAGGAGTGGCATTCCTGACTAATGCAGACCAAGGTAAGTTGCTGTGATAGCAGATTGAATCGACATCATAGCTTTGAAAGAGCTGACGTAAAATTAACAGACATTGGGCGTGCAATTGGCGACACGCTCATCGAGTCAGGATGCAGACGAATCATCATAAGTGGGAAGTCGTTGTTCGCCTTGGATTCTACGCGAAAATATCTGCTCAACCAACACCCGGAAGCCGACGTCCGAATATGCAAATGTACGGCAAATACATATCCTAGCGTAGAGCAAGCTGTTCTCAACGCCGCAGCATTCTTTGGATCTTTCAATTATGTGATCAATTGTCAACCTCTATCCCGAGCTAGCGCAAGACCTACAGCCGAGACATCACTGGACGACTTCCAAGAATTTCTCGAGATTTCATCGCGCGAGGTATTAAGACTTTCTGCCTTTTCAAAGAAAAGAATATGTCACTAACTATGCTACAGCTATGGATGTTTTGTAAAGCCCAGATATCGTATCTCACGTCCAACCCTACATGCCGAGGATCAAATATCGCCATTGTAAATATAATTCCGTATGGAAACATCGGAACTCATGCTGGTCATCCTTTTCAAGCAATAAGCTCCTACAGTGCTGTCGGCATGACGAAGTCAGTAGCGCAAGATTTATTGTATCCGCACAAGATTCGCTTGAACGCGGTATGCCCAGGGCTTACCAATAGTGCAATCGACAAGGCTCTACCAAGCGCCGAAAGATTAAAAAGGGGTGACGGAGTTGGTCGTTTAATCGATGTGCGTGAGGTAGCAAATGTCGCAGTGTTTATGGTGAGAGAGACTGCATCAGCGATACACGGTGTGGTTCTACCAGTGGATGCTGGAAGATGCTCAGTGCACAACTAAAAGGCTATAACAGCATGCGCTATAAGTCGAAAATTAGTCGGCAAGGTAGATACTCACTTTCGGAAGCTTTACAGAGGTGGCAATGAGATAGTGATCTGATGACCCAATATTGTAGGTCTCACAGGAATAGGACATGGAACTTTCAGGCCACACATTGATTTAAAGAAATATGAAAATATAAAACGTCGGCTGTTCTCGCATACCTCCAGTTACTTGCGTTTCCGGACAAGGACGGCAGATTCAGCCAATCTGCCATACCAATTGGGTTGTCAAGTCCAGAGAACATAGCAAGGAGATCCGCATCTGCGAATTCACCTGCAGGCGAATCAAACCCCTGAGAAGCAGATGTTCCCATCGTGACTGGTAAATAGAACTGCATATACTCCAATTTTGAGGCAAAACTAAGCCCCCTTTGCTCGAAAACCCAAGAAAATAGCCGGAGCATTTCTCTAATTCTCGGCCATCTGTGTTCGACTTATGTAAGATACGAGATGCTATTGAGAACTGCTTCCTCACAGATAACCTTCTCGGGGATTGAGAGGCTCATTGCACTCAGCAATTCGACAGAGAAAGCGATGTTCATCGCTACGGCAAAGGACCTATAGAGATTGAGATGTCAGCGAACATTACGTGTATGTCTTCGAGATAATTTACATTGCAAGCGGCATATATTCACATAATCTGTGCAACACAGCTCTTCGAACCGCCAAGTCAAAATCAAGGATGGCATTGCTCAAGTGGGAATAGGCTGGCAAATGGGTCTCCTCATCGGGATCTTATAATCTGCAATATTTCTATAAACTCTAATCTAATGTAGACAATTAATGCTTTATTATATAGCCTAAATCTAGATCTATATTTTATATATAGAAAGTATCTAGCTAGCTAAAGTAGCTAGCTAGAAATCTTAGATCAGCGCTAAATGTAGAGACCTAACTCTTAGCAACGTAGGTTAGCTAATAACTTTTTATTTATAAGACTTAGAGAAAGATTTTCTATACATAAGATATAGGTCTAGATTAAAGTTATATAATAAGTTATTTATCGTCTAAATGTGGTTTGAACCTATAGAGATATCGCGGATTTGAGTTCCCAATGAGGAGACCCATTTGCCAGCCTACACCGACTCATACTCTTTTGATGAATCTACTCATATTTAGTCTCAATAATAATCCGCAAGTGCTTATCATTTATTCTAGAGGCAACTGCGAGCTAACTGATTGTTGTTGCTCCTTATGTGAGTGGTGGCCTGGATTGGAATATACCCCGTGTTGCAGTGCATTCAAAATATACCGATAATCTACCAATACCATGAGATATCGTAGGTATGGACCAGAGACGCCCAGTTAGCGTAGGAAACTTGGCCCACGTGTCACTTCGAGTATAACATTGTAGCGGACGATAGAAGAATGGTCCTGAAGAAGGGATCTCGAGCCCTGGGGAGCGTTAGCGTAGTACTTTCCTAATTCAGCGGAGAGATCAGCATGAATCTGTTATTTTGGTATGGTACCGCGGAATTTAATGCTGCTGATTGTGAGGGACAACCTAAAACCACCTGGACTATACCACATTTGAACTATAAGGTGTTCTGCAAAAAGACACCTGTATTGCGATCATTATATCGTGTTACTCAACAGTGTTGTGCTTGCAATTTAGCACTAGCACGTTGATTAGATCAATACTAAATTTGGAAGTTATACTTGATGACAGCTTAGGTATTTCGAGAATCTATATCAAGACGGGCCCATCGTGAATTTCTTCTTTTCCTCAAAACTTTGCAATACAACAACGCTACATCATGACTACTTACTCCCTCAAATACGCCGATGTAAACTGTAAGTGTCCAGGACGATTCTACCATCACGTGGTTTTTGACAACTCTAGACGATCTCGCAGCGCCAGAAGACGCATCATGGCTGTGTCCAGTGCGCTTTGCCTACGACTGGCTTCGCGACGCGACATCTGAATACCCTACCGCATCGCCGTTGCACTATAGTTTGGAACTACCTTTATCCCCACCTGACTCACCCGAAGATAGTGTCAAAAACACTGGTGCAGTGTTAAAGACACGCGTAATTACATCATGCGACAATGCCAACGGCTTTGACATTTACCCCTCGCAAGCTGGCCTACCTTGGCCTACTAGACTCGCCAAAGTAAGACAGAGTCGACATTGGCGTGCTGGCATGCGCATCTCTAATGAACTCCTGGAACTTTTCTCTACAGATGCGACAATCACGCAGGCGGTAAGAAAGAATGGGGTTTCTCTTGCCCGCATAGCATCGCAGGAGCTACTGGTCGAGGAGGATGACCGCTTCGCGAAATTTGCTACGTACCTCTTCCCCGAGGCCAATGAGCAGCGTATGCGGTTGTTGGCGGCGGTAATAGTGTATGTTATCATCTTCGACGGTAAGTAGACTCGCAGCTTCTTTTTTGTGGACTTTGCTGATGTACGTGACTTTTGTCGATCCAGATTCGTGGGAGATGCATAGCGAAAACAAGCTTGGTGTGGTCCGAGACGATTTCGTCAGGCGACTCGAGGGCCAAGTCGAGGAAGCTACTAAGCAGAAAACACCTTTGCAGGCACTCATAGATTATACAGTTCAAGGATTCAAAGATGAGGATAAAATCTCGGGTGATGGTGGCCAGGAGGTGATTGATCACCTGATCGACTTCTGTTGCCACGTGCCTCCTCAGCAGACGTTTGACAACCTGGGCGATTACCTCAGCTATCGTCGCATCGATGCCGCCGTGCCGTGAGTCTCCTATTCTCTCGTCGCTACTCCTCTCACAGAAGTCACAGGTACATCCTCGCGTGTCTCAAATTCTCGCTGGGCTCGAGCGTACGCATTGAAGATCCGAAGCTGGAGCGCTTTCTTCGTTTAGTGAGCGATCAAATATCGCTGTCCAACGATCTCGCTTCTTACGACAAGGAAAAGCGGGCTTACGACTGCGGTAAAGCGTGCTACCTGATTAACGCTGTCGAAGTCGTGCAACGCCTCCTTGCGCTTCCGTCTCCAGGCCCGGCGAAGTCAATCGCGTACTCGATGCAGCTTAACGTTGAGTCTGAAATAAAGATAGAGCTAGATATATTGGTTGCCAGTGGAGAGCTCTCTACAGAGAAGCTGCAATTCGTCGATGCCGTGATGGTCATGACGGCGGGTAACGTTTTTTACTCTGTCATATCGCCAAGATATGGCGGACAGGAAGCCAAGATGGAGGTATAGGCAGATGGAAAGTTGTTGCTGAAGATTCTCTCTAGTGCAGATTACGTGACTGCTCCATTCTCAAAGCATCAAGCCAGTTTTAGAGCAGCGTGCAAATAGCTGCTCTTTTCGTAGTCTTTGAGTCCAATGATCGATCTCCCCTTTATGCCTGTACTCCTTCTTGCAACAACAGTCGTATATAGTTGGGGAAATTCAAGGGTTCAATTACTTCTAGGAGATAACGCTGATAAGTCCTAGCTGGGAAGTGATAGTCGAAGGTGCGATGGGTAGGTAGCAAAACTACTCTAGACCAAAAGCCCGGGTTATTCGGTCGGTCGGAATTTATACTGAATGTGCGCTCAACGGGCGATGTGAGAAAGCCGCAAGCTAACCAAGCACACGTGTACCATGATGTAGGCAAACCCTAGGGTCGATGTCCGTGCCGAGAGGTGAAATGATAAAGTGGTCCAGATATCGTATGCCGAGTGTGTATTAGACCGGATAGAACGAGGCAGTCTGGCGAACACCGAGGCGGCGTACATATCGATATAAGAGCGATGAAGAATGAGGCGGAAGCGTTTTTATCTCAAAAACAATATTACCAATCATCATACGATGGAAAATTTCTGTCCCAACAAGGTATATATCCGTTTCTCTTTACGCGTCTCCAACCTCAGCTTTTCTCCTTAGCCTTGCCCTGCGGCACCTTGATAACAATTTTACCCCTTGCTCTCCCTGTCTTCAACTTCTCAAACGCTTTCGGCGCATCGTCCCAGTCGAACACAGTGTCGACCACAGCCTTCACCTTACCCTCTTTCATCCATTCACCAAGCTGCCTTAGCGCATCTGCCGACGGCTTCGCCATCAACATCTGATAGCTGTTCTTCCCACCGCCCAGAAAACTCGGTAACAGCATATTGGAACCTACAGTCTTGATGCTGCCAATGCTCATCGCCGATCCAATCTGGATGAACTTCCCAGTTGGCGTAAGGAAAGCGGATGCGGCTTTGTAGAGGTTAGGTGGCGTGCCAACGTTATCGACCACGAGGCTAAATATTTGGCCCTTTGAGGAGAGGTTATCGATGATATCAGTGGTTTTGTAGTCGATGACTTCGTCTGCGCCTAGGCTCTTGCAGAGGTCGACGTTAGGTGTTGAGCATGTGGTCGTAACATGGCAACCAAGCGCTTTCGCGATTTGAATGCCGTACACACCAGTTCCGCCGGAGCCGCCATTGATAAATACTTTATCACCGTTCTTGACGTTTGGTGCGATGGCTTGGTATCTGGACATGGCATTAGCACACCTTCCGGCTTCATTCGCAACGCCCCCGGTCTTACTCGATCAACCCCACGATGCCCACACCAGCTGCATCCTCGACCTTCACGCCCTCTGGCAAAACCGCCAACATACTCCTTTCCACAGCCATATATTGCGCCAGACTTCCTCCCGTCAGCGCACCGACTTTCGCGCCAAACACAAACTCGCCGATTTGGAACTCGTCGACTTTCTTTCCCACTTTGGCGACCTTGCCGCAAAAGTCTGCACCTGGGGTGACGTCGGAGCCTACAAGTCGCAGAGGCATTGGACCTTCAGTCACCTTATGGTCGACAGGGTTGACCGCCATGGCGTGCACTTGAATGAGGATCTGTTCATCGTGAAGTGTAGGTTGCGGTGCGGCGTCGTTGACCTGCAGATTCTTCTCGATCCCGCCTTTGGTACTATTGTACTGCCAGGCCTTCATCGTGGATGCCATTTTGCTGCTCGAACTGAACCTGGCTACTTGTTTTGGTGGATGACCGATTGGTTTGATGGGTTCAGCAAGGAGTGTTGTCTTTGTTATCTTATAGCGTGGAAGTAGGTATGCGTCATGACGATTCGCTCTGAGCGGGGCATGCGCCACCGCCGTCTAACATCACAACTTTGTGAGTCTACTACTATCGAAGCTCTATGCAGGCGACTCACGTTATGGCGCGAAATGAACCCGCGCAGGGAGATCCTAACACTGTTGATGTGGACTAGATGGGCAAGGCTGTTCGCCCAGTGGGCCGTCTTACTTGCGTCTGATCGATGGGGCGAGCCCACATTGCCGCCTAATGTGATCGGGCGTATTCTGCGCAGCGACAGCAAGCTCATTGTAATGACAAGAACACAACAGGTACCGCAAAATGGAGCATGAACAAGTCGGCTATTTATACTAAGATAGATTTTCCGTCAATTGGTCCTACGCATCCATAAGACTGGAGGCCTGGCAGACGCAACTCAGATCGAACTCGCATAAGCCCGGCTACCCTGCGACAAGCCTCCTACGCATATGTAACAAACATCTGCTCAAAGCCAGTGACGTTCCATACTCCAGTGAGGGTGTTCAACGTCAAGTTCGTTGGAGTCGTAGGGCCACGCTGGAGCGCACCACTTTCAACATGACCACCCGCAGCAACAACAGTTCCATTCGCCCTCTCCAGATGATTGGCACCAGCCTTGACCGTAAAGTTTGCAAGGCTAATATCAAAAGGGTTGCGAGATGCGACAGATGGAGAGCCTGCATATAGTCAGCACATGAGATAATTCAGGCAATGGATGTACAATTTGGCGACTTACCGTAATACTGGGCGTTGAGCTCCTCGGGAGAGATGAACAGCTCGTAATATCCTCTGTAATAGCCTTCGCTCCATTGGAGCTCTCGGTTATCACGTACGAGGGCTGCGGAACGGTCGCTTGAGTTCGCAATCGATCTACCAGCGCCATAACCGCTGGAGGAGACGGCCGTGCCAGCAAATTCGACACCGATCGCACCAGCACCCGTGGCTTGGTCATAAGGAGTCTCATCAAGCCAAACAAGATCAGACACCCAGTTGGCATGAGAATCGCCAGCCAAGAATGCAGTGTTCGGTATCTCGTTACTGTAAAGGTGATGAAGGGTACGATTACGGTTTGCGGTGTATCCGTCCCACTGATCAGCGTTCAGCTCTTCGCTATACACTGCGCTGTTGTTCATCTGCGAGAAGATGATCTGGTTCCCGATGATCCTCCAAGTAGCACCTCGCTCATGGGATTCGGAAAGCTGGTTGTAGAACCAGTTTTCCTGATGACTGCCCATCAGCGAGCGGCCAGCATTGTCCTTGAGATCCGCAACGTAGTCGTCGTTCCAGTCGAGGGTCGTGATAGATCGGTCGTAGTTGCGCGTATCGAGCATTATAAGGTCGAATAGTTTACCCATCTTGAAGTTGCGCCAGATGCGGAGGTTGTCATCCATGTCAACTTGACGAATACTATGTTGATCATTAGCAAGATTAAGAAAGATCACAGTGAGATACATACGGCATCCACTCGAAGTAGGCTCGGACAGCATTCATCTTCCTTGAATCGACACTGACGCCTCCAAACTTTCGGAAGCTTTGCTCGGTGTTGTTCATGTTACTGAATCCATCGCGATATCCGTTGTTTGCAACCTCTATCAATGTGTCAGTCAAGCATAGGCCACCAGTTGAGTCAACGCACCATGATCATCCCAAGTTGGGATCCATGCGAAGTTCTGGTGAGCAAGAAGCAGATCGTCATCGGTGCGATACTGGCCGATCCTAGTCCGGTAGTCTGTGACAAATGTCAGTAGCGATCATTCTGAGAGAGTAATTGCACACGCACCATATAGTGTGACAATCTCTCTCGATGGGTTCGTGGCTCGTGGGTCTTGACCAAGTTTGCCCTTGCTAGACTCATAGATGTAATCACCGAGATGAACCTGAATAACTCGATTAGTGGATTCAACGACGCTTGTATTGATCGTGCTTACAAAATAGTCTACCTGGTCTTTCCTGGCCGCGTTTCCGTACGCATTGAAGTATCCGTTCTGCCAATTGGAGCAAGAGAAGATAGCAAGGCCGATTTTCGAGACATCATCGTCTTGACGAGGACTGGTCTTGGTCCTACCGAGCGGACTTTTTTTGGAGCTGCCACAAACGTTGAACTGGTAGTAGTACTGCGTGAATGGAGAGAGATTATTCGCTTCAATCTTCTCAAGGTCAGCTCGTCACTTGATATGATCAATGTACAAATCTGACCTTAACAGTGAAGTCGATATCGGAAGTGGTGTATGCTTGGCCTTGATCCGCGATGCTTGAGAAGTTGCTGTCTGTACCAACGCGATAGTCCACGCAGATAGGGTTTGGTGAAGCCATGATGTACTTCTCTATCTCGTGATTGTAGAACGCCACATTACCTGTGACAGTTGTATTCGACCGGTCGTTTTCAACTGATGGTGCGATACGTGTCCAGAGAATGACCGAGTCCGGGTAAGGGTCTCCAGAAGCGACGCCATGCGTGAAACTCAGCTGGGCAGGATCCCACGGAGTCGCCCGTTTCGCGAGGCTCCTCTTTGCGACCTTCGGCACATCAATGGCAAGGCCTTCATGTCGGCGAGAAGGCGAGTGGTAGTTCAGGTTGCCATCGAAGGATGCACACACGAGCGAGGCTAGAGGCGCCGCTGCAAGAAGAATTGAAAGCATTGTGAGGATTAAACAAGCTTCAGTAGTTTCCTTCCAGCCCTCCAAAATTCCAATGCCGGAAGGCTTAAATACTTCTATCCATACCTTGACGTACCGTCGTTCATGTACAATTCTATCATCTTTTTACCACGCGGGCCGCCAACATTACCGCATCGCGCATTCAGTACGGCTTTGACAGCAGCTGTGACCAACCACAGGAGGTGCATTGTAAGTGTGTACAAGAGTGCTTGTTGATCGTCAACAGCGACATATGCACGATGCGCATGTGCGAAGAGGTAGGATTGAGATTGGTCGAGCGCGACTTCATCCCGTCTGTCAGTCTAGCCGACTGTAGGGGTGTACAGTACATCTGAACCTCGTTGATGCTGGCGCAACAAACGTAGCGTGAAGAGCCAATACCGCGGTGCAGAAACTTGATGTTTAGTCCATCCGATGGCAGGGTAGAAGGAGTATGGCTTTCCAGCTTCCGATGCCGTAGCCCTGGAGGTGCCCGCGGACATTAATGGCGCTAAGATGTTAGCGCCACTCCCTGTAGTCCCTCGAACTGCAGTTGCCGTAGGTACGACTTATAGTACAATCTACACTTCTGTCTTAGAGATCTAATTGTACGCCCGTGTGGCACTTGCCTCTCTCCATACGTTCGATCAACCGCTTTATTGTTAGCGCTTCGTCCAATCCATCCGTTCCGGCGCATCCACATGATGTCGCTCAAACTCTCATCCGCTCCTGTGCCATCACAGTATAGCTGATGTCGCTCTGTTCATACCGAATTGCAGGATGTTTAGACTTATGACTCTACGACTACGTGGGAAGCCCCCGGCTTACCTCGAGTGTTCGCGCTATGCAGCGCTTTACTGTTTTGTAGCAGTACCGACTATAGCCTCTTACCTAGCGTTCATGTAATACGCACTATCTTTTTGAGCACCATTCATCAGCCTTTGCCCAATTCAACAAGTCCGAGCTCCGGAGTCTTCATATCACGGAAGAGATGGAGGCCAAGGCCATCGCTGTCAGGCGTGTGCCCCGGTTTATCATTGAGCGGGATATTTGACATTTGTTTAAGGACTGTGGTTTCTCTCTAGGTATAGTACCAGAGTAGCTGATGAGTCGGAAACTAACCGCAACGGCAGGCACAGATACTAGACTGAAGTTCAGACATCTGGCTGAGAATTCTATATCAATCTCAGATGTGACACTTCCACATCATACACGTCTGTCGATGTTTGGGCATGTGTCAAAATGAGGCGCGGTACCATTACTATGTACATGCTACCGCCGCAAGAGCATTGTAAGGCAATTAATCGACCCTGTATACAAGCTTTACACCTGACACATTGCCATCTTTCAGATCTTGCAAGCCCTGTGGAACACCAGCCAGTCCACTTCGAACCTCAGTCGGGTGAGTCGTGATCTTGCCGTTGTTGAACCAGTCTTCAGCCTGCTTCCAGAACTTCGCACCAAATTCATAGTCTTCCTGGTTGGCTGCAACTCTTTCATTGAACGTCTCACCAAGCGCCGTGTAGGCAAAAGTGAACTTGGTCTTTACGTCACTCCTTGGGTAGTCCTTGACCGGCAGAAGAGCGGACATGTGGCCGCCGCTGGAGCTGATGGCAGCAGCAGTGATCTCAAATGAGTTTCCTTCGGCGATGCAGTCGAAAGCCAGCTTGAGCTTGTCGTCGGTAGCTTTGCGAATCTGAGCGCCAACATCAACGTCCTTATAGTTGAAGACCTGGTCAGCGCCGAGCTTGCGGAGCAAGTCGAAGTTGTGAGGCGAAGATGTCGCGATAACCTCGCATCCTGACGCCTTCGCGTACTGAATGGCGAGCGTTCCTGTCGCGGTAGAGCCGCCGTAGATGAGGACTGGGGTCGGCTCTTGCACCCTCGCAGGCGGTAGCGGCAGGCCAAGCTCCTGGTACAAGCCTTGGGCAACAGTTGTGATTCCAACACCCAAAGTCGACGCGTCCTCGAAGGACATGCTATCAGGTATCTTCAGATTGATTCCAGTCTTGGCCTTGATGTGCTCGGCGAAAGCGCCATTAGAATGATCCGCAGGGTCCCCTAGGATATGTCAACACGCGCCCGCTAAAATGTGCAATAGTAACCTTACCTCCACGAACAAATCCAGCAATTCGGTCTCCAACCTTGTAGTTGGTCACAGCCTTGCCGACTTCCTCGACTACACCAGCATAGTCGCACCCAGCAATAGCGCCCGGCGCGGTCGAATGTTCGATGCTCTTCCAGTCAGTTGGGTTTAAAGCTACGGCTTTCGTCTTAACGAGAAGCCAATTGTCGGCAGGAAGCTTGGGAAGAGGAATGTCATTGCGCAGCTCAGAGACGCCCTTGGAGACGTGAACGACTGCCCTTTGTGTAGACATGTTTCGTGTAGAAAAGAAATGTGGAAGTCTGGTATGTAGTCTCGTTCCTGACGAAATAGGTATTGATAACTTTGATGGCCCCAGGAGTCGATTAATATACATTCTGCTATGATGCAAGACCTTCTAGTGGATTTGTAATGGGACTATCGCGTCATGCAGCCTTCTTAAGATCCACGGGCGGGGCGGAGTATGCTCGGCAAATGCTGGAGAACATGCTTCGTACTCGGAGTGATAAGTAATCGATGATCACTCATGCTATGTTACAAGTACTGGTGTGAATCTTAGTGTACCATCCATACGGTGAGAGGACCGTTGTATTGGCTGCCTACTGCAGATGTGATGTAGGTGGAATGGTCCAAGCTCGGGCATTGCGCTAACATATGGCGCAAGGGTCCAGCGTCGCGACGCATTCCACGCGTAGCTCTACTACTCCCACTTCACATACACGATCCTTTTGAGGTTTATCGAGCGCACGACCCCTGATTGCTATCATGGACGACCCTCAACGACCGGCAACGCCTGAAGACGAGGACATCAAACTCAACTTCTTCCCCGACCCCCCGCCTTTCTACAAGTACTTCACCACCGAAAACCTCACGCGACTCAAAGACATAGAGAAAGAAGCCGCACCAGAAGATGACGGAACGATGCCCTCTACCTCAGTCTTCGCGACGAGGCTCTCTGCAGAGCAAATCCTTGCTTTACCGACCGAGCTCCGCTACCTGATACCGCCCGAACCGCCTGCAGACGATGCCGAATTCCACGTATTCGGCACAGTAGAAAGTGCAAAGGGCGCAAACAACTTCATGAAGAACATGGACTATATAGCCGATCAACTAAGGTTCCAGGATGTCTTTCACGACTGGACGTACGAACAACTGTACCCCTCCTCTTCCACCGAGCCCGCAACCGATGATCCCCCCGCGCAACAGACTACCGCAGACAACTCCGCGTCTCTCGACCGGCAAAACTATTTGTTCCGGTTTCTACGAAGTATACTTCTGAGCTACATATCTCTACTGGGTATTGTAGCCGCAAATCCAACGTCGGAGCAAAAGGAACAGAAACTCAAGGATATCATGACGCTGGTAGCGAACATGCATGCACTCATTAACGAGTACCGCCCACATCAGGCGAGGCAGACGCTCATTGCGAAGATGGAAGAGCAGGTGCGCAGGAAGAGAGAGGAGGTTGAAAGCGTAAGAAGGATGGGAGAGAAGGTCAAGGAGGTGCTTGCTGGGTTTAGTGGGGTAGACGGTGGGGATAAGCCGGGTGATGGAGGTGAAGAGACCGTGGATGACGGGACAAATGCGGGGGAGGAGGATAGGCGGCGTGTGCAGAAGGGGATGTGGGAGGCTGTCAGTAAGATTCAGGGCTAAGAAGCACTCGCTTGGGCTCTAACAATGTTGGATGACATCGTTGTGACAATATAGCAAGATTTGGTTTCTACTGTAAATTTGGATGCGTGGCCGATATACAAGCGCAAGGCACTCCGTACCTTCGAACACAATACATACTATATCCATGGCGATAGCACAATACGACGCATGTGCTCAGAATTCGAGCCTGCAGACAATACACTACACGCGCCTGAACTTGGCAAACGTCGGCACCGAGCAGCCGTACAACACTTGGAGTCTCGGCATAGGCAACCCTTGACCTCAGGAACATGACGTCACGCGACGTTCCGACTTACCAGATACCTGCATACCCGATCCTTTGGTCCTCCTCAGCCACATGGAAAGCCACAATCTTTACTTCATCAACTGTTCTTCCATAGTTCGTATCGTTATTTCGGAAATTCCCGTTGGCGCGCGCCCCGGTTAATTGTGCTTGTGACACAAACGTAAGCTTCAAGGGTTGGCACGCGCTCAGCCCTGGTGCGCAGACACCCAAGACTCAATAAAAGAAGGCAACAACCACGGCTGAACATTTGGCGTTTGGGAACTGACCGACTGTTCTTCAGCCTGCAAACGCTTAGAGATAAGCAAGTACGGCTGAGGAGGACTGGTGCTTATTATTAGACACGATCAAATCGCATATATCTACATCCTCGACGCGTTTTCTAGTCCATCAAGTTACATTTCCGAGATATCTTGAGGCTGTGAGGCTGTTCAGGCTTTGCTCCCGACTACCTCCATCATCATGCCCTCCGCAACCTCGACAAGGCCAACTAAGCGCCTAGCCGTCTTCTGCGACGGAACATGGGTAGGCCGCGAAACTGAAGTCGAAGATGCACCACCAAGCAACATCCGACAACTTGCAAATATGGTCGGCGAAGTACAATACGCCACCGACGACAACACAGCCGCAAAAGTCCATCCCATCAAGCCCCACAAGACAGCAACACAAGGCTCTCCCCCAGACATCATCGCCGGCTACCAAGAAGGTGTGGGCCTTAACAAGACCTTTCTGCAGTACATATGGGACGGCGCAACCGCATCCACCATCAGCGACGAATGCATAGCCGTCTACCGCTTCATCGTGGAAAACTACACCTCGGACCATGAAATCTGGCTCTTCGGCTTCAGTCGTGGTGCCTTCACCGTCCGCTGTGTAGCCGGCATGATCAACAACTGCGGTATCATTAAACGCCTCCCAGAGTACACAGACGCAGAGGTCCAACGTCTCTGCTATGAAGTCTTCAGAACATACCGGAGTAACCTCCCCGTCGATGCACCGAAGAGCGACGAATGCCAGAGGTGGAAAGGCCTGGGCGATAGGGTTTGGCAAGTCAAAAGGCCCATCCGCTTTATGGGTGTCATTGATACGGTTGGGGCGTTGGGAATTCCGCGACTCAATGCGGGAATTGGGTTTGATTGGAGTCCGTTTGAGTTCTTCGATCAGACTGTGAGTACTGTCGTGCAGCATGTGTATCATGCGCCTTGTTTGCACGATCGGTTGTGGATCTTCCAGCCTTGTCTTGTGTACCCCAGCGAAGAGGATGAAGATGGCAAAGAAAAGGCGGTCGTGAAGCAAAGATGGTTCCCTGGTACCCATTACGATGTCGGTCGCATGACCTTTCGTTTTATACGCCAGAGTCCTGCGAATTGGATTGAAGATGCGCTGGGCTGGCTTCCGAATCTGCTTTCCCGAACGATATATCCGAACGAAGTGCTTAGCGACGCGGTGTTGAGGTGGCTTGTTCAAGGTGTACACGATGTTGATAACGAGTCTGCGAACCCGTTGATGCCAAACACAGAGCAACATATCGAAAGTCTCAGCACCAGACTCGGAGAATCCGTCATGGCATCATCAACAGCATCGGCACCAGAGACCCGAACAGGAAGCGGCGATATCTACGGCCACGTCCTGGCTTACGCACCAGGTGGCGTTGTATTCAGTGCTATACACCGTACTTCGCGCTCGATTACCGGCTTGCTGAACAATTTTTTCCCTCGACTTGGCGATAATATCCAGAGTCTGCTTGGCATCAAGGCGCTCGTTGCTATCTTGACTGCCACGGCTGATCGACGTATACCGGGGACTCAAGCAGATATTTATCCTTATATGGAGACTGAAACGGTGATGGTGCAAGGGAAGGAAGTGATCTTTTCAGTCGAGGAATTGGCGAGATTGAATGAAATGAATGAGAGGGGTACCTTACGGTATCCGAGTCAAACAGTTGAGGCATTCCAGTTGTGGAAACGTGTTTTTGGGAAGGATGAGACGGAGTAATGGATACGACGTTTGTGAGAGGTTGGTCTCTTCTGTGTAAAGCTTCTTATTTCAGAGATTGTGTAGTCATCCTTGTAAGCTCAAACCTGTTCTGATATCACTTGCTCTTATTCATCTCAAAAGCACCTTCATTCGCAAACGCCTTCTTATCAACGACTTGATCCCTGGTAAACCATCTATTAGATTCTTCTATACTCTAAACTTGCATAATCATCAAAACTAGAATCGTGCCATCATCCCAAGGGAAACAGATATTTGCCCAGTACGAAAGTGCTTAGACAAGACTTACTTCTTGCCACGGCCTCCAAAGCCCCATCGAATCTGGTTCGCCCAGCGACCCTCAACACCGAGATCGTCAGCACATTGCCAGACGAAACCAGGGTTCTTCTGGAACATGCGGCCGATGAAAGCGACGTCGAGGTTGTCGTTCTCAAGGTATCCGTTGGCCTGCTTGCCGTCGGTGATGCTACCAACGGTACCCACAGCCATCTTGTCTCCAACCTTGTCCTTGACAGCCTTGGCAAAAGGCTCTTGGTATCCTGGTCCACCGTGAATGTGCTGCTTCTCGTGAAGACCACCGGAAGAAACGTCGAGAAGGTCTACACCCCTATCGGCGAGGATCTCGGCAAGCTTGACGGTTTGATCAACAGTCCAGCCTTCAATACCAGCCTCATCGAGCCAGTCTGTTGCGCTGATACGGAGTACAAGGGGCATGCTGTCGGGGATAGTCTTGCGTGCAAGGTCAACGACTTCGAGAGTAAGACGTGTGCGGTTCTCGAAGGATCCGCCGTACTCGTCGGTACGCTTGTTAGATGCTGGCGATAGGAAGGAGTGTAGGAGGTAGCCGTGTGCGTTGTGGATCTCGATGGTGTCGAAGCCGATCTTCAGGGAGCGCTTGATAGCATCAACAAACGCCTGCTTGAAGGTCTCGATGTCCTGCTTGGTCATCTCCTTGGGTGTGCAGTGGTGGTCGTTGAATGCAATCGCCGAAGGAGCGTACACATTGTCCGGCCAGCCGTTCATCTCCTTTGTAGCGATGTCGCCCTTGCTTAACCAGGGAGCGACGGTGCTAGCCTTTCTTCCGGCGTGTGCGAGTTGGATGCCGATTTTCTGGCCCTGAGAGTGTGCGAATTCTACGAGCTTACGGAGAGGCTCCATCTGCGAGTCCTTCCAGAGACCGCAGTCTTCTGGTGTGATCCTTCCCTCGGGCTGTACCGCCGTAGCCTCAACGAATGTAAGACCAGGTCCGCGCTGGATGATGCCACCTAGATGTGTTAGGTGCCAGTTGGTTTGGTGGCCATCTTCAGCCGAATATTGGCAGAGAGGCGAGAGAGCGAGGCGGTTCTGGATTTCGAGGCCGCGGAGTTTGAGGGGCTGGAAGAGTTTGGGGATCTTGGAGCTGCCATCGAGCATGCCAAGAGCAGTCCCGGCGACAGGCTCTTGTGCGGGAGTGAAGTATGAGATCTAGATACGTTAGCCTGATGAATTCAGGAAGCTGGAATGGATACACACCCCAGCGGCGGCCTTGTTCCTCAGCTCATCTTGCTTGGGAACTTGTTTGCTGTTCTTGTCCTCAGGAATATCCTTTGCGATCGCATGATGCGAATGCGGCTTCTCGGTATCGGCCTGATCACCCATTATAGCGGTTGTTTGTATATAGGATTGAATTGGATTTGTAGAGTGTGGAGGGGATTGTGTCGAAGACAGATGTGTAAGTGGATATGGGCAGCGAAGAGTGGGTGGTCAATGGCATCTTTATACTTTCCTCCCACTCTTCTCGAAAGTACCGACATGACGTGCGTCTTTGAACATTACTACCATCGAACCCCTGCCGCGGGGCAGATTTGGCGCCCCGCCTTCCTTGTTCGGGATGGTTTGTCACCTAGCAACCCATAGATTCGTTGAAGCCGGATTTGTAAGGCACACGTCGTCGGATTCACCGACTTGTCGGGTAGTCAAATATGATGAATGCGATTTTTGAAGGCACACGTACCTGAGCGGTGGTTTACTGTACTACGGTGGAGCCAGTAAGAGCTTTGCTGGGAAGCTTATACATGTGCTGACTGAGGTTACCGAGTAACGTAAGCAATGCTCCCTATGATCTGCATGCATCCGTCACACGGTATATAGCCTGATAGCAGTTTCGCCTCTACTTCAAAATGCCTAATTCTCTATATTCATCAAGCCTTACTGAGCCTCATGCAGCATGCCTCGAAGCTTAACACGCATTGCATCATTACTAAGCGTCGGCTACTTGCCCATACGACGCGTCAAACTCGGCCCAAGCCACGCCGCCGAACTTTACCGCTCCAAGCCATTAGTGCCGCAATCAATTCTGTCTGATAGACTTCCAAACTCAGTATACCAAGTCTTTTGCGCCGGTGTTGCCCCTGCTATTTATGCGACAAGCCTAGGGCGCAAAGCTTCGTCCATCGTGTTGTATGGACAAGCCCTCTTCCATGTGTATACGCTACGTGTGACATAGCCGATATGACTTTGAGCGCCACACTAACCACGCGCGCGTCGCACGCGATCAGGACAGCCCATTGTGTCTTGGAGGCCAGTTGAGCGCTCGATACCCAGATCCATACAGATCATCCGAACTCTGGTACCCGATTACTGGGACCTGAAAGTAGGCATACTTAGAATCGGTCTTGTACGTCTTGGTCTCTCTCTCTGGTCGAAGCACAGCATAGTTTCGCGTCGCGACTCCATCCGCCTCGCCACTGGACTGCATGTATATGGTTCCCACCCGCCATTTGCTTTCCGCATCCGAGTCAGCCATATCATACGCATTCTGTCCGGGTTCCAGGGATGGCTGAACGATCCGATATCCGTGCCGCACTTCAGCTTCTTCCTTTTCCAGGACACGCCTGACAAGCTCAATAGGATCTTGCCCATCGTATTGAGCTCGCAATTGGACAACCTCATCCGGAAACGGTCTGGGAAATCTGACCATCATGAATCTCAGGCTTCTCAGATCACGCTGGATGGACCTCAATGAGCCACAGATCTGTCGGTACGTCTCTTCACTCGTCAGAGGACCCTGGATAAAGACAGAGAGTGACTCGAGGTCTGGAAAGCCTCCAATAGCGCTTGCGATATCTGGTTCGTTACCGCAAGTGGTGAACGTCTTCAAGCTCCATGGGGATGGGAAGCCCTGTTGCTCCTCAAGCGGTCGCCTGTGCTGATTAAGCTCACGAAACTGGAAATGAACATGCAGTGAGCGAACTCGAGATAGGTGAGATGCGAGCGCAGCTCGGCGGAAGTCGATCAATACAGTATTGTGAAGTATGGCGAACGTGTTGGCTTCGTAGAGCATGTCGATGGTCTCTCGGTAACTAGAACAAGCTTTGTCAGTTACGATGACGGGGGTTCGCAAGCGCACGTCTGGCTTACATCATTTGGCATGTCAGAAGCACTGCCAATATGTTGGTTTTCCCATGCTTGCTTTGCGAGATGGCAGAGTCCTTGGATACTGCCTCGACGATCGCTGGAGTGATGTTCGCAACTTCTCTAGGGCCCTCACTCTTCAGAAACTCGTATGCAATCCTACCGCTTCTGTAGTACAAAGCGATTTGCTTTTCGGCCAACAGACATTTCCAAATCATACAACGAAGCTCAGTGGGCAGAGCTAGAAGGGTACTTTGCGGCTGAGCGTTCGCTGCATCGCTGCATCGCTGCGCAGCGACAGTGGAATGTATGGAGGTTCGATAGCCACTTCCTTCTGGGTAGGGCTGTCAGGGCTAGGCTGTAGGTAACCCAACAGGTACGCCAATAGATTACACGGAAGACAAAACAGAGAACGGCCGGCCGTGCGCCACTGAGCTGCCCTGTTTGGCTGATCATCTTCATGGATGATAAACATGGTGAAGTTTTCGCGCGGAGGTGGAACAAGCGACGACTCGGAAGCTGCCCGTCAAGTTACTAGTAAGTGTAATGGTCGCCCCATAGCCATTGCTTCATCCGTTTCAAACATGCTGGCTTCAATGCCGTGCCACACTGGCGTTATTAGGCACGCTGGTCATCAGTCGGTAATGGCCGGGATAAACGGCTAATAGCTAGTTATGCACGCTAATCACGCTAAGATGGCGCAGCGTGAAAGAGTCAAACCCTCGATCTTCGTCCAACAATTTCCATCACGTCCGTCAACCACGACTCTGTGATCTGGTACATATTCCACTTGTTCCGACCGCCATATCCCATTAGTCGCTCACCCTGAGAGCATGCTGACTATGGCGCCACCAGCTGCCATGACGTTCACTTGGTGACAGACGTGATGCCCGCTCGCCGCCTGTACAAAGAATATGCATGCCATCACGGTGCCTTGACCTCGAAGAATAGGTCGCTCAGTTCCCACGACGTACATGCTCAAACAGACCCGGCCAACCCGCTGCGGCGTTTATCAGCAGGGTCAAAATCGCGCCATGTCTTACAACGACGCTCCTCGCTCAGCTTCGGTCAATGTCGCTACGTATGTCTGAGGCGGTTGTGGATCCAGATATTGCGGCGTCCCTGGGACTTGTGTGTATCTTTCGGGGCCATGACTTGGAGATGGCGACAGATAATCAGCTGCCATGCCTTTCGGCCCCATTCTACAGAAGCAGTAGTGGATATGTGTTAAAATCCAACAAATTGACGTCATCGGAACTCAGATACAACCGGAAAATTTCTCAACATGCTTCATCTTGATTGCGGCAATAGTCTTTTAAAATGGACATGTTCATCAACAACCACCGCCGCTCATATACTGATCTACCATGTACTCAGAAATGTATGGAAACGATATGCTAATGCGGCGGCGCATGTCCTGTAGGCTTACCAAGTGGCGATACACAACACTCTCGAACGGTAGCCAGTCCTGAAAACAGTTGTGCAAGCATTGCGCGGCCGACAACTGTGGCAAGACAGGTAGGCCACCGCTGGTATGCTCAGAAAGAGTAGCATCACTGATACGGCGTATACTTACGCACTGGTCGTGCCACTTGCCGAAGTTTACGATATATGATAACGCTGTTACTGGGTGCACCTTCGGCTAGTTTCTTTGTCTACATGCCCTGCAGTCCAGTGGAGGATATAAGTTTGGAATCCTTTCGCAAACTCAATGATATCAGGATGCCCAAACCACATTCAATTACTGCACCTCAGACGATTGGCTATGCCTAAAGCATATTTCTCGACAATCCTACTCCCTCTCGGCCTCCTCACCTTGACATCAACAGTTCGTGGTAATGGATGGTACCTTGACGCATCCTGTGACGGTAACAATCCACTTCGCATTGTAACTAACACTAATTGTCTTAGCGCACAAGGAGTTCATCAAAGATAGCATGAGGCAAGCATTTTACATGGCAGAAGCGTCGTTCGAGGCCGTCGGATCGCCGCCCGCCAGCGGTGGTGACGCTTGGACATTCCCAGGTGCAGAGACACGAGACATGAGCGCAAGAATCTTCGGAGTGTTTGGAGCGCCATCCGCAGAAATACCGATCCCTGGGACAAAACAAATGGAAACGGTAAACAAGTACCAAGTGGTGCGAGGTGAACTATAGGTCTGCTGAATCTTGAAGAACGTTGACTTAGACAACTAGACACCTTGGGGTGGTTGTTAGCCAAGTATAGAAACGATGATGACGAGCCCAGAGCTATTCCACCGGATTTGACGGGCAGAAACGATATTAACGAGAGACTGAGGGAGGGTGACATTGTATGTATAGGGCAGTTCCCTATCTCCTCTGTAATGAGCCCTTTGGTCGGCGCGTTCATCGATTGACTTGGTGCAGTTGTTATATTGCGACTTGGAAAGATACACGAAGAAGAACGACGGTACTTGGTTCAACTTTGACAACTACAAGGAGGCAGATCTTACTGCTGAAGAGTACGACGACTGTCAGAACCCAGCAGAGAAGACTGCATATACTGCAGCGTATGTCACAGTACCTCAAGCGGGAAGAATGGTACCAATTCAGATCTGTCCAGGTGATGCCAACAAGGAAACTGTGAAAAGTCAACTATCAGCTAACATTCAAGCAGTAAGTCAATGGTTTCAAGGCTAGCCGCCACGCAAACTCAGCTCATGGTCGGGCTGGATCCGCTCCGTGCTTCAAATGTGCCTACGCCAGGATGTTCGCTGACAATGAGATCACCATAAACAGCATTATCTGAAAAAGGTGGGTTCCATTCGGTCAGAAGAACAATTTTTTGGTTGTATGGTGTTGTTACTAACACATGTGCTCACAGAATCTTAAGTACGAGAAGAAGACTCTCGACGACATAACTGGTTCTCCAACAGGCAGTCTGCTTCAGAAGCTCGACACGTTATGTATGATTCGGAAGAAGACAGAACCAAATCCTGATTCGGCTCCGATAATCAATCAGTATAGAATGTTCGACGCTACGATGCTTCATGAGGTATGTCAACGCGTCGCAAATAATGCTCTACGCGCTGATGGTTTACGAAAGCTGACGCACGCTGTACATCCCCAATATCCGAGGATAGACCAGGAGGGAAATTCGATAGCTGAGACTGACCCGGTGAATCTCCAATACCCGAAGCGCCGACCAACTAGAGACGTTGATACAGGGAAAGATATCTCCGGAGCTAAAGGCGGATACTATTGGAAGAATGTCAACTTTCTGAAGGATAACAGTGGTCGGATGAACGCAGATTCTTTTGCTTTCTACGGAGTCGGAGCACGCTTCCTGAAGGAGAAGGGTTACCGGATCTTGAAGTCTGGCTGCACGGAGAAGATCAAGGGTGAGTACAGCTTCGCAACGGAGCTAAGTGGGACAAATATACAAGTGGACGGTACATGGACAATGCCTCAGTACAAACGCGACCTGTTCGGGTTTGAAAATCCACTGGCGCAATCGAGCTTCGCAAAAGCGCCACATCAATCATCGATATCCCCCCCGTATCCGATGGAGCGTCGGAACGTGTCATATATCATCGGCTCTGCCAGTATAATGACTACGCGCACGATCTTCGCGGCAACATCATATTACATTCCAACAAGCGCAGTATCCCTGGCGCCTCCTTTGTCATCTGCTGGTACGAACATCTCCAGCGTTCATGTCTCAGATAGACCAAGCGGCTCACCTTCCTCCCCAGGGTCCTTCGGCATCTCTAGTACGGTCGGAACGCTGATGTCTTCACGAAGCTCTGGATTAAATTTGGCGTCGACATCAGCGTTTAGTTTCCTCGCCGGAAGCTCAACCACGGGGACTGGGGTTAGCATACCCATCACCGACATGTTTAGCTCCACGGCCTCCACGACAGATCTCGCGGGGCTAATTTCATCCTTCTGGCAGCAAACACTTACAACTGCACCGGTACCCACACGTGAGCCGTCTTCCCTTGACGTCGAAGATTTGTTCTGCACTCATAGTCTCCTAGTAGGCTGCATCGCTCCGTCGGGGTTTTCTTTCGAGCAACTCATGACGGCTACGAATGTCGCAATACCAACAATCACCGACATCTCTATATTCCCGCACATCAATGTGCAAGGTGTGGATGTTGTCAAAATGAGCCTTCCCACCGACATCTGCAACCCAATACCAAAGCCTAGTGGAGATGGCCTTCTCGGTGGGATTTTCAAGTTTGGTGGCAACATTGTCAACGGCATCATTGACAGCGCCTGCAATATTGAGCTTCCTGTGGTCAAAGGAGGACACATACCAAAGTGGTTCAACTTTGGAAAGTTCCCTCACCCCTCCAGCTTCCCACCCGCACCAGACGGCAGCCCTACGGAGGCACAGGATCCTATAGACCCGGAAGACCCAGAAGACCCCACAGAATCACCCGATTCCAGCAGCATCTCATGTACCCAAACAGCTTTTGTCAGTTGCGTATCTTCAAGATTGGTATCAGATAGCGTTACACGAGCTACCCAATCATGCACTACTACGAGCGCGTGTTCGGGAGCGGATATCACTGAAGTGACAGCGACCACGTTCACCTGTAGCCAAAGTGCCATCCAAGACTGTCGCGGCGCAGCCGTCGTAACAGGTAGCGAGACAAGTCCAACGTTCTACACAACAAGCTGCTCTACACGATTTACGTGCTCAGAAACTGGATCGACTTCAATAACGACAATAACGTCTTCAAGCCAGATACCGGAGGCGACAGGGTTATTCGAACCCTTGTTGAACAATGAGTTGTTCGACGAGCAAGCCTGTGTCTTCTCTTTGCTAGACTCGACTATGACGGCGGTTCAGGAAGCGGACTACTTGTTCTGTATGAACGAAACGATGACTTCCACCTCGAGCATGGCATCCATGTTGAGCGAAGCATCAACCACGCCGAGCTCTTCCTTGTTTACTAGCTCTGGTACCACGGTTTCTGGCTCTGTGTCCAGCTACGCATCAAGCTCGGTCGGAACGACCAGCTATTCAGCAACAGCGGTCTCTTCTGTGATATCCGTGATACCTTTTGGTATCTTTATCTCCCTTATTCGTACACCACTCGTACAGTTTACCAGGTCGGTACCGTCTACCAGCACAACCTCTTCCACCCAAATGGTTTCTCCAGCTCAACCAACGCCCTCAACTCAGCCCACCACTACTTCAGCAGAAAACCCAGTCGTGACACCCGCTCCGGAACCGGAAATTCCTCCTTGGACATTTGTTCTTGCCCCAGAATGGAAGTCGACGTCTCGAAGGCGTGCCACGTGGTGTAAGCCACAATTGGGGAACTGCCCAGACTAGGCAACTACTGCACTGAACATGGGGATCGTTTCGATTATAAGGATCATTTCTTGGAGGGGACATGTTCGCGGTACGTATTGCTTGTTTTCACGGTTGTGGCAATGAACGAAGGGCTTGATTTCCTCCACGCGCTCAAAACGTACGAGATATCTTCTTGATGTTTGGTTGAACGCGCTTTTCTTCGCTCCCCCCTATCTTCCTTCATTCTTCTATTCTTCCTTTTCCACGCTCGTTGACACCGTTCCCGCTTTGCCAGCATCTTTGATGCTGTTTTAGCGTTCTGTGTGTTCTCCCCATCCCTAATGCAAGTAAGACATGCATTTCATAACACAAGCATCGCATAGTCTAATGTAAAGCCATGGAGTTGTGGAGAACATCAACGACCGCCTATGTGGGTTGTGCGGCACTCTACAGCACTGCTGCATGGCAAGTCCAAATCCAGGTACGCAGAGGCTGTGCCGCTCCGTAGCACTTATACCCGAGGATGAGAAAGTGCACGCATTGCGGGAAGGCGAGCCGGTCTTACTATGAGTTTTATTCCCGCGACTTGGTATAGCAGTTGCAGCTTCGCATGAATCTTCCCGATATCTCTGCTTGAACTCCTTACACACCGTAGGAGCATTCGGCTACCGAGTGGAGTTGGATCCATACGGCATTCTCCATTGCATGGCGATCTTCTGCCCGGTAAGGCGACGTCAATGCAGACATGACGAAAGCTCCTTCCTCGTCAGGTAACCCAATGATGCGCATCATGCGTGTTTCGTTTCGAGATGGCTGAGGCTTCAAGGCTGAGGCAGCCGACGTTCCCGATATTTCCCACGTAACCGGTCCTTTTGCGCGTGACGTTGTGTGGGAACCATTCGGCAAGGCCGAGTTCCTTCTTGGAAGACATGAGGCACATGCCTCGGACAAGGAGTGTGACATGAGGCACATGCCGAAGAGTAGGATGATACACTTTTGCTGCAACCGCTTGTGCCACAGCCACAGATTGTGCGAGCAGCCTCTCTGGACACGGATTTGGCAGTGGGGCTGTTTTCTGTATAGCGAAGCTGTGGTGGCCGAAGCGGTGATAGGGTCTTCATTAGATTGTGATTGCAATTTACCCCACGGCGATTGCGGCGCATCGTGAGAGGAACAGGCTAGCGGACTACTATCTTGGGAAGGCGCAAACATGTGAAGCATGGGGTCAAACGTTAGAGAGGGTGGCACCAACCAATGACATGCAGGTCTCGATGATGCGCCAGCCGCTGCCCTCGAACGCCAGAGAGTATCGCCTGTCGACGCTCCCTCGACACCACTCGTGTCTGTTTTGTGCTCCGTTGGCAAACGTAGACGCCGGCGCTGCGATTCACTCACTTGCTCGCTACATAGCATCTTGTACTCGATTCGTGTTGCGCTTGACTTGCGACTGCCCTTCGGTGCTCCATCGCGCCTGCCGCTCTTTGACGCCCGTACCCACTCGTTCACCACCACACAACAGTGTCGTCGTCGCATTCACCACGGCGCAAAGACAGCGAGAATAGGCCGTGCAACCACAATACCGCCACTGTCGCTATACATATACGCAGCCGCACCCGTCGGACAAGCCTCTTCCGCTGTCACCGCTGTTCAAGCCTTGCGCGTCTCAAACACAAGGCGCTCCACCTGCACACACGTCTGGCTGTCATGCGCACGGCACTCTGGTAGCATACCGAACACCTACCTTTCTGGACAAGACCCCGTCCCTGGCCACCAGCCGCATTTCTCCGCCTGCTTTACAAAACTATCGCCCCTGTCACTCTTTCTCTTGCTCGCTAGTGGTGAGCAGCCGGCCTGTCACCACCACATCGCGAACTACTCTCTCTCGGACTCGAACCGAAATTGCCTCCCTCCTTTTGGCTACCCAACACCACCAACCCATGTCCTAGCGACCCAAGTCACTCCTTAGACGAACAGCTGGACTGCAGGCCACCGTACCGTTGAGCGGATACATACATATACACTTACGTACATAGCAAATAATACCAAACACCACCAACCATGGGGTGCTGTGGAGATCGCGAAAAGGGAACCACGGTGACGGAGGAGCAGAAGTGGACTTATATTGTAAGCACTTGACAACCATGATCCAGGCGCATACACTAATTGCTTTAGAACCTCTCCGACTTCAAGTCTACCTCTTGCCTCGCACCCTTCTCTTACGCCTGGCTTTGGATTCTCGTCTTCATCTCATGCGCCGTCTACGCTGCCGACGCCTTTACTGCCGTTAATTTGCTTGCTTTTGACAAATGGACGAGCCAGGTCAAGCCTACCGTACCCTTCGACGTTGCCAAATGGATTTTTGCCATTACCATCATCATCTCCTATGTCTTTCTCGCATATCGATGGATCAGGGCTCTGCGCGTTATGCGCACAGGAAGCGTCACGGAATGCTATCTCGAGCCATTGGCCGCTATACTTCAGAGTATGCGCATCACCAAGACTGGCCAGGGCTGGCGTCGTTTCTTGGTCTTCGCCGAGTTGACCAAGAGTAAAAAGGGTGCCAACTATGTTGCTCTCTTTGTCTACTTCCAGTTCAAGAGCGCCCTGCTCATCATTGTCGCACAGGGACCTCGCATTGCCCTCAACGCCATGACCTTATATGCCGTCATGCAAGCGAACCTCCTACCTGTCGGCGAGCATGCGTCAGAAGATCGCTCCAACTTCGAGCAGTTCTTCATGAACATCAAGGTCATGGTCGATACCGGCAACAAGCAAGAAACCGTCATTTACTTCACCATGTTGTTCTCCCTGGTCATTTGGGTCATCGCGGCACTGGGTCTGATTGTCGCGGCACTGCTATACCTCTTCTTCCTATGGCACTACATTCCCAAGGCTGACGGCAGTCTTACCAATTACTGCCGGCGCAAGGTCGAGACTCGTCTGGAACGCATCGTGGGCAAGAAGATTAAGAAGGCTATCGAGAAGCAGAACCAGCAGTTGAAGAGGGACGAGGAGAGGGCTATCAAGAAGGGCGAATTCGACGCGTCCAAATCTCGACCCACTCTACCCAAGCTCGAAGGCGACGATGACGATACATCTACCATCTTCTCGATGCAACGATCCGATACGATGAACACGAATGCAACGTTGCCTCCGTACACCGTGTCAAACGCGCCCTCATACAGGTCGAACCCACCGTCACGATCGCACACTTCGAACACCGTCAACACCATGAACCCGGGGCGAAACCTGATGAACAAGCCGTCTCTGCCGACGCTAGACGAGCGACCTGGCATGCCAGAGCGCGACTTTACAAACTTCTCGAATGCCAGCTACGGTTCCAATGCGCCAATGCTGAACCAAGCTGGAGGCATGGGCAGGTCATCACCGGCACCTCCGATGCCACATCTTGATCGTAACGGCACTGGGTACTTTGGCGAGCAACACAACCTGCCATACCAATCTGACAGACCTTTCACGCCAATGTCACAGGGCAGAGCATCTCCACTCCCACACCGCGGGCCGATGCCGCCTGTGGATACCAACTACAACAACTATGACAACGGGCGGTACGAAAACGATGCCCAGTTGATCACTCCCCTTTCCAACGATCAACGTGGCCCACCCTCGTCTCACCCCAACCGTCCATACCAGGAGTTCAGTCCTTACGACAGCCGGGGGCCTCAGATGGGTCCTGAGTATGAGCTATCACCTGTCGATGTAAACCCGACGGAGGACATATCTCAGCACTACTTCGCAGACTCGAACGTTGGGGACGACTACCAACCGCCCCAAATGCCCAGCGCGTTAAGAGCTGGATCGCCTGCCCCATCGCAACCCATGGGCTTGCCATCTCAACCACGTGCAGGTACCGCACCTCCACGATCTGGCACTGCGCCGCCTCGAGCGGGTGTACCAGCATCGCTCCAGTCAGCAATCCAGCGTCGCGAAGCTTCACAACCGTTCCCCAACCGAGGCATGAACGGCTCTGCCCCACCCCAACAACAGCAGCGGAGTGCGACAGCACCAATCCAGCAGCCAGGCTGGGCTCAAGGCCCTCCTCCACGCAGCTTCACACCCTCTGGCCCCGGCCCCCAACAGCGCAGTTACACGCCCATGTCTGGACCCCAGCAACAGCAGCAACGCAGCTACACTCCTACTGCGCTTCGTGGCTATGACAACAGTTACAATTACTGATCTTCAACACTCACTTTCCACTCGTAATGTTGGATACCACATTCATGCATCTCACGGCGTTCACTTCTATCTCTCCCTTTTCTTCCCGCCTGTTGGACACAGAGGCCAACCACCCTTCTTTCCTTACACTTTTACATTCAAACTTACGACATATCTCCCTCTCGCTTTGTAGTGTGAGAGGAGTTTGACGATTTTGGTTACTTCTTTCGCTATAGCATGTTTCGAGATACCCCCACCCGCATGGCTGGCCTCGGACGTCCATTCGCTCTTCTTTTGTTTTTACGTCGGTTACTTGGTGGATTAGGACTGATTGATTGGACGATTTACTGGAAATCTGGAGGGCATCGTCTCCCATGATGGAGGATTGAGAAGATGGATTTCGACTTGTTTTTATAAAGGTAGCATACGAGGGGTATGCGAAAAGTGGCGGGCTTGCGCAGTGGATCGCACACCCTTGTATCATATACCCACCTTTTTGTAGTTTGCTGAGTCCAATGAAGCTTGTGTATACGACCAGTTTTGACTTGTTCATCCAAATTGACTCTACATCTATCGTGCTTGTGTCCACGATAATGTTTACCTCCATTGACTATACTAACGTCGCACCGCTTGCAACTTGTGGCTTAACTGCTCACTCTTCTATGTCTCATCTCCACCAGATCTTCATTGATTTTTTCTTACTCCCTCGGCTCTTCTTTCCTTTTCCTCCTTGTTTCAAGTCATACCAGGAAGTTGCTGATTGTGGATGGCGTTTCATCATGATGCTTTTGCTCTGACATGGTGAAGAAGAAAAGACGAACCAGTAGGGCCCGTTGTACCCGAGTATTGCGTTCGACTATCCGACATTGGTTCGTGTTCGGGCTGCGCTCAGCGAAAGCAGAAAAGTGATCTATACGGGAAAAGCAACAAAAGGCTATTGGCCGTTCAAGCATGACGGAAGCCGCTCATGCACTGCATGAGCGGCTTCCGTCATGCTTGATCGACATGTTGAGGCACACATCAAGGGTCTTGTTGAGAAGTGATGAGTTTATGATAGACTGGGGTAATGTGCACATCTGTTTACTTGCTCGGTATACTGTTAGGCATCAGGCTATCAAGAGTATGTGCTCAGAGTAGGTTCCCCATCTGCGATTTGAAACGCCAATATGACGAAGTTTGGTGTCAACTACACCTACTCTCGCGAGTTGAAGACACATGCAATCATGTCGTGCGGTGTCACTTGATGCTTTGTAGCCGTTCTGTAATGGCTAGGATGGAGTGGCAGTGACAGATGACAGGTGGTAAGACGTAGTGAAGCAGTCGCGATCACAACACGCACACGCCATTGCTATATCTTTCAGCAACGACGCTGCAGAACGAGTGTACCCCGCACCTGCCCATTTCGTCTTCCTTTTCCTCCGGCGAACTCTTACACATCCATATTCATGCATAACACTACATTGCAGAACTCGGCAAACAGACCAATACGGCGAGACATTGCTGACGATGAACCCGGCTCCCTCGGCCGTCTTTCCCCCCGGACCACACCGTCTGGACAGACCACATAGTTGAACGCGCGATCGTGCTCCTAGTATGTTCCTCCCGCTCACGCGCTCAAGCGTCAACGGTTCCAAAACTTGTCAACGGGGCCCAACGCGGCGGCCGGGAGATGCTTAACCTGCACGTCAGATGGCGAAAAAAGGAGGGTGCATGTGGGTCGACGGGCGTATCGCTGAACCGTTGAGATGTACGGCTCGTGCTTCTGGCCGCGGGGAAGAGATAAGAGATAGCAAGAGGTGATGTTTGGTACACTATGAGTAGTTGAGGGGTTAGTTGGCCTCACCACGTTGTTTCGGACCTGCGAACATGTGGACAGGGGCTGAGTTCGGCAGTTTGAGAGACGGCCTCGGGCCTCTAGTAACACATGGTCGGTTGACGGACACTGTGTAAATGGAACTAGGCAGCTGGAACTATGTATGATTCTAGTCTCTCCGCATGACATGTCTTGACAGCCGTTGCGACATAGCGTATAGTAACGTAACATTCTGTTTCTGCTGGAGCGAGGCGACGCCGTGGCCGCACATGAAAAACTGTCCACATGTCAGATACGCGCAGCCGTGCCTTTCGCATACATGGCACCACGTTGCATGATTCTCTACAACACCGACATTACATGTCGCATACGGCGCATATGACTGTAGTTGTTATTCCAAGTGCCCAGTTGTTGAGTAGTAACAATTAGTGGATGTGGTGCAAATACACGCCGCACACACGCAGCAGCGTCAGCGTTGATCGGCGAACCTGATCTCCCCGAGCTGCCCAACCGAAATGCGTTTGATCGACAGGCACTACAACTGCACCAACGCGATGGTCCAGACGAATATCCGCCGAATCTGGCAACAACATAGCCTGCTACGAGAACATGCCAAAGCGGAGGGTTTGATAGCCTAGGATAGCGTAGAACACATTGTTTTGATTCTCTGGACATATTTCGGCGTCTTGGTAAAGAAAAAGGGTTGGTCTTGGGCAATCTTGGGGTAATTTGGTTTTTGTGTGGTAGCGAGATTGACTTGTTAAGTGAGGGGTTCTGAAGGGGAATCGCTGATGCTGACATGTGTAAACATGGGTCCCACAACTCCCATATGTTTATTGTTGATATTTGCAATCAATGCAAGAGTGTGTATACTGCATGGTTTGGATCCCCAACCTGATGTCCGGAACAGAGCGGCAACGAACTTGAGTCATAATTGCGACCGATATGCCCGCTTTCACCTCGTGTCGAAGCTGATGCCACGTCCGTCATGTTGCATGCTGCTGCCCGGTCTCACCGATATCCCCACCTGCGAACACGTCTTCACAACCCGTGATTGACAATGCCTGTTATCGTGTGTGGTCGCCGAAAGAAAATCCTTACAAGAAGAACTCTTCAAGCACCTTACAGCCAGTCGAGCATACATACTCGAGTTGTTACTGGTGAGCCCGCTCCACAGGACCACAAAACCCATCCACAAGCGAAATTACCTGTAGTTGTCTAGAACACATCTACTCGTTGATGGACTTACACTTAGTGACATCACACCAGCTCGGCTCCGAGTAGGTATCGATAAGCCGGCGACACTTGCGACGTCCTGCATAAGTCCTTGTTGTCCGCTCCGCAAAGCGTTGCGCTGCTTGTGTGATTGGTGTAGCTGAAAAATCATGATGGTAGTGGTGCTAGATCCGCCAATGGGAAGTTTTGAGCGACAAATGCTGACATGTCGGACCGGCAGAAGATACTGAGTGGAATGGCTGAACTAAGAATTTGTGGTGTGTCTCCTAGAGAACGGCGGCAGAGAAAGTGTACGCCTGCATGCAGTAGTCTTTCTGTGTGTCCCTTTGGCTTCGCAACGTCTCAGTTGGCTCGTAGAGGCTGTGTTGTTGCCTGTGTAAGTCCAGTGTTCTCGACCACGAGTGCAACGCAGAAAGGCGATACGCAGCACTAGAACAAGAAATACGAAGGTAAGAGAAATCTCCGCATATCTATTCCCGTTGGGGGATGCGCAGCGAACAAGCGGCCGGAAGCAGACTTTACACATGGTTTTCGCTTACCGGTCCGTTTTCGCTCGGAGGAGCATCACAGGGAGGTCCAGCGAACAGCGACCCACCACGTTGTGTTAGGCTTTTCTTGACACGGCTGGGGATCTCGTTGGACGACAGGTCACTGGTGGGTAGTCTTCCAGATTTTCACCATGCATATACCGGCTACCACGTTGCGATAAAGAACCTTATCATCCCGCTGACGGTGCTGGAGCTCCACAAACGTTGCATCGGCACATACTACTGATCCGTGAGTGGAGGGAGTCCTGCCTAGGTGCAGATGGGCTGCAGATGTGGAAACAGCGTATGGAAAAAGTCGTCGTGTGAACGGTTGCGTCACGATACTGCGGAGGGATTGCATGCCCTGACGGAGTCTTGTGGTAACGCATGCATAACCGAAGGTAAGGGCATATCCGGCCTAGAGACTGTCGCGGCTGAATGAGTTGTGCATTGCGTCTGCACACAGCAGTGGCAGTGATATAACGACGTTGTGGACTCGTCAGAGCGACGAGGACTAGACTTGTTGGGGTAAGAAACACGTGCTGGAGCGTGACAGGAACACGCAGGCAACGCGGCCGATGCGTGAAAACGTTCTGGAATCTGGAGGGTCTGTCTCCACTGAAGTCTGCCCCAATCACATATGTGTTTGGGTCCACTACGTGCAGATCGTAATTGCGCGGCCTTCACTTTGCTGTTCGCGGCTGCTGAGTCGTGTGCCGCGTCTTGGTAATTGCGCAGTTGTGTTGTGAAAGCCGAGCGTCAAGGCTTTGCTTCGTCGCCGCTTGCAAGTCTGGCCAAGGGCTGCTGGGGCTGCGACAGGCGATGAAGCGACGAAGAGAACCAAAAGCGGCTGAAACTTCGGAGCGCCAACTGTGCCTGAGCCAGGCACACCAATCAAAAAAGGAGACCAAGCCATGATCGCGCGCTATCCAGGGGTGCAACAGCCGGTGCAATTGGCCCTGACTAAATTAGTAACGGGGATAGTCCGCAGCGCGCTAGTCCCTCTCTGTCGATCAGGAGATGAGATGGGGCAGCCCGGCTGAAGGAGCCACTCACCTGTGTCTGGCTGGCCGGCTTGTTTCCCTTTTCCTCGTCCCATTCACCGTAACATATAACTCACCTATTGTCCCTCTTTTGAAAAGGCAAATTCGCGCGTTCACTCTTTCACGCCCGTCTTGCCGCCTGCTTGCTTGCTCGCTCACCCAGTCACTCATTACTCAACCCACAACAACTCGTTGACCACCCACTACCAGCGCATCACGACACGCCGTTGAACGACGTTACGACTTGTCTGCAGTATAAATACCCAGCGTTATCATACTCTTTACGCCATTTCAAAATGCGTTACTCTTCCGCCGTGGTGCTGAGCACCGTTGTAGTTGGCCAGGCCGCTGCCGCCAACATGCACAACCGTCACGCCAGCTTCCACGCTCGCCGTCAAGCGTGAGTAGTGCCTGCAAGTATACGATGAAACCAGATGCTAACTCTTTACAGTGAGGTGAAGCGCAGTGCTGACAACAACGTTGACTGGAGCAAGGTCGCATACGACCTTGGTGATGTTAACTGGAGCTCCGTCTTCGCCACTCCTACACCCACTCCCGCCGCTGTCGCGAAGGTCTCTGTTGCCGATGTCAAGGCCCAGGCCGAGCCCACCCCTTACGCCACCAAGGAGCAGCCCACTACCACCACCGCCGCTAAGCCTGCCGCGACCTCTGCTGAGTCCAACGACCTGCTCGGTGACCTTGGCGATGCTATCAGTGACATTGGTGACGACATCACCGACGCTGTCAGTGACTTCCTGGACGGTGTCGAGGCCTGGGCTGAGAAGCTCTCCTGCAAGACCGGACTGAACAAGAAGGCCGCCTGGGACGGTATTTGGATTGGTGGTGACAGTAAATGGAAGGCCGAGTTTATCAACGACCGCTCGAACGAGGATATGCTCCTGTCTTGCTGGCAGGCACATGGCTTCAGCGGCATGAGCATCAACGTCAACTCGCCTGACATCCTGGTCAAGATTCCCGCCGGCAAGTCTCTCGAGCTCTCCTTCAAGGAGAAGATTCCCGCCGCTTGCGCGCCCGTCTACCCTAGCACCGTACTCGCCCAGTTCGGTGGCATCAACAACACCTGGTGGGAGGTCACCTTTGGCAAGGATGGTGCTTTCGATGTCTCGCGTAACATCAACATGAACGGTGACAGCATCAGCTCCAAGGGCTCCAAGTGCGTCTCCGACATGGAGACCTGTGTCTTCAAGTGCAAGAACGGCAAGGACACCTGTGAAGCCGGCACCGACTACGACCTCTTCAACTGCAACGCTAGCGGTGGCGGCGGTGGCGGTTACGACCCCATCATGGCTGGTACCGGCGGTGGTTGCTCCATGGGCCAGGAGAGCGAGACTGTCAAGGTTGTCTTCTCCTAAGCGTTGCCAACGTGAACAGGCTGGAGTTGGGTCGTCTCTTGGGTCGTTTTGTGTATTACTCTTCGCCATATTCCCCCTTGTTCCTTGCCGACCTGAACATGTCTTCTTGCCCAGACAGTCTTCATGACTTAGTTGTCTGGCAGGATACCCAAGCGCACTTTGGGTAGCGGTCGCGGGTCCATTCGCGTTATTCGTCAAGGCTCTTAGCGGTCTATGTGTATTTTGTCAATGTCTATTGTTAGTTCCGCAAATATCAAAAGCTGAAAAAACTACATCACCTTCCCTACTTGCTTCGATGTTGAACACATGAAGATCACGAGATTGTCGCGTCATCATGTTTGTATGGTTGTCATGATCGGCCTGGCACCGATTGGGGGGTATCCTGGTTCTTCGACCATGGCGCTCGGCCATAGGGTATGTACGTATGCTGCTCTCTCCAAGGTTGTTGCACTCTAGGTCAGGCTAGGACCCAGAATCTCGCGAGCCAATCTCCGAATATAATGCACATTCCCTGTTCTGTAGCCGGTATGTGCGTAGTGTCTGTACCACTCGGGAACGGGATCGTGAAGCGAGACATGGTCGTCAACTGGTGGCTGCCGGATGTGTGAAGCTGTGATCGGGGCCGCGCAATCCGCCTGCAGCTTCGGTTTGTCGCTGCGCAAGATCTCTGAAGGCAATACCCATACCATCCATTCCAACCTTGAAGATGGAAGCGCTAGCTCAGGAAGGTAGTGAGCTAATCAGACCACCGTGCAAATCGTTGCGAAGATGGCGCGCGTATTGTTCCATTCCGGGGAGGATGGGCGAATGGCGAAGGGCAGATACAACAAAAAGATGAGCGGCAGACATCGCGAGTATACTGAAGTTGGTGTGCATCGGAAGGCAGTAGCTATGTAGCATCCGTGTTTCATGCGTGCGGCAGTTGTGATTATAGCATGTGGAAGTCGCAACAGCAGAGGGAGAGCGCGAGCATGAGACGCAAGTAAAGAATCTCACAATGCAGTAGAGTGGAGGAAGTAATATGGTCGATCTAAATCACTGCCCAAGTGGTAATACAACTGATACACTCGTTGTGTGAGAGTCTGAAGAGGAAGGAACGATGAATGTTCAAAAAGATACGATGCACGTTGGAAAAGAAATGTTGGGGAGTCACTTTCTTATGTACCATTATCATGGGCCGGGATAAAGCGAGGCAGTGGAGGGTCTGTTGCATATTCAATATGTTCTAGAGCTCAATCCGTAGGTAAACCAGCGACCGGACTGTTGTCCTTGCAGCAAGCTAAGCTGGGTAACCGGCACGCACGAGCAGGACCTCCAAAACCACATCATGAGCATCACGGCCACGACACAAATCAATAATGGCAGCGCAGTGGTTTCATAAGTAATTCATTCCATATGATACTCCCGTAGCTGAAAGCAAACTCCGCATATATCCGAGTGTCTAAACAGCCATCTCCAACGCGAAAAGTGCTTTTCTACTCATACAAGTGACTAGCTTCGTGAATGCAACCAAAATCGACATGTGAGATGCAACAATTTCCGCCTCAGAAGTCGACCATCTACAACTCGTCGTGGTCATCGGGCATCTCATCGTCACCACCGGGGCCACCAGAGCCGTAGAGCTTGGAGGTGATGGGGTAGGCGACATCGGACAGCTTCTGGAACTGCTCGTCAAAGTCCTCAGCAGCAGCCTCGTGAGCGTTGGTCTCGAGCCAGTCCTGAGTCTCCTTGACAGCCTCGAGGAGAGACTCCTTGTCCTCCTCCTCGATCTTGCCACCGAGACCCTCATCGTCGTTGACCTGGTTCTTGAGGCTGTAGGCGTAGTTCTCGAGCTTGTTGCGGGACTCAATGCGCTCGCGGTTGGCCTTGTCTTCCTCGGCGTACTTCTCGGCCTCCTCAACCATGCGCTCAATGTCTTCCTTGCTAAGGCGGCCCTTGTCGTTGGTAATAGTGATGGATTCACCCTTACCAGTGCCCTTGTCAATGGCGGAGACCTTGAGGATACCGTTGGCGTCGAGCTCAAAAGTGACCTCAATCTGGGGAACACCACGAGGAGCGGGACTAAATGCTGTTAGTTGCTGTTCAATTACGGAATCAGTATAGGGATGACTTACGGAATGTTGGTAAGCTCGAACTTTCCGAGGTTGTTGCTATTGAAAAAAAAAATTAGCAAGACGAACTTTGTGGCGAGCATTCGACTGATGACAGTGAAGAACATAAGGGTAGAACACTCACTTATCCTTAGTCATTGATCTTTCGCCTTCGAATACCTGGATGAGGACTACGGGCTGGTTGTCGGCGGCCGTTGAGAAGATCTGACTCTTCTTGGTGGGGATAGTAGTACCACGCTTAATCAGGGTGGTCATAACGCCACCAGTGGTCTCGATACCAAGGGTAAGAGGGTTGACATCCATAAGAATGACTGAGTCGGTAGCGGCGTCACCGGAGAGAACACCACCCTGAACAGCAGCACCGTAAGCGACAGCCTCATCGGGGTTGACATCCTTGCGAGCCTTCTTTCCGAAGAACTCCTCGAGCATGGCCTGGACCTTGGGAATACGAGTGGAACCACCGACAAGGACAATGTCGTCGATGTCGCTCTTCTTCATCTTGGCGTCCTTGAGAACCTGTTCAACGGGCTTGAGGGTCTTCTTGAAGAGGTCGTTGTTGAGCTCCTCGAACTTGGCGCGGGTAAGGGTCTCGGAGAAGTCCTTGCCCTTGAAGAAAGACTCAATCTCGATCTTGGTCGTCTTCTGGGATGAGAGCGTACGCTTGGCCTTCTCAACCTCGCGCTTCAGCTTACCCATGGTCTTGGAGTCCTTGGTGATGTCGACGTCGTTCTCCTTGTTGTACTTCTTGGTGAAGTAGCTGATGACACGGTTGTCGAAGTCCTCACCACCGAGATGAGTGTCACCGGCGGTAGACTGGACCTCGAAAACGCCCTCTTCGATAGTGAGGATGGAGACATCGAAAGTACCACCACCGAGATCGTAGACGAGAACCTGGCGTTCCTTCTGGTCGGTCTGTGACGCGTTAGTCGAGTTGTCACAATATTACATGATCATGTCTTACCTTGTCGAGACCATAAGCCAGAGCGGCAGCGGTGGGCTCGTTCACAACACGGAGAACATTGAGACCAGCGATAGTTCCGGCGTCCTTGGTGGCGGCACGCTGAGCGTCGTTGAAGTAGGCGGGGACGGTAACAACAGCGTTCTTGACAGGCTCGCCGAGGTAGCTCTCCGCAACCTCCTTCATCTTGCCCAGAACCATGGCGGAAATCTCCTCGGGTGTGAAGGTCTTCTCCTCTCCGTGAACCTCAACGCCGACGTTGGGCTGGCCGTTCTTGTTGACGACCTTGAAGGGGAAGTGCTTGATGTCATTCTGAACAGACTTGTCCTTGAACTTCTGACCGATGAGACGTTTCTGCTCCACAGTCAGTATACCAGCCTCTAAAAAAAATAGTATATGGGGGTGTACGTACGATATCGAAGACGGTGCGTTCGGGGTTGGAGGCGAACTGGTTCTTGGCGGCATCTCCGACAAGACGTTCGTCATCGGTGAAGGCTACCCAAGAAGGTGTGATACGGTTACCTGTAGAGGATGTATGTTAGTTTTGGTGTGAGGTGATTTGAGCATGCTAACTTACCCTGGTCGTTGGTGATGATCTCAACCTTTCCGTTCTTCATGATACCGACACAAGAGTAGGTGGTTCCAAGATCGATACCAATAACGGGGCCGGAGACAGCGTTGGAGTCCTCCTTGATAGGTTCCTGGTCCTGGGCGTGTGCTGTCTTAGCCAGCATCAAACCGCCGACGAGGACGAGGAGAAGGTAGAAGGCGATGGACCATGTTGAGCGCTGGTTGGCGCCCCGTGAGCTTCGTGCCATTGTGATGTGTGTATGTGTAGTCTTTCGAAGACTATATGGCTTTCAATGCCAGTTGCAAGTGCGGGCGTAACTCTCTGGGAGCTCGCAATGTGGTGGAGAAGACTAGGCTCTCCGGGTATCGTAAAGGACGGAAAACAAGAGGCAAGTTGCGGTTGCTTTGGGGTGAGTGGAGGAAGAAGGGCAAGTAGCGGTGGGAAAGGCTACTATTATATGGGCCAGTCGTGGAAGTATTTCGAAAGAACACCTTGCGATCTCGAGGATCTTGTTCCGGAAACAGACTAGCGTTGAGCTCGCTCATGGTCCGTTCACTTTGCCCCAACCGCCCGCAGCAGCCTCAATTTCACCTGTGTTTGATGTAACCTGCTACAGGACACGTGTATTCACTGTGGACTGTGCTTCATTGTTCTCGTGTAATGCGTGACTCTGCGCTATGCATGGCTATAGGCCACAGTAGCTTCTTATACGGACAATTAGGAAGTAACACCTACAACGTCGCTATCTGTTATCGCGTGTTTAGTACAATTTACCCCTCCATCTAAGCGAACTCGAACATTTCGACACTTTGGTGCTCTCGCCATCTTGACTTTCAAGTCGCGAATGAATATATCAAAATTGGAAAACCACCATTGTTGTCTTGCGCGAGTCCCTCCAGAAAACCTTGGTCCTTCGGTGGGTAATCTCGGACTTGGTCCTGGTTGTCTTCTCCAAGTTCCAGGTGTCCTTTCGGTAGGCTTCCAAATCGCTAGGCAGATCTACACGAGACACCGGCTCCACCGCGAACATCATTCACCTCGATGACTCCTTTGTCTATATGTAACGTTTCCTCAAATCTTGTTGCCACCCGGCTGTGAAGCGACAATGCTTTGGAAATTTTGGCCGCTGCCTGGAATAAGAAGGGACTGGAGCACGTAATTCCCTGATCACTATTCATGACTATCCTCTCATACTTGCATTCGTCAACGCATTCACTCATGACACGGACTTGCTTCTCAACTGCAAGGCGAGCGGGGAGCATTGTAACACCATACATGCGTCGTTTGATGCTTCATTCCGGGTGTCTTAAGATCTGGTAAAGAGAATCTTCGCGATCGTTCCACCCTCCGATCAGCCGCCTCGCCAACACGACCACCAACTTCCGTCACCAGATCTCTACCAAAGTCTTCTTCGGAATGCTTAATGCAGCAGCCCATTGCGCACCAAATCTGCTTCTCCAGACAATCTAGCCTATGACCCCAACCCCTATGCCATAAGGTATCGCTTTCCTGGCAAATCTCACCGCAACGTGCTTGAAGAACATATTCTACTTCTGCCTGTTGCCTGTACCGATCCTTGGCAACCTGTCGCATGTCCTTCGTGTTGCACACGCCGTAAAAACCCAGCATGATTTTGCGAATTGTCCTGCCGCAGTTGGGCCCGTAAAGCGACTCCAGTACGTTGATTATGAGATCCGCGCATATTCCCAACGTCGTGCTGAAGATGGCCTCCTCCATGCTGCCATACGACTACTCATCGATATCACTCTCCACCATGATAACTTTCGCTTCGGGATAGGCTTCAATGAGCTGCGTGGCGAATACCATGGTGCACAGGCTATCTCGCTACAAGAAGAGTTGACACGATGTGGCACTGTCAATCACGAGGCTGTGCAGCTCATCACGGCAGCCATTGCGCAGCGGCTTGCTAGCCTATGGTGAGATCCGAGGCCGACATCGATGCCGTTAGACCGCTGAGAGCATATGGTGTTGTTATTCTGGTGGCTGTTGTGGTGAGGAACTGGGTTGCCCGCGAGTTGTTTCCTGTAGAGGGGCATTTGGATGAGAGCATCGTGTGTCAATTGTAAGCTTCCGAATCTCGACTGCCCCTTGTTCACCTGTCTTAGCATCAATACTCCATGCAATCGATGCTCCATGTTCAATGTTATGCAGAACGTGCCGATGTCACAATTGGCACAAAACCTTGCAGAAAAGAGTAAACTGGTTCTTGTGCAGGCTTAAGGTCTTGTGTATCTAGGTAGTATCTATAGTATTTATTTTTCTATCGTACGCGTCTTCCTTTTTGATATTCGTGATGCATGCGAAGAAAGGAGGAAGGTGCGAACCCGAGCAGCCAGCCACCGAACTGGCTTAGCCACAGATTCTGATTGGGCAGCACCCGATCATAACGTCATGGACTCGTAGAACTGTTTGGTCGTCACCAGTGTTGGGCCGCGGAATCGATCTTGATTTGTGTGAAGCTACTGTATACTTGGCTGCTAGATTCACTACAGAATGCTTGTAACCATACATAAAGTTGCCAGTCTTTCCATCTGGCGGATCAGCTCTATCGGCTTTCTTCCCCGATAAACCAGTCGCGGCTATTGCATTAGTTTACCGTCGGCTACACAGTTAAGCCACTCTATCGACATGTCGGGCAACGTTGTAGACCCTGAAGCACGGGACAAGTATCTCTTACAAGGTGCATGACATTCGACTCGAATTGATCGCGCAAAGTGCTAATGACATCTAGTAACGGCTGGACCGTCGTACAATGCCTCGGAACACGAGCAAGTATCAGTCAACGGCCCAAATCCCACATACGTTGAAAGCGACCTGGTAGAAGCATGGATTCGCGTCCGTATCAAGGACTACCATGGCCTACCCCGTGGTTCCCCAGCATCGTCGTCTTATTTCGACCACCCACAACATATCTCCGATAGGTATTCCATTGCCTATTCTTTTGTACCCAAGCAAGACATGTCTAGTTCTGATCTTGTAATGGGCTTCGACTATGGTCATTCAATCAAACACCAACTCCCACCTGGCTTCAGGTACGCAATGAAGATTGCCACCAGTATGCTTGACCCTGGACTTTATTCAGATGCATACTCCGATAAGCCGTATCTATACGGACCCGCGCTTTCAAGTTTCTTCGCTTTCAGAATCGGGGACCGGACGAGCGAAGTGTCAGCAAAAGACCAACTCGCAAATCTTAGTCAAGAAACAGATAGTGTAATAGAAGAAGGTGCATCAGGAAGCGGCAAAGAAGTTCGCAAAGCCTCATCTATGCCTTCGAAATGGAAGAAAAGACGGAAGCATTACCTCAATGAACAAGCCCTCTCAGCTTTCACGTTCGAAAAGGGTCGAATGTATCATGCCGACTTCTTCAATCCGCATCTTGATTTTGCAAATTTCTCATTGAGATTACCAGGTTTCTCGATTAGTGTGGCCAAGTATGTGGATGAGAAGACGCATCATTTGAGATACGTACTCAGGAACCGGAGGACGGAGGAGGTACTTCTAGTGGTCTTTTTCGAATTGTTGTTTGGCAAGGAATTGGATGATACACTGGAGAAGGAGAAGAGGAGAGAAAGTGCACCATCGGCTGTGTCTGTGGATAATCAACCGAAGCGGGAGGGAACGGGCCATGGTGAATTGACGAAAGTGTGTGCTATTGAGGAGGCTGAACGACGGGCCTCGCAACCTCAACCACGGACAGTGGAACGGGACCATGCTCCTCCAAGGCAACCTGCAGGCATGGATGGTGCAGCAGCAGAAAGAGCGGTCGAGGTCGATGGCGAGCCACAGGAGGACCAAGGCTATATCGGCCAAGCAACGACCGCTGCGTCGAACCTTGCAAAATCCGTAGTGGCAGTATACGCAGCGCTGGGCTTTGGCAACTCATCATCTTCATCGTCCGATTCAGAGGCTTCAATCAGGAGCAGCTCGCCTCAGCCATCGAACAGGTCAATGGCAGCTGAGATCGATGATATGGACGACGAGACAGTAGAGCGGTACTTGCAGAGTCGACACGGCAGCGTATGAGATCCTTTGTATACCCATTACGTATCAAGACAATGGTATCATGTAACCTCGTAGTAATGTGAATCTTAATGACCCACAGGGCTGTCGTCCTAATCCCTCTGAGCCGCTTTGATATACTCAGCACATTGCTCTCCAGCGATCCTACCAAACACCACAGATTCGAGCAGTGAAGAGTCGCCGAGTCTATTTCTACCATAAATGCCGCCTGCAAATTCTGCTGCATCCCATAGTCATTCAATTGATGTATCTTCCTTGCGAAGTAGGGTAGGATCTGGTACCAGTAGGCTTGCTGTTCTCCATCTCCATCTTACATTACTTTCTTATCGTCGACGATCACGTGGCGGAATCATTGCGCCTTGTTGGTCTACGAAGCAGCACGAGCGATGGAGCCTTCCTGACATTGGTTGAGGGTGTGTGTATGTGTGCAGAATGCGTACACTTGTGTTGAAGCAGGAGTGTACATTCGATGGAAAGAACGACGAGAGGAACGCATCGGCAGTGGGTATCCGCGGACGCCAATCTAAAGTAGCCTAGCAGGCACGTGCAGTTGGCCCCACGCTCATCTCGAAGCCGATGAAACTCCGGAGTTGTCTCCTTGACACACGCTCTGCACCGCACAACATTCAGAAGGCAACATTACACGCTCTCACACCGCACGGCGCTGAGATTAAGCAACTGCAGTCGGTCCGTGTTCGAGCTTACAGCAACTGCACGCGCCAGGGCGCACCCTAGCTTTCGGTAGCTCACCTCCACATGACGGATCTGCGTCTCGGAAACTGAAGCTTCCATGGCACTAAGCACGTTTTGTCGAGGAAAGACTGCCCAAAGGACAGCGCGACGCGAGGGTGATGTGTGGTCAGGTACTGATTCATCCGGCGTATGTCTTCCCGCGTCTTGCGGGTATCTGTGTTCCAGTAAGAATCCTCCTGCGGCACTTTTAGTGGCGCGGATTCATGCGTTGCCGGTTGGTATAGTTCTCTTTATGTAGCTGGAAAACTCCTACGCCAATGGCGCTTTGATATAATCTTCACTTTCACATGATCATCTCCCGCGTAGTGTAGTGCTACAAAATCGGCCCTTCGAATAATCTCCGCAACCATGATAAGCACCTGTTTGGACCTCGCGCTCTTGTGCCATCCGGTACTCGCTTTCCTCACGATACAACGACCAAAGATGGCGGCTCAACAATCGAAATGGCATTACTTTCTCTTCAGTTTCTTTGCGTTGCTTGCCATACGCTATGCAAGCACCACGAACGCAGAGCCTCAGGTACCGCAAGGAGTGGCTCAGGCTACTTGTCAGTCGATTGACCAGCCAAATCCTATTGCGTCACTCTACCCGATGAACGCCACTGGAACGCTGAATGGCACTGTATCAGTGCTACCCATTTCACTGCAGCTCACGCGCCAACTCATTCCTTCACAATATCGCATCTTGGAGCACGCATACCGACATCTCCTCCCTGCATTCCCTGAGGGAATGTACCCGGCCATACTTCAAGCAGTACACGACCACGAAGTACAAGCTTTCGGCTACCAAATACCCGACTTCTCAGTACGAGATGCGCCTAAACCCTAGATGGCGATCATGCTAACAATGACTAGCGTAGTGGCATTGAATTCCCCTTCCTGGACCTACTAGGCGACAACACGACATCATTCAAGTGGGCGCCCTCACTTCTCATGTCTGCCGACAACGAAATCGCTCTCAAAGGTGCAGCAGACTACGGAACCAAAACGTTCCCTTCATCTTTCGAACCCGCCTGCGACGCCTACAGTGCCGTGCCCGACGCCAAGGAACCAGGAACAACGTCATTCAGCGCAACGAGTTCCGATGCTGGCGCCGCGTCAGTCAGCACGCAATTCTCAATCACAAAGGAAGAAGTCTATCCGCTTGGCTTCTTCATGAACGTCACGAATCAAGTGATATTCGCCGACGGCAAGACGTGTGACAACATGATCCGTCTTTTCAACACCAGTCTAACAACAAGTCCAAATACCATCGAGACAGTCAAGGGCACAGTGAAAGCCAAGATGTTCCCTTTTGAAAGTGAACAAGAGTGGGAGTGCTCGCATGGAATCAGGCTGGACACAGCATTTATTGAGAATAACTACCTACCTTGCGAGAACTTTAGGAATTACGGCGCTTAGATGTGAGAAGAGGAGGGTGGGAAGTAATCGTGCGAGGAGACTACACATGAAACGCGCAGTACACAGCGATATGCGCATCCTTTTCTGGCACATGGAGCTTTGAATGACTCAACAACGATACCCATCAAGCCGTAATGGCTAGCGAAACCTGATTAGACTGTACATAGAAACATAGAAGAAATCGAAGATGTGTACATAAACGCTACATGTTTATTCTACTGTTCTGCTTGTTGATCATGGAGAAGAAAAGGATACTTTGAGCGTGGGTGTCCATCACAAGAGTGCAGAGCTGCAGGTTACATCATCATCAGCCGAGGATATAAAGGCGGCGTCATCCTATAATTGAAAAAGCGTAAGTAGAAATGAGGTAGTTGAGTTTGAGCTGACGAATATGTTGCATGTATTCTTTGTTTAGGATGAAGATACTACGTCTCGTGAAAGGGTAAAGAGTAGATCACGAAGAAGCTTGTTTTTATTACGTTCTACACATTGTCAGACTCGTACCTTGAGGGTATACGTAATAATCTACGTTACAAATTTAACATCAAAGTAATAGTGTATACCTCTAGGGCAAGCCTCTCCTCTAAGACAGGTCTTGGTGCTTTGGGGTATAAGTCATAGGAATCGAGCTCTTGTCGTACTCGACATACGCCACTATGAAGAGCTAGCTAAGCTACATCTCGGGGCCGAAGAGCATAGAAACAGAGTTGTACAGCCATAGATACGACCCTCATGACTACGAAGGATTTCTTCAATTCACACTTCCTCAATGCCCAACAGCTTGAAGGCGGATGATCTGGCGAGGCAGACATGTAAACGATTACTTCAAGACTTACCACGTAATGGAGAGATCTCGTTCTAAGATACTAACAAGGTGGATTTACAGATGTCAATGCGCACCTAATGAAGGCAAGTCACATCTGCAGAAACAGATCATAAAAGTACAACTCACCTGTAACAGTGTATAGTGGGTGATAATGTCCTCTCTTAACCAGTTGGTCGGCAGTCGCACAGAGATCCCTTGATGTTGGTTAGAGGCATGACAAGTGCATCTTGGAGAAAAGCGTACATGTTCTGATTGGACTGTCTCAAAGCTCACACGCCCGAAAGGGCCTCCAAAGTCGCCAGTTGTTGTACAAATACCGCTGAGTCGCGGTAGTCTTCGCATGAGTCCTGCAGTAAGCCGAACCTTTTGGGAATCGCATAGACACACCTTAACGCCAAGTTCCGGGGGTAATTACCAACCGCCACCGCCTCTTCTGCCTCCGCGACGGCCGCCTCCTCTACCGCCACGGAAGCCGCCGCCACCGTATCCGCCTCCTCCCCAGCTTCCACCGCCGCCTCGGTCCATGTCGCCGCCTGAGGAAGCGTAGGCGTTGCGGCCCGGTGGCGCGCGATCCTTGAGCTCCTTGGTCAGGGTTTCGTAGGACTTGCGCATTTGAGCGTAGCCAAGATGCATCTTTCCGTAGAAGTGGTCTGCTAGACGCCGATCATTGTCAAGACGGCTGAGATACGCACCGCATACGTCGCAGACTTGGAGCTTCTGGTGACCAGATGGCCCTCCAGTGTCTGACAAAGCTCGAAGTTCCCTCTCGCGCTCCTCCTTCTCAGCTTTCTTGTAGCGGACCTTGGTGAACTCTTGCACAGCCATGTTGACCATGCCCTCCTCGCCCATGATCTGAATCTCGAGCATGCCGGCGTCGATTGATTTGGTCAGTTCGTTGATCGCTTTGAGCTGTCCACTATTAGCCGTGGAGCAGGTTCTAAAGCTGAGGTTACTCACAAGAGCATTCGTCTGTCGGATCTCTTCAGGCGTCTTCTCCAAGCGGCGCTGGGCAGTCTCTATCTTGCGATTGCAACTGTCAATGTGATGCTGCATATCGCGCATGTAATCGAATTCGAAGCCCCACCTGCGCTTCTGGTCCGCATCCGCCTCCTGATACTCTGTCTTGAGCGCCTCGTTGTGGACCTTGGAACAGGGACCCAGTTCGTTCTTAGTGTTGGTGAAGAGGTCATGAGGGCAGTTGCCCACGAGATACGAGCGACAAACTTTGGGGTCGGTGATGCTGAGTTGGGGCGCGCGCTGGTCGGTCCCGCTCATGAGCTGTTCGCCCATAAGCTGCTCTGTAGTCGCGTCAGCATGTGAGCAGTCATGGTAGGAAAGGATGCGAGAGCCTACCGAGCAGCCTGCGCGTCTCTGCGGCGGCCATGATGTGTAGAATATAGGATTGCGCGATTGAGTCGTGATGTGGAGAGCTGGAAGGTGAGTGACAGCCAGAAGAAATCGCGACCGCGGCAGTGCCAAGTACTCACGTCAGCTGGCCAATCACATGTGGGGCGCCTTCACTCCACACGTCCGCCGCAACACCTGACGCCTATCGTCAGTCGTCACAGACACTTTTTGCGTAGAGAGCGCTACGATGCTGCGATGCTCTCGTCTTTTTACTTTCTGCTGCTCAATGCCCTGATAGCATTCGTCTCTGCAGGTGCCGACTACAACGAGCGACTCCTCCTTCGACCCCTTCCCCAGAACACCCTGCTGGCCTCTTTCAATTTCCGGAGCAATGAGAGCGCGACCGCATTCGAACAGCAGAACTTCGGCTACTTCCCACGTTCCTTTGGACAGATCCTGCAACATGCGCACACGAGGGAACTACATTTGAGGTTCAGTGTTGGACGATGGGATGCCGAGAACTGGGGGCAACGGCCATGGAATGGCGCAAGAGAAGGAGGGACTGGTGTTGAACTATGGGCCTGGGTAGAGGCTGATACCGAAAAAGAGTATGATCAGTGCAACTTGAACGAAGAAACTATACTAATTTAACCAGAGCATTCGCACGATGGCTGAAGCTCACCAACGCTCTGTCAGGTCTCTTTTGCGCCTCTATAAACTTCATCGATGCTACCAAGACTATACGGCCTGTCATGTCATTCGACCCCGAAGGTCAGCACGGTAACTCGTCCAACCTCCACCTACTCCACGGTACACTACCCCACGAAGTCGTCTGCACGGAGAACCTTACACCCTTCCTGAAACTACTACCTTGCAAGGGGAAGGCAGGCGTATCCAGCCTGTTGGACGGACACAAGCTATTCGATGCCTCATTCCAGACCATGGCGATCGACGTCCGTCCAACGTGTGAAGAAGGTAGCTCCAGCTGTTCGATAGAGATGGAGCAAAGCGTAGACATGGTATTAGACATTGCGAGAGCGAAGCGTCCCAGAGACAACCCAATTCCACGCCCTCTACCGATCAACCAGATGGAATGCGACACGTCTAAGCCGTACAACGGACACGATACTTGTTACCCCTTAAACAAGGGTACCGAGCCCGCCTGGACACTAGAGGATGTCTTCGGAAGACCGCTCAGGGGAGCCTGCCCGCTGGCAGATCAGGCTGAAGGGGAGGCAAACAATGTCTGTATCAACACGCCGCCAGAGCGCACACTCGAGGTTAAGACGACAGGTGAATTTACAGAGTCAAGACTAGCATCGGACACGCTCCGCTGCTACAAGCTTCCCATTGGCGCAGACTTCGACCTTGTCCTACCTGAACAAAAGATGACCACTGGTCTCGTCCGCCCCGACCCTCTAGTCTTCGCAGCAAGGTCTATCAACGGCCACGGCCAGGAAAGGGGTAGCACACAGTCAACTATCAAGAACCCGTCCACCACCAACGCCGTCGAGATAGTATACCTAGAATCTCTACCATGGTTCATGAAACCCTACCTGCACACCCTTCAAGCCCACATCGACACAACAGACGAAAGCCCCATCAAAGAGACCTACTATCGACCAGCAGTCGACCGCAAGCGTGGCACCCACCTCGAACTCCGCATGATCATCCCGCCAAGCTCGACCCTTACCCTAACATACGATTTCGAGAAGGCAATCCTGCGTTACACTGAATACCCACCAGATGCGAATCGAGGCTTCGACGTCGCACCTGCCGTTATCCGTATCTTGTCCCCACAATCAGGAGATAACAAGGGCATCTACGTCCGCACTACTTCGCTGCTTCTCCCTCTTCCAACTCCAGATTTCAGTATGCCGTATAATGTTATCATTCTGACGAGTACTGTTATGGCGCTGGGCTTTGGTAATATCTTTAATCTGCTTGTGAGACGCTTTGTAGGTGTGGATGAAATGCCTACTATGGGCGCTGGGGGATTGAAGGGTATCATCTTGGGCAAGGTGGCTAGGCTCAAAGGTCTACTGGGGAGAGGCTGAGTTTTGTTGTTCGATAAAACATAAAAAGATCTACATGCGCCAAGGGTATATACGAACGCTCTATCCAGCGTTGCGAAATGCGCCAATGAAAAAGAATCCTTGCTGTTCACTTCCGAGCATTGTATAACGGACAAACGAGCCAAAACTCCAGATGATCTGAGCTAGCCGTGGCTTCGATAAGTCTCCAAGAACTTCAACCTTTCCATGATTCCACCCCACCCATCTAGCGTATGTTTCCTCTCCAGCTTCGCAAGTTCGAGCCCATCGCCACCCTCTACAGCAGCATCGTCTTCTATACTCCAGATACCTCTCTCTGCGGGTAGGGGCTTCCCATCCTTCCATGCATCAAGTACTCTGACCGCCAACTCGGGCCGCATCCGCGTGCGCTTGAGTGCTTTGCTGATGAAATCATTGGGCCATCCTTCTTCGTTCCGATCCTCGTAGAAATCATTGATCTCGTCACCGGTGAGGGGTGGGTCAGGATCGCCTGAGCCTGTAGAGACCGAAGATGTTGAAGAGGGTGCAGGGGATGAGGATAGGCGGAGTGGCTGAGGGGGAAGTTGAGAGTAGAGTGTCTGATCTGGGTCTTCCTCTTCCTGGAGGGAACGGCGAAACTCTTCTAAAGACTGTGTTGTAGAAACGTCGGATTCTGACTGTTGAAAGGGTGATGAGTACCGCTGCTCCTGATGAGGCTTTACGTCATGGGTGTACTTATGTGGTGGCGGGAAGTCGTCTTGTGTCGGCGAGAGAATGGCTTGAGTGTCGAAGTTGGAAACTTTCTGGCGTGCGGCACGTGGTGTGGGTGTGTTTGAGGGTAGATCATCGTCCAAGACATTATCTGGCGAAGGCGGTGCGTGTAAGCTATCGATGTTCAGAAAGTCATCTGACTCTATACTCTCTACCTCTTTCTCTTCTGTGTCCCCGTTCAAGTTGACCATGGTAGCGTCATCGTCCCCTGTGTCGAGCGCTTCTGATCGAATTTGCCTTTGCATCAGCTCTTCGGCATCCTCTGACTGCGAAGTAGTTTGAGAGCTCTCAGTAGAAGAGATTTCAAGAGGCTGGTTCTGTGTACCGATTGCTTTACTTGGGGACACCGGGTCTTCCTGGGTAGGCGTTGCGCTTCCACTCTTCCACCGTTTGGTGGGAGGCGCTACCTCTACCACTTCTTCTTGCTCTACGATGCTGTTTTCCCGCATTCGCTTCGTGAACCTTTCCAGTTGACCAACATAAAAGTTTGGAGATTCAGGTCGGGCGGTGGAGGATGACGGCACCCTGATTTCTGACGCGATTCTTGCCGGATTTTTAAAAGCATCCAATGTGTCGTTTGTAACCGATTGGTCTTTAGCAAGATAGGGTGCTTTCTCTTCTGCTGAAAGTGAGCGCCACTGATCTAGCAAGAGTTTATGAAGTGCAACTGTGTCCTCCATGAGTGAACGTCTGGGAAAACATCGTTTGATGTACTTACCATGATCTAATGCTGGTTGTGCATTCAACGTATCTTGCTTCTTCTCAAAGGCGTAGAGGGTGTAGGCAGGAGAAAGTTGTTCACTTTCTTTATCATTCAGCAATTCCTCGAAGCGCTTGTCATCAAATCCCGATGACTGTCCGGTCCTCGCTTCCTCTTGTGCTGCTGTAGCAGAAAGTATCTTATCCGGTTTCCCCAACTCTAGCGACTGTTGGCCGGTCGGTTGGCCTTCACTTGCAGGTTCTGCATCATATTTCTGTTCCACCCGCCTCTTGATTTTCTCCCTTTTCGAGGTTGGATCACGCAACCATTGAGGATGGACCACCTTCTCATAATACTGTTGCCAGTGTTGAACGGTTTGTTTGCTCCTGAGTTCAGCCCAACCAGCCCAGTGAGTCTCGTATTCGTCCTTTCCTTTCCAATCATCGATGAGGTCCGCATAAGCATACAACTCTAGCCAGTCGTCTACGCTGAACATTCCTTCTAGCTCTTCCACGCTAAAATCATCTTTTGTTTTCGACTGGCCTATTCTACTGAGATTAGTCGCATACAAAGCCTGCTCTATTTTAGGTGTTTGCTGCTTCGCAGTCTCGGAGGGGACTGGGGGCATACGTTCGGTTGACTGGTCGGAAGGAGGAGAAGGGGGAGCGTTGTCAGGTATGTTGAAAGCCGAGGGCGGACGACTCTTTAATTGTCTGAGATAGCGATCGCGCCATGACTGCCATGTATGTCGCGGGTGCTACCTTTCGTCAGCAGTTAGGCTCACATGTGGTTTCTTTGTTGGCGCATACCAGGGCTTCTAGCTGCTTGTATATCTCGTTGCCACTAACTTGGGCACCAGCTGCTTCGGCGTCGCGCACCCATTTGTAGAGTATCCTGTCCTCTTCTGCGGTATATGCTGCTCTCCCGCTTTTTGTGGGTTGGTGAACAGATCCAGGCTCTCGCGCCTCACCTAACGGTGGTCCCGCTGGGTGGTCTGCAGGATCTTGAAGTTCTCCGTCCTTGATGGACTTTTCTACAAATGTGTACGATACTGTTCCTGGTGGACAGGTCCTAAAATGGTCCGCGATTCGGTAATCCGCCTTTTTCTCTAGTACTACGATCTCTCCGCCATTGGCTTTGATGTCGTCCAGAAGCCGGATGCGCGACGGCACGCGTTGCGCAACCCAAAACTTCTTGCCCGCGAATATTCCTGCCCCAGAACTGAAGTCGAGATCCTCCGCGACATCCTTGTATACGGTCGGCCCTGCCATAGTGGAATGGTGTTGTCGGCTCCAGGCGCAGGTGAAGGTGGAATGACGCGTTGGCTAGGTTGCGACGCGTGCTCACATGAGACGCTTGATTCACGCGGGGTCGCTTAGCTACCGCGGCTACTCAGCCCTATCCGTGGCTTGCACGCTGTCACCGACGTGAATTGGTGAGCAGAACGCAACGTGATCGCGATGCGATAGAAACTTCAAATCACGTCTTGCTTCCGCGTTTCGCCATGCACGGCATCGTCTCTGGGCTCCTTTCATCATGACCGTCGCCCGCACCATCATCATCTTCACCATCACAGTATCCCTGGTCACTTTCATAGCCTTCTTCGGACGACTGCCCGCTTTCAGGTATTACATTCTCCTCAAACTCGCAGTCCCCCCTCTAATGTGCCTAGAAATACTCCCATAGGCTTCCTCAACCGCCTCGTTCTCATCCACATCCCCTCAGCGTTCCGAAAACTCGACCTCGCCCTCACCAATGGCCGCATCACAAACGGCGGTTCCCGCCTGGGCAACTACCTCATGCATGACAAACACCCGCTGGTCGTAATATTCTTCCTCGGCCTCGTAACCGCATGCGCGACGCTATTCTTGCCTACCGTTTGGCACCTCCTTCGAGCGTACCACAAGCTCCTCGTATTCATCCTGCTGCCACAGCCATACATCTTTTTGTATCTAAGCGCGAAACGAAACAGTCAAACATATATCAACACGCTCAATCATGCCGAGCAGATGCGACACTACCCGTATGACAGAGTGCTATACTATCCAGGAACACCATGCCGGACATGCAAGTTCTTGAAGCCGGCGCGGAGTAAGCATTGCAGTATATGCAAGACATGCGTATCAAGAATGGATCATCATTGCATATGGGTCAACAATTGTCTGGGGCGAGGAAACTACAAGTGGTTTCTAGCCCTGTTGCTGTCCACTGGCATACTGATCGCCTATGGGGCGTACCTGGCTCACTATGCCCTTGCACCGTTGGTCAACAAACATTATTTGAAGTATGAAGGATGGTACAAATACAATCCCAAGCAAGGTGTGGATACGAGAGGTTGGTATGCGTACTTCGACAAGAAGACTCACTACTTGCTTATCTATATAACCATTTATCTCGACATGGGAGGTGTTCGTGGATCTGGTGTTGGACTACTCGCTCTTCTCACATGGCCACTTCCGCTAGGTCTACTCGCATACCACATCTACCTGATTTGGGCCGGCATGACTACGAATGAGAGCGGCAAATGGGCAGACTGGCGAGACGACATGACGGATGGTGTTGTGTTCCTAGGTCACAGGCGGGAAGACACCATGCAAGAGTACCGTTCAGCAACGTCCGCACATGACCCTATACATGCCTCAGCACATTCTTCTTCTTCAACTTCGCCATTCCCGACCCCTCCGGAAACCCCACCAGAAGATGAAGAACCTCCAACAACTTGGCCGATAGAAAGCAGACACATACTCATCCGCACGCGAACCGGCCAACCGCCCAAAACACTTCCAAGTCGCATCAAGTCAGTAGCCAAAGAAGATAGCTTTGAACGTGTATGGAATCTAGCAGCGGTGGAAAACGTGTACGACTTGGGTTTTTGGGACAACATCTTAGAAGTACTGTTGAATTAGTAGACCACATAAAAATCAGATCTTCGAATCCTATTCAATGTACTTTACATGCATTTGTTCGGCCCTACTCCAACCACCATCCTTGTAAAAAGTCCCAGACCCTGCGCCCGTTCATGCTAAAACCTGCTGCCCACCCCAGCCTCTTTCCATGTACAGCTATGACGTCATCTGGCCCAAACCTCAACACCAAGGCACATATACAAAAAGATGCGTACCGCCGGTTCCGCGGAGTTTCCTCCGCTACCAGCATCACTTTCCCATAGTAGCTAAAAGATCACATTCCAACCACGATACCCGTTGCGCTCTTCACATATCCTATCAAAGAACAACCCAGGCCTTCAAGATGACACAAGCCGTATCGAAGCAAGAAGCCTCCAAACAACAAGTGCAGCAGCAAAGTCAGGCTGCGGGAAGTAGAGAGGTTCAGGAACATCATGCCAGTGCGAATGCCTCTGTACGTTGATTCCCTCTTGCCTCTTCTGTTTATCCATACCATGTTACGCACTACATTGAAAGCGCCAGGTATTCTATAGACATGACTAATATATGTATATTCACAGGCCGGTCTAAACCTTAACCTCTTCGGCGCTCTCTCTGGCGCCTTCTCCTCCAAACAAAAGAAAACCACGCATCAAAATGCTGATGGTTCATCCACCACCACGGAGGATAAACACGATCAGGGTATGTTGACATCCCATCTACCCCATCCATTCAGACATACCCACATCCCGTCATCCTCCTCATCATACTTTACCATGCTTCGTCATACCTAGGTACTGGTCATGCTGACCAATTCATACAGGCACAGCAAGTGCTGCAGCCGGCGGCCGCGGAAGTGCATACGCAGCTGGAAATGCACAACAGTCTAGTTTGAAAGCAAAGGAGAGTGGTGTGGGGCAGGAGAGTAAGCAGGGGAAGAGTGTAAAGCAGGTTGATCATTTGGGTATTGAGGGTTAGGCGGAAGACAAGAAAAAAAAGGGAGGACGGTAAGATAATATTATAATTGGCTTTCGAAATACAGGCGTATGGCGATATGAATGAACGTGCAACAACGTATTACTGTGCTATACTAGCCAAAAAAGCGCCGTTTGCGTAGATTTGATGACATTTCGCGTCAATCAACATGCGAAGAACAACCAAGATAAGTGATATCCGACCCCAAAGAAATAAACACCCAAGTAACAAAAACGCCATGCTGAACTCGGTATATGCAAAATCCATCCCAAGCGCCCTATAACACCAAAGTTCCAAAAGATGATTCCACAACTCGGAACAGACAACTCTTAAACCGCCTCGCCAACCTTACTCAACCCTTCAACACCCCTCTTAGCAGCAACAACATGCCAAGGAACAGCCCCATTCCTCGTGCCCCTCATCCCCCTAAGCTTTGCCAACAACCCCAGCGCCCTAAACTGCCCCAGAACTTCCTTCAACAATCCCTCAGCCGTCGTTCTCGTCTGCGGGGTAGGCGTCCACATAAGACTCGTCGTACTCCTCTGTCCCGCATCCTGACCCGGCCCGGGACTGTGCGGTGTAGCCGCGTTACTGGCATAGGGGTTAGGCAAGGTAGAAGCACCCGGACTAGGGAGATCTGAGGATGCCGGCGTAGCGGAGGAGGTGCTACTGGAAGAAGACGGTGGGAAAGGAGAAGAAGCAGCGCGTGTTGAGCCTACAGCGCCAATCCAAAGGAAGTTTACTGCTACGACCGTGGGACCTGGTTCGGGGTCTGGGATGGGGTGTGAGATGCTGTTGCGGGTATGCTGTGTTTCTCCGCGTTTGACCAGGAGACCGGATATGAGGGCGGGGCTGAATTGGGTTGTGGAGTGTGTGTTGTGAAGACGATGAGCGAGGATTACGCCCCATGTTTCGTCTGTGATGTCGATTAAGCGAGCTTCTGGGTCCGCTGCTGGATCCGTGGCGGAGGGATCGGCGGACGGTGTTGCGGCGGGTGTTAGGCCTGGCCCTAGATCGGAGGGGGAGACACCAGCTTGGGGTGTGGAGTCTGGGGTGTTTGTACTACCACCAGTAGTCGTGCTCGGCCCAGTCATGGTAGGCGTGAACTTGTACGGTGGATCCGTATCTACCGCTGTGAGTAATGTGACGAACACATTGATCTGAGTCGGACAAGAGATAAGGAAGACCCAGGTCTCTAGTTCTTCCCTTTCCAGGACCCCGGCTTTGGCGATACAAACGCGCCAATTGACTCGTCGCGATTGCAGAATCTCGATAGTGGTTTGCCATATTTCTTTTGCAACCTCTCTGAACATGCGTGTACCTAAATGATACGAGACGACTGCTTGCGACTTCCCACAGCTGTCGGTCCAAGCTGCTGTCACCCAAGTGCCGTCAAGGCTAATCGCGTACCCAAGGTGCATATATGTGTTTTCTCGAAGCAGATCCTGCGCAGGCTCAGAGATAAGCTTGAAGGGTATGTTGCGTGGAAGAGTTTCTTCGAGGTGAAAAGCAGGCGCCGCATATATGCTAAGAGATGTTTTGTCACCACTAGGTGCGCTTGGCGGGCATCGATCGTAGACTTCTCGGGCAAGGCTGAAGTAAGTAGCGGGATCTAGGATCACAGGGGTGTCGAACGAGGCGATATACTTGATCGGTATGACCTGAAGCACAAGGTCTGGCTTTTGAGGCTGGTCCGGACGTCCTGTGGATCCTTGACCGTAAGCCTGGAAGAGCGCCCAGAAAGCCGAACATAGCTCCCACAGCGTGGATGGATTGCCCAAAGGATCGATCATGTAGATGACAAACGCATCAATCTTCGAATCTTGCTGCTCTCGTATTTTGGCATGCTGTATGGCAAGAAGTTTTCCGAGCTGGACACATGTCTCCTTGAGAAGCTTGAACGTCTCTGCTGGTGTGATGGCTGAGCTGGCCCTTACAGGCACAAGACCTCCTTCGAACTCTACGACCGTCTCGACTCGACTATGTGTACCGAGCTTACAGCTGTCGTAGGCAAGCTGAAGGTTGAGCAAGAAATTCTCTAGGCAAGGTCTGAGAGCATCGCTATGAGGGTATACGCAAAATGTAACAATGTTCTTCGGTGGACTGATGGGTGATAATCCCAAAGGCTCCCAAAAAGCTACTGCAGGAGGAAGCAAGTCCCAATGCGTTTCTGCGCGTCGCACTCTCAAGAATGGTGCGTTGATCTGGTACATGTGGCTCCCAGTTACCGCCGGTCCGTCACTCTTTCGCGTGGCTGGCCTTTGCTGTGCTTTCGCCAGGGCAGCATAGTCCTGAAAAACTTCGTGCACGCCTGCAAGTGTAGGTAGGTCACATTCTGCAGCCGCTGGGAAAATTTCTTTGATGACAGTGTGCCAACGCGTCTCTGCTGTCGTCTCATTACCATTTTCTTTATCGAACGGTATATCCTCTCCTAGTAGATCAAGTGTTGTTCTCACAATCTGATCTGTCACTATTTGCGTGATGGAGATGCTGTCCTTTGCGCTCAAAGGCTTTTCCTCTGGAACCTCATAAGTCATCTCGGGCTGAGAGGTAGGGGTGTCGGGCATTTGCGCAGGGTTTGTCTGTAGAGCAGGTAGGCTGTAGCGCGCGCCAGCTGCATGTCGTTCCATTGGGGAAGGAAAGTGAACCAAGGACCAGTCCCATAGACTTGGCTCGAAACTGTTCAGGTTTAACTCGTCAAGTTGTAGACCGTGCAGGTCATGCCAGTCGCCTCCTATTGAGTCCGCAAATGACGTTACAGAAAGTGGTGTGGCGTTACCCTCACTCTGTAATTTTCTTTTTGCGGGCATGACGAGGCCGCCTATGATAGCTGCGTGCGTCGTTCCCACTTCCTCTTCTTCTCCAGAGTCTTCATCGGATTCGTCTGATGTCTCGCTGGAGTCTGAGTCTTCACTAGCTGCTCGAGCAAGAGATGCTATCTCTGGTATCTGTTTTGTAGACGCTGCACCCACAGTGATACGAAGCTTCGTAAGCAGAGGGATGTCTCTTAAATTCTTGGTCTGTGTTAAAGTGGGCCTGGGACCAGGACTAGGGCTGGACAAGTTTTGATTAATGTTTTCCCCAGGGCGATATGCGCTAAATCGCCCGTCCTGGTATTTTGCATCAGACATGCTCATTTTCCGACTGAAAACTACCGGATTGAAATGAGCATCATATTTGGTGTCCATGGGTTGGTTTGATCGAATATGCGATGCCAACTTGTTAGGCGGAGATGGCTGCAGCGCCTTGGAAATAGCGCTAGGGCTTAGTGGTGGAGTGGGCTCCTTTGAGAATGTAACCTTTGTTTTAGCTGTTGGAACGGCTTGTTTCTCATCAGACAAGTCGGGGCTTTCGATCAGGGGCACCTCCGTGATGGCTGGCTGTTTGCCTTTGTCTTGTTTGTCCACATCTATGGTAGGCTCAGAAGCTGTGGCCAGAGCACTTTCAAGAGCAGCAAAGGGGTCGGAGGTGTCCTCTTCAGGTGGAGGCTCGGCAATGGGTTGAGGTTCAGATTCATGTGTAGTGTCGCCAGGTACTCCCGTGTTGTCTGGTAGCGCGGGTGCATCTAGCATGTCAACGTCGTTGTCGTCCGGTTCGTCAAAAAAGTCGAAGTCGTCGTCGTTGATGCGGTCACCCCCATATCCGTCTTCGTCCATATCGCCAAAAAGGTCGTCGTTACCAGTGGACGTATTGAAGTTGTCAGGCGCAGAAGGAACGACTGGGGACGTCAAAGACATATTTTGTTCGTCCATCTTGGCGTCGTCTTGTGGAGCCGAAAGATTGATGGCAGGATTGCTGCCTCCTGGTGCTAGGATAATGTTGGAAACCGTACCAGACACGCTCGGTGTGTCGCTATGGGACACTGCAGTGCCAGGAGCAACACCATCCGGAGGCGTAGGGTAGACACCGCTTACAGGGTGCAGGTCGCCGTAGGCTCCACCACGGGAATTTAGTGGCGATGACGGAAACAGGTTCTGTTGTTCGTCTTTACGACGAGCAGAGTCTTCTTCAGCCTTCTTTGCTTTGCGTCTTGCTTCAAGAATCTTGTCACGGTCCGGCTTTCCCAGGAACCATTCCTGTGCAGCATCGAGCGGGTCTTTGAAGCCCATGGATTCTGGCGTCTCGTACCATTTTAGCATACCCTGTCCTCCAGCAGTCAAGTCTGCAGATGTCTTCTCATGCTCCTCTGCACTGTGAAAGAAGCACAGTGCTCGCGGCCAGAGGACGTCCCGATCTGGGCCTGCGAAAGCCGGGCTCGAGACTGTGGGGCTATTGGTCAAGGTTGTACGTATTCTGACCCAGGAGCTTTTCTTCTCCAGGCCAGGCAAAGCATAGCCCTTCCAGCCTAACCAACGCTTGACACCCGACTTCCAGTTCTCAATGCTTTGCTCCAAAGTAGTGAGCCTAGTACGCTTTCTGTGACGGAGACCAATCTCCTCTATGATGGAATCAAGTGGATCATCAAAACTCGAGATGGTTGCGAGCAAGCCGTTGGGAGCCACTCGTATGCACCTGCCAGTAAGCCATTTCTCTTCGGCTTGTGTCGAGATGTCGCTGACGCAACGAATGTCAGTCTTGTAGTCAGTGAAAGTCGAGACTAGGAGCGCGCCTGAGCTAGCCCAATGTACATTCATGCTAGTAAGACGATGCACAGGGGCTGGAGTTTCAATCTCATGTTGGTCATCGTCAGCTCGTTTGCAAGCCTTGGACACAAATGTGCGGTAGTTCAAGGCAGTCACGTTGCAATCTTTGACGACGTGGAACGATATGAGTGCAATGACAGATGATGTGAAGAGCTCATAGATGGTGAAGCAATCAGGCGGCGGAGGGGGGTCAGATGCTTGAGGCTGGCTGCTGCTCTGGGACGGCCTCGTACTGCCAGCATGCAAGCCCCTTTGTGGTTGTGTCGCTGCTGGGGAGTTGTTGGAAGTGGCAGTTGTGTTGGGATTGCCCGGGCGCATGGGGGGTCGCACTAGATCGATGGCTTTGGTGCATCCTGTCTGTTCGCCTGGCATGTGTCAGTCGGGTGTTCTGGGAAGGAGCGAGGGTGACATACTGTGCAGGCGATAGCCGTCGAGCTCTGGGGGTTCGGCATCGTTCGGCTCTACCTTGTCGACCGTCGTGGGCTTGAACAGCCACAGCCAAGGTCGATATGCATCCTGCGCGACGAGTTGCAGGCCTTGTCTCAATTCAGCCTCGACCGCGCGTATGTCTTCCGACGTGTTCCAATCTCGGGTTCTCGAGGAAGTGGGGGTGGTGGTGCGAGTGATGGAGAAGGCTTGATATGCGACAGCCTCAAAGTCTCCCTGGGTATTGTCAGCATGCCATTGCGCGCATCATCATCATCATCATCATCATCATCAACACGTACTATAGCTTGCGCATTCGTATTACAGGTTTTGAGAAATTCCATTAGAGAGACGGGTCCTGTCTAGGGAACATTCAAATGGTATTCGCGGCGTATTTTCACTCCCAAGACTGCGCTGTACACCTTTTCCATCAACTCCGCCACGGTCCGCCCGACGCGTCTTGCGCGACTGTTTCTATCAAAGCGATGTGGGTGGTGGTGTAGGCGGGGCGACGAGGGCTAATGTGTCGGCATGAGCTGAACGCGTAACTGTAGGTGGAAGATGGAGCATGGCGACCGCATGCGGAAGGAACGGAGGTCCCTGCAATCGGCACTGCCCGATTCAACGAGCGTGTGGTATGGTACAAGTGGTAGATAGGGTCAAGAAGGCCAGACTAGACTCTACGAGAAAAAGCACGCAGACTGCAGATGCGATGTCAGCTATACGGACAAACAGAGGGCTCGGCTCGGCAAGCGGCGCGCCTCGAGGCCCTTTCTTAGCCTTCTGTCTCGCGAACCCATGTAGTGCGGAGTTTCCGGGCCTCGATGGTCTGTGAGCCCAGTTCCGAATCGGATATAGCGCATGTCGTCTGCGGCCCCACTTTAACTTTTGCTGTCGCGAACTTCTTCGCAGCCGCTTCCTGTCGCAACACTTCCCACCGCGCCACCATGAAGATTTCGACAGGCAACGTACCCGTCTATACCATCAGCGGTAGCGAGGCGCGTCCGCTTCCAGAATGGCTTATCCGGAAAAGAAAGCGCAGTCTGAAGAATGACCCCGAATTCGCAAACCGCGTCGACTTGCTACAAGATTTCGAGTTTGAGGAAGCCAGCCAATGTGTCCGTGTGAGCGAGGATGGAGACTGGGTCATGAGTACAGGCACATACAAGCCTCAGATACACGTCCACTATCTTCCCCATCTTTCGCTGTCATTTGCGAGGCATACCAATACTCTTGTGCGTTCTTCCAAAGCCACACAAGTCATGTACTGACTTTTTGCAGAACCAGACTTTCCACCTCCTCTCCTCCGACGCTACCAAGAGCGTACATCTCCAGCAAGATCGATGCATCGAGTTCCACACCGGTGGAGGCCTCCACTATGCGAGCCGTATACCACGTTATGGTCGCGATCTCATCTACGACCGGAGATCAGCTGAGTGTCTGGTACCCTCGGTTGGTGTAAATGCAGACGGCATGGGCGAGGTCTTCAGATTGAACCTGGAGGTTGGACGCTTCATGAGGAGTTACGATATCGACGTGGGTGGTGACGATGTGACGACAGTCGGAGGTGGCGCTCTTCAGGGTGGCATCGATGCTGGTGCAGTCAATACCGGTGCCATTGCCGAACAATCCCATGGTCTGCTCGCATTCGGTACTTCTATTGGAACAGTGGAATACTGGGATTCGCGATCAAGGAACAGAGTGGGCATACTGTCAGCGCCCCCAGATGCCTTTGAAGGAAAGTCGGAAATCACGGCACTGACTTTCCCATCGTCGGGCTTGGAGGTTGCTGTAGGAGACTCCAACGGCATCGTACAACTCTACGATCTTCGATCACCGAAACCACTATTGAGGAAAGACCAAGGATACGGCTATCCCATAAAGAACATCATCTACCTAGACGGCGCGCAGACTGCCGAGCCCAAGATCTTGACTGCAGACAAGAGGGTGATTAAGATCTGGGATCCAAAGGATGGCACACCATGGACCTCCGTGGAGCCTTCGGTAGACCTAAACCATGTTGAGTGGGTACCGAAGACTGGTATGCTCTTGACCGCGAACGAAGGCAGGCAACAGCATTCCTTCTTCATCCCGCAGCTCGGTCCAGCCCCAAGATGGTGCCACTTCCTCGACAACATCGTAGAAGAAATGGCCGAGGACCCCAACGACCCCAACGCCTTCGGCAAGGGCGCGTCTGGAGATGTCTACGACAACTTCAAGTTCTTGACCCTGGAGCAGCTGAAGCAGTTATCATTGGATCATCTTGTCGGAACTACAAGTCTATTGCGACCATACATGCACGGTTTCTTCGTCGCCCAAAAGCTGTACGAAGAAGCGCGACTCATCTCGAACCCAGACTTGTGGCAAGAACAGCGCGCAAAGAGCATCGCCGAGAAGATCAGCAAAGAGCGAGAAAGCAGGATCCGTGGCAACAAGAAGGTGGCAGTCAAGGTCAACAGAAAGCTCGCAGAGAAGATGTTGGAAAAGCAAGAAGAGCAAGAGCGGAGAAGAGCCAAACGCGTCCTCAAGAAGGGTGGCGACGACGACATGTTGGAGCCCGATGCCGCCCCTGCCGTCGAAGAGCCCGCTAAAGCCGAAGGCGTTCTCAACGACCCACGTTTCGCAAAAATGTTCGAAGACCCAGAATTCGAAATCGACGAGCAAACCCGCGAGTTCCAACAGCTCAATCCCAGTACAAAGATACCCAAGGGTCTTACTGCAGCCGAACAAGAAGATTTGGAGTCAAGGAAAGGATCTTCAGACGAAGACTCCGACGACTCGGAGGCCGACAAAATCCGTCCTACCAAGAAACCACAACAAAAAGAAGACAAATCCCGCATTTCATCCAGCAACTACCGCAAAGCAGGCCACCGATCCCAACGCCCTGGCCCCGAAATGGTGGTTTCGTCGTCAAACCAACGGAAAGCCGGTCCTACTGCCAAGGACAAGACATTCGGCTCCCGCGTTTCCAAACTCAAGGACAGGAGACCGGCATCGAGTGCTAATACTACAACGGTGGTGGGTGAGAGGGAGATTACCTTTGCGCCGGAGAGGAAGCAGAAGAAGAGACCGGAACAAGAGGGTCAGCGCCATGATCGGAGGAAACAGGGGGATAGGAGGAATGCTAGTAACAATGTTTTTAGGAATATGTAGAGTCTTTGCGTTGTTCGTGGGTAAGATGGAGATGAAGTTACTAGAGATGAATGATACCCTTATCAAATCGCAACCATGTTCAGAGTGGTGATATGACGGTGAACGATGAGGCGCTATTGATGAACCAGTTCAACTATAAAGTTTGTCAACACGATTCGAATCGGCATGTTGGTTCAAGCGAGAACCCATCATCTTGAATCAAATCAATTCGGATGGAAGACAGATGGCGCATGTGTGTTTGATCTGGTGCAATTACACAATTTTTGTGACTTCAAGTACCAGCAGAGATTGAAAAAAAAGAAGTTTCTCCATATTCGACTACTAACCTACACTGCTTTCCTTGTTCTACCTACCACGACAACACTGTTCATCTCATGTAGATATCTGAAGATGTTGTGGCATCCCCACAATAGTACACTAGCGGATGTAGGATAGACTAGCATGGAACAACGCATCCATCTTTCACTAATTATTGGAGCTGAGAGAGCCGATCAATTAGGATTGTATTGAGTAACCACTATCGAATAGAACAACAAAAGAAGGATGAGCTATGGACCCGCTAGCTTATCAGTCACGTGATTGATCACTCGGGTCACGTTGATCCGTGAGGTTTGAGCCTCTGTACTCCGACACTAATCATATGCGACATAATCACAAATTACACTGCACATGACCGGATCTCGGATAGCTTTGCAACCCGGACATACTTCGTACCTGAAATTCGCCTTGTTGTGTCAAAAGAAGCCCAAATCCTTGACTATTGTGTTAGGCTCAGAAATAATTATTCTTGTTGCTGGTGTAAGAGCTAAAGGGTTGTGAACCTCGGTATTTACTGTTTGAAAGGATAATTTTTGTGCTTGTCATCGGATCGTACGAGCTTTTACTTCCTTTGGATTGCTGGTCGGGTACTAGGTTGTGTTATTGCTTCCACACTTTGATTAGACGAATTCGGGAATGTCAGATCATGTATTGAACCTCGAGTAGAGAAAGTTAAAATCGATCTATTCCAATTGCTCGTTCGCGACGGCATAACGCCGCAAACATAGCCTACGCCGTTTGAATATACTCCAACATGTGTCAAGTTGACATGATACCGCCTCTATATATGCCAGTCCCGTTGTCTTGTCCAGGCGGGATTTCTCGTTCCTCGACTCAAGATCGAACTCCTGGTCGATAGTTTTTCTTGTGCTGTTATTCTTCCCTTCCGTGACTATCTTACTCAGAAGACTGCTTGTTCATCATGGTGTAGGCAGCGAATGCAAGGGCACCACCAAGAAGGATGATAGCGTAAAGGCCAACGCCGGTCGAAGCGCCGTCGGTAGTAGTAGCGGTCGATCCGGGTGCTGCGTAGCTCTTGGGCTTTGGGTCACCCTCCTGTATCACTCATCAGTAAAAATGGTCTCTGTAAAGTATAGTACCCAACGGTGCATCTCCGGCCCATAGACTGCGGAATTGTTCCGAGGTAATCCCTTTCCCCTCGGCCGATGTTCAACGGAAGTCCCAGGCGCCAGAGAGATGCCTCGGGTAGAACTGCGTATCTAGGGGAAGTATGGAAAGGATATAGTAGAGGAATTCGTACCTGACGCTTTAGGTTTCCGACAAGCAGACCGTCGAGGATCTCGCGGGCTTCGTCTGAGTGACCGACATCCTCGAAAGCCTCTGTGGAGTCCTGGCCTCCGACGTCGAGCAGAACCTCTTCACCACCTCTGTAGATGAGTTAGCGCTTGTTCTTGTAGTGTTCGTGTGGTAAAGGCGGAGGCGGGGCTTTTTTGCGAAAACGGGAATGCAAATGCCGAGGTGCATTGCGCGGTGTGCGAGGCAACAACGTACGGGTGCTCATCTACAAAGCTTGATGCGTTGTAGACCTTGTCGTGGACAACAATGTATAGGTCCTTCTTGGTGTTGTGCTCCGAGACGTCGGAGTAGGTGAATTCTTTGTCGGCCATTTTGGAGTTGTGTAGGAAATGCGAAACGTGTTCCAAAGTATGAAATTCGAGATGCTCGTATGCTGCGTGAGCCGAGGCAAGTACAAGACGCTGAAAGGAAGGCACAAGAGTCGTGGGGCGGTAGAGGTTAGGTGTCAGGTCAAAAGAAACAGCGGATAAGAAGTTGTGGTCGTAGCGGAATTAGCTCTAGCTCGTAGTTTAGGCGTATTAGGCGTATAAGAAGGTTGTGTTCTCAGTCAAATTGCGATACACCGATTGGCTGGGTGGCGCCTCACTCACCGACGTTCCCGAGCTCCGCCGGAACGGGTAAGAAGACCCTGTCTCGTGTTGATGGTGGGGCTGCGAGAACACCGCGGGGCAGTCTTTTCAATTTGAGTATCCAATTCCGCTGGTAGTGATAGAATTCGTGTCATGTGATTGGAGAAATCGCTTGCTGTGCTGAAATACCGTGCTAAAATGCTGTGCTAAAATGCTATGGTGCTCAAGCCGTCTACACGTGCTCACACCTTCCTGAACCCACTATCACGAACCCAAGACCTTCACCCTCATCCACTCGCTCGTGCCAACCCCAAGATTCAATCCATTCAGTGCCCACCACCTCCTTACAGCATCTCCACGTGCTCCTTCCACGCCATCTTCAAGCGCCTCTTCAATATCGCATGTTTTGTATTCCACCTTCAAGCCGCTGCGCTTCCACCACTCGAGAACATCGGCATGGCCCATCTTGGTTGGCCCCACGAGAACCTGGTTGTCGAAGAGAATCTTTTCGCCGCGAAGTTTCCGCCAATAGTCTAGAATGTGTGTGTGACCGTGGGTTGAAGCAATTTTGGCAATTGTGTCTTCATGCGAAAAAGGAATACCAGATTCGACCCAAAAGTGAATTGCAGGCAAGCATCCTGATTGGGTTGCGTAGGTTATGGACTTGCCCACTTTGAGAGGCAAGTCATCTCGATGCGGCTTGTTAGGAGCTTGTTCATCGACTGGTGAGGAAGGAACCGAAGGGGCAGTTCTATGGCGGCTATGCTCTTTCCACCATTTGAGAACGTGAATGTGACCCTGGGAGCTTGCTTGCTCAAGTGCGGCCTCTGTATATTTGAGTGAGAGACCAGAGTTATACCACCAGTCGAGAGCTTGCACGCAGTTGGTACGGCTCGCGTTGTCAATGGCTTCCGTAGAGTACTCCTTGGTGAGGAAAGTAGGCGACGTTCTCCAGTACTCGAGAATCTCTGTCTTGCCAAACACTGAAGCCTTGTGAGGAAGGAAGGTATGTCCAAATGTGCTCCAGAAGAGATCCTTGTGGAACTTTTCCAGATACGCAAGAACAGGTACCATGGCAAAGCGCATAATCAGTTCGATGCATACGCGGGATATACGCGTAGGGTTCTCAGCGTCGAACAGGGCCTTGATTTCAGAGTATGAATAGGTAAGAAGCGCCCATTCTATCTTTTGCATCTGTGTCTTGGGCCCTTCGTCACTAGCCGCCTGTCGCCACTCTTTCGGTACGGGCAGATTTGTATGTACGTTCAGGGTAGTTGCTAATTCCCAATCCTTGGTGAATTCCAGGATGATAGACCAGAGCTCAGGAGGAAGACGAGGGCCCTTGCTTCTTGTAGGAGTCAGTGTGGGGAGGTGGGCAATAGGTAGTGCGATAGTGCGATCACCAACCGCCATTAAATCGATCTGTGTTTGTATAGATTCATTGAAAGCCTTATGTCCTTCTACCCACGGGTGGTACTTTCGCCCGGAATGGTCGAAAGACCATAAGAATGGAGGGAGGACGCGAATCCAGTTCCACTTCCGGCGGATCTTGCTGATCTGCTTCCTCGACATGGGGTTCTCCCACATCAACGTGGACATTCCCGGTATGAGCATTATTTTCTTCGACACATTCCAGCTGCGCAGTATCTTCAGATGCAGGTTCGTTGTGAACCCTTGGAGCATGCGGGCAAGGTTCTCGGCATCGAGCGGTGCCAGCACCAGCAAGTCGGCCCATGAGCAGTACCCTGCGACGTTCGCCTCTTGGTAATCGACATGTTGCCACTCGGGCGTCGTGTCATTCTCGGGGTCATACGTGTGCCAGACGGGCTCGAGCTGGGGCGGGATAGTCGTATGCGTCGTGGTCGGGAAGTCCTTGCATGCGATGACCTTTAGAGAAACATGCTCGAGGCGATGCAGACGTGCAGCGATGGAGCAGCCGAAGCGGAAGGCGGAAGGGTCAGTGAGGGCGACGAGGACGTTGAGCGTACGCGCGGGTGTTTGCGAGGACATTGATGAGGACGTGTAGTGCGGTGTTGGAGGCTTGTGGCGAGCACTTCGCAGTGAACATTCAATGCGGTGTTAGACCGCTATTGGCCGCTGCCCCACTCTATCTTATCGATGGAGCTGCCAGGCATCCTTGCAGAACGTCTCAGAAACAAAGGGTACCGAGGACTGGGGAAGCGAAGGAAGCGAAAGCATGAGGGATGCATCGGGCCATAGGAAAAAGGGCCGCCAATGTCATATGTACGCGTCAAACATGAAGCAACTCCGTGGTTAATGCATCGACTGCTTCGTCCATGATCTACTCATCAGAGGCTTGGCGTCAATCTTTTGTGGTGAAACAGCAAAGGTTAGCGCCACGCTATTGGTCGAGCATGTCACGTGAATACACTCGGAGTCGGGACTCCGAGGTCGTCAAAACATTCTGGGGAAGGGCTGGCGATGTTCCGCGGGACGGCGAAGACAGCCGTACCGTAATGCCTCATGAGCGAGTGTCCGGTGCTCTGACAGGTGTCATGGCTGATGTCTGTGTGTGTGGTTGCTGGTGTGTTGTGAGGGCTGCCGGAAGACGACCTCGGGAGCATGTCACCAGTCAACGCATATCGTGGTGCTGGACAACCTCCAACAATAAACAAGAGCAGATGATCATCCTCCCGCGTCTGCTGAAACACACAGGTTCGGCGCTCAGCCACTTCTGGGCGTATCTCACGGATGACGTAACCTCCATCTCGTCTTGATTCATTCCCGCTTGCCGCCGCGCCGCGACATGAGTGGGTCAGGCCGCCCATGATGGCATGGAATTTTGTCGAGATATCCATGCCCTTGGTCACGCAAGGTCTTTCGTTTGCTGCCCAGGGGGCGACTTCCACTATTCCCACTACGGCATAATCGTCGATCGAAGAGGTACTATACCAAAATCCTCCACGATCGACATATGGAGGCGCATCAAGCGATTCAACTGTCTGTCGGGCCCTCGATGGCAGTCATCCATCTCATCAACTAGACGGTGACGCGCCACCTGCTGTTCTGTCTGCACCAGTGCAGCTAAGGAGAAAGCCTGGTCGTTGCGGGTTGTCTTCTCTTCTTCTGTCACTTTCCATCCGTTCTAGATGCCTCGCACTTGACTGCTGTTCGACAATCTAGAATTCGCCCCTCCTCACGCCAGTCCTGAACATCTCCCACAGCAGCAGCACATCTGCCAACTTCATGAGGCTGTTAGACCCGCCCCACACCCACCTCTGGCAAAAAGAACGAGACTCCTATTAGGGATTGTCCGCGCTATCGCCACCTGTTTCCCGGTCCCTGCATAACGCCAAGTCACTTTGCGTGCTGATGAGCGAGCACTTCAAATTATCTACACCTCACGTTCTCGACCGTCAGACGCCCATGGACGCCTGAAGGCACATGCCGACCGTGTGCGGGTGCCTCTATTCTAGTGACCGTAGCCAGGCCATCGTAGCCTTCTAATCTTGACAGCGGCGTTCACGCGTTATCGACGACTCCGAGCTCCATGTCTCAATCACCCAAGCAGACCCCCAACGCTGGTCCTCCCGTACAGGACGATGGCCGCTTCAACTTCTCTACTGTGTCGCCTGTGCCGGAAGAGCCTTGCACCCCCAATGCTGGCGCAAAGGCGACCGGTTTCGCCTCATTGCCATCCTTCAACGCTGCGGCTGGGGGTCCCAGTAACGAAGCAGCCTCGAGCGCCTTGAGCCCCTCCGCTGCCGATCGAGTCTTCCCCATACGGAGCGCCATCAGCGTTGACCCTACCCCCACCCCCAAGGGTGGTCATTCGCAGGGCGACTACTTCCATCCATATTCACGAACCAACGATCCGCGCTTCACAAGCGACTCTCGTAGAGCCTCGCAGGGCTCCACCACCTCACAATCATCACATGCCTCGCAACGCAACTGGGGTGTGCGCCATGGAGGGAACAAGCCTGATTCGGCCTCCGACACTCAGCGTTCGTCCTTCAAAGCATCCCAAAGAGGTGACGGTTCGAGAATAGCTGCCCCCATTTTGCCCCCACAGCTGTTCAACGACCTGGCCTCAACAAAGTCAGGCGGGAGCGCGCCTAACGGCAGTCAATCCCCAGGTTCCAAGGCCGATCGCGCACCGTCAATTGGAGGCACTTCTGCTAGAAGCGGCATCAGCAGCCTGGATATGGGTGGCCTGGTCACACACCGCTTCAAGCATGTCACAACCGAGGGGGGACACATGGTCATAACAGGCCGTGAGGGTGATACCCTGCAGCGCTGTGAGGACGAGCCCATCCATCTCCCGGGCGCTGTGCAAGGCTTCGGTCTATTGCTGGCATTGCAAGACGACGCCGAAGGGAGTCTGCTTGTGCGCGTTGTAAGTGAGAACTCTAAGCGCATTCTTGGGCGCACACCAAAGGAACTCTTCGCTCTAGAGAGCTTTACAGACATCCTCTCCGAAGAGCAAGCAGACAATCTCCTGGACCACATCGACTTTATCAAAGATGAAGATTCCGATGTCACGTCCAACGGGCCCGAAGTCTTCACCATGTCCATCAAAGTAGCAGGCTACAACCGAACGCGCAAGCTATGGTGTGCAATCCACATGACCGAGTCCAACCCTGGGCTTGTTATCTGCGAGTTCGAGCTTGAAGAAGATTCACTATACCCCCTGGTTCCCTCCAACGAAATTACGCCAGAGCTGCCGGAAGATACGTTATCCAGCCAGCCCACGGCTGAGGAATTAATCGAGAGCACAGAAATCAAGAGCAAACCCCTGCGGGTCCTCCGCAGTGCTCGGAAACGGAAGGGCGAGGCTGCTGCGATGGAGGTCTTCAACATTATGTCACAGGTGCAAGAACAACTGGCCGCGGCGCCATCACTGGAAAAGTTTTTAAAGGTTCTTGTGGGTGTAGTCAAGGAGTTGACTGGCTTCCATCGGGTTATGATATACCAATTCGACCAAACCTTCAACGGCCGTGTCGTTACTGAACTTGTTGACCCTCGAGCGACCAAAGATCTCTACAAGGGATTGAACTTCCCTGCCTCTGATATCCCGAAGCAGGCTCGCGAGCTATACAAACTCAACAAGGTACGTATGCTCTACGACCGCGACCTAACAACCGCAAGACTTGTCTGTCGTACCGCTGAGGATTTGGAGAGCCCTCTCGATCTCACTCACTCGTATCTTCGCGCAATGTCTCCCATCCATCTCAAGTACCTTGCGAACATGGCCGTAAGATCCTCAATGTCCATCTCCATCAACGCCTTCAATGAGTTGTGGGGTCTCATTGCCTGTCATTCGTACGGGCCACGCGGTATGCGAGTGTCGTTCCCTATTCGCAAGATGTGTCGCATGGTCGGCGATGCAGCGTCACGAAATATCGAAAGGTTATCGTATGCCTCAAGACTACAGGCTAGGAAGCTCATCAACACCGTGCCGACGCAACATAATCCTTCCGGATACATCATCGCTTCTTCTGATGACCTCTTGAAACTTTTCGACGCCGACTTTGGTTTGTTGTCGATCCGCGATGAGACAAAGATTCTCGGTGTTCTGGAAAACTCACAAGAAGCTTTAGCTATGTTGGAGTACCTCAGGATGCGGAGAATTCAATCGGTCATGACTTCCATAGATATCATCTCGGATTTTCCAGATCTACGATACCCGCCTGGTTTCCATATCATAGCAGGCATGCTCATCGTTCCCTTGTCGGTAGATGGCGAGGACTTTATTGTTTTCTTCAGGAAGGGTCAACTGAAGGAGGTGAAATGGGCCGGCAACCCATATGAGAAATTCATAAAAGAAGGCACCGAGGGCTATCTAGAACCCCGGAAGAGTTTCAAGACATGGTCCGAGACTGTTGTTGGAAAGTGCCGCGAATGGACAGAAGAAGAGATCGAGACCGCCTCAGTACTATGCCTAGTTTACGGAAAGTTTATAGAAGTCTGGAGACAGAAAGAAGCCGCCCTTCAGAGCAGCCAACTGACCCGACTGTTGTTGGCGAACTCGGCACACGAAGTACGTACACCGCTGAATGCAATCATCAACTACCTCGAGATAGCATTAGAGGGCGCTCTAGACACGGAAACGCGAGAGAACCTTTCGAGATCGCACTCGGCGTCCAAATCACTCATCTACGTGATCAACGATCTGCTCGACTTGACAAAGACGGAAGAGGGCGGACCACTCATCAAGGGCGAGTCGTTCGATTTCAAGGAGACGATAAAAGAGGCAACGAATATGTTCCGGAACGACGCCAAGCGGAAGAAGATTGCCTACGAAGTTATCGAACACCCGGGCCTACCTACTCTCTGCATCGGAGACCAACGCCGAGTCCGCCAAGCCATATCCAATATCACCGCAAATGCCATCCAGAAAACTACCCAAGGAAGCGTCAAGGTTGAGGTATATGTCGCAGCAAAACCGAGCAGAGACCATGTCGAGGTTGAAGTTGCAGTGTCTGATACGGGTGTTGGCATGAGCCAGAAGAAGCTCGATCAACTCTTCTATGACCTGGAACAAGTTCAGTCCGAGCCCACTTCGATGCTAGAAGACGCTCTTGTACCGGACAAGAAGCAAATTGCAGAACAAAGCAAGAAGTCAACATTGGGTCTTGGTTTAGCTGTCGTTGCACGCATTATCAGGAACATGAATGGGCAATTAAGATTGCGATCAGAGGAGGGTAAAGGCACAAGATTCGTCATACAGTTTCCATTCGACCTTCCAGACGCCGAAGTAGAAGCTGTATCAACAGCAGGGGCCTCGCCAGCTGGCAGCATCACACCCCAACCCGACAGTATCCTCTCGAGCATGTTACCTGGCCCTGAGAACGGTGAGCGAACTCTGATCGCACCGAGTCTATCACGGCACACTTCCGACAGCGGGCAGAAAGATACTTCGAGTAACGTGGTATTACGGAGGTCAAGTGCGGAGAGTTTGATGAGTAAAACAAGTCTACGTAGTTTCAAGAGTGGCTCCAGCCAGAGGAGCGATGTGGACAGGCTCATTGATGCTATTCAAGAGCCACATATGATCGGCAGAGGCGATGCTAGTCCAGGAGCACGTTCTATGCGACCGGCTCTGACGAAGCGCAACAGCCTTGAGCCTGACGCCTCCCGCATGAGGTCCAGAAGCCTCGAGCACATCAGCAGTCAATCTGTTGTTCCTCCGCATAAGAGAAGCATGCAGTCCAATCACCCTGGTGAAGAAAGCGTTGGCGGCTCTGGTGTTCCGATCACAGCATTGAAGGTACCTGATGAAGGGGGTGACAATCCGATAGATCCCCGGCCAAAGCCTGGAAGCGTACTAGGGGAAGTACAGGGCGATACGCCCGTAGAGCCTTCTGCAGAACCGGAAAATCTGACTGCGGATCACATGCGTGTACTTGTTGCCGAGGATGATCCAGTGAATAGTCGAATAGTCAAAAAGCGATTGGAAAAGCTTGGGCACGAAGTTCATCTTACCGTCAACGGCGAGGAATGCTCGTCTGCGTACTGCGATAATCCAAAAGGCATTGATGTTGTCTTGATGGATATGCAGGTCAGTACAGTGTGCTCCACAATCTATTGTCTGTACTAATCCCTGTGAAGATGCCAATCGTCGACGGACTTACCTCAACCAAGATGATAAGATCATTTGAGAAACTACACCACGATATATACTCTGCCCGCGCTGCCCTTTGCGGACGTGTCCCAATTATCGCTGTCTCTGCTTCCCTGATCGAGCGCGATCGCCAACAATACATCGACGCCGGGTTTGACGCATGGATCTTGAAGCCAATCTCTTTCGACCGACTTAACAAACTCATCGCTGCCATCGTTGACACGGACATTCGGCACGACTGTCTCTACCAACCAGGAGCGTGGGAGAAGGGTGGTTGGTTCCACAGTGGCAAGCACAGCGCTGATGAGGCTGATACCAAACCATCAGGCGAAGCACCAATGCCCAACCCTTCAGAAGAGGTGGATGAAGCGATTATGAGGTCGGAAGATCCGATGGCCGGGGAAGAGAAGGAACAGGGCGATGTCCCTGAAGAACAGGAACGACTCTTGCACAATCAGGAAGAGGGAAAGATTGAGCCACCGGACGACAGCGCCGAACAACCCCCGGCTTGAAGCTGCTGCAGCACATGCATTTGATTATGCGTGTTACTATTCTACTGTCGCCTACCGCCGCTCTGGCCTCGCATCACTGCCTTAGATGCATGCAGCACCTGCCGACCGTCTCCGTGGCCTGGCTATGCACACCTCCGTCGAACGATGCCACAGTATTCTTTTCTTTAAGCGCCTCCACGATCTTGTGACAGTATTCCAGGTCCTGCTGGTTGGCGCATGCCTTTCCGCTCTATACATATATTTCTACTGCTTTTCACCGTGTGGCGGCATAGGTGGAACAAGTCCTGCGAGCATTGAAGGGGTTTGGAGCATATGCTTTTATCCGGGTGCAATATAAACCTAGAGTCTGTGACGTTTAAATGATAGACGACGATGCACAGGAGGATTTTTTTTGTCGTGGCACCCACCTGTGTTGGGTGTTCCTTCGTTGGATGGGACTTCCTATGACGCAGGCTATTGCCGTGTCCGAGGAGAGAAGAAGATGGAGGATGGTAGTAGTAGGATAGATACGAGCCCAATCGAAGCATACAACAACATACGACAATATCTGACTATCCATGCCTCTCACATTAAATGTAAGTAGTTAACGTAAAGTGGTTACTACGTTACGCCATACTTCACACGAGATTGTCATCCTCCTTGTCGTCCTTGTCATCCTCGTGGGTCCAGCCGTCGCGGCTTTGTCGTAAATGATAGTTAGCAAGCGCGCAGAGCTAGAAGCCGAAAGCTCTTTTGAAGTGCGGAGTAAGTCAACTGTCAGTTTAGGGCGCTCAGACATTTTCAGAGACGGGAAGAGGCCGATAGGTTAAGATGGATCAAACAAGCGCCTAGCTAAGACCGAACAAGGGTGGTAATCCGACGTGGCAGTGTTTTTCCAAGCCTTTAGTTGCAGGAGCGAGAGCGAGAGCGAGAGTCGGTAGATTGTACGGGCATTACTACCAGCGAAAAATTGTCCTTCTGTATCGCTATATCTCACGGTTAGCTCACCCGTGCGATGGAATTTACGCTTAGTTCATACCAGGCGAGCTCGGCACGCTGAAGTCGTGAAGACGTGAAGACGCGAGAAGGGAGGCAATGTTTAGGTTCGACATATTTCAGTAAAGTAAAGTATATTCAAACTCAAAGACAACGTCATATATATGATGCATTACCGCTTAAGTGTGTAGCGTCAAACATTGCGTAAGACACCTTTTCTCTGGCTATAGTCATCCGTATGTTTCCACTCCCTTCTCAAATCCCCCTTTTCATCCTATCAGTCGGTATGGGTTCCTAGGTCCAAAGAGATATCCTGATTATCGGCACGGGACCGGCTGGAGCAGCTTTGACATCTTTCTTAGGCCAGGATGATAACGAATATCGCCAATCCCGAGGTTGTTGGATGACTGCTGACCCACAGATGACAGGGCTGAGCGGATTTGTGATATCGAAAGGTCCCTCTACTGCCTTTACACCAAGAGCTCACTGACTCAACCCTTTTGCCTCTGGTAAGATAACCCTGGAGGTGTTTGATATGCCGAACGCTGACTTATTCATCTAGAATGTCTCCGCGATATCGATCTTGAGGATGAAGGGTTGAGACTGGCAATTCGTGGCTCCACGCCTCTTTCCATGCGTTTTTCCCGAAATATGATTGGAGAAAAAGAATATAGGAGGGTCCTGGCATGGCAGGAGGTTCCAGCCAGTGCGGTAATCTCAAAAGAATACCGACCAATTTGAAAGGGGCTTGTCGACTAATTGCTGCTATAAACAGGGTCGAGTAAAGGAAACGACTCCATGCGAATATGTTGACTTGACTCAACGCCACATCGAACCACAACTTTAAACATTGTTTCTCAACCGAACTTATCGAAGCGGAGCGTGTCAGTGACGACCTTGGTACAGGATACGTCTGTGCTGTCCACGATTACATAACGAACCAGCACTTCAATATCCGCACCAAATATCTTTTGGATGCAGATGGGGGACGTAGCCAGATAGCTTGTTCCTTCAACTTCAACTTCTCGATCACTCCAGGAGGCCCCAGGGCTTGCAATGTTCTAATCCGCGCGTAACAGCACTCGAGACCATCTAGCTGTAGTTGATCTGGAACTGGACTACAATCAGAGTTAGATGTAACATACTCCACAAGCGAGTTACACCGAGCTCTTCTTTTCGTTTCATAAGAAAACGAAGACTTGTATCTTTGATAGAGGTTGTTTTGATAGTTACGTATCATCGTTTCCAGTAAAAGAATTACCAGAGAGAACACATGTCTTGTGTCTCTACTGTTGCACATGCAGATGAACGAAGCGCGGTCGACTCAGCTATTGTAACGATGTGTCCCTCTCTATAGTCAAAAGTCTAGGGTAATCGAGCTTTTGTATAGTGGTATGCGGACGAGGGGTTTCTGTAATGACATGAATCCATGCATATGTAGCCTTGCAATAACCACACGAGATAAAGGGGAGGGGAGGGGGGTCAAGCGTTTACTACAGCCCTGGTAGGCACAAACCGTGAATACATACAAAGGCACCATCGTATGTACTATTATGGTAAGTTGATATAAGGAGCGCAGTCTTTATGGGTTGAGAAGTCTGTAAGTAGACAAGCTTTCCATTCCGAACGTGCAGGCAGAGACATGCTGCTACCGTATTTGGAAAATGTGCAAATCTGCTTTATGTGGCGTAATCAACTTCATGCTCCTTGGAAAAAGTAACACACGGGCACGGATCAGCAAGCACGAGTTTAGCACTATTCGCAGTTGTAGAGAGCACGTTAGTATAATGTCGCTGTAACTTACCAACAGCAATCGCGTCATTGCATGGCTCCAACTCCACAATCGCGTGGTCTCTAGCTCAACCTGCCCAATCTAAGAAGACTAAAAATATGCAAGTATGGAAGTATGCCGGGATCCGGACGCTCTAGCCGTGACGTCGAAGAAGCAAAAAAGGCTAGGACCAGGTGCATGTCTGACGATGATCGCCATGGTTCTCGAGATGGCTGTCTCATATTCTCTCCAAAGACTGGTCCAAACTCGAGAGAGAAAAGCTGACAGAGATTGACATCTGTGTTACTGTTCAATCTCCGCTGCCTGTCTTGCGCAGGATTTTTCGGAAGCGCAGATCAGATCCCAAGACGGTGGTCGAAAAAGAGCGTTGTCGGTGCGCGGGTAAGGTGCGTCAATGACGGGAGATGGACCGTTGCCGCGCGTAGAAGGGTATGCTTGTTTTGCGAGGCTTGTGCTTTGCATGGCCATTACTCGTAGACTGCTAGGGAGTTGTATGAGTTGTTCGTGCAACATTGGTTTTGTAGGTTTTAGACGAGCTTGTTGGAAGTTGTTGAGTGATGCCGTGCTCCCTTGCTCCGAACGTTGATGTTCTTGAGATTAGGTACTTGTGGACGCGCCTGACTTGCTGCCGTCTCTGGTGCTTTGGGCTGGCAACTTCGATCTTGTGCAACGATGACTTGCATGTGTGAGAATATACGTGCATGGCGTGTTTCATGAGGGCAAAGGTTGAGTCTATCGTGACGCTGTGCTCTGCGGCAAGAGATGTTGCAACAGCTGGGACAGGCAGCGCCAAGTGGGGGTTGGAGGAGGCTGACCGGCGACTAGTCGTTTCTTTGGAGACAGCGTTTGGGAAGCTAGGGCTCAGGATTAACATGGCATTACCCGATGATATGCAGCGCGTCTGCCCTGCAGTATGTTTCCACGGTGCTGAGGGAACGGCCGCGCATTGCCCAGTCAACGCGATCTGTGTTGATGGGGCATCGGTGGGCATGTGAAATGTGGCGGGGAGAGCCGTAAAGGAAAGCGCGAGCGACCAAGGAAGGTACGAGCGGACCAGGAAGGAGCGATAGCATTGCAGCCACAATGGTGGACGTATAACGCGTGAATAACCGAGTAGACGGTCAGCAGTGCCTGCCGGGGACTGACAGTACTGCTGAGACGGGCGCGGGAAATGTGGAATTAGACATGTCAACTTCCATTGTAGCAACATGGCACACAGCATTGAGTGAGAGACGTTGGAGCTACTGCAAATCGCTACACCTTTCTGGATTGGTGGATGTCAAACGCGCGCGGTGCATGAGTCGGCGGCCTGTAGACGTTGGCGGCGCAAGGACGTCTTTTTGAAACACATTTTGGGGGATGGCAGTGGAGATATAGCCTGGTGTGGAAATTGGCCAGGTGCAAGAGTCTCGCAGGGCTAGCTAGGACTTATCCGCCAGACGTCCACCGGGTCCCATCAGTGCTTCGACTTCTGTACATGTTTCCATCCGTCTCTCACTCTCCACATCATCCTACAGCGCCCACTCTCTCCCTCTCCCATTCTGGCTAGGCGTGCCGGTTAGGTGTATTTGCTGGTTCAGGTGTACTTCCCGGTTGCGCACGCCTGAGGTGTGACGTTGGCACCATTGGACATCAGCAGCCCCCAAGCTGTGCATGCCAGCAATATGGAGTCTTCGTCTAAGAGATTGACCAAAAGAGAGCGCCATCCTCCAATCGCTTACCTGAACAAGTCATCATCCACCTTGAAGAGAGCCCCGTCGGCGGCTTCCTATTTCCAACCCAGCAGCCTTGGCACAGCATCGTCGCTCTCGCCTGCCACCACGCCTGGTGGCTTGTCTCGCAGTCCTTCGCTGAAGCCCGTCCACGAATCGCAAAACCATCACGCCTATGTAGATTATCCCAGGTCGCAGCTTCCGCAGGCCGCGCAACTTCCGCCCGCCTCGGTAGGTCCAACCTTCAATCTGGGCGTCGTTGAGGAAGCCCTGAACGCCTCCTCCAACCGCGGCCCTGCACGAAGGCCAGCCGGCCCACAGCACACGCATAGCGAACAGCCAGCGAGATACCTGCGCCAGTCTCGCTCCTTCACGTCCAAGATGGACACCACCACGACTCCGCCATCTACCCACGCCAACAAGACGAACCGCTACAGCGACGGCAGCGGCGATGCTGCGAAGAAGCGCCTCTCGGGCGGCGCAAAGAAGAAGGGTACCTTTTCCAACTTCATGAGCAGCATGCTGGGCTCGCCGCGCCGCCCAACCATCTCGACGCCCACCAACCCCATGCACGTTACCCACGTTAGCATCGACAACCACACGGGCGAGTACACGGTGGGTGGCATTCCTCATGGACTACGTTCGACTGCGTTCCAGTGCTAATTGTATCCAGGGCCTTCCCAAAGAATGGCAGCGCATGCTCCAGCAGAATGGCATCACCCAGGAGGAACAGAAGCAGCACCCCCAGGCCGTCATGGACGTCGTCAACTTCTACAAGGACAACGCTGAGAAGACCGAGGACGACGCCATCTGGGACAAAATGGGCCCTACGCAGCCTCAGGGATACGCGTACCAGGCCAATGTCACCCAGAACGCAAACTATGGCTCCGCACAGCCCCCCCTCAGTCCTCCACAGAGCCCGCGATTCCCACGGAACGACCAGTCTAGCTTCGAAAACCCGCGCGCGCCCCCTCCAATTCCTCGTAGTATGACCTCGCCCGTTGTCAACTCGCCTCCAGTCAATGTTGCAGCTATGGTGCCCAATCGCCCAGCACCCAGGCCTCCGGGTGCTGCTGCTGGTTCTGCGGCCACCATGCCAACTAGACCTGCTCCAGCGGCTCCAAGTCCGATAATCACGCAGCAACAGATCCCTCGCCAGGAGAACGACTACCCCCAACCCGCTTATGCCCATCCATCTCCCTCGGGAAGCCCCAATGGTACCTCGTCGGCATCCCGTACCCGATCGAATACCACGGGAGGAACACCGCCGCGTTTTGATTCCCCTGCCAGTTCTACCCCGATATCTCCCGCCCAGCAATACCAGCAGCAGCAGCAACAGGCCATGGCCATGGCGACCACGGTGCAGCCGAAGGCTCCCTTGGGGAGGAGCGTTAGCCAAAGGGCTCCGCAACCAAACTACGCACCACCTGTAATCCCTGCGCAATCGCAACCAACGCCTCAACAGGTCTTCGCACAGCAATCGGACCCCCAGAACATCCCATTACCATCGCAACAAGCTCGTGTTGGTCCAGCGCCTCGCCCACGCCAAAGGCCTCGACAGAGCCAGGGGCCTGATATTGTGGCCAAACTCAATGCCATTTGTACCAATGCGGACCCTAGGGAGAGATATCGCAACCTTAGCAAAATCGGTCAGGGTGCTTCTGGTGGCGTTTTCATGGCCTACGAGAATAGCACCAACAAATGCGTGGCCATCAAGCAGATGAACCTCGAGCAGCAGCCCAAGAAGGACCTGATTATCAACGAAATTCTCGTCATGAAAGACAGCAAACACAAGAACATTGTAAACTTCATGGACAGCTTTTTGCTGAGAGGCGATCTCTGGGTAGTCATGGAGTACATGGAGGGCGGAAGTTTGACAGATGTCGTCACTTTCAACATCATGTCGGAAGGGCAAATAGCTGCTGTGTGCAGAGAAGTGAGTTTGCACTTCCCAGTTGAAAGAAGTCTACTAATTATTGCAGACACTGCACGGTTTGCAACATCTGCACTCCAAGGGCGTTATTCACCGAGACATCAAGTCGGATAACATTCTGCTTTCGCAAGAAGGCAACATCAAGCTAAGTATGTCAACCCTAAATTTATCATGCCATGTCAAATCTAACGCATTGTACAGCCGATTTCGGTTTCTGTGCGCAAATCAACGAGAGCCACAACAAGCGCACAACCATGGTGGGTACCCCTTACTGGATGGCTCCCGAGGTTGTGACTCGCAAGGAGTACGGCCGAAAGGTGGATATCTGGTCATTGGGTATCATGTCCATTGAGATGATTGAGGGAGAGCCGCCTTATCTGAACGAGAGCCCGTTGCGAGCACTCTGGCTTATCGCCACCAACGGAACACCGACGATCAAGGAGGAGCACGCCTTGTCGCCTGTGTTCAGGGATTTCTTGGGCTTCTCGCTGAAGGTCGACCCCGACAAGCGAGCTAGTGCTCACGATCTTCTGGTGGTAAGTCCATTCTAGCAGTCCATTTTTAACAACCACTAATAGGATGCAGCACCCCTTCATCCAGACGGCTGAACCACTAGGCACATTAGCGCCACTGGTGCAATCAGCGAGGAAAGCAAGAGCAGAAGAGAGACGGAAGAAGGGTGGTCTGTGAAGTTTCTTATTTCGTTATAAATGTCTCTTAACACCGGAACTTAGGTACGGGCAATGCGCAGACCAACGGCCACGATTCGTCCCACACGAGTACGAATTCGTTTGCTGATTGGTATGGCAAGACGATGGAACTATAAGGAGACAGCATGGTGCAACTCACAGAAACGCACATCCAACCCCAGTGGCGATTCTCGAAGCGACTAGCCTCTCATGGCCGTGTCGCGGCAGCACCACGAGCTCGACAGTCAGTATGCAAAGGTCGAAGCCTCATACTGCTGTTCTACACAACGAGCATTGTCGAGCGAATTAGCAAGCGCGTCCTATCTTGTTCAACAGCTCACACCAACGAGCATATCATTCATGTTGTTTCCAAAGGGTTCGAGTGTCGATGTTCGCATATATCCCTGTCTTGTAATCTGGCAGTTTTGTTGGGTTATAGAAGGACGCGGATCCTTCACACACACGACTGTCTTCTATATATCATGTGCCAATTTTAGTGTCTATACGCTTTGGAGGATTTCCAAACTTGTCCGATGGTGGCATTCTCGGCATACAGAAAAGTCAAATACAAATACGCTTCCTCTGTAACTGCCTTTACTCGGTGTTGATCAGTGAAGATTGTATTGCGATGAGCGTTGGCGTATGCTACTCGGTGGACATGGTGACCTGAGCACTGTGGCTGAGCAGCCGACGCGGTTCTTGTCTGCGTTGATTGGGCCGCCACAGTGTTCGTCATCCGTCACAACCCCGCTAAACTGATTGAGGGCGGCGCAAGTCAGGGCGGAGCTCCCAAGCCGTTGCATACGACACCGAGTTCAACTTGGACTTTCACTCTTACCTATAACAAGTCCCTTTCCCAAAACACCGCACTCTCTTAGTATAAAGCTAGGTGCACTTCCGAGTCATCTGCTAACTTTGCGCTTTCAACTTGATACACTCTCTTCTATTCGCGTATCAACCTTGAGGCACCCGCGCCCTCGGAAAGCTCCCCCCAACGCACTTGGAAGCAGGCAGACGTCATGTTCCGCGCACAATCAAACATCTTCGACGATGTTGTCGTAAAAGCGACAGACGAAAATCTTACGAGCGAGAACTGGGAATACATACTGGTACGGTCCGCATTCGCGAGGCGTTGGGCGGCGAGTTGGACACATGTCGCGACAGTTGTCCAGCCCACGGCCACGTTCCTCTAGGTTCAAACCTACATGACCTTCGCTAACTTACTACACAGGATGTATGCGACAAGGTTGGATCTTCTGACACGGGCGCCAAAGACGCAGTCGCTGCCATGATTAGGCGGCTAGCACACCGAAATGCGAACGTACAACTATATACCCTCGAGCTTGCCAACGCTCTCAGCCAGAACTGCGGGATTCAAATGCATAAGGAGCTTGCCTCGCGAAGCTTTACGGAAGCGCTGTTGAGGCTTGCCAACGACCGCAATACACATCAGCAAGTCAAGGCTAAGATACTGGAGCGCATGGCCGAATGGTCCGACATGTTTGCTCGCGATCCGGACCTGGGAATCATGTCTGGTGCCTACATGAAGCTGAAGTCACAAAGTATGTCGAAACGTGGCGGCGCTGCATGCAGTACTGACTAGCCTTAGATCCTAACCTTCGAGCGCCTTCCAAACCACAGAAAACACAAATATCCGACGTTGACCGCCAAAAGGAGGAGGAGGAGCTACAAATGGCGCTCGCGATGTCCATACGAGAGTCCAAAGGTGCAGCGCCAACGGCTGCCAAGTCCAACACGCCTCAGCAAGGTGGATCTACTTCGAATGCTCAGCCCGAACAGCCTTCGCAACCCCTACCGTCAGGCACAACTGCGGCGACCGTCTCACGCGTACGAGCCCTTTTCGACTTCCAGCCATCAGAGCCCGGCGAACTGCAGTTCCGTAAGGGCGACATCATCGCGGTGCTCGAATCGGTATACAAGGATTGGTGGAAGGGTTCGCTACGCGGGCAGACAGGTATCTTCCCACTTAACTACGTGGAGAAGCTGCAAGACCCGACGCGTGAGGAACTTGAGAGGGAAGCGCAGAATGAGGCTGAGGTGTTCGCACAAATAAGGAATGTGGAAAAGCTGCTGGCACTGCTGAGCACTAGCTCACAGCCAGGTGGCGGTGATGCGCGAGACAACGAAGAGATTACAGAGCTCTACCACTCAACGCTGGCCATCAGACCGAAGTTAATTGAGCTCATTGGAAAGTACTCGCAGAAGAAGGGTAGGTTCAACGTGCGAGTAGTTACGATCAAAAGGCTAACATAAGTAGATGACTTTACGCAGCTGAACGAGAAGTTCATCAAGGCTCGCCGAGACTATGAATCCATGTTGGAGGCGTCCATGTCTCAACCCCAACAACCTGCATACGGCGGCCGTCCTGGATATGGTGCCTACAATGCACCGCCCCCCTCAAACTACCAAGGATACCCACCTGTGTCCTCCACGCCACAACAAGACCCGAATCGTTTCGGCTATGGCGGAGCTCCCCAGCAACATGGCCCTCCTTCTCAAGTACCACCCGTAGGCTCAAGTCCTGCGTTCTTCATGGTTCCTCCAGGCGAACAGCGGACACAGCAGACTCCAAAGCCGGGGCCGCCGTCAGACTCTTACACGCTACCTCCAGGAAGAGTACCAGTAGGAGGGCGACCACAAAGCTACGCACCCCAGGAGCTAGCGACTAGTCAATACGACTCACCTGTGGACAACCGCCAATCTTTCCACGCTCCCAGCCAGCCACCTCAGGGCTATGAACAGAGCGGTTACCCCCAACAGCAAGGTGCTCCACAAGGACCACCCCAAGGACAGCAGAGCCCGTACGAGCAATTGTCCTCCCCGCCTCCACAACAAGTCCAGCAAGAGCAACAGCCTCTATCAGAGCCGTATTCGCAACAGCCACCCCAACAAGGCTATGGATATCCGCCATCGCAGCCCAGCTATGCACCACCTGCTCCACCTGGCGCTACCTCTAGCCCTGCGCCGCCTGCTCAAGGATATCTGCCATATCGTCCCGGAGGACAGGCACCGAGCGCGCCACCTGTGGGTGGAGATGATGCATCTGGTTTCTACCGGTAGAATCGGCCTTGGAGCAAGATTGGAGGATGATATACCATGTAGTTGTCGTAGTTGCAGTGTAGCGTAATACCTGGTTTGCAAAGATCAGAATACTACCAATTTGTAACAACTTTCACCCTTTCACAATTCTTAGCATCTTCACACCCACTATATATCATAGTCGTGCAGACGTTTGTAGTGCACAACAAGCATCATTGTTCGAGTGCGCAGTCTAAATAAGCTTGTTTCATTGGGAGACGCATCACATAATCTCGAGACTCAATCATTCAACTTTACATCTCTGTATTTGTTCCAACAGCTATAGCAATATCCCAATTTTTAGGTTTGACCAAGATGAAGTCATAGATGCTCCTTCCCATGCTGAATTGAACATCCTGCGCCCACAAGATCATTTAAACCCCGAAATATGCCCCCAAGCTTTTAGATAGTAGGTATCATTCATCACATCCCTAAAGATTCAAGAGTCTTGAAAAACCGCCTAAGCGCGCTCCCTACGACCGCCGCCGTTACCACCCCTGGAAACGATATCGAGGATCATCTGGCGTGCCTCCTCGCAGCCATCCTTGGTACCGACAATCTCAATCGCCTCATCCTTGGCTTGGTCGCGGGGCACTTGGATCTTTGTGCCGGTCTTCTTGCGGAGATCGTTAATTGTGGCACCGCCGGGCCCGACAACAAGCCTGGAACATGTCAGTATCACTGCAGCGATGCATTCATTAAATGGTGTAGCTTACCTGTAGCTTCTTGGGTCGGGCAGAATGAGGTAGCCAGTAGAGGAAGGCTTGGATGCAGCCTTGATAGCCTCCTCGAGCCTTTGACGGGCCTTGGGAAGGTTTTCAGTAGGTCCGCGCAGGATCCAGGGGATGGTGGCGGAGAGATCAGCACCCTCCTCCGGAGCGTTGTTGTCGACAATCTCCCATGAGTGCTCATCAGCACCAGTGGTCGCATCGTCGGTGATCAAAGGAAGAGCACCGTTGGCGCCCTTCCTGGACCGTCCAGCCTCGGTTTGGGCAGGCTTCGCGGGGACTTGTTCACCGCCGTGGTCAACGGTAACCTTGTGTTGGTTGCGTAGTTGACGGAAGAACTGGCCGTTATCCGAGATGGTGTGGTGAAGGTGACGGGGAACCTGGATGGTCTCGCCTTCCTGGCCCTTGACAAGCTCGAGGATGTGCTCCTTGGCCTTCTCAACGGCAGCAGGCTCACCAGTAATCTTCACCTGACTACGAGCAGCACCGGTAGTGGTCTGCTTAGGGATGTCGAGCTGGATGCCGAGCTGCGACTCGAGGGAGCGACGTGTCTCGCCACCACGACCAATAAGTAGACGGTGCTTGTCAGGAGAAACTTCGAGGGTCTCAGTAGTCTGGTTCTCTAGCGAGGAGACCTGCGCCTTCAGAGCGGCAACGATCTTCTCCACTACGCTCTTGGGTCCTTCAACACGAATAGCCGACTCGTCAGACTCTGCACGAGGGAAACGCACCATGCGAGCCAAGTCGCGAGAGTTGTCCGGCCCGCCAGCCGAGGTAACGATGGAGCGGATGTTGGCACCACTGCCACCAATGAGGTTCCTGTGGTGCTTCCTGTCAACCTCCAGAGTCTCAACGATGGTATCGTCAAACTCGCGGGCACGCTCTTGTAGGACCTTCTTGGCTGCCTCAACCGCCTTCTTGGTGCCCTTGAGCTTGATCTCTGCGCGGCCGGATGGGTCAGCACCATCGCGTGCACCAGGAACGTCAATCTGGCAGCCAGTCTCGAGGCGGAGGTTCTCCATCTCGCGACCGCCTGATCCGATCAGACGAGGGATGTTGCTCTGAGCGACCGAGACGGTGTCGCTGAAAGAGTTGTCCTTGATGTACTGGAGCAGACTAAGCACCTCGTCGCGGGCTTCATCTGCACCCTTCCTGGGACCTCGAACAATGACTTCGTCTTGGTTCTGACCAGAACGAACGTTCTTCTGTGATGATGCATCTCCCGCCTCGTCATCGTGTTGTGCGCGTCGAGGAAAGTTGATGCGTACACCATAGCGGTCTTGCAGACGCTCGACTTGCTTGCCGCCGGCACCGATCAGGTCACGGTGGAACTGAGGCGCAACCTTCAAGACATGGGTAGCCTCGTCTTCGAGCTTCTTCGCCATGTCAAGGATGTCCTTCTTGCATTGCTGAGCCTTGGCTGAAGGTCCCTTCAGCTCAACCTTTCCGTCGTTGATTTGAACATCAACGTCGTACTTCTGGCGCAAACGCTGGATGTTCTCTCCACCCTTGCCAACGAGGTGGCTGGCATACTTCTGGGGGTAATCAAAGGTAGTTACGTGGTTGCGCTCAAGCTCATCCTTCTCAGCTTGCTCGATGAAAGCGAGAATCTTGGCGTTGAGTTCATCAACAGCGTTTGATGGTCCGCGAATGGCAAAGCTGTTGTTTGAGCGGCTGTGGGGCTCCGGTCGTCGCTGGCCAAACAGGGCCTGGACGGGAACTTGGTCAGGGTTGAGGCCCTGCTGCTGCTCATTGACGAACTGCTCAATCTTGCGGTGGAACTTGGGGTTAGATTCCAGACCACGAGTATCGATTTGTGGTTGGTTCTTGGTCAGACCAAGGATGAAGCGCTGCGCATCTTGCAGACCTTGCTGGTATGCCTTGACCTCAGCTGGGGAGGGTCGGCCACGAGGAATAGCGTACTCGTCGTATGGGGTCTGACCCTCGTAGACGAGAATCAACTCTGGTGATTGCTCGGTCTCGTCAGGGAAGACAATGTGAACACCATGGTCCTGTCGGACCTTGGGTGCGTTCTGCTGTCGCAAGAACTGGTGGTAGAAAGGATCAACGTCCATGGTCGCAAAACGGCTAGGCGGGTGCGACTGAAAGACGCTCATGATGTCGCCACGGGCCTTCATGCTGTTCTTTCCATCGCGAGCGTAGATCTCCCATCCGGTTGGGGCATCACGGTCTGTAGGAACGACGATGCTAGCCTCGTGCATGCGCTCAAGGTCAGCCAGAGCCTTCCGTTGGCGCAAGTAGCGCGTGAGGTTGTGGGCGTGTGCTTGTGAGTTGGGACCCTTGTGTTCACGAGCAGCATCCGCAGTAGCCATGGTCATGCTAGCAGCAAGGTCTTCAAGCTTGTTGATACCCTGCTCAATCTTGTTGAGCGGACCGACAATGTAGACGGTCTCGCTGTCGTCGGAGCTTGGAGGCAGGACAATGCTGCAACCAGTCTCCTCGAGGAAATCATGAATAGAGTTACCCCGGTCACCAACAATGAATTGGTGTCGGCCGCGCTCGATGGATCGTTGCTCAATAGCCAGTTGTTGGCGGAGTTGCTGAGCACGACGTTCAAGCTCAGCCTGGATCTGCTGTGCGGCGGCGCGGTCACCAGAGACTTGGATGGGGAAGTTCGCCTGGGGAGCGAACTGGGCGGGTTGACCACGAGTCGCCTGGGGAGGTGCCTGAGATTGCCAGGTGTGGTACTGAGGGATCTGAATGTTGACATCACGACCCTGGACAAGCCTGTCGGTATGGACATTGTTGGGACCAGCGAGGAAAGGATAGAACTCGGCAGGAATGTCCTTGAGACGGAGGTTCACAGTCGAGGTGCGCTCGTTGACAATAGCATCAATCTCACGACGAGCCATCTCAGCAGTCAAGGCGTTACCCTCAATGTGGACATTGACAACGGTATCCTCATCCTCGCCCGGCTCGGCCTTGGGGACCTGGATGCGGGCGCCGGTGCGCTTGCTGATTTCCTGGATCTTGGAACCTTGACGACCAATGATGTGGGCGCGAACAGAGGCGGGGACGGGGACATCGACGGATTGCTGGCGAGGGTTAGCTTTGTGTTTAGATGAGTTGGCAGCTGACTTGCCTTTGAGCCGACTTCGTTGGCGACTTCCTTGAGAGCTTGCCTGACCGCTTCAACGGGACCGGTGGCCTCGAAGATGAGTGCTCCCTGACCCTGCTTGTAGTCAAGCTTGGCCTTGGAGCGCCTGTTGATATCGCGGACAATCTCATTGATGGGCTTCTTCAGCTCACCACGAGGAGCGACCTGGTTGGCAGCGAGAGAAATGCGCTCCGTGTGCTTGCCGGGGATGTTCATGGACGGGAGGGCGGGGCCACGGGTGGGAATAGACTGGGCAGAGCCATTTGCAGTGCCATTGGCGCCGTTGGAGGTGACAGAGGCAGGCTTCTTGCCCCAGGTAGGCGCAACAGAAGCCTGAGCTCGAGGCTTGACGGGGCCGAGAGCCGGGAAGGCCTCCTCGGACTGAGTGTTGAGCGCGGGCTTCTTCGGGGCGGCAGGAGCGTCTTCGGCCTTTTGCTTGCCAGCAGCCTTCTCGCTGAGAGGAGCAGCGGCATCGGCATCAGGCTTGGCGGAGGCAGGAGGATGGGTGAGGTCCTCCTCGTCGGGCACGTCCTCGACAGTGACATGGTGGTCGGCATGTTCCTGCATAAGCTTCTGCGCCGGGGTCAGACCCTCGGTGGCAGAGCTAGCGACTGCTTCAGATGCCATGGTTGAGTATAAACCGTTTCGAGATAACCAAAGGGCGTTCGCGTGGACGGTGGGTGGTGAAGCTTAGAAGCTTGGAGCCAGCTTGATGTCGTGGGAAATATCGGTGAGAGATGCAGTCCTGTTCTGCGAGGTGAGGGTCAGCGGGTGGTTGAGAAGGCCAGGGTAGAAAGAGGGTAGAGATGGTGCAGTCGCTTTCTCGCTGGGGACTTTAGTGCGTTGGCTGTGCGTACCAGGTAATGCAATGGGGCTGTTGTCACTCGGAGCTTAGCCAGGGAATAGTTGCGCAGGGTCTCGGAATTAATTGGTTGCCGTTTCTTAGCAGGCCATAACGTGAAGTAAGAGACGGTGCGGGCTCAATTGAATATATAGACGACTACTACAACTGTACAAGCCAGACTCGATGGATGCAATGGTGAAGAGAGAGAGTTGCACATGTGGCATTCTCGACGTCTGCTCTAGAATGTCCGCGAACTTACTCGGACCCCTGCAGCTGCTTCCCGGTCCCCACTAATTCCAATCCCGTAAAGCTAAGAGGCCGCTAACCTCCACACATTTCCTCTACCACACCTCCTACAACCAGCATAATTGCAATTCCCTCTGTCGCGTCGTCCTGCCCAGATTTCTGTGGCTTAGTATTTGAGGCTAGCAAAAATGTCCAGAAGCGAGTGATCTATGGACCTCTTTCAAGAGTGAACTGGCCGCATACTCCATCAAGCTCAACTGAGACGTTAAGAAAGGGATATATATAAAAGCAAATAAGACTTCGACACCATCGCCTAGTGTCAAGTAGTAAGAGTGACCCATTATCAACCACAGAAAATTGCCCTCTCCCATCACCAGCTTCACAATCCCTTTTGATCCTTCTTCGCCCTTGTCTCCCATGTAACCGTCGCGAAAAAGTCCTTGTTCAAAACCTCGTCATATTTGCCTCCCCACATCAAGTGATCATGGATATGCTTTTTCGAGTCATTCCAGTTACAATAAACCTTTCCCACTCCCCCACCCTTGTCCTTTGTCAACCCCATAAACTTATCCTTGCAAACATTGGCACCAGGGTAATAACTCCACTGAAGTTGGCCGCCAGCGCCTGGAGTATTGCCGTTATCAACCGTGATTTTGTAGACCCACTCTATCTGCTTCCCGTCGCGGCCGAATAAGGTGATGGTAACAGTGACTGGCTTATCCCAGTAAATCTTTTGGTTGCCATGATTGTCGCAGAATTGCTTCACTCCCAGTTCCCACGCTGCAAAATTGGGGTAGTGGTTCTTGTTCGCTGGACATTCGTTGTCGTCGAGGAGGCGAGGAATGATGTTCGTTGAGGTGCTGTTGGAAGGGTCGTCTAGACGGGCCAGAGGGGCTGTCAAAGCCATGGTCATGAAGGCGACGAGGAGGGCTAGAATGGTGGTGTACATAGTTTGAATCCGTCTTCCCTTGATTTGCCGATCCAATGTAGTGAGTGCGAGTGTGGGTGTGTAAGCGAAGGTGAGTAACGAGAGAAGGAAACTATCGCCTGCACTGTTCTATCACTTACTACATATGACCCACCACATCATTCACGCCAAGCATAGTGAAGGAAACAGACAGGTGCGCGTGTGATGGGTACCGTAGATTCAGAACCAATGTGTATTGTTATACTTTTCGTAAACGCTAACTTGGCCCATGTCACAAGGCGGAGTTATAAAGACAACAAAGAAACGATCTGCACAGCCTTCACGTAACAACAAAATCTCGAACGATACGATGAAACATGCGACATTGAATTAGTAGCGGCGGCTCTCAACCAAAGGTGATCAGTCGGATGTTCTCGATCCGGGTGATCTTGTGAACGGAGATACTATGGAGTGACAGCAGCAATGCGACTGTTGCAGTCAAGTCATGTCAAACAAACCATTTGCAGGACTTCATAGTTCCTTACATGAGAGATAATGAATAAGTTAGAACATAGAGATACGCCGTCGCATGCGTGGGCGATCGGAATCGATTTCAGAGAAGAAGCAGACCAGAACACAGTTCAAAACCAGCATGCGAATCAACGCAAAAATTAAGAAATATTATATCAACAGCCCGGGAATCATAAAGAGCATGAAGAAAAGGAATCCACTCAAGTGATATGAATCTCAGGTAGCGGCCTAAATTTATCATCATCCCTCTTCCTTGTCTCAACCCAAATCTGCATATCCTCCGATCTCTTCCTAAATTGATCATACTTCCCCCATGACCAAACTTCCCCCTCCTATACTTTTCCACGTTCACCCTGCCCCAAATCTTGCCCTCCCGCCCTTATCCCCAATCCCTGTACCGCCGTCGACAAAGGCGTTGAACCTATCATAACAATCTTGTCGCGTTGCTTCCAAAGAACCCATATGTACATCGCCGGCAAGGTAGTTGGTGGACAAGATCCAGCGGATGGAATAGCCATGGTAATCGGTGAGGGTGTTTGTATAGACGAGCTTTTTAGTGTACGGCGAGGCGGTATTAGAATTCGTTTGGGTAGTGGGTCATTGGCCATCCTTTTGGGGCACGGTAGAGTATGGCTGTGGTGTTAGTTAATGGGGATGGGAATATGCTGTGGGTAGCGGAGCCTAGGGCGGATGAGATGGCGATGGCGGATAAGAGGATGGTAAGGAATGCTGTTTTAAAGATGAGTCCGTGAGTGTTGTGGATAGGTAACAATAGCATCTTGCGTATAACCGTATCGGTAAAGGAGATTCAGAAACGAGCTTGTTCGAGCTACTGTCTCATTCCAGATACTTCCAAGCAGTCTTACCGCAGGAACTCCCGTCCAATTATAGATACGCCTTTTCTTCGACCTTGAATCCATCAACATGCCCCTTCAGATCTACTTCAGCATACTCAATAAGTTGCTCAATAGAATCGACATGCTCTCCGAATAAGATCTGGTTAGCAAGCAGACTCGGAACTCGGCAACCCCTCGATCACCTGGCAAGGGCCACAAGTGTAGATTGCTATTACAAGACGTTGGTCGCAAACACCATTGACGTACGGCGGGGGCACCAAGCGACTCCTTTGTAAGTCTCGAGGAACAAAATAGAGCAACAAAGACCTTGGCTTAGCGCAGCATAGGGCGGTGCCTTGTCAGGGAGGTCTGAAACATCAGACCACGAACGCTTGGAGATGACATGCACAGTGAACGCATGTGGCATGTTGGGGCTTGTACAAATTGCGGGGTAGTTCTTGGGGTCAACAAGACATGTGATTTGCAAATCGCATGGAAGCTGTCGCATACTGATGATTGCGTAAGGGTGTCTGTATCGGGCATCTACTTCGCTTCCTTCTCCACCCTCCCTTTCGTCTTCCCGTACGCTCCACCAGCCAACTTCCGCATCTCCAGCGCCCTCTTATATGGCGGCGCAGTAGGTGGTTGTACAGGATCCAGACTAACCCTGTCCTTTGGTAGTTGATACGTTGCATCAGAATCATACGCTGATAGGTCACCACAAGCCAGGAACGGTGCTATCCATCGCTGTCCACCTTCCTCAAGATCGTCTTCATCTTCGGTGTCGGTACCTAGATCAATCTCAATAGCTCCATCTTCCCTAATGCGTCGCGTGACTTTCTCTTCCCGTTTTTGTGTATCTGAAGGTGCTGGTGTGGGTAGTTGGGTTCCCGCGCCCAACGGCTTGTCCAAACTAGCCGTGAACCCCTCTGGTGGACAAAACCCTTCGCAGACAACGAACGCCTCGATACTACTTGCGCGACTACTCCTCGGCTTCGCTACACGCACCCTATCAAACACAATTTTCAGCTGTGCGAACAGCAGATCGACGTCCTTGCCTCTGAAGATCTTGGCTACGAATTTGCCGCCGGGCTTCAACACGCACAGAGCGAGGTTGAGGGCGGCCCACAGCAGTTGACTTTGCACATAGATGTCCAGGTCATGGAGACCTGTAACGTCAGGCGCGCCGTCCGAGATGACTAGATCGACAGGTGAGGAGCCTTGTGGTGCGGCGGGGTCGTAGGTGTCTGGGTCTAGGGCTTTGAGCATCAGGGGAATGGTGGAGGGGTGGGTTATGTCTGCGCGCATTGTCGTTACGCCTTCGAGGGGGCTCATGGGTTGCAAGTCGATGGCTACAATGCGTACGCCTTCTCTTGGCTTTGGTTTCTCTTCTACTTTTGCGGTAGGTGAGGGAGCTGATTGTACTGTCGACTCTGGCTTCTTGTCAAGACCTAAGACGTAGTTTCTTGTGGCGGCTTGCTTGTCCTGCCAACCAGCTCGTCCGAATTTCTCGCCTTTGATAAGTACACGGGAGAGAACTTGACTCCAACTTCCTGGTGCGGCGCATAGATCGACGACTCGTGTGACTCCTTCGAATAAGTTGAATTCTTCGTCTAGTTGGAGGAGTTTATAGGCTGATCGGGCTCGCCATCCTTCTTCTTTTGCCAGACGATAGTAGGCATCCCTCTTGTCTTTTGATGATTTGCCCATCGTGCCTCAATTCTGCTATTCCGACTCTTTTTGTGTTCCAGTGGTTTTGGTGTCTCTACTCCCCGCGATGTAACGAGCTTGACTTCCGTGGTTAATTTGCAACCACACTCGATCAATTCATCCACCTGATTTTTCCCTACTCTTTCTTGTTCCTGCTGGTATTTATGAACAATGCAGATCAGAAAACACAGATCAACGAGTGCGAGTCATGCACGTGAAGTGTGGGAAAGTCCAGGTGGGCTAGAGCGGATGTGGGGCGGCGGACTCCCGAACGCCGACAAGTTTTCCAAAAAGTTTACGGCGCGCGCATCCAACCTACGACAAGCCTCGATCGCAGAACATCCACGATGAAGCGCCCTCATACTGCCCCGAAAAAGGCGTCGCATAAGGGAAACAAACGCCAAAAGCTTGATGACTTCCCGAAACCTCTCCCTGCGTCGACGAAAGCGAAGCGCCGAGTGCAACTCAACGAATTAGGATGGAAGACTGTGTCTATGCCCGATCGGCTGGAAGATACTGAAGGCTTCTATGGCCTTGAAGAGATTGAAGATGTCGAGATCGTCAAAGACCCCGTCACCGGAAACCTCACTTTCGAGACTACAAAAACCGAAGAAGAGGTAGCACAAGATGTGGAAGAAGCGTGGCAGCGGGAAGAAGACGAGTATAAACGCTTGGAGAAGTTAACCTTCCCTGAGGATGAGGCGAACAGACAAGAGGATACTGCACAAGACCCAGCGCAAGACCCAGCGCAAGAAGAGAACGAAGAGATCGCATGGGAGGGCTTCAGTGACGAGGAGGATGCGCAAACGGAGACACCAGCGCAGGCAGCAGATGCAGACGCTAAGGATGCAGCAGGCGCAACTACCACGAACGGCGAACCAGAGGTAAAGAAACTTACGAAGACTGAGAAGAAGAAGAGGGCCAAGGAAGCAAAGCTCAAGAAACAAGAAGAGGAAAAGGCCAAGGCAGAAATACCAACACCAGACGATGTCGAGGAGGAGAACAACGAGGACGAGGATGTTGATGAGGATGATGTTGAAGATCGCGAAGACGGCGAAACCTTCGGGCCCGGCGCGTTCGATATTTTGGCGAACCAACCCGACGACGACGATGACGAGACAGATGTGCGCGCATGGAACAAGTTGGACTTATCCGAAGAGATGCTAGGCGCATTAGCAAAGCTGAAATTCTCGAAGCCTACCGGAATCCAAGCGTCCACAATACCCGAGATCATGGCTGGAAGGGATGTCATTGGCAAAGCTTCGACAGGTTCAGGTAAAACTCTCGCTTTTGGCATCCCAATCATAGAGTCATGGCTTGCTGCTCGATCGGCTTCCAAGGGCTCCGAGGGCAAAGCACCCATCGCACTGATCATTGCGCCAACACGAGAACTTGCGCATCAGATCAACGCTCACTTGATCGCCCTCTGCGCGAAGGGTGACTTCGATCCCCCATACATTGCATCCATCACGGGTGGTCTGTCCGTACAAAAACAGCGCAGGCAACTGGAAAAGGCAGACATTGTTGTCGGAACACCAGGACGATTGTGGGAGGTCATTAGTGGTGGTCAAGGCCTGCTACCCAAGTTCAAGCAGATCAAATTCCTGGTTGTAGATGAGGCTGATCGCTTGTTGAGCGAAGGTCACTTCAAAGAGATGGGAGAGATCCTTAAAGTCCTGGAGCCTGACGATGAGCCTAATGAGGATGGGGAGGAGGAGGAAGCGCCAGAATCTCAACGCCAAACTCTCGTCTTTTCCGCAACGTTCGGAAAGGATTTGCAGCGAAAGCTCGCAGGCAAGGTCAAGTATAGCGGCGATCTCATGAGCCAACAACAGTCTATGGAGTATCTGCTCAAGAAGCTCCGATTCCGCGAGGAGAAGCCCATGTTCATCGACGCCAACCCGACTTCGCAAATGGCCAGCAAACTGCAGGAGGGACTTATCGAATGCGCTGGACCTGAGAAGGACCTTTATCTCTATTCGCTACTGATGTTCTACACGAAAAAGCGCGCCCTCGTGTTCACCAACTCAATCTCAGCAGTGCGTCGCATAACACCATTCCTGACCAATTTGGCTCTACCCGCACTACCGCTACATTCGAACATGCCTCAGAAAGCTCGATTACGCTCGATCGAACGGTTCAAGGAGCGACCGGGATCTATTTTAGTCGCCACAGACGTTGCTGCCCGAGGTCTTGATATACCGAAGATAGACTTGGTCATACACTACCATCTGCCTCGCGCTGCCGATACATACGTCCATCGATCTGGGCGTACCGCACGTGCAGATGCTTCAGGAGCTAGTATCTTGATCTGTGCCCCCGAGGAAGTCGCGGGTGTACGAAGGCTCATCGCTAAAGTACATGCGCGTGCCAGCGACGCGCCCAAATCCAAGAAGACGGCTTTCTTCATCCGTACCCTGGATATCGACCGCCGTATCGTGTCGCGCTTGAAGCCTCGCGCTACCATCTCGAAAAAACTAGCTGACACCGTCATTGCGAAAGAGAAGAAGCACAGCGAAGACGATGTACTACGACGGGCTGCTGAAGATTTGGGTGTGGATTACGACAGTGAAGAGTTCGAGAAGGAAGCACCAGGAAAGAGGGGCCGTGGAAGTGGCCGGAAGAAGAAGGAGAAGGAAGCGAGTGAGATGACGAAGGCGGAGATGCAGTCGCTGAGAGCGGAACTCAAGCATCTGCTGAGTCAAAGGATCAACACCGGTGTCAGTGCGAGGTATCTCACGAGCGGTGGTATTGATGTTGATGCTCTTGTGGCTGGAGAGGGCAATATGGAATTTTTGGGCAACCTTGATGGACTTGGGTTCGACGAAGTTGTTGAATAGTTCGTACTCTATTTGGACGATACCCACCAATCTAGGTCTGCACTACCGCAATATGCTACAAAGTTCCAATGTCTTGACGCTGTCAAAACTTTTAAGCCTTTTACGACTCATATGCTAGCAAGCTGTGGAAGAGCGGAGTGTATGTGATGTATCCGTGATAGTCCTCTCCTGGGACGAGGCACAGGAACCTCGGTTTTAGCGCCTCGGCAAGTTATGACGTAGGCAGCCACCCAACCTCGAGGCAATGCCCTCCTAATGCGTGATGCGGAGATTCGAAAGCTTATGCGACCGGACTTCGTCGAGAATGGAACAATGTGAGCGCAACAGATATCGAGATAACATTCCCTCAATCTTGACCTTCCGCGCTCGCGACACTGGGACGTCTCGATTACAGCCGAAAGTCACTGATCAGGTACGTTCTTTGACCTTGCTTGCGCATAGCAATGATAGACTTCGGTACTTTCTCAATTCTCAGCCGGAGCTAAATATACTCGGACTTCCATCGCGCAAGACATTAACCATGCCTTGCCCTTTCCTTTTTGTTTTGCAATGCAAGTAAGCAGCCAGGCCATCACAATCATCCCGCCCCCAACGGTACCACCTTAACGGCAAACGCGAGGGTCTAGGCAACAGTCTGAGCCAAAGGCGTTCAGTATTCTTTCTCACAACGATGCAGCCCCCAGATGTGGTATTTTGAGTATCTCGGGTCAGCACGAGCTCGATTCATCTTAGCTGCTCTCAGCCTTGCGTGCTGGCTGAACGAAGCTGGTAGGTAACTTTTGTGATTCGCCCAAAATTCATCGATTAACCAGAAGTGACTTACATTTGCACCAACCCAATACAAATCAGAAACAAGCGTCTTCAGCCTCACACATACACTTCGTATACTTAGCGACCTCTACCCGCTGTCTCGTCGAGGCTTCGCCGGATCGCTCTCGTCTTCCAAAACCCAAGCAACAAAGATATCTTTTTTACTTGCATGCCGATCGCACTGCGATGGAGACCATAGATTATCTTCCGTGGCGATACGATCACTGGGAGAAGAAGCCCTGGAAGTTGGAAGCGCATGACAAGCATGTTCTAGTGTCGATATATGAAGACCACGTAAGACATAGTTGTGTAGCCTTCAGCTGATAAAACTAATTTCATGCAGACAGGAGTGCGATTTGTTCGAAAGGCAATGTGCGATGAAGACATTCCCGGATTGTGTGAGCGCACGGCGTCGGTACTGCCTAATATAAAGTGGTCCTTGGAATTGTGCGCACAGAAGACTACAAGGACGATGTAATTTACTAACCACGTTGAAGGCTCATGACACAAGAGACTCTTGCCGGCGAAGTTCGCCTTCCTGTCCCTTATTCTTTGACTGCTGTCAAAGCTCTTCACTCGTACTGGAATATCCCGTATAACTACATCCCTAGATGCAAATCTTTAGAGACGGTAGACATGAGCTTTTCTCCTGTCAAAAATGACAGTGCCTGGAAAGGTAAGTTTTCATTCATTCTGCTTTGGTTAGAAGGCCATAATGTTATCTAAATAACATCTAAACATTAGGGTCTTTGCTCACAATTGATGAACATAGGTATCACTCTGGATTTTGGTTCCATTATGTCTACAATGACTTATAATAGCGCAAATCATCGAGCATTCAGCATTTGCCTACTGGGGCACGCAGAGGACGGTAGGCGTCTCGTGCGACGTCTCGAACGCAACCCCAGTTTCGCATCGAACCCCCTGTTTGCACCAGTGATCATGGCTTCTCTAGTAGTACATGATCTTCGACTTGTAGCCTCTGAAACATATATCGATTGTTCGGAGATCGAGTCGAAACTAGGCTACTGGACGAACGATTTCGAGAAAAGTGTAGAAGAAGAGCTGGATTTTACGCGGATGCCGCAGTCTCTGAACAAGATCGCAATCCGAACTGTAAATGACGAACAATGGGGCTCTTCGATGACTTCTTCGCTCAGTTGTCTGGGAGAGCAGCTTCAAGTATGGGGCAGTAAACTCTGTCCCGGAGTTGGCGTCGAGTTGCAAGAGCAAGTTAGGTACTTACAGCAATGTACCGCGTCATGCGCGGCCTTATCTCAACGGACGAAAGATGGCGTTCAGTTCATGATACAAACGGTACGTCTCTGCATCAAAGCATGCAAGGCTTGGATTATGTCTCATAGCAACAGGTGTACGCAACCCTCCAGCAAAAGGACAATCAACTCAACCATCGCTACGGTGCCGATATGCGACTTATTACCGCCATAACTCTCATTTTCCTTCCTGGCACTTTCGTCGCAACTTTCTTCAGTACCACGTTCTGGGACTTTTCACCTGACAACAGAGGCGCGAAAGTGACTTACTGGGTATATCTATACTTCGTGGTCACGATAGGACTGACGCTCTTGGTGCTCATGGTATGGAGGAAATTTGCTGCGCTCAAGAGATCAAGTGTGAAGATGATACAAGTAGGGCGCCGGGTCCCTGTGCTGCGGAGACTGATAAGAGAAAAGAAAATGGATGATGAAGAGTCAGGGAAGAAGGGCGATTGAGATATCTTTGCTCGATGTATGCCAAAGATGGCTGGACCCTTTCCTTGAATACAGCCCAATGAGAAGTTTGTCCACCATGGTGATCATACAAAGCCAGTGAAACGAAGGTTTGTGACAGAACTCAACCATGGTAGGGTCCTCTCGCTTGTCTACCACTGTTCGCACGAGCGAAAGCCATTCAAGTGCAGAGCTGATTCAACTCAACGCACAAAAAAATACATCGATCGATAGCCTACGATTACTAGCATAACAAGATGAATCCAGCACTTCTGGAACCGACCAAGCTCGAGTTGCATCTGCATACTGCCGTGGACCACGTCAAAGGACAGGGTGTTGGTATCGGTGTCCTACAACAGGTCAGATGCGCACCGACAGGTGTCTTAATGCCAGATGTCCTTCCCACAGAAGAGCGCAGATACCGTACTAGACGAGCATACTTTCCCATCGAAAATGTTAAGACACGCGAAAGAGCTGAGATGCCTGCTTTATTGCACGCCCTCGGTCTAGCCTCCAGCACGATCAAGAAACGCTGTCCTCCAGCTATCGAACTGCAGCACATAACTCTTTTTTGCGAACATCCATCGGTCATATATACTGTCAAGCATCACTTCGAATATTGTCTGGAGAGCCTTGAGGACGAGGTGAGCGGAAACGACCGCGCCATGATCAAGAGGGTTGTTCAAGCGATAAAGAAACTTCAAACGCGGGGCTTCGCGGTTTCCCTAATGATTGCAAACATGGAAGATGAAGCGCAAAAGAAGGTGGGTTTAGCATCAAGGCAACGAGGCAGGGTTGCATGTCGAGATCGCCGCCATGACCAGCGCACGCGAGAAAGGGCAATGGCAACATCGCATCGCACCTCAGAGAACAAGTCTCTTCCAAAAGCAGTTGTTAATGATGTTGGAAGTCTCACGTCACGAATGCAGACATGCAACATAAGTGAGAGTGGGACATGTATTCTATTGTGATATCCCAGTTATCGACAGACCAACGCAAAGACCACAGCCGACAACCCAAGCAGAACTACGTACACGGCAGCCATACCCTAGAAATAACGGCTCTGAAGGCGAAAGATCATGTAGCAGTCTTTCAATGACGGCGAGAAACGAAGGTGTTTGGAAGAATGGAAAGACTGCGAGAACAAGCAACGACGGCAGTATCCAGTGGATGGGTGTGTGAACAGTATTGTGGTTCTTTCGATACGTGTATGAGACGGGGTATGATGGAATGCCGAGGGATGATAGAGGTAGGATGAGATCGAACGAAGCCTCGAAGGAGGTACCCGTGGCGTTGGTTTGGAACGAACTGCAATAAAGAAAGATCCTCTTGTCAGCCGTCGCTAGCGCTAGGCAGAAAAAACTCGACTAAACCGGTATCTAATAGAACGACGACTAGACTGCTGGGGAGTCGAACCGCCTGTGGCTACTTGTGACTTTCCACGTTCGCTGCACCGGCTGCTCGCCTCTCACCCTGCAAAGGTACACCCACTAGGGGAGAAGGATGGTCCTAACCTTGTCATGCCCATGGCCTCAATCTACATGAGAACTTAGAGTGTGATGTTTCGTGACTGGACATATTCTTGTCGACAGTGGCGGATGAACCAATGATAGTGAGGACGGAAGCTCTGAGCTTGTATTGAACACTGAGGTTACGAAGGGCTGTCAGGGATAACTGCTCGAGATGTCGAAGACGTGAAAAGAAAAAGCGACTAAAAGGAAGCGAAGTGAAGTGAAGACGGGTAATCAAGTGGTGGAAGAGTAGCTGAGAGTGTGGATGAGAAGAGATGGAGAGGGGGGCAGCTATCAGGAGAAACAGGACGGGACGACAGCCCAAAAGCCAATTGTGCACAGACCATTGTTTCGAGCAGGTGGCATGGTCGTGTTGAGAAAGAGTATCGTGACTTAGGTGCTGATTCTCCAAGGGTAGAAGATGAGGTCACGACTGTCGTCGGTTACTGGCTGCTGTATCTGGCTTATTCATCTTGCTAAACTTAAAGTGACGATAGAGTGTTTTGTTTTAGTGGAAATTACGATGACCGAGAACCGTACTGACTGTAATGTTACTTCCTTTAACGAGGCATTAGACTAAATGAAGTTTTGGTTGGAAACGTCGAACTGCAGATAACGGCTGGACGTAGTAGGTAGAGAAACCCTCATTCTAGGTAGTGTCGTTAGGATTGGGGGGCTGAGCGGTACTAGACACAACAGTTAATGCTTGGTTGTCAGTGGTTGGCGGCATGGTCTTATCGGGAGATCGTTTCTGAGGCAGTCGAGCTTGGGAAGACTTTTGCAATGCCATTTTCGATCACCAACGTATATGAGATCAAGCGACTAGATACGAAGCATTAGGAAAAATCGGTAATGCCTCATGTAGGTGCTGTTTCAAAATCCTACTGTGTCGCAGCAACCAAGCAGTCATGCATGCACCGCGCCACGATATTCCACCAAGTCTCCGGTCCTTCATTCTTTATTCCCGACACTGCCTCTTACTCCCTCAACCCAAGACCTTCATCATCCCTTAGCTCCACCCCATATGATTGCATCGTATCTTCCAACTCCTCATCCTCATCCACCAACCCCACAACCGCCTCGTCATCTTTCCTCGCTCTGTTCACCCTACAGCGCCTGTACTTCTCCCAAAGAACAGCATATATGCTAGCCACGGGTGGGAGCCAAAGGATATCGTAGAGCTGGTTATGATTCCAGTATATGACCCCGAAGATGTATGAGACGGTGATAAAAACGATCATAGTGGCGAGGGGTATGTTGTCGATGGTGAAGAAGGTGATCGATTCATTGTTACGAGACGGAGAGCACCGAGGCCTATGGTTTGCTTCGGTGGACGTTGTGGAAGGGGTAGCGGTGCGTGACGGTAGTGCAGGTGGGAATGATTCCGAACTTGGGGATGGTGGCGGTGATGGTTGTTTTGGTAGCATGATGAGCGATTCGTTCTTGAAGCTGACGAGTTCGTTCATTGCGATGAATCTGAAAGGCAACTTCCGGTTAGTTTGTTTAGAGACAGAGCGCGAAAAGAGGGCCTATGACCGTTTATTACACGGCGGCAAAGCTGTGCCATACCCCAGTCAAGTGGTATGCAGCATGACAGGTTGTGAAATCTGCCTTGCTGTGCCGCAAGAAACATTTGGGGCCGTCTCCGTCAGCCATCTGAAACGAGTGAGAGCCAACCCCGCGATACAGTCTCGGTTGAAGTCTCTCATGAGGGCGAAGAAGTATTTTCGCGTTGATACCATTTCCTCGATACCTTAACCATTTCGGCTCGCATGCTCCGCTGCATACGCTTTCTTCCAAACCTCATACCCCTGCCTAACACCCGTTCTCTCAAAACCCATCCCCAACATCACCATCGTCTTCGCCGTCCCTGCTTTCATCTGCATCGGCTTCCCACCCACTCTTGTCCCCTCACGCGACCACCCGCTTAACCCACATCCGCACCACCCATCTACTGATCATCAACCCCAACCCACAAATTCCGATGATGAAAGGGATTAATTGCCCAACAATTGTCCATAGCTCACTCGAGTCACTCACGCGATCCCAGTGCAACGACAATTCGTATTGCAGACTGACGATGACGTGGATAAGGAGATCGAGGATGGCGTAGTACCAGCCAAGCCAAATTTCTTTGGTGTCGAAGGGCTGATGAGGAGCAGGGAGGAAGCTAACGATAGCGAGGTCAATGACGGTAAGACTTTGGGGGTTGAGTATGTAGTTGTATAGGTAATAGCGGCATAGGTTTGAAACGGTCCGTTAAGTGGATCGAACAGGCGAGATTGTCGTAGATGTAAGTAGATGACGAAAGCTTGAGGTGGGGAGCGACATGTGAGGAATGCAATGTAACTGTGTAGTTGGCAGTGAAACCATGATGGCAGTGACGGCTTTCCGACTGTTATGGTGTGATACATCTTGGGGAAGAAAATCGATCGTGCGATTACTGGAAAAGTCAATAGAAAGTAGTTGGCCAACCAAGGCAAGGATCTGTGCGTAGATATCGTTGTTGCCCTCGAAGCAACATGTTGAGTCAAGGATTCTGAAAGCAAATGCGGTGGAAACCCAGAAAGACTACCAAGCTAGAAATGAGAGAGACTACATGTTAGTAACTCCTAGTAAGTATCAATATCGCGTTACTGCGCCGTACGCTGTGTGCTGTCTCTAAGCGCCCAGGTTCAGGCGTAGCGAAGACCCTAGGCAAGCCATCCGCCACAGGCGCTGGGAACTGAAACGGCGAGACATCGTCCAACAGGCGCGCGATAAAGGCGACAAGTATCGCAGACTGCGAGCCGCGATCGCTTTGCCTGTGTGCACAGTGTGTAAAGACATGAAATCGCCACATCGGAGGAACAACAAGGCGCAGGATGAAAGATCTAAACGTCCTATTGCTAAGAACCGTTAATAACAACCACGCGAGCTAATGCTCTATTCCCAAACTCCAAAAGTAGTCATCCTGTTGTGGTATGCTCGCTCAAAATGTCCCAAAACACCTTATGCCGATTATCGTCCCCTTATTGTTCGCATCGTGGGCCGCGTGTGGCATGTGTCCACTCCCACACACGCATGCGCTGTCATCGATGGAACCCGTGTGCCTCCGTGTATGATATTTTCGCTGTCGCGTTTACATGACGGTGCAAGGAATGCAGCAGCAACTGCAGTCATCGGTGCTGATGCAGCTGCACTTGCCGCCCTGAGGCTTGACGATGGAGCCGGCAGCTGAGGAGACGGAGTTTGTAGAGGCAGGCATTTTGGCGTATGAATATGCAGGAATCGCGTAGGGTTCAGAGGTCGGATGGACGAGTAATTGACGGTCGAGGGGTTATGATTGTTGAGTCGCGAGATGACGGAGTTGCGCTGTAATGACGTTAGCAGTGGTCGTGACCAGAGTCTCGAGTGCAAACTTACAGTATGTGCGATGAAGAGTAGAAAGAGGGTGGAGCTTGTCGCGGGATATTAAACGGTTGTGTTTGAGGAGGCAAAGGGGAGATTAATACGGTAGCAGAGGGTATCCAGTCCTGATTCAATGCTGCGCTGCGCGTGGCGCTAGGCCAATGACACGCCGACGCTTGGGAAGCATGACGTCGCCCTTTGTGGCAGTGAACGTGGCTAACGCCGCGCGTTCGGTCATAGGCTCGTGTGGGAGCGCGAGAGGTAGAAACGCATAGAACGTGTTTGAGTGACTGTGCATTGAGTCTATCATTTATCTAGAAGTCGAATCTGTAGGAAATGGTATTGCTAAACATGAGATGAGGAAAGCCCAATACCGTGTCTCGCCATGAACATGCAGGTGATCCTTCGCGTCGTATCCTCGATATTTCAGACGTCTCTCCAAGTCGGTTGGCCCTTCTCCGCGAATGGTGTTTTGACAGCTGTGGCACGTTAGCTAGGTATCGAGGACATATTTGCAGTGGTCTTACCGTTACTGTCTCCGAATGGGTCATCATCATCCTCCTCTGGCTCACTGTCTGGCTCGATACGCGCAGGGGGCAAGGGGATGCTCGTTGGCCTGGGTGGTTTTGGAGGAGCCGATTCGTTCACATTCATACTGGCCATAGCAGCAGACACATTGCCCTCTTCATTATCGCTGTCGCTGTCGTCGTCGATACTCTTGTCCATGATTTCAAACGCCATGAGACCCTTAACTAGCTCGTCATTGGCATTGAGAAGACCGCCAATGTACTGCTCTGACTCGACCAAATGGATGTAACGCAAGATTTGACGACGAAGTTGCTTGCAGGTCTCGAAACGTCGCATAACTTCCGGATTATCGCTGACACGCTGTTGCTCACGATTGATGAGTTGTAACCCGTTAAGCAAGTTGGTGCTAGCAACGTTCGCCGATGCCATTGTCTCGAGCATTTGTCCTTTCTCCTTCTCCAGGATGAACGGCTGACTCTTGCCTTTCTTCTTGTCTTTCTTATCCCTCTTGAAGAGTGACGAGGTTGGAAGAGGAGTACCGGCGCCGAGTACAACGGGTGTAGTAGTTCTTGAAGATGATGCATGTTGAGGCTCCGGTCGCCTGTTTCTGGGAGGAGATGGTGAGTGCTCCTCGCGCTCACGTGCAGCTTCAGCATCCTGTTGTCGCACGATCCGAGATTGCTGGGGCTGAGGACGTTTGGTACGAGGAAGTTCTTTATGAAGTGCTGCTATCCGTTCAAGGCCAGGCGTTCCCTTGTATGCGACAGCCCATCCTCGAAACAGAACGTTGGCCTTCTGTCGAACATCCGCATCGACCGTGTCATCCCTGGCCAGGATGCGAAGTCGCTCGAGAAGTGGCTCATCTGCGAAAGCTTTCTGGAACCTAGTACCGGCATTCTGGATTAGGGCATCTAGTATCACAAGCGCGCGGATTTGGCGATGTACGTTGCCGTACTTGCTGTCAAACTATTAGAGCATGCCGTCTACACGTAGGTATCTGACTTACAGCTTCTTCCGCAAAGCTCGTGCTGCTTCTGTAGGACCAGATGCCTGGATCCGAATGACTTCGATCAGATCAACGATACCACCGACATCCTATACTGATTAGTATGAGATGTACGATTCGAAGGGGTCAACTTACATTCTCCTCATATTGCTCGCTTGTCAGTCGGTCGATTTGAACCGTGACAGCCGAGAAAGCGTGCTTCTGCGATGTATCCACTGTTTTAGTACTTTGTGGTAGTGTTCAAAGAAACACAGTGGGCAAGGGTTCTCGAAGATTGGAAGGTCTGCGTATGCCTTGGGGTCCTTGTGGTGATGAAACGCTTTGCGAGGGTGTTCGATTGACAAAGAGCTTGATGTAGACGGAGAGCTTGATATAGATGGAGCTTTGCGATACAATGGAAGTGCTTCGAGTCCAGAAGAAGCGCTGCTACAAGAAGATGTTCTACGAAGCGACTTCCGATCGAGGAGCGGTTCACCGTCATACCAAGAGGCGTGGGAAATCATGACCGGAATGAGAAGGGATATACAATGGGTGAATTGAAGAGGAGCGATGTAACAGAAAGCATGGTGTCTAGGGATTCTTAAAGAGAAACCAATCTGAAGAACAACTTACAGGCATCGCAAGTTGGTCGCTTGGTTTGACCTTTCAGGGTAAGCACCTGCTATATTTGGTGGCGAAAAAGTAACGAACACCCGAACGGGATGTTTGCTTGATTGTCAGAACGAATCTGGACAGAATCAGGGTCTGGTGTTTTCAATAAGGTCTGGAAGACGTCGGAGGGCCAGTCTGAAGAAAGAGATCCGGTGTTACAGATAAGAATAGACGACCCGGGCTCAGAAGAACATGTTGGCGAGTCGTGCAAAGTTCACAGAGTGAGTGAGCGGCGATAGAAAAGCCTCGGAGCGAAAGTCTATGTAGTAGTGGTTGCCTATGTGCACGCGATATGTGAATGCTTCCTTGATCGGGCTGAAGCCACCCCGCAGTGGGGGGGCTGAGTAAGGCAGTTGCAACCCACGCGTCGCGCCCACCAGACTTCTTCACCTGATCTCTCTCACTCCGCTTGCATACCGTATCGCTGCGCTGAAGTCGCGATGAACACAGCTAATGTGCTGCATCACATGTTGAACTCAGAGGCAACGGATGAAAGAAACGGCGATGATGCGTGAGAGGCCTGAAGCGCGTTCGCTCACTTTTTCACCTCACACGTTGCTTTTATCCCGTGTCGTCTGAACTAACCTAAGATATACAGATATATTCACATTTCTTCTTCAACCTCTAGTTTCACAGCCATCAATCAGCCCTCGACGCAGTTCTCGACGCCTCACTCGTCAATAGCAGCACTGGTTCAGCAAAACCAAGCCCAGCGAAGAGCGACCATTCACGGAAGACGGCGACATAACCCCGTTGTTGCCCAGTATCTTGGTCTTGGGACTGCAAGCGAGCCTACACATCTCGAGATATATGCTTCTTCGCCGGCAACGCCAACCAGCCCGCCACCGAAACCTGCACGCAAGCGACTCAAGTTGGCTGCTCATGAGAGCATATCAGATGGCAGACATATGAATGCGGAAGCAAGGGGGATTCCAGATCAACGCCGTGTGTCGGAGAGCTTTCAGGTGACGAAGCTTGCACGCAAGTCCGCGACATGTACACCCAAAGCTCCACCGTCCAGGACCACACAATCAGCATCCATTGACGATGTACGACCACAGAGGTCGACGGCAGATAGTAATGGGGCGACCGTGTCAGATCGTGTTTCTACCAGTCAAGCCTGCGATGTTGCAGATGATCGTTTCGCCAGCCCTGAAACTGTCCGAAATGTTAGCCAAGACACGGTGGCTACACTGCCTATGCAAGATCCAGTTGATGCGCGCTTGTTTAATGTCGAACTTGGCGACCATGATACCAATGAAGTTGGATGCATTGACTTCAGCCTAGCTCCGCAGCAAAACGAGACTTTGGTCTTTGACGAAGACGACTTCGACTTTGATGTCAGCGATAATGAACTCCCCGCATTGACACCTGGTATCGATAGCGCGTGCTCTGACCTTGCAAAGCAGACCTCAAACCCTTCAGTGCAACCTAACATTGATGGCGATTGCAGGCTGCATGACGTTCAAGGTCCATCTGCTGATGCTCATATCATTCTTGATGAAGTTACTGCTAAGAAGAGTTCCCAGCGCTTATCAAGGCAGTTCACTTCTCCAGTCACTCTGACTACGCGCTTGCAGATTGCATATGGCGACTCAGGCTCCGCGACAACTCAGAAGCCAATTGCGAGACCACCATTTCCTGAGGCGGTTCGTGATCGCTCTCCCATCATCGGGCTCTCGTCAAATTCGCTACTCAGGACATGTTTCCGCATCGGTGAGGTTATCAACCAGAGTTCTCAAGCATCCAAGTCCGGGAAGCACATCATGATCGAAATGTACGCCAGAATACTTGGTTCGGAGCGAACTGGCACGGAGCAGCAATTTACTTTCTGCGATCTCTTCCACGCTAAACCGCCTTACATCAAGGGTTTCTACAGTGCTGCCATGTGGAAGTCGGTGCAGCTGTTCGAGTACGACAGCAGAAGACTGTTACAGCAAGGGCGGATGTGCCGGTGCATTGGCACCATGAAGCGCGAGCAAAAGGTGTGGACCATGACGGTGCTCAACATCTGGGAAGCAACCTGGGAAGATATTAAATGGGTGGAGGGTATCGTGAACTCCTAGCAGCATTGTGGGAAGTGTTCAGGGGTATTCAGACAGGGGTGGCCAATGGGTGATCTATGGGTGATCTAAGCGTCGCAATGAACAGCATGACTGCAAGCGTGTAGAAAAAGTTAACAAGCAGCAAAGTGTCATACTTGATAGACATACTAGGGAGTTCGAGTGTCATCTGACTCCCGTACGTTTGAGGGATCAATGTGTCAGTTGTAGCCGCAGAGCATGGTTCACCCATGATGGTGGCTTGCTTCCACGTGATGATAGGCCATGATTAACCGCCCCGCTTTGACTTTGGTAACATTGACATTCAACGTACGGGCCAGTCCCACCGATTTGACTTCTGCTCACAGCACATTGCTGAGAGAATGCATTTTAAGCGTCGTCCTGCCACATTTACCCTAGTACGCAATGTTGACGGCGGCCATGACGCCAGGCATCGGTAGCGAACGCGAAACCACCGACGAGCGCGGTGCAGCCATGATGGAGCCTCACCCTCAACTAGAGACAACGCCGCCCAAGACAAATTCGCCCAAAGCACGGTCTCTCTCGGACAGCACGCCCCGTCTTGAGCCCTCTCCGAAGTTCCGCGAACCCGCACGCATGTCCAAAGATGACCAAACTATCGTGGCCAGCCCCAGTACACCGCGGAGACCAGACTTCCTCTCGCGAGGCCTGTCTTTGCAAATGCCCCCTCGAGAGTCGCCTATGCCCAGTCCCGCACACTTCGCCGCTCGTGTGCCCCTCTCTCCGCAGCTAGATTCACGCAACACCTACGCATCGCCTGCCTCTGTGCTGCCCCGACGGTCGCGCGGTGCTGAGTTCTCGAGAGCCTGCACCAACCTCCACCACTCGACGCTTCCCGATCAGTCTTCGCCCGATTCTTCGCCGACCATCACGCAGAAAGGCATCAAAATACCGCCGCGGAAGCCTCGCTCCAACTCTATGCTGCTTGACTCGCCGAATGTGAGCTTGCAAGGCGGATGGAGTCATGGCGATAGAACCGCTCCTTCAAGCTCGGTCGGTAGCATCAACATGATGGGCTCAGAGGACTCCAGTAGCTCTTCGGACGAGGTGGATCCGCTGGATCCTGAGGACAATGACGACCCCATGATCATGACTCCACAGGCCAAGACCAATACTCTCTTTCCGGGACTAAATACTGGTAGTAACGGCGTCTTTACAAACCTCTTCTCACCCGGCGGACAGCCCAACTTTGCAAGCATGCATCGAGCGAGATTGCGCAAGAGTCGAAGTCGAAAGAGCTCAAGTTCAGCCAGTGGATATAGCTCAATGGCAAGCCCTGGGCCAGCGTCACCGCCAAACGGCAAAGAGACAGGCTACTTTGCGCGAGAGGCGGCGATGCGGAAAGCCGGTTCGCGACGAGAGAGCCTCTCGCTCTTTGCCAACGATCTTCACATCTCATCTGGTAATGACAGCGGCGATGAGGGCGGTAATATGCCCCACACTCCGGGTGTCGTGAGACGGGTGGTTTCACGGAGGGGCAATTTGCTGGTATGTACGTTTACTATACAGCAACACAAGATGCTAATTCTACCAGCCCAAGTCAAGACAGTTTGGTCGCATCAGAGCTGAGCTGTTCGAAGAAGCTGCTCCTGTTGATAGCGAGTTCCGCCGCGAAGCTGAGATTATCCGGCAAGTGAGAGAAAGCGACACGGATTTAGAACGACCTTCAGGCACCGCGCAATCGTCACCCAACTTGCTGCCTACAGTTCCAGGCCTAGATGGACCACTTGAGGGCGTGCCAGAGGAGGGCAGCGAAAGCAACATGAGTCTAGATGGATCGACGTCCACCAAGGGGCTTTTCGGTGCATTCGGCAGTCTACACAGTGGTCGCAACTCGGTCAGCACCGGCTTCTGGGGTTCACGCGCCGCACACACTCCCCCACCATCCTTCCCTCGCGCGGAATCATCCGCGATGAGCGAAGACATGAATATGGATTCGCCTAGTATAGGCGGTGGGGCATCTCGAGCGTCCACACCAGGTGCAATGCAGCCTCCCACAGCGGCCGAAGCCTTGAAGAAGTCGAACAAACGCCGGCGAGACGACGACTTTGACGAGGCTTCAATCAAACGTCGTGCAGTTTCACCGGGTGTCAGCGCTCACGGCAGCCCAGTCATCTCGCAATCTCCCGCGCAGAGGGACAGCAGTCTGTGGGGCACGAGCACTAAAGCCAGCCGAGAGACGTCGATAAGCGGTCAATCACATGGTGAACGTTCAAACAGTGGAGGCAGCATGAGCATGACGCCGACATTGGGCCCGAAGCGGATAGGCCTGCAGGGTATGACCGATACCAACGATGGGCTGATGAAGATGAGCATCGAGTGATTGTCAAATATGACTTCTTGTAGGATATTTGTGGCATTGATCATGACTTAGCGTGGCGTTTCTGGGTCTACGAGGCCAACGATGGTTGCTCAACATGTATAGATACCCATTGTTAATATCAAGTTTCATTATGAAGTAAGAATAAGCGGATATGTTCCGAGTACACCTTGCAATTGCACATGTGAAGTGGATGCTGGCCCCTGCACTCCCGAACCCCACTCGCCTCGACGTCCACCCGCAGCATCGACAGCGCGCCAAACAATTGACGCCGCTACACGAACATACCCTCCAACTGCTGCATAGCTGAACCGTAGCTATGTCACGTACAGCAGCTCTCTCCTCCTTTGTGGACAGTGCGCCACCTGGTGAGGCATGTTCTCCTCAAAACCACGTGTAGTTCCCACCAGTACATGTACTAACAACAACCCAGCTCGCCGATGTCACCAAAGCAATCAAGTCAATCCTCGGCGACGACTCAGTCCAAAACGAACTCTCGCCCGCCTTCCAAAAGTACAACGAAGAGCAGTTCACCACAACGAAGCTCCCCGGTGGCAGCACCGAGGTCCTAGTCAGTGAATACAACTCGTTAGGAGACGGCAGGTACTACGACATCGACACACAAAGCTCCTTCGACTTTGACCATGCGACGGGCAAGGCGAGCGCGGTCCAGAGTTATGTTGTGGAAAGCGCGCAGGAGGATCTTCTGTACGTTTCACCTCTCCCCAATACCTTCTGGCCATGCCACACATTGTAGGCAAAAGCTTGGTGCTAACACATACCACAGGAAAAGCCTCAACAAGTCCCTCAGTACCCACGCCTCCGAACATTACCCCAAGTCCTCCCACGGCGTCTACCCCGTCCCCTCCTCCCCCTCTTCGCTTGCCATCATCACCGTCGCAAACAAGTACTCCCCCACAAACTACTGGAACGGCCGCTGGCGCAGCTCCTACATCTACGACACGTCCTCGGGCTCCATCACTGGAAGCATAAAAGTCGACGTGCACTACTACGAAGATGGAAACGTGCGCCTCCTTACTACCAAGGAGGTCAACTTGAGTGCTGGCGGCAGTGCGAATGGAAGCGAGGTCATGAGGAAAATCGCTGCGGAGGAGAAGAAGTACCAGGAGGATCTCAACAAGGCGTTTGGTAGTCTGAGTGAGGGAGCGTTCAAGGCGTTGAGAAGGCAGTTGCCTATTACGAGGCAGAAGATCGAGTGGGAGAAGATTAGTGGATATAGGTTGGGTCAGGACATTGGTGGTGGAAGGAGGTGAGAGGATCGTCTGGTCGATTGATTGGCATAGCGGATGGTTGGTTACTGGACGATAGGGCACGAGTGGTATCTTTGAGCAACACAGACAACAGAGCATGATGCATCTAGCACTTGATATCCACCGCTGGCTAATCTTTCACCCCGGTCTTCTGCTAGGTGACGGCATCTTTATCCTTCTAAAGGTTGTAGTGACGGGGATCCGACTAAAAAACCCCCCGACAACAGTACTCCCGTGGTATGACTTCACCTGCTGGGCCGAAGAAGGGGGGGATGTGGTACTACTCCATACAGTATACGTAGCTTTTACATCCTGCCAAGACGAAAGGAGGAGGAAGAGCACGGTTAATGTTGGTCATTTGCGCAATGGGATGCACCTTCGAGTGTCTACTCGTCTTCCCGCGCTATGTTAAGCGCCACTATTAGTGCGTGCCTCGCCATTTGGCCAGCTTGGTAGAAAGCATATTAGTCAGTCCTAGGGTACCGATTTTGACGTTCATGGGGTTGTGTGACTACATCCTCGGAAATCACTGCTTTTACTATCCAGGAAGTTTCTCATGTTTGCGAGATCCCTTATTGGTTTATACCTTTTCCTATGAGTATAGTATGTGTTGCGGACAATGTGAGTGGCTCGACTGCTCTGCGTCTTCATAGTACTATTGGTTGAAGTGAATGGTACTCAGGTACTGCATCTCACACTACTGAAGCAAGTCAACAGAGGAGGTGATATACAAGTCGCTGCGCGTCTTCGTACTATTCAAGAAAGGCTTCTCCATACATATCATAGCAGCTTCAGCATATGCGCGAACACCGCGAGCTGTCACGCCGTTATCTCTAACATAAACGCGAGAAAACCTTCCGCAAAAACGGCGCGTATAACAGCCATGGTTCAGACAAGGAAGACAACATGAAAAAACAGCATATGGCAGATCGCCAATTGTGAACGCCGTAAATCCCCCCAGAACGCCTCGTCCACGCAAGGTGAATATATCCCTAAGCCATGACGATCATTTCGTGATGAAACCCAGGTAATCGGCAACAATGAGTGTTACCATTCTATCGATGAGGTTAGTATATAGATGCAAACCACGGAGAGGAAAAAGACTTACGCATGTGGCGCAATACGGACATAGTACGTTCCAAAGCCGCGGTAGAATCTCAACAAGCCCTCCTCCTTCGCAACCTTCCTAAAGCAATCAAACATGCCCTTGTAAGGCATCGTGCCATCCGGCCCCTTTGTCTGTTTCTGCAACCTCGTCTTCATAAAGTCGAATGGCAGAGACAGGAAAGACGCGAAGAACCCTGCTACCGCAGATGCGGTAAGAGTTTGTGTGCGGGATGACAACGAAGTGTTCTTGAGTTGTTGTTTTGCCTCTGAGAAGAAGGCCAATTGACCAAAGTTGAGAGCCATGGCGCGGACGACGGTGGGATAGCTGCCGGCCCATAACCGCGTGACGCCTTCTTGCTTGCTGATGCGGACGAGGGCATCGATGACAGATGTGTAGTTTGCGCGTTGAGCAGCGGGTTTCAGACCGTCGGATTGCATGCGGATGAGTGCAAGGTCAGCGGGGTTGCCCACGATGGCTGCGAGGCCACCGGCGGCTAGACCAGCACCTGCGCGTTCTTTGAAACCAATTGCTGTGCCGTTTTCCTTTGCGCGTGCGCTCAGCGACTTCATGAATGTGTCGAAGAAACCCAGGCGGGCGGTTGTGTAGACGGCTTGGCGGAGGATGCCCGCGCTGAGTCCTGTGTAGAGATCTAGGACCTTGCCTTGTGCGATGATGTCTTTGAAGACTGTGACTGGAGTAGGTTTGGGTCCGGTTTTTACACCTTCTCCTGCGAGTTGTAGACGCACTTTAACCATGTCTACGGGTTGGATTACAGTTGTTGCTGTCATGCCTGCAATACCGCCGTTTACGAAGGGGAGTGCTGCGCGCATGAAGGGTGTGTGCAGGAAGTCTGCAGTAGCCTTCTTGGGGTTCTCGGCGGCTTTGGACATGGCGGAGGATGTGTCTTTTAGAACGGCTTCTGAAGACTGCTTTGCGTTTTCGAGGGCGCGGGCGGCGGGCATCTTAAGGGTCTGAGAGGTGGCGGCTGCTGTTGTTGACATTACGTTGTCAGTGGCAGCCAGCAGTCTTGACAAGACGAATTATTCGAATGAAGAAGAAGAAGAGGTGGATCAGAGGGGTATATCGCTGTCGCTATGCTGCACTAGAATAGAACAAATGTGAAGAAAGACTGGAACTGATGAAGTAAGAAAGCCCACAAAAGAGACTCCATGGCCGAATCTATATCCCAGCATCATGGCACTACGACATGGCGTCTGTACGGTGCTGAGCCTGGGCAGAGCCTCAGCCTGAGACGCAGTTCCCATGCGCCTTACACCGCGGCCGTGGACGTCGCAAGCTAGCCAGCTATGACATAGATGTACAGCTTCCTTCGGCGCACAGGAAAGATTGGCATCGGACGCGTGGGCGTAGCCGAAAGCTCACGCACGTGCGATAGCCCTTCTTTTTCCGATTGCACCCGCACTGATTGAATTGTGGATGCTAGGAGACGGTGAAGAGGAAGAACATAGTCGGGCGTACCTCGTGCGCTGATGTCTGTGCGGAGGATCCAATCCGCGTCGGAGAAGTGGGGTGTGGGTCGCGGGTTTAGTTAGTGGGTATGGTGGTATGCGCTCGATTACCCGCTTCCTAACATCAAACAACAATGCGGTTTGAGTTGATGAAGCAGAAGAATAAAGTTATGGACGAGGCTGTGAGTGAAGATGCTAGGAGGACAGGAGTAGCACGGTGATCTGTTATTCTTAGTTATCAACAAGGCCAGCCAGTCGACCGGTGCCATCAATTGAGGGGTGAGCTGCGTTTCCCCGCATCGAAGAGCTGCCCCAGCGAGCCACTGATGTGAACAGCTGCTCGTCCTACAAAATACCAGTCGCTGGTGGGCCAATCGGAGCGCACTTATTTCTTGAGCTCTGATGCCATTCTTACTTTACAGACTTCCATGCTAAAGTTTAACGTTGCACGGCGGAGCGGCACGAGCTGGGCGCGTTTGGTGTCGCGTGCAACCCATCCGTTTTCCCTTGTACCGTTGAGACTCATCGTGTTGCTTGTGGTACATCTTGAGAGATACACGATCTTCAGGCACAGAGGGTATCCCGTCTCTGTTGCGCCACATGCGGAACCGCTTGCATGTGAGCAATGACGTTGATTGTAACGGCAGCCTTCGACCAATCGAACGATTGCAACTTCAACACCAGAGTACTCCATCACATGTCAACAAGTCGAACCATCTACAAAATCGTATAACAGTACATTAGCATGTGTTGTCGCGATACCCTGGCATTAGGTGCAGTGACCTCACTATGCTTTTCCGGGTAGAACTTGGATTTCCGCGAGCGCATCCGTGCGTCGTTCCTTCCCGATGTGCATAATATGCACGATACTTTTTACTCGTTGAGTGTTGATATACCGTCGTTTCGTAGATCGGAATCAACCGAAGAGATCGCTTTGCTTTGGGCGAGACCCTGGGTCCTTCCGTGCTCAAAGGGGCGGTGTTCACATCCTGTGCCCAGGTGCGCGGTTGGAGTTGCAATCGGTGACCCGAAGGTATCCGCGGCCGAAGACACTGTGTGTGATGACAAGCTGTGAAGTACTTTGTTAACGGAAGAATATTAAAGCGGGTTTTCTCGTGCATGGCATCATACCTGTTGCCGAAAAGAGATCCCGAGGGTGAGTGGAAAGTCAGACATTTTCCGGCTCAGGGTTCGGGAACGTGGAGGCGCGCACAGCCGGGTGGGAACGCTTGCAAAAGAAACAAGAGGGTTGCGGACGTATTGTTGAGAATTCATTGTCGTGCAGAAGATTGCTATCTTCTTCGGGAAAAAGTGCTATGATGCATAAACCGCGCAGGTTATCCGCTGTCTCAACATCTCCCGCTAGAATATCGCTAGATGCTTGCATCTGTGGGTATCATTCAGCCCATCCGAAGCCCAAACGCCGAAACCATGGTCCACAGACTAAGTTGACATCTCACTGTCACTCGGATCTCCGAGATCCTCAATAATGCTTGATTGTGGTGGTTGTTGAGATCCAGGAATGTGTAGCCTTGAGGACGAATCAGGCATATCATCGCTACCGTCGATTTGTTGAACTTCCCGGCGAGGGGCTTGTACATCATCGTCGGAACTGTCACCTTCAAGTTCAGCTTGCTGCATGCGTTTGATTCTGCGGACGAGGATAGGGTCGGTGCGAACGTCGTTTATGGTGAGCATCTGAGAAGCAATGTCAGCACGGGCATACATCGGGACGAGTAGGCGAACGAGTCGGAACGACATTTAGCAGCACTTACTTTGTCGCATCCATTCACGGGACATTCTACGGCTTTTTGGCCATCTACCTTGTGAGGACCTTTTCGGATCATATCGAGAATGGCATTCTTCTCGAAGGTGTGAGGACACTTGTTACTCGAATATGGATCCTTGAACTGCTGGTACGTGATGGGACACCTGGTGCTGACTGTCGCTCTGTCTACTACAATATCATCATCGTCGTCGAACTCTCCCCGTTGCGTGGTGTCCGTAATGCCAGGCGCTGGCGATCCGGACTCGGTAAACCATGTGTCTTCATGACCCAGTACAGGACCGTCATCACCAAACTTCGCATCGTGCACCGTACGCTTGAAGTCGCGGTAATCGTTGTTGCGGGCGTAGCGTGTCGTGTGGGAGAGCGATGTGTAGGTGTCTTTCTCGCGCTGCATACGTGCTGCAAAAAGCTCGCTCGCACCTGTAAGGGCTACACGAGAGCCTTCGAGGGGCGTAGGGCCAGGTGTTGGTCCGTCATCCATCTCTTCATCATTCCTGCTCTGACTACGCGCCTGCTGGCTCGCTGCTTGGGTCTGGGACTGTCTTTGTGTCTCTCTCTGTGTCATCTGGGTCTCGTATTCTTCAGCCAGTCGCGCAGGCGCATTGGTTCTCAGCCATTCTAGCGCATCCTCGATGCGCTGCGTAGCGACACCCGAGTCGATGACTGCTCGCATGCTTTCCTCGAGTTTTACAGTCGCCTCGTCTACGTTCGTTTGAAGTTCGACCATGATACGCTCCTCATCCTCTTTGTCTTCCATACTCTTGCCCGCATCCCATTTCTTCTGTCGTCGACCCATGTACTCGGCGTGGTCGCGCAGCATGTCGTTGACACTGGCTGCAGTATTGGTGATGTGCTCGGTAGCTTGCCTGTTGTGCCTCTTGATATCGTTCAGATTACGACCTTGTAGATTTCGCAATTCACGCGTCGCTTCTGCATCGAGGGGGTGAGACGGCTTCTTGTACAGTGGGAGAAGGTCGGCATTTCGATTACTGCTGCTTGTACGACTTGGAGTGGATGCCACGGACTGGCGACTAGTGGATGGTCTCGCTGTTGAGTGCCGGATTCGAGACGACATCTCGTCTTTTCTTGGGGTAGTGTTGCTACAAGTGCTGTGGTGAGCAGCTGCGTTGTGGCTGGGACACGATGCGGGGAACGCGTCGCTGGAATTATGGTACTAGCGTGTACGCCAGATCACATGTCACCCACACCACTGTCATCACTGCAAACTACCCATGTGCTATCGAGGAGTGTAAAAATAGAAAAAACTTTCACAATTATTTTCAATGTGACGTTACAGAGATTGCACGATTCGCATTACGAAAGGAGACATTCCAGAAGCGAACATGTACAGCGTCTATATTACAACTTTGGAGACTAGACCTTTCACGCCCGTGAATACGTGACACAGACAATCATCTCCTACGACACGCGATAACGTTTCTATATTCCCAGTTGCCCTACGAAGAACTAGCTAGTGTCAAGACACAGTAAGCTATTATGGTTGACTGACTGCAGTAAGCAATTTCCTTCATGAGTACAGACCATCACTCCCCCCACACTTTTAGGTCCAAATCCCGGCCATGCAGAGCCGGCATACTAAGTAAACGCCCAGCTGGGCCCATGCCATAACGTCGGAATAGTGGAGTCAGGTCAGCTCATGGCCGCATATTCCAAGCCTTCTCCAGGCTATTCCCGGCGTTTATCCATAGGCATGTGGTCAGATGGGAGGGTTTCCAACTCACGCAGTAGGGTCTGGTCAGATAGTAGGTCTCAGCGCTGCCGAGTTCAGTAGGAAAGTCGTGTGCGATAAAGAGAGCACACGGATGTTTGCAATATTGACAGTGTTGATATTCCAGGCCATCTCAAAATCTACGGTCCACGTCTTAGCCCCTTTGACGCTAACCGATGCGTCTATTATCCAATTTCCTTAAAAAAGTATGTGGTATCATATGATGTTGTGGACGAAACAATGATCCCTCCGAATGCAAATACCCCATAAGCTTAAGCGAACATCGATCGCTCTCTAATCGCTGTCATAACCATAACGTTCATACATGCCCCAAAAATGGAGCCTCGCGCGCTGTCCAAGAAACTGTGTCCGAGGCGCAACATGTGCAGGGACATTGCAATGACCCTGGGCCGCAACGTCTCTTTCTTAAGGCTGCGCTTTTATCTCCGGAGTCGACGCATGCCTTGGCTGGCGTGGCGGCGCTTGTGCTACTTCTGATCTATTCTCGCCATGCGTTCAAAGCTTCACCTCATCACGCTCGTGATTGTAGTTGTAGTCTGCGGCGTCTTGTTGGACAGAGGAAGGCCCTTCTCGATATCGCGCACCTTGTTGGCGTTCTTGCCTGGGGGCGGCGAGTTGAGTCTGATGCCTGTTCTCCGGTTCTGGCGGTTCTGCTTGCCCGTGTCGGCAGTGGAGCGGCCGGTGAAGCGGCGAGAGGCACGGCGGATGGATGCTCGAACGTCCCACTGGCGCTTCTTCGCGAGCCACCAGAGCACCCCCGAGGCGACTGAGTGATGTTAGTGCGTGTATCTTCGAATCTGGTCTGTAGAACGTACTGGATCCAAGGACAACTAGGACCGCGACTACAATGATCGCTGCGATAGCGCCACCCGAGAGAGAGAAAGCACCCTTCTGCGATCCCGCAGCGCCAGCATCACTTGGGTCTTGCGGGTTGTCGTTGCCCCCGTTGTAGCCTGCGGGAGGAAGTTCGCTTCCCGAAGACGAGTCCTGGGCAAGGGCGAGAAGCGGGAGGAGGAACGAGAGGAGGAGAGGCCTGCTCATGGTGTTTGATGTGCACTGTTGGAATGCGGCGTAGAGAGGACAATTGATCGGATATCAGGTAACACGAGGATGGCGTGAAGGACGTTCAGTCAACTGGAGGAATACCAACAACTCGCTACCAGAACAGAGGGCATGTCTCTATATTTGCGTGCCCGCGTACGAACATCTTTTATCCAAGCCAATACCTTCCCTATCGCTCATCCAATACCCCGCCAGTCTCAGGGCTCCTGGGCGGTTACCATCGTGCGCTTGGACGGCAGACCAGGTTGGCTGCCGGAGAATACATCAGGCCATCTTCTTAATATAGCGGCATTGGCGTCGACTTTTGTCGGCTTGGGAGAATAAGCTGAGGGGATTGGCAGGGCGTAATGGGTAGTGGGCGCGTAACGTTGTGGATGAAGATCACCGTGCAGCGGAGCTAGGGCGGGCTGCAGTGTGATTGGATAGGCCCTGGTAAGAAGCGCCCGGCTAGCATGTCGCCGCACACTTGTGTTTCAGGGGGAGTATGCAAGGCGACGACTCTCCATCCTCGACTCCAAGGCGTACATGTAGCAGCTGCCGCTTATCGTAGTCGGTGTGGCCGTAGTATGTAGGTATTTCTGGCTCCTCATCTCCGGTGCGGTTCATGTTAGCCACCAACGTTTCGGCGCAATGTGAACCAGACGACGCAAAAAACAAACCAATTGACAGGCAGAAGATCTTTCCAACCTGGATACTAACACCGTATGAATTAGTCTGGCGGATGCATGCTATCGACAAAACCCACGACAGTTGTCCATGTGATGCGCTGTATGGATGCAATTCCCTGCCTAGTCGTTGCGTTTCATGGGTTTACGTGCCTATTGCCACGCCCGGTGTAGTCTGGAAATAACTGAGGAGACACGAATTACCATTGGAGGGGACTGCAGTGATCTGAGGCAAAGTATAGCAAAAGGTTCCGTGCTATTCTTCGACCAACAGGCTATAGCCATCACCACTGCAACGTGAGCGGCATATCGACAAGATATTCTGGGGACGCTGGAGTTCAAAACTGGTATTCGTTGCTTCGGATATGACGGGAAAATAAGGGGGAAATGGTGGTTGTGCAGTTGCGTCGAGGAAGTATGCCGCATTGAGAGAGACGACCGTTAAGACGAGATGGAATACGTGCAGTGAAGCTTCAGCAATCGTTTCGCTTTTCGTCGGTATCTTTTCTCATATCATCGCTCCTGCCATCATGCCTCGCTCGGATTTTCTGACCGAAGGTGTCGCGTCATGCCGTTCAGTTGTGACTTCCCCGACAGGTGAAGGAAAGAACGACGATGGGAGCAGAGCTGCAAACTTCACCGCCCCGCACTCCTTCCACAACACCCCACTTTCATCTACACCATCTAACGGATTTCCTGTGTTGTTCCTTATCATCCACTCGCTCTGCCTGTCTCTTACGGCGTCTCGCCTTCTCGCCTTCTCGCACTTGCATCACAATTGTCACTGTACGTCCGGTCAACATGGCCGAAAGGGCCGGGAAAGGCAAGCAACTGCCGAAGAGGCAGAGGCCCTCGCGACTCAGAAATGAAGTACGCCAGGGGTCAACCGATGATGAACGGGAGCACAAGAAGCACGCCATCCAGGTTCCCAATAGCGATGCGGTGGTTCCCGAGACTCAGCCCGATCACGACGAATACTTCAATGATGATGGTCATGGTCCTGAAAACGAGTCGGAGTTCACTCTGAGTCCCAATTCTCTGGCCCTCCTGGAACGTACTGCAGTGACGAAGAAGGCTGAAGCAGTCGAGTTTATTCCGTTCACTTTCAAGCCTCTCTCTAGAAGTGCCTTCCCACTGAGTAATAGCTCTGCATCAGCAGGTCCACACCCATCCGTTCCTCGGTTCAAAACAACAAAAAAGGTTCCCAAAAAACCCTCCCGGAAAGAAGAAGACAATGCCGAAGAGTCTATTACTCATAACGCATTGACGATACCTGATGACCAAGAGCACAGTGTACATGCATCTCATGGTGAGAAAGCGTGCCATTCAAGGCCGTCTTGGCTAACATACGAATAGATGTCTCTACCATCGCGGAGGCTGCATCTGCCGCACCACCACTTCAACCGGCCGACGACCGCCACAATAGACCAGGCACTGCGACGTCCCAAGAGATGATTTTGTTTTACCCGCCCGTCGCCGAAAAATTACAGCAAGAGCCTGGTCACCCTTTGTAAGAGCCACCAGCAAGTTAATAGAACTCCGCTGACGCAGTTAGACCTATACAAGGGGATACGGGGTCTGACGTTCCACAGTCAGCACAGCTCGATGCGAGACATAAGTCTGGAATTAGCAAGGCCTGCAGTGTCAAGAAGAGTAAGAAGGGCAGGAGAGGACAGCTTTCTCAGCAGCGCGAAGCGCCACATCCCCCTGGATCAAGGCTCATGCCACGCTACACCCATCAGGCCGGCACGACTGGTGGACCAGTACCTGGGACGTTCGCCGAATCTCAACGCCTCTCTCAGATAGAAACCAAGGACAATCGAGTACATGCATCCCGCGCTTATGCAGTGCAAGCGCTTGCTCCCACCAACGATCGACATGAGCATGCATATGCTCAAGAATCTCAATTGCCAAACGAAGGGCATGGATGCATTTCTTACAACAAGGAGTCTTGCGATAATACACTAAGCCTCCTGGATACCACGTTTGAAGATTTCCAAGACCCCTCTGCTCAATGTGAGTTTCCTACACCTTCCGTGCGAATTCCATCGACCTTGCCACCGCAGCATGATGTAACTGAGCCAGAGCGACTACCGTTGGCAATGATCCAGGGTCAAGCTGGCAGCCCCTGTCCCGAAGAACATGCTATAATCTCGACTCAGGCTTCTGGTTTCTATGTCCAGCCCAACAGCCATGGACTAGTTGATATACCGGCTGTGTCGACTCAGTCTCACCAGACGGAATTACATGCGAGCAATCATCAGGTCGAATCTCAGCCAAGGGATGTTGACACTGCGCTGCATGGCATCTCCAACCGAGACCGTCCTCCTCGCGTGGCCAAATCACGACGAAAACCACGAACTAGTGGACCAATGTCGCATGATCTCCAAGAACAGGCAACGTCTCATAGTATCGAGCACGCATTGGAGAACGTGAGAGTAGCAATGCTTGCAAACAAGTATCAAGCGCAGCATAAGACCACAGTGATCGCCCAGCAACACAAGGCAGAGGTTGCTGAGCTCCAACACACGATTGATAACCAGACCCAGTCCATCGCAGAGCATGACATAAATGACCGAAACCTGAGAGAAGCTCTCAATCAGCTCACTAATACGGCCAAGACCAACCAGAGGTTCGTCACAGGCCTTCAGAAAGATTACGAGACACTGCAAAAGTCTGCGACAAACTTCCAGAAACAAAGCAAAGAGACCTTGAGAGCGAAGATTACCGAACTCGAGGATGAAAGGCAGGCGCTGCAGCAAGAGTTCCTGACTGTTACTGATAAACTCACCGCAACGCAACGGAAGATGAAGTCAACGCTTGACGACGTCTACGTGCGTTTTGTCATATCGGAGTCGAAGAGGAAGGATCTGGCTGAAAACCTAGACAAGCAGGATGCTGTACTGAAGGAAGAGCGAAGAAAGCGCGACGAAATGGAGCAGCAACATCTGTCCGGCGTCCGGAATATCCCTCGTCAATTTGTCGACAGTTTTGACACTCTTATCAAGAAGCTTGAATTGCTCCAGACCTCACTCAACAATGTCACGACTGACGATAGTCGGGATGGTCAGATTGAGGAGTGTTTAGATGCCTTGCAAACCCTTCGACTGACGCCTGCTTTGACAATGCAAGGTATTGAGAAGTTGGAAAGCACGTTGCGTCTCGTACGCGAACGGTAAGTGATGTTTGTTCTCTATCCTCCATGTCGTAATATACTAACATACTGCACAGTCTGGACTCGGGACTGAATAATCTTTCCGAAACCATGAAGTGCAGAGCAGCGCCTGATGCAGAGCTCCAAAAGTTTATCAAAGAACAACTGCACAGTCTTCAGACAGAAATGCTGAGGTATGAAGATGTCACAGTTGAGAATCGCAAGACGCAGCAGTTGAACGCGTCTCTCAAGACGCAACTCGAAGCGCAGCAACAACACTCCAACCGACTAGACAAGCAGATCAAGAGTTTTCAACAGGCCGAAATCAATTTCAAGGCCCGCTACGACCAGCTGGAATGCGACCTGAATGAACCAAGAGATGCTCTACCTGTCGACACATTAGAGCTTGAGCAAGAGGTTTTTGACCTCCGCCAACAGTTGAAGAAGGTCGAAGAAGATCTAGGAGCAGCCAATACCAAAGTCGAGAAGATCGAGCGGGAGAGGGATACATATAAAGTAATCATCATCAAGCTCGTCTTCATTAAGATGGTTTTGACAACTAGCAGGGCTACTACAAAGACGTCAAGGCGGAGCTGCAGGAATTCCAGCAGAAGCCTATGGTGAAAGGAGCGCCCTGTCTCACGACTTGACTAATCTCATTGACAGGTCCAAGATGATACCGCTGTACGAAAGGAGATTGTAAAGGATTGCGAGAGCAAATTCGCGGAGAAACAGCACAGCTTCAGGAGCGAAATCCACCGGCTTACGATTGAGTCCGACGAGAAGGAGAAGACACTCCAACAGCTGAGCAACAAGTTGGATGCTGTGGGTATCCAACTGGATGAGCTGAGTGAAAAGATCCAAACGCTCGAATCGGAGTTGGTTGAAAAGTCAAACCTCCGTGAACAGCTACGAACCACGACGGAAGTGCTCCATACTAATGATCGAGACTACGTCGAGTTGAGCCGTCAACACAAGGAGAAGGCTCAGAAGATGCTAGAGCTGCAAGGTGTGTATGATAGACTCCAGGCTCAAACAGCACAGCAACAAGCGGCCGTACAAACTGTGCGTCGAGAAGCTGATAGTACACTTGCAAAAGAGCGACAAGATGCAAGCGATATGTTTCAACTATCTTTCGATCAGGTCACGAGCCTACAGGAGGGGAAAAAGAATCTGTCAACTCGACTCGACTCGGTTCAGATAAGCGAGGGCAAACTACAACATGAGGCCACCGAACCACATGCTGCAAAAGAGGCAAATATATCTCGAGTGGAAATGGAAGCTGGAGTAGAGAACTGGAAGCTAGTCGAACAGCATCGCATCGAGATTGATGACTGGAAACGCCGTATGAGCCAGAAAGATATGGCCTTCAGGGAAGTAGAAGCAAAGTTGCGGCTCGCGGAAGACGAGCATAGAGCCAAGACTGCAGCCGACCGCGAAGCGGCAGAGTCAAACATGCTAAAACTCGAACAGAAGTATCGAGACTCACTTCGGGTGGTACTCGAACAGGGTAGTCTCAATCAGCAGGGCGGCCTTCAGCTACAGGTTGCCAATAATACTTCCACACAATCAAGTGTGATCACACAGGCAGTGAAGTCTCGGAAGAAGGTCACCCGGCAAAACCATTCGTTGCTCGAAGTCCCTCAGGAACAGAACCATCGTTCTGAGAAGCCGTCTTCAATTTTCAACGCTGAGGTTATTCAAACTCAGCTCGAAGACGATGATCTGTTTGCGACCCAGTTCGAAGAGCAAGGCGAGATCAACTACACTCCCAACGATGCAGACAGCGTTGATGATGAGCCTGGAACCGCCACAGAAAGCCAGGATATTGGAAATCTGACCATGACACAGGACGCTTTCAATGATGATTTGTTACGAGCGTCACAGCAACAGCTTAAGCATCAAGTCTCGAGCTCCACCGAGCTCAGTAGCATGTCCACTGATGAGCTAACGATGATGGAAAAGACCCAACCTGTGTCGAATGTTATGCTGCAAGGCTACGACCATGGTATTTCCAATCGTGGCAATACATCTTATAAGCTTTCCCGGACGCTGGATGAAACTCAACGTGTACCGCCTACCATGTCTCGGAGCTATGGTCGTGATCCTTTCAATAATTTTACAGTTCCAACCAATGCGGAAGTCATGTCAGCAGTCGACAACGAGTCTGTGGCCGGCTCTCAGTCATCTCGATCCTCTGGACGAGCAAAATCGCAAGCCAACACAGCATCTCGGATGATGCCGCCTCCCAGTAAGAACTCCGGTCACTCTCAGCCAGGTATTGCTAGTCATACGGCAGATCTCAGAGCCTCAACTCAGCATACCATGCACGACAAGGCCGATCTGAAGTTGAGCGGCAGTGACTCCAGGCTTTCGAATCCGTCGTCAAAGCAAACCTACAGTGGGCATGATCCTCGAGGCTCTGCCCAGACCGGATCTCAGCATGGTTCCTCACAAAACATGATGCAAGATCACGCGAAGAAGCGAGAAAGTAGCATTGAGCAAACTGAAAGAGATTCAGCCACTAAAAGGCAGCGTACCAGATCTCAAACTCGCCCCTTGGACTCCTCCCCTGGTCTTCCAAGCCAGATTCCCCATGTCTCAGTTCCTCGCCCAGGAGCACAGAAGAATATGTCATATATCCAAGGCAGTGCTTCAACTTCGTCCCGATCGAAAGCTCAGGTATCCTCTTCCCGTGTTCGTGGTCGCATCTCCCGTCAGACCCCGTCTTCCGGTGGCGCATACTCCCCTCGTAGCCAGTTTTCGTCACAGGTAGTTGCTAGTGGTCCGACCCGTTCCTCCTCCCGTCTCACAAGGAGCAACAGTAAGTGTACTCCTGTTGTAACTTTGTGTAAACGAAGCTGACGCGACCGGTATAGACAGGAACGACACCGCATTCAGGGACGGCTTCAACGAGCGCTTCAACGAGAAGCTGGACTAGCGGCAGTCATCGGGCAAAGCACTGTAGGAAAGCTAGGTGAAGCGTGTGCGCGAGGAGTTTGTGTACTCTCGAGAGACTTTGCCATATTCGACGTTAATTCTAGTTCGAGTCGTTCGTTTCTCATCTTCGTTTCTCATCTTCGTTTCTCGGTACGCAGGAGCTATATGATGTAATACGGGTGGATTTTCTATACGTAGTACTTACAGAAGTAATGGTTACAGCGGATACGGACTAACGTGGAAGAGATGTCGTCTCGTAGCAACTTGTATCCCAACTATCCGCGATACATCTAGGTAGTGCACCCGATGCGAGTACCATGTAGTAGAATCTCTTTAAGCTTTACTTTTGCGCAGAAGTGCAGTCGTTCTCTAGAGAGCCTGCAGCACCTGGAAAGTGCTTCACCAACTGACCAGGTTGGTCGGTATCGCTGTGCGAGTGAATTGGTGCTAAGGTTTGTGATGTTTTCAGGTCTTTCGAAGCTCTCCTTGGCCACCTACACCATCAAATCACACACTCCACCAACTCTCTTCTACAAGGCTGTGGCAGCTCTCACAGGTATATTTGTACAGTTACTACACTTTCTGTCTTGTCCTGTGCTCTTTTCGAGAGACTGCAGCCCCTTGGCAATGGCGGCGATACGAGAGTCCCATGTCGCTCTTGGCTTTACCCACCACAATGCCGCTCTCGAACCCAACCAAAGCCGGTAGGAAGCTAGTAAAGGGTGGTAGGAGCCAGCTCCAGCTTACGGTAAAATCGCAAGAAGTGGTGCTGCCGATATTCACGCCCTGGTGTTGACCTTTTGCCGGCAAAGCCAACCCCACCTGCAGCGGCGGCAACCACGACAGCCTCAGCAAGAGGCCGCAAATGCTTGGCCAGTAAGTAAACTCTCTTATGACCCCCAGCGCCCGGTGACCGAAGAGGGAGAGGATATCCTGCTGCTCAGCTTCTGGTTGTTGACCTCGGCCATTTGCCTCCGCGGCAACAGCGATAGTAGCCAAGTCCCTGGACACGATACCCTAGCATATAGTTGGTATGAGTGCTTCAAGTCAGCTGCGCACCGAGACTGACTAACGACTGTGCTTAGGGTACCACCAGCTTCGCCAGCAATAACTGTAGGGCATGCTCGACCTTCGTTATGACAGCCGCACCAAGCGAGCGCACAACAACCAGGTCAACGAACTTGACTGTCTTGACATGTTCTTCAGATTCGATATTCCTGCTGAACGTCGCAGCACCCTCCCTTCAATTGGCTCTGCTTGTTGCGATGTCCCAGCAAGACACACCAAATTCCAGCTCAGCTGCCTCAGTCAAGTCTGGAACGCCTTCTTCTTCCCCCCAGTCTTGTCGTATCCTCCTGCAGGCGCGGGTTGTGGGCGCATCGATCTCCCATATCCTTACTCGTACACCCGCGCGCCGAGATCAACAAAAGACCTGCACAACCGTCCCGTCCATATCATATAGCAGCTTTGCTGTTTATCTGTCCTATACACAACTACAACTACATGGAGATGCTCTTGGGCAAAGAATGAGCTTTGTCTTTCAAGTCGGCGGGTCGATGCACGATTGGTCCATGGCGAGCTAGTTCCTCCCCACGAGCGCCGCTTGTGGTTTGTCGTTCCCATACATATGTCCAGATCATGATGCGATCTCCAGGCGACTGGACATGATCACTTTGGCTGGCGCTTGAGTAGGCTACCCATTGAAGAGATTGGAGAGGATGACGAAAGGCAGGGAGAATGTTACCGATGAAGTATGTCCGGTAAGTCGCCGTACGTTCCTTTCTCTTCAGTCTCTTTCCTTATATCTTTCCGTGCGTCATGCATCGAATCCTAAGTTTTGATTGGTATCCATGAGCTTTGCTGACAGCGACGCGGATTTTTCGACGCCAGAGCTCCAGCCTCCGTATATATCTCTTTCGCACTCCTACACTTCCGCATGCCTCGCATACCCGATGATGATACATCAATACTCATGCCAATCAACGAATATTCGCAGTCGAAGCCTGTCGCTGAGGGTTACCTTTGCTCGTTGTCGATCGGATTGTAATACTCACTGTGCTGGCGTGGATGAAGCGTAGGCAGGCTGGGGCCAGGACACCCACAACGAAGGTAAGCATACAATTTCTCATGCGACTTCCTCATGATGACTATTGTTAAATGGCAGTGGACGATGTACATTCGTGGTGCAGCGTTGTGCGAGGCTCGCGGTCATTCCTGGTAAAGGCAAGACATCAGTTCGTACAAATCCTCGCACAGCACCACACGATTGTCAACACCGATACCGAGACTTGAAACATCTGAGGAGCTCATTGGTGTTCTGTACTACATTCGTTGAGAAGTTCCGCTGACCATACTTCAAGACATCGGCATCATCCAGGAGATTCTGGGAACTCGAGACGCGACTTGATCAGCATGGGCTTAGTAAGTCTTCTGGTATTTATCCGTCCTCCTCGCTTTGGTGATGACGCCTTCATTGGCTCCCTCGTGTCAAATACTCATGAGAATAACGCAACGCAGTCTCTGACTTTTCCTCCTCTTTCAACAATCTCTAAGACTTCGATCTCGTTTCCGAAGTAACAGGCGCTAGGCTTTTGGAACACCCGGCCAGAACCTAAGGACTATTGACTGGGATATCAGCAAGCACTCTCGAAGCCTTGCCACCCACTTTCTGCAACAATGCTATTAAAAACTCGTTTTTGGTCTTGCTGATAAACCTTAGTGTATCACAGTCCCACGATAATGGACATGGTGGCCTCTAGGCGCTCAATCCCCCACTCTTTTGTACATGCCGTTGTCAAAACCAACACTGACCTAACTCTGGATACTGTGTTCCTCAGGTTGGACTGATTCAGCGGACTGTCTTCTCGAGGCAAGACTTCCCACATTCGTTCCATCGCTACCCAACGATGAGATACCATCGTGCTTCTGGTTCGACTACCCATGGAGACATTATTATCTGTGATTTGAGGCAGTCATCTTGCCATCCGTCAGTTGCTGTACGTGTTCAAACTGTAACTGACAGCAAGGCAGGCCGGCTCGGTTTCGAGGATAATGCGACGAGGTACTGTTCGCTTTAGCCCGCGTGATGGCCTATTCTAGGCGGCATGTCGACATGGCGACCCCCATGCCCGACCACCGCATGAGACAGAAAAGCACCGCCAGTCTTGATTCAAAGCGAAGAGGGCCAATCGACGTACTTGCGTACCGCACGCTTATGTCGCTGAAGTAGGTCCCTTTCTTGCCCTTCGCGTTTCGTTATTGTAAAGATAATATATCCTGCCGAATCACTTGTAACCCTCCTTTTGTGTACATGACGGCTTGAGTGGCAGCGTCGGTAGCCAGATTTATTATTTTCCTTTACCTTTATATATCGTCGTTGCCGGCGGACTGGCCATAACTGGTCTGAGCAACTTGGACTTCAACCATATCGTTTCGTTGCGTTGGGTTGAGCCTGGCTAACGAAGTATGAGAGCAGAACCTTTACGCTACGTGGTGGCAATGCGAAGGAACTGCCAGCAGCGAGGTCGGACTTCACCGTCGATAAACGCTGCGGCATACATCAGTGTCCAATCCGGTATAACCTCAAGCCGATGAATCCAAGGTAAGTACTGACTCTTTTTCCTCTTCTCGTCGCGTTGTGATGAAACTGTTCCCCGAATTATACTTTCCACCTTAGAAGATGAGGGCATGAACACGGATGCCACTAGCCAGTGTACCTTGTTTATTGTCTTTGCTATCGCGATTTCGAGAAACAACCTTCTATATATGTCGGTCTGAGATACCCGCCTTTGCTGAGAACGCCTTGATGTTTCCAACTTTTAGTGCTTTATCATTGGCGGACCTCACTAACAAACTATGAGGCCAGGTTGGGCGCCGCGGTCAGGCAAATGCAGCGGTATGGGCGTGAATATTGCCATGCGTTGTTTATCATACATCGTGGAAAACACAGGGCGTGAGACAGCCGGTCCGACACGGTGTTCGAGAAGCTGCTAAGGCGGATTAGTGGTAAGCACAACTTCCGTGCTGGCGGACCGCCCTACTCTTGTTATGATGATAAAGGTTATGAGACCGACTCAGTGAGGGTTACGAAGCCCTCCTCAGGGGTGAAAATCAACGACGGGCTGTCTGATCAAGCTGTTTTCGCACCATGGCAACATCAGATTGCTAGAGGCTGACAAATGCGATGATCAAGTCATGCTCACTATGGCAGTCATCTTGGGATGTGTATTGGCATCCAAATATGACCGTCTTTCACGCGACGGAAGTAACGCGACGGGCGCTGCCAGCGCCTCCGTGGCTTCTCCGATCAAGCCACAGCTTGGTGCCACTATGGGATGTGTCCGCGATTTGTGGTGTGTCTTCCATCACCTTCGCCCTCGCCATTGCATGCACAACTGCAGATACTACACGCGGGTATAACGTGTGCCCATCGTAAAGAAGGTACAGGATCGCGTTCGCCCGTCGAGGGGCTCACTGTCAAGCAATGTGGTCTGATGCGATAACGTACCTCACGGGTTCGCGGTCTACCTTTGCGAAGACCTTACTAAAACCTCCTCTATTATAGTCTATTATAACCTACTTTAGCTTAATATAGTATGAGAGACCTTAAAATACTATTCAGTGGCTACTTTTACTATATAGTTACATGTTTACGTGTTATACCTAGTCTTGTCGTAGTATCTGTAGTATCTTTAAGATAGCATACTCTCTTTAGCGCGTATTTACTACGTTTTCACTTTCTTCCTATTACTGTTTGGACCTCGTTCCTAGTGGCCAGCTCCGGCTTGCACCAAGCCGCTTAGAGGTATATAAGATCTCCTAACCGCTACTGTGCCTTAGTAGGGGTTCGTCTCTAGTCTACTAAGGCGATATACTATTACCTCGACTATTCTTGTGCATCTAGTATCACATCGGAATCTATTGCTTAACAACATACTTAATAATTGCCTTCTCCTTGGTCTTATTCAAGTTTATTATCTTAGGCTTACATTCTACTTATAAGGGTTATCCTACGCGTTAATTGCTTAGTGTACTGGAAGAGAAATTATAGATAGCTACAACGCGCCGCAAGGAGATAGTTGCGTCTTGTTTATTAGCTTAAGGCGTAAGCTGTATTTAAGCCTTTTTAATACTGCTATTTAGGGTGGTTGTTAAAGCATTCTCTTAAAATGTAATGTTTTAGTAAGGTCTTAGGAGAGTGTCTAGCGAACATGTAAGGTACATTATACGTAACAAGATAAATAGTTCTACTTTATAGAGCGTTTTTAGCCTCTTGTACTCTGCTCTAAATAACCAAGCACTCCAGGCTAAGGTAGATTTACATTAGACTTAGGAAACTGTAGTACGATAGAGTTAAACTAACGCTTGAAGCTCTAGAATAGTATCTATCATAAGTAACTATAACAGGAATAGAAAGAGCTGCATAGATGCATTAGCTAAGAGTATTCGCAGAAGGTATCAATATTATAGGCGAAAGAGACTTACTCTTGTCTTCCCCGCCACCCGACGCACTTCCAACAATCAAAAACATGATCTGGGTCATACCGCTGCTTAATTTCGAGCAGCCGAGGATAGTTGTCGCCAAAGAACGTTTGCTGCCATTCAGGCTCTTCATAAGATGCTTCGTTGAGGTACGCACCACCACCAGGGGTCAGCGCCTTCGCCGGTTCTAAGAGATCGAGGAAGCCGGAAGAGACTTCCTTTAGTGTCGCGGGCGCGAGAGGCTTTTCCCACTCAGCAACGTTGATAACGTGCCATAGCGCACTCCTCCATGCTGGATGTACCGAAGTCTTGCGATCGACATCTGGATTAGACAACGGCGTTTCAAAGACGACCTGTGTGCCAGATATGTTGATGAGATTGTGCGCCGTCTGGATGCCATGTAGTACTGCATCTACTAGGGATGATCTAGAGGATGGCGAGGCGAAAAGATGACGGGGTATGAGTCGTGAGGAAATTAGAGACGAGATGCCTGCTGGCTCAGTAACGCGTGCGTCGGCGATCGAAAAAGAGGTATAGGCAGTATAATTGTCGAACGTAGTATAGTCATTCTCGATCACGGTTATGCCTTGTATGTTGCTGACTGCGTGATTGAAAGCCATCGTAGCCTCTTTGAGCTTCGTGCCGTTGTCGAGATTAGGGTGAATTACGCCAAATGCTGCCTTGTTGACATAGTAGTCGGTTGATCCTGTAACCAGCGCGTCAGACCAAGTTAACTGGTTTTCTGCGTGCAGTGTCAGGAGCGCGCGTAAAGCATCGGAATTGCTGATATCAACAACCAGGCGGTATGTGTGAATAGGCAACGAATGATAGAGCTGAACGCGATACTTCGTGAGGACAGCGAAGGTACCACCGCCTCCACCGCGCATAGCCCAGAACAATTCGGGGTCGTTGCATTCGTTTATGACTCGCACCTGGCCATCGGCGGTGACAACCTCAAACTCGATGGCGTTATCTGCCATGAGTCCATATTGGGCGGTGAAATCGCCAACACCTCCGCCTTGCGCGAAACCGCCTGCCAAGCCAACAGACTCTTCATAGCCGCCTGTGATGTCCATACCATATTCGCCGAAATAACGGTACGCATCTCCCGCCACCACTCCAGCTCCTAGTTCGCCAACGTTGTGTGCGTTGGCCATTGGGCATCTTGAGGCCGTGAAGTTTCGATGGAAGGACATACTGCTCAGGTTGTGAGTCCAGATGGCCAACGTGTGAGGTCCGACCGAACGGCCCGCAAAATCGTGTCCTGTGTTTTTAACACTGATGCGTAGGTTATGTTCCTTTGAAAACTGTAGAGTGACAGAGATGTGGGATGCCTCCCGCACATCAACATAGTATGTTGCCAGTGTTCCCAAGGAACAGGTAGGGAATAGTTTTTCTGCAGGATTGCTTGAGAGCAGAGAGCAACCTGATGTCCCACACGCTTCCCAATTCTGCCAGAAAGTTTGTCCATAATGGGATATCCGATCAAGGCTGCTGTTGTAGGTGTTTTGGACTGAGGCGCAAATTCCTTCATTGTATCCACTTGAATTCCTGTAACAAGGCGCTCCCAAGGGGGTAGTTTTGTGCAGGTGGCCACTAAGGGTTTGGTTCAGCTGCTGCCACTGTTGCTGAGTCGGCCAACACGTCTGTCCTGGTTGACAATTGTAGCTTGATTCGACCGATATTGTAACAATGGCGATCGACCAAAGAATGCTAAATGAACGCATGATGTAAGTCCGTCAGGGACAGCTGCGTTGAAAGATTTTAAAAGATAAGGGGAGCGTGAAATTGATATGTTGTCGAACAGTGGTTCCAGCTGAATAAATACACCAACAGTCAGGATGATGCGTAAGCATGTGCGCATACAAGCGCGTGCTTTGTTGAACCCTTTCGTGTGTCATATCGTATACCCGCCAAATGCATGCACCATTGCACTAAACCACGCACATGGAGCTCATACTCCGGTCAGCTTCATCACCTGTCGCTGAAAGGTGTCCTTGCTACCTTACGGCGCATATTCCATGCTCAAGCGAGGTGGTGTCCAATTATGGACTGTAAGCCTGCATTACCTTGTTAGCTATGCCTGTTCTCAGGTGAGACGCGACCAAAGTTTTTAGGTGACCCATGATCTCCGTCTAGGGTGGATCGAATCTTCGTCGATGCACGCAATATCTGCCACAGAAAAACGCAAGCCATAGAATGTCAGCCGCTTCCTAATCAATATGTCGATGAAAGAGAATGTTGACGAGGTTACTAATCCCGCTAACGAAACTGTTACCCTTTTCGGACAAGTCTGAGGGCCTGTGTAGTCATCGTACTACGAAACTGTAGGACATATGATGATTTGGCTAGCTAATAGGAGCTTGGGCGAGTCAGGTGTAAGAAGAGCGACTCGTATGCAGAAGAGGAGACTGTGGTAAGCTAAAGTGTGTAATCATGCAAGGTAGGAATTAAAATACAGCTTTTCCAGCCTATTCTCTTCCTATCGGACATGCCTCCGCATACTACAAAACCATCATACAACAATATGCCCTAGGCGCGCATAGAGAGCATATAATAAGCATATGATAAGCCACACGGAGGGGGAGGAGGAGGAGTCAGGGCGGCCATACGGGGGTGAAGGAGATGAGATGGAAGTGGGGTATATAGACCTCTGAGTGACCCTAACCCAGTGAATGTAGCGAATTGGATAGCCCCTCTTATCTGTTTGGTACAATACAGGACCCTAGACCTTGGCATCATACAAAAAGATCATACATATGATGATCACTACAAACGCCCTGAAACAGGTAGAATCGACGCTTGCTCGTGATCGCGACAGGCATCGTAATTGTGCGAGCTTTTCTGCGTTTGACCACTTACTCGGGCCCCACAGAGCTCAGTTCAGTGGCTGTGTAACTCAGTCGAGCATAGCGTTGTGTGGTACTAAAAAGGAATTCCTAAAATCCTGGTTCCAGACATAAGCTCTACTACTATGAGACATGAAACATATGCAAACCATCCTGTAGCGCATCGAAGCTTGGACCTTGTGAAGCAACCTCGGCCGCCTGTGGTGCTCGAGATACAGTCCCTAGATATCGCAGACTCTTCACAGCATATGTTCTTGTATCACTACTTGCGAGACTTGCCCCACGCACGGCCGACAATGGCCATAGTAACGACGCGGCCAAAGCCCTGGAAGTCGCGAGTGGGGGTACTATGAATGTTGCCTTTGACCTATGAATTCCGAGATCGGAACAGCTGACGAAGTAAGAAATACTAGCGCAAATCTCTGTCGCCATGTTTTCGATGTTATCTATGGCTTGACGTCGGGTTCGGGCCTTGGAGTCTGTAGGTGTGCTGTCGGTCAGAGCATGCACAGCCTCATTGAGTAGGATCCGTGTCATGCGATACGAGTTCCACAGCTGTAAAGCTCTATGGCCTAGGTACCAGTGCCCCGTGTTTCCGTAAATAAGTCCCTCCGGTTTCTCCACTGTCGATTTGTTGTATCTCCAATTGATTGGAAGATGCTTAGCAAATTGTTTGTATTCTTCATCTAATTGAAGTATCATCCGGACGGCTTCAGGGGCCGAATTCGTGCCAGCATGAATATCTGCAACCAAATTCGAGACGTTGCTAGTCAAACGAAGCAACTGGTGAGGCGGGGAGTCGGGATTGTATTGTAGAACACGTTTGATGAGATCTTCAAGGCCTGTAGGAAGCTTCAATTTCTGCCGGAGACTATTGATGCAAACCTGGTTCGCAACTTGAGCGAAAATTTGCTGGCCAATTGGAGTGTCAAACTGTTGCAGGCCTCTAAGCTTTGTAATTGCAAACGCGCCTCTTGTGTGTGTCGTCCAACACTCTGGAGTTCCAGCGTGTGTCCAGATGAGTGATTCAAATAAGCCCAGAAGTAAGACTGAGACCAAGGTTGAATTGCTGCAAGCAGTGGAAGAACGCGCTAAAGCCTCATTCGTCTTTCGTAAGGCTTCAACATAGGTACGTCGCGCTATACGCACCAAGTCTGACTGGCATAGCTCTTGCGACAGATATGCCATAGCAGTTGCTTGGACGATTGAGGACAGCGCAGACTCTGGAGGAGACTGTCCATACATGACGGGAAGGTAGTCATAGTGGCTGCTCGGAATATATGAGGACATGAAGTTCGTAATAGCGACATCATTCATCGGAGGAGTAAGCATGAATATATGCGACAGGTGTGGCGACGTGGATTCGAACTGAATCACATTGGCCGTGGGGTCAATCAGATCGTTCCGGACAGGCTCTTGTTGTTCACCCTCGCGTAGATCCGATTTCTTGTAACTTTTCTCCGCTCTTTTTGCAACACTTTCGGTTTCATCGCGAAAGTTCTGGTCTAACGCGTCTCGATAACCTGGACAGTTGGCGTGCATACGTGCACATTGAGAGCATGTGGGGCTTTTTTTGTCGCACTACCATGCCAATTTAGTTAGGAGCCGCTGAATACTGCCAAATAGGAAGATTGGTACCTTGATGCGTCTTTCTCGACATAGCAAACAAGCGGCTGAAGGCCGTCCTCTATAGACCATTACTGAACTATTCTGCGCTGTGCATTGGCTTGTGACGAAATTCTTCGCTGAATCCTACCGTTTTTGACACGACAAGCATACTCAAGTTCTTTTAGGGTGGGCAGACAGCAGCAGTGTGAGTAGGAGACGCGTAATCATAGTCAGGCTTCCACCGTACAGGTGAGATTACTTAGCCACGCGCCAACGAAGTGGTTACCATGTTTGGACTTTCGCTCTAGCGTACCTTCCCGCCATGTGTGCTGACCAACCTGGTGAGATGATCACAGCCAATACGTCAGAGCGTCGTGTGGGAGTTTTTGCTATTCCTGCCCCCTTATTGGTTGTTTTCGGCATATCCGGCTTTTCGCTACGTAGGGCGTAGCGTCACAACACATATTCGGATTTGGAAGAGCTTTTGAGTAAAGGGCGTTGTACTCTGATCAGTCTGATGAGAGATGGAGTATAAGAACCATGAATCTACAGATTGGCAGATGGTCTCCACTAGCTTCACCTGTCGTCCAACTTCTGGCACGCATTCTATTCTATTGTGTCTTCTCAGATCACCAATGATGCATGCACGTGACATTGTCGCAGCCATTGAACTCGCAGTCTATGTCCCTGCCGCCATACTAGCTGTCATTGTTTGCGTGCGGCATGGCTTTAATCGCAGCAGCGGCTGGGTCTATACGCTCATTCTCTGCATCGTACGCACCACTGGTGCTTCCTGTCAATTCCTATCCCGCCAGAACCACTCGAACGGCATGATCGAGGCCAAGATCATCATCGAATCTGTCGGCCTATCACCTTTACTATTAGCAACTCTGGGATTGCTGAGTCGATTGTAAGTCTCTAAAATTCAAATAACGCTCCAAACTTACCCAGCTACAGTGTCGACTTCATCAACGCGAAAAGTAGTCCGACCTTCACGACCAAACACTTCCGCGTGTTGCAATTAGTCATAACCATCGGTCTCATTCTCAGCATTGCCGGCGGAACAAGCGGCACGGTTCAGCTCGACGGCACGGTCCGAGTCGCATCAACAAGCAAAGCCGGCATCGCGCTGTACATTGTCGCATATTTCGGCATCGTATTCGTATACTTGACCTCGGTTCCCAGAACCTCTGTCGTTCCGAACCAAGAGCGTCGAGTGCCTGTCGCTATCATTCTCGCACTCCCTTTCGTCTTGTCGCGACTCATCTACTCAGCATGTTCAGTATTCTTGCACAGCCATTTGTTCAATATCGTAACTGGAAACGTGGCGGTGCGCGTCGCTACAGCAATTATCGAGGAATTCATTGTCGTTGCGATATATATCGCGCTGGGCTTTTTAGTCATCAAGTTGGATGCTCATGCTCAGGGACCGATCGCAGGAAGGGAATGGAAGAATAAAAAGAGCAGAGGTAGAAAACGGTTTAGAAGACACTCTACAGGCGCACTTGAGCAGCAGCGGATGTAGAAACTGGAGTCTATTGTAAGGGACTACGCGAGGAGCTATCGCACAGGTATACTGTAGTTGTATTTGATAGAGAAGAGCTCTCTATTAGTTGAGTTCTAAGAGTCGTTTATGGGATAGCAGTTTCAAATACCCTTTAGCTAGGCTCGCTTAAACAGAATCTAGGTGCTCCCCTAAGCACCTAGATTCTGTGGACAGTGCGCCTCGTGCACGTGACCGAGATATTATCGAGGAACTACGGAGGTGGCTTTCAAAAGTTCTTGCTGACAGGGGTGTCTCAAATACTGCCGAAATACTACCGAAATATAGACAGCCGAGTCCTAACGCTCTCTTGGCAAATCTCTACCTTCCTTATACTCGTTCCTACTACTAAATTTAATGATCTTTTGAACGTGGATAGGAATCCTCTCTATCTAAGCTTGGATCTGTGACTGTGAGAGATCTTTCTAAGCCTGCTCCCATGCTTGGTTTGCCTCACCTTTGTTCTTTGTGTAAGGGTGCGATGGGTTGACCATAAGTGCAAGGTATAACAGTAATGAATTCGATAGAGAAGCTACACTACGCTTGCGCTGAGTCTATGTATCACGTATTGCTAGGTTCGAGAAACTTCTAAGGGTCCGTGGAGCGCCGATGAAGCCCCGACAACGCTCCGAGGGTTGCAGCCTATCCCAACCAGCTATAACGAAGGCCACAGGCCAAGTACTACTAACCAAGGCTTCAGCCTCTTACACTTTGGAGCTCCTTTCTTCGTTGTTCTCCTCTTTAACTATGGCTAGGCTGGCTTAATAGCATTGAGATTAGGTGAATTACCACACTAAGAGAGCCTCTCTACTCTCTCTTGTGTATACACAAGATGTTAAGCGTAATAAGCATGAGAGGGTGCCTTATCCTCTTGAATAATAGTACCTGGTGTCTCTCTTGTACACTCCTTCGTAAAGGGAAGAAGCTTTAGGAGAAGAACTTGAGATTGATAACGCCACTAATTAATACCACCTTTATTGTTACTACGAGTAAGCTTTCTATTCTCCTTGTTCCATCTCTATTAAGGAGCTTTACTAGGTTTATGTTATGGGCGGAAGAGGCCTGCTAACGAGTATGCATTTGCTCCTATGTACAGAAGAAGAAGGATAAGGAAAAGAAGAGTAGCGTCCTCCTCGTACGGTATTTATCCTCCGTACACTAATACAAAGATAGATAAGCGGGAAGTTCTTCGGCGTAGCCTCTTGTGGTACTTAGGCGTAGCCCCTTACAGTTTATTTCTTAGGCCTATCCTCTTCATGCCTGTTAAGAGCTCCTACTCCTCTCTTATAATTAGCTCTAAGATCTTATTTATCTTATTAATCTTAAGAGCTGCTTCTTTCTTCTCCTAGGCTGTCTTAGGTTTCTATATATAAAGAGGACCTTTGTGATTATATGAGAAGCAGCCCTAGAACATAAATTTAGTGTAGCCTTTCTACCTCTCTCGAATAACTAATTTTGTGAACGCTTTATCTAATTTTCTCTACACTCGATAGCTACTACGGCGGTGATTAAGTACAACAGAGGTCTTATCTGACTAGATAACATTCTTCTAATCCTTCAGCGTCTAGTCCTTGTGAGCAAGACACCAGTTAAGTCTCTCTTATCTTATCTTCTTTGTTAACCTAGGCTTCCTCGTCGGCTTCGTCTTGTTGTATCCTGCTGCTTTGAGGACTCTCCACACCGTCGTAGATGAGACGTCGTGACCTTGAAGACTAAGATCACTGGCTATATCAGCACAGCTCTTCTCTCGTCTATATCGATCACGGCGTACTTTCTGAATAGTAGCCTCTTGAATAGCCTCTTGCTTACGCGGGCGACCTATACGTGGAGCATCTTCAAGATATTCAGGGAGGAGCTTTATCATAGGTCCATTTGGCTCAAAGCCTCGCTGGCAGGCTCGGCCATAGATAGCGTCAATCGTGCGTGGAGAGATGCCCGTGATAGCGCTGATCTGGCTCGTTGACTTGCCTCCAAAAGGAGACTTTAAAGTAACAATTAAGGCCCGTGTAGGAAGTTCTGTATTAGGAGCCATTGCGAAGTACAACACTAAAAAAAGTGAGTATACTAGCCAGCTACAGCCGCATCAAAAACTCTAGATAATGCCAAGAAATATCGGGCCGATAAGAAATCGCGTTAGCAAGAACTTTTGAAAGCCACCTCAGTAACTAATTGGACTTCAGCCTATCACACTTAGCTGCACTGCTAAGATACTAAGTAAACATAAGTAGCACAGGTTAATCGCAATACTATAATTAGTTCAAATTTAAGAAACCTCAGGATAATAGCTATTTCGGGTGGCTGTACAGCCTTATTTCTCTAACGGTTATTGTGTTGGTACGTGGCCAAAACTCGACCATGGCCAAAATGCGCACGGACACGGTAGCTGAAGTTGAACGAAACACCACAACTTGCCTTATCAGACTTCTAGCCTCCTGCCTCACGCCCACCGTCTTCGTCGATGCTTTAGGTCCTGTGAGCCGACGATGTCGCAGACCAAGGAGGCTTTCAAGGCCTTACCATCTCGACCGTCAAATCATGCACTTTGCGCACTATCGGTTTGCTGCTTCGCGGTGCATTTGACATGTTCGGCGGCGATACATCATGATACGCTGCCCTACATTCTGGCTCCCCATGCTGAACGTACGTTTCGCGTCATCTTTTTGTCTCTCCCGCCTCTATGTGCGATATGCTCTTCCCTCCACCTCTTCTCCATCCTACATGTATGTCTTCGTTCATCTCGACGTACTGCCGACGTTGGCTAGGCTTAGCGAGATGATTACGGATTTGTTCGAAGACGTTAGCCTATTGGGAAGAATGTTGCAGCTGTCTGCTCGCCCTGCCTCGGTCACTATCCACCCGTATATTTCTGCAGCATCGTCATATATTTTCGCCATGCTACCACCAGTTCTTATCATGTCTTTCTCTGTCTCCTTCCACGTGTCGCGCAGCCTGTGGCTCCCCGCCGCGATTGTTCCTAGCCGGTATACGTGTGGCGGCTCGTTCGCATGAACGGTTGCGAAGCTCAGGAGAACCAGGGAGAGTTGAATCTTTTGCACGGCCATCTTCTGCCGAAGGCAACCAGTACAGCTGCCGCTAGTCGTCGCAGCATTCCTGTACCCTATGAGGACGTACACGCGGGGTATAAGGCGCGCTTTGCCTTTGGGTTGGGATAAACCCAACGCGCCCTCCATGTCGTATGCGGATCATCTACCCACCTTGTACATATCCATCGCATATGCTGGTATGTCTCGATCCCATGGCTGCGAGCATGAGCGGGGTATATCCAAACACGCGTTTTACCGCGGAGGATTGTGGAAGGCACCGTCGTCCGGCTTTGGGTACATCGCTTGGACGACAAGGCTGGCAGCGGAGCTGCTACTGTGGCCCGTCAGAAGTTGGAAGGCCTTGTTGGTATGATTTTTCGCTCCGGGAGTCGCATCAAGATATCCAGGTATTGGGCCCACTTCCTTATAGTGGCTTCTCAATGCGCGGCTTCCGAGAAAAAACCAATCGCACCGCGAGCATTAAGCTACGTCGGTGTGCAGCGGGAGCAAAGATGCATCATTTTCGATCCGTGAAGATTGATGAGTATTGTTTATGTACATTCCTCGTACTCTGGATGAATTTGAGGGATTTGTTTGATCCAACCCGGTAGCTTCTGCTATCGGTGGAATGACCACGCATCCGCGGTGAGTGTTGTTCATCTTGAACAAATGTGTGAAAAGTTGAACTTTCCTGACACGCTGCATGTATGCCGGCCTTTTTCGACTCCGCGGCAGACTTCCCGTCTTGATGACTACTTCGAAGGTGAATACTCCGTTGTCTCCGAGCCGGCATTGTCATAACCGCATGGTATTGCATGCGCAGTGTGTATCTTCCTTCATTTGTTGCTTCGCATTGGGTGGGGTTGATGGTAAGCACATCATCTCTTTCGAGCCAGCATCGTCCTTACTGCCTGCCTGGTCTAGTACCCGCATCATGTGTTCTTCTGGCTTCATCATTCGCATCCAGCAGACATGACAGTGAGTATCTTATTTTCTCCAACCCAACATCGTTCTGACTGCACGGTGTCGCATACGCAACTTGTGCTCTACCGGCTTCACCCCTTCGAAGGTGGCGGCTTCCACAGTGAATACTTCGCCTCCCTCAAAACAGCATTTTCCTAACCATGGGCGACATAGCTTCTGCAGATTATTCATGAGACATGTTCCCGTCCATAGTTCGCGATACAGTTGATGCGCGACCAGTTTCGCAATGATGAGACTTGGTTTGTTGACGCATACCACGCTGCGAAGTCGCGACTGCTTCCCCCGGGAAGGCCAGAGCTGTGCATCGACAGGCTTTCAAACTCAACAACGACGCTTCTCATACTCTTCCAGGATTTCAATGTTGACGTCGCATGCGACAATGGTAAGCCTCATCTGCCACCTCTTTCATTACACACACACACACACCTGCTGATATTGCTGCAGGTATCTCTCGATAGCGCATCACCGCGACAGCAAGCTCATGCAGCTCTCTTTCAAATCCCTTACTTTCTCATACCCTCCTTTCCATCTTCTCTGTCCAATGTTCGGAGTGTGTCATCGTCGCGGGTGGGGTCAACCCTAAATTCGGTGTAGCTTCCCGAACTGGCCGCATGCCTGAATGCCCCGAGGTCTTGTGCGCGACGCATCAATTTCGCCTATGTCTAGAGAGATGACGATGGGAAATTACATATTACAGTCGTCGCGATGCCGTCATGGTGTAAGAAGATGATACAGTCGCTCGCCATCATGCTATGAGGTTGGCGATGGAGAAGTCGCTGCATCGAAGGTTCTTTCAAAAGCCCTCTGCTCGAGCCTTGCTGACATCAACCAGCCTTCTCGTTGTCTGCCAATCATCCTCCCATCCAGGCTCACTACTGGCTTGCCTCCCGTCGCCTGCTAGCGCGTGTCACGTGCCGTCTGCTGCCTTGTCCGCCACGCACGAGCCTGATGAGCGGTCGCCCGACTCAAGCACCATCACAACAGAACATGGGGATTATATACGGCTTTATTGTTTAATCTTTCGCCTTCGGGCTTATGGTCAATTTGAAACGATACAGAGAAGATTAGCATGGCCCCTGCACTAAGGATGACACGCTCAATCAAAGAGAAGCTACCATTTTTTTTTGGCTTTCTTTTTGCCCATCGATTCACCGCGATTCGAACACCCAAGGCGACGACAGCACGGGCCTGTTGCTCACCCTTTTTTCCCGCTCTCTTTTTGCCTGCAGCATCGGCACCATGAGTTTGGCCATACGATTTCCATGCTCATTGAGCATTCACTCAACCGCATCAGCGTCTTGATATCATATCTATTGTATGCTGCTAATATCATGGCTACTGGTCCCAGATCCCTAGCAAGAGTGTTTTCTCAGCCTGCTGTCGACATTGGCCCAGCGCCCTTGGCACCGACTTGATTTTAACACGTCCTGGAGGTATACGCTACTTCATCAGCTTTGCTACAGCATCTTAGAGTGCTGCGAAGGTAATCACGCACTTAGTTCATTCTTCCTCTTTCCCTACTAGTTCTACCGTGCTCCCCTTCAAGTTTGTCTCTTTTCTCGATATCCATGGATCTACCTATCCCGACCTGTATTCCACGATCTGCTTTCTCTTTTGCATATACGCAAGGATGCAGAGACGGTCCGCGACCCTGCCAAGTGGACGGCACATTGCTTGGGGTTGCAAGTGTTGCTCTGCTACATCATTACTACCTAGAAAATCGATGTCTTACCTCATGCTTTCTCAAGCATGCCATCCTATGTGCAGAGGCCATGCTCGTCATGTTGATGGTTCTCCATGTATACTGTCATGATACCCAAGCTGTGGAACGGGGGCGAGCAGCAGCAGTATAAAAACCAACGATACGTAGTTATGGAAGCCGCATGACAATTTCATAATGCTCGGAAAACCTGTAGATAACGACCAACGTGAAAACAACAAAAGAAGGCGTTGCAGATTAATGAGTGAAACGAGAAGAACATGTTATGAACATGAGCAAAACCAAGTGCGAGACAAACAAAACACCTTAACGCATGGTGAGAAGCGCTCTTATATGAAAGAACGATAGAAAGACTTTGGGATTTCTCAAGAGACTCATGTCGTGAACTTCAAGACTAATCCGCGAGACAGCCGAACGTTAGGTTGTCAGGACCTCAATCGTCGCTGATTGGTTGACGACGTTGGCGCCGCAGAACCTCCGGTTCAAGATCCGCATCTGCAAATCGTCACGCCGCGACACCACCACCGTTGACGTCGGCATCACACATCTCCGCCTGTCGCAATGGCGAAGAAAGGTATGCGCTCCTGCTCTCGCACTATGTCATGCTCTTGAGAATCGCCATACTGCCCCAGCCACTCTCAGAGCACTCATCCGCAACCTACATCCTGGCCCACATGCGCTGACAATGGCATCTCACAGCAAAGTCCCGTACCATTATGGTGCGCCTCATATCAATGGCCATGACGGGCTACTACCGGACGATGCAAAGACCACGTGCGCACCAACCGCTGAGCATGCTCAAATACGACCCGATCGGTACGACACCATCATTCTCACCCGTCATTGAGAAGCGTGCTTGCCTCACATACAACATCATGCTAAGAGCAGGATGAGCACACAATAGGAAGAGATGAGACTGTTCATCAATGAGGGCAGATGCAGGAACATGGCTGACAATACACAGTGCGGAAACAAGTACTTTTTCTCGAAGCGAAACGCGGCAAGAAATAGAACCTCTCATACATTACGAAACGAGTGTACACGGAGCGAAAGCATCAGCCAGACAAGTCGAATATTGAGTCAGGGCTATGGGGGGAGTGAGGACGAGTAGAAGGAGATGGCGCATCGCAGAGATGGAGGACTCGGCAACCATGCGTACCATCTGGAGCCGCCAGCAGGCATGAAGCAAGTTGCATGCTTGCACACATATGTACTATACGGTCAGCATGGCTCGGCGTTATATACGGTCCAAAGCAGATGTGGACAGCATGTCTGCTACATAAAACGCACAATTCCTTATACGGACTCACACTCATGCTTCTCTGCTCCATTTCATTAACCATCTGGCAATGCTCACTTCCATCTACGTCTTCTCCCGCATTTTTGTTCCGACTGCCGAGACGAGGACACCCGCCAAGGTCAAGGCTCCGCCCCGCTGCTTGTCTGGTCTCTTGGCCCGACTTGGTGTGCGCGAAAAACCTCGAAACTGGGCCGGCTTGCCTAAAAAGGTCGTTCCGGCTTCGTCAAGGCTTGGACTACGTCGGTAATGGGCTCTTTACCAGCCACAAATTACCCCATACATGGTTTTGCTAAGACTCTGGGGTTGCAGGTGATTGGAAATGGCGGAGTCGGGATCACTCTTGGTCTCGTCAGTTCAGTGGCAAGATAGCCGAGTTTGCGGAAGCGCAAAAGTATAAGATGGTGCTGATCGGTAGCATTTTAGGGTGTTTATCAGCTAGAGTCCAGTTGACTACTTAATCTCAATATGGATTCTGAAAAGGTTGACGAGAAACGCTCGGAACGTTCCCCTGACACACGCATCGACAACCTCAACTACGAGAATTCCTCATCATCACAGACCGTGATTGAACAACAAAAGGCAGCATCACAACCCTCCGGCGTATTAGGCATCTTCTCCAAGCTCGGCAACCTACCGGAATGGCACGTCCCCGGGGTTGGCCTGCTTCAGGGCAAGGCACTGAACAACTCCATCGCATGGTGCTCCTGTTTAGCATTCCTCATGTTCGGTTATGATCAGGGTGTCTTGAGCGGAGTTCTCACTCTCGACGATTTTCAACGCCACTTTCCTCTCATGACACCTCGCGAACGTCCAAATAACCTCTGCTGGCTCGATGCACCGACGAACACTATACCTGATCCGACTATGTGCACAGGTAGCCCGAGTATTCTCTCTGCCTGTGTCGCGGTGTATCAGATCGGTTGTTTCCTAGGCGCTGTTCTCATCTTGTTCTATGGCGAGACCTGGGGCAGGAAGAGCAGTAGCTTCTGGGGTAGCTTCATCATGATTGTCGGAACAATCATTCAAGTGGCCGCAGGTGGTACAAATGGAGGCGGGGTCGACGGGTATGCTCTGCTAAGTATTGGACGTGTTGTTGGTGGAATTGGCAATGGCATGGTTACAGCAAGTGAGTAGTGGATCGGTACTGACGTCTTGCCATCAACTAAACGTATCCGCAGCAATCCCGACCTGGCAGTCTGAGTGTGCGAAACCTGAGAAGCGCGGACGCTTGATTATTACGTCCGGAGCAGTCATCGTCGCCGGTGTGATGATATCCTACTGGGTTACCTACGGCTTCTACTTCCTCCCATCGGGCGAGAGTTACTCTTCTGTGCGCTGGAGGTTTCCCATCGCCTTTCAGTCTTTCTTCACAGTTCTCGTCATGTACGTAAAACTCTTCCCTCGCCATGTTGTCCTATATGGAGTCGCACTAACGGCATCCCCAGGATTGGCCTCTGTTTCCTACCAGATTCGCCACGATGGCTTGTGATGCGCGGTCGCCACACCGAAGCTCGGCACCTACTCGCTCGTCTCGCCGGTGCATCAGTAGACTCGGAAGAAGTGGACACGGAACTTAGCAACATCAAGGATGCACTTGAAGCGCAAAGCAGAGACGGCCCATTCAAGATGAAGGAGCTTCTGCACAATGGCCCAAGTCAGAACCTAAGGCGTACGCTGTTAGGTGTCGCATCGCAGTTTTTCCAGCAAATCTCCGGAATCAATCTCATCGTATGTTTACCGCTGTATATCACTTCGTCGAAAGGAAAGCTAATCAAGACCTTGCCCAGACCTACTATGCAACCTACGTCTTCGAAAACTCGCTCGGTTTCGGCCCAGATATGTCACGTCTCTTATCCGCTTGCAACGGCACCGAATATTTCCTCGCCGGCCTCGTCGCCATTCCGTTGATCGAACGTGCCGGTCGCCGCAAACTCATGCTCTTTGGTGCATTTGGAATGATGGCTAGCATGGCTATCATGAGTGGTATGACATCGACTGCTAGCGAGAATGAGTTTGGTGCCCCAGTCTTAGAGCCAAAGTATGGCATCACGGCTGTGGTATTCATGTTCGCCTTCAACACATTCTTTGCCATCGGTATGTAGTATCCCCTCGATCTGATCTGCGTGTATGGAGACCTCTTTACTAACACTCTCCAGGCTGGCTAGGAATGACCTGGCTCTACCCTGCCGAAATCACCAACCTCCGCATCCGCATCCAAGCAAACGCACTCTCTACCTGCTCCAACTGGATCTCGAACTTCCTCATCGTCATGATTACCCCACCCGCGTTCGCCAACCTTCAATACAACACGTATACTATGTTCGCCGTCTTCAACGCCTGCCTCATCCCAAGCGTATACTTCTTCTTTCCAGAGCCCAAAGGAAGGAGTCTGGAAGAGTTGGATGTCATTTTTGCGAGTGCGCATCATGACGGTATCAATCCGGTCAAGCAGGCGAAGGACATGCCGAAATTGATGGGGAGGGAACTGGATGTGGAGATTGCGAGGTATTTTGGAGGGGATGTGGAGGAGGCAAGAAGGAGGAGTGTTGCAAGTACTGGGATCACTACATGAGGTGACACGGGAGATGGACTCTCCTCGGAGATTTAGGAGTAAGGTACTCTATCCAACACAATTCTCACTGCCGGGGACCTGATATATGATATCGCTAGCCCTGTAATGGGGCTGGTGCTTCAACACAACCACAAAGGCGTATCCGCTCGAAGCCGCGTCTTCTCCGAATCGACGCATGTGAGAAGTTGTGCCGTATTGACTGTATACCCTAAGTTATTAGCTGGCTATTGCTGTCGTCGGACGAACGTTTTGGCAGGTTACGACTACTCCGTGGAAGCCGGCACATCTTTTCAGTCTTGGTAGTGATAAAGTTCTGTGAGACCTTGTAAACACCTACCCGTGGGAGCTGGCGCGGTGCTATCTCGGCTGCCGCGTGGGTGGGGCTCTTACGGCCTCTTCCCCTCTTTCTTCTTCAACCCAGACCGTGTCTGACCGCGACCACGACATCTGACTCCATCCTAACCTTGTGTATCACGCCGGAATCATGACGTCGATAAGCTTTGCCCACCCCGGCAACAAGCAAGACAAGCCTTGGCAGAAGGCCTTGTTCCGCTGCTGTGCATAGCGAGCTGCTACTTTGGGTAAAGAGCTTCTATGCGCGCTGCAGCAAGCTTGAGATCGTTGACGCGAGGCTTCAACGTCAGCGCGAAATTGTCGCAGAGGCTTTTATAAATTGGGGTTATTCGCATTGTTTGAAAGTTTATGTTGGTGAAAGAGCAGCAAGGGATGACTGAGTTTACTTGTTGGCTCTTATGGGGACACAATAGCAGGATCAAGTGGCACGGCAATTCATCTATCGGTTACGTGACTGTATAGCCTAGCCGAAATTCCCGACTATTATTCTCCCACGCACAGCCCCGGAGGATCTTCAGAGACGATGTTATCCGTCCAATGGTCGTGTGCAGAGCATTTGCAGTTGCCTGGTTCAGACTAGATTACTGTGCGCGGCCAAGTAACCTGACGTTGTCCCAACCCTGAACGATGCGAAATACGTGACCAACCAGGCGGATTGGTGCATGCAATGCCGCCTGGCTTCGTACCAAGGCGGTATATATAAGATGCGAAGCCCACTATTTAGCTGGGCAAGCACTTGCTGAAGCCTTAGTTACTCTTTCTCTCGACAAGCTTTCCACCATGGCGCGCTTCGCACAACTCGCCACCGTCTTAGCGGCTGCTTCCCTGGCCAGCGCTCGCGCACCATTCATTAAGGAGCGCCAAGTGCCCGCCGACCCTACTGGCGTAACGACAATAACATCGGCCGCAGGTGCTAAGATCACGTACAAACAACCTGGTAAAGCAGGTGTATGTGAGACCACCGAAGGTGTCGACGACTATGCCGGCTACATCAGCCTTAACCCGACAACTAACATGTTCTTTTGGTTCTTCGAGGCTCGCGAGAACCCGACTGAGAAGCCATTGGTAAGCCGCACATCTGTGAGGAATCGTTGTGATCTTCACTAACCAATTCTTCAGACGTTGTGGTTGAACGGAGGCCCCGGAAGTGACTCTCTCATCGGTCTGTTTCAAGAACATGGCCCATGCAATGTTACCGAGGACCTGAAGACACAGCTGAACCCCTACTCATGGAACGAGCACAGCAACATGCTGTACCTCTCCCAGCCCGTGGGTGTAGGATTCTCTTACGAGACCACTGAAACAGATGAAGATGGTCGCTACTCGCTCGTTGACCCGGACACTGCCAACACAACCGATGCTGCAGCCATCGGCGCATGGCACATTCTCCAAGCTTTCCTAGAGCTGAGCCCACAGCTCGACCCTGATATCACCAACTTCACCTTCAATCTCTGGACTGAGAGGTAGGTGCTTTTATGATATAGATATGAGAACATTGCTAACAACTACGTCAGCTACGGAGGGCACTACGGTCCAGGCTTCTACAATTACTTCTATCAGCAGAACCAGAAGATCAAGAACGGCTCAACCGCTGGTGTCGAAGTCCAGATGGACACCCTTGGTATAATCAACGGCATCGTTGACGAACAGATTCAGGCACCCTACTACCCTGAATTTGCCGTCAACAACACTTATGGTATCAAAGCAGTGAACGACACGGTGTACACCTTCATGAAGAACGCCTATTATATGCCTGAAGGTTGCCACGACCAGATCGAGTACTGCAAGCAATCTGACCGCACCACCGAAGATGGCTACCTCACGTGCTCGTCCGCAACCAATCTCTGTCGTTCGTTGGTTGAGGAGCCCTACTACGCCTTCGGAGGCAGAGGCGTCTACGATATCAGGCATCCTTACGACGACCCCACGCCCCCGGACTACTTTGAGTCCTTCCTGAACCTGGCCTCTACTCAAGAGGCGATCGGTGTGAACATCAACTACACCAGCACAAACGCTCGCAACGTATCGCGAGGTTTCCAGCAAACCGGAGACTTCGTCTTCCCCAACTTCCTTGAGGATCTGGAAGAGATCCTTGCCTACGGTGTCCGTGTTGCTATGCTTTACGGTGACGCCGACTACATCTGCAACTGGTTCGGTGGTGAAGCCGTCTCTCTAGCCGTTAACTACACTGACTCCGAGGCTTTCCGTGCTGCTGGCTATACTCCCTTCCTTGTCGATGGCGTTGAGTACGGTGAGGTTCGCGAGTACGGTAACTTCTCGTTCACCAGGATCTACGAGGCTGGTCACGAGGTGCCATACTACCAGCCTGTGGCTAGCTTGGAACACTTCAAGCGTGTGTTGGACCACGTTGTTATTGCGGACGGTAGCCAGGTTGTCACGGATGACTACAGCACGAACGGCACGGCAGAAGCTACCCACACTGAGTCTTTCGTTCCGCTGCCGCCTACCAGCACACCCAGTGCTGTGAGCAGGGTGAAGCGAAGCTTGGCGTAGAGTGGTGGTGAGTGTGGATATCTATAAGTACATTATGCAAAGCATGGTGATTCATACATCGTGCTATTTATGGTGCCACCAAGCTAGGACGAATAGGATACCTAGATCAAAATAATACACACGATGCCCTTGGTCGTCTTATCGCACTTTCTCCAACTTTGGTGAAGTTTATGCTAGTGTGTCAATACGGATACTCGCCCAGCCCATCATCAACGAGCCGAGAGAAACATCAGAAAACAGTATAAATCTTCAAGGTATCTGAAAGCTAGCACAACAGCAAGCTCGTGATTAGGCGGCTCGCGTTACGTCATGCGTCTCAGAGCTGTGCGGTACTCTCGCTGCACGCTTCCTCCCAGGATCCTTTAGCCACCATCACGATTTCAGCTTGCTGCGCAGCCGCAGTGTAGCAAGAGAATAAACTCCTCGAGAACACTCCAAATGTGCGCATGTCTGACTGACGCGAATGTTTCGCTGTACCAGCTCCCGACGCGTGTGGTCGCCAACGTGTAACGTTCGCGTATTTGATTAACATCAAACTGGACACTCATGCTGATGCCAAGACTGGAGCGCCTTGCATGAGGTCCCAACAGATATCCTTCACGATGATAGGTTACAAGCGCCCAGGTTCCCTCTCCTCGGTAACTTTCCCACGTCTCTCGCAGCAGTCGGCGACCGCGATACCATCCCAATAGCAAACCGCTTCTGGGAATCCTTTCAAGTGGAGCACACACCCGCATGTCTGCCTTGGATATGCAGCCAACGCCACCAACCATGACATCGAGGCGCAGGTTTAAGGTACCCTGAACCACTGTCAAATACTGGGAGTCGACATATGGCAAAGCCGTTATCGCCTCCAAAGATCATTTCCCATCTCCCAACTGTTCCCGGACACCTTACCTCCTGGGTTACACGCAATGGTCGTACAAAGGATGGATGGCATGTACACCCCTTTGCAAGGTCAGGGAGATTTGAACGGAGCTGAGTGCGGCACAGATATCCTTATGGTGTATGAGTAAGTTGATCCACGTTATAGGGTAGAGCACAGGCTAACAACAATGTACTCGGCACCTGTTCGCAGACGAGCAGGCCGGCGAAGACTCCACAATCGACGACGACGAAAGGGATACGTCCCAGCCGAAGCTATCAAACTCCAATTTGAACAAGAAAACATATCACGATAACGACTTCCTTTTATTGACGAGATCAGTTGAGCATTGCTATCCGTTCCCTACCAAGAACAATTTCTTACAGGATGACGCATCGGCGAGCTTGCGTCGGCTTTATGGGCCGCAACAGTGTTTAGTATAAACCTCGCTATCACGATTTGGGTTTGGAAGAACCCGAAGTACGTGTATGGGAACGGCGCTGGAACACTATATCAAGGCAGCTGTTCAGTTGTCAGAGAACTGAACGTCTACATTCATCTCATTGTTAGTGTGCTCAGTACACTACTGTTGTGCAGTTAGAACTACTGCCAGCAGGTTCTCGGTGCACCAAACCGAAAAGAGCTTGGACGTGCGCATGCCCGACGAAACTGGTTGCATATTGGAGTCCCTAATCTACGCAATCTCTGGCACGTCGGATGGGATCGTTCATTACTTTGGATCTTGTTGTTCCTCTCATCGGTACCCCTGCACCTTTTGTTCAACTCCGTCGATTTCACGAGCTTGCAAGCCAACGAGTATGCTGTTATCCAACGGCGCGGGATTGGATCGCATCTAACCGGACTGGATACGACACTTTAGGCTTCCTGGAATTCAGTGAGGATGAGAAGAAAAACATATCTACTACGATAAGGAACCAATATGCCTTCGACCCACTCAATGATGTCACTTTGAGGGATGGTGGGAGCTCAAGGAGGGCGAACGTCCCATTGACGACGACAAGGGGGCGTTAGCGATGGCGGAGGTTTTGCTGATGATGAGAGAGAAGGGAAGAAAGTACCCATGATGAGACAGTACAGGCTAGTGGAGGAAGAGGGAACAGCTTGAGTGATTCAGAAGATTTACATAGCTCGAAGGCTGCGACCTCCTGATCCGGAATCGTCAATACGGTAAAGGTACAGTGGAGGACGTAGTGTTCAACAATCTTCATCTGGGTTGGTTGGTCGCTATAGATGACGAAGCGAGTGTCATTCATCGAGTCCTAAGATTAGGATTGTAATTGTAGTTTTATTGCGGCTTTCCATCAACGTCTTTCGTATGCAAGTATGTTACGATGTATGTTGTGGTTCATGCATGTTTACTCACTACACCACTACGCTGCCGCACTATTCTCCGCTAGCACACCATTACTTGTCGCTATATCTCCCATAGCCTTCCCACTCTGCTTTTGTTTACTCTTGAAGTATTGCGTGAAGTCGTGTCTAACCTGATGAATAGCCTCTGCAACGCTCTTTCCCCACACCGGATCATCACTCGCCTTCTCACACATCTTGAAAAACTCCTTCCTCTTCTCTTCATGCGTGGGATCCCAGAGGCGGTGGAAGTTCTCGCGCGACATGGGATCAATCATCTCGCGCCAGATCTTGATGCGGATTTCGGAATATTTATCGAGAATGGAGTCGTCAAGTTCGTCGAGATGGATTCCTGTGAAGCAGTCGTAGAGGGAGCCGACGTCAGCGAAACCGCCTGTCAAGCCCATGCCACCACTTGAGGAGTGTCAGCAAATTATGCGCATCAAAACTATTTTGTACGTACAATGGGTTACATAGATGCGCTGCATCTGCGACCAGTAGTATCTTTCCTACGCGGAAACTGGGTGCACATCTTTGTTGGAGTTTGTACGGACTCATGCTGACGAGCTTGTACTCATCGGGCTTTGGGTGGCCAGGAAGAATTTGTTCGTAGCGGAGCGGTTGGCGTTTCACGAGCTCCTCTTTCGAGAGATCTTCAGAGTCGCCGTATGTTACTCGCCATAAGCCGTCGTTTGTGATCTTAGCAGCCATATACCAGTCGGTTGGGTGAACAATGAAGTTTGAATCCCAGTAGTCGAAGCGCTCGTCGAATGGTAGGTAGACCTAATTTGTTAGCTATCGAATACCCACATCGATGCTTGAGTCGTACATTGGTAGCAACAATCTGCGCCTTCAATGTCTCCCCTGGATATTCCTTCCCGAACAATGCGGTGCGAACACCGCTTGATGCGCCATCAGCACCCACCAGATAGTCACCAGTGATCTTCTTCTTCTCGCCGTCTCTCGTTTTCACGACTGCGGTCGCACCATTGCCGTCTTGTTCCACGCCGACTAGTTTATGGCCCCACTTAATTTCTGTGTTGGGGTAGCTTTCGAAATGCTTTACGAGCAGCGGACCTAATTGATCTAGCGGCAGCACCACCATTGAGTATTTTGATTCTTCTGGCTCGCGACCCATGCCGGCCAAGAAGGTTGTGTCTTGCAACCGCCAGCATACACCTTTGGGGTGAAGACCAACTGCACGTACATCATCTATAATGCCGGCGCGATGGAAGTCGTAGACTGCTGAAGGCGCGTAGTGAGCAGCTCTCGGGTTATCATTAATCTTAGTATCCGCATCGAGGATGGTAACTTTGATGCCGAGGTTCTTCGCAAGGAGGACTCCTAGCAGAAGACCGGAAGGTCCAGCTCCAACAATTACGATCTGCTAGTGTTAGCGATACGCGAAACCCTCACGTAGGGACAAACCAAACGTACATGATTGATTTTCGGCATGATTACGGATCTGTACTACTGCATGTGAATACTGTGAAAGCATCTGCTAACCAGATGTCATTCTTTAAGATAGCATGTCCCTCGTGGTGGGGCAATACAATCCCCGCCCCCAAGATTCTCCATAGTCATCTCAGAGACAATCGGCTGTACTGCAGGTGCGGGGAAGAGCTCGACTGCCCCACATTGTGATCGGCAACGGTGCATCGTATGGCCGGGAGTCGGTACAGGAGGGGAAGGTGCACGTGATGCGATGAGTAATGCAATAGAGCTAAGGGTCTTGGAGGGGTTGGATGCAGGGCTGGCGGATCGTGAGGTATGACGTAATGGTGAGCGCGCGTCTCCCCTGATGATCGTAACTCCGGCATGCGAATGGACCCTGATTGTAGCAAGCCATCGTTGCTATAGCGGGCACCCGTCTTACGAAGATGGTGACGAAGACAATGCGATACACATCAGAAATGTTGGGAAGACGAGGTTCACGCTATTGACACCTCCAGGTCGCGAACATTGTGGAGACTGGAGATAGTCGCGGTGGTGAGATCCGAACAGAATTAGAACACACCACCCACGCAAGACGTCATGACCATGGCATGTCACCGTATTGATCCGGCATACTCGTACACGGACGCATCAGCATGTGATGATGCGAGCGACACCGAAACATCCGCTCCGATTTCCTGGCGTCGCAATGTTGTTGGGACCTTGGAAAGCGCAGGGACTCCCGGACCAGGCGAAAATAAGCTTTACCGGCCCTTCAAGGGTTTTCAGCCTCCTGTTCGCCACTATCTCAACCACAAACAGCTGCAACACCATGCGAGTAATATATTCATCGCTGTCTGCGCTCAACATATCTCTTTCCAACTCGCTTCCGCTGTCATGACTCGACAGTACGATGTGCCTAGGCGCTGCTTGATTCTCGATCATCGCCTAGATGCAATTGCTCCACCCATGTTATCATAGCACAACAAGCTCATTCCCACGATGCCCCTAGATTTGCGACGATTGGGCCGACGCGCGCTGAGAGGCTTGGACGACCCAGTTATACCCACTGTCTCCTTATCTCGGTTTCCCTCAACCAGACTGATCCCAAGCTTTGGCACGGCCTTGTCCACTTTTCTTGCTGCGCCGACAGCCGACCTGGGTATCGATGACTGCAAATCTTGGCTGTAGCGGTGTCCGCGCTTCGTCCAGTGTCGTCAGTCAAGACCTTCATCAAACGTTGTGCAATCCTGCCGGCGGGAAGTTGCTATGAAAGTCGTAGTACGCCGACTCCTGACGGCGTTCAAAAATCTCTGCGTTTCCGGCGAATACAGGCATTTTTATACTCAAACAACTTCGGCGCGCTCGCGGCTCTTCAGTATCGGACTACGCGGGTTCCCTAAAATACTTCCAACGCCAGTGCAGCCACTCCCGCTGCAGCGATCAAGGTTCTGGAATTTTGGGCTACGATTCTGGTGCCTGTCGAGATTTTGGCGCTCCCGACGTTCCATGTCCCCTGCAACTTCCGCTCCACCCTCACTTTGTTAAGCTGACGAACCCGACACCGAACCTTCTGGCCGCTGAGTTTCGACTAGGAAAATTGGGTTGGCACGCCACTACAGAGTTTGAGAACTCTTCGAGTGACGTTTGGGGCCGCGTGCAGCATACCCGCACTAGCGGCTCTTATCAATCCCACACAACGTTGTGACTGCCCGCTTTCCATCGCGATTTCAAGCATCAGCCAGAATCAACGACCTGCTCATTCCTAAGCTTGTATCTTTACCAAACCATTCTTATCATTTCCAGGCGCCCACAATACACAGACCACCGCCATCTAGTCATACCCTGTACGTCCCTTGGGACTCGCGATACTTCAAAAGCTCCACCGTTAGGCGCATGAACGGTCCCAGATATCAGCCTGCCTATTAAGAACTACCGGCGATTTAGCGCACAAACAGGACTTACCACGTGCAACGTTATCTGCACTTAGTCGCGGAAGTCGGCGCGTTGGTAATTATTGCGAGCGCACTGGCTACTCCTGACGTGCCCAACTAGCCGTCCGATAGTGCCCAAGAAGATACAATATCATCATGAACCCCTTTCAAGATGCCGGTCCGTCTCGTCAGGCCAACTTTGAACCCGAGGACCAGATGTCCGCCACTCCTGGCAGGAAACGTGTTGGCTGGCATGCAGAGCATCCCGTTGTACGCTCAGCACAATCTCCCGAAGATACAGGCTCTGGAGGGCACAACACGCCCCTCGAACGATCAGATGTATCACACGATGACCTCCAGAAGATCCGTGCCTCACTACGCTTAGCTCTTGGGGACGAGCATCTACAGGAAGAAGTTATACAGGAACCTATCGCTGCCCCAAAAGACGTACAGAAACCTCGCCCAGCTATCCGGAAACCGGGTCCGCGAACGCCACCTCCGGAGTTTTATCTCAACGATCAACCAAATCCATTCGACGACAATGCGGCATCGACTCCTTCTGTAGGCCACGATCTTAAAGAGCGATCAGGGCTTGCTGCTCAACGCCGCGCAGCGAGGCTGTCTAAGTCCGTGGGCACTTACTCTGCTCCGATATCGCGGCGCAACTCTAGAGAGATCGCTTCTCCACCTGTCGAACTCCAGAACCTCTCAAAACGATACGAGTCGGTGGGCGACACTTCCGACGATGACGAAGACGACCCTAGGTTCATGAAGCGTGCATCCATGCTCCTTCGTCAGCACACCATCCGAGCTGCCAATGGCCAAACTGGGTTGAGTGCCGAGGATCTGTATCACACTGACGCACCACTTCAGTCAGGCCAAGTAACACCGGACGCTATGGAGGTTGAGGATGAGCACGTCGTTCGTCCTACCAAGTACCGGACAGGAGTGTTGGGTACCCTTATTAAGATGTCATCTAATGCAGCACCGCCATCGGCACGTCGACCCGCTCACCATCGAACTCTCAGTACTGGCACGTTTAGCGGAGCGTCAACGGCAGCCAACTCCCCGAACCCATCGCCGCCTGCCTCCGGGTACTCAACCCCACGCGGGAGCCGTCCTTGGTTCCGAAGCCACCACAACAACCAATCGGCAACATCCATCTCGCAGCTAGTCGGATCCTCAGCGCACAGCTTTGCTGCACCTGCGCAGCAGGAGCTGGGTCAGGAATTTGATCAACAATACAAGAAAACAACCCGCCCTGGCATGGGAAAACGTTCCAAATCGGACGAGTCTATACTCCCTTTCAAGAAGAACAAGAGGAAGGAGGAGGAGATCAAGATCAAGATTCATCTAGCCGGTACACTTGCACGTCAAAATTATCTCCGCAAGTTGTGTAAGGCACTAATGATGTATGGAGCTCCGACTCATCGACTGGAAGAGTACCTCAATATGTCGGCTCGTGTCTTGGAGATCGAGGCACAGTTTTTGTACATGCCTGGCTGCATGATTGTAGCATTTGACGACTCCTCGGTTCACACCAGTGAAGTTAAGCTCGTTCGGACTAGCCAGGGCGTTGATCTTGGCAAATTACGAGATGTGCACGAGATCTATAAGGACGTGGTACATGATAGGATTGGCGTGGATGAGGCTACACCTCGACTAGACGCTATCATGATGCGCAAAGACAAGTTCAACAAGTGGCTTCGGGTACCGATGTATGGCTTAGCTTCCGCGACAGTCGGGCCTTTCGCGTTCCAAGCTCGATTTATCGACCTGCCCTTCTGCTTCCTCCTAGGATGTATCATCGGGTGGCTTCAACTCGTCGTTGCACCTGGAAACGACCTTATCAGCAACGTTTTCGAGATAGGAGCATCCGTTATTACCAGCTTTGCCGCGCGTGCTCTCGGATCCATCCGACACGACGGGAAAGAGATCTTCTGTTTCAGTGCTATGGCTCAGTCCAGTATTGCCCTCATCCTGCCCGGTTTTATGGTACTTTGTGCGTCGTTGGAGCTGCAGAGTAAACACATTGTCGCTGGATCTGTACGCATGGTGTATGCTATCATCTACTCTCTCTTCCTTGGATTCGGTATTACGATCGGTACTGTGCTATACGGCATGATGGACGGCAACGCGACCTCGCGGACGACATGCCACGAGCCAATGTCAACAAACTTCTACTACCTCTTCGTCCCAGCGTTCGCGATCTGTCTACAGATTGTTAATCAGGCCAAGTACAAGCAGATGCCTTCCATGACTGTCATCGCTTTCATTGGCTGGGTTATCAACTTCCACAGCTCAAAGTACTTCAAGAGCAACGCCCAGGTTAGCAACACACTTGGAGCGCTAGGCATCGGTATCGCCGCCAACGCTCATGCGCGTTTTGGCCGTCATATCGAAAACTGGAGCTTGGACCTGTGGGAGAATAAGATGCGGCCCCAGTTGGTCAAGGTGCGAAAGTTGTATCGCAGGAAGAGCCCTGAATCCCTCCGTACGCACAAGGTCGAGCGATCCGCTTATGACCCAGCCCATAACAGTAGTGGCCACACATCGCGAGCTAGCTCAGTCAGCGATTTCACACCACACACCAGAAAAATCGGCTACGGTCTTGCCGCAGCCGCCATGTTGCCAGCTATCTTCGTGCAAGTCCCATCTGGACTCAGTGTGCAAGGTTCGCTTGTGTCGGGCCTGACTTCAGCCGATCAGATCGTGCGTAACAGCACCGGCAACGCTACGACACTCAGCAGTGCCGATGTAGGCAGCAGCACGAGCATCAATTCCATCGCCCTGGGCGTTGGTTTCTCTGTTGTCCAGATTGCGATTGGTATCACAGTAGGCCTGTTTTTGGCCGCACTCATCGTGTACCCGTTGGGTAAGAGGAGGTCGGGATTGTTCAGTTTCTAGGCAATGCTGTACATTATCCGCCTCTCGCGTATACCCGTCATTGCTGCCTTGCCAACTGGTGGAGCACACGCTATTTCAGCCGCATCAGAACGAACGGCATTTACAATATATCCTAGAACGCATTTTCATCTGTTATTTTTTCAAAGCAAGCGAGTCGAGCATTTGTGGGAGTTTGGGTTGTTATTTTCGCCAGCTAGGGCAGCTTCTGTGAAGCTACGACATAGAATTAGACACGATTCTCGTAATGTATTACTATCTGCAGCGCTCTCGGGCTGGACCTTCTCCAAGCTTTCCAATTTCCCACTCAATATGATGACATCATCATGTGATGATTGCGCGGAGGATACGTTTCTGTATTCGGGATAGCGCATACAATCGCCCCCATCCCCCAAATCGTCATTGCTTCACGCTGGACTCTGCGATAGTCACGGACTTTGGCAATTACCTTTGATTGTGCTAATGTACCTTGGACGCGCCGAGGTTCTAGTTGCGCCTATTTCTTTCCTTCTACGATGCAGTATAGGTGTGAGGGTGCCGAGGCGCAGTATTACCCCGCAAGCTGCACTTACCAGTTCGACACATCCAGTAACATGCCAAACGCCAAAGCGTGTACCCACACAACGCCTGAGGCGTGCACATTACGGCACACTGATGTGGCTGAAGGTACGCCAAAGACTGGTTTATGACACGTAATGTCCAACCTTGGATGCCTAACATCGGTGTCGGTGGTTGCCAGCTCTCGATTACAAAGCTCGCGACTTCTACGTCCGACCTTGTGCGCGACTGTCCAGCCTAAAATAACATTGTCACATCAACTGCCATCACGCTCGACACTCAAATCAATTGGACCAGCCTAGTACTACTTTCACGCCCGTCTTCATCCAAGCCACACTTCTTACTCACCCTGCAACCCAACAAAATGACAGTAACACAAATAATCCACTTCCGCGCGCCCTCGGCCTCAGAAGCCGACTCACAAGCCCACACGGCCGTTAAAGCCCTCAAAGGCGCCAAAGCCCCCGAAAATTACGTTCTAGGCACCCAGATCCAGGACAAGCGTAATCTGCAACTGACTTCGGAATGGCACGACCCCAAAGCCGAGTCCTCAAAAGAAGCGGACAAATACCGCGAAACCGTCATCAAAACTCTCGGGAACCCTGAGAAGATGTTTCACGTTTCATTCAAAGATGGAGACTCGGCTTTTGATAACGGTGGCCCGTTATCCTCGCCCTTGGTCGAGTTCGTGCAGATCTACTTCCCAGCCAGCAAAGTCACAGAAGACTTCCGGAGTAAGATTGAAAAGGAGTTCAAGAAGTTCGACGATATGTGTGCGAAGGTCGTCAAGGGTAATGGTGGTTTAGCGTATGGATGGGTGCTGGAAGAGCAGGAGCACAAGGATGTGAAGGAGAAGGCGAAGTGCTTTTTCGTGTCCAGAGGGTGGGAGGGCATGCAGTATTTTGAGGATGTGATAAAGACGGAGGAGTACAAGGAGGCTGTGCAAATCCTGCTGGGGTGGCAGGCGCCGTGGGATATGTGGCATGTCAAGAGGGAGTTTTAAGGTTATAGACCTACCGTGTGCTGCCGTCAGTCATACGCGTGGAGGCGCAACGGATCCTCAGTAAAACTCCCATGTGTGCCGATCACATCTGCACATATACTATCCACCACATTAATACCTCTATCGAAGCAGTCTAGTATTAAATATGCGTCTTTCGGTGTGTCTGCAATTGCTCCTACTTGATAGGTTGTTCCTATTGTGGATATCATTAAGATTATGGTCGCTGTGGTTGGTCCGCTGCTCAGCCATGTGTAATGGTACTAAGGATTGCCGTCAAATTTCCCGCACATTATATGCAATCATTCGAGACAATGCGATACGTCGCTCCACAACTTCGCCTCATCCATACGCCCAAGAAAGACGAGCCAGCGCAACATGGACGTGCAAAATGAGCTGCTCTGCCTAGAGCTCCGTGCAGGATCGTAAGTACGACCCTCTCCGTCATGCCTCTACAGAAGCTCATCATGTACTAGGAAATATGGCTGACAGCAAGATATAGGAGTTTTCGAAAGTCGATCAAGGCCACTCGCAAACTTTCGTTGATGAGAAAACCTGAAGCGTTACATGCTCATGAGAGCCAAAAGATGTTGTTCGAGAGACAGACGAAAGCATCAGCCGATGCCTATGTCTTACAACTAGCGGCTGCAAGATACATCTGGAGCTTGAAAATTTCAAGACATCATCGGGTCGATGTGCTCACTTCACTCAAGATGTGCTAGACTTCACAATTAAAGGTTGCATCAAGGCTGCGCAAGAGTGGGTCAAGGTTAGTAATCTAAAGTAGTGCGTGATGGTAGTCGCTAACATTACCAAACAGATGAACCATTAAGACGAGACATGTACGTGATAGTACCAACATCATAGAAGGCTCGAAGTGAGGTATAATTCATGAGCTTGAACTGCCAGAGGAATAAGAAAGACTATCGTATCGCTAAGAAACTTTTGTCTCGTCATCTTTTATGGCGAGTTCCTTCAGAACGAGGTTCTCGAATCCTTTCCAGCGGTTCTCACCGAGGGAGCGCTCAGGAAGTTGTGGATACTCAATGAACAAAGACTGTTTGAGGATCGATAAACGGTGCAATTTGAGGGTTCTTATGAGGACTAGGCCGAACAGCACACTCGAGTTCACCACAGCTCGCGCTAACTCAAATACAGCCTTGAGAATTCACAACTGGCCCCAACTAGACTTGGCACATCACATGCGCATAGACCGCTCTATGAGTATGGCTGACGACGTAACGTTATGACGGAGTTCAAAATCATGCTTTTGGGGTGAAAGTACCAATGCTCGCGACTGACAAGTACAAAAACATGTTATACAGTTTATGATGCAACCGTTGCATCGTATGATCGTAACAAAACATTCAAAGCAACCTGTTCCTACACCAAAAAGACCGCCTAGATGAAATATGAAAGACAGGGTAATATAAGAATTGTGAGAACATAGCTACGAAGGGTTCCGAAAGATAATCCTTGGGCTATGCCGCACATCATAGATAGGGGGGATCGTTTGAGACGTAGGAGTCCGCATGCTGAGTAGGGCGTCCCTGGGCGAACGAGGCACATCGCGTGGTATGTTTACCCGAGCCTGTGAGCGCATATGACTCAGAGGTGGTGATCTCGGTGTATCCGTGGATTGCATTGACGCTAGCTCATACTGATCGATCTTTGGCTGCTGATCTGGCGAAGTGTCTATGGGCGAAGGCAAAGGCGAAGGGTATTTTGTCTTCGCACTGCTGAACCAGCCGTTGATGGCTGCACCCATAGGAGATGTTAAATCTTGGATGGAGCCTGGTCTGAACCCTCGTCCCTCATGTGCGGTTATCAGTGATGGAGTCTGAAGATGCGTTGTGGTACTGAACTTTGGGGGCTGCGCACGGCTGGACGACCGTACCGGTAATGTTGCAGGACTGGGAGGGCTCTTCGAATTTGACAACCCTGGCAACTCGGTTACCCTAGATACTGTTTGTGATCGCATTGCTCGAATGGGTGGTACGATAGACGCCAGACATGGACTCTGTTGAGGTTGCGGTGAGATGGAAGAAGAGCAGTCGGGTGGAAACAGCGAAAAGCGTTGCGCGTATGGCGTTGTCAAGGTTGGCGTCGGAGTACGACTGGAGTAGCATGAGCTTGAGGAAGTTGGCATAGGGCTATGGATTCTTGACGGTGGACTGGGTGCCTTCCTAGAAGGGATGAATGATTGTAAAAGCAAGGCTTGCGGCGATGCGCACGATGGTGACAGTGCGCCTGAGCTTTCTGTGCGTGGACTTGCCCAGTCTAAACTTCGTTGCCGTCGAGGGTCCCGAAACGGTATGTAGATATTCAAGCCGCGTACACTAGCTTGTTTACTGAGCGGTGTATATGGTCTCGGAGGTGACAAAGGCGATAAAGGCCTTGGGGTAGGGAGACAGGGCGATACTTGCGGCACATGACGGTATTGGGCATCTGCATCTGCAGATGGATCCCAGAGATCCAGAGCTTTCGTCTTGTTTTGTCGGCGAAACCACAACGATGACTTTGAACGTCCCGCTTCCTCATCAATGGAATGGAGCCGGCTCTTCATAGAATGAATCCTTCGCAAGTCACTGTGCAGGCCTTTGAAGAAAGGGACCATGTACGGAATGCTTGCAGTCGCGATGCTAAGGCATACATGGCCTTGCGTCATGATTGCTGGAACCCAAAGCCGGTATTGAGGACCACTGTGGAGTGTAGCCGGATATAGCAAGATGAGGCGAACGAGTGACGCGCTCAGTACCAGTATACGCGGCGCAAAACATGCAATGACTGCAAACTTCCTTGAAAGCCGTACTTGAAGACATGCCACAAGGTGTACTGACAGCATAATGATGGCGACCTCGGTTGACATGTCGACTATGCAATAGACGATCCAGAAGATCCGCTGCTTCAGTCAGCCCCCAGTCATACCTACATCAAACAGCCCGTGTTACTTACCGCGTTGGAGCATTGCAGGCTTACAATCTCCCATGGCCGAGGAAGCTCGCACTGGAATGCGATGGCTACAACCGATGCTATCGTCCAAGCTGCTACCAAAATGCCGAAAGCCATCACGATTCGGCGGATAATGCGCTGCATTACAACAACGTTGTAGAACAACACCAAAATCGATAACTTCGCGAAGCCAATGGCTGCAACATATAAAATCTCGGACGCGTAATAGCCTTTCATAAGCAAGTCGGTCTGCTCAAGCGCCAATGGGTCAACGGTGCCGAGGCCCTCCGATGACAAAACAATAGCCATTATTGAAAGGCTGATGCCAAATGACTGTGCGAATTAGTATACAATAAACAGAAGCGTGCTGTGTAGCTTACGAATGCTAAAAATGTGAGAAGATCATCGAGCGTCGCTTTTCGAAAGACAACGACTTTCATAATCTGGCGTGCGCCAAAGACCATGATCGTAATGACAAGGATGGTCCATGATACGATTCTGATGGTGTTGGTTCGGTCGGTGCCGCCATCTGATGTACTTCTAGTGGAGATGTATGCAAGTGGTAGTTTCATAGTCGAGAAAAGCAAAGAAACGTGGAACGCTCACGAAACCGGCCCAAGAGGAAACGACAAGGAAATAGTGAAGTTATCAGATTGTTGCGCCCCGTAACACCATAAGCATGACGAAAGAAAAGAACATGAAGCAGAGAGGATGTCGCTGACTAGGCGGATCATGCGCAGTACATCGTTGAAGAAGAGCCATGCGTATGCTCTAGGTCTTCCGGGGATTAGACCAAAAACAGTATACGAGACGATCAATCCCAAAATATCGCGACAACATGCTTTTGGTGTAGCTTACTATGATATTCGGTTCGGCAGTTGTTCCCTGGCTACCACAAGTCTGAACTGGCTAAATACCAGCATGTGGTATCCGGTGTGCTATCTGCGAACCCCATGCCCATTTCTAGAATAGTGTGCTGTCGTGCACTGGTAAGCGCATAGGCGACTGGGGAACGCTGCGTCATACACCTAATCTTGGGGTAAATAGGCGCTCGCGATGATTTGTAGGTACAGCTGACGGGTGGCGCGGCTGACATGCAGTGTTCCTCCCGGCGGATTTGCGCGTTAGGGCGCGGCGCCATCCTCCCGCGCCCTCAATGTAGACGCGCACGAACACTTGCGAACGGTACGAAGAAACCAAATCGCACAATGCCTTTGTAGTCACATTCAAGTGTAGAACTGATAATAGTCGCATAACAGGAGGACGATAGTCGCGTTCTACGCAGCAAATGCCGGTCGCTGTGCTTAAGGCCCGGTTCAATGGGAGTGTACGGAATTTGCTCGGCTTCTATGCCTTCGACCTGCTACTGATTATCACATCGGTCTCAGATGTTATTACTTGAGCAGCAGGCAAGAATGAATTCGCCGAGAATCGCAACGATGCCGATTCTGTCACTGGACGTTGAATTTTGGTGTTATGTCCTTGCCGTGTCGCGTCGCGTGTCTTTTCTTGGATCTTCGTGCGTGCAGCACCCAGGCCCAGGTATCTCATCCTTCCGGAAACCGACAACGTGGCTGGGCGCTTGGAGTGTTCCTGTCTCGCAAGCCATGGTTCGAAGTAGATGAGGTACCTATTCTTATATCAGGCCCACTGTAAAGCTACTACCATGCTCAAAGTCAATGGCGATGCAAAAAGACATAACATCATGACGGGAGAAGATTCTTTGCGATATTGCAGTAGTGGGTCGATTCGCACAACGGGAATTGATGCGTGTTGATGCGATGGATAGGGTGAAAGGTGGACTGGAGCAGACGATAAGGCGTGGCTTCTTGATCTAGCTTAGCGGATGATGTCAGCACCATCACTAAGTGCTTTCATGCACTTCCCCCAAGGTTGTGCGACGGTTTCTTCATGAATATCGACAAGATGTACCTTCCACCATGATGACGTGTGCTTCCTCCTTACGTTAGTAATACTCGAGTGGATCGACAGCTCGAATACGCTTAGATGACCTGCGGTATTTGCCGGTCAGGAACTTGTGCGGCACACCTACTGATACTGCTCCTGTGCAAACGTACTAATGCGAAGTGAGTATACTCTACGTCGAGGATATCGCACTTTGGTTCTGGTGCTAAAGTCTGAGCAGCAGTACGAGCCGCCGCCAACCAAAGTGGTGCTATTCTTGGACTCCGTCCCATCACATCTGCTCCTCTTCCTCCTGCTTGCCTTGTGCTGGCGGTGATGTTTGCTTCATGATTCATTCGGCTGTTCTTTTAGATCGCCATCCAGGATGAAGCGTGCACAGTGCGCTAGTGCCTGAAGATTGTCGGTCCGGGCGGCGCTTTCCGACGATCCGGTTCTCTTTGGGCTAGTCGCCCCTATTTTGGGCTGAACGTCTCATCCGCAGATATTGAAACGAACATTCCTCACTCCGAACAGGTCACGGCCACACACATGGCGGCACTCCGCCATCCGGAACGACGCCACGCAACACCGACACACTTCAAAGGTCTGAAGGAAACAAAGTTCAGTCCATAAAGCTTGGTTGAGCTTAACTGCATCAACCTTCAATGCTTGTTCGTCAAAAAGCATGACGAAGCTCGTGGGTCAAACATGTGAAGTCTTGGGCTTTGCCGTCTGAGCTAGAGATCAACACTGCGATAGTCAGGTACCGTTTGATTAGGCCGAGTACGAACCTCATAAAGGTCTATTGCAACTGCTTCCTTTTGTATAGGCTTGACGTCTCAAAATCTGTATCTCTTCATTATTCTCCTCATTATAAATAACCCTAACTTCTAATTCTTAATATTCAGTCTTTACTGCTGTTGTGGTCTGACATGAATGCCTCCGCGACTATCCGTGCTTCTTACATCCGTCAGGCGCGGATGAGCATGACGCCTCGCCCATCTAGCATAGAGATGTTCACAACGGTTCTTCAGCCACGCCCAGCTTCAAACGGGAAGCTCGAATCTTTCGTACACGTCGATCACATCGGACATCGTGAGAAATGTCATTCGGAGCGCATTGCACAATCTATCGTCTTCGACATCGAAAACAGCGCCGACAGCAGCCAGACATACATTGACAACGGCTATCTGGACAATGCTTCGTACATGGAATTGGACAACAGCATTTCTGTAAGGGTACGGCTAAAGGTTATGTTTACGGTCTTCCCTTACCGTGACCCTATCTACCTCGTCGCGATCATCTTCCTTATTGGATCTATCGATCTCGTCATCAACGCTTTCTTCGACCTACTGCCTCGCATCATGCCATCCACCATTTTCGAAACCGAGGAAACAATCGCTGCTCCTACCACAATCTTGATTGGATCAATCTTCTTCTTTGTAGCCGGTGTCTTTGACACTTTCAGCGCTCTGAACGTAGATCGCGGTACACTCACGATGTCGAAATGGGACCCTGAAAAAGTCAAATACCGTCCTGCGCTTCTCGGCACTCCGGAGTTCAAGTGGATACCTTCATGGCCAAAAGCGTGGGACTTAACCAGGAACAATTTGGCTTTTCAGGCAGGTCTCATCGTCCTGTTTGGTGGCATTATCTTTATGTTTGCTGGTATCGTCGACTTTCCTGGAATAGTCTCAGAAGAGGATCCCTTATTCGGTCTTATCGTCTTCGGGCCGCAGGTCATACATGGCGCCCTCTTCTTAGGCGCAAACGCTATGCTGGCTGTCTTTGAACAAGAGCGCTGGTACAAGCCCAAGTTCTTTGATCCGGATTGGCAGAGTGCATTCCTGAATGCCGTTGGTGGGCTTGGCGTCATGCTGGCTGGTTTCTTCCTTTACCAGAGAGGAGAGAGTGAAGAGCAGAGTGAAATAAATGCAGCTATTGCGGCAATGGCAGGGAGCTGGGCTTTCTTGGTTGGCAGTATAATCAGGTGGTACGTTGTTATGGAGTTCTGGTAGAGGTTACCACTGTGTCGCGTAAATGCAGCCATGACTCACGAGTCATGACCACAGTCATAAGCGTGCAGCTTTGTTGTGGTTCGCGTGTACTACCTAGGCAGGTAAAGACAATCTCGACCCACAACAGACGCTCACCGTCCATTCGTTATAATAGTTAGATCTAATAATACTCTCTCCGATTCTCAAATCAACCGCGCAAAGCTCCTCACGCCATTGCAGATAGCAATGGTGCCTACGACCCGATCTCAAAGCAAAAACGCTGCCTCAAGCTTGCAAATGCTCCCTTACAAAACACCTGCAACTAGAACACACGATGTCTGAACTATTGCGGAGTTTAATGCGCATTGGAACGAGTGAGTGTAACTCGCCATAGACGGATAAGTATGCGTTGGTGAGATTATGATCGCCAAGAAGGTCGAGAAGGTCGAAATCGCTTCCCTCCCTTGAGAGCGCGGCCCTTGACCATTGGAGACTACCTAACTTACGGGGTGAAGCCTAAGCTCGCAACTGCAAATCGCTGGTGACCTAGCGTATCGTGGGGCCATCGAAAGCTCCCACCTAGATTCTACACCACTATGCCAGGCCGTGCGGAGGTATGTGCTGCGAGAGCTACGTGATATGATCTACGTACAGCTAGGAAACCTCCGGAACCCGTCTTGTGAGACCTCGATATCCCAACCTGAAGCGAACAAGCACACCAAAAGGAATAAGCCTCGCTCTCTCTTCTCTCAATGCGCTAGTATGGCAGCTAGCGTCATCAGAGACCAAGACCCTTATCATCTCGATCCCACCATCGTCGGTGAAGGTTCAGTTGTAGAGTTCACCGACCTCCTGTATTGATAGTCGTGGTTCGGTATCAATCACGATTCTTCGGTAAGCAGAGTTCTGAATGAGGATGCATGGAAGCAGAGTGTTTGGACAAACACTGGCTCTCCAAGATTGATTTTCGTATACCACCGGAACTCTATCAGATTGAAGACCACAGAATCATGCTAGGCCAGCGTTTTGAAATGCTAAAGCAGCTCACCAACACCAGAGCAAGCATTGTGGTTACTTTTCCTTACAACGAGTAAGATGAAGCAGCACACAGTTGGCCTTCATTAGATCGAAACGAGTGGACTGAACTGAACACAACAATTCAGAAGTCCGCTCAGGGAGAAATGTGATCACAGCCCCACACATTGGCTCCCATGGATGACGTGCTTCGTACGGACCTGCAATACGACTGAAGACCAACAGAAAATTCTGTTTGGGACTAGCGTTCCCTATCGTTGCATAAATCGACAGTCGAATCAAGTTCAGATTGAAACTCAACAAGATAGACCACGCGAAGACCGAGCGCGCGGTAAGAGCACGCACGACATGCCACACATTCTGGCAAGGAACTTCCTTAGCTTAGCGGACCTCAAGCCATCATTGAACGGCAGTGTACCATGGAAGCGGGCATCATGCCACCCATACTAAATGTGTTGAAGGCTCGGAAAAAGAAAGGTAATCGGAGTCTAACGACTATAATGAAGCTCTGCGACGCTATACTGAAGCCAGTGATATACATTTAGAGGCCAAAGCAAAGGACAACAGGGCCTGGCACAATTGACTAGGACGCTAAGGTGCAGCGCGCGATTACGGATAAGGTAAAGACCTGGCAATCGTGTTACGTTGTTTCTCACGCATTACTCAAAGAAGTGGGAACTGAAAGCAATCAAGACTCTGAATATGACTGGATCGAACACGAAGAGAAGGTCAAGAGGTGGTGCGGTTACCTACATGAGCAGGCTTAGTTGCGTCTCTGTGTAGCAGTTCAAAGGTATGAGGGCGCAATGCGGGGTGGGGCGCTGCGATACTCGATGTAGAGCGGAAATTGGCGGACATTGTAGCCGACACCAAGGCACGTGAAAAGTGATATAGAATGACGACTAAGATAACTGATGACGTTGATTGAACTGAATCTTGAAGCGAGGAATCGGTGACTTGAGGCGATAAAGCAGAGCCAGATCCTATGTGTCGTGAAATCGTTTGAGTGTGGATGGCTAGTCACTCCATTACTCATATTGGCCTTTGACGAAGTATTGACAGATATCGGAGTATGCAAGATGTCCTAGAGACCTCTGATGATGAAAACGAAAAGCATGATACCAAAGTGACGAAAACGATGAATAGAGGACATGCGTTAGCATGGCAGAGGCGACTCGATAGATGCAAAGCCGAGCTGAATGGAGTATCGTGGAGGGAGGAGGAAATTACAGTTCCTTCAAAGGACGTTTACTTGATGATTTTTATCACTCTGCCCATGCTCAGACTCCAACGTCAAACTTGTTGCCAAGACGTCTGACACATCTGACACAGCTCGCATATGCCCTAATCACGTGGATCGGCCTGAAACAGGTCCTGCGACAGTACAGCGAGGTCTAAGCGCCACGGCATTGAACCCGCTAATAGGCTCAAATGGATGATCGGAGGGCGTCTGAATAACTTGGTTGTACCAAAGAAGCCACAGCATGAATCATGCGCAATATATCAGCTGGTGTTATGGGTATTTGCCTCAGACACCCGACGCCTTCAAGTATAGACGACGAGGCGATCACACAGTGACAGCCTCACCGTACCAAACAGCATGACTCTATGCACTGAAGGCATGTTGCGGAGTGCATGTCAACCTTGAGTTCCTCAGGCATAAAAGGCCCACTTCACCCGCCACGTTCAGAAACCATCAAGCAAGTAACACTTCTCACTCTAACAAGCACTCTTCACTTCCATTCTCTTTGCGTCTGTGACTGCAAAACTGACCTGGTGTCAATCGTTCCAAGTACATACACTCTTTTCTTCCAACCAAAAGTTTCAATATCCCCAACGTTTCCAACTCATCAATATGCGTTTCACCATCGCTACCTTGCTCGCCGGTAAGTAAATCGATTTCTGAGCTGCGATAGACAGAAATTCCGGAATGTTGTGTTACTAACTTCTTCTAGTGGCCGCCGTCTCCATGGCCCAAGTAACACCCAACAACGCCGGCGCTAAGAACGTCGGTGCCGGCAACGGTGCGCAATTCATCACCGGCGGTTGTGTTTCAGATGCGGACTGCAGCTCCGCTTGCTGTAGTCAAGTCGCAGCGACTGGCAACGGTGTATGCTCTGCCGAAGCAGCTAGCCAGCAGAATGGAAAGACTGGTTGTGGATTCACCGATCCAAACGCTAATGCTGTGATCGCGGCGGCGCAGGAGCAGGTTGCGAAGCAGGGATTCAAGAGGGTCGTTCGTAGCGAGTAGAGCGTTGCTTCGTAGTCGAGGATCGTGATCGAACAATGATAAGACGACTTTGCCATTGACAATAGTGCACCGCCCCTTCACGCCCCCTTTCCAGACACTCCTCATTATCACAGTCTCATTGGACGTATCCGCTCCCTGCTCCAAAAGCGGCCCAGAGCCGACTGACCCAAAGAGCCAAAACCAACTCCCTGCATGTCTGATCTAGATCGTCCCTCAACTCAATCGTCGGCATCTTGCCTCCTGGGCCCATCTTCAATACCTCTGTTGCAATAATATGACCCTCGCTGTCTTTCCATTGACTAGGTTCCAACTCATTCTTTCTTTGCTTAAGTGCTTTTGTAAATCCTCCTGGTTTCCCGCAAGTCATGATCTCATTTGGTCGACTGCCTTGCGTGGGCATATGCACGACATGCCACCGGCGTAGCCCGAAACGTAATTGTAAAGCCCCAGGCAGTGTGCTGCCTGCTTTGCCTTGAATATAATACTCGTTGATGAGGAAGGGCGGGTCATGTGCCTCATAAAGGACGCTGCTACTATCGAAGGCAACCGTCGGCGCGCCGGATTGTAGCAACGTGACTTCCTCTGCGCGCAATCTCCGTATGCGGAGCTTGTTGATTCGTGCATCGAGAAGGGAGGAGATCTGATAGGCGGGCGCATTGGGGGTATGGATGAAGGTGCCGTAGATGGTGAAGGTTGTAGCCTTTTCGTCGACGACGGCGTAGGCTGGGGGTAGTTCAGGTGGGGGTGATACTGGCACCACAGCGGGTGGTGGAGCTGGATCGGTAGGGGATTGCTCGGCAGCTTCGGGCTCAGATAGGGGTCGTGGTGTGGTGGTGGGCCGAGGCGCGACGACGGCTTCTTCGTATGAGGGTATTGGCGCATTGATGTTCGGGCGAGACATGTTTGCGATGACTAGGGAAAAAAGATGCGTGAAGGATTCTATTCAGTCAGGCTGGCCGTGCTCGCAGTATTGCACGAGATGAGACTTGGGAGGCTGTGTTCCGCCAAGCATGCTGTCGTGTTGATGGAAAGTGGAGAGACACGGAAAGCCCGGTGTGACGTACTACATCTACAGGCCTCGGAATCTTCCATATGCCAAGTCTTCCTTCCCCACATCACGCTACCATCCCAAGTCGCGTCCAACTTTCACTAACTTTCACATAGGTTCTTAGTGCCAGTAATATGCTGTTTTGCATCCTTCTAGGAGAACTGCGCGCCCTCTCCAACGTCAACCACCTGATGTCCTGGACTGGGCGGTACGTCGCCTGACTCCCACAGCATCTGTTGCTCTCCAAGCCTAAATACAATTTCACCACCCTGTGTCATGATACCACCAGCGTCCTCGTGCTCGAACCAATTCTTGTCCCATTCCTGCCCGTTGATACTCACTCCCTGGACGTAATACCCTTGCTTTCCATCTCCATCATCCAGGCCCTCGGCTTTGATCCTCAGCGTCTTGTCGTGGTTGACCGTGATGTTGATGTCGGAGAACCATGGGCTTTCGAGAAGATATACGGGGGTAGTCACAACAGGATATAATCCGAGCATCTGCCATATAAGCCAGCAGTTCAAGGCGCCTGCATCGCTATTTCCGGGGATGCCATTGGTCGTGTTGAAGTAGAAGTCGTTGGCAAGCTGTCGGCTTCGCTCGACACTCTTCCATTGCTTATTAAGGTAGTTGTAGAGGTAGGGTGTTTGGAAGTCGGGTTCGTTTGCGATGTTGTTAATGGTCGTTATACCAAGTCCATTCACGCCAAGATCCACACCGGATGTGTTCGGTTGGAACACGTAGTCGAGACGTGTCTCAAAGTGTGAAGGACCGCCCATGAGTGTGATAACACGCGACATGTCATGAGGAATCACAAAAGAATATTCTGTTTTTGGGTCAGCATACAGTTGGCAATCGTGTGAACGGAGATGGCTACTTACCAAAGGCAGTGCCTTCATAGCTTTCGTCATCCCAGTTACAACTACCACAGTCAGTAATGTCATACGTCTTATGGAAAGTTCCATTTGCGTATCGTGGCATGACAAATCCTGTGAAGTTACGACTCGAAGATTCAGGATCCCAGCTTAATTGCCAACCCGCTGACCTGCGGAGATAGAGATCGCGATCGCCAGGTGCTTCACCAGCTGCAATCTGGCTGACAGCAAAGTCGTTGAGTGAGTACTCTACCGTCTTCGAGACTGCGCGCGTGTTGCGATCAGCCGAAACGTAGCCGAGTGGTATCCAATCATCCAATGCTCCTCGACCTTCCTTGAGCGAGCCTTGTAAGTCGATAGGATTCTCATCGAAGAATGGCAAGACATCGGCATCTTTCTTAACTGCTGCATATCCCTCCGTCCAGTTGATCATACCCGTCAGACCCTTGACGTAAGCGTCTGCAAGGACGTTATCCGCATTCGATCCTCCCTGCACTAAACCATTGTAGTTGCCAGATCGGCCATCTGGAAGATAGCCCTCTTGTTTGAACATATCAATGAGAGATCGGATCATAGACTCGTAGTAGCTTGGCTGAATGAGATGCCATAGCGACACCTGGTTTCGGAAGAGATCCCACATGGTATAGAAGTCATCCCAGTATGGTTCATCTGAATCCCATAACGGGTTCTCGCCAACACGCTCGCTCGGTATGAGGTGCATGAAATACAGGCTGGAGTACAGCAACGCTAGCCTGGTTTTGTTCGCTGACTCGGAAGTATCGACGCGGATCTTGGAAAAGACGTCACGGTTCCATTCGTCACGCGTTGCTTGAGCGGTATCTTCGATAGACCATGAAGAGAGCTCAGTGTTCTTGTACGCGCATGCTTTATCAACGGACATGAAGGAAATACCCACTCGCGACTTAATCTCAGTAGCGTTGCTCCAGGTGAAGACTGCACCGACGCGGTCGTTCATCGGTCCTGACCGAGCTGTTGACCCAGAATACATAGGTCGAGGTGTCGTACCATTGTTGAATGACCGAAAGTGCCGACTGACAGGAAATGTGTTCTTTCCTTTGAATGCTCGTGCCTCGTCAGGCGGGCTATCAAAGTCCCCACACACATACACGGTAACTGGCGCGCCGATGTTCCATCCGCCTGCGATTGACGTGTATCCGGTGTAGATACTGGAATTAGGCTGGATCTCAACCTCACCACCTGTGTAGAACTGTGTGTCCCACGTGCGCGTCAGATGGGGCAAGTAGTGCGAAAGGTCTACGAGTATGTGCTTCTCAGACGACGCAGAGTATGTGTAATGGTATAGTCCCGCGTGTCGCGAAGCTGAGAGTTCGATTCCCACACCAGATTCAAGTTTTGTACGAAAGTATCCAACCTGCGCCACGTCTTCGCCAACCTAGTTTTTCGTTAGCAATTGCCCATTCTCCACGCTTGAGGACCCTACTCGATCCTGCCAATAGGTCCGATTGTCCAGCAGATTGACATCGCCATCAATACGCGTCAAAGGCATTTGTGATGGAAACCCATACTTCGGCCCGCCACCTGTACCCGACTGGTGCATCAAACTAATACCAGTAACATGGCCTTGAGGTGTGTAGCCGCCATTGAGTACGCTCATGTTGACGCACTCTTCATATGTGTCAATCCCCAACTTGACCATACCGAAAGGCACTGAGCCTCCAACGAACACATCGCCGCCGCCATCTGGGATTTATCAGAAATGAACGCAATGGGAGAACTGGGTATCTCACATGCGAGACCAGGTATAGCGCCTTCAGTCCCGATGAATGGGTTGACGTATTGTGCATAGTCGGTATAGGTATACTCTTGCGCAATTATGCATCGCGCAATTGCTAGCACCGGGAGGAACCTAGTTACCACCATGATGAAGAAAGTTAAAGAAACTAGGCAGAGCTTCGCATCACCTCTTATCCCTCCCCAGCCGTTTGCGCATCGCTCCCCACGATACCCCGCATGTGCGCATCGCTTCCTGTAGGAGCATCATCGGTCATACAGAGTAACCCAACTTCGGGGTAACATCGTTAAGCAACCCTCCATAGATAAGCAGTCGCAGTGACATATGACGTCCTTCAGGCCCCTCTTTCCCCTCTGGTGCCTGCCAAGACAAGTGCGGAGATGAGCCACGTGCGCGTTCTCGGAAAATTGTTCCGAAGGAAAGAGCCTATTCACATAGCACTAGGTACTCTCCGTCACAGTTCCATCTCAATACTTCAGTTCCAGCACTATCAGGTGATCTCCATAGGGTATGCGACAGTACATCCTCCGACATGTACTGTTGCAATAGCGCTTGCCACTCCTAGCGACTTGCCAGCCGGATATCGAGCCCTCCACCCGACTATTGCTCACTATGCATCAATCCTGAGCTACAATGCCGGATATCTATCCTTAGTAACTACGACGTTTACGATATCGTATCGAAATCTCCGGCCGAGCCTCTTTGCGTGGCTATATGACAGAATTTGGAGCTTCGAGGTCTCTCCTACCTTCTCTGAGTTTTTGAGCCTATTCTAAAGAATGGATCGGTGGCGTGGTCGTGGAATCTGTCACAGAGACGGGTCTTAGCTCAGGCGCATTAACTGAACAGGATAGGACGACGACGGGCTTGAGTTCTAGGACGAAGGGATGGTGTTGGTCTAGTAGACTGCGAATCCGAACCCGAAGCCAGGTAGGCTGGCCGAGCCGCTCCTAAGACTTTCGCCTCCACGTCCAATTGCCCCGACCCGAGTTCCCGGGCTCTCACCAACCTCGTCTCGTTTTCATACTCCAGCTCACCGGTTTGACTCAGGGTTCGTAATTCCGCGCACCGATTAGGTTCCGATATTCGAGCTTGGACAGAGTTTCTCAACGTTCCTGGGAGGCTGGTAGTCACGGCCAACGCATGCATGTATCCAAAACTCTATCTTCCGTTTCCGGCGGATAAATGAAGCGACCGAATCCACTTGCCCAGGGGGAATAAAGACTCCTTTACCAATACCAAGTATTCCAATGCACCAAGGTGACTCGCATAAGAGTTCGTCCAGATCTAACATGTGCCAGTGGAAGAGAACGGAAAGTGCCGATCATGCAGTCGATGAACGCTGCAAAGAGCTTTCGATAGATCATGCGGCACGGTAGGCACAATACCCTATTATGCCCAAGGTGTAGAAGTCACTATAGTAGCTTCTTGCAGTACAAGTCGTCCCCTGTTTGTTCCGAAGACGCAATTTCATTCGTCAGTCACACTTTTAGTAAGCAAAATCGACCAATCAGAAGTGTCCGGTCTACTAGTCCATCTATCAATCCACATGTGGCAGGACGTGCGACAGTTGCTACGCAAGGTTGCTCCCCTCGTGGTTGGATTCATCCCAGCATAGTCGGATCACGCTTGGATCCGCTATGCCCTATTATCAGGTACTCCAGTGCACACCATGTATGTGGGGTGTTGAGTAGAGGACCTCGGGACGATGAACTTATCGCCGTTATCTGCGAAAGAAACATACGGCGAATCACATGCATGCTGTTAGAAACGCTGATGACCGCATGAACTATCCAAAGCAAGTGACGTCTTTCCGACACCCAACTGTACTGGAAGTATGAACTAACATTCCGCACGGGCGGTCGTATAGCTATCAGTTGCGGATATATACATGGACACCTTGCATTTATTATGCTGATCAAGGCTGCCACGAATTACTAGCGCTTTGGGTTTGTGATGCTTGCGGTATCCCTACGCAGATGTAATGGGTCCGCCTAGGCACTCACCTATCGGAGTGACAGCCAGACATTGTTGCACCGCATGCACAGTAACTGACTTTGGGTTGGTACCGAGTACAAGCACCGCTCCTTGCCTTCATGTAGAGACGACAAGCAACGCCCCCGGAAGAACTCCACGCGTGCGTGGTTCCAGATCATTAAAGGCTGTGGCGGTCCATTGCTAGCTCGACATCTACCGAACTTTATATCGAAAGTAAGGGTGCTGGGCAGGCATCAATCAATTTGGGCACTGATCCTGGCGCGACGACGAAAATCTACCCACATCAACTCAAGGGCAGAGATCTGCAATGAAAATTACATGCCACCTTGGCGCTATTGTATACCACTATCACACATGGCCGCATGATGGAAAACGGAACATACAAGCCCGTTATTAGCGTACGTGCTAAGCGGATAAGTGGAGCAGATCCCCGCTCGGGCCGTCGTTCACGCGAGCTAATGGAAAGCGCAAAACCCACGATTGGCTTTGTCGCAAGAATATGCCGATGGCTGTGGTTGGGATTTGGGCTTCCCGAATCTTAGTTTCAGTCCAAATTAAGCAAGCCTACAAAGCACGCACCAGAAACGCTTCACACCGAGACGAGGCTGGACCCATCAAAAATCCACATTTCTGAAATGCTGTCATGAATATCGGCACTGATACTTGTAGCAAATTGCAGGCCTCATCATCATATCTTCGAAGCGCACACGGTCAGGCTAGGCCAGATATTCGCCGGACCGTGGGGATACAGAAGATCCTCGGGCACTAGCTTATTCTATAGCTTATGCCTTGCATCTTAATACCCGCTGACTTCTTACCTATAGATTGGATCGTGGTTTCGCGAAGCACACATACCTTCCTGATTGAGACTCTGTTGGACCATACCGTAGCGACCGGACGATTCAGTCGCATCCTTTCTGCGACCATTCGCGAGCGCACACAAGATGTCTTCCCAATTCGATAACTGGGAAAGCAACCCGACTGAGACGCATGGTCCGTTGATGAGCGTTTCCACCTGGTCGCTTGGTGGAGTTTCTTTTCTCTTCCTTGTTGTTCGTTGCTTGATCCGTCAAAGCCAAAAGAAACTTTGGGTCGAAGATGGTGTACTTGTGATCAGTTGGGTAAGCGAAGTGGACGCCCAAAATGCATAGCTAATCACTCATGCAACACAGTTCTTTCTCCTCGCCCAACTTATTCTGAATCAACTCAGTATAAACCTGGGTTTCGGAAAGCACGCACTTGATAGTAAGACACTGCATCAAACCCCATGGTCCACCTTCCTCTAATTCTTGGTTTAGTCGACTTTGGAAACTTCGAGCGCATCACGTATTACGGCGCATCCGCACTCACCGTATCGATTGCCGGTATCATCTTGAGCAAGATCTCATTTGGTCTCACTCTGCTCCGATTGACGGATGGGTGGCTTAAGGCCTATGTCTGGTTCGCCATAGCTACCTTGTTCATATTTGCGGTACCAGTAGCTGTCCTGCCTTGGACGCTTTGCAAACCTATCACGAAAACCTTTGTGGACATCTTACCAGGCACATGCGTTGACAAGCATCCTTCCGTAGTATATGGAAGATTTCAGGCCGGTTCGTTTGCAAACCCATGATACTGCGTAACGACTAGTTAGCTGACACATTGCGCAGTATGGGCTGCAATCATGGATATTTCTTTGGCATTATTACCTTGGAAAGTCCTGTGGAAGCTCCAGATGCGGTTGGCCGAGAAAATCGGAGTTGGTGTTGCTATGAGCTTGGGTATCTTGTAAGTTGGTATATTGATGACATAAAGGCTACGCTGACAAGTTTGAAGAGCAGGAGTCACTTCTATCCTCCGAGCCAGATATATCGAGCAACTGCAAACGCAGGATCTATCATGTAAGGTAGGCGAAGGTGTCTTTGTGGCTACCGTTGACCAAAGCAGATGAAGCATACAACTCCGTCATTTGGTCAACCGCAGACACCGCTATGACGATTGTTGCCACGTCCATCCCCGTACTCCGTGTCTTCTTCAGACAAGCGGTCAACCAAGCATTAACAAACTACCATAACTCGTCGAGTCGAAGTAAATCAAAGTCCACTGCTTCTGGAAGCACTCCTTCCAACCCGTCGAACAATGCAAGCTCACTTGCACGCGATAATATACGGCGATTGAGCAAGAAGACAACACATACATTAGGACATACTAGCATTGAATACCTAGTCGATGATGTGGAGAGAGGTCTAAAGGATGGTTACATAGAGTTGGACCATCTTGTTGTCGATGATAAGACTGGGCGCATTACAGCCTTGACTCCCGAGTCGTTGCCAGAGTCTATGTCATGCGCACGCATACACAACGAGAATTGGCCTTTGAGTGACTACCCTCAGTCGCACACAGAAGGTTGCAGTCGAGGTTATGGAAGATAATTAGATACCTGGATTGGGTAGCGCTCATAATGACCTAACGATAGCATTGAATCACGTATCTCCGGCCAACATTCGGCATCACTTAGGAACAGCTTTCCATTCACACTGGTGACTGCGTGTCTGGTCTACCTATCGCATTGGCCACGTCGATTCATCCTGAATATGAGTCGTCAGGACCAAGAGAAATCCTCATGTCGATCCTTGTTCTACTACTTGCCCTACTACTTGCCCTACTACTTGCCCTAGTGCCGTGTATAGTTCCAATCCCCTCACGGCTAGCGCCATCTGATGATCTGCATGCCTGCCTCCACGCTTCAGCAGGTTCCCAGGTAGCGCGACTGCATACCCACTACCTCGACAACGCCTAGTATCCCCGGACCCCCAAAACACACCATACGTGCACCAGGGGCCATATCGCCGCCACAACCACCTACGTCGGTTCTATACACCTGTCCAATCAAGAGAGACATAATCTTCCGACTTACCTCAATCAGCACTTTAGTTTATGTCTCTAGCATTCCAGGCGCGATTTTGAGGCTGCACTGACAGTTTCATCCTCCTGCTCGGCCATTTTGTCGGCCTTTCATAGAACAGAGTCATTGTTCTACGCTCGCGCAGAAGGTTTGCTATAATGTAGGCCCCGCACATGCGCATACGATCCACGTCCGATGATCAGGCACACCACTCCTAAATTAAACTTCCTGTACGAACACGGCCACCGGTGATTGGACACTTTTCCATGCAATTCGCCATCACGACTTCACACTCTCTACATATAATAACACTACAGTTGCCAACTTGCTTCTCTCGTCGCCGACACCTACACTCCTTAGTATTCGTCAATGAATACTTGAAAACATGAAGGCAACAATTTTCTGCAGCGCTACCCTCTTTTCCTTGGCAGCTTTTGCCTTCCCAGCCAACCTTCTTAACAACATCAACAAGGATATCGGTGCTGAGCAGCTTGCGGAGATCACCGAGTTGGCGGCAAAGATCTCAAGGGAGGTAGAGACGAAGCGACAACTCGGCGCTAACATCTTACCACCTGGATTTGATGCAAAGGCTCAGCTCGTTAGCACAACTGGTGACCACAAATACGTATGTAGCCCTGTCAAAATGAAAGACTCCAGTGCATTGAATGCTGATGATCCGATGCATAGATCGCACCAGGTATGGGAGACCTCCGTGGACCTTGCCCGGGTCTGAACGTTATGGCAAATCATGGCTACCTCCCCCGAAATGGAATCGCATCCATCACGCAGTTGACAATGGCCTCAAATGAAGGTATGCTTAGCTTTGCTAAATCACCAGTCTGCTTTCTCACATGTCGTAGTGTTTGGTATGGGGATTGATCTCTCTGGCTTCCTGTCAGTCCTTGCTACTGTCATGGGCGGCGACATCACTTCAGTTTCCATCGGTGGCAAGCCAAAAAGTGGTGGACTAATTGGCGGACTTACTGCCAGTCTTGGTATGCTTGGAGTGCCGCAAGGGCTGAGTGCGACACACAACCGCTTCGAGGCTGACTGCTCTCCTACGCGAGGCGATGTCTATAAGACGTATGTATTCTCCTACACTATCGCGCAGTCGTGTGACTAACTCGCTTCAGTGGTGACCCAGTATCCCTCAACCTACCCCTGTTTGAGCAACTCATGGCCATGCCCCTCGGTCCCAACGGTTACGACCTCACAGTCATGCATCCCTTCCGCGGCAAGCGGTACAAGGACTCTGTTGCCACCAACGGACACTACTGGGCCGGACCTGTGACACACTTCGCAATCAACACTGCGACATATCTTTTCACCTACCACTTCTTCGCCAACCACTCCGCAGAGTACCCAGAAGGCTACCTCGATGGAGAGACACTCAAATCGTTTGAAGGTGTGACTGGGCAGAAAGGAAGCTTCAAGTGGGCTTCGGGACGTGAGAGGATTCCTGAGAACGTACGTATCTTCGTGTCCACCCTCAATCGTCTAAATTTGCTAATCTATACCATAGTGGTACCGCCGCGCTATCGGTGACGATTACGGAATCACGGGCTTCACCCTTGACGCCGTAGGTGCACTCCAGGCACTCCCATACATGGCTGTCATTGGTGGCAATACCGGCAAGCCCAACACCTTCACTGGTGTCAACATCGCGGACCTTACGGGCGGCGTCTACAATGCCAAGACCCTGCTCGAGGGCAACAACCTTATGTGCTTTGCCTTCCAAGCCGTCAACTCAGCTGGCCCGAATATCCTCAAGGGTCTACTCGGAAACGTTCTGCTTGCTGTGCAGAAGTTGACGGATGCCTTGAACCCAATCGTTGCGCAGCTTGGGTGCCCAAAACTTGCCAAGTACGACAAGTCCTTGCTTGCGAAGTTCCCCGGAGCTGGGGCTGCAATCTAGTTAGGCGTAGGATGTGTTGCACAAACAATTAAATTGACCACTTTTGCTTCACACTTTGTATCAATACATTTGTTATAGATCACTAAGATATCCTTTTGAAGTACGAAGCCGCCTCTGCCTCCGGTCCCAAGATGATCTTTTCGACTCCGCAACATGGCCAAGCACCCTAGGACATTATGGAAACATGTACACTGAAGGTAGTCACGGAAGTGGTCGAATTGGTGTATGTTACAGAAGGTACAATTAGAGAAGAGTAAGACGAGGTGCCTGATGAGACTCGCAGAGCTCGAACCACTTGTAGGAACACCTCAACGTTGATGCCGCCATTTAGTCCACGCTTTCATCTTCAAGTGGCGTTAGACCGTAATCACTACCTCAACGATCAGTTGCATAACTCCGGCTTGCGCAGCTGAAAAGCTCACGTGAAGGCGACATGCACGACGCAGCAATTCGTGGCTGAGGCAACATAAGGCCAGAATGTCGACTTTGCCGGTGTTCTTGGCAAATGAGAAACAGCCGCAACAAATTGGCATTATGTATTATTGGCTTTCGCAACCATGTGTACGCAAACGTCAGGGGTAAGCTTCGTTAAAACATCGTATATTTGGGCTCGACGTTAACAACATGCGTCTAGGTGAGGTGTTCCCAAGGCGCCGCGTCGGATGTTGGAGTGGGCCAAGATGCGCGAAACCCAGCATGTGTTACAGAGGTGCCTCAAATGTCGGGACAACAACTTCCAGGCCAACACCAAGCCTTGGTGCTAAGGCACCCACGTACTCTGTATCATCAAATTTTGGATAGCATATAAACAGACCTGGAACAGGTTGTGAAGACTTCTGCAGGAATAATTCGCTGTTGACCAGTCTTTCTTCACTTACTTTCATTCATTCTTTCGCTTCTTTCCTATAATCACGTCTTTTGACAAGAGATTTACCGCACAATTTTGGAAAATACGAGATATTCACGACATATTATACCATAATGTATACCATCACTTTCGCCGCCATTGCAAGCTTGGTGCTCGGCACGAGCGCTGCGCCACTCTCCGCTTCACCTATCGACATTGGCAGCGGCCGAATTCAACTGCAACTCTCGATCGATCTCGGAGGGGAAGGGGCTGCTGCTAGCGCCATTGATGCTCAGCAACTTTTCGCTTTTTCTTCCACTCACTTCGTCAATGCTGTCCCAGGGGAAGTCGTCAACGGTACTGAGCCGACTGGCGGCCTCGCCGGCGCATCCGGCACCTTCAACTTCGGCATCAACAGTGCTTCGAACATGATCTGTTATAATATCACTCTACACAACTTCCAAGGCGAATTCGATTCTCCCGCAACCACAGCGACACATATACACGAGGCCGCGCGCGGTGCTAGTGGACCACCCAGAATCTCATTTCCGAATCCAGAGCCGGTAGAGGGGAACGAAGTGGTCAGGAACAGCGCAGGATGTATGAAGGGCCCATTTACGACAGGTGTTATGGTTGAAGGTGTGGACTCGGGCGAGGGCTTCCACGTCAGCATGATCGAGGCCAACCCGGCGGCTTTTATGGCGGATACTCACTCGAGTCTGGCGCTACCCGGTGCGGTAAGGGGGCAGATGGCATGATCAATCATTTTGACAACTTGTGCCCCAGTTATTTCAGTGCAGATTATTGCAATGCAAGCTCTTTGTATCCTGGAGCCGTAGCTCCGAATAGGTAGATCATCGAGTTTTTTCAAAACATCTGCTATCTTCACAAACTCCGCACCCAACGATTAGCCGAACAACGACTACCCATATCCCTACTGGCTGTTATGTCGAATGCGTGTCAAACAAGCACTCGTCGCCCAAGTTACCAAAGCTTGCCAGATCTCTTGGTTATGGCGCGTACACGCATGTGTTTGTCGATACAGGCTGCAATGACCAGTTGACATATATGCGATGCAATTCCCAGGACATTATGACAACTCCATTTACCTATGAGCAGTTACAATGCGCATTGAACGACTAGTCAGCTTTGTCCACCGCTGTGATCCTACCCTCAGTTCTTCTCTCCAAAGCCGCCCGTCTCATTATATAGCAAACCTGCACAGCATACCCTAAAACCAACCCCGAACCCAGCACGAGCATGGGGACAAGTAGCCATCGAGTGATTTTCTGTGTGTCACGATAATCAGTTTTCTAATATTGCATCTTGCTTTTTTGGATCCCAGTCTTACCGTTTCAACACAAACCTGTTTCCTCACGCCGTCATCTAATTTCGTAATGACAGGTAGGATGGTGCAGGCCGCTAATTCGCGCGTACAGGTATACTTGCTGTTATATCCGTTCAATACTGTTGGTACGCGGCAATGCTTGGACGATTGGTGATGGAAGATTGTGGACCATATGGCGGACGTTAATGTGCCGGTAAAAGATACGATTGCGAAAATCACAGCTAATACATGTGCAGTTTTACTCCGAAAGCAAGAACGGGAATTCTGAGTGATTTGTAAGTAACATATAAGGCAGGCTGACTGAAAAGAACAATACCTGCGTTTCCTCTTCCACCACGCTTCTTCTCTTCACCTGTAAGGCCCAGATACCCAGTACACCTGCCGCGACACCCAACAACGCTCGGACGAGCGCTAATCTGTCGATGGTCTCGTTATACTCGACGGCGATCCATTGTTGTCTTGTTTGCTGTTCCTTATACAAATCACCCTGTTCCCTCCATATGTACCAAGCACCTGCTGGAAAGTGTTGTGCTAGGAGCCATTTCGTATGGCTCGTAAGACCGAGTGTGCAAATGGATGCGATTAAAATTGATGTAGCAATCCAGAAAAGTAAACGGCGGTATAAGTCAGGGGAAGACATCTTAACCCTGGGCTGTGAGAGTCGAGAGAGCAGATCGAGACTTTGTGACAAAGAAAGGCAGAGGAAATGCCAAAATGGAAGGGGCCATACACTCTCATCGCAACCCAGTTTTCCCATCTTGCTTCGTAATGTCGGATGCTTGCTGCCCATTACTTGCAGCCCCGCGGACCCGCGTACGCATTGGTCGGGTTGGTATCGGATCACCGGCCTGGACCTGCGTAGCTGCGGCTTCCCGAAGCATCACAATGGTGTGTAACAACCGAAATTAGCAACATCTCAGCATGGCTTTGATGTGTAGGGGCTGTAACTGGTGAAGTCATAGGTAAGCCTGGCAGCACTGCCGTTTCTTAGCGCTGACTCGGGGCTCATACTGGCAAATCAAATTATACTAGTGATTGAAGGCAGAGTCTGCCTTGCGGATCGTCGAATAAAGAGAAGCGATAGTAGTTGTCTACTCATATAATTGGTGGATGCGCCGTCATTATGTTTGCTGGAAGTCACGTCGAGTCGTAACATTGGCTAGGTTCGGACTGGCACTATACTTGGGGTTAAATCTGGCAGTGATGCGTAGGTATACCGGGAAGTGCATTGATATTCATGCGGATGCATATATTGATATATCACAGCCCTCTTGACCAACTTCTTGGCGTACTCTCTATCTCCGATTCTGTTTCTCTTCGTTTCATCGTCGTTCCTCTGCTTCGTGTAGTGGCACGCCACCCAACTCAGCCATTCCATGCTGCCCGTCAAGTTCGCCTCCGTTGATGGTGTGACCATATTTCGTCGCCATTGGTGTATATGCTGGCGCCTCTAGGTATTGGTTTCCTGTCATCTCTGGCGTGCCGTAGGGGTTTGCTGAGTCACCATCGCTTGATGAAATCGGAGCGCCAGCGGCGTGGCGCTTCGAGCGCTTGAGGATGTATAAGATAGCTACACCAGCAAATGCAACAACTGCAAGACCGCCAACAACGCTACCCGCAATTATGCCCGTGTTGTTCGAACCGTCACCACCCGAGGACTGGCTTCCCTCGCTGGAAGGGCTCGACGTTGGAGATGGGGTGGAGACCGAAGTTGATGGATCGCTGTTCGATGCAGCCGTAGTGGAGGCTTCCGGTTGCGATGCAACTGATGTTGGATTCGCTGTGATACGTCAGCAATCAATCGGGTGCAAATTTCGCGCCACCCCGCATACCGTTTGCCGGAAGCTCCTTGTACAGAGTTGTAGACAGCAATGGATGACTCCCCGTCCAGTCGCAGTAGATACGAGTGATTGCATCAGAAGCACCAGAGGTGGAGAACATGATGTCCGAATAGCAGGATCCATATTCGCCATCGCTGTTCATTTGGTTAGCATTGTTGATCTTACACGGAAGTCGTGCGCTCCAACTCACCAAGTACTAGTTAGACCTCCAGACCCATACACCGTGGTGTGGAAGCAACTTGTCCATGCTTCGCAGCCTGTCCTAGGCAGTGGAGAAGTCGTACTCGTTCCGCTGATCTCAAAAGCTGAGGACGCTTTGCACTTTTGCCAGAGGCTGCCCGTTATGAAAAGGTAGCCCTCCGACCGAGGGAAGGTCGAAACCGCCCCTATGGTTAGGTCAGACGATCAGATCTTGAAATCAATACGAAGAACTGGAATACCCACAGACTGGTTGATCATTTTCGGTGCCAATGGACTGGTAACCTACGATGACGATACCGGTATCCGATGCAGAGTCTTGCCTTGGAAGCACTGCAGGGGCGGTTGGTGCAGGCATTGGAGCCTTTATCAATGCCGCTGTTGCGACACCGATAGAGCTCAATCGCAACAGAAAGGAAAACATGGTGAGTTGCAACAAGCGTCTAGGTGGTAGTACAAGAGCCAGCAACGCAGGTACCGCTCAAAATCGATGCAAGAAAGAGCGACAGGGAAGCTCTCATAGTCTGCGACATTGTCGCGCAGAGTGGGTTTTGCCTTTTGGACCCCAACTATCGTGTCATTTTAAATACGCCCGTCTATCTCAACATCCCAGTCACATTCGATGGCTGTGAATGGGTGCATGAGGCACGGTAATGCGATTGGGGTTTAGGCGATATGCGGGGCGGAGCCTTACAGTACGAGCAACGCGTTGAACCAGGGGTCTGAGGAGCGGATGATAAGCCATTTAGTCCAATCATGGTATGGTTGGCGCCCGCCAAGTAGGCGCCCCGTCGTGGCTGGGCTGGGAGTGTTCAGATTCCAGATCCTGCTTGCAGTGATCTTGATCTGGCTGCGCCAGGTATCGCAATGCGTGGCTAAAATTCGCCGGTTGGTGTATGTGTAAAAATTGTCTTGAGCGCCACCTTCGTGACATACGGCGCCAACATTTTGCGACATCCAAAACCCAATGCCGAGCTGCTGTACAAACTGCGCGCCCAAACTCATTCTTTAACCTCCTCATCAATGCTTGCTGAAACTGAAGGATTCATCAGCTAATCTGCCAGCCACGCGGAATAGCATGATAATCGAGGCCACATAGGAAGCGCTCAAAGCCACGTGAATATGTACTCATAGATTAGACCAGATTTATCGAAATAATGCATCCGCTCCGCGTAATGACACGTTCGCTTGTACAACAAGACTCGTTTTGTGAATTGAAGATAAACTTGATCACCCATTGTGTTAGCGTATTAACGTAAGTAATGGTGAATACCTGTAGGGTAGGGCTTGAGCGCACCTCGGAGAAAAAAAAGCTCTATTGTACAACTTCGTAGCATAGCACAAGACGTCGGGGCCATGCTGACCCGTGAAGTGGGCCCTCAAAAACAAAACCATGTTCCAATCTTCTTGCTCCTGCCTTTCCACCCCTTTTCAGCCGGCTCCATGTCTTCCTTGGTGTAAACGTCTGTCTCGAGATCCATTTCACTCGCTTTCCTGAACTTCGTTTTCTTCAACAATTTCCAAACGACGATCATTAGAAGGAACACTGGAAGCTCCAGGTAGAAGCTAACGAAATCCACGGCAGCAAATTTGGGGCTGAATGAGGACCAACCCTGCACTAAAACGATGAAAGAGTTCAGAACCACACAGATTATGGGGCCCCATGGATACATCCAGTTTCGAAAGGGTAGCAAATGCTCTTTTCCCTGAGCTTTGAGGCCTGCGCGGAAACGCAGCGAGGAGATACCAATGCTGATCCAGCTCAGTTGGTTCGAGACGCCTACAATATTTTGCAACCATGTCCAGACCTGGCCCGACCCGGCAAAAGAGAGGGAGAAAAGCACGATAGACACTAAGCTTGTAGTTATCACTGCAACCCATGGGACTTGGTAGCGTGTCAGCTTTGTGAACACCTTTGGTGCATGCCCGTTCGCGCCGAGTGTGTAGAGCAATCGCGAGCCGGCATAGAGCGCGTGATTACCGGCTGATATGACACTAGTGAGGACCACCGCGTTGACGAAGGATCCAGCTGCTTTCGAGCCTGCCATTTGGAATGCGATGGTGAAAGGCGATGTGCGAGATGACTTTGTAGAAAGCCCTGGATAGTCGTACGGTATGTTGAATCCGATCATAATGGCCGTAAGGATATAGAAGAGCAAGATGCGCCAGAAGACGTTCTTTACGACCCTTGGAAGCGTACGTGCTGGGTCGCGCGTCTCTCCAGCGGTGATTGCAATGGACTCAGTCCCTCCATAGGCAAAAGATGCCGTGACGAAGACCGATGCGAAGCCTCCGATGCCACCCACAAATGGCGCATCTCCAGTAGTCCAAAATTTTCCTCCAATATACCCATAATCGGTGTTGGCACCAGCGTTGACTGCAATACTAAGGATGATGAAGATAATGATGGTCACCACCTTTAGTAGACTCAGCCAATACTCAAGCTCGCCATAGGCTTTAACGTTGATGATGTTCGCCAATACGATAAGCACCCAAACCGCTATTCCCACGGCATACCATGGGACGCTATCACTCCAGTACTGTATCAATAATTGTAAAGCGACCAGGTCTGCCGCAGTGCTGACAGCATCATTAAACCAGTAGTTCCATGTCAGCGCAAAGCCAAACGCATCATCCACGTAGCGGCCCGCGAACGTGCAGAAGGAGCCTGCGACAGGAACAAAGGCAGCCATTTCGCCGAGCGATAGCATGGTGCAGAAGACGATGAAGCCGACGATAGAATAGCAGATGAGCAGCGAAGCCGGCCCACCGGTTGTGAGAGCTTTGCCAGTACCGAGAAAAAGTCCAGTTCCAATGGTGCCTCCGATAGCTATCATCTGCACCTGTCGGGCGCTGAGGGAGCGGCGCAAGCGATCCTCATTAACGACATGGGAGTGTGTCCGGTCCAAAGAGTCCGGTGATGTCGCGACATCATGCGAGGCCTTTTCGGGGTCTGCGGTCGTCATATTCTTGGGTGAAGTTTACCGCGACAGTGTGATGCAATGCAAGAGACGAAGCTCAGAGACCGGTGCATGGAAGCTTTTCATGGCGAAGCTTGGGTGTTCTTAGTCGAACACGAGCGCCTTACCCACAGTTCGCGTGCAAGTCAGCGATCATTGCACTTCTGGCGCATTTCGTAGTGTATGCAACGGAGCACGCCATTTTGCTTGTAGCGGATTGGTGGTGTGCGGGGGAACCTGAGGGTCGGGTAACATTTTCACTTGAAGTTTGCATGGCGCTAACGCACACGTGGTTAGCGTTGGCCCCACCTTGACCATTTATTACTAACTTTTGAAGCCTCTACGAAGAAGCTTGGTCTTTCCAAGCTGTGGCACCTGACTCTATAACTTGTCCCTCAGATATTTGCGGTATTCTCAAGGCCCACTCGTTAGTCCAGCGAGACCATGAATATGCGATGTGAGGTTGTAGCTGGGATAAACCAAACCCTACAAAATGCGGCTTCTAGGCTAAGTCGTTTCCTGTAGATACATCGCCTCCTCATCGATAACATCACCGACGTCCGCCCTTCGAAACAACGTCGTCTTTGTATGCCCCCTATATGCACTGGCTTCATGACTTTACCTCCATCTTTGTAGGTGATAGCCAGTGTCTTTGAGGAACACTATTGTGTGAATCTGGGACGGCAGCAGCGACACATCTTTGCTGTGTTGTTACCAGGGAGTTGTTGACGACTCCATCTTCCAGATCTCAAGTGCAACAATTTCGCCTTCAAAAGCAGTGGAGCCCACATCAATCTGAAGACGCCGTAGGGCATCGGTCAAAGCAAGACTCAAAGCACCCGCATTGATCACGAAGCCACCCTGCTCTTTTCGTATCTTCAGCACATCCTCTACATCATTTTTTCCCACCTGATAGACGGTATGTGTAGGAGATATTCCAAACAGCAAGTATTCTCACAAGGCGATCGGTTACGAGAGTAGAAGGTAAATCGTTGAAGATCCCTTGGAGCACCTGTGTATACGCAAACTATTGTCGGTTGCTTAAAATCCCCCGGTGCACATCGCATGGTCTGTTCGATCAACAGATAACCCGGTGCTTGTAAAAACTTCGCAATTTTGATAGCGTGTTGCGAATTAGCCTGAGAGCTGCTATTTTCAGGTTTCAGTTGAAAGAAAATGGATTGGAAGTGTAGTGCAAGTCCTCCAGGTATGATCAGAAGGAATTGCGGGAACTGCTTTGCCGCAATGATTTTGGATTTCGCAAGTACTCCCTGATAGCCCTATCTTTCCTGGATCAGTTACTCGCTCATTGTCTGAGTTCTCACACAGTGCGCGTACCAGCTCTGTTAGTGGTAGTGGTAGCTCAAGCCAGAAGAATGGTGTGACATTAAATGCTGTCTCGATAAAGCCTGATAGTATCGAAGGCAGGCTGGGCTAAAAGTTCGTAAGCACAAGAAGTGAGAGGAGGATGGATGGTCTCACAAGTGATTGCAGGATAGTGTCCCGAAATGTCTGCCAATCAATGCCTATTAATTCCCCCGACTCTCTTCTGAAGCTTCCCATGACGGAGCTGATGATAGTCGTGTCCGACGGTAGTGTTGCGGCCAAGAACCGGGTGTTCAACAACGCGATGACCAGCTTGAGCAAATTGTTTAAGTCTTACATTGTTATAGACCTCTGTCGGTCCCTGGAATGCGAGCTGGGAAGGAGAGCAGCAGCTGGTAGAACGTTTCGGCGCCTAAAAGCGAACTTGGGACTCCGCCGTTCGTTTATTGTTTCGCCGAGTTTGAAGAGCACATCGATGAGGTCTTCATCATCATCTTCTGAACGCTGACGTGGATCATGTAGTGGTTGCTGACTGCCAGTAGCGATGCTTTGGAATAGTATTTGCACGTCGTCTGCTGATTTCCTGTTCCTTGTAACTGGCTCGCCGCCTACGGTCCCGAAATCTCGCCAGAAAACGCGATCCTTTGTGCAACACATCATATAAATACTCCGAAGAAAGGTAGCGCATGTCATGCGCTTCTCTTCTCCAACCTTGAATGGAAAGGACCCATAATGTGTGAACATCTTGTAAAGTAGTGGTCCAGCGTTCTTGATCACGACGGCTGCATCGGCATTGCAATCGACGAGATAGCCAACGAAAGTGTCGACCGTCCAATCTGATGTAGTGAGAACAGGAGCTATGTAAGATCATGGTTTCATACATGAAGGTCCGCCTTCGTTATCGCTTGTTGACCGTGCATCGAATAGTAAGCGCAAGGCTTCCAGATGATTCCCTGAAAACATATACAGCTCTTCCAGTAACATGTGACGTACTTGATCTAGTAAGAAGAATGAGTGCCATAATCAGGAAGTGCGACAGTGTTCATCACCCTGTCCTGTGAGAACCTGTACGAGATCGGCCGGCCGGCCGATCATGCTTGAGCTTAGTCCCATGGCGATGCCGTATAGACTGTGGAAAAGACAGTGATGGAGCGGGAAACCTTCTTTGCAGAACGAGTATCACAAAGTCTAGGTGTCGGGTAAGCAGATGAGCACGATGTCAGCCCCCATAGCCCGCTGATGATGAGATAACCAAACGCCCAGTATTACCTAAAACGCGGGTAAATGGTAAAGTACCAACCACGCCAACCAGCTTCAAAGATTGATGAAATTCACCATATCTGTACTTTTCCAGCACATCTCCAAGTCTACTGATCCCCCTTGATGATATCTGCGGCTTTCTCCGCAACAGCATACATCGTTGCCTGCAAGTGTGCCGCTGGTATCAGTGGCAGGATGCTCGCGTCTACTACCCTCAACTTTTCGACTCCGTAAACTCTCAATTGTGGATCCACACAACCGCCTAACTCCTCTGGCATAAGCGCACATGCCCCGCTTGAATGCGCATAAGTTGGGTCTAAAGCAGCTGCTTCGATACTCGCATCAAAGATCTCGTCGTCGGTTTGGTATTGCGCACCCGGCACGGTCTCGACGGGGACGTAGCGCTCGAGCAGGGGTGCGGTGGTCCAGTGCCGCCTGTTCCAGCGCACAAGCTCGCCAAGAACTAACTTATCGACTGGATTTTGGAAAGCATTTCGAACGATGATCGGATTCGCTAATGGGTGCGTCGTGTTGAGGGAGAGCGTCCCGCGGGAAAGAGGTTTCTGCACGGCAGTAGTCGCCCGACCCCAAGGCTGGATGGGATATTCTCCGGTGGCTGCATAGTCAGGAAGATAGTGATCGATCAGAATATCACGTTGGGCCATGAAGCCTTTCAGCAGAGCGTCAATCTTCGAATAGCGTTGCGGTAGATATGCGGTTGCATTCTGTTTAGAAACAATCGCAGTTATGTCGGCATACTTGCTCGAAAAATCCTTGAATGCCAGAAAGAGCGCTGCATTACCTCGCCCAAAGGTCCATGGACCAGTGCGATTAGCTGCATACAGCTCGGCGGCTGTCGCGTTGAAGATTGGGTCGGGTGTTGTGACGAGCATATCTGGATTAGGGGTGGACTGATTGGAGAGTTTGAAACGCATGTACAAGGCCTGGTGGTCCTGGAAGTTCGAACCAACAGCTGGAAGGTCTCTCTTCACAGTGATCTTGGCGGCAGATAGTTCATCGCTCGGGCCGATACCTGACAGCATGAGCAGGTGCGGTGTGAAGACACCTCCGGCTGCAAGTATAACCTCTTTTGCTGCATACACAGATGCGGTGGAAGAGTCAGCGTTGGATGTATACTTCACACCACTAGCTACAAGCGTACTTCCATCCTTGAACAGGATTTCGTCGACATGGATGTTGGTCAAAAGATGTAAATTGGTGCGTGCTTGAACCGGATCGTAATACGCTTTGCGAGCATGGCTACGCTGCTTGGTAGAGTTATCGATGGAGTTTGGCGTCCAGAACGTGCCAATTGGTTTACTAAGGCCTTCCAACGAGTGGGGTATGTCGGTCCTAGATACAAATGACCCCATGATGTTGACGTAGTCCTCATACTGGTAGCTGGGTATCGATAATTTGACTGGGCCGTCGCCGTACCTAGGAGCAATTTAGCTACGACCTTATTGAAATGATATTGTGTACCTACGCACTGGCATCGAACGTCATGTTGAAGTGACGGCGAACTGCTTCTGAGGGGCTATCAAAGTGGGTGGACTTTTTGAAGTACTTCGCCAGGCCATCATATCCCCAACCCGGGTTTCCTAGCTGCTCCCATGCATCGTAATCCGCATCAGAGCCCCTGTCCCACTGCATACCATTGACCACTGAACCTCCTCCAACAACGTTGCCTACATGCACCATCCAGGTCTTGTTCTGCATAAATGGCTCCGGTGCAGATGTGATGGGATAGTAGTTCTCGGTATTGATGTTGGCAAAGTAAGGTACACTCGTCGTGGATCTGTCGTCAATGACGCCATTCTCGATGATGAGGACGGATACTTGACTTTGTTAGCACGGCGAAGTACTTTACTGGGAGATATTGCGCTCACTGTTTGCGTTCTCAGTCAGGCGATTGGCAACGACCAGCCCGCTGAGTCCTCCACCCACCACTATATAGTCATAGACTGTCGACCCTGCATGTGTCTGTGGAACATTTACTGCTGCTGCCACGGCTGTAGAACATAAGCTAGCAAGCCCTGCAAATGACATACACCTGATAGAAAGCATTCTCGAGGGGGAGGTTTGGTCATCCAGTGACAATACTGATGCAATAGTACATCCGTATCGTGGATGAAATTGAGTCTTATGTTCGGCATGTCAAAAGTGAACTGTGCCCCAATCTGAGCATTTACCCATGGCAAAGGTTAGGGCTCTCAACACCTCCAAAGCGAGTCTGCACGTGGAAGGTAGTGTATTACAAGCGAGTCATCTTAAACAAACGTTTGTGCGTTTCCAGACTCATTGGCGTGTGGTTCATATCGGAATCATCCTTAATTTGATGGTGTAGTGTTGATCGCGCATCCTTCTCCTGCGTGTTCTCAACGAGCCCCTCTTTTGCGCTTGTCAAGCCAATCGGAAGCGTGATTTAGGTGGAGCCCCAAGCAAAAGGAGCGGCTTCTCCCGTCTCACCCAAAACACTACCCTTCGGCAGATGAAGGCAAGCCTTCACTTCGAGGTCTCATTGAAATAGCCCACGAGATACACATAGCATCCGCCAACGGGTTCGTCACGTCCCAATGTTGCTAACCTTTCTTGGTGGCAGTTGCAATCATCTCGGGTTGACTTGATATTAGGCACGAGGTTGCGCTCCACGACAACGGTCACCAGGACCCAATAGGGTGGCGAAGCTGTTCCGGAAGATGGCCACCTCAAATGTGTCGAGCATAGCGATGACATGATTCATACGACTCATGTCAGCATTGAAAAGAGTTGCTGGAAAGCCCCAGTTGAGAGTCTTGAATGTGACGCTGAAACATCACTAATTAGAAAGGTATTCGAATCTTACTTTTGTTGATTTGCAGTATTAATCCCATTGCCATCTATTTACTAGCCGTCAATCATATCATCCGAAACAGTCCGATCGCTCCAAGACTGCAGGTTGCCTCTGCGTCTCAAGCGCGCAGGACCTCACGCCCTCTCCCGCGCCTCATATCTCATTGGCTCATATACTGCTGATTTTTCACCTTGCTGCAACCTCTCTACTCTCGCATCAGCGATAGCAGTACTTCTCTTCTTGCCAACAACAATCTGCGCAATCCACACGACGATCAAAACCACTGCGCAAACCAAAGTTGGGACCAACATCGTTCTGCTCGCCCTTGCCTCTTGGCACATCCTCTCGCTCCACTCCATATCCTCCATATAGAGGTTTTCCAGGATGTTACAAGCAGCTAGCTCACGCGTGCAGACGAAGTAGTTGTTGGTGGGCGTGTATATAGAGTGAGGTATGCAAGTTGAGCCTTGCAGACGGGACTTTGTTTGTGATGTGATGATTGTAGATGTGAACGACATCACGATCACGGCGGTGCTAAAGAAGGTCGAGGAGACAAGCACCCATGGAGAGCGTGAGCAGCTAGCTGTTGGGTTCTACAGAGCTCGTTAGCAATATTTCTCAGCTGTCAGCGTTGAGAATACATACCTTCTCCTTCTTTGACGTCCACCACACAGCCAGCCATGCCATCAGTCCAGCAACTAAGCCAACACACCCATTCGCCAAAACCCAAATGTCGTTACTGGTCGCATACTCCAATTCTATTCTGTCGAAATCTTTACTTCCTGAGTCGACGGCGGCCCAGTACACTGAGCGCTCAGGTGAGTTAATAAGTCCAAACCATGTGTGAGGGCCTGCTGGAACTCTAGAGTTTAGTGAGGTGGTGTAGTCTGTAGTAAGGTAGATTGTGACAGCTGAGAGAGCGAGGAGGGATGTTGAGGTCAGAAGAGATGTGGTCTGCAGGACAGTGGGCAGTGTAGGAAATTGCATGGCTAGGTCGCACGATGTGTCGAACGTAGAGAGAGTTTGTGTTCAACTGGGACAAAGTAATTGAAATGGGGTAGTGTGGGTCCGACGGAAGAAATGCGATGTGAAGCAGAGAGGTGGCAACTCAGTAACATTATATGGATGCGACGAGGTTGTTGGTGGGGTGGCGTTCTACCGCATCACCATCCTGCATGGTGGAGCGAGACCCGAGTTGAACATACCAACACGACTGCGCCTCGTCCAGGCATCCTACAACAAACTCCTGGCTTCAGCGCGACAACCAGATCTCAGCAGTAAACGGAAGAAAGAGAGTACGCGACAGTATTATGAGCGCGATCAACTTCCACGTGCTCGAATGAGTGGCGAGGCGGGGTTGGAGTGAAAGCCAGAAGGTGCTTGAATGGCTCGTTTAATTATCCCGAGGTCTTCTTGTGGTGTTGCTTCGCCAACGTTGGTAGGACCTGAGTTCGCTACCGGCATGCCAAGCACAGCTCCGCCTACAACGAAGGATTTCTCATGCACCTTACTTGCTCTTCTACTCGGTACCCGTCTCGCCAACGTTTGGATAGTTTGTAGAAAAAACGAACAAAGCCAACTTTGTGGTTGACATGGCTGGCAGCCATTTGGATGCGCGACAAACATGGTTAGACTTTCTAATTAACATTATATGCCAACTTCTCGAGCCTCACGAATTATGCTTAGCCATTTCTAGCATCAAGTCCATCTCTTATCCATCTCAGTAGTCGTCCTCGTATCTCTGCTCGTCCCTGCCCTCATCATACGCGTTTTCCATGTTATCTCCGAACTGCTCCACTCCCTCAGTCATGTTATCCCACTTGTTCTCAATGTCCTGCGGTATATCCTCAACCTCCTGAACCTTCTCACCCGTCCACTCCGCTGCGTTTTCTGGGAAGTTTTCAACGTTGTCAACGGTGTTATCCCACTTCTGCTCTACGTCATCGCCAAAGTTCTCTACGCGTCCGACTTGCTCGCCGGTCCATCCTGCGGCGTTCTCGGGGAAGTTGCTTATGTCGTTACCGAACTCGTCGACTCCGTGCGAGACGTTGGCTTTGGCGCTGTCCCAACCGTCTTCTATAGAACATCATTAGTAGGCTGGTGTATGGAGTCCAGGGTTGCATGAAGACGTACCAATCTTGTCGCCTTCGTGCATCAGCAATGCACCGCCTGCAAGACCCGCTGCACCTGCTGCGGCGTACTTCCAGCCATTACCGCCGCTCTTTTGCTCTTCCTGGTTACCACTACGAGTTGGGTCGTACGCGCTCTGTTGGTATGCGCCCTGGTTGCTGTAGCCATCTTGTCCGTAACCATATCCACCCTGTGGTGGTGGAGCACCGTAGTTACCCTGCTGCTGCGCGTAGCCAGGCCCAGGGTATTGGTAAGTCCGTTCGCCGTTGTGTTGGTTCACGAAGACCCAGCGGTTTTCGCGCCCATCCCACTCAGCATACCATGGTGGGGAGACTGGTGGTGGTTGTGGAGAGTGTTGTTGAGGTGGATATTGAGAGTAACCTTGCGGCTGCTGTTGGGGTGGGTATTGGGAGTAGCCTGACTGCTGCTGCTGTTGCTGCTGTTGCTGCTTATCACCACCGGTAAAATCGGATATCAATTCGCTTAGGAAGCCCATGATGAGTATGCTGTGCTTGTTATGTAGGTTGAGAAGTTGTTGAAGGAAGTTTGTTAATGTCAAGGTGGATGTAGGCGGGGTGCGGTATTTATTCAATCATCGGCGTCTGCCCCTCTTGTGCATCAATCAATCCACTACATCTGCAGCTAGATTTGTTCGAGATCGCCCACGATGCGTAACAAATGCGAACGGCCGGAGCTTCCACGGTTTGAAACGTGGCGCAATCTCGGCCAGGCGGTGAGGCGGTGCCGCTATCTCCGAGGTCTGGAAAAGCAGCATCTATGCGATGGCCAGAAGTAAGAACCTTACGAAAACACATCAACTCAACAAGGATAAGCTAATACTATCCTGGAGCCACGAAACTCGAGCGAAGATTGCTACCTTGACGAGGAAACGAGCATGCATTGGCAGATCATCAAGCATCTCTAAGCTTTACTTGGCAAGCGGATAGTCCCTCCCGGTTGAGGTAGGCTTTAACGACTCCACTTTGGCGACCACTTTGAGGCGCAGTTCAGGGGCTTTTGACGCAATACGCTGCGCCACCCAGCCGAGATGGTGTCGAGAGCGTGGTACACAGTCCAGTTCTACGACATTCAGCTACAAATGATCCAATCTCTCTTGCCCTAGTCTGTGCGCTGTCAAATAAGTGCGCCCCAAAAACTGCGAGCCAGACTATTTACGGTGAAGATCAGTATTCCATGCGCCCTATTCCTCGAAATCCCAGCCCTCATGCCAACGCGAGAACCCGTCGCGCTAGAATATGGAATACAATCCAAAGTTGTACACGATTTCTAAGCTCCCGCCAGTTGTTGCGCCTCTCCTCTTACTGGTGCAAAACTCGTAGTAAGCGATAGTACTTCGAGGTAGTTGTTGGCCACTGAGCTCGAGATATGTGAGGTTTCTTCTTCTTGAGACATGTCTTGTATGGGTACTGGAGTGACGACTTTCGGGACGGAAAGTGCATCAGAGCAGCATCGCGGGGAAGCGAGCCCGGCGAAATCGGATTTCACCAATCGACGCGTCGCAACGTGACCACGCGACACGCCAAAAACATACCACAATTTTTAGGCGTCGTATCAACGATTGATGGCACACAAAATGCTGGGAGCAGGTTGGACTATGTACTGCAACCGTCAGGAGTCAGATCATGGGGTTAGGATGCAATATCTGCAACGTAAGCACCGCCTCCCACACGATTCAACGGCTATCCAAGCCTATGAGACTCTATATCAAGTTCGCAATCGTTAGTTGGATGCCGTTGGAAGCCTCAGAGGCAGAAGCATGACCGTGTGACGTATACGAGCATGATCATATTCGCCATCACTGCGCGACATCACTGTTCCCTCCTCATTTCTAGCATCTCGGACTATTAGCTTCAAGCAGTACTCCCCCACCTCTTCTTCTTCCTCCACCCCATCTTCTCTACTTCTCACTCCACTACTGTCTACCGCTTACGCTACAGTCAACTTCCCCGAACCTATCCACGACAGTCCGAACCCATCATGAAGCTCTTCGCGACCTCTATCCTCGCCCTCCTGGGCCTCGCCACCGTTACTTCCGCCCTCGACGATCTCGATGATAAAGCCTGCAACGAGGGCGAGAAGCAGTGCATCCTCAAGGGCCAGATGATCGATCAATGCATCAACGGAAAGTGGGCCATCGTCAAGGTCTGTAAGCCTGGCGATGTCTGCGTTGAGAACCCTACAGCTCTGTGTGTTCTGAAGCCCGTTCAGAAGGGGACCACCAATGCAGAGCGAGACGTCTCCGCCATGGCCGACCTTGGTAACGACGTTGCTGAGTCTTCTGCCACCGACGACTGCCGCGATGGCGACGCACAGTGCGAAGTCCTCCCACTCATCTTGCTTGGCCGCCACGCGATTAAGCGCTGCAACGACGACCACAAGTGGTTTACCGCAGAGGTCTGCAACCCAGAGGACGTCTGCAATGCCAAGCCCTATCCTCAATGTGTCGGTGTCAAGGCTGTTGAGGCTCGCGAAGAGGACGGTGACGAGGACTCTATCGATACTGTAAGTTCCATGACTTCTCCCTCTTTAAACTATCGCGCGTTTGCTAACTGTTCTCGGGCACAGGCTAACAAAGCTGAAATGCCATGCTCCAAATGCAAGAAGTTTCGCGAGCAGTGCAATACAGTGCGTTCCATTCACCAACCTTTATGCTTTTATCCTCTTCAAAGTTACTAACAAGACCAGGATTGCTGCAAGCGAACTCATTGCAGGACTCAAACGGTTTGCCGCAAGGAGTGCATCAACCAGATGGAGATCTTCCTGGTTGAAGACGGTCAGAACGGACGGTACCGCGGTAGTTGCAAGTACTACTGCCCGCAGTTGTTGTAAATAGCTTCTCTGGCTGGTTTGAAATATTCAAGGATCTTCGGCGTTTGATGAACCAATAGGGAACGTCAGTTCCGGGAGGTTAGGGATCATAACGCAGGCGAATATCGGTCGCAGCATGACTCGCTCCGCATGAAATGTATGATTCCTTCCCTTTTCTTCTTACTTCTTGTTTTAGCATGTCTGTTCTCTACTTCCTTCAATCTGAGTCAACATATCCACGAAAGTCACACAACGGGAGAGCCTACATCACGTAGATGACGAACCAACTAGGACTAGTAACGTGCAAAGAAGAGGCGTCGTATTACCACCTCACCTCCTCCATCATTAGTTTGGGTATCTATCTCAATCAAAAACAACCTTGTTCCCTTGCGGTGGCCCCTTACCCGCAACATCGATCTTGAGCTTCTTACTCTCCTTAGCCATCTTCGCAGCCTGCCAACTAGGATGCAGTTCACCTTTGTCATCCCTCTTGACCCCGAGCCCCATCTTCCTATCCTTCTTATCATCTTTCTTACCCAGCGGCTCCGCGTTACTTCCACTTTGTTGGAGACCAGGACCCATTGGCTTGCCTCTTCTTTGACGCTTGCCATCACCGGCAACGGCTCCTCGTTTGGGGTCGAACTTGACGTTCTGTTGTGCTTTCTCGAGATGTTTGGCTTTTGCGCCGAATTTCATTTCAGCAATCTTTTGGCGGGCGCGTTGGCCGCGGCGGTTCTTGCGGGGAGCTGTATCAACATCGAGGTCGGAGGCTTCGGACTCGGATCCGCTGAAGTAGGCGGCGTGGCTGAGGGCGGGAAGGAACGCGGAAGAGGTAGGCTTCTCGGCGACGGCTTTGGTTTTGCTCTTCTTGGTGGGTATCGCGGCCTCGTCAGATTCCGAGTCGGAGTCTGAATCGGCAGAGGACTCGTCTGAAGCGGGAGCCACTGCTCGAGAGATGGCTACCTCCTCACTGTGTTCCTCCTCGTTGTCACTGATATCGTCTGCTTGTGCAACTTCTTCCTCTTCATCCTCGCTCTCGGCCTCCAGATCGTCGTCCGGGTCGTGTTCGCTTTCGCTGTCTCCGATACTGGGTGGTCGCTCATCGTCCGATACCGAGCCCTCGCTATCTTCCTCTCCTGAAGACGGCGCTGCTATCCGCGCGCTGAAAGCCATGTATGGGTCATCGCCCTCGTCGCTGATGTCTTTCATTTCCACGTCCTCCTTCTCGATAGACTTTGATTTCCTCGCCTTGTTGTCATCCTTCTGCTTCTTCGCACCCTCTGTCTTGGCAGCTTTGTCCTCTTCGCCCTCCTGGTTGTTGCCCTTGACTTTATCGACTCCGAGACTGCGCTTCAAGTCTTCAATGACCCCATCCACCACCTTCTTCACCTGCACTACCTTGACCAACCTCGACGTAACATTGAGCGTGCTGGTATCCTTGCTTCCTTCTCTGATGCCAGCAATGTATTCTCGTAGAGGCTCCGCCTCCTTCAAGCTTTTGACCCTTGCCAAAGTTTTGCGCAAATGCTGATCGCCCAGCTGCTCTAGGTTCAGCGCCTTCAGGACTTGGTACTCAGCAGCCAGTCGATCTATTGCCTTTTTGTCGCCCTTCTTCTCCGCGTCCTTCTTCCTGCGACTGTGCTTCTGGCGCTCCAGCACGGAGCCATGTTTCAAAGCTGCGAGGAGCGGCTTTTGCGCAGCTTCGAGGCGCTTTTGGCAGTACTTGGCTTGTTTCGCATGCGTGACTACAACAGGTGGGGGGTGTCGTCCGGCGGGAGCAGGCGATTCGCGCTTTCGTTTCGGCATCGTGGACGTTCTTTGGAGTTGTTTATCGTGCCGGAGTGCTGGCGGAAATTTTGGAGACGGGCGCATGGCTAATCGATAAGCGCTCGGCCAGAATTTGCCTACGCGGCACCGAGGCCCGCTCTCCCATCTTCTTCCATCACTCTTCCTTCGTCTTGTCACTTACGTTATATATCACACGCGCTTTGGAATTCACTGTCATACGATATGGCTGAAGAAAAACAGAATCGAGACTAGGATGCAAGTTACCGTGACAGTCGATGGGCATTCTAGCCCTCTCTCCTTCGATTCCAAACCTCATCACGCCCTACGTCATCAACATCATCTCTTTCTTGTTCGCTCCTGCTCATAATGCTGCGTTTCCGGCATCCAAGGGTGCTTGGCCTGTCTACTAGGCACCACCTCGCCCCGACCTCCTCCAGGAACAGTGCGCTCATCGTCAATATACACGCTCTGACCCTGTCCTCGTGGTCGCTCACCATACTCAGTTTGTCCTCCGTGCTGCAAATGCGGATTCATCTCCCCGCTTTGTAGAACTCTGGCATTGGTCATCCTGGGCATGTTGTGGAGCTGCAGTTGCGGTTGGGCATGACTCTGGTTATGGAAGCCCGAGTATGCACCGGCCGGTGCTTGGTTAGGTGCATTATGGAACTGTTGCAGCGGAAAAATGCTATCATGCTGTGGAAAGCATAGAGGGTCACCACCCTGGCCATCTGTCTCATGGTCAGCTCTCTCGTCGTGACTGCTTACTATGAGGCAGGATATACGATGCGGCTTGTCTTCTTCCTTTGTGTCTGAGGAATTGGATCTCTTCTCCCTCTTTTTCATTTGATGGCTCCGCCATTTGTCACCTAGGACTTCCCAGTAAGAGGGAAGATGCTTGCGCTGCTAATACTTCTTCGTACGCTCGCCTGGCATCGGTGGGGTGGTAAATAGATCTTGGGTCATAGTATCTATCAAAGGTATTTTGGACACAGGGAGGAGAAGGAACGCTCCGTATGGATCTTATACTCACGGACAGTGACTGAAGGAAAGAATGGAAGAAGAGGTGCCAGTACGATGATCGGCAGTACGAAGACAGTAGAAGGAGATGTCACTTACGATCTTTCCTTGATTCTGCACAATATCGTTGACGATAAACACCATGTCGAGAGCTCCTTTGACCAGCATTGCGGCCGCTATGTGATGGCCCTGGGGGAATCGCGTATATATTTCCCCTCTGTCGGAAGCTACTGCCGCTGGCGTTCCTTTCTCCTCTATGTATGCGCCTTGCACTCCGGCCTGTGGAATTATCGTTCACTGGATCGCCGGTGTACGCGCCTGCTTGCACTATAGGGCTTTGTTAGTAGTTAAGTAGTCTTCCGTGGTGGGTGACTTGCCGAAGTGAATCAGAGACGGCGGAGGCGTAGAGCATCTACCCCAAAAACACATATCATTGACGCCTAAGATCCCGGAAGTGGATGATTAATAGGAGCACTAGATGAGGACTACCAGAAGCTGATATCAATAGAAGGAGATACTATTCGATGACTAGTAGTAGCAGGAACGGAGTACGCAGCAGCACTATATGAACCACAACAGAAACAGTGAATATGCAATTGTCTTCACGACTCTCACTCATCTCCACAGGCCTTTGTGACAGCTGATTCATGGACGATACCTTTGGCGTATCAAATTCTAGTACGAACAGCAGTACACCAAACGCCTTTCAGGTCGCAAACTCCGTAACCAATAATATGCCGCAGACTATGGTCTTCCACCACAGTAACAGAGAACCTGATGTACAGGCACCTGATTCCCTTCCTCCCGATCGCCGGCATCTAATCAGCGCCGTCCGTCAACAATCCTTCCCACACCATCGAAAACCTTGCTCTTGGCCGTCAAACTTCCTCCCGTTTTAAAGCTGAGATACTTCAGCCCGGCCTTCGTCGTCATTAGATCTTTATTGCGTTTTTCCTTGGCTTCCTTGCTGCTATGGTCAGCATCGCTCTTGGTACCCTGGGAAGTAGTGCTTTTCTTCGTCGAGTCGGCTTCCGGGCGGATCACCTTGATTTGTCCGTTTGCGCTTCTGCGGAGGTAAGAACCGTCACTCTTCCAGCCTGTGGGCTTCTTTAAGAATACATTCATGTTTTGATGGTGTTTGAAACGGCTTCTCGATCGGAAGCTTGGCCACTGGTGCAACGGTGGGGTGAATCGATGGTATGTAAAGTGATACTGTTAAATAAAGATAGCTCTTTGTGGACCTTTGGACTATAGAGTACGTTATAGGGAAGGAGCATGCATAAGAAGAGGGTGGGATTTATAGGCGCTTATGGCGGGTCTTACCTTGATTCATAGGTTCGTGTAACATGGCCCATTGATATCATTAGTGTCATTCAAGGCATTATTGACGCTCTCGATGAGGCATGCAACACGTTACCGTCATGGAAAGCCAAAAGCCTCAAAGCCATAACGCGCAGGTATATCAACTCAGTCACAAGTGTCACTGTCCGCTATGTGAAATGTTGACCTGACGAAGCTCGACCAGAAATTGTAGGTATGGTGGACGCCACAGGGGGTTGTCACTTACGAGTCATCGAGAGTAGGCAAGTTACAGTTCTTCCGCAAGAGATGAAGTTGTGAACCATTGCGTTTTCCGAGAGAGAGGAGCCAAAAGCATTCGTCTTGTCTACATCTATCTCGACATACCCACACAGTCATAGACACTGTACCTCCTATGGCCTACATTATTCAAATGTTTCTAGCCACCACTGTACCCTTCATATATGGATCCTGTAGTAACATGTACAGCGTTGTAAGAAGCATTTCTTTCATTCTCCGTTTACAAACTCTGCTTGGTCGGCACGTACTTTGGGAATCCATTCTTTTCGATTCCAGCGCTAGCTACATTCGCCTTTACTGGGCGAACCGCGGATGGTGGTTTAGGAGCTTTTGGAAATCGTAGTCGCTGCCTCGATATGTGAGTCGGTGACTTGTAGTATGCTGGCTCAAGATCCCTCGCAACCTCCTCGGAGTAGTTGCTTGGAGGCAATCCCGATCTCCTGCCTTCACACTGGTTCTTGAAAGAAGGGCCGCCTTGCATCCTGTCAATGAGGGGTCCCCCTCGTGGGCGGACACAATTGTTCAAGTCATCATCTATATGAGAGCCTGAAAACATGTTGTCCCATGTAAGATTTACTTCTAGTTATATTGGCGTCCATCAAGCAACAACTTGTAGGTGGGGAGTTTTGATAAGCGGGTTGTGGAGATAATAGGAGGCAAGAAAGTGTTCTCTCATGTATAGCACACGTAACACGGCTTCTGACGCTTCAAACCAACGCCGTGAAGAGGAGGCACTACATGTTGGAAGTCACATTCAGATTGCAGATATAGATCAATAGGCGCGTGAACATGTCGACAACGTAAAACGAAAGGAGGGAAACTGATCATTGAGAAGATATCACACAAGTTCTAAGACAAACGATAGATGTCAAGAGTATCAGAATGATAGCTATTATTATAGAGCTTTGTTTTGAAAACCAGAGAAGAACACACGTCGCAGATAGCACATTTGCTAACGATGTCTTAAGAACCTTACAATCTAAACAGTGTCATCTTTACTTCGCTATAGAACAAAGACTGTAGCTCGATGGAGGTAAAGCATGATTCTCAGAGTCATGATGAAGATTTCGTACATGTTCAAGATTGGTGATAATATTCTTCAGTCGAGCTTGAGGCAAGTGTGGGTAGTAATGCCGTCTGTGGGGCGATGTGAGAGGCTGTAGTGCAGAAATTTGTCGTGAGAAATGGAGGTTGATCTTATGTATCACGTGTCTGCTGGGACAACGACGTCCCATGGATATGGAAGTGGGAGGTTACGGCGTGCTATTGGTCCAAAAGGTAGACAAGCGAGCTTGTGTGCACATCAACGGCATACGAGCAGTGATGGTCGTCATCACCATTGCAATTGCTAACACCGGCATTGAACCCAGTACTAATCAACAAATATATACAAATATAACTCGTGACGAAACTACGGTTGACAGGTTTCCTGGTATGCCTCAAAAGAACGCTGTGATGCCGTCTTTTCTCCTCAACGTAATATGAAGGAGTATGTACACGACCACACCGAACCCCAACATACCAGAAATGACCCCGAAACCCATGAGGTACTTTGGCTTGTCGTCACTAGGGAAGAGGTACGCACCATATATTTGCGCAAGGTTGCCCATCGCGTTGACAAGCGCAATCGCGATGGCCCTGACCTCAGGCTGCATGGACCCAAACGTTGCGCTTGCGAACGATAGAGAAACCGCATTCGAGGACCAGAGGCCAGCAGCCATGAGAACAAGTAGTGCGTATCGCGCTTTGAAGTCGTAGATTACGCATACTAGGATAGAAGTTATAAGCGAAAAGCCAAGCCAACTTGCGATTACGAGACCACGGTGGTTGGAAATGGAGTCGGCGAAGTATGTAGTGACTGCTGTACAGACAAAGGCGACAGCATAGATAGGGACGGTCATGTACTGAGCTGTTACCGTGTCCGTGTAACCGAGTCCAGTCATCAGCGTTGGGTAAAAGTACGAGAGTGTGGAGGAGCCAACGATGACCTGCTATTTGTTAGTCGGGTACTCCATAGTCTGTATAGAATGGCTCACCATGTAGCCAAGGATAAAGGAAATAGTCCTCCAATCCATGACGGCGAGTCGGAAAGACTTGGCCTTGCCCATTCTCTCCTCGCCTTCCACGTGTGTTCGGACGCCGCCTTCCCGGAGGCGTGCAATTGCGATAGCTCGCTCTCGGTCGGTGAGTCGTTTTGTGTTGGCAGGAAAGTCCAGTAGGATGAAGTATGCAGCCACTGCCCATACAATAGTGGCAGCTCCCTCCACGATAAACAGCCATCGCCAACCACGAAGTCCACCTGTGCCCTCCATGCCGCCAGTTATCGCACCCGCGAGAAGACCACCAAATGCACCACTAAGAATCGCAGCCGACATGTATACACCAAAGCGTTTCGATTGTTCGTCTTTCTTGTACCAGGAAGAGATGATCAGGATAATTCCTGGCGCGAAACCTGATTCGAAGACACCAACGAAGATTCGGAGTACGACGAGATGCTTGAAGTCATTGATGACAGCCATGCAACAGGTCAGGGCCCCCCAGATTATCATGATGATGGGTAGGTAGATGGACGGTTTGAGGCGGACCAGAAGCATGTTGGAAGGCGGCTCGAAAACGACATAAGTCACGAAGAATACTACCAAAGCGATAGAGTATTGATCGGAGCTCAGTCCCAGATCGTCAGCCATACCGGCAATCTTCGCGTTCCCGATACTGGCACCTCGTTAGCGTTGATTATCACGCTACTTGGGATGAGGCATACTTTGTGCGGTCCATGTATGATAGCAGGTACATCAACCATATCGTCGGTAGCAGAAAGAGGTCAATTTTGCGAACCAACTTTTGTTCCTCCTCCTTCGTCCAAGTGAAGTCGTCAGCGACCTCTACATGCTTTGCTGTATCTGTCTCCTTCACGTCTGCTGGCTCTAGAGAGTGGCGCGTCGACGACATAGTGTCCTGCTGCGCGCAACGACGGGAGTTGGACAGATGTGGAAGGAATGAAGCAGAGCTAAAAATTCCAGATCGTGCAGTATTGCGATAGCAGTCGCAGATATGTCTAGATGGGTGCGACGCCCATGGAGCTTTATAGGGGAGTGTATCTCGCCCTCTCAGGTTTTGATGATGTTCGCCGAAAACAGCATGGACCTCCCCAGATTGTGTTCGGGCCTTTTTCTTACCCCAGGTCTTAGACTACAAGCCGAAGTTCCCGCATCAGACCCGCCTGTACAGATGCTTGACACAATGATTGGTCGTAGAACACGACAGAACATGTTCCATGCATGAGCTCGCTGCGCACCCAACAGTGTGCCTCGAGGCGAACTTTGTGCCACTAAGCGAAAGCAAGCGGTAGCTGTCACACGTGCAAGTCGCATCGGCGCGTAAGCTCGCCACGAGGCCGTTGCTTCTCTGAGAATGGTTTGAGCCGAGTCTCAACAGCATCCTTGTAGTGCGGACCATGATCGCATGGTTCCCGCCCGTGGGGAGTAATTGGTACCGATCAACAACACTCCGTTGCCACAAGTTCCGGTGAGATGTACTTAAGCATGCGGGGTGCCAGCGAGGTGGTGTTTGTCTTTCCATCATTTCGATTTTCCATTCTTTCGCTAGACCTGCCGCATCTCCCCAAACCCTCACAACCTACACTACAAATCAATCGGAGATGTCTCCTTCCGCGATCGTGCCGCAGTCTGACCAGACAGCGCCTGCCAACGGCCACACCAACAATGGTCAAGTTGAGCAGAGTGTCGAGAATCCTGTCTATCTCACCACTGAGCCAAAAGAGGACTTTGATTGGAAGATTTCTCTGAAGGGCAAAGTAATCGCCATTACCGGGGCAAACAGAGGTTGGTAAACATGAACTCCGGAATTCAAGACAGATGCTGATCTTGTAGGTATCGGACTTGGTCTCGCGACAGTATGCCTTGCGAACGATGCGGCTGAAATCTACTCCCTGGACCTCTTTGAACCCGGTGAGGAGTTTCAAGCGCTTCAGAAGGCCAACCTCAAACGCGTACACTACCTGCACTGCGATGTCACCTCTGAGGAAAGCGTCACCAAGGCTATCGACCAGATTGTTGCTCAGTCGGGCCGTATCGATGGTATGATCGCGAACGCAGGGATGACCAAACATCAGCCCGCACTCGACTTCGACCGCCCACAGCTTGAGCAGCTTTTCAACCTAAACGTTTTCGGCGCGTACTTTTGCGCAACGGCAGCCGCGAAGAAATTCATCGAGCTTGGTATCAAGGGGTCCATCGTCTTCACAGCGTCCATGACATCGTACCGGCCAAACAGGGCAGCACCCTCAGCACCGTATGGAGGGACCAAGGGCGCTGTCCGCAACATGGCGCATACTCTTGCAATGGAGTGGGCGAAGCATGGAATTCGTGTCAATTCGATATCGCCGGGTTTCGTACGCACACAGATGACGTACTATGTTGAGAGGGCGCCCGACTGGAACTTGAAGATGCAGTACTATGGCGGTATGCCTAGATTGGCCGATCCTCGAGAACTTGGTGGTGCGTATGTGTACCTCCTCTCGGACAGTGCCAGCTACACTACGGGTATCGACATTCCAGTTGCGGGCATTGTCGGCGCCTGGTAGAAGGGGTTTTGTTGTTGCTTTATCGCGTTATACTGCATTGGGTGGAGTCTGTAACGGTCGGCTGGATTTGATTTTCCTAGAACCAATTCAACAAAGTTTCTCTAAATTATTCTCCTCCCTAGAAGGTGCCAAGCTATATGTGGTGGTGCTTTTATTGACGTCGGTGTTGGTGTTGACCGTGTCAGCGCAGGTCATGAAGGATGAGGCGACGCGTCAAAAAAACGGAATTGTGACTCGCAACAGCCACAACTGACTAAGCACATCTCCTTCGCTGCACGACCATTATCCAACATGAATTCACAGATTTTTTGAGTGGATATTACTACTCGACGCCTACCAAATATGCTTCAGGACCTGTATCAATTACATTAGGCCTCCCAACTTCAGCCGGTGGTGGACAGTGCTCTCGCTGGCGCGGGGTCTTCGAAGCAGTATCCGACGCGGGCCTTTTGCAGAATGGACACAGTTCTTCAACCACCGTCAGATCATCCTACAAATCGCTGCGAGACCTCAGCATCCGGGCTCCGCGTGCGCTGCGTCATCCTGGACTAGTTGTGCGTCTTTCCCGTTGGTCCCAGGCTCGTTCCCCACGGCAGGCCTAACCGCCGAAGCGGATCCTCAAGGGCCAAGCGAAGTTCCACCAGCATGCGCAACATCATTCGTAATGCAAGCATCGTCGACAGACAATCCCAAGCCGCGCAAACCCCGCCCCTCTCGAGCGCGGGTAAGTCTACTTATACCAACTAGATGCGAGATTTTTACTGATTCGACGGTTCCGTTGCTTGCAGGGCTTACGTACAACCACCGGATGGTAAGCTGTTCCCCCAGCACGTGTCCACCTTGTATCTTTATACGGTTATGCTTGCCAGCTCTATACTGGTTACATGCTACAGGACTCTTAGTTAACCGCCGGCTAACACAAACAGCCTTACTTGCAGACGAAGGAGGGTGAAATGCGATGAGCTAAGGCCACGATGCGCGACATGCAGCAAATCCGACAGAGAATGTCTATGGCCGTCGCCAAATGATCCTTCTGGGGCCACAGCAAGCAACGCATCTGGTTCCGTGCAATCAGAAACTTCGCCGGCGCAGGATGGTTCCTCTGCTGCTGCCACGTCTCCAGCGCCTGCTAGACGACGGATTCCAAGTGAAATCGATCCTCAACTCTGGAACAACTCGCCTGAGCTCCTGTTCGACTCCCCATCAACCATCATCAATTCGTTGCCTTCGCCAAATTCGGCACCTCTAGCCTACTACGACCTGCTTGCCGAAGATGCCATCAACAATATTGATAAGTACAACCTTAACGTGGATCTAGACAGGAACAATTTGTCTAGACAACAAAGTCCTGTCGCGGAAACACCAAATTTCGGCGCACAGCTGCCCTCGAACCAGCGAGCACCAGAGGTCGAATCATCGGCAAATGAGCAATGGAACTCTATTGACATCATACCTATGTCTGACGACGAGCTTGTGCTTTTTCAGCACTACATCACCGTCATTGGACCTATCTTGGACCTAAACGACCCTTCCAGGCAGTTTACGGAAACTGTTCCTTCCTTGGCTGTCCATAACGTGGGCCTCCTGAAATCTCTACTCGCTGTGTCGGCACGACACATGGCACTCCTGAATGAGCCACAACTTCGTCGACTGAACATACAACATCAAACCCCAGATATCGACGCTAGCATGATTGGAAACCTTCAAAGTCCTCTATTACAGTTGGCAACACAATATTACTATGAGACTTTACAGTACCTATCCAAGAACCTCTTCTATCCTTCCTACAATAAGTCTAGGGAGATTATATCAACATCTATTCTCATCAGTACGTATGAGATGTGGGACTCTGAAGGTCAATACAGTAATGGAGCCTGGGAGAGACATCTTCGTGGTATATTCTGGATACAGAGGAGCCAAAACAACAATGGAGAGTGCAAAGACCCACTCCGGAGAGCTGCCTGGTGGCAATGGTTACGCCAAGATACTTGGGTCGCATTCCGCGAAGGACGACGGGTTCTGACTATTTGGAGACCGACCAAGCGGTTGATGGACCTGAGCCCGGACGAACTAGCTTTGCGAATTGTGTACATATGTGGAAGATGTGTAGACTATGCCGCAAACGAAAAGAAGTACGACTTGAATACGCGTATCGACCAAGCTGGAAAGCTTCTGCAAGCGCTGGAGGACTGGCATCGGGCGCTTCCAATATCCTTCCAACCCATTCACCGAGGACTGCCGCCTGGACCTGGTGCCATGTTTACGCCCATCTGGATCCATCCTCCTTCGTACGCAGCTGCCATCCAAACATTTCATTTTGCGAGAATCATTGTTCTTATCAACCAGCCTTCATTGGGAGGTGTAGACGAATTTCGGATTCGACAACGCAGCCTGGACGAAAGTGTAGACTTGATCTGTGGTATTGCCATAACACATCAAGGCAGAGAAATTCCGAGTGCCATGGTTAACTTCAAGTCCGTATATGCTGGTAAGCCCTGCGTCATCACACATGCTGTTTGAAACAATGCTTACAGTGTTTAGCTGGTTTATGCGTTCAAAATCCCGTGAAGCAAACGGCTATCTTGAATCTTCTCGACCAGACGCTCGACATCACCAAGTTTCCACCAAAGACGCTACTTAACGATCTTACCAGCTATTGGCGGGCCGAATCATGACCTTCCGTCAATCGTTCCAAATACAGCCATTATACTTGAACGTTTCTCCACACATGCATGTCAATTTCTTCATCGCTGCACCAGCCGTACCACAGATAAACGGATCTTTGGCCCCTCACTCGGCCTTCACTGCGATGTAATAGTTCTATGAACTCGGTCTCATCTGGGCACAAGCCGGAAAGAGCAAAGCAATGCAAGAGAGCCACGTAGCGAGGCCGCTGTGAGTGGGTATGTAACGGAGAACGCTCTGAAATTGGGTGTGCCTTCTCCACAAAACTCACAATGTGGAGAACGCTCAGCCGTCGTGCGACTCCCTGCATCGTGGGGTAGAAGCGGGGTGCATGACAGAGTGCTGATCACCTCGTTCAGCTGAACGCGTTTGCCTCGTTACGAGGCACATCGGCAAGGACCCGGTGAGCCGATCCATAGCTGCCGACGTATCGCTTGCTTCTCCGGCAACGTCATGCATGTTTGCTCGCGACGAGCACCAATCAGTGACCCTGAGGCCCGCGGCTTCCCCGAACCAAACATGCCGCAAGGGAACGATGGCAGCTTCAATTCCGAACCCGTTCCGATCATTTGAACTCTATGCGCTCGACGTCTTTCCAGCACCACATATCAGTAGACATTGAAGACATTGCAAAGTGCATATTGTTACGCATCCATCATGGCGGTTACTAAAGACAATCGTACACTGGCAATACTCAGTGCCGCCACAAAAGGCAATTATGGCGTCATGGCTGCAATCGCGTACGAAGCTTCCACAAATATCGGTCGCAATTCTGACCATCTCTCAGCTACAACATTGAGCACTTGACAGCTCTTGTCCGCGCAGCAGAGTCGAAGCGATCGCCCTTGATAATCCAGCTGTTCCCATCAACCCTCAAGCAATTACCTCTTCTCGCCCATGCAGCTGCGCATGCCGTAAAAACCGCCACAGTACCTCTCTCTTTACACATCGACCACGCCCAGAATGTGGAGCACATACGAGAGATCATTGCGACGCTACCGGTCGACTCAGTTATGGTGGACATGTCGCATTACGATGAAGCCGAGAATCTGGAAAAGACGCGGATACTGACCAAGGAGTGTCACGACAAGGGCATCGCGGTAGAAGCGGAGAGCGGACGGATAGAAGGTGGCGAGGACGGCATCGCTGATACAGGAGATCTTGAAGGTATGCCATGTATTGCAGAAGATGGTAAAATCATTCGCGCATCTGACTTGGAATAGCACTCTTCACATCACCTGAAGATGTCGACAACTTCGTCAACGCTGGCATCGATATATTAGCCCCGTCGATCGGAAATGTACATGGGGACTACGGCCCTGCTGGTCCGAAAGAAGGACAACTACACTACGACCGCCTCGAAGCGATAGATAAGCAGATCAACAAACGTGTTCTGATCGCATTACATGGCACCAATGACTTCCCCGCTGAAGTTATGCAAAGATGTATACGATCAGGCGCAGTCAAGCTGAATGTCAATAAGCTTCTACTTGAAGTGGGAAATGAGGTGCTGAGGAAATATGCGCCGACGACACCTTTGGCGAAGTTGATCGACACGCAAATGGAGGTCATACAGAAGGAGACAGAGAGGTGGATGGACATATGTGGCAGTAGTGGTAAAGCTTGAAAGCGCAGTAGATCACTTATTACAGAGGAGGAATGTTGATGCTCAGGCAGCGCAACACAACACGATCAAATAACTCAATACAATAATCTCAATGGAGGTGTATTTCCTAAACACCTCTTATTCACTGTATGCAGCTGTAATAGTTGATGAAACTCTTTCTGATGCGATAGCTCTTATGTTTAAACGGACGACGAACGTATATGCGATTTAAGTTCTCTCCCACTGGGGTCGTCGTCTTGGCTCTCATGCTAGTCAACCTCTGCACTAGTTGTAGTTATTGTCGTGGCTTTGGATATCACATATCATTGGGGTGAGGTGAAGTTTAAATAAGCTTCGTAGAAGTCTGGTTCAAGGGGCCAATCGACCTGTCACTACCACAACAACAGGATCCTCTCCATTGGCAGAGGCTCAAGTGAGTGACCACGGTCGTAGTAGCTGTACTTTATACAAGGAAGAAATTGGACACTCCTCAGCAAGTTCTTGTAGGGCGTTGTAGTCTACAATAGCATATGACCAGGAAACTCGAGACGTCTAAAAAGATTGTAGGCGTCTAGGTCACGTATTAATAGAAATAATGCCTGCGTTACGCTTGCTGTAGTGGGCAAAAGAAAGAGCTTGCTCAGGGGTGTTGAGCTTTTTCGTTGACGTGGTGCCTGCCCAGGTGGGGTCAACCAGCTTAGCCTTCGCTAACACGCCCCGCATCTCCCACAATCAGATTCGAAAACCTTTCACTCTCTTCGTCAGAGGTTTCGCCGGACCAACAACGCTGATGCACCAATAAAGGTGGGTCGCTGCAATTTTGCTCTAGTTATATTCGATGTAAATTCGGATTTAGTATCGGTTTTGTAGTGTACGTTTTCCAACATTCACTTCTCGCTTGCCCCCGCTAATAACCATCCAGGTAGCGGTTATCACTCCGGATTCTGATTCATCGTCAGTGTCTTCCGGCAACCCCGGTTCGATTCCGGGCAAGACCTCTCTTTTTGCTTTTTTGCTTCTATCTACACATGACCTGCGTCGTGGTGCGCGATAGTGTGTAGACGAAAACGAAGCGTATCGTCTGCCTGCGCGATGCGGAGCGCTACTATCATTACGAAGAATCTGGTTTTGACAAGTTGTACCACAAACATTGACCTAAAGGTATTCACTAGGCTTTTTGCTTATATAGACTTGATCCTAACGACCATGTATTCTTCAGGGTGTGCTTTTAGTATTACAGACAACTTATTAAGAACGAGCGTCTTCGTTACGTGGATTAGCGATGAAGGAAAGAGTTTGTTGCTGGTGTCTGGAATGTAAGTTGATTAGCTTAGCTGCAGACTTTAGTACTAGATACATTGCCTATCTCATATCATTTCGCCGTATCATGCCTCTCGAATCGAGTCTACTTTCATTTGCAATCTCTTCTCCCCCACCATTACGCGCTATCGTCGGTATCAAAACATCCATCTCCCAAGTCATCCGCTCATCCATTCGACTCCACCTTCTTTCCGACCACTCCATCTGTTTCTGAACATGTGTCGTCGCCTCATCAGCTAGCATATTGTCTTCGAATAGGAAGGCGAGTTCCTCTAACGTGCGACCGTAGGTTTCAGGGAACATGAAGTACTGTTGTTGTTGCGTTAGCTAACGAGGTATGTTGAGAGGAGAGTTATAATAGACGGAAGAGCCCAGATGAACGGAGAGGACTCACGATAAAGACAATCTCAAATGCCAGCCAAGCGCAGTACATTATAAGCCAACGTCCTTGTATACGTTGCAGTCCGATGGGGTTGAGGGTGGTCGTGGTGAAGACTGCTGTCCGGCTGAAGAACTGGAAGATGGTGATGCCTTTGGTACGTTGCGCGAAAGGGAACAGTTCGACCAGGAACGCTACAATACGTTTAGCATCGTTTCCAGTCACCACTTTTGTCGTCACAACTTACTATACGTAAGCGCGTTATACCCAATATTGTAACACGCCTGATACAAAAAGATGATCGCAATCGTCAATCTCGCCGGCTCAATACTCTTTGTAGCAGTGTATCGGTGTACAGCGACTGTCCACGCAACATAGCAACACAACAAGCTACTCGCACAGATGAGATACATCTTTCTGCGCGGGAAGCGTCGGACCAACAGCGAAAAGGACACTGCAGTAAACAAGTTCCAGCTGTTGAGCCCGACGTTCACTCTCCCCACAAACCCAGGATCATCGTACCCAATCATATTCAACAACTGGTTTAGGTAGTAGCTGAGCAAGGTGTTACCGGACCACTGTGTGAAGAGACCCAGAAAAGATCCAATGATGACGCGCTTGCGTAGACCAGGGACAGCGATCATCTCACGCCAGGAACGTTTTGAGTGTTCCAGTTCGATGCGGATGGTGTGTTCGATTTGTGCCATTTCAGCTGCGGCAAAGTGTGAAGTGCTGTCACCTTCGGCGTGGAAGGTAACCAGTGTGTGGTATGCTTCTTCGCGACGATCTTTAGAGATGAGGAATCGGGGCGACTCGGGAATCATGCTGGTACTATTAGCTTGCTATGAGCCCTTTCACAGTGGGGCTGATGTTCTTACAAGATGAACACAATCTGCAGTAGTGATGGCCCAGCCTGAAGGAGTGATGGTATACGCCAGGCCCAGTCGTCTTTGAGATTCTGGGTACCGTATGATACCCCCGCTGCTATGAGCGAGCCCACGAACCAGAGCGCATTGAAGAGAGAGGTCATGATCGGTCGTTCCTTTGGATACGCAAGCTCACCCATCAACGAGGAGCCTGCGATGATACAGAACGGTATACCGAAACCGATGATGAATCTGGCACCAATATACATGCCAGCTACGACGCGTTAGTAAGAAATACATGCGCCTACTTCATATCCAGACATACCACTGATGGAGAAGGCTTGAACTAGGGATCCGATGACCATAATCCAAGAGCCGAGGAAGATCGCCCATCGTCGCCCAAATCTATCATTCACGTACGGCACTAGTGGTAGAGCGCAGAGAGCACCCAGGTTGTATGCTGAAGAGATAATACCAAGCAGCACTCCTCGGGGCCTATTGAAATCTAGGTTGTTAGCAAGAGCAGAACCATAGTTGTGATCTGAACTAACATATCTGCCATGTCGGCGCAATCTGCACTGCGTTAATCATTTGTGAATCGAAGCCTGAAGTCATCTCAATCCCGATACATGTCGGCAACAAGAGCGCATACAGCCTCCTCAAGTTCCTCTTTCTATACCACGGTATCTGGTCTTGTTCAACGATACGCGTCAGTACCGGTTCTGCCTGCCTCGCAGCGGCAGCAGCGCCCACAGGCGCCATCCTTGGTATCGATCTCCAAACCTCAGCTCAGATCAGTGGTACGATGGAATAATGTCACTAAGTCAAGATAGACGAAGTAATGGCAGCTAGCACTGATGGGTGTCCGGGACGTGCGGGCGTGCCCGTTAGTTCTATATACTCCAGGTTCGTGCGGCGCATCATAATTCGTATCGTCAGATTGTATGCAGGTGAGACGATGCATATGAATGGGTTGTAGTAAGAAGACGACAGGGTAGTGCTGCATTGACCTTTGCCCCGCATGTTGGTGGTAATATAAGAGGTGCGCCCGTGACGAATCAAGACTCGCTCACAACATGGTGATACACCAATAGAGTTTGTGCGCCGCGCATGTTTGCATGTATGTTGCTGGTTCGCATTTGCGTAACGATGGGATGAAGCATCTAGTTGCGCGACGTCTGTTCAGGGAAACAAAAAGATGGGAGCCTCTGACTTCTCAAGATGTTAAGAGACGCATCTGAACGTCAGCATGGTAGCCAAGTTGCCAAATGGGGTAGTATCAACTCGAAGTTATGCCAAGGGGGGTATATTACCCAGTAGCAGCTTGATTTACCATGTTAAGCGGAATCCTAAACGGGCAGCACGGCGCCACATCCACCGAGCAAAGGCTCGGTACCGTGACATTGGCACCAGTAGAATAGAAGCTGCCGCGCCGCTGGGAAGCGGATCGCGGTCGGGCTGAAACTCGCGTGTGCAATACGTCTAATGGAATGAAGTGCGGTGTAGGTAAGCCGTCGTCTTACGACCTACTCAAGTAGAAGTAACGAGTACCATCAAATTTGTGTCCTCTGACCTATGGTCGCACAAACTCGGTGTAGATGACTACATTTGATTGCTTAAGCGAAAGACGGCTGCAACTTCCCCGCGATCCTCTCTTGAACCCGCTGTGGCAGTAAGCTCTCGTAGATATGACTTGTCCACTCACAACAAACTCGTCGTGTGTATGCCGGATCTATGATCTCCTCGATACCGAACGCATTCGCTGTACGAACTGGGTTCATCAGCCGTTTGTACTCGTTCCCCAGCTCTGTATAACGCTTGTCCCGCGCTTCTTTGCCTTCTTTCCTTTCAATCTCCTTGAGTTCGAACGAGTGACCGACCTCAATACCGCCCTCAAGTGGCAAGGAGCCCCACACACCGGATGGCCAAGCGACGCGCATGCGTGGATCGCGGCAATCCAACATAATGCCTCCTGCTACGCCGTAGACGCGTCGCACAATGACGTTGAAGATAGGCATGGTTGTGCTGTAATAGGTTGCAGCAAGAGTGACGCCGTGCCGCATCGTTGCAGTGCGTTCTGCTACGGTTCCTATCGCGTAGCCTGGGACGTCGACGAATTGAACGAGTGGAAGGTTGAAGACATCTAGGAACTTCAACATGCGTGTGATCTTCTGTGATCCCAATGCATCCAACGCGCCAGCATTCTGCTCGCAGTTGAGAGAGACCACTCCGACTGGCTTGCCTGCAAACCGCGCGAGGCCGACTATGGCGGTAGTGCCCCAGAGAGCGCCAATTTCAAAGAACGAGTCTTTGTCCACGACTTCCGTTATGATAGCACGCGGATTATACATCCGATTCTTAGAACGCGGTATGATCGATCGGAGATTCTCTGACATTCGGTTGATTGGATCAGAGCAGTCGATTACCGGAGGAAGCTTCGTACCGCAGTCAGGTAGGTAGCTCAAAACTGTTCGCATCTGCTCGAAGCAGCCTGCTTCATCTGGTGCCAGATTATCGATAGTGCCGTTTGTGCAATGCATCGCCGGTCCACCAAGATCTGTGAACGACAGGCCCTCCTCAAATGTCGCGTTCTTCACCACACTAGGGCCAGCATTGAACAAGGAGCCAATGTCTGCAGCCATGACGGAGAAGTGACAGGCAACTACGCGAGCTGCTCCTAAGCCAATCGCTGGCCCGACCACTGCGCCCAGATTCGGTATACCCATGTTGAGTTGTTGAACGACCTGTGCGAAAGAAGGCAGCGGAGGAACGTAAGAGAAGCCTGTGGAGCGGATGGTTGTAACAGACCCGCCGCCTGATGATCCGTCGACTAGTTTGACAATGGGTAGCTTCAATGCGATAGCAAGCTTCTCCATATAGATCTGTAGTCATCAGTATCCGTATGCTGGGGCAAAGTACAGCTAGCTTACTGTTTTCTCCATAAGAGCGCCATCAGCGTGTCCGGCGCGAATTGAGAAGTCGTCGGCCGTGAATACAATCTTTCGACCTCGTAGCCGCCCAAAGCCTACTATCTGTCAGGAGACTCTCCTAGTGTCATCTCTGCAACCATACCTTGCACGTTGTTGGAAGGCACGTATTCTTCTGGTTCTTCTTTCACCAGGCCCAATTGTTTCCATTTGACCGTCCCGCTCACACTGCCCACTTCCTGGAAGCTACCAGGATCAAGCAACTGCTCAACCCTTTCCCGTACCCATAACTTCCCCGCCTGCTTCTGCCTCAGGTAGCCTCTGTTGTTCGTGTCCGGTGTTGCGGCGAACTTGCGGAGCGTCGCGATCTGTCCGAGAATATCTGAGTAGTCTGCGGGTAGATCTGAATCTGTGGCCTTCTGTCTTCGTCGCTTCGGTGTGTTCGGGGCGATGTGCGAGCTGACTTGCGCGAGCCGGTCTTTCGCGGTCTCAGATGACGTCGACGCGTCTTTCGGCGTGGTCTTCTGGTCGTCGCCGGCCATTGCGATTGATATGAATGTTAAAATAACGTGTCTTCAGGCTCCAGAGATGAAGCGACAATGGAATTGTCACATCGCGACGGTTTGAACCAAGTTGGGATGGCCGTGGTAGAATGTTGGGGTAGGTCTGGTGAACCGAGGCATCTTCAAGCTCCCCGCGCTTGCCCTCCTTCATCGGACTCCACTCTAACCGCGACCATGTCGGTGTATATGTCAAATCAAAAATTGAAAGTAACGATTGCTTTCAATCTGACGCTGAGTTTGCTAGTAGCTTTTAGAAATCCTCTCTGGTCGTATACAAATTAGTTCTGCCTCATAGAATTAAACGACTCGTCCACTCGAGTCAGATCCTATCGTCAAAACACTGGAGTTAAGCCTCTTCACACAGAGTAGCCTTTGAAATCTCCCCATTGTTTGCTAGAGAACATAATGGCGCGACCGCCGCAAAGACCTATCAAGCGACTGCTCATCGCGAACAGGTCAGTAGCGACTCCTTCCCTTATCAGAGCACGACTGACAGAAGGCAGAGGAGAAATAGCGACGCGAATCATATCTTCAGCTCGCGAGCTTGACATCGAGACATATGCGATATACGTATCAGGCGATGACTCTCATGCTGTCCGAGCAAGTCATGCTATCGAGTTACCATTAGCTTCATCCTTCATGAGCATTGACGATCTTGTAGGCATCATCAAAAAACACCAAATCGATGCTGTACATCCAGGATATGGCTTTTTGTCGGAGTCTGAGGACTTTTCGAGGAGAGTTTGGGACGAAGCTGGAGCGATAGTTGTCGGCCCCGGATGGGGAATCCTGAGCAGTACAGGAGATAAACTCAAAGCGAGACTGCTTGCGGAGCAATGTACGTTTTGCGAGATGTTGAGGTAACGGCTTTACTGATGAACAAAATAGGTGGCGTTCCCGTGTCTCCGGCCCTTCAAGAACCCACTAATGCAGTTGAAGATGTCCAGCGCTTCGCGTCAGAAGTTGGCTTCCCAATCATGGTCAAAGCAGTAGACGGAGGTGGCGGGCGAGGCATCCGTCTCATTCGCAGCAATGACCAGCTGCCTGCTTTGGTCAAAAGAGCAGTCGAAGAGAGTCCCTCTAAGCAAGTGTTTGCAGAGAGAGCCGCTGTGGATGGCTTTCGGCATATCGAAGTTCAGATCATTGGAGACGGAACTGGAAACGTGACACACCTTTGGGAACGCGAATGCAGCATCCAAAGACGATATCAGAAGATCATTGAGCTGGCACCGAGTGTTGTGTCTGATCGCAAGCAGGTCGCAAAGGTGATCGAGGATGCACTGAGAATGGCTCGACATGTCAGTACCAAGACCAGTCCTTAACTTGCTTCGCTGATGTCCGGCAGATACAATACTTCTCACTTGGCACCTTTGAGTTCCTTACGAACCCAGTAACGAAGGAATACTACTTTTTGGAAGTCAACCCACGGTTGCAGGTCGAGCATACGATCACCGAGTCCATCTCCATGACAGACGTCGTCAAGGCACAATTGTTACTCGCGCAAGGTGCTTCACTGAGCGAGTGTGGCCTACCAACAGCCGAGCGAAAGCCAGAGACTCCGCCTCCTGCGCATTCTATCCAACTGCGCATCACTGCGGAGAATGTTCAGAGTGACTGGTCATTATCGATTGGCAAAATCACATCATTCCAGTTTCCTTCTGGTAACGGTGTTCGGGTTGATACACACCTCATCAGTGGTCGCCCTACTGTTGTATCAGCAGATTTCGATAGTCTGGTCGCCAAGATCATCGTAACAGCATCATCGTGGAAGGAGGTTGTTCGCAAAGCGCAGAGAGCTTTAGAAGATACGCATATCGCTGGAGTTAAGACAAATATCGACATGCTGAAAGCCATCGTTGCGCATTCGGATTTCCTGGACGGTCGATGCGATACGCAGTGGCTAGAAAGCAAACAGGAGGAACTGCTTCAATCGAGCCAACGCATCGCTGAAGCCCATCGTAGCATTCTCGGCCCAGACACCACGGCATCTTCTTCAACGGCATCAGTTTCGGCAGCCAACACTCTCTTCCGAAAAGGCGATGCATGGTCCATAGCCATCTCTTCTCCAGCCACGAAAGTGACTGAGAAACCACCACCCCACCATCTCGAGCTCACACGCGTCCTACGAAACGATTTCCCCACCTCCCTGAGTGCGGAGTTGCTCTTCACAACCCCCTCAAGCATTTCCTCGGCCACACCTCAAACAACACCATATACTATAACACTTTCCTCAACCTCTGCTAGCGCTTCAGCAGCAACGTCGCATCATAGACGTGGCAACCCATCTGATCCATCACACATCAGTATCCCGTTCCCTGGAAAGCTCGTGGAGGTATTGATCGACGAAGGCGACTTAGTGAAAGAAGGAGACGTCATCTGTGTAGTCCAGCAAATGAAGATGGAGTTGGAAGTACGCAGTCCACGGAGCGGTCGGGTAACATGGGTGACAGAAGCAGAAGACGGGGAAGATGTCGCGGAAGGCATGTTGGCTGCTATTATCGAGACTGCGCAAGAGAACCGTCTTTGATAATACTAACTGAAATATTACTTGCATTCTCTCGTTGCGTTATAGTGAAGTTGTATATGCTTTACATCGTCTCACACCTAACAGTCGTGTACACATTATCCTTGGTCGCCCGGCTGTAAGGGCAAACCTGCCTTGCCTTGTGCACCACCTTCTCCAAGTCTTCCTTTGCCAATCCGCGTACCTTGACGAGAAGTTGGACGCGCAGTCCCATGTCTAGGTCCTTCATGCTGCCGACAAGTTCTACAGTCGACTCGACGATCGAGTCTTCAGTCTTGGTGGGCATCTTGAGACCGAGGGAAGGAGCGACAGCGTTCATGGCTGATTGAACTGTATTGATGTTAGTCAATTCGCTAACGACGGTCAAAGGACGAGGACGTACAGCATGCACCGTAGCCAGCTGCGAAGAGCTCTTCAGGGTTGGTCTTTCCGGCGTCTCCAGTGCCACCGAGGGCCTTAGCCATTGTCAGGTCAACCTTGAGGTTTTCGCCGTCTACATGTCTGAAAAGGTATTAGCAAAGGTCTCTTCTATCTCTGAAGGTAATGCTCAGCATACCCTGTGCGTGCGCCCACGACGTGAGCCTTTGCTGTGTAGAGGCTAGGCGCTGACTCGGTGTTCAAGAAGCGACGGCACGGTGCCGCCATGGCATTTCTTTGCGAGACGCGGACCGCCTGGCGGAGCATTGGTGCGAAAGTTCGGCTGGCCATTGTGTGTGGAGGGTTCTTGGTGGAAAAGATGATGTATAAATTGAGCTTGTAGGTGAAGGTTAAATGCAATGTTATGTTTGAAGTAACAAGGGCTCGATTGCGCGCTTCACATAAGCTCTGTCAAAAGAAAACTGGAGCTATGACAGCTGTGACGTCCTCACGGCCAAATCGCGGCGTTCATAGTCATGACGTTTGCATCCAGCCATCGTGGTGGATTCTAGCGCAAGGGACTCCCGCCGCTAGTGAAGCGGGATCTGGGGAAATCTCAGTTCGATCCCGAGCCGCAAATCTAGGCAATGAATCAGGTACGTTCGGTGTAATGCACAGAAGCTTGTTACTGTGCTACGTTTGAACAGATTGATGCCTACCAAACCTGGCGGATATCGAACGCAGACGCCTTGCGATAGATTGTAGTTGCACTCGCTCTGAACCGAGATGGTGGATGAGCAAACATGACAAAGTCAAATAGGCGAGCCATCGACTGCTTCTCCAGCCCTGCGATATTGTAAGCTGGACCGATGGCCCTTCTTTGCCTACAATGCTTCTCCATATCCGTTTCTGTCAGCAGATCGAGAACCTCATCAGCAGGCTTCCAGCTTTTGTCCGGTGCAGCGCACATCCCATACCAGTCTCCTTCCGTGAAAGACGTTCCCGCTCCATATACAGTTTTGACAGCGTCTTCGTCGCATATCAGGACTTGGTAGGGCTCTATGCACACTATAGGTCCGAACTGCGCGTGCAGTTTGGGGAAATGGATGTGGGATTACCTTTTGCGGATATGCCAGACAAGCCATAGTTTGCTGAGACGTGCGATGAAAGGGCCAGGAACATTGCGCAGGGGGTGGAAGAAGATTCTGTAAGTCGTCGTATAGACAAGGTTGTCGATGATTAGATCCAGACTGTGATCGTGGCTGCATCAACATGCGCATAAACCTGCTCTGAAGCCTTTCCTCATCCGGGATGGCGTTCCAAGGTGTGCCGGCGTCTGCTTCCACACAGACAAGAGATAAGTACACCGATCAGGGTTGGCATCGATGCCCAGAAATTCTTCAAATACCCCCAAATTCCTGGCAGTGCTGGTGTCTGGATGGCTGACCTACACACCACTGCGACGGCACCTTGAGCAGAGCCACCTCATTCGTTCACCAGAACCTTGTGTGTTTCCTTGAGGATCATCAACATGTGCGAAATATAGTCTACCCTAATGTCTGTATCAGACACCCCTGAGCAAAAGAATCCATGTATCATGTGTAGCTCAACGTGGGGAGCACTGAGTGAGTGGGGTAGGATGCGCGTTGCTTTTCAATGTTTCACAGCATGAAGGCGTGGGGTACTATTACCAACTGACCAGCATGCCACTACATCCTACAAGACCCCCGATACTTCTTAAAGGCACAGCTACATAATCCAGCGTTACCTACTGCTTACAACAAACTAGTTCTACCATCATGCCGCGGAAGAAAAGCACCAACTCAGCTCCGGTAGCATTCCCATGTTTACTTTGCAGACGGTCATTCAACAATGCAAACGCCCGGTTAGCCCATCATCGCTCCCTGCACGCAGTGCCTGCCAGTCAGCGTGTCACTGCTACTAGTGCATCGACTACAGCCAGAAACAGATTGGTACCTTGCACGGTGACCGGCTGTGATCGAACTTTCCCAACCCGTCTCGAACTTGGACTGCATTTGGAATCCCCTACTCATGCCTGTAAGCGGGGTATGCCATTACAAAGTCTCGGTACAAGCAGGCATGTGTCATCGTCTCTAGATGGCTCAAGCAAACTATATACAGACATATCCAATACCTCAGACACGATTCTAGAGACGAACGTCGAGTTCGTAGCTCCTGTTGTAGTGGCTGAAACATCCTCAACTTTGGGCTCTCTTACTTCGCAGTTCGGGTCGTCGCTTTACATAAGTGTACCTCTACAGTCAGCTACCGGGGAATCTTCTAAGGCGCCACGAGCATCAAAGCAAAGCACATCCGCTAGAAAGCACGCTCAGATCAAATTCACACCAGAGAATCGGAAAGGTGGAAGGCTGAGAGTGCGAGCACCCAGCGAACAGCCACTTCATAAGTGGAAAGTCATTCCAGAACACCAACAATGTAATGCACTTATCGCGCTCCGGTTGCGCTGCCATTCCAGTGTCATCCTCAAAGCCAACAAATACACACCATATACCGATCACGTCAAACTCATAGGAGGCAATGCAACACCTATCCCCTTGAGCGCTCCCGCCCACCATTGGCAGATGTCAAAGCGCAGCGCCGTCGCGCTAGACTGCGAAATGGTAGGCATAGGCAACAAGAATGAATCAGAAGTAGCACGCATCTCAGCTATTGACTACCTCACTGGCGAAATTCTCATTGACGCCTTGATTCAGCCGACTAAACCAGTCACAGACTGGCGTACAGAGTACAGTGGGATCACCGAGGAGGCACTGGTTTCAGCCGTTGCCCAAGGAAAAACACTAATGGGTTGGCCAGAAGCGCGAGCTTCATTGTTCAAACACATCGACACCGCGACTGTCTTAATCGGCCAATCATTAAACTTCGATCTTGTCGCGTTAGGCATCCAACATGAACGAATTGTTGATTCAGCGATATTGGCTTCTGACGCTGTTGGACCTGGCGTGAAGAGACAATGGGGTCTCAAAAATCTATGTAATCAGCTTCTCGACATCAAGATACAGAATCACGGCAAGGCAGGACATGATTCTGTCGAGGATGCGTTTGCGGCACGAGAAGTGGTGTTGTGGTGTATTGACCATCCAGACGCGCTGAGTCGGTGGGGAGTGAAGCGGCGGAATGAGTATTATGCCAATCAGAAGAAGCCGAAGCCGAAGCCGAAGGCCAAAGCAGGCGCTGCATCGCGAAGGCAACAGCCATCATACTTCGGTGTCAATTTCTATCATGACGTTGAGGATGGCGAAGTGTTGACATGGGCCGATATTGCGGAAGATTGTGGATGGCCACATCCAGACACAGGGTATGACCCTTGGTCAGATTGAAGCAGCTTCAACATTGACATGTCAGGTGGCACAAGTGAAGGGATGAAAAGGTACACGAGCTTACGTAAATATAATTCAAGCTCGTAGAACGATGACCTACCGCCCCAGAAAAGAAGGCGCCTTTCTTTTTATAATACAGTCGCGAAAATAAATCCTGTCCTAGCAATGTCCAGTGTTCTCATTCATTTTCCGTTTGAACGTCGAAGGCGTACAAGAAGACGCCGATGCATGCAAATTAGTTTTGCCAGACTCGAATTGACTCAGAAACTTCCTACTCGCACTCGCACCGATATCGCTCAAGACCGCTGTAGAAGGTACATTAACAACTTGCTCTGGACGGGTAGTGAGGTTACCTGTCTCCGAGCAGAGGTTGTGACTCGCTGCTGTCTCCAGCTCCACCCTTCTTCTTCTTACCTCGCTTCTTCCTCTTCTTCTTGCTCCCACCTTTGCCTCCTGCATGCGAAGACTCGGCTTCCGAATGCTTCTGGTCGTCGTGACCATCAGCTTGGCTACCATCGGCTTTGTCCTCGGAGTCACTAGAGCTTGTGGTCTCCAAGACGACCTTCTTGATACCATTAAAGTCTACAACGTTCTCAGAGATGCTACCGCTTCGAGCGGTATGTCGCTTCTTCAGCGGGCTGCGCGAACGCGAGCGTAGAGAGGCGATGGTACTAACGGAACGCGACCGTCCTCTCGAACCGCCGTTTTCATTGTTGCGATTGTCGACAAGTAGATGAGTGTTTTCGTCGTCTTCATTGGCACCACCCTTGGGAGACGTAGGGTCTTCTTCGTGTTCCCTTGCACCTGATCGACCAGATCTCCAGGACATGCGATCGCCACTTGGAGCCATGGTTCCGTATCCCACCGCTACGCTGTGGACGCCATCACTGGCCTCGCGACCTGCTGAAGATAGCAAGCCTTCGCCAATCCCACCTTCGGGCGCGTGAGAGTCCTGGGTTATTACACCCTCAGTCGACGTTGCCTCGGTTGGAGCTTGAGCGTCCTCAGGTATCGTTTTGGGAATATCAGGTGTGAGACTTGTCTGGCCGGGCTTGATCTTGACGGTGTTGATGCGAGTCTGTTTGGGCCTGGTGGCAACGTTCGAAGGGCCGAGATGTTTCAGGTGCTGCATGACAGTTGGATCATCACTGCGGAGTGGCGATGCACCTCCCTTGCTGCCGCTACTGCGGCGGCGGAGCATGAAGGAGGGCTTGGGATGGCCTTCGGGCATGTCGGGCAAAGAGGCCTTGCGTGGAGGCGCCTTGCCGTTCTGTTCTGAATCTGTTTCGGTGTCCACAGCTTGTGCTTCTGACGGCTTGCGAGAGAGGTCGGTGATGACTTTGCCTCGGGGGACGCGGGCGCGAGGGGAAGGAGCCATGCGGCGGATCGCCTTGTGCACGTCGATGAAGACATCAGATTCGTCAATGATTTCCTCTCCGATCAGTTCCTCGATAACATCCTCTAGGGTAACGACACCCACGGCACCACGAGCCTCAGCTGGGAATTCGGAGACCAGCACCATGTGGGATTTGCCCTCCTGGAAGAAGTTGAGAATATCCAAGCAGCTCGTCTCGGGACGGGTTTCTGGAAGGGTGGCCAAAGCGAAATCGCGCACGCGTAGAGCGTCCTCCGGGTCGTATGTGATGAGCATCTTGACCAGGAGCATACCGACGAAATTGTTTTCGTTCTCGGGTGTATGGATGGGAATACGCGAGTAACCAGCAGACAGGATGTTATCCATCATCTTCTCGTCCAGAACCGTGTCAGACGACATGGTAAAGACGTCCTTCATAGGCGTCATGATGTTACCGACAGCCTTGGCCTTGAGATCCAGCACAGCGGTGATGATGGTAACTTCGTCCTCGTTCAGACGCTCATGCTCAAGTCCAAGAGACTGATGCAGGCTAACGAGTGTCTTCAATCCACCCTTCTTGTAAACAGTACCGTGGTCTTCGCCGAGGAGGTAGTCGAGGAGTTTGGCAGTCGGCCAGGCGATTATGCCCATGATGTACATCAGGCCGAGAACGATGGGAGCCATGGCGGCGCCAATTGGCAGACCGTAGCGCACACATATTGACTGGGGGACGACTTCGCCGAAGATGACTGAGGCTTGTTAGACGTGATCAGAGTAGCCGGGAGGGGATGCGCGTACCAATGAGGACTGTGGAACTAACGACGGCGGGCCATCCTCCACCGAGAGACCTGTCTAGCACGATAGGAAGGGTTTCGTTGGTGATGACGTTACTCAGGAGCAGCGTCACCAGGACCCAATGCTTGCCGCGCTCAAGCAGCTTCAGGACCTTCTTCGCGTTCTTGCGTTCGTGCTTCTCGCCGGATGAAGCAAGGACTTGGAGGTAGATCTCGTCTTGACCCATCAAGCTGGAGGGTAGCTGTTAGCGCGCTGCGGCACAATGGCAGGACCACGATGTACTCACGCAATGGTCAGACCCGCAAACACACCACCAGCCAAAACAAGCGCGACAGCGACACCTAGGAAGAGCCAGAGCTGCGGGTCGCTGGAGTCCTTGGGGAGATCCTCATCGGCGTCCCTGAACGTCTGTATCACATCGCCAAGAGGCAACGCGGTCACCATAGGCGCGAAGGCGTGGAAGAGGCCGATGAAGGCGAGTCGAGCAGTCCGCAGCGAAGAGCCATTGGCGGCCGCGCGAGAACGAGTGGCGCTCATGGCCATGGCAAGCACCTAAGTGCGGAAAGATGAAGAAAGTCTCCGTACAGAGGAGATGGATTGGCGAAGGAGGTCGTGTCCAAGGTTGGTGGTGGGCGCGCAAATAATGATGCGGAAGCAGCGGTTTGGTGGGTCTGCGCACGGTTGGCGCATCTAGACGTATGATGCAGCCGTGGAGTGGACAAAGGTGCGCGTATTATTCTTGTGTCAGTCCTTTACCCCTTCCTAACAAACAGTATACCCAGCGTCATTAGCAGTCTGCCATTGCATCCCTCAACGACAGATGCCTCTGAACACAACATGCGTGCGCGTCTTCGGTGCGCTCAAGGGGCCGACATGAATGAACCCCGGTACGAGCTTCATCATCGTACTAGCCTCTAATTGCTTTCCCCAGTCTCACAACAAGGCGCCAAGCCCCCAGCTCTGTGCCGTTCTTTCCACAATCATGTCGCCAGTCCTGTTGGGTAACACTTCTCACATCGCCTACAACATGCTGCCCTGCATATTAACAGCCAACAGTGATCAAAGAGGTCAGCCACAAAATATTCACGAGATGCGTACGCTAGTCTCCACCTGCCGTGGGAACCATCATGGCGTCGTTCGTCATTGTGCAGCAGCTTTAGTCTTGGCGAGACCTCAATCACGTGCTGCCACCTTCCTCTCCGGGCGCCTGCTCGCTTAACTCCGCGACAGTTGAAACCTGGAGAGCCGCGGGTAGCCGCAACATACAACCGCACAACCGTCGGCTCACATGTTTGGGCCCAGCATGTCTTTATTGCATGTATCTTTGCAAGAGTTCTGGGTAAACTCGCTGCTTTCGTTTCCATAGACATGGCTGCTAGAACACCTTCAATCCGCGCATTGTCGCGCTATCTGCTTCGCCCTCAAGCACCACTTCGACCCCGCTGTCAACACCATCTCCAACGCAAACAATACTCTGCTGCGGCACCTGGCGCACGCCTCAATGGCACAGTCGAGTACGATACAACGCCCATCCTCCACCACACCGCCAAGTCGTCCCTCTCAAACTCCGAGTTGCCTGCAGACATACAAAAGGGTCAGACAAAGCGCATAAACCTCTACACCGCCATTAATGAAGCCCTGCGATATGCATTGCAAACAGATGAACGCGTCATGGTGTTTGGAGAAGATGTGCAATTTGGAGGCGTCTTCAGATGTACCATGAACTTGGCCGGAGATTTTGGCACAGAACGCGTCTTCAACACTCCCTTGAGTGAGCAGGGACTTGTAGGCTTCGCTATCGGAGCAGCCGCAGAAGGCATGAAGCCTGTAGCAGAAGTTCAATTTGCCGACTATGTCTTCCCGGCCTTCGACCAAATACACAACGAAGCGGCCAAATACAGATACCGGTCGGGGAGCACCGGCGTCAACTGTGGAGGGCTAGTAATCCGCATGCCATCAGGCAGTGTCGGACATGGCGCACTGTAAGGCACCACAAATCTCCATATAGACATCTACTCACACGTCATCAGCTACCACACGCAATCCCCAGAAGCCCTCTTCACCCACACGCCTGGCCTACGCGTCGTAATACCCCGCTCACCCGTTCAAGCTAAAGGACTCCTCCTTTCCGCAATACGCTGTCAGGACCCTGTCATATTTATGGAGCCTAAGATATTATACCGCGCTGCTGTCGAGCATGTACCAGTCGATGCGTTTTACCTCCCGCTCGACAAGGCTGAAGTTCTCAAGAAGGGTAAGGACGTGACGATAGTCTCATACGGCACGCCACTATACACATGCTCAGCGGCGATAGCAGCAGCAGAGAAGGATTTCGGGTGCAGCGTTGAGCTGATAGATCTCCGGACGATATACCCCTGGGACCGAGAGACAGTCCTGGAAAGCGTGAAGAAGACTGGAAGAGCCATTGTAGTTCATGAGAGCATGATGAATGCAGGTGTCGGTGCTGAGGTCGCTGCTACGATTCAGGAGAAAGCATTCCTCAGGCTAGAAGCGCCTGTAAAGAGAGTGACAGGATGGGCAACACACACCGGGCTCATGTTTGAGCAGTTTGTCATTCCGGATGTTACTAGTGAGTCACGACGTATTGACATGCGGATGTTCTCTTTTGCTAACGTTAACAGGGGTTTACGACGCCATCAAGCAGACCATAGACTATTGAATCGATTGGCCTTGAAAAGACTGCTTTGTGAAGCTGTCATCGTTGACGCCACGCTGATACGCCTCTAGCATACACTTCACCTACTCTTCATTGCTTTCTATTTCGCGGATTTACTCATATGTGGGATTTGTATCTTTGGGAAGAGGCAAATCCGCCTTCCCTGCGAAGCAGTGTCGCTTATATTGCCCCGCAGGTCTCCTGTTTAGAGATTAACATTTGTCAAGTTGATGGCCCGCACGTACTCTGGGCGATCCCTCGCTCAGTCCATTACACTAGGTCGTCTAGAACACCACTGGGGTAAGGTCCAGATCCAGGCAAACAGTGACCACTGGCTAGGACCAAAACAATCAGAAGTAACCGTCAACATTCCAATTTAGCGCTCGCACGCGCTCATAATAGTCGACGGAGTTTTTTTGGAGTAGCCAAAATGTCAGCCAAGCCGTGACAAGTGAGCAGCTTTCCGCCTCTGTCGCGGAAACTTGAGATGTCCGGGTCATTTGTCCCAATGATAGAATCGCTGTGACTATGATGTAATCAACGCGGCCAGGAGGCGTGTATCCAATGCGATGTATTCAGACAGTGTGTAGATCCCGCGTCTAACACTGAGGATCTTTTGGTTACCGTAAAATATCTCGCAAGCCGTTCTGACGTTGCTATTATACTATTCTGTTTGTCAACGTTACTTCGAGGTGATTGCACTTACAGACTTACTCTATCGCTACGTGTCTTCAATCACGTGCTCGACTTTTGAAGCATATAAAGAGGAATCTATCATGTGAATGGATCAGGCATCAAACAAAACGTCACCATATTTTAATCCACCCTCGATTAAGTCGTAATGTCTTAAAGTAGCAACACAAAGAGACCTTGAAACAAAACATCTATACGAAATGAAACCCCAGCTCTAGAGCGGGCATAAGCGGCCTCAAGTCCCCACTGATGCTTATATAAGCAGTGATTTTCCTCATCGCTGTTGTTGAGATGTGCGGATGGCAGGTGTTGACGCTGCATCTCGGATTGTGTTGTTGTTGAGAGATTGCGGAGTGGAAGAGAGAGCTACAACGAGATTTTGAGTTTACGTTTGAGCTAGGGTGTCTGCGACTCCCAACCTCTTGGTCTCCCACCTTGGTCTCCCATTTTCTAACCACGCCTTTACCCTAGCATATACAGTATGAAAGAAAGAATGTCAAGCCGCTGTTATCTGATAGTACCCCCTAGAGATACTCAAGAGATAAATTGAGCACTCAAATCTTCTCAATGACGGCCTCAGCCAATTGCCATACTTGAGCGAGGACATCCTCTGCCACCTCGCCCTCAAGCCACGCACGCGCCTTCTCAACAACCAACTCCCACGTCTCTTCTTCGTCCTGCATCTTTTTCTCCAGAAAGAGGACCACGGTCGCAGTAGCCAGAATGCGGTCAGCATTCGTCTCGGTAAGTTGAGCAACGGCTTTGCTAGCAGCATCGCGGTCAAGCTTCATCTCATCGCAAGGTAGCTTATCAATAGCCACCCACGAGCCTTCAAAAGATTGACGCGCGATGAGACGCTGGAGGAGGGTGCCTGGATTCATGTCAGGATGCGAAAAGAACATGTGAGGAGCCATGTTCTTACCGGTTTCCTCCATTTTCTGCCTCTTGCTGTTCGGTAAAGTAGGCGACACTGGCGAGTAAACTATCTCGTTAGCAAGCTTTTGCTTGCAGTTGAGTGGTCTCTTACCTGCAAATACGGCAGAATCATCGAGGTCGTTGTCCATCAGGGCAAAGCCCAAGTCTTCATCCGAACTGGCCTCGTCAAGCTTTGCCACTTTCAAACCAGTCACGTTATCACAATCAGTTTCAGCTCGAACTTGAGGAGCAACTTTGCGGTGACGCATAGCGCCGCCTCGACCCAAGCCTTTCCCTGCAGAGCGAGCACCACCGCCGCCTGGAGAAGATTGTGCGAACGCTGAGAAGCCTGCCGATGGCGCTGTAGTCTTGTTAGTACTCTTACGCTTCTTCTTCGTAGTCCAAGGATCCCTTGTAGAAGTCGAGCGTCTCTTTCGCGGAGGTTTTTTGACGCCCCCGGTCGGAGATGGGGCAGACTTACGGGCTGCTTTGCTAGCGAGCTGCCTGCGAACCCCACTGGATGGTCCCCTCCCATATGCAGGGGCTGACATGCGTTGCATCTGGGAACGGGCTGACGGCATACCAAACACCTGAGAATTGGCTGTCGACACTTGGGCTTCTGTTAGGGACCTAATGTCAGCGATATCAAGTCTGAGAATGAGGTGTACTTACCATCCTCCAAGACCTCCCAATCGTTGTCATCTGTCTCATCACCCCGGTTCAGCATCGTGTCTAGTGCTTTGCTACGCTTCTCGACAATTTCGGTCTCGTTGGTTTCTACGGCTACGAAGGAACAATACTTGCCGCCGACCTGAAACTCGACGCCGAGACGAATAGCCTCGCGTCTCTGGAGTAGAGGGAACTGGGCGCGATATTTGTCCTTGAATAGTACGCCGGTATCACCAACGGCAGCTTCGGACAGCCAACCATGGCCCTCTTCGAGTTCCTGTGTTGCTTTGCGCGCCGCCAGCTGATGAATCATTTCGTCAGCCTCCTCTCGCACTTCAACCGGTATCTCAAGCTCCAGTGGACCTTGTGGTGAGGTACCTCTAAGTACGACACTCTTCGGCTGTAGATGCGATGACTCCGGAGACATCAGCAGGTAAACACATGTACGATTGAACGGAAAGAGCGACGGTATTTCATGGGGTGTCTGCAAGAAGACCGGGCGCTTGAGCTCGGGCAGACCTTCGAATATGTCCTTGGACTCGCCATCCTTGGGATGCTCTTCTTGGGCGTCAGGGTCGTAGAGTGAGATGGGCTTCGCATCGGAGACAGTGGCTCTCTCTTGCTCTCCCTCCTTATCGGCAATATTGAGTTCAACACGTAGGCTGTCGGTAACAGAATCGACGCTGTCATCTTCGTACTTGACTTCGAGACAGTAGTCTTTGATGTGTGGCGTGAGTGCGCCCTTAAGCATACGAACGATCTTGCTATCGAGCTTTTCGCTGTCTGCGACCATCTGCGCAAAACCTCTCCCCGCTCGCGCGACACCTTCAATGAGCGCAGTAGAAACAACTCCACCTATTCCAATAGGGAATACACGAACGTCTCCATTCTTCGTATTCTTGGAGATGTAGTCGAACAACTGTTCTTGTGACCAGATATCGCCATCGGTAAGTAGCATGAGTTCGGTTTGAAGTTCAGTGTTGCGAGCTTCGAAACAAGCCTTGACCGCAGCGAGAGTTTCTGTCCCACCAAAGTTTGCCCCAAACGTTTCGACATGTTGGATAGCCTTTGCAAGTGTATCCTGGCCATACGTCTGACTCTCTGGCCAAAGAAACGAGTGACTGCTCCCAAACGAGCAGATGTTGAACGAACAACCAATGGGGATCGATTTCAAGAATACTTTGAGTGCCGAGACCAGAGTGGATATGTGGCCTCCCATGCTACCCGAACGGTCCGCGATGAAGATGATCTCGGGCTTTTGCGACTTGAGGTTGAATTTCGGCACCAATGTCGTCATCAACGCGCGCTGATTGGGGAGCGTTGGGTGTGTCTCGAGGATCGCCTGAGGTATCCCAACGTCTTTTGCAACCACCTGTAAAACAAAGTCCTTCTCGAATTCGGTGGTACCCAAGGCGAGGGTTGCGGAGCCTTTCGAAACCGAAGACTCTTCGTCCATAGTGCTCGTTGAGAGCGATCCGAGGGTAACTTCAATGGGGTGTGATGGGGATATAACTTTCTTGATAGGGATACCTTGCGCCATCCTTACATCGACTGTTATTGAGATCCCCTTCGAATCGATGTCTGCAGAGGTTTCTTGGAGCTTGCCCGGATAGGATCTATAACGGGGTGAAATCGACGCAGGGATGGTAAGTCTTATACCATCGACTTCGGCATCGTGCTTTAACTCTTGGATGTATTTGATGGATATGTGTACAGATGCGCCGTTTGGAATGTTACCAACAGCAGTTGTGAAGACATCTGCCGCGTCAGGCAGTTGCTCAAGTAGCGCTGCGCTTTCGCCGCGCTTCTTGGCCTCCTCGTAGGTCTTTTTGGCTTCATTCTTCTCTTTGACCAGGCCGTAGATAGTGCGTTCGCCGATTTGGCAGAAGAAGTCGACAACACTCACGCCGTCGAACAACGGAAATGCGTATCTATGTGACGTTAGTCGGTGACCTTGTTCAGGCAACGTACATTTCGGCTGTAGGGCGAGACGAACCGGATCTCATTCAACGACTCCCTCGAACGGTTGACGAATGTCTGCGTCAGGACGGTGCGGGCGGCCGTTGAAAAGATTGTTGTGTGAGCATCAAGCTTTACTTGAGGAAGGTAAGTCCGCTCGTACGTCTCTGGGTGGAATACGTAACAGCCGCAGACACGACGGGAAGAGCTAATGCTAGCCATGATTGCGACTGTGTCTTTGCTCTAGTGTAGATTGGTTACAATTGGGCGGGGATTAGTTTACGCGAGAAAGTGTTGACATGGGATTCAGCTGGGAAACAGGCGAGACGCTCCTGATATACTTCACCGTGTGGGCTGTTGCCTGATGTGTCTTGGCAGGGACAGTGAATGCTATCCCCGCAGGAGCATCGCAGACCTCCTATTGGAAGAGCACGTGATATCACTCGTAGAACAGGTGCAATTAGTATGAGTCACAATCTGCGGGGTCTGCACTACTATGGGATATCTCTGGACGCCTGAACCTGTATTATGATGCTGAGCATCGATGACTCCAGCCATAGTCTGTCCAAGGCGTTCATTTTGACGAGCCTGCGGTTCTGTGGTATACTCACTGATCATCCTATTCGCTCCACCAAGGTGTTGAGCCACTGATCTCTACATCTGATTTCCCAAAGCTTACAGGGTGAATCGCGCAGGAAGAACTGTTTGAGTGCCTTTCTCCTGTCCGGTCGGTGGCGACGCAATGCGCACGCAGGTAAGTTCTCGACGCGTTGTAAAAACAATTTGATGCCAAAACTATCGCACCGCAATCGTGGTGGTGTCTCGGTAGCGACTCCATATAGATGATGGCTGTATAACGCGTAACGTGGTGTAACAGGTGTTGTGTGCCGCTGTGACGCAAGAAGCTGATCTGATGAGGTTGGGACCGTGAATCCCTCAAGCTGGCACAATGATGAGCAGCGAGCGTGACGAACAACTTCAACGATGATTTCCGAATCCTGTGTGTAGATGAACGAGCAGTTCGTGATGGTTGCGTGTGGGTTCAGCAGGGGGAAGAATCGCCGAAGTGTCGCGTCGCCCGACCTCTCAGACAGCCAGTGTGTCATGACGTCAGGCATCATCGCACACTTTTGAAACCTCTCTAGCCACGACAATATATACATCGCTCTTTAGTCATATATGTCCTTTCCCCATGTTCAAAGCCTCATAACCAGTCTTGACGATCAAAATGGAAATCCCTAGTTACGATGCGTTGGTGTATTACGCCACACCACCCAACAGCTACATCGGCACCACTATTTTCCTTTCTTATATCGTCGCAGCACTTTACGCGACTATTGCGATTATCTACTCGCTATACAATCAATACACGGTTATCTTTCACACATCCAGTTCGTCAAATGATGAAAAACTCGGTGCAGCGAAGGCGGTGCGAGCGCGTCACATCAAGATCTACGCGTTCCTTGCCTCAATCAGCTTCGCGACATTATCTTATCACATGCTCATGTTCCTAATAACGCACTATCTGGAATGGAGTGGAGATCAGACCCGGAGCTTCAGCAATGTCAGCGTGGGAAAACTGAAGACATGGACGTTAGAGTCAACCCTGTTCCAAGACTTTGCACAAGATCTAGTCAAAGACGCGCCGAATGCGGTATGGACCCAGACTGCGATACTAGCGACGTGGTTCTGGAACATCTACATGGGGCAAAAAAGTATGCATTCTACAAGTCACCTAAAGGCGGGCATGCTAACATGTAATCAGCGAGAGCACGCAGATACGATACCTCAACGATACGCACGTACATTTTACTCGGCCAGATCCTACCCATTTCCTTCGCGGTCTTACTTTTCCTTATCCAGCTGCATCTTTCATCTCCGGATATAGCTCCCACGTCAGCTGCAAACAACGCAGCTAAATCCGATTCGGCGCCCAAGCGTCGCAAGCCAATAGCAACACTGCAAATCCCGAACATCCTACTCAACGCAGCTCTACTCGCTCTTCCAGCCCTACGATCCAACTCGATCTTCAGCGTTCTACTCCTTGTAACGCGCGCTGTTCTATTACTACCGCACTCCTCGGCCATGAGCCTGAGGGATGCGGATGTAGTCAAGTGTATCACTGTATCTGGCGGCTTCGCAGTCGCAAATGCCGCGATGATGAGGAAGGATCTCACACTTGGTGGTGTTTTAGGGTCTTTGGGAAACGGTGGATATGCAGTCAAAGCGTTAGGATGGGATGCACTTTTGGGACTAGTAGTATACCTGGTATTAGGGTGGGGAGGCGGAGTCTGAATGATATCGACGTCAAACGATCCGAATCGACTGCACGCTTCAAATTTAGGTGGAGTATGCAGGATCTGCTGTTCGAGGAAGCATGACGATAAGTATGCGTAAAGAATTTACGCAGCACCTTGAGATTTCCAGTCAAATAGTCATAAACTCGTGAAGTGTTCCAGGAGTCGATGTAAAAATAAGCCAGCTGTTGTTTACACTCTTTGTATGCGGCAGATATACAGTTACGCAGTGATGATAGAATAGAGTCGAACTCGCTGTCTTCCTTGCGAATGGGTCGGCATTAGCTGTATGCTAGCCTGCACGAGGTTCGTGGCAGAGTTAAATGCCTATCAAGAAGAAGCTTACTTATTGAAGCACACCTGTTATAATCTACCTAGATGTATACAATATATTTTACTCTGCTATATGTTAATGTAAAACACGATGTATACGTCTAGGATATACTATGCGCCTTAGAGTGTAAATCAACTTCACGCCTAGAATCTGTGACATGAGCATAAGGCAAGTCCACGCGCCTAGAATTGTCATCATACTACTATCAGAGATATCCTCTGTAGAGAGTTTCTTGTCATCTCGTCATCACCTCTTGGGTGGCATAACCATATCCCGAACTCGTTCCCATGAATACTCGTATCTCTCGTTTGCGTCATCCACACCGTGGATGAGACCCAGATGGTCTTTGTAGTCAGATTTGCCCTTGCCATTGACTCCGAATAACTCCACAGACACAGAGCCTGGAAATACGCAGGGGTTGCCGGCGAATTTTGGAAGGAGGCTCTTGCGCCGTTCCCCATCTGTGATACCATGGGCGGTCTCCACAGTCCGCAACAAGCAATCTGGATTGAACGGATTGATTGACTTGATTGGTTTAACCAATCTAATCAATCCAATCCGTCCCTTCTTGAATTTGCGCCAATCTGCAAGCAAATCAATCTTAGACCTTCAGATTGATTGATTAGATTGGTTAGATTGGTCAGATCGTTATTCCAGGAATGTAGATTAAGATCGAGTAGTCCGCCTGCATTGTCTGTGACATCACGTGATGATAAGAAAGTCACGTGCATATAAGCCGATGAAACAGCTTATCACGAATTCGGCATCTGCCTCGGAGATTCGATAACTCCTATGTATAAATTAACCAATCAAGTCAATCAAGTCAATCTGAGCTACTTCAAAATAGCTTCAATCAATCCACAATCAATCAGCAGCTAGGCTGCTGACAATCAAGTCAATCGACGACTCTGAGATTGATTGGATTGCTTGTTGCGGAGTCTAGCGGTCTCTAGATGGCGCGCAAACGGAGCGCATGACCACGATCTGCTAGAATAGAACCTGGACTGAGTATTAGAGCTGCAATCGACTACAGAACAGCTAAAGGTGACGACGTACTGGTCCTTCAGGTGGGCATGCGGCCCGCCTGCAGCAGGATGTTCCTAGATGATGTGGTCTTGAAACAGTGACTTTTCTCCATTGTATACTGTAGGGTCCGTACAGCCTGAAACAAAACAACTGGTTCTGATATGAATTTTCAATTCATGCTCGGCCAGATCGCCTTTGCGGGCGTATGACTTGTTGCAACCTGTTGTTCCACATTTCCATGATTTCCCAGCTTTGGCCTTGGTCTTGTCCTTTGTTGGTGACAATGGTGTTGTGTACCTGCAGTTATACGAATAGAGCTTTATTATATTTAGATCTGTCACTGTATACTCGAAGCCGTTGGATGCATTTGAGCAGGAAAATGTGAGGGGTGTGGCTGCAGATACAGTTGTCGTCGAATCGGCACCTGCGGCTTCCGCAACTTTACACTACTTAGCCGTCGTGCTAAAGGTTTAGATGACGTCAATGGATGCTATTACACGATCTCTTGCTTCAATACATGCTATTGTAAAACAGGATATATGCCTTTAGGAAACGTTATGCGTCTTAGAGTGTAAATCGACCTCACACACAGAACATATGTAACATGAGCACAAGGCGGTGTAAGGCCGCAGTAATAGCGGCGCCTGAAGGTCTTCAGTATACTTTGTGATCTCCAAACAAAACGTGATTCGTCATGAAGTGTTCCAGGAATCACCAAGACGTATTGAAACCATTTTCATTCTCTCTTGTGTATGCTGCAAGTGGACAGCCTGTATCAGGTTCTTGATGATAGCGACGACGACAAGCTGGAGGATGGTCGTCGCTGATGATGGATGGTAGTGCCGACAAAGCTACTCCACGCTTGCATCGGCTTTTCCACTGGCTGGATGGCCCGAAACCGAAAAATTGCGATCTTGTCTCTGGTATCCTGCTACCAAACGCGTCAGCCGACTGCACTATGGACATACTCTCCACCCACTAAACATCGGAGACAGGTGGCAGGAACTCGCCACCAAGGAAGTCTGAAATCCGAAATCATGAGAAAAAATCTCACGGCGTTTCACTAATATATACAGGACCGGTTTAGCACCTAAGAGATGTTGCTGGTAAGGGACAGGAGCAATCCAGACCCTGCCAGCGCCTGGTGGATAAGTGCGGAAACCATTCAAGGATTTACCCCAAAGGTGCTTCGATACTAGGCTCAGTAATCGGCACTAACAAAACCTCTTTCGGGGTATAAAGGTATTGACTGCTGCTGGTTCGGGTTTAGGAGAAGTCCAGATCCTGTACAGGCGCGACAAACATGGCAGCGTTCGTTCTGCAAGCACTGGAAATTTTCATCATCGAACGTTGCCGTCTACATAGCTATTCGCGCTTTCGGGGAAGAAGGAGATAAGTGCAGCCTGACGGCTACGTGGTGGTCGTGGAAAGTTTTGTAACGATTGTTGAGCTCACGAAGTACAACACAGCAAGGCCAAAAGGCGAGATAAACGCCTCCGCCACCCATGAGAATGGCCCCTGCACTAAGGATGACACGCTCAATCAAAAAGAAGCTACCGTATTTTTTTCCTTGATCTGGCAACTGTGTAGATCCGATAGTAGAGCTTGGAGAGATTCGCATGGAAAACTTATTGCATGTATGTAGCGTAGTGCTGAAGGAATGTTGGATGCAGAAGTCTGGTGTTCAAAAGTGGCTGGGTCTTTGCGCGGCAAAAAGAGCACAAAAAGAAGACTTGCTCCGGACTCGAACACAGGTCATCGCACCATAACATCAACGAAGGAGCGAAATCAAAGAGCAAAAAAATGGTAGCTTCTCTTTGATTGAGCGTGTCATCCTTAGTGCAGGGGCCATGCTAATCTTCTCTGTATCGTTTCAAATTGACCATAAGCCCGAAGGCGAAGAAGAAAGGAATATTTTGATATATATATTGCAAATTGTTTTTGTGGAGGTAGTGCCGCGGCGTACCGCTCCAGGGAGCTGAGCGTGGCCCGGAGCGTCGAGCCCCCTGACTTCCGAGGTGCAGCTAATCACCCGAAAACATCGAGAGCCCCGCATACCATGGTTATGCAGTGCATTGGGTTAGCTTGTCGTGTGTATAACTATCGCTCGCTGCATTACTTTCTCGCTGCATACACTGCCTTGTCGCAGTATCTACCCAATGAAGACGCATATGCAGGGGCATATGTGTCGTTTGCGGTGTAGCCACAACGCGTCGAAAGACATCTCGATGTTCGGGCTTTTGTTCTTCTGTCGTGTGCCACAGTTTTGAAGATCCAACTCTGAAAATCACACACCTTACTCCGCATCTCTGTATCCTAGTCTCCCAATCTCAACCTACGTCTTCATCTCATATCCACGTCTTCAGAAGAGCACACCAAAGTTATGTTATCGTAATCAGACATTTCCAGACGAGCGCTACATGTATTCCAGAGTCGCATCGTCAATTACAGACTGTATTCTCAAAACCCAGGTAGCCTAGTACGTGGCGAGCCCGCTCTCCAAAAACGATGCAGTGCCTTCTCATGGTTGTGGAGTGTAGTTGCTTCACGACGTGCAACAGCATTACAATAGGTTCTTTGCGAACAGCATTTTCCCCATAGTCCAAAAAAAAATCATGGGTTCCACTTCCATGGTGGCGACTTTGTCTACAAACTAGAGTTCCATCGACTCGTGGTGGCGACGTCATTCAAAGCGCATCAAGCAATCAGGTCATGGCTGCGGCGGGCGATCGCCAGGATCAATAGGTTCTTCACCACGATGCATGATCTTGTTCGGGTGTTATTGGCGCCTTGCAGTGGCTTGAAGAGTGTGCCTTGATTGTATATGTCATCAAGTGCGGATCGGTAAGTACTGGTTAGTATGGACGTCGACGAGGAAGGTCGCTATTGTACGAAACGTCACAGTCACGTAGAGTAGTTTAGCGCACACTCGTTTCGTACAAGAGTGTGCAAGAACATCATAGCTACTACCTTCAAGACGCTCTTTGGCAGCTTTTACCGCTTTAGTAGCCAGCGCAAAAGCCTGCATAAGAGTCCAAGGTACAATCGCCGGGTCCGGTCCTCATCATTCCTTCCGTGAAGCGCCTCATGTTTGATTGGGTTGGTTCTCTCATTCGGCAAGGCTTAGTGCAGACTAGCTTGACGGACAGGCCTTGCCAGCATCACCCGCCGTCAAACCCCTACCACCCCACTCCTCTTGCGCATGCTTCAACACCACAATCACCAGCATCACGACTCAACTGATGTTGAATGCATGCACTCTATACTAGAGATCATAGCATATAATATTGCGCGTCAATGCGTGCGCATGGGTTTCAAGACATGCGTTTCGCCGAATGTTCAGCAGCCGCCAGCTGTCGAATGCTCATCCCCAATGCATGATCAAAGAGCATATGGCGCACGCCGTCATAGCAAAGGGAAGCCAACCAGTGAAAAACCAGTTTCCTTGCTGTGGGCTATTACAGAAAGACTACGCCTGTCCTATGGCCCTCTACTAATTTCGCGCCTCTCAATGAGAGCATGGCCTGGCAAACCGCGCGCGTCCGAGTCTATGCTCTTGCAGTTTGGGCCAGGCAGTTCTCACTGATGCAGGTACGGGCAGAGGCTCCTTCCAGGTCCACGTGCTCACTCGACGACCTCACTCAACCGTGCGGCACCCAGGAAACTGATTTCCCGATGCTGTGGCGCCATGGTGTTGACAGTCTGCATCACCGAGCGCTCCTTCCGTCTGGACCAAGCGCAGTTGTATCGGAGCTCAATGACATATGCCTGAATGATGGTACCTTCCTCTCGAAAGAATTCACAAACCCTCCCGCTCACTGTCGTCCATCTCCCCATGCCGTCCAACTTTTACCTCCTGCCGGTTTTCGCGAGACGTGTGCAGTGAACCAGAACGTTCAGTCCTCTACGCCCCTCAGTAGGGTTTCATACAACACTCAGCAGTGCCTATGCCATTTCCTGTGAGTGCTGGCCTCGCCTCGCAGCTAGAACCAAGCATTCGAAATCGACAGCCAGTATGCCCTCGACTGTCAAGTCTAAAGATGCCATGGCTGAAGACGACCCGGCATACGACAGTTCCGATGTCGACTTCGACGAACCCGGCGCCGAATTCAAGCATGTCGGTCACAAGTCCATAAAAGCAATGCTGGAGGCCCCTTTCTCGCGAACCGAAAGCAAGAAATGGATTAGGCAATTGACCCAAAGTGGGAAGTGGCACGAGCGATACGCCTGCTGGTTATGGTGGAATCGCTTGACAGCGTTCCGGGAGCAGCTGCTGTTGAAACCGTGAGAGGCCGTCCTAAAATCTAGTTTTTGGTTCCCTAACGCTGACCGGCATAGGAAACGTACAATGCCCACGCACGAAGACCTGACCAGGTTCATCGTTCACTTCGCCTCCATCCATAGCGGTCGAGGAACTAATGGCATCCTCAACTACGAGACCGTGCGACACGGCCTACTATATCTAAACAAGACACTGATCTTCAAGTACGAAGAGTGGCACCTCAGCGCACATGGGAGTGCTCAACTTCAAGGGGCCTTGGACCAGCTCCTGCGTGAAGGGCAGTTGACCCGTGAGTTGACCCGTTCGAGGGAACCTGTTGGAGCCGTAGTCGTTCGGCGGCTTGTGAGGGCTCTATATCACGACGCCATTACGACGGGCACACAAAGCTGGAGCATGCTACTCAATGACATCGCCATCATCGTTCTGACGGCGTGCTTCAACTGCCGGGGCGGTGATCTGCTCGGTGACTCATCCAAGGGTAAGGACAAGCGACCCGACCTTCCAGGACTTAGGTACTCCGACCTGGAGTTGGTGGTCGGCCAAGGCGGCACCATCAAAGACATTATCACGAGAGTAAAGATGAGGAACGCGAAAGGGATGAAAGATGACGAAAAGATGTTCTTCTATGTCTCCCGCAACGCCCTTCCAGACGGTTCCGACAACATCCTTTGCGCGGTCAAGATCATACTTGTCTTAGCACTTCGATCGGGCAACACACAAGGAACCTCGATTAACCAAGTGCTATCCATCGCTAAGGCGCGCCAGGATCGTACGATTAGATGGCGTCGTCCCGGTCGCCCCGTACTCTGCGCTGCAATATCAACGACGAACACCCCCGACTACGAGAGCTTAGCTCCCAGGCAAAGGGGCAACAAAATTCTGATCAAGGCCAATGCTATTCTCGGAAACACGTTATCGATGAGTATGCATGCGTTGCGGTTCGGCAGTGCTGCGGATCTGATGGCACTCGGGCCAGAAGTAAAAACTGGTTTCTCGATGGACACGCTCGCGAACGAGCTAGCTCACACCCGGACAGCTCGCTCCAAGGGCGTGGGGTTGATATATGCGCAATCGTACTCTACGAACGACGCTTGGCAGCAGCGTGTGAAGCTTACGGCAGACAAGTTTCCGTTTCAGAAACATGTGATCGCTACGAATGACCAACTCCTACTACCACAACAAGCGGATGCCGTGAGCCGAAAGCGAAAGCGGAGAGTTGCCGATGCAGAAGGGGATGGCGAAGCTCGACATCATGACACTACCCAACGTCGAGACCGGTATGACCATGAGCCGACGACTATGGAAACCCATAATGCCAAACGTCAGTCGGAAGCACCTTCATCAGCCCAATACGCCCTGGAAACTTTGCAAATACAGATCGGTGCCGGCCAGACTTCACAGGCACGACAGACCTTGCTGCAACTGATGGCACACATTGATAACACAGTGCCACCGAACCAGGAAACAAAAACCAGTTCTCAGGACATCATCAAGGACAACAAATTGGATGACGATGACAAGCATGAAGATGTTCTGCTAGACCATGCCATATTACTGAACGACATTGGCGAGCAAAGGATGGCCCCGGATCACATGCATAACGAGGCAATTGATGCATTGCTCTTGGGTGGTGAGGCTCCAGTAAAGCTGGACTCTACGAACCGGAGTCAGTTCTTATCCTCACTGACGGGCGACCCGGCCGAGTTCGTCCGGCAGATGGCGTCCGTCAACGTCATCCGAACCTCTAGCACGACGGCTAAGCAGTGGAAAGTTGCGGAAGCTGCAGGTTCCGACTCGACGACAACTGTATCTACAGCCACACGCTTCGTGTTTCCCTGTTCAAATGCATCTAACGGCTGCGGTTATACAGCAACAGATCTAGATATCATGAAGCTCCATTCGTACAACTGCGAGCACACAGCACTATTGTTACCAACAAAGGACAAGACTAAGGCCAAAGCCGGGAAATCATGGAAATGTGGAACAACAGGTTGCAACAAGTCATACGCCCGCAAAGGCGATCTGGCCGAGCATGAATTGCAAATTCATATAAAAACCAGTTGTTTTGTTTCAGGCTGTACGGACCCTACAGTATACAATGGAGAAAAGTCACTGTTTCAAGACCACATCATCCAGGAACATCCTGCTGCAGGCGCGCCGCATGCCCACCTGAAGGACCAGTACGTCGCTACCTTTAGCTGTCCTATAACCGATTGCAACTCCAATATTCAATTCAGGTTCTATTCCAGCAGATCGTGGTCCTGCGCTCCGTTTGCACGCCATCTAGAGACCGCCCATAGCATCATAGACAGACAACTGCGCAAGAGCCTCATTCCAAAATTTGCTGGCAACCCCTGCGCATTTCTAGGCTGTGTGTCTGTAGAATTATTCGGGGTCAATGAGAAGGGGAGAGCTGACTACAAAGACCATCTAGAGCTCATCCATGGAGTGGATGACGCAAACGAGAGATACGAGTATACATGGGAACGAGTCCGGGATATGGTTATGCCACTCAAGAGGTGATGACGACATGACAAGAAACTCTCTACGGAGGATATCCCTGATAGTTATAAGACAATGCGAGGCGCACGAAAGTACTTGAGATGATACGGATTACGGTGGTCATGACATTTCGCAGGAATAGTTGGACGTTATAATGTATATATATCCAGATAGGTCGCTTCAAAAACTAGTTTTCGAATACTAGCAATTTGCTCTTAACTCTAATATGTATACGGGGTATTATGGCGCCTCTAATGTTATATTACTTCGTCTGTTTTGCATCCCCATAGCACACAACAAAACGAGCGGCTCTACGCTTCTGCAGCATGGCTGAGACCGCATGCGTAGGGTGCGTCGTTTATCACAACCAGGCAAGGAAGCAATCCTCCAGATGTTACAGCGATACGGTCCATAAACCGTCAGTTTCCACGACATCTGTGACAGCAAAAGGCCATTGTCGTATCGCTCAAATCAGTACAAGATGTTACCTTGTCTTATTCACATCTTGTTGGTCATGCCGCTACTCTGCATGCTTCTTCTCGCGTGAATGATATCTGCCTTTTCCTCACACTCATTCCACTCAAAGCCAGCCCATGCCGCTCCACACCATCATTTGACAGCTCGCGCGAAAGCGTTTGCAGGTGAGAGAGCCTCGTTAATATCAAAAATACACATTCAACCTCCACCACCAACACCGACACCTTCTTTGCTTTTCAGTCTTTATCACGACGAGACTCTTAATCAATATTCTTGCGTGCGGCTAGTTTTCCCGTCACATTCGGCTTACCACAATTGTTCGACGCGCCCCGTGCCAGCCCATAACCGACTTCACCTCACATTGCGGCGTCGGAAATCGCGACGACACCAATTCCTTCTTCCGTCGCAAAACACCATCGCCTACGCAGCAGTCCAAGCAAGCATCCAGCTTCTGCCTATGATCCTCGATCTCTGCCACGCAGTCTAGACGGCATTTGGATACATCATACACGCGCCTTAGGACAGTGGTCTATCACATCAAAAGGCAGTCAAGACAAGTAAGTAAAAACTAGTTTTCTACTAAGCAGTCTGTTAAGCTAAAGAAGGTAGCCATGGTCCCAAAGTCTAAGCCCCCGAATAAGCCGTCAAGCGCGACGCCGAGAGCACGACGCTCTGCCCAGACACCCACTCTGTCCAAGCCGTCCACCATCACCACGCCTAAGAAGACCAATCCTCCACAGAAGACGAAACAGGTAAAAGCCCATCGCAGTCGGAAGCCTGATGCGGTCGACAAGGTACTCAAACCTGGTAAAGAACCAAAAGATTTCGTAAAGTTGCACAAGTATGAGGGCGAGATGGCCGGCTATACCAGATTCAATCGCGTCGACCATTTCCGGCATTTCGCCATGACGTCTACAGTTCTTCGCCCCTACGTACAGGCTTTCACGGACCGCAATGACATACAAGTGCGGCAGAAGAATGTTCTGGAGTATATTCGAGATCAGAGTGAAGAGATGAAGACGGATAAAGATCCTATCGAAATGTATCCGGTACAGAACGACGGTGTCCATGCTGTCCAGAGAATGGCCCTCGCTTGCGTGCAGATGTATCGCCAGATCGAGAGAACGGCGGCAGGAGAGCTTCCTTTCATCCAAAAGCACGAGGATGACGCCATTGCTGCTTTCACCCGTCTTACAGGCCGTAAAGTACAATCTTTCGATGCTACCACACTACAGGTTCAGAGCTTCGGGCCTTTCGCCGCCCATGGAGAAGGGGATCTAGAGCCCTACAACCGATGCTTCAATCTGCTCATGTACGTGAACTGGGCACTAAGTCCCGCGGTATGGCCTGTCAGATTTGGCAATACATCTTGGGATGAGCCCTGCGCAATCGTCACAAGCCATGTCCCACATTGGATGCGAACACGAGAGGCTGTGAAGATACAGGCTTGTCCGGCGCCGGATAGTGCACATAACGATTCGATGGAAGAAAGAAAACCCAACATCGAGGTACATGTACAATGGAAGTCTCAGGCAAAGACCCCCAAACAGCTCGAGTTGAACAGGCACCTGGAGGAGCGCGACATGAATTACGATCTTGTGAAAACGGCTGATATACTGGTTAGGCCAGCAGCGGTTGCTGCTGAGGTCCGCGACATCATCAGAGCACGGTTCAGCATGGACACCATAGACGCCCAGATCCATACCTTGCAAGTTCTCTCTTCAGAGACAAACATCATGCAAGAGAAGTGGAGCCTCGTTCAAGAAGTGCTCTGGGCACCAGATGCGGGAAAACCGGTTTTTCAGATGACTCTACGTCTGAGGGAGGAAGGGGAAGTATTATGGGAGAACGAGGAGATTCCTGGATTGAGCAAAACGGTGCTCGTCACTGACGGCGAGGACGTGCATCTAAAAGTGGTACTACAAACGTCTGACGATGATGACGACGACGGTTCGCATAACGCCCTGGTCGACACGATCAACCGGTGCGCCGGTACGAGCGTTGATACACTTGACAAGATGCTTAAGAAACACTTTGGAGGACGCAAAGAAGACTTGCTGAAGTTCTTCACGGTTGATGGCAAATCATACGATGTCGAAACGCCCGAGGGGAGATTAGGCTACCAGCGGAAGGTCATGGAGGAGTTGACCAGCCGCGACCATGTCCAATTCAAGGACGACAGCAAGAGTAGGTCTTTCGGGAAAACCCAACTCACACCTGCACAACTGCAGTTGTTCAATGATGCAAAGCAAGATGGCCAGTTGGCTGTCATGAGCCTCCCGGATGGAGGTGAGGCCCGACATTACACGCTCAACGCTGTGCATACTGGAACGCAAGGCCAAGTCGGGCTGCCCATCGAACCGAGTGCCATCGTACTCCAGATGACAGCATTCAAAGCTTCAGATGGCCGACTGATGTACCGATCTGCGCTACCAGGGTTAGAAAAAACCAGTTTCTACCCATACCAGGTCTCTGGATGTGTGGCGATGCTCGTCGCGATGTTCGGATATGTTCCTCTCCTTGAAAACGCCACGGACGAGGTCAGAAAGGTGGCGCAGAAGCTCAGAGGCCTCGCTATTGGCGGTAAATTCCTCTGCGATCAGACTGGAATGGGAAAATCGAAGTTATCGCTTCTGACGATCTACTTTGCGCAATATCACATCACGAGGAACAAAGATCACCAGCGAATCTACAAGTATACCAAGCTGGCCGTACCCTCTGGGGTTATCAAGCAATGGGCTGATGCGATCATCGATGACTTTCCGACCCTTCACCTCATGATATCATACGATGATTCGGGCCTTGGTGAGAGCAAGTATGCACGACATTTTATTAAGTCTACCGCCATGAAGAATATGGAGCACCAAGAGTTGTGGCCCGAACGGCATCGGTACATATTCGACAAGACAGATCCAAGAACAGGGGCGACTATAATTTTAACGACACACGACACGCTGCCTACGCGCACTTTGAAAGGCGAGAAGGTTATCGTCAAGGAAGGTCGGCGTTACGACCCGGATGTGCCTGCGACAGAAGAGTTCGATCCACACGAGAAACACGCGGATGGTACACCAAAACATTGGGCCATACCTCCAGTTGAGCAGACTCAATTTTTCGGAAACCAGAAGGGCATGGTAGGTATATCAATGCTGGATGAAGCTCATCGCCACAAAGACAAGGAAAGTATGCGATGGAAAGCTTTCAAAGAACTCGAAGGTGACTATGTGGTTGTAATTGGGGCTACACCGATGGCGAACGTGGGTGTTGTGAGTGGATCCAAAAACCAGTTTTTGAAATCAGCTAATCTAGAGACAGGACGCAATAGCCCAACTCGAACTCCTGTGGCCTGCTGCTCAGAGAGCTTTGAATAAAGCGACAGAAGAAGAGCAGAAATGGGTCTTGGATCGACAAAGGTCGATGAACATGTTCATAGACGGAGAGAAAGAGCTCTTAGACCCGCTTGATCCTCGACGCATTGGATTTCTACATCCTGCGACTGTCCGCCTCCTACTCGAAAAAGGAACCGTAGTCGACCAAGCACGATACTTCCATCTCACCGCAAATATACTCTGCCTCTCCCGATCGATGTCAAGCAAAATCCCGATGGATTTCGATGGCAAGGAAGTATATGACTGCAAAAACAACATGAAGCCCGTTTTCATGCAGACCCTCTCCACCGAGTTTCTACCAGAAGAGAGGTCAGAGCAGCAACTACAACACCGCGACGCGTCTCTGCGCTTTCTCCAAGCGTGTAGAGCCTCTTCCAATACAAAAACCAAAGGAGGAAAGGATCGACCTATATACCCCGTCGCTAAAATGAGAGAGTTAATGCTTACTACCGCATCTACGAAACTTCGGATCTTCAACCAGATCTGCGCGTCTATCGGTCGAGATACTTTAGTCGACTCCATGACAGTATACAGAGAGAATGGTTTCGACGGATGGGCATTTGTCAGGTTCATTTGTTTGCGGACTGGAGAGGCCGCACCTGACACCGCCATCGCCTTCATGCGCTTCATGTGTGAGGGCTCGCCCTTGCTCCGCGCGCTCATCAAGATCATATGCACAAACGATATGTTTCTCAAACCGCGCAAACACGGAAAGCTGTTTGTTCTGGACGATACGCCCCTGGTAGCCATGTTCCTTCATTGGGCCCTCAACATGATGGGTGTCAATGCGACGCTCTTCCATTCGGGCCTAACAAACGATGAGCGTAACCATATGCAAGAAGACTTTAACGACCCACACTCAGATACAGACGTCATGATCAGTTTGTATGATGTTGGTGGATTCGGCCGGAACTTCCATAACGACTGTTCCAATGGCGTGTTGAGCAGTTCTGGTAAGAATCAATCGGCGGAGACGCAAGGCATAGGTCGATTAGTGCGGGTAAGCTCTCAAAACCAGTTTTTACTAACCGATCGCATTTGACAAATATCCTCTAGGCACCACAAAAGAACGCCATTAAGATTATCAAAATCTTCGTCAAAAACAGCATATCCGCGTACAAGGAATTCAGAAAACGCGACAAAGCAATCATAGAGTTGGCTACGAGAGCTAAAGATCCTGACATCGAATCACTGCTTGTGGACGTGCTAAACGACTACCAAGTCACAATTCGCGAGGCGCAACAGGACCCGAAAAACCAGGAGCTCATGAAGAAACTAGAAACAAAGGCCATCATCGCCTCTCAACAGACTCAACTATTGGCTGTGACTGTACCAGATGCGAATGACTTAGGTACACCTGAGCAAGTGCGCCCGAAGCGGATCCCTAGACCGGTTGATCGATATTCACCCGCAGACTACGACGACGATGGACACCTAAAGGTGCTGCCAAACAATACCCCATCCAACTCTGGAAGCGAATATACAAACGATTCCGATGCAGATCCCGTCTCGTCAGACGGACAAGAGGATGATGATCACGAGGAAGACGATGATTTTGCTCTAAGTGAACGTGAGGTTGATGACGACTTCGATGGGTCACTGGTTTCTGACGATGACGATATGTCAGAGAATGAATCGGAAGCTACAAGAGAAAAGAGGAAAGCGTTGGAAGCATCAAGAGCTGAGATGCGAAACGAGAACCAAGAGCACGAGGGCATTCGACGGCTGAAATCTTTGCTCGCGTCAGACGGGTCCAAAGTGTACACAAAAAGTGACCTTGAAAAGGCCGCTACCCTGAAGCTCGCATTGGAACTGGTATATTGTGCTCGGTCAGGGATAGTCTATGATCGTCCGACAAGTATACACGTCGAAGTAAGTGACTCGAAAACTAGTTATTGTATCCAGTTAGCTAACCTTGACCCAGTATTCACACTTGCATGACAAGCTCCGCAAGGCAGTAGATGCAAAGATAAAGATTGAAGCAGATGTCCACGCCAGACTATCCGATCTGCTGGATCGTGGCAGAAAGACCGCTCCAGACCAGTCCCAACACCTGTCAGCATTGGAGCCCACCGCTGCCGTGCGACCTACAGCAACAGACTACGATACCATGAGCGACAACCAGTTGAAGGAAAAGCTCATCCAAGCGTCATGTGAGTCGGACATCAGGGAATGGACTAGAGTACAGATGCTCAGCTGGATTGAGGACAAGAACCTCGCAGAATGTAAGCGCAAGTATGGAACAAAGTACGCGAACTGGCCCGAACGCTACCTTCGGATGGAGCTGGGAAGTCGTTCAGATGAGCGGTCCACAACGGAAGCTAGCAGTGTGGGCGAGGTGACTGCGGCGTTACAGCGTAGTGATTTCACTTTAGAGTTCTGTATCCACGACTAGGTATCGGCTGCGAGGTGGAGCAACTGCAAGACATCCTGGACAACATGTATCTCGTTCGCGTCCGACATCCCACAGAAAACTAGTTTTCCGTTCGGATAAGTGGGAGCGGAGACGATGTAATGGAGGCGACTCGTCTAGTTAGATCTTGATATATCAGTTACGGGCGATCACAATATGCAGAGATTTGAAACCCCACTGAATGGTCAGGCTCCCTTTCTGATGCAACTGCATGTGACAATTGACGATACAACGATATGCAACAGAGTCCTGACACCTGCAAGGCCTTACTAACGCAAATCTGGTGAGTGGAAAACTGTCTCGCTAGCGCGGCTCGTGTTTGCCTCTACCCACAACAACATCGACACCATCATTATTCCACTGCCTTCTCGATAACCACTTCACCCCTCATCAACGCCATACATACATCATGCCCAAAAGGAAGGATATGCCTGCTGTTGCTACCACGAAACCATCACCGGATGCATCATCGCCGATCTTCTTCTATGGTCCTCACAACGTTCACGGCCAACTCAGTCAGATGTACATGAGCCCGTTTGAGAACACAGTTTTCACATACGGCGTCAGCGAAACGAGGACATATTGCTGCGCTGAGCAGTATTTTCAATTCGCAAAAGCATCCTTTGCAGGAGACACTGTGAGTTATAGCTGTTGTGGAGAAGCGGGCCTTAGCTAACGTGTGAAAGAAAACAGGCAAAAGAATCATGGAAACGAAAGATCCCTTCAAGCAGAAAAGGTTGGGAAAAGCTGTCCGCAACCTCGATGTAGAGGCGTGGAAGCAAGGTATTGCCCCATCCCTACTTTACGATAGACACGCCACTAATCCAAAGGTCAAGTCCGCTACCAGGTCGTTTTGAAAGCAACCCTCCTCAAGTTCACGGTATCCGAAAATTCAGCTGCTCTTCGCGCAGTCCTATTCGCCACCAAAAATCGAGAAATAGTTGAGGCGTCGCCGGATCCGATATGGGGTTGTGGCCTGAAGCAGGCCCAAGCGGAGAAGTTCAAGGGCACGACATGGCCTGGGAGAAGCTTGCTCGGCAAGGCGTTGATGGATATTCGCGAACGGCTCGTGAAACAAAAGAGGTTGGATCAGGCCGGGTTCGCTCCGTTCGGAGAGATTGTGACGAAAGGTGAGTGAGCATAAGCGGCATCAGGCTTCCGCTGGTGCTTATAGCAAAAACTAGTTTTGCTACTAGACATTTCAACAGACTAATAGATGTACAGAAAAGGGCGAGAAGTCTCCATGTTATAACGGAGATGAGGTGAATAAGAACCCTAGGAACGCAGCATCTTCATCCGAAACTCAACAGCAGCCCTTTCACCTAGACGATCTGTTCGACTACGAACCTTGTGCTAGTGGGGCGATAGTAGGCGACGTAGAGCAGGAGGGTGGGGTGGACACATCTATGGGCGATCACAACGTTCACAGACCCGTTGGTGCAATCCAGGGCCAGACATATTCGCAGTAAGTCAGCGAAAACTGGTTTCTAGCGGCACGCGTCTAACCTGATATTAGTTTGAATAGAGGACAAAATGACGAGGGATCACTCACACCAATGGACATTGATCGAGTCCTGAGTATACAGAACATGAAACTGTGGGATACACAGTGGCAAGTAGCCACCCCGGCTGCCATGGCGACCAATACAACACTGGAACCGGGAATCCAGCCCCATACAACAAATGATGCTCTAGATCAGAATCTCCTGCCCACAAAGGAACCGCCGATGTACTTCGACAGCAAAGTCAACGGTTTCTTGAGCAACCAGAGCATTAGCGAGTTCACCAACCAGGGTGTAGCATACCATTCAGTTGAGCAATTTGTTCAAGCCATGAAGGCCAAGTTATATGGACACATGGACGCATACGACATGATTATGGATGAGGCCGATCCACTTGCGATCGCGGAAATCCACGTCTCACTCCCTGAAACTTCCTCTCAATACATTTGGGAGTATAGCAATAGTAAGTTTACTCTGCGCTTCATACCTCAATCTCTAACATATCCTAGACGAAGGGTTCACTATGCAGAAGGGAATTCGCCTTAAGTTTGAACATTCACAGCAATCTAAAGCTCTCCAAGACCAACTTCTAACGACCAACGATCGTGTGATTGCTTATCTATCGGCTGATAATTACTGGGGTATAGGTATAGAAGCCAAGGGATTGGGTGCACACACTGGAAAATGGCCAGGTCATAACAGGATGGGCCTTATGCTGATGCAACAGCGGCAAGCCCTCAGAAACGAGCAGACGAAAGAAGTACATACAGGATAACGATAGGCCATGCAGAGGAAGTTGGTGGTGGTGGACGAGGGTAGATAGAGATCACATGACGTTACTAGGATTTTCTATCTCTCCCGCTCTGATCGTGAGCATTGGTCAAGCGCACCTCCAGGTGTTGGTCTTACAGATTGGCCAATGCTCGAGTCATAACACTATGCATGTATTTTTAAACCCGGTTTTTGTTAATTGGGTACGGCAACTTAAAATACCAAGGCTGTTTACTTTACTGATTTTGATAATTGAAGCATACAGTCAAGTTCAAACAGCAGTTTCCACATCAACTAGCCGAATGAAATAGGAGCGCTGCAAGCATGATATCTATTCCGTGACAATAGGTGTCGTTCGGCTTATGGTAATATTTTCAGAATTTCCGATAGACCGTAGTCTCGTTTGACAGTCACGGAAAACCAGTTTCGAGGTCGAACAATATACGTTGACGTACATGATGTGGTGAATACCCAAGCCGGCCTCGTGATGCATAAGCCTCGAAAAAATCGCAAGGCGTTGAGTGACCGTAGCACTAAATACCTGCTTGAGATATATCAATGCTTAGATATGTATAAGTCACATCGAAAGGAAGGAAAGAAGAGAGTGTTAAGCAAAAGGATGATCCCAAAGTTCCGAAGTCATAACTGTAGAATCGAAAAATTATTGCAGCCCGACCTCAACACGAACTGATCGTTTGATATGTGCAGACAATCAGCTCATGAATAAGACCAGCTGTCGCCAAGGCTACATCCTGTATCTTTTACACGCGGGCAGGCGCCGGAACCATTACTCAACGCATAGCACGCATAGCCCCGCGTGGAGTCGAAGTCGCGCTACCGGCACGCTAGCGTTCTGAACGCCGAAGGCACTCTCATTCATAAATCCTGGACTTTCTATCTATTGGCATCACAACCTCGCCCAAAGCTTGCACGACCAGCAACAGAGACATGCCACGCGCCGATTATCAATCTGGGTCCACGAAGAGCTCGAAGACACCGGATACAGAGTTGGAGATAACCGGACCATTCCCCAAAGGATACAGTCATGTACCAGATTAGCGCCAACAGTGGGTGAGGGCGTGAGCCCCAGCGAAGGCCGCTGCCCAAACTTTCGATGAGATTGACTACAGATTGGAAGTTTCCTATCGTCCCCAGTATCTCGCTTCTACCAGTCATGCTCCCTCTTCGTCGCCAGGGCCACTGATAAAACGATGCGCTTGTAAACCTGGCACCAAGAGCTGTTGAGACTTATTCCTCCATGCTTCAACTCGGGATCCGCACGGCGACAGGTAAAGGCGTGGCTAAAAGGTAATAGACGGAGAAGACGGGAGCCGCACACGCACCATCTCACATATATACTCAGAACCTCGTTGTAGATCCCTCTACCACTCTACAACCGCTCGACATAGCAACAAGGCTTGAATTTGAGCAAGAGCATGGAATACCGGCCTGTCGATTGAACCAAGCTCACAGTGTCAGAGCTGCAGCAGAGATGAAGACAAAGGCAAAGTCGGGTCGCTCGAACAAACGAACAGCGGAGAGGGCGAGGCTGGCTACAGACGAAGACAGAGCGACTAAGAAAACCAAGCGAGGGTGAGTTGACAGAAAACCGGTTTTTGTTCGCATGTATACTAACTAGCTTGCAAGAACCTCTGCGACAGATCCACCACAAAGCGAATCACCACAAAGCGAACCACCACAAAGCGAACCACCACAGCCCGCACTCGTCAATTGGGGACACGGTCACACGGTTTCACAGCTGAAAGCCGAGCTGAAGCGAAGAGGAAAGTCCGGATATTCCGACCTGCGGAAAGATGGTTTGATTGACCTACTTATGAAAGAAGAGCAGCCGAGGAGGAAACGTCGAAAGCCGTAGGCCTTACTCCAAAGTGCAATACACATCCAATCATGTTAACAATGAGCAGCAGAAATTCTACGCCAGAGACCCAAGCGCAGATCATAGCAGACGACCCGGATGAGCAGCAAGATTTGACTAGCTTGGATTTTGAAGGTCTACGCGACGTGCTACGTCGGCATGGCGTAGTTGACGATGACCCTCTATACTTATACTCGGATAGAGAGTCTCTCATGGGCCTGTGTCATTGCCACATCATGGATGCAGAGTATCGTAACAGCAGAGATACCGTCATGTACACTAAATGGCCCACCTTGTATCTTTTGGCAGAGTTGGAGAGTCGACAGTTTACATCCGGGTTCAGCCACGAGGATCGGCTGGACGTCATTTCTTGCTTGAGAAAGCACGATCAGTGGCTCATCGAGGCCACGGATGTCCCGACAGTTGAGCGCTGAACGCTTGACACGAGATGGCTATTCATTCCCGTGCGCATAATGCACTGCCTCCCAAAAACTAGTTTTCTTTGACATCTATTTTGATTTTGCTCTCAGCTTTACTATAATAATCAAGCACCTACTGTCAAATATGATGCACATATAGTTCAAACAGCAAGCCATGAGACGTTTCAAATTGACCAAATGCCCGAAGGCGAAGAGAAGAAAAGTTATTGCATATATATACTGGTTAACGTCATGTGGTGGCCTCGAAGGCTCGTGCACTGCGTAAGAAAGGGTCCGTGTCGATCGGACAAACCGAACTTGGAAAACAGGCTAACCTAGGACTTCTGATTCCAACAAGGCATCGGTTGATCAGTGCGTTTGAAAATCATCTATAGCCTTTGTAAGTTGGCTATCATCCACTACCTTTATGCGGCAACAACCCATGAGGTACCCAGGAGGTACCCACCCATCTCTTGCCTCATTTTGTATAAGGTACTCAGGCCGATGTATACAGCTGGCTGTAGAGAGTTGTTACGAAGTAAGAAGTAATCTCAGCGATAAGAACAGCGTATCAGTCTTGTCCGCTGCAGTTGTCACTATCGCGCATACAATTAGCAGTCTCTAACATAGCAGAACGTGCTTTGGTTACATGTAGCATTTCTTGCGTGGTCTTCGAACATAACTGACAACTGCATGCATGGTCCACCCAGGCAGTTCCAGCTGAAGGCATCCAGTCCATATCAAGCTCGGAGGAAGAAGTAATATCCTAGCAGGAGAAGAATAGACAAAATGAAAAGAGTAATGCTTGCGAAAATATTATCAAAGGAGATGTAGTTGTGTGAAATGACTAGGTGCTGGGATCGAATTTGATGTTTACCCCTCCACCCCACTTCGCGAAACTGCAAGGAGCGTCACAAGCGTGAGGCAGTCGGGTATCTCTTGAAGGCATACGCTGTGGTCGGTAGTAACATGCGAACAAGCCAAAGCAAGTGTACGTTTTTTGGAATGCGTTTTGATGTCGAGTGTGATTTGAAACAGTTAGAATCACCGTATACAAGGAAGAAGCTAGATAGGTGCTAAAAGCTCTTCGACTACGTTGCATCCTACAACCGCATATAATAAGAAACTAGGGATTATCTTATACTAATGTAGTCGTCTAAGCTATCTATATTTATATACAATATCTGTGTTTGTGTTGTTGTAGTACGCAACATCGTAGAAGGGTTTCTAGCACCTGTCTACTTTCTGCCTTATGAGGTGGAATATCGACGCTGTTCACATCACAGCTGTCGACTTTTGGAACATGAAGTCAAGTTGAAACAGTATTGCTTGAATCAGCATGACCTTCTACCAAATACAATGCGCACAAATTTCAAACAGCAAGCCATGAAACGAGACAAGAGTAACATTTCTAAAAGTGTCTACTCCTCCAATAAGTCCATAACCAATTGTGGAATGACTTGCACACCTTCGCCTTGTATTGCACTGATCGGCACAGCCTGTACATTGCGCCGCCATGCATGCTTGCGGTTGCTAGGATGAGGTTGCGCGCCCTTGCTCACTTCTTCCAGATATATGCGAAGAGCCTTAAAGTTAGCCTGTGTATCCGGCAAATCGGCCTTTGTCGCGACAACAAACCAAGGCTTCGACGAGATCGGTGTACTAGTTAGGAAGGGCAAAGGCTTTGGCGACGGGTCCAAATGCGGCGCGTCGATGAGATCAGACGCGTCACTTGGGGGCGTGCTGGTACCAGCGGGCCTGTATGTCACCATCCTGCGCTCCGTCTCCGCGTTCAGCTCCTTGCCGCGTAAAGTCTCGTACTCGGACACTTCACGCCAGAGTAGTTTGAGCGCCGCGACAGAGTCGCCAGCAGACAAGTCGATGACGAAAGCGAGCACTGCGGCGCGTTCAATGTGTCGCAAGAAGCCCAGTCCAAGTCCTTTATCTAGATGCGCGTCTTCGATAAGTCCGGGCACGTCTGCGATGGTGAAGTTCTCGCGCAGCTCTCCATTCGGTCTGCGTGATCTGACGAGTGGTCGCCCCTTGTGGTCGTCCAGAACGACAGTACCGACATTCGGCTGGAGGGTTGTAAAGGCCCAGTTGCCGACTCGCGCACGGCTATTGCTCAAAGCTCGAAGAAGCGTGCTCTTGCCAGCATTGGGTAGCCCTACCAGTCCTAGATCTGCCAGAATCTTCAATTCCAACTGCAACGATATCTTCAAGCCCTCGTCTCCACGCGTAGCCATCTTGGGCCTATTGTTGAAGGGTGTCATAAAGTGTGGGTTGCCCAACCCGCCCATCGCTCCTGCCGCAATCAACATAGGCGTCTCCATATGCTTGTCCAGGTCCAACCACATAGGCGCTTCCGGTTCGAGGGCTGCAAGATGCGATCGTCGTGGCGGAGGGAGCTTAGGGAACTTGATCCTGCTCAGCTCCGAGGGTATAGTGCCGGGATAGACCAGCCATCGATCTCTTCTGTAGCTTGGCTGCCCCTCCTCCAACTCTTCCGCGTCTTCGTCTTGCTCCATCTTCCAGTGCTCCTCCTCCATGATGGCAACTGGATCATGTCTCTGCAACTCGCGCACAATGGTTCCTACTGGCACTGTGATCAAGACGTCCGTCCCCCGCTCGCCACCTTTGACCTTGCCCTGCCCGTTGCGCCCTCTACCAGCCTTGATCTGTCGCCGGCGTGCAAGCTTGTGTAGCGATGTCTCGCCACGAACTGCTTGTATGTAGACATTACCTCCACTGCCACCGTCGCCGCCATTTGCGGGCCCTTCTTCAATGTATTTCTCGCGCAAGAATGAGACACAGCCGTGGCCGCCGGCACCAGCTTCAACAGTAAGGATGCATCGGTCGGCAAAAGGCGTGAGAGCATAATCGTCTGCTGTGGGGTCTAGTCGCGCATTCGGATGAGCATCGGGCTGCTCAGCAGACGTAGAGTTACATCTGAGCTGGATCGAAAATCGTTTGCGAAGCGGACATCTGCGCGCAGCCGAGGCAAGTGGCACCTGCAAAAAGGCGGGATACAAAAACGGCGTGAGCGTACCGCTTAGGCTATGCGGACGAGCGAACGACATGCGTTAATTGCGAACGTGGCGTAGTTGGAAAGAGATGTTCACTATCGTGATTTCCAAATGCATAGAATCGCGTCGCGGAACTAGCGAATGACGGCCCCAGATCCGATGATCTACAGCACGCTTGTACAAGCTAGTCCAACATGCCTCGGTATCCTGCAATACTCACAAGTACATATGCCTTCTTGAGCAACGTCTACTACCCTGAACAAGCATTCAATTGTTGGCACAACTTCTATCGTGACCAATCAACCTCAGCGTTCGCACCAGTGCCTGCAGAGTACCTGCAGAGTACCTGCCTCCAATACCCAATCCGCCCCCGTTGCCAATACACGACTTCGCCCCCTTCCACTAGCCCCCATCATGATTCGATGTGCCTTACTCACACTGGCATCAGTCATGCTCCGGGTTGCCAAGCCCGAATACTTCAGACTTGGTGGGAAACTTGGTCTTTCTAGCAGTCAGCTTGTAACCCTCCATTGGTACCTCAAGTGGGCGCTGCCAATATGGGCCATACTAGATTTCAACTCGGTACTAAATCGTTTCGCCGAAAGGCGATGGATTTGGAAAACCGATAAGAGTATTTGGGATTGGAAGCATGAAGTTGCTGTAGTAACAGGGGGTTCCGCGGGCATCGGGGGCTGCGTGGTCAAGAAGCTCACCTCTCACGGCATCAGGGTCGCGGTTCTGGACGTTAGCCCTCTGTCAGAGATCTTTACCAAAGGTCCGTTGTGGCATAGAATCTTCGTCACTCCTACTAATGAAGGTAGATGAACTCGCCCTCGTACGATACTACAAATGTGACATCACATCGCGAGACAATATCCACCAAGCGGCGGAAGCCATACGTTCCGACTTGGGCTCACCATCCATACTTATCAACAACGCAGGCATTGGTAACGCGTGGACTGTTCTCGATATTCCCCAACAGAATCTAAACAAAATGTTCGACATTAATCTTCTAAGCCACTGGAGTACTGTCCAAGAATTTCTGCCAGACATGCTTGCTAAGAAGAAAGGCCACATAATGGGCGTCGCAAGTCTTGCTTCCTTCGTTGCTTTGGCAGGTGCCGTCGACTACAGCTGTACGAAAGCGGCACTCTTGGCTTTTCACGAAGGATTGACGCAGGAGATCAAGCATCGCTACAAGTGCCCATCGATCCAGACCTCCATTGTCCATCCAAACTGGACCAAGTCTGCTATAACATCACATGAGGCCATTGCGGCGGGGCTGAAGAACGTTCGTGCAAACATCCTGGAGCCAGAGGATGTCGCCGAGGCCATGGTGAACCAGATAGTCGCAGTCAAGAGTGGGCAGTTGATCCTTGGTCCGGCATTATCTCCTAAGATTCGGGCACTGCCTCTTTGGATACAAGAGCTCATTCGAGATAGTCAAGCCAAGGTCGTCACCGGAGACGGCTCGACAGCGAGTGGCTAGGTGCATGAACTGTTCCTTCGAGTCAATGATGACAGGGGAGAGCGGCAGTTACGAACGGTGCGGTACGGAGCGTACCCGTTCCAGCCGCTTGGGGCCAGGAGCCTCACTGAGAATAGGGTAGGTTCCAACTAGAAACACGGTGCCGCAATTTGGGCAATCTCGTCAGAATTTTGCCGCGACGGCGAATCAGCAACACAGACGCTGTCGAGGTCGCGGATATGGCAGAAGTCTACGCCACGTCAATATCGGGGTCGGCAATCAACAGCGCTTCTTCCGTCACTTTAGCGAAGTCGATAGTTGATATTTTGCGCAGCACGCTATGGGTATGCGACAGAAATGCGACTTCTTAACTTTTAATAAACGATCAAGCGGCAGATCTCCAAAATGCGAACGATCGAGCGCCACAGCCGGGTTCTGAGCTAATCATAGGTGATGCCATAAGTATTTTCGGGGTTGTATGCAGGTGTTATGGACTCAGCCCCATGTTCTTACAGGGACCATGGAAGGTACCTCACGCCAACCCTAACTCGGCCCGAACAAAGTGTAACCACACGAAGGACTTCGCTCTTTGCGCAAGAGGCGCGGGATTCAATAGTTATATGTCGCTCCTTTGTTCTCTGTTTCGTCGTTTCCGGGTAGCTGTTGTGTTGTGTCTGCCTCGCTGTTGTTACTCTGCTTTGCTTCCCTCAAGTCATTCGTTTCAGAGCGCGTGAGCATGCAATGGGTTGGTTCGAGGGAGTTATATTCGCTTGTTGCAGTGCATCTTTGGTAGTTGGAAGTAATGTGGGATTTGGTTTGAAGAGTAAGTGAGACCTTGCATGTGTTGTGGTCGTACCTACTAATACATCTATGCAGATGCAAGACTATCTAATACACACATCACGAACGAAAGATTTCCTACACTTCTGCGCCGCGATTTACCCTTTCACAATGATACAAGTACATCCGAAACAATTCGAGCTACTTCGAGGGTTTCGATATCTACCCTTTATACATCTACAGTAGTGGAGTCTTTCACGACGTCAAGGTCAGAAAGCAGCGCGCCTTCGGCAGTCATCGTTCATGAGAGTACTCCCTCTCACCGTCCCGATACCACAACACAATACCCGGCGGTGGGACCAGATACATCGATTGGTGGAAGTAGTAATGCGCCTGCAGTAGCATCTACCATAGGCGAGTCGTCGTCGACGGCGTCACATACCGTCACGAAAGCACAACAACCATTTGCACCCTCGTCAATCTCTTTGGTCAGCCTCAGACAGACTTCTATATCTATTAACTCATCTTCGCATCCATCGCAAACTGCTTCATCAGCACATGCATCGACTACTCTCAAAGAACTACCGGTCACTTCGGATGCTAGGTCAACCCTGAACAGCCCGATACCCTCTACAGTATCGGTGAACCCAGACTCATCGCGGGTCTCAAGCATTCAGCTGCTTATAAGCATATCTTCTGCCGTCGTTTCCTCGCAGAGTACTCTTTCTACGAGCCTACAGCTACCTGCCAGCGTCAACGATCTACAACAGAGCACCCAAAGCAGCACCTCAAGCCTGACGGTCTCTGCTACTGAGACGCAACAGACTGTGACCAGGGTTTTATTGTCAGGAACCCCGATTTCCACCCTGTTGTCATCAAGCCAACAAGATGTATCGTCTGATACACAAACGGAGATATCTACTGTGGCAATACATCCTACGCAGCCGTCACTGGCTTTCTCTCAGACTGTCACCACTGATGCTAATGCGACCATTCAAAGCGCGTCTATCTCATCGGGATCCTCGCAAGCTAAAGCGACGAGTACATCGAGCCTGAAACCTCTTTCGTTCATAACTAAGGATATCGCATCTCGAACACACACCCTGCCGCTGCCAACGCCTTCAAGTGCTCTAGCAACGGCCACGGAACTGCTTCAATATCCAGTGTCTATTCCTCAAAGCTGGTCAGTATCGGGCAACCCAACAATCATCGATGGTAGCAGCGTCACGCCTCTTGCCTCAGGTTCAGCCGCCATCACAGGCGAGGCTACACCGGCCAGTATCACATCTCAACCAGCACGATCGGCTACTTTAGTAGGATTGACCAGTCTGCCAACAAACCGGAACGACACCCTATCTGGCATCTCATCAGCAACTCTATCCGTCTCAATTCGTCTCGAAAGTAGTATGGTCACCGTCAACTCGCGGGTCGACAATTCATCCTCGGGCAGCAGTGTCGCTATTTCGGCGACAGACACATTTGATGGCACTAGTTCCCGAACCCGGGTTCGAACGAACACTATCGTCGCAACGGTTAGCGACACTATAATCTTGGCAGCGTCAGTCACTAGGATGCCAGTGCAGGCGACTGGGTCGACAGCTCATTTTGCAATAGGAAACGGCACTGTTCCCTCCACAATGGTTCTTGGGACTACGTGCCTAGGAGCAACTAGCCCTTCAGTTATCACCACGAGCGGATTATCCTTCAGCACATATGAGATGCCTTCAATCAGTTCCACAATACTCGGCTCCTTTACACAAACCTTCGTCTCTTCAACGACTAGCCAAAGCTTGAGTACTGTATTGTCTACCCAAACTCCTAGAATCTCAGATGCAGTACTTAAGTCTAGCAATGCCATTACTACGAAACTAATCACCACTTCGGGATCCGTTACGATGCCATCTGCTTCCTCTTGGCCGCGCCCTTCGCTCTCAGAAGCTACTGTTGGGTGGGCAAACAACTCGCTTTCCGGCACCATCGAAGAGACTTCCACTTCTAATGAATCAGCTATTCCCACTGATTCTGTTGGCAGCTCTTATGTAAGAACATCGAGTAGCTTAGGCATGATGTTTGGATCAGGGTCTATCTCGGCTGTCACATCTGTTGCTTCCTCAACTTCCGCGTCAACAATCTCTACTCCTACTTCGAACAATACTAAACTTGCATCAATCAGCTCTACCCATGAGCCTATAAGCTCTACTCTTGGACTAATTAGCACCTTTGTGACGAAGACACAAACCCAAAGCTCGAAGCTGAGCTCGCGTATGAGTTCATCATTCATTGACATTTACGACGCCACAATAAGGACTCAAGGTGTAAACCATACACCTACCAGCAGTCCCACCGAGACAGTGGTACCGGCAGATTCACCTCCATTGACCCCATCACAGACAGCTGGGGTTGCCCTAGGTAGTACAGCTGGGGTTTTCCTTGCGATCGTCGCCGCAATCTTTGTCGCTCGCCGCTATCACGCGGTACATGCAGCGAGGCGCGAAAGCTGGGGATCTTCAGGTGTTTACCCCAAAGTCGCGTACTTGTACGATCCTTCGCTTGGCGAAAATGGTGGCAGAAATAGTGGAGATGACGAGGCACTGGCCTTCATGTCTGGTGGTGCAAGTGGATTGCCATCAACTGGGAGCAGAACACCGCCTCGTGCGCCTCAAAACTCTCTCGATTACGATCCTAGTGATTGGTCTGGCTTTAACGGACTGCAATATAGCGACCCTGGTAACCCGTTCAAAGATCCTGAAGACCCGTTCATGGACTGGAGAAGTAGTGATGCGATTGGTTCACCAAGTGACACTGTGTCTGCTCTTGCCGCTGCGGTCGCAGAGTATGGGGCAGGTCCGCAAAGGCCTCTTCCTCCTATACCGACTTCCTTGACACCACTCTTCCGCGATCATGTCATTCCATCGCCAACTTTGAGCCCCATCACCAACGGCTGCAGCTTGCGTCGCAGCCATGCACGATCATCAAGGGGAAGTAGTGTCAGGAGTCAAAGGTCTCTACGAAGCCTACGCGCCTGCCCTTCAGCGAATCCTGATTCAAAGGGTCACCCATCGAGTTCACGCGGGCCACGACAAAGTCTATCATCCATCAAGGAGGGATGCATCAACGAACCTTTCCCAGACTCGATAGAGCATGACCTTCTCCTACCAGTCGACGTCCGAACGGAAACACTGGATTCAGTGATGGTATACGCGCCGGTACCAAGGACACCAATGCGACCAGCCTTGTCAACAATACTCTCCGACGATCAGACATCCATGACTTCGTTACCAAGTATAGTCGCCGCACAGTCTCTAGCAGCTACGCAGCCTCAATCAACTAGTGGCATACTCTTCCCCACATCCAAAGACGACCAATACTCATATACTTCATTCGTTTACAACAACACCCTATCACCATCACATCCTGAGCGGCCAACTAGCGATGAAACAACCACTCAAAGGACGTATTCTATTCTCTCTTCATCCCCACTCCCACGATCGACCTCAGCACCTCGAAACAAAGGCTGGGAAGAGATCAAACGTACTTCCAACGGCTCTACCAGTCTCAGTTCGCCCTTGCCAACACCACCTCTTCATAGTTTCGCTTCACCGCGACCAAACCTCTCTCCTCTACCTCCTCTCAAGGAACGCTCCTTGATCCAACTCCGCCGCAAGACGCCACTAGCTGGCAGGGGTCAGCTAATGGCACCTACACAAAGCTCACATTCAGCTTCCTCTTCTACGCCTTTGGCAGTGAAGACGAGCTTCATGTTCAATTCGAATAAGAGTTTTGAGGGCCCAAGGATGAGTTCGCTTGCCAAAGTCAATAGCATTGGCGATATGAGAGATGAGGCAGCAAGTCCAAGAAAGCGGAAAGGGGTTGGGCTTGGATACCGCGACTCCATCTCCCAGAGGTTGGAGATGAGATCTAGGTGGAGTCCATCAGAGGTAGGAAGGACATTCTGAGTTTTTGTCTTGGCTCAGGCCACCATGTTGCATGCAGCATCTTTCCTTTCAGTCTGTTCCATCGTCACTAAGGAGGTGACGGCTTCCGTGTATTTTTCGGTCTTCAACACCTTGGTCTATCTTTACGATGCTAGTCAATACCGGTTGGGGTCTGCCTCTACGCATATCTCATTAGCCCTTCGCTATATTTCCCAAGGTTTCTTCCTGCATATTGCTGCATTTGATAACAGCATTGCTAGCGCTAGAGTCTCATTGTCTTGTGCAACTATATAATACAGTGCGCTGCAAGATGCTTCTCTCGTATATAGAGCTGGTACCACTAGAGTCTAATCATACATAATATAAACACAACATCTTATCAATTTGACAACTTTGCTAAGCTGGATCCTTCGTGCGGTCTATCCCACATGGCCAAGATACAAGGTACATGGTCAGCATCCAAAGGTAGCCATAATCATCTCTGCGAGACGGAATACCACTAGGAAGATCTTACCCTTCTCGGTAAATGTAGCGTACATCACTTTCTTGCGGTGAGTACCGCATGCAACCATCTTTCATAAGAGTCTCCAGATGTTGCATACATTGCTTAGCTGCTAAGCCCTACATGCATTACCGTCTTGCAAGAAACAAACACATGCGACACCTTCTCACACACTAAATCTACAAGCATACCACCATCAACTCAAGCCCCGCTTAATCGTATGACCCGTATCCGAACGTTCATCCCTCCTTCATCATTACCCCAAAGCAACCTTTGGGCATCCGCAAGCTCTGCCGTCAGGTTAGCCCCAAACCTTATCCCCACATCATCGACCCTACCACTGATCGTCAGTGGTTCCCATGTCCCGAGGCATATTTCCGGTTGAACACAGCGACGTAATAGGCTGGCGCCAAAGTCAGGGTAATTATGCTTGTTCCGAGGGCGCTGACGCTGACAAAATCTAAACTAAACCTTGGTTGGTATATGCAGCACACCTGCGTTTCCCCTGTCTTCATTGGCATCTGGCGTCTGTGAGCTGCTGCACGTACGATGGTGTTGCATACTGTGGGAACGAGATCAATAAAAATCTGGTCCAGGGATCGCGTGCCACACGAAGAGGAAAATGCAGGTAGCTTTTCTTTTTTGAATTTCAGCTCGTCAGCGACTACCCACTAGCGACTTGCAGTATAAGCGCGCTGCAGTGGCGGTAGTGGTGGCGGTGAACCGCGAAATGCTCAAACACCCTCGCGATCGAGCCGCAAAATGCTGGCTGGCATAGGAACGGAGCAAACTCCGTAAACCTGCGATGCACATGCAGCCTCACCCTGCTTTTCCCAGACTACTTTCCCTCTTCCGAGAGCTGCCGGGGAGAAAGGGTGTTCAGCCGAGTTCGACCGGGGGCTTCCACTTCTAGAAAGAGACAAGGACCTGCATGCATGTCTGATGAAACCAAAAAGCAAAAAGCAAAAACGTCATCCAGCATTCGCTTCGGCGATTAACAGCGAAGAGGAGATTTGCAATCTCGTATGCAGGTTGATCTGTCGTGTGATGCTCATGGTTCGCATGGGGGTATAATCTAATAGTGTTTGTACATCGTATTATTGGGACCGGAAAAGATCCGGGTCCCAAGAAATTCCCCCAGCAAACCATTTGCGGATAGCGCAATATCTGTGCTCCCCTGGGCACAATGCGGCTTCCTCCGCGTTCTTCCTAGAAGAAGATCCAGAATGTGGTAGCCAGGCTTGTATCGCAAAGATCGTTCCAGATCATGAGAGAGCCTTCAACGGTAAAGAGCTCAAAGCGAGATTCGCTACTCGAGCACATGCACCGTCAGTATCCCCATCTTTCGTGTGGCCATCAGCTTCGAGCCAAAAACAAAGGCGCCGACGGCCACCACCACTGACTTTCACATCTCCATTTGATGAATCCCCAATATGCTGATGGGCAAGCATCAAGCCAGATCTATGCCGCTGCGCTTGTTCTTCTTGCGCGCCCACACATCGTCAAGCCACTCGTGGGATCCCTCGATCTCGATGGGACCGGGGCACAATGGGAGCCTCTGTCGTTGTTTCTTCTCATACTCGCGAATCGTCAAGTGACACTCGATCTCTTGTGACATGCAGTCAAGCAGCATCTTTGCTTGTTCATGATACTGAGGGAGGGCACTAAGAGTGTTTTCAGCCACGACTTTAGCCATATCTACCGACCCTTGAGTAAGGTCGTAGAAAAGCTGACGCTTGTAGAACTCTATGGATGTGACCTGGAGGGGCGCCAGGCCGCCGAGCTCGCGTGTGAGGATTAGTGGTGCCTCCGTGTACATCCAAGATCGCACATCATGAAGTGAGTTACGATGTAGTACCTGCACGTCGAGAAGATGTACCTTAGTTGCACCTACATGAACAGCGTTCAACAGCTCCTGTCTCAGTCCATTGGCGTCTAGGCTTGAGTTGAGGATGGAGTTGTCGGAGTTAAGCTTGACGCTCTGAGTCTCAGCCTTGTTGATGCGAATACGAGCAAAGAGGGTGTGTAATTGCCCCGGGAACAACTGAGGGATCTTCTTGCGTCCGTAGGAACCCAGGAGCTCACAGCCTGGCTTGGTCCGGATGTCAATGCTCAAATCAGCCAGCTCGCCAACGGGTTTTTCAGAGCGAGCATTCTTCATGATACGCTTGATGCGACCAGACGTGGATTGGTATTTGCACCAGTTACTGGCGAACACATTCCTGCAGCAATCTCCAAGGCAGATAGTATCCTGCAACTCTGGCTCGCGACGGTAAGGGAGCAGTGCAGGGTTGATGCGATGAATGTAAAGACCCGGAAAAGACTTCGACACGTCGTGTAGAACGTGAGCCGCAGGAGACAGCACGATGACATGAGTACGATCAGCCTTCAGGTGTTTGCCATGCATAGATCTAGCTATGCCAAGGATGACGTCGGTCATAGAGGGGTTGGGTCGAGGCGGATCCCAGAGTTGCGAACCCGACTGTGCGATCCTAGAAGTCAACTCCTGGAACATCTCGTCGACATCCGCACAGACGGGTTGAAGTGGATACAGTACCTCTGGCCTGTTCCCTGTGACATCACGGTGGGTGCAGTGAGTGGTGTATAGAGCCAGGCGATCTCCGCAGCCAAGATGATACTATAAAAAGTAAGCGGATAGCTTCCGAGAGCTTCAGAGATGGTGGCTCACCAAGGCTCCGTTGACGGCGTCCAATGACCTCTTGAGACAGGCTGCAGTGACATAGTAGCTATGGGCAACGTTAGCTGGCATTGTCGATTTCATCGCGCGAGCACCTACCTGTTGTCTACCACAAAGATCACATCAATCCCGGTATCAGGTAGAAGCTTTCTGTGGTGTAGAACACCCTCAATATCGATAGCGACGCTGAATTCTTGGAACTCCTCGGTAATATGCTTTACCTCAGGAAAAAGCCTAACCGCTGCGCGCAGGGTAGTTGGCAATAGCGAGGTTGAGTCTGATACCTGTGCTTCCGACGCCTCATGATCTAAGCCTGTCGGGGATGGAAGACGCTTTGCAATGCGGCCCATCATAGAGCTGAACTTTTTTCCACTAAATGAATTTAGTAGCTGATGCACAAGATCGTTGGGGTCCACGCACTTGCGGGCATTTCGTAGCAGGTAGGCCTCGACAGCTTGATCGCCCGGATGCTCTTCCGCTGAACCTCCTTCGACCTCAACATGAGCTTCAAGCGCTACAGTGCCCGTTGGCGAGGTTGTATCCGGTGTATTACCAGCACCAGCACTTGTATCTCCGGTGTTCTGGCGACGTAAGAGGGGCAGGCCGCTCGTAAAGAGCCGCAGCTTGGACATACGCCGCCTCGGGGGTTCGAGATTGCTGATCACCCTCTCGAGAGCCTGTTGTACACTCATGTATTCAGCACCAGCAGTGAAAGCAGGGGGTTCGGGTGCATGCACAGCCTGGTTCGGCGGCGCGTCGATCAAGAACCAAGGAGGAAACGCAGTGGTATACAAAGAACGTACCGGGCCGCCATTTTCAGGCTCGTCGTGACTGTTGTTGCACGAGTGCGCCATCGGATCTCCAAAGCTTGAGTCCGACGCCGAAGAGCGACTATTTCTGTTCTTACGTATCGTCAGAGGATAGTCGCTTGGAGTGCGGCTGACGGGCAGAGGTGTAACACTCCACGACCACGGTGCCTTGAGCGGGCGCGCCCAGTCAAAGACAAACGAGTTGAAGCTATGATCGGGCGGTGACTCCCAAATATCGCTTTTGATCTCGTCGATGATGTCGTCTAACGGTCCGAACACATACTGGTCGTCGCTGTAGGTAGGGGTCGACTTACGGAATATCCGACGTCGGAATGTAGCTTTACGCGACTTCTTCTGGATGGTGAGTGGGGGTGGGCAGAGAGGCGCGCGGTCAAGGAAGATACCGCCAGTTGTTGTGATCATTGTGAACGCACTCGAAACAGCAACAAACGGAAGCCCAATCACTACGGGGCGCTCGCGATATCGCAATCAACGGTGACGTCTAATAGCCAACAGATATGGAAGATGGATAAGAAGAGTAGCCGATGCACGAGCTGAGATATGAGTTTGAGATGTGGAGATGGTGGTAAGAGGCAAATGGTGAGGTGGAATCCCAGAGTGAGTAGCGCTGCTATGAGATGAGAAGGTGCGAAGTGGTACATCAACAACCCTCTGACATTCCTTCCCTACTGGGAACGATATAAAACCTCATTCCAAGCTGCGCTTCCGTAGTGAGTTCTGGACTCATGCTTTGATAAGGAAATTGATGCCATTTGGTTCTTGAGCAGCGACCCAGCAATTACGCCTCACCAATTTGTGCGGCAGCCACTTCCAGGTGCTTCTTCATCTCGTCATGCATCTCGTCGTCCGCCTCGCGAAAGCGCATCTATTGCATGAGTAAGCTTTGGCTTAGTCAGATATCACTACAACTTACAATGTCTTCCCCAGCGCCAGTGCCGAATAGGACTGGTTCAGAAATGCTAGCCTTAACTGCTTTTCTTACGCGATCTTCCCAGACTCCCTCCCAGTTCCACTCTCCTGGTCGCCGGTTGCGTCCTAGTGCAGATGCACCTTCTGAATTCTCCGTCGTGGAAGGCTCGGGACTTGGAGACGTTGGATTTGACTGTTGAGATTGCAATATTGGGGCCCGATGCGCCCGCCACGCATGATAGGCGCCAGGGTTCGCAGCAGCCTCTAGCGGGAGTGAGTCCAATATTGATTCCTCACTAAAGGTCGAGCGGATGTACTCTAGCATGCGCACAATGGAGTATTCGGCAGTAGACTGGGAACCATCGAGGACGCCAGAGGTGACATTGGAGTCGGAACGCACGGGAAATGCACTTGAAGCTCCACTGACATCGCGAGAATTCGGTACAGACCTTCTAGCCCTGCCGAACCACTGCGGGAAGCCGTGCCGCAGACTGAACCCTCCAGGTGGCAGCCGCTCCTCGTCTGTTGCACTCACGGTTTCCATGTCGGCGGATCCAGTCGTATAAGTATACGTGGTAAGTGGCGTGAGCAACGGGTGAAAGACATCAGTGGAAAAGGTCACGAGGGGTGGTATAGCGGGATAGCTGGGTGGGAAGGATATTTGGAAGCGTAAGACTGCGGGCGCATATGGTCCTGTCAAACGTGAATAACGCCGGTCTGTAATGGCAAAGAACTCAAGACCATCGCTCAGCCCTATGGAACAGCCTACCTTTTCGCACAAATATCACACCAACCCACAGCGTCGGGTCGCCAGGCGTGATACTCAAGAAAACGCCATCAAGTTGTGCATAGCGCAGACGGGAGCTGTGCAGAGTTAGGGAATGCCGCTGCCAAGTTGTGTGCCTCGACTCACAACTCGACGAGAAGATGCTGCTTCCGAAAGGACGGGAGAGCCGACGTAGAGACAGACAACGGCATCTCATGGACAATGATGATGGTTGTAGGTCGTTCAGCTTCTTACAAGCACGGCATGTGAGATAGAGAGAGCCGAAGCGCGTGTGACGCTAGTGCTAGCCGATCTGCGCCCTCACCTGCTTCAGTCTAATGCGCTTCCCACCTACCATTCTTTGAGCGTGCAACACCACCAACGTCTCTCTATATCCCACCACGTCGCAAAAGGAGATGAGCGCAAGGTAGCATCGTAACCACTCTGGGCTACCCTTCGACGTGGCAGCCTGCAAGTGGTGTTTATCTGGCCAAATTGATTGCTCGTTGGATGCGACACCCGCGTCGAGCAGATTCAATCCATGACCTGCGGATATATTCGCAGTAACACTGCATGCACCCTTCTCAACCGCCCGATGCCGGTCTGCCGCTCAATCCTCGTCGCCTATATATGTCAGCCCCTACTCGGGACGTTGCCTGCGGCACTGGGACAAGGCTCCGACTGTATGTTGAGACCGATCAGCTGTGCCGGCACGCTCGCAACGGTCCGGCTGAACGCACACAATCGGACTCACGTCAGAATGCGACAGAGGGCGCATGACCGCGTGCACCGTTGGCACCGACGAGTCAGGGCGGAACTGGCTCTCACACACACCTACATCGTTGTAAAACGTCTGTGTTCGGGGACATGATGTTAGCGATCCCGCTCTGCGACTGCCGAGACAATCTATCCTCAAGCATCAGGACAATGAGCCTTTGCCCTCCTATGCTTATTTGGAGACGCTGTGCCGCACCTGTGATGATTGATGACCACGTCGTACAACCCTTGAATGGAAATGCGCTGGCTCCAGTTAGCTTGTTATGGGCAGCCTTACGCGACGGTGTTACATGTCGTTGCGACCAAGGACAGACGAAGCCTTGTACGTAGAGTCGACGCCGGATCGAGCAACAGGCTGCTGCAGAATGATCGGGCAGCGATAATTCCGATCGACCCACGCTGCCGGTTTCGAGGCTGGCTTTTCGTTTTTGTACACTCGTGCCGACAAGCGCGTGAACACCCCAATCCTCCGAAATCTCTCCAACCCACGCCCACGTCTGGCATCTGCTGTCATCTCCGCCGCGGCACTATGAGTTATGCTGTTGCCTAAGAGCAAAGCAGCATGGTGTCTTTTTCGGAGGATTCCATCAGAGCAATAAGAGGGCCAGGGGGCGTAATGCCAAAGGCGCTAAAAAAAGCGGTGGCTGTCTCAGACGCTTCCATCTCTTTGCGAACCCTGTCCTCGCGTGGAAATCTGCAGGCCAGCCTTACATATCCACACCGCCATGACCGCTTAGACCAGGTTGCGTCGAAACAGCCGTTGTCCCTTGACAGCTTCTCACCAGCACGCAGAGATCGCTGGAGTACCGCGACAGCTCACTTACAACACACGACGGACGCATGTCCGGGCCCACCGGAAGTCAAATTGTTGGCAACGCCTAGCTGAGCGGTCTGAACTGGGCAGCAGTACAGATGCTACGTCGCCGCAGATGGGCGCAAAGCCTGGTCAGCTGATGGAATTTCTAGGGTTATGATGCCTTGATGACTGATGAAAATGCAATCACGATGTGTGACCAGCAATGACAGATGCAAGTACCAAGCCACGTCCTGCGACCCGGTTGGGCCCAGTGCGCGGTCGTGGGAAGCTTCGAAACCATGCTGACCGGACAGGGGTGCAGAGAGATGATACCTGGGGCAACAAATGAAATCGCCGCACGCCTAGTGCCAGGTTGTGATCTGAGGGACACGAAACACGCTGCGTCGTCTTCTTCGGCCATTCAAGCGACGCGACTCGTGCCTTGTGGCGCTGACGACAACCCGGATCATCACGTCTCGCAACAAAGCGACACTGTCTAATGCGGAATGCCGCGTGACCGGTCGCTGTGCAGTTACCGAATGGCATACGGTACACCGCTATTTTTGTTTTGAGGTGGTTTGTCGGAGCAATCAAGGTATGATGCCATGACAGATGCTCATCATCAATGACAGCGAGGGCCACAACCAAGGCCCCAGCTGCGTGGTCCAAGCTGCTTCTCGAAATTCTGCGGCGAATCCTCTGACTCGCCTCACGTCAAGAGCCTGACCGCGGCGCGGTGTTCTGGTGCCCCTGAACTGGGCGCTGCGAAAATTAGCATCGCGTTGTGTTCTACACCATAGCCGGCACGACGTCCTATTTGTCGGCGGGGCACCGGCCTCTGGGCCGCTGTGTCCGTTTAGGAATGAGGACACGGCCAGCTACGGCCGGCATGTCGTTCACAGAGCGACAGGGTTTCCCCTGTCGTGGCTCGAATCAGGGCGCTAGTGCCTGTAAATGTCGGTAGAGGCATGCGGGCACTCTAGCGCCGAGGATTTGGGTCCCGGGGAGTCGGGTTGCTCTGTTGATCCTGTTCCTCTTACGAGCCACGTCCAACGCTCTTGCAACTCTTCCTGGTCCGTCTTACTCGGTTCCTTCTAGCTCGTCCAATGTCGTGGATTCCGCCCAACCCGGACCGGTTTGTTCGATGAGCAGAAAGCTTCCCCAGCCCAGCCCTGGCCCACTCTCAGGGGTTTGCATTCGCTTTCGCATGCTCACACAGAGCCCGTCCGGTGACATGGAGTCACAAAAAACAGAGCTAGGTACAGCTCGGCTGCCAGCTCTGCACATTCCGGTCGCTTATCGACAGACGGTGGGCTGTTTCATAGCAACGATGGCATCACGGATCCGCTACTCATTTTACATTTGCTGGTCCCTCCGCTCTCCCTATCCGCCCACACTACGTATCCATACCCACTGGCATCACCGCTTGTTCTCCGTTTCTTCCCCGCCGCCACAATCCTTGCTCATCCCAGCAGTCTATTCATTTTGAGGACGCCACTTAAATCTTGCTGCTCCTTATATACCTTGTGACGCTCGCGTCCTTTGCAAACTGACTCTGACCTCTGAGCCCTGGAGGTACTAATCTGTCGCAAACTCGCACATGTCTTCTTTGTCACAATCGACTCACACTTTACTTGACATCTACCACCTTTAGTCATAGTGCTTGACACTTTGCTTCGACTACTACCACATCTACAGCTTACCTTCACATTCGACTTTCGATACTACAACCATGGCTCGGTATGGCATGGTAGCTGCGGCGGGCAGCAATGCAACACCATTCCCAACTCGACAAATGGCCGTACTTGGTGAGCATCACATGGTTGATGGCTCGTAGCTTCTGCTAACGACATCAGCGTTATGCCGGATATGCGAACCAATCGCTTTCATGTCGATATTTCCGTACGCCTACTTCATGGTCGAATCCTTCATGACTGGACAAAGCACGGCTCAAATCTCCATGTACACCGGCATGGTTACCTCCTCGTTCGCATTCATGGAATGCATCAGTGGCATTTTCTGGGGCCGACTGAGTGATCGGGTAGGACGGAAGAAGGTGCTCCTTGGGGGTCTTTTTGGTACGGGGCTGAGCATGTTGCTCTTCGGCTTTTCCCAGAGCCTACCAATGGCATTGATCGCGCGGGCTCTCGGGGGTTTGCTCAACGGGTGAGGTCATAGTGTGATCTAGCGTATGGGCCTCGTTAACCGAATATGCAGGAACATTGGAGTTTTGCAGACTACTGTTGCTGAGCTTGTCACTGATGAGCGACACCAGCGTGAGTTTTGCCATAACTCTAATTATACGCCGCGCGAGACTGACTTTTGATAGCGCGCGCTTATTCCATCATGCCCTTTGTTTGGTGCCTTGGGTAAGAAATTACCGAACTCGTTCCGGCTTGCCCACGCTGACCGCTTTTTTTGTAGCACCATTATCGGCGGAGCGCTTGGCGGCTTGCTCGCTCGTCCCGCCAACGTAATGCCGTTTTTCCAGGACACCATCTTTGAGACGTATCCGTTTCTTCTTCCAAACCTGGTTTGCACTTGCTTCGTTGTTCTTGGCCTCACCGTCGGCATCTTATTCTTGGAAGAGACTCACGAGGATCGCAAGTACGACCAGGATCGGGGACGCGAAGCCGGGCAATGGCTTCTGCGTAAATTTTGGAAGCGAGAGGCAGAGGCAACGTTTGACGACAAGGATGCTTCGCTTGATGAAATGCGATCGATGCTGAGCGACCATGACCACAACGTACAGGCCTACCGAAGCACCGACAGCTCGCCTACCCTATGCAGCACACGAACCTCCATTTCAGAAGTACCCGAATTCGAATTGGACAAGCAGCTTGCACCAGCACCAACTTTCCGACAAGCATTTACGAAGCAAGTGATTCTAAATGTGGTTTGCTATGGTATCCTCGCTTTCCATACAATTTCTCTTGAACAACTTCTACCCATCCTCATGTCCAAGGATGTACCGACCAAGGGTTCTCAGCACCTTCCGTTCCGCTTTGAGGGTGGTTTCGGCTGGTCAACCCAAACTACTGGAGCGTTCCTCGCTGCGCAAGGCTTCCTCCAAATGTTTGCCCAAGTTATCCTTTTCCCTTGGATCAGCAAGAAGCTCGGCAGTCTTCGCACTTTCTGGATTACTCTAGCCTGCTACCCGGTTCTCTACCTCCTTGCTCCTTACCTGGCCGTCCTTCCTGAAAGTCTGCGTATTCCTGGACTTGCAGTTCTGCTGATCGCCAAGGTCACTTTCCAATCGCTCTCCTACCCGTCTCTGGCTATCATCCTTGCAAATTCATCCCCATCCAAGAAGGTTCTCGGTACGCTCAACGGAGTTGCCATGTCTTCTGCCAGCATCTCTCGCGGCTTCGGTCCAACGGTATCGGGCGCTGTAGACAGCTTGGGTACCTCTCTCCACATGTCTGGCCTCGCATGGTGGACAATTGGCGCTGTTGCTCTCCTTGGGTGGCTCCCTGGATTTGCTCTACAGGAGAGCAAGCGATCAGCCTTGATGGCACAAGAAGACGAGGAATCTCTCATCGACTCTGACGCCGAGTCTGTCATTACCCTCACCCCGGACGAAATTGAAATCGTCCTTTCAAAATAGATGCATGCAATCACGACCAAAAACAGTAACGATTGACCTCGACTTGCAGGATACGGCATAGGCCCCCCGCGGGGCGTCGACGCGCTGGTAGCGACCCTTTTCTTTTCACAACATAATTTCGGATTATAGAAACACTTTTGCGGGATACGAGGATTCCATCTCCCGCTTGGCGCATCATTATGGGTGCGAATTAGCGACATTGTTTTACAGGGCGGCATTTTGGGTCAACATTTATTAGAAGGGAAAGCTCGATTGTATTAGACACCAGCGATGGTTCGTCCCCGAGCAAGGCGTTTGTTGAAGAACACAATACCCCAGTAGCTATTAGTTTCCTTTGCTACATTTGTATGTTAGATATAGCGTGCTCTAGCACCAATTCATGACTTGGATGATTTTTTTCAAATACTGACGACGTTTGTTTTGCCATGTACATTGTGAGGAGTGCATTAGCTGCTGCATCCGAGTCAGAGCAAGACTGCAGCGGTGAGTCTGATGTTGTTCGGACCCCAGAATGGCGACCGCATTACCCGGTTGCCGCAAAACAGGTGTAGTGGTACATGCATTGCCGATGTGGTCCCTTGTACGTTACAGATGCTTCCTTTTTCCTTCTACACGTGCTTGGATCGGTGTGCTTCATGCACGTGGTGGAGAAACGGGGATCGCGAGTCAGTGACCGCCAACATGCGGATACAGGACGCCTTGCAATCCTGCTTTGGCCATGAAAAAAAGGCATCACGAGGTCATGGTCGGCATATGGATAACTGCGTGGTGACGAATGTACCATCTTCTTTTTGTGGTTCTTGGTGTTGAAGGATGGCGACGGAAGCTTGCCGAAGCCGAGGCAGTTTAGTAATGTTGCGGATGGCTGGCTTGTCCTCAGCACGACAACCATTTGGGTAGCTGGAGCCGTGACTAGAGGGCCGAAACGCGACTGATGGGAAGAAGTGAAGATGACATTTTGTTCATGTTGATAGTGAATGCACCTCATACTATATACATGGCAAAGTAGAGGTGTGCCCACATGGCGAGCATGACGTGCAGCAGCAGCAGCACCCACACTCCGCCCACGCCTATCTTCCGCTGTAGAGATAAGGCCCATAGCCGACCTGCTAGCCATCCACGAGCGGGCAAGCAGCGACTATCGCTCGCGTTGAGAATTATGGAAGACATCTTCCTCGTGCAATCGCATCCCGCAGCCCTATCTACGTCGCCTGTTGCGGTCGCTGACGTCTTAATGCAGAGTGCGGGGGAGTAAGAAGGTTGTCGCCCACCCCGTCCTGAGCTGTGAGTGAGCTTCGGAGAATAGACGCCAGACGTGCGCGAGCTTCACTAGCCCGAACCCTGCGGACTTTCTTGCCATGCGCCCTGATGAGCGGCCTCAAGCGCTCTTTGGACGAGTCGTCTCATGACGGGGACAAACCCTCGCCCTCGGACTCGTCGTCGGTGTCGACAGTGAAGCCTGCCTCGCCCGCCGCGCCCTCGTCGTCGAGCTCCTTCCGCAATGTGAGCGCCTGCAACCGCTGCCGCCTGCGCAAGAACCGATGCGACCAGCGTCTGCCCTCGTGCGCCTCATGCGACAAGGCCGGCGTCAAGTGCGTGGGCTACGACCCCATCACCAAGCGTGAGATTCCGCGCAGGTACGAAGTTTGGACGCGAGCTATCGCGAGTCGCCTCGGCTTAAGACTGACGAGCGCAACAGCTATGTATTCTACTGCGAAACCCGAATCGCATACCTCGAAAGCCTGCTGCGGGAGAATGCGATTCCCTTCCAGGACGCCCAAGACTTCAACCCAGCTTTTGTGTCGAATGGCTCCCTCACCCCACAACCCATATCCGCCGCACCGCCGCCTCGCAATGGCAATACCAAACCGACTGCTGCCCAGGCCAAAGAAGAAAGCGACAAGTACGATCGCGAGAAGCTTACCAAGCTGGTGTCAAACATTGGCATGGTCTCGGTGCAAGGCGCCAGCGACCCGAGATATCTGGGCTCAACATCCGGCATATCTTTTGCACGGGTAGTGTTTGCTGCCGTAAAGAGCTCCGTATCAGGCTCCTCGTCTGAGCGGGGAAGCAACCGGGGAGCCAAAGTAACGAGCAACGTCGTCGACAGCGGCACCTCCATGCGCGACTCCTTCTTTGGACTACAGACCAAGCCCACCATACGGCAGGCGCCCTTCCCAGACCGAGAGCTTGGTTCGCGACTCGTTGAGCTGTACTTTGAGCACGCAAACCCACAAATACCCATCTTGCACCGGGGCGAGTTCATGGAGATGTTTGAGCGCGTGTACACTTCCGGTGAACGCCATCGTACTTCACGAGAGTCGTACATGCTCAACATTGTGTTTGCCATAGGCGCTGGCATCATCCTGGGCAGTTCCGACTCCGAGGGCTCGCCGTCGTCGGATCATAGTCGCTCACCAACAAAATCACGATCATCACCACCGAGCAGCAAGAAGCGGCGACTTGCAGGCCACCAGCATCAGCCCGAGGAATACCATGCCTCTGCAATCGTGCACCTGGAGAATTTTCTGGGTTCCTCTCCCGCCGCGGACCGTCCCGACGGCTTCGGTGGTGGCCTTGAGGAACTTCAAGCTGTGCTACTGCTCGCGGGCTTTGCGCTGCTGAGACCCGTCGCCCCTGGCTTGTGGTACATTGTCGGTGTTGCTGTCCGCCTTGGAGTGGACCTAGGGTTGCATTACGAGGACGGTGTGGGTATCGACGGCGCGGGTGCGGAAGACCAAACTGCCGGAACCGCATCCTTCAAATCCGAGGGTGATGGAAATATGACAGCTGGCAGCGGCGCGAATACGTCGAAAATAGATGCCAAGGAGAGAGGTCGCAGACAGTGGGTCAGAGACCTGCGGAGACGCTTGTGGTGGTGCGTCTACTCGCTGGATAGACTGGTGAGCACGTGTGTTGGTAGACCTTTCGTAAGTACACCCTTCATTCTCGTATGGCACTACCGATCGTGTCGGTCATGTCACGATCCCACATGCATGGCACGCCACTTTTGCTAGGGGGTGCAAGGTCTATGTGGTGACGATCTGAAAGTTTGGCAATAATCCCTATCAGAATGGTCTCGTGTCTTTAGAACCACTTGGAAAAACTAACAGATGAACAGGGTATCACAGACCAGATTGTCACTACCGAATTTCCTTCACTTCTCGATGATCGTTACATCACCAAGGAAGGATTTCTGGAACCACCGGTCCATCAAGAGAAGCCCACATACAAGATTGTAGCCCATCACTACTTCCGGCTGAGGCTACTACAGTCTGAAATACTGCAAGTCCTACAGTACCGACAGGCACAGCAGGCACGAGCGAGTGGTGCGAACCAAAGCAATGACTTCATGCATACCAAGCTGCCTTCGCCATTCTTGATCAATTTTGAGTCGTTCCGCGCCTGGCGCGTAGATATCGACAGGCGGTTACTGGAATGGAAAGACTCCGCGCCAACACAGCTGGACGCCGGTGTGCAGTTTTCACCACTGTTCCTAGAGCTCAATTACTGGCAAGCATTGATCATGCTGTACCGGCAGAGCCTGGTTGTCCCCTCTGGTCTGCAAGACGAACTGGGCAACACAGGCTCCGACATGGGAAGCCCCTCAATGAGCAATCTTGAGGAGCGCGAAGACGAAGACTTGGTCTTTCTTAAGGTAGCTGAAGCTGGCCAAAAGGTTCTGAAGCTGTATCGGCAGTTGCACCGAGTACACCTTGTCAACTACACCTTTCTTGCAACCCACCACCTCTTCATGGCTGGTAAGTTCAAACTTCCTTGGTACTCAATGGCGCTAACATGCACAGGCATATCCTTCCTCTACGCAGTGTGGCATAGCGTCCATGTACGCAGTTTATTGGTATGTCGATCTGATTCTGCTTTAAAACTGTGTATATGCGTAATTGGTGTAACATTCATTCCTAACTACTGCAGTCTCTTGATGACGTTGACTTTACCGTCCTTGCCGCAACATCCGTGTTGGGTGACCTGATCGATAAGTGCCCGCCCGCAGAAGCATGCCGCGATGCATTTGATCGAATGAGCAAAGCGACTATTCAAATGTGCATGTCCACCACAGGCTTTGGGCCACAGGCTCTGCGGTCACTACCACAAGCGCAGCAATACCATGCGCAAACTTCACCAAACACTACATATGCATCTACAGCCGATGCAGATGCCAGGTCAGACACTGATATGCAAGGTTATGGAGCAAGGAACACAAGCGGCTTCTTTGGCCACCAACAGCAACACCAGCACCAGCGACGACCAGTACCCCGCTTCGACATGAACCTCAAGGATCTCTTTTCGGACGATGAGACCGACAAGCGGTCTTTCAGTCGTGTAAGCAACCAAGTCAACGCCATGAGACCCCCTCCGACACCCATGAAATCCGAACCACGAATGCAGCCCTTTACGGCTGACCTGAAGATCTCCCCACAACTCCGCACCACCCACCAACAACAAAACAATTTCTTCGCTGCAAGTCCAAACATGACTAGCCCAAACCAACAAAATGCCTTCTCCACTACTCCACCCGCTAATCCGCCCATGCCATCACCATACCAAATCAGTAACCAGGTGCCCTACAACAACTTTGCGCAGAATGTAACATCCAGTTATCCCGATTTAGGTTTCTCTGACCTAGACTTCCTAGATAGTTTCCCCGCGCAGGGTGCAAGCAGTGGTGGGGCAGATGCAAGCAGTGGCGGAGTGCAAGACATAGGAATTGGTTTTGGAATGGGATTTGGTGACGGGACGCATGATTGGAGTGATGTAAGTTCCCACCTTACCATATAAACGACAGTATGCTAACACCACTCTCTAGGGTAATGGACTGGATCTCTTCGATGGATTTTTCTTCGGACCTGGAGGTACTGGTGGTACCGGTATGTGAAAGCCGGTGTCACAGCAACAAACATCCCTCTTGGTATACACTTGCAACGATACATGAGCATGGAGACAAAATGCCGTCGGCATGTGTATGCTGTATCTGACTTGACGACATCGAGTAAAAAGATACTAGGCAGTTGCCCTTGCAGGTTTGCGGCGCAGTCGGAAGTGTGGGGGCAATGTCGTGGGGTCAGATGGGGCAACGTATCTAGCCGGAAGGCGGCGGTCTCCGATGGATACCATCTTTTTACCATCAAATGTCGACGAATCTCTGTATATTGTATGATAGACGTCTTACGCTCAGATAAAGAGCACGTTCTGTGAAAAGAATCCAATACTGTCGTTGTCTATGCTCGAATTCAAGGTTCCAGTCACAAGTTCGCAGGATGGAAATTTTGTAGTTGTATTGATGTAATTACTTTCTCCGTCACTTTCTCTCGCGATTACTACTAGTTCTGTACTCACCCTGAAGTGAATCTACACAAAGACGTGTTCATTGAAATTCTGCAAAACCCATCTTCCGCTTTTGTCTCCTGCTGCCTGGCCGTACTCATTCTTCACTGCAACACCATAGACAGGTGATCCAAACACATTTCATATTACATCGCCATACACAAACTCTGGGCTGCCATCGTAACTTTTCCTAATGCCGTACACAGAATATTGACACAAGAAGAGAAACAACGGCCAAAACAAAAGTTTGTTGGCAGGGCTTTGTTCTCCTTCTTTCTTATTCTTTTGTGTCTCTCCCTCATCCCTTCCATTCCGAACACATGCCGTGTCGTCCCATGTCCTTATATTATATAACAGAATCTCATCTATATTCAGAACAGTTCAGCTCAGCTTCGGCCCAATTCCATCAGGGCATGTATAGTTGACTCACCCACGTACGTATGCCCTAGTATCTATATCGCCCATCATTTGATCAACATCTCTTCACCAATACACAGTCATTAACTACATCATATTGCACAAAGTGTGAGGCCTCATCAACTACGCCAGGTTGCCCATCTATAACACTAAGCGAAAGAGAAAAAGTAAAATTAACGATGTCTCTACATGGTCATCCACTACGGACCAAGCCCTTTCTCACCTACACGATTATTCTCACGCCACACTTTTAATACACAACGAAGTGCATCCGAGTGGCGCGTGGAGCGACTTAGTCTGGATCGCTTGCGGGAGCTTTGGCATCTGCAATGCAGGAGTCAAGAGGATCTGAATCAAGTGGAGATAGAGGACGATTTCGACATGGGATACTGATTCACCAAATCAAAATCATCAGACATTGAAGAATAAGCAAGAATGGAATGAACTTTTTGAATTCTTCCTTCAGCTGATGTGCAGAAGATTGTCTAAGCTAACCAGAGCATGTGGCTCGGCCTGCCCTCCATCCTCTGTCGAGGAGTGGGCGACCAGTAGTCGTGATCTTCATGGTATCGTTTTGAAGCTAACCGTTACTCCACCCATTGAACAAAAGCACAACAGCTTAGTTCATCTGCCTGACGAGCTGGTTGATGAACTCCTCACGGTTACCAAGGTCACCACCCTCGATGAAGTGCTTGAACTTGCGGGTGCGGAAACCACCGGTGGGGGAAGAGAGCTTGAAGGGCCAGAGGAAGTTGGAGACGGCCTTGAAGTTGGGGCCGACGGTGTAGATCTCGTGGATGATGTCCTCAATGCAGGTGATGCCGAACTTGCCGAGGTTGGCCTCGATGAGCTCGTTGTCGGTGATCGGCAGACGCTGCTTGTTGACCTTTCCGTAACCGCGCTTGTAGACAAGCTCGCGGACGGTCTTCAAGTTGGGGTAACCGTAGGCGACGAAAGGCTCGACGATCTTCAGCATCTCGCTGGTAGCCTTGGTGAGGCGGACGAAGACACCGTTGTTGATCTGGAGAAGACGAAGGAGCTGGAGGGTCTTGCGCTTCTTGGGGTCGATCTTGTTGATACTACTCGGGTTAGCATGCGACTGGGAAAATTCTGAACAGAGCCACATACCCCTTGATACGGACAACGAAGGCGAGGCGGGACTCAGCGGGGACGAAGAGAGAGTTGTCGCGCTTTGCGGCACGCTTGGCCTCGATGACATCGCGCTGGGCCTTTGCGTACTCCTGGGTGTACTTGGCGGCGCGCTCCTTGATGACCTCGCGCTTTTGCTTGCTGGCCTAAGAAATCTTAGCCAACTGTGATACTCCTATCTGCTTGCGCAGGTTCTGGGAGACTGTTATACCTCACGCTTCTTCTTCAACTCAGCGGCCTGAGAGTCGCTGGTCTTCTGGTGGGCCTTCTGCTTCTTGAGCACCGACTCGGGGACAGCGATGTCATTCTGGGTGGGAACGCTGGACAGATTAGCTGGGTTGCGATGAATTGACACAGCGGTGTACTCACGATGAGCGGGCCATTTTGCTGGTGGTTAGTATCCTTGTTGTTGTCGGAAGCTGGAGGAAGAAAGTTCGGCTGGCCAACTCGAAATTCATGTGCGGGCGCTAGTGGGTGCGCCAAGAGCGAGTGCAGCGCTAATGCCCCGCTCTATTGGCCCGCTCCTCGCAGCTATCGACATTTTCCTGAGAGCTACCAACTTGCGACAGCTGCTGCAGGTTTGCAAATTTCAACTTTTACATACATCTACTCGCAGCAATGGCACGAGGTGGAGGTCGCGTAAGTAGATACTGCATGCGCCACACGTATATAACGCCCACTGACTTCGCATAGGGCGGTGGTCGCAAACCATTTCGCGGCAAGGGCAAAGGTCGCGGCGGCGGCGGTGGTGGTGGAGGACGTGATACTCGCTCAGAGCCATGGTCCACCATCGAGCGCAAGAATGAGCTCTTTGAGAGCTACTACCGCATGGGAGGATTTTTGGAGGAATCAGAGTTCGAGGAGATGTGGAAGGCTCTCCAGACCGACTTGCCCAACAGTTTCCGCTTCACTGGTACCAAATCCGATGCCCTCGCAGTGCGCGAAATCTTCAAGCAGCGCTATATCCCCGCGATCGCATCCAAGCAGTTCGAGGGCAAGCCAGTGTCGCCTCCCGAGGCAGTGCAGGCCTTCCCCGATGAGCTCGTATGGCACATGAAGACCCACAAGAAGGTCATTCGACGACATGCGCCCTTTGCCGATTTCCAGAAGTTCCTCGTCGCCGAAGCCGCATCAGGAAACATTAGCAGGCAGGAAGTTGTCAGTATGATCCCGCCACACTTTCTCGACGTGAAGCCAGGAATGGTGGTCCTCGATATGTGCGCAGCACCAGGAAGCAAGTCGGCACAGCTGGCTGAGATGATCCACGGCGACGAAGAGGAGCGTGTACAGCGGGTAGCGAACGGCGAGTCGGTTGACCTTACCCAAGACGGTGACTACAGCGACGGCGGACGTTCCACAGGTCTCCTCATTGCCAACGACTCCGACTACAAGCGTGCCGGCATGTTGGTCCATCAGGTCAAGCGCCTCAACTTCCCCAACCTCATCGTCACGCAACACGACGCCTCAATCTTCCCCTCGATCGAACTGCCGAGCGACGGCAATAAGAAGCAGTACCTAAAGTACGACAGGATATTGGCTGACGTACCCTGCTCTGGTGATGGAACAGCTCGTAAGAACCCGAACGTATGGCAAAAGTGGACGCCCAAGGATGGTCTTGGTCTACATGGGCTTCAGCTACGCATCCTGTTCCGTGGTCTCCAGATGCTGAAGAAGGGCGGCCGTATGGTATACTCAACCTGCAGTCTGAACCCTGTGGAGAATGAGGCCGTCGTTGCAGCAGCCATCGAAGCTTGTGGTGGCAACTCCAAGGTCCGACTAGTAGACTGCTCAGACCATCTGCCAAACCTCAAGCGAAAGCCGGGCCTCAACACATGGAAGGTGCTTGATACATCCTCGGTTACCGCTGCAGGAGAGAAGACCGCTCACATGTTCACCAACTGGGAAGCATACCAGAAAGCCAGGGCAAAGTATGAGGCAGAAGAGCCAGAACGCCAGTTCTCCACCAAGGTTACTCCAGGATGTTTCCCACCTGTACCACAGTCCGAAGAGGAGCGTATTCCCCTCGAACACTGCATTCGTGTTTACCCACATTTGCAAGACACTGGCGGTTTCTTCATTGCCATTCTTGAGAAGCTGGACGACATCAAGATTGCGCAGGTACAGAACCCAGAGAACGCAGCCAAGGCCCAAAGATCGCATACCAACGCCGACACAACTACCGATTCATCCATCCCAACCCCTGCTGAGAATGTGATTGAAGCAGACGCCACCAAAGGAGAGTCCGCGGATGATGCTTCCGAAGCCGCGGCTCCATTGAAGCGCAAGTTGGAGGAGTCTGAAGACACTGAAGCGCCCAAGAAAGCCAAGACTGAGGATGCAGTCGCAACACCAGAGACCAAGCCAGCAACCAACGGTTCGGCTGCCCGCTTGAAGCCTGAGAACCAGTCTCAAGCCAAGGAGTACTTCGAATACCTTCCCTCTGACGATCCGACCATCGCCTCCATCATGAACTTCTTTGGCATCGACAGCCGCTTCCCACGCGACCGCTTCATGGTCAAGAACAAGGAAGGACTCTCCCTCAACAAGATCTACTACACTTCCGACCTTGCGAAGACCATCCTCTCGCTGAATAAGGATCGTGGCATGAAGTTCATACATTGCGGTGTTGTAATGTTTGTTTCGCACAAGATCAAGGACCAGGATCGTACGCAAGCGCCTTGGAGATTGCAAAACGAGGGTATCCGTATCCTTGAGCCATGGGCAAGGAAGCGGATAGTCAAGCTGGAGAAGAAGGAGACACTACATCAACTTATCCGGGAGATGTTCCCCAAGTTACCGAAAGAAGGTGACACCGGTCTTGGTGAAGTTGGTGAGCAGCTCCAGCAGATGGACGTTGGCTGCTGCTTCATCCGCGTCGAGAAGGATGAGGAGCAGGGCATTCCATTCCGCATGGTGCTCCCACTTTGGAGACATCCTGGTAGCGCCAACCTGATGGTCGACAAGGACGACCGTAAGGCCATGCTGCTTAGGTTGTTCAACGAAAAGGACACTGAGATCATCAACCACGTTGCGGACAAGGCCAAGGCAGAGCAAAAAGCTCTCGAGGCTGAAGAGGCAGGTGAAGATGATGTCAAGGCAGACGGAGAGGGAGATGTCAGTGATGGCGAGCAAGCCACCGAGGCTATGGTCGCTGAAGAGGAAGAGGGAGCTGCGAAGGTCGACGACGAGGACGTGAAAATGGGCGATGATGCCTAGGCGTCATCATCACTCAAAAGTCACTGGGACACTTTCGGCTTTGGCCCACGATCTATGGCCTGCATTTGGGTTGGCGTTTTGTTAGTTTCATCTATCATCTGCAGTATAGCTTCTTAGTCTATCACGCATACCCATGTATGAATGTCATGATGCAATTATTCAACACCTTGCGTCCAAAATACTTCATGTTTCAATCACTACCTCTGACAATCTTCATTACAAGGGTATTCTCCACTAAAGACACAAAAACGCCCAACGACAAAGCTTTGTACGCCATGAGATCATACTTGGGAAAATATAAAGATAAACCAACAACACCATTCACCCAAGGCGATACCGACTCCGAAAAAAGCCTGCCTAAGACTTCTCCTTGTCGCCTTTTGTCATCACACTCTTCCCACTCTTCGTGCTCTTACCACTCTTTGTACTCTTCAAACTCTTCTTACTCGCACTCCGCTTCAATTTCGCTTTGAGTTTACTCCATTTCTCGCGCAGACCACCGTCTTCATCATCATCGTGGTCCTTAGGCCTGTCGACGCTATCCATACTACCTCGAGGGTATTCTAGCTCACTACCCACATCGATGCTGTCATTATTCCTAGCATGCTGTTTCCTAGGTGTCTGTTTAAGAGGAGTGTGAATACCAGAGGCGACATCTTTGTTTCTACCCAGAAGCATGAATTCGAGGGTTTGCCAGGCGGGCATGTTTGCAATGGGACCGTCTTTTGAGTTTGCTTGGACATCTGGGTTCTTCCAGGGGCAGTGTTCGCGATGGGATTCGAGGAGATTGAGGCGCAGGCTTTCAATGGGTACGTCGAGCTTTTTGCTCATTTCTTCGAGGCGCGTGGCGGAGGAGAGCCAAAGACCTAGGCGCTGGAAGCAGTGGTTGCATACTGCTAGGGATATGCGGGATTCTGAGACGCCGGTCCAGCCGAAGAGGGCGAAGGCGAAGGCTACGATATCTGTGGGTGATAGGGGTGGCTCGGTATTAGATGAGGTGAAGAAGGAGGATGGTATGCGTTCAAGAATGTGTTGTATCGATGGCTCGGGGTATGTGATGTGTTCGAGGAGGGGAAGGTCGGCGGATATGGCTTTGAGGAAGCGGTATCGATCAAGCAACTCCGCTGAGCTCTTCGTGCGTGACGCGATAGGGATGTGATAAATATCCTCTGTTCATCTTGTTAGTTGTGTTGCCGCTTGCAGTGCATACGTAGTCATACCTTGACAACCGCGCTTCCTCCACAAGCAATCATCCGCATGTCCTTCTGTGATAAAGTCCTTGTATCTCTCTACCAAAGCCTCATCGATGTCGAAGGCTAGATCTTCGCTCATCTCGAGCTCCTTCCCATTGGCATCCTTGCGCTTAGGCCTCAACTTGACCGCAACGCGATTCTCACACCCGCCCTTGCAGGCCACTGTGTTCCAGATGTCGCAACTCCAGCCCCTCTTCGCCCACTCAACCTCATTGATAGCATCCGGCTTGGTGGTCCACTTTCTCACGTCCGCGAACGTCTTCAGTCTCTCTAGGAAGTGCTCTTGACTGTATGGCTGGAAGTTTGGTGCTTTGCGCGGCGTTGAGGCTTTTGGCGTTGAAGCTTTTGGCGTTACTAAGGTCTTGCCTACAACTTTGATTGTGCCTTCTCTCCGTGGAGTGAGAAGCTGTTCCTTTAGCTGTCGTATGCGCTCCTGTCCTTCGGATATGCCTCTCTGACGCTCCATACTTAGGTTTGCGCTGCGCGGACGCTTGTTTGGATGTTCAGGGCTGTCTGATTCCGAAAGCGCGGAGAGCGAAGCAGTGGATGCATTTGACTCATGGAGAGTGCTCGCGAGTGAAGTGGTTGAGTTGCTGGCGGTGAGGTTGTCGAGGAGCTTGTGAAACTTGCGCTTTGTGGTCGCAAGCGCGGGCTGCTGCTCTGTCGAGGCCATCTTTTCAGAGTGAATACAGTGCGCAGTGATGCGGATCGATGGGCGCAATGCTCCGAGTTTGATTCTGGAAGTGCGTGTGTTGTGGAGGGAGTCTTTGTGTCGATCTTTGTTTACTGTCGCGTGAGTCGGATGCACAACTTGGCTATTCACTCAGCATCCACGTGTATGTTCGGAATGATACAATATGACTTTCGTCTCGGGAGACAAGACTGCAGCCTCGAATGTCTGTGCACTAACACGAGTTGAAAGCCGTTGGTGTTGTTGCTATGGCGTCCAGGCCAAAAGCAGTAACCTCCGCCCGCAGCGCCAAGCCCAGCCCTCCATGGATGATGGGTTGCGTCAACCCACCCACCTGCAGAACCCCACCAAAGAAACGAGGGGCTGAAGATTGTTAGTGTTAGCCCATGCCCGCCCAAATTGCGCCATCAAGATTCTTTCTGCTTGCACTCGTCATCCTGGCTATCTCCATCGTCAATCCATCGTTGCTCTCTCGTAGTGTTGCTCGCCTCTCTCAGTTGAAACTTCACTTCTATCCGTCCGCCGCATTCCAACCCTCACAGCACTTACACACGAATTCGAATCGAAGCATACATACAATGGCCTACGAAAAGGAATTGGAGATTGCTCTCCTAGCTGTTCAGCGAGCATCTATCCTCACAAAGTCGGTATACTCGAGCCATTCCAAGGGCACGCTGTCCAAGAGCGACTCTTCCCCCGTCACAATCGGCGACTTCGGCGCCCAGGCCCTGATCATCGCATCGATAAAGCACGCTTTCCCCGAGGATGAAGTTGTTGGTGAGGAGGATGCCAATGATCTGCGCAAGAATGACTCGCTCCGTGACCTTGTCTGGGATCTCGTACAAGCAGCGAAGCTAGACGACAGCTCGGCGGAGGAGAAGATTGGTGGACCCATCAAGAGCGCAGATGCTATGCTGGCAGCACTTGACCAGGGAAACAGCGAGGGTGGCAGGAAAGGCAGGATCTGGGCACTCGACCCCATCGACGGCACAAAGGGCTTCTTGCGTGGTGGACAATACGCTGTCTGCTTGGGTCTCCTCGTAGACGGTGTACCTACCGTGGGTGTCATCGGCTGCCCTAACCTTCCCGTCGACGACCAGGCTCCTCTCACCCAGACAACCGGACAAGATGCCGACGACAAGGAGGGCAAGGGCGTGCTATTCGGCGCCGTCAAGGGACAAGGCGCTACAAGCCGACCATTGAGCAAAGGCGCTCTCACAGAAGCAAAGGACATCAAGATGAAGCCCCTCTCTGATGTTACTCAAGCCACATTCTGCGAGTCCGTAGAAGCAGGCCACTCATCACAAGGCGACAACGCTGCCATCGCATCAAAGCTCGGCATCACCAAGCCCTCAGTGCGCATGGACTCACAGGCCAAGTACTGCTCCATCGCCCGTGGAGCCGGTGACTTGTACCTCAGACTGCCAGTCAGCAAGACATACCAGGAGAAGATCTGGGATCACGCTGCCGGTGTTGTCCTCGTCCAGGAAGCAGGCGGTGAGGTCAGTGATGCGTACGGCAAGCCTCTTGACTTTGGTCTTGGAAGGACACTCAGGGAAAACAAGGGTGTGGTTGCTGCGCCAAAGGACGCGTTTGCAGAGGTTATCAAGGTTGTCAAGGAGGTTTTGAGTGCCAAGGAATAAACATGTTGGTGATGGTTATCAATGATACACACGGCTCTCTACTGAATTATGCAGTCTTGATTGTAATCAGCGTCAAGGTGACCATGGAATGAGTAAAGCTTTTTGCAAGAACCGTCGAAGAAGATGCTGGAGGCAGGCTAAGTATAGTGAGAACAAGTTCAACGATCGAATTGAAGCCAGATGCTACTATAGAAGAGAAACGAGAGAAAACAACAAACGCCAGGCTGCGGAACGCAAAAGGCTGCAAGTTCCCCACATAAACCTACTACGCCTACTCCCATGTTCCCTTGAAAACCCTATATGCCAACCAAAGCCGTAGCTGTTTCCCGTTATTTCACCATATTCCCCTGGGTATCACCTGCCATAGATTCCGCCGCCTCCATAGAGACTGTAAATCTCTAACCTTACTCCTTAAAGTCAATCTGATGTTTCTCTCCATTTGGCTATGATCGTAAGAGAATTTGATGCTGTGTTGTTGAAATGAGCTGTTGTTGCACTGCGGTGCTTTCACGGGTTGCTTGCCGTGCTGGCTATTTGGCATAATCTCATGCTGTAATTGTGGTTGTGGGTGTAAGAATACCCCCTCCCAGAGTATCATCGCCGGACTCGTCGACAAAGGTACTTTCAGTGCCTGCGTCGAGATCGTCTGTATCTATATCCGCCTCTGCACCGGCGTCGTTGACTCCCTCGGACTGTTCTTCTTCATTGCCGTCGTGTACGTGCTCAGGCTCGACCTCTACCGGCAGATGCAGAATGTGAGCACTCATGCCAGGCACAGGGGTGAGGTGCATCTGCGCTAGTCCCTGTTGAAGTGCTTCGACGTCCTCATTTACGTCTTCAGTCATCTCGACGTTGTTCTCTTCGTCATCGGAATGGTCGTAAGCGACATGGTAGGGCGAAGGTCCGGATGCACTGATGGTTGTCAAGTTTGCAGGTTCTTCCATGACACCGAATTCTGTCGTGACGGTAATAGAGTCTGGGCTCGGGATGGGTAGGTCGTGCGTGAGTGATGTGGAGGAGCCGTCGATGGTTTGGTTGACGGTGCTTTCGTCGTAAACTGTTGTGAAGAACTCGAACATTGCTCCGGCCAACTCATCTGCCAACCCACGCTCTTCCTTGTCCTTTCTCTGCTTCGCTATCGCGCGGAGTTGTTCTTCTTTCTTTTGTTTGATCTCCGCCTCAAGCCGGCATTTGGCGCGGACATTGGGTTTGTGCGTGCACGTTGGACAGTGATAGTTGACGGTGCAGAAACTGCATGTACAAGTTGGATTCGATGATGCACATTGCTGTAGACATATGTTAGTGAACCGATTGGAACAGATATTGGGCCTGGGCTTACATCGCAAACAAGTACTGCACATTCCGAGCACTCCTTAAGAACTCCTGGACACTGTGGCCGGCCGTCTCCTGCAGGTCTCGGAGACTGGCAGAAGTATGCACCACAACCACTCCACTGCACGGGATGCCGTGGATTGCAGGGGAGTGGAAGAGGGTTTGTGATTGCGTGATTGACTGGAGCACGTTGCGAATTCGGGGACCAAGCACTAGTGGGTCGGCCGCGAACGCCAGATACACTGAAGGAGCGTGGACGCCCAGTGCTGATAGGAACAAAAGAGAGCGAGGTTGCAAGTTGAAAAGGTTCGGGGTTTGAGATGGAATTGAAGGATGTTGTGGCCGACATATCGATTGACGAGTGTTGAGGAGCAACCATAATCTGGGACTGAGACATGGGTGTCTCGGAAGACTCAGATTCATTATCACCGGTGGAGTAGAAGTCGAGATGGGATGATGATGCGGTAGGTGTGCGTTCAGGATCCGGTGTACTGACCCTGTTTGGATTGAACTCAGGTATCACAAGGCGTTGTGGCGGCTCATTGTGTGATCGTACGTGCTCTCGCTCGGTATGCAAATCCCGATAACCACACTTGCGAACCTTTAACGCTCTAAAATCATGCTCTTTGCATATCGGATTCTTGCAAGCCCGACATGAAACTTTCCATCGGAAGCTTCGGTAGCAGTCGTTACACAGACCTCTCGGACATGTTTGTTGCTGGAGGTCAAGCGAATCCTGCTTCAGGTACGACAGGATATCAACATCCTCCCCAAGCACGTACTCATACAGGCCGTTATTCTTCAACTCCCGGATGTAATCCACAGGTCGAAGTGTATTGCTGAAGTCAGGATCTTCAAACTCCTTGGTCCGCGGCAGAGGCGCTGCACGTATCTTATCGGCTCCTCTGCCGCCTAATCCAGTACCCAGAACAGCAATACCGCCGCCACCAGAGAAGATGGGCTCGAGGCAACACCAATGCATGTTCAGTTTTGGCGGTTCTCGATTCACGGGTGGTACAGGCATGCCATTGTTCCCGCCATCTTCGGAATCCGAGGAGTCGTCATCCTGTGCGCTCTCATTCATTAGATTTGGTGATCGGGTCGCACCCGGGGCCCACCAGAAGCGATTCTGGTCAGCCTTATCCTCTTGGCTCCTGTCCTCTAATGGTGCAGAAGACCCCGACGCATGTCCGAGTGTACCGCCCAGTGTAGTGCTGTTTCCAAAAGCCAGGTTTGCGAAATGCCGTGTCTTGACTCGTTTTCTCGGTATCGGCCTATTGAAGGCACAGCTCGCACAAAGCGTCTTTCGGCACCCCATGCAGTGCATGCGGACACTACATGATTCGCATCGCTCCAGTATTGTGTCGTTGCACTGCGCGCATTTGACCTCTTCAACAAAGGCAGTGTGGCTCCTCCGCTCGTGCACTGGGACGTGTTTGCCTTCTCCTGCCGAGTTCCCGTCCTCTGGACCAAGTGGCTCGCCGTCTTCTCCTGTCTCGGCAATTTCCCATAGTCGGCCATCGTGTTCGCCCAACTTTGTCGTGCCTTCGACAGGACCGATGCGGTTGCTCGATCGCCACAATCTATCAAAGGGTACCCAAACTTCCATGTTCTGCGGTCCTGCTCTTCCTGCATGGTAATCCTTCCGTCGGTTGCACCTGCCGCCTGGTGTCGGACACCATGCTGTATCCGTCCATATTCCCAATTGGTGACATATCTCGATGAGCTGGTGGGTGGGGTCGGAGTCGGAGTCTCTCCGAATGAGGGAGGAGGGGAGATAGGGTCGGCGGCGGTGGTGTCGACAGCGGTAGGTATATAGGCTCTTCAGAGCGAGGTCCTTCTGCATCCATGGTGCGTCCTTCAAAGTGTATGGCTCTAGGAAGGGAACGATGTGGTACTTGATGGAGACGTTCTTGCAGCCTCGTACGGACAGATGCTGGAGGGTGTCTATCCGCGGGGCAAGGACGCTCCCAACCAGGGCAATTCCAGTCACGGCCGTGTTGCAGAGGTCTAAGCTGGTCAAGCGTGTCCCATTCGGCGATATGATCTGCTTGAGCAGAGCGTCGAACGAGTAGGCTTTCGACTGCCGTTCCCTGTTCTCAGGCGTCTCGTTGCCCGGCGAGCCCACTGCAACAGCGGGCTGGGGCAGCCTGAAGGAGAGCGTCTTCCATGCGAGCGGGTAGCGTTGCAGGAACTGGCGCAAATGACGTGATGTGTGGTAGAGTTCGAGGAGGGTGACGGTAGAGATCTGGGCGAGGAAGGATTCGAGAACGGGCGGGTAGGAGGTGAGGATTGATTCAAACAGACTGAGGGCGGTTCCTGGGGTGGCGGCGTGGTTCAGTGTTATCGTCTCGGTATGCGTCGTCGCCGGCTTGGAGCCATCGCGGGTGGTGCAGGCCCAAAAGTCGCCCTGGCCGCCGTGGTGTTGCGTGCTCATGCTTCGTGGGCTGCTGGCGAGTGAGGGTGTCTACACAATCACGGCCGGGGAGGAGAGAGGAGCGACATGCACGAGTGGAGCGCGTTGAGTCGTGTCGCGCAAGCGAAGGTGGTCGTGTGAGATGGCTTGGCCAGCCGTCCGGTCGCAGTCAGGGTTCTTGGACTTGGGCCAAGGATGAAGGCGATCCGTCTGCCGTGTCCGGGCGATCTCTCTGCCTCACCGATAGCCAGGTGCGACTAATACACCACCTTCACTTTGATATCCGGCTTACGGTGCCGATTGACTTCATCACAGACGCGAAACTTGACATGCCAAGCTGAGACTTTGATAGATACGCATTCGGCCCTCCTCATGCTGGTTCCGGCGCCAATCAGCCTATCAGCCAGCGGCACATTGCAGTCCCTCCTTCAGCCTTGCCGCCGCAACCCTCTGCCAACTCAACACAGAGCATCACCTGGCGACACTAGTGGGCATTGCTTTTGCTTGTTGGTAGACTTGATATTTCACGTCCATTCGCTTATGTGCGACAGTAATCACACCATCCGCGCTTGCTGTGCGACTGCTACTGAAACCCCTTTACCCCGCTGTCCTGGGACAATTCGCCACCCCTAGGGATATCATTGCTGAAGGAAACAACATCGAAACTGAGAAACATTACATAGGATACGCTAAAAGTGAATCAACCAGTGCGCCGGAATAAAACCTTGAACAAAATCATCGGCCCACGTACCCGTGCGCAATGTTCTCCGACAAAAAGAACGGGTCGCAGGGACCTGGCGCGCTACTGAATGCACACACAGGGCGGTAGCCGGAGCCCTGGGATGAGTGTGACTTATATCTGGATTAAACAATATTTCAAGCGAGATGAACACCATGCTAGAACACCCAGTTGCCCTGGGTATCGCGGTCTTCAAGGCCGTCAAACAGGACAATGTCCCATTGCTCCGATTCATCATCAGCCGGAGGCCATAGAGAGTTATCGATGAACGAGAACACTGGAAGATGCTGCCCTGTAGCCGTGGCATTCATCAACTTGCCCGCATCAGAGTCGAGGTCGAACACTGACCGCATGGGCAGCTTCATGAACTCCAATTCCACCGTCCCGAAGAACGGTATTGTATGGCGTACTTTGCCAACGGGCTGTTTGCTCGGGTCTAGCGACGAGAGGATCTTTTTCAGCACTACGGCACTTCGCGCCGCAATCCTTTCGCGTGGACTTGCGTTGCCTAACTTTTCCATTTCGCCGATAAGACGACAGATCATAGCGAAGTCTGTCCCTTTGGTCTTCTTCACCTCGCTCTTTTCCTTTGTGCCCAGCTCGATGACGATGTCGAGTGTGAGAGTGACGGCAGCAATGAAGACTCCAACCTCGGCGAAACGACAGCAGGCTTGTGTGATGTTTGAATTGCGAAGAGCGAACCATCTCATCAAGACGTTGCGGCAGGCCTGTAACGCCGTGACCTTTGAGTAGTCGTATCGATTGTCCAAATGTGCTCTGAGCAAATAAGGCAGATGGATAAACAGCTTCATTTCAAAGTGCCAGACCTGCACCATCAGCCGCTCCAGGGCAGCGAAAGACTCTGGCGACCTCGCCGTCGACGGTATGTTTGGCACCTCCCAGAAATCCTTGGGCATCTCCTTCACAAATGACTCCAGCTGCTCGTCAAGTGCCAGCGCCGCTGAATATGCTTGTGGTGAGACATCGCGATCGAGCTCCGCAACTTGTCTTGTCATGTAATTGAGTTTTGAGCGATGGAGCAGATGTGCATCGGCGTCTGGCGGAAGTGGATAGTCATCCGCGCCGAACGGGAGGCGAAGGTGCAGTCCCAGATACCGATCAAGGTCGACGAAGGAGCGCCAGATCGATTTCGCATCCGTGATCGCCGGGATCGGTGGGTTGAGGTCGTCCTGCGCAATGATGCGTTGGAATCCCATGAGGTGGGCCAGGTTCAGACCGCGTCGCACGACGAGCCACGACTGCCGTAATGAAGCACTATTCATATGGTACAGAGCTAGAAGCAATAATGTCTCAAGTCCATGCAGTGTCATCATCTGTTCATCTGAGCAAGTTACAAGTGATGTTACCGTCGAAACGTAGTTTTGCATCGTTGCGTCCAAATTCCACATGCTCGATAGTCGCGAACAGTCGAACTCTGGTGGGAGTGAGTTGATGCAGATCGCCAGATGCAAGAGCGTGCGCGCCACGATGATGGTTCGCTCTTGTCCAACGGCGTGCATGTCTAGAGCGTACGACTGTAAGTCCTTGTGAACATAAATTTCCTGGGAAGCACGGTAGATGCCTTCTAGGATCATCCACCCATTAGACGATTCGAAAATGATATCTGCATCATGTTGTGAGGGTAATAGGGCTGCCAGTGTTCGATGGTTGCTGTCATAGCCTGCGGACTGCCCTTTGGTATCTGATTTGTCGACCAACGTACGGATAGAAGGTGCTGATGTCCATGTGTGCGCTCCGAGCTGGCAACGTTAGTGCAAGCGACATGACAGAAAGAATTCGACTTACGATCCCATCGCCCAGTGAAGACATGCTGTACGCGTCACTTGGATTTCCGGACATATCCGGTTTACTTTCCTTTTCGCTAGAGCCCGAGGCAGTGAGGGTAGGGCTGTGTGGCACAGTAATGGCCGGGGCTGTGGTGGCATTTTTACGACAAACAAATCTCTCAAATAGTTGTTCAAGTTTGCATAGCCTTTCCTGGATGTGTTTCGAACATTGGTTTACTTCGTCTACCCGATCCGGTCCGTTATTGTCCATACCTACGCCAGGGCTGATGGCCGTTTGGCTCGCGTCCACTTGAACCTTTGGCTTCTTGCCTGTAGTATGTTTAGCATTTAGATCTAAGCATATATTGATGAGTCCTGGACTCACATTCCCAGTATGCCCGGCGGATACTTTTGCAAGGCCTCTTCTTAGAAGTGTTACTCGCGTTGCTTAATGAATCCATGATAATCTGAACGACAACAAATGATAAATGCGATGTAGTTGACAGAGACCCGATGTTCCTATCACGGAACCATACCAAATATGGGCGGCCATGTTACTTTCATAGTGGGGTGAACGTGTTGCGATGGCAATTGCTGATGTGGAGCTGGCTCTCGGGGCGCCGGCCGGGATTCGTCCGCAACGGAGGCCGAGAATTACTCTACTTTAGTAAGTCATACAGTTCCGCCGCTTGGTAACAGCCTCTTCGGCTCGTACAAAAGCGTGGCCACTTCAGTAATCATATTTTTACCTTAATATGTAGAAATCCCTCGTACTTCAGGCTCCCGAGATGTCCTGTTCTTCTTTGGGTCGACTCCAAAGCTCGTCCGGTGTTGAAGTTAGCGACTTGGAATTACTGAGAAACCGGCACGAAAGATGCTCCGGCGGAGGTATCCCACGAGGCGACCAGTGCTTATGCGCGTAATCTCCGCCCTGCAAGAGCACACATAACAAAGCCACGCGCAATGTTGACAAAGTCTGCTAAGTGCCCCTCGGAAACGGATACTTTGTCACCAACATGGCCTTCAAGATCGTAATTTCTGGTGTCACTGGCCGCATCGGTGCACATGTACTGTATCACGCGCTGCAAAGCCAACTCGTATCGACGGTTATCGCATTGTCACGACGGCCCCCACCCGGGATCGAGATGCACGCTAAGCTCGAGGTAGTGTTGCTTGAGGACTTTACAAAATACCCCGACGATGTGCTTGCAAAGCTATCCGGAGCAGATGGATGCATCTGGTACCCAGACACTTGCGTCTTTCGGCGCAATAATTACTGATGTCGTCAAGGTGTATGACAACAACTGCCGGTGATCCATTGTTAGAGTTAGATTATCCCAGAGCGTTTGCTGAGGCATTTGCATCGACGATGCCAATCGGTGCAAAGCCCTTTCGATACTTACACTTATCAGGCGGGATGGTTGAACGCGATCAGGAAAGATCATTATGGATGAAAGGCTCTATGCGCAAGATCAAGGTGAGCGATTATTGTATTTCTATAGACCGTGCGCGTGTACTGCAGATAGAACGGTTCAAAACAACCTGGCAAAGTGCTGACTCTGCGAAGGGTCGAGGCGAAGTTCAAATGGTCGATTTTGCGCAGGCCAACGAAAGCTGGACCACAATCATAGCTCGGCCAGGTATGGTCGTGCAAAGAGGTAGTATTATTGGAGAAGCTTCGATGATTGTTGCTGGCTCTTCTGGCTCTTTCATTCGATACGACGAGCTTGCGCTTGCACTCATTGACGCAGTTATGCATGGGAGTGAAGAGCTCTTGCTGCCTCTGGCACTTGTGCAGCGAGGTCAAAAGTTGGCGCAGGAGGCCACTAAGTAGACTCTTCGGTCAGAAAGACGGCAGACAAGGGTGGGGACAATATGACAGATTCCATTCGGTCCATGAGTTGGCGGCGAAGACACGGCGCCAAACCACCGCCTGATGCCCACCTGTAGGATGTGTTCCGCTGATAATCAGTGTCAATGTCCGGATTGCTACGTTTATGCGCCTGATCGATCGGTTTAATCTATGTGCATCGGCTATCTGCTGGTATACTCAAACTCCGATGCAATGTAACACTGCTAAAGTGGAACACTTTCAGGCGTACATATCGTCATAATCTTCTTCGTCATCGTCCGCAGGTGGTGGTAGTGGCGGCTGCTTCTTCTTCAAAAGTTCTTTGCGATCCAAAGGGCATGTTGAGTTCAGCTTAAGCCACGGTCCTATGCAGTCCAGATCGAAACGATGATCATCGTGGCAGGGCAGCTGGACTACGAGGGGATATTTGTCTATGGACATACCAATCAGCCGAGTTTCTCATGGGATGCACTGAAACATGCGACCTACCCTCGAGGAATGGGTTCACACAGATTGGGCACATATCAGAGGGCTTCAAGTCTTTCTTCGGTACCCGCTCCAATTCATCCAAGAAGCTGTCAGGCACGCCTTTCAGTTCTGTGGGTGGATCGTCAGCATTCTCGCGGAGCACCTCGATCATGTTTGCCAACAAATCCCCATGTTCGTTGTTCTCGTCCGCCGGTCGTCCGCGCATGGTCTCGAAGGCGTTGGCAAGCAAGCGAAATGCCGCCGCCATGTTCTCAGGCTGCGGTACAGCATTGGCATTTGTATGCGCGCGGGGATCCGACGTGTCCACGAGTTCGAGCTGCGAGAAAAAGGTCGAGAGGTCTGGTCGGCGTGAGGGTTGCCGCGACTTGTCGTCTTCAGTGGAGATGTTGTGTTCGACTGCCTGAGTCAATTATTGCACTGCGCATATAGTCGCCCGCACTTACCTTCGTAGCCAGACATGGTGGCGATGTTGTCAGGTCTAGAGTAGGATTTGTGTTTCGGCCGATGTTCTCGTCAGCTGAATTTATGAAGCTATGCGGAGTAAACGCGTCACAGTAGCCTACAACCCAACGAGACGGAGAGAGCGATCCCCCTCAATTGTGGCGCAGGTGGCGTTGTGCCCGTATTTGGCTTAGTGCATACTAGCCACACCCACCACTCGCCACTGGAACCCAGGACCAAACACCTCCCATTTGCGTTATCATGCCGTAGTCTTCTTTCTTGATGAGCCGCTGCCCTGTTCTCGTTACATTGACGTGTGGCGCAGTACTACCCGTCACCCCCTATGCGCGCTCATAGACTTCGAAGAAGACTTGGCACCAAGGAAGCTTATCCATGCGGTAAAGATTTTTCGCGACACCTACGCGTTCACTCAACGTAGACGGGAAGGTCAAGCGGTTGATGTCGGTCGCCGAAGGTAACTGCGGAAGAGTTGCGATGTCAGTGGGTGTCCATACCCCTATCGAGCGACGCTACCTAGGTACAGCCCTAGAGGAATCCTCATCGCCCGCTTGAAATTTGACTCCATGTGCTTATCTTTTTGATATCCGGGGAAACAAGCAAGTCAAGGCCAGGTACAAGTCTCGGCAAGATGCGACTCCATTGGAAACCACTGGCGTCCACTCGAAGCAGATAATTGGGGCGTTGTGGAGCCGATGATCCAGATCATGCACAGCCTCCTGGTGCCCGCAAGTCGTCACGCACACATTTCTTGATATACCTTACAACACAACGAAAGGGGCGCAGTCTTCGCAGCGGCAATACTGCCAGAGGAGTCGGACACAAAAGGCGAGGCAGCCTCTGTGACACTGGAGGTCTGACGCTTCACACTGCCAGTAGAAGTCTTACAGCGCACTCTATCACCGCTTTGACCAACGCCAACACTTACTACCCCCTCCTACATACTTCCCTCCATGTCGCTACTCGTCATGTCAACAGATCCTCCTTCTACTCTGGATCGACTATCGCCTTCCTGGTTACGACGCCCGATGTCTCGACGATCAACATCGCCCCAGAAAGAGTCGCGGCCGGCAACAGCAAACGGCCTACTTGCACCAGAGCCAGCACAAACATCTAGCAATAGCGATGGCTCACGATCGCCGCGCTCAAGCTCATCTGGCCGGCGTGGTTCCGTAATGGGATTAGTCAACAGATTGCGTTCGCCATCAAATGCTAGCCTCGCAAGTAACAAGTCGCAAGACGCAGACTTTAGTGAGATCGAAAATTGGTTCTTCGGATTCCGAAAGTACAACCAACTAGTCAGCAGCACCATAACGCCGAATCAGACCTATCCATCGAAGGAGTTTTCAAAAGCCACCAAAGCGCTGACGAAGAACTGTGGGGGCAAATTTCTCCACGGGTTACCGGAGGCTGTATTCGACTTTTCTCTACTATGGTGTCCTGCAGGGCAGATGACCAGAAAAAATACCAACGAACCATCCTGGAGCTGGTCCGCGTACGAAGGTCCCGTGAACTTCCCATTCGACCCAACGAGCTGCCCAGATGTTTACAAAATTCCACGAAGCGAGGGCGAGTGGTTCCAGTCAGAGGTTGTAAACTTTCACATCGGGCCTCAATCTGCGCAATATACAGTCCGACGCGAGAAGGGCAACTCCCTGCGCATCAAATATCCGCCTTATTTCCACGCGCCACGCGGGTCAGATCACAGCAATGAGTCGAATACATTACGATTCACAGCGAAAACTATCTCCGCCAACGCCTTTATCGCCGAACAAATACAGCATGAAGAGAAGGATATCCCATGCTCACACCTCATCAATGAACAGAACTTGCACTGCGGCGTCATCATGGATTACGAATCCGTGATATCCGAACCATCATCCACAGGTCCCTTCGAGTTCGTCCTGCTATCGCGCAGCTTATGGCGCGATCCCTCACCCGATAATCGGAAACCTGGTTCGAACACCATGCATCCCCCAGGTACACCAATCTGGGACGGAGAGCGGTTCTTATGGGATTCCAGGGTCGATGATCACGACGAGCAGTTTGCGACGGGACCCTGGAAGATGCTGAATGTCATGCTGATTAAGTGGGTCGGTGAGCATGCAGAGCGAGTGGCTATTGCACGGATGCACGAAGACGAGTGGAAACGACATAATCCTACGAGGTCGGACATTGTACTTCGATGAGTTTCTTTTTTGGCGACGCGCGTTTGCGAAGGACGTGACCAGATTGGTTTCAGCATGCTTGCGCGCCACATGACGCGGCCTTTTTCTTTCTGGAGCGATGAGGCGAACAGCGTAGAGGAACAGCACTTGATAGAGCGCTGTATACGCATAGGAGATAGCATGTTTTACTACATTTTATTTTGTATTAATACAACAGAATCATGTGCTCGGCACTCGATTCAAGAGTTGATGTCCGTTAAGGATATCAGACCAACGAAGCTCTCTTTACCCAACACGCTCGTATCTACTAACAGTCTTGATAGTTTTGCGACGAGCTCTTCAAAAACCATTATACTGGCGAAAGAGAAGCCGCAGAATGTTTTCGCGATGCCACCACCAGTGACGTTGGGACTAACGTGAGCAAACACAGCTACTAGGTTTTGGAAACGCAAAATACTCGAGGTGAAGGTGAACTCGAGGCGTTTGTATCTTCTCGTCTGCCCCGCTCGAGCACACTCCTGTTCTAGTCTCAATATATTACTTCTCTTTCCTTCTCTAGAGTCGCGCAAACTTTGTTCGTCGACTACTTTGTTCCATACATTCAGACAGCGCATTGCTTCTCTGAATGGTTCGGAATGGCAGCGCCAATAGATTCGGTAAAACAAGGAGATGAGCTTCAGTGTTTGTACGTGGAGGGTCGAGCTATACAGAGGGCGTTGGCGGTATTAGTTTCTCATCTCACTCCTTGTTCAAGGGCTGACCTACTGCTAGACTCTGGCATCAAATCACGGCGTATACTTGAAGAAGTATAACGACACAAGCGAGCGTATCCATGCTAATTTGGTGGACGCACAAAAGGCGAGCATAGTCACTGTGGCCAAAACTTCAATCAAAAATGCCTTTGTGCTAGTTCTCATCGATGGCACGAGTCACAAAGTATGCGACACATCGATGATCTTGATCACGAGCTGACAGTCTTTTAGTTTGTCGACGACTTGTACCGCAGTAAGCAGTCTGGAGGTGCAGCGACTGCGAAACGCCTTCGCGAGGTTGTGAGCGAGCGGGTTGCAGCCATGCTCCCCGCCATCGCACGAAGCGAATATTCTATTGTCGTTAAGATCTTCGCGTGCCTGAAGACCCTCTCGAGCCGTGCTGTCGCAGAAAAGCTTGTCGCGCCGGGCCATAGGTCGCTTGCATTTCACTTCGCGGAGTTCAACAAAGTCAGCCCATTCTTTGATTTCGTGGACACAGGCGACGAGGGTCATGTGCCCACTAAGATCACTGGTAAGACTAGCCTCTTGTACTTAATGAGTAGTGCTGACGGCCTGATATCAGAGAACCTGAGGTGGCATATGGCGATTGAACATTGCAAGCATGTGTTCTTCTGTGCCGCTGGGTCACCGAAGTACCATATCGCATTAAAACCGTATCACGGACAGACGAAGAGAGTGACAATAGTTACGGGTTCAATTGCTGATGTCGAAATCTGCACACTCGGTCTACACATGATATCATTTGCCAGAGTATTCAAAGTAGGCCCGCTGAATGCGACAAGTAACACCACTGCTATCAAGCCGGCTTCCATCGAGGTCACTGTACGACAGATCACGCCGAGGCTACGTCAAGTGTCACCTTAAAAGATATTTGACTGACACCAATCTCAGGTTCCAAATCCCTCCGCCATTTCCGTGCCGGCTACTAGTCTTATCCATGTCAATTCAGCCAGCCGAAATGCGGGTGCGCCTATTCTGTCCTCAATTTTACCCATGCGAGCTCGTCACGGCCGTGTTCCGATCAATCTGGCGAAACAGCGGCTTGATCTTCAGATGCAACTGCCTACACCTGCAGAACTCCAGGCTTACAAGGATCACACCAAGATTCAAGAGCTTTGCATTGACTTCCACTTACGTGGATACTACACCACGAAGGAGTGCGAGCTGTCTCATGGCACCTTGCTGTCAGGAGTGTACTGCGTTCTGCAATACAAGGCGCTCGGCACCCCATGTTCCGAGGGAAGCGGATGCCGTAGCTCGAACTGCGTGTACGCGCATATTTGTCAGAAGGATGAATGTGCTCGCGCGGGTGGGAAGGCAGTTCTATGTGGACTTACTGAGGCTATGCATAAGGTGGATCCGTATGTTGCTGAGTGGGTTGCGGCGAATAGTAGCGCTATGCAGAGTAGCGCGTCAATTCAGGGCAATGTGCTTCCAGTCACTACAGCTCCGATGAATGGTGGTGTCCCAGCAGCGTATATGGATGATCTCATCTCATTTTGAACCATCTTTGCGTGGACCATATGCGCTGCATGATGTTCTGGCGGTATATATTGAGGTATTTGTACAATTACTATCCATCTTGGAGTAAAAAGAGCTTCGTGAGACTGGTTGGGATCAGCCAAAGACTTCCTAGATAAGGTCTCCACCTCTGGATGATATGGGAAATGCTTTGAGCTCGATCAGATCATGGAATTGCGATGAAAACTCTTCAAGAGACTTGTTCTTCAATTACAGATGATATGGATAGAAGAACAGAGCTTACAGACACCTCATGCAAGGCAGAAACTAGACAAGTGCAAAATATGTCTTTTACTATGTTGCAGTCTACAATAGACTTGATAGGAATATTAGATATACAGATACGCATCTTAGATGCCTAAATTAGTATTAGATATTTTATAATTCTTAATTGTGTGCTAACGTAGGTTGCAGGGTAGTAAAAAATTCATCATACCTGTTTAGTTCTTTTCCCGCGTGGGGTGCGAATAGGAAGCTCAGATACATCAAGAAGGACTGTCGACCATACCTCGATGATAAGCACATCGCATTGGACTGGCTGATCCAGGTTTCGTGTATCCAGATCGGTCTGTATAGGTACCGTATCGCAAGCCAATGATACTTAGCCTCGTTGGTGTTGTGCAAACAGTCGAGCAAGCCAGATTTCACATTCTTTTCCACATCTGCTAAGATGTCAGTTGAAGACGACTTTACGCGAAACGAGTTCGAGCACTATGGATGATTGACTCTGGTAAGAAGATTCACAGGTGGACTAAAAGGAGACTCAACGCTCGAGCGTGCTACTATCACTGCGCAACAAGAGCAAAATGCCATCGCAGAAACACAAATGGAAGCGCGAATGCGAGCTTTGCTTCAGGATGAGAATCCAAGGTCGGTAAAAACATTTGTGCTTTGAACTTCAAAGGCTGACAGTGATGAAAGCGATGCTCTTTTCCACGAGGCTGAGACCGCCAGGCTTCTGCTGATGAAGACACGCCAGATGTTCGAAACACCAGAGCAGTCATCAACATTGGTAAAGCTAGGCTTGAGCCGAAAGACGGCTCGAGCGGCAGCGAATGAAGCCCTGCAGAACATGAATGTCTACGGGTTTACTCAATTGAGTGAATATGTCAACGGTCTGGAAAGTGCATGGAAGAGCAAACAGCCGAAAGTGAGATAGCATCCATGACGGCAGTCGATCAGATGTACTCTACTGACCATGTTTCTAGTCTGCTCAACGATTTCGGAGACGCCGCCAAAATATTACTGGTTTTGCACACGCGTGAGATACGGAGGTTATTCTCCGAGCTCTACGCACGCGTGTCTAACTTTTATCGCGACGCCATAGAATGGTACATGAGGAGCAGATCCTCACGGTTTTTTAGTAGCTTCAGCGAGAAGATGAAGGATCGATACGTAAAGGCCGCAAGGATATCAAGCATACCGTTACGGAGATGTATCGAGAGCAGAGCATTGCTCAATCCGCTGAGCTAAAAGTCTTTTGTATCGAACAGGAGCGGCGCGATGAGATTGTTCGATAAAGACACCAGAGTCCTGACGCCCTCAATATGGTATCCGCAGGAGAAAGAGCACAGCAACTGTTCTTGAGTTTGCATAGGAGTATGTGCATCGAAGCCTCCAGTTTTCATTCTACACCAAGTTCTGGGCGTGGCGGGTTCCCTGCTCTTAATAAAAACATCGGGTTGTCTGATTTGGTCAATCGCGCAACCGTGGGTAGACTGGTTGCAGATGTGCAGCAATATAACGTAGGAACTGAAGGTCATTCCCTCTTCGACGACGGCAGTTTTTGGCTTCCGGAGGTCGATATAGCGTTGAAACTCCACGATTGGATCGGGAATGAGACAAGCTCTCCCACGCTATGGATTTCGAGCTCGGAACTATCACCGCTTGATATACTAGGCTCATGCGCGGCTACTTTGAATGCACTGGTCGCAGCGTGGACGGCAGAGCTCCCAATCATCTCGCACTTCTGTGAGCGACCTCGGTTTGCATCCCTTGCAAAAGATCGCGACATCGAGAAAGTCGGTCTGATCGGAATGGTATACAATCTGATCACTCAGCTTTTACAATTTGAGTTCGAAGGCGACGCATTTGAAGTTGCTCAGTCGCAGGTAGAAAAGCTGAACGGTTCAGATGGAAGCTGGCTGACTGCTCTCGAGATGCTCTCGACTCTCCTGCAAGCGACTCCGCATCTTGGAATATGCGTGATAGATGGCCTAAATGAACTAACATTCGCATCGGGTGCGAGCTGGTGCAACGGCTTTCTTCAGGTCCTGTTCGAATACCAGAAGTCTTTTGCAGGCCGCTTTCGGATCCTGTTTACTACCGCTGGTCAATCTCGAGTGGTGCAGGACCACGTGAACATTGTCAACCGTGTGTTCACTCATACCGGAACACGTGAGGTCATTCGTAACGGGAAGTGGTATAACAGAGTGGAAAACTGAAGCGTAGCTGAACTTGTTAGGCATAGCGATGGAGGTGCAAAATTGTGGGGATCGAAAGCTTAGCAGTTGCTACTTTTGGACGATCAGTCTGCAATGACTCTCTTCCATGGTTTATCATGTTCGGTTACTGACTCTCGCTACTTTACAAGAGCACCGAAGCACAATGTGCTTATTGATTTTTCTTTCTGGTACTTGTCAAAAGCTGTGGGCCTTTCAAGACGTTCTTCTTTCGACGTAACATTGGAAAGAGATGATTATGGAGGGCACAGGGAACATTTTACCCTCTCTAACAGGATTCAGACTCCAGACACTTCAGCAACCATGTAAAGACATGTAGCTTCAATACCCATGTGCTGTGCAACGTCAGATCAGTAACGTGACCGCCCATGGGGCGATGCTTTGGTATCCATCACTAGCGCAAGGAGAAGGCTGGCAGATGCACAATTTCGAAGTTAAAGATAATCATTCAAAGTGATATATCAACAACGCCGCGCTTCGTATCTATCATGTAACAAGAAGTAAATCATGCATCGCATGAGACCATTACACGTACTTCGCATTCAAAACACAGCCAGCCAAGGCTATGTTAGATCCAGAACCTCGACAGCGCTTTCTCTCCATTTGCGCCTATCCTTGCCTTTTAGCACAAGCCCCGATGCGCAATCTCCCGTCTTCTCCGGACTATCCACATCTACAAAGTCCCAGGCGCCGACTACGCTCTTCCGCAGGACGATTGCTCGTTTTTTCTTCTCTCGCGTCTTCCATGCTGCGGGCGGTGATGCTCGAGATGGTGGTTGTGGTGAGGTGGATTTGTGATCTCGCGGTGATCGGCGGAGAGAGGAAGGCGACGAGTGAGTCGGTGGGGGAGATATCGGTACAGGAGCTGCAGGTCTTTCATGCGTTTCCGGTGCGCGCTCAATCACAGGTGACGAAAGTTCTGTAAGGTCGAGCGTATCCACTTTTGGAGAGAGTGAACGTGGCCTTGCCGAAATGAGTCCTGGTGATGTGAGATCCAGGGTATCGTGTTTTGGCGGGTCTGGTCTTGGTATCGCTGGAACTAGGCGTGGTGGTGTGAGATCAAGAGAATCGACTTCCGGAGGCGCTGACATGGTCTTACTGAGACGGGGCGACGTACGGCGAGGTCGGGATGTGCCGAAGACGTCTTTGATGCTCTTCTTCTTGTTAGACGTGGAGGATGTAATGAAGGCATGTGACGCGTTCGACGATATCGACGTCAATGGTGGACGCATCGTAGATGCAGCCGTGGCCTGTCGTGCGCTGGTACTTCGCTGATGTCGTGTTGACCGGTCCGGCGAAGAAAGGGTCAAATCCAACGAGTCGATTTCTTCCGATAAAGATCGAAGCTTTGGTGGAGCTGGAATTGGTACTGCATCGAGTGCTGGTGTCACATCCCGTCGTTTAGTCGGCGTCACCGATGCTCGCCATGCATCCAGTGTTGATTGCGAGGCCACAGACATACCCCGCGGCGCTCTTGTAGCCAGTACATCCTTCGTGTTCCGTGTTCTCGCTTTCTTCGCAGGTAGCTGAGAGGGCGAGGGATGTGCGGGGGAGTCCACCAAGTCCAATGTTTCTATCGTGTTCAAAAGAGGAGGAGTAGAAGGCCGATCGAGCGTGGTGCTGGTATTAGCAGGAAGTGTCTTCGAGCGTTGGATTGGAGCACGTCTTCTTCTTTTGCTCACACTTGGAGGTAGGTCTGCAAGGACAAAGGACAGCGACTTCTCGCGTTCTGGCAGTGGTGGCGGTACCGTGACTCGAGTTCCTACAGGGGATGAAGAAAGCAGATCAACCACATCGTCTTGTTGCGATGCAGGTTGCCGGGTAGGTAATGGGAGTTCAGCAGTCTTTTCTTGTGTCTTTGCGAGTGCTCGTGATGGCCTTGAGCCTGGTTTGGTCACCTTGGCGAACGTTTCGATGCGAGCCTGAGGTTGATCTCCAGCTGTTTTCGTCCGCCTGGGAGCAGCCTTAGCCTTCGGTGCAGCCTTGCCAGGCTCCTGTACGGTTGCTGCTCGCTTGGGCTTCTGCTTTGTCTGTCGTTCAACCTCCCAATCTTGGACCTTGAGCGGCACGCCAACCTTGACGAAAGTCTCCATCACCCATATCCGCGCGGCTTTCTCAGGGTCGAACTTTGTAGGACCACGCTTCTTAGGACCATCATCTTCCAAATCATCATCGTCGAGATCTGCATCTCCTCCAGCTTGTTGAGAGCTGGGTGGCAGTATGTCTATGTCATCATCCGGATCCTCGTTGCTGAGGTCGATCTTTACAAGCTCAATAGGCGTGAAGCTTACCCGCAACTCTGTACAGTTATCCGTGACTGGATGCTGTCGTTTACCGTGTAGCCCTTTGATGAGAAGGTCTTCGTCCTCTTGTACAGCCTGAATGTTGTCTGTAGGCAGTCGATCGAGGTTTGCAGCACGTAAACGTAGCTGGCGCACAACCAACGATGGTGCCAGACTGCGGATGAAGTGTTTCGCGCCTTCAAGCTTGACCCAGTCGAACGCATCGTGTGTGAACTCACGCAATCCCGAAAAGTCAAGCTCTTGATCCCAGTTGATTGATCGGCGCAGTTTATCCAACCCAGCTTGATTCGAAATTGCCGGATGTGTATAGTATCCAAGGATGTCCAATCGGGGGAAGTCATCTGGGATCTTTAGTGCGCCATGCTTGCGCTTGAAGAGTTTGCTCTCATTCGTCCTCAGCTCGTGCTGCAATCGCTCCCGCCACTCGGCCATGGCTCTGGAGTCGTTCTTCGGGATCTTACACAGATCTGCACCGAACCCTGCCTTCGCAGCCTCGCATGCTGTCTTGGGGCCGCATCCAGGTATACCCTCGGGGACATAATCTCCTCCACTCATCAGCGCAACCAAGATCATGCCCTCACGATCCAACCCTGACGGTCCGTTCTTCGTTTCGACCGCATCGTATACGTTGACGTGGGTTGGTGTCTTTCCAGACTTTTCGGGCGACCAGTTGCGTATCGTGATGCCGCTTCCAAACATGAGGGTATCAACATCCTCACTCAAAACAGCATCCACTATTCCCTCCCGCTGAAGTAGGGCGCATTCTGCCTCAGCTTCACCCGGCGCAAGATGTATAGGGTATCCAAATTGCTTCAGAAGCTGCTTTGCAAGAAACTCGGGGATAGAGGCGACATTCGGACCGGTGCGCTTGTTGCGCTTGAAGGGTGGCTTATTTGGTCCATCGAAGACGAAGACTGGATGGATCGCGAGGGAGATGAGACGAAGGAGGCGATAGTAGAAGGTGCGTAAAGCGGGGTTTGTGCCGCCTGTTCACTGTCAGCAGAGCCAAGTTTGCGCAAAGTCAAGTGAATTGACCTTTGCTAGCCTGTATCTGAAAAAGCCATATTGAGGTGTCAATAGCAATGCGCAGTGGGCGGCCGGTCTCTTCGAACTTTTCGACAGCGAGCTTAGAGAGGGCTACGCGCTTTCCAGGGCCGATCTCTTTGTAAATACTGCGCCAATTAGTACATCATGACTTCAGATAGAATGCGCAGCTTACCCATGGATACCCATCGCGACTCCATAGTCTGCGTTCGATCGTCTTGCCGGCTGCCTTGTTCGTGATGTTGCGCCTAGCTGGGAGTGATAAGATAGTTGCTCTGACAACGTCGCGTGGCCCGTCCCGCATTCTGACGAATGCACGTTTGTTCCCCACCTGTACCATTCCTATCGCACTAACAACCAAGACAACCCTCGGAACGGTTTCCAAGACATGGCGCCCCGCGGTCGAAGCGCAACGGCAGGCGACGATGCCTATACCGACCGAAGTTACGATTCGAGCCCGGATCCGCTGGCCCTCTCCTTTGACGGCAACATGCCATCATCACGACGAAAACCCTTGCCAAGAGACTCGATGGCAGGAAGCTCGCCGAGCAAGCAGAACCGCAGGCTGGAAGCGTCCGAGATGATGTTCTCGTCGCCTACCAAGTCGATGATCATGAGCACACCACGAGCGGGCGGCGCGAGCCCCTGGCGCATCAAGGTCACCGTCCAGGCCGAACCCGGAAGCGACGAAGTGAACGCCGAGTCACCATCCGTGAAGCGAGTAACGAGAACCAAGACAACGACCGTACCGCTGAAGGACCACGATGCGTCGTCTCCCGTCAAACGCCCTCGCGGCCGGCCCAGGAAGTCTGACGTAGGCGCCACCCCGAAGCCGAAGCGAAAGGGAACGCCAGTCAAGAGAGCCGCACAATTCACGTCTCCAGGTACAAATATAAAGGCTGGAGAGTCGAGCGCAGCCGACGTGGACACCGATGTACCACCCAAGAAGCGGAGAGGTCGACCGAGGAAGAACGTGCAACTACCGCCTGAGACATCAGAGACACGGGAAGGCTCTGCGGAAGATGTCACGCCTGGATACCTTCCGAGCTCAAAATCCGGGACCTCAAAGAAGAGCGCGCGCTTCGCAGATCTCCCCGGCCCCACCACCGAGACCATGAGCGATGCGCTGATGGAAGCCGAGGAATTACCCAACTTAAGCTCACCCATACAGAGGACCATGAGACAGGACCTGCGCTCGCGAAAGGGCACTCCACATGCGAACAAGGTGGTACTCATGGAGTCGGATGAGCACGAAGAGGAGGGAAGCGATGTTCTTACGCCGACAAGTGGAGAAGAAGACGGAAATCCTGTGCAAACCAGTGAAGATGTCAATGTCGATGTCGACATCTCTGAAGATGGTCATGCAAGCCTACCAACACCTAGCGAAAGCTCCGCACATTCTAGTGACGCAGGAGATGACCAAGGTCAAGCCTTCGAAGATATGGAACTCGAAGACCGAAATACCGCAAGATTCGCTTTTGACGAGGGTACGACGAGGATGGTTGACGATACAACCATCCAAAACGAGAGTTTCACCATGATCTCACTGGACACACTGCTTAGCAATGGAGCGCGTAGCCCGCCCAAACCGGACGAGACGCAGAACACCACGGCACCGACCGTCAGGTCATCACTTAGAAACGAATACATGAGACCTTCTATGGTCACGACGCATGATGCTGAACCATCAAATTCCGGAGTGCTGGCACCACCTCCGCCTCAAACTTCCACAGCGCCCACCGACCCAGTACGACCAGAACAATCGCGCTTTGTGACGCCTGTCGTAGATGCCGACCTTCCATCAGCTCCCCCCGCTCTTGAGTCCGTTCGCTCGAAATCGCAAACACCAACGCTCGGCCGTGCGGTTACTGCTGGGGTAGCTTTGCAAGGCTTGTTGGATCCCAACCGTCTTAGTCTTACGCCAGAACCTTCTCAACAAGCACTTAACCAGAAGCGCGGTTCGTTAGATGACCTATTCCGAGGCTTTAGCGAAGGAACCCGAAAGGAGCTTCAAGCAGGTCTGCGTCTCGGTGAACAGCTTGCTGAGGGTCAGATGAATGAAGAGAGTGCGCCTGCCCCTTCGAGCCCTACTAGAGGCCTTTCTACAACAGCTCCTAAACAAGGTGTGTTCCGAACGCAACGAAAATATCGTCAGTCACGTCTTCTTACACCCGAAGACCAGGATCATGTTACCGCACCAGAGGAGCCAACACCAACAGAGCCAATACCAGCAGAACCCACGGCCACGGCGAGTGAGGTGCAATATCCAGTTTTGAATGTTGAAGAAGAGGAGGAAGAGGAAGAGGAAGAAGTACCGTTGAGCCCTGCAAGGAGCGAGGGTGAGATGAGTTGGCGAGTCGACACACCTCCCGCGAAACGTACTAGCTTGACACCGAAAGACAACGAGATTGAGGAAGCCCAACCGGACCAGGCCGCAGAACAAACAAACAAACCTGCGCAATGGGACGACTACGCCGACATCTGGCAAGAGGAAGCTAGTCGCTCGTTGGTTTCAGTCGAGTCAGAGGAAGTGCCTGCAGAGAAGGAAGAGTCTTTGCATGATATCTTCACAGAGGACATCCCCACCAAGCCGGCTCGTGGTCAACTCCTAAGGGAGTGGCGTCGCAAGAGGGCGAATGAAATGCGTCACGGCGATGGGGTAGAGTCACAAAAAGAGCCCAGCCCTGCACAGGCGGAACCTGAAGTCGCAGACCAGCCAGAAGACGATGAGGAAGAGCAAGGCAGTGATGTCGTAACACCACTTTCTGAAGACAAACCGATGCAGGATGGAGACGAGTCGAGTCCGGCAAGCGAGGCCAGTGACGACACTGGTACGTTCTTCCAGTCGAACATGCCGAACATCTTCAATCAAAAGCGACCATCACGGTTTGAACAGCGAAGGCAAAGACGACAAGAAAAGGAGAAAGTGAGTTTGGAGGAGCTCCTAGACCAAGGTGAAAGCTACGTTCCGGAGTCTTCGCCGCCAATGGCAACAAAGAAGCCGTCTCCGCCAAAAAAGACAAACCCGTTCATTGACACGCCCCCTCGCTTTCCAGCTCTTATGAGCTCACCAAAGAAGAGCAGTCCTTTGAGGAGAGAGCTTCAAAGTGCTGATATCTCAACAAGCTCGGTCCAGTTTGAAGAGTCGACACTACCACTTGTGCAAAGCTCACCATTTCATACCATTGTTGATGGTGATAGCAAGATCTCTGCAGCGTCCGATCAACGACAGTTCCGCGTGGAGATGGAGGGTAACACAGCTTCTACCATAGTTCGCGTGCGCGACGAGGCGAATGAGTACCTTGACGCGTATGAGCCGCAAGAGCGGAGCCTGAACGAGATCACTGAGGTTACTGAGGAGCCAAGCAGGCTTCCATCAAGTCCACCGAAGATGCAGCAACGATTTCAGCAGAGCTTATTATCAGCACGCAAGCCTTCGCCACTTTCCAAGGTCTCGCAGCGTTCAGACGAGTCCTCCGCGCCACCATCGGCGCGTTATAGCGGACCTCAAGTTGTCGACGACTCAATAGAAAGTTCCTCCAGCGTACAGTCGCAAGTTAGCCTTGAAGCGAACGTTCGGGAACAACCAAGTATTCTGGACCGCGTCAAGTCGACCATCATACGGCCACCTCCGCCCGCACCACACCCAATCATCTCACGCCTAACACCACTTCCAAAGATCGAACCCTGGACCAGGACGCATTACAAGGCGCTCGACAAACTCTACACAACGCATCTTAAACACCCTGCCCTCTTCTGTCCATCAATCGTTCCTCCGACACCACTTTCAAACACCAACGGTTACCTCCTCCGACAATTCATCTCTAACAATGGAAACCTACCTTACGTGGGCGCTACCTTCCACGCATGGGGTTACAGCATGGTTATGACCGAGGAACTGGTCGTTATGTGCAGCGTTTTCATGCAACTTCTGAGTCTTGAGGACGAAGAGGAGTATTACGAAGTTACTGGAAAGAGGCTACAGATGGGCGATTGTGCGCCTGGTAACCTGGGTGACTTGATCACTGGCCAGGAGGTGTTGAGGCGGCTTGCTACTGTCGTTATGGGCGAGAGTGTGCGAAGAGACGAAAGGGAAGGGAGGGAGATTGATCGTAGTGGGGGATTGGAGGTCGAGTGGCCGCAGAGGGGTCGGTGATTGTTGAGCAAGTGCGTCGGATTGGATAGGCGTTTGGGATTGGCATTGGATATGATGTGATGATACCTGTTCTTTATCTCAATTGGGTTCTTTTGGAGTTTGTACGATACCAGAATACCTCGTCCACAATCTTATTTCATCTCAAGAACATTGTTGCTCCTTAGCCTGATGTTTGCACTTGTTTCATGCTCATGTCTGTGTCTGCGCTATATGCCTACTACAGCCAGTTCTAACCAGTGCAGCACAATTTGTTCAAGCAGCCTGTAGGGATACAAATCATTACTACGATCACTTCCCTGATCTAATAATGCGCTGTAGTCGCTCACGTGCTATAGTAGCCTGAGCTGAAGCGTGAACTGGTGTAGCCTGGTAAAATTTCTCAACTCGAATAATTTATGTCAAAAGAAGAACAAAAGGCGCAGTATTCTCATCTACGCATGCGTGAATACGTGTCGGGAAGATATGTACCTGCTGTGATAAGAGAAAAGGCAAAAAAGAAGATATTGGGCTCAACCGGGATTTGACTAACACATGTTAGTGATTGATACTTGACTGTTTCGAACTGGCAACTTACACCCGGGACCTCCTGCACTTAAGCTTGGGAACCCCTGTTGGTGTTGTTAGGACACTGCCCATCTTGTAGCACATTGGCGTATAGAGCTTACAAAGCAGGAATCATGCGACTAGACCATTGAGCCGTTGATTGGTTGTTTTTGATGACTAAGAGCAAGATTAGTTGTTATATGTTGGCAATTTTGTGGTTGAGGTAGTGGTGTTCGGATTGGGCCATTTTTTCGAAGTTTGCCTCTTCTGTGGACATTCACACAGAGACTGAGACAACCAATCGAGACCCAGATGTGGAATTGCGGTGTGGGCGTTTTTAAATTTGGTTGGTAGTAAGTGGAGATAGTGGAGAATGGCGGGGGAAGAGCAGACTCCTTGACATGCAGAAGTGCCTCAACAAGCTGAGAGCATAACAGACTAATCATCACCATATGCTCTAGAGCATGTAGAAAGTTTACTTGAGAAGAGAAAATGATCTTTTTTTTAGAGACATCGAATTTTGCTTCTAAATTGTATTGCAAGTCTATGTTCGCTTTTCCGCTTGTACAAAGCCTGACCCGTGAGCGGCGCGACGGCGGCTATACGCGATTGCAATTCGAGACACATGGAAGCTGGCTCGCTTGCCTTTCGCTTTTGATGATGGTACAAATGAAATCACATCGGAAGCAACAAACATCAACCCTAATAGGCTTTTGTTCATTTCATCTTCGCCTTTTCTCTCTTCTCCTGTAGATACCGCAACGACTTTGAGAAGCCCGCGGTAAGAGGTCCCTTCAGAGTCTGCACAGTTGAAGGCCACTTGACCGTCTGATTGATTGCCTTGGTGACCATCTGTGGAACGTCTTTCTCACCCGCTATCCGCTTGTCAAAATCGCCGGCGACTTGCTTCTTGAGTATACCCCCAGAAGACTCATCTTTACTTGCTTCCAACATTTCCTGGAATTCGCGGCCTGAGATGCCAAATTTGCCGCGGTATTGGAAATACACCTTCTCACGGAACTTCTTGGGTAACCGCCTAATCATAGTGGCGCGCCTCTCAGGATCCATATCTTGTGACATTTTCTGATCAAGGTTCTGGTTCTCTATCCATCCAGCAGTGCGTATCGCGGACTCGTCAGCGTAGAGGATGTTCGGCAGTGACATTATGAGGTCGTGGTAGAGGTATCTGAAGTTTCGAATTTGGTGCGTAACGATGTTGTCAATCTTCTTGGGGTTCTCGCTGCCATACTGCATGCGTGGATCGCCCTGATAGCTCAAGCCAGTGATTGTAGAGTACAGTTCTTTCTCGGTGAACTTTTCGGGAAGTAGAAGAAGCGCGCACCGTACGGCGGAGAGGAGATTGCGTTGGTTTGCGACACGGAGGTTGGGCTCTTCGTGGAGGATCTTGACGGGCTTGTGTAAGCGGCCGGCGAAGTATAGGGTATCCCAATCGGTGAGATCGCGAAGGAGCGTTTCGTAGTTGACAACAGCGTATTTGATCATCGTTCCGTTCACTACAACATAGGGATTAAAGTAGGCGCCAGCACCATACTTGTCCTGCACATGGCTAACAACCCCTGAGCCGAGTGACCCTAGGAGGGAGTAGTGGTCTCGGTGCTCGCGCAGATTGAGCGAGTGGAAGTGTTGTGAGTAGCGAGGTGTCAGGATAAAGTCTATCATCTTTCCGCCGCCCTTCTGCCACTTGAGAATCGCCTCGGGCGCGTTCGGATGAGGCGATTGCGACGTGCGCGAAGCTGTAGCAGCCGATTGAGGGAAGACACCGGAGCCATAGGCAAACGCATAGGTAACCGGTGGAAATTGCCGGAGTATGCCTCTTAATGATCGTTTGAACTCTTCATTCGTTTGTATCAGCTGATTCTTCCCAAAGTCCTTGTGTGGCAGCTGTGTAAAGTCCTCCAGCGAAGGAGTTTCATCTTCCCACTCTGGAGGCAGCGATTGGAATGCATGTGGCTTGTCGGCGGGTACGACCTTTTCGGATGAGATGAAGCGGCGATTGACCTGCACCAGAGGCCTTCTGCACCACGCTATCCGGAATGCTGGCTGACGTCGATACATCTTGTACAGACGTCGATGCCTGAGGTTGCGCAAAGTGAGATGGTGGATGACGTAAGCGCGGTTGCTTCCGTAACCAGCCTTGGCGGATCAGGTGTTTGTGCTGGTCCCTCCTGCCGCGTAGAGACGCGACTTCCTCTCATCCCACTCATCCCACACCACTCCACATCAGCGAACTCTATTTTGCGTGGTATTCCAGGCATTGCTCTCAAAAAACAAGCAGAAAGCACATAAGAACACCAAAAACCCCCGACTATCCCCACGACAGCCAAACACAATGGACGCCGCGCTGGCATCATTCCAGGCGCGTCTCGCGACCTTTGGCGGAGCAGCAACGACCACGAAGACGCGACGGACCAGCAGCAGATCAAAAAAGGCAGGAGCAAAGTCAAAAGCCGCTGCGTGGCCACTAACATCACCCTCGGCACAAGATCTCGCATATGCTGGTTTCGTCTGGAGGCCGACTACCGCCAGCCCTGATAACGTACAATGCTTCAGCTGCGAGTGCCAACTCGACGGCTGGGAGGAGTCAGATATACCCGCGTATGAACACGCCACACATTCACCGAGCTGCGGCTTTGCAGTTATCGCTTGTATTCGCCTGCGTGCGGGCGATCCGGGCAGAACTGAGGAAGACCCGACATCTGACGCGATGGTGGCGGCGCGTCGCGACACTTTTGGCGACATGTGGCCTTTAGACACTAACGCCGGCTACCCCTCGGTCGATCAGATGGTTGCCGCTGGGTGGTTCTACGACCCTTCCGATGAAACCCCAGACGGCGTCACATGCCCATATTGCTCTCTGGCACTAGATGCCTGGGACGTCGGCGACGATCCAAATCAAGAGCACCGTCGCCGCTCACCGGAATGTCTCTTCTACACCCTCTCCGACATCTACAACCCACCAGCCCCTGTAGCAAAGAAGGGCAAGCGTGCTTCGAAAGCTAAGAGTGCGTCAGCACGCTCCTCTACCGCGTCAACCGCCAGCAAGAAGGCCACACGCGGCAAGAAGCGCACAAGTGATGCCATGGAAATTACAGAACTCTCTGAAGTGGTACAGCCTGCTTCACGTGGCAAGAAGCGCATGAGTGATGCTATGGAGGACACACAATTCTCCGAAGTCGTACAACCAGCACCGAAACGCGTTCGATCTTCTAGCATCGAAAGCTTTCCAAGTGACTTGCCGGTCGGAACACCTAAGAAGACACCGACCCAGGCCCAGGACAACGTCGCATCGGATTTTGAGATGTCCAGTCTACCTGCTGATCTCATGGTCGGTACACCTAAGCGGACACCACCACCTCAGAGCGAGGCAGACGAGATGGGCAACCCTCATGGATGGGAGCCGGCTGATGTCGACATGCTGTTTGCTTCCCAGGGAGACCCCCAGAGTCTTATGCACGATATCCTCATCGATGCTGGTCTCGACAATATCGAAACTGCTGGCTCTACACCTGAACAAATCTACGATGCAGTCATGGCAGGTCTAACAGATCAGGAAAAGTCTATGACAATCGAACAATGGGTTCTATACAACGCCAAACGAGGCGAGGAGAAATTGCGCATGGCCTGCGAACGGCAACTCATGGCATTTGAGGCGGAGGGACAACGGGCAATGGCTGTCTTGGAGGCCATTCCTACAATTTGATTTCCCCACGCATTCGGTGAGGGCTGGAGTACTTCGGAGTTCGGTCGCTTATGATACCCCGGCATATGGACAGGCGTTTGAGCGTGTTGGATTTTGTGGATGTCTTTGTTGTTGCGCTATGGTTTTTTAGTAGCCGTATGAGCCCTCTTCTCTTCTCCCTGGGCTTAAGGTGAACTCCACGGTTGTAGTCCCCGAAAGGGTTGACTCCTGTGGGGGGATCCGTCGTAGCCTAGGAACAGGGCTGGGATAGGCGAGGCACGCTTGGTATGGTGGACGTTTATGCACCTTCGAGTTTGTTTGTTTCTTTGCTCTGTACTGTACCAGATGACGTTGAATGTACACGGATGTTTTGCATGATTTGAGCTGTACCTAGATTAATATGGGCTTGCGTGATGGGCTGACAAACATGTGCAGTGCCCTAGACATGTACTCATGTTCCACAACAAGGCAGTCCGACTCAAAAAGCATCTAGCACAACAAAGTACAACAGACGCGCATTTACCTCTCGAGATGCAGTAGTTTCTCACTTTGCGACACGAATTGACGCGTATTCACGTGACAGCACAATTCAAGAAGTGATCTACAATGGTGAGGGCATGCATTCTTCATTCCACAAGACCTCGTATCCTTTGTAAGTTCTCCAGAAACCCGCCACCCCTTTGCTGTTGAGGCTGCTGCTGCGGCTTTGGCACACTACCACTGCGGGCAGGCCTCTGCTGGCCTCGATCCTTGTTCCTCTCCTTCTCCCTGTCAAGCTCTCTTTGCTTGTCTTCTGCCAATTTGATCAGACCTTCCACAAACTTTGTTCTCGCCTTCTCTTCCGCTGTGCCTTTCCAGACCTGTGCTAAATCCCTCAAAGCCTGTATCCTTATCTCTGCTTTCTCCATGCCGCCTTCTGGGTCGCCGGTGATGAGGTCGGCGATCTCGGTTCGCAGCGAGGCAGCAAACTCTTTGCCTTTCTGTTCGCGCGAGGCGCTGTCTGTGCCAGGCTCGGGGGCGGAGACGCTGATAAGGGAGGCTCCCAAAGAGACCTCGGATGGTGGTATCGACCAGTGCATGGCTTCACCAAAGACTTTTATGACGGTCTCAAGACGCGAGCGGACTGTGGTGAGGGTGCGAAGGTCGGAAAGGTATTCTGGAGTGGTCTCATCAGGCTCTTCCAGCGTTGGCTGCGACGGTTGCGCATCTGGCGTATCTGCATGTGTGGCAATAGGGCTCTTGAGCTCGTCTTCGGTCGACTCGGTCTTCATCGAGATACCACCTGGTAGAAACTTTTGAACATCGCTCTTCAGCCCATCTGTCAATATCTCAGTAAGCCCGATGGCCTCTCCCCGCAGCACTTCGACCTCATACGCCAACCGCCCGCCGCTCCGCAGTATGTCATCGGTCAGTTGTGTCAGTATCGTTGATAATCGCGTCGTATGCGCGTTGAGCTGTGAGAGGAGGTCTTGCGTCTGCGAGGAGAGGTCGGCTAGCGAGGCGGCATTACTCGATTTTGGCCTTGAAGCTAGCGATAGGGAAGGCAGCGTGGCGTTGAGATATTCGGCGGCATCGAAGCGCGACTCAAGAAACGGGGCAAGCGCAGGGTCCGACACATGTGTTGATTTAGGCGTTGTCTTTTCTTCAGACACAGCCATGGCGATCGCGGGATTACCAGGAGATGTCGCGGGCGTTCCTGAATGGGGACAGGGAATAGCCGAACGCTCGGAACCTTTAGTTTCCCTCTCCCGCATCTAAATTGTGGGGGAGGGGCTAGATGACGGCATCTTCCACGTCTTGGAGTACGTCTTTCTTTTGAATCTTTGCAGTCTCTTCATTGGAGACAGCCTGATATCTATGATATCAGATATGATTGTTGAATGACTAGCTAGCCATGCTTGTAGAAGCTCGTCTACGAACTGCGGACTGCGTAGTGTGGCCCAGTCCAAGCTCGCTCCACTCCAGGCAACACAGGCGTCCTGCACCCTCACCTCTCGTTAACTGACGCCAGGCAGCGTTTCACAGGACCATCTAGTCCGCCAAGAGCCTGTAGGAGTAATATGAACTTAGGTAGGGCCTCCAATCGCTCTTCTCTCGGTCTTCTGTTTCTTCTCTTTCACATCCTCGTCGCTGGCGAGCGTGATTACCTAGGTTGAGCCTTCCAGCGTTTGCTGCCTCGCATAAACAGGGAAACTTTACGTCAACCGCAATTTTTACGCGGCTCACCTGTGCATCGTCTAGTACACGGTTCCCCAAAGATTTATAACATTAAAGCTTCCCGCATTTCTACCGATCTGCAACTGCGCCGCAGCCCGCTCGTTCACCCACCGGCCTAAATCCGAAAAGCACCAGCAACAGCACCCACATATACCCTCTGACTACCTGAGAAGCCATCGAAGACGCGCCAACATGCCGCGGCGGCACTTCCAGGCCGACCTTCAAAAGGCAGCAGATGGCGGAGTGTCGATCGCGGGCATCTCAGATGTACGCCCTGGTGGTGATGATGGCGAGTTCACTTTCATGTGCATTGCAGACGGCCAGCAGCTAGAAATCTCGGCCCTGGTTCCAGAAGTGTCCGATTACCCTACTAGCCATACCTGCATGATCTTCGGTGCCGACAGTGCCTCCGCCAACGTCGCTTCTGCCCTCAGCGACATCGCCGATGCTGCCTTCGGAAAGACCGTTTCCCAGATTCTCGAACTAGTCTCCGCCAGATTGGAGTCAACCGACCGCGATGGCGACCAGCAGATGCTCGACTCACAAGAATTCGATGATTTCGACGATGAAGACGACGAAGAAGACGAGTACTTCCCCGGCGACGAAGACATGATGTCGAAGCCACGACTCGCAAACGATGGTACTGCGGTCTTGGGCGGTGGTTATACTGAAGCTACGTCTGCTTTCCGACAACGCATTCGGAGGGATCTCCTGATTGCCAAGAGCGAAGGCTTCAAGATTGGGCATCTTGGAGGCTTAATGGACGGTCTGGGTTGCTATGTTTCTCTTTCCATCCGTATATCGAAACTGGGTATCTCGGAAGAGGCTATGCAAGCATGGCAAGTAGAACCGTCAGATTACCTTGTCGCGGTCTTCCACTACCCGTCAGGCTACAAGAACATGGACGACTTGAGGTCGTACGATGCGCAGCAAGCTCGAAGGAATTTCGGAATCCGCGTCGGTGTCTGTACAACGTACAAGCCAACGATGCAAGAAGCTATATCAGCTTTCACAGTCTTGAGCAGAGATCAAGAGAAGCGACGCGAAGAGTCACAACAAGGCGACTCTCAGTACGTCTCGACAGAATTACCCAAGGGCTTTCGAAATTCGTTTATCTCAAGGCCTTTGAATGAGCTACTAGAACAGCGCTTCCACATGCTCCTCAAGTACCGTTACGGAGGCATGCCCTGGCAAGGCTCTGAGTCGTTCTACAACGACCAGATCCTCCACGCATCACATTCAGACTATGACGCATCGCACGACAAGTACTACGAGGATGAGCGGGTCAGCGGTGCATGGCCAAAGATTGTCACTGATGATCACATCACTACTTCAGTCGGCCAGGAACACTCTCTACCGCTTGTAGGGATGCAATTTGTGCTACGACATTTTGTTCGATGTACCGAGTTCTGTCTGATCTGCTTCAGTAAGATGCCTGATGATCTACAAGCGATCAAGCCTTATGTCTGTGACAACCCGCTGTGTCTGTACCAGTACATGTCGCTAGGCTTTGGCCCCAGTATCGAGCATGAGATCATCTCACAGCCCAAAGTTGTTGATCTTCTGGTTAGCTTCTGTTACGCTAGTGCGCGTGCCAATCGACTGAGGGACTTTCCGACTGGTCTTAGCCTGGCAGTTCCGCCCTCAGTGTCGAATGAGATTGATTATGTCCGGATTCAACCACCACATATCCATGCATCTCCCGCCAACCCTGCACAGCCAGTACCCCCACAAGTCAGTACAACACCACCAGCTGTGTTGAGGATGCGATACAACGCAGCCAACCTCGAGATGCTATTCGGCGATGCGAAGCAAACCTGCCCCGTATCCAATGGCCACTGGATTGTTCTTCGGACAGACGAAAACCCGAGCATGGCCCTGCATTGCCGTGTGATCGATGTGTCACTGTACCCATCAGTGAAGGTATCAAGCCCTGTCATTCCAGTGATTGGTGAGGTGTCGAATGACCCATACGTTATGTCACGGCCAGGCCCGCCGCAACAGACGCAGCAGAAGACGCTGGCTCCGCAGCCTGGTTCAGAAAAAGAGTTCAAGTCTGCAAGCTTTTACATCTACAGTCAAAACTTTGACGATCTGGGTGACACCGAGAAGCCGCAGGCTATAGCAACACTGCTCGACCTCCTACCACCTGTCCAAGAGATGAGGAAGTACCTTTTACGGAAATCACAGTCCACTCTGAGTGGTTGGGTCGACCGTCTCTCCCCCGCTGTTCTTGGCATACTGCGCTGGGTCATTGCCTCAAATCGAGCTTGTATCCTGCAGGTCGATAGTGAGGAGGATGCTTCAAATGCTCGTAGCTTCGAGGAGCGTCTATACGGTATGGCCGGTTGGGCCCAGTTCCGGTTCGCTATGGGCGCCCCTGACAAGGAGCGTCGTTTTATCCAGGCAGTGAAGGAGACGACCGAGCGGCTCAACCTTAAATATCCTACTTTGTTTGCGTGGCATGGTAGTCCTATTCACAACTGGCATACCATTATTCGGGAGGGGCTTCACTTCAAGGAAACTGCCCACGGTCGAGCCTATGGCCATGGCGTTTACCACGCTCCTGATGTCAATACTAGCATAGGCTATTCCTCGTTCGGTTATGGTGGCGCTTCCTGGTCAATGAGTGAACTGAAAGTCGCACATACCTTGGCTCTCAACGAGATTGTCAATGCACCGAAGGAGTTTGTGAGCCAGAGTCCGCATCTGGTAGTTGCTCAGCTTGATTGGATCCAGACCCGCTACCTTTTTGTAAAGTCGCGCACGGACACTACAGCAACCACAGACTCGGGCACCAAGCCTCTTCTTTGCGTTGACCAGGACCCAAGCCGCACACCTCGCGGTGTGACAGGTGACCTTGTTATTCCGCTCCACGCTATTGCTGCCTCTCGGCGTCCCAAGGCAAAGGCTACCGGGGTAGATAGTACCCTACCCACAACTGGACCTTGGCTGACAGATACACAGAAGCACAAGCGGCAGAAGACTACAGGGAAGACTCAATACGACCCTATTGAGATTGAAGATGATGACGATGTGGCTAGTGTCGCAACTCTCGACGAGGACCGCATCATCTTTGAGGGCGACGACGAGCACAAGCCGATGCAAGAAATCGACTCTCTTCCCACACCAAATTCAATTACAGGCGATAAGGGTAAGTCAAAGATGGCCGCTATAGCGTCGTTTTCGTCGAAGATCTTTGGCAAGTCATCTTCTAGCAAGCCTCTTACCGACTACGTCCCCGGAACTCTGGACTACACGAAGCTACCTATGCTTCAGATGCCTGCATGGGCAACAACCACTGCTACCAAGCGTCTGATGAAGGATTTCAAAGATATCATCGAGATCCAGAACAAGGAGCCGTCACATGAACTCGGCTGGCATATCGACGAAGACAAGGTCGACAACATCTACCAGTGGATTGTGGAGCTGCATTCGTTCGATCCCACTCTACCACTTGCAAAGGACATGAAGAGCAAGAACGTCAAGAGCATTGTGTTGGAGCTGCGCTTTGGCAAGGAGTACCCTATGAGCCCGCCATTCGTACGCGTCATCCGACCTCGCTTCCTCGGCTTCCAGCAGGGTGGAGGTGGTCACGTCACTGCTGGTGGTGCCATGTGCATGCAGCTTCTTACCAACGATGGCTGGAGCGCGGTCTCCTCCATCGAGTCTGTTCTTCTCCAGGTCCGCATGGCTATTTCTAGCCTGGATCCCAAGCCTGCTCGTCTGCAGGCAGGTGCCCCTTCGGACTACGGTGTTGGCGAAGCGATCGAGGCGTATATGCGTGCTTGCGCTGTGCATGGATGGACAGTTCCCGCTGGCTTCAAGGAGATGGCTTATGGTGGATCAAACACTGGAGATGGCATGTACAACCCTGTCTAGAAGAGTAAGGGCGCGGCTCCAAGGAGTAGTCAGAGCACCAGATTATGACAGATATGCGAGTATCGTTCATCAGCGGCATGGAGTTTACGGGTCATGGAGCGATATAAGACGCTGTCTAGGGTTTCAAATCGCAATGAAGTGGAGTTCGGGTTTTTTGGTTTGAGGAGTTTCGGTGCATAGCATGGCTCACGGAGAACGGCATACGATACCTTTTGAGCTTTACATCTTCGCAAGGTCAACGTTTAGTGGAAAAGTAGCAATCCAGCGCTTCATGAATAGCTTTGTGCAAGATGTCGTGCTGTGAAGTAGTGCAACTCGGAAGAACAAAGCTGCTTCGTATAGGGTATCATTAACGTCAAAAGATTGAAAACTCAAGGCCTCTGCGACACACTACATGGACTCTATCCAACTTCCAGCAAGCCAGATGCCCGCACAGCCCACTAATGCCGCGGCTCCATACGCTTGCTTTGTCCATCCTTGTTCCTCATCCACCTTCCAAGCTCCTTCTCGCCGTGCACCGTGTGAAGCCTGCTCTGAGCTTACATTCTCAATACTCTGATCGTGTGATCTCGTCATCTTAACGACACTTCCCGCCTCCCGCACCCACCCTGTCTCGTTCCTGCTCTCAACCTCCACATTCTGTACGTTTCCGAAGAAATCCATAACCCGCCTCTCCCTCGCCACCTGCTCTCCTCCCTCGAAGAGGTCGTACCGTATACCCGGGTGACTATGAATCTTCTCCTCGTCATAGCTGTCGAACAAGTCACCCATTGTAAGTTTGGAGGTCGGATCGCGCACTTGAGTTTCTAGGAACTCGAGGTTGTAATATGTGTAGCGGTCGATTACTGCGACGCCAACGTCGTTGTCGGCATGGTGCGAGTAGGATGATTGGTCGATCTCTGAGGAGCCGGTTGCGAGGATGTTGGGAGAGTAGAACTTGGAGTACATGGTGTTGGCTTGGCATGTGTCTATCATGAAGAGGATTTCGTGGTAGCTGGGTGGCGGTGTTAGTGAATGTCTCTGTACAAGATGTTGAGGGCCTAACATACCGTTTCTTCTCCCACATCTGTCCAAATGCATCTGCAAGATCGAATGCGCTGATCTCTTCTGCGTCTTGGAACTTGAGGAACTCGTTTCCTCCATGTCCCGTCATGTATACGAGGATGTTACTCCGCTCGTCGGTCATCAACCTCTTACTCCTTGGCATGTCCTCGCCCACTCTGTCCGTCATCAATCTGATAAAGTTCTCGACCGTGACTTCATAGCCCCGGTAGTCCACCTCGATGTTGTCACCGTACAGGTCTAGGGCGCGGTCTGCGTTGTTGTAGACGGTTCCAGGGAAGGCGTTACGCGGGTTGCATGCCATGTCGTCTGGCAGCATAAGGATGATTTGCGAATCGGGAATCCCGAGACGCTTGACGGTACGATATAAGGAGAGGACATTGGCGAGATGTCGATAATTGAACCAGAAGCGTGATGTCGAGACGAGGACGGCCCAGTTAGATGTGTGTTCGCTAGCGACAAAAGGAGCTGCCAGTAGAGGCAGAAGGGCGGTGGAGAATTTCATCGCGAATTCGGTATCGACTGTAGATCGCTGGGGAGGTTTGGACAGTGCTTGGAGTAATATGCGGACCCGCGACGCGCCCCTAGTCTAACAGTCCGCGATGCACGTTGGAATGTTGGCCCCATCTGACAAATCGGACATAAGCCATCACTCCGCCAATAACAGCCGGTCATCACGTGTGGAGCTTTTCACGCTAGCCGATCACCTTGCATCATCCCGTGCACATGCCCAAGCACGCCATTCCATGTCAGGGCTCCGTTATCTTCCTATCAGGGCATCCTGATCTTTTTCCTTTCTTCTTGAATGCTTCCTCGTTCGCACGCTGGCTGAGTCGATTCAGCTCCAGGATATCTCAAGAATGGCACCAGACCGGGGATCCGCATCGTTGGAAAATGAAAGAGGAGGGCATGGTGAAGAGACGGATGATCATGCGCTCGGCCGCAGTAGGTCGGGAGCACGTAGATACCTGGCTGAGCAGGCATCGCAACCGCAGAACTTTACACTTCGAGGTGTTTTGGTGGGCCTGGCGATTGGTGTGGTGATCTGCTTCTCGAACATGTACTTTGGGTTGCAGACTGGTTGGGTTTCCGGCATGGCTATGCCTTCTGCTCTGATCGGATTCGCATACTTCAAGGTCGTTGCAAAGACACTCAAGTTGCCATTTACGCCAGTCGAAAATGTTCTGGTTCAATCTGTTGCGGGATCGGTCGGCACCATGCCACTCGGATGCGGATTCGTAGGTGTAATTCCTGCTCTGAACTACCTGTTGAAACCGGAAGAAAATGGACCTCTGGATATAAGCTTATGGAAACTGATCGTGTGGTCTGTGGGCATTTGCTTCTTTGGTGTTGTATTTGCGGTCCCCCTGCGGAAAGAGATGATTATCCGAGAGAAGCTAAAGTTTCCGAGTGGCACTGCGACTGCTCTTCTGATCAAGGTGCTTCATGGAGATGAGAAATCAGAGACGATGATGGCACATGAGGGAGTTCAAGATAGAGACGATCAGTCTGATGATGGAGAGGCACAGGGCCTATTGCAAGGTTCAAGCGCGCAGCGGGAAGAGCATGACCTCAGACCATCGATGGACGACAGCATGAAAGATCCAGATCAGGAACTTGGAGAGGATGGGGACTGGAGATCTAAGATCAGATTGCTGCTTATTTCTTTCGGCGGATCCGCACTATACACTGTCGTATCGTACTTCATCCCGCAACTCCACGAAATACCCGTCTTCGGTTTGCCTTTGGCGCAGAACTGGCTCTGGACATTGAATCCTTCTCCAGCGTACGTTGGTCAAGGTATTATCATGGGCCCTGCTACAACACTACACATGCTTCTCGGTGCCATCATAGGCTGGGGTATTCTTTCACCACTCGCCAAGCACAAGGAATGGGCTCCAGGGCCAGTGTCGGATTGGACGAACGGATCAAAGGGCTGGATCGTGTGGATCTCTCTCGCGATCATGTTGGCAGACTCCCTTGTCAGCCTAGGATGGCTTCTTCTGCGTCCAGTCATCACGGTTGCGAGAGCTTACTACCCCACTGCAAAAGAGAACTTCCAATCGCATACCTGGAAGGAGATCTTGACGCTGAATATTACGTCCAAGCCACAATATACGCAGCTCAGCGATGGCACATCTGTGAACCCGTTGACGGCGATCAAGCAACATCTCGCTGAAGGCGCCGAGCTTGACGCCCCGCCTGAGCACCTCATCTCGAACCGCACCACCATCATCGGTCTCATCGCATCACTAGTTCTCTGTGTCGCTGCTGTCCACATATCGTTCCCGAACCTCATCCCCTTCCGTCTTACCCTACTATCGCTCGTACTAGCGCTCTTCCTGTCGATTATGGGTGTCCGCGCCCTTGGCGAAACAGATCTCAATCCCGTCTCCGGTATCTCGAAGCTTACGCAGCTCGTCTTCGCACTCGTTACGCCAACTACCGGACCTGGTGCTAAGAATGCCGTCATTATCAATCTTGTTGCAGGCGCCATCTCCGAGTCTGCGGCACTACAAGCAGGCGATTTACTGCAGGATTTGAAGTGCGGTCACCTTCTTGGTGCAGCACCAAATGCGCAGTTCTGGGGTCAGATGATTGGTTCTGCAGTTGGTGCGGTATTATCAGCCGTTGTGTACAAGCTCTACACGAACGTCTACACCATCCCCGGTGGCCTGTTTGAAGTTCCGACGGGATATGTATGGGTCTTCACCGCACGATTGGTGACAGGGAAAGGCTTACCGCCAATGGTCAAGGAATGGGCTGGTGGAGCGGCTATCATCTTCGCTGTAGGCACGATGATCAGAGTCTGGGGTAACAGCAGAAAGCAGAGAGGTCTTAGTGGTTGGTGGATCGACTTCGTACCTGGTGGGATCGCTGTCGCTGTTGGTATGTTTGCTACTCTTCTCAGTCTTATATTTCATCAACTGACACAGTGTGTAGGCATGTATAATACGCCTTCTTTTACGTTAGCGCGTACAATAGGCGGCCTGCTCAGTCTATGGTGGCGGCGTTGGAAGGGTCGAAGCGAGACACCGATCATTGTGCTTGCGAGCGGTCTGATCCTGGGCGAAGGACTGTTCAGTATCGTGAACTTGTTACTGGCGAGTTTGAAGGTACCCCATTTGTAAGATGTATCTCAATTTAGCCAGATCAAATCAGTTCGTATCTGGTGTAGCCAGTCAACCTTCAATTTATTTTACGTCGCGAATTGAGCAGGTTCCGTTTCCTCCACGTTTTCGTCGCTCCATTATCTTTTGTCTCTCCGTTGCTTCGTAACTCGTCAAGTGCTTTCTCTCTGAGTTCGCATCTGCGCGTTTGCATGTTCTCGAAATAATAGTATGATAGTGTGGCGATCAATCGGTGAATTCGGAATTTTATGATGGTAGAATGAACGTGCTCATCCATCACGTTATATATCTCCTAATTGCCGCTTCGCCTGCGGCTCTTGCCAGTGACATATCGAGAGATCCGAACCAGCCAGCCCATGACCACGAGGGGAAGTCTTTCAAAATGTTCCCTTCAAGATCAGTCCGCCTATGCTGAAGGGATCGCACATCGTGACGCCAGCAGAGTACACGATCAAAGAAAAGTTCTAGTATCCCAAAGTTAATGTCACCCTCCATTACACATCCTTCTATAGTCATGAAACCGTTGAATGCTGCAAGGACATCTTCAAGTTGGCTTAGTTTCCGTTGGCTATATCTTTCCACGGCGTGGCAGTAGGCGGGGATGTTAGGCCAACCTTCCCAGACATGGCGTGTTAATCGTCTGGAGATACTATATAGATGATTGCTGTCTTCTCGCTGTAGCAATATTTGACACACCCAAGACACTGTTTGTTGATGAAACACTATTGTGCGGCGGGAGAATGACCACTCTTGGAAAATCCAACCACGGGTATGATATGTCGTATGGGGCTCTCCGCTGAGCACTGGATCTGCTGCTATGTAGTGGCAGTCGGGACTAAAACTTAACTTCAAATATGAACTGGCTCTCAATCGCTCTTTGCTTATGCCAGGTAGGCCATAGTTACTATCTTCACCTTCGGTAGCAGCTATCGTGACGTACGCATTGGAGTATACGGACGCCATGGAGGCTAGCTGACGGGGTTTTGCGACCAAATCATCTTGTACGATACAGAACCGATCCACCCACAGGTAAGGAATGTCCAGAGCGCGTGCAAGTGATATGCTGTCGGAATTGGTGTTGGGAAGGCAATTGCGGTTGCAAGGCAGTTCAAATGCACTGTTCTGGCTCAAAGCCTCGGCATTGGCCTTGTTTGTCTGAAAAAGGATTGGTAGTTGCCCCGCAAACATAACTCAAAGCAGCATAACGACAACGCTTGCTATTTTCGGGCTATTCAATGAGGCAGAGCTTTTCGACATCAATGAAACGCAGCCCGTTGACATCTGGCATCTTAGCCCTCGGATTCGTGATCGTATGACAGGTGCCCGCATGATTCTGATCGCACCCACTGATCCACCCCTTGATGCCATCAATGCTGATCTCCTGTTCGAGAGGACGAAATCCTAGCGCATTCGAGGTCGCATTGGCTCGCATGTTGATGTCCACGTAACCCTCGCTATTTTGGTCTTTCAGCCTCAAGCGCTAGAGATTCCTGCGTTCGCAATACGATATGAAGCCACTCAGTTCGCCCGGAGACATATTTCTTGGGAGATACTTGAAGATTGATGCTATCTTCTGACATGTGGTACATTCAGCATTCTGCTGGACTTTACGATACTCCCACACGTATTCAGGGTCCGGAGTCTTTTTCTGTATCGCGTCCGCAACCGACAAACATAACGCGCACTGCTCCATATTCCGATGGTCTGCGAGATGAAATTGGTTTGATGCAAAGAGAGACTATGGTATTGGTGGTATACGTAATAGATTCCTCAGCCAGGTGATAAGGCTGCCGCCCTGGTGTTAGGACTCTTCGGGTATACAGGCAAAGGAACAAACCAGACGCAAAAGAATGATAAGAAGATACGACTCAGGTTGAGTTAAAGCGAAAACTCTATATATATTTTTTGGGTAGAGTTTGGTTGCAGGAGTGTGGAAGAGGCAGTGCCTGCTGCCTCTTCATCCGCAGCCCCATGACATCATGGCTCCTATGTGCATAATTCAGCCTCATGAGGATGATGGAGCGATCAAGAGTACGAGCGTTGGTTCACGAAACAAAACAGAAGAAAGTAATAAGAGGACTCAAAAGTGATCCGGCGGTTAAGTGTAGACAATGAAGCTTTAGCTTGAAAAGCTGTGCATCATTCTGCTCTACCCCGTACGTTGTGTTGTTCAGACGATGCCACAACTCAACCTAGTAGGATGTAGGGCATAGTCGACCAGCGAGCCGAGGGCATGCTGTGTATTGAAGACCATCATGGATCACCTAAGGAAGGAAGAACGGCGAAGGCAATCAACAGTCGAACAGTGGAGGTTGCCAGACTTTGCGCTAACAGGGCAGCGCGATCGCCGACGGACCCCAGAGAGCCCACAAAAACGCTCCACACTTCAACCATCGGGAATAACTGGGTATCAAATCAACGAATCTGTTATCTATCGTACTGTTGTATTTCAGAAATCACAATCAATCGATCACAAAATGATCACACCATCCTACAATGCAGTGAAGAGAGACGTTCTCGCTTCCTTGCCCACGGAAATAACGCCCCCAGCCTTGACAGACGTCATTCCTAGCGCACCACGGTCACGTCCTAAGCTGACGGCGCGGCATCCTACCTCCAAGCCGGAGATCTCACTAGTTGAATGAGGGGAAGTACGAGATCGTCTTCCAATGGCGTTCCCGTCACGATGAAGGATTATGCTGTGACGTCTTCTAGCATAAGAGCCGAGGGCATGGGAAGACATGCTTAAGCAGTCATGGTCCGCTGGGTAGGCTGTTTGTGTGCACCTGCTAGCACTCTTCACAAGCTGGTACCGTTATTGAGGCTCAAACGGCTTTGAATTAGTCTGTCTTCATCTAGTGTTGCTTTTGACGTCCATTCATCATGACTACTCAAGGACCAATGGCCCCAGGGCTGTCGATTACCCGCGACTGGGCAGGCGAATATTCAGACGACCGTCTGCATAGCATCACGTCTGGTACGAGTGCTACACCTTTAACTCAGGCGCCGACACAACATTCGGCACATTCTACCAACTCTGAACTCTCGCCTCATCGGACATCATCAAGCGCCCAACGAAAGCGATCGATACTCGGCCTGCACCCTCAAGCACCCATTGATGAGGAGCATGATTGTGGCCCCGCTTCCGAGTTGCTATGGTCGCGTATAAGAACCGTAATGAGAGAGCCGTTCGCGGAGTTCTGGGGCACCGCTGTCATGGTGATGTTTGGCGATGGAGCGGTCGCGCAGGTCTTGCTATCAACAGGACAAACGACTGCTCCGGGTGGCAACGGCTTTGGACAGTATCAGTCCATAAACTGGGGGTAAGTCGAGCACTGAAGTGTTGGGAGATGACGAGGCATGCTAACACCGAGAAGCTGGGGCCTGGGTGTCATGCTCGGGCTGTACGTAGCCGGCGACTCTGGTGCATATCTCAACCCAGCAATTACTCTCACCAACTGCATATATCGCCAGTTGCCATGGCGGCGGTTCCCGATGTACTTCGCGGCGCAGATGCTTGGTGGTTTCGTCGGATCCGGTATCGTGTACGCAAACTACATTAGCTCCATCGACTGGTTCGAGGGCGGGAAGATGCGGACAGTGCCTCCTGCTGAGAAGGCTACTGCAGCCATATTCTGCACCTACCCACAGCCGTTCCTTACAAAGACAAGCCAGTTCTTCTCGGAGTTCATCGCAAGTACTTTATTGATGTTCGTCATCTTCGCGTTGAAGGATCCAAGCAACAATGGAGTCCCAAAGGTATGTCCAATGATAACAAGAGGCGAGGTGGTGCTGATCGTTCTACAGTCTGATAAATGGTTTCCTCTCTGCTTATTCTTCCTCATCTTCGGTCTCGGATCCTGCTTCGGCTGGCAGACAGGTTATGCAATCAATATTGCTCGTGATTTCAGTCCAAGACTGATGTCGTATGCTGTTGGCTATGGGCATGAGGTGTGGTCCGCTGGCGGCTACTACTTCTGGGTATGTCTTTGTTGGATCTCGTTGTGACTTTTGCTGACCACATGCTAGATCCCCATGGTAGCACCGTTCCTTGGCTGTACATTCGGTGGTTTCCTTTACGACATTTTCATCTACACAGGTCCTAGTCCTATCAATTCGCCATGGTTGGGTTTGAAGCAGCTCACGCCTGGTAACGCAATGCGAGCGAGAAGAAAGCACATAAGGAGAGAAAAAGAAGAAGGGATCGTATGAAGTTTTATCTTGTTGAATTCGAATTTCAATAGGACTTTGTGATACAAATCATGTAGTAAAGCCAATGGAGATGTTCGCGATCAATGTGCACCGGTCCAGGAAAGAGCCTTTGGTGCGCTTAGTCATTCACGCGTACTGGTGTTGTCTGACGCCATTGCCCCGCTGAGCTGCCCGCAGGCCGCTGTCACACGCCGCATTCTTACCAAATTTTGACTCACTTTCCAACTACACAACACACACCGGAGCTTTCGCGCTACACTCCCATCCAGATCGAACGCAGACACAACCTCGCGTACCTCAGAACATTATGGCGAAAAAGGGCGCCGCTGGCGGTGGAGAGAACTCCAAGAAGGCACAGGGACAAGCCCGCAAGGCTGACGCCGCCGCATCGAAGCAAGCTGCAAAGAACCAACAAGTCGAGAAGGCAGAGGCAGAGGAATGGAACAAGGGCGCAAAGTCAAATGCGAAGGCGTAGGGTGCATCTTTACTCCTACCTGCGCAGTAGCTAATAAATCGCAGCGAGGCAGCAGCGGAAAAGGCCGCTGAAGCAGCCCGTAAGAAGGCTGAGAAGGAGGCACTGCTCCGCGAAGAAGAAGCCTCTCTGCCCTCAAAGCCGAAAGGCAAGAACCCAAAAGCCGAGAAGAAGCCCCGCGGCATCGACTCAGCGCTCGGCTCCTTCGACGCGAAGCCCGGCGCTCTCAACGCCACTGGTATCGACAACGCCCTCGATGCTCTGGATATCACAGGCAACAGTCAGGACAAGGTGGACCGCCATCCTGAGAGGCGCTTCAAGGCTGCATACGCTGCGTTTGAGGAGCGGAGACTGGACGAGATGAAGGACGAGAAGGGTCTGCGACGACAGCAGAAGATCGACCAGATCCGCAAGGAGTTCGAGAAGCACCCCGACAACCCGTTCAACCAAGTCACTGGATCCTACAACATGACCAGAGAGGAGATTGCCGCACTACGGGAATCAGAGAAGGACAAGAAGGAGAAGAGGCTTGTGGGCGTAAACTGAGTGGCTGTGTTCTTTTCGCGTGCTATTCATATTCGGGGCGTTCTGGATAGACCTGGGACGAGACGCCCCAGCGCATGATTGCTAGACGGGCCGAGGCTAGACTCCGCCTCATGAACGACATGCTGGGTCTGTAATTTGACCCGAAGCTTTCAATAATCTCTTCTGCTTGTTTTGCTTGTGAAGATCTCCACGATCTTGGCACCCCGGTGGCCCCGCATCATCCATTACTTATGCAGATACAAGTGCGTCTCTCTGCGATCGTCCATTGAAGGACACAGTGGCGTCGTTGGCTGTGACGCTGGTCGTGAGAGCACGGCAAGCGACGGATGTTTTCTTAGCCACTAGACAAAAGTAAGAGCACTTCTGTTGCACGGGCAGCGAACACAAGGGAAAATCATCGAGGTCAGATAATGAAGGGTAAGGCGCCCAGACGACGTACAAAGGCGCCAAAGAGATCAGAGGCCAGAAAAGCAACCAGCCGCCCAGCTGAAACATGGGTGCTAGTCAGCGATTGGCCAGGACTAAATCTGTTCCTGCGTTTCGAAACGCCCGCTTACTCAATCCCTGCTCTCACCCGCGCGCTCCTTCCCCGACTCCATTCACCGAAGAAACGGGTCCACGCGAGTCAGATCTGTAGATAATGTCTAAGCCCGTCCTCACTATGCGTGCTTTTCTCTCCCTTCACATTCTGCCTGCAGCTGCGGCGTATACAATCGTTACCTTCCTTCCTTTCTCTCTTTCGACTTGTTGTCGTTTACCTTCTTTTGACCTCTACTCATTCATTTCTCAACCAATATGAAGTCCTTTACAACTGGAGCTGTGCTCCTTGCTGCTTTTACTGCAACCGCCGGCGGTGTCAAGCTTGACCCGGAGGATGAGGGTGAGAATGTTCGCAGTATTCATGGTTCCAAAGCTGATTTCAATAGCTTCTATTCTCAGCGCTACTCGGCAGTATGCGTACGGTCTGATGTCGATGTACCAGGGCAATGCCACAGGCGTAGCCAAAGAAGACATAGGAATCTGGCCCCAGCCCCACTACTGGTGGGAAGGTGGCGCGGCGTGGGGTGGCATGATAGAGTACAGCCAGTTCACCGGCGACGATTCGCACGTCAAGACCCTCCAACAGGCTCTGACTGCCAACTACGGGCCCGACAACGACTTCATTCTGTCTTACCGCAAGAGCCAAACTGGCAACGATGACCAGGCTTTCTGGGCGCTTGCCGTTATGAGCGCGCTCGAGTATCAGTTCCCTGATCCCGCTCAGGCGCCTGCGAACTACCTCGAGGTCGCAACAAACGCTTTCGAGAACATTGTTGGACGCTGGGATGAGACTACCTGCGACGGAGGGCTCAAGTGGCAGATCTACCCCGAGAACTCCTACGGTTACAACTACAAGAACTCCATCTCCAACGGATGCGCTTTCGCCCTCGGTGCACGCCTTGCCCGCTACACTGGCGAGCAGAAGTACGCCGACTGGGCTGTGAAGATTTACGACTGGACGAAGAAGGTTGGACTCATCACGGACAAGTATGAGGTGTTTGACGGAACAGACGACAAGACCAACTGCGCCAAGGTCACGGACGAGACTCAGTGGACCTACAACAATGCCATGTTCCTTCACGGATCGGCCTTTATGTACGACTACACCAACGGTGACAGCACCTGGAAAGAGCGTACATCTGGCTTCTTGGACCACGCCGAACTGCTGTTCTTCCGGCCCTTCGAGAATTCTACGGACGTTATGTACGAGTGGGCCTGCGAGACGGGCGAATCTGGCCGCCACTGCAACCTCGACCAGCAATCATTCAAGGCATACCTTTCCCGCTTCATCGCCAAGACTGCCATGGTAGCTCCCTTCACCAAGGACAAGATTGTGCCATTCCTGAAGGCCTCCGCGGTCGGTGCTGCCGAGTCTTGCTCCGGCGGCCCCGATGGAGCCACGTGCGGCAGCAAGTGGTACACTGGAAGCTGGGACGGAACCTCTGGTGTCGGCCAACAGCTGTCGGCCTTGGAGGTCACCCAGGCTCTCCTGATGATTCAGAAGGGTACTCTTCCTGCAAAGAACAACAGTGCGCCGAAGCCATCTACCAGCGCTACTCCCAAGCCCAGCTCAACGCTTGCTGCGTCATCTACTCCTGCATCAAGCTACGCCGCTTCAACCCCCTCTGTCTCTAGCGAGGTCCCTGCTCCCAGCGAAGTCGCTCCCTCATCCAGCGTATTTGTCGAGGCTCCTTCCAGCAAGGTTCCATCCAGCGAGGCACCGTCTAGCGAGGCACCCGAATCAGTTCCATCGAAGTACCCCGAAGGAATTCAGGCTCCTGCTTCGACTCTGGTAGTCCCATCTGCCGTTGTTGTTACAAGCACATCGGCCTCAAGCTCTAAGCCCTCCTCCTCAGACAAGCCTGCCGGTCAGTCTGACGAGGCCGCGTCTACCAGCTGCGTTCGCAACGTTACCAGGACCGTGACTCTTTCGCGCGCCTCTTCAACGACCAGCTGCACACCCAGCGTGACTGAGACCGTCTATGTTCCGGCAGCCTCTTCGACGTCGGGTCTCTTGGTAGACTCCTCTCCAGCTCCCGTTGCCCCGCCTATCTCTACGACATTGATGCCCGCGCCCCCTGTTAACAGCAGCTTGCCCAACCCGACGTCTCCAGCGGAGTTCCTTGGCGCTGGCTCTGTCCTCACTGCTAGCGGCTCTGTTTTGGCCGCTGTGGTGGCTGCGATGGTCTTCGCAATGGTGTAAGCACCAATGCGCACATTGCCTCTTACCTTCTTATTCTGTCTTGTACATATACCCTTCTTATTTTATAGACCATATTTCCGGGCCCCTTGGCGGCACCCTCTTAGAAAATATATATTGGTCCTTGTATCTGGAAGACCTGCACATGTGACGATTGCAGTGTTGATTTGTGTATTTATGTGATTTATTGTTCAGTTCGATGGCTTGAAAAAGTATGGAGGATTGCCCTATGGGTGCGTCCGATTGCAATACTCAATCCTTTGGTTGAGACTTTTCGGCAGCGGATGCTGGTGACTACCCCACTAGGAAAGGCCGCCAACAATTAACGTGCGATGACATAGGAACCATCCCACTACCCCAGTCGTGTCTGCAACCCTCCACATATCCGAGCTCAACAACGAAAATAGCGTTCCGGATACGTGCTGTTGAAAGCTTGTCTTCCTCAGCAATAAATCGCGCTGGTCGGGTATCGGCTATTCACGTGTCAGCGCAGAATCGGAAGTTACTGTGGCCTGATGTTCTTCTACACGCGACGTCCGTAAAGAAAGTGCTAGAACGTGAAGGTGCGTGACAACATGTCTCAGTCTGCGCCTGGATGCTAACCAACGGGATTCCTGCAGCTCCCAACGCCGCTTCATCGCCAGCGACTCTGTTCTGCAGTGCGCGCATCCAAATCTCATCGCCCCTCGTTTGTTATCGCAATCCCCCCTCAAGTCCGCGTACGACCGCACACCAACAGCCATAGGAGGCTATACCAACCTCGCCCTTCCAGCGGCGCATATCATATCTCTTGCACTTGCCGGCAGCATACTTGTGGTTTAGGCAGCCGCCATGGCGACCCAGAAGAGAGATGCGAAGGGCAAGAAGCTCGCGGTCATGAACAAATACGTCTACGATGCTTTCTTGTGGACGTTCTCGATCCTGGTAGAGCTCTTCTTCCGAGAAGTGCACCCCAGAAGTAGTTGGAAGGTGCCAAAGGAAGGTCCAGTTATTTTTGTGTGCGCCCCGCATGCAAATCAGGTAGGACGTGATGCCATTGTATTGCGCGAGGATGTATGCTAACAGATGGCAGTTCGTCGATCCCCTCATGTTGATGCGAGTCGTGAAGAAAGAAGCCGACCGAAGAATCCAATTCCTGATCGCCGACAAATCCATGAAGCGCAAGTTCGTAGGCGCAATGGCAGGCTTGACAGGTGTCGTGCCTGTAGGAAGAGCCATGGACATGACGAAGCCTGCAGAGGGCAAGATATACCTCCCCGATCCTATCAGCGATCCTACACTCGTTCGTGGTGTAGGCACCAACTTCGAGGATAAGAATTTCCAAGTCGGCGGCTCGATCGTATTGCCCAAGGTGGACAACAAGGCAGCAACCGCTGAGATACTCGAGATCAAGGGCCCAGAAGAGATTAGGCTGAAGCGTGGTTTCAAGGGAGGTGTTGCCATGCAGCAGATGACCGGACGAAACGACATGACCAAGGACGGCACGTTCGTCGATGGAGCAAATGCGAAGAAGGGTATTGCTGATGGTTACGAGGGAACTCCCTTCCAGGTTGCGCCGAAGCTTGACCAAACGGAGGTTTACGATGCGGTACACGCGGTTCTTCACCACGGTGGAAGCATTGGTATCTTCCCTGAGGGTGGTAGCCATGACCGTACAGATCTCCTACCTCTGAAAGGTGAGTAATCCGGGAGTTAGAGTCTTTCATACGCTAACATCTATCAGCTGGTGTTGCTATCATGGCGCTCGGTACAGTCGCAACGAAGCCAGACTGCAACTTGAACATCATTCCCGTCGGCATGAACTACTTCCACGCACACAAGTTCCGATCAAGGGCTGTCATCGAGTTTGGTACACCGATTCACGTACCACCTGAGCTAGCGCAGAAGTTTGATGGGCCTGGAAGACGTGAGGCGATCGGCGAGATGCTGGAAACCATTCGTCAAGGACTCATCTCTGTTACCGTCACGACGCCAGACTACGACACACTCATGGTACTTTCAATACACCCTCAATACTCTCTTTCGTTGCTAACTCTTGCTAGGTTATTCAAGCTGTACGCCGCCTCTACAACTCCAAGGGCACGAAACTTCCTCTTCCCAGGATCGTTGAGCTTAATCGCCGCCTCGTCCAGGGTTACGAACGTTACAAAGACGATCCTCGTATCGTTGAGCTCAAGAAGGAGGTCACAACTTACAACGGCAAGCTGAAGGCGCTCGGCCTCAGAGATCACCAGGTCCAATACGCGAAGATGCATCCTATCACAGCATTCGGGCTCTTCTTCTACCGTCTTGGAAAACTTCTCTTTCTGAGTATGCTTGTGCTTCCCGGAACCCTACTTTTCAGTCTCGTCTTTATCGTCACCAAGGTCGTCTCAATCAAGAAGGCCAGGGAAGCACTCGCTGCATCGAACGTCAAGGTCCAAGCCAGAGACGTCATGGCTACATGGAAACTTCTGGTTGCCATGGCTGCCGCCCCGACAGCTTACGCCTGGTACGTCTGCCTCGGCCTGTACTGGTACTCTTACAACAATTGCAACGGATACCTCCCTGCCGGCATTCAGAAGCGCTGGCTTATTCTTCCTCAACTCATTGTCTATATCACCCTCACTTATGGCGCTCTTCGATTCGGTGAAGTTGCAATGGACATCCTGAAGTCGCTCGGTCCCCTCTGGAAGATGATGAACCCGTTCTCCAACAGCGAACTTGTCAAGTTACAGGAACGACGTGAGAACCTCGCTCAGCGCGTGAATGACATCATCAACGAACTCGGCCCAGAGATGTACGAGGACTTCCACTCAAAGCGCATCGTCGAGGATCCTTTCGTCAAGCAGGAGCATGCACCACCGCAAAAGTCGGACGAAGACGCGCGGATAGAAGCAGGCCAGGATGTCGAGACGTACGACTACCCCGCTTCACCAGGTTCTATGAACGAGATACCGCGCAACGAGTCATTCCACGACCTTGCCAACCAGGACTTCTTCTCTAGTCGACCACAGACGCCGAAGAAGAGTAGGAGCAGGAATAGTAGCAGTGCGAACCTGGGCGGCTTCCAGCTCAAACCTTTCAGTACTATCGACGGCAATCTGGACGAGGTGAAGAGGAGGTTGACAGATGGTGTCAAGCAAAGGACACGGAAAAGGAGGAGTAGTGGAGAGGGAAGCTGGGACGATGGTGAGGATGGCGAAGAGTTGACCATGGGGAGGAAAGACCGATCGTATACCAAGTAGGTTTCGGGGGTGATGACGGTATCAGTGAGGAGCGGTGTGTTGGTTTTGCTTGTGCTTTAGTACTAAAGATACCACTTTCCTTTCTTCCGGTCGGTTGAAGTTGGACTTGTTATGCATGAATACAATTTGCTTGCTATGCTATGCTAAGTAGTTTGGAAAGATCATCGCTTGTACATGTCGCCCTGCCTACGAATATGCCCCTGAATCAATAATAATAAACTCACATGGATATACCCATCCAAAATGCCATCTCATGCATGCAAATGCCGTGCCCGAAACCCCAACCTTGATTTTTCCAAAGTGGTATCTTGCCTTGCTACCAAATCCAAATCATCGCCTTCTTTCCCTGAAAAAAGAAAAACAGCAACACAAAGAGAGTTGCACACGGATGGTGCGGTATGAATCTACCCAACAACAGCCTTCTGGCTAAGCTTCTCCAAGAATCCACTCAAATCCTCCTTCTTAATCTCAATGACACACGCCTCGAAACTGTCCATACGCACTCTTGCGCCCGTCTCCCTAACGACTTCTTGGAACGCGTTGCCGAATCTGTTCATGCCTGACCCTCTGTCGTCATCTTCATCTTCAGAATCCTCCGAGTCGTTATCTGAAGAATCATCTTCCGAAGCTTCAGACTCTGTATCATCTGCGACTTCGTCTTCTTCGAGACCAGCAGCTAGGTTACGTGCAACACGTGCTTTACGCCTGTCTTCCCTCGCTTCAGCCTTCTGGAGTTGTTTCGCTTCTTTCGCTTTGAGTTTGGCTTCGCGTTTTTGAAGGCGGGATTTTGCTGATTCAGTGGCGCCGCCGCCTCCTAGACCGACGACGACGTAGAGACCTCGCGAGTCATCCAACCCGGCCATGACGAGCTCGCTGCCTTTATTCTTGCCTTTTGTGCCGTTGAGCTCAACGATGGCTTCGGCGATCCAGAGAGCGAGTTTGGTTAGGGCGCCGGGGTGGGTGAAAAGCTGGACGTCGGGCCCTTCTTTTACAACGGCCATGCGGAAGGCGCGGAGGTGGCGGATCTGTTTCTTTTCAATGAGGGCGGTTCCTGTGCGGAGGATGGCGCGGTGGAGGTGTTGGGCTGTACTGATGTGCTCGACTAGTTTGTCTATGTCGCCTAACGCGTCGTAAGCCGTCCAGAAGCGACTTGTAATGTGTTCTTGTGCGAGATCTTGTTGTTCTTGAGTCGATGTCATCTCAGTGTGGTCGTTGGCTCCGACGAAGTTCGAGCTATCTAGGGCGGATTGATTAAGGTTCTTCGCGTCGCCGACTTCGAGAATAGCACCTAGGACGACACCGGCGTCGATGGCGGAGAGACATGCTTTCCACCCCCAGCAGCGTACAAATCCCCAGCCATCTTTGAGATCGCCTGTACTCGACTTTGGCGGTACAAGACCGTCGAGACCGTATTGTGGAGCGAACTTCAGAAGCCGTTCTCGGAGACCCCGCTTGAGCTCCATGTCCATGTGTGTATATCTTTGCTTGCATTCAGTGAGTGAGACACCCATCTTGGCGAGGAGTTTGGCAAGTCGCTTCTGTCCTGCATCACTCCAGATGTGTAGTTTGGCGGAGAGATAGGGCGAGTGGAGCATGCTTTCGTAAAGAGACCAATGCCGAAGGAGAAGGAATCGTGGTTCAGGGGAGAGGCGGATGGACTTGTCTGTTGCGGAGAGAGCGCTTGTGGGGATGACACCCCATACTTCACCCAGCGTTGCATTCCGGGACACGCTTGAGGCGTCTGTGACAGGGTTCAGTCGTCGTACTTCGTCTCGTAGAACAGAGCGAATATTCTCCCCTCGGTTGCCGTTCCATCCCGCTGAACCGCCTTGTGCTGAGAGAGGGTTCAGGCCAACGCCGCTTCCTGTCCGTCCGTATAGTTCCAGACTGCTAACGCCCACGATTGCATTCCATAGCAGGTCGTTGTCTTCGCGGCCGAGTTCTGATGCTAGGTTGTATACGAGGGAAGAGACGGGGTCTGAGTAGGAGGTGCCGAGTCCGTAGTATTTGTCGAGGGTGGAGGCGTACTTGTTCCGCTTCTTGATCAGCTGCCTTCGTAGGCTCTTCAATGACTTCTCTTTCGGCGCGGCCACTGATGGGGATGCGGAGGGGCTGCGAGAATCTGAGCGAGAGAAGTCGGAGGAGCCGCCTAATTGATTCGCTGCTAGTAGACCTCTTCGCCGTCTCGGTTCGGGTGACGATGGTATTGAGCCTCCCTGGAGATTGTTAACAGGGGCTTCTCTGTAGGTATATATTGACTCACTGAATTACTCCTCCGCCTTTGTGCTGGTCGCTCATCGTCTGTCATCTCGTCCTCAGAGTCGTCCTCTTCACCCCATGACTTCCTCTTCTTCGGTGCTTGCCCAGACGGGGGCTCCTCCTCATCCTGGTCGTCCGAGTCGTCACTGATGTCATCCTCCTCTCCAACCTCTGGCATCTCTTCAAGCCCAGCATATGCTTCACGCTCTGCCTGTAGCTCTTCCTCAATATCGCCGTCGTCAAAGACTATAATTCCACCTCTTGACGACTGGTATGAGTGGAGGATCTTGCCCTTGTCCACCCCCGCCTGTCTCCGCACGAACTCCCCCGTTGCGGGGTCCTGACTTATGGGTGCGGCAAAGACGTTGGTTAGGTTCCACGGCCGCCTCGCGTCCAGAAGCCAGACCTCGACATCGCCAGTACCGCCCTCTCCATTCTCATCAACGTCCAGGCCCAGTATCTCTTCCATGTCCACCATGCCTCCCACACCTAAACATATGACTACGCCTCCGCTCCCGCCGTCTGTTGTCCGCATGGGCTGTACCAGCTCTTCTGCCGCTCGTGATAGGTCGCCATATCCGGCTATTGGTTGTATCTTGTGGGGTATGTAGTCGCGCTTCAATAACGCTGTGAGTATTCGACAGGCACAAAGCGCGTCTGGTTCAAGGGCGACAAGGAGTAAAACTGGCGGCGCAGCGGCATGTGTGCGTTTTATGAGGTTCTGGTATAGGTGGGCTATCAGGTTTCGCGGAAGGTACATGGCGGCGGCGGTAAAGTGGTTTGCCCTGCGTGCGGGTGTAGAGAAAACGCGCAGAGAGACGCGTCGGGAGGATTTGAGGGGGCTGGTGGGGCGGTGAGGAGCCTATTGTATGCTCAGCATGTGGGACGGGAATAATACAAGGCGTGATTAAAATAAAGACTATGGCAGAAGGGCAATTGGCATGCGTGAGTGCGGGTGCTTGCACAGCTCGTGGTGGTGTAGTATCGAGGATGTCCTCGACGCGTTCTGCGCTAGCCGCGGAAATGGCTTCGCTCGGACGCGCCTCTGACGTGAACATTCACTTCCATCTCGATTCCGATCGCGGCTCGTCTTCGACAAAGACGATGCTTGTATCGTCATCTTGCCGCTATCAGTATTGCCCGATTCTTTCTTGTCACGACTATCGTCTCGAATCCATGTTGCCGCGCACTCGTTCGCAATGTACATTTTTGGTTAGCAGAATGGACCATACGCGATGTGAAACTTGCCATAGCTTAATAGCATGGACTACTAATTGAAGGCCTATGTATCTTGCTCCCGCATAAACAGCAACCCGAGCATGGTAGGTAAAGCAGAAATCCCAAGGTTGCCCGTGAGTTACCCCTCCATCTCACCTCACGGTAAGAAAGCAAATAACCTCAGTCCTGCCAATTTTGCAATATCCGATCGCTCACTTGTTTCCAGCTACCAATTCATCCGTTTTCCTATGCCAACTTAACTCCGCCACACCCCCTGACAGTGTCGCTGGCTTTTATCGGTGTAAAGTTCATCGCTATGGCTATTAGTGGGAAAGTCAGAAAAGCCACTCAGGCTCTTGTTTAATCCCAGGCTCTGCATCAGCACCCGTGTAATCATCTTCTTCGAAGTCAGGACCTGGGCTTTTCGGCTCCACTTTAACGAGTGCAGGCACAATCTCGCAACAATGGTCGTAATGCTCTCCGTGGACATCACCCCATTTTGTGAGGCCCGGATTGATAATGAAGGCCACAACCCCTAGCCCCATCTCTTCATCGTCATCATCATCGGCAGACAACATCTTCTCTTCCTTGGATTCAGCTCCGATAGCCGGATAGGTGACCTGGAATCGCGACCGCTGCAAGGACATCCGTATGGCCAAAGCAAATGCTTTGTCCACAATGAGATTGACTTCCGATACCTTATATCCGGGAGATAACATCTCGAAATGCCCAGCGATGACAGTCGTAACAAGAGTGCGGATCTCGATCACACTGGCTGTCAAACCCTCTGGTGAGGGCCCTGACTCTCCGTGTGCGATACTGTCTCGGCTTGTTTGCTCGACTAGCTGCTCCACTGTCTTAACCCGCCATGCTTCACATTGTACAGAAGCACTGGGCCAGTCATGATCATGTTCTGCCCCATAGACCTGTACCCATGCCCCGTTGAGTGCTTTGCAATGCTCTCCGAAAATAGTATAAGGGTTCTTAAAGACCAGGCAAATCAGAATGGACCAGATCCAGGCTTCGGTCAAGGTCTTCTTCCTCGCGCGGCCATTTCAATGATGAGGCGCAACGTTGTTCAGCAAGACGAGCGAATCGAGAACCTTTATGATATTGACCTGGGCGACGAAGCGAATCGAACGGGTAAAGGACTTGACGGTTGAGGCGAGCGAGCGGAATTCCTTAGCGAACTGGTCGTCAGATATTGTATCCACTTTGTCGACCTTGGCGAGCATGTCGTGCTGGAGCTCCTGGACTTGAGTCCGCAGGCGCTGAACTTCCGACCGCAAAGGCTTGGCTTGACTGGCATCGCGCAGCATCGGGTCTATGACCTTCTCGATGGATTCATCGGTAAGGTCCCGGAACTCAAACCTTCGCTTGACTGCGTACGGCTTGACGAGATATTCAAGAATGTAGCTGTACTCCGCTTCGACGCCGTTGGTTTCCTTCTGCAACTCGTCACGCTTTTCTCGCAGTCGCTTGTTGTCGCTCTGCAACTTGCGGAAAGCTGCCTCAATCTTATTTATCCTCAACTCTTTCTTCGCCATGTCATCGCCGCGACGTCGCAATGCGTTTATGAGGTTTGATACGCGGCGCTCGGCGTCTTGCTTGCCTTGGCTCAGCTCTTGGACACGCCTCTGCGCATCTTGCAGTTGCTGGTATGAGTTGTTCGACTGGCTTCGTGTAATCCGGTGCTGGTTGCTTTCGTTTGCACGGCCTCCATTCAACTAGGTTGCTCGTGTCAATACTTGGTTTGACGATGTGCACAGAATTCAAGCGCTTACAAATCTGTTGATAGAGGATCTCATTGCTTTGGGAAGCCTTTTATTATCGACGGTACCAGGAGGGCAGTGGGTTGTTGTAGCACAGAATAAATTGTTGAAACACGTTCAGCAATAATCGGTGGTGCAAGCTCAGAGCTTATATGGGCAACAATGTACAACGTAGATAGCACCCATCAGGCATGCTCACCTTTACTTGGGGATACTCAACCCCCTCACCTGGTTTTAGAGCAAGACTGGAGTAGTTTGCTCGCTAATGAGACACGTGCTTGGGAACATGTCTCTCACCCTTACTTAAAGAAGCCTTCGGGTCATGAACTCGTTACAAAACATATCTTACTTCTCTTACAATCTCCAGATTAGAGCTACTTTCATCGACTACTACAACATCTAAGCGCAACAAAACCGTATCAGTCCATACCAGGTCGACATGAAGTCCAACCGATTGATAGTAGGCCTGGATTATGGCACTACGTATACTGGTGAGTCCTTTAACTTGCACATATCATATCGGCTGACCAGGTAGGTGTCTCTTCCTGCGAAACTTCTGACAACGGCACCGGTGATGAGCACATAGAGGTTATTCATGACTGACCGTCTCAGCATACCAAGATCGGCACCAAGGAGAAAGTACCCAGTGAAGTAACATACCAGAAACAAGGCTTGCTATGGGGAGCACTCATCCCTCCCAACCTTTAGCGCCATATGTGGACGAAGCTTCAACTGGACCCAATTAATGAGGGAGAACTCGTCAAGATTGTTAGAGAAGTTTCGACATCTACAGAGAACACAAACAAGCAGCCCGTAGAGATCATCGCCGATTTCCTTGCTCAGATCAAGGCACATCTTATCAAAAACCTGGATCAGAAATATGGAAAAGTACTATGGAGAGGCCTTGCCATCACTTTGGTGGTCACTGTTCCTGCGGTTTGGACAGATGTCGCTAAAGCCCGTACTCTTGAGGCTGTGGACAAGGCCGGCTTCAACACACCTGAGTTCCCACACCTGAAGAGCATTCTTATGACAACTGAGCCCGAGGCTGCTGCCATTTATACCATCAAGAGCTTACGAGGTATGCAAGCGCACAACACATGATCACCTGGGCAAACTTCCTGGAGTGATTGACATGACATATGGCTGATCGAGAACCTTTACTGACTCTACGATAGGAACTACACAAAACGCGAACTTTGCTGTCGGTGACGGGTTCATCGTCTGTGACATGGGCGGCGGTACGGTCGATCTGTAAGTAACTACCATTGCGGACTATTTCTAAGACATCCATTGACTTCGAATGCGAAACTCTAGGATTTCCTACAGGGTTGCAGGAGTCGAACCGACAGTGATCGAGGAAGCAACAATCGGCAGCGGTGATCAATGTGGAGGCAGTTTCGTCGATCGAGCTTTCCTGAAGTTGCTTGAGCGCCGCTTGGGTACCAAAGACTTCGTGGAGATTGTCGGCTGTCGCAGTGAAGATGTCCCGCACACCTCGATCTCAAAAAAGGCAGCCAGGATGCTGCAAGATTTCACGCTTGAGATCAAGGGTGGCTTTTCCGGAACAGAAACTAATCACCTACGCCTACCACATCCTCTGACCTCTATCGAAGAAGACACAGCGAGAGGCATATGCGATGGTGAAATCACCATCTCTCCGTAAGTCAAACCATTATACATAGTTACAGGGGCTAACAAAGCTTAGAGAGGACATGATCGAGATCTTTGAGATGCCAGTCCGCCGTACATACGAACTCTTGGGCAATCAGTTGAGCTAGTTGCGAGCAAACAAAAAGATCAAGGTCAAGGTGAGTCACACTTCTAATCAATATCTTTGGCTGCCAGGCCTAGAAGTTCGCTTTTATCCTCAACGTATTCGACTATCTCTGGTCGTTTCACTAATCTACCATAATTTTTCTATTTTTTTTAATACTGACTCTCCAATAGTATGTCTTCCTGGTTGGTGGTTTCTCAGAGAGTCCGTACATGTACGAGAAGATCAAGACGTTCGTCGCTAGTTGCAACGGCCTACAGGCTGTCAAACCGGCTTATGCGTATGTGAATCCGTTCAAATTCTTTCAACAATTCACTGATAGTTGTATTAGATGGTCTGCTGTAGTACGAGGCGCAGCCGCGAAGGGCTTAGAAGGAGCTAAGAAGAACATGATTAAGACGCGCAAATGTCGCAGACACTACGGCACCGACTATTGCGCCCGATTCTCCGCACGTCAGCATAAGGAAGCCGACTCATATATCGACTGCTACGACGGAATTAAGTCGGTACAGAACCAGATGCGATGGTTGCTTACATTGGGCCAAGATCTCTCGACATCCAAAGACGCACACGCAGAGGCAGGGTTCACGACCGACTTCTGGCCAACAGAGAAACGTGTGTCTTCTCTGAAGCTCTTCGCTTCGGATGAGTTGAAGGCTCCCACGAGTTCACTTGATAAGGCAAGTCATAGTGCCGTAGGTGCTAACTATTGTCATTATGTAATAACTTTGATACAGGGTGTTTACAAGGTCACCACACTGACCGTGGACCTAAGTGTCGTTCCTAAGAAGGAGTTCAAGTCCAAGCGAAGTCCCTCAGGCAAAACCTACCATAGTTTGAGCTACGACGTTGTGATCTCGGCACAGTCGATCCTGGAGTACTCGCTGCTAGTCAACGGCAAGACTTACGGCACCGTGACTGCGAAGTATGATTGAGCCTTCATACTACACGCTCGTCGAGCACCCTGCTATTTCAATACCGATGGTGGTTTTTTGGAGGGGTTGAGCTGGTGGTTTAAAAAGTGGATTCAAAACGAATGAAGGCGAAAGTAGGTGCCACTTTTAAAGGGCGAAGATTAAGTAAAAGCGTAGCTGATTCGAAGGAAAAGCTAACACCGGCGTCTGACTTGCTTCTTGATCGAATCGGTTCCTACATATCTTCGTCAGCTGCACAGGTAGCTAACGAACCACTCACCTGAAACACAAATGCATCCTCAACTACCCTTGATCCTCCCACGGTGACCATGCTACCTCTCAACCACCACACCATTAACTCCCCTCCGCACCCTATATCCATGCCTCGCTCTTCCAAATCCTCTTTCAACCCCTCACAATCATCAAACCCCCCACCAATCATCCCCTCCGACCCCGCCAAGCCACCAATCTCTCCTAACTCAACCGTTCCTTAGCCCACGCACTAAATCACGAGACTTGCATCTCATGCGCGTCATCTCGCCGCCATCCTGCAAACAGCGATACAGCCGACGAAAAAGTGGGGATGAACAATCCCTGAGGTAATGAGTTTGAAACGGCGATCGTGGGAAGGTTTAGGGCGCTGTATGGCGTCGTGTTGGGCACAATGGCTTGCAGAACGCGAAGAGGGGATGTGGGATAGTAGGAGGTTTAGTAGAAGTAGTGGAAGCGAGGGGCCGGATGGCTTGGGTCGGCTGTCGAAGGAGGGGATAATGGGAATATGGGTAGTGAGGGCTGGAGCGAGCCGTACCATTACCAGCGTTTTTGCTGTGCTGGTAGATTGCTGAGGTGGGCGTAGTGTAACGCGTTTGCATGAACAGCGTATCTGGTAGAGTCGCGGAACGGATTGGGGCTCAAAGGGCTATATTACAAGGTCTCGGAAAAGCTATTCGTCGGATGCATGGTCCTCTTCCCTACCAGACGTAATTGCCATACATTCAGGCTGTAAGTGCGTCGTCCTCGCAGCTTCAGCTTGCTTACTGCGCAATCAGAGTGAAGCCCAACATGAGATCACAAGCCCCGCATTCAGACTTAGCCTCGTATCGTGTGCGCTGCGGTCCAGCTAAATGCCGCACCGAAATTCGTCTCATTTTTGTCAGCTGTGACGGGAAAACCCGATGCTCTGCTGCGCGGCATCGCCCGATGTCACCAGACAGATTTTCGCGGGTGTCGATCGCTCAAGCGCAAGTCTGACCAAGCACACAGTGGATCTACAGTACAAAATCGCATGTGACTCTAGTGCTCAGCTGTGTGATATCCAGCCGACTGGCTGTATTTGCGTGCAAGGCTTGGAGGATTTGAAAGACAATGGTGGTGTGTGGGAGCTGAAGATACAGCATCGGTCGTTGCAATGCAAAGGCACATTTCCTCATCAAGCACATCACTCACAGGACTTCAGTGTGCAGTTTTGATATGTTTAAATTTTACGTTCAGTGGGCGGTTATTTTTTTCATCCCAAGGAGAACTCGAGTTATGACTCTCTCCGTTGATAGTGTGATTCCCAGTATCATAGCGCCATATAACAAAGGAAAAAGGCGACGATGACAAGTTGTCGTTATTAGAAACGCCATACCCAGATGCATTGTACCCACACCATAACACCATGCTGATGTATAAAAGAAACCTCCCCCTCATTACAATAGTCGTAGAAAGAAAGGGTCTTGCCCTGTAGCCAAGTGCTTGCTCCGACGATGATTACCAGGTATCAAAATATCAAAGACCAAAAACGCCGGGTCGGCTTGCTGAAGGTGTCTGAGATCCAGCAAGTAGATGCTCAATGGTCAGCTCGTCGAGAAAGGGGCAGGTAGGATCAGACTCCTCGGCCTCCTAGGTCTTGCTATCGTCCCAGCTACCGTCTTCGTGGTGATCAAACGTGTTAGGTACCATCGGGTAGAGGTCTTGCGCTGTTTGCTGCCGAGGCTGGGGATATGGCATCGGGTTGTACGCAGCGTACGCCGAGTGATGTGGTGGTTGTGGCAGTCGCGCGTGGACGCTCGGAGCTGAGTAGTAGTTTTGCAGGTGATGCTGGTCGATTTGTGGTCTCATCTGCTCTTGTGGCTGCTCGAACGAGGTAACGGGTGCGTATGGGTTGGACTGGAAAGGCGTCATGAGCGGAGCGTTAGAGCCTATGCTGGGAGGCATGCTACCGAACGAAATACTGTTCATGCGGGGCGCGGAGCTTGGGGTGACGGGGCTATCGATATAATCCTCCTTCCTCCTCTTCGAAGACTGGAACTCGTAGCTGGGAGCGATGGGCGCCTGCGAGGTCGACTCTGTGTCTGTCGGATATCCTCGCTTGTTGCTCATCATCCCTCTAGCTTCCTTGCGCAATCTCAGGCGGACGCCCTGGTCGGAGAACGCCCGCGAGAGGTACGTAGACTCCTCGAGACCCTTGAAGTCCTTGGGGAGTACGACATCGAACCTTTCGCTCGTAGCAGAATTGAGGAATTGGAACTCGGATGATGAAGGCTGGAACTCGTACATGGTGAAGTGAAGTCTGTAGCTACCCTGGATCTTGACAGAGATGTCGCCGAAGACGAAGAAACCGCCATCCTTATTGTCAACGTCCTTGAGACGATGCAGGGACGACACCAGGGTGCCCGCCAACGAGTCGTTCGGGGTGTGCTCGACGGGTTCATCTCTGTCTGGTTTATACAAGGATACACTGACGAAGATGTATGGGTTTTGCAGGTAGTGGTTCGAAGGATCGGAGTCATTAGCAAGCTTGAGCTGGATGATCGGTGGTGGATCCACAGGCTTGCGAAACTTTTCCTTGCCCTTGATGGTAACCAGCGCTTCCCTAGGCTGTTGGCGGACGACCATGTAGCAGGTCGAGGGCCGTAGAGGTTCAGGTCCAGGATTGGCGACTGGTAGCGGAACAGACATGACCGGCGGGTAGTAGGGCTGGTAGTTGTGCGGCGGCATTGAGTGTGGGAACATGGTAGGAACAGAAATCGTGTTCATAGTCTGGCCCTCAGTAGTAGAGGTGGTGGTCGATCGTGGTAATAATTTCCAGATAAGAGCTTAGAGACTCCCAAGAATATGTAAATGGGATGGAGTCGGACGGTCGAGAAATCCTAAAAACATCTAGAAACTTATCGGGTTCCGCTAGCGAGGTATGGGAATAATGCGCGAAAGGTGGTCTATCGAACAAAGGACAGAGTCACTGCGGAGACGCTGTACCGTCTGGGGACCCTGCGTATCCAGTGATAGTGGTGGTAATGAGCGATGAAAATGCGTGGGGATCACTGTAACCATGGGTGCAGCACCTCTTTCCGGAGAAACCGTAGCAAAGCGCGACTGCCTGCTCTTAATGACCCAGTCGAGGACCGTCGATAGTAATGCGTAATCTCGCGCTGCTGTTCTTGGGATTGAAGACACCTTCAGAGGGCTTCGATATGCGAATCGCTTGCGCGGGAGTGGATCTGGCGCTCGTCTCAACGGGACCGAGCTAAAGGCCCGCTTGCGGAGAGATGGTCTGCTCCACACTGGACCGTAGTTTTCAGACGGGAAGTGGCGCAGGTATTAACAACTGCAAGAAAGTGTGTTGCGCCTGCGTCGCTCAGCACTTGCAGTATCGAGTCTGTGAAACACCGTACTTTCAGCGCTTTTCTCCCAAGGCATAGCACCTGCCGAAGTTCGAGTGGAAGCTGTTGGAATGGACTTGAAGTCACTGAGGTTTGGTACCGAACCGTGGTAGAGAATGTCCGAATATGACAACAAAGAGGGCCGTTTCCAACGGCTTCGAGGATATTAGTGTCGTGCTGGTCGACCAGTCAAGCAGCGATGACGTGTCGGGAGGGTAAGATTATCGAAATCTGTCAAAGGTGTGAGATGAGAAGTGAATGTCAGAGAGAGAGCGTCGAGAGCGACGTCCTGTGGCTCATGAGGGAAGACGCACAAGAGCAATGCGCAAGATAGAAGAACTGGCAAGGGTACCTCGAAGTAGTCGTCTCAATCGGGGCTCCTCTACAGACGTCCCACGGCTCCGTGGCGGCTTCGACGATGATTCGTCGCTTTCTGTCTAGTCTTAAGAGCAACTGGTGCCGAGCGCGGCCGATCAGTGGTGTAGGGTCTCCCCGAGCTAGCGTGCTAAGAGATGAACGGGCGGCGGCGTGAATCATGCGAACAAGCTCTAGTGCAGCCAATCGAAGGTCGTTCGGGCCCGTTTCTTCTTTTGTAGGCACGGTTCCTTTGAGAACTAAGGTTTCTCGCTTGTTGACACAGGCCTGGTTGATTTTGCTCTTGCACCTCGTCGAGTCCAAAGTTGGCTGCAATGTGGTTGATGCGTTTGGTGATGACGTCGCGGGTTCAATCGAAAACGACAGGACGGTAAGTACTCAGCGTAATACCGGGTTCACGATGGAGATGGGAGCTTGTCCAGCCCGCTGGTGCATGTGTAAGCGTGCAAGAACGGTACGGCGGGACTAGGTACAAGAAGACAGGATGGTCGCAGATACTGTGCCGTACTGCGGCGAGTGTTCTATATGCTCATAGCACTTTCGAATGAAGCCGAAGAATACCCAAGGATTGTTTTGGAGCTAAAAGGCAGCAATCGCCCGTCAAAGCGAGGGTATCCCATGCAGCCGGATGGCAGAGCCTGGCTGCACAGACAGTGCGGCAGCAGCGCAAGGATAGCAGGGTGGCTTGGATTCAACGGCAATTCCAGGTTTAGAGTTGGTAGGGCACTATCCAAGGGCATCGAACGGGGAACCCGGTTGCATGCGACGGAAGAACCCCATGTCTGTAAACAGTCACAGAGACGCTCGGAATTTAGCCATTGCAACTACTCTACTTGAGAGGTCGTATATAATGCCCCATTGGCGCCCAATATCTCAGCATCGCGCTGTTCGCCAGCCTGTTTGTTACGGTTCCTCTGATCCGTAGCTCAAGAGGTATAGAGCTCTCGGGTTAGTTGAACTGACCCCCAACATATCCGTCGGGATCGCTCGCGGGCGAGTACGGTGGTACTGAACACGTCCACACACACATGGCGGCTGTCACGCTCTTTCCGAAGGCGCATCATGGCGGCTCCGGGACGTGCCTCAGGACTCGAGGGCTAAACTGACAGGATAGTCGAGGCTAGGATACCCACAACATAGTCGCGACATAGTGCCCGGTACTGTTCCTGTCGTCAATCGGGCCTCGAACGGGCGTGGAACCGTGGACCAACCATCTCCATTAGGTATTGCGTAACGAATAGAGGAATGACGCACGCTGCATACTCGGGCTGGGGCGAGTGATGTCGTTTAGAGGTTATGAAGATGCATGTGGGGAGGATGATCGCCGCCAAATCGTGCGGTGGCTGGGAGGATTTCTGCAGGGATGTAGTTCGATTCCAAGCGAAGACCACCAAATGCTCCGTTCTCCTGATGAAAGAAATTCTACGATGCTACACTGTCATCCGCACCCCCGTTCAACGCCCCTTTAGCCACAAACACCCAGCGAGTGAGCAGGCTGCGGCCCTCTTGCGAAACACTCAGCTCGGCAGTCTACCTCTGACAGCAGCGCTATAGCCAACCATGTCCTTAGCGAGCCTTTGTCGGGTCACCATCACCAGGTAACCGTCGCAGTCGTCAAAGCACGATGATCTGACTGCTAGGAGCTTGCTTGTTGCGCCTCTACGACAGATCGTCTCCTTGTCCTAGCAGCTTCCCCTCGTCGTCTACGTCTTCTCTCTGTGCGCCGACATGCCGCTGTTCCTGCAGGATACGAGAGCCTCCCGCCATTGGCCCTCCCGATATGTTGCAAATATTGTCCCAACATCGCCCTTGTATGCGCTTAATTTACTTTTTTGCCTACCATGGCGGAGACTCGGTCTGTTCAGACTCATCCAGACATTGTTGACTGCCGTCACGGGCTGCAATGAGGTTCATCGTCGCCGAACATTGCGATACTAGCCAGTGCTGCACTCTGATATATCATCAACATGTTGAGCCGGACTGCACGTCCAAAGAGAAGAACTGCCCTCCGGCTTTGCTACAACCGCCTGAATCTGCAATTGAGCGGCGCATTCGCGTTGTGGAAGCCCGGAAACCTCTAAAGCGCCTACATTCGCAGTTGCGGGCCCCTCATGCGGATGTGGGGTGTGTGACATGACTGCTATCGCATAGACCTCGTGGCCTTCCTCCCTGCGTGTTGGATCAGAGATCTCACCTGCACAGACAGTTGGCTCATCTTGGAACAAATCGCAACTAGGCTCTTGGTTCCGTTGAGCCGTACGCAGCGGACGCAATAAGTCTTAGGCGCCCTTAACCATGTTTGCAACTGCCGCACAAAGGTAATGGTCAAGAAAATGAAGACACATGGTTCACAGAGTCATGCACTAGCAATTATGGTATACTCTCGTGACAAACATCTGACGGCTTCCTGCAACTACACCTCTCCTGCGTTTGAGCTAAGTGGTTAGTATCAGCAGCCTTGAGCCGTACAGATGATGCACTTGCTGATGATTTGAGATGAGTTTGCATTGAGGCGGTCAGTCGATGTGCGTTCACGCATTCTTTTTCCATCTCCAAAGGTCATTGAACTGGCATTGGCACAGTGATCGTTGTGGGTAATCGACGGCACCCTCCGTGGATACTTAGAGTGTTTGATCAGCACCCAGCGGTGTTCGCGGCTGAAGATCTCTAGCAGCACTCTGATTAGATCTGGACAGCATGTCTCATCCATCGCCACAATTGACGATTTGCTTACCTGCAGCCATCGACCCTAACTACCGTCCTCTGACCCCCAAAGTCATCACGCATTCGAACAAGGCACTCCTTGTCTAACATCTATCGCAGCAGTCTTGAGTGACACGGCACTTGACTGAAGATTCTACTAGGGCTGCATTCGCCGGTCCTAAAAAGCTTTGAGCAGTCGGCTCGACTACCCCTCGTACGCGGTCAGATCTAGATCCACAGCAATTCCAACCTCGTGCTTGTTGCTGTACGCGTTGGCCACAGTTCTCCACAATCACCCCACTCTGCGCAACGATTTCTCCGCATGGACAATTCAAGCTCACGATAGTTCAGCAAGTTCACCGTCTGTCGAGCCAATTTGATCACCATTATATCATGCACACGTTGCTCTGGTGGTTTATTGCAGCCTGCAATCGGCGATCAGCTTACAACAAGCTGTTCAGCTCAGCATGCTATGTGTGGGCCTCATGCGAGCCAAGCAGGTATGATGTGTGTAGGCAGATGTTACTGGTTATGCAAAAGGACATGATCCCTGGACAGATGGATGCTGCAGAACCGGTGTCGGGCGAGCCCAAAGGTTCCCGAGCGTCACCGGCTCTGGAACCTGTGGCAGAACTACAATGACTTGCCTCGAGCTAGCAAGGTAGCTGGTGCAACGCAGCTGACGCAGAGGCTGATGCGGATATGTTGACTGAAGAAGCAGATCAACAAGCACCCTCTCCTCTCGCACTGATGAAACAAGAAGCATACCACAGCACTGACAGATGCCTCATCACGTACCTGGAGCGTGTTCACAGCACAATGAACACGAGTTCACCGCCTCCTCAGAATCTTCACGCAGCATTCTCCGCGTAGCGCACACGTCTGTGGTTGTTGATTGGCTTGATCATATGTAGCTCCCATGGCTCTACCATGGTTTGCATTCTCAGCGGCGTGAACCGGCCACACTCAAAATTCGCCGTACGGCTACCGGCAGTCTGCTTGCTTTTCCTCTGATTGCGTCTTCCGGCTAAGACACGACCGCACGTGCTGCGGGGCAGTTGCTTCCTTCCTCGTTCGATGTCGGGCATCAGGGTCCAGGCATGCCTGACAATGGAGGTAACAGCCGGCAGCCACCCAAACATCATTCATACACCACCTTCTCAAGTCTAATCATGAACTTGTCGCTCTTGGGTGGCGCAGTGTACGAATCCATCTGCTCGATTCCTGCGTCATCAACGATCGTGGTGCGGTAATTCGAGTACAGCGCCGCAATGATGTACTTCATCTCTGTAACTCAGTCAGCGTCTATCACTGGTGTCTTGGAAGTGGAGCTAGCATTCAGGGCTATATCGATGGGAAAAGAAAAAGTGGAAGATCAGCACTTACGATATATCGCCAAGTGACTTCCAACGCACATGCGTCCGCCACTGCGCAAAGTAAGTGACAAATTTCAACGTGCTTCGACGAGTAGTACTGACCTTCCAAAGGCCCAAAACCATCGGCTCTCCATGTCCTTCCGCTTCTCCTCGTCTAGCTTGTCCAAGTCCAGCCACCGCTCCGGCCTCCACTCGTTTGCGCGCTCAAACACCTCCTCATTCAGGTGCAACAGACCCGCGCTTGCGCTCACCCTTACTCCATTAGGAATATAGTACGACGCCTTCTCAGGACCAAGTCGACAGCCTTGCCGTGGCGCAAAGCGTGGTTGTGGACCCGGAATGGCTGAGTGAAGACGCAGGGTCTCCCAGATGACTGAATGTAGGAAGGGTAGGTTTTCCATAGCCTTTGGATCTGGCAACTTCGATGCAGATGAAGGTACAAGCTGTGGCGACAGACTGAGTAGCTCAGCCCGAAGGCGGGCCTGAACCTTCGGATGTTGCGAGAGCTCATGGACGACATAGGCCAAAGTTATCCCAGACGTATCGAAACCTGCCGCAAGATGGTCCAACACCTCGCTCGCAATCTGAGTCTGTAGATTATTATCTTCATCTCCCTTCGTCGCTTTTGCCATGCTGTTTTGGAGCTGTTGATACACCACAGGCCGATCCTCGATCTGTGCATCGCCCGCGATTGAGATAGCACAGGCATCATCGCACATTCTCGCCGTCCACTTCTCAATCTCACCGTTTGCTTCGTCGACCCATTTGGGTGACAATCGGTAACCAATCCATTTCTCCACAAAGCTAGTGAATCGCGGGAACTCCTGCGGCCAAAAGTTGTAGGATCGGCGCGAATTGTACAAGTTCAGGAACCACGCAAGCTGCTTCCGGTCATCGATAAGGTTCGAGCCTGCCTTGAGGCCAAAAATGAAACACGTCACAACATCCATAGTCGTTGCGCTGAGCAGTGCGTAGATGTTCAGAACGCCCTTTTCGGACTCCACAAACGTCGACTCCAGATACGGCAAAAAGCGTCTGTAGAGGATAGTAGATACCTGATTCAATAGCGCGTCGCTTGCAGTAACGTATGACTTGCTATAGATATTACTCAGCATCCGCTTTCTCTGCGAATGCGGCTTGTTACGTCCTGTAGAGAACATATTGTCGATTCTGCGATGAGTCAATAAACGCACGGCCGGTCTTCTGACAGTGCTCACCCTCCATAGTTCGAAAAGAAACCATACCAATTGTATCCATCCTTGGCACTGCTTTTCTCGAAACCTCCGGCATAGATGTCTCGTATCCCGCCTTTGACGCAGTTCACGCTGATCTCGTTGGGCCCGAGACACACAATCGGGCCCAAGCGGTCGTGAGCTGCTTTGAGTGTCGCATTCTCGATACCCCGCCAGCGGATTGAATGCATCCAAAATGAAGAGAAATAAGCCAGTGGGTGGGCAGCTGGGACCTTGCGCAATGGGTTGCGAACATAGCTGACAAGCACTTGAACGATGAGGAGAACTGGGACAAGGATACCCAGGGCGGAGAACGACAGACCGAGCATTGTGGTGTAACGTGCCACAAACCTCAAAAGCAATTGTAGAGGCGTCTTCCAGATGCAGGAACGCAAAAGAAAAGCTACATGTCAACGACGCCTTGCGAACGACAGCTCGCTCGCGCTAGACGATGTCCCGCTTCGATCGGATCATCCCACCATAACATCCCCGCAACACATCACCCTTATCAGGCTTATCTCATCATCGGTCTAACTGTAACTGTGCTAGCGGCTCGGCCCTATCCGTCGCTATCCAGCCATGACCATCTTCAGCCTCCATCAAGTCTCAAAACTCGAGTCAAGATAAATCTTTGATATTTGCCAAAGGGGTTTGTGATGAAATGCATCACCCAACTACGATCCTCGTAGGCCTACATGCTTGGCATGCGGTATCGGCACCCCGACGGCGCTGTCAAGTTGTACAAGTAACTACAGACATGCAATGCAACGCGCTGCGATGCGATGCGGTGCAGGCAGGAGTGGAAGCGGCGATTCGCAGTGGAGACGAAGTTAATTTGTTGACGAACGCCGGTGTTCGGCAACATTTCCCAAGCGGCGAACGGAAAAACGGAATATGCTTACACAGACCGTATGAGATCGACGATGACTGCATAGGAGATCAGACTGGGCGTGCGTGCAGTATTCGGATGAGAAGTTGCAATATTGAAGTGATATCATGACATTCATGCAACTACGAGGGCAGCGTGGAAGTAAACCTGTGGTCTGTCTCTTGGAAGTGCCGTAGTGGCTGGTGTGTGACGTGTTGTACACTGAGGCACGACGCCTCCAGTAGATGCTTTCTGTACGACAAGATGTTGTGCGAAGCTCGGTTCGGAACGCAGGAGACAAAAGTCTAGGAATGCGTGTCGGGAACAGGGACCAGGCCATTCACGTCCACGGGAAAGGAAACAAGCTCAGTGTGGAATATTCAGCGACGTACTTTTGCATTCGAGAGACCCGACTTCTATCGTACTTGATTGTGTAACCCAATGTCTCAGTAAATTCCAGTTCCATTCCAGCTCTCCCTAACCTGCCCCCAACCCTGGTAATTCCAATTCGTAATATATGCCTCTGTTGTCCCATTTCCCCCATTGCTCGTCGCATACGCACCCACCAGTGCACCCGTGAAGCCCCATGAGATGATATCGCCACCTACATAAGCCAAATCCTGGATAGGAACACTGCCATCAGCGGGTCCCGCGCCAAACGCATAGTGTGTGACATTTACTGCTCTCAGACTCAGTGTGAGTGGTTTGTTCAGCCAGGAGGCGTGTACAGGGATGATGACATCGTCGGGAACAGGAATGTAGGATATAGCGTGGAAGTGAAAATGCGGTGCTAGTTTACGCTGTCGTTTGCCAGGGGAAGCATAGCGACGCCCATCCGTGCGTGGTGGTTCTGCGTCAAGAATAACGTTATTCCTGCTTCTTCGTTGAGGGCGCTGGGACTATAGTCCAGGTCAAAAGCGAAGTTGAAGAGCGTGTCAACTTGGCGGCGCGATATGAATGTTTGCCCGCCTGGGCCGGGAGAGTTTCCATCTATACCTGTGAGGTTTAGAGGGGAGGGCTTGAGACGAAGGGTGTTGATGTGGCCGGGCGGGGAGATGACGTAGTTCTCTGTGATGGGTGGGCGCCAGTAAATGAAGTGAGGTGGTATGGAGGTGTTTGGGCGGAATTTGATGTTGTTATCGCCTTCGTCTACGAAGGGCCTGTTGAGGTGTTAATATTCAGTCGTTATCCGCAGTTGTTTGGCTTACCCGTCACCCGGTAGATTCTGGATAATACTAGGGAGTGACCATCCCCGCATCTCACCACGAACTGGGTGTTGTAGCTCAGGCCATGATCCAGCTTCCCACGTTACATTGTAGAGGACGGTTTCTCGACCCATGGGGAAGGTCACCCATTCTGGACCAGAGCGGACTGCTAACGCTACACCCCACCATTGACCTCGCGCATCTTGAAAGAGGTCCGCATGACCTACGGCTTGAACTGTGATGTTTTAGTTGATGTTTGACATGCGAACTAGCAGAAACCTACAATATTCAGTAGTATTCGCATTAGTCAAGATGGGGTTGGCAGCGTTCGGTTCATAAGGCCCATAAAGGTCCTTGGACCGCGCGATCGTTTCCATATGAAGCAGACCTGTTCCACCTTCTGCAATCATGAGATAGTACCAGCCATCTTTCTTGAAGATATGTGGCCCTTCAGGTGCCTAGATGAGACGGTTAGTGATGCCGTTCATCATACGCTCCATGAGGTATACTTACGATACCGCCAGTACCATTCCATAAGTTAGTCCAATTACCAAGTACCTCTCCTGTAGTGAGATCGACTCGGTTGATATGAATACCATATCTACGCCCATAAGCATCATTGACATACGCTCAACATCTTGAGAAGACTTACGCTACTTTCCAGGCATGGCTACCAACAACATAAGAATTTCCTTCGTCATCCCAATGCGGGCTGATGTCGTATCCTTCGAAGTCGAGATGTACAGCATCAGTCCACTTGCTCTCATCCCACAGGTCTGTTGTTGAGAAGATAATCTGGAGACATTAGCATCTCATCAGGTAGGATCCGGCTCAAAACGCACATTATCCCATCTGGAAGAATCGTTGTCAGCCCTTTTGTCATGCACCATCGTGGTCAAAAGATAAAAGGTGCCATTGTTGAAACGAAGTGCTGGTGCCCAGATACCGCTCGTCGATCCAATGGATTCCGCTAGTACAGGTAGCTGACTTTCGCGGTTCAAAGCATGCCCTGCATAGATGTAAGCAGCTGCTAAGAAAATAACCTGGTAGTGTATGTAGGGAAGCAAAGCAGAACATACCAACAAGCCTCCAGTTCGTCAGGTCCTTACTAGCATGGATTGGGATACCAGGAAACACATTGAAGCTACTCGAAGCGCAGTAAAATGTTTCATCAGGCTGATGGAATATGCAACTCGGATCAGGATGGAACTAGAGAGCATCAATTAGTCTCCTATCTTTCTTCTATGTCTCGAACGAAAATTAATCTCTCCAGCTTACACCAGGTAAAATCGGATTAAACCACCTCGAATTGAACGCTTGTGCATTGCCTACTCCAGCCAGCGCCGTCGTAAGCACCGCCACCGATAACGAGAGCAATCGCATGGTTACCGAATAGAGATGAAACGTCTGTTTCCGAAATTGAGATCAGGTGTGTGACTTTGCAGATGAAGTACCGCACCCACCATCAATTATACAACACTCTATTCCCCGGATTGCAATTCCCACTAACGTCACTGCACCTGCACATCCCCCGCGTCGTTTTTCCACGCGCTAGTGAAGATCGCATAGCCTGCATGCTGTTTACCCGGGTATACACGTCCCAAATTGAGTAACGGCTGATTCCGCAACCCTTGTCATCGCCAAGCACTGCGCAATTGACGTATATGAAGTGGGAGAAACTCATGCCTGGAGTGCGCGGACGTGTGGAGAAAGGCAGTTTGTGGGGCACCGGACCGGGTAAAATGCAGATTCTTTGGGGATGGAGGAGAAAAGGCGAATGAGGAGCGGAGGTGGGAATTACGAAATTCGGAGGAAAGAGGGCCGAGGAGACGTCATTTTATTCTGTCAATCATTTCACGACAGCGACAACGATTGATGTTGAGTAGAACCATGTTCAGGGTTGAAGCAGAGAACATAATTCTTCTGTATTATATAGAATCCATGTTGATGTACGCCCCTCGCTATCCGATCCCAAGGTATCTCCGTAATGCATGTCAAAAATCCGACTAAAAGAACATGATGGTACATGAATTGAAAATGCAAGGTTACGCGCTGAACAGAAATAAATCGGTGTCTAGACCCCAGCCGTGAGCAGGCCCAATCGACACCGATAGGCATTAAAATATGTGGAAGAGAGGCCAAAAGGTAAACATCGATCAAGCATCTTGCATGATAATGTCATCGTCTTCCTCGCCTTCGGCATCAACATCCATATCGCCCTCTTCTTCGTCGTAATCGCCATCCGCATCGATATCTTCATCGTGTTCTTCTTCAATGGGCAAAGCCTTTCCTTTGCCTTTGAAGTCGATGCTTCCTCTAGAGCTAGCGGAGCTGCGTGTACTTCTTCGTCCGTTGATGACGACGGCTTTGACGGCACCTCCATCTTCGACATCCTCGCCGTTAGTGACGCTTTCACCAAGCCGGCTTCGTGTTCTGCGGAGAGAAATGGTGCCTGGCGTGAGGGCGCCATTGGCAGACGGTGACATGAGATTTTTGGCTCCCCTACTAGGAGATAGTTGAATCTTTGATACTGGGGCCGTGTGAATAGACAGCGATGTGTTCCGTACGCGGTTTGGAGTGCTTGTTCTTCGCCGTGATCCAAAGGGTCGTCCGGGTCGGCGTCTCTGCGCAGGTTGCCCTGGTACGGGAGGGAAGATCTCGTATCGTGACGGTGGGATTGCCGGCTCGTCCATATGTGAGCCTGCAAGTGCCACGGTAGAGCCGTTTGCGAGCGGCGTACCTGGAGCTGGCGAACCACCGTTGACAGAGTCTTCGGCGGCAAGAGTGGGTATGGCTGCGTCTGCTTCATCACCAGTACCGTTAGTTTTCGCCATTTCCATCTGCACGCCCTCCTCAGGCGCAGACTTTTCCTCTTCTTCGACTTCATCGCGCTGTTGCACTGTTTGCAAGGCAGGTCCATCTTCATACTGGCCCAGACGACCCATGACGTACGGTGTCCATATCAGACAGTCAGGGTTGATCTTTGGGTTGCCTGCAGCATTGCACTTCTCAATGTACGACTTGAAGTAGTTCAAATCGAGGCGTAGCGCGTACTTCTTGGTGACAGGATCACGCACGAGAGCTCGTAGGCCTTCTAACGCTGATACGATATCATCCGGTGTCATGCCGGTGCGGTCTGATATAGCCGATATGCTGATCGCGGCCTTTTGTTGAAGTAGCTCCTCGCACAGAACAAGCCGCCAGTATTTCCGATAACTTACCAGACCCATGTCACTGAGCGGTTTCTCTGGGCTTCCAGTCTTTCTCTCCACGCGCGTGAGAAGGTATGAGAACTCGATCAGGTACTGTCCGTAGCCCTTGCGCATGTGGATGGGAAGCACGAGAATACACGAGACGTTGTTAAGCGAGCTCGGACGCTTCTCTTTCGAAAAGTAGCCGACAAAATGACACCCGAAGTTGTCGTTCTCTGTCATGACGTAGAACAGGAAGGGCTCGACATCGTAGTATAGTGTCTTGGAACCGAGAAACAACTTGGCGAGTAGGCAGAGATTCTGGCAGTATACAGGATTCTTCCGGCCATCGACCTCGAAGAAAGAGTACTTGCCGTCACGATAGATTTCATCACCTGGAGGGTGCTTCGCCGGGCATTTGAGCTGCGACTGTTAGTATATGATCATGAGAAGAAGTCGGGATTCTTACCTTGTGCCGCCATGCGACATAGTCCGAGTTCATGTACTTGAGACAAAACTCGCATATGTATAGCACCCTGTTTTTACTGTACTCCTCAGGATATGGTGCTGCATGCCAGGTATCGATTTCCCATCCACCGAAGTTGACGCATTTGATCTTGCTCGCAGTGGCTGCTTGCTTATGTGAGCGTGCTGGTTCTGGCGGATAGAGTGCAGCCTGCTTCGCTTTCCACTCTTCTTCGGCCTTGATACGAGCATCATCAAAGCGCTTCCTGTCAGCAGGCGAAGGATAGGTCTTGGAGGTATCAGCGTCGGCTTCGGAAAGTACGCCGCCGTAGGGCTTGCTCTTGACCTCGTCGGGCTCTTTGTCGGTGAAGCCCGGGAAGGGTGTGGCATGCTGCACATGTATTGTTGGATAATGCAGGAGCTCTGGCGATTCCCGCGCAGCCTGTGCAGCCCGTCGGTTTCTCTCGCGACGTTCTCTATCCCTCTCACGCCGTCTCTCCTGTCGCTCCTGTTCGATTGTGAGCGTCTTCTTCTTGGGTTTAGAAGTGACGATTTGCTGCACTTTCTCGTTGTTAAGATGAAAAGCTATGATCAAGCTCCCGCCTTGAGCCTCTTCGATCCATGCGAGTGGACGTTTGTCAGTTCTCTTGGGTTGCCCACGACGCGCCCGCGCTGGCCGTAAGCGACCAGCCTCTCGATCTGATCCATTCTGCTCTGCTTCGCCTCCACTCTCATGACCATCCGTCATGACGCTACGAGCACTTCGTACGCTCCTCGATGGTGGCCGGGGTGAGACTGCAGGCACTGATGGTTCGGCATCTGAGTTGGACGCTTCAGAAGGTCTTCGCTTTTTCCGTGTTTGCCTCGACGGCAGCGGTGCTTCCTCCTCTTGCGAAGTTTTGCGTTTGCGCAGCGAACGTAGTCCATCTGCTGGCTCATCGGGAATAATTAGCTCTTTGAAGATTGAGTGTCCCTCGGGATCAACCCCACGATGTGAAGGGAGCAACTCTTTGGTCAGCTTGTTCAGAGACGAACGTCGTCGGCGAGCAGAAGTAGATGGCTCTTCCGCCTCTTCTTCTTCTCCTTCGGTTGGGAAATTGTTAAGGCAACCATTGCAGCGCCAACGCTTTGCATCTGCTCGTCGTTAGTAAAGCGCGGTTTGGGCGTGACAAGGGAACATACCGTCATCGGAACTAAGCGTATTAGCGTTACGGGCGCATTGCCGATGTGCTGCAGGAACAACATGTCAGCTACCGAACGAGTAAAGCCAGACTTTCTTACTGAAGACTCACCATTGTCTCCACAAATAGCGCATGAGAGGTACTCTTCGAACTCTGGACTTGGGTCGTTATCCTCATCTAGGTGGCAGTATCTACTTGGTCAGTTTCGGGTTTACCTTGTAATATTCAGGATCACACTTACATGCAGACGTTGGGGTTGGACGACTTGATGATCTCGTCTTCTTCACCATCTTCACTCGCCTGCCATTGATTCTCCTCTTCAGAATCGGCATTGCTCGACTCCTCGCTGTCGCTGGACTTGGCGTCGGAGGATTCTCTTGCGACGTCGTCGCCTTCGTAGTCTTCTTCTTCGTCGTCGGAGGACCGAGGACGCCGCAGTGCGATCTTGACAGCGCCAACTGGCTCAGCTTCGTCCTCGTCGTCGTCTACATCTTCACCCTCAGCATCCACGTCTTCACCCTCGGCATCTTCCTCGCCTTCGGCATCTTCCTCACCCTCGGCATCTATATCTGAGCCTTCGGCGTCTGTTGTATGGCCTTCTACATCGGGCATGTTCTCAACAGCCGGGGCTTGTGCGTACTCTACATCATCCATCTCATATTCGCCATCCGCATCGATGTCTTCCAGCTCGGTGTTGCTCGTGGCCTGGCCCAAGAGCTCCGCCATGGCGAAGTTGACGGCAGAGGCCACCTTGGAGGCAAAATAAGCCACTGTCGCAGTCCGAGTGTAGTATGAGCCCTAGGACATTGGTCACGCAGGCGATAGCAGCCGCGGAGGCTCTCTCATGCAGTGGTTCGCGAGCGCGTCGTGCCTGTGTCCCAGCGCGTTGTTGTGACCCGTGAAACTGTTTATCGCGTGTTTTTTACTAAGAACTATCGCCAAATGGCTTCCACGGGCAGTAGATGGTCAGAGTGAGGTGTTGCGGGCTCGTAGTCGCGTTGGCCTTCGCTGTGGGGAAGGCGGAGGTGCGCGATCGCAGCGTAGGCAATTGTTCCGGGGATATAGCGATTGGAGGTATCGAGTTTCGCGGTTCGTATGAAAGTATGGCTCCGTGCGACACCGAGAATAATTATTGCTCGTCAGGAAACGGCGCGGCCTCTCTCGTCGTCTGAAATGACACCCTTTGCAAAGGGTGTCGTCGCCAAGGATGCAGTTGACGCACGGCCGCACCTCACTTCATCACGCCGACGGCACCTCTAGCTAGCACGCAGTCACTGATAACCCACCCCCGCAACATCCCAGCGACTGAATACACTACCGCAATCATGGGTGTCCCATTCGAGGCTCTGCTGCCATATGCCATTATGACGGGCGTGAGTAATTGGCGCGATGGGGGGGTGAGAGGGTGCTAACGAGGGTCCAGTTCTTCGCATTCAGCGCCGTGTCTGTCGGAAAGCTCAAGGAGATGCAGAACGGAGGAAAGAAGACAAGGAGGGGTATTGACGCATGGGACAGGGTGAGTTCTGGCAGTATAGGCGCACCAGAAGGATGCTAACATGTGTACAGCAAAGTACGACCGCTCTACGATGACCTCATGCGATATACTTACGAACTCCCAGTGATGGAGCGCGACCGCCGACTGACAGGCTTCATGCGCGGACAGACAGACAAGCCGATTGCTCCGGAAGGCTTCGAGCTCAACAACCCATGGAGGGTGCGTATGGAGATGCTGAGCGGTTGGCAGGTGCTAACCTCGGGCAGTGCGAGCAACGATTCATCTAAGCGATGCGAGGTTCTCCCGCGTCGAAAGCGGAGCCGGCATACCTACACAGTATATTACATACCCAATAGTGACTACATCGTGCTGCGAGAGGATCACAGCATATACGGCAGTTGTAGACATGCGAGCAATCAACCATTCTCAATGTTCAGTAACGACCTCTACTTGATCTCTGATGGCAGTCCTGCGATACCGTCGCGTTCCGCGTCTCCAAACTTGATCCCAAAGTATTTTTCAAGTGCCTCTATCCTTTCCCCTTCGCTCTTGAACTCAATCTCCTTGGTCTTCTTCCCTTTTATATTCCATTTCAAAGATTTAGCCGCCAGGCTTAGCTTTCCTACCAGCTGTCCGTCATCGCCCATTATCTTCTTATCCGCCACTATCATCTGCGTGAAGAAAGTCCGGTGGCTAGTAGATGTGAAGTAGTTCATCATTGCATAGTCCTGCGGCTGGAATTCCAGCTCGCTGTAAGAATACTTTATTTCCCAGTCGCTCTCATCATTCCTCCGGTATTCGTAAACCCACAGGCGTTGGTTTGGGTCAGTGTTTCCTGGGATGTTGCGCCATTGGAGACGGGCCGACGCAGGCTGAATGTGCTTTTGGACGGTGCCCGAGCGTTCAAGAGGCATTGGGACAATAGGCCCGTCAGCCCCGAAGCCAACATCAACATGGTATTTGTTGTCGCCAATGGTGACAAAATTTACCATATGGGACCAGCCCGTCCAGCTATCCCCGTTCCAAACCCTGCAGCCACCCGAATACAAGTTGAACCCGAGCGAGTTCAACAGCGTGCCAAACAGCCTGTTGTTCTCCATGCAATACCCACCACGTCCATTGTCATCGCCGATGACCTTTCTGAAGAGTTCCTCGGGGTGGACAGACACCGAATGATGGGCCGAATAATGCAGAGTTATATTCTCAAAGGGTACCGCTGCTAGCTGCAGCTTCTGGAGTAGTGCAAGATACTCGAATGCGTCGTTGGGGCCCAGACCAGCCACGTCATACTTTCTCTTTGCTTCGGATAACCCCAGGCGGTCAAAGTACTTTGTTATTTGGTCTTTGGTGTATGTTGCGCGTGCACTCATGTTGTTGGCTGACACGGACGTTATCGATAGCGGAGTAGTGCAGATCCGAATTTGGACTGGGGCGATCGACGTATGTTGAATGCAGTGAGAAGATGCCTAATCAGATGGAAGGAAGCGGTGTTACCTGGGATGTAACTAGTCTATTGCAGAGAAATATTCAAGCGCGGGGCACACACTACCTGACGCCAGTATGGTGTCGTCAGGACTACTCAACGAATACGAGGGCAGAGCGCGCGGGATGGTGGGGAGAGGTGCCTGCCAAGCGCGCATGAACCCTTGAACTCCCGCGGGCCTAGTGACTTGCAGGGGTCCCGAGCACCCCTTGACAGGCTGCATTGAGGCCAACTTCGATCCCCTAGCCAGAGTAGCGCTTGTATTGGTGCTGCTTCGACGCGTGCACACCCTCTCCTGAGCCAAAGTTTCCCATTGCACCATGTTGAGCTGCTCGCCGTGAGCGCCAACCATCCCCGCTGGCTGCGCGAGTACTACTGCTTTGCGCCCCCGTCGCGCTGTCCATTCGAACCTCCACCGCTCACCAGCGCGCCGACTCGCCCTTTGTCCTGTCGCCGCGTCGCTCTTCCCGGGCCATCATGACCAGCAATGGCCTGCGCACCCAGTACCCCTACGTTGGGGACACACTCAGTCCTCGCGCCCTTTATGACTTCCCTTCACCGACTTCAAACTACCAGTCTGGCATCAATGGTACCGCTTCGCCCAGCTTCTTCCCCATGGCATATCAGATTTCCCCACGATTCGGTGCCAGTGCCTTTATACCGCCCCCAGAAGTCTTCGTAGACGGCCGCCGGGAGACGATCCGCGAGAATGGCATGTACACGCCCCGCAACTCTGGCAAGCGAAGCTCCGACGCACTGAATACCGACCCAGTGGCTATGCATTTGCTCGTTGAGACGGCAATTGGAGACAGCCAGTATTTCGACATACTCACCGTCGAGGAGGTCGAGGCGCTGAAGCAGGAGCAGAAGGGCCTGGACACACGACTGGGCACTGTCAGGCGGAAGCTCGAGTCCGAGACGAAGATCCGCGATGCGACGCGCTCACTGGGACGATTGGCCTCGAAGAAAGCCGGACATAGGCGCGGTCAGAGCAGCAAGAGTAGTAAAGGCAGCAAGGGCAGCAATGCCGTGCAGGAGTATGACCCCAAGGAACAGGAGGGGCTTGAATCAAGCAACAGGAAGGTTGAGGAGTTCATACGAGAGTGCTTGGAGATTGAGTCTCGCATGCGAATGATCGATATGCAGCTGCTGATGCACACTGCCGCTGTGCTTCAGCTGACACACAAGGGCCCCAAGCAGCGTCAAGATGAGTCCGAGCTATCAGAGGACCGCTTCCGGAGACCAGACAGCCCCGCGAGCCTGAACACGTACGAAGACGGCAGACTTGGTGCTCGTGGCGGTGACTTTGACGAGCGGAGCTTTTACAGGTCACCGGAGAATCTTGATACCCTCATGAATGTGCTACAAAGCGGTAAACACCTCCAGGCGGCCTCTTCGGAGCGTGATAACCAAGCCCTGAACGCGACTGCCACGCGACTCCAAGAGATCAACGAGCGTCTGAGAACACTCATCATTGAGGCTAATCCTGAGCGCGACGAGGACTACTCACTACCGCCACTGGCTCTTGAAGGAACACAGGATGCAACAACCCTAGATCGCCAGCTCGATTTCCTCGACCAAGGCCTTCGCAGTATCAGCGCTGAACAGACAAACCTCCGCAATAACTCAAGGCATACTCTGAACGAGGTTGAGGGCCGTCTTGAGGGCCTCAACAACCAATTGTACGCCGTGATATCTCGATCCGACAATGGGCAGGCCGACAAGACCCCACCGCCACCCGCCATCACGGGTGGTGGCTCAACCGAGCAGCTCAACTACATGGAGGACTCGTTCTACAACCTCGAGCAGATTCAGTATGCGATGAACGAACAGATCAATGAGCTTTGCTCCAGGGCTCCCGTCGCTGTCAGTGATGATTCAGAAAGCGCGGACAAGGCAGAGAAGTACGAAACCACCATCATGGGCCTCTGGCAAATCATCCTGGCTGGTGAAGAGGAAGCACGCGAACGGAAGCGTGAACGACGCCGACTACTTTCCGAAGACCCTGACGCTGATGAACAACTCTCGCCGGACGAGGACTACAACGCCAATGAGACGTACTCGCTCCCCGCATTCTCTTCCAAGGTGCAGTGGCTTTTCAGACAAGCAAACAGCCTCAAAGACAAGCAATCAGTCCTCATGCGCCAGATCAAGCAGCAGCGTGAGCTGAACAGCAAGTCTGACGCGCAGAAAGAGGCAGATTTCGAGCGACTCAACACCCAAGTCCTCAGCGCAAGGTCCGAGAAGAAGTCCATGGAGGGCGAGCTTGAGCGTGCGATGGAACAACTACAGCAGTTCGATGAGCAGAAGATCCAGACTGACTCGCAGATCTTGCGCGAGACACAGGAGCGAAATGCAGGTCTGGAGGCTCAGCTTATCAATGTACAAGAGCGGGTGATGGCATTCGAGTCCGAGCTAAAGGACGCCAAGCAACGTGCTATCGCATACGAGAACCAGCTCAAAGACGTGCAAGAGCAGGCTGTAAACTTCCAGAGCAAGATGCAAGAGGCTGAGAAGCGCGCTGCCACATACGAGGAAGAGCTGAAGGATCACCAAGAGCGCACCAGTACGTACAACATCTCGTCGCGAGAGGCGGAGGAGCGTACTGCTGGCTACGAAGCTCAGGTCCGGGATGCGCAGGAACGGGCTCTTAAGCTAGAGAGGGAATTGAGAGACGCTCAAGACAACGCTCGTGGTGAAGCCACAGCGATCCAAGCCGAACTTACCACTTCTGCGGAGAAGATCAAAGAGGCCACAGCTGCCCTCCAGGCGGTAACGGCCGAGAAAGAGGCAGCAGAGGCCCGCTCTTTGGACGCCACCAACACTCTGAACGCAAAGGAAGAAGAGTTCCGCAGCCTCGAGGGCGAGATCGTTCGTCTCACAACCGAGCTTACCTTCGCCAAAGCCGAGCTTGATGGCGCCTACGGCACTCGCGCGCAACGTGCTGCCGACTCTGCCGCGAACCCCGCTGTCCAGAGACAGCTGGATGAGCTTACCGAGCAGAACCAAGCGCTGCTGGGCGAATTGGAAGCGCTTCGCAAGGTCCAAGATGTTGCTTCGCAATCCGAAGCCGAGGCGCGCCAATCCGAGCGCAATCTCAAGGCCGAACTCTCAGGTATGGCTGCCGAGTATGAAGCCCTCACTCGTGATGCCATCCAGAATGAGAAGGACCGCGAAGTCCTCGAATCGCAGATCGACAAGCTCCGCGATGAGAAGGAAGCTCTGGAGCGAGAGCTCAGTGACGAGAAGGTCAAATGGCTTGGCGTTAGGAGCCCAGGCATGCCAAATGGCGCTGCTGCACAACTCGACATGGGCGCGACTAGTATTCGCATGTTGAGAGAAGACTTTAGGAAGATGATGCGGGATCGAACAGCGGAGGGCTTGAAGGCGCTGAGGGTAAGTAACACCACACAGTCATTCTACTGGATGCTAACAATACACAGGCGGAACAAGAAGAACGACGGAAGCTCGAAGCAGTCGTTCGCCAACTACGCAAAGACGCAATGCCGCAAAGATCCAATCTCTCAAGGACCATGACGACACCGCAATAACCCCGACTCGCTTGATCATACCGCCATGTTACGCTTTTCTTCCATACTACTGTATTTCTATATACCCACTTTTTACCTTCTGGATCCGTATTATTCACGCATTATACGCGGAGTTTGGGACTCGATTGCAAAATATACTGGCGTTGATATTGTTATCGTGGAAAGCATATAGACGTAATGTATACGCCATGCTTCTCTTGTTGTATGGCATCAGCATAGGAACATGCATGGCCTTGGCTTCACTTCTTTAGGTTGATAGACTGTCGGTGTCTGCAGTAGAAGAATAACATTGCAACGATGATCAATTTTCTTTCCACCATCTGGAGCTTCTAATCTTGGAACCATGTAATTGACTACTGTCTCGAGTTTGCCATGGTAACTTGGACATGGAGAACAGTACTTGTTCTTCCTTGAGCATGTAGGACGCCTTAGAGTTGAACGTTGCTAGCGTCTCCACTTTTCTCAAGGCTTTTCTGCGTTAGGACCTCATTGCGTCCAGGTCTATCCTTTACTACCTCACCAGTTGCCGTGTACAGCCTCTGTCAGGCGGACCATCGATCAAGTATGTCCTTATAGATCTAGTAACAACATGCGATAACAGCGATCGACATTCTCCCAATACTTCAGTTTCACAGGCTGGTATCCGTGTCTTCCGAGGTAGTCCTCTCGAAAAAGCTAGAACGCGGGCGGGTGCCTTCCGTTGTCTCCACTTGCAGTTGACCATCCCCTGCATATGGGTGGCCTTATAGGTGTTGTGGGGAAGAATGATGTGAGCTGTCAGCTTGTATTTGTCCGAAACGCCTGAGTGGGAAGCCTGAAGAGGTACTACATGTGGCTGTGTTTCGTCTTCGGTAACCGTATGACTTCTCCAATTGGTTCTCAAGTTGACGTTAATGTGAGGAACTCCATGGCGTTACTATCGTAGTGGGAGCCGTATAGAAAAAGTGGTCCTCCCGTCTTACGATCGTACCGTACCTCGGCGGTGAGGTATTTGTAGCTCGAGGCAGAATAGCTTTGGAGGCCTGATGGTGCTATGTAACATTCTGTGGAGACATGGAAAGTGGAATGATATAAATACGAGAGGGAAGCTGCCTCCGTTCAGTTCTACACTACCAAGGCTACTACAACCATTATCAAATCCAACAACGTTCCATCCCCCTCCCAAACCCCAACCAAACACCATGAAGTCTACCACCCTCCTCGCCACTCTCTCCCTCGCCGCCCTCGGTACCGCTATTCCCTCCTCCTCCCCTCCCTCCTCTGATGCGCCCGCCTACATCCACTCCTCGTTCTCCTGGGTCGACTGGGTCGACAGCGTAATCGCCGACCCATCCACGGCTATGACCCCCGAAGAAGCCCTCACAGCCTTCAGCGCCGGCGCCGAAAACCCCGAAGACCTCACCAGGCGCCAGGAATTCGCAAACTGCCAGCAGCTTACCTCATCTCCTCCATCCGTTGGCGACGCAGTGTCGTGTATCAATGATTTGGCTGGACGGGGCAAGGCAGGCCAGAACTGCAATGTTAGCAGTATTGGGGGCGCGGTTCAGTGCAGTATCGGTAGTGCGCATATTGTTACTGTGAGGGGAGGAACTAATGCTCCTACAAGTGTGAACTGGTGAGTTATTCTTCCAATGCCAAAGGTCAAAGGATAATGTGCTGACTTGATGACTAGCAATGACATTGCCCGCTCAGGCGGTATTATTATGGACCGTTGCACTCGTGGTGACAACACTGTTTCTGGAACTGCGTACATTCCCCAGGGTGGTGTTGCTGTACATATCCAACATTCTTAGAAGGGAAAGTGTAGGCCTGTTGGGTGATGGTGTTGAAGGAAATGGGTGTCGAGTTGTTGATTGCTACAAGCAGGGAAATACCTACTTGCTATGGGGGATATGAAGTTATGAGAAAACTACGTTGAGCACAATATCATTGCATTTGAGGACCAAATCTTTTTGCAGTTGACACACCTCTGATTGAGTAAAGGTTGCTCCTTACCATATACCTTCCCCCGTGTTTTTATTCAGCTCTCATTAACACTGACAATCCAGGAACGTAGCAAGACGACTCCCTGATCAGGATCGGCGGACAAGTTTTGCACCACTACGATGAAATTTTATCCTACAAGGGTTGAGAGGCTGTAAATTGGTTTCTGAAGAAGGGAAGAAGATCTGTAGTCCACTAGGGGAGAATTATGTAAGACACAAGGGGGCATGTACAACTTGCGACAGGACGCTAGAATAGTAGTATCGAATAAACACACAAAGTTTAATCGTGTCTAGTACGCTCGCCAACTTCCTGAAAAGACGATGATCATTGCATCCACACTAAAAGGAAACTAGTTGCGCAAACACCTACCTCAACACACCCAAAACGATGATCGTCATTATTAACCATTCTCTCCGCCTACCCCTCACTCCCTCTCGTCCTAAAGCGGATCCAACTGACTAGCCCTGCCCCCGCAGTCCGGCGAATAAATGTAAAGATGGAAAACAACGTACGACCGTATCTGGTCACACAAGCCCACACACCGCAACTCCTCTGATAAGGTACCCGACTAGAAAAGCAAATGCCGCCCACCAGCGAACCCACCAAAACAACGCCTCACCACTAATTCCCTTTTTCCAGCATACTGGTACCGGACTCAGGCGGCTGGCTGCCTCTTCCTCGCATAAACAGCGCCACTTCATTCTCGTTTGGCGCAACCTAAGCGAGATAGCGGCCCAGTGCACGCACGGGCCAAGTAGCCATGCTGTTGCCAAAATAAGAAAAGGAAAGATGGGGAGTTTAATATTAAAAAAAAAGGGGGAAGTTGGACTGACATGACACTGATGATGATCAGCTTTGCTAACGCACCACCGTAACCCGAATTGTTTTGTGTTGAACGTTTCATTGTAATTAATATTTGTCGTGCGTATTGTATGCACAAAACGTGTTATCCCAAAGACTCAATTATGGAGTCGCTAAAACCTAACCTCGTCACCTGGCCCCATTCCTTTCATCGTGTGTGACAATGACGATGATAATAGTACTGTGGCATTTGATACTAAAACATCCCGATAACGCGACGCAAGGAAAAAGCGACAAAGAAAATCGTATGACAGATTGCGACTTTAGGTTTACAAGTTATGTAAGGCTGAGCTAAAAACGGCGGAAACGTGGGATGCGGGGATATCGTACCGCGGAAATTGGAATGATGTAAATGCTGGAAAGGAATCGTATCGTAGTATGGTGATGCAGGTGACAAGATAAAGAAAAAAAGAAAAAGACAGAGGTCTAGTATGTCCCTCCTAGACTGTTCCAGGCAGCCAGAACATCATCACTGACGCTGTCACGGTCGTTACTCATCACCCTAGGACTACTAGTAATGTTGTCGTCTGGGCTCAAGTGGCGTGATCTCCTCTTTCCGGCGCTATTATAGTAGCTCGACGACTGCGAGTAGACAGACGTACGTGATCCGGTAGAGTGAACACTGCTCTGTCGACTTCGTGTTTCTATGCTCGCGAGCGCTAGTTCGCTGATATGCCGTGTGTTCTTCTTAGGAAGCTTAGGGATTGGCGGCTCGATAATGCTGGGAGCACGAGACGAGGCCTCAGAAACCGGAGTAAGGTCTCTGAAACCGGTAGATGTAGGAGGTACAGGGAATGTGATCTCCGCATCGCTGGATGCAGTTCTACGACGACGGTGGGATGATTCAGACTTTGTGCGCTCCGGAGGTGCACTGATGACGCCGTGATCGAGCATGGGGAATTCATCAAGCTCGTTGCTAGTATCACTGCTCGCCACTTTAACAACTACATCCTGGTCGTTGGTGCAAAGTGCGGGCGTCATTGGTGATGGTAAGGGAGACGGGTGGTCGGTAGTAGTGGGCGATGCGACGCTCGCAGCCAGTATCGGAGACGAAGGTGGAAACATATCCGATTGTGAAAACCCGGCTGGAGTCGGGAAGTGGTGTGGCAGTCTTCCTCGGCTGGCAGGGGAGTAGTTGCGGTCTGACCAGGTGTCGCTGGCAGAACTATCGCGAAGTTGGCTCGTAGTTGCCCGGCTCTCAGTTGTCGAAGATCTGCCACGTGATGGCGCAAGCGACGAAGATGTGCCTACGGACGCTCGATGCTTGGATCTAGCCTCTGCCGTTCGTACATGACTTGGCTCTAGAGAGTCTGTGGAAAGGTAGGCAGACGTGCGATGTGGTGGAGATCTTTCTGCTGCCGGCTTTAGGTGCCTGTCTTGTTCCCGTGCGGGCGCCTGCGATGCGCTCTGTTTGTTCATAGCTGCGCGTTTCTTTCTCATCAATTCCAGCAAAGCTTCCTCTTCCGCCGTCACTTGCATATACTTGCGCGACCCTTCCGACTGGGGTTGCGGCGCACTTGCTGAGGTGCGCGCACTTGCAATACTATGTGCTGTAGGTGACACTGGTGTGGTAACAGCGGTCTGTGGGCGAGAGTCTTCATCTTCGAGAATGACCGAGGGCTGTCTCACGTGGCTGGTACGTCTGCCAACACTGTGGACACTGCTCCTGGGATAGTGATATGACGGGTGAGGCGGTGGCTCTGGCCTGTACATGACTTCAATGGTGGCGTTTGTAGACGTCGAGAGTGTGCTCATCTTTCCAGACGATTGCATACGACGGTGTGGGCGAACCTCGTATGCTTGTGCTCGTCCAATGACAATCTCTCCAGTGTAGTCGCCACTGTCCAAGCTCTTGCGAACGCTGCCCTTGCGAGATCGTGACCGCTCGTCATTCTCGTCCTCGGATGAGGAACAGGACAAGACACTGGAGTCCTGGAGGTTGGTCTTGGAAAGGGCTGACTCTCTAGTCTTTGACGTGGAATATGACCGATACGTGTCTACTGAGTACTGACTAGGTGAGGTTAGATGACTAATGTCAACAATATCCTCAAGCGCAAAGCTGTCCCTTTTGTACGCTGGTGTGGGATTCTGTGATGGACGACTATAGTTCGATGCATGCCTTGCTCGCGAGGCTTGGCTAGTGGTATAGCTATGTTCTGGCACGGTAGGCTCAGGATTTGTAAATGAAGCCTCGGCATGTACCTGTTGTGTCTCCTCGGTGCTGTCTTCACTCTCCTCATCGAGCGCATCAAACCAATGCTGGACGCCTTTCGGTGGTCGGCGTACATGTACCTTGGCATTATCGTATTGATCCCTTTTGACTTTGCGTACTGGACTCATTGGGGGCTTTGATGGAGCATTCTGGTACTTCACATTGGTCTTCTGCAACTTGGCGGACCCTGCTTGTGGAGTTGGTTGCCTCGTCATTGACCGAGGGAAGTACTCCGAGTTCATGGACATGGCCGCCGGCGAGTTGACCATCTTGGTGGGGGAGAGCAATGTACTGCCATGGTGATGTCCATCATTACTGTCCTTGGGCTTGGGAAACAGTTTAGAAAGATCTAGTCGGGCGGGTTTACTTTTTCGGTATTCCTTCTTCCTCGTTTCATCTAGGATGACAGGTGACAGTGGACTGGCTTCATAACTGTCGTAACCGTGGTCCGTCAATACCGGGGGTTGTCCTCTTCGTAACGCTCTATCTCGAACTGCCGAATCGGAGGTTTGCTGGGAGATGTACAGCGGTGAACTCTTCGCGTCGTAGTGCGATCGGAGGGTGGAACTGGATGTTTGTGGGTGTAGGTGGTGACTGGCAGAGCTGTTGTCAGAGCCCCGCCTGCCTTCTCCAGTATAGGTACGTCCTAGAACATTGGACGATGGGCGTTTTGACATGCTGGGTCGTTTCAGATATCCGCTGTTCTCCGTAGCTGTTGCCGAGTTTCTGTCGTCGAACTGAGAGCCGAGAGTAGCCTCGGAGAGGGTTATGGACATGAAACCAGGACTCGGTGGTACTGTCGACTGCCTTGATGTCGAACGGTGCAAGACGTCAGACGTGCCCAGTACTCGATGTGCTTTGCTGGACGTATCTTCGTGATGGGAGGGCCTTTCGGGGCCAGAGGGTATCGATGGGGTAGAGCGGGCGTCGTGGTCGTCGGTTTTGGTCCGCGAGCGGCGAGGTAGTGGGAAGGAAAACTTCTTGGGTCCATGGTCGCCGCGAGCCATGATGCCTGAGACAGCCGCAAGTGGGCAGAAGATTGGTGGCTGTGGTGCTGGGGTGGGCGCGACTCAGGAAAGTTAGAGATACGATGGTGGAGACTGAATCGCGGTACCAGTTGGCGCTACAATGGCAATGCCCACATGGGGTGTAATTGCGTCGAATGGCACGTCTTGTGCTGCCACCGGGCGGAGCTGGAAGGACATGAAGCAATGTTTGCTTTTCCGTGCAGGGAGGGCGATTCCGATATGCAATGGAAGACGTCCGGCAACCTCGATGCAGGAATCCAAGGGTTCAATTGCGGGCCCCTACTGCGCTGCTGCACAGAGCGCTAATCCGGCGTGGGCTGGTTGAAGTACTATCTGCAGGAACGGCAGCGCGGCGCCAGTAGTACCATGTCATGCAGCGCAGGTTCGCGACTATCGAGTTTGCTGCTGGTTTGGCTGCTGAGTGCGAGGGGGGAAGCGGAGAAAAGTGGCAACTCTCCAGAAATCCCAAGAAGATGGGAGACGACGGGTATAACCCGCGAGATATCGCCCAAGGATCCATTGAATTTACCGCTTGTGAGGAGCTGGTGATGGTAGGATCCGCATCGCAGTCGGCTTCAGGGGTCAGTCATGTCATTCGGCAGACGTGCGGACCGCTTGCTGCACAAGCGTCGAGCCACGCACGGTCCAAAGCCACACTACCTGTGTCGAAGACATGCATACCCTGAGTAGATGTCATATGACAGCTCGCCATTCTCTGATGGGAATTTGCAGCGGTGCCGGAATGCACGGCAGCGAGCATTTCTTTCCGTCGTCCGTCGCCGCGAAAGACAGGACTGGAACTGTCTGAAGAAAATCCTACAAGTGGTTGAGGGGGACTAGAGGTCGCCGTACCGAACTTTGTAGGATTGTCCATGCGTCAGTAGACGACGCTAGCATTCGCCCAGGCTTCATCTAGGGCTAGCCCCAGGGCAGCGGTGATATGATTTCCTGTTGGACGCCGAACATCGACGATAGCCTCCGATAGAGCCCTGAAGTAGAACGATAAACTCACTATTCCGTCGCCAATTTCCACCATCTGTACCTGCATCATGTCGTGCAGCCTTCCCCACCGAGTTTCTTTCCGACTCACCACCATCAGGTGACGTTGCACAAGTCGCATTTCGTCTCGTATCCATTCATCACGTTGCAAGACACAGCGGGTAGTAGCAGCAGCTTTGCAGTGTCCGTATGATGGGTGTTTGGGCCTGGGAACATGTTCAGGGGTGAGGGATGAACTGTGCGATCAACACTCGTCGTTCCCTTCCTGTTTGTTAATAGCGATGGTGCGGCTATGTTCTGATGATCATGAACATCTTCGTGGGGATGATTCACGTAGCCAAGCCGGCTCTTCGTAGATCCGCACATCTCCTAGCGAAGAAGCGCGGTCCCTTTCCATGTGTTCCACCACGGCTATGTTCTTACAGTAAAATAAGCTGACCCATGTCATGTATGTGTCGAACTATCACCATGGTTTGTCTAGTGCTGACATCGAGGCTTGATGCTGCTGAGAATGCTTGGTTATACTACCATATAGTTCGTTGAATATAAGAGAAGGCCCGCACATATATGACCGTCTTACTGCCTGAAAGTCAATCAACTTCAACATGCCGTTGTAACAATACTCTTCGGGCACATGATCGAGGCAGCGAACGAGGCTGACCGAACTCAGCCGAATACATCTGGTGGCGCTTAGGCGCTTCGGAGTTCTCGCCGCGTTACTATGGATATAGATTGCACCGCTGCCATTTGACAGGCCCTCTGCTGCCACCATAGGTTCTGAGGCTTGAGAAGGTTGTTTCAGTTTGTTTAGTGTATCCGTGTCCTTGGTAACGATGGTTGTATCTCGGAGTATGTTCCAACGGTCGTGTTGTTAGCCTCTCGCTCGTATAGTCAAGAGGCCACTAATAAGACGCACACATAGTCCGCAACCCCAGGTGTAAAGTCGACAACGCCTTCATGTGGTACCGAGCATCGAAAGATGGGGTCAGCAATGTGATCCTCCAGTCGTTCACATAACTTCCAACACATGCTGGGATATCTGAAGGGCTTATAAGCATCTAGACGATATTATTCCTTAGGAGTTTGGTATGTTGTAGACTGATTGTTGTGCTGTCAATGTCGGCCACAGTGAATGGTTCGCCTTAAGGTCTGGTTGTATGCTGATAAGCTGAACTTGTAAGCTTGCAGTATATCGTTCGGTCAGCCCAAGTCCTCTTCATCGCAAACCAAGTGTAGAGCGAGAGTACATAGACATGACAGTCTCTCTTCGTCGCTTCTTCATTAGTGCTGAAGCAGGGAAACAACGACAATGCGAGTGCGAATACGAACGAAATAAACATGTCATGGATACATCACATAGTGTGGTGGCTCAACGTAGGCAATGGTCGCCATATCTCGGATGAGGTGCGGTGAGAGAAGTCTATCGTAGTGCCACGTTTTGCTTGGAGAAGTATCAGTGAAATGCTGCGACTGTTGTGATTCGTTGGGTGAACCATAGGTGAAAAGGAACCCCATGAGATCGGAGAGGCATCTGTGACAAGGTGGCGGTGTGCTGATGAGTTGTGGTCCCCACTGTCGAGTTACTTGCAGCTTCGCGGCTGCATTGTGGTAGCAACATGCGTCTTTGTGTGTAGTGATTGCCATGCAGGCTTTGGGTATTTGTATTTATCGGGATTCGTCATGCAACATGGCGCTTGTGGCGTCGCACAGCCGTGCCGCTCTTCCAACACTGCTGCATATGTAGTCAACGCATATGCAGCGTGGACAGTAACAAAGCATGAAGGAGTTCAATGTGTTGGTAGGTAGGCAAGGGCGGCGCTTGTTGTTCTTGTTCTTGTTGTTGTTGTTGTTGTGTGTTTTGCCACGGCAGAAAAGTGGAAGGTATGGCTGACCGAATCACACGGACGAGGCTTGTGCCGAGTGACGCCGTATCAATATACCGCCCGCAGCGCCCGCAAGCTGCAGCAATAGCTCATGTCATGTGAAGCATAGCTCCGACATGGCGAGGGCGTTGAGAGCTCTTGATATGAATTCTAGATAACGTCAATACCGTCGCAAGCAAGAGCATAGTGTAGCGTAAACGCATTAAGCTCGCCACTGCACGCAATAAGACAATATGTGGTGAAGTGGTGAAGTGGTGCAGTTGACATGGATGAAGGCAAGCGCTAGTCGGCCCACCTGCGAGATGCTCTGTCAATGCCTTCGTTCGTCTACCTAAACCCCACCACTGCCAATCCACCACACGCAATACCCGACAAAGCCATATACACGACCGTCCTTCGTTTCCCCTGCCTCTGTGATAGACACGGCGCCATCCTTGCTCTCACTCCGTCTTCCGCGTTTCAACCACGGCATCACGTCTCCCGGCGCTCCTATCTCCCCGTCAGCGGCGACACGTCCGATAGCCACGACGACAACCTCTGTGACGACGACGACGACGACGACGACGAGCCTGTACACGACGTACCAGCTGGCGACATGAACGGTTACTAGACTCGCTGTCTGCTCCTGCGTGTTTCCTGCTCTGCCGAGCTCGCGCTTTGGTCCCGAGGTCTCAGGTCCCGGAACATCACCACTAACGTTTCCGCGAGCCACTTCACTCGGCAAGTGAACCGAACAGGCTTTTCGATAGCCATCTCCCCACGAATCACCGACCCTTGAGAGGACTTCCACGTCTATAGCCACTCGTCACGCTCGTGCAACATGGCCTCCAACGCTGCAGGCCCCAGCGCTGATGGCGTGGCCAAGACGGTGCACACCGACGCCCCAGACCCATATGCCACCATGGGACAGTTCTCTTTCGCGCCAGCAACCAAGACGACAGTGGTCACGACCACATACACGACGACGACGACCTTCCCGCCCTTGTGTGTAAACGCTCCCGGTAGCCTTGGCGAGCGAGACCCCAAGGACTACCCGTTGGCCCACGTCCAGGCACCCGAGTCGATACGCAAGTTCTATTTCGAATCCGGAGGCGAACTGGCTTGCTTCGAGGAAGCAGACGCTGCCTCTGAGAAGGTGCGAGAGGTACGCTTTTTGCCATGCCAGGGATATGCCTGCAGCTGAGGCCCTTCGCGTTGCAGCCGCCATGCCCCCAGCTAACACTTTGATTGCAGCAGAGAGCACTTCACCGAAACCTAAGATCGGCAAACGGCACGCTCAAAAGAGTCGAGTCTTACGACGGCCCGCCAGTCTTCGCGACACCCAGCCGCTCGACGCGTCCAAAGCCACGCGCTCTTCACCAAGGGCTACGTTCAGCATCTGCTCGTCGGAAACGGGATAATGCTGACGATTCGCCGCCGCCACCGTCTATAACAAAGGCCGTTGAGCTGCTCGGCATACATCGTCAAAGCAAGAAGCCCAGGTTAGAGCACGACAAGGACGCCCGTATGGCTTCCCGTCCCACATCTGCCGACATGGAGGATCCACATCTCGCTACGCCCGACACAGACATGGCAGAACTGGGCTCATCGGAACTGCCAAAACTCCGCACCAGCCATCTACACAATCCCAAGCTTAGGGCTACGTCACAGCAGATTGGACCAAACCAAACCCCGTCTCGATGGCGGCTCCAGGAATCAAGTGCTCGCTCATCACACTCTAGAGATAGCCTCTCTGACGATCGAGAGCCGACCCCCGAGCCCTCCTTTCCCACAGGTGTATTTGATGGCCCCGGCGTAGCCGCCACACCCCCAATCGCCGAGTCCGATCTGGAACCAGGTGGACCTTTCGCCGACGACACATCTTTCACGCCCTCACGCCTCACGCCTCTGGACACAACTTCCGCGCAGGATGTGAGTTTGCCCAGTCCCAGCTTGTCGCCCATAACGGCTGCCGCAAACCTCGCTCAACAAACAAATGGAGGAGCGTCCTTCTTAGGCACAGATATGGACTACGATGTGAACGATGTATCAGGACTTGACCTGTCACAGGGCACTTTGAGCAGTTCGCACACAGGGGATTTCTCACTGTTCCCTCACGGCTCCCAACAGCGTGACAACGCTGATAGCTCCAACACGCAACTGCCTACTCCTTCTGTTATGGACATACCCAACATGCTGAACTCGTTCGATGCGCTGCCGGAGCAGATGAAGTCGTACGTCTTGTACCAGATGTTGCGGAGATGCAAAAAGCCAACCCTACACTTTGTCGCGGATGTGGTCAACCCTGCTCTCAAACGCGACTTCATCGCCTCGCTACCCACTGAGCTCAGCCTTGAGATCATTGGTTATCTAGATGTCAAGAGCATGTGCAGTGCCGCACAGGTGTCTAAATACTGGCGCAAGCTCACCGATACCCACGAGTCCGCATGGAAGGATCTCTTAGACAAAGATGGTTACAAGCTGCCGTATGGCGAGCTGGAGCGCGCTGTGCAAGAAGGCTGGGGCTGGCAATACCCTCATTCTGCCGACAGCTACGAGCGCGACCTGAGAGCTCAGTCGGTAGTCTCGAGGTCAGACAGCGAAACCCTCTCGGGCTTTTCCAGTTCTGGCTTGTCCAGCGGTTTGCCAGATCAGGAGGGTGCAGTCACACGATCCTCGTCCACACGTCAGAAAAGGAAAGCTACCAGTAAGCATGGTAGTGGCAGTGGCAAAAAGGCCCGCAAGAGTCGTCCCACCACCAGGACACAGGTTGCCCTCTACTCGCGCCCGGCAGATCACCAAGAAGGCCCGCATGCCTTTGCCAAGAGAGCAGAAGCTGCCATCTCCGATCCCAACGTTGGCTTGCCCGGCCTTCGTGCTATGCATCTTTTCAAATCTTTGTACCAAAGGCATCATCTCATCCGCAAGAGTTGGATGGCGGCAGACACCAAGCCGAAGCACATTGCTTTCCGCGCACATCAGCGCCATGTGGTGACATGTCTCCAATTCGATACAGACAAGATCTTGACTGGTAGTGACGATACTAATATCAACGTCTACGACACCAAGACAGGAGCGTTACGAAGCCGCCTCGAGGGCCATGAGGGTGGCGTATGGGCTCTTCAGTATGAGGGGAACACACTTGTATCCGGCTCCACCGATCGCTCAGTGCGAGTGTGGGATATCGAAAAGGGAAAGTGCACACATGTTTTCCAGGGCCATACATCCACTGTCCGATGCTTAGTGATCCTCAAGCCAACTCAGATCGGCGAGACCCTGGACGGCCAGCCAATCATGATGCCGAAGGAGGAGCTCATCATCACTGGTTCACGTGACTCTACACTTCGTGTCTGGAAGCTTCCCAAGCCAGGCGATCGGGGCGTCATGCAGACCGCAGCTTCGTCCAACGATCACGACAACCCGTACTTTATACGCGCTCTGACCGGACACCATCATTCAGTACGTGCCATCGCTGCACATGGTGACACGCTCGTCAGCGGAAGTTACGACTGCACAGTCCGAGTGTGGAAAATCTCAACCGGAGAAGTTCTGCAACGTCTCCAGGGTCACTCACAGAAGGTGTACAGTGTCGTCCTCGACCATGCACGCAATCGCTGCATCAGTGGCTCGATGGATAACATGGTCAAGGTCTGGTCTCTGGAAACGGGTGCCTGTATCTTCACGCTTGAAGGCCATACCTCCCTTGTCGGCCTTCTCGACTTGAGCCACGAGCGCCTGGTATCGGCTGCTGCTGATTCAACACTCCGGATATGGGATCCAGAGAATGGACAGTGCAAGAGCCGACTCTGTGCTCATACAGGTGCCATTACTTGCTTCCAGCATGACGGCCAGAAGGTCATCTCTGGCTCTGACCGCACACTTAAGATGTGGAATGTAAAGACGGGCGAGTTCGTCAAGGACTTGCTTACAGATCTGAGCGGCGTATGGCAGGTCAAGTTTAACGAGCGTCGTTGCGTTGCTGCTGTCCAGCGCAACAGCATGACATACATCGAGGTAAAATTTTCACATACAACAGTCTTTGCAAAGCTCCAGCTAACCATCTTCCAGGTCCTCGACTTTGGTGCTTCGCGCGACGGCGTTCCCGCTGATCAAAGAGGACGACGTATCGTCGTCAACTCCAAGGGCCACGAGATCGAGGATATCTCTGAAGGCGACTTGATCGACGTGGACCAGCCTTAGGCTACCCTCCTCTATCACTCAACACAGTGGGATACGAAGAAGTTCGTTTCTAACAAATTATACCCTTACCTAGGCGAACACCAAGGTATACTCTAACGGTATACACTGTTACTTTTCTAGTAGAGTTGTAATGCAGCATATTACGTATACCTTCAGGGTACATTTTAGTACTTGGAGGTACAACCTACCGAAAACGAGCTTCTTCGTACACGACTACACAAATACACCCAGCATCCATTTGGACCCGGCGCGAATGTTTCCGATATATTCAAAAGCGATACCCATTACGCGCTCTGGCGAATGACTTCACGACATGGCGACCGAATCTTATTCATTCAGGTGGCATCACGACTTGCTCTTATTTGGCCTGGCTTCGGCCGTCCCTATCACTATACACAACGCAACAGCATGTGTGTTAGGATACGAGTGTTTCTTACCATTTGCATAGCTATGGCGTTTACAATATCCGAGGGGCTGCATTGAGGGGGCGTCTACGGACGACCACCATATGAGGGATTAGGGCAAGGATAAATACATAATTCTATTCATAAACTTTCTTCCAACGTTTGATTTGTGCCATTGCAATGAAGCTGTGCACCGGATACAAGGTAAACACTAAACAAGTGCGGAATAACAAGTCCTCTATTGCAGCCTACGTTAGCTTATAATAGAACTTCTCTCAAGAACTAATAGCATTGTGGACTTTTAGTCCTTTCCATGAACAACGTGCGTGCGCGTGTGGACTAACATGGCAATGATGAAAGCGGGATGACGCGCTAGTGCCCCACCCTGCAAGTGAAGCTCAGGTCGCAAACACCTCTGGTTCACATTTACCATCGCAAACTCGCGTACACATTCTGACACGGGCTGGAGATGCAGGCACTTCCCAACAACACCTGATGCCGGCGTACTTCTTCCACCTTACCTTCGAGCTTTATCCCTCGCGCTCACCGCCGGACAAGACGTTTACCCCTCCGCCAAAAACAGACATCTTCAACTCTGAGTTTCCGGTCCATCGCCGAGCGTCCTGGGGCTCTCACGCTCCATCATCACGCGCCTATAGTAGCTTCCTAAAGCCCATAGCTTCTAGCAGCGAGGCTGTTCAAGCTACTGCTTCCCGCGATCGCCAACCTACCGCCCGTCGATTCAGTCAGCGCACGCGACCATCTTTCTCAGACCACCACGATAGTCCTGTACCAGTCGTTAAACCCCCAAAGAGGCCGGGGCATAGGCGAACACAAAGCTTTGCGCATAGAGACTGGCGCTTCGACACCATATCCATACTCAGTATCGATATGAACCCGGGCACTGAAGTAGATCGACCTCGTGCCAACCACCTCAAGCACCCTTCACACGCGCCGAATACCGGCGGTCTCGCGACCAAAGGCAAGTTTATCCCCTCAGATCTGAAAGACACAGAGGTTGGCTGGGGTGTGGTGCATCTGTACCGCGATGGACAGGAGACACCGGGCTTGTATGACGAGGTGGACGGAGCGAGCAACGAGTTCAAGGAAGAAGACTGCACTACGCTGTGCATACTGGCAGTGCCCTCTTATATGACACCATCCGATTTCCTGGGTTTCATGGGCGAGCAGACGAGGGAGGAAGTTTCGCACTTCAGGCTCATCCGGACAAGCAGAGCGAACAAGTACATGGTGCTGATGAAGTTCCGGGAAGCCAAGAAGGCGAGAGCATGGAGAACGGAATGGGACGGCAAGGCATTCAACAGCATGGAGGTAAGAGGTTCTATTACTGCGGTAGAAAGACGGTAGCTAACAGCGACAGCCGGAGTACTGCCACGTCGTGTTCGTCAAGTCAATCAACTTCCAGAACGGCGACTCGAACCGCGATCCTACCTCATATCCCGATCTTACGAATGACCCATTCGCGCCCGCGCCGACCAAGCAGCCTATTACTCCTCTCCCACCAACTAGTAGTGTTTCTTCGCCAGTCGACGGTCCATCGATCGCTACCTCGCTGACCGCAAAACCACACGCTCCACCTACACCTGCTTTGGTAGAATTACCAACTTGTCCTGTCTGCCTCGAACGGATGGACGAAACAACAGGGCTCCTGACAATTCTCTGTCAACACGTCTTCCACTGCGCCTGTCTTGAGAAGTGGCGAGGCTCAGGCTGCCCAGTCTGTCGATATACGCAAAACGATGCTTTTACCTCAGACCGCGGCGAGAGTCCGGACAATGAGTGCAGCGTGTGCGGATCCACACAAAACCTTTGGATTTGCTTGATCTGCGGCAACATAGGGTGTGGCCGCTACGACTCAGCGCACGCATTCGCACACTACGAGGCAACAAGCCATACCTATGCGATGGATGTGGTAACGCAACACGTCTGGGATTACGCAGGTGACGGCTACGTCCATCGGCTCATACAAAACAAAGCAGACGGCAAGCTTGTCGACATGCCCGCCTCCAACCAATCCTTCAGCGCGCCCGGCATGACGGGCTACGCCAACGACACGGTCCCGCGCGAGAAACTTGACAACATGGGTATGGAGTATGCCTACCTGCTCACCTCGCAACTCGAATCGCAACGCGCATACTTTGAGGAACAGCTCGAACGTGCAGTTGATAAAGCAGCGAAAGCAGCATCTACTGCCGATGAAGCCAGCCGTTCCGTTGCCTTGCTATCTCAAAAACTTGACAAGCTATCCACCGAGCACGAAGAAGCAACAATCACCATTGCCTCTCTTACAAAAGAGTCGGCCCGTAACGCCCAGAAAGCAACCTCGGCGTCTGAGCTCGCTCGCAAACTGACCAAGCAGTACAAGGAAGAGCAGATTGTGAATGAGTCACTCATGGAACGCATCAAGCATTTGGAGAAGAAGGCTGAAGAAGCGGAGAATAGAGTCAGGGAGCTCGACGCGCAAAAAGCTGATCTTGAGGAGCAGAACCGCGATTTGAGCTTCTTCATCTCGGGCCAGGAAAAGCTCAAGAAGATGCAGGAAAACGAGGTCATGGGTCTGCAGGAGGGTGAGGTGGAGGGCGGCACGGTGGAAGTTGCTGAGAAGAAAGGCAGGAGAAGAGGGAAAAAGAAGGCTTGAAAGCTAGTTGCAGGATACGTCGGGTTGATGGAGTTGTGGTTTTAGCGACATGCATTTGGGATGACGGAGTTGGTTGAGAGACTTATCAGATACCCCCCATAGAACGTTTCATGTCCTGGTTAGGGCTTTTGCGTCACATTCATCATATTAAAATCATCATCATCACTTCTCATCACAAAACAGGACAGTGAAGATGGACCACTAAATTCGTAATGCGCAAGACTACCCAAACACCACAACCACATTATACGCCCCCCTAAAGATGCATCAAAACAAAAAAAACAAGAAAACAAAACAGGCTCCAAAACTAGTATATACACAAGTTCATGTATCTGTGTCCGAAAGGGATAGAAAAACATAACGTTGTTCCCAGGGAGCCAGCCGTGTCGGTCGTCAAGTCATGTCATGCTAAAGTCGTAAAAAAGGCAGGGATTTTTTGCTCCACCATGGGTAGATCCAAAGAGAGCGTGGTGAAAACAAAGAACGAAGGATTGACCGGGTTGTGGATGATGCATAAAGTGTGAGATGGAGAGGAGGTGAACGCCGATGTATCCGTTGTTGCGCCGTTGCAAAATCAATGTAGTAGTCGTTTGTGGGTCCGAGGGTTGGGGTTGGGTGAGTGGATGGGACAGGTGTTATCCAAGTGGGTAGATAATCGACGGTATCTAAAGTGGTAACGGATGACAGATAGCGATGCTGAACAGTAAGTCGACAGCTAAATCCAATCGTCATCCAATTTGCTCGTGTTGCCAATCGCAATCTCCCTCTCGAAGCCCAGTCCAAGACCAAGACCGACATCCATCTTAGGTGGTGCCTGGAGTTGTGGTGGAGGCTCCGTCTTCTTCTTGGGGCTTTGTTTGGCAGGGCTCACGTTGCCGTCAGAGCCCATGCGTACAGTCTTGACATCCCAGTCATCTTCGAGTGCGGCGCCGATCCAGACCCTGACACTGTCGTGAACAGCACCGTAGTACTTGGGGTTGCATGCGCGGAGGTGACCCATCAGTTTCTCAAAGCCAGAGACTTTGAGTTCTTGGCGGAATTCGTTGCGCGCGGAGCGGGTTGGTAGCGAAGCCATGATACCATTGAGGAGGTCAATGTGTGTGGCGAGGTAATTGGTCGCATCCCATTCTACACCACCGACGTACGGTGCAGCTGGCACAATGGCACGTTGACCAGGGAAGTGAGTCTTAGCATAAGACTTGTCACCAGTTGGCCTAGGTGGAACAGGGATGACGTTGAGGTGGTGGATGAAGATCCAGAAGACCTCCTTGGTAACGTTGGACAGCTCCTTGCACCAGACCTGGTATGGCCGTGGTTGGTGCATCTGGAGAATGAACGGAACCGTTGACGCCTGCTTCTCCTTGACTGGGTCCTTGAGATACTTCATCAGCTCTGTAGCACGAGTTTCCAGTTCAGCCTCTGGTGCCATAGAGATATGCGCGAAGATGATCTCGATGATAAGTTCACGCGTAGTAAACTCGCTCGGACCTTTGTGCTCTTCGTCGAAAAGCATAGCCAACAATGCCGGGTACAGTGTCGGTGAGATCTCGTTGAGCTGTTTGAGAGCGGTGGCAGTCGTGCAGAGTCCCTTGAGACATCGAAGAAGTTCGTGGAGAAGAGTGTCTTCGTGATCCTCGCGCCATTCGACCTCCATGATACGGTGTAGGAGAGCAACCAGCTCAGTCATACCACCATCCTGAATGAAGTTGTCAACCCAGTCGACAGTCTCGTTGCGGATCAACAGGCGGAGCTTGTGCAGCTTGCCAACCTCGACATTTTGTGGTTTGGGTGTCTTCTTCAAGTAGGAGATGAACTCGTCGGCCTTTACTGATTTAGCTCCGTTGGACACAGATCGATCGGAGGCATTGGACCTCAGAGATCTCATGGAGGGGGACTTGGGGATGGGAGCCGGTTTTGATGACGTCTTCCGTTCGCCCAAGTCGCCCTTCTGCTTCTTCGTAGGGGAGTCACTTCTGTTGAAAGTGAATGTCCGGCTCCTTGGACGCTCACGCTTAGTTGAGTTGGCTGAATTGTCCGCTTGTGCTTCATCCTGTGCATCTTCGGCAGCAGATCCGTGTCGTGACTTGGATGACTTCTGAGCTGCTGACTTGGTGTTCTCACCAATGGAAGAGTGTGCAGAGCTTGTTTTTGAGGTTTGAGGTATGTCAAGCTTGTGCATTCGAACAAAGTCGGCCTTGACCTCGAGCTTCAATGTCCGCATCTGCGCACGCTGGTGAGCGGGGATGTTTCGAGATTCCTGATGTTGTTAGCAGATAATCAGCTAGACGATGGGAGAGCTCTTACCAAGACCTCCTCGAACTCGGCATCTACCACCTTTGGATCAGGTTTGGCAGAAGCCGGAGCACCACCAGCTTGCTTGGACTTTCCGTTAAAAGCAGCGACAGCAGCCATGACTCGGTTCTGCTTCTTTGTAGGGCTTGGTGGAGGCGCCATGGGCTTGAGGCTGTAGTCCTTGCTGCCAGTGTCGGTACTCGCTCTACTGAGTACGGGCCTTGCCGGCTTTACAGGAGAGCTTTCTCTGGTGCGTCCCTCGTTGCCCTTGGTGTCTGACAGAGGAATGCGCTCGTTGCTCCGCTTGCGTGAGAAGGTCTCGAGCAACGACGCGGTAGAAGTCGACTTGGGAACAAACATGGACTTGGGACGCTCTTTCTGGGCGGGTCGGATGGAAGGCTGGCCGATATCGAAGAAGTTGCGTTGTTTGGTGGGCGAGTAGTCTTGTGGGGTGTACCGGGAGATTTCCTCGTCGACGCTCCGTCGCTGGTCGTTGAGGGGGACTTTGCTCGTGGTGGTGACTTCCTGCTGGGAGCTGAATTCGGCCCAGATGGGAGTGCGGGGTGGGGCGTGCGCATGCGAGGAGCGGGGTGGTGTGGTGTTCTCCTTGTCTCTACTCTCCTTGACGGGCGACTTTTCTCTCCTCCCCTTGCCAAACATGGCAGCCAAGTTGGTCGACGACTTTGTTTTCTTGGGCTTCTCGCCCGTCTCCGCCTCTTCCTGCGGTCGCCGCGTGTCGAGCGACTTCTTGTAGGCCGGCTTGTCCTCCTTCTTTGCCAGTGACCGCAGCGATACAGAACTGAGCGTCTTCTTGTGCAGGCTCTTCTTCGGGCTCGATTTGGCGTCCTGCGACTTGCGAGGCGAGGGCGGATTGAGGGCAACGTTCTCTGTTTGGTTTGCCGCGCGCAATTGGCTATGGGGGTGGTCTGGCGGCAGCAACGGCGCCTGGAAGTTGGAGACAGGTATATACGTCGGGTTGGCTATCTGGTTGTTTTGCAGCGCACCGCCGTCGGTTGGCGAACGCCTATGGCCTTTGTTTACGATAATGGACTTGAGCACTGAGGCGGATTTGTTGCGTCGATGCCCTGCAGCGGGTGGTGCGGCCATGTCCGGCGTCGACATGGTGATGCTCCAAAGAAGATGATAATTGTGGAAGCGTGTACTGAGGCCGGGGCCAGGAAGAGAAGGCTTGAAACGTGTATTGTCTATAGCAGAAGGATGGCGGGCATATTAGAGGAAGGCGATGAGGCAGGTTGCCAGTCCGTTTGCGGATACCTTGGTTGCGGGTAAACACTGTGGGCGGCCCAGCAACGACGCGTACTAGCATGTGGGGTGCGCGCCAATGCATGCCACCGTGACGCGCTAACTGTTATCGACGGCCAAATTCATGCAATTATACTTTGCACCCGTCATATTGCTGTCAGCCATGGAAACCTCGAGGAACCGTTTGCTCATGGCCGTTCTGCTGCTGGGGTGCTTCTAGACATCTCCCCGCACACTACCTGCACATCCCCAATCGCATCGAATCCTGCATCTTCATGGTCGCAAACCTCTGTCGCGAATCTCTAGCATAATATGTTATCGTGTTTTGGCGTCTGTGTTGCTCACATGATGATGGAAGCTAGCATCTCGCCTCGGGAGGATTGACCGCTCACAGCAACGCGACATAACAGAAAACGTTTGTGTTGTTATGCAGAGAAAGCTTATGGCGCACTGACTTCAACTTTCTTTCACAACACGGGACACGGGTGCCGGTGGTAGAAGCGAAGGATGTATATTGTGTTGTGAAGACCATTGTACAACGCCCCCAAGTAGCGAGCAGCCCAAACTTTCCCCCAACAACAAATCACGATGCCGCCCATGTCCCTGCGCATGCTAGCGCCCAACTTAACAAATCCCCAGCCCGTTGCTCTCATAGCATCCTTCAAAGAGTGTTTGTCAACCCTCTCACCGTCCGCCTTCGCTTCTCCATCTCTCCAATCGTGACTATTCCTCCCATAATACTCGTCCCCTGATCTCCACACCCAGCTGTACCAACACAAATTCCCCTGGTGGTATCTCCACAGTCACAGACGTTACGCATACAAGCCGTACCAACCGGACAATTATTTGACGTCCTGCATTGGACGACATCAGGGTCAGTACAGTCAGTTGCATACTTATCATAACAGACACCAGAGCCTTCCATGGTCGTTGCGCAGCGGCACGTTGTAGTCGCGTTACCAGAACCGCAGAGGCGGTCGAACTGGCAATTGGAATCGCAAGCGAAAGATGCGCACACTCCGTTGAGGCATTCTTTGCCTACAGCGCAGGCATTATTGCAGCGACCACAGTGGAGAAGGTCATTTTTGAGGTCGCGGCAGCCGCCATCACAGAGACCAACGCCAAAACCACCGCAGATGGGTGGACTGGGTGTCGCGCTAGTCGTGGATGTAGTCGACGACGGATCAGTCGTTATAGAGACTATTGTAGTGCCGAATGACGACGTGGAGGATGACTCCGTGCTGGTGGTCGACGACGATGAACTGCTGCTAGCCAACGTGCTCGAACCACTAGAGGTCGGCGTGATGCTAGTGGATGATGACGTACTACTAGTAGTAGAACTTGAGTTGCTGGATGTCGGAGCTGAGCTGGTTGACGACTCCGTGCTGCTAATTGAGGTTGTTGCGATGCTGCTGGACGAGCCCGTTGGACTGCTGGTGACTGAAACGCTTGAACTGCTAATAGAAGTGAACGATGAACTACTGCTAGAGCTCCCGGAAGAAGTACTACTGCTCAAGAAGCTCAAAGTGTCGGATGAGCTCAAAGAAGAGCTGCTGGAAAGGCTCTCCGATGACGTAGTGGATGATAAGGAGCTTGTTGAAGTGGCAGTTAGTGAAGCACTGGAAGAGCTAAGCGTGCTACTTGTGATAGGATTCTCGTCTGAAGTAGTCGATGAGCCGCTTGATGCCGTGGATGAGACACTCGAAGTAGTAGACGGTTCGGTTGAAGTACTAGATGAGCTACTCGAAGACGTAGTTGAATGTGTGGTAGATGTATCGCTTGTCATTACTGATGATGATGATGTGCCCGAACTACTCGAGGAACTGCTGAATGAGCTGCTTGATGTGGTGGACGGTCCTCCGTCGCTTTTAGAACTAGACGAGCTACCCGAACTGGTAGGTGATGTAGCTGGCGCTGTCGAGGAAGTACTGGAAAGGCTGGAAGAGCTAGAAATAGTTGGCGTGCTCGAGGAGCTGTCAGACTCAGTCGACGATGTTGAAGAACTTTCAGTGCTGGACGAGGATCTAGCCGAGCCTGATGAAGAACTACCCATGCTCGTGGATGACAATGTGCTTGAGATTGTGCTGCCAGTGACACTGCTGGACACTGAAGAAGATGTATGAGTGCTTGAAGATACTGAAGAACTGATCGAAGATGAAGGCGAGAACACTGGACAAGATGTCCCAGTTGTCAAAACACTGGTAATCGTGGTGGTCGCGGTATTGGTCACGGTCTGCGATATATGGTCAGTCATCGACCAAAAAATCCACATGAGCACAAGACTTACGGTCCCGAGATAGGTGACTATTGCTGCGGTGATGCTTGCACACCCACATGCAGAAGAGTATGCTTGTGAGTTACAGGCTTGTGTGGCATAGGAAGGCAGCGAACCATAGACTGTCGTTGTAGACCAATCAGTTGGCAGAACCTGTCGAATCCATAATTTGTCTTCTTCTGACAAAGTAGAAAGCGCTATAGAACTCGTAGTGATGGGTGTTAAAGTCGGAGGGCATGGTGTTGTGGTGGTAGATGTTGTTCGAGTGATGACCGTCAGAGTGGTGCTGCATTAGTTTGTTAGTGGGTTCAAGTAACTTTTACAGGCTACCAACATTGGATTCCAGATGACACTCGTAGTGAGGAAGTCTTCGCAGTCTTGTCCAGCTTGGATAATGTGAGACAGTCCGCCGTTGCCCCAAACTGCGCGAGAGCAGTCATTCACAGAGCATTCTTGCCTAGTGTCGAGAACTGCTGCCAAAACAACAGAGAGGCTGAGAAAGGTAGCGAAGGTGGAAAGCTTCATTTTGATCTAGTAACGAATGCAGGTCGTCCTGAGCTGATGGGTACGGCTACCAATCAAGGGGCTAAAGCAGACCTTATAAGTCGCTCTCGTCATCCTAGAGACTAGTGACAAAGATACCGAGTCTCAGGCTCTTTTCTGCTTTGTCAAGCCACTCCCCACCTTCGTTGTGGCATACTGGCTGGTATCGGTGGCGCCTATGTAAGACTTGACAGTGGTTATTATTCGCAAGCGAAGGTGCCTGGCTCAGAGACTAGTGTACTATCTAGTGTTGCGAACTGGCGTTTTGGCGTTTGTCAAGTCGCAGTTGTCGTCGCAAAATCAGTGGTATATCAGTAACGGTAGGTCATATGTGGGCAAGCGATCGGTACTGCAATGTTCTGTCTTGCTCAATATGTCGCTTCTTACAGTAGGGTTCAAATCTCATGACGTTCGTTGTATATAATCTTGCTGGAAGTGAAATAGTATGCTGGCACAGCAGATCGCCATAGATTCGCATTGCCAAAAGTTGGACGATTATCCGGGCTCCTGCTAGACGATCGGCGTCCATAGCTTACGCAGGTACGATACCGCCAGCCTTATGCTCCGTGATAGGCTAGACAGGGAGGTCAGCCGCTCCAGATGACTTTACAAAATTCGACTTTAAGCCCCCTTGGGGAGTGTCTGTCTCAACACTTGTGATGGCCAGAACTTCTGAGCAGCAACACGAGCAGTAAGGCTGCGGTCATGTCAGGTACCCCGCAGCCTCTCAACCAACTATTCGTCCTCCGCCATGGCGTCAAGCTTCACATAGAAGATACGAATCTTAGCCCGACGAATTCTCAAACTGCCCCTCATGAGTTGCTACTCGTATTCGGCGCTGATTCGCATGGATAACGTCTCTAGTAACTGTCTTCGTCTACTCGAGTACTGTAGGAACTGCGAACTGTGCGTAGTGGGAAGATAGTGTCTCATGATGGGCGTTTTCACTAGTAGTGACCATGTCGTACTAGTTGTCTAGGCGTCTGCATCCAACAGGTACATTACAGGGGTTACGCCACTGACTTGTAGGTGCGACAAAGCTTACGTGGCTGTATAACATGTCTGTTTGCCGAGACGAAATGAAATCATTGGCGATGCGAATGGCAGGAAGAACGTGATATCGGTATTTCTCCTTTTCAATTGCATCTGGCTAGCGCTCCACACTCATGGTCCATCCATCTCGTATTATGATTCGCTCTTCTTCTCCAGGATTTCGTTGCCAACGCATCGTTGGTTTGTCCCGGGAGAAATTACCTTTTTTGAGACTTAGGCTGGTGGGAGGAAGTTGGCATAGAGCATCCCTTGCACTACGCAATATATGATACTACCTTGAACATACCATCTTGCCTTTTGCGATTGTCCTGTGCGAACCGTACTTTGTGAGTCTACCAACCACGTAGCGACAACCAGATACCACACCGGATAACCGGAAGCAATCCGGTTTACAATCTGGACGTGGAAACTGGTAACGGCCGTTACAGCCAGTATTAGTTGTGGCAGAGCCAATTCTGGTAGCCTGCATATCGCGGAAGTTCCGTTCCTGGATTTGGCTGTTTCACTAGTTCGGGGTACAGGACGCCCATGCATGGGGCGCTGGAAGCTGCGGAGAATAGTGACACTCGACGTAAGAAGCAGCCATGAAATCGGTGCCGCTAGTAGAAACAGTGGTAGGTTTGGTAGAGTCCAGTAGCGGAAGAGCCCTACATTCCTAGAAGAGGTCAGACTAGCAAGATGCTGTGTGGGAGTAACTCACCAGTAGTGGCTTTGTACCCACGAGTAAATGCTCGGGAAGTTCTTGTCACACCACGGCCTGGTTCCAGAGCCGCTATCTCGGTTACAAAATTCTGCATATGCTAGAACCTGCGGCCCAAGGAAAGCCAACGCTATCAGACCACCAGCCACACATGTGACAGTAGCCCTTCTTACATCATGTATACTCAATTGCGCAGACACCACGAGGGGCAGATACCTTGCAACATCGTATAAGAGGACAACGCCGCTCAGTAGACCGTTGCTTCTCATGAGCGTTGCTGCAGCAAAGCAAAGGCCAGAGCCAAGCTTCTGGAGATCTTCTTGAATTGAAGACATTCCAGTTTTAGCTAAAGCCTGCGATTGAGCGTAGAGAAGCATGCCTGCAAAATTGAGCAACGAGAATGGAGCCTCGGCATACGGTGCGCACATGAATAGGGATGCTGGCGCTAGGATATGCAAGACAGCGGCAATAAATGGGATGATTTGTCGCCGTTGCGGTTCCACGACCAAGGTCAAGAGGCGATACAACACTAGCACAGAGAGGAGGTGGCAGACGTTGGAGATGATGATCCCGGCCAGGACATAGTAGTGCAAGGAAGTCTGTATGTTGCCAGTCATGACTAGGAGATATCAGTGCCGTGCCAAACAACCAGGCCACTGTCGCTCACATTGACCAGTTAGTCTCAGGAGATGCGAGTAAGCTCCACTGAAGGCCCACGCTTGCTCGTGGACATGGCCCCGCTCAGCTGCTTTCACAAAATACAGTGCATCCCAACGGAGCAGATTGAGATTGAGACGCTCATATCGATTGAGAAGGCTGAAATCATGGTGCCGTCGAAAGCTTGCGTCGAGCAATATGAGCCCGGAGGTGTCGTATCCAGGACCTGGGCAAAATGCTGCAAGCAAGAGAAGCAGTGCTTTCCAAAAACAGAAGATGGTGACAAGCTGTGTGACCCGTCCCTTCCCACTAAGGCTAAACGCGTTCATTGTCCCGCAATCGGAGTGGTCGTGGTTGATGGTCGAGGGCGAGGTGCCACACTCCCATTGGGCAAACACTAGCGCCGGCGAAACCTTCTTCCACCCCGCGCGCACTCGGTTCTCTGGATTTTGGTTGCGACAACTTTTGCGCCCGCTTTCGAACGTTTCGTCAAGTCCACCGTCGCCAATCTCACCTTCGTCGACCGCCGCCAACACACCAGGTAAGCGCATATCTTCGCCATGAATGCTCGGTAGCATATCAATCGCATGTCTCTATACGAGCATGTTGCATACAAATGATGGCTAGAGTGTAGAGCGGCTGAAAAGCCCTCTCACTCTTACGAGATTCAGACCTATAGTGAATGAACATTCGCTAATGGTTTCTGTTCTCTATGACAGCCTCGACAATGCCTCCCAAAGGATCCGGAAAGAAGCCTGCGGCTTTCCCCCAGGCCACTTCTAAGTCGTCTGCCGCCAAGAAGCAAAAGGTCTGCATATTCCACATACATTTGATAGCAAGCGCTAACAGGGCGACAGAACCCTCTCATCGAGAAGCGTCCTCGCAACTATGGCATCGGTCAGGACATCCAGCCCCAGCGCAACGTCGGCCGCATGGTCAGATGGCCGTAAGCAAACCCCAAACCAATCGTGCCTTGTAGATACTGACGACGCGTAGCGCTTACGTCCGTCTTCAGCGCCAGAAGAAGATCCTCAACATGCGCTTGAAGGTCCCACCGGCGATTGCCCAGTTCCAGCACGTTGCCGACCGTAACCTCGCCACCCAGGCTTTCAAAATCCTTAACAAGTACCGCCCCGAGACCAAGGCCGAGAAGAAGGAGCGTCTCACCAAGGAGGCTACCGCCGTCTCTGAGGGCAAGAAGAAGGAGGATGTCAGCAAGAAGCCCTACGTCGCCAAGTACGGTCTCAACCACGTTGTTGGCCTGATTGAGAACAAGAAGGCTTCCCTCGTCCTTATCGCCAACGACGTCGACCCCATCGAGCTCGTTGTCTACCTCCCTGCTCTTTGCAGGAAGATGGGTAAGTGACTAGAACGTGCAAACTGCATATGGCACATTCACTGACATACATTAGGTGTCCCTTACGTTATCGTCAAGGGTAAGGCCCGTCTCGGTACGGTCGTCCACCAGAAGACCGCCGCTGTTCTCGCCCTCACCGAGGTCCGCTCCGAGGACAAGAACGAGCTCCAGAAGCTCGTCACCGCTGTCAACGACGGTTACCTCGAGTCACACCACAAGGACGCTTCCCGCCACTGGGGAGGTGGTATCATGGGTGCCAAGGCCAACGCCCGCATGGAGAAGCGCAGGAAGGCTGTTGAGAGCGCCATCAAGATCTAAGCAGGTCTTGAGGTGCTTTGAAGATTTCATGATGACTTTACGGCGTGTCTCTTACCTCTGCATATAGTCGGTTCACAATACCAACGGAGTTTAGGAGGGTTAAAAGCGGTCGGCACACGACTGCATTGACTGGAATCAATCACGATAACGCACGCCATTCGCATGATTAGTTTGCTTGTGATGTTCATGTTCTTAACATCTTCCATTCTTTAATGCTCGATCATTGGACAACGCATTTAGCTGCACTCGCATGAGTCCAAGTGCTCTGAGCCTGGTTCTAGTTCCGGGGATAGATGCGACGATTCGCCCTAAAAGTTTTCGATCCTTGTCCCGATATTGCGCTCATCCGCTATTCGAACAAGATCGCCACCAACCACCACATCTGTGAGGCCCAGTCCCACGCTCTTGTATATCACGTTACCCTTGACCAACCACTCAATCAGACTCTTGTGTGCCTTATCCTCACCATCATGATGCTTCTCCTTCTCCTTGCTACTGCCCCTCCTCGCTTTCTTCTTCTCATTCTTATTCATTTCGCACTCGCCCAACTCTACACCACCCACATCCAGTCCCTCTGCCTCTATGCCCTTGCCAGCCATGCATTCTCTCCTCCTCCTATCCGCATCGCGCTTCAACATGACTAGCTCGCCTATCTCAACGACTTGTTCAGGACCCAGACCTGCTTGCACAACTTCTCCAGCTTCCTTTAGGCATCTATCCACGCTGTCCACCACAATTGCACCTCCTTGTTGCGCATGTTTATGGAAGTGACGGTGACCGTGCTCGGGCGCTACGTTTTGTTTAATAATGTCCGGGTGGAGTTCTGTGCTGTGAGGCGAGAGAGAACCGATAGCTGCTATGTAGCGACCCTTTCTGCGGCCTTCTGGGTTTGTGAGGATTGCTGCCGGAAAGAGGGGTGTAGGGGATTGCGTGCAGAGGAAGATGCAGCTTGAGGAGCGTATAGTGGCGTGGAGGAGACGTGAATACTCGCCGTGCCCTGGGGTGAGTATCTGTACCTTGGGGCGGGGAAGATATTGATGCTGGTCCTGTTGCCCTTGCTCCTCTCCTACTGGTGCTTTCCGGTACGTTGGGACGTAGGATGGATCGGGGTTGAAGTTTGAGGGCGCTTCGACGTGTGGGTTATATAGTTTCTCCAGTAGTTGGTGCACGCGCTCAAAGTCTCGATTTATGATGTTGAGGTGGTGGATGTCGTCACCTCGTAGGAGAAGCGCTAGACGTATATGCCAGTAAGCTTGTTTTCCTGCTCCAAACACTACCATATCGTGTACGTTTGCTCGCTTCTTAAAGAGCATTGTACTTGCAAGGGCGGTGCGGAAAGCTGTCATCTCCGAGGAATTCAACAAGGCTCGAGGATTACCAGAGCGATCGAACAGAGTCAGGCTGGCGTTCGATGGAGAAATTTGAAACGCAGAAAGAGAGTTCGATTTTGGAGCGGTAGTTGTCGAACTCCTACTCGTTGGCGTTGACTGATGAGAAAGGGCGAGCGAGTCCATCGATGAAGTAACAGAGGCCGCGTCTGAAGAGCCTGACTCTAGTCGTGTTGTTATCTTAACACCAAGGCCATCATTGCTGCAAAGGTTCAGTTCGTACAGTTGTTCTCTATTCATGCTTTCCAGAAGATGTATACCTGCTTGCTGGCGTAACAGTCATCAGTCCACCATCTTTGCTCTTCAAGCTCGTCCCTGCAGACTGGAAACTCTCACAACATCCATTGTTGTCGTCTTCTTCAGTACTGGTAGAGTAATGATGGAGCGCATCGGCAAGATTTTGCTGCAAGTCGAGAATGTCTTGCTTGGTTAATTGTAATAGAAGGGTGCGCACGTCCGAGTCGGAAAGTACGGTTAATGGCATTGCAGGATCGTTTGTGTGTAATTATTGGGAAAAGAGTGTGCGTTGCTCGTGTATCGTGCAATAATAAGCTGCGCGTTGTTGGTGGTCGAAATGTTTGGGTATGATGTCAAGCGCAGGTACAGCTCGAGCTTTCCTAAGTGGGGGAGGGGCAGCTGCGGCTTTAAGAACTCAGGAGCGAAGATCGGGTCGCGACTGAGTAAGCATGTTGAGGAACAAAGTTCATTGTGTAAGCAAGACTATATAAAGGATGCCTGCGCTAGATGCCATGAATGCAGAGCTTCTTCATATCGCTCATGGTCATGACTTGTCCTATCTATCTTATAATACATGCATGCCGTTTATGGTATCGCCGAACGTCGTTGACAGTGTCCAATTCATTGGACAGCAGTTCACCTGACCGTCGTCTATGCGAAGTAGCTCTTCCACAACACACCCTCCAGATCCTCCAATTGCTCTTGTTCGAAGGCCTAAGGTCACAGTTAGTACGAGTCGCAGTTCGATTGAAGTATAAAACTTACCTTAACATCAACGTGCCAAGTATCCTGGCGGGTCTTCTTGAAGTCTGCTAGAACAGTCTTGACACTCTTTCCAACCATGCCTGGATCGGCTGCAGCCTTCCTAGCCAGCGTAGCCAGTACATCAGGCAACCAGGCTGGCGGAGGGCTCTGGTACGGGAAAGCTTGGATAAGCGCACCGAGACCTAGCACAGCTGCGTGGCGGGTCAAAACGAGCTTGCCTTGCTCTGTTGTCGGTGTTCCTGCATCGCGCTTCTTTGGCAACGGGTTCTTGTTGAGCTGCTTAGTGAACTTCTCCTTTAGCGTGGAGACCTGGCGGTCGCGGAACGCGATGGGCGAACAACGGATCATGCCTGATAGGGTAGTGGCGGCACCCATGCGCACCTCGAGCTGGGTATCCGAGAGCATGGCGGAAACGCAGTCGAACATGCTTTGCTGCTGCTGCTCGCTCATGAGGAAGAGTCGGCGGAAGTAGATGACCTGGATATTGATCAAGATCCTAAGACGCTGATGCCAGCTTGTCGCATTGCGTCCGATGCGAATAAGAGCGGCGATGAAATCTGCATCCTCACCTTGGCGATGCGGGATGTTCGGCAGATGGCGGAAGACATGATACGCCAGCGATTGGAGTTCGGGATCCTCCTTGATGTCCATCATGTGTAGCAGTTGCTCCATGAATACATCGGGGAAGAAACTAACAAGCGAGGTACACTCGTACGAGGAGAGCGTAGAGTCGAGCCAGAGGAGAACTGTCTTACCACCTGATGTGTATGACGAAGGTGTCTGTTGACCTGCGGGACGCTCCTGGCGCCAAACCTCAAGGCGATCGAAGACCTCAGTGATGGTCTTGGTGAACTCATCTGTAGGTTGGTACGGGCGGACACCAATCGAGGAAGCGTCCTTCTGCGCCTTGATCAGCGTGTCAACATCCTTGTACGATTCATGATAACGCGTCCTGAAGATACTTGCGATGGTCTGACCCATAGCTTCTCGCACACCCTTGTACGGATGGTCGAGATGTTTCATGAAGTCCTCCAGGATCGGTTTCTCGAGACGGAAGTGCCAACCCGCGTCGCAGATACATTGCGTGAGTAGATGCACTTTGGAGCTCTCCTTGAAGGCGGCATTGGACTCCATGTCAAGGCGGAAGCTAGCCAGCCAGTCGACTAACGGCCATCCTCGGCGTGGATCCTTCGACTGTAATACAACATGTAGGAAGGTAGTCCAGTAACCAGAGTTTTCAGGGGTCAATCCATCTTGGAAGATGCCACGCACGATGGGGAAGACGTACTCCCAAACCGCCTCACGCTGATCCGCCTTGAGATCTGGTGCACATGAGAGTAACGCGGCCATAATTTCAGCAGTGGCACGGTGCTGATGCTTGTCGCTTCCGTCGGCGTAGACAGACTGGGTCAGGTCTTTGATGTCTTCAAATGTTGCTTCGGTCAGGCCGCAGAAGACGAGGTCGAACGAGTGAGTCAAGACCATGGCGCTTGACATGCGGAACCTGTCAGCGCTGTTGTCGCGTGGCTCTTGCTTCATGAAGGCGAAGTAGTTGGAGAACCAGGATCGAGTTAGATGTTTCGCGATCTTCTGGCGTACACCGGTCTCGACTTCATCGTACGATAGCTGCGGCGCATTGGGCTTGAATGCGGTCATACTCTTGTTCCACACCAGCCAGCCAGGATAATCAAAGTCGACATAGTATTTGGCTTCAGGCTGCGCAAACGATGCAAGGTACTGCTCAGTCCAGTTCGGATCCTCTGGCTTGGTCGGCACCGAGATCTTATCTGGTAGCTCTTCTTCGCTGAGCAAGTACTTTTCGTAGTTGTGCCCGGTGATCGCACGGGTCTGAATGACCGAGTATAGGCCAATGAGCGCTCCAGCATAGAGACCTCGGAGACTAGGATGTTGATCTATGGAACCCTTTGCGACGAGGTCGATCATCTCGTCAGAAGCAATGCTGTCGTAACGCATTCCCAGATTGACGATGATGGCTGCAGTTCGACTAACCTTCTTCCAGTGCTCAGTATTGGCAATATGAACAAGCTCTTTAGATAGCTCAGACTTCTTGCCCTCGATGCGAGCGCGCTTCTTCTTGATATAATCCCGACGCTTGGTGACCTTGGTGTGCACACTGTCGCCCTCGCTAGAGTCGATGGCATATGCGATAGCTTCTACAACCTCCTTCGGCAGAATGACCATACGCTCCATTGCTTTGCCCATATCCATGATCTGGAACGTAGCATTGGTCGCGAGCTTCTGCACTGAAGGCTTGTCGGCACCGGTCACCTCGATGAAAGCTTTGATGAGCTTGGGTGTGAACCGCCAGTCGCGGCTGATAGTCTTCGCCAGGCTACCAAAGAGAAGTGTGAACATGGCACCCTTGATGCGAGGGTAGTCACTTTCGGCCACAGCCTTGACGAAGGCATCTAATAGAGGTGGGATGACAAGAGGCCTAGCGCCCAGCACGCACTTAACCGCTGATTCGTTGGCGGTCTGCGCGGTGCGTCGGATCTCAGTATAGATGGAAATGCTGGATTCAGCGAGATCAAGCAGTAAGAGCATGTCGAGATCTGTCTTGGGTCGTGGATTAGCGTTGTGCCGTAATCGTTGCAGGTGGTAGACGTTTGCACGTCGAACCAGTAAAGGTCGTGGGTATTGCTTTCGCAGTCCGCTGAATCTGAAAGGTCGTTCGTCATTCTCCAAAAGCCTGGATATCCTGTCAAGCACATGGGCAGATCGCTCGATACCAACGTCAATGAACCACGACCGGTACGCATTGTACAACGAGTTGAAGCAGGGTACGTCATCGGGCTGCTTCTCGATCAAGAATTGATGCACGTTGTGCAGCATCTGGCCAACCTGTTCGCGAAGGTTATGGATGAGATTGTAGTTGTCATCACCACGACGCAGCGGGTAGCCAGCTTCGTACTGGAAGGTAGGCTTGACCTCTTCGTCTTCGGCCTCTCCCAATCCAGCATCGTCGTCAATGCCTTCTGTGTCCATTGCGTCTGCGTCGGAGTCGTCGTCAGGCTCGGTGCCATCAGTGGCTTGATCATGCCGAACATCGAACAAGACTGAGATGCCGGAAATGATCAGACGCAACAGAACAAGGTTACGAGAGACTTCATCAGACCAGTCTTTGCCGGTGCCTTCGCGCTTGATTGGCGAGTCTGGTTGCGTAAGGGCTTTGAGTGCCTTCATGGCATTGTTGGCGTGAGTGTCGAAAAGCTTGACAGCGAAATCAATCTCTTCGGAACTCGGTGTATGCCACTGGATGTTCAGCTTCTTAATATCGACCTGCCTACCCCATGACTCTGTTGACAAGCCCTGTTCAAGCTCGTCTTGTTCGTAGATCGAGTAGTCGATGGTGTAGGTGCATGTAAGGTTAAGTAGCAAGTGATGAATGAAGTTAGAAACGTGTACGGTGGGCGTGCCGCGGCACTTCTGCTGCATGTATTCTGCAATCTCAAAGAGTTCGTCTTTCCACTCAAGAACCGCGTCACCAACATGGACAACACACATGCTAAGAATGCAAAGGTTCCAGACAAGCGCACGGTCGCGAGGGAGCACCTCAGCGCCTGTTGTTCGCGTTGATCCAGCGCCAATCTCATCAATCTCAGTACGGATACCTGCCAGGAGATGCGGTAACAGACGCTTCAGGGCCTTCTCAGGGTTGATCTTGACAAGACTATTGCAGATAAACGCGATAGCATCTTTGGCTTGGTGAACGACATGGTTTGTGATAAAGTTCGCAATCTTGTCGAGTGCAATGTCGTAGAGCTCGGGAGAGAGGGCAGCAAGGAGCGGCGTAAAAGCAGCTGGTAGCTGGTTGACCACATACTCTTCAGGGGAGCCACTTCGTACTCTAGATGCATCTGGCAAATTCTCCAAGAGCGTAAAAACGCGACCAAGAAATGTAATCAGAAATTCGTTGAGCCCAGTCGTGGACGAACGCAGGATCAACGCCTCATCCTCGTCACTAAGCTCCTCGTCATAGTTGATCTCAATGTTTCCGTTGGCGCTCTCTAATCGTTCGACTTGTGCTGTAATCCATTCCACAGCAAGCCCCGTGTTACCACCGGCGTCATCCATTGGCGTAGATGCTCCATCTCGAGAGATCTCCTCATTTGACGCCTTCTTGGCTTTTGTGAGATCCTGGAATGGGATAAGGTAGCATACACCTTGGACGTATTGCAAGGTATGCACCGTCTTCTCCAGATCGTTGGCATCAATACCAGGGAGTGCAAGTCCGAGCACAGAAGTAACGTGGCACCGGAAGCCCTTTGTCTTGGCCATGACCTTGGAGAGCATGTGCAACGCCCGTATAGACGAAATGGTGCGATGTACCTCAACGAGCCCTTGCATTGCGGGGTAGATACGCTGCAATGCGCCCGGGAGGATCAAGTTCGGCTCAAGATGTGCCAAGCTCTGTAATGTGGACAAGGCGTATTGCACAGCTTTGTCGCTCTTGGAGAAGATGCCCATGAATGTGACCTCTCGTAAACAGAGTACGAAGCGCCTCTTGACTGCATCGTTCAGCTTCCTCTCCTCCGGCACGTCCATCTCACCACTGTGTTCTCGATTCCACCGCAGCACAAATATGTCGGCCAGGTAGTATACAAATTGTGCCAGAGGTCTAGTCCAGCTACCCGAATTGGATGGATGGAAGAAAGTCTCCACAGCCTGGATGAGCCCTTCGAGCTTGGTCAGAATGGAGTCGGAGTGCTCTGCACAGGCAGGAGATAACGACATGGCAATAATACGGGCAATGTGGTGTGTTGATGGGTGCTTCCGCGGGTCACGGTCAAGCATCACAGCCAGACCTGCACCGAGATCCACCGTACTGCTGTATGGCGACGTCGCTTGCCCAACTGGAATTTCCAGCAGCCGCAGGATGGCTGTGAAGATCTGAGATGACTGCTCGCCGGTAAACACTCCATACTGTGAGAAGGGTACATGCGCCGCGGTCAGGTTGTCCCTAGACAATCTCGACAGTGTATCGATATAGTGTGCGTCGAAGAGCCGCGACCGGTTGACGAGCGACCATAGATGGAAGAAGGTCGGGAGGTATTCTTGAGGCAACAGCTGCTGCATATCCTCTGGTGCGGGATGAGTTGGGAAGAGCAAGTTCATCAGGCCCACAACCACGAATGCATTCTCGCTGAAGGACGTGCTGAAGAAAGGCAGAAGTTCTTCCATTATGGCCGGTATCTCCTTGGGATCGAAGTATGACTGCGCAAAAGTGCACATCTTTGTCAAGGTGCGAATGTTGCGCTTCACGTTTGGTGGGTGGGAGCCTCCGGATTCTGAAGGCAGGACGAACATTTTCAGCTCTCTATACAGCGGCCGCCAGTCGAGTATCAGGTCTTTGCCGGGTCGTAGGTAATGTTTACGCCTGTCTACATGTCAGTCTCCACCCATCACCCAGACCCTAATACCGGTGCCACTTACTTGGTCAAGACCATGAACATGCTTGCAAAGCGCTCTGCCACGAGATAGTCCAGCCCCGGAGCCAATGCCAGCTCATAGTAGAGCTTCACCAGCTTCACGCGCGTGCTGCGGGGAAGGTCGAACTTGAGTGACAGCCAGCCTCGAATCTCGCGCGTCCAATGTACAGCGCCCGGCGCGAAGTCTCCTGCCGAGACGGCAATGTAGAGGTGCTTTAGACATGTGTTTAGGCTCTGTTCGCGATCGCTCTGGTCTTCGGTCTGGTATGGGAGGTATTCGAAGTAGGGGAATGTACGTGGACGGCGCCTGTCGTCTGCGCCATTGACGCCGCCATTCGGCTGCCGCCAGTCGCTGCCCGGCGAGGTGGCACGAGAGGTATCGGGACCGGTACCAGTGTCGAGAGCGCTCATGAGCTGCGATATTCGTTCGCTGACCGCCATGATGCCGGTTGGTGGTGGGTGGGGGTTGTGAGGCGTGTGCCCAGGGCGCAGTGGAGGGAGGAGTCTTGTAAATGCGCAGTCATCAATGTGCAGCTACCTATTCACAGTCGAGGGCGGACAAGGCGGATTGACTGTGAACGCAAAGAGTCAGCATGTGGTTGAGTGAATAGTCGTGGATACGCTGTGTAGTGACGAGTAATCACTGCACGTGGGGTTAGTAGTGGGTTCTTTTGCGCGCTACTTACTCTACAAATGCGCCGTATATAGTACTTTCCAGTGGTTGATGTGAATGCGGGTGGAGATGTAGTCGGGTACAATGGCTGACGGAGCGAGTGGTTCATGTGGGTATCCGGCGCCTCGTCCTGATGACATCTAGCTGGGAGCTCCAACCCTGCAGCCTTAGGCGAATGCGCGGCGGCAGCAACCTCGAGATCGTGGGGTGAAGAGACGCAGTCGCAGTCGCAGCCCAACTTGCACGGAACAGTGAATTCACTCGATTAATCCCAAGAGACTTGTACGCGCTGCTGAGAGGCAGGTGCGAGGTGATTCATCACATTCGGACGGAACGCGCTATATACCGTCGGACTTCCGCCAGGCACTCAAGGACGCGCAATACAGAGAGAAGGCGACTACGCAGTAAGCTACACGTTTCTATCCTCTTTTGACCTGCTTTTTGCCTCTTTCCCGCCCTGTTCCCATTTTCAGGGCTGCATTCGTCCTTCATTCTTCTGCCCGCGCTTTCATCTCCTTGCATATTCGTCCTGATGCAAGGCTGTTGGCACGACACGCGACACGTCTGTTGCCTCGTACAGGGATCGTCTCCGATGCTCTTTCATCTAGCACCGCAGCATGTCGGCTGAGAGGATAAAAAAGCTTTCGTATTTGTATACTGTTTCCAACTAACCGAACTGCTTCAGTAGAGGATGAGTTCCTACTACGACGTAGATGCCATCCTTACGGATGCCCAGAAGGTACCCTGTACTTTCGAGCTTACCGTTCCTGGCCTCGGCTATCTTGAGGGCAACATGAGCGGCGATATGAAGCAGGGTTCAAAAGTCGAGCTTCCACTATGGCTGGGCGAAATGCTTGCACTGAGGTAAATAACGGTTCGCATCATATGTGCATTCCATGTTTACAATATCTACAGTCAAAGTCTAAATACATCCTCTCTTGTGACCATCGACCCTCCGTCCGCCCTATCGCCGCGCGTCTTGAACGCCCTTAAAGCTGACCCGAGAACTGTCGATCTACGAGCTCTCGCCCCGCACTTCTACAACCTCGGCGCACGAATCCTGGAGCTGTTTGAGGAGGAAGAAATGATCGAGGTACTAAGCGAAGTGAGTTCTGTTCTGGGTCGGTGCAACGGTATCATGCTAACCCGCATAGACATTCAAGGCTAGGGCTGCTCTCATAGCAGATCAAGCCCATAACCCACGAGGTGCACTAGGCGAAGGCGCCGACTTCATGCGAGGTCTGGATGAGAACGAGCGGCAGTGTAAGTAACGACCTGATTTGACCATGCGGCCGCTAATGGCGATTTAGTGTTTCGCGCGGCACACGATAGCGCAAAGGGCGTACGGACGTGGATGGCAGATCTGAAGAAGAAATGAAGATAGTTGCTGGATCGCACAAATAACAACTGCCAGATGGCTGGCCAGAAGAGGTAGAAAGATCGACTCGCAGGACCTTTGGAAAATCAGAATCGATGGCTGCATGACGTAGTGACGATAGACGAAAGTGCGCGAGAAGAAGCATAACAACACCAAAAGACGATTGTGACGCGTAGTTGTGAGGCAAGCAGCTGTTCGAGCCTACCTTCTAGTACGATACAATACCTCAAGCAACTAGCCAGCGGATCGAAAATGTGTACGGTGTTTCATGACTACCGCATTGCCGCGCCAAGGTTACTGTTCTGCAATAGTATAGCCAACTGTTCGGGCGGGTAGCCCAGAAAGACAGGTCCATTGAACACCATCTGCGGTACCAACTTCGGGCCCTCGGGCTCTCTCGGGGGTTGTTCTGGAGCGGGAGGCTGTGGGGGACGTTCTGTGGGTGGTACATGTGTGGTTGGAGCCCGAGGTTGCGGCGGTAAACCAAACTGTGGCGCATCAGGATGTTGAGGTGTTTGTCCCATCATCGCACGGTGATCGATAGGGCATTTGCCAGTCTTTTGAGGCGTCTCGCCAATCGGACGACCAGTATCAAGGGGTAGTTGCGGGGACGCTGTTGGTACAGAGCCCACCGAGGACGAGCTCTCTGCGTTGGTGTATTTTGCAGGAATCGAGATGCCCCAGGGCCGACTTGGTGATTCGCCAACCCTAACTTCTTTTAGCGGCCGGTCAAAGTGTGCGGTCCTTGTCTCGTCCAGCGCGTGTTCTTCTGACTCTTCCTCAGGCGGCGGGGTACCGTCGTGGAGACTTGCCGAAACAGCAGATGCCCAGTTTTGAACCTTGGTGTCAGCCTTTGCGTCGGTGCTCAAGTGAAGCTCTGCCTCCGGCTCTTCTTCGATGGCGTCGTCAGGATCTTCAGGAAGCCACACCTGGTGCTTCTGCCCCAAGCCCTGGATCATATTGACCAGATTGCCATACTTGCGATCTAGCTGCTCTATGCTCTCTTGATTACTCTGGAAGCGCGTGATGCAGACCTCATGGCTTCTGGGTAGCTCATGCTTGTGTTTCTCAAAGTATTTAGCCACCTCTTCCGGATTATGTTGGTCGAGGAATCGTATAGGACAGACGGCAGCGGAGCCAGATGCCGCTACCGAGGCAGTTACAGAAGCAGGATTGTTGCTGCATATTTCGGCGCGGATAGGGTCGGTGAACGAGGGGCGTTTTGATCTCCGACCACGTACGCTTAATCGAGACGTCGAGCTACGTGGTGTGGCAAGCGGGCTGCCTCTGCCACTGCCGGATGCGAAGGGACAGGCGAGTTTACTAGGTGTTCCAGCAACAGTGAAGTCTTTCTCTATAGGTGATGTGGCTCTATTGGTCTGTATCTCAGGTAACGAGGCGGGTTTGTCTGCGGACGGACCACTCCATATTTTTACACTGCTAACATTCTCAGGAGCATGCAGCTTGACAGCAGCCTCCTCGGCCTTCTGGATAACCAGTGCTCTGCTCTTGCGCTCTACATCATCGCTATGTGCCAACTGCTCCACCAAATTCAAATGTATCCGAGGTTGTTCGTCTCCAACGCGCTCAAGATCTTGCAGGAAATTAAGGTGGTCTTGCGACAACGTATTGGGTGTGAAGCGTTTCAGCAGGTCAAGATACTGTTTATCGTCAGCGGTGCCATAAAGAATGTTGTGTGCTGGAGATGTATAGTAGTTGTCCGGATCAGTACATGATAATGGTTGTTGTCTGTCAAAGCCGCGAGTGCAGCTGCAGGTCTAGAGCTAAAGTGTATCATCATAGGAGGGGGAGGCTTGCGAAAAGTCATCACGTACCTGTTGCTTAGCCCAGGAGAGCTTGCTTTCGAGCTGTTTTTGCTGATCGAATAAAACCTGGTATTCTCCACTCAGTGCAGCAAAGCCTTCAGCGAGCTGCTCAGCGAGCTCCGTCACGTTGCTCTGAGCCTCTTCAGCCATGGCAAAGTTAGTAAAGAGATGGGTGTGATGCTACTGCAGGGCAGAAGAGCGCAGCAATGATGACGCGGCAAGTGAGGCTCGCAGTCGGGAAAGAAGAAAGATGGACGGAAACTCGGCAAGGAATGCAGTTTCGGAAGCGACGGTTAGGCCGCGCCACGCTTAGTCACCTCTCCAGCCACTCACCGCCGCAGGAGCCACCCGATGCTCCATTGCTTGGGAGTCGCGTCACGGCTCGCTGCGCCTTGAGTTTGTTACGTAGCATCTTACCACTGACCTCAATTCTTATACAGCATGATACTCTGACTATTGTAACACAATTGCATAGAAACGTTCCCCCGTTTTGTCATAGAAAACCACGTTGCACTCCCCTCGAAATTCCGAAGCTCCTACAGACCTAAGCCAAGTACCTCAACAATATTCACCATGGGCTCCCTCCACGACTCCCGTATACACAAGTGGTTTGCGACCTCACCGCCCGTCGCATGGACAGTCAGGCAGCTACGAGAGCTTCTTATTGGGTCGCTGAAGCAAGGCCCTATCCCCCAACATGTCGCGTTCGTGATGGATGGTAACAGGCGATTTGCGCGGAACCACCACATTGAGACGGTAGAAGGACACAACCTTGGGTTTGAGTCGTTAGCGAGGGTATGGATGACTCGAATTAGAGTGTTGCGCTATCATGCTAACAAGCCTACCAGATCCTCGAAGTCTGCTACAAAACTGGCGTCAAGGTGGTCACCATCTACGCATTCAGTATAGAGAACTTCAAGCGGTCGAAGCATGAAGTCGATGCGCTCATGTCCATGGCAAAGGTGAAGCTGCAACAATTGGCCGAGCACGGAGCTTTGCTAGATCGCTATGGCGCATCCGTTCGGGTGCTGGGGCAGCGCGAGCTCATCAGCCCGGATGTACTGATGGCTGTTGACAAGGCTGTTGCAATGACAGCACACAACAAGAAGTATGTTACCTGGTGCTTCATGAAGCGCATTGCTGACCATGATCAGAGCTGTTCTCAACGTCTGCTTTCCCTACACGTCACGGCACGAAATCACGACCGCAGTCATGAAGACTGTCGAGACGTACAGCACGCCGATACACAACCTGCCTACACCTTCTAAGCGAACCTTTTCTGAATCGCACATCACCCAACATATTCGCAAGCAAATGTTGGAGGATACGGAAGGTGTAGCGGAACAGCCCGATTCGCGGCCGGCGTCGCCCTCGTCTAAGGAAGCGACTTCAGCTGACGATGGGCGCTCCTCGTCAACTTCGACCGCCATCAATTCGCCAGAAAAGGATGACTTGCATAATGGGCCGACGTTTCTAGATTCAGAGTCGATTAGCGCTCAGACTCTGAACGACAACATGATGACGGCTGATGCTCCGCCCCTCGATCTGCTAATCCGTACCTCTGGCGTAGAGCGGCTGAGCGACTTCATGCTGTGGCAAGCCCACGAGAACACGTCCATTGTGTTTCTCAAGTGCCTGTGGCCGGAGTTCGACTTGTGGCAGTTTTTGCCTGTGTTGGTAGAATGGCAGTGGCAGCAGAAGAAGCTGCAAGAGGAACAGCAGCGGACCCGTGGGCGGTCCAAGTCAGACTGAGCGCAACCTATGCAGTATATGGCGCAAAGTCCTCGCAGGCCATACAACAAGGCAGATCTGAACTTGAGCGAGCATCGAAGATACCCAAGACAAAGCATTCTATTCGTCAACCAATATTCATTCCACAGCAAACCATATCTTGTAATGCATGTCGATCTTGCGCTATCGTGGCACGTGTACATATGCGCATCTAATGGCCCGCCCGTGTCTTGACCGTTTATGGTTTGCTACCGAGCATGCGACACCTCGGACATGTGCTAGCTCCCTCTTAGCGCATCGAAGAGCATCAAACGTCATCTCACCCCCGGAATACCAGCCGTTGCCAGGGAGCTTCAGCCGGGATGTGAGCTGAACATGACTTATAATCCGCGTGTTCCGCAGCATCGGGCTGCGATGACAGCTGTCGTCGGACCCAGAGCATGTAACCTGGGCTTGCTTATCTACCAGTGACACCGCTTACGCTGCAGTACCACTTGAATGGGCCCGGCTACCAAATTCTGAGATAGACTACTTCTTATCAGCAACTTGTTTGGCAACTCTCGTTTTCCCTATAAGCAAGGCACCGCGCGCTTGTAGCATCCGGCATCAATTGCTGGCGCGACAACAGTGTCAACAACACCATGAATACCCCAAACCTTCTGACAATACCTGTTGAGCTGCGCGAACTCATATACGGCTTCCTCTTTAGCAGCTACACCATTCGACATGGCTTCGAACATGCCAGTGCCCCAAGCGGCGACTCAGAGTCCTATAATCGCATAGCGCTTCTGCTCAGCTGTCGCCGGATCTTCGCTGAGGCGCATCGCCATCTTCCGCTCAATTGCACTCTCCATTTCCGCGGCACAGAAAATCTACTCGAGACACTTCTCTCTGTTGATCAGAGTGTGTTGACGCGCCTCCGCCACGTTCGAGTTCGCGCGTATCCCTTCCCACTGTACGCCTCAGGAAACTCGCAGTACTACCCTACTTACTATGCCGCCAATGCGCTCACTCTGCTTCCCGGCCTTTGTCTGGATACGTTGGTTGTGGAGGATTGCTGGCATGGTTTCGGTCTGGGCGATGGTTGGCGAGATGTCACAACTTACTTCGACATTGAGACTCTCCTGAAAAGCGATGCTTGGAAAGAATTGACATATATCACCCCATGTACCGATTTTATCGCATCAGGCTATGACCACCGGCGTAAACGATCGGCGCAACCTGAGAACTGGGATGCACTCATCAAAGAACGCGATGGAGAGGAGTACGGCGCAGAGGTCAAGATGTACATCGTTCCTTATGCACAGAATACGGCAACCGGGGACGAGAAGACAGAAGACGGACGTACCATGCAGCTCTGGACAGCAAAGCCAGGCCACGAAGTCAACGAGAATTGGCGCATCGCGGGACCGGAGCAGGACATGAAAGGCGAAGTGAGGATTGTTGCGAAGAGAGGCAAGAGGTCAAGAGCTGTGCAGCTTGGACTCGCTGGAAAGAAGACTTGGAAGGAGTTGAAAGGAAAAGAATCAGGTCGCTTTGCTCCCGAAGGTAAACAGTATTCTGGAATCAGCATTATGGAGAAAACTAGCTTACACCACGCAGGATGGATACCATACCACAACGACATGGCCGACGCGGTTGCATGGATATATGGGGGCCACGGGAGGAGGATACAACTCGCGAATGCTGCTTTACACAGCTGACTACATCGATTCACAACGCAACCGGTTTACGCGCCTTGGATGTCGACTACGCCGACTCGAACTTGAGCGTGGTAAAATTAGCGGCCCCATGGTGGCATTATCCACCCCTGTAAGCATTTAGCCTGTTCCCACCCGACACTGGGGTACGACCAGCTGCTACACAGGTACCCGGGATGCGATGTGGCGCGGTCACTACAATGCGGCCGGATTAGCTTTATACGGCGCGCAGCGAAAGTATTGAATAAGCAAGTGTGGAACACGCCAGGATGAACTATCTGTTGTTGGAAGGATATAGTTGCGTTATTGTGGTTGAAAGACTATTCCTATTGTGACCCTGAAATGGACAGTACAAGTCGTCTTGTAGGATCGCGAGAGCGTGTGTGGACTGATGTAGATAGCCACTAGTCTTCGTGGCGCGTCAATTTGAATAGATACCGTCACACAGCCGCACAACACTCGCCTCGCCGCTGCTTTGCAGTACGCGAGGGGGTTTCCTATCCAGCAAAGTCGCGCTCCTTCGCTTTCCAGGAGTGAAGGGAAGTCGTCGTACTAATACGCTCGTAACTACGCGCCAATTGCTCGTTCTCGACACCGTCTCTTCACATCGACTCACGGAACCAGGGACGTGAAACCGCGCATTGCTTGACTGTAGTAATTCTGCTGCTGCTGCATCTTATAGGACTCTTGTATTCATCCCCATGCGATAGCTTTCCGCTACCCAGGTTCTCGCCAACATGGTAAGCACACTACTCCCCTGCGCACACTGGCCAATCACTGATAGTTGTTAGATCCCACTACCCGCCATCGTTCTCGTGTCTGCTCTCCACGCAGGGTTGTCAATCGCCCAGCAGTTTCCATTACCTGTAACCTATGATACCGTTATCAAGTCGCCCGTCGACCCTACCATCACCATATCCTACAAAACGCCCGACGCCCATACATGTGCAACGGCTTTCGAGGCGCAAAAGCAGTATTCCGGATATGTCAACCTTCCTCCGTTCACGCTTGAGCCGTTTCAGCAGAATTATTCGATCAACACCTTCTTCTGGTTCTTCGAGGCACGCGAGAACCCAGAAACTGCCCCGTTGACCATCTGGTTGAATGGAGGACCTGGAATGTCTAGCATGTTCGGACTCTTCGCAGAAGTGGGTCCGTGTGAAATTGTGGAAGGGTCAGATGACAGCTACACCACGCAACCCAGGGTTTGGGGATGGGACCGCAGCTCCAATGTACTCTTCATCGACCAACCTACCCAAGTCGGCTTCTCATACGATGAGCGCGTCAACGCTTCGGTAGACTTTAGTCAACTTGATTACAGCTTCGAAGAACTCTCCCCGCTTCCCGCTAACGTGCCTGAATGGCGCTTCAAGAACGGCACCTTCTCTTCTGGTATTCTAACCAGTACAGAGGACTTGACTGCCATTGCCGCACGGTCATCGTGGCACTTTCTTCAAGGCTTCCTGTCCGCATTCCCTCAGTACAACCCTGGAATCCGATCTAGCAGCGATACCGTCGAGCCCTGTCATATAAACCTCTTCGCTGAGAGCTATGGTGGCACCTACGGTCCTATCTTCGCAGACTATTACCAGGACCAGAACGATCGTCGAGAAAAGGGCGAGATTACATCCGAAGCGTTAGACATTCGGCTTGGTTCAGTCGGCATTGTCAACGGTATATTGGATGTCTACGTTTCGGCACTTTCTGGTCTGGAGTTTGCCTATAACAATACCTACGGTATCGAAGGCATTGATCTCACTACCTATCAAAACGCAGTATCGGAACTCAACGTAGACATGGGCTGCCGGGATTTGGTCACACAGTGCGGCGCGTCGGCGGCCCTCAATGACCCCGAAGGTCTTGGTACTGACGAGGACGTTAACAATCTTTGCGCGAGTGCCCTCTACAACTGCACAGCGATAGCCGGTGTTGCCTATTCTGCTGGTAGGAGTGTCTACGATTTTCGAGTTGGTCCAACGGTCGAGCCTGTTGTTGCACTCTCAGAGTATCTGAACGGCGAGGATATTCTACAATCCGTTGGCGCACCAGTCAACTTCACTTCCACTAGCAATACCGTCGCGGCAGCTTTCACTTACAGTAAGCCACTACATCTTATTTCCAATTGTTTACCCAACGACCTTACTGATCTCGTGCTCAGACGGAGACGCGGCCCGTGGAGGGCAAATCGACTCTTTGGCGGACCTGCTCGCTCGTGGTATCAAAATCGCCCTCATCTATGGTGATGCTGATGTCATATGCAACTGGTATGGAGGACAGAACCACTCTCTTCATCTCGCTAGTCTCGTTCCAGCATACAAGACGGCTTTCCCAGAGGCTGGGTATGCGGATATTGTTGTGAACGACTCCTACATTGGCGGAGCAGTCCGTCAATACGGCAACCTCTCATTCTCTAGGATTTACGATGCTGGCCATCAAGTACCGTATTACCAGCCAGAGACCGCCTTTACCGTTTTCACTCGCATCATCCAAGGCGATGACATCAGTATGGGTCGCAACGTTGATCTGTCTAGCTTTGGTACCGAAGGCCCCAGCACTTCTGATCACACGAACCTCGTAGGGCCCGAGCGTGCACCAATTTGCTGGATTCGAGAAGCTGCCATCAGTTGTACAGAAGAAGAGTTGGCTGGTATCGCTGCAGGGAAGGGCACAGTGAAGGCCGGCATATGGTATCCCACGGACGAAGACATACCGACCAACGCGTCGCAGGATCAGCCAAGGGTACCCAAGTCACAGCCCACCGCGACGACTTCAGTGGCTTTGACTGGAGTGTATAGCGCTACCAGCACCCCAACGATCAAGAAAACCTCTGGAGCGTCGGCACTTAGGCCGAACCTCCCATTTCACCTTCCGCGCCGCGACATCCCAGTCGGCCCGTTATTGGCAGAAGCGGAGGAAGCTCGCAACGGTGAGCGCATAAGGAACGGTCTCATTGGTGGTCTTGCCGCGGCTGCTGCTCTGCTATTGTGAGTGCATTGCACTCTTCTCATACCTGCCAAGTAGACCAACTTGCACACTCATTGAAGCCCACTCTGTTCCTTCAACACTTTGCAAATCATCTGCTACATCGTGGCTACAGCATCTGCTTTTATTCTCCACAGATTTATTTACTGAAAGACGTGATACAGGGGTCTACTTTTCATGTTATGCTGCTGCCGCTGCTTCAGACGCCCCAAGATCTACGAAGGACCTTTTCCAGATTATGGCGGGAAAGGTCCAATAATTATCAAGCAGGTGATTGATGACGGCCCAGCGCCGGAATACTTGGGCCGCCCAATTACCCACATGAAGCCAATACCAGAGGCAAGCCCAAGACCTAGCGACGATATAAGAGATATGCCAACCATGGAAGAGGACTTTTTCGTCTCACCTGTGCAGCGATCAGTCTCCTTACCGTAGGATGCAGAGCCATCAGCACGTGCCCCAGATAGGCGGCTTACAGAGGCCGTTCAAACACCTCTCCAGTGAGAGGTGTCTGTGCCGCCTACGCCACCAAAGCCCCTGCCGACCGCAACAGCGCTGATAAGAACGCCCTCGCCTACCCCAGCACAACCAACACAGCCCGCACCTGAGCCAACACCCTCTCCGGGTCCGGTACCTATGTTAGTCCAGCACACGGCTACATCTCCCCCTTGCTCACCACTACGCACTCCAACAAGCGTCCCACGACGACCTGACCCGCAGCTAAAGATAGATCAATCACCAGCTCCGCCGCAGCCGTCGCTCTTTACACGTATCAAGACTATGTTTGTACCTACTCTGGAGAATGAGCAAGTCACCGCGCAGACTGATGGTACTACTGATCGACGAGCACTGTTGCCGCGCGTCGCTATGAGACCGCCTCCTCCCAAGCGCGCGCCGAAAGCCGCAGTACTAACGTGATCACTGAGGTCTGGTCATGATGCGAGCCTGAATTGCAGGTAAGACTCGTACCAGAAGTGGTTGGATACGCATATTGGATGTTCTAGTGATGGTAGGCTCGCGCGCTTGAAGTAGCCGGCGACTGTTCCACTCACGACTGACGAGTGGCAACGACACTAGAAGGCGAGACATGACAACATCACAGTAAGGATGAGTTTTGGCCAGAGAAAACGGAAACTAGCTCAAAATATATGCTCAAATTCCGGAGGATTACGTCACATGCATTACCACTTCATAAAGCTAACCAGTCTTACTATCGTCACGCCTGCAATTCTCTCTACATCCACTCAAGATCAAATAAGAGCGAGAAATGGCATCACAAGATCTGTGAAGATTGGGATTTTCTCGCTCTTCCCACCACCTCCTTTAGTGCTGGCATCTTCTTTCCAACCCTTTCGCCATCAGCGATTAATTCCTCTAGCGTTTTCAAGTCTTGTTGTACCACCTTGCCGCCATGGTGATACAAGTTGAATTCTTCGCAGTTCAACGGCTTGGCTCCCTCAAACAACGGTATGTTGAGCTTTTCTGTTGCCCAACTACCAAAAATAAAAGATAGGAACCACCCTGTCCAACCAAATCGAGGCAACGTCAGGATTTCTGCCTGCGCACGCAGCATCAATGTCCAAAGCTCGTTGTTCCTGCGTAGGCTTTCGAAGGGCCCGAAGCCGTCCACATTCCAGGTCATAAGATGCAACATACCCAGTAATGGGGCCCAAGGCGAAAACAGTGCAGGAATGCGCCGGATCGTCAATCTGCCGTTAACATTGTAGATGGTTTCCAGCTTCGCCGTGAGTGCTGGATGTGTGTTGAAGGCTACCAGACCAATGTTTGGCGGTCCATGCGAATAGAGGAGATCCGCCCTCGTGATCAAGTCTTTATTGGCAGTAGCAGGTACTGAGATCTTAGGCGTAGGTTGATGCGCAATCAAGCTTACTGCGAAGAAAAGGCGGGTCGACGCAATGCGCATAGTGCGGGCGTAGTGTAGCTCGATATCCAAACCGATTGCATCGTAAACGACGAAGCAGTCCGCGTTCTGTTCTTCATTGAGCAATTTGCCGACCGAGCTCAGAGTTGCGACGCCAGCTTCTGAGCGCGCGGTGTAGCCGTCGAGGGTGTCGAAGACGAATGCGAATATTTCTCCCTCAACCTCAGAGATATCTTCAATGAGGGTGTAGGATTCGAATGTGTACAGTTCGTCGTCCTTGTAGGAATAAAGGCGTTTTGGTGGGGCAAAGGCCGACCTGCGCCCCGGACGCACAAGGTACGTGATGTCTGCACCAGCAGATAGGAAATAACCTTGAAAAAGACCCACGGCGCCACAGCCGACAATCAGAACCTTTGGTTTTGGCATCGTTGAAACACTGCTTGCTTGCAATGATGCTAGATATTGTGTTTGCTGTTTCTTAAATCAAAATGTATATGCCCGCATTCAGGCCGTTGGTCCAATATTAGTCCTGCTGTGTAAGCTGGATACGGTGGTGCAAGGGAACGATAGGCCCACTTCGAGTCGACGGGCTTTGCGGTCAATTTCTGTGTCAGTAACATTGACTAGGAGCTAGGTTCTCCAATGCGGCAACAATCTATTCTGTTCTCTTAGCTTCACCTTGGTGTAAACTTCCGGACGAACTTTTCGGGTGAACGCTCAGCGGGGAAGCATTTCGGGAGCTCCCTGTAGGATGCATGCGGTGCGCTTTATAGAACTTTGGAGTACAAAAGGGTTCCACGATTCTCTGAATGGATGTTTACTTTACGACGGAACCAATCTCAGGTGCTGCACTGTTATTTGCAAAGTACCATGCAAGTATCAATCCTGGTGGCTACTGATCAAAACGATAGCTCAATTGTTAAGGATTAGTTGCATCCGTAAACGCATTTGTGGTTTTACTGCTAGCAAGAATCAATTACAGGAATGCGAAACTATCTAGGTTTGTTCATCAATCAGCTACAGCCTAGGACAGACAGGCTTCTTCGTACGTGGCAACTCGCGGTTATAGTTCGAGTAAAAGCCCAGGTTTTCAGATCTAACTACACCAGCATTTCTAGTTTGATTAGGAGGACTACCAGATATGGCACGCGGATACCTACAAAATCTGGTGTGCGGAAAATCAACGTGAACCGTGGTAGAGATGCGAGACCCACTGTTCTGATCAGTGCAGCAATTCCATAACTCCCACGTCGCCAGAGATGAATTATCTCAAGCAAAGGCCTCCGTAATTATTCGGATCATTCAAGAACCCACAAGAAACCATAGAACGACCGTGTTCTACTTCACCTCGATTAGACCATTCGAGAAAGAGCGACCCACTACGAGCCTCACTCTCACCGCGAATATCATATTGAGCACTCACCATTGCACTGAGCTCAACCCTCCGCAAATCATACTACGCTCACGACGTTCTCAACTCTGTCAAAATCATAATGACAGTCTTTGCAAACAAACAAACTTTCAACAGCCTAGGTCTCGAGCAGGTCCGACAGTCGCATGCACATGCCTCGCAAGACTGCTCCCTCTGCCTCCAACCCCTTGCTGTTCACCCAACCAAGGACGGGATTCCCGACTCGAAGTGTCATACCGCTGTTCGCATCGCCGCCTGTGGTCACGTCATCGGCGAAGAATGCCTTGACGCCTGGCTTGACGTCGGTCATACCTGCCCAATATGCAACCGCCTACTCTTCGAAGCCACTGGTGACCCTATCACGCAAGGAGACATTAACAACATCCTCCATACGCTGGGTCCGGAGTTTGGGGAGGATGCGATCATGGTAGTTGTGGCACGACTCATGGCCCGTCAGGAGCAGGAGCATGCGCGACTGAGACAGGCGCATGAGATTGAGGTGGAGAGGATAAAATTCAAGGAGACGCATGTAAAGAATGATGGGTTCGCGCTGTCTGACGAGGACTTCTTGGACAGCGGTGATGAGGGGAATTTCGATGAGGCTGATGACGATGAGGCTGATGACGATGAGGCTGATGACGATGAGGACTACGAGGCAGAGGAGGATGGCAAGGATTCCATCTAGCACTTACTGTGTTGGCAACAAAGGGCACCGCAGCATTTGAATGGAGTCCGTAGAGTTCTCATGACAAGATCGCAGATTTGTGGTGAATGGGGCGCCTTTTACGACATCTAGACCCAATCTTACCATGAATATGCATCTGGAATAAGACCTGCATCGGAGCTGTTGACACAGTGATACCTATACTCCTATGTCTTCGTTTCCACTCGATCACTTACTCTCCACCCTTAGATTCGTCCACATCAACCCCGTAACTGGCACCTTGGCCACCGCGAACCCAATCAGCACCTTGACCTGTAGGTTATACGCTTCACCAAACAACATCCTCACTCGCTCCAGAGTATCAGGTGGCAAGTGCTGCACCAGCTCCGTCCTTTCTAGCAGGCTTTCTGCAAGTTCCAGTGGAAGGATATCGGTCAGGTGGGAGCGAATGTAAGGCGTAGAAATGGATGTTACAATGGCGATACCGACTAGACCGCCCAGAGTGCGGAACTGTGATGTAGCTGCTGAGCCGACGGCTAGGAACAATCAGCAAACGAAGAACACCAACATGTTCATGTTGGGATATAGCGTATAACTTACCCAAGTCTCTCTTCTCCATCGCATACGGCACAAGCATGATAAGCCCAGAATTGACAAGTCCAGTCCCCGTTCCAGCAATGATCTGGAACGCATACTGACTAGCATCGATATGCGACGAAGTGTCAATCTGTGCTAGCAACGCAATACCGAGAATCTCCATCAGGGAGCCTGCGAGAATAATCCAGCATGGCGGTATTCTGGGCTTGCCCATCATTGCTCCAGCGATTCCACTGCCAAAGGGTACGAAGGCGCCATAAGTGAGTAGACGGACGGCGGCGGCGAGGGGGGAGAGGCCATTCACAGTGATGTAGCGTTGAGGTATTTGCGCGATACATACGAACATTACTGTGCCGGAGAGGTGGGTGTTTCTAGTGTACATGTTAGGATGGTGTGAGACGGTGGTACAAGATGATAGATGTACATAATCATGCCCAGCTGTATGCGACTTTGACAGAAGCGCCAAGGAAAAACAGGTTCTGGGTTGGTGCGACGCTGCGTTGCGTACCATTGCCACATGAAGAACGCGATCGCGAAGGGTACAGAAGCGACGAGTAGAGGAAGAACTTTGTTTGACGACCATGCGTAGTCTAGCGATGCTTGTTGAAGACCGGTAGCGAGCAGCACAAGAGTCCCCAGCATCAACGTCGCACCTAGGAAGTCGAGTCGACGGAGAGAATGCTTCGAGACAATGGGATGTGTCTGCTGAGCAGCTGGTTCGTTGAACAACGTCCTCGGAAGCGTGAAGCATAGTGAGACGGCAGTAAGAACTCCCACAGGAACGCTGGCTTAATCTTAGTACAACTTGAAACAATTCTAGGATGACAGACATACTTCAGAAGGAAGATCCACCGCCAGCTTCCATGCAGTGTGATACCGCCACCAAGAAGCGGCCCTGTGATCAAGCTGAGCGCAAGCACCATGCTAACACCTGCCATGTATTGTGGCAACTTCTTCTGTGGAACAATCTCCATGAATATCAGTTGAGTGAGTGCATATACACCACAGCCTCCGATACCCTGACACCATCTAAACATAATGAGCTGTATGAGTGTCTGGCTAGCTCCGCAAAGTGCTGAGAACAAGGTAAAGATGAGTAGTGCAGCGATGAGTGTGTACTTTCGGCCTGCGATATCCGATAGTTTCGCCCAGATCATCTGAAGACCTTGGATGATATTAGCGGAGTGATCGTTTTGATGAAAGAGTCAAGTCCTTACTGCAATATGTCAACATATATGCTGTAAAGAGCCATGAACTCTTCTCGTAACCGCCCAGTTCGTCGGTAATGTCTACAATTGCAGTACTGATGACTGTGGACTCCAGAGTCACAAGGAATATAGAGACTGTAAGACCAGCATTGATCAGGTAGAGTTTGACACCTGTAATGTACTTCGATTCATCGGCCGCAGCCACGGGCTCGACTTCATTGGGAGGTGTGTCTGTAAACGCCTTTTCGACACTTGCAGTGTCCATTACTACATCGTCTCTGGAAGTCGAAGACATCGTTATGCTTTGAAATGAAGAAATTGTGGAAAAAAAGGCTGAATACAAAGGGAAAATGTGATATAAAAGGGTGATCCATCAGGGATGCGCGAACTGTGCCACCTAGCGAGAGTAAACACAGCATTCTCCTTGCTCTTACGATAAGACCGTGCCATGCACCACTGGCTATCGAAACGCATGTATCTGAGAACGTACGGCGTAGAGTACCGTTCAAGCCCTGGCAGCCTGACGGTATCGCCAGTCAAGCCTTCCAACTGCCGCATGATGTCGCGAGCCGATAGTAAGCTGACAGTCCCGAGAAGATGGTATCACAACGACGCCGCAATGAAAATGCTCCTTGGCCCCATACGCGAGCTGGAGTAAGATCTTCATATGTGCGGCCGTTCTCGGTGTGTCCAAATTCATGCAAGGTGGTGAAGGGTGTGCCTTTATGACCCAGTAGGAATTGTTGTGGGGGCGGGGCTGTGCGGTGGGGGCTACTGTTGGCGCCCGCCTCCCGTTGCTTGTTGAACCGGGAGAACTAGTAGTCAACATCAATCCCCTGCCGAAAAGCTGGTTAAATGCCGTCCAAGCCACGATAAGCGAGGCCAACGCGAAAACAGTTGGTTTGGGAATCGTGCAAAAGAGCTGCATTTTTCGTGTATTCCGACGTGAATATTCAGCAATTGTACCTATGGTGAACCCTCGAGTGCGAGATTGGAGTTGACTTTACGAAGGCACTTGTTCGTCGTAGGTTCTTTGCGACGATGTAGCCTAGGTGTATTCGCTGTCTTTTGTCAAGCAGTTTAGCAACAAAGAATGTAGTGCGTACCTTCAGTGTACACCATGGCATCGGGGCTACAAAACAGAACGGTCGAGCTTCTTCGTGCTGTCCCTACGCCCGGTTTAGCTTTCGACACGGCTGCCATCGCCACGAATATCGAGAGTCACATTCCAGTCCTGTTAACACCTAGTTCACCAAATCGGCCCCCTAGGAAGGCGCTTGAACTGACAGAATTGTAGTCGATATGGCCGTAGTAACGGTTCGGTGACTTGGTATTGGATGACTGCAGATGCAGTAACTTCACAGATCGTGGTTAGCCTCGGTCTTTGAGAATGATAACTGCCACCACAACTGCTTACGCCTGGGTTGCCGCTATGCTAGAACAGCCATCGCGCTTACACCTTGGCCAACAGTAACACGAAAAAGAGCCTCAACCCAACATCGAGCTGGAGAACTGGAGACTGATTCTAGTAAGCCATCGAGCGGTGGTCTTTCCTGCTATCGATTGTAGGCGCCACTACAATTGCACTGGTACGCCTGACATGCCCGAACAGCTGTTAATAGAGCTATCTTTTCTTAATGAGGATGGTCTGGCATCGCGAATGAATTGAAAGCAGCTAGCTAGAGTTGTCTCGGGGAGAAAGAGAGACAACTAGAAGGCTGAGTGGTGGAAAAAGGAAGCGGAGGCCTCGAAGACGCTTTCACTGCCGCTAGAGACGATCGTAAGCTGCGAACGAGGATGATATATCCACATGTTGGTGTGATGGGGGCTGATCGTCCAACTTCAGGGTCGAGGGCGGGGACGCTGCATCGAAGGGGCCTTGATAGCGTCTAGTGGAGTTCGTGACAATCTGGGTGGAGGCCTACGGTGTCGCGAGATATAAAGCCAAACGCCGTGGAATGTTGACATCAGCATCCTCAATTACCACCTTCTCCAACTCATCAACAGTTGAGCTTCCTCTTACCCCAATTCAATATGATCCTCTCCATCCCACTTGCCATCAGCGTGGTCGCAATCTATGTCAGTGTAATCTTCAATCTGTGGTGAAGTCTTGACTTACATGAAGACAGTTTGTGTATTCCGCCGTATATAACCTATGGTTTCATCCCCTTGCGAAACAACCAGGACCTTTCTTTGCTCGTATCTCAGGCATTCCCTCATTCTACCATGCTTGCAAAGGAGATCGTCATATCTGGTCTTGGAGGCAGTTCCAGATCTATGGTGCGCACAACTCCAGTCCCCTTTCTTCATACACTCTGCTGACGTCCTTCGCCAGGCGACAAATTTCGGGCAACTCCAGGTCTACTTCTCTTTCAGACACCCGAAGCTTACAATGCCATGTTTGATCACAAAGCGAACGTCAAGAAGTCTCCATTCTATGAGGTGTGGAGACGGAACAAACACGACCTCAACACACTAGGCTGTACCGATGTTAGAATGCATGCCCGAAGGAGAAAGGCTCTTTCGTTGGCTTTTACCGAGCAGTCAGTCAAGGCCACTGTACCTTTCGTGGCTCGTCATGTCGATCGATGGAACAAGCTGCTGCCCGGTGAGATCTTTGGTGTCGAGGGATGGTCTGGACCACAGAATCTTACGGAGTGGACTGACTACTTGTTGTTCGACATGTTTGGCGATATCTGCTTCGGCAGTTCCAACAACACCAAAGAGCCTGGGCCGAACAACTTGAAGCGTATCCCAAACAACATCACTAGATACTTACGCTTTTACAATCCCGTAGGTTACTATCGGCCCCTACAATAGCTCTGATCATCTTACTAACCGTCGTAGCTCGCCAAATCTCCATTCCGAAGCTTGTTGCTTTGGCTCAAGCCTCGCGGCCTGGACGGGTTGATGAAGCTTATCACTCCTAAGGAGATCAAAGAGTACTTCGCCTTCACGGAAAACCTGGCTAAGAGCCGAGTCGAATCTGAGCGGAAGAATGAGACCGAAAAACGTCCAGCTGAGCGTGAAGACATGTTCCACTTCCTGTGCACGGCGAAGGACCCGGAGACGGGTGACTTTGCGCTGACTACCGAACACTTGATAGCCGATGCAAATCTGCTCACTGTTGCCGGCTCGGACACCACGAGTGCAACGGTGACCGCGCTCTTTTTCTTCATCACTCGCAATCCGAAAGTATACACAAAGCTTGTCCACGAAATCAGGAGCAACTTCGACAGCGCTGAAGAGATCGGTTCAGGTTCAGATTTAATGGCAAAGTGCGAGTATCTCAGAGCAGCTGTATATGAGTCCTTGCGCCTCTCGCCGGCTGGCCCTAGTGAGCTTGAACGTACCGTACTCTCGGGTGGAATCAGAATTGCTGGCGAACACCTTCCTGGCGGTATCACGATCGGAGTGCCCAAATGGTCACTCGGTCGGAACGAAGCTCTCTGGGGTGACTACAATACCTTCCGCCCGGAGAGATGGATAGTTTCCGATTCAAACACGCAAGAGGAGGTGAACCATTTGAAACGATCCTTCCATCCCTTCTCCAAGGGCGTGGGAAGCTGCATAGGTCAGAAGATGGCAATGATACAACTCTGCATGATTGTTGGAAGAACTCTCTGGAGATATGACGTGCGACAGGCTCCTGGGCAATGTGTGGGAGAAGGACGTCCTGATCTTGGCTGGGGCAGAAGAAATCGTGGTCACTTCCAGCTGAGAGACGCGTACATCTCTCTCCGTGAAGGTCCGATTGTTCAGTTCAAGAAGAGGGTGCTATAATCGTGGCTGGTACGTTGTAGTAAGTTATGGAGGCCTGGATATCGCTGAGCAGAGCAGTCAGATCATATCTCAATCTGTTCTCATAGTACGTCAGTAAAAGTTGTAGTTTGGCGAGTCGGTCTGATATTAGTGCTTTGTCGTCTCTACCATTGCCTGCTGCTAGGGACCGTTGTCATCAACCAGGCCTATCCCATGTGATTGCTCTGAGAAATAATTTGTTGCGATGCGGATGCTCTGGGTAGGTAGTGCATTGATCGCCATCGAGGAATATCGCGAGGTAAGGCTGATGCGGATTGCTGGTCTTCATGAAGCGGTCACGGTGAAAGTGGCGGGGCCAACTTCGCGTGCGCCAAGGTGAGCGTCGGCCATCACCGTTCCCTTAGTCATCTTCCTTGCCTCGATGGTCGCCTGTATCACAACCGTGCGAATGTATCCTAACTACGACCAAGATCTATCGTACTTGCCAAGATAAAATATCACACTTTTTGCATGCAAAAGAAACCCTGATGAGTGGAATCGCAGTCCAATAGTGAGTTGATTACATTCTCAGTGCGCTGTCTACCAATCACTACCGAAACTCGACAGTGGCTGCTCGATGCCTTGTCACGGAGTAACCCAATCTATCTCCAGCACCAACTACTCAAGGGTTCAAGACACGTGGAGGTGGTGGTGGTCCAGACTACAAAAGAAGTGCAGAGGCGAAGGCTGATGGCAAGGGGAGAAGTGTCGCTTTCCGGTGAGCGCGTTTCGTGAGTCATACGCCGACGATCCATGCATCCCCCAAAAAGTCGTACACCAGGCTGCATCCTCCCAGATCCATCCCTCAGCGATCATCCCCGCGTCAAAGGTTTGTGATGTGGCTTCCTATCGCCCACAAATGCCCTTGTTGTCGCCACGATTGTATGTTCTATTCTTTGCGCCTTGATGAATGCGCGCCAAACAAAGCCAAGGGGGGGAACTGTCTCAGATTGTCGCACAGATTCCAAAGGGCGGCAACACAACCATGCAGATTTCAAGGAGACGTGTCGCGATGAATTTTTCTCTTCATTCTGCGCCGGTGATGGTGGCCATTGTGCGGCAAGTGAGGCGACCGCGTCGAGTGGACGGGCTGGATTTGAGCCATCGCTCAATCCGGGTCAGTGCGTCGTCATCGCTGGTAATGAGGAAGAGGCACCGGCCGACCTGCGAGCATCAGTAAGGCAGCAACGTCAGCGCTGCACCTTCCAGTATGGCGTGTAGAGGCTGTCGGCAGCACTGCAATCAGTACAGGCAAACTGCATCAGGGAATGCGACGTCGCATATGCGGGGTGAAGCTGGGGGAGTGAAGGGAAACGGTCGCGCATGACGCTGGGAGCCCCTTTTACTCACAGCAGAATCTTCTCGCTACCGGCTATCTGAAGCTAAGCCCCAATCGCCGCCCAACCCCTGCCCACTAGCGCAACGCTAAACTCTTGGCGGGAAGGCTCCCACGACTATAAGTACTCGGCCTTCCCCCCAACTTTTTAACGAGATTTCCGCCGAGCCCGCCGTTGTCGCAACACCTCAACCTCTCTACACCATCATCGCCGCAGATCGAAAACTCACATTTTCAACTGCGCGCTCTCTAATACTGCGACTCAGAAACTCCGGTGTGCCAAAACCGCACATATCCACTCTCTCAGAGGTCGCGATCGGCGCTAGCTTCATCCAGCTTGCGACAGCCCAACAGCAGCCTCATCATCCTCAGTCGCAATCTCGACTTACCCCGCCAAAGGCTTGCTGGCTACGCTTTTGGTCATCTTAATCACTCCACTAACCCAGCCGTCGTCTCTGCGACAGCTACCACTCGACGGCATACTTGTCAACGTTTGCGAGGGACACATTCGCTTGTAGCTCTCCTGCCTCCGGTACCGTCTCCACCTATCCCATAGACAGACCCACTCCACCGGCGTCGACCGACCTCGCTATACACATCGCGATCTCGTAGTCCGCCCGACTTGACCGTCGCTGCCGCTCTAGAACACACTCTGACCTGCGCAGTCTGTCAAGATACCTCTCTCTCAAGAGTCTATCGCTCCCAATCCAATCAATAATTCATCATGGACCCCAATTCTCTTACTTCCCACCCGTCCACCGCCGCCCAGGCTCAGACGGTAAGCTCTCGTGATGTCTCCCGTTTGTCAAATTGTTCTAACCTTTGCTCTCAGTTCGTGGCTCCTGGCTCTCTCTCGTACCCCCAGGGCGCGAACCTCGACCTGACTGCACCTACAGCTGAGCAAAACACTCAGCAGGTTGCCGACAATGCGAACGGTGTTGCTACTCCAGCGGCTACTCCCGATACACAGAATGGTCAAGTGCCTTCTGGCATCGTGCCTACTCTCCAGAACATTGTGGCTACCGTCAACCTGTCCGCTCGCCTTGACCTCAAGACCATCGCTCTTCACGCTCGTAACGCTGAGTACAACCCCAAGCGTTTCGCTGCCGTCATCATGCGTATTCGCGAGCCCAAGACGACGGCCCTGGTCTTTGCGAGTGGAAAAATGGTTGTGACCGGTGCCAAGTCTGAAGACGACAGCCGCCTTGCTTCCCGTAAATATGCGCGGATTATCCAGAAGCTCGGGTTCAGCGCCAAGTTCACCGTACGTCTTGTCGGACTGAGTATCTTTGATTCAATGCTAACATGGATATAGGACTTCAAGATTCAGAACATTGTCGGCTCCTGCGACATCCGCTTCCCCATTCGTCTCGAGGGTCTTGCATCCCGCCATCACACTTTCTCTTCTTACGAGCCTGAGCTGTTCCCTGGTCTCATCTACCGTATGATGAAGCCGAGAATTGTCCTCTTGATTTTCGTATCTGGCAAGATCGTCCTCACTGGTGCCAAGGTCCGTGAGGAGATCTACCAGGCCTTCGAGCTCATCTACCCAGTCTTGTCGGACTTCCGCAAGTCTTGAGCAACCTTCTTTCTCCAGATCCGGTTTCAACGAGCCTTGACTACACACCCCAGCTGGTGACATGGCTATGGCTTGGACCTCTTCTTCTAACTTGTCATTTTTGCGGCATTGCATGGTGTTACGGTGGGCGATATTTCCTTCTTCATGCCTTTTCAAAACTCCAAATTACCCCTCGACACGATTAGACATCTGCACACGAGGTGCCTTCAACCTCTCTTAATCCTGGTCAAGAAGGCTTTTCTACTCTCTTCTCTTTTCATTGGTGGGTATGACCACGTCGACGGCCGGCGTGTGGGATGATACCGAGATTGCTTTACTGAGCCGAGGAAGGAACGCGAGGACGTTCGGAAAGTGCGACCGTAAAAGCTCGCACCGAGGGCTCTCCAAGGTTGACGATACGACACCAGAGCTCCTCATGATGGATGATGCTTCAAGCATCCATCGTATATGTGTACATGACCCTTGGCCTTGAGACAGGTTAGGCAGTAATGTTATCATGATATAATAATTTGTCCTACTGCCTGTAACGTGATGTGAAAAAGTGCGCTCATTGACTGCCTACTGGGACAGGAGCGTACGCGGGAATGGCTGCTACATCCACTGCAAATGTATCGTCGAACGTTGGGTTACTGGTTGTGAGGCCGACGTGGGAAGGGAAGAAGCTAGGTGTACTACTAGCGTGCGCCCTGAACACTTCCGTGTTTGGCGACTGCTCAGCGATGCAACAGCAGGGTTCGATGCTATCTGTGACTTCATGTCCCTGCGTCAAATGCGAGATTCGAGCGTCGACCTAAGGCTCTTCCGCCGAACCTACCCTACACCGCCGAGAAGCTGGGCATGGGAAGGATTTAGTCCTGCATCTATATACGTGGACACAGTACATGGAGAACAGGAAGATCAGGCGTCAGAAGAGCAGATTACTTCCGAATGGCTTGTGTCAGAGGTGTGCCATGAGATAGCTAGCAACGATCTTGAACAGCTTAGAATCTCCGGACTGGCAGAGTCACAAGCTGCAGTTATCAGGCTTGCAAAAGCCAGCAGTGACTGTAGAATCTGCAATTCCTTTCGACGTTGGAAACTTGTTCCATGTCCTGATTCCTCGCCGCGACACTGTACCCGCTAGAATATTGTTTTCTTGTTAGACCAAAGTGTTCTGCCGCTAGACCAAGTCCAGCAAAGTACCGGTTCTGCGTCGTCACCAGCAGTCCAAATGATCAGTTTTATATGAACAAACTTCAGCGTTGGGAGGTCAATTAGAGTTGTGTGTTGCAAATGGATACTACCTCCCAAGATGAAGTCAGGCACCTGCCGTTCGGACACAATGAGTATAAAATTCATCTCACAGTGGCTGACCAATTGCATGGCCAATCACCTGGAACAATGTCCACAGGTTCCACTCCAAGGCACACTTGCAATGTATTGCATAGATTGCGAGGAGGAATGAGTCATTCCGATGCCTAAAAATGCTAAGTACTTTGCGCTTAGCTACGTTTGGGGTCAACAAAGGGCTCCAGATGACGATGAATGCTTGTCCGATGCCCCGACCGTTGTCAAAGAGGCGATATTAGTTACACTACGATTGTGTTTCCGCTATCTGTAGGTTGACCGTTATTGTATCGATCAGCAAAACGCAACGCAAAAGTACCAGCAAATCGCCAATATAGGCAATATCTACGCCTAGGCAGCATTGAAATTAATCGCTGCTGGGGGTACAGATCCTGGAATCGGGCTGCCGGGAGTCTCTTCCTGCCAATGTAATCGAGATGCAACTTCTCAGTTGGGGCCATACTCCTATGTGCCCTTATTCGGCAGATCAGGGGTCGCAATCGAAAGCTCCAAGTGGTCTACCAGAGGTTGGACCTACCAAGAGGCTGTCATGTCCTTTCGGAAATTGGTCTTCATATCGGACGGTTTCTATATCCAGTGCAATATATAGCATTCGTTCGGAAGCAGTCATCCTATTGGTGGGCAGACCATAGTCACTTCGAAGGCAAACCTAGAAAAGGTTGGTAGAGATCGGGAGAATAAAACAGAGTTGGGGATTGCGCCAACAGTTGTGTTTCCAGGTACCTACTGGGAACAGTCAATGCCAATGCGTGCAACGAAAAGCGACCTTGAAGGATTCTTCGACCACATCTCCAAGTATATGTGCAGACACCTCTCCTACGAGTCCGATCGACTAAACGCCATTAAGGATGTGCTCAATGAATTCCGATCGAACAAGGAGCCCATTTTCCAAATATTTGGTGTGCCGTTCAAACCCACTTCACGCTTGTTCGACTTGACGATAAACTACACACTCTTTTGGCGCATGGAGAACAACCAGGTACATCGACGGACCGACTTTCCTTCATGGTCATGGCTGGGATGGCAGTACAATGACGAAATACCTCTCCAACCAACAATTCTGTGTGATTTAGAAGACAGAGCATACAGCGATGGAACATATCATTTATATGGCGGACGTACGCAGATTGATGAGCACTCCGCAAAGATAAGCATAGAGTTTCTAGGGGCAGTTTACTGAACCTCACGGAGGCACATCGGTCCAGCATAACACTTGACACGGCACTGCCCCGGGAAACTAGGATTATGCCTCATCTTGTGGTTCGTGGCGTCATATTCCCTTTAATCTTCGAGCCAAACGAGGCGGGCAGCAGGGTGCGTATTGGCGATCAAACTAGGCCGTTCTATAGAAGAACCTTCTTATTTTGTCTCAGGTTCCGGATGTGGTTGGATCGACCAGATGCTGAAGAGCAAGATGCGTTTCGTCGGAATCAAGTGAGAGCGCTCGTTCTAGGCTTGTTTGGTGCAGTCATACGCATTTTGATACTCAGAAAGACTGGGAATGGTTGGGCAAGAATTGGTATCGGGCAATACAGCGCTTTTACTAAGGATCAATACTACTGGGTTCGCATGTTTGAAGCAGTCGAGAAGATGTATTTCCAAACGCTAGAGAAATACAGAAGGCGCACCATCCGGCTTGCTTAGAGAGAAAAGGTCGGGGTTATAAAGGCTGCTAACGTGAGTAGAAAGAGAAAATATGTTAGATATAACGGGAGAAAAAGAGGACAAAAGGCAAAGACGATAATGAGAAATCCAGACCAGCGTGTGCCCATCTGGGCCCTACGAGATCACGCGTCTAAGCTTTGGAAACCTTGCAAGTACGCATGGTGACGAGAGATGAAGAAAGATCAGGACCATAGAGTATGCGATCCTCAAAGGTCGCGGCGAGAAGAGTGCTGTTAAGTTGGCAAGCTTCCAAGACACACCATGTTTCGACCGAGTGCATTATTATAGTTAAGCGTGGGAAATGACTTAAGTCTTTGCGTGTCTCGTTTCGTGATCGTAAGCCGTTTGGCAGGGGTTATGAGATCCTTGTCGGTGGTGTTTCGAAACACTTGTTTACGAGAACAATGTGCAGTGTTTCTCAAAGCCTCCATACTACCGTCGCGATCGAAGCTGCCGTCGAAGGCATAGCGGTTCTTCTCTGTTGTTACGTGGGGTATATGAAGTAGAAAGGTGGGGAGAGTTGAGATTTCAAGTCGAAGACACTTTAACAAGGCGGAATATATCTGCTCTCAAATCCTCAGCACGATCAGGAATTTGGAGTGTGGCAGGTGTATGTGCGAACGGGAAACGAGATGAACTCGTGGGTCGTGCGTACATGCATACAGCATGCGTCAGTAGCTTGGCGCCTTCCTCCTTTCACCAACAACACGATGATCGCATAGCTCCATCCTCACCTAAGTCCGCCATGTAGCCACCACTTCACTTTTCTAGCTATAATTTGTAATATCCTCAGACCGATGCATACCTTCCTTACGCCTTACTACAACCACCATCGCCGCCGTCATGCGCGTTCCTCTCTTCCGCATCTGGTACTCGACCACGTACACGACCCTTCTCATAATCCTACTCCTACTCCTCGCTGTCACACCCGCGGATACGATATACCAATCGATTAAATCTAAAGAAATCCAGAAGCTGTTTGTTATCGGCGGCGTCTACCTGCTCACTTGTTTGATTGTGCTGTTGATCTACTCGACACGCATCTACACGAATAGGACTGTGCTTGCGGCGATACCGAAGAGCTATGTGCCAGTTGAGGAAGGCGAGGTGGGCAAGTGGGTGAGAAGGATGATTGTGAAGCATTTCAAGAGAAGTGCGGTCATTGCATGGGACAGCAGGCCAAGGGACGTTAGGGGCGAGGTTGACCTGGATGAGGAGAAGGGAGAGGAATCACGGCCCAACACAGCGGAGACCAGGAGAGAGAAGCACAAGGCGCATAAGAAGAAAGGACACCACCATCATCACCATCATCACCATGCGCCTGATGCGACAATCATCCCTGTCTCTGCGAACTCGCCGCCTTGGGGCCATGTCTCGCACCCTGGCTGGGCATCCCCTTCGTCGCCTGATCTGCCGAACCTACAATATTGGGGCGTCATCTGTGAACTGCCTAATCTTATCGAAGCGAAGGCCGTTTCCCTTGCGCCTCCAGATCCTGCCATCGAAGAAAGCGCTCCACAGTATCCTGACAATGCGCCACCTTTACCAGACGCGCGCATCGTCACCCTCCTCCAGCGCCCGCGCGCGATGGGCCTACGCGAATACCTCGCTCGTCTCGCAGAATTTGGACTGCTGAACCCACCCTCTCTCGGCGCTACATTCCTCGCGCAATACGAATACGCACGTTTCTCTACCACGAGCCTGACGGAAACACAATTCAGAGACATCATGGCCGTCTTTGCAGAAATACTGAACGGAATGACAGAAGTCGATCCCGAAGTCATTGAAGAAGCACGCGCGCAAGACATTGAATCCGACACGCGCAGTCTCGCACCCACAGAATCAAGTACCGAAACCAGCAGCTCCTCGCAATCCCATCTACCTTACCGCACACCTCAACTCGAGCGCCAAACCTCCCTATCCTCCTTCAACAGCTCTCTGTCCACTTCTGACAGCGGCTCAACAACACATTCACCCCAGACTGTCCGCACCGCACCCTCGCGCCAACAACGCAGCTCCACCATCTTCGGCACGCCGCGCACACCCTCACAACGCTCACACATGGATTCAGCGTCGGAAACAGGATCTGTTGTGGTTCACGAGAGGCCGCGAAGAAGTCCAAGCACCTTGTTGCCTAATTCGAGCGAGAGTTCCCTGGGCAGTGCCGGAAGCGTCATTCGCTTACATCCTAACCCTAGCGAGGGAGATCTGCCGTACGAGTATAATATTGATGCTGGATGAAGAATATCGACTGCGTGCTAAGAAGCACATTGACATTATATATACACACTTATTCAGAACTGAGTCGGAATCGTGGCCGAGATACAGCGGCGTCTAGGAACAGGGCTGAAAGGACGACAGGAGACTCTTATCGAGAGGGGAAGAAGAATACGATAGCGCTAGACTTTGGGTCACAGCATCAACGAGACAGGAGTAGCGGTCAGCAAGGAAGTAGCATCGCTGGACAGGTGGGCGAGAAGGGTATGAAATCTCCGTACGTAACGTACTCTGGATGCATTTCATCCAACCAGCTTCGTTCAAGGGAGGTATCCAGCGAACATTGTATATATCATTCACATCACATAACATTCTACTTTTTAGAACATGATGTAATCAAATTATATTCAAAACGACATTAGAATTCATCGTATGATCATACATATACTGTCATATCCATGCCGACTTACTCGGCAACCCAAACAGCAGCCATACCCATACCAGTACCAATACACATGCTAGTAACACCAATACTCTGCTTTGTCCTCCTCAGCTCCGTAAGAAGCGTGCTAACCTGCCTAGCACCAGTAACACCCAACGGATGTCCAAAAGCAATAGCACCACCCTTTGGGTTTACCTTCTTGATATCCAGGCCAAGCTCGTTGATGCAGTAGAGACACTGGCTAGCAAACGCCTCGTTGATCTCATAGATATCCACATCCTGCTTGTTCAGGCCAGTCTTCTCGAGGACAACGGGGATAGCGGCAGCGGGACCTACACCCATCAGGAGGGGCGGCACACCGACAATGGACGCCTGGACGAACTTGCCGAGGATGGTTTGGCCGAGGCGTTGAGCTGTGCTGCGCTTCATGAGGAGGACGGCGGCGGCGCCGTCGGAGACTTGGGATGCGTTGCCCGCGTGGATGGTACCGTCTTTTGCGAAAGCAGCACGGATTTTACCCAGCGACTCTGCGGTCATGCCTTCCCTAACGCCATCGTCTTTGGAGACGGTGATTGTCTCTTCCTTCTTGGTCTTGGGGTCCGTCCACTGAACTGTCAGAGGCGCAATCTCCTCATCGAACAAGCCTTGCTTCTGTGCCTCGGCCGCTTTCTGGAACGACGATGCCGCGAAGGCGTCTTGCTCGCTACGAGGAATGTTCTTGGCCTTGGCCATTTGCTCTGAAAGTACACCCATGGGTACCTTGCAGTTTGCGGATTCCTTGTGGGATTCGAGGAGCTCGGAGAACTCAGATACGGCGCCAGGTCCATACTGTGTGCTCATGCTCTCGGCACCGGCGCCGATACCGATCTCGATCATGCCTGACTTGATGGCATTGGCAATGTCGACACATGCTTGTAGGCCGGAGGAGCATTGCCTGTTCAAGCTCTTTGTTGCGGTTGTGGTAGGGAAGCCAGCGGCGAGGGCTGCGGCGCGGAATTCGGTTGCGCCACCTCCTGGGGCGAGGACGGCGCCGACGGCGATGTCTTCGACGAGGTTGGGGTCGATGCCAGAGCGCTGGATAAGAGCTTTGTAGGCGCCGTGGAGGAGGTCGGATGCTTGGGTGTCTTTGAAGCCGCCCTTCTTGCCCTTGGTGAAGGCTGTACGGAGCGCACAGGTTACGACAATCTATTGAGATAGTAGTTAGTACGGTACTCCAATGGCAAAACAACCAGTCTTCAGCTAGATGGACATTATGAACCGATGCAACAAGCTTCAAAGCGCTAGTGTCGCATCGCTCGAAAATAGGGTGTGCAACTCACATCATCAGGCTTCTTCTCCAACAAACCCTTCCTTCCCTTGGAGCTCTCGGCTCCAGGACTCCCGCTTCCGCCTAGGAGATGGCCTTCGACCTGTGTAAGGCGTTCTTGAACTATCTCGATCGTCAGCAATCTTATCCATCACTCCTAGCAATACTTCCTATACTCTGATCTAACATACCTTTGTTGGGTGCTTGGTTGGCCATTTTGAATAGTAGTGTTAATACAGAAGTCGTGTAAAGGAAAAGCTAGAGAAGGAGGTCTGAGATGAAGTATATGGAGCAGCAGACACTACTGTTCGGTCGCGGCAAGCATTAGGTCATTCGCATGCGAATCGCCGAGGTACAACCCGTTTCCGGTTAGCTCGTTTGTGGGGCGCGTCATCCTTTCTGGGGGGAGCTAGCTTTCACATGCTCGACACGCGGGCGGTCCAGCCCCGGAGGTGTGCTTCACATGTCAGTTTTGGAAATGTCCGCTCATCATGCGTGCTGCTTCGCGGAGCTGACCGCTGAGTTGCTGATGCTGACTGAAGGCGCATATGTTGCACCAGGCAGTAGAAATGTTCGAGGTGAAGATGGTAGGATTGGCGAGAACAGTAAGTCTAAAAATCTGACTGGATCTATGTTCTTCATTAATCCAGTCCCCACGGAGTATCGAGGTAATGTGATAAGATATCGTTACGGCCATGTGAAGCCGACCACCCCAGAACGCCCTGCTCAAACACATCCATCTAATCATAACAACATCCCTCGGTTCACCGCCTCGCCTCCTCTTCCTGCCATGGATTATTCATCACCTGCCTCTCCAGTTCGTCTGCAATGCTACCCCTCTGAACTTCCTCATATCCTGGCGGAGGATCTGACGGCGGTTCAAAGCGCTCCTGTTGCGTCCGTGGGCTCGATAGCGGACTCGATGCTTGTGGGCTCGATGGCACAGGTGCAGCAATGACAGGACCGCCAGCACCAACACCCCCAACTGCAGAGCTGTCCATCGGAGGACTAGGAAGCGGGTCTGGGACCCTGGTGTGTTGTCTGCTTTCCTCGTATGCAGGTAGGTCTTCTAGGTGTACATTGTTCATATTAACACCACCAACGCCTCTGCTCCCATCTTCCACGTCACCACCACTCTCCCGTGCTACCTCGACAGCTTGCCGTAACCGCTCCTTTAGCCGCTCGAATATGCTTGCAAAGTCGAATGCGCCGCCTTCCTTGAACTCCATGACGAGGTCTAGCTCGGCGTGCTGTGGTGGTATGCCACCGCCTTGGACAGGCTGGACAATGGCTTCCCATTTGTTGGCGCCGAACCAGGGTGCTGTTACGCGAGAATCTGTGACGTTGAGGATGGGTACGGCGAAGGATTGGAGTTGTGGTGTTGGGGCGACGGGGAGGTAAATCATCTAGTGTTCACGTTAGTCCGCTGGGTCTACAGAATGGAGAGGTTATCTACGTACCCGTCGGTTTGTGAGGTAGACGACGCCCGACTTGCATTGTTGTGAGTATGACTCGCTGGGATGATGCCGATGGCTGGTCTGTAGGGAGAGTGTAGTTCGAGGAGGAGACTGGTAGAGTGTCTGTTCGCCAGGTAGAGGTGTGTACCCGCCATCCTCGGCGAGCATGACCCAACTAGTCTTGCGGTTAGGCTTTGTCTTCTTCATCTTGTCCGTCTTAAATCCCATGCTGCTATACTGAAACAAATGCTGCCTTAAAAGTAGACCTTAAAGATACATGCACAATCCGCGGGGTAGTAGGAGGGGGCAACAAAGAGCGCACCAAGCAAACAGCACCAAGCAAACAGCACCAAGTCAGAACGAAAGAAGAATAGACAAAAGGAGGAGAGTGAGAGGAGAAGATACTAACTTGACAGACATGGTTGAAACCGCCTTGCAGCAAACTTGTTCACGGATAAAGCGTGAATAGTTCGCCCACCAAAAGTGTCAATGCAAGCCAACCTTCCTTGTAGGATTGCACTAAGTGTGCCTGCGCGTGAAGCGCCCGTCGTGATATTTATCGGCCCGACCGCCGCTGCCTATCAAATGCCGTGTTGCGGTTCCCGCGCAAATGCGAGTGATCTGTTTAGCGTGGTGCGTGGGGACGAACGGTGGGGTTGCTAAAGTCTCGGAGTTGGCTGGGGCTGGCTGTCGCGGCGAGCGCGGTTGTCGCGAAAGCAAAAAGTGTAGGTTGGAGAGAGTTTATGAACACAGGACGATGCAGGATGCAGAAATATGTTTCTAAAATGCGTATGCAGCTCGGATGCGGGTATTTACGTGTTCCGATCATGGGCTTTAAGACTGGTGCCTGTGTAGTAGTGCAACGTTCTGCAGCTGGTGATGATCCCGTGAGACAAGCTTGCGTCACTTGCTGTAGGTGGAACCTCCAAGACTTCCAGACCTGGAAGTATGGCAATCATCGGGCGAGATTAGGCGGAGCACAACGCGTTTTGATCAAACGAACATGTACACATTTTATGTATGTATCTTGTTTACTCTCAAGTGTAATGTTCATTCATAGCCGTAGCATCGCTTATCAAACGCCATTACCCGCCCGCTGCTAATGCCAATAATGAAACAAACGACACATACAGTAATGACTCGAATAATGCCAACACAAAACATTCAAGCTTCCTCTCTCTCGGTCACCGTCCATCGCCTCTTAGGCCCAGACCTATGCTCGTAGACATCATCCAACTTTGGTGGCCCCCAGAGGCCGTTGTTAGTCTTTGGAGCTACTTTTGCGCCCCAAAGACCACCAGACGCTGTCGGAGCGCTCTGTTTGCGAATCTGGGCACTAACTAGAGGGGTGGATTTGTCGCCAACTTCTCTTTCTTCTTTCGAGTCCAACCTCGTCAAGCGGTTGCTTGTGTCGGACGCACCATCCATATGCGCGATCGAGTTGTTCTTAGGTTTGGATGCAGTGGGGGCGGTCTTCGGTTGTGGCTGCTGGGTTGAGAAGTTGAGGACCATGTCGGCTTCGGTAGTGGGCGTGCTTGTGCCTGACCACAGTCCACCCGCTGGAGAGGCAGTCCCACTTGTCGCACTCTGAATAAATCTCGAGCTCGATCCCGAGCTCATGGTTCGCCGCATGCTTCCTAGTGAGCTGAGACTGTTCCTATGCGGCTCGCCGAGTGTAAAGGGTGAGTCAAGTGGACTGCTAGCCGTCGAAGATCCCGTAAATCTCCGTCGGTATTCCAATGATGGACTTGCTGTGATAGCTGGGGACTGTGTTTGCGGCTGCGCAGATAGCAGTTTCGAAGGGTCGACGCCAGGCCGTAGATGGTCGACTGAAGCTGAGAGTTTCATATCGTAGGTATCTGACATTCCGGGATCCGCTACCGAAAGTCTCCGCTGATGAATGGTAGTTGGCGCGGATGTCTTCTTAGGCTCATCTCTTCGAACAGCCATGGATAGCGATGCCAGACCTATATCCATCAAGACAGGCTGGTTCGTCATGGCGCCCAGCAGGGCATTGCACCCAGCTCCATGAGTTATGAGGACCAAGACCAACTCTTCATCGTCATCCGCAGTTGGATCATCGCTGAAGTTCGGAAAGGGATCGGATTTCGCGTGCGACACGGGCGGTGGTGTCAGGCGCAATGGTTCCTTGAACATGAAGCCTGGGAACTGATCCTTTGGAGGCGCCGTGCCGTGGGCTCTATACCACTCCATCATACCCGCAAGGCCTCTCCTAAAGCGCTTGTGCATTGTGCTCCACTCATCGCCGTACTCGCCGCCATCGCCCCAGTTTTGTGGTGGTCGCATACTGTCCCATTGGAAGTCTACCTTGACGCAGGCTTCTTGGGCGTGCGCGACGTAGCCTCGCGGTATCGGATCGGCTGGAGAGACGGAGTAGGAGGGATGGGGCGGCTCGTAAACACGATTGGGTACAGCGGTAGGCTTTGGAGTTTGCATGGGCATTGCCAGTGGTGCGGTTGCTTCTTTTGACGGCGTTCTTTCCAGACCCAGTGGACCGGCGTAACTGCTTGAGCGTTCGCGAAGTGGCGCGAATTGAGCCAGACTGCCCATGGCTTTACCGGTTCCCTGGCCAGCGCTCGGTGTGTTATTGACTGCCGCCTTGTTCCCCATCCATCCGCCCGGAAAGTTGCCCTTGCTGCTGTTCGGGTTCGGTTGTTCCTGGATGTAGTCGCCTCTCCGCAACAGATCTGCTTTGGCGCCTGCTACCATCATCGTCGAGTTGGGTGGTGCTGTGATATCGGCGTAGTATTCGGGAGACAGCCATTCGCCTAGGAAGGCATCTATGCGCAGTAGGATCCTCTCAGGGCCTTTGTGAGGCCGCGGTAATATCGCGAGATTGGGGTCGGCGAGTGGTTCGAAGGTTCGGGGCTGCGACGAAGTGGATTTGGTGCGCGGCGCTTTCGGCGTAGAGGATGCCAACGAGCCATTGTCATCTTTTGAGGGTGGTGTAGGCACGTTGAGTTGTGGCGTGGTCGGGGAGTGGAATTGCGAGATGCCCGCTGCCACAGCCGTGCTTGTCTGCACGCATCGGAGGAAGGGACTCGAATGTATGACAATCTTGCGCTTCTTCCTCTCCTTCTTCTTGGGCAGTCGCAGGCCGTCTTCGTGCGCCTTGCCTTCTTTCGAGATGGTCAGCTTGCTAAGGTCGAGATGGGCGGGGTCGTTGCTGGTCGCATTCTCCGCATCTTCTGCCTGCTGGATATCTCTTTCGTGTAGTAGCGCTGCTATCCGCTGGCCGAGGGCCTTTGCTTGTGACCACCCGCCATAGGTGAGAGGCGGGTCGTAGGGTGTCGGTGAGGTGAGATGCCATGATTTGTCGGCAGCATCGAGACGCGCACCATGTCTGCGCAGGCTGTTAGCGACATAGCCGGATTGTGGAGCCGTGAAGGCCGGGTGAGACGGTACCTGGCGACGACTACGACTGCAGGACCCTTTGCCATGCCCCGCTAAAGATGCCTCGCGTCTTGCGTGCAGCAACTGTCAGCAAGCCTGTGCGACTGTGGCAGATACAGTGCGCCTGCAATACGAATAAGCAAGTGGGTGGATAACAGGAGGATTGTGACGGCAAGAAAAGAAAGGGCAAGTAGGCGGCACAGCTGCGAGTCGTCAAGTGATACTGCAGACACTCCAGGGTTCAACTGTAAGTTTGCGACCCTGCAGAACGCTATGACACCATCGTCGCTCACAAAAGATAGTTGGAGCGAGCGCTTCGGGAGGGGTTGATATTGTCTTAAGCTGTTTGTGCTCCACGCCACATCGCCGCCTGCGTGTTTCACCGCTCCATGGCATCTTCTTGGTCGTGTTATGTACACACGTCTTGTTTACAAAATAAAAACAAACTTGTCTCGCCCATATGTCGTCTCGTGGTCCGCCGGCGGAATTAAGACGCCGGTGGGGCCTGGAATGAGCCCTAACAGCAACGCCACCATTTTGCATGTGATGACTGATCTGGATTAACTAAACAACGCCTACTCCAGATAATCTCCGTTCGTCTCCTTGTGTATCACGTCGAACAACGGTTTCGCACTGAACCACCCGGCCAGCGTACTTCCAATCGTCTTGTGTGTGTAAACCGCATCCTCCTCTGTGATCTTCACTGTCTCGCCGCCCCGTCCGGCCGCCGCGGCATCCGCCATCAGTTGTGATTGGCAGCACTTCTCCATGCTTATGAACCAGAACACAGCCTCTTCCACACTCTTGCCTACTGTCAGTAAGCCATGGTTTTGAAGCAACGCAGCCTTCTTATCCCCCAGACACTTTGCAATGTTCTTGCCCTCCTCTTCGGCCAGTACGACGCCGTTGAACGACTCGTAGATGACGTGGTCGTTGTGGAACGCGCAAGAGTCTTGTGTTATCGTCTCGAGTTTGCGGCCTAGTGCGCAAAATGTGCGGCCGTAGATGGAATGCGAATGCGCTGCTGCGATGACATCGGGGCGTGCGTCATGCACAGCATGATGGATCATATAAGCTGCCGTGTTCAGCAGTCGGCACTCTCCACCGTCGATGACTTCGCCCTTTGCGTTTACGAGAATGAGATCGGAGGATTTGATCAAGCTGAATGCGACGCCAAATGGGTTGACCCAGAAGGTCGTTGGGTCCACGGGATCCTATATAGTCTCAGTATGTCGCATACTGCATGTGTTGTGTGCTTAGCTTACCCTAAGTGTGATGTGACCAGCAACACCTTCGTCGAAACCATACTTGCCAAAGATGCGGAAAGCGGCAGCAAGTCGGCCCTTCAGATACGCGCGCTCCTTGTACGGATCGTCAAACTTTGGCGGCTTCGGAAACTTGAGCATCTCAATCTTTCCATCTCTCTGGTTCAGACCAGGCTCGTTCGGTGCAACCGTGTTGGGCTTGCTCTCATCACCTGCTTGAGGCTCAGTTGCCGACGGAGGAGACATGCTTATGACAATTGCTTAAGATTTGGCAACGAGTGCTAAACGTCAGATGGACAAGAGGTGAGATGTATGCAGAAGTGACTGTAGAAAGAAGGCACCTTCTCTGTAACGTCAACAAATGGAAGTTGTCATATAGCGAACGACCTCGCACGAGGCGAAGGTCAGAAACGATTTACCTCGGATCTAAAAACGTAAGCACACTATCTGCTCGAGACCAACTGCATCATCGGAAACAGTCCGTCTACCACTATCCGGCGTTTGGGACGTCAAAGCAGATGCCGTGGTTGGTTAGGTCTTGATAGCTGAATGCAAGTGCGGGGCATATGCGCGGGGTAGGTCAACCCTGGACTTCGCTGTTCGGCATCCTGGGCGAGGCGAATGCTTACGGTAAGCGGAAATGCAAACTTTCCGTGGTTACAGATGCTATCAACAGAACGATAGCTGAGGAAAAGAGCTCACATGAGCTAGCGACCCTTACGTCTCGGGGTTGAGTTCTACTCGAATGATGTGTGGTTCGGTGGTTGTCTTGCATCCTTGAAATATGAAGGTCAGTACTGAGATCACCCTGCACCATGTCGTGTCACCAGGGGATAACGACAGGATGTATGTGAAGTTGAAAGTAGCATCATCCTACAATGACAAGTTATACGGAAGTACTGTTTAGGAAAAAATAATAGTGATTGTTGAGAGTCAGTTATGGACAGAAAGGAGCAGACATAATTATTCGTCTCAGCAACTCAAAAACAGTTCGTGGTAGAGTCTTTGAATTGGTAAAGCGCTTAAACGTATCGAGTGTTTATGCCCACTGAGAATGTATGAGCTGGCTATTCATGCTGACACCCGCCGAGTAATACTCTTCAGCACTAAGTGTGTGTGTGACGGCATACTGGTTCCGTGAGTCGGTTTCGAAAAAGGCAGCACACAGCGCATCTCACATCCGAATGCAGCCTCATCACGATGGCCACGGCAAGGCCGAGTCATGTCAGAAACCGTGATTGACGTTCTAATATGCCAATTTCCTGTGGCGGCCCCACGAAGGTCCAGCTGAAAGAAGGTTGCTTCGCTTGCAGTGACCAATATGAAGTGCATCTGTCACAATCGACATGAACGAATGAGGCAGCAAGCGGACCGCTCCACTTTGAACTTGCGTCATAATTTCTACATCACAAAAAGGGAAGCCAATCAGCTCTGCCGCGCACTGGAAGTACGGCGCACCCGATTAAGTGGGGTCGCGCAGTGTGCTCAGACAGGCAGTTCCCGTAGACTGTATCGGCAGTCTGTTTGCGGTACTTGCGCAGTGACTTTAGGCGTAGGAGATATTTCCGTATCAATGATCGAAGCACGCGCTCTGGTGATTCAGCAGAAGGTATGATGAGCACCTGTGGACAGCCTGCGCGATCAAAAGCTATTGTCTCTTGACCTTCAAACATGTTGGGTTTTATTGTACCACTTTGAAGAAGCGCAGATTAGGTTCCATCCAAGTCTCACCGGAGAGTTTCCAAGATACCCTCGACCGTTCGTGGGTAGCCGAGATGTAGCGTACGTACCTTCGGAAGAAAGCATGCGCACCTGAAGGACTGCATCGGACCATACCTGTGCGTCGTAACCTTTGTAAAGCCATGTTGCGGCCGTCAGTACCGACTGGGTGCCTCTTTTGAGTTTAAGGGCTAGCAACTGTTCGGTTGAAGGCATAGCTGCGCATTGGTACCGCTTATAGAGGCAGTGTAATTTGTCGCAGGACTGATGTGTATCACCATTGCGAATCGTCAAAAAAAGTGCCATTTCATATCGAGTAATAGGACATCGCCGATAGCTGGTAGCTGCGCCATCGCTCAAGGTAGCGCCATGCCGCTCCATAGTGTCGACTGCCCTGCCTCCACTGTATATGGAATATCAGCAGTCGGCAGTCGAACAACGCCAGAACAATGACGCTTGTTGCGCATCATGGATTGTGGAGATGCATATCACCAGCGAGATTGTTGAGTGACCCGGAACCTCAATACGGCCTTCGCTAAGAGCACGCGATGTTACGATGGTCTCCACGCCCGGGTACTCACCCCCAAGCATCGGCTGAGCTTTCTCAAAACCCAATGCCTTACAGGGTACCTGAACACGAAGATCTCAAACGTGGATCAATCAAAAGGTTTCTTTGAGGTACTTCCCAGGCTTCCGGAATGCAAAGACGATTGGATATGCAAGTTTCTGTACTGAGGGGAGCTGCTGCCGGGAATTCCGATCCTGACCCGGTGTTTGCGCCGAATGTCGATTACTTGACGATCGATACGCCCAATGAGGAATGCTGCAGGCGATAAAGGGCCCAAAAAGGCCATTAGCGGGATGCGCCATCGTCTAGAGTAACTACAGCTGAATGTGGAGACAGCCTTGGAAGTGGAGTCGAGTGGAGGTTAGGATCTGCGGCTAGAGTCCGGGCTTTCCATGACGCAGTGTGGAGATGCGAAAAAAGAACATGTCGATTGAAACAATCCCACGGTAACGAGACCGAAAGCCAGCCTCGAGCAGCCTCGAGCAGCCTCGCAACCCTCCTGCAGATCTTTCAGGGTTTCCCTCTGATCCATGAAAATCCCCGCCTAGTGTTTTGATGTTGTCTTGAGACGTGCCCAACCATGCCATCGCAGACCGATAAGCGAGCTGTGCCGGGGAAGCAAACATCGACGAGAAAGGCTAAAAAGGAAGAAGTCGAAAGCCAAAGACGTTATCGACTAATCCTCTCTGAGACTGAAGAGTGGCTTACTCAGATCCCGGACGTCTCCTGCATCGATTTCCGGGCAGCGCGAGCGATCCATGTGAATGGTGGGTCTTTATAATTCCCTGCTCCCATCAGCTCTGCACTCTGCCTTAGCGGGCCGCCCATCGATGATGCTAGAAGCAGATCCCTCCTAAGGCTTGCAGATATCGGCGAGCAAGTGATGCCAATGGGCCGCTTAACCCGAGAGCGGGAGGACCGTTCCTCTGACCGCAGGTCCACCTGGCCTCTTTACGACAGTTCAGCACCTACTGTGGACTACATGAGATCCACACTATAGGATTTCGGTCACCCCCGCCTCTATCCTAAACTCCTTCCACCTTAGCGAGACATCCCGTGCTATTGTCTAGCGCTACGGCAGACGTGGTCGCCGACCACTGGAGATGGAGTTAGCGAGCTACTGGTCCTTGCTTGTAGGCTGTTGTGGCTTGCCTGAGAACGACATCGCATACCAACGGCGGTGCCTGTGTTTGCCGCCTCCTCGAGCATGTAAGGAGACGGCAACTTGACGGGACCGGACATGGGCATGGCGCTCTGTGATGGTCATCTAAAAGCAATCATGAATAATGAAACGCTAGACTTGTGATGTATCACTCTTGCAGAATACATGTCGTGGACACGGTACGGACTACCGTTCGACTGGAATCTCGTTCTCCGACAGTCTAGTACAGCCCCAAAGGGCTGCAGATCTCACTAAGCTATGAGGGACAGGGATCCCGACCACCTTCCCCAAGGCTTTCGCGGCTTTACTGGCATCCATCATAGCTACGTGCGACCTCTCTTGGTTAACCAGCTCTTTCAGGCTGGTAATAACGCATGAAGAATGGTAAGTCTGCTGATCAGCCTGTAGAATGGCCTTCACAGCAGTCGAGTGGACCCCGCTTCTCAAAATCCGTATTTCGAGTCGTTGCGGCGTTTGGCAAGACCAAATCACCATAGCTTAAGCCTTCCCACTTCGTCTCAATCCTTAGTTGCATTGGCTTGGTGCTGCCTCCCCACGTACTCCATATGGCGAACCTTATGCACTATGCGTACGCGTCAATGCAGTCACTCATGCCAAAAACGACTTACCAGGCGTGTCGTGCTCGGCTACGATGCATGATCGCCGACATGCGTTATCGACTGTAGGGTTGTCTTGAGCTGTCGACGGGGCTTATCCCGGCTCAGCTGAACTAGCTCATGCGCGTAGGAGCTGTGGATACACTTCGGGATACTCACCAGCTCACACTATGACGACAAGCTGTTGATCTATACTATCAAGGTAAGCATGCCCCGCTCGTGGTCTGTGAGCTCCGCCTCGACCGATCGTAGCTTTAAGAGGTATTCTGTTATATAGGGATGGCCTGTGTATAATCAGGTACATATTCTTCATGTTACTTCCAACTCATGTTACAGATTTTCAGTAAGTCGGCTTCTCCTATTGGACAACATCCTCATACTGATCCAGATTTTCTAGAGAGACATAAAAAGAGACGCTCACAGGCAACTGAAGATAACCAAACCCCAAATAGGCGCTCATCCTCCATTGCATCTATTGAGACTGACGCAACCTCGTCTCCCCCTTCCACGAAGTATTCATCTTCGCCGCCGTCACTACCAGTGTCCAAAGGCCGACCATCTCCTGCAGAGATCAGTTATTCCACTTCTGCAGTACCTGAGCTTCATCTCCAAACAGTACCTGAGGCTACTGTGAGACCTACTCCAGTGACAACGAAATCCTTGCCACCCACAGAGTCAACACCTTCTATCTCGGCTGTTTCTACACCGAGTCGTGTTACTTCCACAAGATCCATCACAACAGGCCGTAACACACAGCTTGTTTTCGAACTGTCTCCACAACCAGACAGTCCGCCTTCCCCATCTCCTGTCCGCTCCTTGGTGAGCCCCTCACTCTCCACTGATTCTGTGGATACTATCAAACCACTACAACCTTCAACACCTATCATGCTATCCCCCAGACCCACTTCGTCTAGACAGCAGACGAACGGCGCGAATGGCCTACATGGCGCGAGTGCGGTGCTCTCCCCACCACATTCGCCCCAAGCCCTCTTCCGCTCAAAAGGCCGTCTTCCATCATTCACATCCTCTCGCGCTACTAGCGGAAATTTCAGCACAATGCAGTCGTTCAGCAAGCGAGGAAACAGCAACAGCAACCAGACTTCATTCGTTCAGGACTCAGCAGCCTCTCTCCGGAAGAGAAGTATGGCCGAGCTTGGCGCAGGCGTCTACCAGAGCATTGGCAATGTCTCCTATGTCGCGTTTCTTGAATGGATCAGGTCTGAGCGCCTGACCACGCTTCCTCACAAAGGAAGCCGCTGGGACAAGGTGTTGATCCGGGCGCTGTACTTCGCTGAACAGCTTCATAAGTTCGAGAAAGCTGTTAACCAATTTGCTCCGGAGAGTACTTCAGCAGCCACCATCGGGTATGGTCATGCGCAACTGCTTCTCGAGCTGAGTCACCACAATTCTGAGGCTCTTGATAAGGCTTTCTCTGTCTTCTACAAGTTTGCCATGTCATTTCAGTCGGTTCTGCATCGCTCGGAGCTGTTGACAGCGAGTTCAGAGATTCGCGAACAGATCTGTCTGTTGTATACAGACCTCATCACTCTTGTGGTCGACGTGGCGGTCAAGTTTTACAAGACTGTCAAAGGCATGACACCTGGCTCAACCACCCTTGACATCTTCGAGCTCTTCGGTGAAACCATCGAAACCTTCCGTACACGCCAGAACACCGTCATCGAGCTGATCTGGCAGTCTCAAATTGAAAAGGAACACTTTGAGGAAGATGAAGCTATCGATGTTCAACACCTGAGTCGGTGGTTGGCTTCACAAGATCGTGTGATTGCCGCGATCACGAGAGATCACGAGACTTACGTTGACAACCAAGCCGAATTTACTTGTCTCTGGTTCAATAAGCATATGACCAGGTTCTTCCAGAGCGACAATCGCGTCCTCCTCGTCACTGGTCAGTCAGGTGCCGGAAAGACGACACTCGCGGGATCGATCGTTGAGCGACTACAACGACCTATGAACAAGAAGCAGTACGACACGCTCTTTTGTTCATTGTCCCCCGACATTCCGACTGCTGCTACATCGTTGGCAGTAGTCAAGTCGCTTTTGTTCCAACTGCTTAACCTTCGCATTGGTAACATGGGTGTGTACCATGCTCTTTTCGATGCCTACCATAAATGCAGAAGCTCGGATGATCTCAAGGTATACGAGGAATGCTTGTGGCAGGCGCTCGGCAAGGCGCTTCGAAGTCCTATCGCTAATAGCAACGAGTTGGTGATGATTGTTGATGGTCTTGATGAGATTGCGGCCTCCAACAGCGCCTCTATCCAAGCTGCTGGCGTTGTCAGCCCTACTGATCTGCTTGAGAGGCTGGCCAAGGTGACCCAGCAAGGCAGCGGTGTGAGGTTGATCACATTGTCATCTTCCATGAAGCTGCCGTCTTCGGCCAAGGGAGTTCAGCACCAGATCTCCAACGAGGATGTCCGCGATGACCTCCACGCCGTTGCACTACGAGCACTGGTTCACAACCACCACTTCCATGGTCAGCGTCCCTTTGACCAAGAACAGCTATTGGACCGTATCATCCGTATGGCTAATGGGTCCTTCCTGCACACCACGTTGACATGTGAGTTGCTGAACATTCAAAAGTCACCAGATGCCTTGATCAAGACTTTGGAGAGCTTTGAATCTTCGAAGCCGTCTGTACAGGATCTTATTCTCAAGCTTTTCACCACGCTAAACCCTGCCAATGACGCAAAGACTTTACTCTCCTGGGTCTTGGCTGCTGAAAGACCTCTTACCATTGACGAGATTCAGACCTTGTTTTCGGTCGACGTGCAGCGTAGCACTGTATCCGACAAGGGTGTGAACACGAACGAAATCTTCAGGACGCTTGCGCCACTGTTTACTCTACATCAGCGCATCGTCCGCTTCAAGCATCCCGTCATTCACTCCACTTTGCATGACCTTTCAGCCAATGGCAAAATTCCTATCCCTCTGAAAGACAGCGAGACGGATATGCTTCTTAGGGTTCTTGCTTACTCCAAGCATATCTTGAAAGATCACACTGCCGAACCAACTTTCGACACGTTTGATCCCTCGACTCCAGACAGACTTTTCAGGAAGCATCCCTTCCTTGAATACGCTGTGCGATACTGGGTTCTGCATCTTCAGCAATCTCCTTTGGCTCCTAAGTCATCTGGCGAGTTCAAGCCCACTGGTGAACTCCAGAAGGTCTTCCCCGACAGCACAATGTTCCCCATCTTGGAGTCTTACTGCTGGGATACCCAACTGCCTATTCCTGAGGCTCTAGAGCTGCAGAGACTTGTCAGCATTCTCCGCAAGAACATGCTCCCAGAAAACCACCCTGGTCTTCTCCAGACGTATCTGTCAATCGCCACAAGCTATCTGCTCATCTCGAACGTTACAGAAGCGACCAAGTACCTCTATCTATGTACCATCGTCAGCCGTAAGGTATTGTCGGATATGCATCCCTTGACCTTGGACTGCGCTAGTCAGTTTTTGAAGATCACGGAGACTCAGACAACCACCACGAGGACTGAGATCATGACGCACCGTGAGGAGGTACTGAAGGTACTGATCACCACCTACGAGCGCCAGTATGGTAGTACCTCTGAGCTAGTCATCGAGACTCGCAAGGTTCTTGCTGAGCTTTACGCAACCATCAACGAAGAAGAGCGGTCCATTGAGATCTATCGTCTCATCCAGGATGCGACCATTCAGCTTTACGGCAGAGACTCGCATCAAGCCCATGACATCCATGATCATCTACAAGTCACTCTTGGGAAGGGTACGGGCGATCGTGAGATTGAGATTTACGACGACTTTTCTTTCGAAGTCGACCAAGACGAGGAGGAGCATGTCGAGATTATTACTATTTCCACTATTAACGCTACCTTGATTCAGATTCAGAAGCTTCTCACTATGAAGAGGTTCGCGGAGTCTGAGAGGATGTACGTTGAGCTCTGGATGGAAGTCTCATCCAAGTGTCGCACTGTCCAATCTGTGGAATGGCATGAGAAGAACATCGAGATCGCCACCTCTTATTCTCAGTTCTTGAAAATCCAGAAGCGTACCAACGAGTCTGTGGCGATCCTGACTTCAGTCTGGCAGCAGTATGAGTCTCATCATCTGTCTTATACGAAGAGCATCGTTTCGCGTCTTACAACTGTCGCCAAGGAGATGAGAAGCATGAATGCGCACTCACAAGCGCTCTCAATCTTCAAGTTTGCCAGCTCTTACTACAAGAAGTCGAGCCATGAAGAGTCTTCCGAGTCGCGTGAGATCAGCCAGCAACTTTCTCAAACTTCCAATGAGCTCGTCCAGCACAGTTTGAACAGTTCCAGCTCTACTACGGAAACTACAACGACTGTATCGGAGTCCGTATACCAAGACGTATTCTTCACGACCATTTCGAACTCCAAGACAATTGAGTCTAGCACCATGGCACTCGCCAAGAAGTTGGTAGTGCAGTACATGGCAAAGAAGAACTACACTGCTGCCATCAACGTCATCCACGCTACTCTGCAGCGTACTTGGTCTTCCTTCCTTGCCAGCTCTATCCATGATGTTACAATGGCGACCATTTTCACTCAAGAGTCGATCGAGCTTGTCGAGCGCCTTGCAGAATGCTATTTGCAGACACGACAGCTTGAAAGGGTTGACGATGTCTACAGCCGGTTCTTCCGTGCGGTTCTAGTCACCGAGAAAGTTGACAGGGCCACTTTCGAGAAGTCAAAGAACCTCTTGATCAACTTTTACGATAAGCACGGCTACGCGGACAAGGCCATCAGCACCTACCAGGAGATTTTGGTCGTTTACCGCACACGTCTGGGTCACACGAACGAGCTCACCATTCAGACCTTGTATATCCTGGCTCAGAGATGCCGCAGCCACCCTCGCAACCATGGATACTGGTTGGACTACTACCTGCAGATCATCACGGCCCTCAACAAGGACTCTGACGTATGCCACAAGGATGCCTTGGATGCCATGTTGGTTGTGACTGTTACGTACTGGGAAGACCGCAGATACGCGGAGGCAGTGACTTTCTATGGAGTCTTGTGGAGCACCTTCGTTCGCCAGACCAAGCAGCACAAGGTCTTTAGCGACGTCAAGTTTGTCGAGACGCTGTACGAGCGATACTACCAGTGCTTAGAGGAGACGAAGGCCAACTGGTCCGAGCTCTACAAGATCACCAAGGAGTACCGTGAAACTGCTATTGCCGTCTTCGGCGCCGAGTCGACCATTGCTGTCAACGCAACTCTTTCGCTCGCACAGGTGGCTCAGAGCAGCGAGCAGCACATGTCCGAGGCTATCTCACTCTACGAGGCGGTCTCCCAGTCGGGCAAGCAGGTTACAACCACTACCAGCATCTCGGAGATCAAGCATGCTCTGTCATCTCTCTACTCCAAGCAGATGCATTCTTCCTCTTCTAGCAGCATGAAGGCTGAGACAGTGCAGCGTGCTTTGACCATGTCTGAGTCGCAATTCCAGGAATCTACACGCGAGAACGGATACAGTCACGAGTCCTCGCTCACTAGCTTAAGGGAGCTTGCATCACTGTACTCTCGCACGCAGAAGACGGACGTTGCTATCAAGCAAATCTCAAAGGCCGTTTCCGAGATTGTTTCCAAGGAGACCTCCTCGCAGAAGCAGATCGAGTCGGCCAGGTCTATCGCCGTGACCTTCCAGGCTATTGAACAGACTAGCACTGCGCATGCGATGGTTCAGGAGCTTCACCGTCAAATCTGCGCCAAGGACGCTCGCAACGCATCCAAGTGGTCATTTGACCTGACAAAGACCAGTCGCACAGCTATCGCTTTTCTTGCATCCCTCCAGTACAACCTCCGTAAGGATCTTAGCATTAGCTTCTCAGAGATCTATGCCGATTTGACCATGGAGTACATCTACTGGGTGCAGTTCCACCAGACTCTTGACAACAACGAGAGCCTCACCAACATCTTGCTCGCTGCTGCTCCGCTCCGCTACTTCTTGCGCCGCAACGATCAGCAAGATATGATCACGGCCCTCGAGGAGCAGGCAGTTGGCCTCTTCGTCAAGCGCGACGCGCAGGATTTGAAGGACTTCAGCAAGGATTCGCCACGCATATTCATCATTGGTATCCTTGATTATCTGGGCAACGGTCGCAACAAGAACTTCAACCGCGCTGTTATCCTCTCCTCTAACGAGAGTGTGGCCAAGTGTACCAAAGCGAAGATGTTCCACGAGGCATACGACATTGCCAATCTCGGCTTCCTCTACGCCAGCAAGCATGATGGCTACAACGGCCCACGTGCTATCAGTATGGGCTTCAAGCTTGCCTCGCTGCTCGTTGGTCGCGATGGCGAGAAGTGCCCCGACGCTACTCTCCGCAAGAAGATGCTGGACCTCTCCAACCGTATCGTCAAGAAGATCTTCGAGATTTGCCAGAACCTCAAGATCAACTTTGCGCAGGTCCAGTTGTACGAGTTGAGTCATCTTTCGGCCCTCTTGGGCGAACAGGAAGATTACAAGACTCTCGAGTGGCTCCTTACAACTCTCTGGCAGACACGCGATGCGCAGAGATCATGGCCCGCCGAGGTACTTCTCAACCTTGGCCGCCGTCTCATCTGTGCTCGCTACCTTGCCAACGAAGAGGTCAAGGCCATCCGTCTCGCCGAAGACATTGCCTACAACATGCGCCGAGCCCACGGCGTCCGCGCCCCGGTCACCATCGAGACCTACGAGCTTCTCGCCCAGCTCTACACCTCGACTGGCCACAAGTACCAAGCGCAAGCCGCCAAGGGCGAGAAGACTGCTGGCCTCGCGGCCGACTACTTCAAGAAGGCTATTGGCGTCCACGAGGACATACTCCGCGTCCTTGTCAACGACCAAACCAACGCCGCAAACGACGACGACGATGAAGACGACACCACCGCCGAACTCCTCGCCCTCGAAGGTGTCAATGTTAAGAACTCACCCAACACGCCCCGTCCTACTGCTGTTGACTCCAACACGCTTGACAAGTCAGCCACAGCACTCAAGCACCTCCACCTCCTCAAGCTGGCATACCAGCGCTACGGTGGCTGGCCAAAGTCTTACGATGAGTACGAGCACCTCAATGCCCAGCTATTCCGCGTGTTTGGCGCAGAGGGCAAGTGGAAGGGTGTCGAGGGCACGGAGAAGTGGGATGCGAAGGCGTTTGGTGCCGGCAAGGCTGAGAGCCAGGAGGGTGGCTTCAGGGGTATTGCAGACTGGAGTCTAGGAAGCGATGAGCTGGTTTCTATCGGTCACGGACATGGACAGGGTCAGCACACTGCTATGGTGAATGGAAACGCCATGCTGCACGCCAAGAGGTAGGGTTGACGACGAGGGGTTTCTATTGTGTGTCCTGATGAGCAGGTTGTAACAATTGTTCAAGAAGTCCGAACTCGTGCTTAGTTATTTAGTATGTAATAGTAATGTTATGGCGTTTCTGAGTTGATCGTTCTTGCTCACTACTACCTAGCCGTTTGTGTGAGGCTTACATATGTACAATAGAAATTCAAAAGTCTTCGCCCTCTTCCTTCCTCTTGTTTTTTGTTTACTCTTTGCTCAACAACTCCGCAATTGAAGCTGCAGTGGCATTGTGAATCGGGAAAGTAGGATGCAACTCGTTGAGCCACAAGTACTCGTTGACTGGGTACTCGCAAGTATCGTTCTTGGTGTACCAATCCGGTGTTCCACTGTGATTCTGTTAGTGCTGTTCTTTCCATCTCCGCCTCCGACACCGGGAACGACTTACTTCTTGTACGCCTCGCAATAGTCAGTGACATTCTTCAATCCCGCGGTCTGCTCGTAACTCGCAGGGTCCTCAATGACGGCATTGAACAACCCCCAGGTGTCATGCACAAACACGCTAGTTCCAGTATGGTTCGCCTGGAACGTGCTTACCATCTCACTGAGCCTCTTGTTCCAGTCCAGGATGACCTTGCCCTCGTTCTCCTTTGCGTAACCACCGTCATCTTGGTTCAGTGTCATTGGCGCAAGGTTAACAGGCGGTACGCTTAGGAACAAGAAGTTGCGGGCGCCGGTTGCGTAGACGTCATCGAGGAGGCTGGCGTAAACGGAGAAGATGGTGTCGTAGAGTGTGGCGTTGTTGAGCCACCAGCTGTTTCCTACGTCGTTGATGCCGATAAAGAAGGCGAAGAGTGAGGACGCAGATGTCCAGGGTGCGGTGTCCGGGTGTGCACCGTATGTGGGGAGGAATTCGGTGCGGACCTGGTTCTTCATGCTGATGACGGTGGGAGCGTAGGGTGTTACGAGGTCGGAGTCAACAGTGGCGCCGCCGTAGGCCATGTTGTATGTGAGGAGATCGCTGGCATTGTAGGTTGTAGAGAGGAAGCCGACCCAGTTAGGTCCGTTGGAGGACGTGTAGCCGGGGTAAGCCGGGTTTCCGAAAGGGTTCGAGGCGCTGGGTTGTGCTCCCTTCACATCGAAGCCGGTCTGAGTATAGGAATCACCGAAGACGAAGAGTTGTTTCACATTCTTCCAGCCGGACCATGACGAGCCGTTTGAGTATGGAGCGGCGAGGCCGGTAGTGGCCAGAGACAGCGCAAGAGCAATTGACTTGACCATCTTGTTGTTTGAAACCTAGCAACAATGTAGAATATGAATAGCCAAGAAATGAGTTCTGAGGAGGAAGCGGCCTATTAAGTATGACCCGAACAGTATCACACCAGTACCAAACTAATCCGGGTCCCTGGAACAGACGATCTACAGGTGCGAACGAGATAAATTGCATGAAATTACTCGACGTATGCAAATACCCCACATATTGGGGATAGAGCGCAGACTACACTGAATCGCTCGCGGAAGAATTCTGGAAAGACGTTTCTAATGCACTAAGAGGGTTGCGCGTGAGTAGTACGGGTAGAAATGCTTGTCCGGAATAGAGTCCGAAGGCATGATGCTCCGTGTCCGAATGGGTATAGCGGGGCAATTAGCATCATCGTCGACGCGATTGTGCCTCGACATTGAGGTTTTCGTACTTGGAATTGTCGATCTGAAACAAGAACCATTAATAATGCCAGGGCTTCCATGATTCGGGTGTTTGGTGGAAACTTGTGGGGCAGAGGGGGGTGCTACCGGGGGTGCAACGTGTCTACGACACTGCCAATGGCGCGGTCTCCCTGATACTAAAGAACTAGAGCGTAAAATAGAGAATGTGCGATATAGTATGTCGCATTAAGAAGGGTGTGTTGAACCCGTTGTGGTATACTTGTCCTGGAATTTTGCTGTCGCTCAAGGTGGCTGGGCAGCTGGGTCGTGCGCCATATCAGAACGATGGTATTCTAGAGGCTGAGCAACGGCTGAGTCGAAAGATGAGGTCAGAGTATAGGCGAGAAGCCTGTGTAGAAAGGCGCCTGGCGCGATCTGGTCAGATTTGCGAGAGCGAAAATGGCTCTCAAATGGCTGTCCAGGGTGGGGTGTCGTAGTACCTTCAGAGCTCGTATTTCTATACGATCGGTCAGCGTCCATCGCATTGGCCAGGAGTCGTCGTCACGAGATCTCGAAGCCAGACAGCCGCCTTGGAGTGCTCGGCCGCAGTAAGGTATGATATCAGAGAATCGGACGAAGCGGGAGCTGGAAAGCAAGAGTGTTTGCATCGGCCGAGCAGGATATTTACAGTACATGTGCAAGCGTTGCGACGTCATGTACCGAGGACCTGCTTCACATGCTCGCGATCACGGAAAACAAGTTGAGTGAAGAATGGATAATCAACAAACAGTGTGGCTAGAAAGCCGGTTAGTCGAGTAGCTCAAACGGGGAAGAAGTGTAAAATAATGGAGTGGCTGATGAAAGATGGCGTAAGGCTGAAGGGCTAACCAACGCAGACCCTGGGCGGTGATGCTCCCAGCCGCCCGCGTAGGGACCAGACAGCTGTAGCGTCGACACATGTCATCCAAGCATTGAAACATTCTCTGCTCGTTGCGCTACTTCTTTTCTTAGCTGTTACAAAGAAACACTTTGCTAGTCTTGCCCAGAAATCCAGGGAAACAAAAAGAACCCCCAAATCCCTAAATCGGTGCTCTACGTACGACTCGGCCCTCGCAGCAACCCGCATTCCGACTGACCAAAACCTCATCGCCAGCGCGCCGTGAAGCTGACAAGTCACCGAAAACTCGCCCGACCCTTACGAATCCGACGTCCGAGATGTCCGCTTGCTAGAAAACATCGTCATTGCCAATCCCTGCATTCGCTCGACCGCCAAACCTTTATACAGCCTTGGGTATTCAGGACCCGAAGCCCCGCGTATCGCTTGTACCAAGACTTACGACCACAACAACATCGAACAAGAAGAAGTAATAGTACTGAAAATAGCCAGTCATGGCTGGAATGGAGAATATCGAGGTGCATAGCAAGGTATGTACAGTGTTCACGTCGCGGTTCCATGCTGATTGAAGCCAGTCGTACCTTGTAAGATGGGTGAATGTCAACTCAGGACATACGATATCATGGAGCATTCAACCACACAAGAAATCAATCAACTTCGGTATCTTCAAGCACCCAGGAACAGCGACCGGCGCAACTCCACAACTACCCTCCTCTGCGACTGTCGAAGCCGGACCTGGTACGCCTACCCTCGAGCCACCTACAACGCGCGGACGCGGAGCTTCGACGTCACGAAATGACAGGACGGTTGTATTAGATAAGCTTGCGGCTATCGGGCTGAAGCAGGTGCATTGGCATGGGAAATGCGAGGCAGATCTGGTGTCCATGGGCACATACGACGTGCCAGCAGGCGAGGGTGGCATGTATGGATTGGTCTTTGACAACACCTTCTCCAAGACCGTTTCCAAGACAGCCACCTTCGTACTCATGACATACCCGACGAATGCGGCGCCCAAATCTGGCCATCACATGCACTATGCGCAGGCCATGGCAGGTGCGAGCACAACGAGCCTCCCCAAATCGAGCCCCTCTATGGGCCCCGTCGAATCCTCCGAATCTTTACCACAAGCCTACACCGAGCGACCCAAATCACAATACGGGCAGAAACAAGGAAGTCTTTCTGGCGGTTCATTCCTGACCGGAGTGCTGCAGAAGAAAAGGAGAAAGAGGAATCAGGGCTATGCCAGGAGATTCTTCTCCTTGGACTTCACATCTTCTACACTCTCCTACTATCGAAACGACCACTCCTCAGCATTACGTGGAGCCATACCTTTGTCCCTGGCAGCCGTTGGGGCGAACGAGGAGACACGGGAGATATCCGTTGACTCTGGCGCTGAGATCTGGCAATTACGGGCAAACAATGCGAAAGACTTCCAGATGTGGAAGAATGCGCTTGATCGCGCATCAAGATCAGCTTCGGATAAGGGAGCCATGGCTTCACCAACCCTGCAAATCAAAGATAGTCCATTCCAAAGCTTTGGGCATGTTGTGAATGCGGCCGAAGAGAACGAATGGGCAAGGGTCGAGGCCTTGGTGGGCAGAGTCTCTGGTACAAGAGACGCAGTTCGAAGGCTGGCTCAGGATACCGATCCCAAATATGGTGCATCGTCAGCGATAAGCGTCAGCAAGATGAACGATAGTCTTTCTCCAACACCCTCCGAAACGGAGTCGGGCGACTACTTCCCAGAACAAAAGGCTCCCGAGAAGATGGCTTTCTGGAAGCGCAAGCCCAGCAGTTCTGGCGTTCAAAGTCCGTCTGGTATTTTCAAAAGGAGTGTGTCGGCGCAAGTAGGTGGTGCTGCATCACCTGGAGCCGTTCCTCCTGTACCGCCTCTGCCCTCAAATGCGTCGGGAAATGGCACCCTGGCAGTACCCAAGCGTAATGGCCGTGCAAGCACAATGAGCTACTCGAGCCACACGAGCCACACACATGAGGAAAGCGTTCACGACAACTGCATGGCTCTACTCAAAGATCTGGACTCTGTCGTCAGGGAGTTTGCTGATCTGATCAGCGAAAGCAAACAACGACGGATGCCTGCGCCTGCACCGCTCTCGGCCGTCACATCACGTCATAGCTTCGAATCAGTAGCTGAATCTGTTGACGAGTTCTTCGATGCTCCAGATGGCGACGTCAACAAGTCACAGCTCCTCACCATCCGCCGCGATAGCGAAGAGGATAGGCGCGAACGTGAACAATCGCCAGACGACGACTCGGATGGCGAATCGGAGTCATCTTCAGAAAATGGCAGCGTTGGCATGTTAGATCGGCCTCGCATGTCACGGGAAACTACTCCAGCTCTCTTCCCTACTCGGCCCAAGTCGCTTACACCACTGCCGCTTGACCCTGTCAAACGTCGGGGTACAGTTCCAGCCCCGAAGGTTCAGCCTCCGAGTCTTATCGCCTTTTTCAGAAAGAATGTCGGCAAAGATCTATCAACTATTGCAATGCCAGTATCAGCTAACGAGCCCACATCTGCACTACAACGACTGGCGGAGCAATTGGAATACAGCGAGTTGCTTGACGCTGCAGTGGTTGCCACACCAGACAATGGTGAGCGTCTAGTCTACATGGCTGCATTCGCCATTTCAGCATTCAGCAACGCCCGTGTCAAGGATCGTGCTATTCGTAAGCCTTTCAACCCCATGCTCGGTGAGACGTTCGAACTCGTCCGCGAAGACAAGGGGTTCCGCTTCTTCGCAGAAAAGGTCGTCCACCGCCCCGTCCGCATGGCATGTCAAGCCGAAGCTCAAGAATGGACATTTGTGCAATCCCCAACCCCAATGCAGAAATTTTGGGGTAAGAGTGCAGAGATCAACACCGAAGGTCGCGTTCGCATCTTCCTACACAGTTCAGGTGAACACTACTCCTGGACGCTCGCAACCTCCTACCTACGCAACGTCATCGCGGGTGAAAAGTATCTCGAGCCCTCCGGCACCATGACCATCATCTCAGAAACCACCGGCGCAAAAGCAGTCTGCACCTTCAAAGCCGGCGGTATGTTCGCCGGCCGCTCAGAAGAAGTCTCCGTCCAGGTTTTCGACGCCACCGGCTCCGTCCTTCCCATGGGCGCAACAGGAAAATGGACTACCGACCTCCAACTTACATCCAACGGCCAACCCACCGGCAAGACAATCTGGAAAGTAGGCGACCTTGTCGATAAAGCCGAGAAACACTACGGTCTTACTACGTTCGCTGCTGCTCTCAATCAAGTCACGGCTATCGAACAGGATCACATGGCTCCCACGGATTCCCGCCTCCGACCCGATCAGCGCGCGCTCGAAGACGGCGACGTGGATAAAGCCGAAGCCCTGAAAGCGCGACTTGAGGAGAGACAGCGCAGTCGCAGAAGGGTCATGGAAGAACACGGTGAGGAGTGGAAACCACGCTGGTTCACCAAGGTTGGAGCTGTGGAAGCTGCGGCGTTGGGCGACGAGGAGGTGTGGAGACTCAAGGGCGGCAAGGACGGGTACTGGGAGTGTAGGGAACGGGGCGATTTTGGCAATGTCATGGAAGTTTTCGGGACGTAGTGTGGAGAGTTGTTTTACTGAGCGAAGGGGGGAGTTTTTTTTTATTTTAGGTAGCAAGCGAGTTTGGTTGTGTCACGCAGACAGCGACAATAAGAGCCAACGTTGTTGGAAATCTACAGAGTTACATCTTGAATATAACGTGGCAGTCTGGATATAACGTGACGTGGTACAGAGCGTAAAATATTGTATCAAAAATATAATCTTTGGTATATAATAATAATACTATGGCAAGAATGAATACCAAATATGGCATGAAGACCCAATACCCCTAGATAGCCATGAGTCTCAGGCACCGAAAACACCGCGCAATGCTAATACCCAAAAGTTTGGGACTTTTATCTATGGGTCTACACAGAAGACAGACTAAGAAGAAGCTTGTAACCAAAAATCAAGCCGGTCCAGACCAAGTGCTGGGTGACTTGCTCAAATCTCAATATCCATGCCAATGTCCATGCTAGCAATGATATCTTCGTCCATCTTGGGTTTCCTAAATGTCGGCAATCCTTTCCGCTCAGTCTTCTTCTTGCTGCCTTGTGGGGGGTTTGGCGTGCTCGCCCTACTTGAGCCATCGCCGTCGAACAGCGCATCGACGTCTAGGTTGTTGTTCTTCTTCAGTGCTTCTTCCTCTCGTGCCTTTCTCGCCTCTTCTTCTGCTTTCTGTCGAGCTATTTCCTTCTTCTGCTCCATCTTCCTCTGGCGTTGTTGGTCAAGTTGTGCTTTACGGACACGCTCGGCTTCCAGGATGCGGTTCTTACGATTCAGTTCGGCGATGCGAGCGGCGGCTGTTTCTGACTGTGTCGCGATCTTGGGCTGGGCATCTGAGTTGGAGCGGGTAAGGAGATGTGCGTATTTCTTCGACTTGGCGATGCGCGCGCTGATGTCAGCATCAGTCCAGTGGTGGTTCTGCAGGGCCTTGAGGTCATCGTATTTCCGTTGCAGATATGATTGTGTGGGGACCTTGGCGTTGGCCTCTATGAGGGATTGGCGGTAGGCGTCGAGGTCGGTCTCGGTGAAGCGCTGGTTCGACATGAACTGGAACTGGTAGTCCTTCTTCACGGAGCCGTGTTGCGCAATGACGTATTGGTCTGTCGCGACGCGCTTGCCGTCTTTACCTTCGAAAACGTAGGGTTTGCCGGCTGAGAAGCCTAAAGAACAGCACGTCAGTATGATACGCGATGCAGATGTGATCCTGCTTACCCTTGATTTGCGCCATCTTGTACAGAGTCCTACGTTGTGCATCCTGGCCCACGCCAACACGGCCGAATGCGCCCGTCATAGCCTCCTCGAACCCAGGGTGGAAGCAGACTTCTGAGAAGAAGCCTCGACCAACACGAACTGACTCGAAATCGCGTAGGGTGGCAGGCAGCTCTTCGCGGGCCTTCTCTGGCGCTCGGTCGTCCCACTCAACGTCGCTCTCACCGTCAGCATCAACATCTGAGCCACCGTCTCGATCCGCCGAGCTCGACCGCCTGCGGCCACTGCGTCGGTCGTCGTTCCGTTGCCGTTGCTGACCACGTTGCTCCCGCTCACGCTTGTATGCCTCAAGCTTCTCGTTCTTCCGTGGCTGTACCTTGGGGCGACTGCTCTTACGCTCGTCGGCGTCTTCGGAATCAGCCTTGCGCTTCCTGTCGTTCTGGACGTTGGCTGCGCGCCTGGCGAGCTCGGCCTTGAAGTTGGCGCTGCTCATCTCCTCGGCGCGTTGACCCAGGATCTCTTCCCGCTCCAATTGCGACAAGCCCAGGATGTGGCGTTTATCTGCTTCATCGACGTACTTGCCCTCTAGGGGATAGGGAACGTCCACGGCGCGCTCCGGTACGTCATCGTCGCGGTCTGAATCCGACTCGTCCATGGCGTCGGATCCTAGCGAGTTTGGCGATGAGGCTGCGGGCGACGAGCTACGTGGAGTCAGCGCCATGGTGTGGTAAGGGGTTGAAGTGGTCGGTAGAGAGTTGAGTGGAGGGTGGAGAGTGTAGGAAGCGATGGAAAGTAGCGAGGTAAAGGCAGAGGAGGAGGAGGAGGATGATAGGTGAGAGAGGGTACTCACGCCTCGCCTTCTTCGACGTCCGCATCTTCGTCACCGCCAGCGAGGGCGAAGAGCTCATCGTCGATATCATCGGCCGACATTGTGAAAGGGATTCGCGAGAATTTTGCGATAAATCCTGGGTCGTAGAGGTGATTATGGAGGCGAAAACCGTGTCGCTGGGGTTACCGTGAGCAGATTCGGGCGTGATTAGGGGGAAAGAGGATGAAAGAAGAACGTGGGAAGTCCAAAGGTCGGGGAAACGCTCGTTGCGCTCAGACCATGCCGCGTTGAAAAGTGGGCCTCGCTAGCGTGCATGCAGTGAGCGCATCATACCTCAGCAGATTATTGTTCTGTCTATACGGTCCAAGAACAATCGCATCTTCCCTTCACTTGTATTGTACAATAGCTAGACTTGGAAAATGTCTTCCTTCTTGCTCTCTTCGCGAACGGTATCGCGCAATGTGATGCGTCGCGGCCTTGAATTTCCTGTACTCGATTTCCTCGCCCCAAGTACCACATGCTGCGCACCACGCCAAACGTCACGCCTCTCCAGTACCATATCAGCACCGCAACCACCACCTTCACAGTCCGAATCCCCGCAATCACGACCCCCGCTACAAACGCAGAAAGATGGCAAACCAATACGGCCTCTTACACAAGAGCAGCAAGAGTTCCTCTCCTCCGCATTGAGAGTGAATCAGACGGGTGAACTCGCCGCCATCCTGATATATGCTGCCCAATCGCCAGTCATCACACGGTCACACCCGCACTTGCGACCACTTATGAAGCACATGTACGACCAAGAGGCAGGCCATTACAAGTTCTTTAACGAGGTCATCTCGAAGCACCGCATACGGCCCACTGCAATGACACCCATATGGACGGCTGCGGCGAGCATGCTCGGATGGTCGACCGCTGTCATGGGTCGTGAGGCAGCCATGGCCTGTACCGAGGCTGTTGAGACGGAGATTGGCACCCACTATAACGAGCAGGTCCGAGTGCTGTTGGACTGGGCAAACAAGTGTGAAGAGCGGGGCGAGAGTCTAGGGCCAGAGCTGGACAAGCTGGTGGTTGAGCTCAGGAGGATAAGAGACGAAGAGTTGGAGCATCTGGATCATGCGGTAGAGAATGATGCCAAGGAGGCAAAGCCATACGACTTGCTCACTGAAGTCATAAGAGGAGGCTGTAGAGGGGCCATCTGGGTGAGTGAACGTGTGTAATGTGATTAATATGACTGAGATGATACTTGTACATACTGTAACATATCGGGCAAATGAGTCTATCTTGGAAATCGAAGGTCATACTTGGGTGAGGGCTTCTTGTGTTGCTGAAATCGCTTCCTTTATTTATATTCGCTCTTCGTCACCAACTCAGTATTCTCGCTTTTCCATATCACTCTACATGCGTGTTTCAAGGTTGATGTTGATGTTCGTGTTCGTATCTACGCACATTCCTCGCCCACTGCACAGTTTCCTCCATTTTTCTCTCTCACCTTCACCTCAACTCCCATTCCACCGCAAACGCTCTCTCACCACCATCACAACAACACCAGAACACAACCGTTTTTCTATCTAAAAACTTGTTATTAGGAGTTATAGGAAACCTTAGTCGCTCTAACTATATATTCCACTAAATGCCCCAACTCCCCATCTATCCATCGCGTGGCATAACTCAATGCCACTCCCACTCGTGGGGTTAGATGTGCCTCTGAGTTCGACACTCCGTATTGTCAACTCAAGCCTCCAAAAACAGATGAGGGATTCAAGTCTTAGTGTATAACAAGATGTTATATTCGGAGTGAATCATCGCTCGGCGCGGGGTAGGGGCGCGAGTTAGAACAGCAGGGAAGGCCGACCTGCCTGTCAAATCAAGTTTTTTTGCTCTTTTTTATTTATTAGAAGGAAAGAAGGAACATAGGAAAATACAGAAGATACAAAGTTGAGATAAGATGCTGTGCGCTGTCGCAGAGTAGCAGGCAAGTTTTTTAGCACTCACTTATAGCAAGATATAGTTATCGCTGTACCTCGTGCTACTTTATAAGCATCCATAGCACGTAGTGGCAAGAGTGGGAAATAGCAAGAAGTAGAGAATTGCATAAACGAAAAGCTACAATAAGTAATGGCTATCTAGAGCACATGATTACCCAACACCAAACACCGCGTGACTATATGCTACCAGTAATCCAAAACACACAAGACGTTAAGCGTGCATCATTCAAACCCACCACTAAGATCACCAAGTACACTCCTCAACCCTTGTTTTCGTCCACCCTCGACCTTCTTCCGGAGTGCTTCCTTCCTCTTCCCTTCTTTCTTCTCTAGCAACGCCCTACGCTCTGCCTCTCGTGCCTGAGCATGGATGTTACTCCTTCCAGTACCACCTCTCCTCACACCACTCTCCTTGGGAGTGCTGCCGCCCGCTGACCGCTCGCTGCTGACAGACAGATTACTAGTCGCCTGGCGTATGAGCGAAGGAACGCGGAATCCAGGTGTTGCGGCAGCACGAGACGCAGCGTGGAAGGCCAGGTTGGAGTCTGCGCTTACAGACTCCTCGACTGTGGATTGTCGGCTCAGAGTCAGACGGTCGATGATGGGTTTCCGCGACGCCGGGACGAAGGCGGGTTCTTCATCATCTTCGGCGTCGGAGAGCTGAGAGTCTGGTACTATAATGCGTGGGTCTTCGATGAGCTCTGAGATGGAGTGTTTGACATCATCTGCGGTGAGTGGCTTGCGAACGAGGTTGTCAGAAGCGGTTGTGCGGCGCATGTGTGGAGGTGGCCGGTTCTCTTTTTGCGAGTCCTGAGTCTTGCGCTTGAGTGGGCTGGTTGGCGCTGACAGGTTTTGAGATTCAGCCTGTGAGTTTGGAACAGCAATGTCATCACCTTGGATATTCTCCTGAGACTGCGAGTCGTTCATGTCCAACTCTTTCTCAGGCATGTTGAGGTAGTCGTACTCGCCCTCGTCGGCAAAGTCAGCCAATGTGTTGAAGAAGGCCTTCTTCTTGTCGTCGTCAGCGAGTGCCTTGACCTTCTGATCTTGCAACAAAGCGTTAGTTTGCTTTTGAAATGCAGCGCGCTTCTTTCGCTGGCGGAGCTCGGCCTCGTCTTCAGAATCGGACATGTCGAAACCGTCATAGCCGCCACCTTGCCTGCGGAGGCCACCCTTCCTCTGCATCTTCTTGTAGAGCTCAGTGAGCTGCTTTTCGTCGTCTTTCTTTGTCTTGTCACTGCGTTGTATTAGTATGGGCTGAGAATATAAACATAAAGGCGGAAGTCAAACTTACGCGTAGAAAGCAGCAATCTGGCGCTCATCGACCTTGACGTCGTTGTGGTCGATCATGTCCTTGAGGTCTTCGTCTTCCTCGCCTTCCTCATCGTCACTGGCTCCTCCAAGCCCAGCGTACTCGTCTTCGGACTCCTCGGCTTGTTCCATGACAGCTTCTCTTGCCATACTCTTCTTCTTGTCGAACTCTTCGGCCGCCTTCGCCCTCTTAGCCGCTTGCTGCATTTTCATGAAAGCATCCTTGCTAAGCTTAGGAGGGCGTTGGATATCGTCCTCGCTCTCTTCCTCCTCAGCATCAACCAAGTCTTCTTCAACATCGGAGAGCTCAACAGCTGCTTCACGTCGTCCACGCTGGAGTTTACCCTTCTGCTTGATTGGTGACTCAGCAACAGGCATCATGACGGTGTCGATTGTCGATGGTGGCGGGGCAAGGCCTGCTGGCGATCGAGAGAAGGAGAAGCCTGCATCCTGTGTGGGTTCAAAGTCCTCAACCTGCGTTCGCGAGAAGGTGGGAGAAGTCTTGACTACTTGACTGATTCCCAGGCTGAATTGCGACTCGTCACCAGCCGGTGCGTCCTTTTGTGGCGACATTAAAGACTGACTGTTGGGCACTAGGAATTCTGAAGCCTGGCTGAAGTTTGCGCCGGGCTGAGTGTCAGGCAAGTTCCGTAGGAAGTCCAAAGAGTCTTGTTCAGTGTTGACGGCGGCAACGGGCTGCGAGTCAGACTCCAACTCAGCCATAGTGCCTGCGAACATCTGCGTAAGCCCTATTCCGGCGTTGGCATTGCCAAATCCAAAGGCAGCCATCGCGTCGTTTTGAGTTGCTGGTTGAGTGGGTGTGACAGGCTTAGGCGCTTCAGCATCGCCCTCTTCATCGTCGTCGATGACCCGGTTGCGGGCACGATTGATCGTTTGCCTTCGGACAGGCGCGACCGCATCGTCGTCATCCATGTCAGCATCGTCGTCGACGTGTTGGGCTGGCAGCGTGTCATTTGGCTCGTCGTCTTCATCAGCCATTCCATCGATGAGAGCATCCACATTATCTGGATTACTTGCTTCATCTTCACCCTCGTCTTCCATTTGCTCATCCTCTGAGCCCGAAAGTACGACGTCAGCTTCTTCCTGGTCCTCGTTCTCCTCTTCATTGGCGTCTTCTTCGCCACTACCGACGTAGTCGCCATCCTCTTCGTCGCTAGACGGGAGGTCGTCTATGGTCTCGCCGTTCTTCTTTGCCTCCTTTCGCTCCATCTTGGCTAGCTCAAGGTCTTCCTGTCTCTGCTTCTCGAGCATTGCCACCATGTCGTCGATTTCTATCTGGCGCTTCTCTCTCTCCTCTTCGGTCTCAGGGTTATGACCTCGCCTAATCAAGTCGGCTATCCTCTCCTCTTTGGCTTTTGCGGTTTGTTGGCGAGCCTTCTGAGCTAGTGTAAACTCCATCTCACCACGAGTGACTATTTTCTGTCCCTTCTTGCCCTTCTGTGGTGATTTGACCAATTGAGCGAGAGCACGAAGATGTACCAGTGATCCCGCCTCGTTGTCCTTCTTTGTGGGCAGTCGGTCGAAGACGGGGAATCTGCTCTTAGGCTTTTCTACCTGCAAATCATCATCCGAGTCCGAAAGCTCTACCATGTCATTGACCGTAACCTCCTTAGTGTCCACCACAGCTTTATGCACCGTGACTGGTTGTGTCTTTTTCATCCAAGGATGTATTGGCAGGTGTTGAAACTCGGGTGCTCGCCCTTTGCCTTTGTCAATCTTAGCGGGTTCAGGTGATTGGGCTTTACTCTCGGTTATTGTGGTAGACACATGCTGATCCAGTGGGGCATTCTTCTCTTCCGGAGCATGTTGTCTAGGGGGGCTTGTTGGTGGCGTATCGTGGACCTGGTTCACCTCTGCGTCAGAGGATGCCAATGCTGAGCTAGGCTCTGGTGTTGGGAGAATTAGTACCTCGGCGCCGGGCGCTTGATAGTTGAACTTCTTGAACAGATCCTGTGTCGTGAAGCGCTTCTTTGTCTTGGCTTGGTGGGTAAGCTGCATGTTACGGCTTATGCGCTGCTGGTCGCGGGCCATTGCCTCCATAGCCTTCTTGCCAGCTCTGCGAGTTGGCTTAGCATGTTGTGTAAGCCGCCTACTGCCCTCGCCGTCTGACTCGGTCCCTGAGGCCTGGTCTGCTAGCCGCCGTGCAATCTTCTTAGGTTTGGTTTGTTGTGCTTCTTCCTCTTGTTGCTTCGCAAGTCTTTCCTCTCGGATGCGTCGCACTCGCTCTTGCAAGTCGGCATTACGTATAGGTTGTGAAGATTCGTCCGACTCCGACCCAGCATTCGCTGATCGCCGCGATGGCTTCTTTACTGGTGATACATCTGGAGTGACAAAAAGTCCTGGTGATGATTGTCGCGACCGTACGGTTGGTGACGCAGATGCTCGAGGGCTTGCAGTCTTTGTCCGGTGTGTAATGGGTTTGCGGGTGTTCGCTCGCACGGGCATTGCGTCCTCATCTTCGTTACTTTCGATAATAGCCATGACTGGTACTTCCTGCTGTGCTTCTTGTGGGGCCGCCGAATGTAATATTGATGAGTTCTTGCTGGCGGCTAGTCGTTTCTTCATGAGTTCGTATGCGTCTTCCCCATCGCTCTCGTCGTCCTCATTGGTCTGCTCTATGACCTGCTCTGGCCGTGTTACTGTGGACGGCTTCGCGGTGATTGTAGGGATTGCATCATCTTCAGATGCGGAAGCCTCGTTCTCAGATTCGGCTTCGCTCTCTGACGAATCTATGACAGGTTTGCGTAGAGCTGCTAGCAGCTTTGGCCGAGGTTTTGCAGACGCGTCTGTCGCGCGTCCCGGTGAGGTTTGCGCTGATGTCATGGCTGGGTCTGATAGTTCCGTATTGAACCCGTATCGATATGAGCTCGGAGTTGCTGTTCGCGATTTATGGCGTCTCGATACGTGGTGGTTGCTCTAGGTGCAGGCCGCGTAAGGTCTTCGTTGACGTTACTCGGGAGGAAATCCAAATCGTGGCGTATGACGTAGTGCTAAGTGCGCATTGCAAGAAATGGCAATATGTTTAGAAAGATGGGACTGATTTTGCAAGGCTGCATACGTTCAATTGCAAATGCACATGGCGGGGAACTGTCGTTGTTGGAGCACGCTTGGACTACGCGTGATTCTGGAAGTCGCGACACGCGACGCGACTTGCGCTTGCCACATGTGGCTCGTAAGTGCCGGCATTCCTTTTTCGCGCTCCACCACCCCATCAACATTACGATACTGCCGATAACACATCGTCTACAAACAACGTCGCAGCTGGCGATGTTTACCGACATACCGACTGTACACACTTCGTTGCAGAAATTCGTTTTCCATTGTCTGAGTGTACCCACCACTCACAAGGCCCGCTAGAATTCTCAGCCGAAAACCTCTGCTTCGGCCACCACCAGACATGACACAAAGCTACTCGTCGTCGCATGTGTTGTGCGAGCAAGCTACATGGGATGCATGCGGCCATAGCCTGGAAGAGATTGAGTGCCTTGGTTTACCATACCACATCCCGACATGTCTGTTTACCCATTTACCCTAGATTTCGATCGCTCTTCCAATCATCGTGGTGCGCCTCCGAGCAAGAAACGAACGGAACGGCCGCGTCGTGAACTAATTGGGTAATTTGATCGCAAGCGTCCACCAGGTGCGTCTGTACGAGTGCCTCAGCCTTACGCCTCGTTTCTTACCAAGCAGGTATCTAGACCCGCTGCAGGAGACGCTCCGCTACACAGCTCACCATCAGCATGAATGCAGGCTTCCATGCAATCTCTCCATCCCGTCGCCGAAGGTTCGAGTTGGCCTGCACGAGATGGAGGCCTGATCCCGTTTCACGGGATCTGAATCACCTTCGCGTACAATACCATCTGTGCGTGAATCAGAAGTGTTGATGACCCCACCTATTGCTAGCCTCTTGCTTTTTTGACTTGATGCATGGGAAAGTCACGGAGTGTAGGAGTTGCTTCGCATGAACTCTGGCACTGCCTGGATGGATACCTCGGGCACGCACCTGCGCCGCAGAACACCCACTTGGTCAGCTGATCACGATGATCATACTCGTGGTCGGTCCTCTTTACTGCGGGCGCGTTTCGACTTATGCATGTTGGTGGTCATAGCAGAAGAGCAAGTTGACATTTTACAGACGTCTTACCTGTTGCGATCGGACCATCGCGTTCCGCCAAAAATAGCACCCGTTCTTCGTCGGTAACGTACCCCAGAAAGACCGTTGCCAGCCAAGCAGATCTTGCAAGGGCCGCTTTCACCTTGACTGCTCGCGACCATGGCTGGAGCGATCATTCGACCTTATGCGGGATCTGCAGAACTCCTTGCCTTATCTCGCGTCTCAAAGATGACGACAGACGTGAGGAACAAGCGCCTAACACGCTACTACGCGTACTATGAAAGAGCGCGATTGGTGGCTTTTGCCGAAACGAACACGATGTGCTATAGCAACTGAGCCATTGACGCAACCATCGACAAAGCACCTGTTGTTGTTCACGGAAGTGATTGCGAAACGCTTCTGGCTGATTTTTCTAGTATGAAGTTATCGGACCCCTTCCGAAAGCCACGCTCCTTTTTTGCAGCACTGCAGCCAGAACCACACTCTTCGCAGGAACGCATACTGAGACGAATTTCGGGCCAATGACCGAGTGCGCTCTTCTCTTACAACGCGATGGATCGTAGATGGTGGGGTGAGGAGTTGGGCTTAGATCAGCTCTGATGCAAGCGACGGCTCCAGATGCCTTTTACGCGTTCAACAGCATGGTGGAGCAGTACGACAGCTTTCAGATGGCGAGCAGATGCACGTTTCATGTGGTCTGCTAAATTACCCCTGAGAATGCGGCCCTAGGGTGGTAGCGCTGGGGTCCCTGCAGCGCCGTCGCGACGATCTCCCTTAGAGCATCGCGACGCTCGACGCGTCCATAATTTGAGATGGCGATAGGAGAGTGTGATCACCGAGGGCATTATTGTCGACTAGAGGGAGTCTTTGCATAGTGGGAAACTCTCCGTGCCATAGTTGCATGCTCTAGTACCGGAAGGGTGTCGGCTAGTGGCCAGGCATGCGTGCCTGCGTGCCTGCATGCCAAGGCAGTCTCTTAGTGCCCTCTTGAAACCCGTGAAACAGACCACGGGTGCTGCACTTCTAAACAAGAGCCGTCCGTCTCCGCCCGGGAAATTGGACGATCAATGTCTTCCTGACGGCCTAAGAATTGAGCTTATACCCATCCGTATACCTTTGTCAAAAGCTTCTCGAACGCTTCCATTTCGCGCGCACTCGCCTCCCTTTCATAGTACCTAACCACTGCTCTTCCCGCCCAACACGGCCCGTGAACCACCAATCTCCGGCATGATACTGGCTTCAGCACACACATAGGATAACATGGAGGCCGACGACGCTCAACTTTACGGATTCAGCACTCCTCAGCAGAGCAACTCCTTCAAGCGACCGCGGCGCAGTCTGCAAAGCTCCACCCCCTTGAGCAGCGTGACCGAGAGCGTTACTTCCTCACCCCGTCATTCTGGCCAGAACCAGTTTGCACCTCAACTCTTTGACCACGTCAATGCGCTCAAGCACCTTGACGACCAGCAAATCCTCCAGCTACTATCCGTTGCGCGCAATGGAGGTCAGTCGACATCAAGCCCTGGCGGCGCGTTGTTTGCTCACGCGTATCCAGATGGCATGCGACGTTCGGCCGCCGACCGGTCGTCTATGTCGACCGTCGGAAGCCGCGCGTCCTCATACTTGAGTGTCCCCTCCAGCAGAGTACCCAGCATGCTATCCGACCCGCGCTCGTCCATCGCATCTACCGACTCATCCTTCACACACTACAGCGCCGCATCCTCGCGCCTGTCTACCGCATCCTCAAATCGACTTTCGACAATATCCACCGCATCGACACCCGCGCCCAAGAACTTTGCCTGCACGTTTTGTGACAAGGCCCTCAAGTCGAAGCCATATTGGAAATCGCACGAGGAGGAGTTCCACGAGCAGCGACTTACATGGCGATGTCCCGATTGCGAACAGATCTTCCATGCTGGCAAGCGTTTCCGGGAGCATCACACCAAGCTACATGTATGTTTAATATCATTTCTTTTTCCCGAGTTCCCGCTAACCGTTGATAGGGCTGTGAGCATTGCAAGCAACCCAGGGAGAGCGGACAACCCACAAGCAGGAAAGCATCACCATGCGTCAAAAAGTACGAGATCGTTATGCACGACAAGGACGCTTGGGGTTGTGGCTTCTGCGCTTGCCTCTTGACCACATGGGAAGAAAGATGCGAGCACATCGCGCTTCACTTTGAAGAGAAGGGAGCTTCCAAGTGGAACTTCACCAATGTCGTCCTTGGTCTGCTAAAGCAACCTGAAGTCTCCAACGCATGGAACCAAATGATGCTGGAACGCCATGGAGACGAACACAACTGGCCGTCGTTGGCGTGGGAGTCTAAGAAGTGCAACCGTTTACGGTACAAGCTCGAAACCAAGTGGGACACACGCGTCTTCGACATCGAGAAGTTGGTGCAGGACACCTACGACTTGGCGGAAATCGAAGTGAAGGACATCGTTGAACCTACCACAGAAGTCACCCCCGAAGCCACGGAGTCTGTTGACAACAGTCAAGGCGAGATGGTGGAGTTCAAGCTGGAACCATCTGACTTCGGCACTGACAACAGGCTTCATAGCTCTCACGGACTACCGTCCGAGCATATGATGATGGACATTGATACGGTGGAACCCCCGCAGCCGATGCACCACCAGGAAATGCAGCCATCGCAATGGCCCGTCAGTACTGATATGTCTCATAACAGCATGAGCGCAGCAACTTCGATGGGCGGCTTCGGTGCTTTCGACACCACCATGACGTCGATGCCAACGGATTTCTCGCAGCCCATGGCGCAGAGCTTCCAGCCACAGCAACAAAACTGGTCAAATGCCGGCTTCGCGTCGACCCCTGACCTCCTCAACTACCAGCAACCAGCGCAATATATGAATTACCAGCAGCCTAAAGAGATCGTCTCCGTACCCACCTCGCAGTACGCCAACTTCGCGCACTACCCCCGCCAGAGCCTCCCGCCCAACTTCTTGCAGCAGCAACAACAGCAGCAACAGACGCCCAGTACCCCCACTTCGCGTCGATACGTTCCCAAACTAATTAACATCTCGAACAACTCGAGCCACCGTGGTGTGCAATTGGAACAAGCGCCACCCCCACCACCCAAAGACGAACACCAGAACCGCTTCTCTCGACTTATTATGAGGCGACGACCGAGCAACATTTCCCAACACAGCATGGTCTCGCACCGTGATATGGGCGGCACATGGGGCGACGTCGACAATTGGGGTTGACTCTGATTCGTCATCTCTTTCAAACCGCGCATACTTTGCGCATAATAACACGCAATCTCCTGCATCCGGCTGGCCCGGTCTCGCACACCACTCTCCTTAGAAACAAACAAACCATAAAGCACCGCAAAAGGTGACTCCGAACCTCGTTGTTCGTCCCTGGGTCCCGGCGCTACCATCCGCCTTGCACCCCTAGATGAAGCGAGCTACACGTCACCTCAACGGAGATCGAAATTACCCATCTGCAGCTTGTCAGCTCTTTCTCCTTATTCTTTTTTCCCCTTACGTATACAAATGTGTTTCCAGCGGGATGGGATGAGGATATACCCATATATGCAGCGTTTGCTTTTCATCATCTTGTTGTCGTTGTCGCCGCCGCCGCCGCAACGTAGTTTAGTGTCTTGTTGAGTGTCCATTTTCGGTTGCAGCACCTAATACCCCCCCTTTTCATGTTAACCTTTCGAGCGACGTGATTGATGTAATGATGGGGATTGGAATGAAATTTGGACTTGGAAGGGCAGATACCATATAGAGCTACTTCAATGTGTTTCTTAACTTTGCACATAAAACCTGTCTTCTGTCTGCCATGGTGATGATGAGATCTGTGAGTAGTATTGCACTAGAAACATCACGTTGCAATCTTCGACATCAAGGTTGAATGTAATGATTGTACTCTGCAGGGCTAGTATTCGCCATCTCTAGGCACCTTCATATCACCCATGTGACCACTGTTCGCTGTTACAGGCAGGGTACCCATCCTTCAACCATACATCGCTCTCATCTCTTCTTTTCCTTCTCATGTTCGCTCATCGAGGCAGTGTACCTATTTTTCCTTTTCCGTCCCTCTTCTTCATGTATGTTTTGGATGCGTGAACCGAAACGTGCATATGAGCACGTCTCAACGTCACCTTCCTTTTTTATGTTTGCTCTCTCAAGCAGCTGTACCTTTTGTTTCGTTTCATTCGTATCGTGTTGGGGTTGAGAAGTGAATATGATTCTCCATATCAGTGGGTGTATCGTTGTTTGGTTGAGGTTACACTTGGCTAAGACATGCATGTGATGCTCTGTCTTACCATGTGTGTGGTTTCTCGTCGTAATTTGGAAAGCTTTCGAATTTGATCGCAGCCAACTGAGACGTGCATATGATGCTACGCCTTTGCATGTGATGTGTCGTATTCGATTCACGTTGTGTGGTGTGTGATGCGTCGATGTTGTGAAGGTTGTGCCTTGCTCAAAGATTCACACCAAACTTCTGAGCCGCTTTCTTCCATGTATCACTCATAGCCAGACCCTCGCACTCCCTGTGGGCCTTCACCAGTCCATACGTAGGAGACGGCTTCGGTACCGCGTCTAGGAATTGTTGCAAAGCTGAATCGTACTCGCAGAATATCCTGTAATACTTCTCAACGATCTCAGACGGAGTCGCGGAGATCTCGTCATCGTCAAACTCGTCCGGCGCTTCAGCAGAACTCAGTGCCAAGTCCATGTCGAAGAGAGATGTTCCCAGGCTTGCGATGGTCTTGAAGGCCTGCATGATCTTGTGCTGTTCAGAGACCTCCAAGAACTTCAACCACTTGTTGTCGTGGAAGAGGTACTTGGTAAGGCGCTCATTGGCGAAGTCGATGGCTGCATCCTTGACGATAGCGTTGAGAAGGTGATACGGTCCGTCATCGTTGCGACCAATGGCATCTCCGAAGTTGATCAAGTCGATCAGCATAGAGACATGTTGCTCGCGCTTCGATTCCGGCCGCTCGTACAATCTCAGTAGCTCGTGGAACTGAGCCTCAAGGTCCTTGAGCTGGGCCTTTCCAACCTTGGACATGCGTAGGACTCCGTGCTTCAGCTCGTCAAAGACAATGACTGCCTTCCTAGGCGGAAAGGCCTTGTTGAGGATCTTGCCGATCTGGCTCGGCTTGCGCTTTCGTCTAGCGACTTTGTTGGCCTCGGAGACGACCTTGTCGTTTGTATTGACGGTAGAAGCAAGGACTTTAGGCTTCACGGGCCCTTCTTGCTTCTTGGCTGACGTGACAAGAGTCATCGTCTTTGCCAACCTTGCTTCAGCCTCCTTCTCCATCCGATCAAGCTTCACTTGTAGCTCATTCAAGGTCTTCGACGTCTCTTCAGCTTTGGCGATGAAGGCCTTCTCTGCGGCCGCCTGCCGCGACATGTCTGCTTCAAGCTTAATTTGAAGTGCCTTCAAAGCTTCCTCTTGCTTGGAGACGGAAGCCTCGCGCTCATCGAGCTCCTTTTGCTTGTTGGTCATTGCCTCCCTCATAGAAGAATTGTTCTTCTCGAGGCTCGCGATTCGCTGGAAAACCTCGTCGTTCGACTGGTTCTGCTTCATCTTAGCGTCAGCCCTCTTGGCTTCGGCCTCGATCCTCGCAGCCCTCTCTTCCTGTAGGAGGCTCAAGATCATCTCCAGCGTGCCATCATTGGTAGATCCTACCACGGGGTCAGTCTTCGATGGGGTGGAGTCCGGAGAAGACACAGCCGACGACAATTCGAGTTTATGAGGAGAAGCGTCTCTGGTAGCGGAACCTGGAGACGACGAAGAGGCTGACGAATCTGGTGGCGATGTCTTCTCTATGAGCTTGACGGATACAGACTCGCCAGCAGTGCTCTTGAAGAGCGCAGATTTGGACTCCAGGAGCCCCGCCGGTTGTTCTGGTGCTGTGGCTGGGCTGAACGAGAAAGGTTGATCTAGCGTCTTCGCTCCAGCATCAAGGTTGCCGAAGATGGACCCACCATCGGAGTTGATGAAGGAATTGGTCGTTGCTGGAACTTTTGGTGTGTAAAAGTTGAAGTTTTTAGGAACGGCTACAATTTTTTTGCCTATTGCTGGTGTCCACATGGGAGCGGCAAGGGCAGAAGTGGGTGCTGGCTTTGCGGCGTTTGGTGTTTGTTGCGTAGGAAACCAGTCGAAAGTCAAAGGCGCCGGAAAGCTAGTAGTTATTCCAGAGAGCTTGAAAATGGAAGCGCTGTCGAAGTGCGAACCTACTGACTTCAAACCGACGTTCGCTTTCTGGTTAGGTCCAACAGCGTCGCTGGCAGTGGTCGCGCGACCTATGGCAACATCTCTTTGTGGTTTGCCTAATACTGCAGATGAAGCATGGTTATTCGGATTGCCAGTTTGAGAAGAGAGTGAAGTCTTGGTTGTGACAGTCTCGGAGGTTGCCTTCTCGATAGATGATACTGTTTTCGCGTCGGTTGATGGCACTTTTGATGCGCCATTTTGTACACTTGCAAAAACTGGGGTTGTGTCGGTTTCCATGACCTCCTTTTCGTTGGCTCCATCAGTAGCAAGTAGAGCTGGGTCAATGTCCTGGTAGCCCGTCTCGAAATAAGGGGACTTGATCGCAGGTGGTGACGCATGAAATACAGGGTCACTGCGAAGAGGGACAACCTGTACTGTGGGTTTCGGCTGGGGTGGGGGCGGTTGAGCTGTAGAGACGTTGGGTGTGTTGGTCTGTGAGTAACAGGTGTATCCGCGCAGCCAATTCGAGAAATCTTGCCAACCGGTTGGAAGGTTATCGCGGATCTCCTCGATTCTGTCCTTGAGAGCTGAGACCACTTGAAGATAACCTTCTAGACTCGTTCTGCTAGTCCACGCTGTTTTCTCGATCTCCCTGACATACTGTCGAACAGTCGCGTCTGCAAGATTGAGTGTCGGCTCAAGGCAGTCGTTAGGGACCTTGTCGCGGCATTCGGTGAGCAGCTTTAGGAATGCCACGGCATTCTGTTTGCGCTTTTCGGGGTCCCTTTCGTTCATGGCGTATCTTGTATCGGGGTTGACTGTACGATCTCGTGAGCTGATTGTCCCGTGTAAGAGGTATAGAGGGTTTGGTAACAAAGGACAGTCAAGTTACAATGCAATTGTACAAGACAACGTGGTAGACTATGACATCGAAGTGAAAGGGAGAACTTACGTCTTGGCGCTGGATCGCTACGCTACAGAAGTAGGAAACGTAGGTGTTGGCGCGGAAACTAGAGAAGCTCGCAGATCGCACAATCAGGGGATATTGAGCAAATGTCGTCGACAGCCTATGTATAAAGAAAGCTGTAGTTGGGTGTGGTAGAGGCTGAATTGTGTTGAAGAGAAAGGCTTGAGCGTAAGCGGGGGCCATAGAAACGCGAACGGAGGTGACGGCTAGTGAAATGAATAGCACACAGACTGTGAAATGTAAATCAGCCGGATAGGCTCCAGCAGGTGACGGTGACGGTGACGGTGACAATGATTAGCCTTCTACGCTTTCCGCAGAGGATCTTTCACTGCGCTCCATGAGAACTCAGCGACATCTGGATAAGCCACTTTGCTCCTGATTGCGAGAACACGGTAAAAGTGCAACATATTTGCCATCAATTGCTCAATATAGGCGTTCTGAAGTATGCTATCTCCTAAGGCATTCACTGTTAACAACTTTGTCCACCAACATGGCTTGTTGGGTGCAAGCCATTGCAATAAGGTGTCACCATTCCGTAGATAGGTACCCAAAATATACCGCAAGTCTTTCCTGGTGTTATTATAATACCGGCGCTGATACGGACTGTGCTCCTCCCAGTGCTGTGCATATAGTTGCTAATATGCGACTTGTCGAAGAGTGGGAGAAGGTGTAAACCTTTTGCACGGTTCCAGCTTATGAGGGGGGTCGATAGTATGTGTACAAGAAAATGATATGAGAGAAAGTGTATAGGTAGAGACCCTGCTCGATAGTGAAGGCTTTGCGGTGCTGTCTCGTCCCCCCTGGCGGTCGCTGGTCCTGGGGTGGCCACATCCAGAACACAGGAGCGACAGCTCCGATCCATACGTTACGCATTAACTGAAAACCTGTGATCGAACTCGAACTAGAATTTTCGGTAATCTTGGGCGTGATGCGGTGAATAGAAGGAAAGAAAGAAAGGAAGGAAGGGTTGGTGTTGACGGTTGGATCGGCTGGCCCCACTTTAGACGGACCGGACCGACACGAACCCTCCGCCCAGGTCACAGAACGTCTGGCGTCCCTTCTCTTTTCTCAGTCAATAGAGATCCTTCCAATTCCTCTAGATGGGAGCGACATATTAGCTCATTGATAACCTGGGAATCACTAGTCACGAATCAAGAACATAACTATTCCAAGGTTAGGTTGCTATCGGCGATATGCGCTCTCAACTGCATGGACAGCGATGAACAGAGTACGTACATCCCTGTGTAGTGGTATGTCGGTGGGGTTACAACGTTGCGCATGCGCATGCTTTTGGAAACAAGTTATGTAAAGCAGGCACATGGAACCATTATTCAAGGCAGAACATGCAGATGGGGTCTACATGCAGACTCGATCCGAAAAGCATGTCTTCTATAGCCAGTATGGCGATTGCAATGCGCCGGAGTGGGCGGGATGCTATTAATCCGTGACATTTGTGTCGAACAGTCGCGGTATACCGAGTAAAACGACGAAGTGAGAGACGTGACTGAACTTGTAGACATTACAAAAGATCATTATACCTGCACTTCTCATCTTCGAGCTCGTGCTTTCGGCCGAGTAGGTAAGTACGGTATAAGCAGGTCGATGAAAACCGAAGACAGAACCAGAATCTAAAAGTACTACAGTCTCAGCGTATTGTATACAAGGTGAACCTTACGCATTGCGAAGAACAGCAGGATTGACTTACGCAGCAAATACAGATAACCCGTATGACCACTTCATGACATCGCAACCATATCGGGTTGGCAACGATGCCTCCGCACATCCGTGCTCCAGATACCAGGGCCGTAGACTGATGTGTTTGGGATCTGAAAAGTCGCCCAAGTCTTGGATATATGCACTATATATCCATAACCCTGCAAGTATGATGTCGTACAATGCGTTTATCGTAATTGTAGTGTAGAAGTCGAGAACCTGCTTGCTGAAAGAGATGATTGAAAAGCGAACGAGCCACATGAACAGGGTCACGATCGCAATGCATAGATTGCATAAAGTACAGCTGCTTGAGGTGTCAGAGTTCCAAATTACTGTCACATTGAGGACATAGAAACAAACCTTTCATCCCATATTAAAGGTATAGACGGCGATTCGCGATAATTCGCATAGTCGTACACACGTTGATGGGGATCGGAGTTCCAGCCTTTAGCGCCGCCTTCTTGCCAAAGCACTGTCCGGAACCGATCGGGATATGTAGTTGCGAAGAGGGAGAGAAGCATGATGGCTAAGATCAGATCAAACAATGTGGCGCCGAGAAAGATCAGGTAGGGGTTGCGGAGCATGACGAGCGATACAACGAATGACGATCGGATTTATCCTACTATGGGCTCTACAATATGGAGCTGTGCAATGAGAACTCTTATATCATTCGAGAGATCAGTATCGACAGGGAGTATATGCGCTAAAGCAATGTCAGCTCACTTGTAGTCTCAAGTGCTCATTTGCGTTGCGATTGTGGCAAGGTCCAGAAGAGAAACACTTCGGGTCGCGACTGTTCTTTCCGCCTATAAACGGTAGACATGCAGTAATGTGGTGGGGACTAATACTATATTAGTGGGTTAGTTGCGTTGTCTCTGCATAAACCCGACTTCCGGCGGGAATAAACGCCAAGCAAAGTCGCGCAAATAGCCTCATGTTGAACTTTGAAAAGACACACCTACAGAACGCCATACGCAACTGTGTGTACATTGCGACAGGTGAAGTGCGCAAGAATGCGTCCATATCCATGTGCCAGTTCTCCAGTCGTACGGACACCATAGTCCTTCCCAGAGGCACTGGTCCGCTAGAGGCGAGACTGGCCATGCTGGGAGTCGGATGATTTGACACATGTATTGTCGTACAGCCTGGCAGTTGCGCGGTTATCGCCATGTTACCTCGGTGAAGACACCAAGAAGACCATAAAGTTCTAATGCAGAAGAAACGTGATTCGGTCGTTGAGACCATGTCCATCTATATCGTACAAGTGCGTATGCTTCTCTACGCTTGTATCAGCCACACCGATCAGAGCTAGCTGCGCAACGATGTGTGTGCTCACCACGATGTCTGCACACCAAGCATCGTAACCTCCTCCAAACTCCTTTCGCTTACATCCCGTACCATCCAACTCTTACTGTGCGCTTCAAGCTCTCCTAAGCCTGCCCAAGCTCCAGTTTTCACTATGCTTGCTGCTCTCATCATGGTCCCCGATATTCTGCCACGCGGCATTGGCAGCCTTCATATCACCTTTGTTGGAGATCTCACTGCTTCGTGGCCGCGTTGTCGGGTTTCTTATAGGTACTCACGTCTCCTGACAACTCTTTCTGATCCTGACCTTTCAGGAACCACCCAGTCGCGAACCCGACGAAGAAAACCATGTTTGCTTGATAGGTATAGCGCAGCAGTGTACCAGGGTGAGGATTTGGCTTAGGGGCCATGGCGTATGTGTGATATTCGAGCGAGGATGGTGTGGTGGGGTGTGTTCCAAGGATGGCAGTGACATCACAGGCAAGTGTTCTCGCTCGAGCGAACCTGACTCTGCTTGACCGTCCCAAACTATTGGCGCGTACCTTAACGGCAACACTTTTCAGTCCCGAGTCTTGTAATGGCGTCTCATGTTATCCGAGAGCTCCTGTGCTATGCGCCTGCCTCGTGCATCAACGTTGCAAACTTCAGACCATCACCCTGAGTCACTGCCATGTCGATTCTTTGCCCTAATTATACAGTTATAGTCGATCTAGATTATACTCTTTCGTTACTTTGATCTCGTTCGCTCCCAATGAGCTCAGTCTCTCGGTAGGATCCGTCTCGCTGCTCAATGTAACGAAAGCAGCCGCTTGCGGTTTCACGCCCTGCGGCATCCATTGCGAAGGTGGTGCATTTAGGTTCGATGTCGATGAGCCGTTGCTTGCTGTCCTGAATTTCATCCGCCGGAGACCGATGCCCTCATCGGTGGCGAGTGGAGGAGTTCGGCGCCACGAAGGTAGGGAGCGGACGTTGGGTACGCAACAGCAGACGATACCAACAGCGACTTCGATTGGGGAAAAGCAGACGCGCCACCATGACGCACCGATCGGGTCTTCGTCGACGTTGCCAAACACGTCGATCGCGCAGTCAATACGGAGGACAGCTAAGATGGTACAACTGCGTGGTATCAGTAAGGGCCACTCGTGTCGGACCTTTGGCTTCACTTACAAGCATCCAAGGAGAAACAAAACCATCACCCACAACTTCTTCTTCCCGGAGAGTTCAGCTGCAGCTATGGCAGGCAATGGGGCGAAGAGTATGATACTGTTGAAGAACACATGCAACGACCCGATGATGATGCACGACTTCTTGCTTTGCAGTTTACACTCTCCTGGTGGATGGCACATACTGATCCAACCCGCGAGCGACCAAATATACCAGATCGCGATGAGTGCAATAGATACGTAACAGGCGATGCGAGCAACCACCCTCTTCTCGTACAGTCGGAGGTAGGATTTTGCGAAAGCCAATTGCACGGTCGCAATGGATGTGGCCCAACAAATGTCAAGCGCGAACTGCATCTTGAAAGGCTATTAGTCAAGCTTCGACGGACGTCTAGTTGAACATACCCGCAGCCAGAATCGCTCCACAACGTCAAAGTTCTTCGTGGGGTCGGCCTTGATCTGATCGCTCGTCAAGCCTTCTCCACCCAAGAAGACCAGCACGTAGACTAGGGCAACTACGACGAAGCTCATAGCCTGCGAGGTGTCAGCATAGTATCACAACAGGGGATTTGTAGTCGTACCAGAGCAGCCACCATCAGCGCATCTTCGCCCAAGGTATTGACCCGTCGAACGCTCCTTGTGTACCATCTCGCCGCTACCACGGCCGACGCCACCACAAAGCATATGGTTGGCGCGATCAACAAGGCAAGTTGCTTGCCATTCACGATATCGAAACGATCCGAGTTCTTCCCCGCCATGTTCAATGTTATCCACCTCTTCTTCACTTCACCGCATACCGGGCGCTCGTCAAAGTCGTCAAAGTTGTCGAGAGAGGGGCGAACTGGAACTAGGATTAGAAAAGCCCCGAGCGGAGCGAACGTATGTAGATAAAGCCAAAAAGGCGATCCTCCCAGTTGCCTGGTCCGGAGCACGGTGCTGTCATGCACTATGCTCGTTGGGTCCGCCGTCTTCAACGCCTATCTGGCAGGTCACCTAGGGTGCCTCAGCCGTGCGGCCCATGCGACATGTCTGCTCACGGCCATTCGGGAGTCAAAAGTTAGTTAGGGAGCATGGAGGGGGCCGTGCTCTGCGTTGCTGATTTGTCGCACATCAGACGGTCCGACGCGGAACACGGCTAACCTGCATTGATCCTTGCTAACCATTTACTTCTGATCCAATCGAGTTGCCTTAGGGCTACACACCAACACGCGCCTTCCATGGGGGGCTTGTTCTTCAGGAAACCGATACGGCTAATGTGAGCTATTGCAGGCCAAAAGTAATATAGCACGCTGCCAGGTCTTTGCCATATTCTGGTAGGTTTTGATAGTAGTTTCACTGTCGTCGAGGCGATCGGTTGGTAAGAACTAACAGCAGGCTATGGGCGATCCGCGCATATGTCTGCATCATTACGTGCGGGGTTGCCGAAGCGTGGAAGCTGAACCCCCCGAGGCGACGGTTGGCATCCCCTATCGATCACGCAGCCCCCAGGCTCAACACCGCGAACTGAAACAAGCCGCCGAGTCGGCCGTTCTTCGTCGCGTGGCAGCTAGGACATGGATCCTGCGCAAGCGAGGTGGCGCCTTCTATCGTGACCTAGAACAAAAGTCTTTACGTAGCAACAAGATTGTAATTTTGCTTCTCAAGTCCAGCACACGTAGGGACAGCATTCATCCATGCCACATGATTAGTTCTCACACCTCAACAACCCCACGGTTCTCGCCCAACGCCATACACGCCTCGAGGACACCTCCGATTCATTTCTACAGCGGACCGATCGCGCTCCGAATAAATCTCCGACGTTATACCGCATGCACACGCGTGCGACGGGAGAGTTTCCTGAATGATGTTCTGGAATCACACCACATAAAACTATATCTGGGGTATTTCCCAGCCATTCGCTGCCTTATTGTTTCGGCCCAAATTCTGGTGTTGACGTCACTTTTGATATTGAATCACCGGCATAAGGTAAACATCGGGCAATGTAGACTGCCTATCACAGCACCTGAGTAGGAGGCGAGTAATGAACTTCACGTGCATGTGCTTATCTGGTACAGCCATAGCAGTGCGAGTACTCAAGGGAGAAGGGATTGGCGAATGAGAAGCGATGCATTCGAAACTACCCGTATACCACGCACACGCGAAAACCACGGGTGGAGACCCTCGCGACCGTCAAACAAGAAAACCACAAACGCGAAAATTCAGCCAGGAGGCTCTCGGAGATTTCTGATCCCGGCGCACCCAAACTCCGAAGCGTACCCCGGAGGCCCTTGCATAACTCCAGAATCCGAACCCTTAAAAAAAACCCTGGGCCTAATCCGGGGCCTGGCACAAAGTTGTCCCAGTTCATATGGTTCATGTGATCCTCCAAAGGGAAGAGTTCCGTCCTGCACATTGGGCAAGAATTGTGGTTCTCCAACCATGCCTCGATGCATGTCTTGCCGAAAACGTGACCGCAGGCATTTAGCCTTGCTCCGACTTGCTCCTCTTGATGGTGGTGGTGATGAGGGTGGCGATGATGGTGGATGTCGGAGATGTTGTGATATGTGTCGACTTGGTCGTCGAGGACTTTGCGTTCGGCTTTGCTCAGAGGCTTGTGATCAGCCTCCGAGGCCTCGCAAGCGAGGTCTTTCAGACAGATGCTGCAGCGATCTGCTGGGGTGGAGGGTTGGAGGTGAGGTGCCAAACCGGACTCATCGAAAGCGGCCTTGGTGGCGTAGACGGGCTTGGTAGTAGCCATGTTGATAGTGATGGTGATGATATGGTAAGATGTCTTGGGTAGTGGTAGTAGTGGTAGTAGTGGTAGTGGTAGTAGTATTTCAAGGTCGTTGTGATGGCTTGGTAAGATGATCCTCGAATACTAGGGCTTGGGCACGATGTTTGCTGAAGAAGAAAAGAGAAGGGAAGTGCGAGAGAGAACGGCTTTTATTACAAAAGAGCACAGACTGTGAACCTGCGAGCGGCTTCCGAACCATACTGTCTACCCCGAGATCTGCCGTACCAGCGGTATCACGATACTATCCATGCCTTTGCGGACCTATGAAGAGATGTGCATACTCATCACACGCTGGCGAATACCTCCGGGAACCATTAAAACATCAGAATAGGATCCACCCTATTCCGTTCCATTTTACCGGAAGAGTCATACATCCACTGGCCCTATGAGAAAAAAGATATATGCATGACATATGAAGCAACAATTCTAGGCTCCTCCATCATTACATCAACATGGGCATATTTTCCACAGCAGCCAAGGTACCACAAATCCATTATTACTATATACACACTCTATAAGGCCTCAAACTTCTTACCCTGGGACCTACTCAGGCCTGCAACGGCTCCGAAGGCGATCCTACCCACACTATCCGTCGGTCTCTCATCCCCAACGAATCCCGGGCAAGCAGCCATGGTCTGTTTCCACTGCTTATCTCCCTCAGCAGCGCTCAGGATATCAGCATAGACCGTCCCAGCCTTGACCATGGCCGCTGCACCCAACCACGGCATAAACGGCTTTCCGTATACGGCATAGATGGCAAGCGCTAGCAATCCAAGGAGGTGAGCTCCGAGGAAGACAGAGCCGATGATGATTTCTGCAAGCGTTATCGCCGTCTTTTTGATTGTGATGCCTGGGTCGACAGCCACCCTCCGGCTGTAACGGTAACGAGAACTGTAGCTTCTGCCTTGATCCAGCCACTCTTTGTTAGCGAGGAAAGCGCCCACGGTAAACGCTTCTCTTGTATTGGTTTCCTCTGTAAAGGACGTAATCCAGTCGCGCACTGTTGCGAGAACGGCTTCTTCGTCACGGTGGTTTGAATCCCCAAGACATCCCGACTCGCTTGAACTCATGGCATAGTTAAGAGGCATGGACGAAACGCAATTCGGGCTCCAGGGTATATACCATGAGTCATATTCAGGATCGTATACCTTGGTTAGATTCATGACAAAGGCGGATGGGTTCGAAACGCGTTTCTCGATGAAAGAGCCTTCACCAAAGAGGGCCAGTCCAAGAGCAGTCAGGGGTCCGATATGACTTCCTATGGTCTGCGTGATATTGCCAGCATATGTGTCTTCGGTATCCCGAGCTGCCACGGCTTTGCCCCAACTACTGTATGAACCTGACATCCATTCGTCGGTTAAGGATGGCAGAGAACAGTTATCGAGTAAGGGCCCGGCACGGTTTCCATTCTTGGCACACGGAAGCTCAAAGTAGCCTAATGACGATTTGGCCGTTACTTTATAATAAGAAGGGGTATCCATTCTGTATGGTACTGATACGTTAAGATAGAGTTCTTCGGTGATATCCTGTCGGTTGTATGTAGCTTGCCAGGGCGTTTCGCTTATGTTCGTAGGCATACAAGCCGTCAAATCGGTGTCGTAGTAACTGCTGTAGTCATAATCGGTGTCCTGGTAATCTGAACGTCCATGATACTCTGCAAAGAACAAGCCTTCTCTGTCACGAACACATTCGCTTGGCCATTCGGCAGCAGTCATGTTCGCGTACGTAATCGTTGTGTTGATGCGGGGCGCGTATTGAGGCTCATCGTAAACACCGGTGTTGAAGTCCGAGACCAAAGGTGTGAACCAAACGTCTGAACCTGAATCAGAGATTAGTTCGAAACTCCCCCGGTAGTCGTGGTAAATGCGGTCAGCTTGCTGCTTGACCCAAAGGAAAGGTTCATATTGGTCCTCCTTGGTCGATTCCAGGATGCTACGGAGTCGAACAACTAGTGGGTTGCTATTGCTAGTACTACCGTTGATCAGAGCAGGCAGATCAGGAACATGGTCGGTGTTATAAAAGGTATCCTTAGTCGCGATCTGTACGGTGGTAACTTGGATAAAGGTCTGTTGAAGGATTTGGAAGACCGCACCTATATTTTGTTCAACACTGGCTTCTCACTATTATACACAAACACATACCGACTAACGTCAACCCGAAGGCAATGTACAATGGCAGGCTTCCTACTTTGGAACACATAGTCCATATGCGTGGACTGATCCAGCCTTGATCGGCAAGCGCCATAGTCTGACGAAGGTTCAATTTTGTTCGTGCGCCACTGGCTTGGATAAAAGCAGCCAGGGCCATGGAGCAAATTGCCGATGTGATGGGGATAGTGAGCAGAGCGACGACTGCTTGCAAGATCTGCGCCGCTCTGACAGCATTCTCGTGTTTAGTCAAGATAGCATCCCGCTCACTTGCATAGCCCATTTTTTTCGTGTAATCCTGCTTGCTTCCAATCGGTCGGTTGCTTGCGATACACAACACGGCCCACGTGAAGGCGGAAAGTGTGGCGTAAAAGATGAAGACCACCAGCGGCCACAGCGATGTGTTTAGGGTCCTGACCACTGGCTCACGGACGGTCATGGAAGACGCTCTCGACAAAAACCTTGGCTCATGAGTGGTTTCTGGGACCTTTGGAGCGACCGTATTCGGATGGCTTGTTTCCTCCCTAACGCTGTGCATCTCATGCAATTCTCGTTGTTCCATGTTTGCTGTGGTTGGTTCGATGTTGTTGAACACCTTCGAAGAGATGTCCAGGAAAATGAAGAATCCGATAATTCCTACATCCTGCGCTGTACAGGCAATGAGATAGTTTTATTGAACCGCGAAAATGCATGGGGCACGGTAGCGCTTATCGTTAGTGCCCGGCCTTGGCCCCCGTATTGGTATACAATTGGTATTGATGCTGGGGGCCGGACCGGGTGTCGGCACGGAAGAACCTGATCCTCGCTCATCGCACAAGGGGTTGGGAGGCATAATTTGAACGCCAAACACGTTGTGAGTTCGCTGAAGATTTTGATAATATGCGAATGAGAAAATTTGTAGACTTGTCTATATCAGGTCGTGACGCAAGTTGGCACGTCGCAGTCGAGGCCTACACAGTTTCCAGGTCGGTCGCTCGCAGGTCTTGGCGCATACTTGCTATTTCCACATGTTCAGCCTTGCAGGGCAGAACCTAAGGCCTCCCACCAGTCATCAGGTCACGCCAGGTTAGGTTAAAATGTGGCATGTCCGGCACGCGATTCATTTCTTTGCAATCACAATAACGCCACGCACGACTCCGGTCCTTCCCCACCAGCTGAACATGGACTTTGCAACACCGAAGCGTCCTATGCCGAGGCCTAACATTTTGAGTCTACTGTCTTGCTCTTTAAGGAATACTGCCAGTGGCGCGAAGACATGCTCTGTTATATCCGTGATGGTTATTGCTTCAGACTTGTATCCCACCTGCTCGAGCTTCGAGCGGTACGCTTGTGGTGTGCTAAAGTTTGCCCAAGGAGCGCCCATAAGTGCAGTGAGAAGACGAAGCATAGTCCTCTGGGTCCATGTTGCGGTTGGAGAAAGGCATAGGTCGAAGCCCATGTAGTTGGCTTCGAGTTCTGTGTGGACGTGTTCGATGAGAGGCCAACGTGAGGGCGCGAAATGGTATGCTGTATCCAATGCCAATATCCACCCCTCATCCGAATTTGCTCTTGCCTGTCGTATTGAGTTTTGCAGCCCTTCGTTCCATAGCTTCGGTTTTGACGCATCGGCGCAGAAGAGCGATATCGTGGAGCTTTCGTTCTGTTTGAGTTCCTCAACTCGCTCAGACGCATATCGAGCCTGTACTTCGTCTTTCGTGATTCCAATATAATGGTTGAACGTGACACAGCGATCTCGTTCATCCCACCAGTCTTTATCGCACGCTCGTATAGGTTCTTTGCTCATGAGATAGATAGTCTGATCACCGCATCCGAAGCCCAGGTCGAGCAAGAATCTTCTTCGTTGTGTTCGTCCTTCATGGTTTGGGAATCCAGCCTCAGTAAGTACAGCTTTTAATAAGTCGCGACATGCTTCGCTCAATGTTGTCGAAGTAGCATGTTTTCTCCAGTAGCCCATGTTCATCCACATGGCAGTAGGAAGCTGCACATGCAGTCGCCCATGCTGCAAACCATAAATTGATGCTTTTTCTTCTTCAGTCCTCTGTGCACGTGTCGTTATCCACCAAATTGTAGCGGCCAGCCATACTCCCAATATCTGCATTGATCTTTGGCCGTCCATGCCTAGGTTGCCGAATAAGGTGCTTTCGTACGAATCCAAGCCGCGCATGCAGACATGTATAACGTTCGATAACGCGAAACCCGCAAATACGCTGTAGGCAATAAATAGTTCATTCCACATTGTTGTTTGCCGTGTTGGAGCGATTGGATGGAGCGACGGTAAAGGCTTGAATAGCGAGTGGGATCTCAGGAAGCTTCAACAGGGCAGTGACGCTAGCCGTTTCAAGCGAACATGTATGACGAGATGCACATAAGCTGACGACACATCACGGCAAATTAAGAAGTTCGTACAGTGTGCACTTTAACATCAGAAGGTTTCAGTCCCGTTCAAGTCACATTTCAACTACTGAAGTGTTATTTGTGTTGGTTCCTGTAATGGAACCGGGCATGTATCATCATGCCTGGGTATCTACTCTATCAGATTACCTACCCCTCTACGGAAAAGGGGTTTTCTATTTGACAGTAACACGTAGGGGGGAGACTGGGCGCTTTATAGCCGTGAGTTACAAGCCAGAATCTCAAACTTTTTCGTAATTTACTGATGCGTCCAGGGCACCTTGACATGGAGCGCATCCGCAACCCGCATGGCCGATATAACACAACCTTCTAGGAGGACCATACCATCCCAGCACCAGCCGCCCACCAGCCATACGTTATCCTCGCCGTTCCTCCAACGCGGTACTGATTTATCATCCGCATTGAAGTTGGAGCCGTTATCGAAGATGGCATTGACGATGCGCTGGCTCTCTGGGCTGCGAAGAACGCGCGTGAACTTGCTCCTTTGAGCTACATGCTGCTGCTCAAGAGGTGTAAAGGGACAGGTTGTCACCACGACACCACAGGGTTGGAGATGATGCGACTCGGTTGTGGGCGTATCGGCGGTGGAGGTGTTGAGGTGGATCAGCTGCGCGCCTTTCCTGTCGCCCTTGGTGAAGTCGCTCCCGTGCAGCACTGTCCAGTCTGTATGAACTACGCTTTCCACGACGGCGGTTGGTATACGTTGCATGTGGTGTTGGAGGGGCTTGAAGATACGGCCCACGACATCTGGAGCAACAGCCAAAATCACTTTGTCGAAATACTCCGTTGTCAGCTCAACGTTCGATCCACTGCGCCACGATATCCGAACACCCTTTTCGAAGGGCTCCACGGCCGTGACGGTGGCATTGAGAGTAACCTCGATACCTTTGACCAGGCGTTCCTGTACCCCTCCTACGCCATCTGATACGGTGTAGTGCGGCGCGCCATGAGTCCTCCGTTTGTATCCAATGATGTCGCTGGCGGGGAAGGCGAGTAAGGAGTCGTGAGGACAGGTGGATACGCTTGACAAGAGAGGGAGCAGGTAGTAGGTGATGAAATAGCGCGGACAATACGTGCGGTCCAGGTACTGCTGCAGCGTCTCGGCTTGTCTCGGCTCGACAAAGACGCAGCAGAAGGTGAACCAGGCGTAGGAGAATGCCAGGTATAGCCACTGTATCAGGTACGAGGCGACGCTAACTCCGCTCGATCGGGGCGCAATCTGGTGGAGGTTCGATGCGTGTGTAAAATACGACTGGTCACGGCGACCAAGTGCTAGGGCTTCAGGGCTCGCATCGCGGCATTTTGCGAATTCGAAGAGGAAGGGCTGCGAGTGGTACGATATGCGCAGGTAGTCGTACAGGGCCTTGAGATTGTTGTAGTACCCACCCGCAAAGGCGCGCATAGGCAGGTCCACGCGGGTCGGAGCGTCCTTGGCGGCATCTGGGATGGAGATGGAGGCAGCGTCGAGGGAGAGAGTTCGGCCCTATATTTACTTTTGTCAATACAGCCCCAGATGGAGTGATGTCAGGCGTCCCTACCGACTCGAAGACCCTGACGGCATATCTTTGGTGGACATCGTGGAACAACAGGTTCGCGCTAACAAGCCCAGCAAGGCCAGACCCTATTATTGCGACCCTTTCGCGCGGGTGCTCCATGTTGAGGTGGTCGTAGGCGTCAGCTGGGTAGAGCTGTGTTGTTGTTGTTTATTAGGAAAACATGACGTGCAAACCGTCGTTTGTCCTCGGCTGCAGCGCCCGCAGTCTCAGAACAGGTATCGTCCGTCTCTGCCCAAATTGTTACGGACGTTAATCGACAACCGCTTGGTCGCGGCGGCTAAGCTCGAATAGAACAAAGTGCATGGCGAAACACATGCACGCCGCGGGGTCCACGCATCCTGTCTTGATGTCATGCCCAAATTGAGACGTGATGATTGGTCAATGAAATGTGACCAACGCGTTCCTTGCATGCCCACCTCCAGCGTTGGCCACGCGAGATGTACACCTCTAGACTCTGGAACACCACTCTTCTGATGCACTTTGTAGACATCATTTGAGTCTGCTCAATTGTGAAGATGGCAGGAACCGACAAGCTTCCCGTGATGCGGGTCGCCGTCATTGGAGCTGGGTGCGCCGGTCCTTCCCACATTGAACATCACATGCTAATGGTGCGGAAGCCCGGGTGGATTGACAACCCTGAAGACGTTGCTACAGGCATCGACGCCTGAGCGACCGATAGAGGCTGTCTTGTTCGAGGCGTAAGTATACTATCCCCAACCCACATCAGGTCGACTATCAGGTGACCTAATACCCTCCCTCAGAGAAGACAACGTCGGAGGCACCTTTCATTATCGTGCCTATGAGAATGCCGAGCTGGTATCGTCAAAGCAACTAACTACATTTTCCGACCACCGCTTTCCGCTTTCAGCACCGGACCACATCTCGCTCCCGCAATATGTCGAGTACTTGCAAGCCTATGTGGACAAGTTCGATTTACAACCGCTCATGAAGATGGGCTGTAGAGTCAATAAAATCGAACCCATAGCCAAATCGGCTGATCAGAAGTGGAAGCACCGTGTTAGATATGTTGACAAGAACATTGATGGGAAGGAACGCACTTTCGACTGCTCCCATGTCGCTGTCTGCACTGGACTGCATGTCGAGCCCAACGTTCCCGCTATCCCCGGCATCGAGAACATTAAAGGCGAAGCATTCCACTCCTCACAATACAAGAAGCGGGCGCAGCTTACAGGCAAAGACATTCTCATCATGGGTTGTGGAGAGACTGCCATGGGTATGTTACATGGGGACATAGTGATTAAGTATAGGCTAACACACTTAGACATTGCTTATGAAGCTATGAAGGGTGATGCGAACTCGGTTACTATGTGCTTCAGAACGGGTTTCCTGTCCTTCCCAAAGGCGCTTTCACGTTTCAAAGTGTTCGGCAAGCAGTTCAAAGGAGGCCTACCCATCGATGGTCTCATTACCAACCTCTTCGAGACAGCCTACGTGCATCGTGCGATAGCTGCTAGTCGTTTCCGTTGGTTTGTGTCCGACTTTGTCATAAAGCGCGTACTATGGTTCTTGACCGGCACCCAGGCGGGCATGAAGTGAGCTCTTATCCAATTATGACAAGCTAATACGTACTGACCTCATATAGCCAGCATGTTGGTGCACTACCACATGATCGACTAGGAAGAGCTTTCGTCTTCCTAAACAAGAGTAGCAAAGCCATGCCATATCTGAACCGTCCGTACAAAGAGGGCCACCCTCTTGCTTTCCTTGGCAATGGCTACGTAGATCCGCCCGAAGATGCGCAATCGAAGAAATGGGTCGATACATGCACATTTCCTGAGCGAATAGACGAAACAGGCAGGGTAATATTCGAAAAGCGTCCAGACCGAAAAGACTGGAGACGCATGAAGAACACAGAAGTACGACCTAATTGTGTAGTCTACTGCACTGGTTACAAGCAGTCATTTTACTTCCTTGATCCTTCATATCCCACGGCATCCGACGCTACCATCCGCAATATCGTCTCGCCAGTAGACCCTAGCATATCTTTCATCGGCTTTGTGCGACCCGGTGTCGGCGCCATTCCTCCCATCGCCGAACAGCAAGCCATGTGGTGGACAGCGCTAATTACGAACCAAATGGCCATGCCCACTGATCCCCCACACTACCATCTTCTGGCCAAAGAGACCTCGCGCATCCAATACGGCGTCGATCACAGCGCGTACATGAGTACTCTTGCGAAAGACTTTGGTGGCGCTCCCGGATTGCGCCAACTTTACATGGCCCATGGCTTGAAGGTACTCTTGGTATACTGCTTCGGAGCGAGCTTTGTGACCTTTTACAGGCTCGTTGGGCCTTTCAAGAGTGACGTTGCTCCTAGCATCACCAAGACTGAATTGGCAGAGACCATCCTCCGCAGAGGCATTCTCGGGAATCTGTTCTTCGGCGTAAGTATTTGACTGAGTCCGCGCTTGGCTATTATCTGTACTAACATCCTCATAGGTAATACCCATGCTCTTCTACGGGCTAATCAATGCTACAGCCTGGATGCTTGAGATGGTCGGGCTTATTCCAAAAGAGAAACCACTCGTATGAGTACTACGTAGCGTAGTGATCATTGTGGCTTGTTGTGATGGTTAAAGTTAACCGGAGCTGATGGACAAATGAGGAACGATGTAAATGTATTCGCAACTGAGCGGCTGTCTAATTACGGTTCTGACCGAGGGTATCTCTCATACTGCCTGAAAACTGCGAATATGTGCATAAAACTAAAAAGAACCTAACTAAGAAGAGTTGCTGTTATCAGCACAAGAGAAGGCCGAGTCAATCGACCCATCCCTGTACGCGTCCATGATTTGCACAATAACGCCGTACGTGCCACCGACCGTCAAGAAGATCGAGATGCCAATCAGGATAACGTGCAGCACATACATGATCTTCTGCCACCATGTCCCCTTCCAGTAATCCTGGTGATCGTAAATCCAAAGCCAACCCGGTAAGCCAAGTGCCAAAGGAGCAAACGCAATGCTCCCCGCCAGACTGAGCAAGTAGTTGAAAATCGGCACACCGGATGCGATCAAGAAACTCACAACCGTCATTCCGGTGACGCAACCAAGCCAAGTACCCCAGTGTACCGGCGAGTTGGCTTGCAGATGTTTCGAGTTCCTCAGGATACGGACGAAGACGTATTTGGCGCTGACATGGACAAAAAGTGCTCCGCTGACACAGAGTCCGATGAGTCCAACTCCGTAGGACACCTTCTTGACCATGGGTCCAGCACTACCGAGGGAGGGTGAGGCGACCCATTTGCCGCACCACTTGTACACGACGAGACTGAAAGAGAGGTATGCTGCTGTCACAATGCCCATACACCAGTTTACGGCTTTGCTGTACTCGCGCGGGTTGCGCATCTCGGACATGACGGGCAAGAAAGCTGATGTACCTGCGCCAGAGCAGAAGATTGTTGAGGCAGCTGTGATACCAGCGGCGAAGGTTGGATGGCCGATGACGTGGTAGCCAAAGTCGTATGGTCCGGATTGAGGAGCTGCGGCTGGTCGGTCGAGGGTTGTTACTCCGACGCTGCATACATGTTAGTCTACATGGTCGTTTGTGTAAAAAGTAGAATTGACTTACACAACGATGAAGACGGCGATGAAAACAGATGCGAACCCCGCCCAGGTGATCCAGGCGATCTTCTCAAACTTTCTCACACTGGCGCAAAGGCCCACCATAATCGCCGCGATGATGGAGAAGTAGTTTGTGCAGAGTGAGTGGTTCGACAGTGCGTTTAGTGCTGTCGATACACCGACCATGCCAGATGCGCCTACGATGATGAAAGCGACAAGGAAGAGTACGCCGGTGATTTCTTTAACAATGCGACCACCGACTAATTGGCCCATGTCGGCGATGGAGTGGCAACCTGGATGGTTGTTACGGAACTGCCCCTGTACCAATGCGCACCATGTGTTTAGGCCTTGCCAGCCGAGCACGTTGATCGCACCAGGAAACGCGCCGAGCGTATACATGGCGCTAGGAATGGTGAGTACACCAGTCGCGAAAATGACTATACAATGATCATGGTCAGCGGGATGGTCTCGGTGTTGTCGAACGTGCTGGGTAACGTTACTCACGTTTTAGGAAGATGACTGAAGTATGGATCCAAGACACCGTTCGGAAATCCTCATATCCCTCTCCTCTCTTGAAAATCTCGCCATCGTTTTCGATATCGACCTTGCCGTTGATGCTTTCCGAGCTGGTGCTTGGCGCTGGCGCGATGATGTCTTCTTGCTTTTCAGCCGACATGTTGGCGATGGCAGGCAGTAGTGTCGGAATCCAGTGTTCGGCTTGAACAATGAATGGATCTGTCGGTACTTTGGCCACGGTATATATATTCAAGTACGCATGTATGCCATGAAACGGCCGTATCCTTGCACAGTACACTGATCGTGGACAACCCGCGTGGTATCAGCACGCGGTATCTTGGAATCCGGGGCAATGTGGGCTGGCAAGGTCCACAGCCCCGTTGTTTTGGAGGTTGATAGTGGCGATAGAGCGGTGCAGGCGACTCCGACGCCTACGCGACTCAGTTGCAGGGATGTCTCCAATGATATCCCAGCCTCCTGGTGCGTACCATTGGGGATCATTGCAACTCCAACTGATTGCGGAGATTCGGGACCGAGGGCTTGGAGAGGCTGGCGTTTGTCTTGGTACGTAGTTTGGAGGTATAATGAGTCCGATCGATTGGGTTTGGCATTCTTAGTGTTCACCCTGCAGGTGACTGCGATTCCTGAGCGGAGCTAGGCTTCTAGAACGTAGTTCGTGCGGAGCTAGGCTTCGCATTACGGTGATCTTACTACCTTACAGATACGACGGTTATGCGGCACCGCCTTCTGACGATTGCCAATTAGTTCTTGACAAACTGCTGCAATGCAGCCGTGATACCATTGTTATCGAATGATCGGTTAAGGAAGCAATATCAGATAGCTGAGAAGGGTATCAATTTGGAGGTCTAGCTACTCTTTCAACTTGAGCCCTGCTTCGGATGGCATCAGCGCTCCCTCGGGCGGTGGATTCTTCTTCTTGAACTCATCCGCCATTTGTTCCATAGTCACAAACTCAACACCTTCATGCTTCTTGAAATGCTCGATCAATCTCTCGTGCATTAAGAGTAGATGTGGTCGTCCAGATACATCCGGGTGAATTGTGATTGGCTGCGGCATCGCATTAGTTGAGCCAATACATTACGGATGTACCTTGGCTGGAACTTACGAAGATGAACTCATCATATTCGCGGTAGAAGTAGTCGAAATGATCTCTCCATAGATCCTCGGTATCTCGCGCATTGACAAAACCATGGCTGTTTGGTGAGGATTTGATAAACATGTGAGGCGGTAGATCCTAATGTCATATGTAAGCGCGTTTTTTACGTTGTACCACTGATTGCACATACATCAAGATACCAGTTTGCTGGGATCTCAACTAGACCAGTCTGTTGGCCTGCAACGAGCGGCTTCATCCATTCTTTGGCTTTCTTCTCGTAATCGATCTTGGTCCAGGAGTCTCCAGTCCTCAAATAGTAAGGTTGGCAGTCATGATGGCTCATACTGTGGTCGTATTCGATGCCATAAGAAAGGAGCAGTTCTGCACCTTCGCGACTCGTTTCCCACCTATGGAGTTAGTCAACGTACCGCATAGCTTAATGGTCTTTCAAAAGCTTACCAGGGTGCAACACTACCCCTTGGAGGTTTGCCGGCGAACTCAGTCAACATGCGATATGTCTTGTCAAGCACGTCTCGTTGTTGTTCCATGCTCATGTCGACCGGATTTTCGTGACTGTAACCGTGCAGACCTATCTCATGCCCGGCGTCGCGTACTGCGGCCATATCTTCCGGAAATGTCTCCAAACTATGACCTGGAATAAACCAAGTGGTCTTCATGTCGTACTTCTTGAACAGCTTCAACAGGCGCTGCGTACCAACCGTGCCAGCGAACAGACCGCGTGAAATGTCGCTGGTGCTGTCTTCTCCACCATACGATCCAAGCCATCCACATACCGCATCTACATCGACACCGTAGGAAATGAGAACGCGCTTCTTGCCCATGATAGCTGTGTTGTGTGAAAAGATGGTGGTTTGTTGAGTAAGGCGATGGATCGGATCAATTGCACAAGCTGTTAGCCAGGTTTGTGCGGGAACAACGAGACTACACGGTCAATTCGGCATTGCTTCCTCTTAATGCCATGATGCCGACCCTGAAAGCTATCGCGGGGTAATTAGCAGATAGAATGGTGCTAGAGCCGACGGCGGCTTGTGCATTCCGTCATTGGATGTGCCAGCTGCCCCTGCCTCTCCACGACCGCGCCTCGCTTATCAGTCCCGTCTTATCACCGGCCCCAACACCTCCAAATCCCCTCTCCAACGACCTTGGGACATCCGCATTCGGTCTTACACGTGCCGACAAGCAATCGCATGAAGCTATGACGACGACTACGGTACTGAACGCAATGATGCAGCACAACTCTTTGAGTACATTCATGGTCCGTATTGAACATGCCTGATAAGATGCGCGCAGCACAGATCGTAGAGGTAGGATGACGTCACAAGAAACTGCGGAATCGTTTCTAACAGGGTCTTTTAGAATGAGAAACCATATCAGCTATGTGAGCGAGCTATACCTCAGTGCGGAGACCATGATCTCCTTATCGAAGTGTATGCAGCCGGGTTTTGTCACTCTGATCTACAAGTATGGAATGGGCAATTTCCGACAAGCCTTCCTATGATCCCTTCGCATGAGCCGGCTGGCAAGATCGCACAGGTCGGTACGAACGTTCAAGGCTCCTGGAAGGTCGGAGACCGCGTCGGTGTTTTGAACTACAAGAATGCGTGTGGACAATGTGCAGGATGTCGACAGCACTCACGGAGATCGAAACGTCCTGATCCGCGCTTCTGCCAAAGACGAATCGTGGCTGGCTTCAGACACGATGGCGCATTCGCCGAATACATGCTGGCCGACCCAAACACCACAGTGCATCTTCCAGACGGAGTTTCCTTCGAACAGGGAGCGCCTTTGATGTGTGCTGGAGTAAGTTGGTCTACTGTCCAACTTGCAAACGAGACACCGTTGCTAACATCGTCAAAAGGCGACAGTATGGGGCGCACTGCGAAAACTTAGTCCCCAGGTCCAGCCAGGCGACGCTGTAGCTGTGGTAGGCATTGGAGGTCTAGGGCAGCTTGGAATCCAATTCGCCAAAGCCCTGGGATACAGGACGATAGCCATGGACAACCGTGATGAAGGTCGCCAGCTTGCGCTCGACTTGCCCGACCACCTGAGACCCGATTTAATCATGGACTCAACCGCCGAGGACGCCGAAAAGAAGATACAAGAATTTACTTCTGACGAAGGTCTTGCAGGCATCGTAGTGTGTACCGATTCGATACAAGCGAACGCTTGGTGCCTCCAGCAACTGGGTAATGGTGGTGTTATGGTCCCACTGGGCCTACCGAAAGATAAGTGGCAGTTTGACTCGGAAGCCATGGTATTCCATGAGCTTACCATCAAGGGCAGCTATGTCGCTAGCGCTGAAGAAGTCGAATCGATGCTCAAGGTGGTGGCCAAGTACGGAATCTCGTCACATTTGACCGTTCTAGGCTTCTCGGAAATTCCCAGCCTCATCGAGAGGTATCTGCACGCATCGATGAAAGGCCGACTAGTCATAAACATTAAAGAATGAGGTTCGTTCCATGTGGAGATCATTGATGCCAAGTGTCTCCGTACAAGGCAGGCCGTATCTGTGGATTGGATGAGGCAGGTTTCGCCACGAGTTGGGGTCATTTGGAGAGCTAGTCGCGTTAGCCTGCTTTGTGGAACCACTGACCCACCTACTCGCGATTGGTTAACTTGTACGTAAAAGCACCTCTTCAACACGAATATGTATAATGTTTCGTAGCATAGCAGAGCATCAGTGTTTATTTGTATCTTTTTCAGCTGTCGCGCAACATCGCACCTAATAGCAGCCCTTTACCATAATGTCTGTTTTCTTTGATTCTCCTCTAAAGTTAGTATTAACAACCCTTTCGTTTCCACGAGAGCACACGCTGACGAACTTGAAGTGAGGATCTTGTGGCGGTGGGCGACGCAGAGTCTGTGTTGGAAAGCATTGGTGTTACCAACGGCATACCAGCAAATGAGTCACAAGACTACCACCAGTTACTGGCTGCTGTCCATGACGTTGCGGAGCACATACTTCAACTACCCGACTACACAGCACGGACAGATACTGAGAAGTATCCACGAGAGCATATACATCGACCGTCAGCAGATGAGCAAGACTTTGGTAATGCATGGGCCCACAAGTTCCTCATACGTGGCAATCCGCAAGGAAGTCTGTTAAGAGGAAAGACGCTATGTCTCAAAGATAATGTCGCGGTAGCTGGAGTTCCACAGTTCTTCGGGACAGATGCTATTCCTGCATGGACACCCGATGACGATGCTACCGTAGTCAGACGAGCACTAGATGCTGGTGCTGATGTCGTGGGAACGACCATATGCGAGAACTTCTGCAACTCTACCTCATCCTTTACTTCGGCACAAGGTACCGTTCACAATCCATATGCAAAAGGTTACTCCGCCGGCGGTAGTACATCTGGTGGTTCCGCAGTAGTCGGCGGCGGTCTTGTGGACATCGCAATCGGTGCCGATCAAGGTGGAAGTATTCGCGTCCCGTCGTCTTTCTGTGGCTGTAAGTGTACCATTAATACTGCGCAAATCAGTGCCCAATAGTCAAGAGCTGACTTCGGGAAATATAGGTGTTGGACTAAAGCCAACTCATGGTCTAGTTCCTTATACTGGCATATCTAGCGGTGACGCTATCAATGATCACGCTGGGCCCATAGCAAGGTCAGTTGGCGACGTAGCATTGTGCTTGGATGCAATCAGCGGAAAAGACGACTACGATGATCGTACACTTGGTGCACCGACACACGGTTCTACACAGTATGCAAAGAGTCTTCAGAATTCGGTTGCGGGTTTGAAGATTGGCGTTCTCAAAGAAGGCTTTGAGCACCGACTCGTCAACCAAGAAGTCAGATCAACTGTGACGAAGGCCGTTCAGTCTTTTGAACGTCTCGGTGCTACCGTTGAAGAGGTGTCGCTACCTCTCCATCTAGAAGGGCCGGCTATTTGGACCATCCAACAGCGAATCGCAGGTACTCTCAACATGTTGGGCTATGCGCACGGTCGGAGAGGCCTCTTCTCAACAGCCTACGAGGCAGCACGGCAACCATGGACGAACGAAACATTCCAGAAGCTGTTCCCATCGACGAAAAACACCATCATTAATGGCCTCTCGCTCATGCAAAACTACCCGGGTCTTTATGCGAAGACTATGAACCTCGCCCAACAGCTCCGAGACTCTTATGAAAAGCTTTTTGAGGAATACGATCTTATCATTATGCCAACGACACCTTTTGTAGCTCCGCCGAACATAGATTGGAAGCGCGGGGAGGACGCACCAATGGATGCGCTAAAGCCAAGTATGGGCATTACCATCAACACCGCTATCTTTGACGTAACAGGCCATCCTGCTATGTCGCTTCCCGTTGGATTTTCTCCTTCGAGTGTCGATCCTGAAATCAGATTGCCGGTTGGCATGCAGCTAGTTAGTGGCCTATGGCAGGAGCAAAAAATACTAAATGCGGCTTTTGCGTGGGAGTCGGCGAACGATTGGAAAAAGATTGGCATTCCGAAAGATCAAGAGCTAAGGCTTGCCACGAAGCTATGAAGTACATATTTGTTGAATTTAGATGTTTAGATGCAATATATATCCCATCATCACAGAACGCATTGATCAGTTTATTGTGTAGCCGCCATCCACAACTAGCGCATGTCCTTGAATGAAGGATGACTGTTCTGAACACAAGAAGAGTACTGCATCGGCGACTTCTTCCGGTGTGCCCATCCTCTTCATAGGCGCTATCTCAATGGCCGGCTTGAGTGCTTCCACCATGGCTGGCGATGTGGTAGTCATGGGCGTTTCGATCACGCCAGGGCAAACGCAGTTTACGCGTATAGCATCATCAGAATAGTCGATGGCATTCGCACGTGTCATGTTGATTATAGCAGCTTTTGAGGCGCAATATGCAGCTGTTGGGGTTTTGTCAGTCCCGAGTTGGTCATATTACAATATGAACAACTTACCAGCACCCGGCCTTGCCACAATACCGAGCTGACTAGCGATGTTGACAATTGAACCTCTTTGCTTAGGATGCTGATCCAAGGGCTTCTGCTTCAACATATTTCTCAACTGCGCGCGACAACTAAGCCACGACCCCTTATAGTTGATAGCGTTTAGTCGGTCGAAGTGCTCAGTTGTCATGTCCACTGCTTTGATGACATCGCCCCCAAGTACGCCCGCGCAGTTGACTCCATAATCTAATCTCTTGAACTTGGCAAATACTTCATCATTAAACGAGTCAACGAAACCTTCATCAGCGACATCTCCAGCTTTGTTGAAAACTTGAGCGGAAGGATTGATGCTTAGGATAGCGTCTTTGGTCTGGTCGAGGGTCTTCGGGTTGATATCGGTGATTGCGATCCGCGAACAGCCTGAACGGGCGAAACCTTTGGCGACTGCCGCACCAATGCCTATTCACCATGAGTATACGAGAAGAATGCCGCATCAAGGTGCAACCTACCAGTTCCTCCAGCGCCTGTGATGACTGCTACACCTGGGAGTAATCTTGCAAGCGATGCCATGCTACTTGCATGCAGCGATCTGTGCTAAAGGGGTTGACTCTTCTTCGTTAACGGTCAAAACGTGCGTCGTCGCAATCAACCAAGATAGGCGCTCGTTGATCGATTTGCTGCAGCCATGAACTCCGCAAAGATAGGCCACCGACATGACGTCCTGCCGGCGATGCATTCGGCAGCTTCTCCCGTGAGTTCCGCTATCTTGGAGTAAGCGTTCCACTTACTCCGAAGATAGCCCGCTAGGCACGGCGCTATCTACCCCGCAGACTTAATTGGCCGAGGGCAAAACCTAGAAGTGAAGGCGATGACCCACCTCACTCCAATTCTATCTCCAACAATTCTCACCACATGCACGGCCTCGCTCACGTTTGTAGTCACTGCTCAAGAAGCTTCAAGCGAGCAGAGCACCTGATCCGCCATACCCGTACACGTTCGTGCCTCCAACTCAGCGACTCCACATTAACGGCGTCGCAAGAGCTGATGTCACAATAGATACTAGAGAGAAGCCGTACTCTTGTCGTTGCGGAGCAGCTTTTACACGGCGCGACCTACTTACTAGGCATTGGCGTATCACTCACCATGCCGGCAACCCTGATGCAGAGTCGACAACGTCGACTGAAACTGCGACGACAATAGACGCACCCAGTTTGAACGTCCCCGGCACAGGGGCCGTGGATGCGCATCTCGTCCCACAGGTCCACTTAAACCAACTTGAGTTGCATACCCATCCTCCTGCTTTCCAAGAGCTTCAGCAGGCGCCACCATATCACGATGAAGGGTTCGAGGACTTCCGCGACTTTGTGAACTTCATCGACGGTGTTGGCCTATCAGCCCAATGGACCCCTGAGTACGATTTTGACTGGATGCGACTTGGCGAACATCATCAAGAATCTCGGCGACACTCTCGAGAACCAGAGGGTCGATCATCCCCTGGTGCTGAAGATATCGGCACACCTTTCAGCACCTGGCTGCCATCAGCACCGGCCGACGATCAGGTCAATTTGAAATCAAATGGGGAAGATGGTGAGAAGAGAACAAGGAGTGGAACATACAACGTCACGGATGAACATCGCAACTTTCTGGTGTCGCTGCTTGAGAGCTTTCCTTCTCCAATCTCCGATTTCCAGATACCTTCTCGACATACTCTCACTAGGTACATCACCGCATTCTTTGGCGGCTTCCACTCGCATTTCCCTTTCATTCATGCGCCAACATACAAACCATCATGTTCACCTCTGGAGCTGACCTTGGCTATGTGTGCTGCTGGAGCACAGTATTGCTTCGAGCGAAGAAGCTCCGAGCGTCTCTTTCGCGTATCAAAAGCTATCGTGTTCGAACGTTTGCGGCAGGAAGAATCGCACTTTGGTCCGCAGACTCTTGCTTTTATCGCTTCGACCAACATACTCTCACCAGAGGCGCATTTTGCCACCAGAAGAACAGGACCGTGGTCGCCTCTGGATCTAGCGAAGACCCTACTGATCCTGGTAGGATTTGCGACATGGGAAAGAAAAGACCTACTGCAGCAAGCGTTCGCACTCAGAGGTCTTCTAGTACAGACTCTTCGAGACATTGGCCTCAAGGAAGAGGAGCCTAGCAGAAATGTTTCGACCTCTAGAGCAGCAATGTGGGACCATTGGGTACAGCGCGAATCGTCCAGACGTACCAAGCTGGTGGCGTTCTGTTACATTAATGTGCATAGCATCGCATACAATATTCATCCCCTACTTTGGAGTAGCGAACTTCATTTGCAATTGCCTTGCTGCACCCAAGATTGGCAAGCTAGCAGCGCCGCACAATGGTCTGCGCTACAACGGGAGGGGCGAGAGGACCACATGCCCTTCCAACAAGCGTTGTCAATACTCCTGCAGGGGACGGCAAATCAAGGTAAGCTACCCGACTAGTGACCCTATCAATAACAGGAGATCAACTGACATACTTCAGAGCTAGTACATCCGATACCAAGTCCGATCGGAAACTATATCCTTCTTCATGCACTGCTTCAGCGGATACATGTAGTGCGGGAACTTTCCTTTCCCGCTACATCACCTGCAACTATATCAGCTACAGAGTTGCATGTCATCAGTCGCGCTCTCCGCGCGTGGACCTCACTTTGGCAACAAACTCCTGAGTCAATGCTGGATCCCAACAACGAGAGTGGGCCTATTCCATTCACATCGAGCGCACTATTGGTGGTGGCTTACGTGCGTCTTTCACTCGATATTGGACCTTACCGTCACCTGGAATCGCGCAGTGCCGAAGTCATAGCTAACGGTCTAGCCCACGTTCCGGACATTGAACGCAATGATAACTTATTATCGGCCCTGTTGTATTCGACACATGCACTTAGTATACCTGTCAGATTGGGAATCGACAGGGTTGCGCGAAGCCAAGCGTTCTTCTGGAGCGTTCAGCATGCCATATCGAGCTTCGAGTGTGCTATATTCCTTGGAAAATGGCTATGTTCCATCCCGAGGCCATTTCGGGAGGACCTACTATCGCGGTCAGAGCATCGTATCCTTCATTGGGTTCGATGCATCATTAAAGAAGCGTATGCGGTGATCGATTTCGACGATGCTGAAGAGAGTGACAGTATCCTAGCTGTACCCAGCGAGCCGTTCGCGCTTGGTGTTGCTGTACTGAACATCTGGTCGCGATTCTTTCGCGGTAATACCCAGTGGCAATTTGTTGTTAACTTAGGGTTAAGTTTAGAGAAATACATAGCCAAGCTTGCTTGAGCTATATATTTAATTCATTGCTTCATGATTCTCACATTCAACGGCTAGAATAGTATAAGCCTAATTGAGAGTTTGCTTCTTCTTGGGTACAATAACATATATTTGATCATCGCATGTATGTGAAGCAACAGCATGTGGTATACTTCCATGAAGTCTACAAAATGTATCTCCTTTTTTCGCCTCGCCTTCTATAGCCCACAGCTCTTTAGACCTTATTGTTGTGGATCTTCTCATCGTCGTCTTTGACAGTATACATGACCTCATCGTTTCCATCCGCGAAAGCCTTGTCTCCGAATGCGATTGCAATCTCCTCCAGCGAATGATTCGCCGTCTCCACGTAGTAGAAGTGAGCCAACCCTGCCGAGAAGAGGCAGAAGCTGGCGATAACGAGGTAGAAGTATCCGCCAATACCCGCAAAAGCATCAGGCGAAACCATGCCGATGATGAAGTTGAAGATCCAGTTGGATGTAGTCGCTAGAGCCATACCCTTGCTGCGGCTTCGGAGCGGGAAGATCTCCGCAGGCAACAACCACGGCATTGGGCCCCAGGTGAAACCGTAGACGATGTTGTAGAGCATGATAAAAGCATACTGGCCGTTGGCTCGGGTCATGATGGGCATGGAGGCTTCTGTGAAGGCGCAGACGACGCCGAGTAATACGGCCATTACGACACCGCCGAGGATAAGGAGAGGCTTGCGACCCCATCGATCGGCTAACCACCAGGTGATGACAGTAGCTGCTGTATAAGGGATGGCGTTTGCAGCGGTATAGAGAAGAGACCTCTCATCGGAGAAGCCAGCACTGGAGAGCGTCGAAGGCAGGTAGAATGAGATGATGTTGATGCCGTTGAGCTGAGCGAACATTTGGACGGTGACACCAACGATGGTGCGCTTGCGGTATCGGGTAAACATTTCCTGCGAGAAAAGCACGTTAGTCGTTTATCAGAATGAGAGGTATTTAATGTGAAGAATTTCACTCACCATCCAACCAGCTTTGCCAAGTTCAGCTTCATAAACGACGGCCTCCTGGATCTCGAAGAACGTCTTTTGCACATGAGGAGCGTCGGTATCACCGCTCGAGTGAAGGTCTGCAACTGTCTGGAGGCTCTCTTGCATAAATCCGTTGTTGGCCAGCCATCTTGGAGTTTCCGGAAGGAAGAATGACATGACTACCAGGATGAAAGAGAGGATGATCTGGATGATGAACGGCCCTTGCCAACTCATATTATCCGGAAGCATGAAGTGGAAGCCATAGTCAACCCAGCAAGACAGCATGTAACCTGCGATTAGGCATGTGTATTCGATGCCAACCATAAGGCCTCGAGCGTGGGGTGCCGCGATTTCGGTTTGAATGATGGGGACTGTCATAGAGAGGAAGCCTACTCCGAAGCCTTGGATCGTTCGGCCAACGACAAAAGTTGCGAAGCCTGGAGCAAATATCTGGATGAAGGCGGAGAGAAAGTAGATCAGGCCACCGAGACGAACAGTCCTCTTGCGACCGATCATGTCGCCGAGACGTCCAGCAATGAGAGCTCCCACAGCGGCGGAGGCTTGTAAGCAAGCGACGGATATTCCTGTGATAGAAGGATTGACTGCAGCCGTACTGCCGTCGGCACCACCATAGTCGCTGAAGAAGCGTCTGACAAACACCGGGTTGACCAGCAGGCCAGACATGATGCCTAGCAAAGTCAGCATCCTTCCTTAAATACGCAAGTATCTAAACGTACCGGAGTTGTAACCAAACAGAGCATCACCGAGGCTACCAAAGCCGCATGTTGCGAACAACAAGGCCTTGCCTTTGATGGGGTATCTGGCGGTAATCTTCTTCGGCTTCAGCTTGCTTTCCAACCAGCCTTGTTCAGCCGCGACTTGACCAGCGATCTGGGAGGCGCGCTGCTGGATGTTGGCACTCCGGCTGGCGACCGAATTGCTGCGGGTAACCATATTGTAAACACTGAAGAGCAAGACAGGAGTGGAGAAGTAGTGTGTGTTCTCGAGGATGCGGAGAAGAAGCGGTTGAATGATGGAGAAATCTGGGGAAGCATGACAGCTTTATCATCCCCAGACTAACGCGGTCAAAAGCACTCGACATCATCGCGTGAAGTCAAGTCCTGTCACGGTTCCGGTCGTAGGGTCGGACCTGCAGCGAAGAAATTTGGTCGGCGTACACTAGTGTGTCACCCGAATAGTCGATCAGCGCTCGAGCCGTGCTGGCCAATCAAAAGCGCTTCAGCTAACATCCGCGGAACCGATGTTGAGCCAGCAAAGTGGCCCGACTAGTCTGCGCATCCGAAAGTCAGCAGTGTGCATGACCCGCCGGAACCGAAACGTACTCGCACTCGTTATCGGATACCAATGCTTGACCGGGATATAATCTGGAGGATGTAATGGGGAAAATACGCCGCAAACACTGCCGTAAGCTATGTCTGAAGTCATATCTTCCTCAGCTGATGTTTACGATTCCAATATCGCCTTCGCCGAGAATATGTCTTTGACGTCGCCAGAGGATCAAAGCACAGCGCCAATCAACAAGACTTTCGTCCTGAGCCCTACCAAGCAATTCTCATATGAAGATCGGTCAGTTCCAGAGCTTCGAACCCCCAGGCATGTTCGTGTGAGAGTTGTGGCTACCGGCCTTTGTGGTTCTGACGTATGTAATGTTCCTTGTTGTTGTACTGTATTGACTAACGTTGACGGCGACACAGGTACACTACTGGCAGCATGGACGTATAGGGCGATACGTCGTTGAATCCCCCATTACACTCGGCCATGAGTCTGCAGGCATCGTCGAGGCCTGTGGCCCTGAAGTCAAAGAACTATCCGTAGGCGATCGAGTTGCACTAGAACCAGGCGTAGGATGTAACACGTGCGAGACATGTCGCGGTGGCCGCTACAACCTCTGCGAATCAATGCAGTTCGCTGCTACCCCTCCCTACGACGGCACCTTATCGGCCTTTTACTGCCTACCCGAAGAATGTTGCTATAAGCTGCCGTCACACATATCGTTCCGTGAGGGTGCCTTGGTCGAGCCGCTTAGCATAGCCGTACATTGCTGTGGACTCGCTGGGAACTTGCAAGGGAAATCCGTCGCGGTTTTTGGAGCCGGGCCCATAGGCTTGTTGTGCTGTGCTGTGGCACAGGCTTTCGGTGCGGCGAAAGTCATCGTTATCGATGCGGTAGCCAACAGGCTGGCCTTTGCTACCGAGTTCGGCGCCGACGATACATACATGATGGAGGCTGCGTTCCCAGAAACCAACGCTCAGAAGCTCATGGAGAAAGCTAGGCTGGACACAGGGTTTGATGTCGTGGTGGACGCAACAGGAGCAGAGCCATGTATCAACTGCGGTGTAGCTGCACTGAAACGCGGTGGAGTGTTCGTTCAAGCTGGGCTTGGGTCTCCGAGCATCGCATTCCCTATTGGCCAGATATGCGACAAAGAAGCTACGCTCAAGGGAAGCTTTCGATACGGACCGGGAGACTACAAACTCGCCATTCAACTGTTGGATTCTAACCGTGTTCGATTACATAGCCTCATAACTCATGACTTCGCCTTCTCGGACGCAGAGCAAGCCTTTGCCAATGTTGCAAACAGAGTCGGCATCAAGTCGCTCATATATGGACCTGGCATTGATAGGACATTTGCGGAGAGCTGTGTCGAGCAGCCGAGACACACGTCTGATCTTCCAAAGCTTTAGTTTATGACGCGCCGACTGCATATCGTGCGGATGTATATGTTCTGATTCAGAAAAATGGGAGCCTGTTGCAGGCTATTCGCGAAGCGACAGCTAGAGCTGAGGCTCATTCCAGACGGAATCCCAGAACCAATATAACCCGTTGCCAGTAGCATCAATGCCATTGTCATCGCTGATCCAGTCTAATTCTCCTTCGAGATTGAAGTCCTGAGTGCCAGTATTTGACCAGTCCACATTATGTCCGCCAGGTAAGTTACTCGCATTACCGTCGTTAGCGCTCCATTGCTGGGCGTCAGCAGTGTCGTCACGATAGATGCCATCGAGACCAGTAGGGAAGACTAGGTAGAGCACGCCGTCAGTACGATTTATAGCTCGCTGAGAATGCATCAACAACAGCTTACCTCTCTGTACGGATGCCATACTCTCGTGAACGCGTTGCATGCTGTCTACTGTATTGTGTTGAGGTCTGTAGTGTCCGCTGGGTGGTAGCTGCGTCGGCAGACGAAGGGTGTCTTCGACAGACATCAACGCTGTCCCTGCATGCGATCTCGTAATGTCGCTCTCTCCAAACATAGCATCTGCTTCTCTACGCAACAACATTTGGATGACGTCCTTGAGAACCATATTGCTCTGCATCGAAAGCTGTGTCTTCTTTCCGAGTAGTTCTTGTAAGCGAAATATTCGCGTAATGGTCCTCTTTACTTCTTGTGCTCTGTCCGAGAGTGGATCGGACAATGCTAAGACGGCCATGACAATAGCGGAATTGAACAAGTTTATGGCCAAGAAAGCTACTAAATGGCTATCAGTGGCTAGCTGAGAAAGCCGCGGGAGTTCGGTGACTTTCGAAGTTCTCAACGCCGCGTGCCACCATTGCTCGGTGCTTGACATGTGGCTTGTGTTTAGTGGGCTGGATTCATGGGCTGCAAAGAATGGTGATCCGACGTTCGTAAGACTTGCTGGTGATAATGCAACACTATGAGCACTTTCCGGTTGCGTCCTGATAAGATGGTCCACTTGCTTCGCGATCAATGGGCGGTTGAAGATGATTAGTAGGTTGTCGAATGTAAGCTGAAGAGACAACGCCTGTAGCTGGTGTACGCGCGCAGTGCGAGATTGGTCAATACTGCAGTCGAAGGCCATGTCGAGTAGAAGATGAGGCGGCAGACGTCGGCGCCATGCCCAAAGCTTTTCCGTCACTTCTATGATCTGATCGGTGTACTGTGGCCCACTAGGCCGTTCATTGGGTCCCACAGCACGCATTCCGAAAATGATCTCGATGATAGGTGACGCAATGAGGTAGAGCTTGTTCAGCTCTCGTTGGTAGGACGAGTAACATATCGTCAGGTCGGCTTCTGGAGGATCTCCTGGTTTGAAGTACGGCGACTCGCATACGTCGATTGGATGAACTGTGTTACAGTCCTTCTCGTTTATACCAATAGGCCGACCATATGTAATAGAAGCGAATCTGGACACGTCAGCTCATAACCCTACGACTTACGACGAAGCTCGCATTAAGCAGTAGACTTCTCTGCACTTTCAGGTAAAGGTACACTACCTGTCCCATGTATATATAGTCCACCAGACTCTTTTCCGCTCCTCGACATAGTGAGAGTCACCCCGTAGCGGCTGACGATGGAGGCCAATCGATTGCGCCGTTCGAATGGTTGCACCTAGTAACGCAAAGGATAGATTAGGTTTGCCATGATAGACATAGTAAGAGCCGAGTAGAATGCACGTCTGCACAGATGAGATCGTACTCTGGTCCATCAATTCAGTAAGTTGAGAGCCCGCGCCTTGGATGAGTGATTGCGACCAGGCGTACCAATCTTCGTCTGGGAAGTCCGAATCCATGTCTTTTTTGTGAGATTTGTACCACGCTCCCATCCCAGTAACTGTGGACAAGAGGAGAAGAAATGACTTTTGCGAGGGGTAGGCATGACCGTCCTTGATGGAATCGAATTTTGCCCGAAACCTTGGCTCGTAGATGACCAAACTAAACCAATGAACCGAGTCGAAATACTCCTCTAACAACGCACGCATCATGTCGGTGGGCGGTAAAGGATGGCCGAGGATAGCCACTATAGGGCGCCTCTGTGTACGATCTAATCGAGATGCTGGGGCTCTACCATATACGTCACCACCCGGTATGGCTGATGTTGTCCGCTTCAATGTTGGCTGGCTTCCCAGTCGGTAGATCTGATGTGCAATATCCATTGCTGAATTGGCTTCACCTTCTGCGATACTTGCACGCCTGCTCTCATCGCGACTGTTGATTTCCGTATCTATTGTTTGATGCGCATCGTCATGGTTCTGAATCGGTGCTGGTGGTTGCTCGTGTGAAGCTTCACGAGAAGGGCCCCGAGTGCGTTTTCTCTTCGGCGCGCGGCCTGGAATCTCGACATTGCTTGCGATACATTCGACATTTGCTCGGATGCAGAGCGCGCAAGGGCGAGATGTGTCGCACTTCGATTTACTCAGTCGATGGCGCGCGTGACGGGCTGTGGAAGGGCGGAACTAACTCGGCTCTTGTTGCGTCGACACCTCTCACACGCATTGCTGACTCTAGTGGGCAGCTGACGCCCAGCAGAGGCATCGAGAATCGCCGAAGACATGGTTTGGGCGTCGCCATCCGTGGAGTCGCGAGGAAATGATAAAGGCACGCGCAATACACGCCAAGTCAGCCGCAGGAGCTCGCCGAGGTTCGCATGGTTGTGCCGCTTGGACCTAAAATTTCAAGCCACTCCCAGTCATCGTTTTCATCTCCACTGTGATCGCCTTGCACGTCTTTGTCATTTCAGGTATGCAAACCGTGTGCTTGGGAACGTGTTTACATGCAATGAATAAAGCTTGTAGGCATCTTTGGCGTACAACCTGACTATCAGCGCTTCCGCCCCCATGTAACTACACAAGTGTTTTCAACAACCACATCAGATCAGCACCAACGATCATCAAATATACCGCTCGACTCGTTCTTCGACATCGCTGAGCGCGATTGCAGTCATGGAACATGATCAGGATAGGTATTCGCCATCCGACGTTCCCCTGGAAGAACATCGACCTTCGAAGCGACGACGAACATCGGGACAGCCTGCTCGCGAAGTTGGCTTGATGCGCAGCGTCCCAGACGACAAATTCCCTGGATTTGTCGGAAGTGCCAGTGGAATCTTCTTCATCAGGTCGGTGTATGGTGCGATTCGACCATCCGCGGTGCCTGCTGTCGCCGAAACGCCTGGGAGCGATATTGTGCCAGGTGAAGACGATCATCTACCTCTAGTGCAACCCAACTCTTCTGAGCGGCTATGGCGAGATGCTGAAATCGCGTCCAATCAGACCTCTCAGATATCATTTCAAGACCTTGTCGCATTTTCTGGGAGTTATTTTGCCAATTGGCACCCGCTCTACCCCTTCGTGCACGCCCCGACCGTCCTAGAGTACTTCGATTGTTATGCAAAGAACGGTTTCCCCGAACGTGATGCTTCGGAAGACCTCGACGTGGTGATAGTTCGGTCGATCATGTCCATCTCGCTTGCAGACCATCGGCAATCATCGGGGCTTGAAAGCGTTCAATATCCTGCCTGTATCGTCTTTCCGTCGTATGGTGCTGCTGTCGACAGTCTCCGGGCGATCCTATCACATCCCACAACTATACTTTCGCTGCAAGCCGCTCTCAGTGTGCAGCTCTTCCTAGTGTCCATGCTCCGCTTGAATGCAGCCTCCCGTCTAGGAGGGCTAATCATGCGTATGGCCGTGCAACTAGGCCTTCATCGCTGTCCAGCTAGATTTCCAGCCTTCACGTCGAGTGCGAGAGAACTTCGGCAACGCGTCTTTTGGTCACTATATTCCATCGATCGGTTCATTTGCCAGTCTATGGGCCTTCCACTCGGCCTGCATGATGACGATATCGATGTCTGCTTCCCCTTAGCGGAACATCATCAGCAGACGCATGTCGAGCCTTGTGAGTTTGTTCGTGTTGTGTTAGTGGTATAGCTCATAATTCATAGGTGTCAAACTCCGCATGCTACATCTTCTCGCCCAGCAAGCCAGGTTACGTGGCGAAATCATCGAGTTGCGCAACAAGTCACTACACTACGTTCAGAACGATCCTGACCGAGCGACATCAATAATAGCTAAGCTTACTCAGTGGTGGAACGATGTTGAGGACTATATTGATCCGGATAGCCAATACGCAGCCTCTCCTTACGCAACCGTAGTTTTGACACTGCTTAGACATGAGTCGATCATCTCGCTGTATCGCCCCGTCTTGGCCACTTCTCGCAAAGATGTCGCTTATGACGCTGCCTTACAGCAGTGCATCAATTCTGCGCGTAGCATCATTACAACCTTACACAGCGCTGTCCAGACCAAGCTCAGCGCCGGAGCGATCTATGATCCCCTAGCTTTGATGTGGCCCTCTTGCACATGGGCTGTATGGATTAGTACATTTATCATGTTCTACGCTGCCCACGAAAGTCGTATCGCTCATAACGTTGTCGTCAGGTAAATAGATTCCATCAGAAAGACTCTATCCCCGCTGATTCATGTATCAAAGATTCGCAGATAAAAGCCTCGACGTACTTCAACACCTTGCACGACGCGGCAGCGCATGGCCTGAAGCAAGCTCAGCAGCCATTCGTGACTTGCGGGCTCGAATGTTGCGCAAGCCTGCTCAGGCTCTTGTCAGGCACAGAACCGAAGCCCCCGGAGATCCATCCATCACTGATCAGGGCGAATCGAGCCTACGTTCGGTCTTGCACGAGCCACTCTTACCTGCCAGTAATGATACTCTAGTTCAAGATAGTGACCAAATGTCGAATGCCGCCGCTGCTCATCATGAACCATGGTACAAGCCATATAATACAGCATTCGACTTTACTGCAACGGGTAACCTGACTCAAAATACTAATGGTCTTGGTGAGAATGACAGCTACTGGAATGTCTTCCTTGGAGCGGAAGGCGCCAACGCATCATCTCTCGAGTACTCTAGCGGCTTGGACCCTTTTTCTGGTTTCGATATACCTTTTTGGTTCGACCAGGAACAGCATTGGGACTTTTCATAATAGCAAGCTTCAGTATCAGGTAGGTACTGCGCTTAGGGCATCGGCGACGAAGCGTCGGACTTTCTTTCTCCGCCTCTTCCCCGCACTTACCTAAATGGAGCACACCAGTGGCGGGATCAGCCGCAACAGCGCAACATTGGAGATACAAGAAGTTTGAAGATGGTGTTTCTTAGTCCGGAGTATTACGACTTAAAAGGCAGTACGCATAGAGTATTGCAAGATACCAATTCAACTGCTCTCTGTCGTGACGTCACGCCCATTCTCAATCGTCGCTTTGCACCTAATTTACAACATGTCCTCTAGCGCAAACAAACGCACGCACTCTATTGCGACTATGGGCGCCGATGGGATTGGTCCCGAAGTTGTCAATGCTGGCGTCCAGGTTTTGAAGAAGGTTGCGCAACTAGATGGCACATTTGGCCTACAATTCGAAGACTACGATTGGAGTTCCGAGACCTACAAGAGGACTGGCCAATACATTCCGGATGGAGGACTAGAAAAGCTCAAGAAGCATGACGCAATTCTGTTTGGTGCTGTAGGCGCCCCAGGTACGTACAAGACCCTAAACGTTGTGGATCAATGTGCTGACTTCACCAACAGACGTACCTGATCATATTTCCCTCTGGGGCTTGCGGCTTGCGATTTGCCAGACCTTCCAGCAGTATGCGAACGTGCGCCCCACCAAGATCTTTCGCGGAACATCATCACCCTTGCGAAACGCAGAACATGGCGACCTAGATTGGGTAATTGTTCGCGAAAATTCCGAAGGTGAATATGCTGGACAAGGAGGCCGATCGCATAAAGGTCAAAAGTGGGAGACCGCTACGGAGGTGTCCATCTTTACCCGCCATGGTGTAGAACGCCTGATACGTTTCGCCTTCGAAACAGCCCAGAGCAGACCAAGAAAGCAAATAACAGTCGTTACCAAAAGTAACGCGCAAAGAAACGGAATGGTTATGTGGGATGAGATCGCTGCTGAAGTTGCGAAGGACTTTCCTGATGTCAAGTGCGACAAGATGCTCGTCGACGCCATGACGTGCCGGATGGTGCTTGATCCTAAATCCCTCGACACGATAGTGGCAACCAACCTGGTGCGTATTTAAACATGTATACTTCTCGCGTTTCGCTGACTCCTCAAGCATGCGGATATCCTCTCCGACCTCGCAGCCGCATTGGCGGGCTCCATTGGCATTGCTCCTACCAGTAATCGTACGTACTTACCCGTTCCACATGCAATGCTCACTGCTCGTACTAAGTGTTCTAGTCGATCCCACACGTCAAAATCCGTCCATGTTCGAACCAATCCACGGCTCAGCTTTTGACATCACTGGCAAGGGTGTCGCGAATCCAGTAGGAACCTTTTGGACAGCATCTGAGATGCTAGCATGGCTAGGCGAGGAGCAAGCTGCAAAGAGGTTGATGGAGAGTGTGGAAACCATCACTGAGCGAGGCATTGCAACTCGCGATCTTGGGGGCAAAGCTTCAACGAAAGAGGTTACCGATGCGGTCTGCGCCGAGCTAGAGAGAATGTACAGTAGTGGTCGGTAGAAGCCAGGATTGGCATCATATTGCGGAAATGAGAGCCGCTGGTGGAGCTGCATCCCGGTTGTTGTCCGATACGGAACTTGACTTGCGGCTGATGCAGTTTCGCTTCAGGCTGGCACCGCGACAAGCGAATGATCATCAAAAGTCGACGCCAAGTATCGTCGGCGTCGATGGTCACTGATGCAAACTTGGTAATCTGGACCGCATACGCAAGTTCGGTCACTTCGAGGGAAATGCGTAGATATTCCCAGGAAAAAATAGTCTGAATCTAATGGCAGAGCCGCTGTCGATCTCTTATCTCCTGTCCCTGTTGTTCATCCAGGATAGGCACGATTTACCAGTATCTCCATCGGCGGCATCAGACCGAGCCATGCTGGTCGTCTGCGACTTGAGGTAGTGGATACTTGAGCGGCCAACCCAAAGCTAACCCCCGCATCCTTCCCCGCACACGACGACTCAATTACCCATGGCCCAGAACAACTGCCGTGGGATGGCGCATCCCCCACATTATAGTGCCCGTTGCATCTCCAACACTTTAGGATCGCATCTTCCATCTATCTGCTGCAAGATCTAGATTGCGCATCGTCCTATTCATCGTCGCTACCGTAACCGAATACGCGAAGATTGAGCGACCATGCCTCTGGGTATCTTGCAAGATTACAAACTCGAACATGTCCCGGGAACCGCCCCGTTGAGCGAGCTTGGTCGCATTGATCTTGAGATCACGACTGATGTTGACCGTGGACTGCTCAAGCACGATTCTACAGGGCAGATTGTACTCGTGCCGCAACCCTCTGATTCACCCAATGATCCGTACAATTGGCCAAGATGGAAGAAGGAGATGGTATGTTGGCCACTGCAAGACCATATAGGACGCACGTACTGATTGGACAGTTTACGGTCGTCATTGCGTATGGATGTGGTTGTGTAGGAGGTAAGTTCGTGATATTCGAGCACCATGTACTGAGCTAATGATATACTTCACAGCCGTCGGCCCGCTGCTAACGCCGGCTTTTGTACCACTGGCGGAGCAGTTCAACGTACCATTACAGAGGTTTACACTAGGTGAGCTCGATGCCCAACGTCTACAGCATCGCAAGTGCCAAGCTAACATATGGTTCCATCATTTCCTAGGCTGTAATGGTTCTTGTATCGTCGCCATCGCATTTGGCAGCCTCTTGTGCAACACGCTAGCCGTCAAAGTTGGGAGACGACCGGTTTATCTTATAACTACGCTGGGGTTGGCAGTGTCGTGTTTCTGGGCCGCAGAGTCCACTAGCTTTCCTTCTCTGGCAGCGGCTAGGGCAATCCAAGGGTTGTGCATGGGTGAGTTTTATTGGATATGTGATACCAGGAGAGCGTTGCTAACGTTCAAAGCACCGTTCGAGGCACTCATCCCAGCATCGGTCGGAGACATCTGGCATGTACACGAGCGCGGGTTTCGTATGTCCATCTTCAATCTTGGTGTCCTCGGTGGTATTGTAAGTCACTGGATGCATGCTGCGTTACAACCAGCTAACACAGTGCGCAGAACCTAGCGAGTCCAATTGGTGAGGCATATCATTAAGACTTCGCGTCCTGAAGCTAACAAACCCAGCTGGATCCGTCATTCAATACGGCTCTTACCGCATCGCAATGCACGCAATGGGTGGTGCCTTCGTCGTCATGCTGCTCCTCGTCTTTCTCTTCATGCCCGAATCCGCGTACCACCGCCACGACGTTATCAACATTGATACAAGTTCCAAAACTGTAGAAACCGATGCGATGGAGAAAGAGAAGGCTGTTGAGCGTATCGAAGACCATGCGATCCATCCATCCGTCTCTTCGGAGCCTGCGGACCCATACATCAAAACCCTTATGCCATGGTCCGGTTATTGGGACCATGTATCCTTCTGGCGCACGTTTCTGCGCCCTTTTGTGTTGATCATAAGCCCTGTCGTCATGTGGGCTACCTTGCTCTTCACCATATGCATATCCTGGCTAGTTTTGATCTCGATCACGTTGTCGCAGATTTTCTCCGCTCCGCCGTACAATTTCTCCGTAAGCGCGGTTGGCGCAACAAATGTCTCGTCGTTCGTAGCGTCGTTACTAGCCACGCTGGTAGCCGGACCGATCATCGATGGTGTGGCGAAGTTCATGTCGACGCGCAACAACGGTACTTTCGGTGAGTCTCATGCTCTCTAAATTAAGAGCTCAAGCGACTAACAGCTCTCATAGAACCCGAGTTTCGCCTACCAGTAATGATCACTTATTTGATCTTCACTGCAACCGGATTCTTTGCCTGGGGTCAATCGCTCTACAACCAAGACCCATGGCCTATTCCCGTGATTGTCTGCATGGGCCTGATCAACCTAGGTGTTCAGCTGGGTACCACCGCAGTAGTGACCTACGTCTCCGATTGCCACCGCGAGCAAGCCGCCGAGGCCTTTGCCATAATGAACTTCATTAAGAACCTATTCGCATTTGGTCTGACGTTCTATGCAAATGACTGGATTGTGGTACAGGGTGTAAGAGACGCGTTTTACGTTATTGGCGGAACTACTATTGCGGTCACACTGGCGACGATTCCAATGTACATCTACGGCAAGCGAGCGCGGAGTTGGGTGAAGAGGTGCGGTGTGCTTGATAGTGTTCTCAAAGTCGAGTAGAAGGGATCAATCGCGTAACGGAGATCGGTTCGCGTCGTTCCTGGATCTTTCCAGTTGTGAAGTCCGCAACCTAGAGCATCTTCGAAACATTTTACATTGGTAGTGCCGCAAGGCCTTTGACGGCATCCTACTGTCAGTAATAGGTTCCCCTCGCTCGACTGCATGAAACAATAATGTGGACGCCTTTCAATTGTTCGTTTTTCACGATTTGACACTGAGCAGCAAGCGGGGCTGCTAGCGACTACCAACTGACATTCAGAAGTAATTTTCTCGCCATTGTACGTATGAGTCTCGTGGTACGTTCGGTATTATAGGCATGTCGCAGTCTCTCAGTTGCTCAACGGCTGACGCTGATGTCGAAGTAACACCGAGCGTTTCCCGATGTGGGTACGCCTTACCCTCCGGACGCCTCTCGCTTGTCCTAAGTGTACTGTAGGCTTGGTAGCCAAGGACGGGCTCGCTAGGTCCCGATTGAGATGCTTCGGGAGCTGCACTGTCAGGATGCCGTGCTTGAAGCCACGCTGCCAATTGCTCATCTGTTTGCAAAGGCAGGCGCTTCCAATCCTCAAGCTTTTCGGCCTTTGAGCGTTGTGGCTGTGCAGCTTGCGATATTGCGCCCGATAAGCGACTTCCAGTCAATCGTATTGTGTCCTGAGTTTGGAGCGCGATGAGAGTCGCGGAGAGTGCAGCCTCGGTATCTGCAAGCCGTTTCTCGAGAGCAGTGATATATGCAGCTGGAAGGCCTCTCTTACCGCCCTCTTGGTAATGGCATGGCAGCGATGAAGTTCGACATTGAGTGCATGAAGGGCTGTGATGGTTAGCTGACGCTCCGTAGCTGGTATATAGTTACCGACATCTTTCGATCGCACTTGCACTTCTTCGATCTGCAATTCTCGCATGCGATGGCATTCAACTGAACCCCCAGGCTGCGACATCAGTGTGTGTACCAGTATGTCGGACGAGTTTGCGCACCGCTTCAGTCATCGTCGGATCGTGGGTGATGCGATGACGCGCTGCAGAGCGTCGGAAAGTGTGGCTTGGTGATCTGTGCTCGACCCCTAATTTTGCCTGCGTCCAGCCCCTCTCGTCATCATTTCGACTAAACAGCCACTTCGCAGCTTGGAACTATATACAGGAGAAATGTAACTACGACTTTTAGCAGCTACAACACCCATTCGTCTCACTACAATCCCCCACGCTTTGGTCGCGATCTGCAAATCAGCTGCTGGAGGATGCAACACTTCAACTTGCGCCCGGACGTCTAACCGTCAACCCCGAACCAGCCTCCATCCCGGCCCATCACCATGACCAGAGGTGCCGATCGACTCGCAAAACTGCAGAGTTCAACGATGACAGAGAACGTGTGGAGGATCCGGCAGAAGAAATTCCCCGCATTCAACCTTACCGGTTGTATCACGGACCGCGCCGAACTCGGCTAGCGTTGGGGAGTATGTCGGGCATCGGGTCATTTGTGTCCAGCCTTGTACACACATCTACATGCACGAATTCGACGTTGAACCCGGTGTTGTTGGACGTCGGAGCCTCGTATGACACGATATTTATCCGTAGCGCTGAGGACATAATCATCACATATCCAACCAGAATGTGACCCAACTTGGCGATGGTACGTTAGCTCAGAGGGGGACTTGTATTTGCTGTGATCAACGGTCATGCTTCACTTCGAAGGATGCGATCAACCATACCGTCAGGCATAAACCCCGCAAAGCCAAGGCGAAGAGATACTGGATATTCATTCCCTGGTCGGTTCGACGGTCTGTTGAACCGGTCAAGTGCTTGGCTTCGAGTATGTAAGTTGCGAAGGTGACATACAGGGCACCAAAATCAAAGCACCACGACCTAGAATATCAGCTCTATCAGACAGCTATGGCGCCAGCAGTTGCAGGTCCTGGTGATGGCATCATTGAGCGCCTTGTCGCTGCCGATAAAGTACGATGGTGGAACAAACCCAATCTCCGACGTCTCTACCTATTATTGGTGCCGTTCTGCTTTTTCATTGAGTCTACTTCTGGGTTTGATAGCTCAATGATGAACGGAAGTAAGTAGTATCTGCTAAAGTGTCACCTGCATGCAATGTGCTAATTCTTCGTCCGCTACCTAGTGCAAGCTCTCGAATACTGGCAAGAATACTTCAACCATCCCAAAGGAGGTCAACTAGGATTGCTTGTTGCATGCTACAACCTCGGAGCTATCTCAAGTATCCCGCTCGTAGCACTCGTTTCAGATCATTTGGGAAGGCGAAAGAGTATCGTCCTCGGGTCGACCATCATGATCATCGGAGCGGTCATGCAGGGCTTGTCACAGAACCGTGAGTACCCCAATCTCCACCATAATGAATATAAGAGCAATTTCTGACTATTGTTCATTCAGTTGCGATGTTTATTTTCAGCAGAATCTTTCTAGGTCACGGCATCGTTTATGCTATCATATCCGGTGCCGCCCTCCTTGGCGAGTTAGGCCACCCCAAAGAACGGCAATTTCTCGGCAGTCTCTTCAACGCATTCTTCGGAGTAGGTTCCATACTTGGAGCAGGTATTGGTAAGAATTCTTATCTATGAGGCACGTGTGAGGTATGTACTGACTTTGGGCACCAAATCTAAGTTGTGCGCACGCTACTTATTCCGAACGACTGGTCTTGGCGCCTTCCTTCAATCCTCCAAGCAGCCCCATCTGTTATACAGATCGTGTTCGCTTTCACAGTACCAGAAAGCCCTAGATGGCTAGTCTCGAAAGATAGGAGTGAAGAGGCTCTCGAAATCTTGATCAAGTACCACGCAGAGGGTGATGCTTCTGCTGAGCTACCTCATCTTGAGATTGCAGAGATTCGTAAAGCTCTGGAACTAGAGAACGAATCACGACAACGTGGCTGGGCTGAGCTTTTCCAGTCGAAAGGCATGCGACACCGCGCCCTTGTCGCTGCGGGGCTTGGTGTCTTCGTCCAATACAGGTAAGCTGTGACTATGAAATGCATGTGAAACATATACTGACTTCGTACCTCCTCTGTAGTGGCAACAATCTCATCAGCCAGTACCTCGTACCTATCCTGGAGAAGATTGGTATCGAAGATAGTCACACTCAAGTGCGCTACAACGTCGGCTCTGAAGCATGGGGCTTCGTCATGGCACTTGTCATGGCGACCATCACACCTCGATACCCGCGACGCAGGATGTACTTACTATGTGCAAGCTGCTTGTTGTGCGTGTATACGGCATGGACGATCGCACAGGCCCGTAACCGGATGACTGGATCAAAGGAGACTGGCTACGCCGTTCTTGTCATGATCTTCCTCTACAAGCCCGCCTACAATATCGCTTACAACGCTCTCACCTATGTATACATGGTCGAGATCTTCCCGTACTATGTGCGTACTAAGGGTCTTTCGTGGTTCCAGCTCTTCAATCGCTGCTCCGTCATGCTGGGTTCCTTTACCAACCCCATCGGACTTCAAGACCTTGACTGGAAGTTCTTGTTTGTGTACATTGCTTTGCTGTCTTGCGAGATCGTTTTCATTTACTTCTTGTTTCCGGAGACATACGGAAAGACGTTGGAAGAACTCACGTTTCTGTTCGAAAGTGAGAAGGAGGATCGCGATGCGCTCGCTGCAACCACCGCCAAGGTTATGGGACATGATGGCAACGTCACTGAGCTTCATGAGGCGCCAGAGAAGAAGGCCTAAGTTTAGAATAAAGTGGTGGCTGCAGCTAAGTTCAACGGGTCTTGCAAAAGACGTTGCATTTGGCGCTCACGAAGTGGGCTTCGATGTCGTTGGGGTGTTCGCCGCATTCCTTCTGGTGGGTATGAAACGTCCATGGACAGGAGTAGTGGGAGATAAATATGCACAAATTGTGGCTGTTCAAGCCTAACCTAGTCTTGCTCGCGATCTCTCCGGGATGTTTGAATTATGAATCAGTCTTCCCCTCTACAATCACATACAAGCTTCTCATAGTCATTGTAGCTCAAAGTAAAGATTCCGGTGCTGCGCACTGTCAGCCAACTCGTGGCTCTCATACCAGCTCGACATCATGTTTCTCACCGTTGCCCATCGTGCTGGCCGGCTTTACGGCTTAGCACGCGGCGCAGCAACATGTCAAACTGGAGCTTGTACTTGTTGGCGGCAACATATCGCCTGAGATTCCTCGTTGCCAGCCCCTCGAATAACGAGATGGGTTAGCAATTGCGCGAATCTCCACTTTGGATTTGCAAGTTTGTTTTGACGATACGATGCCCCAATAGTTCGCTCTCTCATGCGACCATGACACCGATTAAGGAACGGCGGCTACAGGCAACTGATCTCCGACTGATCGGGACTTGTGGAGAATCTCCCGAACGAATGGGAATCTGGCGGCTTTGAAACAACAAGAGACGGGCATAATTGTGGCCAGTGAGGGTACGCAACGACTGCAACGAAGCTTCGATTGCCGCGACCCGACAGACTGGATTTAGCTTACGCCGCTCATGGTATACGTGTCAGTAGCTAGGAAACATCGAATGGCATACTGAGCCTCAAGCCACGGTAGTATCAAGACAGTAAGCGAAGTGTTGGACGTAGATGGAGAGCTAGGTAATGTGAGACATACCACTGTCCACTTTAATGTACCTAGCTATGCCTTACCAGCTCCATGACAGAGCTGCTGTTACGCGTCTGCTTCGATGGTTAGCAGACGCCGTCACGTGAAGCTTGCTTCATGCATGCATGTGTTGTATGCTTTGCACCGATACTACAAATGCACGATAGAAGCGATATGGAATATTCGGAAAATAGACGCATGGCTAAATGTTCCTCTATGTTGATAGGTCGCTATTAATAAGTGGGGTTGTCGGTTCCGCGCTTAACGATAGCGCAACCCCGCTATCGCAACCCCCAAAAAAGATCTTCGAAACATCGTCGTCTGAACCGTTTCCACGGCCACAACCCCGCGCAAATTCATGCGATTGTCTCCGAGGTTAAAAAGCTGTATCGCCATTCGTTGGATTAGCACATCCAACATGTTCCCCCAACCACCACGTCCTTGCATTGGCTACAGTGTCTGATGAGGCTCGAAGCGCCTACACAACTGTGCCACATCGTCATCCAAACGTGACCTCAGGAAGGGGCTAAAAACCTAAGAATACGCCTAGCTGCATATGACTTAATACTACAGCGGCAAAAACATACGCTAGCCTAGCCATGCGGCCACCTCAGCGGTTATACACAAGCTCTGTACGGCTACACCCACACCGGTGCTCCGGCCTGACAGCTCCCGAAGCCCGCGCCGCACGCAAGTGTCCTAGAAACGGCCTTGAGCCGCCTCTCTTGGCATGCTTTTCGGGAGGTTGGGTCTGGTCCTTGCGGCTAGCTCGTGCCATGAATGGTGCGTTGGCTCGGTAATGCACCGATTTCCAGAACGAAGGCATAGTTTGCATGTACGCCGCAGTAACAGCAGTGTTTGATGTTTCGAGCATACTCCAATCAAGGAAATGGCTTGTGGAGGCTTATACTGCAACTGGGCGTTATTATAGTATGGTGATGGGAAGTGTCTAGTCTGAGCCTGCAGCTTCATTCCAGTCTGGCACTTTACTACTATTTCGAACGAAGCAGCATCTCATCATCTTTCTCATTCATTCGAGTATTCTAATTCACATTTTTACCTCTTTGTAATGCCTTACCCGATCTCTACATCAGGTCACACCCCGAACATGTCTCGTCCACAGAAAAGCCCTATGCACTGGCCGTCGTTTCCAGATATACCAATTTATCTCGATACCGGTGATGAACGCGCAACAGCCAAGACATACGGTACGACCCCTACAACGCCAACTACACCAGATATCATGCCTCCACACCGTCCGACACACTTGAGCCCGGCACATATCCACGCACCTCCGATCAGTCCAGTTGAACCGAGCCCTACTACAACAATTGAGACATCCAGTCATCGTTCAATCATCTGGCCGATCCCTGAGCCACCGCCAGAGATCCAACAACAGCAAGACTCTCGTCGACCAACTCTTCGCTTCTTCCCAACGCAGCGCCCGCGTGTCCGCCTTGATAACGTGCACTCACTTCAGATACCACAGCTGGATGAGAAGACCCCCATCAGTAGTCTTCATCCAGGTCTTGGAATAATGAATGGACCGCCAAAGCCTCCCTCTATCGAAGTCTCCGCCCCTATGGAGGACGTCGAAGACCAGCCAAACATCGCTGAAAGGATAGAGAGACGATTGTACCAGTACAGCATCTCAGGCAATATTATCAAGAGATGGCTCTTGGAACTACTCAGCTGGATTTTCAGTGCCTTCTGCATGGCCTCAATCATTGGTGTTCTCATATACTTCAAGGATGACCCTCTCAAAAATTGGACACTGGAGAAAAGGACGGGAGTGACACTCAACGCATATATCTCTGTGCTTTCCAAAATGGCTGGAGCAGCTTTGATTCTTCCTGTATCTGAAGCTCTTGGCCAATTGAAGTGGAGTTGGTTTCAGCAGAACTCTAAGCGAATGTGGGACTTCGAGATCTTCGATAACGCATCTCGTGGCCCTTGGGGATCCATGCTGCTTCTTCTACGCACCAAAGGCAAGGCACTGGCGGCACTAGGTGCCATGATCACGCTGTGTATGATGGCACTCGATCCTTTCTTCCAACAGGTTGTGAACTTCCCCGATCGCTGGGCCTTGGAAGATACTCCGAGCAAGATTCCAAGGACCATTCGATACGATCCTCATGCGGGTGTGGAATATCTAGACGGGTTCGAAATGTCTCAAGACGACCCGGATTTGTTTCATGTGGTCGAGAAGTTCTCCTATGGCAATGGAACACAGCCCGTCCCTTTTGGAAATGGAACACGCCCGGAGATTCCTCTGGTGAGTCGAAACGTACTCTTGAGTTCTTGGTACCATGTGTCATTCACGGATGACTACGTGGCACATTGAACAACGCTCGTGGGATACAAACGCTAACATATTCCCCAGTCATGTCCTACCAGTAAATGTACATGGCCCTTGTATGAGACGCTAGGTGTCTGTAGCCAATGCGCTGACGTATCGGAATACCTCACATACGCTTGCTTGGACAGTACAATCGACTGGACAGCGAACACGCAGGGGCTTTTTACTCAGGACGCACCATATCCGAATGGAACTATGTGTGGTTACTTCCTAAACGCTACTAGCGAGGCTCCTGTCATGATGTCGGGCTATCTCTTCGACTCCAATGGCTCCGTGAAGGGAGAAGCTCTAGCGACGCGCGCCTTCCCTTTGACCGCGATTACTACTAAAGAGCCACTCTATGGTGACGGCTCCATCCTATTCAAGAATCTTCGTAACACCATCGCGGATGTTCTTCTGGTTTCAGCAAGCGGAGGTCTACCCGATACTGTGTATCGAAACATTCGGCCAATTGCACAAGAGTGTGTCTTGACTTGGTGCGTCCAGACAATCAAATCCTCTTACGACTACGGCAAGTATGAAGAGGAGGTTGTGAAGACTTACCTCAATGAGAGTGCGGGTGATTTCCCCTGGCAAGCCTTCTCCTATGTTGATGATGGGGGAGAAGCCTCTGTGGACATGTTTTACCTGCAAGACATCAACATAAACAATGGCACCACTCCCGATGGCAACAGTATATCTGGTTACGGAGCGTCGAACACTACGGCAGTGTCGATCATCCAGGGACTCATTGATATCTTTCCCTCTTATACAACAGTGATGAACGAGTCTGCCGTTCCCGTCATGCGATACAAGACGTGGCAGGCAGGGCCGTCGTGGAATCGACAGCTCGAATACAACCCTTGGCTTGCACCAAATGTTTCGAAGCACATGGACAGGCTTGCGACTGCGATGACGAACGTCATACGCTCTGCTCCAAGCAACGAGATGATTACTGGACAGTCTTTTAGCAGGGAAACGTACATTTCAGTGCGTTGGGAGTGGCTTACCTTGCCGATTGGCCTCTTGATGATGAGCTTCATCTTTCTAGCTGCTACAATATTCAAGTCTGCACTCGAGAAAGAACAACTCGGCGTTCTAAAGAACTCAGCCATTCTAACATTGTTGTACGGCGTCTCTGACGACATGCGCACCAAACTTACGCGGTCCTCCAGCACAGGTACACCGAGAGCAAAAGCAAAAGAGCTCAAGGTCAAGCTGAATCCGAACATGGGATGGAGGATATCAGGAAATCTCTTCTCGCCAGTCGCACCACGGCCACCTCAACCACCACCAGGTTGGATCTGAATTACGGAATGAGAAGACTTTAATCATCGATGGAAGTTGTATTAAGAAAGCTACAGGGTCGGTCTGACTCGACAGGTTCCCTCAAGCACCGGGCCGAGCTGGTCCTGTTTTCGGAGTACATTATAACACAGTATGGAATCGAAACAAAAGAGAAATACAAAGAAGATTACTCGGAACTGAAATGAGAACGTTACTTCGAAGTCATATCAATGGCCGCCAGGGGTGTTAAACTTGATGGGTTCAGCGTCTCGTCGGTGACCACCGGAGGTGTTGAACTTGATACCTCCGGCTTCAGCATCTCGTCGATGACCGCCAGGGGTGTTAAACTTGATGGGTTCAGCGTCTCGTCGGTGACCACCGGAGGTGTTGAACTTGATACCTCCGGCTTCAGCATCTCGTCGATGGCCGCCAGGGGTGTTGAACTTGATGGGCTCAGGCTGAGCTGCAGCATCCCGGCGATCACCACGACCTACGGAACGTCCCATCCTTTGACGGGCCTCGACAACGCTGGTCTCAATCACACCTTCGTTTGGTTCACCAAAATTATGCGTTATCTCTACCACTGACTCTCTCTTCAAGAGATCTCGGAAAAGGTTTGCTACAGAAAAATCGCTGCGACGCTCGACCGTTGGTATCGGACTGATCTACAAAGAGTTAGCCACAGAGGGCGACGTCTTTGGGCATTGGTGATACTTACACTGCTGATTGGTGCTGGTACAGGTGCTGCTATGATGGGAAGCACCATAGCTGCGGCAAGAATGATGGCGCGTGCGTGCATGATGGCGGTTGTGGTCGTTGTGCGTAGAACTTCGTTGTGTTGCTGGGTCGAGGAGGAACTGAGACTGCCTAGTGAAGAGGGCAATATTGGCGTGGCCAAGAAAGAGTTTGTGTCTGAAGAGATGGTCTTGTGCTTGAGATGCTACCTGGAATATGGGACGTATCGATGCATTTATCCAAGGTCCTGGATCTAAGGCAACGCTTGTGAGGGTGCGTCACATAACGGACTCATTTCCACTACCCATCCACGGCGCTTCAACCCGCAGTGGCCCTCTCGATGATAACCGCCTTCGAAGCCAGCGACGCGACGCAGGGTGCATGGGATGAGCACACACATTGCTCATGCAATGTGGACGTTGTGCAATCATTGGGGGAAAGGTGCTAAAGCATGACCACTGGGGTACAGAAACGGCAAGCTGAAACGCAAAGACCGACGTGATGAGGACACAAGGCGTTAGGCTGGGCCTCATGGAAACCCAGCAACGCGACGTGACGAACTCAAAAGGCCCTGACAACGTCGGCACACTAAGTTATCACATCCGAAGCGCTGTAGGGCTCTCAGGGCTTTCTACGAGGCGATCCCGTAAACACACGACTTTTGTAAGTCTTGAACTCTTACCTATAATTTTCCTAGATCCTCCACGACGCCAGAACGCTTTCTAACCAATCGAAAGGTGTTGGAATTGTGACGTGGCTTGGCGGCGTTTTGGACTTGCCCCTGGAGTTGAAGCGATTGGCTCTACATCCTTGGTACCTTGCGCCATCGAACCGGCTTCGCGACCGAATCACACGTTACCCGCACACGTGACTTCTACCGGCGTTACGCTTTCTGTGACATTGCACGGCTTCTGTAGACATTCAATACAGTATGATTCAAGAGGAGAAAGCCACATGCTGAAATGATGTTCTGGAGTGATATCGTTCTTGTCTAGGTTGCATGCCCAATTCACCTAGCATGATGTGACTATCGGCCCGGGGCGTGTTGCAATCGAATGTGCATGAAACTGTCTTTCTTGCGACTGCCGCGCTGTCGCGCTATTGATGTTGCTTTTGTGACGAACACCCGGGCGAACTGCAAGACCTACAATTGTCGTGAGTTACCACAAGTGCCGTAGTAATCCATAAACCCAAGGAGAATTGTGTTACATGCTTAAACATTCTAGTCTATGCCTCGATTGGGATATCATAGCAAGTATAATAGCATCCTGGAGGTGAAGGAGACAGGGCGACACAAGAATGCTGTAGCCAATAACAAGTGCCTGTGAGCCGCCCGGGGTTAGCATCGACGTCAAGACGCTTACTTCCGCTGGTAGGCTCTCGGCGCAACCCATCACCCGCATGTCAACCATATCGAAACCCCTGATGCTTCTGCATTCTCGACTTGGCCAGGATGTGCGCAAGCCTGGCACATTTCACCTGCGTCGCGACAATGCAATGCACCTAAATCACGGTTCAGATGCTTGTTGCTTGTTGCTTGTTGATCCTCCCCTACTCTCGATCCAGCTTGTAAGGCCAGCGACACTCTCAAAGAAATTTGTATGCTGATCTAAGATACGTGCGATATTGCGCTGAAACATGGTCTTGGTGGTCTCCCGAAGAAGCCTATGACATTGCTGCTTTGCATCCATTTGGTTTCTTATCAACAAGTCACAATGCTCTTTGTAGACAGAGTTGATGTCGATGCCTACTTGCTACACACGCTCATTTAGGATTGCAAAGAAAAAAAAAGCATAGTCTGAGAGACACATACGTCCACGAGCCCGAACTTCGCAGCGGTTCAATTGACCTCATGTTACGATAGCATCTCGTTGAGTCTTAGGCACGGAATATCTAGCTAGCATGCACGCAACATGCTCTTGAAACGAGGCCGCTGATCAATACAAGCATATATAGCATGGTCGGTCACGGTCATGTTGCTTCGATCTGTAAGATAAAATACGAACCCTGAGAGGACTAAGAAACCATATCGAAGGGTGTGTGAACACGAGTATCTTTCCAAAGTTCTTGGAGCTTGCGTATGTATGAAGAAGCTCCTGTCCTTTTTTACACACCTTGGACTGAACTGCATTCCGAAAGCAATCGCGTGATTTCATCTATAAACACATGGATTCATGAGCCAGGAATTGTACTAAAGGTACAGACCAGAAAACGCAGAACTCACGCACCATCACGATGCTGTCCGAGGACTGGTGACGTAGTGGGCCGTCGCGTGTGAGACGGTTGCGGTAGCGTGGTGGATGACATTCCTGCCGCGTTAGCTACGCGACAGATGCGCGAACCTTCCTCCACCAACAACGACACCTCAATTCGCACTCTACTAGCCACGCCTCGTCCGACGAAGGCATCGAACATTTACTAAACATGCGGCATGGTGCCGTCTATCACGAGCCTGGCCGCCGAACTCCAAAGCTGTGCCGCGGCGCTAAAAAGAATCCGCTGCAGCGGTTGATTTTGCTGGCGCTAAATTGACGTTGTATAGAGGCTCGATGTCCCTTATCTAAGATGTCTGCATGCTGGGTCTACTGTAGTTCGGTGCTGATAAGCTTGCAACCCATGGTAGCTGTAGTACCTTATCGAGCTCATCGTCAAGTGTAGTTTTAGCCGCCCGACCTCCGTGGGAAGGCCTTCCATCGATAAGCTCGCCATGTAGAACGTCTGTTGACGACTCTTTTCGATCTTGTACGGCATACGGTCCATCGAGTGTCTCCTCGCAACTCTCACAGCAAGCCTCAGCACACGGCACAAATGTCATCCGTCTCCAGACTCTCAGCGCCCTACATCCCAGCCCCGAGCAGTGCAAGTATCACTCCGCCTCCTTCGTATCGTGCGTCGATTCAGCATAAGCCTTCGCTAGATCTACCTCAACGTTTAGAGAAGAAGCTGGCAGAATACAACGCGTCACAGAATGTCCTAAAGCGCTGACTGTTCGAGATTGTCAGCTTGACTATCAGTGCTATCTGCATGGTGCGTGTTATCTTGAGACGAAGAGGCTTCAAGCATACCTCGGAACAATACTGACGATCCGAATTTAGGGTTTCATAATCGGTATATGTGTTCACACCAAGGATCAGCCTCTCAGCAAGTGGCCACAAGCCTCGACCGCCCAAAACGTACTGTCCAAAATTGCTTCGGCCGCCCTCATACTCCCGATCTCCGAAGCTATAGGCCAACTAAAATGGGCCTGGTTTCGCGGCAGCGAATCGAAAGACATGATCGACTTCGAGATATTTGACAAAGCTTCTCGTGGAGCCTGGGGTTCATCCCTCCTGCTCTTTCGCACCAAAGGCCGATCTCTGGCCGCCCTCGGCGCCATTCTCACTCTTCTCCTGTTAGCTGTGGATACGTTTTTCCAGCAGGTCACCGATCTTCCTGAACGCTGGGAGCTCGACGGCTTCGGTGAGATACCTCGCGTAGTACGATACGAAGGCGACAATGGAGATATATATGAGGATGGTTATCCAAACACGATGGAAGACATAAACCTACGACAGGCAACACTTAAATTCTTTTATTATAACGGTAATAAACCCGTCCCATTTGGATCAGGAGAGCGGCCAGACATACCGTTATCGTGTCCGTCAAGTCGATGCGAATGGGACGAATACGATACGTTGGGCGTCTGCAGTGCGTGCACCGATGTCTCTGAGCTCCTTACGTATGCCTGTCTTACGACAAAGTTGGACTGGATCTCCAGCGTTTACTTTAATTCGACAACACAGCCAGTAGGTAATGCACCCTATGTATGCATAGTTCCGCTTTGTATTATGCTGACGCCGAAACGCTAGGAAATGCATGTGGCTATTGGATAAATGCCACAAGTGAGGCACCCGTCCTAATGTCTGGCTTTAGAACTGACACTACTGCTGCCAACTCGTCAACGAAAGACGAGGCACTGCTATTACGCACATTACCGTTGTCGGCAGCAATGACTTCTGTTAATCCTCTTTCGGCAACACCACTGTTCGGCGGCTCCATACATTTCAAGGAGGTCTACCTGCCTTTCCCCGATGCTATAATTGTCAGTGCAGCTGACGGCACTGCTTCCAGTGTCTATGATCGCCAACGTCCAGTTGCACAAGAATGCATGCTCTCATGGTGTGTCAAGACTCTCAAATCTACCTACGCTTGGGGGGACTACGAAGAAACGGTGACCAAAACATTCCTCAATACGACCGCCTGTGAGCGGCCCTATCCATGGATCGGCCGAGCAGTATGGTCTCTTGGCGAGGAGGCCTTTTGGACAGAATTTCAGGGGAATCTTAGCCTACACCCTCCTGGAACGGACCCAATGATCGACGACTACGGCATGTCAAATGAGACGTTCGCAAGGACTCAGGCGCTATTTGATGAGATCTTTCCTTCCACGATCACGGTCGCTAATGCTGTATCGCCACCCTGGTGGCGCATCAGAATCTATGCTTGGGGTCGCAATCAACTCCATCCTTTCAAATCCTGCCCATGGCTCGCACCTAACAACGTTACTCAGTATCTCGAGAGGCTCGCGACTTCCATGACCAATGTTGTGAGAACGCACAATGGCCACGACTTCGTCCAAGGGCGAGCCTATTCTCAGACTACCTTTATTGCAGTCCATTGGGAATGGCTTACATTTCCTCTTGCGCTTCTACTCTTCAGCCTGGTCTTCCTCGCAGCAACTATCATCAAGACGTCCAAGATTGTGGATGGTGGGACAGGCTTGTGGAAAACTTCAGCCATGCCAACGCTCATATACAGTCTGCCGAAAGACACACAAGCAGCTGTTGCTTCGCAAGGTGGATGGAAGAATACTTCGGATAATAATTCCAGGAGAATCAAGATTCGATTGCTTCCAAAGCATGGTTGGAGAGTTTCCGGTCAAGTACAAACGTCCCCGACGCCAAACACGAATCGCGATCGGAGAGCACCTCCAGGATGGATCTGAGTATTGACTGTGGACAGAACGTCTTCATATAGACACTGATAGTGGCAGGTGACATAGGTTGGCTTTGCAACTATCATCTTTCCTACTTCCTCCCGTTCTACCCTGGTTTCGTTTACATTGGGCATGACCAGTTGAGCACACGCTCAACAAGCTTACTTCTATCACCATACGCAACCAACCACATGGCCTATTAATAGTGATATTGATCGCCCTCAGGGCATGATCCTCCGCCTACCTAAGAATCGTCTGTCAGCCTGCCTAGCCACATGCGGCCGAGTCGGCGACCATTTGAACTTTTACATGGCAACGTGTAGCCAGACAATGCTACACTCATGAGATTTGAGTGCTTTGCATGGATCCATGTGCTCTTTGAGTCGTTGGTAAACGCGAAACAGTTATCGCGTCGCTGTACATCTGCCGATGATACCTACTTTTGGTGGTTTAGACTTGCTGCCAGGAACCAGGCCGCATTGTACGTTTAACTAAGTGCCTTGTTCTTGCTTTCGTCCACACCTCTGTCTCCATAATGCGCGAAAAGTGTATACAAATATCAACGTCTCCTGTATCATGATGCGCAAACGGGAAAGCGACCGGCTCGTATCATCCATACCAACCCGTCGCAGAGATATCTGTGTTCTGTATTGGTATACCATGAACGTAGAACACACAGTCACCTCCACGGCAGTAACAGTCACAGCTTGGAAGGCACAAGCTCTCAAGGCCCTTGCATGTGGGGTGGCTTCCCAAGGTCGGCTCGCTTTGGACCCCTTACCACAACCAGGCCGCCTTGCGTTCTGCCTACTGTAGAGCCGATCCACAGTAACAACTCCAGCGCTTAAACTTCTGACTATCCTCACAGGTGCACTTGACGTGGCTCCGAACAATTCCACACACGCTAGCTGTGGAAATCTTACGCCTCGGCGCTACAGTGACTCCGGCAACATGATTGGTTTGAATTATCCCCGCAAATTCCGCTGCGGGCGCTAAAACTCCCGCTCTGACAGGTCTGGCGCTCCTGCTGAGCCAGTCCAGGATATTTTTGCATCGCCGACGCTCAAGTCTAGGCTTCTACATGGACGCTTTGCGACTGATCACTTGCCTTGGACAGTAAGCCCGCGTTCATGTTGCTCTTCCTAAACGAGCTGCAGGAAGCTCGACTGTTAAGCGCTCGAGTGTTGACCGGATCGACATGTCCTGGAGGTTGCCAATGATGAACTGCAACACTTTCTTCAGAGCGTCCCTTTTTGACCATTTGTGTGCCCTCGAAGCTCCGTCAGGAGAACTCTCGCATAATGTCACGACAACAGGGACGACCGTTACCCCTTTCACTTGCGCAGTCACAATATCCATACCTCTCGTCGGTCAATAAAGGCTCGAACATACCATCTCCTCCATCCTATCGAGCATCCATACACAACAAACATCCACTGGATATCCCAAGGCGCATCGAGCAGAAGCTAGCGCAATACAATACGTCTGAAAGTGTATTCAAACGCTGGCTATTCGAGATAATCAGCGTGGCGACAAGCGCTATCTGCATGGGTGGGATCGCTTCAGCTTGGACCGATCTATGTGTATGCTAACGGCGACAATAGGCGCGATTATCGGATTACTCTATTATCTTCATGATCAATCTTTCAACAAATGGCCTCCCGGCTTGACCATCATCACGATTCTTTCGAAGATTGCCTCGGCAGCACTAATCTTGCCAATATCGGAGGCCATCGGGCAACTGAAGTGGATGTGGTTTCATGGAAAGAAGTCTAGGGACGCGTTCGATTTCGAAATCTTCGATAAAGCATCGCGTGGAGCATGGGGATCGTTTATGCTCTTGTGCCGAACAAAGGGCAAGTCACTCGCTGCTTTAGGTGCACTTTTGACGGTTCTACTACTGGCAATTGACACCTTTTTCCAGCAGGTGACAGATCTATCGGAGCGTTGGAAGTTTCATGGAGACAGCTTCATCCCACGCACCATTCGTTACAAACCAACCGTGGAGTTTCTCTATGATAGTAGTTGGAATAGCGACGTACCGTCGGCCATAGCGAACAACGATTTGAAGACAGCAATGACGCCATTCTTTTACGATCGTAATGGTACCCATCTTTCGAAGACTGGGAACGTCACTCAAGCTGAGATACCGCTAGCCTGCCCTACCAGTAGGTGTGAATGGCCGCCGTATGAGACTTTGGGGATTTGTAGCGCTTGTGAAGATATCTCACATTTACTCGAATACACTTGTCTTACTATGAGGATGGACTGGATAAAGAATTCGACTGGTCCTGGAACGGAGGACACATTTCCTGTAGGTAAGTTTATCATTATTTCACTTCTCACAAGTCAGGGAAGTTATGTACAACGTTGTTATGATGCTGGCTCCTCTTTTCGAAGTTGCTGGCCCAAAGCAATTTGGTACCAAACATTAACTAACCATATCATAGGAAACGCCTGCGGTTACTTTTTGAATGCTACCAGCGACAACCCAGTTCTCATGTCCGGATTTCGAGTAGAGAATGGTACAGACACATCCCATGGAGAAACACTCCTTATGCGCACTCTACCGCTTGTTACAAACCCGTCCAGGCAACCATTATATGGCGGATCTATAAACTTTAAGCACATACAGTACCCCCTTCTGGACACACTTGTTGTGAGCTCCCCGGATGGTACCGCAGCCAGCGTCTATGAGAAGAAGATCCCTATCGCCCAGGAATGTATGCTGTCATGGTGTGTCAAAACACTTCGCTCTTCCTACTCGAACGGAGGATATGAAGAGCAAGTGATAGAGACGTTCATGAACACAACCAGCGCGGAGGAGTGGCCATGGTGGACAGAGGACCACCCGGAAATACAAGTGACCGATACTGAGTTCAGAGCGAACATCAGCATACTTCCGCCGTCTATAAAGACCAACGCGATTCCTTTCGGAGTTTCCAACGTCACGATCCTGGACATCGTCGTAATCCTCGATGAGATCTTCCCTTCGTTTCTTACGGTTGCCAACTCGACGGCGCAGCCTTTTATCAAGATCAGGACTAGCGCTGTTGACAATGTCTTCTTCCGTTCCGTGCGTTTCAGCCCTTGGCTTGCTCCTAACAACGTTACTTACCACATGGAACGAATGGCCCAGGCCATGACCAACGTCATTAGATCAGACGCAGGTAGCAACGAGCTGATCACTGGTGCTGCCTATGCCCTCGAGACTTACGTAGCAGTTCACTGGGCGTGGCTCACTTTCCCTCTGATCATGCTACTTCTAAGTATCGTTTTCCTGGTCGCCACCATGTTGAAGACTTCGAGTCATAGTCACGGCGACATTGGCACTTGGAAAACGTCAGCGATGCCGACGCTGATGTATGGTCTTCCACCAGATATTCAGAGGGGCATCATCTCAACCACGAGCTCCGGTGGAGCCACGCACAAAGGCTCCCGTAAGGTGCGAATCAGGCTGTTGCCAAGACAAGGCTGGAGGGTGTCTGGGCAGGTTCAGCCCGTACCCTCGGCTCCTCCGGGTTTCATATGAATACGGAAGGCCTGTTATCTCCGATATTGTAATTGCTATCAACAGTTGAATTCTACTGCCTGAAACTAGCGCTGTTGTGTCAAAATCTCAATCATGTGCAGGAGGCCTTGGAGGTTCACCACTCATCGTTCATGAAGCCGATATATCATATCCTCAAAGCAGAAACGTAATTGAGGTCGACCTTGAGCACGTCTCTATCTTTAATTCGGCTAATCACGCCCAGGCGTCAATACAAGCGGTAAATCGCCCGATTGAATTGGTTCGTACCGCCAAGCCACATGCGAGTTCAACATGGTTAGACCAGGCCGACCTGCCAAGTCTGCATGACCCTGGACTCGCATCTACGGCATGAAGTTCAGCGCTAAATTCAACCCTTCAACGGCTTGCTTCTTTTTTCGGCAGCTTAGTGCGTGTCCGGCGGTTGGGTATCTCCAACTGTAGGACATAATGAGATGCTAGGTCAAGAAGTTGCAGAACTAGGTCACGTCCCTCAAAAGACTCAAGTTTACGTAGAGTTTGCACAAGACTATACCGCGACTTCGACAACATATGACATCCACTTGTTAGTCGCGAGAGACACGATTATTCAATTGATACGTTCCAATGAACGAGCCACCCAGTTACTCATCCACGGCCTCAGCTTACCCACATGGCCACATACCTACGCTTCCGCAATACCAATTCTCAAGATATCCACCGCAAAACGCCCAAAACTATGAACACGACACGTCACTACCATTCGCTTCTGATGGGGAGGCGAAGAGACCTCTAGATTTGGTACAACGCTTAGAGAAGAAATTGGCGCAATACAATGCGTCCCAGAATGTCTTCAAGAGATGGCTTTTCGAAACAGGCAGCTGGCTGGTGAGCGCGTTATGCATGGGCGCCATCATTGGTATCTATATATCAATCAGCGGAGAAGAGATGACCAAGAGCGAACGATTTCTCACGATATCCAACATTTTGGGGAAAGTAGCATCCGCCGCACTTATCATACCAACCTCAGAGGCACTTGGACAACTCAAGTGGAATTGGTTTCACGGATCTTCCAAAGCTATGTGGGATTTCGAAATCTTTGACAAGGCATCGCGCGGGGCATGGGGTGCCGCACTACTTCTTTTCAGGACGAAAGGTAGATCCCTAGCTGCTCTGGGGGCTTTGCTAATTGTGTTACTACTTGCTATTGACACTTTCTTTCAGCAAGTGGTGACATTTCCGGATCGTTGGGCCTTGCAGAACGCATCAAGCTCGATACCAATTGTCAAGGCGTACCGCCCGCCTTACCTCACGTACTTCAGAAATGGTTTAGAACAGGGGCAGATGGATCCAATATTGAACCCTGTAATTTCGGGTTATTTTTATCAGAACGGGACGCAAACACCGTTCGGCAAAGGTCTTCGGCCAGACATACCACTCTCCTGCCCTACTAGCAGATGCACTTGGCCTGAGTATGACACCCTGGCGATATGCAGCAGTTGCGCGGATGTTTCCCAAGACTTGGACATTACATACGCTTGCCTTAATACAACAATTGACTGGAGTACCAAACGCCAAGGTTCACTGGCAGATGATCCGTATCCGATCGGGACGGTTTGTGGTCATTTTCTCAATGCTACGTCGAATACGCCGATACTTCTTTCTGGATACATTATGCAAGAAAATGGTATAAGGAACACAACTGGAGAAGCCTTGTTGATGCGCAACATTCCTCTTTCTGACATAGACACAAAAGCGCCTTATTATGGCACTGGCTCTCTCTCGTTCAAGAATATCCGCTACCTATCTTCGATGGTCTTATTGCATCCGCAGCGAATGGTCTTGATAGTGTATATCATCACGAGCCTCCTGTAGTTCACGAGTGTGTACTATCATGGTGTGTTCAGCGTACGAGGTCGTCGTATGAGTGGGGAGTATACAACGAGAGCGTTGAGGCGGTTTTTCTCGACACTACAACTGACCCTGTTCCGTGGCCATGGATTGTCACGAAAGGTTTATTCGCTTACACAGCAAACATCGTTTTCGAAGTGCCAAGATTAGGTTCTCCAGATACTAACATCACTTATTCTGTCTGGAATGAAACGGCGTTCCAGATCATGATTGCCTGGGATGACTTATATCCTGCGACCTACACGGCTGAGAATGTGTCTTCGAAACCCACGTTGAGGTTTAAAAATTACCCTGATGGCCCCGCTACTCGGTTCATGGACTTTAGTCCATGGCTTGCACCGAACAACGTCACACATCATATGGAGAGACTGGCATCAGCCATTACCAACGCTATACGGTCAAACGTCAACAGTAACGAGATGCTCAATGGAGAGGCACACAACCAGGAAAAATTCGTTCATATCAACTGGTTATGGCTCATATTTCCACTGCTACTACTGGTACTGAGTCTATTATTCTTGGTTTCTACCATTGTCAAAACTTCGAAGGATGTCGAGACGGGTATATGGAAAACTTCGGCTATGCCGGCGCTGATGTATAGTCTGCCGAGAGACCTTCAGGAGGGACTCGCAACATCGGTGACATCGAGACCCATTTCGATGAGAAGGTCGAAGAAGGTCAGGATCAGACTGATGCCGAAACAAGGGTGGAGGGTGTCTGGTCAGGTGCAGCCCGTGTTGACGGCTCCGCCGGGTTTCACATAGTTGCGAGCCTCTGTTATGATGAGCATGTGCAAACATCGAAGATTTGGTGAAGAGAACAATGGTCTAAGATGAGCTGCTTGTGGTGACATGATGCAGACAGCGGTGTATGAATGACACCCGTAACCTATAAGCATATCCATACTGAGCACACCGAATACTTTAAAGGTACACTTTGGTGAGGCATCACAGAGCATCGTCATCGCAGAGCCAATCTCGCTTGCTGAGCCTTAGCCCAGCCAGCGTTTGCCGCTCCGCTCCGGCTCGCCCTTCCGTCTGTCGTCCCCTCTCCATCAAATTCCATCATCATTCTTGAGTACTGGGAAGTGTCACTACTTCTTTTGACCCTGAATTTATCGTTGCACATAGCCGCACTCCTTAGCTGCGCATTGCCAGAATGCCGATCACGGCGTCATTAACTGCCGGGCACCATGTCGCAGCGCTAACAGCAAGGCTCCCATAGGCGCGTGATAACGAAGCGCATACTCAACGTTCAGTGGAAACACGTGCAGCTTAGCGCTACTATCCCATCATGGCTGAGGATAGAGTTGCATTTGGGTGTGAAGGTTATGCAGCTTCTTAGGCGCCGGTGTACTACCTTAGGTCTCGTCTTGTTTTCAAGCATCCGTCGAGACACAGCTTTTACCACAAGACTACCATCCTTCACCTTTCGTGCGAAGTACCACGGCCCGCTCTCCATTAACGCGATTCCTACAGTAATGGCTTCTACTTCGACAGCGACACGATATCAGCTTCCATCGACACAGCAAGGTCCACGACACAGAGGACGCCATGCGTCAGACTCGCATGATACATTGGAAAACGCGAAATCATCGCTTGACTTCACGCAACGAGTCGAGAAAAAGTTAGCCGAATACAACGCGTCGAACAATGTCTTCAAGAGGTGGTTGTTTGAGATGATGAGTTGGTGTATCAGTGCGGCGTGTATGATCGCAATCATCTGTATCTACCTTCAGATCAAAGAACACCCATTGTCTCAAAGCGGATTATATCTTACCTTGACTAACGTCCTGGGGAAGGTTTCTTCTGCTGCCCTGATCGTGCCAACATCGGAAGCACTTGGGCAATTGAAATGGAATTGGTTTCATGAGTCCAAGGCTATGTGGGACTTCGAGATATTCGACAAAGCTTCCAGAGGACCCCTTGGTGCCCTGATGCTACTGTTTCGAACAAAAGGTCGCTCTTTGGCTGCACTGGGTGCACTGCTTATCGTTTTGCTTCTTGCGATCGACACCTTTTTCCAGCAGGTGGTAACTTTCCCAAATCAATGGACTCTACATGAAATGCCTGGACAGATACCATACCTGGTTCGTTATGACCCTCCTTATCAGACGGAGTTTCAGGGCGGATGGGAAACCAGCATCTACAACTCCGACGTGATGCCTGTTGTCCAGCAGTTCCTTTATAGGAACGGTAGCAAACCTACTCCATTTGGCACAAGTTATCGTCCAGACATTCCCCTATCTTGCCCTACTAGCAATTGTACTTGGCCGACCTACGACACACTTGCTGTCTGTAGCAAATGCGCAGAAGTCAGCGACCTCCTAGGCATCACCTTTGCTTGTTTGGAGACAACGGTAGATTGGAGTACGAAATGGGAAGGACCTATTTCCGAGGTTCCCTACCCCAATAACACGGTGTGTGGGCATTTCCTGAACGCAACGGCGGAACTTCCGATCCTTCTCTCGGGATATACCGTCAAAACCAATGGAGACGATATCCACGACGAAACTCTGTTGCTTAGAACAATTCCCCTCACGACTTTCCCGGCTAAGGAGCGTCTCTACGATGTCGGGTCGGTGGCTTTCAAAAACACACGCAACCCAATCTTTGATGCTCTGATAGCCTCGGCAACCGGTGGTCTAGAAAGTGTACATCAGAACAAAACTCCCACGGTTCATGAGTGTGTTCTCTCCTGGTGTGTCCAGACTCTCGAGTCATTCTACGACCTGGGTGGATACAATGAACGCGTCGTTAAATCATACCATAACACCACCATCGGGCCAAGTCCATGGAACTCATGGGAGATTCCGGCTGAAGAAGGAGGCGGAACCTTGATTGAATACAAGGAAAACATCACCATCGTACCCACAGGGGTCAGTCCAAACGACGCTAAACCCACCGATACGATGATTGAATATGGCGCCAACAACGTTACTGCTTGTAATTTCATGAGTATTTTTGACGATTTCTTCCCTTCTTCGTACAGCGTAAGCAACGTCTCTGCGATACCCAGGCTCAGATACAAGGAGTTTCCCATGTCCGGTCCCTCCCAGCGGTATCTTCCATACAGTCCCTGGATGGTACCTAACAACCTCACGCGACATGTAGAAAAGCCTGCTACAGCAATGACGAATCGAGTGAGATCCTCCGACAGCAACGAAATGCTCCAGGGTGAAGCGTTCTACAACGAACAATATGTTTCAGTCCAATGGGAATGGCTTATCTTCCCATTCCTGCTCCTGACGCTTAGTTTGATATTCTTAGTCTCGACAATTATCAAAACATCCAAAGATACCTCGGCCGGTATCTGGAAGACATCAGCCATGCCGACGCTAATCTATAGTTTACCAAAAGACGCGCAAAGCAAGCTGAGTCCCATATCGACATGGAATGACTCCGACAAAAGCAGCAGAAAGGTTCGAATTAAGCTGCTACCAAATAGAGGTTGGAGGGTATCTGGCGTCAGTCACCTGAGCACGTCACCACAGTTACCACATCCTGCTGTTCAGGCTCCACGTGGCTGGATATAAGACAAGATCTATAAGACAATGGATAACACTGACAATACTCGAACGATAACGCGTAACACCAGGTCCTACATTCGTTCCAAATCTCATACGTGATGACTTGTCACACCTTCCCTACGTACGTTGTCTTCCACAATAAGGCCAGCTTTCCACGATTCTTCTTCATTTTCCTTGCCTTCTTCTCCAACTTCCTTTCCTTGCGCGACGGAAATTCACTTCCAGGCCCTCTCAAGACGACACCCGGGTGCACAGCCGCTAGTAGCGAAAGCGCCAACATCATCGGTACGGCATCCAGCCCTAGTGCATAGCCTTCTGTCCCAATGAGGGCATTCGCCGATTCATCAATACCGGCCGAGAACTCCACGAGCCGAAAGATGATGCGTATCGTGATCAGTCCAAGAACAGAATACAACGTATATGTCAGCCACTTCCACAGCGCAACTCTTCTCCATCGGCCATTGTTATCGCACAATCGGCCATCGCGCTCCAATCTCAGCATATCGATATGGAATCTCACAATCATCCCCAGGAAGATCAGAATGAAGAGCTGCTGCACACCCACGCCACTCATATACACGTTCTTGCCGATCCCGATCACTTTCGCCCCATTTTCTTGATTCATCATCAATCCGCCCGCTGCCTGGACGATGAAACTAAGGATATCAAGCCACACAAACCAGCGACCCATCTTCACCGCTTCGATACCCCAAAGTCTCTTTCTGGGATGCAAGAGGTAGACCAGTCGGCCGGCTGTCATGTAGACGAACGCATTGATCCACAGTGGTGCTAGTAGGAAGAGCAATGTTGATGCAGTTGCGTACGCTTCGTTTTGTTGATCTCGCGTGCCGAGGGTACGTAAGATGAAGGATGTCAATTCCCAGATTGCGCCTGTGATGATCACCCAGCAGAAGCGTTTCCGATGGAGAATCGCGAGGAGGATGTGCGCGATTGTGAGGAGACCGAAAAGGACGGCGAAGGCTACGGCAGCGGAAAAGGAGGGGTTGTAGAGGTAAAGTGCATTGCACGAGGATGGCGGGACATAGCCATGAGGACCGGGAATGGCGGTAGTACATTCAGGTGTGGTAGCAGTGCTAGATGGAGTTGTTGGTGATGCCATTCTTGGCAGTAGATACTAGATCTTCACTGATGATGATTTCAGATATTGTAGCAGTAGCGTTTGAAGAGTAGATGCATGATTATGGTTGGTCTTTATGCAATTTATGTCCTGGGAACACGCTCATACTTGACGTTGAATCATAGTGCCAAATACGTTGACGCTCTCGAAACCAGCCTCCGCATCCCTTTCATTACGCGTCCGAGTCTGGGGAGAAAGCCACCCAACGCAAGACGTCGTATGCATTCTCTCGCTAGAATACTAGAAAGAGGCATGAATTTCGTCAGGCAAGCACTTGAGGCTGAGGCAGGTTTTCGTGTTCACACACTCAGCCCTGTAGAGACAGCCGAGCTAACGCGTGGCTTGGGTAAGACGAATCGCGTGATACCGTTCGGAAACGTAAGCGCTGTATGCCTCACCGAACGCGGGGTTCTGCAAAATGTGCTAGGCTTGCGAGGAAGGTGCAACAGCTGTATGTGAATGATAGATACTGAATATTGATTTGCTCATTACTATAACGTGGAAATGTAGGTTGCGCCAGGGTATCATGCAAAGCATCATTCTCAGATCCTTTCCTTCTTCCGCCTCATCTTCCAATCGCTTCCACCGTCGCTTCCATCCAAATTATTGTTTTGTTGTCACACGCTTTCCTTCACCGATTCGGCGCTGGTATTCGCAGCTGCGCAAGGTGCAGCGCTTCTGGTGAAAATGTTAGCCGCACTCATACTACAAATATGCCAGAGGTGAGACTTACTTTGTGCTGCCGCTTGCCGCAGTGACAAGAACTGCATCATGCTCGAGAGGGCTACAAAGCTCGCCAATTCAAGGACTTTTGTATACTCGAAAGCACGCCTGAGGAGATGCGCAAGCAATGCAGCATCTCGTCTTATGCTGAAAGGTATGTTGAAGTTCATGAGGAACTCAACTGTGGTATTTCACGAATTCGTAGGCCATCAAAACCCTTTCAGACGAGCCTGCCGATCAGCAGGCTCCCATCGCTTTCGTTCACACTCAACTCCGGGTTGCGATATACCGTGTGCGCTGGTCTAGGTGGAACGGGACCTTGGCTGTCCCAACTGTCTTGACTGGGGTTTCTTGCCGGCTCAGACTCAGCCTGCTGTACGTGGATGGTCGGGACTTCCGATGCTGTGTGGAACTTCGAGAACGGAGAGCGGAATTTCGGCCGCATGGTCATCGTTGACGGATTGCTATATGATGGCGAATTGTCAGGCCGTTCGAGAGTGCTGCACTCAATGAACTCATCGTTACGGGAGGTTGAGCGCGAGCGCTTCTGAGGGCCACTTCCTGGTATGGAACCGCGACGCCCGGTGTCCCCGACGGAGCTGAATTTGCGTGCGACAATATCATCTAGGACGGACTTGAAGTCGTCGAGGAAGATGGTATCCGATGCGCACTTGAACACAAGCGCAAATCGCCAATACGGGTTGATACCGCTGCTGGCTGTCACCTTCGCGGCGCTGACAGCAACGTCGGTTAGCAGGAACACTATCGACAAGATCATGCACGCCAGCATGACGCCGAATCTCCTGTTTATTCCGACAAGGGTCCAAAGATTGAAAGCGTAAGTCTTCTTGATAGCGTGCATGAGCCGCCAGGTAGTGAATATCCACCACGGATCACGGGCCAGAGCCTCCCAAGGTCTCATACGAAGGTTGACGTCGGAGCCGTATTCGAATTGGTTGAAGTAAGCAAAATTCGACCATGCCTCTGCTATCCAGAACGGTTGAACGCAAAGTAGTGATATGATGAAGAAGCGAGACCCCCAGAGCGGTAAGAAGGGTCGGATCTTGAGCCATGCGACGATGTTGTGGAGAAAGTATGATATAAAAAGTAGGCTCGCAGTGGCGCTGAGGAACCAGCCATAATCCGGGTCTTCAACGAAGATGAATGTGCCGTGCCAGATGGCAAGAACAAGCTGAGTTGGTCAGTATTCCATTGTGCCTTAAGCGGTTCGCATAGCAGAACTTTGAGGAAGTTTTCATGTGACAGCTGCAAGGCGATCACAGAAGACTACGGCATCAATAAGACTCACCTCAAGTAGAATAAGCTTATGAAGCCATATGCCAGAGCGGTAGTTGCAGAAAACGATCAAAATGAGGATAATCAAGCTTCCAACGTTGTATCCTTGAGTCCATGCCTCGAGAAAACCACCTTCGGTAGTCATGCTCTCTCTTGTCGGTGGTGAAGTGCGTGTCGTAGCTGTTCCGGGGAAGCGCTTTGCCAAGGCGAGCAAATCCATGCTGTTGAGCGGTGCCATGATTTCGTATCTTGTTAAAGCTCAGATAAGAGTGAAGCTGGGACTGGAGCCATGTACGGCGACTTCCCTCCCGTATCGAGTGTAGTGAAGTGAGTATCGAAAAGTGGGTCGAAGTTCGATCAAGACTCGGGCGGGTAAAAGGCAGCAAAACGGGGTGAAAGAAATCTGGGGTAGGCTACCTTACATAGGTTTGATGCGCAGGCCTGCGGGTAGATCGTGGAGCAAACTGCAACGTTCATACCTATGCCGCACTTCCAGTGTGGCGGTAACAGGGCGGTCTGGCGGCGGGCACAGCGAGGCTATCAAGGTTGCTGGCCGCAGTAAGCCTCTCCTACCGGCCATGGGAAGGGAAAACACCCGTGGACATGATTACTTTGCCCCTGCAACGGACATCCCGTTGCTCTAAAATCTGACAAAAACATTGCACATTCGAATTTCCCGTTGCGCAGACGCATGGACTGCGCGTTGGAGCAAATGAGCGGAGCCGCGTATTGGTGCGATGCGTTGTTGATCGGCGGTGATGTCAGATCGTGGCTGAGGCGTGGTTGACAGGGCGGCCTTATCATCTGCTTGATACGCCTGCGAAAACCCTCGACTGACTCAATGCCAAGGTCTATTGAGCCTCACTTACTGTCGTACATTTGCGTGCTCATGCCCGCGTGCCACTAATATAGCGGTCTGCTTGACTTCCGCTACTGTAGGGCGAGTAATCTATACAGCTCATGGGTGGCATCTGTGTCGGGCGTATGAGCAACCGGTGTCAACACTCTACCTGTACGACGAAGGACGTAAACGAAAGGGACGATCGATGCCACGCCGAGTAATCATGTAAGCCATGGCAATGAACGAATTTGTCGGGTTGTCTAGACAAAGGCGAGAAGGTGCGAGCACGGCGCCATCTCATTAGGTAATCTTAACAAGCTGTTATGCTCTTCCAGCATGCTTCGTAAGTAATGTAGGTGCGATGGCAGGATAAACTGTAAACACACAAACGGTTGCCGGAAGTTTCTCTCACGGCCCCATCGGGTATCACGAGGGGTGACGTAGGAGTGGCGTTCCGATTGGCTGTGGGCGCGACTAGTTCAGGGGCTTAGGAAGCAAGGGAGGGAACGAAGAAACTGCCAACCTCTCCACTTTCTCGTCCTACGCGTGGCACTATTACCAAAACAAGCCCTGAAACAATATAACGGCTCTACTCTGCTTTGTCCACGACACCTATGCGCGTCTTGCCCCACCGGAAATCGTCCAACTTGTACAGAACGTACAGTTGGGTAATAAAGTTAACTGTCGGGGCAAAGATGCCGTACATGACGGCCCCAACGAACGACTGAATGGCATCAAGAACTGAGTCGGAGGCTGTGATGATGACGAGCATGTCATATATCAGTCGGTAGTTCTCCAGAAAAAATAGATAAGACTTCGTCTGGTTGTCAAGGTGTCCTGTGGATCTGGTGTCAGACTAGTATCAGCGGTTGCAGTTGCAGCGGTACTTACGATAGTATCTCGAAAGGTAGAGCGCTGGGTTGACGATCCAATGCAGTACCGAAGCAAACGCGGCTACTCTCTCAATCCAGCCTGTTGATCTACGACTGACAAGGAGACTGTCGCTTGTGAGTGGCCCCAACGTCCATCTACGGCGTTGACTTAGGAAAACCGAAGGGGTGTTCGGCGCTGATGTGTATGCTCGCGCAGAGAGGCATACACGTGTCCGGACATGGGCGTACTCTGAGAGGACCAGACACACGTGGTCTCTGTCCTCGCTCATCATGGAACGGATTGTTCGGAACAGGCCATCGGTATCCTTCGGATAATATCCAAATTTGCCCAAGATGTGATCGCCGCAGGTATACTCGGTGACCCGCAACAGTTGACAGCATCCGGGCAGGCATGTCACCTTCCTGCTAGTGAGACTTTGACGGAGGCGACGGCGGTGCTGGCCAATCAGATACTCGGCGTTTTGGAAGAGGTAAGAAAGGGAGAATGGCCCCAAAACTTTGGGATCTGGTCGAATGTAACCAGTCACTCCCATGATCTCTTCGCCTTCTCTTACAGTCTGCATGAGATTGAAGACGCACTTCGGGTCGAACCTGGTATCCACGTCTATTCCAACAGCATAATCCACGGACAGGATGGAGGCCTTCTCAAGAAAGTTCGTCAATTCAGCGAACAGTTCCGGTGACAACATCGCCAACGAGGGTTTCGAATGGCGCTGGTTGAACTTGTGCATGAAAGATCGGATAAGAACGATTCCGTCTCGCTTTCCTCGGTTTTCGTTCTTGATGACACAAACGATTGGAATCCCTCTGAATTCGCCCTTGATGATCTCAGCATCCATCGGAGCACCGTCCCATGCAGTGTAAGCCTGAGCCATGAGTGTACTGGAATGTCGCTCAACGATATCTTCTTTCAGATAGGCGGCGGCTGTCTTTGGTTCGCCCTTGCTGCTGACTCGACCATCGCAAATTACGACGATGGCTTTTTTGTGAGCATCTAGTGACTGTTGCTCGGCCAAAGAATCCAATGAAATCATTAGCTCCGGGTACGACTCGTTGTAGCAACAGAGCAGATAAACAAAGTTTTCTGGCTTCTCTGGAATTTTTGGTTGACGCTGGTACAATCGTCGTATGACGAAGAAGATAACAACGAGGGTGATTTCAATGAAATCTACGATGGATCGGAGCATCAGTTGTGGAAACAGATACCAAAAGAATCTAGACCAATCTGCAAACATGTAGATTAAGACGCAACTATATACTGGTACTTAGCGATCCAGTTCTTGTACGTTACGTAGAGGATCACTTACTTCAGCGGTATCAAGAAAGCCAGCGCAACATGTTTCTCGATCCTCAGTCTCCGCGCATCGACGGTTGGTAGGTGTTCGATTGCACTGGATAATGTCCGGGACGAGAAAAAGAAGGATCGTTTCCGGAGGTTGTTGGGCGTGTTCTTGATATTGCCTGCGATATGAGCCCCCGAGCTCGCGGTATCGAGGATTTCCATTGTGGAGGATGTTTGGTTTGTTGCTTTCGTAGATGAAAGCTGTGCAGGAGCAACATGCATTTTTATTGTCTTGCACACTTTTCAGGTGCAGAACAGGCCATGAGGATCTGCATAGCCGTCTCCACAACATTCGAGCATCTGGAACGCTGTGTATAATACTGGTTTCAGGCGGTGTACATCAGGATAAACTGCAAAACACATCTCCGAAGTACTGCCAGGCGCCTGGTCGCGACTGCGTCGTTTCACGACTTGCATATATAGGGTTCCTCTTTTCTGAACCGGCTATTCAGAGTTCTTTCCCATCTTAACTCCGTACCAGTTCGGAGTGACACCGGTAATACTAGACATCCGGGCCGGTACAAGCGTGGTAGCGCCGAAGGTAATCTTGGCATGTATCGAGACTTAGGTCTAGTGTAACAATTCCTAATCAAATTTCATCATCAATGGTATAGTTATGTGTCTCGAGACGGAGTAGGAGTGTGCGTATGCATGTACGTATGCGGCCTTACAGGTCCACGGGTATCAGGAGGAACTAATTCACTGAATCTCAATATAACCGGACGTCCTCACATCACATTCACCCCTGTATCTACTCATCCATTGCATTCGTTGGTTTGGGTATCCTCGTCTCTTCTGCGACATGATTTCACTAGCCTTCACAGCATCTCAAAGCACGACAGATTTTCCTACCTCCTCCTCGAACAAGTACGATAAACCCCCAATTGTCGCAATCGTTGGGGTAGGATATGTTGGAGAACATCTTATGGAAGCCTTCTCTTCCGCTTTCCAAATCATTGGCTACGATGTATCGGCTTCACGTATAGAGATGCTACGTTTGAAGCACTCTCGAAAACGACATGTCAAGTTCTCAAACGACGAGAAAGACTTGGAAAACGCGTCACATTTTCTCGTCTGCGTACCGACTACGGTGGGATTGGACGGCAAAGTTGATTCCTCGCATGTTCGCAGCGCAATAGCAGTGCTCCGAAACTACGTGAACGATGAATCCATAGTGGTAATCGAGAGTACGGTTGCGGTCGGGATGACAAGGCAGCTCCTTGGCCCGCTAGCTGCATCGTGCGGTATCCTGGCTGGGATGTCTCCAGAGGTATGAATACCTTATGGAGTGGAATTTCGAAGATTAACTGATATATAAACAGAGAGTTGACCCCGGCCGCGTTGAACCTCCACCTAGATCTATACCCAAAGTCGTTTCTGGACTCGATGACATCGTCCCAGGCTCCTTGGATGCTATCAAACTATTGTACGAGAGGGTGTTCGATACTGTTATACCGGTCAGCAAACCCGAGGTGGCAGAGATGTCAAAGCTGTACGAGAACTGCCAGAGGACGATAGCCATTGCTTACGCAAACGAGATGGCAGACGCCTGCCAAGGATTAGGAATCGATCCTTTCGAAGTAGCACACACAGCCGCCAGCAAACCTTTCGGATATCTGCCTATGTACCCCTCACTAGGCATTGGAGGTCATTGTATTCCCGTCAACCCGGTATACTTCATGTCAACTTGCAATTTGCCACTTCTCCAGCAAGCCCACGAACGAACAATGTCGCGTCCTTCACGCATCGCCAGTCAGCTTCTCACATCACTACTAGAAGAAACCCATCGAAAGCATGGTGCAACACACCGACCAAATCTCCTCGTGGTCGGAGTCGGATTTAAGCCTGGCCAATCGGATCTATCCAATTCGCCCGGCTTGCAATTACTCAACTACATGCGCCAGTCTGGCGAAGTGGACCTCATGTTTTGCGATCCCTTGGTAGATCAAGGGGCTATACCTGAGGTACCAAGACTAGAACAAAGCCTGTGGAAGACGGACGTTTTGAAGACATTTGACGCGATTGTGGTAGCTGCGAAACAACCCGGCCTTGACTATAGAATTCTAGATACTCTGTTAGATGTGCGGGTTGATGTCTGGAACCGATAACAGACGGAGCAGCTGTTACGAAGTGATACGAGTTTAGTTTACAAAAGATTCTTTTGCTTTCTCCGGCTGGTCGTTGTGTTGTAGTACACACTTTTTGGCTACTCGATATTAATAAGAAAAAGGATAATTCAGCTTCAGTAAGGAGGCTATCGGCCCGTGTAATTGTCCGAATTCGAAGATCTTTACTAGAGCACGACCGGCGAATTCTGTTACAATTTCGTTGAGTTCGGGCCTATTATGGCTTTACCTTGTCCGCTGCGTCGCAAGTGGCTAAACCAAACCCTTGAAATCCAGAAGTGAGCGGTGAGCATGTGCAACGCGGCCAACGTAAGTGTTCAGACATGGCAACAACGACGAGAAGCTCACGCAACCGTCTTACCATGCTACCGTTGAAATGTGGTCTAGAAAAGCTAGAGTATCCCCCAAACTGGCCACTCATCAATCCAAGCCATCATGAGTAGTGCGATCGGAGATTTCAACCCATTCTTTTACTATCCGTTGGGGAACGTATGTCCCATACCACAGCCACTCGTTAGCGTCGAGAACCTCACCTATGGAAGGTGTGGACCAGGAGTTCGTGAGTCGTCCTGTAGTCATTGCTGCTCAGAAGATGTGAGTAATCGAAATCTCTTCGCATGAGTTGCTCTCTTAATCATTATGAGTAGGGGTACCACATGTCGGATCCAAACTATACTGGGGCACCAATGTGCCTCGAGGAGTTTGGACTAGCATGTGATGGCTCTAAATGGCCACCGGGATTTAACACGTCAGCTACGCCCAGACCAAAGCTAGGGGACATTCCGTATGGAAAGAGAATCAGAAGTTGTACGGTGGAAAACACACTTGCGCTTACGTACGACGATGGCCCCTCGCAGTGGACTCTGGGTTTGCTGGACATGCTGAAGGAAAACGATGTTAAGGCAACCTTTTTCGTCTCAGGTATGAAGTTGTATAACGACTTGGTCAATCATCGCAGTGATAAGACCCCTGCAATTGTAAGAAGGATGTACAATGAAGGACACCAGATTGCGGGACATACCTGGGCCCACTTGGACATGGACCAGCTGGATTCGCAACAGCGCAGACATGAACTTGTAAAAGGAGAGATTGGATTCATCGATATCTTGGGCTTTTTCCCAACGTACATGCGCCCACCATTCAACATTTGTGGGGCCGAATGCGAGACCGACGTCGGAGAGCTCGGATACCATGTGGTGAGTAGGATGGATGCCGCTACGTCTGAAGGAACATGGAACAGTAAACTGACTCTGCCTCGCAAGACTTCCAACGATATTGATGGACGAGACTGGGCAGGTAATTATACCTACGCCGAGGAACAGTTCATGGCAAGGATTACGAGTAAGGGTAACCGTCAGGGAGTCCGAGCCTGGCTGGGCTTAGCGCACGATACTCATCATCAATCGGTGTATCGGTGGACACCGTTCATGATCAAGAACGCGAAGGAGCGTGGGTTTAAGCTGGTAACAGTGGGTGAGTGCTTGAACGATCCAGAAGAGAATTGGTATCGGGACCCTTTGACAGGTGGAGCGCTTCACGACTTGTCTCCTAAGGGTACGCTGTGATGCGGACATTATTGTATTTTAGGATTTCGGCACAAAAGCCAAAACCGAACGGATGTGTGTAGTGTCTCTTACATAGAAAGTTACAATCGAATATTCAGGAGCGTTCTTGAGCATGTCATGTCCCAGACGCGATGACGTCCCTGTCGCGTGCTAAGTATCGTCCGTGCATTCCCAAACAGAAGCACCAGCAAGCAAGCCTTTATCCTTCAGTATCAATAACCATGTCACGTACCGCCATACCACGTGCAGCTTTACGTCTTAGCTCTAGAAGCTCATTATGCGCATCTTCGAGGTCAATTGAGGCACCAAGCCGCAGACTGTAAGCTCCAATGGCTGTTTTGCGCAAACCCCTCCGCTCACACCACCCAGTCCTCTATTGCGCCCAACACCACAATGCTCTTCCCATGCCACTCGAAGCTTTTCAGTGAGCACACAATTACAAAAGAAGGCCGGTAAAGCGAATAAAGCCCATGCGCGAACCGACTCAGCCCCGCCTGTGAACAACGCGGGGCCACTCACGCCTACCGATGAAGCCTACGATGTCTCGGGGTTGGAAGCGCAGATCCTCAAGGCTCTAGAGAAGCTCACACATGACCTCAGTCAGCTGCGCAGTGGAGGAAAGATGAACCCGGATATTGTGGAGAGTTTGAAGGTGCAATTAGGCACAGCAGGACAGGGCAAAGAGAGTGTGAGACTGGGAGATATCGCACAAGTCGTTCCAAGAGGGAGAGTGTTGAATGTCATATGTGGAGAAGAAGCCGTAGGTTTAAGCAGCTACTATGACAACACAAAGCGTACTAACACCATACAGCACATCAAGCCCATCAGCACCGCCATCGCCGCCTCACCACACTCGCTCACACCCCTCACGCCCGAGTCCTCCAACCCGCTCACGATTCAAGTCCCACTCCCACCTCCGACAGGTGAATCGCGTCGTGCGGCTGTAGAGTCGGCTATTAAAGCCTCCGAGCGAGCTGACAAAGCGATACAGAAAGAGCGACAGGAACATAACAAGAAGTTGAGGAAGTTTGAGCTGAACCGCGATGTGCTGCCGGATGATCTTCAAAAGGCAAAGAAGAAAATGGAAGAGGTGGTAAAGAGAGGACACGAAGAGGTCAAGCGCATCTGCGACGGTGCGAAGAGGGTGCTTGAAAGTCAGTAAATAGCATGATGAAATTGCATACTACACTGCCTGGAAGGCACACCAGAATCACGTCACTATTCGCACGAGCTTTGCTACACCACGGATGCGGTCGCGAGGCGTCGCGCTCTTTCAGTTGTTTGTGGACTCTGCCTCAAGTCTGCCTAATAAGCACATGCATTTGCTTGCAAAGTCTCCAAAGGTATGGTGACCAATGGAAGTATCACACATTACCTGAAGCACCCATTTTGCGAGGTTCCCATTGGATAACATGAAATGCGATGTCAACACGAGCAGAGCGAGAGGCTCAGCCTCCACAACAGTGCTTGGCACGACCCCTCGTGCATCATCTGGTGATACCGAAAATCGCAACATATAGGAAGTCGCTAGCTCGAACATCTAACTGGATTCTGCATGCAGGAGAAATGAATCTCGCGATTAATAGCCATGGCGACTATGGTAGAGCCAGGAGACACCAACACAGTCAAGCTTGACGGATTGGACGGGACGAAGGTATGCATACTCTGATATCTGCAGCTTCCCGCTGGGTCTATATTAAGACTGCATAGATCCCTATAATCACGACGACATCTCCATCATCGACTGAAGGCGTCGAGGTCACTCGTTTGCCTATGGAGGATGGCCCTGAGCTGCCAGTTAGCATCAAGCCGAGATCCGTCTTCCACATCTACGAAAAGCACGAGTGTCACAAATGCATCTCACCGGTCACCGATGCTGCATTGGAACGGCGTTCTGGCCCTACGATCAAACAGCAGAAGGAGAGGCGCAAGGAGAGAAAGGAACGTCAAGACGCCGGACTACCTCGTGTCGAACCAGACGACAATGCCTTCTTCCTGCACCGACCATACCTTGCCTTCCATGTGCCACCTCGCGTTCTTTATACGGGCAGCAGCAAGCGCACGGCGCAGCCTGCTGTTCTAATACACGAAGGTTGCTTCTGGAAAGAATACAAGCTCCAGCTACTCCCACGGATTCCTGGCATCATCGATCCACGTGGAGTAGTTGGATGGCGGCATAACGGAGGCGACAAGAAAGCGCTCAAGCTCGACGACCACAAGCTCAAAGGCTACAAAGTGCGAACATGGAGACTGTGGGGCGAGACGGGAAAAGACTACGTCCACTCAGTGAAAGCTACCCGCCAGACTGGTGATGGCCTAGATCCTGATGTGGTTAAGGAGTCTGGTGTCAAATCGGAAGAGCCTATGACAGCCACCGAGACACTAAATTTGCGGTGGACGAACCCTCTATCTCGGCGCACAAGATGCTACCACTTCCACTATGCTGGTATTGAATTCTTCTGGAAAGGAACAGGTTCTGTCCAAGAATCGCGTACTTGCGGCCTGTTGTTGCGTTTCAATCACCTGAAGCTAGTCGCTCAGTTACCAACCACTGGAGAGAAGAAGGAAGAGCGAGCTGAGGTATGTTTAGGAACATACACGTCATCTGTTGCACGTAGGAAGAATGGTACTCTGGAGTTCTTCGATGCTACCATCTTGCGATTGATCGACGACTATGCGCCATCCATCCTTGATGGGATTGATGGGGGTTTGGAAGAAGAAGAAGAATATACGGCGAGGATTTTACGGATGAAGAGAAGCACGCTATATCAAGTATTCGTGGCCACTGCCATGTGCATGATCAAGAGCGAAAAGGAAAAGAGACACACTTTGTTGGACCTGTTGATTGCTGCTATCACCGAGGGCGGCGGCGGTGCAGGTGGCTGATTGTGTCTGACTTTGTTTGTTTTGAGTTTGCACCCAAGCCCATGTATTATCGTCCGAGATCGTATACAAAATCTTGTCAGTGCAGTATAATGCAATCTTATTGTTAGGAGGCGTGCCGGAATTCTAGTAACAATGAAGCCTCGGCTGGCTTAGCTATCGATAAGCCTCGCGCTAGACATTGGAGTTAGCCACCACTCATGACGTGGGACATGGCCTTTTCTTCGATACTCACAGCGAACTCTCCTTCAACATCGCATCCTTATTTCCTTGACTCTTCTGTATGCCCGCACTTGCATTTTCAAGACAGAACATCTGCGCAGGTTGTTTGCGTGCGAGTCGAAGATCCCATGTCTTCGTTACATCCCGAGCCACGGCGGCTAGGCCTCTGAGGCGATATGGACAAACGGCCACACAGCGCAAAGACGAGGATGACGGAAAGCATGGGCAAGAAGGCGCAAGAAATGGGGGGGACGAGTCGGGAATGGAAGCTGAGAAAGAAGAAGGTGCATTCACGCGACGAATGCGGGATATGAGCGAAGAAGCGTTGGAATCTGGAGGTCATGGCGCCCTCAAGGCCGTGGAAGAGGCGGGATTCAGTGCAGACCTCAAAGCACAACTCGAACAACGCATCGCCTCCGCGAATCTCAGATCATCCGAAGCAGTCCTGCCCGACTACGCCTCTCGCCACACACGCGACCTTGCCACAACCGAAGCCTGGACGGGCACCGAATCTCTCCACGATGCCAGTCTACGTATGCTGAATGATGCTCACAAGCCGCTGCGACTTGGAAGACCACCGAAGATGCCCGGCGTGCCGATACCGCAGTCGATTGATACCGGACATGCTCGGAGCAAAGAGGGCCATGGCTTGAGATTAGCCAATGCACGCGACAGGAGTACCGTATATGCGACAATCAAGGAAGACGAACACATGGAGGCTGTAGACCGGGAGAAGCGGCTGCAAGAGCTCAAAGATCGCTTTGATCCGCATGCGCGTGCGATTGTCCCTGGGTCTATCCAAGGACTTGCTTCTCTTGCGAATAAGAGGATCGAGGATGCAATTGCTCGTGGCCAGTTCAAGAACATACCGCGCGGGAAGGCGGCCAACGTGGAGAGAGACTACAATGCATCGAGCCCCTTTATCGACACGACCGAATACTTCATGAACAAGATCATACAAAAACAGGAGATCGTGCCGCCATGGATCGAGAAGCAGCAAGAACTCACATCAGCCGCAAGCAAGTTCAGGAGTCGTCTACGGGCGGATTGGAAAAGGCATGCTGCACGTGTGATAGCTAGCAAAGGCGGGTCGCTGCTGGACCAAATCAAGAGAGCTGAAGCATTTGCTAAGGCAGAACTTATTGCGAATCCTTTGAAGAGGAAACAAGAGACGCTCACCGCCGTTGATGATGATGGGCACATGTCGCAGATTACGTTGTCAGGGGGACTGAAGGTAAACCCAGCGGGTGAGGGACCGAATGCGAAACCCGTGGTTACGGAAGAAGTTGTAGCGAAGATGGTCACGCTTGATGCCTCGCCAGAAGCTGTAGCGCATGACCCAGGGTCAGCTACCGTAACAGATACGGCTACCCAAACCATGGAAGTACCTGTTCCTACTCCAGAGCCAGAAGTACCACCTGCGCCCTATCCCTTCCGTGACCCAGATTGGGAACGCATTGAAGGTGGCTACTGGACCGTCGCTATCAAGGACCTCAACGACAAGGCGCGCAGCTACAATCTACAAGCACCCGAGCTGGCCAAAAGACCCTACTTCAACCTGCAGCGCGAGCTGAACTCGTGCTTCGCTGACGTCGCACCTCAGCTCGCTGGGGCTATTCTTGATCGCGCACGCAAACCACCCAAGAAAGTGGATGGTTGGCAGAGCTCTGGCCAGAAGAGCGTGCTAGACAACATCATTGGAGGGCCAGTCCGTGTGCGAGACGAACGCCGCGAGAAACAATACGGCTTCAGGCAGTTTTGGAAAGACCTGTGGGCCGACAAGTCAAGCAATCCGTATTGAGCCACTACCAAGGCGAATAATCACCGTTCCGCGGAATACCAAACCTCGTTATTTGCCCTCGGACCAACTCGCCCACCGTTTACGCAACCTTCATGCATGACATCGAGTAAGAACTTGATCGACACGCATTTGCCTTCTCGCCTACCCCCGGCCTGCGTAGTGGAGCGACCTGGGGCCTAGACGCCAGTACAGCCACACCAGGTTTTGGTTTTGGTTTTTTTTGTTGCCGTCATGGGGTATATACACGTACGTTTCAATATGGACGTGGATTGTCATCCTTGAACTCCAACCGAGGGTGTGGTACCGGGGCCTTGGGTCGGTAACGCAGGAGTGAGGCGTCGGGAGTGCCGTGCCAGGCAGGGGTTTGTACGACACTTGCTACACCCCCCGAGACATGGTGTCGCGGATGTCCAAATTCGGAGCCGGTTGCATGATTTTGGTTGCTCGGCGAGTCCGCTTAAGAATAGAGGTGTCTGCACATATCCAGTCTGTTGCATCTGACTGGTGAAGGTATGCCTGGGATGTTCAACCACGCGAATTCGATGGTCACACATGGTCGATCATTGGTCTTGTCACTGCGCAAGGAAATGGTGCCATCTCATCGAGGGTAGATAGTGTGTGCTGGTAGACTAACAACATTCACCTCGGGTTAATGTATGATCGGTCACTCGAGTCGGCAGTACTTGCATACTGTAGTTGGTTTGTTCAGGCGCACTTGTGAGCATTCTTCATGCTACACACAATAAGCACCGTACAGCGTATCCGACCCCCCTGTTAACATGCACATATCTGCCGAGGCAGAGGCGATCGATGTTGTTATCGGTGTGCCCATGTCGTTTCCAAACACTTCCCATGTAGTTACTGAATGGTTCACAGTACACTGTTATGATAATGATGCCTGCCCGTTGTGTGTTCTTGGAGCACATCGGCGATAACCAGTTCTCCACCTCATCATGATTTCGTCATTGTGTTCGAATTCTTTGATTCGCTGATTGACTCATTGGTCAAGCGGTATAATGATGCGCAGTGATGTCCCAGCCCACCAATATAGGGTCTCGACCTTAACACTCGATACGAATCTGTACACTCAAACCTCGCGAGTGCATTGTATAGGTGTGTCTTATGCGGTTAGTGTGTGAAATCACGTTGCAGACTGGGTAATGGCACGCGAATCTCATGGATGCAAGATCCTTCCTACGCATCACTTAGCTGCGCCACCCTACCGTATGATATCCCTTGGATGATCAGCAATAACGGCTTACGGCAGTTTTGTTTTCTTTGCGCTTGGCAGAAGAGGATCTCCTGTCATCCCGTCCACCATGCTAAGTCGTGCCGCGCCCACACAGTTACCGATGAAAAGAGCACATGGGGAATGCTCAAAATCAAAATCTCATCTCTCTCCTTGAATGGAGAGCCTTCTTCTGAGTCGTAATAAAGCATCATTGGTGGAAGAATCGCTCACCCAGATTGAGAAAAGAAGTAACATTGTCGATCCTATCCATTACCCTTCCAGTATTCTGCCCACTCTTGTCTGCAATAGTACAATGCCGCTAGCTATATTGCCTAACCATACTTCCATTGTATCCAAAAGGAGTACTGATATTTCCTCTTTCTTCTTTGCCATACCCACCAAGGGAAGTGTCGTGGTGTCAGGCTATGCCCTTTGCAGCGAATCCGTTGCCCGTTGCTGATGTGACGGATTCGCTTCGAGTCAGACTGGTACCGAACCATGCCATGTATCCACACCTGTGGCAGCTGTCACAACCGGTCTGGTCTAGCCCGTAAGACTAGCCACCCGCAGTAGCGGTTCTAAGAGCAACACCCACACTGATGACACTGTCACTTTGCATCCTGATGTATTGATTTGTGCCGGCGATGGAGTTTCTCTTTACGTTGCGGGCCGTAGTGCGTTGGCATACATTGTTGCTCGTCTTCCATTCAGTCCCGCCGACGACCCGAGCATTTGGTAAGGCTGCATCCACGTCTACTTCATTCGCATCTGTGGAAGGGCTTTCCTTCTTCGACCGACTCTGCATGATCCCTATGTGATCGCTCTTACCAATACAGATGTTCTCGGTAACTGCAATATGCGTCGCCTCCCCTGCGCTGTCGTATGGCTGGCAGAAGCAAATTCGCAAAATGTGTCCGGCAAGCGGACCGAGGACCCCTACATCACGGCTGCCCTTGGTTTGGCGGGGATGAATTCGCTTCGTCCTAGCACTATTCACACCCTCGCCTGTGTGGTTCCGAGGCATGCTAACGTAGTCAGTTGCTGCGGCTCTACGGCTGGCAGCCTTTCGCTTGCGAAGGACCCTTCCTTTTCCTGACGATGTGCAGCTGGCAAGAATAGCCGTGATCAACCGAGCTCTTTGAAATCTTGCTTCATACTTGAGGTCTTCAGTGAAGGACCGAGCCGACTTGCGCCGTTTGTATTGTGGGCGTGACTTATTCTTTTCGTACGAGTGGCGCAGTATGGAGTAAGGCGCAAGACTTTCGGTCCGTACTATCCCGTCACAGCCATGGACTGGTGGAGCTGGCACAATGAAGGATTCTGTCGAGCCGACTGTGGAGTCGATCTGCGACTGCTCAGGACGTCTGTAGTTGTGATGGAACCGCAGATGTGCTGGAAGTGGAGCCGACGATGTGGGTGGCATGGTCATTGGCTTCAAAGAGGGTCTTGGGGGAGGTAGACATGTCGTTTTTGGAAATGCACTATAAGCCGCGGGTGTAGTTCTGGTATCGTAGTACGATGTGGTTACATTGGGCGAGCCGCTGAAGTCTGAAGTGCTCGATGTACCAGGCGTTGAGCTGCCCTCCGGCTGAATGAGGTTGCCCGACGGCGAGAAGAAGGAAATCTTGGGCGTATCGTAGTTTGGGCGAACGATACCCGATGCTGCAGCTATTGGTAATAGAGATGTCAACGCAGATGAAGTGATTGAACGACGCGGAGGTGCCGCTTCAGGAACTTGATGCGACTCAGGAGGAAACTCCGGAATTGAAGCTTGCCTCTCCAGGTCGGCCATTTGTGGTGTAAACCATACCGGTACAATAGGTGTGGGTGAGCGCGAGGGGCGCACTGGATGAGGGAAGTCGTGCTGAAGGTCAACATCAACGCCCACCACCGTTCCAGAGTAGGACGTGGACGTGGTACTACAGAAACTTGTGTTTCGACTAGCTTCCTTCGCGCGTTCAAGCTCTGTTGGCGAACGGCTGTTGCTGCCTGACGTGGAGACGCCATAGAACGTATGTCCAGCTGAGATTGTATCCACACTTTCGTTCGAGAGCGTTGGTACTCCAGCGCTACAGCCTTCATGCGCTCCATTGCGTGGTTCTGGGTACACAAGACGCACGGAAGGGGACCGTTCACGCGAACGAGCTACAGCCGAAGGTGGTGGTAGTTGCGCTACGGCAGCAGGTGTAGTTTGCGACTCCAACCTATACGGTTTGGCATCAAGCAAGGACGGCATCGCATGAGCTGAAAGTCTAGGGTCCGCCATGAACGTCTGCCCATTTCTGGCCTGATCTTCAGGAGCCAGCATGTCAGTTGCGCTCAGGGTTTGAGATGCAGTGGGCATACAATATGGCGTGTCAAATCTGTCATCGCCCAGTTGAGGCATGTCAGAAGCAGGCAATTGGCTTTGTAGGCTATCCTCGCTCGTCTCCGGCCGGTCGTCGGGGTATTCAGTGGCTGATGCCTGCATTGAGAACGACCTAGGCCGGGTTCTTGAGGCAGCTCGAGCATTATGTATAACGCCACGAAGGAAGCTTTTGACATTCCTGGTATCTGCGGCGGTGTTTGTCTTGCTGATGTGATATACTGTAGGTTGCAAAGGTTGGATAGTGCTTAATACAGGTTGGATAGCGGCATGGTTAGCCTGCAAGGAGGTGCTAGGATCCTTGCACAAGGGTACATTGTACGTTTTGCTTGGTGCATTTAGCACGTGCTCGGGCTGAGAGTCTTCTGTACTGCGCTGGAGGGAGTAATCATCTGGAGTATGGGAAACTTTGTTGGAGGCGCGGCTTGGTGAGGTATTTTTCACCACACGCGGCGAAGGGAACCGGCCGACGCTGAGGAGGGAGCCATGGGAGTTTAGCGTCGAGTAAGAACCCTGCTCCACAATAGTTGCTAGGGGCACGCCATTGGAGCGATTTGCGAGCCGGACGGCAAGATTGTAGGGAACGGCTCGAGCTCTGGCCTGTTGTTGGTAGTCCATGTCATGATGCACGTCTCCGGTCCCGGAAATATCATGGCAGGTGTAACCATCGTGATCTTGTACGACGCAAGGCTGATCGCCCCCTTGTGCTTGCGATTGCGGCTGTAGGTGCGACGAGCTCGTACCTACGAAAGCCTTGTAATAGGCGAAAGGATCCGGATGCGAGGCCTGAATCGATCGAAACGTCGGATCCGCGTTCGCACCCTCAGATAGATCTGATGCAGCTGGACCATATGTGGGTTCCTGGCGGTTGCTGCGATCCAGTAAACTGGCGTTGCGGGTCCGGAGGCTAGACATTATGCTCATGTCATGTCATCGATATATTGCCAAAGATGAGATCCGATCAATGCTAGATCATAATGTGCATGATTGTGGGACCCTACTGATAGCAGAGCAACATTGTTTGTGCGATGCAGGCACTCTAGGAAGCAACAGATGTCCCGTAACGCCCTTTCCGAGATTGTGTGGTCTAAAGAGGAGCATCCATGACTTGATCCTACGCAATCGCCCTGTCGTATCTCGTGGCTGCTCACTCACCTTTCGTAGATGGCGGGAGAATGTTATCACCAAGGTCAAAGTACTCACCGAATCAAGTCTCTCAGATCGTATGACCATCACAATCCGCCTAGGATACAGGTCCCAGTTCGTGTACCCTTTAGCCGCAAGCGAATATCTGACGTGACATGCATGCGGAAGGTCATCCAATCAAAATGCTCCCTGCACCCAACCTCGGAAACCCACGAGCTCCCTGATCTTGGTAGTGATATGCAAAAGCAAGACTGCTCGCCCCTTGACACTATATCGGACCCTTCCGTAAACACGTCCCTTCTTACTTGCTTACGGTGGCTGCTCCTGCATGCGCGTAGACCTTAAGCCCCAACCTTCCCTGTCCTTTACTAGTGTCGCTGCGAGGTTGAGACCATCTCTATCGGTAAAGCGCGCCATCCAACCGTGATAGTTCCACCACAACTAGGATGGTGGTCTTTGCATAGCGTCAGTAGCTACCCTTTCGCAGGCTGCACACCCAGAAGCTAGCTTACATCGGCGAAAGTAGCCGGGACCTTTCAAGGGACCTGGCCACGGGAACAAGCGGGTCGTTCCACTTGTGGTGTATACAGCGCGTCCTCAAACGGACAAAAACGGCCCACTCCCTTGAGGCTCGCCTGAAGCATCTAGGTAGCAGGCTAGCTTGACGCAGTACCCACGAAGACTATAGAACTTAGCGCTACGGTAGCAGTGCAAATAGGCCAGGTTCACCTTGAAGAACGTAGCGAATCAGGGCTGTTACAGTGATGGAGTCAAGTGCCAAGCACATGTGGCTGTTTATACATCCTCCTCCACCCTGTATCTCCACACTCCTTCAATAGCCCCCCAATTTGGAGAGTGATTGTAGCAGTACTCCGGGTGTGGTGACGTTGTCGGAGCCACCCACTACCGCTGGAATGGAACTCAAAGGTCGATAAGTCAGCCTCAAATCCATCTAGTGGACATAGCATGTGCTGAGCATACCGAAAATACACATGGAATGTATCCTTTACATCGACCTACTAGCCAACATGGTAATGATGCGCAAGTGGCAGCTTCTCCACGTATCTGACCGGTGTTGAACTTTAATAGGTTTATCTCACAGAGTAGCCGGGAAACAACCGTGCGCTGACGCCAGAGTATCGTTCTTACGTTAGCTTGGTTAACACTGGGGCTAGGTGGAACTAATTGACGTGGCGAACTCGTCGATTGCTTCTAGAAGTTGCTGAGTCTGCCATATGCTCGACGCACATGAACCACCCCAAACAAACTGCGTACCTTGAGTTTGGGTCAGACAGGTGTAGGATTGCTCCTGTCTGTCAACTCTATATCACTGCAATGATTTGGACGCTTCAGCCGTGACTATTCTTTAGCCATTAGGGACGCCCTTGACCTAGATTCATTGGTTGCCCGAGAGCTACCCATTGATCTGGACTTGACGATGATCCCTACCTTATGTGGCTGAGTGCGTATGCGACGCCCATTCCGCTCGCAGGGGGTTTGACTTTTAGACGTGCTGCGAACGTAACGCTACTTGGCACCCTCAAGTAGGCTGCGGTTTGTTGATCTGTACATATGGACCGACGCATCGATCCTACGCGAAGACATGACTCAGTTCGAGGCCGTGTTATCTTGAACCCACGCGTTTGTTTCCAATACCTCAATCTTCACGCGGTTTCCACTCGAACTAGCCTCAGCGGTTTGCAGGAGCTAGACGTGACGAGCCGACATCCGTTGATTCCCGTGAAAACGCCACGTTCTGAGCCGTGTAGTGGTGCATTTCACTTGTGGTTGGTATAGGCTGGACTCGAAAAGTCTTCGAGGGAGCCATCTCTTTCCCGGCAACAACTGCTAGTCGTATTTCCGTCTGACCAGCGCTCAAGTCCGTCGACCTGGCCTTTGGGACTGCGTTAGGTGACCGACTTAGCGGCCCGATAATCGCACGGCGGATGTTGTTTTGTTCGTCAGGCTAATGTAAGCTACCGATGATCTAGCTAGCGCTAACAGGACGATATGATGATGTGTAGAGATCTACAGGCCGCTGTGAAAGCGCTACACATCCCATGGCCCTGGAGCGATGTCCTTACGGCAAATCAGGGCAACATTTTCCAACGCATCTACCTGCCGTTGCTGCACGGCGGGATAAGCGAGAGCCAGGTGATCCACCCTGTCCACGTCAATGGATCGGCGGTGACCAAGCATAACACCCAGCATTCGTTAGCTGCATGTGAAGCGACCTTCAGGGAATAGCGCCCCGGCCAGAAGAGTGATAGTGGGATCAGTAAGTGTTTCCCCAAATGGCTTCTGAATTATCTCGTGCTGTGGCGTATGCGCCGTGTCACAGCGGGAAGGGAAGATAATGGATCTATACTGTCACATGACGGTGACTCCAAAAGATCTTCCAGCCTTCAAGGATCTTGAGTTGAGATATAAAGATAAAGGAAGTGTGAGTTTATGTCTTCCATATCCATTCAAACCTGTTCAAATCTTAACAGTCGCGTTCGTACCGCTGGTTTGATAAACGATCCTTTGAGAGAACGTTGCCCGAACATGACCCTGCCTCCGCTTCCCCAAAGTGCCGACAAGAGTGCCATTTGCACTCGACTTGGGCTCAATGAACATACACACAAGTTGTTACTCGTAAGTCTCAACCAAACTTTCAAAAGGCGTCCGCTGACCCTTACGTCGCCTGTAGAACGAAGCCGTGGCTGCTCGCAACGCGTTGAGCTCGAATTACTACAGCCTGACCGAGCAATCTAGAACCGACCCCTCTGTTTCAGAGCCATATAGATGGGACGAGATATCGGAAACTGCAAAGCATTCGCAGATTCTAACTATGGTCCGCGATGCTTGCGCCGAGACGAAACCATATTATGATATGGGACGTTACTGGACCCAGGTCAATGAAGAAAACTGGGTTGCGAGATGGTACCTCTGGCATAGCTTCCGCTACAGGTGGGTAACCGGAGGCCACGGCGCGACGGAGAACAAGGCTCATCTTCTCTGCAGGGATAACCGGCCAAGGGAAAGGGCTGCGGCCAATGTAGTTGCTTCGAACAACGGCGGTAAGTATCCTTGTGCTCCTTCGAAGAGATCTGCAATCCAGAAGTCGCCTTGCAGTCGCTGACAGACGGTAGGAACGCAGTTATACTATGATCCAGCGCGCGACTATTTCCGCGGGTGACCGACGCAACCCTTTCGCTAGTGGTCGTAGTGACGTTCAACAATAGAAGCATATCTGTCTGCAATGACGTCTCTTCTTGCAGATGTTGAGGACGTCGCGTAGGTTCTGCTCATGTTGGACGATGTAGGTGTTGCAGTTTCGGTTCACTCAGAGGATCCGTTTCTTCTTCAGGAGTGCTTGCCGTTCATATCTTTTCTTCTCTTTCTGCTTCCAATACCTGACGAGGATCCTTCGTTTGATATTTCGGTATCGTTGGCTGCCACAAACGCTCATTCTGTTTCTGGTTGCAGCCGTTCCTGTTCCTGCGAGATTGATGACGATGTCCTCTGTTGTTTCCTATAATCCTTTCGCATGCGCAATATCTTCTCACGATATGATAAATTCATCACCTGAGTTTGTCGTGATCCAGCTGAGCCGAATGATAGCAATCGGAGACAAGGTGAAGAAGAGGTTTCTGAAAGAATATGTCCACGGTCGAGTTACGCAATAAGCGGGGCCACATCCTGAAGTAGGGGTCGAATGCCGAAGTAGTCCGAGCTAGTAGGAAGATGTTTGCTTTGGAAGGAGCGATGAACTGTTGATTTTGAGCTCTCATGATGACGTTGTGCGACTGAGACTAGGGGAGCAAGATAGAAGCAGAGGCCGGATTTAACTATTATTTATAAGAGGGTACGGGATCCGAAAGATCTTAGCGTCTTCAGGTCCGTGAACCTAATGAAGCATCGATCATACCCATAGTGTGTAGCTTGTAGCTTCATTTTCGGTAGTCCCTGTCATGGCTGACCCTTTTCGTCCAACTTGTGTAGATCATTGCGGATTCGCGCACTAGCCGACGTAGATGGCTGTGAGATAGGCATCGGCATTCCCAACATCACTTGGTTATGGCCGCAGGTGGTATCTTTCAAATGAACTACCCTCACTCACGGCCTGAAACGAAATTCACAATTGTTTGTGTGTAATCCGAGCCGACGATGTACCAATAATATTTGTGAGAGTATAGGCGCCTTGCGATAGCCGCAAATCGAAGTATCAAAGTAAGCAGCGACCAAGTTGTGTCACAATTAACCGCGGAAGTATGTGTACTTTGGGAAAGCATTATGTATGTCAACGGATGGCTTGCGATTACTGGACGCATGGACAACTACACAATACCTGCCTTTGCACCTATCAAACTATAAGCCCCAATCAATTGCTCGACACCTTTGAGGGTAAAATGGATCCAAACGTGCCCAGGCTTGGCTTCACTGGCGGCCCGGGACAGTTTTTCGGTCCACCAGCTGGTTACCAGATGCCGTCCGTCCTCGTTCCAGAGGACCAGAGGGGCGTATATGTTAGGAAATATCAGATCGCCTGAGATGATCGCTTCGCGACGTACCGGGTACGGCAGAAGTCCTCGACCTTGATGGCAATCATGAGCCGCAATGGCGATCTCTGCTTGGGCACCCATGTGCAGAGATATCTGTAACGAAGCCGCCACGTTCTAGGATGGTCGTTGTTCTCAGTGTGGTACAGCAGATGACACAATATATGGATCCGGGGCACTAATGCAGGGAGGCGGCGAGGCGCATCTCAACGATAATATTGATCACTACCAGTGAGAAGACAACGTCTACAATCTCGAATTCAATATATTTCCTACTCCTGCTCACGCTGTTGATCGACACAAGCCTTGTTTTCCTAAACGCCTTCGCTATGCAGAAACAGAAAGATTTTCATCATCTTTGGAAGATACAGCGCGTGGAGGCGATCAAGCAGTCGCGTTGGCCGCACTGCGGGCGACTTGTTCTTGGAGAGCTTTTTGATATTGACTCCGCGCGGCGTCGATGGCCCGTATCAAGGGGTCCACAATCTGGTTGACAGCCTTGGCCCCTCCTCTAATGGCTTCGGGATCGAACTTTCTCTTCTTCCTCTCTCGCTGGTTAGCAAACTCGTTTTCTTTCCGGGCATGCTCAATCCTGGCTACACGGTCTGCCTCTGCCATGTCAGCCACTGCCTTGATACGATCGAGTGACTTGTCTAGCGTCTCGATGAGACGCGCAATCTCGTTGGCGCGGTCTGGGTCTCCTGAGTAGAATACAGCCCAGAAGTAATGTAGGAACTCAACCGTTGTGTTGTGGGTCATGGTGAGATTGTCTAGAACAGCTTCGGAGATATGGAGCTCCTTTGCTCGCTCGCTTGTGGGAATAGACTTGGACGATGAGTAGTCATCGTTGTGCAGGTGTCGTCTCTTGACAGCCGCTATGATTTGCGAAGAGGCTGCGCTTCGGGCAGATTTGCTGCCAACCTTTGTCTTCTTTGGAGCAGACTCCTCATCATCACTACTACTCTCATCATCGATGTCAATTGTAGAGTGAAGATTAACGCTCAAGACCTGGCCACCATCGCCGCCAAACTTGCGAAGATCCTGGTGCAATGTCGAGAGGGCCTGTGTAGGAGTACGTTTTGTGTAAGTCGCAGCACTAGTGGACGTATGCACGCTCTGACCGGCGGAGAAGAATCGACTTTGATCCTGTACCCGGAGAACGACCCTATTGTCATCATCCGCACGCTGCAGGTCCCGCAACTGCAGCTCTTTGTATGTCTCTTCATCTACACCGACGGGTCCATGGCGACTTGAATCTGAAGGTGGCACTTCTTTCATCATTTTCTCGCTCATGCGATTCAAGACTCGGAGGATGGGCGCTTTCTCGTAATTGGTCGGGTTCATGGTGAAGTCGGGTCGATTACCTTGTTTCTGGCTGTGATTGTTCTCATTTGCCTCGATGTTGATGAAGTTGGGAATTGAAGCGGCGAGCAGATCCGTATTGTCTGCCGTCTCGTCATAAGTCAGATATTTGTCAAGCTTGGGATCAAGCACGTCCTTTTCTTGGATGCGCTCGCCCTTGAGCTTTTTCATGAGGCGACTATGGAAGAACCTCTCCCAAAAGTCACCCTCGCTCAGCTGGGGTACGTTCTCGTTGTAGGCCTTTTGCACGACCGGATGCTGTCTGAACAAGAGCTCAATTTGCTCTTTGGTCAAGCTTAGCATGAGCGTGCCGTTGACCGACTTGGACTTGATCACGGAAAGCACGTTATAGGTTCCTGTAGCCTGCGATCTTTCCGTTGCATGTGATCTCAACATGTGCACACGTGTGGACCAGAATTGCATAGAGAACTGTAAGACGGACACGGAATCAGGTTTCTCTGCGAGCGCTCGGTCGAAGCGTTGACGAAGTGCCGGGCTGGAATTGAGCAGCGACATCTGAAGCGCTGTATCAGCGAGCAGTTTCGCATCATCGTAGGCTTCGTCGTTGCCTTTGCCGCCAGCTGTCACCGTCTGAGCCATGGCCATGGCAGCTGATGCGCCGCTGTCGCCTCCCTCGCCGCCACCAGCAGGTGGAGCCGGAGAGGGGGCAGCCTGTTGTTTGGAAGCCTCGATCCATTTGCGCAGTAGACCGGTTATGTTCTGCTGGTCGTCGCGAGCGGTAGCGGAGGTAAAGGTGAGGGTATGGTTTCCGGCTTGTGGAGCTGGCTCCGGTACAACAATCTTGATGGAGGCTTTCGCAGAGGTCGCAGGTGTTTGCTGGAGATCTGGGTGTTGTCAGCCAAGTGCGAAATTCTTCATGTAACAAAGACATACTTCCGATGTCTGCTATGGCTATGGACAGCGGAGGAAGGGCACCACCGGCCGGCTTCCAGGAGACGGTCTTGCCATCGGCGGAAACAGAGACTCTGCCATCCTGCTTCTTGTACTGAGCAGCAGCGTCGGCCATGTTGGTGGAGGGGAGATGAGTCCCGGCGATGGGTGATATTCTTTGAGGCTGACGCGGTGCGGCGGTACTAGCCGGTCACGGCTTCCCCAGATTCACGCGCTGCACGTGACTACGCATCACCCAGCGCCTGGGCAGGCTGCCATCCATGGATCGTGACTGCCACCCCGCTGTAGTTGCCACGCGGCTTAAAAGTTTATTCGGAGCTCAGGAGAGTGTATCGACTACAACACGACGCACATGGTTTCCCCAATATTACTCTCCTGGTACCAGGGCGGCTTTTGCAGAAACATGGCTCGCATCAGCCAAGAGAGGTAATACACCTCAGGCGCCGCGGATATGTATCCGTGCCTCCCAACGTCAGAGGCTGGTTCCTCGTGCAAAGCCGCGGCGGACACGACTTCCGCGTTACATAAGGCCTGCACTGCCATTGGCTAGTGTTGCGAGAACATTCAATGAGCGTCTCATTCGTCATGTGCAGCGTCGCTGTGACGAGCAAAGCATGGCCATGACAAGCAGATGCAGCGTACAAGACGTGCAGCACGGCAAGGCGCGTACGAGTCAAACGTTTCAAGAGTCGAAACCAGGCGTGAATTCTATCGTGTTTGAGGCATTTGACGTGGTGGTGACCGGTCGGAAGTTCCCTCGATCCATCATAGCGCGCTAGGCCGGAACACGGGGCCTTCGCATGTGTGCTGGGCTGCATCAACTTCTACTGCACATTGCTACTGCAGAAGCATTCTTCTGTCTACCGTCGTCCGTTTGGATGCCACCCCTCCCCACCTCCGCTTTGTTATTCTAATCCCGTCATGTTGCGCAACACCCTGCGCCAGTGCTCCCGCCAGCTCCAGTGCGCCCCGGCGAGAGCAACCTTCTCGAGCCTCGCACAGCCATCACGAAGCGCCATTTCCACCTGTCGCAGACCGCTCGCTCTGACCCAGCGCCGCCAGTATGCCGTTTCTGCAGAAGACACCAACAAGGGCGTTGTGCGTACCTCTCCAGTGCCGCCTTCAAACTCTTCGACCCCAGAGCTAACAATGACGGCATAGGACCCCAACGACTCGTTCCTCCAGGGCAACACGGCCAACTACATCGATGCCATGTACATGCAGTGGAAGCAGGACCCCACCAGCGTCCACTACTCATGGCAGGTCTACTTCCACAACATGGAGTCGGGCGACATGCCTGTGTCGCAAGCCTTCCAACCGCCGCCCAACATCATGAGCTCCCCCCAGGGCGGCGCCGCTCACAAGCCCGGAATGGGCATGGCTTCCGCCGAAGGTACAGACGTCATGAACCATCTCAAGGTGCAATTGCTTGTGCGGGCTTACCAGGCTCGCGGTCACCACAAGGCCAAGATCGACCCGCTGGGCATCCGCTCCGAGGCAGAGCAGTTTGGATACAGCAAGCCGCGCGAGCTTGAGCTGTCCCATTACAACTTCACCGAGAAGGACCTGGAACAGGAAATTGAACTGGGCCCAGGTATCTTACCGCGCTTCAAGACCGAATCCCGCAAGAAGATGAAGTTGAAGGAGATTATTGAGGCCTGCGAACGCCTCTACTGTGGCTCTTACGGTATCGAATACATCCACATTCCCGACAGGGAGCAGTGCGACTGGCTCCGTGAGCGCATCGAGGTCCCCACTCCCTTCAAGTACTCTGTCGACGAGAAGCGCCGCATTCTGGACCGCCTGATCTGGGGTACCAACTTCGAGGCTTTCCTCGCCACCAAATACCCCAACGACAAGCGTTTCGGTCTTGAAGGAGGTGAGAGTTTGATTCCCGGAATGAAGGCTCTCATCGACCGAAGTGTCGACTTCGGCGTCAAGGACATCGTCATTGGTATGCCGCATCGTGGACGTCTCAACGTGCTCTCCAACGTCGTCAGGAAGCCCAACGAGTCCATCTTCAGCGAGTTTGCCGGTACTGCCGAAGCCAACGAAGAGGGCTCTGGTGACGTCAAGTACCACTTGGGTATGAACTTCGAGCGCCCTACACCATCTGGAAAGCGTGTGCAGCTGTCTCTAGTCGCCAACCCGTCCCATCTTGAAGCCGAAGACCCCGTCGTACTGGGCAAGACCCGCGCCATTCTGCACTACAACAACGATGAGAAAGAGGCCTCCAGTGCCATGGGTATGCTCTTGCACGGTGACGCCGCTTTCGCTGGACAAGGTATTGTATACGAAACCATGGGTTTCCATCAGCTTCCCAGCTACCACACTGGTGGAACCATCCACATCATTGTGAACAACCAGATTGGTTTCACTACGGATCCCCGATTCTCTCGTTCTACTCCATACTGCTCCGACATTGCCAAGGCCATCGATGCACCCGTCTTCCACGTCAACGGTGACGACGTCGAGGCTCTCAACTTTGTCTGCCAACTGGCTGCCGACTTCCGTGCTGAGTTCAAGAAGGACGTGGTAATCGACATGGTGTGCTACAGGAAACAGGGTCACAACGAGACTGACCAACCTTTCTTCACCCAGCCTTTAATGTACAAGAAGATCGCGGAACAACCTCAAACACTGGACATCTACACCAAGAAGCTGCTGGACGAGAAGACCTTCACCAAGGAAGACATCGATGAGCACAAGGCTTGGGTCTGGGGCATGTTGGACGAGAGCTTCAACCGCAGCAAAGATTATGTGCCAAACTCCAAGGAGTGGCTTACTTCGGCCTGGAACGGCTTCAAGTCGCCCAAGGAACTCGCCGAGGAGGTTCTGCCTCATCTACCGACTGCCATTGAGGAATCCCAGTTGAAGCACATCGCAGAGAAGATCGGCGGTGCACCAGAGGACTTCAACGTACACAAGAACTTGAAGCGTATCTTGGCTGGCCGCACCAAGACTGTCACCGACGGCAAGAACATTGACATGGCTACTGCGGAAGCGTTGGCATTCGGAAGTTTGTGCATGGAAGGTCATCACGTTCGTGTTTCTGGGCAGGATGTCGAGCGTGGAACCTTCTCCCAGCGCCATGCTGTGCTCCACGACCAGGAGACTGAGAAGACATACACTCCTCTCCAGAATCTCAGCGATGACCAGGCTACCTTTACCATCTCCAACTCCTCTCTTAGCGAATACGGAGTGTAAGTCACATGTCGTCTTCGCTATATCTCATCTTGACTAACCAATTGTAGGCTTGGCTTCGAATACGGTTACTCCTTGTCTTCACCCAACGCCCTTGTCATGTGGGAGGCTCAGTTTGGTGACTTCGCCAACACTGCCCAGGTTATCATCGATCAGTTCATTGCTTCTGGTGAAGTCAAGTGGCTTCAACGTTCCGGTCTCGTCATGAGCTTGCCGCACGGTTACGACGGTCAAGGTCCTGAACACTCGTCAGGACGCATGGAGCGCTACCTGCAGCTCTGCAATGAGGACCCCCGTATCTTCCCATCCCCCGACAAACTCGACCGTCAGCACCAGGACTGCAACGTCCAGATTGCCTACACAACGAAGCCGTCGAACCTCTTCCATCTCCTCCGTCGTCAAATGAACCGTCAATTCCGCAAGCCTCTGATCCTGTTCTTCTCCAAGTCGCTACTTCGCCACCCGCTCGCTCGCTCCAACATTGAGGAGTTCACTGGTGACTCGCACTTCCAGTGGATCATCGAGGACCCCGCGCACGCTAGTGGAGAGATTGAATCGCATGAGGGCATCAACCGTGTCATCCTCTGCACAGGTCAGGTGTACGCTGCGCTCGTTAAAGAGCGTGAAGCGCGCGGTGAGAAGGATGTGGCTATTACCCGTATCGAGCAGCTCAACCCCTTCCCATGGCAGCAACTAAAGGACAACCTCGACTCGTACCCCAACGCCCAGAACATCATCTGGTGCCAGGAGGAGCCACTTAACGCCGGTGCCTGGAGCTTTACACAGCCCAGAATCGAGACACTCCTCAATCAGACAGAGCACCACAACAGGAGACACGTCATGTACGCCGGACGTAACCCTAGTGCATCCGTAGCAACTGGATTGAAGGTGTCGCACAAGAACGAGGAGAAGGCCCTGCTCGACATGGCTTTCACGGTCAAGCAGGACAAGCTGAAGAGCGAGTAGAAATACTCTTACATTTGCATGGGGGAAATTTACCATTGGTCGCATTGCTTTATTCCCATTCTTGCGATGTAATCAGCTCGGAATGGGTTTTAGGTAGCTGGGCTTCATAGGACTGTTCAGCTATACATTTTCTATCACAACGAGTGTATGTTTACGGCGTGTAGTATAAAAGCTGGATTTTCTCTCTTGTTATTTTGACTCGTAGATTATGTGTTGTGACTACGCAGAAGCTTGTTCTTGTGATTTGCACCAATTACCATGAATGTACCCCGAAGGTATACACTGTTACTTCTTCTTATAGGTTGTAACATAGATTACTACGTATACCTTGAGGGTACATTTTGGTGAATAGGGGCACGACTTTAACGAACGAGCTTCTTCGTATTAAGCCGTGCATCTCGGTGATAGGTAGCCCGAGCGTTGTGAGTTGTTTCTGCGCTGATACAGGCTTTGTATACACCGGTATATGCCATGCATCGTGAACTTGCGGCGGGTAGTTTAGGACACGCCGACGCAGACCAAAGCTGAAGATAGCTACTTATGTCTGGGCAAAGTCACATCGAGAAATTCTTCCGGTGTTAAATATCGCCACCTGGATGGCAATACACTCGTGTGCAAAGACACGAAACCAAAGGCAGAGAGGTGTTGAGAATTTGAGGCTCACGGACGTGGGATCGTGATGGCTCTATGTCCGCGGTCCGGAAAAAGTCGGGCAAACGTCAGTGTGGGAAAGAGCCCCGCCAACCCCTCGTGCCCCTCCACTTTTCCGTCTCCGCACCTGCATCATAGCCTGACCACCACGCGCTCCCGCAACAAAGCGCGTCAATTCCCGCACACGACTTGAGCCATGTCCTTTCGCCAATGGCCAGACCATGTCGAACATCAAGCTCGGGAAATTTCCCACGAAATTCGGCCTTGATCCGGAGTAACTGTGGCTGAGACCGCCCGGCTGAAGTATCGTGAGCTGCCAGTGACGTCCGGCCAGTTGCCGAGGGCTATAGCTCCAGCGTCTGCCAAACAAATAGCATAGAAGTGTGGTCCGCCTGCCCGACTCTACCCACCCTGACTTCATAACGATACTGCGCTCCGCTTTTTGCTGAACTCGAGCTTGATAGCTTTTCGCCATCCCTCTCTCCAAACTTCCCCATTCCCCGTACTCTTTCCCATCTTCCTTTCCCCGTTGATACCAACTTGCCATTGCAGCTTCGCCAACCCTTACTTTTACACTTTACAAGTCCATTGATATCAAAAGACTTACAACATGGCTTCCAGCGGCAACGAAGGAGGCCCCGCGCAGGAGAAGATCAACACCGACATCATCACCCTTACGCGATTCCTCACCGAGGGACAGACCAAGTACCAGGACGCGACGGGAGACTTCACGTACGTTTTGAACTTGGAAGAAGCATCAGAAGCAGAGGACTAACCATTCTTGCTAGACTGCTATGCCACGCACTGCAATTTGCTTTCAAGAGCATTGCCTACTACATCCGGAGAGCAACACTGATTAACGTATGCGAGTTCTCCCACTTTCAAACGAGATAACGACTGACATGAGCAGCTCACCGGTCTCCAAGGCGCGACCAACTCCACAGGCGACGACCAAAAGAAGCTCGACGTAATTGGCGATGAGCTCTTCATCAGCGCCATGCGCTCCTCAGGTCGTGTGCGCCTCCTGATTTCCGAAGAACAAGAAGAAGCGATCGTATTCGACGAGCACCCCAACGCACGTTACGCCGTAGCCTGCGACCCCATCGATGGTTCCTCCAACCTCGACGCCGGTGTCGCAGTCGGTACGATTTTCGCAGTATACCGGCTACCAGAGGGCTCCAAGGGCACAAAGGAAGAAATGCTCCTACCCGGCACCGAGATGGTCGCTTCAGGTTTCACCATGTACGGCGCCTCTGCCCAACTGGTCCTCACAATGAAGGGCGGAAACGTCAACGGCTTCACGCTCGACACCGCATTCGGCGAGTTCATCCTCACACATCCCGACATGAGGGTACCTAAGACCAGGTCCATCTACTCGGTCAACGAGGGTAACAGCTTGTACTGGGAAGAGCCCGTCAAGGCGTGGTGCGAAAGCCTGAAGAACCCATCAGAGGGCGGCAAACCATACAGCGCACGATACATTGGATCCATGGTTGCAGATGCATACCGAACACTATTGTACGGCGGTATCTTCGCTTACCCCGCGGATAAGAAGACTCCTAAGGGCAAGCTGCGTATTCTCTACGAATGTGCGCCCATGGCCATGGTTTTCGAGAACGGTAAGTCGTGTCCTAATCATCTCTTGTTTTCGCTTTTTTTTTTTTTTTTACTAATATATATATCTGTAGCTGGCGGTTTGGCAGTAAACAGCAAGATGGATCGTATGCTCGAAGTCGTTCCCGAGCACATCCACGACCGATCGGGTATCTTCTTGGGTTCAGAAGGCGAAGTCCAAAAGGTTATCGATGTGCACAAGAACTACAAGAAATAGACATTTGTTGTCGACTTGGAGCGCGTAAAATGGCATGCCATTAGGCTATCACTGGCATGATGAACAGATACTTGCTGGTCAAGATTCCAAATTCTCCATCGACGTAGTATTATTGAATCACGATACCAAATTCTCAATGTTTTGCTATCTTGGTGTCGTGGTGTCGTGGTGTCGTGTCATGTGTAATTGATGCTGTCATGGCAGCAATCAAATCACTTTGTTGTTACGGCAAGAGCACCAAGTACGCTGCTAGAAGTCCCAAGCTCACAAACTTCCAAAGACAAAGAACAAGTAGAAAACATCACAGCATGTCAAAGAGCTAGTCGTGAATATCATAAGATCTGATTAGGAGTATCGACTACATGCCTAAGATCTTATCTGCTCCATCTCTCGTCTCAAAGCTATCCAGTTTGTACTAGATGCTCTGATTTGTAATTTTATCCACTCACATCCACCATAACATCCACCATGAATTATCGAGACGCCGAAAACCCGAACATTGAGAGTCAGCTTGGTATCGTAAAGCTGCTCGTGAGGTATCATACTGTTTGCGCAAAGAAAATCCATCCACAGACCCACACCCATATCATGACATTTCGAAGACGGGGCGCCGTCTATCATAACATGCACTAGAGTGGAACAAAGAAAAAAACATGAAGAGGTGAAAACCAAACTCTGCAGATTCGAGATTGGGTGTTGGTGGCGTCCGACATTCCAGTGAAGGAGTCGGTCGCCGAGGAAAGAGGTATCATATCAGACTTGCCATGACATGGCTGCAAGCCGATAACAGAGAAGAGGACATCGAATCGTGAAAACTTTTTGAGTGCAATGGGTCATGAAAGCCGTCCCGTATCGTAAATGAAAACCGTTACCCGTGCGCCGTTCGCCGTTCAGAAGGATCATGCGACCATCGTTACTTGCTGCCGATCGAGAGATTCGCGGACCGAATCCTACTCAGTGGCAACTAGAAAGAGGTTTAAGCCTTCTCTTCTTTGGTCTCCTCCTTGGGGGCTTCCTTCTCAGGCTCACCCTCTTTGTTCTTGACGTATTCGTCGTAGACGCTCATGGCCTCCTCAACCTTGGCGCGGAGAGCAGCCTCGTCGGAAGTGCTGCGACAGTTAGTACATGAACTGGTGGAACGGGAAGCAGGAGTACTTACAGGGTGATCAACTCGCTGTTGTCCATCTCGAGGAGCATACCGGTGATCTTGCCGGCGAGCTCGGGCTGCATCTCAGCGATCTTGGGGTAAAGAGCCTCACCGAGCATCTGCTTCTGCTGACCGGGAGCAGCACCGCTCAGAGCACCCATGTCGACGCCAGCACCGGCGGGGCCGCCACGACCGCCCTGAGGGTAGGGCATGGGGGACTGGCCGGGTCGACCGCCCTGGGGACCGCCGCGACCAGCACCTTGAGGAGGGAAGCCCTGACCGCCGCGCATTCCGGGAACACCAGCCATCGGGACCTGAGGCATGCCGGGCATAGGGGCCATAGGACCGCCACGGCCGCCACGTCCGCCCATGGCCTGCTGAGCAGCCTGGGCAAGTTGCATGTACTGCTGGTTCATGTAGGCAGGAGGGAAAGCGCCAGGAGCCATGCCAGGGGGCATGTACATAGGGGGCATCTGCTGACCGTTGGGTCCGCCGCGACCACCTTGCTGACCAGGCATGCCACCAGGGAAACCAGCGCCACGGCCACCTTGTTGGCCAGGCATACCAGCGGGGAAGGGCATCTGGCCACGGCCACCGGCAGGGAACATCATAGGCTGCTGGCCAGGTGCGATGAACATCTGAGGAATACCGCCGAACTGCTGCTGCTGTTGTTGCTGCATGCGAAGCTGGTTGCGGGCCTGGATGGTGGCCTCGAGCTGGTTCTTGCGGACGTCCTTGCGCTGGGCAAGGGCGACGTAGAGGGGCTTGCCCTCAATCATCTTCTGGTTCATCTCGGTGACAGCCTTGGTAGCCTCATCGGGGTTGCTGAAGCAGACGAAACCGAAGCCCTTGCTCTTACCAAGAATCTTCTTCTCACCCTTGATGGTGACCTTCTCACCGCTGTTGTTCTCGTCCTTCTTCTCATCAGAAGAGGCATCCTTGGACTCCTCCTTGGACTCCTCCTTGGACTCCTCAGTCTTCTCGGCCTCCTTGGGCTCCTCCTTGACCTCGTCCTTCTTCTCATCGGCGGGGGTCTCGGAACGCTCAGCAGGCATGGCATCGCGCATGACCTTGGCGGAGGTGATGGTACCGAAAGGAGTGAACATGTCGCGCAGCTTCTCGTCGTCAACATCGTCGTTGAGGTTCTTGATGTAGAGGTTGACACCCTGGTACTTAGACTGCTTCTCAAGGCGAGCGGCCTCGTACTGCTTACGGAGCTCCTCCTCACGCTCGTGCTTCTTCTGAGCACGGCCGACGTAGAGCTTCTGGCCACGGAAGTCGGTGTCGTTGAGGGCGTCAACGGCGGCGGAGGCAGCCTCGTGCTTGATGTAGTTGACGAAGCCGAACCCGCGGCTCTTGCCCTGATCATCGCGCGCGATGGAGGCGGAGGTGATGTCACCGTGCTTCTCGAAGAGCTCACGGAAGTCCTCGTCAGAGACATCGAGGTCGATGTTCTTGACGTAGATGTTGGTGAAGTTGGCCTTCATCTCCTCGAACTTGCTCATGCGCTCCTTCTTGGGGATGTGGTGGCCGACGAAAACCTTCTTCTCGTTGAGCAACATGCCGTTGACGTGCTTGATAGCGTTGTTGGCAGCCTCGGCGGTCTCGTAGTGAACGAATCCGTAGCCCTTGGAGTTGCCGAGTTCGTCCTGAGCGACCTTGCAGCTCAAGATGTTACCGAAAGCGGCGAAGGTGTCGTGGAGAGCCTTGTTGTCAATGGCGTGGTCCAGGTTCTTGATGAAGACGTTGCCCTGGCCAGTCTTGCGCAGAGCGGGGTCACGCTGAGACCACATGATGCGGCAAGGCTTGCCCTTGATGACGGTGTAGTTCAACTCTTCGAGGGCCTTCTCGCCATCCTCAGAGCTGTTGTAGTTAACATAGGCGTAACCGAGCGAGCGACGGGTAACGGCGTCACGGCAGACACGGATAGACGCGACTTGGCCGATCGAGGAGAACAGCTCGAAGAGCATGGCCTCGGTGACGGAGGGGTCGAGCTCGCCAACATAGAGCGACGCGGAGTTCTGGTTGTTCGCGGGAGCAGCGGTGGTGGGGGTGGGGGCTTCGGCCTGGGCAGCAGCGACGTTGGTGTCGATCTGAGCGCCGTTGGCGTCAGCAACGTCCTGGACGGGCGAGGTAGAGTTGGCGACGTCAGACATGATGTATATCTGCGGGGTCGTATGTTAGCTGAGGGGTCTCAATATTGCGGGCAGAAGCAGGGTCGCTCGCTTCGCAAAAAAGTTTCAGCACTCACCTAAGTTGCAACAGAAGATGTGCGGGGTAACAGAGTCGGTATATCGGGCCAAATAGCACTGGCTATGCGGGCGCGCTGACTGCTTCTTCTTGCGAAAAAGGTGAGATCAAGTAAGACGTCTGTCGGGTGCAAGCGACAGTGGGAGACGAAGAGTTGGCGGTGGTCGTCGGACGGGCTTTTCTTGTTGTTTTCTGTATTTTTTTGTTTCTTTTTCTGTTATGAACGGTCCACTGGGAACCGAGGGCTTGGAGAGCTGTGGGTGTAGTTGGGGGTGGTTAAGCGTTTGGGGTGGAGGGACAGACGAGGTCGCCAGTCTTTATGCGCAGGTGTGTGATTTTTTGAGTGGTCCGGGCGCAGCGCTAGCCCTTTTGGGACGGTGCAACTAAGGCGGTGAATGAAGGAACCCTGCGACAGGCAGACAATGGCGATGGAGGAGGCAAATAAGAGTGCTATGAAATAACAAAACTATAGAAGGTGGCGTCGCTATGACGTTGCTTGTCTGTGTCTACCTAGGAAACCGCAGACAAGCGTAACGGCCGTTGCGATAATGGACCCTGTGTGTATCACATGTCAGATACGCGAGTAGACGTAGACAAAATGGGAGGCGAACCGCAGTTGGTACTTCGCGATGCTGCATTTCCCCTTGAAGATTCGAAAACCAATATTTCTGATTCCAATACTTGAGTGCGGAGAAGCTACCAGAGGATACATTGCACATCGCAGTGAGGGGTGGCTCTGCTGTCGACTAGCAATCCTGGGGTAAGATGCATCTTTGTAAGACGACGCACGACATACACGCACAAGCACTGCAAGCTAAACGGCGGTCTCCAGAGACAAGTGCAATCGCGCCTCCAATGCGTATCCATATATTCAATGAACTACCAGATAATCTTTTCAGTACAGGTCTCAAACGGGTATCGGTACGGTGCGTAAATGCTAGAAAATGCCATCGATGTCATAAACATGCTCCCACTACTCTTTGAGAGTGTCATCCCACCCGCCTTGTTCGGTGAGATGGTCTTCTACACGCGCTTTGCAGTCTTCCAGACCCTGCCCAAGTGCCTCGTTCCATTGGCTTTCGACAAGACCAACCTTCTCCTTGAGGTCGTCGGTCAGTCGCCGTTCCTCATCTGCTCTGATAGCCTTCATTTCTTGGTTGACACCCGTCAAATCTTCGCCTTCCAACAACCTTTGGGTCTCCAGAAGTCGTGAGCCTGCCGTCATAACTCCAGTCTTGACTTCGTGCAGTAGGCACAGCAAGTTGATCTGGGATTCAATGAATTGGTATGCTGAACGACCAGCATGCGCCAATAAAGTATAAAGATACTGTAGCGGGTAGTCGTGGTAGGCTGGTGTCTCCGCATACTCTTGCGGTGGGACCAGGACTTCGAAACCATGCAAGTCCTGAGGGACTTGCTGCACGATTTCCAGTAGTCCAGGCGCGATGTCCCAGAAAGCTGACAGCTGGGCTTCGACACCTCGAGTTACGTTCTGCTCGATGACGTTCATAAGATCTTCGTAACGTTTGAGTGTTTCTTTCTCGAAGGTCACTTTGCGGTCTTGTCCATCACGTTGGAAGAAGGTCGTAGCTTCCTTGACCTTCTGCTCGTTCTTGGTTTGGACATACGGTAAGACGATGATATCTCTGTAGAGGTCGTTGCGCTCGTCTTCCAGTTCGAACATCTCCTTGTGCAGCTGCTCCCGCGCTTCGAACAACCATTTGTGCAGGGTAAGCATCTCTAGCAGTTCCGGTTTCTCATCGCCCTCTTCTTGCGTCTGGTTGGGGTTGGGCTCCTGCGCCTCATTGCACAAACGCCCTTTAAGATGCTCCATCGATGCGGTGGCCTTGGTGATGCGTTCGCAGAATATGGCGTGTAGTGGGTTAGCAACTTCAGCCTGGAAGCTGTCGAATACCCACTGGACTACGTCCTGAGCTCTTTGATGCTCGCGAGCCTCGAAATCTGCTTCCGCCTTGGCCGCTTCTGCAAATGACATGACTCCATTGCGAACATTGTCTTGGATGTTGTACCGAAGTTGTGCTCTTCTGTCGGACAGCGATGCGTTTTCTTGCTCTTTTCGTGCCTCAATCTTTGTCTTGAACTTGGCCTTTGTATTCTTCACTTCGTCGAACTCCGATAGAGTTCGCAGACTACTCCGGATAGTTGCCAAATCAGGATGGCTGTTATTGACTGCGGGGTGATGGCGTGGGTAGGACGGAGGAAGTGTGACAAGTCGCGATACATCCAGCTTATGCGGGTCCGGCGTGGCCGTAGCAGACCTAGAATAGTAACCGTAAGGCTGCTGCTGTGGTGGCTGTAGACTTTCCTCGTGCAAGCCAACCTTTTCGGGCGGGTATTCGTTAGGTCCGTACGCTGGCCGACTGCTGGATTCGCCTCGTTGGTTTGGAGTGGAGAGGCTCTCCCCTGCCCACTGCAAGTTCTCACGGGCTTCCTTTGGCAAACTCATGTACTTGGATTCCCGCTTACTCCGCTCCAATCTTCTACCACCACCGACTCCGGAGGAACCGCCGTCACTTTCCCACCAGCGACTCGCTGACCGACCTCTGGAATCCTGCTCATCAGGAATGGTACTCATAGCCATACTCGGAATAGGTGAGAGCGAAGGATGGTAATTATTAGCCCAAGAAGCATCTCGAGCCTTCTGACTAGATGCGCTGGAGGGAGATGCCGGTTCAGTATGCGGAGTAAAGTTGCCAATGGAAGATGCAGGACTGGCAGCCGTCGTCGGCATCGAGGAGAAGCGTGTATCAGGAGATTCACCGGTTACGGAGCCCTGAGATCTTCTGTTGCCCTGTCCTACAGGAGTAGCCTGGGTGTTCGGTGTAGCTGACCTGCGCCCAGAATTGCCATACGAACGCCATAGATCTCTTGTCAAATCCATAATGTCTCCAGCCATTGCATCGAAAGCCCCGGAGTACCTATCACGACGAAGTCGTGACTCCGTGACGATGAACTCGGCAAATAACTCCAGTCTATCTTGGTCCGTTTCAGCCGCCATCTCCTTTTCGATGAATTGTCGATGCCGCTCCATGGAAGCGCGGGCGAAAGCATGCGTGTCTGCTGGCTTTGGTGTGCTTAAAGTTGAGTTTGTTGCGCCAGTGTTTGCGGTGTTAGGGGTCTGGATCGCCGATTCGATTGCAGCTTCTGCACGATAGGTCAGATCTGCTTCCCTCTCGTCACCATAGATACGTAACGGCGGAGTAGGCAGCGCTTTGGAGGGAATAGAGACGGGTGCTTTCTGTGCTGAACGACTGAGATGTTCCATACCTGGCGAGAAAGGTGGTGTTGCGACAGCCATAGATACAGCCTTTGGATTTACGTCCATCCGAGGCGTAGAATTCGACGAACCAGGATCTTCAAAGAGATGGCCGCTTCTTGGTGAACGTAGAGCCCCAGCACTTCTTGGTGTGCCTTTGGTGATAGCACCACGCCGTGTCAAGCCACCTTCAGGCGTCCCCAAGTCGAGATTGGCAGGTTTTGCCGATTCTGCTTCCAAATCTTGCGCCCATGGATTATTGCTCGGTTCGATACGTAGCTCTCGCGCAGCACGACTCTCACTCCGCCGCTCACGGATGCCTCGGGTACTAGTTTCGCGTTTATTTGGGGTGCGATAAAGGGTGCTGCTGGAACCCGAAGTGGTGGTCGTCGGCCCCGACGAGATCGAAACACTTCCACTCTCTGATGCTGGCGCAGGTTGGTCAGATAGATGAACAGCGCGAGGACTTGTATCGATGTGTAGGCCATGGGCTGCGGGAGATCTTGATCGCACAATCGTAGGCTCATCCTGCCAGCCCTGGGGTGTAGGTGGTATGGGTGTCAGTGTTGTTTGACCCGGTCTCCTTGTTGGAGGCGCAGAAGGCAAGATAGGCACTCGATTCGATGGCGGTTCTGTCCCAGGTCCCATACTTTGCGATCTTGAGCTGCTAGGTGGAGGGCCCGGTGGAGGCGGAGGTAATGGCACATTTCGACTCCAGCCCCCTGCTGGAACTATAGGCGATTCGTCAATAGGCGTCCGAGTCTCATAGCCCGGTACGCCAGCAGAGGCCGCTCTCCGGGAGGTGGGTGGTCTGCTGGGTGATTGTGTGTCGGGACTGTACCGCCGATCTAACGTGTTTGCAATATAACTGTAACCAAGTCAGTAAAGCGCACCTTACTGTATGCATGAACCTACTTGGAAGTAGCTCTCTGTGCGACTAGTCCAGGAGAAGCTGGTGCTCGCTGAATCGCATCAGAGGTACTGATGTGAAGTGAGTCGATGTTGCTCGGGGCGGGGCTATGATCATTGTTTCGATTTCTGAATGACGACAGACTAAACTTGGAAGCCAGCTTGTCGCGCGATGTTGACCGACCTGGTCCATTCCTGGGTGGTGGTGGTGGGAACTGGGGGTTCGATGTTATGCTCGTTGCGCTCGAAGGTATGACCATGGACCCAGGTCGACTGTGGTATCCAGAGATGGGTCGCGCAGACGAGGGATTGCTACTCGGCGGTGGGGGTGGTGGGGGATGAGGGAACGTATTGGCAGACAATTGAGGTGATGAGGTGTTGCTGGTGCTGAGGGATTGCGACATATTCGGGTTCTGACCAGGCGAGTATGGAGGTGGTGGTGAGGGCATCGACGCTGTTACAATTAGCATCACGTCTCGTCATGCTTGGGATGTTTCCAAGAACGGTCTGCGCAATTGATATGAAAAGTAGACCACCAAGGCTTCGACACACACACAACATTCCATATTTTACGAGAGAGGAAAAGAAAGTCTATCCAATCTACTATATAGAATACGAAATTGGGACGAAGTAGGAAGTGATATATACCTTCCATGCCCGTCACATCCTGAAGCCTCGTAGGGACCGACGTCTGGCTATGCTGAACATGCTGCCCACTGACATTCCCACCCCGCGTCCATTGCTGGGGATTATATGGCACGGCTGGACCCGAACCCCTCATAGCCATGGGAGAAGCAGGCGCGATGGGAGAAGGCGCATACGTCGAAGGCGTGGGAGAAGGCGAGAATGGCAGGCTCAGAGACGAGGCAGTCGCCGGTGTAGGTAGCGAGCCATGCAGGTACGAATGGCCTGGCTGATGGGGTGGCGCGAGGGTGGTGTTGAGGAGGGGAGGTTGCACAGCGAAGCGCCTGGGAGATATCTGCGGTGCCTGGAGGTGGGCAAGGTGCGGTGAAGGCGGCGGTGGAGGCAGTCGGGGCGATGGGGGTGCGGGACTGTAGGCGTGCTCCATGTCTGCTACTATTCCACCTCTCGGTTTGGCTGTCTCCTAATTACTAGATTAGTTAGGGCTGGCTTGATGTGCCGCGCCGAAGCCCTCAGCGGCTCCAGCGAGTAGTACGGGCGAATCCAGCGACGGACAGAAGATGGGGCGGCGTTGGGAGCTGCACCGTTCACGACTTTGTCACCTTGCACGCGAATGCAGAGGCCGAGGCGCGCAAGGGTGCTGGGTCATGCTGTGTGTCGGTGTAGTCTGAGGATGAAGGGAAAGCGGCCAATTCGACGCCTGGCAATCGACGTCGATCATGTCGGGCACGAGGATTGGAAGCTCTAGACTCGAAGCAGTAGCGACGACGGAGGTTTGGCCTTGTAGCGAGGCTTGTCTTTTGCTTGTCCAGCGAATGGGCGACGCCTCATGCACACGGCGACATGGGCGATATGCACCATCCCTGCCTGTCGACAAGACGTCGGCGGCTAAGTAAAGAACATGGCCGCCATCCTCAGGCCATCTTTACCCTTCTAGCAGCACTTTAGGGACGCAGTGTCAATCACAGCTATTGTGCAAGCCGCCGAAATGTCCCCGGATAGGTTTTGGGCAGTCTCGTGACGTGTTGATGGCCCTATCCGACATGCGACCGTTGTGGTGTTCGTCTTGGTATCCAAGAGGTTGCGACATGAAATTCCCCACGCAGAGCGATATAAATAGTTGCAGTGGGCCCACTCCAACATGCGCAACGGCCCACCACAACATGGTCTCTTAAACTCCACCACCACAATGCGCCCGCATCTCGAATCGTCCTGGGCGCCGAGTTGCTTTGTTCTGGCCGAATCCCCGAGGCAAATGATCCATTTATATCGAAATCCATCACCTGCCTTGCACATGGTGTTTACGGGCAATGCTTCTCATTATACATGATGATGCACCTTCTTTTACGGGTTGATGGTTGCGGCCACAGACCTATCATCAATTGATGCGTGAGACAAAAGGCACACAAATGACCGTTGGGGGGAAGCGATTACTTGCATGCTGATGGCAGTAGTACGGCCTTCGGCAATCGTGCATTCGTGGACCCAGGTCCTGACCACTGCGTTAGCCCCCGGACGCTGAACATGTATATTACCGGCGCCACGTTATAGATGAGTAGAGCAGGGCGTTGTCCGCACGTAAACCCGGCTTACCATGTTTTCGTTGTAACACACATCAACTTGCGCGCAACCAGATAATCAAAACCAATGATGAACTCTATATACTGCAAGTGTCTATGCCTCAATCCAAAACCACGCACGCTGGGTATGTCTACCATGCTGCAAGTGAGGTCGAAAGAAAATGCCCGTAAACGCCTCGCTCAAGTGCTCAACCTGCAAAACATGTATGAGCTGCTGCAACTACGGCTGTAGCTCACTTCTTATCGTCCTTCTTTGGCTCCGGTGCTGGGTCATCTTCGTCGTCCTTGTCCTTTCGCTTCTCCTCTTTCCTCTTACGCTCTTTCTTCAGTGCCTGCTGCACGTTCTCGTCCTTCTCTTCCTGCAGCTCGTCCCACTCGACGTCGTACTCGTTGGCAACAGCCTTGATCTCCTTACGGAGGGCGTTTCCGTCCTCAATCAGGACCTCCCATTTGCGCAAATCGAAGTTGTGTTGCTGGTATAGCTTCTGCTGTCGACGAGACACAGTAAAGTTCATAGCAGAGCGGTAGCTGACTTCGCGGTTGTGGTAGAGGAACCACACATAACCACCGATAAGGGTAGATAGACCGACAAGGTACTGTTGAGACTGTTAGGTAGATCGAATATTCAAGGAGTGGCCAAACTTACTGTAACGGGCTCCATGACGTCCCAACCCAACTCAGTCTGGAAGGTGAGATAATACACAACGCACCACCATCCAGCGATGCCGACAAATCCAGCCCTTGCAACATTCTTTGCCGCCTTCTGCGCCAAATCATCGCACATCTTCTTCACGGTCGCCATCTCGCTGATCTTCTTGGACGTTTTGCGCAGACGCATTCGCAGATAGTAGGTCCTGTCGTTGAAGCTGGGCACACCAACTCGAATCTCCTCCGGCGCGCCTTCAATCTCAATGGCAAACTCCTGTCCTCGAGCGGCATCACGGATGAAGTCGCCGATCTCGGTGGAAGAAGACCATCGCACAAACTTGCGCGCGCCTTGTTTGTCTGTTGGCGCTTCTTGGCCCTGTCCAGAGTACGACTCTACGCCGCCCCTTCCAGGCCCACCTCGCAGCTCATCCGCTTGTTCGGGTGTCTTCCGATCCTGACTGTTCAGCTTCCCTGTTTTTTGCGTCTTTCCGTCAATGCGAATCTCGTCGACCTGTTCAAAGTCCTCTTCGCCATCTTTCTCATGAAGACTTTCGCTATCATTGCTGACTGGTGTGCTCTCTACTTCCTCAGGCTCAGCATCCGCCTGCATGGAGTCTTCGGCGCGGAAATAAACATTCGGCTGTCTTTCACGGCCCTCTTTGTCTTTGATGGTAGGGAGCTCGGCTTGTATTAAGCGTTCGAGGTAAGAGATGGGTTGCTGTGGGTGAACGAGGAGTGCTAGCGGTTCGACGTCTTTGCGGTCCGTGTTCATATCGCTTGTCGTGAGTGGCAGGATAATCTTGAGCATCCGAGATGGTGTGGTGAGCAGTTTGCCTGCTTATGTTAACAATTGGGTCCTCCATAGCGTGAGAGACGCATACCCTTCGTCATTGCTCCAGCGCTCCTCTGACGCGCGACGGGCGGCAAATCGCTTCCCTCCCTGTGCCATGGTGTTCGTATTTGTTTTCCCTTATCTTCTTGCAGTTTCTTTGCAAAATGATCCTTCTCTTCCTGTGTGATGTTCTCATTAAGTTTTGAAGCTGGTCGGGCGTTGGAGTTGTTGTAATCCCCGAACTTGTCACTCTCCTTGTCAACTCCTCTGGGCTTAGTCGCGAAGCATCGAAACTGTGAGGGTGTCCGGAGTTTAATCGATATGCTGGGAGGGTTGCGTGTGAACAGAGGCGCACATCGAGCGGCCGGGAACGTTGTGGTGCGTGGGAGCGAGGCCAGCGCGGACAGTCGGTGCCTCATAATCGGCACAGGGATGATGGGTTGCCCGAAAGGATCGGGACGCGACAGATTGTACAAAGACGCGAAGACGTAGTTCTGTCGACAGAATTATTCAACAGTTGTCATGCCCAGAGGACACATGCACGCGACAAGCAGGGTTACAGCATCGACATCTTGGGCGACGTCATTGCTTGTAATGAAGTGGCTCAGAGGTGTGGCTGCGTGGCTGCGAAATTGCCCTCATCAACATCGATATGTGTGAAATTTACCCAATCGTGTCTCATAGACCAGTATGGGCTATACATCTTCCTAAAACGACAAGTTCGGATCACGTCAGGTTTCTCGTTGATATTCGCCCAGATTCTTTATGAGGTGGTTGCTGCACTGCAACTCCGGTCGCAACATGTGGAAGGCATGAAGGAATGATAGGCAGGTGCAACATGTAGCCAAGCAGTCCTGCCACACGAAATCAAACTGTTTTTTTTTGGAATCTAATACATTATACTGTCCTAGTAAGGTTTTGGTGATAACTTAGGGCGTATATGTACCTCTTGCACCATGCGGCAAGCATTCCTTGTAAAGCACGTACAACACATCCACATGCACACCTCTATGACGAACGACGTGATAGTGTAGTACCAATCGACCACGATACATTATCCAACATACGAGGAGTGGGGCTTGAGAAGGTTTGCGATCGGACAATCATGGTCTGCGGCAAGGTTTCTTGCTCTTAACGTCGATGAAGATTGGGGTCATTATTTCGGCAGTAACGGACATAGTGCTTCTAGGCACGACGATCAGACGACGGATAAAACATTACGCGTGGTTCTTCCACTGTTGAACAAAAGCTTCCACGTACAATGAGGTGAGTGTACTGCGGCTTTAGCGGAGATATTGGAGCTAAAGTTATTGTACCAGCAAAATACTGGGGGCACGCTAATGCAACTGGCTTACCATCCCGATGTGTATCTTACCGAACATATTCCGAAAAGCTTTGTGCATGTATATAACAAAGTATTCTACAAGCAAACTGTTCGATATTAAACCAAATCAAAGACTTCGACGCACGACTTCCACCGTTATCAGCGAAACTTCACCGAACCAACTTCATCAAAATGGTCAAGACACTCCAGTTCCAGGATATCCAAGTCCAGTCCCCAGGATTCGGTTGCATGGGTCTCAGTTTTGGTTTGGGCAGCAATCTGAGTCTTGAAGAAGCTGAGCCTGTTCTTCTCAAAGCTATCGAACTTGGCTGCACATTCTGGGATACAGCGGTCGTTTACCAGGCGGGTGTGAACGAGAAGCTTCTAGGGGAGTTCATCAGGAAGCATAATGTCCGTGACAAGGTCTTTAGTGAGTCCTGTCCTACCATTGAGATACAGTCAAGAGTTGCTAACCTTGCATCTCTAGTCGCTTCGAAGTGCGGTATTGCTTGCCTTGATGGCGAGTCAGGTGTGACAAACAGCCCAAGCCATATCAAGAAGTACATCGATGGTACAATCGAGCGACTTGGCTTTATCCCTGATCTCTATTACCTTCATCGAATCGACCCCAACACGCCTTTGGAGAAATCTATCCTCGCTCTTGATGAGTGCCGCAAGTCTGGCAAGACCAAGTACATCGGGCTATCTGAGTGTTCCGCCAAGACGCTGCGGAAAGCAAACTCAAGTATGTAGGAAACGATCCGCCAATCTGCAGTCCACTAACTCTGCCATCAAGTTGCCAAGATCGACGCCGTCCAAGCAGAGTACTCTGCCTTCGAGACACTGCATGAGACCGACGGCCTGATCGACACCGCGAGGGAACTCAACGTGGCTTATGTCGCCTATTCTCCCCTTGGCCACGGCTGGCTGGTAGACAATTTCGACTACTCCTCTCCCGACGACTTTGCACCTGACGACTTCCGTCGTTCGGTCCCTAAGTTCCAAGGCGAAAACTTTTACAAGAACAAGGCCATTGTTGAGGAGATCAAGAAGCTTGCTAAGAAGAAGGGCTGCACAACCCCTCAAATCGCGCTGGCCTGGGTTGCTGCTCAAAACATGATTGCTATTCCCGGAACGACCAAGGCGAAGAGGTTGGAAGAGAACTGGGCCAGCAGGGACGTGGAGTTGACAGACGAAGAGAGGAAGGAGATGAGAAAAATTGTTGACCAGGCGAAGCCGAGCGGTAATCGCTACGCACCTGCACAACAGGCTATGGTTGGGCACTAAGCAACTTGGAAGGCAGTGGACGAGAGTTACAAACCTTGTGTGGTGTAAGCGACCATGCAGGCTGTGTTGAGATAATCGTAGGCGGAGCCCAATGAGAAACAAGCGAAGCTTTAATTTCACTTCATGACGTAGATGCGTGTTTCCGAGCACTGCTATATCCTCACAATATCTCTTGTGAACGAGCTCTAGCCTCCAAATAGCAAAGATGTGTAGTCCATTTTCCGTAGCAGCCACCATGTACCGCTAGCGCAAGGGGTAGCTGCATGGCATCGCTTGCGGCAGACCGATGATCCCCCCGCTTTCTCTCAGCTCACATTACGCATGCCAGCTAGAAAAATGGTTATGTTTGTTGCGTGGCGTCTACATTGTCAGCCATAGTCATGAACAACGCAGCGGACTTAAATAGAGTCTGCGAACGCCTTGATCCTTCGCTCCGGTATCGGCCATATTGTCTCAGGACTTCGACCACGCCTTCGATAATCTCCACGGATGGTCTGGTACAAGTAGGAGGCCTTGCGACATTACCAGTACTCATAGCTCCCCACGGCAGGTTTCAGATCGGCCACGGCCCGTGGCGCATCGGAAAGAATGCCGTGTAAATCCGCGCTCAGTATACTCCGTAGGGTTGGCGGTCACACCAGATCTGCAGACAGCATAATGGCAGTCTGCGTTAGAGTCCATGGGTCTTTGAAATATCGAATCGGGGCGTTCTAGCAACGGCCAAGTGGAGTCTCGCAACACCACAAGACGCGCAATTGCTTTTGAGATATCGCGAGACGAGGAAACGTGGTGGCATGGTCTGAGGCTCGCGGTCGATTGGCGTATCCTAGTCGTCTTGCACAACCCTCGAATGAGTCGTCAAGAAAGGTGTTCAAGACAGGAAGAAACAAACAAATTGACTAGACGTCCTTGCTTAGAGTCTATTGAATCTCGTCCGGGCGAATGTTCCCCGTGGGCACACACTACCCCCGCAGAAGAAAAGAGCCAATTAGCCCGCTCGTAGCGTTCGCTCCAAGTCATATATACGGCAAGCGATGCGTTTGTTATCCGGGGGTGGTGCGCAAACAGCCGTTGGTGCCTCGTGTTGGGTGTAGGTTGGAAAAGGAGCTCCTTGCGCTATCATGTAGCCAGGTGCCGAAGCGGTTAGGCGCGAACTGTCCCTGGTGCCCCGGCTGCCGGGTTTGCTCACGAGCAAAAGATACCCACTGATGACACTGGTGTTACCAACATGACATGGGTAGTCGCGTTCCGCAAGGAAGCACGACTGCAGAAGACGTATGCAGGTGAGCAAGTGTTGCACCAAGTGGAAGGGTTGATGGCTTCAAGATCTCCACTTGGTGCTATCAAAACTTCATTAACGCGACTAGGCGTGCCTCCGTCAACCGTCTGCTCGCTAGCTCCACCTTTATTTCCATACTGACACCCTGCCCGAAGATTTGACAAAATTCCATTTGCAATCGTCAAATTGCGCCTTCGTGTGCATTTGCCCAGCCACGATAACAGAGATTCGTCCCAAGATACAAGAGGCGACTTCCACATGTCATGGCTGCGGACGCCGGCCGGCGACCTCCGAATTTCCCCTCAGCACTGATACACTAGACTGGTGTGGCTGCCGGAAAAGCATGTGTAGGCGCCAAGCTGAAGGTGTCGCGAAAGGCGAGCTACATCGCCGGTAATTCACTACATTCCCTAGGCTTAGGGCTGAGAAAGTGGCCGGCCACCTTCATACGCAGCACGCCGAGACATCCTAGCTTGCCGCGATGTGGGATCGCATGGGTCGCAACACTAGTCCAGCTAAAGCAGGGCTTGATCGGCCTGATATGGGTCATTGGTTCTTTGCGGGAGGTCGAACGCGACAGGGTTGGTTGTCGCCGCTGGTCCTTATCTTTTTGGTGCGGGATCATGCTAGATACACTTTACATCCGTCCAGGCCCTGTGCTACGCATTCACTTTGACTTAAAAGCTCGCTTCGCCTTCACTGGCTCACTTAGCAGAGCTTGACGTCGATCTTCTCTCGCTGCTTGGTCGACTCCGAATCAACCGTACCTCTTCAGCGCACAACAATTTTGCGATCGTCCCCACGATATCGTCGAAATCTCTGCAAAATGTCGGGCTTTGTTCACAAGGCCAATGGCGCCATCGCGCGCTCTATCGTTGGCAGGTACTTTCGCCTCGAGGGATCAGGTCATGTATGTATATCGCATATCGATACTCTGTACATGCACTAACACCCCTATAGCCCAAAGAGCGCAAGGGAAGCTACTTCTTCACTGAGTTCCGCGCGGGGCTAGCCACCTTCTTCGCCATGGCCTATATCATCTCTGTTAACTGTATGTCAATTGCGGGATGTCGTTGACAGAACCGCGTCTGATGACCATGTACAGCATCCATCGTGTCAGACAGTGGTGGTACTTGCGTATGCCCAGGGCTCCCGGATGACCCTATCTGCGAGACCAACCCACAATACGCCCTCTGTGTTCAGGAAGTCAGGCGAGATCTGGTTACCGCGACAGCTGCCATCTCTGCATTGACTTCTTTCTGCATGGGCTTGTTTGCCAATCTGCCCATTGCCCTCGCTCCTGGAATGGGGTTGAATGCCTACTTTGCTTACACTGTAGTCGGTTTCCATGGTACAGGTACGTCGCACCGATGCACCGTTTCCCGTTCCCGTTCCTGTGATGCCGTTATGCCGGTCCCCAATCAGGTCGGCTTACCAGCGCCATGGGTCGTACCAGTTGATCTTCATGGAACATCACTAATTGCTTTTTTTAAGGCATGGTACCCTACGAGGTTGCACTTACTGCCGTATTCGTGGAGGGTTTTGTCTTCGTTGGTCTAACCATGCTGGGTATCCGACAGTGGCTTGCAAGGTATGTCCAGAGCATCCTAGAATGTCCTAAAGTCATATGCTAACAACACCTACAGGGCAATTCCTGCTAGTATTAAGCTTGCCACCGGTGTCGGTATTGGACTATATCTTACTATCATTGGCCTTGCCTACTCCGCTGGTATCGGTCTGATCACCGGCGCTCAATCAACCCCTCTCGAACTCGCCGGTTGTGTTGCTGCAGACCAGGTTGATGGTGTCTGCCCAGGAGGTGTCAAGATGAGGAGCCCAACCATGTGGATCGGCATCTTCTGTGGTGGTATCTTGACCGTCATGCTTATGCTGTACCGCGTCAAGGGTGCGATCATCATCGGCATTTTGCTCGTTTCGATCATCTCCTGGCCGCGTCCAACAAGCGTTACCTACTTCCCGCACACCGAGACTGGCGACTCAGCCTTCGACTTCTTCAAGCAGGTCGTTACTTTCCATCCGATTGGCAAGATTCTTGCCGTTCAGCAATGGAATATCTCAGAGCACGCTGGCCAATGGGGTCTTGCTTTCATCACCTTCCTCTACGTTGACATTCTTGACTGTAAGTTACACATTACTGAGATACCTTGAGGAGTATACTAACATCACTAGGCACTGGTACTCTATACTCCATGGCTCGTTTCTGTGGCGCCATCGATGAGCGTACCCAGGACTTCGAAAACTCCTCCATCGCATACTCAGTCGACGCTCTTGGTATCAGCATCGGATCCCTCATGGGATGTCCTCCAGTCACCGCATACATCGAGTCTGGTGCCGGTATCTCTGAAGGAGGCAAGACCGGTCTTACCGCCATGTTCTCCGGTCTCTGCTTCTTCATCGCCATTTTCTTTGCTCCGATTTTCGCATCCATCCCTCCGTGGGCTACTGGCTGTACGCTGGTCATTGTCGGTTCGCTCATGGCAACATCGGCCAAGGACATCAACTGGCGCTACTTGGGCGATTCCATTCCCGCTTTCCTCACTATCGCGGTCATGCCCTTTACATACTCCATCGCCTATGGTCTGATCGCTGGTATCTGCTCTTACATCCTCATCAACACTATCGTCTGGATCATCGAGAAGGCCTCTGCTGGCCGTATTGTACCACCCAACAAGGATGAGAAGGAGCCCTGGACTTGGCGCCTTGAGGGTGGCCTCCTTCCTCCATGGATGAAGAGGCTCACCAGCGGAAAGAAGAACTTCTGGAAGGCCGACCCACAGACTGAGGGCGTTTCAGAGCCCCGGAGTGAAGGCAGCTCTGCTCACAACGAGAAAGAGTTTGTCACCGATAAGCAGGCGTAATAGCTTCTGCATCTGCCTCTCATTCATGTTGTATCAAGTAGTTTGAATGCGGTTTTGCGATTTCTTTACCTTGTTTTACATGCCGTTGTCGCGTCGGAATGCTTCTATGAGCGCAGACCACGCGGGTAGTATTATTCGATTATACCCTCACTTGTATCTGATATAGTATCGGATTTGTTCTGAACATTCACAAAACTTGGCCCTTCATCCCCTTGGTGATATCCGTATGTGACTCTTGTTCGCTCCCTAAGAAGAAAAAAGTTGTCATACATCTAAGCCACATGGGTGCACACCATCTGACATACAGCCTGCGTGGCACAAAGAGACACAATCCACAGTCGCACACGACCTGCAAGCCACTCGTCGGCAATCGGTGGAAACGCCACATCGGAGGGGCGGTGCGCGTCGCGCCGAGTCACCGACGCAGGGAGCTCCGAGGTATGAACCCCTCCTTAAGGTATCTTGTGATACATCCAAACTCCGGTTCCGCAGACATCATAACCTCATTAAGTTTTACTCTGCCCTTCACCCATTCAATTGACCACCGCAGTATCTCAGAGGATACACTCGATATCGCAGCACACAGACAGAACACTGTTCCAGAGCTTAGTATAGATCGGGGTTCCGAGCGCGGATATCCGGTGGCTTACGAGATCTTTTTCTAAGCAAAGTTGACTAAGAGCTCGACGAGCTCTACGCTTTGCAAGCACACGGAAAGACGAGTACCCGCACTATTTTCCTCAAAAAGACTACATTAAGAGCAGGCGATACCAGGCGGAAGTAATTGGACAAGAGTCATACCCAGAACCATGCCTGCAGAACTCCAGAATGGGCTACCCGCCCACGGCACAAATGGTGTAAACGGCAACGCGACGCAGCTTTCGGATCCCACACCAGCACATCCTGCTTTCGACTCGATACCAGATGTCATACAGGCCTTTGGTACGTCTTTCCAAACTGCATCAGCTCCAACGATCATCCTACCCCTCATCATATGGACCCTGTACTAACGCGCCTTCCACCACAGCAAACGACGAATTCGTAATCGTCCTTGACTCACCCAACCGCGAGAATGAAGGCGACCTAATAATCGCCGCGTCCGCCCTGACACCCGCCAAAGCTTCCTTCATGATCCGCTACTCCAGTGGCTACATCTGCGCGCCCTTACCCGTTAGTCGCGCCGCCGCCCTGCATCTACCGCAAATGGTTGCCGACAACGCCGACCCCAACCGCACTGCATACGCCGTCAGCATCGACTCCGCCGACCCCTCCGTCACAACCGGTATCTCTGCCCAGGACCGCAGCTTGACGTGCCGGATGCTCGCCGACCCCAACGCCAAAGCCAGCCATTTCAGAAGACCGGGACACATATTGCCGCTACAGGCAAGAGATGGCGGAGTGCGCGAGCGCAGGGGACATACAGAGGCTGCTGTGGATCTATGTCGGTTGGCTGGCAAACAACCTGTCGGTGTTATTTGTGAGCTGATCACGGACGGTGAGGAAGTGGCTGGTAAGCCAGAACTCGTCGGTGGGGGTATGATGAGGAGGGATGATTGTCTAGCGTTCGGAAAGAAGTGGGGGATCAAGGTGTGCACGATTGATGACATGGTTCGGTACATTGAGGAGAACGATGGTGTGTTGGGTACGCCGTCATAGCACGAGGCTGGAAGTGGAAGAGGTGGAATTTTCAGAAGAAGTGCAGCTTCTGCAAGTTCTGGGAGACCTGGAAGTTGTGGAAGATCCTGGCTCATGTGAGACACTACCATCAGTATGTCATAGATGGTGGACGTTGATGCATCTTTGCGTGGGGGACACGTCCGCTCAACTCATTTGGTACGAAAGGAAAACCCGATACTATTCACTAGATACTCAACTCGGCGCAAGCTTTCCATATCTGAAAGTCATAAGTGACCGATACAATTATCATGTTGCTAGTGTTCACTGACAGATACATGAACCCACAAAATGTATGCATGTATGTAAACAAATGTTGAGATCTGCTGGTAGTTGTGAAACCGTGCGCCAAAGCCTAGTAAACAAACCACCTCCCTACCATTAAAACAGACGCTGTTGTCATCCACTCTTCTCAAAGAAAGCCTCCAGTTTCCTCACAGCCTTTCCCATATCTTCGACGCTGATCGAGAACCGCACCCGAGCCCATCCAGCATCCTTCTCTACTCCATTGAACACTCCGCCTGATGCGATCTTGACTCCACTTCGCAGCTCTAGCTCCTGGTAGAAGCTATTCTCGTCACCTACTGTCACAGCCTTCTTTGCCAGTCTAGCAAACAGAAAAAGACCATGCGTGGGCGTCACGAAATCGATGTTGTGCCGCCGGAGAAAGGAAGCGAGGATGTTGTAGGAGAGCGTGAGACGTTCGGAATTCAGAGCCAGTAGAGTGGGGAGTTGAGACCACGTGAGGAGGGAATTTAGGTAGAGTGTGGAGATGGATGAAGGGTGGGTGGATGTTAGAGCCATGGCCTTGAGGAGTGAAGGGTTTTGTTGGGATATGATGCAGCCCTGGATATCTGTTAGGTCCGGATATATATAGTTTTGAAAGTGAGCCTTGGAGGAGACTTACCACTTTGAACCCGCTCATGCCGAATAGTTTGCTTGCGCTCCATACTACGTGGACTCGGCTTGGGTCTACCTTGACTGCTCCCTCGGGTACGAATGGCTCCGTTAGCGACAGGGCACTCACGAAACTGGGTGCTTTTTTGTCGCCACCATTTAGGCTGATGAGCGCGGAGACTTCGTCACATATTAGATGCAAGCCTCTCTCTTGACAAAACTCTATGAGTTCAAGTAAGGTCTCTCGTGGGTAGCATCTCGAGAGCGGATTGTTCGGGTTACACAATAACACAGCTCTAATCCGTGACTTCTTATCTGAGAAGTCATATGCTGCCTGGAGTGAGGGGAGAAGGTAGTTGTCCCAGCGTGAGTACGTTGGTGGCCTGGCGGCAATGAGGTCAACGTTTGCCTTTCGTTTTAGTACGATTTCGAATCCAGCTACATGTTGTTGGTCTTTGTTAGAAACCATGTTATCGCCCAGAAGGAATGTTCACAAGCAGCAGGATGACTTACGCCAATGCGGGCCGGGCATGAGAACACTATCTCCATCGTCGCAAACAGCTTGGATCACGTTCTCGATTGCATCGGTCGCGCCTGCTGTAAGCACGATATGCTCTGGCTTCACAGCATGAATCGGGTTGAAGTAGGCATTGAAGAATGAAGCTAGTGCATCGCGCAATCGTGGATCGCCGCCGCTGAGGGATGCAGCAGGAGCCGCAAATGCCTATTGAAGTACGATTAGCAGGCTACACGACATGTTTCAGACAAGACCAACGCACCTCACTCGTAATCTTGTCTTCAACAGTGCTCTTGAAAAACTCGAGCAGCTCTGGATGTATGACCTCGTTGACAGCGCGCGAAAGATCGATAGTTATGGAGAAAGGGTCGAAGGGTTGTTGTGGTGGGGCGCTTGCCGAAAAGGCCGGGAGAAGGTCCTTGAGCGTCTTCTGCGTGCGCAGCGACAGTCCGGGATCCATGATGGACGAAACGGAAATATGATGCGTGCCGCGCATTCAGTCAGTGGAATAATTACAGAGACATCGAATGCGGCCCTGCAGGCATGCAGCGACATGTAAAAACGTTGCATTCAATCGGTCCTGCGCCAAGGGGCAGCCTGCGGCACAGTTGAATTCCCAGTGGTTTGGTACCTGGCGCTGGCGGCCTACTGCAGGTGAACTCTTTCCGGTCAAAGCTCCTGTAAGGGATATTGAAGAGAAAAACATAACTCCATTGACGGTGCTAATATTCGATTGTGAATGAACAAAGCGTGTGGGGAATCTCTTAAGGAAAAACGACGTCTGTCTCAGCGCTTCCTCCGTACCAAGACTACAGAAGACCCAGAGCCTGCCTTTTGTGTGCCTCCCAGTCTACCCTAATGCCCGTACCTTGTCCATCACTATCACACAAGCACATGCCAAAGCTAACCAAACGCCGTTGAAAATGCCCTCGGATAAATGCATACAGAGCGCATGCCGGGTCTAAAACAAGCGACGAGCCGCGAAGCCCTATAAACGCCCCCGATAAAGTTTGCATGCGCCTGGATGAACATTGGAAAGAGTGCAGCAATTGAATCGTGCAAGCTCGAACACAACTGCTACGCCTACAAGAAATGGAAGTCGGGTCGGCAAGTGGCTAAGATCATTGCTGTGGCCGACCGATACCTTGTTTAGCCTGGAAATATATTAGCAGTGTCATTCAAGGCGAGCTTAGAACAACTGACCTTCATCATTTCGATCCTTTGCTTCAGATTTTGAGTGACTTCCGCAGCGCGCTTCCAGCTTTCTGCACCTGAAGCTCCCGCTGAAGGTATTCGAGGAGCAACACCGTTCTCTGCTGGGCTCATGCGACCACGCGACGACATCGACGACATACCAGAGGCATCTGCTCGTGGACTCAGCTTGCCACTCAAGTTACTGCTAGGGCGAGATAGAGAATCAAAGTTCTCCTTACCGTCGCCGCCCGGACTTCCTGGCCCACTAGCAAAGCTCCTCTGCCTTGGCTGCATGGCTCGACTGCCGTATCCGGAATCACCGAATAGCGCGCCGTTGGTGTGACCGATGCCGTTGTCTGTGTAAATCTGATCTCCAACGTCTGTTGCGGGTGGAGACGAAGCACGTAGCTGCCGACTCAGTTCGCGCTTCAACCTATCGATTTCGCGACGCTGGTTCTGTACTGTCTGCTCAGATGCTTCAAAGTCTGAGCGTGCACGGACGAGTTGTGTTTCCTTTGCCTTGATCGAAAGCACGTCGCGAGTGTGGTCTTCGATGAGCTGGGCGTTCTGATTCTGGAGCTCGTGGATTTGTGAAGTAAGCTTCGTCCGCTCTCCGCGCAGATCTTCGTTCTGTCGTCGTACTCTTTCAACTTCTGCCCGCAGCTCGTCAAGTTCCGCACGTTCCACCAAATTGAGGCCGGTTGGCGCTTGTGGTGCAGAAGCTGCTGCAGCAGGTTCAGCAGCAGGCTTCCCCAGAGGACGGCCTGCGAGACCACGACCAGCGCCGAACTTGGGCTGCGGCGGCGGCGCTTCTTCCTCAGGAGGAGGTGAAACAACTGATTTCCGTGGTGAAGGAGCTGTGAGACCCGAGCCTGGCTTCTTCAGCCCACCGAGCCTCGAAGGCGCAAGACCGGGTTTGGCGCCCAATTTGGACGCGGCGGGTCTTGAAGTTGGCTTCGGCTCGAGAGGTGCAGCGGGTTCTTCTACGGGCGGAGGCGGAGGTGCTTTTGCGGCAGGAGCTGGCTTCTTCACGCCACCCGGCGCTGGTCGCTTGCCCATAGGCTTCTTAGTCGGTGGCGCGGCTGCTGCAGGCTTAGGCGCAGGTGCTGTCTTTGGCTTGTATTTGGTCTTGACTTCCGCAGCATCGAAGAACTCTTTGATCTTGGTCTTGCGGATCTCGTCAAGGCCATCCAGATGGGCATTCATGATACGGTCTCCCATGATTTTCCAAAGCGTACCGAGCGTCTCGGCACCAGCGGCTCGCTGTACCTCCTGCGATTCAGTAAGTAGTTTCGTAGAGCCCTCCGCAATGGCCTTGGCTTGTTCCGGTGTTGGAGCTTCGCGGGTGTTCTTCAGGCATCGAATCAAGAATCGAGATGATTCAAGTTTGACCTGCGGATTCTTGTGCTTCAGGAACTCCAAAATCTCCTCCAAGCACTCTTGGAAGCTTATAGATGCGAACGAGGCATCCAGAGCAGCTCCGATCGCATCAGTCACGGTCTGTTTCTTCTCTTTCAGGCGCTCCATCATGGCGTTCATAACATCTTTGCGGTATTTGGCGAAGCTCTTCTTCAAACCCTTGGCCAGAAGCTCGACACAGTTTGCGGCTGCAATGACACAGGCAATGTTTGCATCCTTCATACTTTTGGCAAACCCGCGTACCAATTCGTCAAAAGGGCCTTCGGCTATCCTGGGGTGGTCGAGGGCTTTTTGCGTCTCATCGAGGGCTTCCTTTCGGTCTTTCCATTTTGACGATGCCAGCTTCTCAGAGAAATCTTTGGGGATCTTTGCAAACACGTCAACAGCTTCGTACTCGGGCTCAAGATCAATGGCAGCCTCCTCTTCCTCTTCCTCCTCTTCGTCGCCTGGTGCAGCGACCGCGGCTTCCTTGGCAGCCTGCTGTGATCGAAGTAGTCGCTCTTGCTTTGGCGGGGGCTCGTCCTTGACCTTCTCAAATAGTTTGTCGAGATCCTGCTGTTGGACGGGCTTCAGATCGTTCCAGAAGAGTGGTTTCATAGCCTCCTTTAGCCATCGGTAGAGTTCGACTGTCAGTTCCTGCGCCTTGGCGCGAACGTTCTTATCCGCATGGCCGTACACTTTGGGAAGCGCCTTGAGGACGGGCTTGGGCTCGATGGTTTTGCAGCCATAGGCATGGTATATCTGCGCGAGGGCGTCTAAGGTTGCTGCAATGACCTTGGGCTGCTTGTTTCCTAGCACTGGCAAAAGCTCTTCGATGACTGGGTCTGGCTTATCGGTTTCGATATATAGCATCAGCGCTTCGAGCGCCTTTTGCTTCGCTGCCGGCCGTGTTGACGGTAGGCCCTTTTCGGCGATCGTCGCAATAGTGTTACCCCGTGTCCTAAACAACAAATCAGCAATGCGCCGTGTAGGTTTCTGTGTGACGCTCACCGTGTACAGCCCTGTTGACCTGCTATGTCGAGAAAAGCGCATAGTGCACCAAGACCTTCTTGTTGTGCTGCGACGTTGGAATCACCCACAACACCTTTCCATATGCTCGCATCGTTTATGAACTGGCGCACGACGGGGTCTGATTCGCTGGCAGCAAGACTGAACTCTTTGGCGGCAGCCTCGTAACCTTCTTTCCGCACCTTCCAGTTCTTGTGTACAAAGCGATCGGGGAGCGGCAGCGAACTGAAATCTTCTTCTTGGTCCGCCATGGCGTGTTATGGGATGTGACGGGTGAGATGCGGGGTTGTGTAAAAGATCACAAAGCTAGTAAACAGTGAGTCGTGTGAGTTGGAAGATGGTAGGGACCCTGCAGCAAGAGGCGCAAGGAACCCAAACAGTGTGTAGATACACAGTGATGTGCGCGCGTGCACTAGTGGGACTGTTGCGCTCTGTCGGATGCGCAAGATAGGAGCGGCGGAGACTCACCAGACGATGTCAGTAGACAATGGTTCAGTTTGCTTTTTGTGAGACTGGCGAATCGCAAAGTTTCGGATAGCGATAACAGCAAGGTATGGTAGCGGCAGGTATGTCTGGGGCCGGTGATGTAAAAGCTGCAAGTATTTGGTGTGTTGGCGGGCTTTCGTTCCCGAGGGAACAACAGCGTCACAGTCGTTCCTGCCCAAACATCCCTGCAGCCACATGAATGCCCTACATACAGCGTCCTTCAACCACATAACCCACACGCACACATTATTGCTTCGACACAATCGCTATCCTCCCCGCTGCTTCTTGCTCTCTCCGCCAATTTGCGCCCAAATACCCCGCCAGCTGCCCCTGCAGTCCATCCTCCGCTCACCGCAATTCCCCGCGCCCACCAAAAACCTCCTCCGCATCGACCGCACAACACTACGCAGCACTTTGCGACAGTGCATGGTCCAAGTTAGCGCCAATCGCGTATGAGCTAGCTATTTCGCCATGAGCGCGATATTAACAGACCGGCAAGCGGAAGAGCTGTGAGCATGGCAGGTAGCGACTATCGCGGGAGTCACAACTGACAACGAGCCAGGCACAAGGCCATAATAGCATATCTGGGTGTCATAAACGCGCCAAAAACGGCCGAGGCCTTTCGGGAAGAAGCCAACATAGCCGACAGCTTCGACGATGCTACACGGAAAAAGTATGAGGGGCTACTGGAGAAGAAATGGACCAGTGTAGTGCGGTTGCAGAAGAAGGTAGCTGTGCGACAATGTCTTCACTGAGACAATCTGCTTACATCGTCCAGGTCTTGGAACTCGAGCAGCGCAACCAGAGCCTTCAGAGTGAGCTCGACTCTACCACACCAACCTCACTCATCAGAAGAAATCAAGACCCCACTGCCTGGCTACCACGAGCTCCAGCACGGCATACTCTCCAATCACATCGCTCGCCGATTACATGCGTCGCATTCCACCCCGTCTTCTCCTCACTCGCTTCGGGCTCTGAAGACACTACCATCAAAATCTGGGATTGGGAATTGGGTGAGCTCGAACGAACAGTCAAGGGACATACGAAAGGCGTGCTGGATGTCGACTTTGGTGGCCCTAGAGGTGGCACACTATTAGCATCGTGTTCGAGCGACTTGACCATCAAGCTGTGGGATCCCTCAGACGAATACAAGAACATCAGGACACTTCCCGGACACGACCACTCCGTCTCTGCGATTCGGTTCGTTCCTAGTGGGGCCGCAGGCTCTCCATCGTCGGGCAACTTACTAGTCTCTGCGTCGCGAGACAAAACGCTACGGATATGGGATGTTACAACAGGATATTGTGTGAAGACGATACGCGGGCACGCCGACTGGGTGCGAGACGTTGCCCCCAGCTTTGACGGACGATGGCTCCTATCAGCAGGAAATGACCAGACCGCCCGGCTATGGGACGCTAGCTCAGGGGAACCCAAATGCACTTTCCTCGGTCATGAGCATGTTATCGAATGCGTTACAATAGCGCCTCCGGTGTCTTACGCCAACCTTGCAGCTCTTGCAGGACTCAAGAAACCGCCGCCGCTGAGCAGTTCTGCCGAGTACGTTGCAACTGGATCAAGAGACAAGACCATAAAGATATGGGACGGACGAGGAACGTTGATAAAAACTCTTACTGGTCACGACAATTGGATACGATCACTCGTCTTCCACCCGGGCGGAAAGTACCTACTATCAGCTAGCGACGACAAGACAATTCGATGCTGGGATCTCACGCAAGAAGGCCGATGTGTCAAGACCGTGACTGATGCACACGGACACTTCGTCAGCTGTATGCGATGGGCGCCCAACGTCATCAAGGATGTGCCTGTCAATGGAGATGCCCCCAACGGCGCAGCCAACGGTGCCAGTAAGAAGAAAGAGGAGGATGCTGCCAAAGCAGGCATACGATGCGTTATTGCGACAGGTTGCGTTGATTTGAACGTTCGCATCTTTGCGTCATGAGGGCGGACAGCTTTCGACACATTTGTCCGCACCGTTCAGTACGTGTTCTGCATAGGGAAGGTTGGATGTACAGGCGAAACGGCTTCCATACACGAGACTCCACGAGTTCCAGTTTTTACGACTTCATGTAAATACCCAAGTTACACGCCATGATAGTCTCTCGCGCGTCATGATAACGACGCAAGTAGGAGAAGGGCATGCATATCAGGTTGGCGTCAATATGGGCGGGAAGACCAGTGATAGAGCAATAACAGATACGCGATCAATAGAGCTTGACAATGTTTTACTGAGTGGCATGACGTAGTCTAACGTTCTGTTCCAGCTTGCTTGGTAGTAGCCATCCATATCCAGTATGCTACAAATACTCTCAGAAATGAGGCCCGTGTCTTCAGGGCTGTTAAGGAGCCCTGCCCACTTCGCGTGACGTGAGCTTAGTCACCAACGCGCTAGCGGAGCGGAAAAATAAGCCCCAACCTCCGATAGCTTAACTTTTCTCTCAGCGACCTGCAACTTCTCTTCCTACACCATTACTGCTTTACACAGCAGCACAGCAATGGCGCATCAACGATACAGCAAGATTCGCTGTTGTGCGCACGAGATCTACTGCTAACTGCAAGCACTAACAGCTCTGCTTTCAGCATGAGTTGACTTTGGTAAGTTCAAGCGCATCACCCTCACCCTCACTTCATCCTGCACCTTCATGATGATTCACAAAGCCAAAAACAAATTAGAGTCTTTGACCTTTCGGGGAATGAAACTCCAACTTTTGCACGTCAGTCTGATCGCGACTGCTTCCATCACATTTGTCTTCGACTTTTGCGAAAAGAGCATCGAGCTAACTAGCTTCAGAATTCCTTGATAATGTTTAGCGCACAGGCGCGACACACTTTTTCTCTAGCTACTGCGGCATGCAGTTCGCAGCCTGGCGACATCAATGGTAAGCACATCCTCGCTCTATCCCCCCATTTTTTCAATGATGACCTGTTGTGCTACGGCACGCTGGAAATTACCGACCAAGCCTTCGGGCAGTGCCGATATACAATGGCTGTTTCTGATCTCGACCTCACATTCACTGCTCTTCTCAATACCGCTTGTAGCTTCCGCTAACATCTCGCGTATTACAGACTTCGTTCAACTGGTACGACTCTTCCCTTTCGAACCCTTCTCGAATACCATATGATGATTCCGCACTGGGCACCGACAATTCTTGACGGATATGCTTATTATGGCAGGCCTCAGAAACCTCGCCGACTGATCTTCTCCGCCATCTTTCACCTTCATACAAGCGTCGCTGAGCTTCGGCTAACACCGCAACCAGTCTGTTCTCTGACAACAGTCTGCGCGTTGTCACTTGGTAAGCATATTCCTCTTTCTCAATCCTTGTGAAATGATGAACACTTGATGACGAGTCCGACGGGCTCGCCCGGTGAAGACTTAAAATCAAAAATATCCATTCATGTCAACTGATCCCACATCCATGCATACTACTTGCTTGCTCTTTCCTGGTAGAAGTCCTTGCTAACTCACTACCCAGACCTACTAGTGTTCGTCACTCTTCATCCGGTACGCTCACCGCCTATCTCCTTCCATGAAATGATGATACGACACAATCAAAGACAAGCATATGTCCAAGCTTCGGCGAAGACGAGAACCGTCATGTCTGATCCGCAACACACTGTGTTATACTATGAAGACAAGATAGAACAGCAACTGATGAGTTGCATAGGATCATCTACCACTGCCGTAAGCGTGATGAAATTTCTATGGTAAGTTTTTATCTATCACCTCCACTTCCCTTACAAGATGAACATTCAATTTATCACGACGGTCTACCGAGCTACGGCAATGGTGATAACTGCCTGTGACAGGGCATGAGTCTGATCAGCACCCTCAACTTGCACATAGTCATTACTCTTAGTGTATCAAACGCTAACGATGTGCTCAGACCTAGCCCCATCTATATGACCTTCGTAGCGGTGATGCTTTTCTACGCTCAACATGCGCGCATACATTGTGGCAATGCTCTTGCAAAGAGATCTCATTCATTTAATATATGAGTGCCTTCTCCGATGCCCGGAGCCTCCGTCTGCGAAGCCCAATGCCTTGCTTCTGCTATAAGACTATCCACTAGGCATCTTTGAGCTTATCATGCCAAACGCCAAACATTGTTCGTAATCCACCGTACAAGTAGCTCAGTACAATCCAATCGTAATGTCTCCTCGAATCCTTGCTGTCAAGTGAATCTCTGCCTCCAAATCTAGCTTGATGCCGAGTAGCAAAGCAGCGTCCTTCGGCTTGCCATTGTCATCCACTGGGCCCTTGATGATGTTTCCGGCAGGTCGGTTGAGGGTTGCTGAAGATGGGACCGGGCCAACTTTCGAAGAGACTTTGCGGCCACCGGAGGCTTGTCCGTCACTCTCAGTGTCGGAACCGTAGGCTGTTGGGCGTATGGTAGAGTCACTATCAAGGTTAGCATATGACGACCCTTTCCGTGCGCGAGTTGCTTACAGGGTAGACATTTTGATGAAAGGTTGAAGATATCGAGGAACTGATATTAGGTATTAAGCAAGTGGTACAGGACTGGACAGGCTCCGGGCCGTTGCTGAGTGGTAGTGTTGGTGGATGGAGAGAATGAGATGCAGGTCAACTGTACTGGTCTTTATTGAGTGCCATATCTCTGCCTTATATGCAGAGTCACTACCAAATACGACAACAGCACAGATTGTTCACTTTCGTCACCAGTCAACGTCGCGTTAGATCGTCGAAACGGCTCTTGTGGCACTCATGCGTCTCACAGTCGCTGTCATCGTCCGAGTCTCGTACCAGCCTCACTGCGGAACAGAAATCTACGGTTCAGACCAGATGATCAACCACAGTTGCTTGGACATTGTGGGGATGTGCTATGCTTGATGGCGGGGCGGCAGGAAGGATGAAACACGCAGGGGGTGGTGAGGCTCATGGCGAACGTCTCAGCTTGGACGAGGCTGCTCTCTGTCGGGCGAGCATCAGACCATCGGAACAACGAAGCGATGCCGGTTCTATGAAACTACGGTAATGCGCATAGACCAAAGCGGTCGAAGCCCGCAAGCGCTGGTGAACGGGGAGGTTGTTCATGCTGAACTCCAACCCCAATACACTACCATCATGCACTACACTCAGGATGGTACTCTCGATCCTTATCGCCGCCATCGTAGCCCCAGGTTTACTCGGCTCACAAGAAGCTATCCGACAATCGCAATCTAAAGAGAAGAGAGAGGAACATCGCGCCCGTCGCTGTAACCTCATTGCTACATGCGTAAAGTCGTCGCATCGTAGCCGAGAGATAGATGGCCGCCAGATTGTCTTGAGGAACGGAAAGCTTTGGATCGATACTGGGACCGAAGATGGAAGTCCACTGGGTCATCCTTACGCTGGGTACTACCTACCATACCCCGATAACAATTACGAAGGCCTCGTTACTACCATCACAGACGTCGCTCCGATCATGAACTGGGTGTTTGTCGATAAAGAGACTTGTGAAGTCAAGTACGGTGTCCGCGCAGATGCTCAACCGAATCTCACTGGTCCTTTCGATTGCACGCGACAAGACCGACGACTTACTTTTGACGGTTGGGAAGGATGGTGCGCTGTTGAAGAAGCACCTAGTCTTTGGGTAAAAACTCCCATATACAGACTGCGTGTGAGACATTCACTGACTTAGTACATCGACATTTTAGGGTTTGTACTTTGACCTTGGCGATGATGGTCTGAAGTCAAGAGTTGCTCCTGGAACCAGGGTGTTAGAGATCGAATTAAGCAGGAAGGAAAAGAGGTTTGAAAAAGAGGCGGAAGTTAGACAGCAGGATCAGACAACCAAGAGGGCTGTCGATGCAAAAGAGGATGTGCCGGTTGATCAGCCACTGGCTGCAGAGGCGCTAGTTTCGAAGCCTGGGGTTGTCGATGAGAAGCGTGAAGGGGCAGGGGGTGAGCAGGAGTCTTGTAAGCCGATGAAGATACCGAAGTCCATCTTTGAGGATCCACCACCTGTGCTGGAGTCGTTGGTGTTCAAACCTGGTACTCCACCGCCGGCGTACTCGCCTACAGTGGGACGAGATGTTGCAAACTCGAATTCGACAGCAGGATCCGACGAAGCATCTACTGACTCATATGTTATGGGACCAAGTAGCAGCTCGCCAAGTACCGAGAGCTCTCCGCCATCCATCGCAACAGAACGTGTGCTAGCCAAAGCGCAGTCAACAGTGGGTGAAGAGACCGGAAATACTGTGAACCAGACGGATTTTCTACGAGTTCAACCGCCCCCGGCTCTTATCGATGAGAACAGAAGCATCGTAGGTGAGGCAGACTCCCTATCAGCTGAGCAGTCCACATCTACGAACGAGAAGCGAACCACCCCCAGGCTAAATAGAAGCAGCGGCTCACGAGCCCTAGCCCAAGCCCAGAAGTTTGAAGCTATGGCAGCAGCACAGAAATCTGATTCTGAGGTTCGAAGGCGATCGAATGAACGTGTATCTCGTGCTAACAGTACTACTTCTTCTGTTTACTCCAACGAAGGCGAGTCACTGAGCGCGCCTGGGATCGGTACACAGCCCCAAGCCTCCCCAACACCAGCACCTTTGGCGCTGGCGATCTCAAAAGCGAATCAAACGAAAGTATTAGCAGCTCGATCGCAGCCATCATACTCTAGCTCTGCGTCTGACCGTTCTGTTCAACGACCGATAACACCCCCACGCCAAAGAGCACCTTCCTTACGAGAAGATCCAGCTGTATCTGGAGCTCGAGCTACAGCAAGCATCAGACCAGTAATATCTCTGCCACGTCGACCAAATCCTTCTAGATCAACTCCTAGTCCAAGTACATCCTCACAACGATCGACCTCACAACAACCAATACAAAAATCTAGTCAAAATCGCGAGCAGAGGGAACGTTCTGCATCTGAGGTTTCCTCCTCCTCCTTGTCTAGAGTCGGTACTTCTCGCTCGTCGCCTAGGTCATCAGCGACACCTGGACGGCAGTCCCTCACTCGTACTATGACGAGTGGAAAGGGCAACCAGGGCATGAGTAATAGGATCGGTGGTAGTCAGGGTAGAGTGAATGGAGCGTTCAGGCAAGCTCCTGCTACTGCAAGAAGGGGAAGAGAGAGGTCGACGACTACTAGTGGGAGGAAAACCACTTCGGCGTTATTCAGGGAGATTGATGATTTGGTTAGTTTGGAGGGTGAGAGCGGACAATTGATGAGATGAAGTGATGCGGTGAGTCAAAATAGCAATATCAATATGAGCTATAATTGTATCCTAAAGAACCTTCTCAAAACAATTTAACAGCTGATTGAACGCAAAATATCGCAAACATGAAGACCTGCTCGTTGATGCACAAAACAGCTAAACGTCAGTCCCGCCTTCTGTTGGCTCGCTTTCCCAACACTACTGAACAACCTTCTCTCTTCCACAATATCAGTCCCCGCACACACTAAACTCTTAGGTCCAATGTTTATCAACTCGGATTTTGCACTTTAGTGCATAGGAAGGATCTGCCGGCTAATCCGCCCGTTGCACGCCCATGCTGACCGGCAGATGTGAAACTCGACCCACAATCGACCGACTCGCTCCTGGCAAGTGCTTCAGGTTTCTGACGTGTTTTGGCAGTACGCCGCAACCGATAGTAATCACGCGAGAATGTAGTGTCATGTATCATGTATCGTTTGATGGAAGATATGGCAATGCCACGATGATGGCGGTGATGCAATTGACCGTTGAAAGCTGGGGTAACTACCTGAGCGTACTGACTACTGGTTATAGACGAGTAGATCTTGGTCGAGGTCTTGGTCATATCAAGCTACGTACTTTCTCGTGGCATATAACCGGTTTTTTATTATTTGTCAACTGAAATACTCGGTGGAAGCTTCGGCAAAAGACCGAAGCGCATCCCATATACGTCTTCTCAACCACACTAGAGATCCACGATGGATGCATCCACGCGGCTTTACAAACGCCTTGGTGAGATACCAGAGGACCCTAACGACCCAGATAGCCTAGACGACCTTATAGTTTGCGCATTTGGTGCGTTTGAGCGATACTACGTTTGTTGGAAAACCAAGGATGGGCAGTTTAAGCAAGGTACGCATACACAATACAGCATAAGGGGAAGTTTGGTACTAACACATGAAAGATGGCCACGATCTTCCTCCTGCACTTAGAGACTGGCTCTACCCCACCGACGGCACAACACGAGATTTCGCGTCGCTTCAAGTCGTCTTTGGACGAGGCGAGGAATACTTTGCGTCTGATAAGAACGGCAAGCTAGAGTACAAGGAGCCTGAAGTGAAGAAGCCGGCACCGACCGAAGATGAAGAGAAGCTTGATAGACAGGCAATGAGAAGGTCGAGAACAGTATCGTTCTTGCGGCCACTGTCGGAGACAAGTGTACGGTCTGACAGCGGAGTGGGCGACACGAATAGGAGTAAGCGATCAAGTTCCATAAGTTCGCAACGAGCGAGTCGGCCACCCAGCCTAAGTTATACAAACTCACGAACGAACTCCGAGATATCGCTTTTGGGAGAGACGATTGTTGAGGGCCAGACGAGCCGGCCGACACGACCTTCATATATATCGCAGTGGACAAATTTCGGGTCCGGTGTAGGCGAGTTGGAACGAGTGGTATCTCCACAAAAGCCAGAGCAAACGATACATACTGAACCAGTCATCGAAACAGAGCGTGAGATGGTACTTCCAAAGACAGCATTCCCAGCACCGGCCGCGAAGAGACCACTGTCACCACCATCACGGACCAACACAACACCACAGCAGAATTTCCAATCGCAAAGAAACGTCCCATCAAACAATTCGTCGTGTATATGCAGCTGCCACACCTCGCCACTACCATTACTATCACAACAACAATCCAAACCCATCTACATAACCACCGCAACACAAACATCACCACTGCCCTCACCTCTTCATCCAGAAAACTTGGCTTCATCTTACTGGCCCTCACAAGCGAACTACACTGCTATACCCCAAGATGCTGCTTATTATATCGACGAAGACTACGATACACCACCAGTCTTCATGGGGCGCATGTCGACCTACTTCAGCAAGCCGGGGTATCAGTTGGGGGATAGCTTATTTAGTGGGTATCAGCCGATCAATTGGGGGTCTACGTATGAGGAGCTTGAGGATTCTGGTGGGGAAGGGATGAGGTGAGGGATTGAAGTGTGTGGGGATTGAATGCGCCCAGTGTATGATATTTCGAGCCTTTTTTTTTAATTACCGTTTAGCGTTACTGTAAGTTGTAGTGCAAGTATTAACAACGGCCAGTGATGTCTTTGGACAGTAGACCCATCAAAGCAACTGTGGGACAAAGTACGGCTCGATAGATTTCTTACTTTTTGTTCTTCCAACGTTAGAGGGTGCCAGAGTAGTGTAGTGTGATACGCTCCATCTTCACATACTCCTCCATGTACTACGTCTCAATGTAGAACTGTCGGGTGATGTCTGCAGATGCCTGACGGAAGTGCATGTTCTTTTCTCAAAGAGTGCATCTTCATCGGTCAACTCTAGCTACTCGCTGTCGGAGACCGTTGTCCCCTTTTCTGCTTGCGTATTTACTCCGAGCATGCCACACCTCCTGCGAGGCCTCTTGGATACATTGATGTTCAGCTCAAAGCAAGGCGTAAACCCCTTTCCAATATGCAGCTTACTCACACGGCATCGACACCACCAGTCCTATCCTAGTTTACCGGGAACCCATGCTACGCGCGGTAAACGCGCCACCAATCCTGCCGTGCTACGAACAGGCTCACGGTCAATCGAAAAGATCGACTTGAAAGCTGCACGAGCGGATATTCTCCGCTGTGCAGGTGATTAGTATATCCGACCATGTGCTAGCACAACGTCGAACTAGTGTTCACGGTGCTTACCATTGCTGATCTCCAGGTCCAAAGTCGGAAATGAATTTTGCTAACTTCAGACGTGACAACTCCGGTGGTTTCAGAACCGCGATGACGTCGGTCGCACTCGCATTACCTAACTCACAACCACACAAAATGCCACGATGGCCGCTACCCGGGCATTTCCTCCTACCAGTAGGATTGAGGATTCAAGTAGGGCTACGAAAAAGTTGATAACTAAAATCCACAACCCCCACATTACATAGGCACCCCATTCGTAACGAACATGCGACTGAATCGTTCAAAAAGGTTGGCGATCGCGATATCCAGGTCGTTGTGTTACCTGATGGGGGAAAGTCGGTGGGACCTCGTTGACTTTCGCCTCGGTTCAAAGAACACGACACGAGACTTGACATCATTTCGAACGGCTGCCAGTTCAGGGCCTTTTTTTTTTCAGGGTCCCTCCGACCCTCCGAAAGCTCCGAGATGCGACCAGCCACTGAGCACAAAGCCGATGGCCGATGCCGAGTTCATGAGTTCAGGGATCGACGATCTTGCGCCTTGCAAAGTCCCTGATAATTTGTTTTGTTCAAGTTCGACAACGACAACTTTGGCGATTTAGGATTCTTTCTTTATAGATGGCGTTCGGCAACGAGTTCGTATCTGGATATGCTTTAACGAATGGACTACTATTAGTTATCTTTCACTAGCGTCAATACGCCTTCACCCCACAAGCCGACAAACGCCAAACGACGGGAAAAAGTATCCATCATCCAAGCGATGTGATGCACAGCGTCTAGACAATCCATATAACCTTCATATATCGCTATGCTTTACTCTCGAGTAGGAAGCCCCTAGGCGGGCCTGCCCGCGGCTATGAATCCATGGGTCGCATGCGTGATTTTCGCCATTGGAACGCTTCGTTCCGAAGCGAAAGAGGATGCGGTTTGCAGTTTGCCATTGATGCTCGTTTCGCATCGAGGGCAAGTTTATCAGCTGAGCTGTCCTCCAACTCTGTGAACAATACCATCTTCTGTTTGTTGATATTCCGTTGGGACGACACCCAGAAACGCCTAGCCCTATCGTGAGATGTTGAGAGGAAGTATGCATCCGCAGATTACGAAAACATGTGAGTACACTCGGCGCAAGGCGTCTGGTTCGCCAGATCGAAGCTGCACTTCCACTATGGCGGTTCGTAAAGCGTAAAGGAGGCTGTGCACTGGGCATGCACAACAAACACTCTTTGTTTGTGCTGTGCAGCGGGCGTCGGATCGCGAACGTATCAGTCGTGGGATGACATGCTCGTGATCATGCCGTGCTTTCAACATTCCTGGCGGCTTGCCCAGCTTCAGTCTGGTTGCCGCGCTCAGCGAATAGTGCTGTCCGCAAGAAGCTACCTCTGGTGAGGTTGCGATGTTCAGTCTTTAGCCTTGATAGCCTGGCTCCAATGCCGCGGCACATGTTCTTTGTGCGTAGCATCACAAGTGATCACACTCGACAACGAGAGCCGCCGCGAGCGCTGTTGCGCCATCTAGCGCACACATATTGTACTCGTGAGGCGACGTAGTTGTGTTACATCCGTGGCTGATCATCCACACACATCATTCACGTCCATCTTGATGCACGAACCTTGTAGCTGGGTCCCGACGTGGGATCTCTCCAGAGCATGCGCGTCCAAAAGGTTAATGACGGTCTTGCTGAGAGATAGCTCACCATCCCTGCCGACCGATCAATGGAAACTTGGAAAGTCTGTGAAAATCTCTGCTTGCAGGCGCTCCACGCTTCGCATGCAGGGCGTGGGCGAGGGCGGGAACCCTGAAAACTCGTTGGATTGGCGGAGACGCGGATTGGTGGAGGGATTACAGCGAACCTTATGGCCGTGCGGCACGCCCTGCAGTCGAAGGACGTCACTTGGCGATGTTTGAGGGGTCTTTCGGGATGCCTCAGTTGACGACGATAAGCAGATGATGATGGTGATGATGATGAAGACAATAGGTTGTTTTTACTTGCTCTTATTTCATTGTAGGGCAGACGTTACAACGCCAAAGCCCCGTCTATACTTTTGCGAAATCCCCATGGGCAAACCGCCCAATCGCTGAAATCACCACCCAAATCCATCCCGATGTATATACGTATGCTTGCTTGTTCGACCATCAAATGCAACAAACAGTGATGACAGCGAGCTATGTAGGAATGGCCTCAAACGCACATCAAGCGAATGGTTCGGGCCAGGTCATGAAATATGCACAGGCGACCGAAGGTCAAAAAGGGTAGTCGTGGAGACTAAAAGAAGGTATGAATAGAGATCGCCTAGGCGTTGGTATCATCGCGCACCAGCAGCGTCATCAGTCATGGCGTCATCAAAAGGAACAGTAGCTGCAAGAGCCTGCTGTTCCTTCGCAGGCGTCTAAAACCAACCGTTGTTGGCATAAGAAGATAGATCAAAATTGTTCATCGCGTTGAAAGCACCATTGGTCTGATCTAGAGGCCATGGGTCCATGGGAACAACTTCTTCGAAATTGCTAGGCATCGAGATTGCGGCTGTGCCAGCAAAGTTAGGTGAAGCGGTACTCGTCATAGTTGCTGGCGCAGCAGTCATGCTCTTGGCATAGATAGGATTGAAGCCGATCATGTTGGACATTGGTGCTGCAGTGGTCATTGGCAATCCGTTGATGGGCTCACTCGGTACGGCAGTGCTAAACCGATACGCAGGAGTATCTTCCCAGAAAAGCGATTCGCTGGCAGCAGACTGAGGAGCCTTGTTGAAGTCCAGGTCACCGAAGAGAGCGGGCTCTCCAATTTCCGAGTGCGCAGACGAGGCTACAGTGAGACCAGGACCGCTCTGTTTTGACTCTCCACTGTGTGAAATGGGCTGAGCCAAGTCGTCGTTGAACTTGCTCGGATCCAGTGGGAGATCAGTAGCAGACCAGACGTGGTCAAACCCAGCAGATGCTGACAGCCAATCGTTATCCATATTTGGAAGACAATCTTGCGAAGGGGAAGTGGACAAGCTGCCCAGACCGAATGTGCTGTTCACAGGTGTTACAGTATTGGTGATCCAAGGCCACTGCTGATTCGAAAACGTGTCGCTTACGTTGCTGTTGGGAGAATCGCCCTCCTGTCCAAAGACGCCGGGCTGACTACTGAACATGTCGTTGAAAGCGAATGTGTCGAGGCTACCACCAACGTTGGGAGTCGGGGGCTTGTCGGCACATCGCTGAGTGGAGCCAAACATGGTGTGGAAGTCGTTGTTCGATAACGAAAGCGTGTCCATGGACCGTGTAGCGGGTGGTTCGGGCTTGCTGCGAGCAGTCTTGTCTTGCGAGAGGGCTGAAAAGGCGGCATGGCCATGCAACGTATGCGGACGAGGAATCTTGTAGGGCAGACCGGAAACGTGGGCCGAGTTGTTGTTGCGATGACAAGGCTTGTGGTGTCCGTTTGCGAAGACGGTCAAGTGGCTCTCCGAGTGCGTCGCAGTCAGCTTCGGTTTCGCGCGAGCATCGTGGAGTGTCTGCCGGCTAGTGTCGATTTTGAGATCAACATCTTCGTTCTTGGTACCACATAAGCACTTGGCGCCCGAGTGGCACTGGCAGCGGTTGTCGTGAGCTAGAGTAACGTCAGAATTGTCGGGGACGGCCAAGCCAGCTATGAGCTCACTCTTCGCGTCGCCTTTGTCCTTGTGCAAGTCCTTGTCTTTTTTGTCGCCACAATCGCACTTGGCGTGGTGGGACTTGGACTTACGCGCACCGCGACAGTGTTCGCATTGCTTGACGGGACGACCTTTGGGGTTGATGTGGTGGAGGTCTCGATCTTGGGAATAAGATTAGCACTGGAATGTGGTCAAATGTCGCACTGCGTGAGCGACATACCAGTGTGGTTGCAACCGCTCACTCGATGGCCCTTGATGCAGGACGAGCAAGCCCATTTCTCGCCATCGATAACAGGCATACCGGGGCGATAACGGCCGAGTGCGGTCGTCGCAGCTGGCTAGGAGCAGCTGAGTGGGAGCGTTCGAGGGAGCCAACAGGCTAGAGACGATGAAATATGACGAAAGTAAAGCCACACACGAGATGTGAGGGAACGAATAAAGGTACAGGAAAGAATGGTAGGGCTGAGAATATGCTAGTTCAAACGCCAGAGGGTATCTTGGTCAATGGTATGCTGGATTGGGACCGTGAACGCCGTGGAAGAGACCGAGGACGACAGGATGGAGTGGAGAGTTGAGTGGGAGATCAAAGGGGAACCGAGCGCAAGAGGCGCTGGCCGAAAGCGTTAGACGGAGCTCCTTGGGAACGACCAGACCAGTATACTATGTGGTGTTGTGCGGGTGAGGTAGTGATGGGAGAGAAGAGAGCGAGCGGGAGGAACAGGTTAAGAGGAAGGCACACGGCCCTGTGGTGCGTGTAATTGGCTGTGGAGCTTAGCGTCATCGGCAAGTGCGCTCAGACCTCGACGCTCGAATCTGCAAGCGCGATCAGCTATCATGACGGCGGGCAATGCTGGACCCTTTGGGTTAGCGTTGGAATCCCACACTTGGATGCAAGCCAGCAGCACCTTCTCACCGCATAAATCCTACCCTCCGCACGCCCGCTGCCGTCTTGACCATGATGACCCGCAGGCTTTTTAAGGCGATCCACACCGCGAAGGTCGCTACGGAGCCTGCTCTTCTCCTCTCTGCTGTGCTGGCCTCGCCAGCCCGCCTCTAATAATGCGGGACTCCACGCACGGCATGTTTCATTGCGGCCGCGATTCGCTTGTCGAGTCAGCGTGTTTCTCTTGCCGCGACGGCCGTAACTCGAAGCATCCGTCGCCCGTTGCCAAGTGGAGATCATCAGTATTGTCTGCGTCCATAGCGTCCAGCACATATGAACTCGGAAGCAAGCCTATCCATTACTTTCAGGTACATTGCCTGCTTGTATATCTCGCCTCAAAAGGTCCGGCCGTAGAGAACGCTAAGCCGTGGGTTGAACACCAAGTAACGTAGCTGTGGGAGAAGCGTAAAGTAAATATTAGATCCAACAAAGTGTCCCGGCCTTTGGACTGCTGGGCAAAGTGTTGGCATAATGTTTTTGAAACGGAACCCCATAGTCTTCTCCGTGGGGTATACTCTGTCGGTGTATTGCACCGCTCTTGTACGCAGCATCCTGGTCATCTCACGCTCGACTCGATGCTGCAGCCATCCGTCGCCCCAAGTATTCATAGCACGTGTCGTGGAACTCTGGGGCCGCTGATCTACGAAAGGCTTCTCAGGGGAGTAATCACAGGATCTGGCACTAAGTCGTATTAGTGTCAGCATCATATACTGCAAATAATCCATTAGCCTTGTCCTAGACTTTTTGGGTGAAAAGCTGTGATGCAGGGACGTCCAACGCATGATTACAGTGATTTTCTAGTACTCTGCACCCCTCAACAATTCTAATCAAGGTACCGTCTTTGACCAATATGATCAAGTTCACCGGGAAGTTGTTAGACAGGAATTCATCGTAGTGTGCCAGGTGTTTGGAGGAAATCGGGGTTGAAAGATGATGCATTTGAAAACCAGCGCAAGGTTGACACAAAGAGACCGATGTCATGTAGCAGCAGTACAAAAACAATACAAAAATGTAATTGATTTAGCAGTCCCCTTATCATTTGCAGTGGTAACAGTAGTCAGTTGCAGCATGTGGGCACTTCTGATGATGGCTGTGCATGGTGCTCCCACTGGCCGTCCCGGAAGCGCGTACGGTGGAAGAGATAATCCGAACAGCGACCACGTCGTCACCGGCCAGTTAGTAGCTTCCGATCAACGCTGCAAATAGAAGACATTTCGGTGTCTTAGGAAACCTACAACCACCATAATGTTGTTGTCGCATTCATCCAAGTCCACCATGACCTGTTCTCTCTTGCCATGGTCCACGCTAGCGCAAAAATCGCAAAGCTCGCACAACTCTCCTCGGCGGCCTCTTACACCACACGCTCCTCTCGCTTTACCACACCGGAACCTCGCGCGCGATTGCGCAACAATACTAAACCGGCGTACTGGATAATTACTAATCGAATATTCTCTAGTTGGCTTGAATACGACGCGCTGAGAAATGGCTGGCTACGCGGATCCCGACACGCAAATGGGCGGAGGGCCAGGTCAATACGCAAACCAGAATGGCACACCACCAGCGCAGCAACACCAGTTGACTGACCCCGAACTGCGCCTACAGGAAAACCTACAGCAGCTGCGTGAGGGTGGAGACATGATGCATCCGGCCGGTCCCCAGCAACCGCAGTACCAGCAGATGGCTCACATGGGACCTGCCATGGGCGCGCACCAGCATTTCGCAGGACCTACACGCCCAACACACTCTCCGCAACAAATGGCGCAACATGTCATGAGTATGGAAGGACATCACGACCCATATGACCCCAACGATCCGAATCGCAAACGCTCCAAGGTTTCGCGCGCCTGCGACGAGTGCCGAAGGAAGAAGGTATGCGACGCCGCTCCTTCCTATACAAACACCGCTTATGGCATGTAGATTCGATGCGATGCAACCAGTGAGAATGGCCCAGAAGCTTGTTCTAGTTGTAAACGAACTGGGGCGCGCTGCCAGTTCAGTCGTCAACCCATGAAACGCGGGCCTAGCAAAGGGTATGTCATCTTGTTCCTTCAACTTGATGCCCTTGCTAACACTGTTTAGTTACATCAAAGAGCTTGCAGACCGACTCAATTCGCTTGAAAGCCAGATACATCATCCCCCTGCTCAGTCACATAACTTCGATTTCGGAACCCTAGGTGATCAGTCATTCCCCGACACTCAGAGCCCACCGCAGTTTAAGCGCCAGCGCACTCACTCAATGACGGACGGATTCCACGATGCGTTCAGCCGGCCCAACTGGTCCGCTCAGGACCGCGGTAATGGTGGATCTGTAGATGCACATGGTCTGCCTGTGCTACCGGACCAAGAACCATCGCTCAACAGCAATCGTCGCACCTCGTTTGGAGACATGAACCTAGGCGGTAGCCTGATCACTGGCTCTCATGAAGAAATTCTCAAAGCGTACGCATGTCCGCACCTACAAGTTTTACCTGGCACTAAACTATGATTCAGGTATTACAACATCATCCATCCCACACTACCTGTCTTGCCACATCACGAATCGCAACTCAACCGCCTTACAAACTGTCCGTCGAAGCTACGAGAGACATTCTTCCTGACACTGGAAGGCTGCATCCGATCTATTGCTTCGAAGGCTCTACCGCCTATCGAGATCAGCCTCAACCAGCTGTTGCAGCAGTGCTTCACCTCTGTCGATGCAGCCAATTATTGCCTACAAGACACAGACAGCTCACGACAGTTTTACAATCACTTGGTGTACTGCCAGTCATTGATCCTGCTTGCTGCAGCGTCTGACAGACCGAGTCCCGGCGTCATAGGCAGTACAACAGGACTACTAGGCCGTATCTCAGCCTGCATTGCCGACGCAGCGATCAACGACTCGAGGACCTTGACTGTGATGAAAGAACAAGACCTTGAAGTATATCAGACAGCACGTCGCGTATATTGGACTGCATTGATCCTAGATCGCTTCCACGGCTCTAGTCGATCAAAGGACATGATGATTCGAAGGTACTCCGGAACTCTTTCGCGAGACGACTATACAGCTTTGGGCGAAGTCGGCTATTATCTTGCCCGTAAGTACAAGCCCTTTGCGTTTCGGAAACGATTTTGACTAACATCCATCAGGTGCTGCCCTAATCGTTGGCCGAATAGCCTATGTGAATCGCGCAGGCAGCGTTCCAAATGTCGATCCATCGGCTCCCTTTGCATTTTCAGCACTCAAACCTGGGACTGTTGAATCAGAGTACCTCAATGCGGCACTAGACGAAGTCAAGCAGTCTATTGATCTCACCACTTTGACGCGTAACTCCCCTCCTCACTTGGCGCATCAGTATCTCAGAGTGTTCATCGCGCGACTTTCATTGCAGAACATACCTTCTGCTGAAGTTTTCGATGTCACTAAAGAACTGCTCAGTAACCTAATGAGCGGCGCGATAACTCCCTTGCATCACATCTTCGCTGCTCTGGTGGCTACGTCTCTTACCGAGTTGGCTGATCGGGTCGAGATGCAAGCGGAGGCGAACGCAAGCATCAAAGAAATGAACGATGCGCTGTCAAATGGTCAGATCATACATCGCAGCTCCGACGGTCTAGGCTGGGAAACAGCGATTGGGGAACTGCTACAGAAGAAAAAGTCTTCCACTCCACCTTACACTGGTCCGGAGCAAGCTAGTCCCGCATTGGAACCCAACATGGCTGGGTTACAACATCTCGCTGCAGCTGCGGTCGGAGAACGTGAAGGAACTGGTGACAATCGTCCTGGAAGCTCTTCGCAGCAGAAGGTTGACAATGACCTTTCAGCTGCCATGGCCGCTGCTAACGAGGCAGCCAAGGCGCAAGCCCAGGCGACGGCAGCAGCAGCTCAAGATCTGTTCCACTAAGCAGAACACTACTGTCTTCTTCTTGTAATTGATATACCCCTTTAAGCTCTAGCTGGTAGATAGTCTGATTAGACTTGCATCACATTGTAATCCTGTTCATCCTCCACTTACCCGGTCTCCAAAAAGGCTTCTTCTGTTGACGCAAGGAAGTGTAACTAAGAATTCACCCTAAAGGTATACGTAGTAATTTACGTTACAAATCTAACAAAAAAGCAACAGTGTTTACCGTTACCACTCGCCTCTCCGTACATTTACCTCGATCTCGGCCTCGATCTCATGCACCACTCTCGCATTCGTCAACCATGACAACTCCCATTTCCCGCCTGCTCGCGGCATATGTAGCCTCATCCTCTTGCTTCAGTCGGTCCAGTACGGTCTCCATCTCCGGTAGTAGGATGTCGTCCACGAAAGATTGAAGATCGCCTTCGTGCGTGTCATACCGGGCGTCGAAAAAAGGCACCATGTCCTCCAGAACTACCGTGAGATACGCGTCTTCTTCCTGGATTCTTTGTAACTCGTCTGGAGGATATCGTGGTAAGGGCTGACGCGATAAGTCGGATTCGTCAGCAAACAAGGTTTTATCGAGGTCGCAACAGGTATGGCGTATGCCCAGCCAGGAAAAGACACACAACCGAATGAACTCAGTGACGATCCATCTATGTGCTACACCTCCGACCGCTTTTGCAACGCACTGCACAATTTCTTTGAATGTCCGGAGATTAGAGTCTCGTCCCTCTAAGTCTTTGAACGCAGCGACGTATCCAGGTCTCATCCAGGGCAGGATGTTCACCTGTTTGTAGCTGTTCAGATCTTCGGTCTTGATCCAACACTTTGCATTTTTGCAGAAAGAGGTAATGTTAGTGCAGCCATGCGTACTACAGCTGCATTCGCAATCGTCTGTGAGTGTATGTCGAAACAGATCTGCAGTTTTGTTCAAAGCATGTTCTGGCGTCGCTTCTTCGGGTATCGAATCGTACAATCGAGCTGCCCCTGCGCTGACAAGATGTAACGTGGTAATTCTCGATCTTGGCCAACAATCCGTTATGCTTGCTCCTTTGGAGAGAAACCACTCTGTTACTTCAAAGAAACGAGGGAGCTCATATGAATGAATGTGACCGAAATAGCGTGTTATCCATAAGTGCATTGGTGAGTAAAACACGTCTTGGCAGCATGCGGTATTCCCTTTTGCTATATCCCTGAAGCCGGCATTGTATAGAAGGTCAAGAAATTTTACTGTTTTAATTCTCCCTACATACATGCAGCTTTGTCCGTCCTGCCGGTAGGTCATGTGCATTTTATATATGCTTTCTGAAGCCGGGCGAAGGGAGGGAGGTACCTCAAAACCCTGTTCGTCGAGTACGCGCAGTGCACAAGCAGCGTGGACGTCAATGATGTCTGTTGATCCAGTGACACATTCGCATGTGACGCCAGATATCCTTGTTATCTGTTGGAGCCGGCATCTTTGTTCGACCAGACACTTGACGAGAGTCTCTACTATGTTTTCTGGGGACATTACAGAAGCGTCTGTGACGGCTAATTCTAGGTCCCCAATATATGGGAGACAATCCGCCTCGGCGTTTTCGCGTAAACCGAGCCAAAATTGCACCATAGCCTGGTTTCGCGATCGTATGGCTTTGTAGAGAAGAGAGTTCTGCCACCTCAACCCGGTCAAGGGCGGAGATTGCCTCTGCCAGGGCGTGTCTGGTATGTAACTGAACCCATAATCGAAGAGGATCTGGCAGCCACGTACCCAGCCCATACTAGTTACCAATCTGTAAAGCTCAGCAGTTTCCTTCCTGTGCGAATTATTGGTAGTATGACGTCTTCGCATCAGTTTACTGAACTCCACTTCTGATCTCGATAACGCTGCTGCAATTGAGTCATCAAGACCAGCGAAAGGATCTGGGAATTTGGCAAACGGAATATCGAACCAAAACTTGCGACTCGTAAAGGGTCCGCTCGCTGGTGATAATCTTAAACCATACTGCAGGAGATCGGACGCAAGTGACTTTCGTATATGATCAACTGAGTCGTCGAAGCGGCTAGGGTATAAGATAGTATCTACACATGTTCTGATATCGTTCGATTAGCCATTATCTGATTGATTGATTGATCTTGTGATAATTACCTTCCATTCTCATCAATCTCTGATGCATCTGCATAAGACATGTAGCGTAGAAGCTGGTTGAGCATCGACCGATATTTAATCAGGTCACAGTGACTTGTATTTTTAGTCCACGCGGCTTTTCCACAAAAATACTTCTAGTTCTTAGCGAATGTGTACATGTAGAAAAGATGTGAGCGGTAACTTACGTGTAATATCGTATATCCGCTCTCCAAGCGGTCATGCGGTGACGCCTGACGCGTTTGGAATATCCTCGTCAACTCTGCAGAGTAGTCCTCAGGTACCCATTGGGAATCACCTTCAGTTACCAAACGAATCAACTTGAACGCTGGGGAAGATTCTTCAGAAACGATTCGATGTGCCGATAAGCTTGGATTTATCGAGAATGTGCCACTTGCAATCGACAGTGTCATGAAAACTCGAAGCTTCAGTCCAAGGATAAGATAGCACAGTACTATTCCAAAGCCGAAGTTTTTATCGTGAGTCCCAGGTATCCAGAGCGGGCAACTGGGGTCATGGGAGTGCACTTCGTTCAGCGACACAACAAACGGTGACCACACAAACTGTTTCTCTTCGCGACGTTTGCGGCAATTACAAAAAATAGAAGTATTCAGCTTCTTCTTCAATTGGGAATGCATCGGTCGTACCCTCCGCTCGAGATTTTGAAAACTCGTGATATCCTCTTCTAGACCAATTGCAGACACTGGCAGTAGCGTGTAGTCAAGATCGTTATATCTCGCTGTTTCCGCTGCGCTTGGAGAGTGAGAGCTGATTTGTGTCTCTTGAGTAAACGTTTGATCATAATCCTGGAAAGGGGACTGCACTGATCTTTGGTGTCTTCGATGATTGGAGATCTCCGTGCCTGAGCTCTGGATCTGGTCCATGATGTGCTGTCCGGCCGGAGCCTGGGCGCGTCGCTGCTGGTCCAGAATCATTTGAATTCCAGCATTTGTATTGAGCGAAAGTTGACTAAGCTGCGCTTGTAGAGTCGTGAAATACCGTTGCTGCTGATCGCTAGGAACAGTTAGCTGAACTCCCATTGCTACGCATATGGAACAAGTCATTACGTTTGCGACGCAAGCAACGCGATCTGTAGACTCTGTTGAATACTGGCCAAGACATCTTTCCAATACTTAATGTCATTCTCTTTGAAGGGATATGTCAGTCGCTTGATGACGTTCCTAGAACGTGTCCAGAATCTTCCGGAGCTTATCGCTGGTGCGGCGTCTCCAAGTCTCGATCTGATTACCTCAATAGCGCGTGCGCATTCTTGGATGCTATTCCTGGTAAATGCGGCGGATGTAGTAGGGTCCAGTCTGCTAATGATCGTCTCCAGATTCTCGAGAAGGTTCACCAGTGTATCCAGTTCGCGCGTAATCTGTTCAGCCTTGTTTCTTGCATCTTTGACACTGTTGGTGTACGTGTTGAACTTGTCAAACAGCTGTATGGAGAGAGATATAACACCAAAGATCGTGCCGGCCATTTCGGCCATGATGGACGTGCGTAGTGATGGGATGTGAGATGAGGGCAAGCACGAGAAGCTGGCAATATAATGGAATTCTGCACGAAGGCGCAGCACAGCTGTGCATGCCGTCGCAGATGGCCACTCATTGGAGGCGACAGTGCGGGGATCAGCCCAGCCTTGGACGTTGTCAGCCTTGCGGGCTTTCAGCCTGACTTTAGCTACGTGTCTTTTGAGAAGCTTCGATATAAGTCGGTATGATCAATAACTAGCCTTTCTGGTGGGATGGGCGCAAATAATACCATCATGTGGTGTGAGTCTGTAAGCACGAGACAGATACTCTATCTAAGCGCAGGTGCAAGAGTGACGTCATTCCATCACACCGATATCAGTAGCAGTAGGTAGATGAGAGAGTAATTCAAACCCAACGGCTTAAATTTACCCTCGTTTTAATTATAATCTCATGATCGAATTGCCACCCCACTAACAAGATGATATCGCGATGCATGATTGCGATGGACCCGTTCGATAGTCTGCTGTCAACTTGATGATACGCCTGCAATCAGACAATCAGACTTGCCTAGGAGGAGAAATGACAAAGAGATATAACGACTATAGTGTGATAAATGACCAGCGCAGTCCTCATCCTCAAGCCTACTCTTCTCCCCAAACCATCTTCGTCGCCTTTTCCATATCAACCACACCATTCGCGTCCGTAATTTCATCCTTTCTCTCATAGAACACTGGCCACGCATCTCCGGGCTCTCCATACTGGAGATGATTTTCAATCGCCTCAGCGTCTTGGTACTTGATACGCCAGCTATACCAAGTATGGGCCTTGGGTGGAAGCTGCTGTTCTTCATTCGGGCCCAAGAGCAAAGGCTCATCAGAATATACGCAGGTTAAAAGAGTGTCGTCACTGGCGCTACGCGCATCGGCTATAAAGATGATGTCGAACTCCATGAAGTTGTGTTTGGATTGCTCGCGTAACATCCACTCCTGGCACTCTTCCGCTGAAGTGAACTCGGTTGAGAAATCGGGGCTCTCGAGCTTCCGCTTGAAGTTGGAGGCGTCTTCAGGGCAAGTTTTGGACTCGGCAACGTAGAAGGGATATTCGACATTGAATTTGTGGTTTGTGGCTTTCTGGACGAACTGGGAAGGGGGTTAGTTTCGCGAGATGGGTGAAGCTGGGAAGAACAGAAACTTGCAGGCTTTGCCTCGTCAGCGATACAAAACAGCATAACGCCCGTCATAGTGAGAGTTGCTGTGTTCTTTTGGCTTGCTAAAAGCGAAACTACTAGTATCTGTTATCACTAATAGGATCTTGACTCTCTTTTGGCACTAAGGATACAAGCAATTGTGGAGTCAAGCATGTTCTGAGGGGAAATGAGAATTATATCAACGCACATAACAGGGCGAAGTAGCATCACTCAAGACTTCTTACAAGATTGGCTGCGGGATATCTACGGAAACGCTATCGTTGGGGTACGTCCAGGATGTGGCGTCGCTATGACGCGTTCGTATTACTTGGATGCCTAAAGTCTACGAATTAAAGTTACTATGTTACACGTTGAGTTCCGCTACCAGGTACCTATGTATTGATCTAGATAAAAAATAGCGGCAGCGCTAGAGCATGGCGGTATCAATATCATAGTTACGGCTTGTTGCCTATAATTGATCAGTGAAGCACGTTCAGGCAGCCGAATAGGCGCCCCCGTGTCCCCTGCGCCTTCTGCACATGCATCTCCTACACCCCAGCTACCAATGCCTCACAGCTTGCAATCTCCAAGGTCACCCACAAGCCGGTTCAGATCACAAAATATCCCGATCTAGCGCAAAGCGTTCAATTTATCTGAGAACATCCAACCACCCGAGACGGCCATTCCTCTACCTTTATCTCCTTCTTCATACTTTGCATTACCCTCGGTGAAAGCAACACACACCGAAAGAATGATGATTATGATGATGGCAATAACCATATACATACAACCGGCGAAGAAATTCGTGTTCCTTTGATCTCTTGACATCGTGACAGAAGCTGTGAGCCTGCTCTGAAGAGTCTGGGCCGTTGATGTATGGTGCGTCTGGTAGACTTCCGAAGAGCGGTTTGAATTTAAGGGGCTGACTGTGCTCAGAGCAGCTTCGATATCATTACCCGAATCCATGTGTGCTGCGGAATAGCGGGGCTGTTGGATGAAGGAAGAAGAGAAACCAGCATTTCCGATGCGTGAGAGAGGTAGGCTGGAAGTATAATGAGGAGGTATTTCAGAAGTAGTATGAGGAGGTGGGTCGGAAATGGTGTAAGAAGGCGGATCGCAAGTGGTGTAAGAGGGTGGGAGATCGTTTGACTCGTTGGTATTGTTGATCGACATAGCTGATATGAAGTTGTGGTATATCTGTACAGATACGGTTGATTCTTATGAGATGTTGGATGGAGAGGCTAAAAATGAAGAAGCGATGGTTTGAAGAATCAGGTTTTCGTTATTGTAGGTTCTGCTATGTGTTGGTATAGCGAACCACGGTTGTGACAATCCGCACCAGACATCGATTGTGGCTGCGCACAACGGAAAAAAGGGTCTAAGTAAGACCTACTAAAGTCGATAGAAACAAGCATAGTAGAATTGTGTCAAGAGCATTAAGCCGACGCGCAATGGCCGCCATCGACTCTCAGGTCTGCGCCAGTCATGAAACGACTTCCTTCCGCCAACAAGAACACAGCTGGTGCTTTGAAGTCGTTCGGTACACCAAGTTTTCCAAGCAGTGCGCCGGCCATCCATGTCTTCTCCACATCCGGATCTGCTGCGAGGAGTTCGTCGGTCATTGCAGTACGAATATACTACGGATCGGATTAGTAAGGTTTCAGATAATGCGATGAGAGGAGTCTTACACCCGGCGAAAGCGTATTCACTCTAATGCCGTATTGACCCCATTCTTGCGCTAGCGAGCGACACATTTGATGCACAGCTGATTTGCTGGCATTGTATGCTGTGCAAGTAAGGCCCTGAAATTATGATTAGATGCATTAAACATGTCTGGTTGGCGTAGAAATCCTTACCCTGTTCGCGACCTGACCCGACATACTAGCGATGAGTACGATTGAGCCTCCAGTACCCTTGTCTTTCAATATCCTCGCCGCCCTCTTGACCGATATGAACGCGCCTACTACATTTACACGAAGCATGCGCTCAAAGTCTGACGCCTCGTAGTCGAGTGCTGGAACCCTTTGTTGGATACCCGCACACGCGACCATACCATTGAGTGGTGCACCTCGCTCATCACCTTCGCGTGATATCTCGTCCAGGACTTGGGTGACCTCCGCTTCGCTAGTAACGTCGCATCTACGGTATGATGCTGAAGTACCGAGTTGGTTAGCAAGCTTCGTCAAGGCCTGCCATTCTGTGTTGCTTGGTTCCGGGAGGATATCTAGGCATGCTGCATGTCCGCCCGCTTCAACTACGGCGAAAGCAAGAGTTATTCCAAGTCCGCGGCCAGCTCCTGTGATAGCGACTGTCTTCCCTGCGAGAGAGAAGAGTGCCGGTGTTTGTGGCGTCGATGCTTGTGTTGTAGAGGAAGTAAGTGCGCTAGCGACTGTGTTGATGGCTGATGGACTCATTTTGCCGTACGGTGAGTTGGACTCTTTTAGAATTCGAGGATTACTGTAAGAGAGGGTTTGGATGAGGAGTATTGGGGAACGACAAGGCGACAGCAGTTTCAATGTATGCCAGAACCCATGGGGTGCGCATAGACGCGCATGTTCCCCACATCTAATAGTACAGTTGCATTTGTGGAACTGGTGGGTTGAGATTTCATCGTTGCAGCTTCTGCGAGGTGCATATGTGGACGGATGTTGGTGTTGGTAGCTCAATTGCGGGACCGGACTTTGCTCAGGGTTCAGATATTCTCCGGTTTGACCGAACAAGCAGCACTAACCGCTGCCAAGAAGACCGAAGTCGTGAGCATGGTGGAGTATCCAGCTGCGCATGTGACTGCCGAATCAGGAAAGATATTGCCTAGAGCCATCGTTACCAAACTCACGCAATCTGAAACTTAGAGAAGAACTTGGTGTTTTTCCCAAGTTCAAACCGTGGATAGAACGAAAACGTGACCTAGTGTTTCGAGTACCTGCGTTGTGTGTAAAAAACGGCCCTCATCTTGCTTGACCTGCTCAAGTCCGTCAAGTAGGATCTCCAGCCTCTTTTCCTTTCTTACCCCTTCGGTGCTCCCATTCGGCAGGCCTTTAGGAATCGGCTGTGGAGGCATAGAGTAGGACCTGCGTCGATCAGTCAGGTATCTGAACCCTCGTTGATTACAGCTGCCGCTCAGTGCCCTTCGTCTCCTATACATTCACTCCCGAACATACCGCGTTGGGTAAGTTCTGGAGGCCCATCCATCGCTGCACTCTATCGCATTCCGTAATGCGTGCTCCCCATACCTTGTTCTTAGCTTCCGAAAACACCGCGTCGGGTAAGTTGTGAGAAAACCATCGATTACAGCTGGGATCCGGTGCCCCTCGCTCCCTTGGCTTGTGCTAATCAATATACCTTCTTAGGCAAGTTCTGAGAAGACCATCGATTGTCGCTGCCCTTTCGTGCCCTTTTCCATGCAGCCCCATGCTACCGGATAGCGGTCTGACCAATAACCGTCCAATGCAGCTGTGCCCGCCGTGCCCCTTGGTGCCCCTTCATGCAAGCCACATGAAGCTTGGGTTTACTCTATACAGTAAGTTCCTCGGCAACCATCGATTTACGTGGAGACAGCATACGATGTACATCGCTCGTTCAAGACAATGCTGCAGGTAGTGGGTGTTGTCACGTTGTACCGCTGCAGGCGGTGTGCGCGCACGAGACCTGCGACATGAGGCTGAGTGACGTCTTCCTTCCGCGTGCGCATGAGCTTATCGAGCTGCGAGTCTTTTCTCCGGGGCCTGCCGCGTTTACATCGCAACGACACACGCCCTCCCGTCATGATACAGCAATCCTAGATCTCTTTCCTTTCCTGTTTTCGCGATTTCTATTGCATTCTTAGCGGTCGCTTACTTTACTTGCGCAAACCTCATGTCTCTCCTACGGAACTCGATGCGGCGCTTTCGCCGCACGCAGATACATAATGTCGAAACGATTAAATCGCAACCGTTGGCAGAGCTATCCGGCTCGCTGGGCGACCTCGGGACTCTATTGCCACTCATGACTACGCTGGTCTTGACGAACTCGATATCCTTACCCTCAACGCTACTATTCACGGGAGCGGCAAATGTTCTGACAGGCGTTGCGTTTGGGATCCCTCTACCAGTACAGCCCATGAAAGCTATTGCGGCTGTAGCTATTGCTCGCCAATTTACCATGGAGGAGAACGCTGCAGCTGGTCTCGTTGTTGCAGGCCTAGTTGGTGTGTTCAGCGTCACGGGCCTGATCAACTGGGCGAATCGCGTTACACCAATTCCAGTAGTCAAAGGAATCCAAGTAGGGGCAGGTCTGTCGCTATGCTTGAGCACCGGGACCAAATTACTCTCATCACTAGACTGGACGGGTCCTTGGTGGGGCGATAATCTGTTTGTGGCGGTTGCAGCGGTTATCTTCCTGCTATGCACTTTCCCGTATCCTAGGGTGCCATATGCTATGATCATTTTCATCATCGGCATCTTACTATCCTTTGCAACTCCGCAAAGCGAGGATGTCCATGTGCCACGTGCTGCGATTCCCATTCTTCATCCCTCAGGCATGGACTTCCTGGAAGCAACAACGACCGCGTCTCTGGGTCAACTACCTCTTACGCTCCTCAACTCCGTCATCGCAGCATCGGCGCTCGCGTCTGACCTCCTGCCATCTCCACCATACCCAGCGGCACCCACAGTCACCGAATTAGGTGTCTCCGTCGCTGCGATCAACCTCATAGGTTGCTGGTTCGGAGCCATGCCCGCTTGCCACGGTTCTGGTGGGTTAGCAGGTCAGTTCCGCTTCGGTGCGCGTAGTGGTTCTAGCATCATCTTCCTGGGAACCATCAAATTTATACTCGGTCTCATCGCCTTCTGGAAATCGTCAGCCATAATCAATGTGCTTCACAATATCCCCAAGTCACTGCTCGGTGTCCTTGTTCTCGCTGCTGGCGTGGAATTAGCAAAGGTCGGCGAGAGTATCAACACGGACGCTCGCGACCTTCGCATATTCGACAGGGACATGGCTTGGGACGGCAAGAGGGTCAAGGACCTCGATGAGCGCGAGAGGAAGGAGAGGTGGATGGTCATGCTTGTTACTGTGGCTGCCCTTCTTACTTTCAAGAATGATGCAGTTGGTTTTGTTTCTGGACTAGCATGGCACTGGGGCTTTGTGGCTGCAAGGAGAATTGAAGATTGGAGGACCGGACGGACTGAGAGTCATGTATGGAGGAGCGTTGGGCATAGTCGGGATGAAGGTGCTGGGCTGCTCGCTCATACAGAGTCTGATACTGTGGCGTAGGAAGGCACTGCTAATAATCATGGGCATTATCACTGGATGCTACAAGGCAGTTTTACAACCTAATAAATATCAAAGCCCAACTCCATCTCACAACCACCAATACCTCAATTCAGAGTACATTCAATTTATCCAGTTCATATTTCAGTCATATCAACGTAATGGTACGCAAGCTGGCAAGCGGACCATTGTTGGATTAGGTAGTGTATGTACATACATGTAAGAAGCGAAAAACAAAAATGCTTGATGAGTATGTGCTCAGCGCTTGAGCGTATGAGAAACAGTAGATCTAACTCTTGAAGAGGTATAAGCGATATCAGCGAGAACGCCTTAAAAAAAACGCCAAACAAGAGCGAAAAAGCGAAAAGGCAAGTTAAGCATATGCTCATGCCTTCTCGGAGATCTCTTGGGCTGGTGGTGTGTTGGTGCCGGTGATAGAAGCGTATCTTGCGGTCTCAACACCCTTCTCGCCATCGGCGTTTGAGTTGCGGCTGCTGCCAACGTGCGAAGGCTGGTCGAGCTTCTCCTCCTTGACGGCGCCCTTGTGTCCACCAACCTCCTTCTTGTCACCCTTCTCCTTCTTGGGCTTGGGCATGCGGACAAGGTAGTACAAAGCAAGAGCGGCACCGATGTTGAAGATGACGTAGGCCCAAAGGATACTGCGAAAAAGCGTTAGTAAAGTTCTATAAAAAAAACATGTTGTAGGAGGTTGGCTTACCCAAAGTTGCGCCACGCGTTGGAGTAGTCGGAAGAGATACTGGCAAGGAAGACGTTGGTGTCCTCAATGGCACAGAAGTTGCAGTCGCTTGTGGCCTCGGGGTTTTGCATCCGGCCACCAGCAGCCGTTGTCCAGTCCGCGATGTATTCTCCGCAAGTCTGGTTTGGGCGAGGGTCGAAGTGGATCAACTCGTTCTCCGCACACTGCACTACACTGTTGGCGAGACCGACAGACAACATACCAGACACCATGTACGTAAAGGGCGAAATGCGGTACATGAAGATCCAGAAGCGGGGGAAGTCGGAAGGCTGAGCAAGGACACCACAGAAGATGAGGCAGAGCGAGAACATCAAGTTGGCCAAGTTACCACCAGTCTCGGCAGAGTCGATACCAGCGATGACCATGTGCGTGAATGTCGAAGTGAAGAGCAAGAACATCCAGACGAAGAGGAAGAGCTGGAATCCACGGAGGGTGACGGAGTCGGTGTACTCTGCGTTCTTGTACAGGCCAATGGGGTAGTACCAGCAGAAGAAGATGAGCACAGCCATGAGTGAGTTCCAGGGCAGTTCGACGACGATGTTGGAGATCATGAACGCCTTCCACGAGTAGGTCTTGCTAGGACGTTCGCGAACCTCGTACAAAGCGCGCTGGGTGACGAAGTGGGGCATGATCTGCTGGACCAATTGACCGAAAATTGTCATCAACATGAAGATACCGAACATTTGATTCTGGAGACCAGTCTGTGTGTTGGGCATCTGGAAGAGCGAGAAACCGATGAAGAGAGCCGAGAGAACACAAAGGAAGGTCTTGGAGTAGATGTACGAGGGTGTGCGCCAGTATTGCTGGAAGACACGGACCATGGTCTCACGGAGTTGAGTCATGAAAGGTGCGGCGAATTCGCGGAAGGCAGCCTTGTCCTCACGCTTCTGAGCGGACATGGTACGCTGGAGAGCTTCAGCCTGACCGCGTTCGGATTTGAGTTCGGCGAGATGGCGCTTGACCTCACGGTACTCATCAGAGTTGCGCCAGGTTTGGTGCCAGTCGATGTCCGTGTGTGAACCAGGAGCAGCACCAATGACTTCCAACATCCATTCAGCAGGGTTAGCGGCAGGTGGGCAAGCGGGACCACCATTGCGAACAAAGTAGTCAACCAGAATCTTGGAATTTTCACCGACCTCTCCGTAGTAGACGGTGCGTCCACCACGGGCGAGGAACAGAAGACGATCGAAACGTTGGAACAACATGGCACTAGGCTGGTGGATAGTGCAAAGAATAGCCTGGCCATTCTTCTTCAGCTTGTCCAAGAGATCCAGAATAGCCCAAGAGGTTTGCGAGTCCAATCCAGAGGTAGGTTCGTCCAGGAAGAGAAGAAGAGCAGGCTTAGCAGCCAGTTCCACACCGATAGTAAGACGCTTTCGCTGCTCGACGTTGAGACCTTCACCGGGGACACCAACGACGGCATCAGCGTATTCAGTCATCTCCAGAAGCTTAATGACCTCCTCTACGTATTCGACCTTCTCTTGACGAGAGACGTGGGCTGGTTGACGGAGAACGGCGGAGAAAGTAAGGGCTTCACGGACGGTTGAAGTGGCGAGATGGAGGTCTTGCTGTTGAGCGTAACCTAGATGTTGCGTTAGTGCGTGTTCACGAACCAGAGAATGTTAAGGAGAGACATACCTGTCTTGCGCTGGAAAGAGTCATCGCGAGGCTTGCCGTCAACCAACATCTGACCAGTAATAACACCCATAGTAGTACGTGTAGCCAAGCAGTCGAGAAGAGTCGTTTTACCAGCACCGGAGACACCCATGAGCGCAGTCAAAGTACCGGGTTTAACCCATCCGTCAACGTGGTCGAGAATACGGCGAGGCTCCTTCTTGATTGTAATATCGTAGCAGACGTCCTCCCACTGGAAGATGGCAGTTTGGCGTTCGATGATGGCGATGTTGTCAGAATCGTTCTGAGCAGCGACGTTGCGTCCGGGAACGGCGGCCTCAAGATCCTCCTCAGACTTGCTCTTGGGCGCAGGCAGCTTGTGGCCACGACGGAAGACAAGGACTTCACCCTTGGACTTCTTGGCGGTGATGTATTCAGTACCAGCGAGGTAGACAAGCATGAGACCAAACATGAAGACCCACATGATACCGAAGTTGCGCCACTTGTTCTTAGCGTAGTAGTTGAAGGCCGAGTTGATGTAGTCGTCGCCGTTGACGTATGGCTGTCCGGGAACGGATCCAATGGTCCTGCAAGCTTGTTGAGGGCCAGAAATGTCTTCGTAACCGGGGCCGAAGGGAATGAATTCGTTGCACTCGAACTGTCTGTTGTGGAATTCGTTAACCATGAGGGCCTCGAACCCGTAACTGACGGGGTTGATGTAGCGAATCCATTTGGACCAACCCAGCATGTAGCTAGGAGGGATGGCGAAACCAGTGTACATGACGAGACCCAAGATGAGGATGGCGGCGGGTGCCAGAGCCTGGACAAGGGAGCGAGACAAGGCGGCGATGGAACGGAAGAACATGGACATGACAAGAGTCAGTGTGAAGGAAATAAGGACGAAGAAGAAGAAGTTTCCAGGTTCTCGTCGAAGATTCGTCATGAAGTACAGGACCAAGTTGAAAGTGATCGCGTTGACAATCTTGTACGGCATATCAGTCAACATACTGGCGAAAGCCTCGGCGGACGGGTGGTACAGAGCATAGCGCGAGTGCTTCTCAACAATGGGACGTTGAGCGTAGAGCGTCAGAATCTCGAGGGCGGAACCGAAAGCGTTCATCAGGATAGCGAAGAAGAGAAGAGCGGAGCGAAGGTAGAAACTGGAAGTGGTCGATGGGAGGTTGTAGAAGACGGACGAGATGATGAGGGCCATGATGGAGTTGGCAACAAGTTGGGTGATGGTGATACTGGGATCGGCCTTCAATCGAACGAAACCTCGCCACAAGCATAGCTTAACTTGCTGCGTGTACGAGAGAGTGTAAGGCGACTTTTCGCGCTGACCCTTGGCCTTCTGAAGCTGGCGTGACTCCTTGAAGCGCTCGGCGGCCTCGCCACCAATGGGATACTTCTGCTCGTAGGCTTCGATCTGTTGTAGGAGTGCTGCTCGCTCCGGAGACTCCAACCAGCGCTGCGCGAATTCATCAGGAGTGCGGGGAACGCGGTCCTCGAAGCCCTCACGAACGATGCGCTCCAAAGGACTGGTCATGGAAGTCAAGAAATCGGCGTCAGTTTGACGGTCGGGGCAGTGGAAACCCATGTTGACGAAGAAAGCCTTCGCCTCTGTGGTCTTTCCGAAGAAAATCTGGCGACCCTCGTAGAGCACGAGTGCCTTGTCGAAGAGGTCGTAGGCAGCCTGAGGTGCCTGGTAGATAGCAACACAGGCAGTGGTACCGTTGATCTCAGTTTCCATGCGGAGGGTTTTGCAGAACTCGATGGCGTTCGCAGAGTCAAGACCTCTGGTGGAGTTGTCCCACGCTTGTAGTGGCGCTCTGCTGAGGGAGGCTTCGGCAATGGTGACACGCTTTCGTTCTCCTCCAGAGACACCACGGAGGAAGTCGTTACCAACACGAGTGTTGATGGTGTGAGAGATACCATACAACGCCATGATGACATCGCGCTGGTGCTCGGCGAACTGCTGTACGCTGACGCCACCAGGGATGTTCCTTGGGCGACGCGCTTGAGCAGCAAAGTAAAGGGTCTCTCCAACAGTCATCATGGGGAAATGAACATCGACTTCGGCAGTGTAAATGGCTTCACCACGGTAGTTCTTGTTCATGAGCTCTGGGCTGACACCTATTCATGATTAGCAAAAGGGGGTCACTGTGTGATTCAGAAGCTGCGAACGTACCCTGGTAGTTGATGTGCGAGTTTGAGTCAACGACGAAGCCGTGTGTCTCTCCAGTGATGGTCTTGAGGAAAGTCGAGCAACCAGATCCAGGAGGTCCAAGAACGACCAACATCTCGCCAGCCTCGACCAAACCATCGCAGTGTTGCAGAATGTCGATCTTGCGGCCCTTGTCACCCATGATTTTCTTGACAAGCCCAGGTCCATCTAGCCACACGTTACCAACACTCTTCTGGTAATCAGTGTCGGCTCCGAAACCATGGACGTTGAGTTCGCGGAAAGAAACACCAGCAGTTCGTGTAGGTGGCGCATTCTCGTCGTTTAATTGGAGGTTAAGCATAGCCTTGGTCCATGCTCGTGCATTGAAATGCTCGCCATTGGGGTCCAGGGAAGAGTTTGGTGCCGCGTTGAAAGGGTTCTGGTTTGCTGAAGATTGTTGACTTTGCGAAGTAAGTCGTCGGGCAAGTGCGTGAACGGCCTCTTCTCTCCTCGTAGCCTCGGCCAGTTCGTCGGCGTCATGTGTGTTATAAGATCCATCCTTTTTGTCGGTATATTGATTATTACTCCTCGGTGGTGAATTCTCAACAGCTGCTATTGTTGAGGCATCCGACTCGGCAGCTTGTTCGTTGTCGTTGTAGTGAGAAGGTCGTCTGCCGCCCATCTCTGGTGTTGGAACGCCGCCAGATACAGCCTCCCGATCATAGTTCGAGGTAAAGTTGCCGACTAGGGACATGTTGGGCGAGATATCGCCGCTTAATGGCGAAGATTAGTCAGGCGTAAGGGAAATGTAAAGAAGGACAAGTATTAAAAAAAAGGTAGTAGAGGTTGTATGGTAGGAACAACGAAGACAAGACCGGGGGAATGAGGGAGATAATAATAATAAAGGTAGGAACAGCTAATGAGGACAGCCCCGGCCGCCCCAGTAAAGGAATTGGTCCAGCGGGCGGCGGACTGACGGCTTGGCTTGCAAACCGGAGACGGATGGGCTGCATGCCCGGGGCGCTGGGCTTCGCTTGCATCTAGAACGGCTAGCGTAATCCCTCGGATACGGTGCATACGATTTCCATTAGACTAATAGCCAATCAGAGCCGGGAGGCTACGACGACGCGATTTCGACTCATTCTACGTCCACCACTGGCGTTTCGGGGAGAACGGTCGGACGAGTTGCGTCGCGGCGAAACACGATCGCCGTTCTTCCATGCGGCTCTGATTTCGTGATCCTCAATGCCCACGCAGCACTCTCCAGCCACCACAGCTTTGCAAATATGCATAGTTTACAATCTGTATACAGCACTATAATCCGAGCTTGTTGGTCCGACCAAGGCACCCGCTTACTTTGGAGGCTTGGCTAACCTCTCACCTAGCCCATTTCCCCTCTAAGAAAAGCGAGAGAGAGAGAGAAAGCGAAACCTTGCCAATATCCTAAAAGAAAGCAACCGTCTACAGTCGATTGTCTCAGCAACGGCAAGGATGCATGCGCTTCACAAGCAAACGACTGATCGAAGAACACATAACTCTTGACGTCGTTGACGCAGTGCAGCTCTTCCCCCTGTGCAGCCTTGCATGTCGCCACGGGTAAGGATCCAATTAACCGCGTCCATGAGCCCCCTTCCAAACAAAAGCTCCAGGCCCCTCTCACAATCTGCGCGGACGAAAATCGCGAGATTCAGGGTGAAGAAAGGTGGAGACAGCCCCCCAAAGCGTTGCGTGGCATCTGCTCGGTGTTGGGTTTCTGTATCCGGTTCGACCTACCGTTCGTGGCTGTTCGTCGCGTTGCACACTTGTAGCGCCACTTTCGGCGGCGGATGTCGCTCGTTCCGGTACCACGGAAGGTGGAACGTTGGTTCAGCCCTACCTTGACATGTTCTCTGACCCTGTTCGTATTCAAAAGCTTCCGGTTCCCGTCGCGTCTCGATGCTTCTTCTCCACAGCCGTTACCTTTCAGGTCGCCGGTTTGAGGTGAGCATTTGTTTGTTTGTTGGTTGTTGCTGTTGCAAGGGTCCATGGGAGGATACGGCCATGGACGGCGGATCCTGACCTTTCCGATCACCGGTGGCTGATCCACCTCGATATGCCTCAAATGCCGTCAAATGCGCGCTCTCCATCAACATGTGCTGCTGACTGTGCGCACCTTTCTCTCCTGAGCACCATGTATGCCGTCCCAGCGGTGAGAATCTTACACCCTCCTCCCAGTAAGCGGTTGGCATGTGGCATACGCCCTCTGGGCACTACCACTCCAAGATGATCTAGGTCCGGTCAGCAATTGGCATGTCATGCCTTCTCGTTTGCAGCCGGGCGACGGCACTCACTCATTATCTGAGTCCACAGCGCTTCTTCCGGTTCTCACGCTCGAGCCCTGATGGACGTATAGCGATAAATATGGTTGGATACTCTGGATGGGGCCCACAGCGCTAGGCGGCAATCTACGCAGCATCGCACCGTCGCGCGTCGTCCAAAGCTTCGGACGTAGACGAGAGAATCAGGGTTGGGATACTTCCGGCCCAGAATCTTCGGTTGCGCTTCGTTCGAACATCCGGGGATAGTACGACAGAAGCAATGTCGCCAGATCTGTAGCCGAAGATCTCCGGGTGCGATTGCGTCTTCGCTTTGACAGATCCGTCGGGCCGAATACACCCAGATGTATATTAACGTTCTGGGTCAGCCTGGGGTAGGGCTGATGAGCTTATTCGAACACCGTGCATGAGTAAACGTGTTTTTGTCGGTTTGGTGTTGCATGTCTTGAAATCAAAATAAGACATGTGATTTATGTTGAGAGGTGGTATAGGGTGTTTGGACTGTTGTGTATCAGGCGTCGTTTGTATTTTCGGTGGTATGTATGTACAGTAGATACGGCAATTACAACTTCCCCTTCGCCTTCTTCTTTGCCGGTCTCAGAATGCTTTGCTGACTCATACATGCGACCGCCTTGCCCTCCTCATCCCATAGCCATGCCTCGCCAAAACTACGCCCTTGACTCGCGACTGGCGCACGCAACTCCCTGAGCAACCACCCATTCACATCAACCTCATTTACAAAGATCCTCAAGGAGAAATCCAAACTAGACACTGCACTTATATCGTCAAACCAGCAATGGTTGAACGACAACGGTAAGAACGCAATAGCGGTGTCGATGAGGAAAGTCAGCGCGGTGATGTGATCAATAGGCTTAGGTAAGACTTCTTTGCTGCGGATCCAGTCTGCTGTTGTGCGGGAGGATGGTGGGAGATGATCTTGGGTATGCGGTAGTTGTTTTGCGAAACCGTAGAGGTTTTGGGCAAAGACGGCGTTGGGGCAGAGACGCTGGTCGTACAAGTGGTTCAGCAGATGGAAACCTTTTGCGTGGTCATCCAGCATTTGCTGCGTTATCTTGCCTTGTGCGACGAGAGCGGAATACGTAGAGGCGGGCGTGGGACAATCTTTCCAGTTTGGATAGGTATTCAAGGGTGTTGGCGAGTATGATAATAGTGATGAGGTTTCTGCAACCATGAAGTCGGCGGTTGCGAGGACGCATACTCGATTTTCGCTTTCTTTGCCGTCCTTCCTAGCATCAGTCGTTTGGCTTATTTCCACTTGTCGCGTTGCAAACGTCCTCGTCTGCCTCACCACTCTCACACTAGCCCGCAGAGGTCGATCCGTATACGCCGGTCCAAGGTAATTTCCTTGCATGGAGTAGAGGTGGTAGCCTTCTGGTACTGTGAGAGACGCTGCTTTGCATGCTACCGCGATTGCGTAGCCGCCGTATGCGATACCCAGCGGATTGCCCATATCCTGAGGAAGGTTGATCATTTCGTACTCATCCTTGCCTGTCTCTCTTAAAGCCAATTGTTCCATAAAGGGCTTTCGTTGTGGAATGGCTTGTTTGGCCATGCTTGGGGCTTTCAATCGGACGAAGATGGGACGGGATGTATTGGGCACAGTAAAAGTGCCAAATCCAGCTTTGAACGTTTGGAGTAGGATGTTTAAATGGTAGAGATGTGAATGAGGAAGCTTGCGATCAAAGCCGACATGTTACGGCCGTCATAGCTGAAAGGCGTGTTACTAGCGTGTAGCACTAGCGCCAACCTCGGTAGGATTCGATAGATGCTCGGATACGCAATACTTTCACCGGCTGAAGGTATCGTTGCGAAGATGTGCAACCAAACTGTAGTCATGCTCTCCAGCAGCAGGTGAATCGTCAAATGTATGAGCATAGTCTTAAAGTGAAGCTGGAAAGAAGTTTTGATGATACGAGAACAAACTATCCTACATCACCATATCCTCTTAGCAACCATAGCATACCGACTAACATGTCCAAAACTTGTCCCCCTCTCCCTTTCCTCCTGCTCCTTCTTCCTACCCTTCTCGTCTCTCTCGCGCAACCGCTTCAGCGCTTCGGGGTCATCATCATAAATCACCTTCCTCTTTTCATCATCCACATCTACTACACCCCAGCCTCCGATTCTCTTGCCCCCAGTCTCGACATTCATTTTTTCCCGTTCTTCCATACCATGGTACCGCTTGCGACTGATGGATAACAGGAGCATACCAAGAATGAGTTTGAAAGCAAGGAAAATGAAATAGCCGACGAGGAAGACGATGAGCATGGTCGAGCCGGCGATCAGATCGTCGAGGGTGTACGAGAACGGGTGATACCAGGCTTGGGAGGGAAGACCAGCACCAAAGGAAGAACGCCCCAAGGCACGACGGAAGACATGGTCGATATGGGCGAGAGCTGCGGTCGTGGTGGGGGATGAAGCGGGGTTAGAAGAGAGTGATGTTGATGTCGTGTGGAGAGGAGGCGGCATGTGCATGGCAATGAACATGTGGTACGTCTGAATAGCAGCGCGGATGAAGAGGCAGGACAGTGGTATGACTGGCAAACCTAGACGTCGTGTCAAGTCTGCATCAGCAAAGGCCTATGATGTGTCAGCTAGAAAACTTCAGTGAGCGTAAGGCAGCTTACGTTAGAATAGTAGTCCTTCGCCAGAACGTCAAAGAACTTGCTATACACCTCTGGCTTGTACTGATTGAACTTGGTGATGTACGCATGCTTCAACCAGTCGACGAACATCTCACTCCCCAACACCAGAAGGAACGGATTGAGTACCTGAGCAATGTACTTTGGAAAGATTGTAAAGCTCATGGGTATGATGCTCGAGGCCTTGAATGCAGTCGCGGACGACGCATTAGCGGATCCGGTGAACATGGCCGTCCACGACGTATCGCTACTTTGAATACTGAGGCCACCGACTTCAACAACATTGCGCATTGCAATGATGAGAAGCATGAGCCAGAGCTGAAATCGCTCTACAATGTCTGCACAGGTAATCTGGAAAAGATTCTCCTTTTCAAACTTCTTGAACACGGTACCCTTGATTTCCACAAATTGATTAGACATGAGCAGTGTCAGAAGCGCGTTTGAGTATGAGTTGACGGCCACATTCAGCGTGATGACTTGGTAGAAGAGTGCTGTAGCGTGAGCGACGGTGTATACGAGTGCGAGAGCAAACATTCCGAATGGCCGGAGCACCTTGCTTCTGCCGTCAGGATTGCGATCGAGTGTCTCGCGAGAGAAGAGGCATTCTAGCACATCTTGACCAACAGCGGAGAGCAGGCGGTCACAGACCTCGAGAACGTTGTAGATGACATAGAGTTTGATCGCTGACTGTCCGCGGATACCATGATACATACGACTAGCATCGAAACGCATCAAGACGAAGCAGCTGGCGATGACCAGCAGACCCTTGAGTATGTCTGCTTTGTGGCTTGGCTGTAGCGTTGATGGCGTAGACTTAGTACGCCGATGGCGGAATCGAGAGTTTCGAGGCCGGCGCGCTCTCAGCTCATTCAAGTCTGGAAACTTGAAAGTTGTCGACATTTGCGGGTTCTGCCTAGCCGTGGTATTGGCTGAGGGAACAGTAGACGACGAAGGCTTACGCGACATGGACGGAGGCACCTCGTCGGCGGGCGTTGGCAGAGGCGTAGGAACGTCAGTTTGCTTCCTGCGCTGCCAAAACCGAGGAAGACCGTTGTAGACAAAAGCCCAGAGGTCACGGAACTCTTTTACAATGACTGATCCCCACCACTTGACCAAGATGACGATGGCGAGCAGGAAGCGGAGTGGCAGAATCGTCAAGACGTGCATCCATGCATCCAGACAAGCAAGAGCTCCAAAGCCCAGTATACCCTCAATTTTCAACGGGATTCTCAGAAAGTTGAGCAATCGCTCGTACTTGATCGCGGACGATTCATAGGGAAAGTCTGTCGTCGCTGGCCGGTATATGTACAACGGAGAGGGACGGCTTGCGGAGAGTTCTAAAGAAAGAAAGGTAGGCATCGACATCGGTGGTAGCGGAAGGGCGATTGGGGTCGGAGAGACCTGCTCACGTATCTCGCGTGTCTCCTTGTGTCGGTCATGCCCCTTTGACGTGACATCTCTGTGGTCTAGACTCAATGGTGGAGGAACATGCCTGCCATGTCTCCGGTCCTCTGTCTCTTGTGTCTGCGTATGTGTGCGCGACCGCGACCTTGACGTTGTTCTTCGTACGAGCGAGGGCGTAGTGACGGATCGTGAGGTAAGAACTGGTCGACCGTTGCGTAACTCGGTTGCAGATGTCTTGATTAGGACAACCTCCTTCTCTCGCGGTCCATCCCGCCCTCTCGAGCCCTTCTCTCTTCTGGTGTCGCCATTCAGCTCCACCGGTCGCTCTAGCACCACGCCCAATAGTTTGTTGTTGCCCTGTCCGTCCGCATCTTGCAGCGGTGTGACATCCTCCAGCTCGTCTTCAAGAATTGGAGTCGCTGCTCGTATGGGGATGCTCGTCGGTTCGCTCGTAAGCTCTTGGATCTGACGGGGACTGAGTTTGAGAATCTTCTCGTGCTCCGACACGCTGCTCCTTCTCCGAGCATCTCCAGGCCGCTTGATAGGCCGTATCTTCTCGCTTGTGTCGGAGAGTATAGCCTCTTCGTGCACACTCGGCCTCCTGCTCGTCGTATTGGAGCCAATTGCGCTATTCACCTCGACCTTGGAACCGTTCGTCATGTTCTGCAGCGGTTCCTCGCTCTTGGCTTCATTGTCGCGGCGGGCACCCGGGAGTGCCACATCGTCCGGTTCGGGCGTTGACGTTGGCGTAGGCAGCTGGCCGGTAGCATGCGATTCAGCGTATATCCGTGTTTCTGCCCCGTTCATGGCGTCCAGAGCTGAAGTTGCTGGTTGAGTGCATCGTGTGTTGCTCGACTTGGTGCTGGGTAGTCGCAACGTGTTGAAGCTTGGGCATAGGGCTTAGTGTGACTTCGAGCCGAGGAACCCCAGGCGATCAACGTTGCACCGTTACAATGGCAGAGTCGGGTGAAAAGGGTCACCAAGTACGGCATCACATTCCACGTGCAAGTAACAATGCGCAATGTCGTCGGCGACCCTGCAGCAGCCGCTTGGCACCGTCGATAGCCGTGCACGCTCACAGACCGCAACACGGTGACCTATGCCCTAGCTTCAGTCGGCTTTCATCATCCTACACTTACAGCGATATAAAACTTGCACATTAATACGGGAATCGCTATTCACACGGCTATGCAGTACCCCAAATTGGCTATCATGCACCTAACGCGTTGAAGCAGTCCGACTACGCATACTATTGAGTATATATCATCATCACTCCATGTACATTACGATAGGGAAAGGATATCATACACCCGCTCCTTGCCATCGAAGCACCAAGGACGCTCAGAAAGATAAGCTTAGGATTCTAGATCACATGAGCCCAAGTTAGTCGACAGCCAGGCAGACATGTAGATGGTGCCAACCATGTCCAGCTGCATAAGGCGTCACGAAACCAGTGTATTAGAGAGCCGACTGTGTGCCCAGACGTCCTCGAAGGCTGTTCTAGAGGAAGCCGAGCGCATCCCGAATAAAGTTTATCCAAGATTAGGAGCCAATCGACGAGTCGCTGGGGCACCCATGGGAGTTCCTTTTGTTCCAGACGGCATATCGTGAGTGTACTATAGCTCCGCAAAAGCAGATCCTTCGCTTTCGTGACGGGGTTCTCAACGCCATGGCTGCTTAGCGTACTCACGGCCCCTATACACCGCTGTGCGAAGCACCATGTGGTGTTCCAGTGATATAGAACGACGGCTGCATATGCCGCAAGAAGGCTATCTGTATCCAGCTGACCATGCTACAAATCTTACTACAATTACGAAGAGCGAGGTCGACTTCGGCCATAGTACACGAGGCTGCCGACGCTGTAACTTTTCATGCGAGAACACGAGTTTCGGGTAGTACCGCGCACGCGAACAGGGATTCCGCTGTATACATGGTCGGTTGGAGCTCGAAGAGATAAAGCCGATGGCGCCCTTTCTAGACTGACGACGCATCTAGTACTACCATACCAGGTTGCCTTCCTTCTGCCTACATCTTTACATGGGACCGATAGCTATACCTGGCGTCGGGCACAATGCTGAGATCCACATCGAGATTGCATTGAATGATACTGTCCTATAGATGTGGGTCGTCTTCGCTTCAGTATTGTCCTTGCCAATTGTTTACCGGGGTTTCAAGACACACGCAATGCACACCTACCAATTCTTCTGCCTGTAGTACAGCGATCAGCGTAGAGTGTTCCTGTGCTAGAAAATGTAGCCTATCGTGGTACAAAAGTTCACCCGCTCGCCCCGAGCTCGTGTATGCAGCATGTCCATAGCCTACGTGCATGAAGTAAGGGTCGTGCATCCAAGCGCTGTAGGGGTTGTGAGAGGGTTTCCGTGAAGCTTTTCAGCCATATTAAGCGCAACATAGTCGACTTCCTATTCGGATCCGGGTTAGAGCTCAATACCGATCTCCGCAGCATCAGTCTGTGGAATGCAGGACTATGTTTCGCGGGTCATTCTTTGAACACTACAGTCTCTCATGTAAAGTCCGTGCCCATGAGGTTGGTCCCGAAGACGCTAATAATAGGCAAAAGCACCGCTCGCATCTCGAGCTGAGCTGGATTCTTGAGGGTAAATGTTTCAGGCGTGGTGGGTAGTCCTGAGATGCGTAATGGCACCGGTACAATACCGGATGTCACGGATGTGACTGCATTGGATATACCCAGTGGGATGTTCGTATTGGAGCACCAGTTCCGTACAAGGACTTGAATCCAGCCAATTAAGGCTACGAAGGACTACCGAAGGACTTTCGACGCCAGTGGGTTGCAGATTGATGCAATCCCGTGTAAGCGAGAATCGCAGGAATAGCCCGTAGTGATGTCGATATGTCTGGTAGACGGTTGTTCCGCGGGATCGCATATCTGTAAGGCTGGAACCCAAGAGAGTGGACAGCAGCGATCGATTGCCGTCAAGCACCACTATACTGGAGGAACATTGGGCTTCTTTTCGCGGGTGCGAGACCAGCGACAGGGACCTGGGAACGGATAAGCTCTGGTTGGATGCCAGCGCATAGGGGCTGCATCAGGAGTTGCTGTGCCACATGTGCGCCCAAAGGGCGTCCAAAGGGTTGCCCTAGCATTGAAGATCAGACACGAGGCGTCATGCCTCGAGGAAATGAACTACAACTGTAGCCGGGCGTCAGACTAGATTAGGAGACAGCACTAGGACGGGTGCACTGCAGGTAGAGGGACTGACGAGGCTGAAGAAATCCACATGGCTGCAGGCGACACGCAGTAGTCGCGTGGAATGGTGTCCACACTGCTGCAGGTCGGAGGAAGCGGAAGTCTTCTAGAACGCGAGCCCTTTAGCCTGGTGTGGGTTCAGCCAAAACTCTGTGCTACGCGCCCGCGAACAAAGACATGCAACAACTGCAGCGGAAGGCATCCGCAAGAGGGACTCTTGTCTGTGCCCGCCGTGTTGAGCTGTCGCGCAACAGTTGTCAGTGGCGATGGGGTGTTCGGTCCGGGACGGTTGTAAGCAGGGATATATGCATGCCGACTCAGAAATTCCCGAGAGAGCCAAGATGTGGTCGTGGTGGTGTCGAGGGGGGAACGAGAGTTTGGCCAAGTATAAGCAGTGAGTGACAGGGAGTGTTGACTAGTGCAGGTCCCTGGAGAAGGCGCGGAAGGTGCGGCCAAGACAACTACGTCTGTGTGAAGACGAGGTTGAAGGGTTTGCCTAGGCACGATGGCTGCGGGAATACAATGCACCAATCGTCGTCGAAGGTGGAGCCGTACCATGCAGAAAGCAGTCAATTCATGGCCTTGGCGACTACTTGTTTCTCCTCTGATTCTCGTCAAAATACCGCGAAGGATGCCAAAGCAATTCCGCTTGACGTGGCCCTCAGCACCGGCTTGAGTACCCCCAGCTGGTTCGATGCAGAGTTGGTCGCCCGTCGCACGGTTCTACGTGGTTAGTAGGAGAAAGCGGGTCTCTTGAAGAAGAAACTAGGCAAGAGGGGCCCAGTCGGTGCCGGCTCCGGGAGCGATCTCTGGATCTTATCAACAACGACGAGGGGTTTTGGAAAGGCCAATATCGGCCAGACAGCTGTCTGCTGCGAGCTTCGACATGCGGTGGCTGCAGGAGGAAATTATAACGACTCCCGGGCTAATCCAGTGCTATGATTGCGCGGCGCCCGGTTTGTGGTTGAAGATGTGTTTCATCCCGAGTCCGAGCGTAGTGCAGATCAGACGGGAGCAGGACGACGTCTCGCTGAACCCCGGAAACCTTTGGGGCTCTGACGGGCTCAGATAGAGTGCGCCGTCCCGTGACATGCACCCGCGTGGGAAGCTGCTGCACATGGATGGATGGGCATTCCTTGTACTTGGGGGCTGACTGATGGTGCTGCAGCAATCTCACATGGCAAGCTGCAAGTCTCTAGATGGGCACCATGGCGTCTTCGACGACCATCTGGCACTATCGTGCGGCCAGGCCTCGTGGGTGGGCGCTGTAACTGTGGCTGACCATGACTAGGGGAGCATCAACGCTTGCCTCTCTCCAGCGTCGGTCGTCTTTGATAGCCCAGTCGTGGTGCAAGGATGCGACTCAAAACGTGTAACCCATGCATTTCCTAGCCACTAGTCCCGCCGACCCTAATCTTCCTTGGGCCACGCCTGCGAAACGTGCCTCTTCGATCCTGTCGGGCCCTCCTTTCAACTTTGCTCTCGTTTCTATCTCAAGTCTGCTGCCAGTTGCTTCTGCCTTAATAATCCCCGACTACCCATCCGCCCTCGCCTGCCAGCCCGACCACGCCCGCCCGCAACCACGACCCCATCCCCACCGCCATACCCACCCCAAAGGCCGCCGAAGCACCCCCGGCCACGTCTCTCAGTCGCCTGATGCATTACTAGACACGCATTCCCATTCCTCCGGCAGTCTGCCATTGTAGCCTCCAATGGGTCAGAGCAACGGCAAGCCCGTCGTCTTCACCGACCAAGGTGCGTCCCCGACGTCGTCGTAGCTGAGCACGAGAGCCTGCTATATGGAAGAGAAGGGCATCCAACATGGTCACTAACACACCCACTAGTAAACCTCAATCACTTCCGACTGTTGCGAGTTGTTGGCAAGGGCGCATTCGGCAAGGTGCGCATCGTTGAGCGGAAAGACACGGGTCTCACTTTTGCGCTCAAGTACATACGGAAGGATGAAGGTATGTCTATACACGATAAGGCACTGCATGCCAGTGCCGCACACTCGCAGGGACCGATGCTGACGCTGTGTGACAGTCGTACGCTCCGAGAGTGTTCGCAACATCATTCGAGAGCGGCGCATGCTTGAACATCTGAACCACCCCTTTCTCTGCAACTTGCGCTACAGTTTTCAAGATATCGAATACCTGTATGTCATCCACGTTACCAACGAGCTTGGCAAAAGGCTGACGAGAACAGATACATTGTCGTCGACTTAATGAACGGCGGCGACCTACGCTTCCACATCTCGAGAAAGACATTCACCGAAGAGGCAGTGCGCTTCTGGATCGCCCAGCTTGGTTGCGCCGTGCGCTACATTCACCAGCAGGGCATCGTGCACAGGGACATCAAACCAGACAACGTGCTGTTAGATTCCGAGGGACATGTCCATCTGGCAGATTTTGTACGTTCTGTCCTATCCCTATCCCCAACCGCCGCTAACATTCCCAGAACGTGGCCTCCGACTTTACGCCCAACAAGCCGCTGACAAGCAAGTCTGGCACGCTCGCCTACTTGGCCCCCGAGGTATACGAAGGCAAAGGATACTCATGCGAAGTCGACTGGTGGTCACTGGGCGTGCTCTTCTATGAGTGCATCTACAACAAGCGACCCTTTGAGGCCAGCAGCCACGATTCACTCGCCGCCAAGATCTCAAAGGGAGAGCCTACCTATCCCGTTACCAGCCCGCCCGTGTCCATGCCCTGCCTACATGCCATCAGCTCGCTGCTGGAGAAGAACCGGAAGAAGCGCATAGGCGCCATTGGATTCGAGTCCTTCACAGACAACCCCTTCTTCCGTCCGCTTGATTTCATTGCGTTGGAGCGCAAGGAAATACCACCCGTCTTTATCCCGTCGAGCGACAAGACCAACTTTGACGCAACTTACGATTTGGAGGAGCTGCTACTGGAGGAGGCGCCACTGGAGGCAAGAGCGCGCAGACAAAAGCCCAGAGAAGCGCTCAAGGACGATGCGACCGAGCAGGAGATACGGGCCGAGGAGCTGCACAGGATGATCGAAACTCTTTTTGAGCCTTTCAATTACACTACAGCTGCAGACCAACGGCCCCCAGCTGCTGTAGCAGTTGTAGATCCTCAAGACTCGGTCGGCGGCTCAAGAACGAGCAACCAAAGCCAACCGGATAACACTTCGGCATCGGCCACAGGGCAGGTAGACCCATGGGGGCGCCCACTTGCGACCAACAAATCCCAAGATGGCGAACTCCATCCCACCCGCTCCGCTACCACCGCTCGATCAACGCAATCGCCCAATGGCAGCCCACCGCTTGCCACCAACATCCTGAACCAGACCGCCAACACCGGCTCACCCACATCACAACGCGGCGAGCATATCGACTATTTCCCCAATGACGGCTCCGAGATTCCGACACCCTCATTCTCTCGCCCTATGAACAACCGCCAGCGCGGATCGCAGCGCAGTATCAGTACAAGCGGAGGCGTACAGGTAGTTCTCAATGAGACTGGCTCTTGGACTGAGATGGCTAACCAGAGTTCCGCCCTCGTACAGAAAGATGCCCAAGCTGAGAAACCGTCCGGCATGCTTGGCTTCCTCAGTCGCAAAAAGGGCCGGGACAGGAGTCCCAAGGCGAAAGAGCGCGGTGTGCTGGGCAAGGAAGGCGCCAGAGTCATCATCAGCAACACTTGAAATCCCTCCTTTTCGCCATCTTTCACGCTCTCCACAACGCCTCCCCCACGAGTTCCCTTTCACTAGATGTTATTCCCGGGTCCAGGTCCATTTCTCCTGCGTGGCGTTTTTGGCGTGCTTTAGGCTCTTCACACCACCCCTTCCCGACTCTGCGACGCCTTTAATGTCGTCGCTTCTCTTTATAACCGCATCAAATCTGCATGTTCCACCACCCTGGGAAGGTGTGCGAGACGGGCGTTGTCGGCTACATTGTTTATTTCACTCGAAGAAAGTTGGGCTTACTGGGCAGAGAGCTTGCTCAGCCAGCACCATGTTTAGGGAACATAGAATGAGGAGAGGAAGACCCGGCCACTTCTGAGGAGGAAGTTGCGCCATTGTACATTTGCATGTGTGGATATAGGAATGTTCGGACGCGAACGCATGAGCATGCATGCTGTCTGCGCGAGTTTACGAGTACAGACTACGAGGGAGAGGGAGTACTTTTGATAATTGTTCGAAACGCCAAATACCCATATTTTTTTCACTCTTGAATTTGCTCTTGTTACTCTACAGCTCGTTCCTTTCCTTTTCCGCTTCCCTGGTTGACTGCCGCCGTTACTGCTGCTTCTGCTGCTCTCGCCTCACAGCTCCTCACATGTCTAGTAAAATTGTCCTTGCGCGTCCACTCCTTATTCGGCGTTGGACAACCAAGAACTGTACACCACGATCGCTTATTCGATCGGAACGACTCTGCATGTACGGTATGTTCGTGACGATCAAGATCTGCTTTTACGCCAAAGGGTCGCATGCAAATGTCGCATACGTAGCGGAGGCGGTGTACGCGGTTGTAGTGTTTCCTTGAGGGGTCGTGTTAGTATATATATATATATTCGATGATGCTGGAGCGTTCTTCGTCGTAGTACTCGAGAGGTCTTCTTGTAAGGGGAAAATACTTACTTTTGCTAGCCTAGAGTCTGGAACGTTTTTCCACAGTCTCGGCATGTTAGGTTGCTATCCGAGGGACTAAATGAGTTGGCGGGTGATTCCGTTCCGATGGAAGGTGTTGTAATGGCTGATCCTGGTGATGCAGCATGTGTAGCTGTGGATGCGAAACTCGAGTCTGTCCTTGCAGAATCAGGCGTAGATTTGCTGGACTGTAGGCTTGCTGTGGCCTTCACATTACGTGGAGACGATGATTTAGGCATCAACGTGCGTTGGTTGGGACGTCTCTGCTTTGAGCCATCATTGTTGATGCCGTTTTGGTTGTTGAACGGTCTGGTCTTTGCGTTGTCGGTTTCCAAGGGGCGTAGATCGAAGCCTGCTACTCTCTTACGGGGAGTCAAGTTGGGAGCAGATGCAGGAGTAAAAGCACGACTTTGACCTACTGGTCGGGTAGTTGGTGAGATACTGGTCACCACATCTACTGCCATTTGACGATGCTCGGGGGAGCTTTCTGAATGGTCGATTTGCATCTGCTCCTCTGGATATGCATGATCCTGCGCAAGGTCATCGCTCAATGGCCATGATGCTTTACCTTGTTCGATATCAGCAAACACTCCGTTGCTACTCGATGTTTGTTCTCGCTGATGGAGATCATCGGTGATCGAGCATGTCGTTCTGGGAAATGTTTCCATCTCTGGTGAGTCCAGCTCGAGGCTAAATGGAATATAGTCGTCTAATTGCTGCAAGTCCAAGTCCAGGTCTAAGTCCAGGAAAGGTGTTTGTACAGGCGGGGCCACGTCTAGTATCTTCGATGGACCGGCAAGGGGCGAATAATACACGGGATTTGGGTGGTTTTCGACTGCAAAAGGGCTAACAAAAGCTGTTCTGAGGTTTGGAACCGGTATCGTCTCTTGGTTGTCACTGATTGCTATGGTAGGGGGAGTCCACAATTCGGCTATCTTAGTCGTCAGCGCGAGCTCCACCATAGCAAGTACTCAAACATACCTATAGGGGTCAAGGGCACTTCTAACAGAGACCTTTTGTTGTAACACGATACTTGCTCTAGCTTGCTGCACTCTTTCTCTTTAGAAGAGTCGGATCTTGCTGTAGTTGTCTTCGTCGCTCTATATGAGGTCGGATGTGACGACTCGGAGTATCTAGGTAGTACCACGCCTGGGGCTTCCGTTCTGATAGCCGATTCGCCAGGTAACTCAGGTAAACCAGCTAATTTCCAGTATTTGACTTCGGTTCCAGCATATGTCGTGTCAATCTTTGGGGGCTTCTCCAATTGCGGGTCTTTCCTTGCCCTTCTCCGCCTCCTTAAGAGCCAACAAAATGTCCCGATAGCGACAACGACGCAAACAATTGAGACAGTGATGCCAATCAGAACCGAGGGATCATTGGCCGCAGATGAGGCTCGTCTGTTACGAGAAGGCGCAGCATGCAATACCGCGGAGCGGACAGCAAAGACAATGGGGGCCATCTTGCTGTAGAAGGGCATGGTAGTAACGGCAGAGTTATTTTGGGTCGGCTAGAAGCAAGCGATGCTATAATTATGAAGTATCCGGGTAGACCATGAGGCTGACTGAGGCACACTCATACTGGTGGAATAGAATCAATCACAGGTGCAGATGTCGCTAACTCGAAGGACTCCAACTTGTGCATCATGCAAATGCAGTCCCGAATCATGAAATCAGGCAAGATATCCTATCTCCTGCATTTTATTGGGACCAAGCACGAGAGGTGATATATGCACGTCGCCGCCATGAAAACTTGCCCTATGATAGAGTTCCGGAGACGCGCAATTCCCATGTACCGTGATATGAAGGGCGATCCACATGATGCATGGATGCTTCGGCCTGGCCATCGTAAAGCATGAGACTATTCGTTGATTCGAATCGAGGTCCTCCAGAACACTTAGTATGCCTCAGCAGACCGCATCTTGATTCTATTCTTGTGCGCGGCCCTATAGTTCCAGTATCTACTCTTTGCCCTTGTGCTTGTCTACGAAGACACTGTGAAACGACACCGCTCCAGCAATGGCCTTCTTATAACGCACTACATATCTTGTGAAGATATCTTTCCGAGCGTACTCCTTCTCTGAAGCCGTACAGCCGATGTTTGGACATTGAAACAGTTTCGTAAGAATGATCTGGAGATCAGCTCGACGAACGTTACTTTCATGGCATTGAAGATCTGTGTGGAGCCCAAACTTCGCTCTGCATATTCCACAGGCATATTGCAGGTTATGTTTGGGATTATGATTGTTTCTGAATAGAACTGGATTAGCATAAGCCCTTACATGTTGACTAGAATCTGATGTGCTAAGATCAGTACCTGATTCAGTTGATGTCGGAAGAGGTTCTCATTAAGGTTTGTAACTTTTAGGCTCTACGACTCCTACGAAACAAGTTCGCACTTCAGATAAGGCACTTCGGCATGTAGTGAACATGTGCATACACTTGCGTTTAGGACTGTAAGCGACGGTTTGGCAATACAGCTGTTAGTTGCGTTGGATCGAAAAGAAGAGGGCATAGTGGCGCAAACGAAAGTTGTTGAGTTTTTTGTGTTGCACAAGGACTGGATGTAAGAAGGTCAGTGTGTTGAGGGTAGAAGATGACGATATCCACTAGCTACATCTGGATGAGGCTAACAAGCTAATCCGCTTAACGAGCTGACACAGATGCAACAGTACATGATGGAGATGAAGGCATCCTCATTACACCTGGTTTATGGATAGAGGTAATGATGTTCCGAAGGCTTCCATGGCTCGGGCATGTATGCTCATTATCATAGTTCCCCGTACCATGGTCATCTATCACCTCCTAAGCAAACCCACAGAACGTTCTTACGGCATCATCGAAGGTTGAAGCTGAGAAAGAAACTGATCTTTGGGTATCGGATATGAACGCCATATTTTCGCCCCGCTCCCCTGAATGCGAGCGTGAACTCCTACAACCTAACAAGGAAATCAAACAAGCAGCAAGTTCTCTTGCTAATGAGGCTTGATGTTGGACCTGGCCAGCCACAAGGCCACGCTCTCTTTAGCAACCTCACTACCCCATACACCATCAACTCCTCCTCGTCGCCATTCCTCGCCAGACACATCTTCTCCACCACCTCGAGTAGCCTCTCCAAGTAAGACCTCCAGATCCCGCTTCTGGCTAGACAACCAGCGCTTGAAGAAGCCCACAGGGTCCTTGGACATGCTAGTGAAGAAGGCGTGTTTCGCCTTTGACTGACCGATTGCCCCCATCAATAGCACGAGCTGCTCATCGATCTTTTGGATCTCTTGGAGGGTCTGTATGCTATCTGGTCGGCGTAGGATATCCTGGAAAAGTGGCTGCATCGGGTCTTCGAGTGCTACCTGAACGTCGTATACGGTCGGTTCGGAAGCGGTTTTACCCGAATCGGCAGCTGGCGAGATGTAGTCTTTGTCCACGCGAATAGTGTATTGCAGTTGAATAGGTGGGAGAGTCGTAAGGTGTTGCTTGATGAGCTGGGGTAGGTTGGGGAAGAAGAAATGGTCTTGACCACCGAAGAGGGCCTTCAACCTAGCGTCGCATGCAAATTTGCGCTCATCGTCTTCTTGTTGTAGGTGTTGTGATCTCGCGTACTCCCAGATGCCCATGAGAACACCAGCGCGGTCCTCCTCATCGGTGTCAAGCAGCTCGGCGAGAGGCTTGCTCAAGCGGAAGACCTCGGGATTTTGGTACTTCTGTAGGTTGATCGTGATGTTGATGTTCTCGTCGCCCTTGCGCTCAAACTCGAGTTCGCTGAAGTTGGCTTCCTTGGCAGTAGGGTTCTCGGGTCGTTTCCACTCGATTTGCGTGAAGTTGTCGGGTTGTAAGCTCTTGGCGCGGTCGAAATCGATGTTGATGGATGTGAAGTAGTGTGAGAACAACTTCGGCTTTGCGGCTGGCTTTTTCTCCGCGCCGTCTTCGTCCCTGAATACTAGTTAGTTTTGCGACGGAAGTGTGTACGCGACCGGCGGGCTCTCGAACTAGCGCGGTCGCAACAGAAGAGTTTGAGCAGACGTACATGGCATCGCCGTCCTTCTCATCCTCCTCATCTTCTTCGAGACCTTCGTCCCCCTCATCGTCGAGCAAGCGTCCTTGAATCTTCACACGATATGTCGCGTTGTTCTCGCTCTCAAAATCGAAGGCATCCGCGTCGATGCCACTGCTCTGCCAAGGCTGGTTCTCGGCGGTGTTCGATATCCATATGCGCATGGTACCATAGCGCGATGCGCGCGAATGGTGCTTCGAGTCCATGACATCCAGCTTCTTGCGCATCATAGTTGCATCCAGCGTGCGCTCGACCTCGCGCAATTCCTTGTAGCGCGCTACGGCGTCGCCAATGCATACATCCTCGACGCCCTCGGGGATGTTCTTGTCGGTCGGGTTTTTTGCGATTCGGCGCATCTTCTCGCGGCGCTCGGCTTCGGCGCGCTGTGAAGCCTGCATGTTGGCGTTGCTGTACTGCGGTTGCGCAGCCGGGTGCGGAGGGTGGACAATGGGGCCTGGGTTGCGAAACAAGTGAGCAAGGTCGTTCCTACTAATCATCGTCTTTTACGGTATGTGTGCGCAGGCGATCGGTGCAATGGGACGTGTTGAGCGCTGTGGTTGGCAATTGGTACTTACCTGGTCGTCGGGAAGGCGTAGCTGCATTGTGCTGTTGCGGATAATTATATCCCCGTGCCTGATAGTTCGGCTGCATGTTGGAAGGTGTGCGAAAATGAACGGCAGCGAAATTCGCGATGAAAGCGCGTCAGTGGAGATGGAAGGTGGATAGGATGGTAACTTCTTTGGAGACGCGTCCAGGTTTAGGTACGTACTACATGCACGGATACTCTAGCTCCCCCTATAGCCATGCGGGGCACCACCCCCACCCAGCCCTCGACTGCACAAGCTTTTCCATCTATTTCCAGCCTCATCAACATCAGGTACCCGCGTGTGATGCATCATAGTAGCCGTTAACAAGTGTTTCTTGCTGCTATTAGGGTTTAGTCTCATTCACTGCTCCAGCATCGTTCTTGGCACCCGTAGTCGCTCGTTCAGTGAAGCGATCTAGCATTTCCTGAGTTTGTCTAAGCGTCATTATCGCCATCCCTGGTTCTCTTTCTTCCTTCCTTTTTCTCCAATCTGCACATTTTCAGCCAAAGCCCATCGATCCTGAGCATCCAAGTCTTTAGCCCGAGTGGAGAGAAAGGAAGTATGCAGGATCACATGTCAAACAAGACACTGAAGAAGATCAGTAACGTTCGTGTACCGGATAAGCCGTCATCAACACGCTGGGACATCGCAATCAAAGACGGAAAAATAGTGTCCGTAGACAACCATGACAACTGCGTGGACGATAACAACGAGAACACATTAGATGGAGGTAACCGCCTTATAGCGCCGTCGCTATGCCATGCCCACATCCATCTCGATAAATGCTTCCTCCTCCAAGACCCTAAATTCAGCGACCTACAGATCGAGAGTGGCGACTTCAAGGAGGCTATGGACATGACAGGCGAGGCAAAGTCAAGGTTTGAGGAAGATGACCTGCTAAGGAGGGGCACACGCCTCATTGAAGAGAGTATTCAACATGGTGTGACCGCTATGCGAGCCTTTGTAGAAGTGGACGGGGTAGTAAAGATGAAATGCTTGGATGCGGGTCTCAAATTGAAAGAGATCTTCAAGGATCGGTGTGACGTGCAAATCTGCGCCTTCGCCCAGCTCCCGCTTTTTTCCGGTCAGGATGGAGGCGACGAGGTACGGAAGCTGATGACCGAGTCTGCCTCGTTTGAGACTGTGGATGTGCTCGGAAGTACGCCATATGTTGAGGACGACGAGCAAAAGTCCATGGACAATGCTAAATGGATTACGCAACTAGCTCTAAAGCATCAGAAGCATCTGGACCTCCATCTTGACTACTTTTTGGAAGAAGACAAGAGGCCACTGGTCTGGAGTACTTTGGACATGATCAAAGAGCTCGATTGGGACAGAAAGGGGGGAAGCAGACAAATCACGTTAGGGCACTGCACAAGATTGACAAGATTTCGGAATGATGAGTGGACGCACCTGAGACAAGAAGTAGGCAGCCTGCCCATATCTTTCGTAGGCCTGCCAACTTCCGACCTCTTCATGATGCGAACACCGGAGAATGCGCGTGGAACCTTACCAGTAGTTGAACTCATCAACGAGTACGGGTTCAATGCTGCGATTGCTGTGAACAACGTGGGCAACGCGTTTACGCCGTATGGAAACTGTGACCCTCTGGTAAGACATTTCGCATACATACTCAGGCAGGACCGTTACTAAAACCATGATTTAGACCATCGCATCTCTGGGTGTTGGTCTATATCAGGCTGGAACAAAGAAAGATGCCGAACTCCTATATGTAAGTAGCCGTGCAATACCATATCACGACCATCCTAATTCATGCAGGAAACCGTATCGACGCGGGCAAAAGCCGCTATTGGCTGTGATTCGACGTCTCTCGCCCTGGAGCCTGGTCAACCTGCCGACTTTGTAATGTTCGACCGAATGGACAGCGGCTGGCATTGCAGGAAGAGCGTGGTAGAGGTGGTATATGATGCCGGACATACCCGCCAAACGATCTTCAAAGGCCGGTTGATAGCCTCGAAGGATCGCTGAGCTTAGCGGAGCTTCAGCAATCATTTAATGATACACAACGAGTCACTGACGCTAGAGGCCAGCACACCATGACGTAACCTCGTACACAGGTAGGTATGCAAACGCTGCTTTGTATGCATTTACTGAACTGAATTCGTATCTATCTCTTGAAGTACTCGCCCTAGCGGTTTTGTTGTTTTTTGCCGTCATCGCGACTTCCCTCAGACGGACCAGCAGTTATTGTATGGGGCCTAGAAGGCCGTGCTTGTGACACCTTGTACAAACAACTCGCCAGATCTTCTACCTGCGCGTATCCACGCACTATAAAAACGCTGGAATTACGTTACCGCCTCCGTGAGGCCGAGAAGCGGTGGGACGCGTATTCACGTGTGTTTCATCTTCACTTCACTGGCAGGTCCGTTTTGCTGCTAACACAACGGATTCGGCTATTTGAGGACCGAGCGCCTGTGCCACGAGGTCCAGCATCGCCATCAATCCTGCAACCACACCACATTGACGCCGATAAAACGATTGGGTTATTGCCAGATACATGCCCGCGCTACCTGTCTGAGCCGACGTCATGGAAGCTCTCGACTGCGACAAAGTACTTCACGATGCACATCAGTCGCTGCATCAGACCGACATGGCATACTCCGTAACTGTAAACGACAAACCCAAACACGTGGACCGACATCAGCAGCCTACTATCGGGCAGGTTGTCTATACCTTCCTAAACAACATCAAGGTGAGTCGTTGATCTCCAGCATCCCATCCAAAACCGTATGCATTATTCGATCTTTCTCAGCATATGACTGATACTGAAGACCGAAGCTCCGATTTGGCGAAGAGTCATCTGAAGTGGTCAGCATCCTGAACATCCTGGGTACATTCCGAGTTGGAGGGCTGTCGAAGAAGGACACACTTGTTGCGATCAGACTTATGCTCGGAGACCAAGCAGACCTCAAGCAAGATCTGTTGAACATTCTCTTTCATAGGGAAGCAGACTGGGGCGTAGGCGACTTTGACTTTGGCTCCCATCAACCTTCTAGCCAAACAAGCCCCAGCCCGCAATTCCTACAGCCGGTCCATCAACCTCGGATGCGTCTGCCTCCAATCTCTCCGTTATGGTATGATGAAAGACACTCTTGTCCATCAAACCACCTCACAGGAGTAGTCGGTTCCGGTAATAATGGCAACTTTGGAATGCCAGTATCGTCGTCGCTATATCAGCTCCCGAGCCAGTTCTGTCGCCCGAATCTTTTTACCTCCCCTATCTTGACCGACTCTGCTCGTCTCGGTTCCCATATGGAAGGAATATACGGAGTGAAGGATAGTCCTGCAAAAAAGCAACACGATGTAGAGGTCATACCACACCTAGGTCGTTCCCAGCACGAATGGGAGGAAGCAGACCATCTTGGGGGTGAGCGATCATTTCGTTTCAAGGTATTGTACGCTGTTGCTAATGTCCTCACAGAACCTAAAGCCTACTATGGTCAGCCTTGGTCTCCAGTCGCCAGTAATTCGATGCTTGGTCCTACGCAGTCTTTCGCTCGCAATCATTTCGACTCGCCAGCTCCTTCTTACGAAAATCACCTGTCTTCAAACTCGTCATCAAGCAACGGACAAATTGCTGCCATTAGCCCATCTGTACTCGGAGTTCCCGTCGCCGTACCCATTGGACAGCCTATCAATGATATGCCGCCACCTTCCAAAAAGCGTCGTCGTCAAAGCTCAAGGCCTCAAGTAAAAGTGAAGAAGGAAACCAGCAAAGAAGATACCGAAACCGCTAGCCCTACTCCATCGTCTATCACGACTATCGACCAACTATCCGTTCAACCTCAGCTGAAGAAGAGAAAGGTCCAGGATGAATACACAATATCACATGCAGGAGAAGGGCCCTATATTCACAGTCTTTGCGGCAAGGGCTTCTCCAGCAGGTCGAAGGTCAAGAAACATCACTGGGGTAACAAGCTTAATAATTTGGATACAACTACCGGTTGCTGGGCGAAGAACAACAAGCCGAACGTGAGTTGGAACGAGCACCCGAGCTGCAAGAGGGGTGTTGTGCCGCCACATCCGGTGAAAAAGGCTCTCCCAGCCGTACCCAAGCAGAGAACGATGACCCAGAAGGCTCCAATGGCGCCCTCGATGGTACCTAAATCGCAAGATCTTTCTCCGACCATTTCCGACACTCCTCATGCCCATCAAGAGAATCAGCACTCTTTTGAAGGCCTGGGCTCTTATCAAACTCATGGGCTTCTGACTGGAACAAGTTTCGACAACCTGCTCACTGCTGTCAATGTCGCCTCCCAAATTGACGCGCCGCGACCGCAAGGACGCATCGATTCGGTTGTCTCTCATCTCGACGCCCAGACAGTCGCTGCTGAACATAACAAGCAGTATGTCACCAACTGGCAGAACACTTCTGACGATCATGGTGGGGAGGCTCTTACATATGATCACCAACACCCGTACACTACCTATGGACTCGGCCTTCAGGGTATCCATGTACCCATGAACATGGCTCTACCGGGCCTCAACGGATTGTACCCGTACCCCTATTCAACACATTCTTTCACCGATTCACACTCGAACGAAAACCGCCACTTGATGTACGATGGCATTGATCAAAGCCGGACGACTCTCGGGTCACCATTCTCGCCTGGTCTTGACAAAGACGGCCAACAGTTTTGAGGGAGTCGACCGACGACTCTTCTAAACCGAGGATGCGGTCAGAGACCCGATAATTCTACAAATGTGAGGTACAAGCAGGTCCGAATGTCAACTAGATGGTATATATGCGGTGAGTGGGGTATGTGGCAGAACTGGACATGAGAGGGCTCGAGTTACTTGTGTCCACCACTGTTAAAAGGGCAAGACCTTGTGTAGCCCAGTTCGAGGTTTGCCAACTGAGTATTGTATCTAAAAACATGGAGTGAAACACAATAAACACAAGTTCCTGCGTAGAAGAACGATGGCGGCATTATTTCTGTATCCAGTATACCATCCCGAGCTTGCATATACGATATGTGGCGTGGTTCAAGCTTCCGCCTCAACGGGTAAGCTCATCGGCAAGGGTACTCAATGTCAGCCGCTCTCCACATCAACAACCAAGCTATATCCATGATCTCTGCCTGTCAACGCGGCGCGTTTAGTTTTTTCCGCGATTTTCCGCGAATGGTGACTTCTGCCGGTGCCTTTTGCTCTACTGATCCTTGTCGAGTGAGATTGTTTAGTCGCGATTCTGGAGCTATGACGACCGGGGCGTCGAGCTTGCGAGGGAGCTGGATGCCTCACGGTACGACACATGAATGGAAAGCAAATGCAATTGAGAGCGATACTGTTGTGCAACATCTGATCTTTGCGCTTCATGGCACAAAGGGGACTGGTGTGCAGCTTCTGCAAGCTTGCGCGGCCCGATTTCGTCATAGCCGTGTTCCTGGGGAGATTGACATCCATGGAGGCCTTTGCGGGGAAGCGCACGTTCGCTACCCTTAAGCGGCGACCCGCCCTTTTCCCCAGTGCAACCCCGTTAGCACCATAAACCTGGAGGCTGGAGGAGTGCGAGTACGTGGGATAGAATCCTAGTCACAGGATCGTGGAACGGTAATTGCGCCGATAGTCTGTTCCTGTAGTATATAATCACTCTCCTCCCTTCCACCCCGTACTCTTCTCCACACCACATCACATCACCTCCACTTCTCAACTCGATCGAGCTTGGCAAGTCACGATGCGGTTCTCGACTGTACTCCCTCTCTTTGCTGCAACTGCCCTTGCGCAGTACAGCTCGCCGCCGAACAACTCGAGCTCGTCTCTTGGACCTGACAAGGACGGCAAGTACGAGATCTCGTCTGAGGGTATTCGCGGTCACTTCATTCCTTATGGCGCGTCCATCTCCAACTTGTTCGTTACGGGCAAGGATGGCGTTGAGCGCGATATCGTCCTCGGCTTCGACAACGCGACTGCTTACGAGGGCGAAGTTCATCCCCATTTTGGTGGTGTACCAGGTCGTTACGCCAATCGCATTCGGAACTCTACTTTTTCCATTGATGGAGAGACCTTCCATATCGAGCCTAACGAGAATAACAACAACAACACCCTTCATGGTGGACCAGACGGATGGGACTACCGTAACTTCACCGTCGTGTCGCATACCGAGGACTCCATCACCTTCTCTATTGTCGATCCTGATGGCAAAGAAGGCTTCCCTGGTGAGGTCGTGAGCTACGTTACCTACACCATGACCCCAAACACCTGGAACATCAAGATTGTGGCGCTTGCTACCACCAAGAAGACGCCCATCATGCTGACTTCTCACGTGAGTAGACCGATATCATGATATATCAAGGAGATGCTAATCATAGTAGACCTACTGGAACTTGGATGGATTCGGCAACCCTGAAGATGAGACTACGCTGAACCATACTTTCCACATCCCGTACTCTGGTCAGCGTATGGATGTTGACGCTATCCTCATCCCTACCGGCACCATCCTTCCTAATGAGCAATACTCGGTCAACGACTTCTGGTCAGCTCCCAAGCAGATCGGTGCCAACCACACTGCGCCTGAGCTTCTTGGCAACTGTGGCACTAACTGCACTGGTTACGACAACTGCTACCTTGTCAACCGCAACCAAGCCGAGTCTCTGGACTGGCGCAACTCTGGACCCGTCGCTTCTTTGTCTAGCGAGTGGTCCGGTATTAAGCTCGACATCTACTCCGACCAGGAGGCTTTCCAGATGTACAGCTGTCCCGGCCAAGATGGTATGTCAAATTCATGAAGTTTTTTGGAATAATGACTAACGAAGTTGCAGGTACTATACCTATCAAGTCTACTCAGGGTGCTGAGGGCAGCAGTGGACTTGTCCAGAAGTACGGCTGCATCGTCATGGAGGTCCAGGACTACATCGACGCCATTAACCACCCCGAATGGATGCGGGAGAAGAAGCAGATCTTCGGCCCTGCCAGCCCAGCTTACACGCTCGAGGCTCAGTATGTCTTCTCTACGACTGAGTAGTTCCTTCAAAGTTGGGACGAAATAGCGGGATATGACCGGAGCTTTGGATAAGACGACATGATACCACGTTTGATAGTATAATTAGACATCTCTTGAGGAAGTTGTAATGGTAATCGGAGCTCTTTCCTGCTTCACATTGATCTTTTCGTTTGCTCTCTCTGTCTTGACAATTTTATTCGTCAGTCACCACAGATTTGAGATTCTTAGTTAAGTCTCTGTCTACCTCCACGAAGTTTCCTTCTCTTTCACCTTTAACCATAGTCGATACCTCATCATATTGAGACCTGGAAGCCGCTCTCAAGTGTATACGTCATGGTGGTGCCCGGAGGACTCCAGATAGCAAGTTGCACGAAATACTTCTTACCTTCACTTCCATCATGGCCGACAGCCCCCAAGATAACACCAAGAGTAAGGAAACGAGCCCGCACCCGACCAGTAATGCTGACCTTTAGACTCCAATCGATCTCCCCGAACTCAATACGCCCACTTCCACGTCATCTCTAATATTCTCGCTTCGCATCTGTACACCTCGATCGACAGCAACTAACAAAAAAGTTGCCAGTGACACAACACCCTCAATACCCGTTATGGATCCTTTACGGTACGTAAGGTCTGACTTCGAGGCCTGGACGCCCTCCCCGAACGTTTACAACAAACCCCAGCCCGAGAAACCAGAAAAGAGTAAAACAACTCGCGCCATTGGTATGGCTCGTGCTGTCGATGCGGGAAAGAGGTTACAGCGCATCATGGGAGTATCCGAACCTGTCCCTTTCGTTACTCCACCTGCGATGCCGAAAGACCTAGAGCAAGAGTTCATTGCCGGAATGGAAGAGTACGGCTTGGATAAGAGGATGCAGAATATGGGATTGGATGCACTTAGTCAGGCGGCGAGCATGCAAGAGCGTATGCCAGAGATCAAGGAAGAGAACGAGACTCCGGTTAGGGCTGCATGGACTCCTCCCCAGTCTGGTCAAGAGGAGGAAGTATCTGGCAGTCCCCCTTTGTCGCTGTCTGATGCGCAAAGCACGCCCAGCAAAGACCCTGGGAAGCCTACCGGTGACGTCACTGACGACCAGCAGTTGCCTGCTCTTGCTTCTTCTTCCGGAATGTCAGATGCTGATTTCGAAGCATTCATAAAGGAGCCGATGCTGAGTCTCCCCAACGCTGTTCAACAAGCATTTGCCTCCTCGCCACCCCAATGGACGTCTCAAGGTCCTGCAGTCAACACAACACCATTAGATGGGTCTCAGCCTGTGTACGCGTCGTACGATACACCTTCGTTTGCCGCTTTCAGGAAGCAGATGAGCGCGTTCGAAGAATGTCATGTGCCCGCGCATTCTCATGGTCCTCTTCAGATGTGTAACGATGGTATTCTGACTAGTGATTCAAAACTGAGACCCGACTCCGACATCACATCCGGAAGTACCTCCAGCTGTAGAAGTGCATTTCGAACCATTTCTAAACCGCTATTTCCTTCTCCTCATGTTGGGGTGCAATCTTGGAGTGAGAAAAAAATCGCTTCTCAGCAACCTGTGGCACCGGTTCAGCTTACTCCAGCAGCTACATCCTCACCAGGCAACGCATTCTTCGAGAACTTGTTCCGTCAGCCACCCACAACCAGCATACCTCGTATCGCTGTCCAAACCCCGTCACCAACAAAGCTTCCGTCGTCTAAGAAGCGCTTGGCCCCTCAAGCAACAGATGGATTGTTCGGCCCAGCCCTTAAAGGCAATCGCCCAGATAATAAGAAACCCACTGGCCTACCAACCCTACCCGCATCATCTTTAGCTTTACAGGAACTTGATTTCCCAGGCTACACACCCGCCCTGCTTACTATCCTCTTAACCTGGTCGCACGCAATGCAGTCCTTCTACCGGCGCCTTCCAGACCCAAAGACCTTCCCTATCCATACCGCCTTTCTCCATCGCATTACCCCACCAGTCTACAATCACCTTATCTCCGTCGCTTTCTATGATACTAGCGTCATCCCACACAAGGAGATTCGTTTCCTGGGCCTGGGCGACGCGGCCGAGATTGGCTATGCAGAGGTCGATGTATTCCACAGCAAGGAGGAAGTTGCTGCTTTCGAGGCGCAAGAGCAAGAAGCCTCAAAACTCCAGGCTATGAAACGGAAATTGAGGCTCGGATTCGGGTACGGAGAGCCAAAAGGAAAGACAAGTGTGTACCAGGATCAAATGCATCTTGCGATGAATGGAGAAGGACGATGGGCGTATATTCTTATAAAGGCACATGCAACTCCGCAAGAGGAAGTTGCGCCACACGTCATGCTCGCGTGGCACATCTCCGCCGTTACTGGCACGTCGACTTGTCTTCATACCGTCTTTCCCGATAAGGATGAGCCTATTCTCAGCCATCCACCTGCATTGACGACGCCAACCAAGCAGTCGCCAAAGCGTTTCGCTTCGCTGCAGAACCTCATGATCCCGACTCATGGCCAGAAACATCTTCATCGTGGGATTCGCTCGGCATCGAGCAGTTTGAAGCTGCCGCAGATGGACGTGTCGAGTATCCTGCCGCAGCAGGGTGCGCAGACGCTGAGGAGGACGGTTGTAAAATTGGACAAGGCGGGGAATATACCGCTTATTGAGGGGTATCGGGTTGATGTGAAAGAGTTTTGGGGGTGGTTGGATGCGGTGGGCAGAGGAGAGGGAAAGATCATCGTTTGGAGGGAGTAGTCGTCTACAAACTTACTCTTGATGCGCCGATTGTCGAGTATATGACTTGCGTTGCGATCGGGAACTAGTAATTCGCAGCAGGAACGGAGAGTATCGGAGCTGGGTTGGGTATTCAGGACAGATGCTTGGAGGAAGGTCGAGATGGTTTTACGCTGTCGTGCTCCAGGTAACACGACGTAATACTTCCCTTGAGACACATATCAGTCGGTTGAAGCTAGTCATGATCCTGTTCTTGACGGTTTTCTTCCAACTATAACTTATTAGCTACGACCCCTCCAGGCAATTGTGAGTGTATCATCAACGTACGTTTCTCTCTAATCCAGTGATTCATATGTTTCCTTATCCGATACAGCAAGGCCTCTTCATCCATTGCAGGCAGGCCACTTTCAACAAGTCGCTTGTTAACTTCTGTGGCAAGTTCCAGTCGTATTTCTTCGGGAATCTGGGTCCAGTAGCGGAGGCCTTTTGTAGGAATCTTATGTATATTTGCATCACAAGCCTCGCGGATTACTTTCTAAAGACGATGTCAGAATCCAAGACAGTGCTCGATATTATTGACCATATTTACTATCTTAGGGGTTTATCGCATCGTACTTACATTAGGAAAAGTTCTTCCAGCGGTCGTTTCCCAAGCTCCGTACTGATCTGCAACTGTGGATCAATTAGCACTGAGTCATGTTGCATGCTGTGGATGTGCATACAGCGCGTGTAGTGCCGCAGCTCTGGCAAGACTTTTGATACACGCCACTCGATTCCCTTGTCATCTAGTACTGGGAGTCCCTCCTCTTGCACAGAGTCCCTGATCTTTTGAGTGAGATATTGCTTCTCTGCAGGGTTGAGATCTCCCCAGAAGGCGCGAGGAAACTCTTTGCAAACTGCGAGTGAGACGCGCTGAGATAGAGTTAGTACAACGATGTCGCCGCAACAAGTTGTCAAGCTAGGCACGTACCAGAAAAATTGGCCATTGTCGCTCTGACAGGCCCAGAATCTCCCTAACGTGGTGTCTGTTCATGCGCCGTGGAATATGAGTTCCAGTGCCAGCTGCCCAAAGAAAAGTGGTGATCCTCATCGCGCGGGTTAATCAACGCGCGATGTCGGCAACATCTCACGCGCTAGATCAACTTAGACTATGGAGACAGGCACCGTAAATGCCGGATTGTTCGTGGTTGACTCCTGCCGTGCTGATGGTACGGTGTTGGAGACTGTGGGGATGCATATAGGCGTCCCATATCTCGCCGTCTCGCGCGACAAGACATCATGACCCTTGCATTAAACTATTTCCGGATAACGCTAGCGGCTTAGTGGCGAAAACCAAGTTGGTCCACCACACAGCGGCATAGACTTCCCGCGCGACACGGGTAGCCCAATGCAGGCGCGTAGTTGTTTACAATGCTCCAGAATTCTAGAGAGAGAAGACATCCAACCAGGCGCTTAACGCGCCTGCTCTAGCGAGCCAGAGTGCTCATCTGTCGACGTGGCGAAGTGCCCGTTGCAGGCTACACCATGTCAGATGTAAGAGAATGGGGCCAAAAGTGCGGACATAGCATGGTTGCATATTTTACGCTTTGTGCCACCTCATTGGTACCCAGGTACCTGCGTACTTCTTCAAACCATTCTTTCTCGAATTTCGCCGTTTCTGTTTTTCAGCTTTGGTGACAATCCCTAGGTACTCCTTTGTGTTTCCAAGCGTCATGGCGTATGAACCTGTTTCACTTTACGCAAAAGGTCCAAATATATCAGTGGAAGACGATGCCGCGATGAGCACCCGGTATGATGCTGGGTTGTATAGCAGCAATCCGGACGATTCACGAGATCGCGATACCGAAGATGGTGCCGAGGATGTCAAACGCACATCTCACGGGATGCAACGGCAGATGTGGCCTTCGCATGCACAGAGAGTAGCAGTGATGACGCCACTGAAAGTACTGATTATGGTATTCGATGTGATTCTGGCTTCAACGCCCATCATGTTTCTAGGTGAGTCACATCAGTCTTAGCATGTCAGCATTCGTCAGTCATGATTTAGAAGCGATTACATTAACCAACTACTAATATCCTGTAGCGCTCGCTTTTATCGCTGTTAGGCTAGATGGAAAGGAAGTCTCAGACTATGGTTACAAACTGGAACAGACTCTTCTTCTTTCGCCAACAATTTTCCCTCTTATCTTTGCGGCTTTGATGGGAAGGTTCTTTCGACACCTTGGTCTCTGGCTGGCTCAGCAAGGCACAACTCTTGGTCGTCTTGAACAACTAGTTGGTTGCCAATCTGTCTTCTCCGCACTCGAACGTCAGTTTTGCCTGAGGTCCTGGTCTATGGTTGGACTAGCATCTATCTTGATCTGGCTCCTTTCGCCGGTCGGGGGACAATCAGCGCTTCGGCTGCTAGACCAAGAGGTCGGAAGCATCCACTCTACTAGCCAAGTACGCTATATGAGTCCGATGACGATCATGGATTCTATCATGAGCGGCGCCAGTTTTGTCAGTAAGTGTATATGTACGATTTACGTGTGAGACAAGCACTGACTTTGTACCTTTCTTCTTCACAGATAATGCTCGTAGCACCTTTACGTCAATTAGTCTCGGATCAATAATCAGCAGCACCAAATACCACAGTACACCCATGGACTTGTGGGGAAATGTGAAGCTTCCGCTCTATCGCACTATCGAAAACAGTACGTCTAATGAGTGGAAACTGGTACCCAATGCTACTGCCAGCAACTTTACCTACGCTTCTCTGATTGGTATTCCGGTCATCGGACCACCATCTGTTGGTTTCAGCACTTTCAACGTGGAAGCTCGACAATGGGACCTGACGTGCTCAAGCAACGAAGGACCACGAGGCCAACCAGCGGATTTTGCTGACCGGTATACATGGCAACTCTCAGTAGTTGACCACACAAAGCAGCCTTGTAAGAAGAACGAAACCGATTGTCTGCCCCCGAAGTGTGAGGGTTACCCATGTTCAATTCGGAGTGAATCTCTCGCCGACAATGATAAGAACGAGTTTTCAGTGGCCGATTGTGAGCTCTCTTTTGGAAAGTACGAAGCTGGGGTGCGCTGCAATGGGACGTCATGTGCTGTTCATAAGATGAGAAAGATGGATTTGTTAGATGACGACTACCCAGAAGGCTACGACGCAGCTATCCGTAAAATCTTCACCCCGAGCCTACTTGGGGCCATGACTACCCTGGACAACTACAAAACCACGATGGCGGTGTCTCGAGGCTCAACAACCATGGAGAAATGGATAATGGATCCGTCCGACTTCGTCGGTTTAGACCTTGGGTGGCAGGATCTTTACAAACTATCACCACAAGTTTTCGGCGAGCGACTGACAATCCTATATAACACATTCTGGCAATCCACTTATGGCACCCGAGCGCTTAGTGGGAACTTACCCGCGTACATAATGGAGACCGCCTGGTTCAACACCACGAACTCTAACATAACATTCGTTGCGACCGAAGCCAATATATCGCAGAATACGGAGCCAGTCTACCGAACGAACTGGAAGTGGTTTACGGCACTATTGATTTGCTCGATCATACTACTAACTGCGGCCTACTCCGGACTCGTCCTCAAATACACCACGCTCGTACCGGATATCATCGGTTACGCATCTTCGATGACCCTGTTGAACCCTTATGTTCCAACTCCTACAGGCGGAACTACGCTGAGCGGGTTGGAGAGGACAGCACTGTTGCGCGACTTTCCCGTGCGCATAGGTGATGTTTGCCCGAACGAGGCGGTAGGCGCAATAGCATTTGCAAGAGCCGACGTAGCAAGCGTGGGGAGGTTGGACAGAAATCGAGAATATATCTGAGGCCATGAGATAGTCAGAGAAGACCATCACGGGCCGCAATTGAAAAGCCCGCAAGGGTGATAATGTATCATAATGCGTCAGAACGCTCAGCTATCGCTCATCCTGCGATACTCCGTATGGTGCCTCTAATATCGCCAATACAACTCGCCTCGAAGTTTCCGACGTAGTCGACAACATACTCGAACACTATAACGTATCACATATGATGGCGACCCGGGTAGGATCACTATACGAGGCAACCCGAGACAAATAATGCCATGTTCACGCGGCTACCAAGATCCAGGATGATGGGTGTAAGCAGCTGTCACGTCCTGTCATAACTGAGCTATAAACATCTTCGCTCTCGATAGTGGCTTGAGTGGTGTAGTTGTTTTGTCGCATCGTCGGTTATAAGGCAGTGAGGCATTTGGTGTGTCGACTCCAAGACCTGCGGGGTTTCAGACGCCTGAGGCATGACCGTGGAACATCAGCATACTAGCATTGCAGCTCCGCCTAGCAATTTTGCCAGCCGCGTTGTAGATAAGAATATGGAAGCGGTTGTATATATATATCAAGGGAAGCCTCTTGTAATAGTCCATCATCAAGCCAACACTCACTCAATTCACATTCTCTTCATTCCATTCTCTCCTCCAGCGCTCGGCCGCTCCATTCGTTCAATACAATACTTAGATACCCAACTTTTTTTTAACGTTTTCTACCAAATATTCTATCCACCAATATGAAGTTCACCAGCACGCTCCTCGTTCTCGGCATCGCCGCTCTCACCAACGCACGCGCCATCTACGTCCGCCAGAACAATGCGCAGACCTTTACGGGCGCTCTTGGAGGTGTCGCAGCCACACCTGTACTCGACTCCGGCATCGCGAACCGCCCCTTTAGTGTCAAGGGCGACACTTTCGTCAACCTTAAAGGTGCTCTGCAGCGATCTTGCGACCAGCAGTTCAATGGATGCGCGAACTTGGCCAACGGTGGAAATGGAAACTTCTCCACTCAGGAGTGCCAGGCGCAGAAAGGTAAATTTGACAGTTCCGAGTCTTCTGGACCCAAGCTAATCATGTAATAGACCAATGCACAGCTGCGAACGCTTAGGCAGCTTAGCATGATATCCAAGGCTGCCATTTGAGGTAGCGCATTGGAGTGCTGTGGAGGTTGTGTAACCTTATGACGAAGATTGGGAGGCTTGATGCTTCGCTTCAGAAAGGCTGTACAACAAGTAAACCCTTACGATAAATGCAACACAGTTAACGAGACCCTGAACCATTTTCCCCGCGCCCATCTGCTGTCTCGTTTTGATACCGGACATCACCACCTCCATGGCAAGCCATAGTCATGTTTGCGCCGGCCCTTTCTCTTTCTCTGCTCCATCCTTCCCTGTGGAATCCCCTTTTGGTAAGTTCTTGAGACATGGCGCGTTGAACAGACGACCGCTCCATGCACCTCGTGCCGTGCCAACAGCTACTACGCACCACAGTAGAATGACGGCAACGGCAAAGATCGTCCCCAAGACCCTGAAAACCAGACTTGGGAAGACGTTACCAAGCTCCATCGTACTGAGTGCCATGACTCCAAGAGGGAAGGTGAACCCCCACCAACCCATGTTGAACGGAAACGGTCGAGACTTGTATATGGATGCCAAAGCAAAGCATAACCAGGTCAGCCCAAATGCCCACATTATGAGTGCTACGAAGACTCCGAGAACGAAGAATATGTCACCTGCTACAGGAATATCTGAAAAGAACTCGGTTTCTGGGAAGATTCGACGGCTCACCGAACCAAGGTATGTTATGGAATAGCCTCCCATGCCTAACGGGCCCAGTGGTAGAAAGGACGATACCACGATCTCCCGTGGCGGTAACTTATGCAAAGCCAAACGAGTATAGTACATGACTAAGACAGTCATAGCCAAAGGCGTAGACATTCCCCACATGACATATGATGCGATTATCGTGCCGAGAGCATGTTGCGGGTTGGGTAGATGCTCAGCAACTCTAGCACCAGTACCAGCCGCAACGATAGACGCAGCGATAGGTAGTAGTTGAGCTGCAGTAATACGATCCAAAGCCTGACGATCAGATGCGGATATCAGCAGAACAGTGAGCGATATCGTGACTGATACAGCAACCACAGAATCGATCATCCAGCAAACCCAAGCAAAAGTGGTAGCCCAAGGTCCCCAGTATGGAATGCATAGTGAGCACCAAGCGGAGACAAGGGTAGCGAACCCCATTGGGATGGTTCCAAGGAAGAGCGAGTTGACACTGTCCGCGATCATAACGGTCCATATCTCAGGGTAAACGACATATCGGAAGACGGAGACCGAGAAGGCGCATGCAAATAGGATAGTGTTGAGTCCGAAGAAAACTACTGCAAGCCAGTATAGCCAATCTGCTTTGAAGGGGATGGCAACGAGAAGTAGAGATACTATTCCTGTGCCCATAGTCACAGAGAACCATGACGGCGAGAAGTTCCTAACGATTCGCCGCCAACCGACCTACTTTCGTTTAGCGTAGGATTTTGGTACCCGGTTTGTTGAGCACGTACATCATACTTCGTCAGCTCTACAGACGTGGCCGTGGCTTGAGAACTGGTAGATTGAGATGCTGACGTCGTTGTTTGGTCTTGGGACTTAAGGCGTCGTATGGGAGCCCGCTGGGCCGCAGGCGCAGTCAGAGCAGGATTGTCCGATGCGACGCGATCCAGATCGTAGTCATCCATGTACGCGACGATGTATTGAATCTTGCACGATGATCAAGCTGCTGTGGGCTCCCACTTTCAGTAGGGCAGCAGCCCGACGATGACGATGGTGTCGCGGCAGCGCTATTACCGCAAATCAGTGAGCCCAGATCCAATCACGTGGGTAGCACGGACCGATGGGTTTCACAACGCTGAACCTCGTCGAAAACCCACAAACCTCGCTTCATCTGTTCCCAAAGTTATCGCACTCCTCTTAGTTACGTCAGCTTCGTTCTCACGTTCTTGCTTACGGATTCTTTGGTTCCGCAAGCCGCGATTCTAGCAGCGTATCGTGCTCACGATCCTTCGGTCTCGCTTCCGAACTTCCGTGTGCCGTTGGACCCTGATCTTCGACAGGAGCACCAGCACATCTGACACCCAGCAACATGCCAGGCTTTTTGGATCTACCACTTGAACTCCGAAACCATGTCTACGAGATATTGCTTGGCGAAGAGCTAGGACGTTCTTTTCGTGGAGTCATGGTGGTGTCAGAACTCTACGTGAGGAACGATCTACCGCTTCGGTGCTATCGCGGCCTCCTGCGCGTGTGTCGACAGACACATGGAGAGTTCAAGCAAGCAATTCAACACCTGGTCGCCTCAAAACACCTGAACTATGAATTCGACATCACTTTCTCACATGGTCGGCCGTACTTCTCCTTGAGCTGGGTTCAATTTGCGGCGCTTTCGCCCACCATCAATCAACTTCTCATCAATGTCGATCTGCGCACTCGTGAGCCCCTCCGAGATGGGCCTCGCGAGTCTTTCGTACCCCATGAACATGAGTTGGCTCATTTGTTAGAACATTCACCTTCTTGTTTTGCCAAGCAACTGTTCGACTACATTGCGATCTTTTTAAAAACGCTCGCGAACCTCTTGTTCCAAGGAGATCCTCACTTCAGCGTTCTGTACACCGAACGCATGATACTAAATCTACGCACCCCAACGAAGGTGGTGGCGCTTGGAGGAAACGGTCATAACCCCATCACTTTATCACGGAGGCTTCGAGTCGACCAAATTGAAGCTCGCAAGTTACACAATACTATGCGCAACACTTTACAGACTACATCGAATAACTTCAAAGCGTTCGATGCAAATAATTGCGACCGGCTTTTTCCACTGATACAGGTTGGATCATTGCGATTCGCAACCGAAGGACAGATTTGGGGTGAGGGACACAACTTGGTGCTTGCGCACGACGACTTTCAGTGGCTACGTTACTAGTCATTTTGCGAGCCCTGGAGTTTGTAGATCGTTTTGAGTCCTAATGGGGGTGTTTGGGCGAGCCTATAACAGGCGTAGCGCCACTCATTTTGTGATTCGTGCAGCGGACTTGATCCAGGAGTTGGCTCTGGTTGAGTTTGGCACTTATGCCTCCAAGCCCTGCAGATGTTCGTGAAACATAGCCTCACTGATGACCCTGTACACGTTAAGCTACAGGCAGGTTGTTTGATTGCAAAACAGTCAAGGAGGCAGACTTTCGATCAGGACAATGCGTAACGTCATGTGCTCTTCTATCACGAAACCTTTCTCTAAAGCCTCGTTCCAGGATCAAGGGTACTCTCAAGATTGACTCATTGTATGACTCCGCTAACAGTGCTATAGTGCACTAGGATATTGTGTACGAGAGTAGGATTTGCTCGAATGGATCGGAGCAAGGAATCTTAGGCAACTCAGAGGATTTCAATCGAATGCAGCAGTCACTGTCTCGGCATGAAAATGCCTCGTAGCTGCCTAAAGTTCTCCTTACTCAAGTCACACTTTAGTATATTCAGCAACATTCTACCAAAATGCGCAAAGAGATACCCATCAGTTTCGTGATTTGAACCTGGATAGAAAGCAAAGGAGTGACTGTCACACTGTGGAATCAAATCTATCACCAAAAGAAAAACAACAAAATAAATTTTTCTGATGCTTTGGGTACTGCGTTGAGTGTGTGAAACTTGACGTTGCTACCCTCAGCTGTGACATTGTGAGTGCTGCGTTGGTTGTATCAAACCCATCGTTGCCTCCCACTCTGTCACCCGGAATGTTCTACAAGGATATATAGCTTCCAGAACAATATATCAGCAATATAAGACATCTGTAGAGAACATCATTGTGACGCAACTGCGAGATTCCTAGGCCCCGCTCGGAGCGAAGTCGAGTCGGTCTAGGAACGCTCGCAATACAGCGGTGACGTATCGCCGAGCCTATCTTTGTACAAGGCAATCTCTCGTGAGTCACTCTCACCTGGAATTTGAAAAGCTCTCCAAGAGTGCTTCAGTTTTTGTGATCTGCCCTCCTGCGCTTCTTCTATCTTCACGATGCGATGTTCCTCTACGCATCCCTTTAGTCGCCTTGCGCTCACCATCCAAAACGAATATACAACGACGCCGGTACTACCATGGAGAATACGATTACTCTATACTGCCCTTCGATCGATAAGACTGAGAAAGACTTCACCATTGGGCCTTTACGCAAGCATGGCCATCTCCTCCAGGATATCCGTTCGGTATTCGGACTCAACTACGCTGCGGCCTACGATATCCGCGCTCAGCCAATCGAGAACCTTCGCGAGTGCATATTAGGGCAGATAGTACAAGTTTCTGCGGCAGAAAACGAACGCATGAAGTGATACTCGCTCTGGAACTGCATCATGTACAACGGCGAGGAAGGCGTGGATGTATTCTGGTTGACTGATGGCGTTGGACTGTCATGGGAGGTACGAAATAGCTGAATTAAGAAGGAAACAATGAAAGCTAACTGAACAACAAGAGTCTTACGGACCAACAGAGGTGCGGACATATTGCCAGCATTTCCAGCATCAGCGCAAAACTTGGAGGCTTCGTTCAAGGCAACACCATCCGCATCACGCGCCCTTACGCCTACGTTCAAAAAGAAGTACGAGAAATCGCTGCCGCTGCTCCTGAGGATATGTGCACCCAGTACGATGCCGGAATGGCAATCTTCTACAATTGGAACTGGAAATGGGCGTTTTTCCTGCCAGCTTACATGAAGCCCGACGACCTCAAAGATATGTCGGCCAAGGTTCTTGGCCTCCTCGTCGTCCTTTCCTCTTTCACTCAAGGTTCAGTACGCAAAGTGCGCGCCTATGTCATCGAAGCCGTCAATGCGCGTCTCTCAAACTTCGAAGACGGTGAGATTGACGATCCGCTACTGCAGAAGGAGGATAGCGAAATCAAAGACCCATTACTGCAAGAAAAAGATATCGTCCATGTGATTAGTACGCTTTACGACAAAGCAGGCAGTATGTCAGCTAGGATAGCGCCCGCTAAAGAGAATAAGGTGAACGAGAAGGCGCGGAAAGGAGCTTGGAGGCTGAGAAACTCACATGTCTTGTAGAACAAGGTCGGCAAAAAGCCGTACCGGAAGAGCAACGCCAAGATCCGCAAGAATGCGGTTAGATTGGCCGCCTATAACGAGAAGAAGACTGCTCTTGGTGATGTGGCAGCGTATGAGATAGGTTCTCTCCCTACAGAAGGCAACTGAGCCTATGCCAGATGCACAGCCGGAACTGAGAGTCGAGGATGGTGAATGGAGGGCAAGGGAAAGGGGAAGGCGCGAACTGATGTAGACGGTCTTATCGACCAGATGGGTGGGGTTTAGACGGAAAGACGCAAGCAAGGTTCAAGCTCCAGATGACTCTGATAATAGGTTCAACTCAAGCTCTCCGAGACTAAGTGGACAATGCCTCTAGAGGAGTTTCTAGCGACAACTCGGTAGTCCGACTGCGAAGTTCTTTAGACAGTATACAATCCAGACGCCTACATAATCGGATAACCAGCACAAATTAGGTTCCTCAAACTCCATGTAAATGCCTTGATGATCAATCGCTAAACCCTTGAAACTCGTCCGCCGCATCTTGTGCTTCTTTTGCCGCTACCTTCTTTCGCACCTGCTCAATCATGCCCTTTACTCGTTCCTCCTCCTTGCGCTCATCTTCTGTCAACGCCGCCACACGATCATGTTCGCGCTTCGCTGCCTTCTTCTCTCTCCGTTGTTCCTTGAGTGCCTTCTGATCCTTCTGCTGCGTCCACGCTGAGGCTTTTTTATCTTCTGTAACATATCGCTTTTTCCCCTCGGCCTTGTTTGCCTCGTACTCGCTCTGCTCGACTTGTCGTTGTTGTTCCCGCGCTTTGTCCTTGTATGCGTAGGTACTGAAATCCATGACCACACCTAAACTCCGGTCTCCTTCCCACTTCTTCAATTCTGGCATGCTTGGTAGCTTAAGCAGACCCCATGCGTTACCATGCTCTGTCCAATCGAGGTCTGGAATACGGAAGATAGAACTGGCAGTATGCTTGCTGTAAGCGCGGACCCACGAGACAAATCCTCGTTGTGCTTTGTCGAACAACGCCCTGTCAGACTTGACCACCTTTCTTATCCGGTTACTCATGGCTGCTGCCTCTTCCGCAGTCACCGTAACGTCAGGTGTGGTAAAAGGCGATACTGGAGTCTGCCGAACTCTGAGGAACTCGATATAATCTTCTTCTCGTCCCGGACTGAGGAATGTAATGGCCAAGCCCTTGCGGCCTGCTCGACCAGCGCGTCCGCAGCGATGAATGAAAGTTTTCGGATCACTTGGAGCATCAAGTTGAAGGACAAGATCCACTGACGGGATATCGAGACCACGAGCAGCGACGTCTGTGGTGAGAAGGATGGAGGGTGTGACGCTTTCGACGAATTTTATGAAGTTGCGGTTTCTGACTTTGTCCGGTAGTTTGCCGTGCAGAGGCACGATGGTATACCCTTTAAGAACTTCAGGTAATATGTGTTGGAAGTAATCGACCGAGAAGCATGTCGCCAGATACATGATGGACTTTTGCGGCTGCGGCTGTAAGGACGAAAGCACTTTCTTAATAGCGGGTAGCTTATGCGAGGCGGGTATAGTAAGGTAGGACATTTGCAAACTCGCTGGTGTTTTCTTGTCTTCGATGGCGCCCATCTCACCTGTCGCACTGTTGGGTGCAGCTCGTGCCTTGACTTTGACTGCGATACGAACGGGATTCCGGAGCCCAACGCGAATCAGCTGGTCGACAGCCTCCGAAACACTAGCACTGAAGAGACCGGTCCGGCGTTGCTTCGGTAGTCGGGAGAGAATCCTCTGTAGGTCGTCCTTGAAGCCAAGATCTAGAAGACGGTCGGCTTCGTCAAGTACAAGAGCATCGAAGGATGATTGTGAGCAATGCACATGTGGTGAGGAGAGGAGTTCGAGTAGGCGTCCCGGTGTGCCGATAAGTACGTTGGTAGATGACTTGAGAAATCTACTTAGATCCTGGGCTGGCGTTACCGATCCACCAAGAAGAAGCTGGGGTATGACCTTCAACGTCCCTGGCGGGAAAGTCGGCTTTGGCGGAGCATCCGCGTCCTCCATATCGGTGTCTTCATCTTCGGGATCCAACAGAGCTGCAGAGGGCGCATGAAACCTGAGAAGTGACGAGAGTACTGTGTGGATCTGTGTTGCAAGTTCTCTTGTTGGTGAGATGATAATAGCACCCACGTGATGCTTTTTTATGGGTGCATCAAGTCGCAGCAAGCGCTCAATTATGGGTATCAGGTAACTAGTGGCTAGTTAGATCAGCATGCGAATTGGTGATACAAAGCTTACGCTAGAGTCTTTCCACTCCCCGTGACGGCTTCGACGACAACATCAGAGTTCTTCATGAACATAGGGATGGCTGCATGTTGCACAGGCGTGGTTTTCACGAAGCCCATGGAATCCACAGCCTCGAGTATCCATTCTGACAAGGCAGGCGTCAAGGCGCTGAAAGATCGGTCTATTTTTGTTTGGGGTGACATGATGCACGTAACTCTTGTAGTGAATGTCTTCTGGAGTTGTTGGAAAGCCGCGATGGCCGTACAGAAAAGTCGCGCGAACTCTGAAATTTTAGTGGAGCCTCGCACCGCCACTTGGGCCACAAGCTGCTCCACCGACAGCCACAATTTATGGCACGCGGGATCGACACCTGTCATTGTCTCGAGTGCATCTGTCAAAAGCTTGTGTTAAGTAAGACATGCTGCATTCCAGTCCACGTATCTGCCATGACCATACAGACACACTGCGTGTTTCCCCCTGAGAACATGGAACCTCATCGCATCGCCAAGACGGATCTGCAGCCACGCTGATCATAGGCGCATTCGCGAGAACCGGATCATACATGCGTAGCCTTGCGACCAAATTTCCCAGTTCCATGCAGCAAGATTGCCTAGCCGTACCCCCCAATACATTCCCTGTCCACCCGCCTATAATAATCAAGACGACCGCTGCTGTCGCCTGCACGCACTGTGGCATCTTCTGCCTCCCTAAACGATGCGCGTTGGCCGGACGAATCCGCGGGCTATGAGTCTCTAATCACACCTGATGCTGACATCAATGTCGAAGCCACCTTAAATGCCGCTGTCCCATACCTTAGCTGTGACGCGCCAACTCAGCCTCGTTACATATACTCGCAACCCTCGGACCACCAGTTTTTGCTTGTGAACATCGCCCTACTCTGTGCCAGGGCCCGCTCCACACTTTCCGGCGTCATCCGGGCTCCTACCTTACCTTACTTTCCCACTTGTTGGCGCGCTGCTATGGAGTCTTCACGGCAATATCAGATACCCAACACGCCGCGCGTGATATCGCCTTCACCCACACCCTCGGAGGCCGGCAGTATAAAAGATGGCTACTTCGGACCTGTGACGCGCTCGTCGACGCGCAAACAACGAATTACGTCACCTCCACCCATCGATGAGGACTCCTCAAGCTCAGATCCCGACACGAGGGCTCGCGCCAGGAGCCGGAGTCCCAAGCTAGATGGAGGCGTAGGAAGACGGAGGATGAGTGGCTTAACGACCCGAAGGCAGATGAACGGAGGCATGAAGAAGGATCTCACACTGCCTGGCAACACCTCAAACGGCCATCTGTCACCAGCGCAAGCGAACAAGAATTACTGGAGGGAAATGAGCAGGAGCCCAAGTCCTCTCGGCTTGATTCCTATCCACCAGAAATGGCGGTCATTCGTGAGTACTCACACTGTACTTATTGAGAGCCCACTGCTGACATGGATAGATTCATCGACATGAGATTCCCCGCAAGATCCTGCACGTCTCGATCGGTTTTCTCACCATCTTCCTCTACTGCACCGGCACGCAAACGTCGCAAATACACAATGTCCTCCTTACCATGCTAATACCTGTCGCCCTGACCGACGTCATCCGACACCGTTACTGGCAAGTGAACCGCTTCTACATCCGCTGTCTTGGTGCATTGATGCGCGAGTCGGAGGTAGATGGATACAACGGCGTCATCTCCTACCTTCTGGGCGCATGGATAGTAATGCGCTTCTGCCCGAAAGACATCGCAGTCATGAGCATCTTGCTATTGAGTTGGTGCGACACGGCTGCCTCGACTTTTGGCAGGCTCTGGGGCCATCTTACGCCTAGGGTCAGGAAAGGCAAGAGTCTTGCGGGTTCCATAGCGGCATGCGTGACGGGTGTCATCACAGCGGTTGTATGGTGGGGCTGGCTAGGCCCTCTTTACTCAGAGTACAACCATGGCGAACACGCTTTCGCATTCCAAGGCGCTCTGACACTCCCCCCACAAGTGCGGGAGACTCTCACCCTGTCCCCGAAGCAAGCTTCCATCACTGGATACTGGGCCTTGGGCGCCATGTCTTTGGCGTCTGGTGTCATTGCCAGTGCTAGCGAAGCGATTGACGTCTTCGGCTGGGATGACAATCTCACCATCCCCGTGCTTTGCGGAGCCGGGTTATGGGGCTTTCTCCGGTTCTTCGGATGATCAAAGCTTCTCCATCTGTACAATTTTACGTTTTGACGCCTTCTCGGCTCTTATTATCTCCAATCTATATCCCTTTGGATCAAATGATACCCTAGATACGGGTCCTCGGGGAGCGGCATCGCATCGGTCATGGTAACGACGGCGTTCTGGGACGTAATGGGAGGTTGGACGGACGGAGACGGAAGGGTATTTGGGCAGTAGATTTCACCTTGAATTGGTATAGCTATATAAGCAAATAGTGATCTTCCTTGCAGCCACAAAGTTACTTTGGTGTTGAGGCGTTGTAGGGCTTATCGAGTTTCAAGCCGAGGTCCAAATTCTCACGTTGCTCATCTTCCAAGCACCAGATCCAGCTCTATCGCACGCCTCCAAGACCGAAAATCGGCGTTCACCCGTTCTCAATGCAGAGCAAACGCAAAAGGGAAAGCCTAAATACCTTAAGGGACCCCTGCCATGTAATATTTGACTTGGCGCATACCGCCACATGCACCCCAATGATTGGGGGCTTCCTCAGACTTGCTTCTTCATACACTGTCACGCACCACACACCTGGCTAAGACGACTAACGATACCCTCTGACTCTTGCGATTATATTACTTACGCGCATTTCAATACTCACGACTGTCAACGCAGAGGCCCCCTGCCGATCGCCCGCAGATTGCCCCGCCACAGCCGCCGTTAAGAGCCCACCACGTCCTACGCCCGAACGCGCCTCTGGAATCTCCACCTACCCTCTTTCCGCAACTGAACTGGCGCACACGAATCTTTCTTACGCAAGCATAACTGTGTCCGGATTGCTGTAAAACGTTTGCAATCTCTGCGCCTGTCTGTTATAACCGTCTCTCGGTCGCATTTCCCCCACCCGTTCACTCTGCGCACACCGGTCTTAGGTTAAACCTCGAACACGACTCGTACATACACACTTAGGGAGGGATAATATGGCATCCTCATCTGCGGCAGCGGGGCTGCTAGCTCGCCAGCTCAAGCAAATGCAAAACGACAAGAGTATATCGGGCATAAGCTGCGGTCTCGTGGACAACAATGTGTTCGAGTGGGAGGTGATGTTGATGATTGACGACGACACAAAGTTCTATGGAGGTACTGACTGAGACATGGTCCTAGGAGGTTCCAGTGGCAGTACTGACAGCATCTACAGGAGGCTTCTTCCGCGCGCGCCTCACCTTCCCCAGCGAATACCCTCTTCTACCACCAAAGATGCGCTTCGAGACACCCATCTTCCACCCGAACAGTGAGCTTTTCTTCCTATACATTCGTGTGATGAGTCGTCTGCTAATACCCTGCAGTCTACCAGAACGGCGAAGTTTGCATCTCAATCCTACATCCCCCAGAAGAAGACAAGTACGGCTACGAATCTGCCGCCGAGCGATGGTCCCCCGTCCAAACACCCGAGACTATTCTCCTCTCCGTTATATCCATGCTGTCCAGCCCGAACGATGAGTCACCAGCGAACGTCGAAGCTGCGAGTTTGTGGCGGGACAACACACCAGAGTTCAAGAAGAGAGTACGGAAGTGTGTTAGGGATAGTCTGGAGTTTGAATGAGGTAGAAAGGAGGGTACAAGAGAGTGAGGCAATGTCGTTCATGAAAGCATAAGCGTGGTTGGGTATCTGGGTAGGCGGTATTGGGTCACAGCGTGCATGGTGGTGTTATCTAGGTGCCATCTAGGAAGCATGCAATATACATGATATTTCATCTTTTGAGTTTGTGGATGTTATGGGCACCAGTAGGTTGTCGCAAAATTCTTGATCTGTTCCGATCCATTGTCTTTATGTTTCTCAGAGTTGAACATCGATGCGCGAGTCTTTACTCACCAGATCAGGAAGCATGGGTTGAAACCATATCTCGAATTGCACGAGCATCTGATGTAAGTGATGGGGGTTCTAGGTGATCATATGACGCATGTAAGAATGAAAGAATCCTGTCAGGAAAGCAACTTTCTGATTCTATCATACACCCATCTCCACCGGCCTTCCAACACAAAAATATATGTACAAAATGTCCTACCCAAAGGAAGGAAAGGCAGGGACAACAAGAAGAGTAAGCTTATCCACAAATGTCTCTATCAACATATCAACAAGACCACACCTCACATACATTCGCCGATGGAAATCGACCAATGTGATTCACTGACTTAACAGCAGAGCTATCCTCCTATGGACAATCTAAGCAGCAGTGCAAAGCAGTCCATCAGCCCCAAGCGGCAAAACGCAGCACTGAGCTGTCGTTCCATCCTTGGCGCACACAGCCAGGAAGTCCTCGGTGGTCTTGATACCAGCGCCCGCTACAAACAACTCTGTCAGCTCCTTTGTTCACCTCATGAGGATTAGATCTTGGATAACGTACCGTTTGCGCAGTTCAAGTTGGCGACACCAAGGACATCGGTTTGGCAGCAAAGTGGTGTGGCGAGCGCACCGCAGATGCCGCTTTGGCGCTCGACGAGAGTGGCGGGATAGCGCTTTGTTACTGCGGCGGCGGAAGTGAGGCTCAGGAGAGCGGTGAAGGTGGCGAGTGTGAACTGCATTTTGATGGTGGTTGGTTGATTGGTTTGGTTTGGGGATTGTAGTGAAGATGTGATTGTAAATGATGAACTGACTTTGATGATGATTCTGTTTTGGAGGGAAGAAAGAGGTCTCTTATACATCTCTAGAGTATTGTATAATGGAGCTTTTTTTCTTTACTTGGGGATACGGTATACCAACTGTGTACGTCTTCCCCCCTTTCACTACCCTCATGCTAAGCCTGCCTGTGATTGTCCTCCCACGTCCTAGGCGTCAATCACATACCCAGTATCTCCTTCTACCTCCCCACTCGGTCACCGAATCCCACCAATATCCACTCATCGCCGTTCATCCGACGTCTCCCCCTCGCCAGCCCTAGGATACTCATCACGATGATCAGCATGAGGCTTAGTTACGATCCACATCCGCCAAGACACCTACACAGTGCCACTTGGTCTAAATGAAGGCATGGAGTCCCCCTTTAGGTTGTAGTTCTCCTCTGTTTGGTTACCTGCCGCGCAGAAAAAGAAGGCTAGACGTGGGGACCTGATTACCGTCAGGGTAAGTGTTTAGCATGGAGCTAGGGTAGAAGGTCGATGTAGATCAGATAAGCATTAAAGTATTGCTCCGCCATAAGCAATGCTTGGAACAGGTTCAGCCCGTCGGCGCAAATGGGAAAGCTGGGTTTATGTGAATGCTTTGGAAGTTTGGTACAGTCACGGCTGTGCTATCGGGGACGTTGGTTTTGCTTGTTGGTCTTGTCCCACAAAACGGGTATTGAAAGCAATATGTTACTCAAACGACAGGTAGATGCTCAGGTGCCGCTCGGATTTTCATGTGAAGTGATGAGTATTGTGAGAAGAAATGAGGCCTGGTTTGCCTGGGTAGTGGAGAAGTTGCTCCAGGAACCCTGCAACTTCCATCATGTACCTGCATACCAACTCCACGACGTGTCTACGAAAAACTGACCAAAGAATTACATCACCATCCCTGTGATCGATCAAACACATTCGGGTTGAAGGATGATGGGGCTACCAGGTCTGTCTCTATCAGAAAGTGGATACAGTGTCTGACACATTGTTTACCGAGACTGATAGACAGCTGTGACAGCTCGCCGACTCTCCTCACAAAGCTAAATTGATAGCTTCATGATTTCTAGCTGCCAATGTCATCTCCAGGTGAGGTAAGACGTCTTCGTTCCTTATGCCCTATCTCCTTCCGTACCCACCGTATTCGCCCCAGCCCCCACACGCTACTTCGGCGCGGCGCGGGTGCGGCGTCGATCATGACGGCAGATGGTACAAGCCCTATCTCTCGGATGCCGGCTGCAGTGTGATTCCTATCTCCAGATGCCAGGGACCGAAAGAAGCAATGCTGTATGCAGCTACTAGGTGAGAGAGTAAGGGTTGGACCTCGCATGATCATACCTACCTTTGTGACGATATTGGCCGCCACTGTATCATATGAGACAGGGAACATCACGATGCACATGGAAATTGTAAAAATGTCGATTATTTATCGTCTCTCCACATGTGAAGAAGAAAGAAAGCACATGGCCAGCATACACTTTCTATCTTTCTTTCCTTCTTCTATGTAAAATTACTATCTCGTCTCCCACCGTCTCTCACCTCGTCAAATCGTCCAAAGGAAATGGGGAATAGCAAAACAGTGTGGTGGTGCAAACATCCTAGGGTATCGTAGCGCCAAAAATCCCGCAGCCGAAAACAAATAGATCAAAAGCGCCAGATTGTCCAATCCAAGACTTGCGAGCGAATGACGAATGGCAACATACTCCTTCTCCAATCTTATATATCATCCCACGGAAAGTCTTGCGGGTCGATCCTCGTGCATGTTAAATAGGGCAGGCCGCCTTCTCGCAGATCGAGCTCGAGGAAGTTGCGCATTAGCGGCTTCACTGCATCCTTGGCCTTGACCTTGATCTCGTCGATTCTTCGTTCGAATCGCTTGAGGTTATCGCGGTTGTAGTGATCTGGATTCAGTCGCAGAAAGCGCTTGCACTCGTCGTGATTGAGGTAACTTGAGCCGGCCTGGCCGAGCAAGCGAAAGATGCGGCCAGTATTGAAGACCGGTGGTGGTGGCAGCGGCGCTCCATCTCGTGAGTTCTGGGGCCGTGGTGATTTGAGAATGGGCACTGGAGGTGGCGTGGTGTTCTCTGCGAGCCATTGTCGGAACAGCGAGACCGCTATCCAGTCTAGCCAGTTGCTTGATGGACTGACACGCTCGCCGCGACTAGTTGTGAGTGATAAGCGAAAGAGCTTCACTTCAATCTTCGCTTTCAGTTCGTCCATCTCGTCGACCTTGTCTTCTATCAGCTCAATGACGGGCTCGGCGATTTGACCGCGTAGTTGGTTGATGCCCTGTGGCCATTGGCCAACCACATGCACCATAGCTTCGGCGAAGATGGCTTTACTCCGTGCCATGTAGCCGAGTTTGAGATAGCTGGGAGGGTATTTCGCTATCTGCTTCCACAGTCGCCCCTGGAAGCGCAGCAGATGGTGGTCTACGCGCGGCCCGATGACACCAAGCGCGTCGTACATGTCGGCGAGCTGCAAGAGCGATTTGCACTCTACGTAGGCATTGGCGATGTTGACAGCGTCGAGTGAGGGAGGGTAGTTGTAGAAGATGCGAAACAGATTGTCGTAGTCTCGGAAGATGTCGTCGTCAGGGTCGGTTTCGGGAGCGGGTGCTGCTGGCACGTGGAGGGTGGAGAAGTTGGCCATGCTGCGGAAGAAGCCTGACTGTGGTGCTGCAGGCTTGTTGCGCGCGTTGGGCGGTTGTGGTGGTGGACTTGGGTCGCCGCCAAACATGGTGGGCTGATGCTTCTACACACTCATTAGCATGTCTAACCTCGTGGACATGTAAACAAACGCACCTTCTGCACGAGCATGGGCAGGTCATCGTCGCCGGTGCCCCAATCCATCTCGTACCTCCATTTCCTCTTCTGCTCCGGTCGTGAGCCTGATGGTATCCTCGATAGGGCTGTGCCGTTGCTGGGTCCGGCATTGGTCACGTCGCCGGCGGTCGCCCACTCGTCACTCGTCCCAGCCTCGAAGAAGCCGGAGCATTGCGTCAGAATCAACTTGTGCAGCAGATAGCGCATTTCCTTCCGTCCGTTGCTGATTATGATTTCGACGTCGCCCGTATGCGTAAACACGGGGAACTCATTCTGGGGTGCTAGCGACGGGCTCCCAACGTTGGACCGGTGCTGGCGATGTCTGCGGACGGTCGATGCGCGCGAGGAGTGAGATACGACCGAAGAAGGACGCCGGATGGGCAGTGAGCGCTCTGCACTCGTCGAGTCTGGGTAGGAAACCATGCGCCGCGACGTTTACTCTTTCGCTTGCCGGGTGTGGTGGTGTTGTTGTTGTGCTCGGGGTGGCCCAAGGCAGTGGTTTGCGACGATGATGCGTTCCTGGCAATATTGCGACAAGTCGTGGATGGCTGGAAGCAGGTGACACGGCGAGTGCGGGAGGCGGGAGTGTGGCGACAGCAACAATGCTGCGTGTTGCGTTGTTTGCACGCCGCGGTGCAGCTCGAGGTGCAGGCAGGCTGGTGGGCGGGCGGCTTGTTGATGCTGGGTTGAGGCTGGAGGGTGCGCAAGCCGTAGACGAGAGTGGCCCGCAAAACCACCCCACCACAAATGCGATGGCGCCAAAGGTGGACCAGGGCCAGAACCGGTTCAGCGCGACAGGGGACAGTCTGCTGTTTTGCGATACATGTGCAGTGTTGAGAAAATGTTTCAAGAGCCGTGCAGTAGCAGACAAGAGTGGCTGTGTGGCGACGGTTCACATGGTCGCTATCCATATGCAACTGGTCCCATGCACGCTGCGACGCTGCTCCAACAGGCTGGAGGCTGTGCGCCAATCGCCGTACATAACCGGGCCAAGCGCAGAGTCAGCCTCGATGGCGACCAGCTGGGATGTCGCGGCCAAAACAGGGGATCGAAGCATTTGAACGTCCGAAGCTCGATGCAGGGGGCGAGCAGCGTCGTCTTGTAAACATTTGTGGGCCACACGTTGACTGGACATCTCTCGAGTAGTGTCACCCATCTAGTTGTGCACCCAACCGCCTGACATCATAGTCTAATACATATACATAATACATCATTATACATTGCTTCGTGAGCACTATGCCTGTATCTTTTCCTGCCCCCCCATAAAGGGTCGCAGTACCTCTGGTATTGTTACCGTGCCGTCTTGCTCGTTCCAGTGATTCTCCAGTATAGCCGCGAGTACTCTGGGAACAGCAAGTGCAGTTCCGTTGAGTGTGTAGGGGAACTCTAGCTTGCCTCCCTTCACACGCATGCGAGTTTGTAGTCGCCGACTTTGGTAGTCGGTGCACATGGAGGACGACGTCAGCTCGCCCCATCCTTCATCCTTCTCTCGAGATGGGAAGAAGGCTTCGATGTCGATTTTTCTTGTCGCGCTGGCTCCGAGGTCTGTTGTGGGCATTTCCAAGATACGGCAGTGCAGCCCAAGTGCTTCCAATATCTCCTTTTGAATTGATAGCATTTCGTCAAAGATTGCTTCTGAGCTCGGGGCCGTCGGAGTGGTAAAGTGGTCTTCTCCCGTATTATCGGGCAGTGTCCAAGCAAACATCTCGACCTTTGTGAACTCATGAACACGATACAAGCCTTTTGTGTCGGCTCCTCTTGCGCCCGCTTCAGCACGGTAGCATCTGCTCACACCAACCGTTTTCAGTGGCAGCTCTGCTTCTTCCAAAGTCTGGTTGGCCTTCATGCCAGCCAGTGGTATCTCCGCAGTGCCTGCAAGAGCTAGTTGCGGTTTTGCCTTGTCCTTGTCAGACTGCTCGATGGCGTATATTTGCTGCTCTCCATTCTGATCCCGTGGCTGGAATCCGCAGGCGGATGCAATGTGCGAGTACACCAAGGAAGGTGGTGCGACTGCTTTCCATCCTTTCCTTCTGGCGACACCGAGGGCGTACTGTACAAGTGCCTGTTCCAGCATTGCGCCGTCTCCAACTAGAAAGTACCAGCCCCATCCCGAAGTCTGCGCCGAGCCCGAGAAGTCGAGTATTCCCAGTTCTTGCCCGATGTCAACGTGCGACTTACGACTTTGGGGTTTTGAAAACTCGTTCTTGGGATGTGAGTTGATGTAGCCGAGTACGTCAGCTTCGGTGCCGACTGGTGTATATGTGCTGCTCAAGTTGGGCAGGTCTTGCGCCAGACCTTCTATCTGTTCCTGAATCTGCGATTCTTGTGCTTCGATAGAGCTCAACTCGGCCTTCAATGCCTTTGCTTCTCCAATCATGCCTTCTCTCAAGGCGACCGGTTTCCCGTCAGCATCTTTGGCGCGTGATGCTGTCCTTGCCAGACTGGCTCGGATGCGGTTGTTGCGTTCTCGTAGGTCTCGACTGCTTTGCTGGAGCGCGAGCCATTGCTCGTGCAGCTCTATGATTCGCCATGACGACTTGCTGTGTGCAGCATAGTTGCGGTCTATGCAGTTTTGCTCATACAGCCCGGGGTTCTGGCGAATGTGCTTGATATCGATTGTGGGCTTTGGTGCGAAAGCGGGTCGTGTGTACGTTCGGCGTGGTAACAGACTCGTTCGACGTGACGTTAGACTACTGCGTATAATCGGCCTCGAATTTGTGACATTGTCTCGTAGAGACCGCTGTATGGCCTTCATAGTTGTGACATGTGAAATGCGGTCGAATCACTTCTTCTGTCCCGCTTTCGCGCTTTCCTAACTTTTGAGCATCCTTGATCCCTGCACGCATCTGTCGCGTAAGTCGCGTCCCCGACTACCTCCCCGCATTCCTCTCACCATCCTCACCATGCGTCTTGAAAATCAATTGAACACGTAAGATGGCGATCATGTGCTGCGAAACAGAGTGTGACTGCATATTTCCTCAAAGTAGAGGTCGTCTTCGCGAGTTCCACCCGTTCTCTTTTTCGACTACCCACCCACAACCACGGTACTGCAATGCTTCAGCGAACCATGCAAGAGTTGTTGTAATTATCTTGTCGACCAAAGTACAAGTTTAATGGTAAGCGTAAAATAGATCCTAGGCAATAGTCGGAGTTCTTTTCGTTCCTCTTTTTCGACTCCAACTTCATCACCTACCAAATCACCATGGCTTCCAATCCACGCAAACACTCAGATGATCTGACATGGGGAATCCCAATAGTCTCTAAAACTTCCGAGCTCTCCGATGCAGACTCTGTAGCTACTGCGTCTGAGGAAAGATGTAAAACAGTTCTGGAGGTTTTCAGTATACATCGCCGCCAAAGACCATGGATTCTGCTACCACTTACTCAACGAGACTTCAACTTAGATGCATCCAACGCACTGGCAGACCCAAAATTGGTATTTACTGGGGCACCAAAACCATCGCAAGCATATTCCACTCTTCCCAGCCAAAACGCAGCGCTGGCAGCGATATCTCTTAAGAACCCACCCACTCCGACAGGGCCCATCCAATCCGTAACATACAAACCTGCTATCATTCATCCAGCACATCCTCTCAGCAAGATAGGTCAAGACTGCCACTGGGTACCATACCCTCTTGGTCTCATGCCATACGAGTCGTGGTACAGATTTCATCATGGTAGTGGCATTCAGCCTGCACGAGCTCTGCGCTGTCCCGTCTGTGGAGGGAAGTGTGAGGTAACTGCCCATATACGTAAGCTGTTTCTGGTCGCCGAGCGGCTTACATGGGAAGATGGTCTGGTGTCAATGTGCGACAAGGAACTCAACGCATACTTGAACAGCGAGCTCAACAAAGAGCTCGGCATTGGGTGGCCTACCGTTAATGACCCCGAACATGTACCTCGAGGCAAGTACAGTAAGATCAACAAATTCCATCCTTACTACAATGAGCATGAAATGATGCTCGCCCTCAAGCTTTTGTCCATGACAGACAGCGTGACGGAAGCAACGTGGTCGTTATGGATTAGTATGCAACTAGCCACCGAAAAGATGCTGGGAGCAGGCGAAGCAACAGGTAGTTTCTCGTCTGGAATGATGACAGGAAGGCGTACCGGAGCAACCAACACGACATCACATGACTGCGCGTCTGAACAACCGATGCATCCTTCTAGGTCGCCTACGCCGCCGCCATCTTCCAAAGAAGAGACTTTGCGTAGAAAGGATTGCTCGAAGACGCAGATTTGTACTGCTCTTCCACTTCATGCTCCTAATCCCATTACACGGCAAAGTCAATGTACCACCTACTCGGCAACTTTTCCCAGTCGTAACAAGTGCGTTATCAGCTATAGAAGCTTGCAAGATTTCTACATCCTTCTCGATCAGGTTGAGAGTACATCGTATGTCGGAGCGCGCTTCCTGGAAGCGTACGCTGAGAGGCTAAGGGACGATCTGTGCAAGGATTGTTGGTTCACTCACAACGTTAGGCTTGATGTCTATTGAGTGCAACATTTTTTTTTGTCTACATTCATCGTTTCAAAGAGATCCCTAGGATGTCACTAGATATATCACCGCAGCGTTGGTGAAAGAGGGGCGATGCACGGAAGTGGAGCTTGTCCCTAGCCGTCACGGCATTACGCCTCTTGTGGCGGTGCTCTGTACATAGACATATGGAACATATCACAACATGACGTGGTCTCGTGGCTGTATTCCGGCATGGTATAAACATGTCAGGGTGGATGTCAAATGAGTCGTGTGCCTGTTGCGCAGCGTGATGGAGATTCGGCTCGCTAATCGCATCTCGGCTTAGAGGCGCGGATTGTTCCAAGCTTCGTCGTCATCCGCACCTTTACCAGGCATCCTCGAGCGGCGTGCATCATTGTGCCGCGGTGGTCTGGATCTTCGTATAAGACGCTCCTGCCTTGCCCCCGCTGTCACTTCGCTGCTTCCTCGGAAAGGCCAGATCAGACCATCGCTCTTGCCCGCGTGCAACCCTTACCGCCCTGACATCACACTTCACTCCTCCACATCCGCGCCTACTGCACCCTCACACTCGACTGCGACGATGCACGACCCGTTCCCTTTCCCGAGGCCTGAGAGCCTGGTAAAATATGTAGAGCCCATCGCCGAACTCCTCTCGCTCAAGACGCTGCCGCTGCACTTCCACGAGGTCATGACAGCCTTCACGCTTTACCACGTTACCTACCGCTACATCGCCCCCGCCATCTCGCGCCTTTTTATCCCGCGGATATACTCGTCCTTCAATGCGCGAACGAAGCTCAACTGGGATGTACATATCGTGTCTTTTGTACAAAGCACGCTGATCTGCAGTATGGCGTTGTGGGTTATGTGGACGGACAGCGAGCTGAACCAGATGGACCACAAGGAGCGCGTACATGGATATACTGGTGCGTCTGGTTTGATTCAGGCCTTTGCAGGAGGCTACTTTTGTGGGATCTGGCAATCACAGTGCAGAATGTGAAGGTCTTTGGTATTGGCATGCTGTTCCATGCTATCTCTGCCCTCTGTGTCTTCTCGCTGGGCTTCGTAAGTGCAAGGCGGTGCTCTTTAGAGCACATGGGAGCTGTTTGGAGTACTGATCGTGTGACAGCGCCCCTTTGTGAACTACTACGCGTGCACCTTTATCCTCTACGAACTCTCCTCGCCCTTCCTTAACATCCACTGGTTTTGCGATAAACTCAACATGACTGGCACCACCATCCAGCTCGTCAACGGCATAGTTCTGCTATGTACCTTCTTCTCCTGCCGCATCGTGTGGGGATCATATCAGTCGATACGCGTCTTCACCGACGTCTACCACGCCTACACAGCCGGCGCAGTTGCACGCTCAGCCCCAGACGTTGGAAAGCTGTCGGACAACACAACCCTCAGCAACGCCGGCTTCAAGCACGACGTCCTCCAGTTCGCCGAAGGTCAAACCGTCCCTCTATGGCTCATTACCGCCTACCTCGCCTCGAACCTCATCCTCAACGGCCTCAACTGGTTCTGGTTCGGCAAGATGATCGAAACCCTGCGTAAACGCTTCGACCCTCCCTTTGGCACAAAGAAACCCGAGATCAAGGAAACTACTCTGGAGATTCCAGATGATGAGAAAGTCTTGGTCGAGGGTATACATGTCTCCACTCCTGGCGTGATTGAAAAGGATGCTAAAGACTATATCGATGCAGCCTCTCCGCGGTTGGTCTCGCTGGAGAAGAGCAGGACGGGGACACATTTGGAGGTTAAGCAGAGTGAGGTGAGGAGTCGTAATACGGCACAGAGAGGGGGTTTAAGAGCTGCTCAGGCGGCGTAGATGTGTAGGGGTAGCATAGGCCGGCGAATCTTATAGAAACCGTGGTATAGGTAACACGTGTAATGTATCATTATTTTTACTCTACTTGTTGTCAGGATTCGTCTGCGTTCCTCAATCCTGTAACCACGGAAGCGTCGCTACGTCCCTCGTCTCTATTTCATCTGCTTCTTCCAATCGACTCTTCTCTCAAACCCCGCTATGCTGATTTTCCCCGTATAGTAAACTCGACCTTGGCAACCAACGCCTCCAAACCCTCATGCTTGGCATCATGCACCAGTCGCTCGAGCATGACTCTTCGTTTTTTCCTCGTTCAAAAACTCCTCAGCACGATTCAACTCCTCCTGATTTAGCTCATCTTGGTCCCGTAGAGCTTGACTGGCGCCGCTGCCCAGGAGGGTGGATATACAAGTGGCACTTGTTGCTGATGTATTGATATGTTACGACATGCAGTAGACAAGCACAATCTTGATGGATCTGTCACAGTAGTATGATGTACGGCGTATGTTGCTGTTCAAGCTACTTTCTAACCCACAATGTATACTACAGAACATACATGTGGCCGTCGTAGTGTATCTTCACACCCATGATTCCGCCTGTGACAAACATGTCTGCACCCTAGCTCACTCAAGAACGCTCACATGGTTTTGAGAACCATCCTTGACGCAGCCAGTCCGGCCATACACTCAAGTGCTCGAGTCGCTAGACTTCTTTTTGATCTTAGCCGCCTTTCGCTTCTCACGCTCCTTTGATTTCCCACTCTTTGCCTTTATCAGTTTCTCGGGGATGACATCAGCTCGTTCATATATGATGGCAATAGCGTTGAGCACATCCTGCTTCTGCAACACGGGATCCTTGTTGTCACCCTGATCTTCTTGAGTGCGTAGCGCGACGGCTTCTTCCAGGACCTCCAGAGCTAGTCGGGACTGACCATGGGTAAAGCTAGAGAGAACACTGATGGCAGTTAAAATCAGCACGCCGATGCTCTTCTGGCTAGGTTTTGGGGCCAAGGATTTGGGTTTCATGGAGGCAGGAATGAGGTGCTCGACATTGATACCCCAGCGCTGTTCGATGTTGGTGTAATCCTCGGCAATCCTAATGTGTGGTGGGATTGAGTTGTAGTCAATGGAAGGAAAGTCTGCTTGAACCGACTTGTAAGGGCGAGTGATGCGTAGCCTGTTCCGAGTCGCAGGCTTCTGCTTGTTGAGATTGGTGATATGTAGACACTTCTCGTGATCAGATAGATTCTGATTCTGATCAGTATTCCTTCTTTCTGAGTGGGCGCCAACGTATACTTACATCCCATTCTTGGCCATAGCCCTCAATATCTGGGTCGACATCGTCGCCCTCTTCGCCGTCGTACAGAACCCATTCAGGTGGTGCATCGGGCAGCATCGTCTCCTCCTCACTCGCTGCGATTAATAGCCGCTCGTCGTCTTCGAGCGTACTGGGTCCGTTGATGGGTTTCGCCTCGATGGTGTACAGCGCCGCGTACTTGATGTCAAGTGCGAGTCGTACGCCTTGCAGGACTTGCTCCAGATTCTGGAATGCGCCGATGACGAATCCGTCGACCGTCTTCTTCGTAGACGGGCAGTAGAGTTGCACTCGCCCCATGGTCGCGGTATTCGTCGATAGACGTTACTGTGTTGATTATTTGCTGCGGTCAAGAGAGGCGGATGAGTACAGTACCGAAACGGACCAGTGCAGATAAAGGACTCGGCCGCGAAGGGGATGCAAATTGAAGCCGAGTTAATAGTCAACAGCCATAGCTCAAGGTCAGCTGTCGCGGTAAGCATTTTGATGAATAATGAAAGCTATGACTCGCTGCTTACGCTCGGCTTGTGTCTATCAGAAGTGAATGGTCGGTTGGGAATTCGCCCCGACTCCAATAGGGCATCTACTTCGTAGACTGCGATAGTAAACAATGTTGTGATGGCCTTGTTGTAACAGACATGTTATGTGCGGATAGTCAGAAAGCAGTCGATATGGAGATGTAAGAAGTCAATTATATAGGAGCGTTGATCGGAATCATGTCGGTGACCTTTGCAGACAATCTGCTCCCTGTTAGCTAAAAAGGACAACACGGCTGACAGTATCACGCACCATAACAATCGCCCCGTGCCACTCTCCTCCGATTAATCAGTTGATGATCTCAATCTCCACACCCTCCTTGAACTCTGCCTCAAGCAACTCCTCTCCACCGTCCTTAGTTGGGCGACACACGTATCCCGCGACACCCACACTCCAACCCTCCTCTTCCGCAAAAACCCAATTGACCTCTCTCAGTGGGCGTCTCTCCACCTCCTTACCAGTCTCATCCCTCACGATCCAGTAGATCCAAAGACTCTTCCCAAGGTCGTCCCTTTCCCTCCTCGCCTCGATGGTCGCTCCAGGCTTGCTGCTATTCTTGAAGTCGGGCATAGGCACAAGCGACCAGTCAGCCCAAGCATCGCAGCCCACAGTCGCTACGTATGGCTTTCCATAGTAGAACTCAATGCCAGTCTTGATCCACTTGGTCTGATTATCAGGAACTCCCGGCTTGGTGACATGCAGTAGGAGACCTGCTTGGTCGTATTGGCGGAGCTGATCTGCTGGCGGGAGCTCGAAGGTAAGCTTCGCTCGCTGGAACGTCTTCAGATCGTAGGTCGGAAGCTGAGCAGGGTGAGTCGATGCATTGAAAGCGTTGTGAGACGGGGCTTTGCGCCAGATGTCAGTTCCTGGTGGAGCGGAAAGACTGAAGGGCTTGATTGTCGTGGTAGTGGTGTTCGACATGATAGCTATGACGGTGAATACGAATAAGGGAAGCGTATAAAACTTCATCTGAACGATGGATATTGCCTAAAGAACCATGAGGGTATTTATACACAGATACACGAATGATGGACCCGTACAATAGAGGCGAACACCACTGGTATGTAGGTCACGTACTATTGGTGGGAAGTCGGGAGGGCAGTCCAGCTCAGGTATAGTTCAGCCTGGTAGTCGTAAGGCGTTGTAGGTCCTTGTTCACGATGCCCACTCGGAGTACTAAACAAGACTAATCTGGGGCCCTTTTGTCCTGGGATGCAGCCATCTCGTGATGCAGACGGGGAAAGCGGGGTACTGTTCCGAGCGAGAATTTGCGAGAATCGAGTCGAGGCGGGCAGTCGTAATGGTACGTCTTGCACATTGACTACGGCTGATCATGCAAGACCTCATGCAGTGGTTCCCGATGTTTACCCAACGAATGAAGACTGACGGAAGGTGCTCTAAACTGCACTTACCTGATTGGGTGACGGATTGCGAAATCTGCTTGGCATGAGAAATAGAGACCCAAATACAAGAATCTGATCATGTTGCAGCAGTTGAGCCTCTGCCTATTATGGTATGCCTTTGATAAGAGTCTTACTTCATCTTTCACATGATAACCGTCGAGCCCACTTATATCTAAGTCAAGGAGTTTCCGCATATGAGACGACCGCGACAGAGTAAGTAACGATGTATCTAGCATATGTCATGGGATCTTGGATGTTGTACAAGTACGTTCATTCGCAGGTATATACAATCCAGATGCTCTAAGCCTTCTATTTCTTTTGTTCTCCCTCTTTGGGAGGCTCTGGCTTTGGTGTTGGGAGTTTGAACTACATTCATGTTAGACGCTGCGTCATGAATTTGGAGAGTAAAGACACTTACGTTTTCCGGCTTGAGATCGTCACCAGGGCCGACCTGTTCCCATGCTGATGAGCCGCCACGGAAGTTCCTGAAAGCCTGTGTCATCTCGAGGGGTTCTACAACGATCCTCTTCTTCTCCTCGTCGTATCGGATCTCAGTGTATCCGGTCATGGGGAAGTCCTTGCGCAGTGGGTGTCCGTCGAAACCGTAGTCGGTCATGATTCGCCTCAAGTCTGGGTGTCCAACGAAAAAGACACCAAACAGATCGTAGACCTCGCGCTCGTACCAGTTGGCGCCATCGTAGAGATCACACAGACTTGGGACTGGGGTAGCCTCATCCGCGTATGTCTTGACTCTTAGGCGCGAGTTGTGGCGGATGCTGAGCATGTTGTAGACGACTTCAAAACGCTGGTCCTTGGTGGGGTAGTCGACGGCTGTGATATCTGAGATTTGTGTAAATTCAGCCGCGGTGTGGTACTTCAGGAAGGTGAAGGTGGGGATAATGCCGGCGGGAGGAACGTAGATAGTCAACTCGTCTTTCCATACGGAGAATCTGGAATACCATCAGACAGTGCTTTACTCTCGGATCTGAACTGACATACTGCTGGACATATTTGGGCAGACATGACATGATGTACTGGCCATACTTGTGCAGAGCCTCACCCTTCTCTTTGTATTGGTCTGCCGGGTTTACGATGGCGCGCTTGAGCTTAACGGCCTCGTCACGGGGAGCAAACTGCAGTCATGTCAGAAGCCACATTTCCAGCCCTAACATGTGATATAGCGCACCCTCATGTTTGGTGTGTCCGAAGCGGGTCCCGCTACCTCCTTTGCCCGGAGAGCCGTGGAGGCAAAGGTGCGTACTGCATTGGTGGAGCAGCTCGATGCGCGGACGGCGGCGCCCAATGGCCGGCCTACAGCTAGCCGCATAGCCATTGTGTGCGATTAGAGAGTTGTGAGGCTACGCGATGTAGCAGGTAAAGGCGACTCGGGGTGGTGATGTCGTCGACGTCGTGAAGTTCGCAGCTCAACCCGCAACATGCAAGATTATGTAAGTAGCGTCTGGCGGAACTGGTGTCCCATGGCGCAGGTGCAGCCTCTTAACCCCCATCACCTCCCGTGGATCCCTCCTACAGCGACAGCGACACTCTGGCCGGCGTTTATTTGTGCTTCAGCGGTTTCCTTACTGACCTCTCGTGGATCCCTCCTAGTTCTCATCTCACCCCACGTATCACTACTCTGAGCGCCACCCTCGGGATTTGACACCACACACTACACAACCACACAACACCATGTCCCGACTGCAACAAGACCAGTTCGTCGACGATGACGAGGAGGAGTGCTGCCCGCTATGCGTCGAAGAGTTCGACCTCTCGGACAGGAATTTCCGGCCCTGTCCATGCGGCTACCAGGTATGCCTTTGTGCCGAAACTCGGTGAAGCCATCTCGAGTCCCCCATGCTAACTCACGTGCCAGATATGCCAGTTCTGCTACAACAACATCAAGACTACCATGAACGGACTGTGCCCCGCCTGCCGCCGACCCTACGATGATTCTACGATCGAGTGGAAGACCATTTCCCCCGAAGAGTGGGTCCCCTGCACCTTCCCTCTATAGACACTTCTGACACTGGGCAGGATGGCACAGCACAAACAGCTCATCGCGCAAAAGGCCAAGAAGAATGCGCAGATACGGCAAAAAGAAGCGCAGAAAGCCGAAGCCGACTCTCTCAGCCGCAAGCACTTGTCGGGGCTGCGTGTTGTCCAGAAGAACCTCGTATACGTTACCGGTCTTACGCCCACCATACGCGAAGACGAACTACTCAAGACACTCCGTGGTGACGACTACTTCGGGCAGTATGGCAAGATCCTCAAGATCGTTGTAAGCAAAGCCAAGGAGAACGCTCAACATCAGCAGTCGGTGGGTGTTTACGTAACATTTGCTCGCAAAGAAGATGCAGAGAAGTGCATCAATGCTGTTGACGGTTCCCAGAATGGTGAGAGGACACTGAGGTATGTGAACATCCGCTCCTGCATATCTGTCATGTAACAAGCTCACGTCTTTGCAGGGCGCAATTTGGCACCACAAAGTACTGTTCAGCGTACCTTCGCGGCGAGACCTGCAACAACCGCAACTGCATGTTCTTGCACGAACCCGGCGAGGACAACGACAGCTTTACCCGCCAAGATCTCTCCATGATGAACTCGATCCAGACACAACAACCGTCACAATCGTCGACATCTCGAGCCGCACCCCCCGCCCACCAGGGTCCCCCCGTTGCTGCTGCAACACCGATGAATCGTCAAGACAGTAACGACACGTCGAGCTCGATACATGAGGCACCTGGCTTGCCAGCAACGGCAAATTGGGGAAGCAAAGCGGTCCTGGAACGTCGTGCAAGCCGCTCCACAGTCGCTTCAAACAACGCCAGTCCTATGATCACGAACGCCGTTCCTGCGCAGGCATCCAAAGCACCGAAACCAGCGGAGGCACCAAAGAAGAAGGGTAAAGACAAAGAAAAGGAAAAGGAAAAGGAGAAAGAAAAGGAGAAGGAAAAGGAGAAAGAGAAAGAGAGAGAGAAAGAGAAGGAGGAGAAGGAGAAGGAGAAGGAGAAGCAAAAAGACAAGTCTGCACAAGCATCCAAGCCCGCAACTCCGCCGCTCGCGCCTGCACCAGCCGTACCCCCTTCCAAGCCTCGTGACAATGGCATTCATAATTTGTTGAAGGTCATCTGCTCGCCGGACTTCAAGTTCGTGTTCTCTAGCGCTGTTCTTTCCGAAGAAGAATTGAAAGCCGTCACCGAGTTCCCTCAACTATTGGACCCTAACGGCGGTGCGAAGCGTCGTGCCATCAAAGAAAAGAAAGAGAAAGAATTGGCATTGCAGCAGGAGGCTGAGGCAGAAGCGATTGCAAAGGCAGCTTCTCAACAAGCCCCTACTGCAGCTGAGCGTGAAGACAACGAGGCAACAGCCGGTGGTAGCTTACAGCTGGGGGGTGAGCCCGAAGACGGTCCTGAGACAAGCACCAATCATCTGAACCAGCATGCGATTGCACCACCTGGTCAACAGGGGTTTGGTGGAAGCCTCTTTGGGCAGAACACACCTCTGGCTGAGGACTTCAGCAGCCTTGGGTTGAGCAACAGAGGTTTGACGCCGCAGCAACAGCAGCAGCTTTTGCTCTCCAACTTCAAGTCCGGCACCCAGTCTGCGAACCTCCTCAGCAACATGCAGAATGCTCAGCCTCAACAGCACAATGCCTCCAGCCATGCCAGACACACCTCACGCTTTAGCTTTGCCAACGACAGCGCTTCCGCCTCCGCGAATGTGCAACCTGTCGCGAACCAGAAGCTCATGAGCCAACAAAATTCGATGATGCCGAAGAACGCCAATCAGTTCAACCCCATGTCTCAGCATCAGCAGTTGGGTGGGCAGTTCTTCACCAACGTACAAGGACCGCCTCCTGGGCTGAAGCCTACTGGCACACCCCCTGTCAGCGGGACTGGCATGTTCGGTCAAGGTCACGGTTTTGCTACTGGTGGTCTACCCTACGGGGCTGGCGCAACGGCAAGGAATAACAATGATGCCATGTATCAGGACTTGCTCCGCAGTCGGAACATGGACGGCGGTGCTAGGCTAGCTGATGCTGGAAAGCGTGAGTCAATGTTTCCTTCTTTCCTTAATCAACACCCCACAACCTCCACACCTGCCCCTGCCCCTGGCCTCCTAAGCTTCCCTTATGGACCTTCGCCCGGAGCTTACCAGGAGTCTGGTTCGCAGAAATCTAAGAAAAAGGGAAAGAAGCATAGGCACGCGAACACTTCCTCCTCTGGAGGAGGTGGTCTTGCCGACGTTCAAGACCCAAGTATCTTACAGGCAAGGTTGCACCAAGGCGGCATGGCTGGGCAGGGCATGTATGGCCAAGGTCAAGGCGGTTTCTCTTCTCTCTATTCCAACAACAACTACGGCGGCGCTGGACGATGGTAGTCGTTTTTCATTCTGCACATTGGTCGGCCTCTGGCTCGGCATACTGTCTTAGTACTTTGTTCGAACGATGGCTGCATGGCGTTTCGGTTTCACGGTGAATGCATCGGCACACATTCGGTGCTTCGACACTGGGATGCCTGGCGTTATGATTGGACTGCACGGTTATTGTCAACTCTTTTGGCCCCGGCATGTCTTTACGGCACCTATACCTTCACATTTTTTTCTCTCATTTCCTGTCATAATTGGGTGGAATGCGCTGTCCTGCCGCTGCAAAGGTTGGCTTCTCTCGTCGTCTTCGTCATGGTCATCCTATGTACGTAACTACCCCTCCTGCCGCTTTAAGTCGGCATGCTTACTTTCTAATAGAGAGATGGCCTATTCACTATTTTCTTGCCCCATCAAGTGACGGAGATGTTCGAGAGTCAACTTTTGCAAAATGATGTACCTTAAGATTCTGGCGACACCATCCTGACCGTCGTCTGGCGGCCGCCGTACTTATCACAGCTGAACTTGCTTTTTCGGATGTAGACATTCAAGACTATAGTGCTAACGAGTTATTGTAGACGATGCGCCACTTAGTGCAGAAGAACAAGCATCTATCAACGTGGATGCACTCGTTAACGACAGCGACAATGAGCCAATCCGACCCATCCCAAGCACTCCGCTGAGCGGCCACTTCTTCGAACAGCCTCGTCGATCGACCCCCACTATACCACCTGGCTTCACAGCGCCGGCCATACCCAAAGCAGTGCTTGAGGAGTCACGGTCTCGTCCTGGATCTCGACCAATGTCTCGAACTACATCCTCAACCATCGCACCAGCCGTACCTGTCGTGCCTGTTACTCCGCTTGTTAGCGCAACGCCTAGTAAGGTCACCAAGGGTAAGCAAAAGAGTGATACTGTCGTGCCAGCGACCCCTACAGCAGTCCCAGTAGCTTCCACTGTAGCTAAGCTTCCACCTACGACGCCTTCAAGAACGACGACTAAAGAATCTGCCGTTGTTGTCCCACAAACACCTAAGGAACCCACACCCAGAGAGGCCTCTAGGGCAGCCAAGGAAGATGTAGTGCAGACCCCGAAGTCTACGCCAGATGTGAAGAAGTTGATGTCGGAAACAGCTACAAAGGAAACCCCAAAGTCAAAGGGCGCTTCTAAGAAGACCCAACCTGCGACTCAGACTACCCCGAAGAAAGAGCCACAGAAAGAGATGGCACGTACTCCTGTGACGAGTACGATGCCTGCAGCCTCGACCAAGCGGCAGCCTCCAGGCAAGCTCGATATCACAGCGGCCACTAAAGTGTCGCTTGATGAGAGCTCCCCAGCTCCAGGCTCGGCCAAAGTGGACTCCCAGACAAGAAACCCTCGCTCTTTGCCGACGCCATCAGCCGGCTCCGTACCCCCAAGCCCTGCTGCAGTGGTGACTGGATCGCCGATCAAGCGTACGGGTGCGCCCAGGACTCTGCGCGTCGTCGCAACACCGAAAGCAGAAGCTCCACCGCCTTTGTCAGCGCCGTCAGCGCCATCTCTGCCTCAGATACCAACAGTCGATAAGCTTCGATCTAGACAAGCGAGTATCGCTTCTGTCAATCTACCAGGCACACCAAGCGAAATGATATCGGACACAGCTTCGGTCACTTCAACATCGTTCTCGAGGGCTAGTTCACCGCCGCCTGTTGGCGGTAAGGTCGGAACTGCACCTGTAAGGAAGAAGACGAAATCTCAAGCCAAGAAGGATAGACAAGAACGAAAGAAGCAAATTGAAGAAGAACAATTGGAGGACCCCAAGTCGGATGTTGAAGTTATGCAAGTTCCAATCATCGGTCGCAAGAAAAAGGAGAAGAAGCCGACAACTAAACCAAAGCCTATCGCCGCAGCTTTCAAGAGTCAGCCGGCTTCGCCTAAGCCAGCCACAGTCGAAGAGGAACATCCTGAAGTGCCAACGACGACATCGCGCAGGGTTTCGTCAGCGAAGGTCTCGGCAACAGCAACGCCCGAACCAGATCCAGAGCCCGAACAGCCTAAGGAGAAGCGAGAGAATTCTGCTCAATCTATCATGGCTGATTTGCAGCGCACAGGCGAGCTCCTCGTATCAACTCTTGAGTTCTTCAAGCCGTTGTCTTCGTCACTTACTCATGCCTCTCGTTCTACTCAAAACGGTAACGTGACTGCACCTCCGGACCTGAAGCTGCACTTCTCCCAAGCCGACCTTGAGGCGCTTGCTAAAAAGAAGCCAGTACGTCTCAGTAGCCAGGATGGCAAGCCAGATTCTAAGACCCTCATCACACCTAACGGCAAGTTCTTTTGGGGCCTAACCGAGGAGCTTGAGACGAAAGCGCTTGAGCTTGAAAAGCATATCGAGGAACTCAAAGGCCATGCCCGCTTCCACCCTCGTAAGCAGACCGCACATAGTCATAACATGACGAACTCAGCGCATTCCAATGACGTCCTTCCAGCAATTGCCACTGCACTCAAGGAGGCAGGTAAAAAGCTGAACACCAACGGGGGGCAACAGATGCCGCGATTGGACAATTCTTCTGGACTTCTCGGTTCAACGAATCTTCCCCTGCCACCCGTGCAAGGGCAGGACGCGCCTATGCCTCAAGTCCCTCCCCCACAGCAACAGCAAACACCCGCCGACGCTGGCGCCTATCTTAACCAATACGTTCTCCCAAAGACAGACAACCCGCCACCGAACCAGCCACGGCCTGAGATGGCCGCTGTTGGTGGTGCACCTGGGGCTGGGACAGCAAACATGTCTGTCAATTCGAACAAGTTTGCCAAAGCGGCCAAGGCAGTTGTCGAAGGGGGAGCAGTAGGAAGCACAGAGATAGACGGCATGGGGATGATGGCGGCTGATAGACTGGGCGGCGTCTTTGTCCAGGGTCTCGAAGCACTCGTAGGTGCTGGACTTGGCTACCAGTCTACACAAGAGTTTGGCCTTGACGGCAACGGCAACATCACGTTAGGAAATGGTAGTGGAGGAGGACTAGACATGCAGGGTTTGATGAACGCGATTGAGACGACAGCTGGTATGGGTGGCTACAGTGGCAATGCGAGAAGAGGAAGAGGCAGTGTACTGACTATGGAGGAAGCGGAACAAGCCATGCACGCAGCGAGAAGAGAGCATGATGTGCTGGAAAAGAAGCTCAATGCGTTGATGAAGAAGAACAAGAAGCTGGCGACTGGCCTAGGAAAGTAGTGATGGAATGGACTACTAGTATGCTCTAGCGAATCTCGACTAAACCAATATGAATATTTTGGCAATTAGTAACGCTAGTACTGTGACACCGTATATGCGTGACTGGTACAGCTTGCTCGTATTCGATTATAGCTGGCGCAAGCGTGTGACAAAAGGGATGAAGTTGAGAAGCACATGATGATGCGCCGACTCGCCGATTCGTCAGGGAGACTCACCGCCAACGGTGGGCTGGAATTCCAGGGTCCACCAACTGGTTCCTGAAGAAGGCCAGATTCGCAATTGCACTCACTGCACGTTTCTTCTGATCTTGAGACCTGCTCACGATCTTTTAATTTCAACTTACTTTTACACACCCGACATTACGCCAAGATGAGTCTGCAGCCACCCTCCCTCTCCATGAGGCCCAAGTCTCCTTCTGGAGGCTCTACTAAGGCCGTTATTCTGGTAGATACTCCCTGGGACCTAGACGCCGCCATGCATACTGACAAGACTAGGTCGGAGGTCCTTCTCGAGGCACGCGGTTTAGGCCTCTGTCTATGGAATTGCCCAAGGTACGCGACAATCCGGAATACCGTGTCTGACCGCATCCCCGCTAATGCTACAACAGCCGCTCTTCCCCATCGCCGGTCACCCCATAATCGAGCATTGCTTCCGCGCAATCACCAATGTTCCCGAGATCAAGGAAGTCTTCATTGTCGGCTACTATGAGGAGTCGGTCTTCCAGCCCTTCATCAACGCCGTCTCGACCAACTGGCCACACCTGAGCGTTAAGTACCTCCGAGAATACCAGGCATTGGGCACGGCAGGAGGTCTCTACCACTTCCGCGACGTCATATTGAAGGGTAAGCCCGAGAAGCTGTTTGTTCTGAACGCAGATGTCTGCTCTTCCTTCCCACTGGTGGAGATGCTCAAGCTCTTCAACGACAAGGATGCCGAGGCGGTAATGCTGGGTACGAGGGTCGCAAATGACGCCGCGTCCAACTTTGGTTGCATTGTCTCGGATGCGCACACGAAGCGCGTACTTCACTACGTCGAGAAGCCCGAGTCGCACATCTCTAACCTTATCAACTGCGGAATCTACCTCTTCGCGACCGAGTGCATCTTCCCCGCCATTCGCAGCGCCATCAAGCGACGGACCGAGCGCCCACGGTTGCTGTCTTACCCCTCCTCCGAGAACCTCGAATCCTCTTTCTACCAAAACGACGACGATGACGAGAACAAGGAGAACGCTGTCATTCGTTTGGAGCAGGATGTCCTGTCCGACATCGCCGATAGCAGGCAGTTCTTCGTTCTGGAGACCAAGGACTTCTGGCGCCAGATCAAGACCGCTGGTTCGGCCGTACCAGCTAATGCGCTGTACCTCCTGAAGGCATTCCAAGCGGGATCGGAAGAGCTTGCTGCCCCCTCCGCCAACATCCTGCCTCCAGTCTACATTCACCCCTCCGCCCAGATCGACCCAACTGCCAAGATCGGACCGAACGTCTCTATTGGCCCTCGTGTCGTCATTGGAGCGGGTGTACGTGTCAAGGAGTCTATTGTCCTCGAAGACTCTGAGATCAAGCACGATGCCTGCGTTTTGTACACCATTGTTGGCTGGCACAGCAAGATTGGCGCTTGGGCACGTGTTGAGGGTACACCAACCCCCGTTACTAGCCACACCACTAGCGTTATCAAGAACGGCGTCAAGGTGCAGAGTATCACCATTCTCGGCAAGGACTGTGCCGTTGCAGATGAAGTCCGCGTGCAAAACTGTGTTTGCTTGCCATACAAGGAGCTGAAGAGGGTAAGTCGACCAATTTGCATGTTATCAATTTACGCTAACACATTGTGCAGGACGTCTCTAACGAGGTCATCATGTAAAAGACCAAAACCCTCCGCAACATATTGCGAGTTAGTATGGGGTGGTGATGCAGTATATAAGCATCTATAGTACTTAATCAAGACGCGATGCATGACAGATGGTCACTGAATAAAGCGATATACCACTACAATTGAAATGACAGCCAAGACGACCTCTCATTGCTTTCTTGCATGCGTGAAAAGGTGTATTTGTGTAAACCTCTCTTTGTTATGATGCCCTAGAATAGCCGCGTCTAGACTGAATCGGGTATCGCTATCCGAACATCGACATCCCGTTTTCCAACCACAACATACGCTTCTGCCATTCTATCAGCCTCCTCCAAACTCTTGCGCAGAATTTGTATAGTGTTTGTTACCGCTGCTAATAGTTTGCTCAGAACATCTTGACACAAACTGCTAGGAGCGTTATATTGTCCAAGTTCCGGGCAGGACAACGCAATTCGCAACCTTTGTATCGGAGAAACGGAGTCATAACAAGAAAGAGCTATCCAGTTGAAAAACGACATAATGTCGGATATGGAGACAGCTCTTCATGCAGCACGAGACAGGCAGTTGAATGGCAATGCATCGGAACCGACCACGAAGCTCAACCCCATTCCAGACTCTGGATCCCGATACGATAAGCCTATTGTTGCTGCGCAACAGGATGGACTACCCATAATCGACATCTCCGCTTTTCTAGATCCTTCATCTACGAAGGACGCACAATCCACAACCGCTAAAGCCATCAATGCCGCTTGCGTGAACTATGGCTTCTTCTACCTCACAGGCCACGGCATACCAACTGCAGAGCTCGATAAAATCATTAACCTCGCCCGCGAATTCTTCGCTTTGCCACTAGATGAGAAGAACAAGATCAAACGTTTCGATGCCGGAAGTCCAGAGGGAGGAGATGGCGCAAGGGGTTATCAGGGGCTGGGTGAGAACGTAACGGGCGGCCTGCAAGATATGCAAGAAGCCATCGACTGGTACCGCGACTGGCCAGAAGAGAAGCGAGAGCCTGGAGAAGGACGACCTGGTAGCGTGAAGAGCCTCCAAGGTGTGAACCTATGGCCCGAGCAACCAAAAGAGCTCAAACCCGTATACACGGACTACATTGAACGAGTCAAAAAAGTCGGCGAAGCCCTCGCCCACGCTATGGGCGTAGCTCTGGACCTTGGAACGCCTTCAAAAGATGCAATGCAAAGCGAAGAAGACGAAGAAACCTTCGTGAGGAACTGTAACGAATCCTTTTGGGTGATGCGTATGATCGGTTACCCACCCCTAACAACCCCTCATACCCCTGGCAACGACATTGAACAATTCTCCTGCGGCGCGCATACAGATTACGGCTGCGTAACCCTCCTCCTCACGGACCCCACCCCAGGCGCCCTCCAAGTCCAACTCAAAGACGGAACTTGGCTCAACGCCGATCCCATACCAGGGGCCTTTGTAGTAAACATTGGAGACATGATTGAGCGGTGGACGAACGGGCTTTGGAAGAGTACGATGCATAGGGTTATACACAGGGGTCAGCAGTATAGGATTAGTGTGCCTTTCTTTTATGAGCCGAATTTCGACGCTGTGGTAAGGCCGTTGGCGAAGTGTGTTGAGGAGAGTGGGGAGAGGATGATACATCAGGGTAGCACGTATGGGGAACATCTTTTGACAAAGGTCTTCAGTAACTTTTATTATAGTAAGAGGACGGATTGGTGAAGAAGGTATTAGGTGGTGAGCGAGAGAAATCTGCGTTTGCAGTCGTACTCTCACCTTCACCTTTTGGTTTTGAAGTCCCGTTCACCTAGGAATCAGAAATCCATCCTTCCACATAATCTGTCTTTCAGCGGCCCACCTTTTTACTTTCTTATCGGACTCTCTACCCATCCGCAAATCTACATACCACTCAGTCATACGGTTACCTTTGCAATGTCTTCCTCAAACTCAAACAAAGCGCGCAAGCTCTCTTTGTACTGTTCCAATCTCTACAACGAGGTTTTCAATTTCCTCCTCACCCCTTCGATGATCTAGAACGTCATGATTGTATCAACCCAGGATGCGCTTCAGTATCATGACGAAGTTTGGCCTCTTGATATCAACGGCGAGCCTTTCTATGATACCGATCCGGTCTTCAACTTTGCTAACATTCAAAACGTCGAGAGGCTTCTCATAAAGCTTAGGGAAGGCTTTTGTGTTACTGGGCCGCTGGACTTGGAGGTCGTTCTGTACCTTGAGAAAGAGAATCATCACGCACTGAAGACCACTCTTCGGGTAAGTTGCATATTATACAATGCAAACAGAAACGTATTGAAGGGTATCCTGTTAAAATTTGACTTCTAGAAAACTGGTGTGGAGCCGAAGCGTATCCACATGGAGACACTTCGCCGCTGCGACGGCATCGCAAGGAAGAACATCTGCCGCATTGTTCGTCCCCATTCCGATATCAAGTAACTTTTCGCCACGCTGAAATATGTTATTGAATCCATGTTGAAGCGAACCTACTCCGTAAGCAAGACTCAAGGCCACATCTGAGACAACTGGCGTGTCCGCACCACCGAGAACACCAAGGAACTCACCAGCGACCTGAGGTGCCTGGCTATGATCGACATTAGCAAGGCCTCATCCGGCCAACAAGACCATCAGCAAGTGCTTTGATCGCAACAGGTCGTACAAGGCGGGCAAGAAGGGCGAAACAGCGACCGCGCGCTACAACGATGATGCCAAATATATGGGTGAAAACGTCGCTGAGGCGGCTTATCCTGGTAAGGGCAAGGCTATGAACATGCTTGCAGGTCGCCTCGAAAAGACCATGTTACCGGACACTGTGATTGAAGATGACGATGATGACTCCGATTACGAAGAGTAAGGGTTGGTGGTGGGCTGAAGGGTTTTAGTGGTATTGAGAAGAATGAAGTGATGTATGGTGAGGTATTGAACACCTTCTGGGTCTCATATGATGTTTCAGTAGCTACTCGATAATTCCGCGAAGGCAGTTTGGGTACACTGGAAATCCGATTAGCTAGCCAGATCCATAATGATGATTCCATACTTATTGGAAGACTTCCTCTATCGCGCAACCTCCAAGTATCAACGCAGCGGTCACACCCTGCACGACAGGGTGGACATGCATGAAGACATACGCTACCGGATCATCCGATTCTCTATTCCGAAATGTTACGAAGTTAGTAGATATCTATACTACAGTATAATGTTATTTTGGTTGGCGATAGGTGAGAGGGCGTTTGTTTGTGTGACTACGTGAGGGGGGACTTGCAAACGGTATTCGCATGCTCTGTGGCATTTAATCAGCAGGTACGAGAGGAGGAGTAAGTGAGTGACGCGTATTCAAATGCAAATGTTGTTGCGCTGTCTTTTGCTCCAGTCACATAGTATATCGGGTCGATAAAGGTATTCTATATTTGCCTTGAGTTTGAAACGAGTCGCGGTCTTTCTTTTGGACCAAACATCGTTTTTCCCTTGCTTGTTGTTTATCCCACTATACTTCCTAGCGTACGTCATTGGCTTGTTGCACGTGGACTTTACCTACCAACTAACGTACAGAGGCGAGTATATGCCTTATCGAGCTTGACTGGACCCCTCCAGCCACTCTAATAGCGCGGCATGGTATCTTTCACTATCCTGTACTTGCGGACTGTGGCCCAAATCGTCGAACTCAATCAACTTCGCATCTGGGATCCTTGCCGCCGTTTCCTTGCCCAATATATCGTATTTTCCTAGCTTAGCTTGTACGTCTGGTGGACTCCAAGCTTTGCCAATAGCCGTTGTGTCCTTGGTTCCAATCAAGAGGAGAGTCTTGGGCTGCACCAACTCAAATTCGTACGCGATCGGTTGAGTCAAGACCATATCGGTTGTCTGCGCCATATTCCATGCAAAGTCAATATTTCCAGGCGATGTTTGGTAGAGAGAAACCAGCATGTTGACCCAGACGTCATACTCAGGCTTCCAAGTGTTGACGTAGTAGGTAGCTTGTTGGTATTTGCGAATCGATGTGTAGTTTGTGGCAAGTTCATCCTTGTACAACGCATCGAGATTGCGCCATGGTACCCCGAGGGCCTTCCAGTCTTCCAGACCAATTGGATTCGTGAGGATGAGATGTGAAGTCTGCTCTGGATACATCAAGGCAAATCGTGTGGCTAGCATACCGCCCATGGAGTGACCCAGTACATATGTCGATTCCACGCCCAGGCTCTGGAGTAGCAGATGCGTGTTACGCGCCAACTGCTGCAGTGAGAATTGATAAGCCGGTGGCTTTGACGATTTGCAAAAGCCAATCTGATCTGGGATGATAACGCGGTAACCCTGTGTTGAGAGACGGTGAGCGGTGTCCTCCCATGTTGCGCCACAGAAATTCTTGCCGTGCAGGAGCGTGATTGTTTTGTTTGAAGCAACGCTGGTGTTCTGAGAAGACACATCCATGTATGCCATTGAGAGGTTCGCGCGCTGCGACGTAACTTCAAAGTAGTGTACCGGCCATGGATAAGTGTAATTCCAGATGCTGGGTGGTACCGTGTTTGCGCTCAGCGCAGTTGCAACGAGCTGCGTTAAGAGTAAAAGCTGTAGCTGCATCCTGAGAGCAACGACAAAAACCAGAGACGATAGAGAGAGTCTAAAGGGAGATGTGGTAGAACATGAGGTTTCTATACCTAGGTATGCCTCCCTGGAATCCTGACATGCATATACTGTACAATGACGCCTGCCAATCTATCCTGCCTATCAGGACCCACCTTGGTGCTTGTCACCTTGTCTTGCATCGTATTGCGACTTGGTGGTGCATCGTGCGAACGTGCGCTAGCATACTGGCTTGTTAGTCAGAGAAAGTAGTCGCTAGAATTTGCACGTTCTGGTGTCTATACAGAGCCTTCTTTCCCTCATTTGCGCAACGATATGATACTTTGTATTCGGTACTTTGTACAAGACAGTGCCGTGCTTGCCAAGATGAACAGCCTCTGATTAATCCTCCAATCAGATGGATGAACGCCGCCAGTGTTCGTGGAGAACACTGTTTCTGCAATGTCAGACGTTTTGTGGCCTTTGGGGAGCCTGTCAACGGTCATACAGTTACAGGTGTATAGATTCACCTGCCATTCTCTCAAACAAGCATGAAGACGATGGTAACGCCGGGAGAATGAAAGAAGCCAGGTTAGTGAGGGAAATTGCAGACTAACCCGAACTTGGCTAGCACAAATATGCATATCTCCAACCCCGGAACCCCAGCCATCAAATTTCCAGCTTCCACTTCTCCGTACCCAAAGTTCAAGCCACACCTCGCGAACGGACGCAAACAATCTCCACTGCGACCCCTGTATCATCTGGCATCCATGATGCTTTGCCACGAGGCCTGCGGGCTACTGCACATGGTGGCTAAACGGCTAAAGTACATCGGACTGGACCTCGGATGGCGATGCTGAGAAGCCACTGTCACGATGCCACGTTATTGTGTGTAGATGCAGTACAATTCATTCATCAGTTTAAGAAGGCCGGCACCCGTTGAGATGGGAACGACCGCCCGAAGAGTGCATATAGTACGCAGATGTTGCAGTACCTGTCTCTGCTGCAGGTACGGTAAATCTTAGTACACTTTCGTGATTGTAGAACTATCTGCCGTACCAGCCTACGTCAGCATTCTGCCTATACCCCTGCCTAGCCATTGATCTACTCATCGTTTTCCGGGGAATGGCCCGTTCTCGAATGCTTATTTCCAATAGCCTCATGTGGGGAGCAACTGCTTTTGGCTAGCGCTACGGTTGGTTCATTTACAAGCACAACGCCATCCGGGTTACCGGTGCTGTATAAGAAGATCAGGATGAACGATGATAGTTTTTCAGCTGTCGACCGGATCTCTTTGCAAGGCTGGACATTCAAGATGACAGTCATCGCCACTCTTGTTGCCGCTGCTGCGGCTGGCATGGTCGCTGTTTCTCAGGCTTCACCAGTAGTGGAATCAACACCTGCTGTGGGCGTGTCGAATGCCAAATCTTCTTTGACACTTATCTACCAAAACAACTTGAACGCATCGGACGACAAGAACCACATCGGTGCCATCGTCCTCGACCCGGTCTCTCAAGCCAATGCAGCCGCCGCATGCGCCTCGCTCAACGAGAAGCTCATCACCAAGGCTACACTCCAGAAGTATGAGGCAGACTTCAACGATGCTCTCTCGTACCAAGACTACGCCAAATACAGCGACGCTGAGCGGGGTTACTACATCGATGGTGGTGTGGTCTCAGTGGGCAATCGAGTGAGCTACTCGTCTTCTTCAGCATCCCACAAGCAATTGCCGGTCTTGTGCACTCAGTCGGCAAACAATGGTGCATCAAGCGCGGGACCTGTGGATGGTAGCGCCATCTCAGTAGCATCTGGAGGAAACACCTTCGTTGGCTACCGTAACCAGAAATCCTTCAGGTTCCTTGGCATCCCGTACGCCGACACACCTAAACGTTTCCAGTATTCTTCGCTTTACTCCAAAAAGGGACAGACGATTCAGGCCACAAAATACGGTTCGCAATGCGCGCAAGGTGGTGGTGGAAGCGAGGACTGTCTTTTCCTGAACATTCAGACACCATATATCCCCAAAGCAGGGTCGAAGAAGCAACTCCGACCAGTGTTGTTCTGGATTCATGGTGGTGGCTTTACCGGTGGGAGCGGTGCTGATGCGCTCTCCGATGGTGGGAACCTTGCCAGCAAGGAAGACCTCGTTGTTGTCAACATTAATTACCGTCTTTCAACGCTCGGGTTCTTAGCCATCCCTGGAACGGACATCAAGGGGAACTTCGGCATTGCTGATCAGATCACGGCGCTCGACTGGACCATTGCAAACATCGCTGCCTTCGGTGGCGATCCAACAAAGATCACTATCGCCGGTGAGTCTGCCGGAGCCGGCTCAGTTCGTACACTATTGGGCTCTCCCAAAGCGATTGGAAAATACCAAGGTGCAATTGCCATGTCCAATCTCGGAGGAGGTGTGACACTTGGCCTCGGCGGTGACTATGGAACAACCTATTCAACTTATTATACGGTTGATCAGAGCTACACCGTTGCCGGACCTCAGATATTTGCTGCTGCCGGCTGCAATGGCACTGATGTGTCGACTCAGATCGCTTGTCTCGACCAAGTCCCCGCTGCACAGTTAGTCGGCTTCAACACTGTAGCCCGATACGTCGTCCAGGATGGTACCTACGTTAATACGCCCAACCTCGTTCTCTCCACTCGTAATGCCAACACTGCGCACATCCCTGTCATTTTTGGTATCATCGTCAACGATGGTGCATCATTCTCCACATATCCCAAGAGTCCGATCTCAACCCATTCTCAGGGTCTACAAGAAGCGCTTGGTATCAACAGCACGTGGGCAGAGCGCATCATCCAGTCAGGTCTCTTCCCCTTGACCAACACGGGTAACTTGACACTTGATTCATTCAACGTCTCCCAGCGTGTTGCTACAGACAAGACATTCCGCTGCGTCGATCAATCTACGGTTTACTCTGGAGTACAATCGCATGCCTTCCAGAAAGCATACTACTACCAGTTCCAACGCTCCATTGATGGCTACGACCCCAACAACCTTGGCGGACCTGCCAATGACGATCCCAAGAAACCTTACTTCCGCTTCCACGGCGCAGACATGCCTTGGCTGTTTGGCACCTTGAACCGCATTCGCGACCCTGAGGATCTTTGGAGTGCTCAACTCGTCAGCAGTTACTTCGCTGCTTTCATTAGGGGCGGCGACCCAAACCCTAGCCTGAAGTACTTGGATGCCAGAGGATACGACAAGGTGATCGAGGGTGTAAAGAAGTACGGTCAGTGGGGACAAGTTGATGCTACCAGAAAGACGGGTGATGAGATCAGGCTGTTGGATTGGCCTAGCAAGAGCGCTGGTTTCCAGGATGTTGAGCAGTGCAACTGGCTGGGGTATCCTCTAGACTACTATCTCAAGGGAGGCATTTAAGGTTGCAGTCAGGCTAGCCATGACAGAAAAGCTAATACAAATCCAAGAGTACTATTGAATCATCAGACATTCCTGTTGTCTAATGTTTACATTCCATCTTCCTGCGCATGAAAATGGCATAAAACTAGGTCCAGAAGCTTGTCAAGGTGATACTAGGTGGTTTTCCATTGGTAGTGACGAGCGTATTAAAGATATAAAGCCTAAGCACGAAATGTGGAAGGAGATGTCTAGACGATGTATGAAGCTGACTGTATGGATGTATCCTTGGTGGCTGTTAGTTGATACCTGTATATGCATGAATCGCGATCCATCTCATACTAGCTTTGAACGAGTAATGTTAGGTTGATGTTCGGCAGCGGACCCTCAGCCACCCGTTGCCAGCTCATGTGGGCTGTGAGATAGGCGATGGCGAATAGACTTAACCACACAACCCGCAGATGTGAAAAGCCCGGAAACCCGATCAGAAGGCGGAGATAGTACGATCTCAATATGATTAAACGCAATTGCCGTGGAGGCGACTTCGGGACGAAGCCGCGGAGCACGATTGCCGAAAACGTCCTCTCGTACTACGTATACGATTACGCTCTGTCGACGCCTTCTGCAGGCCGCGTCAATAACATGATCATCTCCATACATTCGTTCGGCTAGTACTCTACACTATCATAATTTGTCAAGTAGCGCGCACCGCCGCCACGTTGGATGTCTCCCGTTGATCATCATGGCGGAGCTCGGAAACTCGGAACAGAACTACTTGCGAAGCTACCTGCGCCTGGCGTATACGCCGTGGTGAAGAAATAAATAGTCTAAAAGTAACGCCTAGCGCTCCCATCAATCAGATTGACCGCTGGTGGGCTGCCTAACAACGGGGACGCGACGCGCTTTGCACAGCAATACTTGCGATGGAAAACCAGAGCGACGATGACGACACCATCGAACGCATAACAACAAGACAACGATCGTGTTGCTTTGTGCCAAACACTGGTTTCTAGATCTCAAACATGGAGAAGGTAATACAATTAATGCCAGGGCGACAGGGTCCATATCAAGGTCCTTTTCGTATACCCCTCGTAACGGCATGTTGCCGAGTGCCGAAGCCGTATTGTTTCGAAATGAGCGTGAGCCACTCACAGGACATGACGCGCCACAACAATACCCTGAGCGCTGAGATGAGGACTAGAGCAAGAAGACGGTGTAAGCAGGCGCTACAAACGAAGAAGCCCTGTGAAAGATCGATGACAGCTGAAGATAAAGTGGCTCATGCGAGCATACGACACCGCATTGTAAGCCAGACAAGACAAGGCCAAAACATCAATACAAAAGATGGGACTAAAAATAAAGTTTGATCGTCAGGGCCTTCAGCCACGACGAGTGGCATGCCTAGTGGCACGCCTATGAGGTCAGATCCTCCTAGCTCTTCCGGGCGTATGGTGCGAAGCATAGCCGCCTGTGCAGTGGGTCATTCCGCTGCCTCCCGTCAGCATTGATCGCATCATTTAACATTGCTATGTTTCCACATTCGTTGGCGATTCATTTCGCGTCTTCTCAGCTCTCTTACCCTCCTTTTCCTTCCATCCCATCGTTAGGATGAAGTATACGTCTGTTTTGTCTGCCTCGGCATTGACTAGCTTAGCGAGCTGTAAGTGATGCGCCTCGGGTTCCTGCAGGGACATTACTGACGCATGTACAGCATCTGCCCTTGTTCCTCGAGAAGCCAGAGTCGCCCCTCCCAATGCGATAGATACATGGAGGCGTGCCACGCCTCAGGCTCCCAATGGCTATGCGCCAGCCGAAGTCGATTGCCCGTCTACGCGCCCGAGTATTCGATCCGCCGACAGGCTTTCTCAGCAAGAGACGGACTGGCTCCAGAAAAGGAGACCGAACACAGTGCAACCTATGCGCGAATTTCTTACGCGTGTCAATATTGAGGGCTTCGACGTTGGACAATACATCGATAACCACAGCGACAACACTACTGCCTTACCGAACATCGCGATCTCATTCTCTGGTGGAGGATACCGAGCCCTGTTGAACGGTGCAGGTGCTCTAGCGGCGTTTGACAGCCGAACATCGAATTCGACGAGCACAGGGCATTTGGGAGGAATATTGCAGGCAGCCACATATGTTTCGGCGTTATCTGGTGGAGGTTGGATGATTGGCAGCATCTACGCCAACAACTTTACTTCAGTTGAGGCCATCATCAACCGAGGCGAAGACTCGTCAATTTGGCAATTCCAGAACTCGCTTTTCAAGGGACCTCCTACGAAAGGAATTCAACTGCTTTCGACTGCGCAGTACTTTGAGAACCTGGTCAGCACGACTAGAGAGAAGTCCGATTCAACGGCTGGTGACTTCAACACGTCGATCACGGATGTTTATGGCCGCGGACTCTCTTTCCAGCTTATCAACGCCAGTGATGGAGCCCCAGGTATGCTCATCGTCACATCGTTGATTTTCATAAGCTAACCCGCACAGCCTATACCTTCTCTTCTATAGCGGACGATCAAGACTTTTCGTCCGGAAATGCACCAATGCCTATCCTCGTAGCGGATGAGCGTTCACCTGGGGACCTTATTATCTCTCTGAATGCTACCAACTTTGAGTTCAACCCGTTCGAGATGGGCTCCTTCGATCCTACAACCTATGGCTTTGCTCCTTTGAAGTACATTGGTTCAAACTTCAGCGAGAGTTCGCTTGCCCAAGACCAGGGCTGTGTTGCCGGATTCGATAATCTAGGCTTTGTCATGGGAACCAGCAGTTCCCTGTTTAACCAGATCTTCCTCACTCTTAACACCTTCCAGGACATCCCCCAGATTCTTCTGAACTTTGTATCGAACATACTGCAGGGTATCGGTGAAGACGGTGACGATATCGCCGATTATTCGCCAAACCCTTTCTACCACTATCACAACGAGACGAACCCTAGTGCTGATAGGGAGCGCCTTACTCTCGTTGACGGTGGTGAGGATGGTCAAAATATTCCTTTCAACCCGGTCATTCAGCCCATCCGCCAGGTCGATGTCATTTTTGCCATTGACTCCTCCGGTGACACCGTCGACGAGGACGACCCATCGCAAAACTGGCCAAACGGCACTTCATTAGTAGCAACATATGAGCGTGCGAGTGGAACCCTCATGAACAGAACCTCGTTCCCCTACATCCCCGGACAGGATACCTTTGTTGCTCTGGGAATGAACAGTCGCCCAGCATTCTTTGGTTGCAACAGTAGCAACGTCACTACAGGTGACAACATCCCTCCTCTTGTTGTTTACCTTCCCAACGCCCCGTACGTCTTTTGGTCCAACCAATCGACCTTTGGAAAGCTCGACTATACCATTGAAGAGCGCAACGGTATGATCGAGAACGGTTACGATGTCGTCACTCAGGGTAACTCCACACGTGAGGGTGCTTCGAACTGGCCTACTTGCGTTGGATGCGCCATTCTCTCCAGAAGCTTGGAGCGCAACGGCGAGGCTATCCCACAAGTGTGCCAGCAGTGCTTCACTGACTACTGCTGGAACGGTACCACGGTGGAGACTTCACAGCCTTACACTCCCGAGTTGATCGTTGGACAACTCGGCACTACCGAAAAGGACAGTGGTGTAGGAAAGTTCGTACCGAACGCCCTCGGTCTTGCCCTGGCAGCGGCAGTATCTGGATACCTAATGATGTGATTTGTGTTCTAGTTTGTTTTTTTGTGATATAGGGATTGGGTTTGGCGCGGGTACAAAATGATACCACCTCTCTTTTGTAGATAGTAATTAAGTCATTACACGCATATTGAATCTCTCGATCGCCCTTCGCCTATCAGATGTGTTGCATTACCATACCATGCATTGCGGCTCTATGGCTCCCTGTCCCTGGGATCCCTGCATGACCGAGGCGTGTGCCCCGCCAGTCGCCAGCCGTCAAAAAAAGTTACAACCCCGCCACGCCTCAAGCACCAACCAGCCCACAAGCGATCAACACACGCGATGGCCGTCCCATCCCTCGAAAGCGCGCCCGTACTCTCTACGCCTGATACACACATATTCGAAGACCCCACGCCCGCCGTAGACACGTCGAGTCTAGTCAGACTTTCAGATGAGCAGATCACGCTCACATACGAAATCGAGCGGACGGTTAAGGAGATACGGGAGGGAAGATGGAAAAGGATCGCGCTGCAATTTCCAGATCACATGCTTACCGATGCGCCGAGAGTGTATGAGCAGCTGAGTCGAGGACTGGGCAAGGAAAGGAAGGCGCTGAATGGAAAGCAAGAAACAAACGGACATGCAAATGGTGCGACAATAGCAGAGGAACTCATCGCAGACCTGGACAAGGCTACGATATCCGAGGAAGGGAGCAATCGGGAGAGCCTGTTTATACTGGGCGACACTTCGTACGGTGCGTGCTGCGTGGACGAGGTTGCTGCAGAGCACGTCGATGCGGACGTCGTTGTGCATTATGGCCGCTCGTGTCTATCACCTCCTTCAAGACTACCGGTCATATACGTCTTTACGGAACGATCGCTAGATCTCGACTCAGTAGTCACGACGTTCAAGGAAACATACCCAGAAAAAGCGGCAAAGATCATACTCATGGCAGACATACCATACTCACACCACGTCCCCACCCTCTACAAACGCTTATGTGATGACGGCTACACGGGTCTACACGCTACAGAAATCGTCCACAACCCTTCCTCGCCACTCCCAAACCGGACGATACCATCCGAAGCAGCAGAAACAGACGATGCCCTCCGCGACTATGCGCTATTCCACATTTCCGACCCACCAGCCTCTCTCCTCCTCACCCTCTCCTCCCGCGTCGCCTCCATACATATCTACCCCACAGAGAGCAACTCCTCCGTAACACCTACCGCTTCGCTCGCTAGTACCGCACAAACCCTCCGTCGCCGCTACGCCCTGCTTACCTCTCTCTCTACAACGCCCATCTTCGGCATCCTGATCAACACTCTCTCCGTGAAGAACTACATGCACATACTCTCCCACGTACAAAGGCAAATCACGGCAGCAGGCAAGAAGTACTACACTTTTGTCGTAGGCAAAGTCAACGCGGCTAAGGTAGCCAACTTCAGTGAAGTGGGCGGCTGGGTAGTGATCGGCTGTTGGGAGAGCAGTTTAATTGAAAGCAGAGACTTCTGGCGGCCGATGATCACGCCGTGGGAACTCAAGGTGGCATTGCAGGGCGACGAGGAGAGGGTGTGGACAGGAGCTTGGGAGGGTGACTTCCAAAAGGTCCTCGATGAGGAGGTTAAGGATGGGGGGAGGACTGATGGTGATGAAGAAGCGATGGGTAATGGGAAAGATATGAAAGAGGAAGCGGACATGAATGGAGACTATGATTCTGAAGAGGAATCTGCGCCTCCTGAGTTCGATCTTAGAACTGGTCGCTATGTGTCGCATGCGAGACCTATGCGCTCGACTGCCACTCCAAAGGCTGTCAATGGTAACCCGGTGTCGTCTAGTTCGGCACTAACGAAACGAGCGAATGGCGATATTGCAGCCGTGGGAGGTGTGGCTTCACCGGGTGCTGAGTACTTGCGCTCGAACAGAACGTGGCAGGGTCTCGGCACCGACTACCGCGACGCAGACAATGGAGAAGATGGCACTGGTGGTGCGAGGGCGGCCAAGATGGAAGAGGGTAGAAGTGGGATTGCAAGGGGCTATGTTGTTGGTGAGCAAGGGAGCAGACATTGAAGTAAATGTGGACGCTATTACGCGGCTGCATAATAGACTTAGCTATGAAGAGTTCTTCCCTTCCATCTATGTACCCACTCATCTCCCTTCCATCTGATATCATATCATTTCATAGGGCTTCAGTGAGATTCTTGTTCCATCACATGCTCCAGGGCAGATAATCCATAAGCCAAGAGACTTTTCATTGCATACCCAGTGCGACCCTCGCCCATGCTGTCTCCATGTCTTGAACGAGCGTAAGGAAGTCTTCGCTTTCGAGGTGGCGATAGACGAACTCATTCAGCGCCTCCCTGCGTTCCTCATCAGACTGCAACGCATATGCTGCCAAGCCGTCATTGCCGTGCATACCAATCGCGGAGCCCATATAGGACACAGTTGCACCACGGTGGCTAGCGACAGATGTAGGTGGTGTATCGGCAGCATTGTGCGACATGGGATGATGAGTTTTCTGGGCAGTATTGCTGAGCGAGCCGAATGGAGTAGGTAGGGCAGTTGAGCTCAACTTTCTGAACGACAGTGGAGAGGAAACGGGAGACGATGTCAAAGGCGACTGGCTCTCGACACCTTGATGCGGAGACGTCTTAGCGCGCTGGGGGCTGTATTGATCTTGATTCGGCGTGTGAGGAGGCTGCTGCATCACTTGCTTACCACGGGCAGTCTTACTGATAACGGTGGGCTGAGGTAAAGGAGGAAGCTCTATCTCCTTGCTGTTTGGGCTTCGACTGGAACTAGGTCGGCCGCTGGCTACACGTGCTGGCAAGGGGGGTGGACCCATCGTGCCGGTTGACGGTCGCATGCTATCACTTCCCGAGGAGCGAGGTGACGATAAGCGCGAGAAAGGAAGCTCTCGTCTAGGTGGTAGTGTCTCAACGCTATCAGGACGATTAGCACTAGCAGGGCGGTTGGCGCTGTTGGGACGGTTGAAGAGCATAGCAGTGCTTGGTCGTTCAGTGGATGTACAAGGGGACCCTTCAATTGTCGGCATATGCTGGTCTGACGCATATGGAGAGTCAAGATGCGAGCGCCCCAAGATATCCGAGGTAGCTGAGGTGGGTCGAGCGAAGAACACAGGAGGAGCAAGAGGACTTAAAAAGGAAGCTGATATGTTGCCCTCTCCGCTAGCATAGCCTGGAGTGGCAGATACTGGACGAGTGTACGGCGCTCCTTGTAGCTGGGAATCTGGAGTAGAAGACGCGTTATGGCTCGTATAGGGTCGACTGGATATCTCCGCCAGTCGTGATGGAGGACACGATAGTCCACCTGCGACAGGGCCCCTATCGGGCTGCTCAGAGTATGTGACAACGGTCAGGCTTGGTCTAGAGGATAACGCTCGCGCGGGAGATGGCGACGGAACTGTTGGCGTTGACTGGGGCAGGGCTCCCTTTGTTCCACTCATGTAGAGACCAAGTTGAAGGAGGTGGTTGAATAAAGTATCGAAATCTTTATCCGACTTAAGCCTCATCTGAATACGTCTGAGCTTGTTGTTGGATACTTGCCATCGTATGGCCAGCAGGGGGCAGCGCACGATGGCGGTGATGGGTAGCTGATCGGTCTGCATCTGCACTCCACGTTCCTGAGTTAGACGAGTCATCTGGTTTCCTTGGTTGATCAGTCTCTCAATCTCGATAGTTTGCTATGGAAAATAGTGGTTAGCCATCACATCATTTGAAACAGTTTGTCAGCTCGAGTTGTTGAGGCATGGGTTATGCATGCACCGTACCCGAATCTGCGAACCTTGAGCCACTTTCAGGAGCTGAAAGCCACCGCGTGCGCCATAACTATCGATGACCAGTGTGAGATCGTTGGTCTCTTTCTGCCAGTTGAAGCTCTGTTCACTGGCATCGGTGTCCTGGGCTGTTGACAGAGTTGTGAGCGGAAGTGAGAACATCATGGTTAGTGCTGGCTGCTTGTTAGTCGAGATCAATCAGCTTGCACTTGGTGTTAGATATGCTGTGAGCCATGTCGTAATGAAGGCCCCCGTACGCTCAAGTGCTGAGGAAATGTGAGAGTTGTTCGGAGGAGACCTAGGGAAGTCGCAACCGGCCATGCCAGTCACATGATATGGTCCGTGCGGGTCAACGCGAGGGACTTGGTGCATTCTGGAGTTCTGGTGTTCGCCCATCCATCATCGCGACCGACGCGCGCCGCGCATTCACGAGCAAATCCACCATTGTGCCAGGCACACAGCTGAAATCACGCATGCGTCGCGATCAGTGTCCGAGCAGTTCCGAGTAAATGCGACAGCCGCAACATGGCCCCAAACAAACCAGAAGAATCATCCGTCGAGCGCACCCAAGAATATGAAGACTTCCTGAATACTTTGGCCGAGTACCACGAAAAGCGAGGGTGGGTTTCCTTCCTTGTGGCACCGCAATGAGCGCATATTGACCCGACGTGTAGCACTGTTCTGGACCGCGAACCCAAAGTTGGGAGCCGACACATTGACCTTTTGCGACTCTACAAACGCGTTAATGAAGAGGGAGGCTACGATAGGGTTTCAGATACCAAAAACAATAAGCTTGCGTGGCGGAAAATCGCGACTGAGTTCCTTCCCAAGAGCCCTAGCATAACAACCCAGGCCTTTCTGGTCAAGACGGCCTACTACAAGAACCTTGCGTACGTGAATGGTGGAAGGGAACTTTGCGCCTCGCAACTGCTGATGCCTGCTTTAGCGCCTACGAGATATCTACCGTCCACAAGCGCGAACCGCCGCCGCCCGAAATCCTCGAGAACGTGTCTGCTAAGGGCGGAGACCTCCTAAACCGGACCGTTGACAACTTCTTCCCACCCAGCAACCGAGAGGCAGAGCGATTGAGGGGAGAGGAAGACTCTGACGACTCTGACGACGTTGAGAAGACACCAAAAGACGACAAGATGGACGTGGACGAACCTGGTAGCGTTGGGCGGTCGACGAGATCCCTCCGCCATGCGCCGCCGCAGCGTGTGCTCTTCCAGCCCGAGTCTTCAACCCGACAGACGCGCCAGTCGACAGGCCATCTGACCTCATCGCAAACCAATGGCTACGGGACTAGCGGAGCAGCCATGACGATCGCGAACTACGAGCCACGAACTGCCGTACCAGCCACCATGAAGCCTGTCGTTACCCCGTCCAACTCTCTCGATACATACATACAGTCGCGCAAGAAGTACATCCTTAACAAGAAGAATAGACCAGTGCCGCTCAAGGGCATGATGTTGCCTGGTACTGGTTTCCCGGGACCCAGCATCTACATTCGCGCTTTGAATGCGCTACGGTCAAAGGAGCCCGAAGAGGAGGCATACGCGTTACATCACTTGGTAAAGATCTCGCACGAGCGAGGAGACAAATACCGCTTCGATCAGTTCCCAGGGCTCGCGGAAGCGCTTATTGCCAAGGTCATCGATGTATCCGCGCTGTTCTTTGACGTGAGTTGGGATATCTCATATGTCGAAGAGGACTTCAACCAGCCGCAAACACTGAACGGACTCTCTGGCACCCGCGACTTACTGCAGCGCATCAAGTCTCTCCGCACGCTCGACATGCAAGATGACCTCCTTCCCGAGCAGTCCGCAAAGGCCCTCAACATGATCAACGAAGCTGCGTTGATCATCCGGAACATGGTGATGTTGAAAGAGAATGCCATATTCGCGGCTTCTGTGCCCTCTATCCAAGACATGATTGTCATCGCACTCAACCTACCACACCACTCTACTGTTGTAGAACTGCAACACTACGCCCTGGAAATCGCCGAACAGTTGACCAAGTACTGGATATTGGACTCACAAAGCCCGCTATATCGCTCTTTGCTAGCTCAAGTCGACTCAGACGACCGTGGCCGCATTATCACCTCGTTAAGAGCACTTGCCCGGATAGCAATGAATCTAGAGGCTACCAACAAGCTTTCGGACGTACCAGTCAGGACTCTCAAGTCGATATGTGACTGGCTGTTAGTAGAAGATGAGGACCTCCGCATAGCATGCTTGGACTTCCTCTATCTATTTACTGGCTTCCCCGATAACGTCGAGATGCTTGTACACGAAGTTGACATCGAAGGCGTGATAAAGCAACTGGTGCGCCTACTGCAGTATGGTGCAATCGCTTACGAAGAACGAAGAAGTGCTGCGAAGACTGCGAAGACCTCTGCACCTCCAGAGAACGCGCCGAAGTTGTCATCTGCTATAATTGATCATCTCGTCACTCTTGATGAGCCAGAACGAAGCTCACAGTGGCTCAAGACGTGTTTCGAAGAGGACACAGCAGGCGAGATCACACAGATTCAGCTATGGTCAGCATACAACGCAGCCTTTTCGGAACACATGACGAATAACCCGGCTTCCTTCAAAGCGCTTATGCCAGCGAAAGATTTCATCACAAACGTATCAACGACGTTCGGCGGTGCCTCCGCTCAAGTGTTGACCGTGGGTGGGCAGCCAAAGTATACCATTCGAGGCATACGACCACGATCCGTACCAGTCGACCCAAGCACCAAGAGGCCGTATATGCGCTGTTGCTGGCATCCACCGAGCCTCTTAGACGGTCATGCCGACTCAAAACATTCGACCGCGAACATCGAGTGTGGCGAGTTCGCTTCTGGTGCGCGCTCCATGTGGGAACACGTTGTGAGTGTCCATCTCCAAGTTCCTCGCGACCAGGAAACCGGACAGTGGTTGCTTGAGCCAAAGCTGGACATCAAGGACATTATGGAGATCGAGAATGGTTCCGCCGGCCTACCGACGAAATACTACTGTCACTGGGGTGGCTGCACACGATTCTCCCCTGACGGCACAGAATCTGCGTTCGAAGCTGGACAGCATGTCAAGACGCATTTGCCTGATACTAGTATCAAGCAGGCCATACATGCAAAACATAACCGCACGCCTTCGGAGTCACGGCCCTTGACTTCTTCCGCACAAGCACGGCATGAGAATTTCCAGCCTCAGTTCGCACAACCTGTTGGGTTAGGTAGCTTGGGCATGGGCGGACGACATCAAAGTTCGTCGACCAGCTCTGCGAGCAGATATGGCGGAGGTCGAGACGACGGGACAGGAGCACAGGCAGCGCCCAACTTCCGCTACTACAACACCGTGACCGATGATACCAACGACGCCGCTGGCCTTCCTCTGTCCGCCGTTCTCGTACTTCGTAACCTCGCTCGCCAACTCAACAAGATCCCGCCGCCGACTTCTGTCATCGATACCACGTCTCCATCATCTCCGGCTCACAAGCGGACATTCAGTGCCAGCGAGGGGAGTCCCGAAGCCGCGAGACGAGCCACAGCTGGCGGCAAGAAGCCCCGTCTCAGCGATGCAGCGGCCGAGCAAAGACGAGAAAACGAGGAGAAGGAAGAAGAAGAGGCGAAGAACGCCGGATGGGTGCCCCGTGTCTTCGCCCCTCTACGAGACCAGATCGCCTTCACGGCGAGTCATAACCTTACTCTCAGGAATTACATCGGTGGGCTGTTGAAGGCCGTGGCTGAGGGTGGTGGCTAGATGTAATATGTGTTTGCGAGACATTGTTTCACAGAATGGCGTTGATGATCCTGCAAAAGAGCGCTTACTTTTCGTCTGTACGAGCGATACGGTGTGTTTGGAGTTTACAACATGTACGCAAGGGGCTGTACACTTAGATATCTTCCTAGTTCTACGATACCGTAGTGGCTGAAGTATGGGTCGGGTACGTATGTGCTTATTACCTATTACTTCGAACGAGTTCACATCTCCCATCTTTTTTAGCAAGCTCATCGTCTCGTGTCACGACATATGCTTAGCGTCTATGCCATACTTCGGTTACAAAGACATAGAATATTCTAGTATGAGGAGAGCTTTGAATTTGTACATTCGACGTATATCTAACACAACTATTGAATGGAATATAACTTTTCTCACAGCTCCCGGCCCAAAGTCATTTCTACTAGTGAATGATAGATGTCGCAATCGCGATAATAGTCTTGCAACATTCAAGCCCTGGGCGCGTGGCTGACTAGTTATTGTCGCACGCTGACATTCCCGCCGCTGACCCCTCCTACCATCATGTATTCAATCCCGCGAGACGGGAGCATGAGACATGTCCCACTAATCAAGACCAAATTCCACACGCGCGTCTAAGAAGGCCAAAAGACATGCCGAGAGGTTGACAGTGAGAGCAAGATGCGGCTGGGTGAGACTCTAAGTGAGGGACCGGTAATGCTGAGCACGACTAAGCCCGTTAAGATTGCTTCATAGTGCTTCACTGCATGGAGGCGTTTCTCGGCGGGCTGGGTTTTACGACGGCAGATGTGGGGAGCTCGATTGGCATCGTCTTCTTCTCGAGGGATGTGGGATCTTGTTGGGTACCGTAGATGAGTCCTCTAAGGTTTCTAGTCGAATATGTGGTAAGATCAAATGGGAAGTATGGTTCGCTACCTGGATACCGCTCTCTTCCTGCGCACCTTCCTCGTGTGCTCAATACAGCGCGTTTGTATGGCTCTAATAGTTATGACGAAGGCACTCATACGTCAGCTAGATAACGAAAGAGGGGGTGCATCTACATGGCGTCGCATGCCGTGAGAGCGTTTGCGCACCCTACCCCCGTGTGCGACCTGGGGTCAGCCGGAGAAGGGGGACATACTGTTGCGACAATTGAAGGCAATCTTGGTTGATATCCCACCTTCAATTCCTGCTCTTTCATCTTTGTATAACTACTTGCCGTAGAAAAACACCGAGAAGGCTCGACATACATTTTGTGCTGAATATAGAAGGATCCAGGTATAGACTCGCTGACAGCTTCCACAACCCCAAATGGCAACTTACATCGGTACGCACTCTTTCTCCATACGCTTGCGTACTTTCCAAAACCCGTATGCGCAACCGAGAGACATGCAAAAGAGGCATCAAGAAGCCTCCAAATCACTGGGGCTACTCTGAACTTTATACATAACCCCAATGGCCCACCTTCCTGTCGCATTGCCCCCAGCGCAGATCCTCCGCACAAGGATCAGATCCCTTACCAGCATGCAAATCTCACACCACCATCCGCAAACATGACACCACTAATCAGTCCACTTTTACTATAGATCCCCTCGACCACATCCTCGCCGGCAACCTCGCCTACCAAAAACGTACTACCGCGCGTGATCCCAACGCCTTCACGCTCCTCGCACAAGGCCAGGCACCAGAGATTCTATGGATCGGTTGTGCAGATAGTCGCATACCGGAAACAACAGTGTGTCACTGCAAGCCAGGGGAGATATTCGTCCACCGCAATATCGCGAATACGGTGCATGAGGATGACCTAAACGCGGCGAGTGTAGTCGAATACGCAGTCACGCATCTAAAAGTCAACAAAGTGGTGGTATGCGGACATACAAAATGTGGAGGTGCGAATGCGGCGTTGAGTGATGTAGATTTGGGCACGACGCTGAATACGTGGTTACATCCGGTTCGAGAGTGAGTTTCCCTTCTTTTCTCCTCCTGCATGTGTGGTTTAGGGTGGAGATGTGAAGTCGTGCGAACGGGTGTTTTCGCGGGATCAGAATGCTTGGATGTTACTGACGAGGACCAACACAGGCTCCGTCGTAAGAACAAAGTCGAGTTGGAGAAACTGCCGAATGACGATGCGCGATCCGCTCGTGTTGCGGAGCTTAATGTTCAGCAGTCTATTGAGGTGTTGAAGCAGCATCCTGCTATCAAAAGAGCTATCGCTGAACGAGGGTTGTCGCTTCATGGTCTCATCTATGATATTGGCGCTGGGCAGTTGAAGATTTTAGAGTAGGCAAATGGTAGGAAGGCGAACGGGCTTTGGTGTCCGAATTAAGAGCTTGAGGGACGTGTAAAGATGGCTATATATATGGAGTTTCTAGAGGTAGTCATCGTGGTCATAGCTATGGCTGCTTTGTGATGGAGTTTGGGTGTCATATTTACAGTGTTTGGGCGTCATGGAAATACTGCGTGGTGCTGTGGGTAGTAAGCGGCTTTGGTATGAGAGCCTTTCTCAGGTCTGATTAACAATATGAATACTTCTTTTGAAATTTGTCCAGCAGAGAAGGCAACAGTTACAATGGAACCCAAGCCTGCTATGTCGGTCTGTAGTGTGGCATACGCTGGGGTGGATATGTACTACGCCGATCTCCCAAATTGTAACAGCAGTATTGACATGCTCAGAACCCCTCCTTATCCTCAAAGTATTTCCGGGTTTCATACACCGCCATGAAAGGAATGACGAACACAGGGTGCACTGCCCTCACAGCATCAGCGTCGTCCCAAACGATATCTTCGCCATCGTAACGTCCCTCTGTCTTCCAGTGGAAAGGTGCGCCATAGTTGCCGGTGCCCAAAGTCTTGTTTACGTTCTCGTCGTAGACATACTTGTGCTGTGCCGCACTTAGTCCAGCCAAATTGTAGCATGTATGGTATGCGTCAGGGCCCTTTCCAGGCTTGTCTCTTAGCCCACCCCTCTTCTCTTGACATGCGGCTAGAATATAACGCCCAAGTGCTCCCCGATTCCAGATTCCTGTTGTGGTTGCGGCTTCGACGATAGACCAGCATCCCCCCACCCACTGAGAATAGCAGCCGTCCACGAGCTTGTTTGTGCGGCCATTGTATCCACCCTCTGGTGTGCATTGGCGGGATGACAGCCAGTATGTCAGAAGATTGACGTCCAAGTACTTGTGTAATGTCTCTTTTGGTGGCCCTAGTATAGCAAGACAGCCCAAACCACAGAATGCGTAAGCCCCGTGGGCCTCGTTTCCAGGCGTCGCTGAGATACCGCCGTCCCAAGATTGGCATTTCGAGATCCACTCACCAAGACCATCCGTGAAGCTGGTAAAGCCTTGTTTCCGTACTGGTGCATCAGGTGGAAGCTCAAGAGGGAGGTTGGTAAGAGACAGCACGACCATGGCACAAAAGGCACCTCGAATATCTTCTTCGCCGCCCTGGCACATGGTAAAGCCTCCGTCTGCTTGCTTCATCCGGCCCAAGAAGTGCCAGAGGGCTTTGCGATTGATGGTCTCGTATGCTCTGGTTCCACCGACCGTAGCGAGTGATAGCGTTGCAGCATATGTGCAAGCAAGATGGCCATACTGACCGTAGCCACCTCCGAATCCTCCATCTGGATGTTGAGCTAGAGAAAACGTGTGTGGTACTCTATGCAACGTTAGCACATGTGCTAATAAGCTCATGCATCGTGCGTATTTTTAGAAGATGAAGCATTAAGTAGATTGGATATGACATACGTTTTGTCGTAGCTAGTTATGTCGGAGCCCATAGCGGTCAAGCCTTGCAGAGACCAATATAAGAGCCATGGTCGCGCAGCGTCCAATCCAGCAGCACGCGCAGGATAGTCCCCAAGCTGTTCTCTCAAGAAATAATCGTGCTTTGGTCGCTGCAAGTTTGGTATGCCGAAAGCATTCAATGAAAAGTTGTTCGGGTTGCCCTCCAGATAAGGTAAGATGACTTTGGCGGTTTCAGCATCGGTTTCCGACGTGTCCGTCACAAGTGAGTCTTTGATAGGCGCCCTTATACTCTCTAGATAAGCAATGTTTGCTTGCTCTTCCGTGGTAGCAGTTCCCATGTCTTCGTAATCGCTCTCAAGCTCTTCGTCTGAAAGCTCCTCAATACGTTCTGATCCGGGAATAATTTCTTCCAAGCGAGAAGAAGAAGCTTGAGCAGCAGAACGTAGTGGAATAGCCATCTTCTTTACATGCACGTTGTGGCGTTTGGATTGGAATGGTACGCGACTGGGCATCTGTGAATGGCTGGCGGGGACAATGGCTTTCTTGCAAGGGTTGCTTAGTATTGTTCGAGTACGGGTGCAGCCGCCAGGTTTGGTGTAAATGTCACGATCAGTGTTGGCATAGCGTGACCATGATAGGTGAACTTCAAAAGGACTGCCCTTTGCGTTTGTTGCAAATGCTACAGTGAAGAGCAAGAGTGGAGCACGTGGGGAGTAATCAGATTGAGTACTAGCTGGCTTGGCAGCCGCTGCTAATCGATAGTAACCCGTCCCAAACTCCATGGACACACAACACTCAGTCTGACGGACGCACACCAGCCATACCAGCAAGCTCCTCACCGACCGTCTCACCCGAGAGCTTCAGGGGCTTCGATTCCTGCAAAACAAACAACATGCGCGTCCAGTCGGTCTTGCTGTGGTTGATCCACTGGTGCATAGTCCCGCGCTGAATCGCAACATCTCCCCGCTTCATCAACCGCTTCTCCCCGCTGTCTAGCAGACATTCGACCTCGCCCTCGAGTACACACCCGTAGTCTAAGCTCACAGTCCGGTGCATCGTGCACGCTGTGTCAGGAGGGATATCGACATGACGGAGAACTGTGCCACCGGACACGACGAGGCCCGGGGCGTCCTTGAGATAATTGCCGTACACGTCAAGGTCCTGGTCGTCATTCATATCGACGGGGAAGCCTTTGGTGGTGAAGCTGAGAGCAAACGCGATGCCGTCATCGTTGGCTTTCATCTTGCTCTCCTCATTGAAGGCTTTGCTGAAGACTGCTTTGCCCTTCTCATTGTGGGTGGTGATGTAACGGTGGATTTGGGGAAGCGCTCCGATGTGTGCCATGTTGTAGGTCTTTTGGAGTTTGATGATGTTTATGTGGGATGTTGAGAGTGATGTTGAGAGTGAGACGCAGGTAATCACAAAACTTGACTCGCGCTCCCTATCTCACTCAAGATGGAAGTGACAGGCGCTTGATGATGTACTGACATGCCCCACGAAGAGTCTCACATATACTGCTTCACTCTCAGTCTGCGTTACACAAGGTACGGGAGATGAGCGTGGAGCCGAAGGCCGGCTGTGGGTCCACAGATCTAACTTCCCGTACCCCGCGACCCGCGACCCGCGACCCTGAGTGAGCGCCATTGCAGCTACAATAGCCTGAGATGTAGGTTTTCGTATTGCTGGAGTTCGGGGTTCGATATGTATTAAGGTGTGCCATATTGCCGCCACATCGTATATACGCAACAGTCATCGGCATCTGCGCAGTCAGCAAGCTAACGGCAGTAGCGAACGCGAGCAGTTACCGAACGATCCGCTGTATGATTTTGGTGTTATATGCACACAGTTTCTGGTATGATTCTGATGCTATGTCCGCTGGAGGTGACACTTATCTATCACCCCGCGATTGACGAGTACGCTGCAGCGCTGTTGAGTGATACACGACTAAAGCCTATGTCTGCTAGACGTCCACGATTTTCTCCTGATTCAGACTCATCAGCATGTATCCGACCTTGTGTAAAGGTTTGTATTGACCGCTCGGCAACGTTGAAGGTCATTCCGCTGGACATATCCAGAGATACATTACACCAGCATACATACAATAGGTCCAACCATCTCTCGAAAGAGGTTTCTTGATTGCACTGATACGGTCCACTGTCTTCATAATAGGGCGGTATCACCCAATGTCCTGCACTCTGGGGTATGCACTCTGGGGTAACTGCACAACGGCTACTTCGTATACAATAGGAACAATCGAGCAATATATTGCATGACTTGGTCGAACGTGTTTTATCAGATTACACGAATAATGATGCTGTAATTACTGACAGGCCGTGATGTTTTGATGGGCGACCCAAACTCTGGCTGCCATCGTTCGCAAGGAAAGGGTACTCAGCAAACCGCGACTTCCCTCACATCACAAACGGAGCAAAGCATTGTCGTCATCGCTACTCGCACAGTCTCACTCCACAAGTTTCCTTCGTACTTACTACCAATCTCTTCGACCATTGTCCTCATTCTATCTGCTTCTACTGCATGGCGCTACTTGCGTGGTCTCGCACCCATCACAACTCCTAGTGCTACACTCATGGGACCTCGGAACAAGGTAGTATGCATCCTACAGATGCCTCGTCCAATCTTCTCAGCTCCCAAGCTAGAAAAACACTCCAAAGATCAGCCGGTTGCATCTGACATGCAGTGCGGGGATGGCCCCCAGGTCGTTGTCTCCTCTTCGTGCTCTTGCGACTATGTAGGACAAAGGAAAACGTCAGCAACGCCGCCCGGTGGTACAACGCTATCTAACTACCCATGACTTGGGATGACTGTGGCTTGCGTAGCTACTGATCCCTCGCAGAAAGGGTGCGACAGTATAGCACGATGCGGTGTGCATCGAAATCGGGAAGCATCTTCAGGATGTAGAGAACTGTTCTACTAAGGCATGCCTCAAACAAACGCAAAACGAAACAGACGGCAGAGACAGTCACGAGCGCCGTAGACGGATCTCGGCATGCCACAGCAAGAGTGGCACCAATGTAATACGCCACCAGTAAGGACCAGGGGTGCTATCCTGTCAAGCTGTCGCTGCTCCAACGGCGAAATGCGGGCGAAGCATGACAGACAGCACAATACCTGAAACGGCTGCCATGGACGAGAATCTGGATGCAAGGCAGGGCGCTCAGTAGCACGATCGGAAGCGATGTTACGCAGAACGCGCTGCTCGACATGACAGGGTAGCGAAGACGCTTGCCAGCGCGAGGAACCGCCGGAGAGCGGGTTCAGCGCGTGGAGGCAGGTCTGGCGCTCATGCGACGGATGGCAGAGAACTCAAGAATGTATGATGACGGCAGGACGATGTGCGAGGCGTCCACGGACGTGTCGGTGAGTCTGGACGTCGACGGCGAAGTGCCGTTATAGAGTCGCAGGCCGGGTCATGCCAGTGAGGCAAATACGACACCCCTGGTCGATGGTAGCATCCGCGACTTTGTCAACCATTTGTCGCAGTCTGTATTCTTAGATCCACCGAGGGGCGCCGGTAGCGCAGACCGGTTCGCCTGGCTGCATGTTGAACAACTCGTTCGAGGTGAAGGTCGACGATCACGCACAGCCGTGAGGGGTGATATAGCACTCAAGCGTCGAGTATAGGCTGTCTTTGCTTCTTGCGGTATCCCCAACGCTCCCCTCCACACCCTGATCCTACAGGACCCCGAGTCTAACGCTTATCGGCGTTATCGTAGGAGGGGTCTTCTCTCTCTCTCTCGATAGGCGACACCTGTGCCGAGAGAAGTGCGATATTGCGACACACTTGCCTGCATCGTCGTCTCACTGGCTGCTGCAGGGTGAGGCGTCAGCTTGCGTGGGTTGAGTGAGTTAGCCAGACGACAGCCAGACCGAGAGGCGGAGCTGGTCAACTGGTCTAACCAGGAGGCAGCACGCAGGTGGAGCGTCTCGGCGGGCGAACACAATTCAGTTCTCTCCGTCTCTCAACGATCTGCTCACTAGAGCCGCCTCTCCACGATAGTTGAGCACCCTCTCGCTACCCGCACACCATCGACAGCGCCCGTCTGGGAACCCTCGCGCATGTCGACGCTGGTCAGGGTTTTCTTTGACCTCGATTGCGAATCGCGCGGTCCGCTGCAGCGCTTCTGGCGCTATCCTAACCAAGTGTAGGACTAGACGAGCCATTGGTGTGTGGGGCTGGGACTTGCATACAAAAAGCGGTGTACGTGTCTTGGCATCACCTGCCTACACTCTCGTCGGCCCATCGCCCGCCCGCTTACCCTCACCGCTTACTATCAGCTCGTAGAGGCTGAGAACACTCGAACCCATTTTCACTCTCCGTGCAAACATGGAGAACCAACACATCGACTTCGACGGGGCCATCTACGGCGTAGACGGTGCCTTTGACCCATCCTTTGACCCAAACCGACAAACCTACAACTTCTCACAGACGTGGCCGCTGCCAATCTCACCGGGAACCATGACACAGCAACAACAACACCACGATGGCAGCCAGCAGCACCAGCAGCAGCAACATCAGCACCCGCACCAGCAGCGACGCATCAACAACGCAGCCGCATCTACCGCGCACAACTCACACCCGAGTACCACGAGCATTGCTCCTCTCCACATGGGCCTCGGCTTTCCCACGGGTATGCAACCGATGAACCCTATGCTGGCAACCTGGATGAACATCAACACAGATGGGTTTGCACAGGACAACTATGGGCAGGGCACAATGGGAATGGGCACGGGATTCAGCACATATGGAGGACCATTGGAGACCTCGCCTGTCGAGTTCGGGATTAACTCGCACATGATGAACTCCATGTCTATGGCACCCATGAATTTCATGACTACTACTAGCATGGACGGGTTACCCACCTTGACTACTGCACCTTTCCAAATGACAGACTTCCAGCAAGAGTTCACCCATCTTGGGAGCGCGCCCGAGTACACCGCCCACTCGAACGCGCCCACCGCCAGCGTTGGCACTGGCTCACCCGGTGAGAACTGGATGGAAATCCGTTCGCTCTCCAGTAGCGACAATGGCTGGGTCGACGTCGGCCTCGGCCACGGTCACCGCAACTCCTACGACTACTCCGACAGTTCTGCCATTATTTTCAACCCAGCCCAGTCGCTCCACATCCGCACTGGCTCCGACTCATCAAATTCGAACCACTCAGACGTGCCACGGTCAGCCCACTCCTTCAGCAGCTTTGAGGAGATACAGTTCCCAATGCACTCGCCCCAATCGGAGACCGACAACCACCTAGAGCTTGTGCATTCGCATCATTCGCATCACTCGCATAGCCACTCGCACTCCGACAACTGCAACCACACGCACGGGCTCCCAATGAGCGATCACGACTTTGCCAACTACATCTCCCCCACGCAGTCCGTCAGCCCTCCCATGGCGCGAGTAGAGCCCATTGTCATAAAACAGTCGTCATCAAATACGGCGTCGCCGACTTCGTCTGCCGTCAGCTCACCGCCAGCTCGTCGCAGGAAGTCACCTGCCACAGCGACAGGATCGAAGCCTGCGAAGACCATCGTCAAGAAGACACCCGCTCACACCACCAAGAAGGACGCAACTGGCGAGAAGCGCGTCGGAAGAAGACGGGGGCCTCTCAGGCCTGATCAGCGACAGCAAGCTCACGAGATCCGCAAGCTTCGTGCGTGCCTGAGGTGCAAGTTCCTCAAGAAGACTTGTGACAAGGGCGACCCGTGTGCCGGTTGCCAGCCGTCCCACGCTCGTCTTTGGCAGGTCCCATGCACGCGCATTGACATCAAAGACATTGCGTACTTCATGAAGGACTGGAAGGCCGACTACGAGCGTCACGTCAGCCTTGGCTTCTCTATTGGCAACATCAAGGGTTTCTCGACATCAGAGCGTCTGATCTACGTTACCCACGGCTACGGTCACTACCTCCCCATCATGGCCCGCGATGTCTACGTCCGTGACGAGAAGTGCTTCGGCGTTGACTGGCATGAGACCCTCAACGGTCTCCATTTCGAGATCAACACCGCCAAACTGTCTGCAGGTATGGAGGGTATTTCACGCGCTATGCTCTCTGACTACCTTGACCGCCACATTGACGGCGGCTTTGAGCAGTTCGTTGATGAATACTTTGAGGGCACCTACTTCGTCACCGAGTTGTTGAAGACTGCTTACCGCTTCTACTGCCGCGAGAAGCTTCCCGTCATCCGCAAGGCGCTTAAGCTCGTCCTTGCTTACAACCTGACTCTCCACGTTACTATGATTGAGGGTCTCGGTGACGAGGACAACACGCCTGGTAAGGTCGAGGACCAACAGTCCAAGTTCTCTGGCAAGACCATCGCGCCTGTCATGATCAACTTCCAGGTCAAGTGCGCTCTTGCCGACATGTGGCGTGAGCTGCAAAAGGATGTTCTTGAGGAGCTGTCTTCTCTCTACCAGTCGGTCTACAGTGGTGACAAGCTGAAGAACTGGCCCACCATCTTCATGCTTGCTGCCATCCTCCTCGCAGTCTGGGAGCTGATTCAGTTCGACTGCAACTACCGTGTCCCTGACCTCGGTGCCGTCAACAAGTTCTGCGGCGAGATGGAGGGAACACCGGTTGGTGTCATCGTTGGTCTCTTCTCGGCCATCTCCCAGAAGCTTCCTTCTTTCACCGAGTGGGACTCAAGGAAACATCACCACCTGCTTAACTCGAATCCCGCGGTCTGCGATGCCATGACCGAGGTTCGCGCGCACGTCACTAAATATGGTAAGCACAGTACGCTCTCTAATTGCAGTCTCAACATACTAACAAGCATGCTAGAAACGTACCTCCGTTCAAGAAGTGACTGCAAGTTCGACCGTACCGACTTCGACTCATTGTCAAACAAGTTTCTCTCGAAGCTTGTCATCAGGGCGAACTAGAAGCTCTACCACTATTACTTAATCATCAGGCTGCATATCCTCTTCACGACCCATCTTTTACGCGCGACTCATCTACCGACAACCATCCCAGCAGCTTGCTTTCACGGCACAACCCATATAAATAGAACGATCTACGACTCATGTGTTCGATGTTTGCACAACAACGGCTGACGACCCCAACTAAAACGATGAACGAACTTGTTGCATTTTCCTGCGATTCCCCGGTGTCCATGGATGCCATGTTTCCAGCGATCTCGATATGATCAACGATACAAATTACGGCTTCCACAACTCCTAACTACATCACACTCATTACATGGCGACACCGGACCAACTTTTTACAAAACGAAATCATACGACTTTTATTGACCTTCTGAACGGAGACGGCTGACGTATGATCTACGACAACGATCACGACTACTTGATTTTACATGAGCAAGCAGCATGAGCGAGCGAGCAAGCGAGCAGAATCGCGGACTGAGAGTCCGGTGTGTTCTCTGGATTGTTTTTGTTTACTTTATTTCCTTTTTTGAACTGTCGGAGGGGTCCCTGGTATGGTGTTGCACTCCAACACTATGTGTTGTTGACGTTCAACCCATGTTACAAACTCTTCCAAGCAGCAAATAACCTCTTTTTTTTCCATCTTCTCAACGATTGTGTTACTGGCATAGCGAGCGAGCAGGCTTTCTTTCTTTCCTTGACTCGAGGCTTCGAACATACTCCTCCGGTTGTTGCACATACATTGGTTTGTGCTCAACTGTGAGTGAGGCAGATTTCTTTATTACTGAAAACAGAGTATGTATCTATCATCTATTTTGCTTGGAAAGCAGAATAAAAACTGGGAAATTATCATTATTGCTATCATCATAGACTATCTTGCTTGACTCTTGTGACTTGCGTGTTCGACGTCGAAGCTCGACAGTGCTAGCCTCTGTGTGTGAATCAGTCGTGGCCTCATTCCCAGCCGCCACCGCGCGACAAAGTCTCTACCCAACCTCATCTCCGTGCCTGCATCTCACCAACCCCTCCCACCCCACTGCCCCAAAACAGCATCAAAACTACAGTAAACAGCACCTCGTGTTTCACCTATCATGCAAGATGTTTTTGCCGGCCGATATGAGCGGCAGAACCCCGGCAAGAAAGAAAAATGCACCTCACCGCTCTTCCCGCCCCTCGCTTCCGACACTACCCGCCTCGTCAAACTTGTAGTCGTCGCGAGCCAGAACAGGCAGAACAGGTTTGTTGTTTTCTTTGCCCTGCTATACCTAGTATGGAGCGAGAAGCATGATCTACCGGCTTGTGGCGATCACGATCACGCCCATAGCTAGCCGATCCGTCAACGGGTCATGATCGCACCTAGGCGAGGTCTTTGTAGACAGGATGGGCTTGTTGTTGATAGTGCATGTGTTGTTCAGTCGATTGTAAGCTTGTAGAATAGACAGGCGTATGCTTACGATAGCATGTCCATAGTAGTAAGAGGCGTAGTGTGATAAGGGTAGGGCTAAGAACTAACGCGGGGTTTCTTACTAGTAGCATGTCTGGTGTGTGTGTGTGTGTGTGTGTGTGTGTGTGTGTGTGGGTATCCATATTCACCGGACGAGAACTCATCATCTCCCATCTTTGTCTCGTACGTCTTTTTTGTTCGGTCCTCGTAACCCATGCATGCATACCGTTTCCATACCAATATAGACACATTTACAACGACATTTTTTTAGCCACATCTCAACGTTTCATGCACGCATTCTGGTACACTACTGGGAAGCTTATCTGGCTCGCTACCCTCTTACATAGTACAGTAGTTCGATAGTAAAATTACCCTTTTCCTGCACCTAATCCCTTGTCTACCTGTTTACCTACCCGCCCCATGACCCAACTACCATAAACCAGCCCGGCTGTTCCCCTTCCGCTAGAAGGTACCAGCAGAAGGTCGTGGAAGTCAACAGAATCATGGATCTGGGAACGGGGAAAAAACCGTTCAGCATCCTTGTTGCTTCTGCATGACCCGACCGGTTTGTACAACGCATACAGCAAAGTTGCTTTCTTTTTCTCGCCTGGACTCGCCTCTCAACGATTGGTGCATGCGTGCTGTAAGACGTGTTGGTTAATGAACTAGTGGCGTGTACATGTGTGTGGGAGGATAGGTAGGGCGAGTAGATGGTGCATACATGGGATTTGTAATGTCCATAGTGATGGAGATGGACAAGTGTTGGGGGGTCGGGAGTTGCTTTTTGCGTCATCTGTTGAACAGGAGTTTGGTAAGGCGGTGTGGTATGTTTGGGGGTGGAAGTATCTTATTGCTGCTTCTGTTGTCTAGTTTTGCTCTAGGAGATATCAAGGAGGCCATAGGCAAGCGTTGCTGAAAGTTCAATGGTAAGGTCAAAGGAACACACATGTATCGCGACACCTGTCCCGCTTTGTGTAAATACTTGAAGTGTTCATGATCTTTATATTGTACTTTTATCTCGAACTGTCACTTCTTGTCTGCTACCGTTTAGAAGCCCTGCCTGAACTTGGGTGCATACACCTCCTCAAGATACTTTGCATCCTCATCACTTAGCTTGAAATGAATGTTCTTCACTGTCTCATCGATTCTCTCCTTGCTGCTCAGCCCAATGATGGGGCAAACACCCTTCTTGACAGTCCATGCAGTCGCAATACATGCCATGCTGACACTGTGCTTCTTCGCAATTTCTTCCACGCGCTCGACGATCTTCTTATCGATGGCGTCTTCGCGCTGATGTACAAGCATATCGAGGAACTTGTCAGTCTCAGCACGCTTGGAAGATCGGTCACCCCAAGGTCGAGTGAGGGCGCCCCGAGCTATGGGCGACCAAGGGATGAGGCCGACGCCTGTGTCTTGACAGTATGGGATCATCTCGCGCTCTTCCTCGCGGTAAAGGAGGTTGTAGTAGTTCTGCATGGAGATGAACTTGTGCCAGCCGTTCTTGTCGGCAATGTTCTGTAGTGTTTGGAACTCCCAAGCAGCCATGGAGCTGGCGCCAATGTATCGTACCCAACCCTTCTCAATAACATCGTTGAGTGCCTTCATTATCTCCTCTCTTGGTGTGTCGCGATCGAGACGGTGAATCTGCAGAACATCGATATATGTGCCTAGTCGCTCCACGCTCTTCTCTACCGCATCAAAGATATGCTTACGGCTAAGACCGACTTGGTTGACCATGTCTCCGTCGTTGGTAGATACTGATGCAATGCCGAGGCTGGGGTCTTCTTCGTTGACGCCGAAGTAGCATTTTGAGAGGAGAACGACCTTGTTTCGCGGGATGTTGTATTGCTTCAGTGCTTTTGCGATGATCTTCTCGGAGTAGCCGTGGGAATAGATGTCAGCCTGTCGTGTGTTGTTAGCCTTGTTGCTACTATGCTAATACCCTTTGCGCAGTCGCATCGGCTGAAAGGTAGAGTAGGCCTACTGTGTCCCAGGTGTTGATGCCGGCTTTGTACGCATGCTCGAGAAGTGGCAAGCTCTCAGCCTCATCCAAGACCCACGGCTGCCACTTGGAACTTCCGTAACTCATTGTACCAAGAATGACTTTTGACACCTTGAGCCCGGACTTGCCCAAGCTAGACTTTCGTCAGCATTGTTGTTGCTATCTCCAGCCAATAGACCAAGAATTGGGTTGAGCGTACTTGACGTATTCCATCTTCTGTTCGGCCATTGTTGCAATTGCTCGAGCTGTATTGAGACGCGTGGTATGTACTAGGTGGTTCGTAGAACAGTCGCTTCGATGCACGCTTGTACGACGGAATGATTGTTCCTATGTATCGGTGGTTGTTGCGGAGGTGGTGGCGGAGATTGCTAGAAAGGCCGCTGGAAGTGCGCGGCTTTGTCAGGTCGGAGTTTTCAAGCTGATAATCGGGCCCAGTATTGGTCTCACTTGTTCCTAACTGTGGGTTCGCTGGCTGCGTAGCCTATATAGTTGATGGAGTTAGCGGAGTTATTGCTCAATGGCGTCAGTGAAGTGGGGTCGTCGGAAACAAGCCGCGGTGGAGGAGCATCGCGATAGCAGCATAGCCGGACCTCCGCTACACATGAAGTTGTTGGCAGTATGCTGAGTACCAAGACGGTTACATCGGTTGAGCATGATAGTAATCTTGCGAGACAGTGAAGTAGGAAGGTAATAAAGATAAACTAACATCACATCAAGAACGAATGTTTGAGAGAACTCTCAACCCGTAGGCATGCTTGATTGCTTTGTTGAGGCTTTTGGTAGCCGTCTTATGAACTATAAATGAAACTGAATCTCCAAGACCTCAGCCCGCAGGCCAGATCATCCTGTGAACGCCATACCCAAGATACATCGTCAACCGTCGTTAACCGTCAGCGCACCTACTGTCCGCCACGAAGACGGAGCACCAAGTGGAGAGTGGACTCCTTCTGGATGTTGTAGTCTGAGAGCGTTCGACCGTCTTCCAGCTGCTTACCAGCGAAAATAAGACGCTGTTGGTCAGGAGGAATACCCTCCTTATCCTGGATCTTGGACTTGACGTTGTCAATCGTGTCGCTGGACTCGACTTCCAATGTGATAGTCTTTCCAGTAAGAGTCTTGACGAAGATCTGCATACCACCACGGAGGCGAAGCACCAAGTGAAGCGTGGACTCCTTCTGGATGTTGTAGTCGGATAGAGTACGGCCGTCTTCCAACTGCTTTCCGGCGAAAATGAGACGTTGTTGATCCGGAGGGATACCCTCCTTGTCCTGAATCTTTGACTTGACGTTGTCAATGGTATCGCTTGATTCCACTTCGAGCGTGATGGTCTTGCCGGTCAGGGTCTTGACAAAGATTTGCATACCACCGCGCAGGCGCAGGACGAGATGCAGTGTAGACTCCTTCTGAATGTTGTAGTCGGACAGAGTGCGGCCATCCTCGAGTTGCTTTCCGGCGAAGATAAGACGTTGTTGATCCGGAGGAATGCCCTCCTTGTCTTGGATCTTTGACTTTACGTTGTCGATGGTGTCGGATGACTCAACCTCGAGGGTAATGGTCTTGCCGGTCACTGGAGAAGGTGTCAGTAGATGTCTCAGGTCGTGGGCAGCGGTGTGGCAACTTACGAGTCTTGACGAAGATCTGCATACCTCCACGAAGGCGGAGGACGAGATGCAGGGTCGATTCCTTCTGGATGTTGTAGTCGGACAAGGTGCGGCCATCCTCAAGCTGCTTGCCAGCGAAGATCAAGCGCTGCTGGTCTGGGGGAATGCCCTCCTTGTCTTGGATCTTGCTCTTGACATTGTCGATAGTGTCAGAAGACTCAACCTCGAGGGTGATCGTCTTTCCGGTGACTGTGAAAGTGTTAACAACTGAGGCGCAGATGGGCCATGGCGGTGGCGGCGACTACTTACGGGTCTTGACGAAGATCTGCATGGTTGCGGGTGTGCTGTGTGTGTTCGGATGTGGTGGTTTTGAGTATTTCAGCTTTGTTTGGGCTGTAGGGTGATTGTAGAAGTGGTGTGAGGAAGAAGGAAGAGAGAGCAGGCAAGGGCTGGTTTATATGGGAGACAGGCTGAGGCAGTGACGGGGTCAAAGGACGAGTAATGATGCGGCAAGAGCCCGTGCGCCAATCAGCACCTGCGCACGGGAACATTCCGGGTCCTTCCACCGCACACCGCAGGCAACTGTCACTCACTTGCTATCATCGTTTGCTATTAATCAGCTTGTCTCTTCACAGTGGACTTGACTAATTGCCTGTTACTTCTTCCTTGTTCCCTCATGCTTTGGTGGCAATCACTCACCATGAGTACACCGCGCAGGTTCCCCGCTTGGCCCACCGCCCGTTATCGCCTGGAGCCTGGACCACCCTGCGCCGGACATGTGACGTAGACGCCACCCAAGGCAACTGCGCCTCTGCCTCTTCGGTGCTCAACCCGGCGCCTCCACGGCCGAAGACTGCCCAACAGACAATCGCCAATCACCAACAGAGTTCGTACGTTACAGTGTCACTTATCGCATCGCCTGAGGCCGGCACGATTCAACAGTGTATGGATGCGCGATACGACGTTGCGATTACGGATCCACTTACACGCAGCACCACCCCGCATATACCGGCATGAGCCCGTCGGAGCTATCCCACCACCTTTCCAGTGGCGAGTATCGCCTTGGGATCGCGTAGAGACAATTGGCGACGGCAGACTGATTGCGCAACGATCATGTAAACCTACGTGGCTGCGCAACCTTGCGCACCATCGAATGAACTCATACAGCTACGTGGATTGACCCATCTCTGCTAAAGATGCGACGCTGCATAGAATCCGGTGTCATTTTTTTTTTTGGAAACCCAGCATGATCTTGACAGACTTAGGTAGACGGTAAGAATCAAAGACGCTGCTGAAGCTGGCATCGACAATTAATGATGTGATGTCACAATCGCGTCGCGGGGTAAGCTTCTGCCTTGAACCCAGCGCCATCATCTTGGCCAACTCACCATCATAACATGCACAGTAACTAGGAAGCGACTTTTCCCGCAAACCGAATCGAGTCATCGCGACATCCGATTCCACAATGGCGACCCCAACGCTTACCAACCCTTCCTTAACTGCTGCGATCTGCTCGCTCGAACACAGAGCTTGGGCAGCTCTATGCAATTCCGGCACCGACCTCGTCCCGCTCCTCTCCAGCAATCCTGTCATGATTTTTCCGGGCGATCTCATCCTTACTTCAGTATCCTCCCCAACAGTCCACGACATGCTGCAAGGTCCCGAGTTCAAGCCATGGCAGTCATATAAACTCAGCCACGATGAAGTTGTCATACTGGGCAAGGACAGCGCACTCATTTACTATCGCGTAGAGGCGACGAGGGCCGGCGAGACGTTCAGGGCTATATGCTCGAGCGCATGGGTGCTGGAAGGTCGTACAGATGGTGCGACAGGTGATTGGAAGATGGCTCATCACCAGCAGACACTGATCTAGGTGCTCAATATAGGTCGAAGATGATATGGGTCAAGGACTTTCGGAGTATTGAATATATCAAGTGCAGGCAGCAGGTCTATGGAGCATTGGGAACTGTGGATCACTCGCAATACGAATGAACACGCAATGACTTACTGAACATTCCAACTCGCACGCACATCTATACGAGCTTGAGGGGAATATAATTAGAAAGCCTACAATTACATGACATCTGTCGCAAAGTCACGAGGTAGTCGTGCCCCATAAACCTAAACCCGATACCTTGATCAGACAGCCGTCTCCACATAGCGTGGGCGCATCGCTAGTGGCCGTTCAGTGACGTATGGATCTTCCGAAGTTCCGTACGACACCTTCAAGGGGCTGGCTGCACATGAAAGTACTTGACATACACCAGCCACATTCTCTTATTCGATGAGGATTGCCGTCCTCAGGCAGCTCGGCCAATCTTTCCCACCAGCACCGTTTCGCAGCATCACATCAGCACCGTCATCACGTTTCAGTACAATGGCAGTCACCTACGCCGCCGCCGTCAGCACGCCCAACGGCGGACTCCGGCAGCCTCAAATCCAAGCCCGAGCCTGTTCAGACCCAGATCTACACGCATCCTTTGAAGCGGCACAAACGCAGCAGCAGCAACAGCAAGAGCAGCCCAAGAAACCCCAACGACCTGGTGCAGGAATCCGCGCAAAGACAAGTTTCCGCGGCTGGAGCACCAAGAAGGAAGGGAAAACTAGCCCAAAACAAGCTAACAATGAGCCGTATGTTGTGGAAGAAAGCCGACCTTCAGGACATTATCCTAGGCAGGAGTATAGACCCAATACCGCGAGCCAGGATGAACAAGTCTATGTTCTTACGCTGAAACTTACGGATTCCCTGGCTAAACCCATGGATGAGATGCGGAATCGGTATTTTCCTAAACATCTGAATCGCACTGGGGCGCACTTGACACTTTTCCATGCTTTGCCGCATTCGCATATGGAGGCGCTGGAACAGGGGCTTGCGCAGGTGGCCACGAGCATGAAGCCGTTTGATGTGTCAACTGGCAAGCCGTTTCGGATGCGCAAGGGTGTTGGCATCAATGTGGATGAGGGGTATAAGAAGATGAAAGATGTGCATGGGGATTTGCAGTCCCAATGGTCCGCGTTCCTTAGTGAGCAGGATGCAGGCGGGTTTCGACCTCATTGGACTGTCATGAACAAAGTTGATGATGAGCAAAAGGTTGACGGGGCCTTTGCGACGATCAGACAGGAGTTGAGCGAGAGTAATCAGGAGGGGAGGGCTGTGGGATTGGATCTGTGGAGGTATGAGCGTGGGAACTGGATCTTCGCAAAGGAGTATGTGTTTGGTGATGCTGCTGTTAAGACACCGACGAGGGCGCATACGTCGGGGTCGCCGGGAAATAGAGGCTCGCACTTGTCGCCTTCTCCACAGAACCAGAGTCCTACGGATGGGCCGGGCAAGAGACCGGGTATGTTCAAGCGGGGAAGTAGCGTGGGTGATGCTTTGAGGTCCATGAGCTTTAGGAAGAGAAGCTGAGCTATGAGATGCTTTGCTCATTTGGGCATCGACTGTATGTTTTGGAAGTTTGGACGCGGTGCATATTGCTGCGTACTGTATAATAGAAGATTAGCATGAAATGTTGTCATGATATACTCATGATATTAATTCAAGAAGCTCTCGGGTGTGGAGAAATTAAAGTCTGGTACGCGGTATTCCAGACCCATGGTCGTGATGGCCGAGGGGAGTCCCCCTGGCAACCGAAAAGTATCGTTTTGAAAGGTTGTAGAGAATACGTAGTAATAATGGCAAACTCTTGGTAGTGCTGAGTAGTTGGAAGAGGTACTATTCTATTTTATTTATCGTATCCGACGCTGCGTAAGCGTAGTGGGCGGATGATCGTGTGTCAATCTCGCCACGGGAATACGACGCGCGTCGCATAGCCACTGACTTGCAGCAGGAACATCGTGAAGTGACTGTGAGGGGTTCGACCGGGAGAACCGTGGACGTGGACAGATTCGAAACGTCTACAATGGTCATGCGCACCAACAGCGAGGGTTGTCTGACAAGTAGATTGGCGTTTGTCAAAAGCTTGGTAGTGTCCCCAGAGAGTCGGCGGTCAGCCACAGCTAGCTGCATCCCACTGGTACCAGGGGCGCGGATAGCTTCCGGCGTGGGGACCGAGGCGTGATCAAAAGATTCTGAAGCCCCGACGCCTCCAATTTCACAGCATTGTAGGCACGTGGTGAAATTTCCGAAAAACTGAAGCAGAGCGGTGACCACAGTCACGGATAGAATGACCAGAAGCGAGACGGTCTAGTACTCGCAGGTGCACCCTCGTGATGAGGTTGCAGCCAGTGGATTTATACGATGCTAGCCTGGAAACTCAGCAACACGATGCTAGAATTAGAAGCGGATAGGCTGAGCGATCAGGAACGGGGCATCTGGCCACAGTTGCTGCAAGGGCTGAGGACGTTAGGAGACAGTTTAACGAGGGTAGCGGCCGAGGGGTTGCGCATGTGGTGGGTGAAGAAAGGGGAAACCAGGGAGCTAGAATCCAGAGAGCATTAGCTCCGCTAATTGTGGACGCGAAGTAACCCATATAACCTACAGCTGGCCTCATCACCGAGCTCCTTGACTTTGCCCTGCGCATTCACCCTACACTATCGTCGGTGTTCTTTTTCTACCTTACACCTATAATATACCTGTCGCTTGTACCCTGTTGAAGCTCAATTGTTGAATTCAACCTTCTTGCTACAACTTCCCAACTACCCTTGACTTCACACAACACCACCAATATGAAAGGTAAAGCTACTCAATTGCCATTCACTTACAAGCAGCTAACAGCCAATGCAGCCATTATTCTCGTTGGAGGGTTCGGAACCCGTCTGAGGCCTCTCGTACGTCTTCCTTGCCGCGCAGCGCACGCTCAAGAGCCCCGCGCAGCCAAAAGCAATAACAGAACTAACGTCAATTGCAGACCCTCACATACCCCAAGCCGCTCGTCGAGTTCGCGAACAAGCCCATGATCCAGCATCAGATCGAGGCCCTTGCCGATGCTGGCGTCACAGATGTTGTCCTTGCTGTCAACTACCGCCCGGAGATCATGGCCGAGGCGCTGAAGACCGTGAGTATACCTCTTCAATCGCAAATCAGAGCACACGAATTAACTGGCTGTGTAGTACGAGAAGCAATACGGCGTCACCATCACATTCTCCGTCGAGACCGAGCCCCTCGGTACCGCCGGCCCTCTCAAGCTCGCTGAGAACGTCCTTGGCAAGGATGACACGCCCTTCTTCGTCCTCAACGCCGACGTCACATGCGAGTACCCCTTCAAGCAGCTCGCCGAGTTCCACAAGCAACACGGTGATGAGGGAACAATTGTCGTCACAAAGGTCGAGGAGCCATCCAAGTACGGTGTCGTAGTACACAAGCCTGGCCACGCCTCCAAGATTGACCGTTTCGTCGAGAAGCCCGTCGAGTTCGTTGGCAACCGCATCAACGCCGGTATCTACATCTTGAACACCAGCGTGCTTAAGCGCATTGAGCTCCGCCCCACCTCGATCGAGCAGGAGACTTTCCCTGCGATCGTCAAGGACGGCCTACTGCACTCGTTCGATCTCGAGGGCTTCTGGATGGATGTTGGACAGCCCAAGGACTTCTTGTCTGGCACCTGCCTCTACCTCTCGTCACTGGCCCGCAAGAACTCCAAGCTGCTCACACCAGCCTCTGAGTCGTACGTCTACGGCGGCAACGTTCTGATCGACCCCTCAGCCAAGATTGGCAAGAACTGCCGTATTGGTCCCAATGTCACCATTGGCCCCAATGTTGTCATTGGCGACGGTGTCCGCCTGCAACGGTGTGTCTTGCTCAAGAACAGCCGTGTCAAGGACCACGCCTGGGTGAAGTCATCCATTGTTGGCTGGAACAGTACCGTGGGCAAATGGGCCCGTCTCGAGAACGTAACAGTTCTCGGTGACGACGTCACCATTGGTGATGAAGTCTACGTCAATGGTGGTTCCGTTCTACCCCACAAGTCCATCAAGCAGAACGTTGACAGTAAGCATCCCCTCATTATACCATTCTCACTACAGTCACTAACATAAATAGCTCCTTCGATCATCATGTAAACGCGAGATACCCGATCGAACGATGTCAACGCAAACCTCTACACCTTTTTTAATACCGTGTATCTTCTTGTATATTCTGCATACCACCGGCATATAAACTTGCGGTTGTTTTTCCAACGGGCGTCTCTCTCCACTTTTTAGCATGGGGGTGGTTTACGAACGAAAAGCGTCTGGGGCTGGGTTGGGATGCTTTGATCTCTTGGGTTTTAGCGATGGGAAATTTGGGAAAGGCGATGGCTTCGGCATATGCCATTATAAGACAGGGCAGAGAAGAAGAACAATGACACAGAAACATATGTTGTACTTCAGGTATGAATGCGAATTTCTGCAAAAACGAAAGATGATTATCTGGAAACAAACTCTGAGCTACACGCCGTTCTAAACTACTGACTTGACTTGTGTCGACCGCAGTTCCACGTCTTACCCACTCGCACAGTCTTTTTAAACCCACACCTTACACCTCTCTTGGTTATACCATTACACCGCACATCCTCTGTAGCCTCACCCTTCTTTATCCTGCCGCCTACTGTGGCGTTCGGTTTAGACTTTACTGGCGGTGATTTGTCCTTCTCTCCGTTCTTCTTATTCTTTTTCTCAGGTTTCGAGTCTTTGACCGGAGGAGATGTAGATACCGATGGTGAAGAAGGTTCTGATCCTGACGACGATCCCGATACTGACGATGGCGGTGACGATGGCGGTGATGGCGGCAGGACTGTAGAAGTTGGTTGTAGAGGTGGTATCTCAGACTCTTCCTCCATGTCGTCTTCAGTATTGTCGTCTGTATCGCCTTCTGTATTGCCTTCTGCATCTTCCTCCCGCACCTCTGGCGACCTCTCGTATGCAGACCGATCTACATTTGGAAGCATCTCTGCAAAGGCCGGATTGTCGTGAGGGAAATAGAAAGACCCATTTACGGTCTCAGGGGGGTGTTCAAAACTGTCTTTCTTGGATGGCGGTGCGGGCGTTGGATGCTTGTTCTGGCGTGATGGTGCCGGGGTGGGTGACCGGCGGGCGCGCGATCGGGTGTTACGCGATCGGACGGTAGGTGGAGGAGATGGAGTAGGTGAGTGAAGTGAGGATGGTGGGGATGATATGGGGGAGTTGGAAGACCACCATGCTGGCATAGATCCGGGTGGGTAGGTCTGCTCTGTCGCTTCTTCCTCTTCGTCCTCACGATCGGGTACTTGTGTTTCTACTATCGCCGCTGACGTGCGAACTCCACGCCTTTTTTTGAATTGTATGACTCCATTGCTGTCAATCCAGCCAAGTTTGAGTTTTGGTTCGGATTGCAATGATGATTGACAGGCCTGGGATGGCTTTGAGGGTGGAGACATGGTTAGATTTGTAGTGCTGTTGGTGGTTTGATTCCTTGTACTTTGTGAACCCATGGGGGAAATACTCGTATACAAGACTAGAGATGATGAAGTAGTAGATAATATAGTAGGTGCGTGTGTACAATTTCCGAGTACGATCAGGCAGATGGCAGTTGGTAGTTATGTTTTACACTTACAACAAGGAATGTCGTCTGTACAAAGGTGTTGTCGGATAATGGAGAAGAGATCTCTTCTTTAAGTCAAAGAAGTGAAGTTCCTGCGACGGGGACATTGTTTGTGAGCTTTGATAATTGTATGTCGACATTGAGTAAGTGTTACAGACGTGGCTTTGTTCTTCAGTGAATGGGCGGCTTCATCTTCAATCAGAATCGATGTCTGTTCTCAGTGATGGGTAATTTCCTCCAGATGCTGTCCTGGACAAAAGGTGTTAAGCGAGACAAAGGAGGGATGAGTGACGGAATCACAGCTCGACCTAGTGCTGCCAATGAAAAAAACATATCCATCGTGGTTTGAACACCGTTTACTGTGTAACAAGATCCTCTTTCGTTACTCTTCGTTGTTGTCGTTGTTGTCGTCGGGGATATGTTGTGGACTTGCCGAGATCATAGTGTCCTTCATTTGAAGTTTTGATAGTGTTGGGAAAATAAGGAAAGAACAACACTACAGAGCCATGGATTCATTTGTCGAAAGTGATTTTCGTATGGGCATGGTACGCGTTGCAGAAGTTGTCAGTGGCTCGTCCTTCTGCGTCATCGCAGTACCATGGGATGAAGTAGATTCAACTTTGGAAATGCGCAGGACAAAATAGCACCTCTACTACTAGACTGCGGCGAACCCGTTACTTATCTCTTTACTCCTGCACTCACATTCGAGAAATCAAATTCTCAAAACCAGATCACACAAATTTCGGACCCCAATCTCGAGAACCCAAACTCGCTCGTCATGTCGTCAGACACACCCAGGCCCAGAAAGAGAGGCCAAGCTCAGAGCAGCGAAGTTGAAGGCAGCAGAGCCCCTTCTCTAGTTGAGAAGATGATGGCGACAATCCAGCTAGAGGAACAGCTCAACCCCAAGCTGACCTTGAAACGGTTTCTCTGCGTTCGATCTGTGGTTTCGACGTCTTCATCCTATGCAAAGAGACAGCAAGCCGCTTTAGGAACAAGATCAGAGTTCCGCTCGATTGGAGCAGGAACTTGTGGTAGAGTTTACGAAGTTCCTGGGACCGCCGATGTGTTCAAGGTTGCCCACTTCCCAGGAAAGGAGACGGATCAACTCTGGAACGATTACAAGACTCACGTGAAAGTCTCCAAGCAATTCGAAGACTTTGGACGAGGCAATATCAAGGTTCAAGTCCCCCGTCACAAGTACTTCGTTGGAATGCATGACGAGGTCTGGTGGCCTGAGAACTTGGACCGCTTTCCCAATCTTTCGACGCCCTCGAATCTACTAGCAACAGAAAGAATCCTTCCTCTGACCAAGGTGATTCGCGAATCACTCATCGACATGTACTGTCCCTCTGAACATCGCGCATACTTCAAAGCCGATGCATCCAACAAGGACTGCCTGGTTCGGATCTACTTGGGAAAGAGAAGGGTGCCAGTATCGTCCAAGTGCAAGGGATTTCAGCTACGCAACTTTCAGTTGCATCTGGACCAGATCGAAGAGTTGGAGCTGGACTCTGGAGGGTTTGCTACTTGCATAGCTGAAGCTTTAGCCATCATGCACTGGGCCTGCCAGTTGGATGCCAACGATGTCGAATTCGTCCTCGGAGCAGACCCTGACTACGTTGCTGAGCCTCACCTCATTCAACAAGAGAACCTTTCTCCGAGCATGATAGCGAATATGAAGCCTAACACTTCAACCTGGGACGCCTCACTTAAGAACTTCCACAAGAAGACTACCCATATCTGGATGCTAGACTTCAACCGTTGCGCCATTTTTGCGCCTACCCAGGAAGGCTTGAAGCAACTGGTCCATTCTTTCTTCAGAAACGACCCGTACTTTCCTAGGCCATATGCAGAGTTGAAGAGGGATCAGGAGCTGTGGGATATCTTCAGCAGAACTTACCTGACAACTGCCCAGAAGTGTGTGAACAAGGGAAAACTCTCTGAGAAGTATGTAAATCTACCTTCTCTCTTCCTGAACATGGTACAGGTGGAGCAGAAGAGAAGGTTGGACGCGCGAGATGCATGAACAAATGAGCAAGGCAAGGAGATAGTATAGAACACGTGGAGGCCTGGCCTGTGATGCACAGGATTAGTTTGCGGCACAACCAATGTATCATAAAGTACGGCGGGTTGGCAGTATCGGGTACAGCAATGGCAGCATGCGCGCCACCTCCGATTAAGCTCTAGCAATTTCACGCTTGATGATGAAACTTGAGATAGATTACTCTTTGACTTGTGTTCAGTTCGCTACAGTACTCGATATTCTAAATCCCAGATGCTCTACGACATGTCCGAGTAGATGACTAGCGGCGGCGAGTTGACCTTTGGCTTGAAATGCGCCTTGATCTTAGCATGTGCCTCATCTTGGTTGTCGTAGTAGTCCATGTCCTCCTTTGACTCGAATATGCAACGCGCAAGCATCGTGTAGCCCTGGCTGCGCTGGTCGTCGTAGGTGGCGTTGGCTTGTGCGAGCGTGATGTAGTTCTTGCCGTCCTATACAAACATATGACGTTAGCATGCTTTCTTGCGATAACAACAACAACAACAACAACCACAACAACAACGACAATAGCCTCGGAAGAGTGTCGGCGCGGATGCTGTCGGTATATCTCTAGCGTAGTCCATAATGAGGGATGTTCTAGGCGTCCCATATGTGCGTCGTGACTCGGAGTTGTTTCCGCGCGCTGGCTGCAGCAGCCTCGTCACCCCCACCCCATTTCTCCTAGCCGCGGCAATATTTCCAGCGGTTACCCGCCAGGGACATTACTCCGCGCGCTCAAGAGGGTTGACGCCATCGTCCGCCTCTTCTTATCGAGAGGCAGAAAATAGCCCGAGGGCGATTAGAATAATCTGGGGTTCCGACGTGACGAGACGGCCTGACGTGCAGGGGCGCCATGCACGAGTGGCACGTTCTGTACATAATGGCCATAACTCGTCTGAGAGAGCGGGTATGTACGCAGCTCCGGAAAGGGCAACATAGGATTTGAAGCGGTGGGTTTACGAGTCAAGGTCATGCTTTGACGTACCTTTTTCGCGTCCTGGGCCAGAGTGTTGTACATCTGGATGGCTTCCTTGACCATGTCCTGATCTGGGATCTTGAACAGAGTGAGGCGGACAATCTTAGGCATTTTGATGGTAGGTTGTTTTTTTGTAGCTTAGGGAAGTAGGTTTGATAGATCTTTGTATAGTCAAGCTTACTGTATGAGCGGACATATATTATATATGAGGCTGTTCAGGTTGGTATACTTCAGCTCGCTTTCGGACCTCCGGAGTAGGCGGAGAGCCATGAGAAACATCAACGTCAACGTCGGTTCCCCTACATTTTGCATAGTCTGATGTGGATCAAGTCGTAGTACATCTACTGTCTACGCTCTAATTATATTTACTTTTTTGGCAGATGCCGTCTTTGGTAGATGCTGTAGACATGGCAGTTAGCCCCGCCTATGGCGCCCTGTGCAACGAGTGGTCGTCTTTGTGAGCTGAAAGCAATTACGTAGCCAGGCTTTTGAGTAGGGCATATCATGATGGAGCCAGGTATGCCTGCCTCGAGAGATAGAAAGCCGATCACTAGGAAAGAATGTCGGCGTGAATCGTGGGGTAATTGATGCTACTGAGAAAGGACGACAGACACCGCTATCCGATGCCGGTGAACATGGACAGTCGTTACACTGTTATACGTCACACATAGAACGCGAAAGGAGTGGGCCAGAGCCTTTACCGCATCTCTCGACTTGTGTAAGGGTGAATGTGAATGGACCCTGAAAGGCTGCAATAACGAGATTCGGAGGTTCGGGACGGGGCGTCGTGTCCCTCCATCGAGCATCGGTAATAGACGTCGAAACCCGGCCCCTCTAGATTACCCTGTACCACACCTGGCTGCAGCACCACGTCTTACCGCGCGAGGCTGAACAGGAGGGTGAGTATGCTCTTGGTTGGAGAAGGGCTCGAACATGTGGGTCTTCAGTAGCATATTGATGGAATCAGGCCGATTCGAAGACGACATGTCCACGACATGACGCCTCCAGGGGCGACGACTCTGCGCTCCAGATGGCCGCCCTCTCACACTGTCGAGTAAGTCAAAGAGGTGCCTTTTTTTGCTAATGCGTGGTGTCAAAGATTGATGCGCAGAAAGAGGGGCGCATGGTTGACAGTGCTGGCTTCTTCTTCACCGCCTGTTTTGCAGCTTGGAGCGGGTGGCCGTGCTGGCGCGCTCGCGTCATCCACAGATCTCCCGCGCGTGCGACATAGTTCTGAAGCTCGTTCGACATCTCCGCTCAGATTCTGATGGCCATGGACGCGCTCGCCTGGACTTCAAACACTATTCTTTGTTTAATATGCCAGTGGCTGTTCCTTGCGCTTCGTTGCCGCTATTCACAAGCGCCATCGTCCCGCTCCATGTATCAACCACCATCTTGGATCGGCGCCAGACAGAAGCGGTCGTTACTAGGACCTGGGACCTAGCCATGCACCGCTGCCTGTCGCGAACCGCGCCGGCCTATCGAATCATCCCAATTTTGCTTCCGCTCCACGACGACTTGCTCTGTGCACCCTCAATCTTTGTACTGATGCTATCCACTTCGCGGCAGGTCAAATGTCGAGGACACTCTGCAGCCGCCCGATGCATGATCCCTTTGTGTCAATGTCGAAAATTTCTCCCCAAAGCTCCAGACCTGTTCGTGTTGAGCTTGACAGCCTGCCATCTTCAATGTTTTGACATTAGGAAAGTGGAGACTGCTTGATGCCTTACCATCAGCCTTTAACATGGGTCCCAGGTTCTGTGAACTCTTCATCTCTCTCGATGGACCGGGATCGTTGCGCAGGAACGCCTGGCCCCTACCAGCTGTATTTCACTCGTCAATCATCGCCCGTCAGGCTCTACTCCACTACGTCTTGCAAACGCGCTCGAGCGCCATCAGAGAGTCTCCGCAACAGCCAATTTATGCCTGCATGCACACGGCTTACTGCTAACAGCCGTTGACTCTTTCCCTATCTGAGCTGCAGGCGCATTTCCAAGTAGCGATATTCCGAGGACCGTGCTTTCTGCATGTATGCGTTGGCAGTGACGCTTGATGCTTTCCGGTAACACCAACCCCAGGTATCTCCTCGAACCCTCGAACGCATCAATCAACCACTCTCGTTTGACTCTGGGGTTGTCGGGTAGCTCCATGCTATGCCTGTTGTGACGCGTTCTCGCTTCGAGATACTATGCTTTGCATCGTCTTGCAGTCACACAATCGTGTCCAACTCCCCTCCAGTCGCGACTCTAGCGGGTGGTACCCTAGTCGATTAGCAGTCCCATTTTTTTCCTGCATGTTTGGTCTGGTCTCTGATCTCTTTCAGACCCTGCCCCTCAAAACCATACGGCGGGTATCACGCATTCTGTTGCCAAGATTTCATAGTATCGGTACACTTGACGAAGAATGCAGAGTCTGACGTATTTGCGTTCCCCTCACTTTGCATATTGCATGAGTGGGCCCATTGCATCCGGAAGATACGAGCAAAGAGCGCTGTTAGGACGCACGTCTGCCGCCTTGTTGTTTATGCGTCCATCTTAGGCGTCTAAACATGCACAATGCCGATCGAGACATGTTCAGCCTTGAGAAAACGGGTTATAGCAATTGTCTCCGATCGCCTGCCGTTTTTTTACAGCGCTACTGCGCGCAGCACGGTGGCAAGAGCGAACCGGACAAGCTGTACCTTTTGAGGTTTGAGTCTCTTACTAGCTAAAATTCTGGAACCTCTACCGTTGGCTGCCTTCTCGCCAGCACATACTATGGGTCTCCCTCATTCAGAGCCGCAACAAGACCCGCAGATTATTCATTTCCACAAGCCCAATTGCCCCTCAGTTTTTACTGGCGGGCGAGACGCGCTTGGATACATGCTACACTCGCCTGCTGTAATATATTGCTCCATCCCACAGTAGGCACATATGCTTCCCCCATCCCCATCCGACTGACTGCAAGCCGCTCCCTCTTCCTTGCTCTTCATACATCAACGCTGTCTATCCCTTTTGTACAGCTGTCAATCCTTTATTGGCGACTATCAACCACACCCTAAAAGTAACATCTGTCGTACAGCCACTGCCACGAATACCTCCCTTGGCCTACTATCGTCACTACCGACGAACGCTTGCCAATTTAGAAATACTCCGCAGCTGCATTTCTGCTTCCAGACTGACAGCTCACCATCGAAGCGCCATCAGTCGTTCCAATCGCTCAATTACACGTCAATAATCACATCCGAACACATACAACATGTTCTACGTTATGTACCTGACAGGTTAGTACCGAAAGGACTCTTTTTCTTTTTAGACAAATGGTACCACATAGTCGGATATCGAATGAGACATATGAAGGATCTTGTCCAGATACCAGTCGGCGTAAGACGCATGGGTTGGCAGCCCTGTCTAGTGCAGAAGACCCACACGATGGGGACCTGGATAACATGTCATCTACGAGCTTGTTGCATGATAGTAGACTTAATGAACGTACTGGTAACTGACTCTCGGGTGTAGGCCTATGCCAAAGGCGCCACTGGCCCGACCCACTTTTCCAAACCTACCGAACACGCTACGGATACGGTTCAACAGTCAGAGTGAACAACCGAGAGTACTCGACTGATGTTGAGTACGAGAGCGAAGAGCTAGCCAAGAACGCCGCCGCCACTCGAGCCTACATGATCTGCCGTAACTTTTCGGTAAACGATGGAATGTACCCAGGACAACGGCCCGGCCAGGGTGCACAAGGACTGCCAACACCGATAGGAGCGGGCCGACGGAACACTTCCTCATCCAACGACTACGACAGCTCCAGTACTACCAGTGGCAACACAAGCCCAAGGAACTCTGACTATGGCCTAGATGCTGCACAGGCGGCTGCGGCAGGAAGTAGACGACCGAGTAAAGCCTCTGTGGCCCCTTCAACATCCTCGGCATGCTATTGCGGTCGTGGATATGTCCGTGCTTACGAGAGATGTTCGGATTGTCTCCAAGAGGCGGGATACAGAGTGTAAGAACAGATCGATAGACGACACTTTCTCCACTGCATACGAACCGCACACCAAGCAACAACGACACACCAAAACCTAATGACGACCGCATCAAATCAAAAGACTTGAAGAGCCCAAGCTCAGCGATACCACGATTCCTACGAACCTGCATCCTTCACTACCCCGTTACGGCCTGGCCGATAACCCCCATCTTTACCCATGACGATATATCTCTTTCGGGACCGGCTACCTGCTTTCCATCTCGTTACCGAACCTTCTGGGACGTGTAAAAACTACCGTACCCCAGCTACTTTCGTGTCCCTCGTCGACTTCTTCTACTTCTTTCCCGGCGGGGCTGCATAGCGACGGCATTGAAGCGTTTTAGCGAAAACCTGTTCCTCTTATTGCTTTTTGGATCGGAAACACTTGTCCTTGATCCTGGGTTGGCACTTTTCCCCTTGTTTATGAAATTGCTGTCATACATGATGATGATGACCTTTTTCTTTTTGGTAGTCAGCTGTTTGTCTGATGATTGAGCAAATATCAAAGATGTATGAAGAAAGATCACATGATGGTTCTGGCCACACGGCTGTATAACGATGACGTTTATGACGACTATGAAATTATATACCTTTGTTCTGCTACAGTACACTGCTTCGCATTCATTGACTGGAATGATCCTGCGCTTTCTGTTTCGCTGCATATCCAACACAGCCGCCAGGAAGCATCCTGGGTGATTGGCTCGCTTCGCTCACGTGCAATCTATAGGCGACCATGCTAGCCGAACTGCGTTGAGCAGCCTAGCAACATTACGACCTTCACCTGATACGCGCTCTTGCGAACAACTATATAGCGCTGCACCTAGAGATGTATTCCCCACTCGACGCCCCGCGAAAAGAGATACGCCTACTCCATGTTCACCCAGGGGCCTGGGGTGACGACATCGAATGCCACCTCGAAACTGTCTCACTAAATGACAACCCAAAATTTCACGCTATATCATATGTTTGGGGTGACCCGAAGATCACACTGCCAATCACGATTGATGGTCAACCGCTGGCCCTAACACAGAACCTTTTCAACGGACTTCAGCGATTGCGGCCTGTAGATAAAACGTTGATCATCTTCGCGGATGCAGCGTGTATTGATCAGTCCAACCTCAACGAGCGATCTCAACAGGTACAGCTTATGGGCGAAATATATGCCTCCGCGGAAGAAGTCTTCATTTGGCTTGGTTACGGATGCGAGCTCCAAGCTCCCGTAGCACAGCCAAAGATTATTCACTGGGTCGGAGATGATACGGACATGGAAGTTACAGATTCCTATTTCAAGAGGGACCACTCTCTGGTCCGAGAGAATGGGGAAGGCAAGGAGATAGAAGACGTACTGGGACTTTTCGTCTATTTAGGGTTTCGTGCTATGGACAGACATCTGTATGAAATACCCTTTTTTGACGTGGAGGGAGACATATTGTATATCAAGCAAAACTGGCCGGCAGTCATTCGAGCTGCGGAGACGTTGCTCTCGAACCCTTGGTGGACGCGGATCTGGGTCGTTCAGGAGACAGTTCTCGCTCGCCATGCCACCGTGGTTTATCGCAACATCACCATCCCCTGGACTGTAATTACAGATGCAGTCCGTATCTCAGATCGCCATGATCTTGATTGCTGCCAGAAACTATTCTCGTCGCTACCATACAATGATAAAGAGATCACCGCTCAGTTGGGGTCTGCTATGTTCAATGGGGCGGGACTGTTAAAGATAATTAGACAAAGAGGCGATAAGTTAAGCCTGTGTCAGATCATGCGCCAAACGCATTTGCGTGATGCAGCAGACATCCGCGATAAGGTGTTTGGTGTACTTGGGCTAGTAGAAGATTGGCAAGGCACGTCTCCCATCCTTCCTGACTATAACTTATCCCCGAAGGAAGTCTATATGCAAGCAACCTTCCATGAGATTGAAAGCACCGATACTCTAGGAGTATTGATTGGTACTATTGTTTCTGGAATACCTGGGGCTCCTTCTTGGGTTACTGAGAAAAGCGCAAAATCTTGGGCTCACAATCACGCTGCAAGAGCAAGAATTGGCTGCTATTCGCTGTTTTCAGCGGCAGATTACCACAAGGCTAATGTCGAGAAACAAGGTGACATACTGATAATTGACGGCTTCAAACCACGCCATAGGATATATCAAGTAAGCCCCATACTTTCCAATGATGGAATGGATAGGAATGCGTACGTCAAGAACATCGTGACATGCCGTCGTATGGCTGGGCTCGAAGAAGAAACGCGTTCTCTCTATTCAGAGAGACAAACCGGAGAGGACGACTTCTGGAGGACAATGGTTCAAGATTGTTGGATGCGGTACTCTTTTACAAGGGACATCTGGGGTAGCCCCGGGCATTCTGAGAATATTTTCCAAAGGCTTGGAAACATAGATGTAGCTTTCCTAGGTAAGGACTTCTGGAGCAAGCTGAAGAACGAGGAAACCAGAGATGCTCGCACTTTGGACGAGCGTAACCATATTCAGGGCTTCTCTAGAGCTTGTAATTTGTTTGGCTTTTGTCGGAGATTCTTCATCACGGAAGATGGCCACATGGGGCTGGGTCCTCCCGAAATGCTTCCTGGTGACTCGATAGCTATCTTGCTAGGATCGAACGTACCATTCTGCCTGCGACCCGTCCCGGATGCGCCCAGAGGTCACTACACGCTCGTGGGGGATACGTATGTGCACGGCCTGATGGATGGAGAAGGCGTCCCATCGAATTGGGCGGACCACGTCGTTAAAATTCACCTCCATTGAACGCGCCTCGCTATTATGAGCGTGATCTCAACAATCGATCTGTGGCAACAGCACGACTGACCACGAAGTGAAGATTGGTAGTTAACAAGTGGTGCGGACACGAAGTGTGGGGGGAAGATGCGTCACTACGAAGAAGCAATGTATTCCCAAGTTTTAACTTTAACTAAAATTGTACCCTGAAGCTGTCCATGATGATCAACGTTGCGACTTAAGAGAGTATGTAGTAATTTGAAACTCAAGGTAGATTCCTGTGGTTACTGTCGCAACTCACCAAAAACATGCTTTGTAAGGAAAAGTTCCATGTCAATCTATCCTATGCTATGCTCTGCTTATAGTGCCACAAAAAGCAAAACGCAAGGATGTCAAAAAGAAACCCTCTCATGATGTACTCCCAAGCAAAAATTTCCGAAGCCTACTCCTCTCATCCCTCCTCGTAATAGCATCGACTTGTGCCAACGTCGTCGATGGAATCTCACAGCAGCCAGCGCCATCAATCGAAGAACTACCACGCGTACGAATATGACGCTCACGTTTCGGCACTTCAACCTTCTGGTACTCGGTCTCGATCATCCTGTAGTTCCTGCCATAATCACGCCATCGCATCTGGGATGCGATCAAGACCACGGGCAAGACGCTGACGAGCTCACCTAGCCCAGCCCACTGCGGCTTGATCCTGACTTGGTTGCCCGCCTTGAGGAATGCGCCGGCTGCAAGGAGGATTGCGGCTACATTGTACAAGGTCGACCAGCTGAAGTTCAAAATTATACGTCGGTACGCGGCAAAGGAAATGTCGAGTAAGATCAGAACATCGTGGAGACGCGTGGTCATGAGGACTACGTCGGCCGCGCTTTTCGCGATGTCTGAGCCTTGGTTGAGGTGAACGCCGACATGGGCTTGCTTGAGCGCCATAGAGTCATTCGTACCATCACCCACGAACATAACGACCTTTCCGGGAGTTTGGAGGTCGCGTACGTAATTCATCTTGCCCTCAGGTTTGCAGCGTGCCTTGGTGTTTCCCTGAGGAATGTAGAGCGCTTCAGCAACTTCAGCAACGGCGCCAGCGGTGTCGCCGCTGAGCATGTGTACTCCGATACCACGGGCAAGGAGTTTCTGGATCACCATCTCTGCCCCAGGACGAGGTCGGTCTTGTAGCACGAAGCTAGCGCGAAGATCTCCGCCATATGTGAAGTAGCATGTCGTGTGGAGCTCTGGCCCAATTACATTGATATTTAACCACTCAGCGTTTCCGGCTCGGATCTCGACTCCTGTCTTCGCGCATGTGCCTTGGACTCCTTTACCGGGGATACTGGTGACATTTGTGACCTCGAGAGGTTCAAAATTCTTGTGAACGAGTCTGTCTTGTGCCAGCCAATATGTGATCCCAATGGACACCGGGTGCTTGATATCCTTGAAAAGGCCCATCAGCAAGCCCTTTGTGCGACCGTGATCCGTATTGCGGTATCTGGGAATATCGACGACCTTCAGTGTTCCGCTAGTTATGGTCCCGGTTTTGTCAAAAACTACATCCGTAACATTGCGTGTAGTCTCGAGTTTCTGCGGATCTCTAAAGATGATGCCATATCGTGCTGCTACGCCACTCGCGATTAGGACAACCACTGGTACAGCGAGGCCGATGGCGCAAGGACAAGACACGATGAGTGTAGCGATAGCGTAGGTAGTTGCCGTCAGTAACGCGCTCCGCCATTGTTTCTTGTTGTGGTATCTTTCGACGAAGAGCCAGATGAGGAAGACCGTAAGCCCGATTGAGGCCATTACAGGCACGAACCAACCAGCGACTCGGTCAGCAAGTGCTTGTGTTCTCGGCTTTGTCAATTCTGCGTCTTCCACCAAAGTTGCGATGCGCTGCACGGAGTTCTCATGAGGTAATTTTGTCAGCCTCACTGCTAGGAACCCGTCCCCATTGTTGGTACCGGCGAAGACTTCGGAATCTAGGCCTTTTGCCTTCGGCTTGAACTCGCCAGTTATCATCGATTCGTCGACATTAGAACCTCCGTACACAACAATACCATCCGTGGCTACCCTGGTATGAGGAGGGATCGTGAAAAAATCGCCGTATTGGAGTAGTCGAGTATCGATCTTGGTCATCGGGGCGCTGGACCAAGAGGTGGTCTCTTCCGGGGTTGTAACAAGAATTGCCTCGTCAACTTGGAGCGATCGGAACGACATCGACTTTGCAGCGCGAAAACGGGCGAACTCGTTGATGACCTAGAGGTGGGTTTAGTCAGTATTCGTCTGACATGTAATTCCTGCAGGGAAATTACTAACACGGCCTAGCAAGATCAGTGTTACCAAGAGAGTGGATGTCTCGAAGAATGATCCTGTTTCTAATGGCTTGCCTCTGACCTGGAAGACGTAGGAAACGACGCTGAAGATATAGGCCATGGTAGTACTGAAGGCGATCAAGAAGTCCATCTCAAGAGTATGAGAGTGATACAAGGATCGCATAGCACCTGGAAGGAACGCCTTCAAGGCGATGATCTGCACTACAGTGGCAAGTACCAACGAAGTGTGCAATCCAGGAAGATAAATCGACTCATGCTTGGGCTCTAGTTGCTGTGAAATCTCTGGAGTGCCTTCAGGGCGACTTTTGTTCTCGTGGTGGCCTACAGGTGTCCAGGCGAATACCAGGACAGGAATCGTGAGAACTAGTGAGAGCGAAAACCATTTCAGAGCTCGTATGGTCTGTTTTGCCCCTGAATCGAGTCCTGGGTCTGCCGCAATAGGCGCCAGGCGCAAATCTGGATCAAATTGACGATAGTGCCTGAGAACGTCCCGCGCTCCAATCATGGCTGCGTCGTAATATATCTTCGTCGGTGGTACACGAATCGTCGAAACCCCACGATCTTCATGAACAGTCGTCTTCTTCGGAGTTCTGTTGCTTAGCCCACTTAACATAGCGAAAGGACGCCACGGCGCTCGTTCGGGGACTTCGATGCGTATGACACCGTCTGGCTGACCGGCATGCTCCATGCGTCTAGAGTCGGTAACGATAACCTCCAAGACTTGACCGTCAGATGCGACCTGCTCCTTGAATTTGTATCCGGTCTTTGTTTCAAGTAGCTTGATGACTTTGCCAATCGACAGACGATTGGTATCGAGCTCTAGCTCAATTCGAGCGAGTACAGTGTTCGCCTGAAAGTTCTTGATGGCAGGAATGCGGCCAACAGTTCGTGAAAGTCCCGAATCACAACATCCGCACGTGAGGCCGTCGATCCGGAGAATGACACGCTCGAAGTTCGGAGGGCCGAGCTCAGGGTCATCATGTTTGCCTAGATGTTTTAGCGAAGAGTCCTCACTTGGGCAATGCAACTCTGAGCAACAAATACCTATAGTACGAGGGTGTTCATGCGCATCCCCGAAACCAGTGCCCTCTTCTGTCTTGATAGTAACATGCTTATGTTCGCTATCCGTCGTCGGTGAAGGTGTATGAGACCGGCTTGCTGAGCAGCAACTGGAGACTGCCCAAAGTGGATGGTGATATGGCTTGGTCTTTGGAGCGGGCATGGGTATCGGAGAAGGTGCTGGTACCGGCATTGGATTCTGAGTCTCCTCCGCAGTTTGCACGTGTGGAAAAGGACAATTCCCCCACGGCAGGTTTAGTGCTTGTGATTCTGATCCTGGGTTTGGCGTTTCAGCGAGGCTCAGCGGTATCGCAGCGGTTTGATCGTCTAAGTGTGGTGTGTCAAAGAGTACTCTAGATACTGCTGGTTTCGTTGATACTATTGCGGGCTCGGGGTCTGCATCTGAGGGAGCCACGTTATCAGGTCTTGATCCTGGCACTTGACTTGTGTAATGAACACCATTGGTAGGGAAGGTTTGAGATGCCGGCTCTTCAGCTCGAGAATACGAAGAGTCAGTATATGGAGTCCGCACCGGGTACGCAACCGCGTGTGGATTGGGCGCGGGTAATGTTATTGTCTGATCTTGACTGTCCGCGGGTTCGAGTCCTTGAAGACGGGTGCGGAGAGTAGTACCACCAATGGCGGTAACCATAGACATCTCCATGATGGTGAGTAGTTCTATTAGTGATAGATGGTGATTCTGGTGTTGATACTGATGTTGATACTGGCGTTGATGGTGCTGTGTTCAGAGACGTGGGGTAAAGTTGGAAAGACAGAAGTCAACAAACAATCGTGTATTCTCTTGGATATGGTAGGCGCAATGGTGTCGTGTGGGGGGTAGCCACGACGTTGTAATACTCATGAACATGAGGACCTCGAATACTCGACATCCCCGTTGCCAGCATATCGCGTTTTCCCCACCGAGATCTGTATCAAGCTTCTTTGAGAACGCACCATAGCCCTGGGCAGCGGTAGACTGCTACTGTTGGGTCTGCATATGTCAATGATCATACTGACAGATGTGGTGCACCATTCACAAAGCGCACAAGTGCTACTGACGCTGTAAGCATGCATCTGGGTAAGAACGAAGGGCTATTGTCTTCCGTGTGGTAGTAACCTTCGTGATACCCGGGTACCAGTCTCCAAGAGGATGTCGGCTTGTACAAAGAAGCTCTTTACTTGTGAGTTATACCTGAGTAAACCATAGCCCGAAGGTATCCACTGTGTTTTACTTTAATGTAATTCGAACCTACTGAGTGCCTTTAGGCTATAGAATCATTTGGTGTCAGGTTGTATAAGTCCGAAAGCGACACATGGGCCATCACAGCGATGCAACTTGTCTGTTGAAGTGGTGACGCACAAAGCATGGGAGCCGCAACGGAAATGTGGGGCTGACATCTTGGGCGGTGTCCATCAGTTGCGTCTAGTCCAGTATTACCAAGTGTTTAGTTCGAGTACCAAGTTGGCGAGGGGGGTTTTTTTTTTGCGGAACCGATACTTATGAACTTGGCTGAACGTCTCAAAGAGATCTTAGGGTAAGTGGCCTAACACGTGATAGCGCGCTTTCGAAGATTGCGTCATCAGAGTTGGCGTTCACCCATCCGCTCCAACGCCAACTGCAGGAACGCAACACATCTACGAACAGCCGGCACTGCATGCATCCGCCTCTCTGCTTATTGCAGCCATGATCAGTGTTGTTGTACTGTGTAGCTCGCAACCGCAAAACATCACAGCCTTCAGATTTATACTCATTGCGCCAACTCTATAGGTGACAACAGACATGGCAGGCGCGCGAGGAAGGTCGCATAAGAGCGCGGAGTCGGCTACTCCGAGGCGCTCAACGCGAAATGCAAAAATAGCGCAGGGGGATGAAGGCGTGCCAGCCGTCTTCCAAGAAATGCTGCGCGAAGAGCAAACGTCAAAAGCTACTAGCGCAGACGAGAAGGAACCACCACTGAAGAAGAGAAGGACAGCGCCTCCACGAAGAGAACCAAGCCCCGAGCACTTTGTTGAGCCATTAAGACAACAGGGACCGATTACCGGTGCTCCCGAACTACCATTACCCACGCCGTCTCAGACCAAACATGCTGCATCACAGTCCCAGATGCCGTCGCACACGCGATCGCGGCCCACCGCTCCAGCCCAATCTATCGTTGACGAAGAACCACGTACGAGCGAACGAGTGCGACAGACCATCATCGACTCGGACGAGTCAGATGACAGCGATATGGAATGGGAAGATGCGCTTGCCGACGGCGATGATACCGATGATCCTGATGAAGGTGTCGAAGCTGTACCCCAGATTGGTGACATCTCTATTACCATGGGAGCCAAAAAGACTGAGGACCCCGGGACAAAGAGGAAAGTGCGTCGACGGGCAATAACATCGGTTGACAAGAAGCGACGTCTGGATATTCACAAGATGCATATTCTTTGTCTACTCTACCATGTCCATCGCAGAAATGCGTGGTGTAACGATAGGAGAGTGCAGAGCACATTACGCAAGATCGTGCCTCCCAAGACCTTGTCCAACCTGGTACCAAATCCCGACTTGTCACAATACTCGGCTTCGAAACACTTCATAGATGGCATGAACGAGCTGAAGGTGCTGTGGTCGAAACGATTTAGAATCACGGCGCAAGGCATGTACAAGCCTAGGTGGGCGGAGGTTGAAGCCGCTATCCGACCCTTCTCGGACTTTGATGACCTTGATGACCCGATGGACAAGGACGAATTCCGTACCGCAGCACATACCTTGCAGGGGTCTCAGGATGTAGGAACGCAACTGTTTTGCGCTCTTCTTCGTGGTATCGGAATCGAGGTCAGACTCGTCTGTTCTCTACAGCCGTTGCCCTTCTCATCTGCAGCTGAGCGAGCCACCCCGCAAAAGTCGAGCGCTCAGAAGAATACAATTGTTGTCGATCCGTACAACAAGCCGGCAGAGCCAAGCCCGACAAAACCCAAGTCACAGGGTCCGCGTAACAAGAAGCTATCGAGACTCGAGCGTGTGATGGGCGAGCGGCATGCCGTCCTTAACAAGACAGGTGTATCACCCAAGAAGCAGAAAGCCTATCACACACCGTATCCCGTGTACTGGGTTGAAGCACTTAACCCTGCGTACCAAAAGTGGGTACCAATCGATACACATTCTACATTCACCGTCAACTCGCCTGAGAAACTAGAGCCGCCACTTAACTTTGCTCAGAATAGTCTCTCCTACGCGATAGCGTTTGATGAAGATTATACTGCGAAAGACGTCACCCGAAGATACGCGAAAGCATACAATGCCAAGACGCGAAAATACCGCGTTGAAAGTACCCCTGATGGAGTCAGATGGTGGAGACGCACGATGAAATTCTTCGAGCGTGCAGCAACTCTTGACAGAGACCAGATGGAAGACGCTACTTTGGCCCGCAAAGAAGCAGCAGAAGGCATTCCAAAGAATGTGCAAGATTTCAGAGGCCACCCAGTCTATGTTCTTGAGCGACACCTTAGGCACAATGAGGTGATACACCCCTTGAACCAGGTCGGCAAAGTCAACTGTGGCAGTGCTATGAACCCCAAGATGGAACCCATCTACCGTCGCACAAACGTACATCTGGTCCGAACAGCTGACAAATGGTATCGCATGGGGCGAGACGTCAAAGTTGGCGAGCAGCCACTCAAGCGTGCGAAGCCGAAGAAAGGCAGAAGACCCTCAATCGGTGCAGACATGGACGTTGATGAAGAAGCCGACGAGGTTGGTGCTGGTCTCTACGCGGAATTTCAGACCGAGCTCTATGTCCCTCCTCCAGTTGTCCGAGGTCGCGTGCCGCGCAATGCCTACGGTAATCTTGACCTCTACGTTCCGTCCATGTGTCCGCCCGGTGGTACGCACATTCGACATAAGCTCGCATCGAAAGCAGCGCGTATCGTCGGTGTGGACTTTGCAGATGCCGTGACTGGCTTTTCTTTCAAGGGTCGCCATGGTACTGCAATCATACAAGGTGTCGTAGTTGCTCAAGAGTACGCAGATGCTGTACAAGCGGCCATTGACGGCATGGAGTACCAACAAGAAGAAGCCGAGGCCGAAGCTCGTAGGACCGAGTCTCTGCGGCTATGGAGACGCTTCTTCCTCGGTCTTCGCATTGCACAACGGGTTAATGCTATTGAGATTGATGGCGAAAGAGGCCCGGCCTTTGACGTGCAAGACGAGATTAGTAAAGAGGATAGAGAGTTGGCGGCACAGGAGATGGCAGGAGGCTTCTTCCCTGACGAAGGAGATGTTGCAGAACCGTCAGGTCGTGGCTACCAGCCACCAGAGCAGGATTATGGAGATGGTGGGTTCATGCCGGAGGATGACAACGACGATGATGGTAATGGTGGTGGTGGTTTCATTGCAGAAGAGAACGATCGTGCGGGACCCATCAGTCTGAATCGACATCAAAGCTTTGAAAGCTCCATTCTGGATTCACAACAGCTGCTTCCTCGCCGCAGAAGCAGCTATGGTCAGATCTATTCTTCAGAAGATGATGAAGAAGAAGAAGGTGGAAGCTTCATTCGTGATGGTTCTATAGACGAGGCCGGCCCTTCTACCGATGCCAAAAAGTCTGAGAGCGGAGCTGCACAGCTTAATGGCTCTGCGGATGATGCTGGAGGCTTCATACCTGAAGAAGTACCAGTCACTAATGAAGCAAGTCCAAAGGAAGAAGCTGGCACAAGATCTACAAAGCAAGACGACGACATGGAGTCTAAGCCGACATCGAATCCCAACTCCGACGCCGAGATGCACTCCCCGCCCTCCTCATCTCCATCAGAAGCTGGGTCGCTCATGATGGAAGATCCCGAAGATGAAGACGCAGATCCCGACTGGTTGGTCGATGCTACGTAGCTCAGAAAACGGTAGATACCCGCGCAATTTTATTCATTTCATTGCAACACTTATTAATTTGAAGTGCATAATATCACCTTGCACGGATGTTGACATCTCCTACAGACCTTGAGAATCTGCAGCTATCCGAATTCTGCCGTTCCCCGTGCTTAGGTACCTTGATGGCTTTGTGCTACATCGGTAAAGTGTGATGGGTTGGGTTGGGACTGGTACTACTACGCAATGAGTTTTGGACGCCGCGGCCAACTATCTTCTTCTGAGCAAAGGGGGTGGTCGGCTTGCTAAGAATATCTGACGATTGACACAAGGGGACGCATGGAGAAACAAAGGCCTGGTTGAGCGCAAAGTAGCATGTCAATGACACTGATGCGTTGGCAGTATCGGAAACAATAATGGACAATTCAATATCAATGCATTCGAGAAGATGCCATCTATGCACGGCGAATCTATACTCTATTTTTTCTTCGTCTCGAGCAAATCATCCAAGCCCTTCAACCCACCTTCAAACGAACCAAGGTCGTACTCCTTGGGATATCTAACCAAGATATCCTTCAGCTCTTCAATATGCGCCCTCTGCTCTTCCGTCAACTCCTCCCACACACCCTCAAACGCATTTTTAATACTAGGTTTCTTCTCTTTTTCGGCTTCTTCAAACGCCCTGAGTACTTCTTTCCTGACCGAACCCCTAAGTTCCTTTTCCTTGCTATCATCCCATAGCTCCTTTCCTTCAAGCCACTTCCTCAGACGCGTGATGGGGTTGTCACGGCGTTTCCAGTCCTCGACCTCGACGCGTTGACGGTAGGCGAAGGAGTCGTCTGATGTGCTGTGGTGGCCGACGCGGTAAGCCATCATTTCTATAAGAACGGGTCGACCGCCGTCGTGGAGAGCAAGACGGCGTGCTTCGGCTGTTGCGCGGCGGACGGCGAAGATGTCGTTGCCGTCCACGCGGAGGGTTGCGATGCCGTAGCCTGCGCCGCGAGAGGCGATTCCATCACCGCGGTATTGGTCGGATGTGGGTGTGGAGATGGCGTAGCCGTTGTTGCGGCAGATGAAGATACAGGGTACTTGGCGGGTAGCTGCGATGTTGAGGGCGGCGTGGAAGTCTCCTTCGCTGGCTGCACCTTCACCAAAGTAACATACTGCTACTCGTGGTTCGGTTTCTGGGTTCTGGATGTTTTGCATCTTGAGGGCATAGGCAGCGCCTGCTGCATGCGGTATCTGCGTCGCCAATGTTGAACTAATGGTATGGATGTTGAGCTCTTTGCTTCCGTAGTGGACGGGCATGTTTCGTCCGAGACCATTGTCTTTTGCGTTTGCGAAGAGTTGGTTCATGAACGAGGAGAGGGTGAAGCCGCGCTGGAGGTAGACGCCCGATTCGCGATATTGGCAGAAGATAACGTCGGCGGGGGAGAGGGCGCTCGCGGAGCCGATGGCTATGCCTTCTTCGCCTGCAGAGACCTTGTATCGTCAGCATATATATTCACACATGCTTTGTGTTCTGGCCTACCATGTAGAATGACAGCCTCCCTTGGCGTTGCGCTTCGAACATCAAGAGATCCATTATGCTCACTGTGACCTGTCAATGGAGTGTTTAGACGGAGTAGCAGCCTCACTGACGCTTGACCATGTTCTTGTATAGCGATAGAGCCTCCTCGTCTGAAGTCTCTACACCAATCTCTTTGTCTATTATCTCTCCATACTGGTTCATGACACGGTACGTCGATATCGCTTGGGCTTGGGCTGGTTGCATGAACTCCATGGTGTTTGTGAACTCGCTGTTCAGAGCTCCAGGGAAAAGCACTCTGCAGAGGATATCAGCTTTCCATCCTAACATGTTCTAGACGGTATACGCACTTCTCAGCCGTAGGCGTCGAAGCAACACCACGACATGTCTGCCATGGTGTGTTTGCAGCATTTCTCGACCCATTGAGGCGTGTTTGTAGGCTCGAAAGCCTTTGTGACCGTAATATCCGCGAAGTATAGCGGAACGACATTTTGACAATCTACATCTTCAAGCGTGCGGGGGAGGGCGGTATATCAACAATCTGGGGAAGGATGACTTGGGTGGGCGGCAAGCGTCGGCGTAACATGATGTTTGACCGCGGTACTTTGGGTCCCTCTTCAGCGGCCGCTAGCGAACCCCCGGCCGCCTATGCGCGTGTCATTGCGCATCGAGAAAGTCGACGCCAAGCCATTCCGCCAATCGACCACACCAGACCATCACAAACATGCAGGCTTCACGACAGAGAATAGGGCGTCAATTGCTCGATGCGAGTAAGAGGAGGGTAGCGAGAGAGCCGTACAAGTGTTTCTCTTGCTCGGCCAGACAGGCGCAGCAGCAGACGCCACCCCCGAAGTCTCCGCAGAATGGCTCGCAAACGACGCATTTTGGCTTTGAGACGATATCCGAGGCCTTGAAGGAGCAGCGAGGTATTCAATTAAACTACTCTACCTTCAAAATACCCGTTGCTAACCCAAACACAGTCGGCGCAGTCTTCTCCTCCGTCGCCTCATCCTACGACTCCATGAATGACTTCATGTCCCTTGGAATCCACCGCCTCTGGAAAGACCACTTCGTCCGCAACCTGAACCCTGGTCGTAACCCCCTCACCGCGTCTCCTGGCGAACAACAAGGCATGAACATCCTCGACATAGCCGGCGGCACCGGCGACATCGCCTTCCGCATGCTCGACCACGCCTCGACCATCAACCACGACGCCCACACCAAAGTCACCGTCGCAGACATCAACCCGGACATGCTCGCCGAAGGCCGCAAGCGCTCTTTGCAAACCCCTTACGCCCGCTCCCCGCGCCTCGACTTCATAGAAGCGAATGCCGAGAAACTCGATATGATTCCCTCGTCCAGCATCGATCTCTACACCGTGGCGTTTGGAATCCGAAACTTCACACACAAGGAGATTGCGCTGAAGGAAGCGTTCCGTGTCTTGAAGCCTGGTGGTGTATTCGCTTGTCTCGAGTTTAGTAAGGTGAATAACCCGCTTTTCGATGCCGTGTACCAGCGGTGGAGTTTCGGTGCTATTCCCTTGATCGGACAACTTGTTGCGGGGGATAGGGATAGCTATCAGTATCTTGTGGAGAGTATTGCGCGGTTCCCTAGTCAGACGGAGTTTAGCAATATGATCAGGGATGCTGGATTTTTGGTGCCAGGCAAGGGGTACGAGGATTTGACGAATGGCATTGCGGCGATCCACAAGGGTGTTAAGCCAAAGGCGTAGGTGTGAGGGTCGTGTTTGGGATATGCGCTGTATTAGTATGTAATAACATGGCATCGGTCACGCTTGGACGAATACACGAGTTGCAAGGGCCATGATTTAGAGCAATGTACAAGATGAGTGGAGTGATAGCATATTCATTCATACTGCAGACGATCGATCAATCAAGGCGTTGCCGCTAACTTGATATCCACAATCCCTACCCATATCCATACCTATACCCGATGCCTGCCCGACCCAAAACTCCGCACCCACCAAGCATCAGATACTGATGACAAGCAGATATAAGATCCACCCCTTACATGAGAGTTAGATGTCCTTCCAGGCCGTGTGCAAAAGCAAATCCATTTGTAAACGCCAGTTCCATCCATCCGCTATGATACTCAATCTGATAGGAAGATACACAATGTATGTAAAAAGCGCTAAAGAGACAGTAAAGAGGTATCCCGACCCCATGTCCCAAGAACGCCGTCGAAAAGATGATAATAGATGTTGAGAAATGCAAAAGCTTGACGTAGTTACGTTAAGAAGAAAAAAGTCATCAGCGGAAGTACGATCCACGCTTCCCTCCGCTGCCTGTGCCAGATCCACCTCGTGCTTCTTCAAGACTGCGCCGGGAGCCCCCAGCACCAATCTCACTCATTTGGAAGAGCAGGGGCTCGTCATCGTCAATGTTGGTTGCGGCACGGCTATTGAAGTTGTAGCGACTTTGACGCTCAGTTGAGCTTGTGCCGCCTGTGCTGAGGGTAGTAGAAGAGCTATGCGAGAAGAACCCGCCGCGACCACGTGCACTAGCCTGGGTGCCGCGCTTGGTGGGCATGTTGGAAGTTGATAACGGCCGGGGCAAGTCGTCGCGAGAGTCGTTATCGGTGTTCTGGTTATCGCGGTTGCCACTGGCTAGCATCTCCGTTTGGGCGAAAAGTCCACTAGAAGTAAGACCTGCGCTGGTCAGACGATGCAGATCGTTAGCGCGGTCAACCTCTTCGGATGGAAGACTGGCCGATCGTACGCCGAACACGTCCGGTTCATCATCAGGGAGTGTGCGATTTTGCTGGGAGACAGAGCTCGATCGGCGGGTGTAGTGCCATGGGCGTGGTGATGTTGGGATGGCAATGGCATTCATGTTTTGATCTTCGCTCTCGCTTTGTTCTTCTACGTTGATCGGATCATGCTCGCGCGCCCTTCGACCAGGTCGACTTCGACTGCGTGTAGGCTGATCATATTCAGCGATGCTGTTCGCGCTGAGACGAGAAGGGATGGCAGGTGTATGTGGAGTGTGTGGCGAGATTGGTTTGCCAGGCGAGGAAGCTGTTGACACAGACGTGCCAGCGATCATCGCGGGAACGCTGGATAAATGCCGACTGGAGGAGGATGACGAGCGATGAAGCATAGTAGAAGAAGAGACTGATTCAGCGAGTCCGGTATGAGACTCTCGCATCCGCTGATATTTGGAAAGCTGAGCAGTGGTCTTGTGCATTGTGGCTGCTTTGGCGGATTGATCACTCCGAGTAAAGCTCTTCAAATCCTTCTTGGACTCAAGGAGCTTCAGGAAGTCAGAGATGTTCTCATCGTCGGTCCTGACCTCGCCCGAACTGCCACCAGTCCCCTCGTTCAAGGTATCGGATCCGCGTTGCATGGACGATGAGAGACTTCCCTTTCCGCTGCTGAGATTGTCGTCTTCTGTTTTGCTGTTGCCTCCTGTGGAGAACTTGCTCCTCCTATGACCGAAGCTACTACTGTAACGACTGATAGGTGCAGGTTTTGGCGAGCTTGATGCAGAAGACGTGATGACAGTGTCATTGGGTAATGAAGGTGTCCGAAGAGCCGTTTGTGGGAGGGCGTTCAGCGATGTTCGATTACGTGGTTGGGTGAGCGGATTCGGAGTAGCAGTCCGACCAAGTGAACTACTGGGCCTCCCTACTGAGCTGGTGGGAGATGGAGGCACCGCACTTCCAAGGGCTGGAGACGATGAGAGTGAGCCAGCCTTGAAAGGTTGGAAAGACACAGAAGTCCGTCGTTGATACTGCGGCGCGTCTACGGAGCGTAATGAGGATTTGGACCCTTGAGCAGTGCGATGATTGGGTGGCAGCTTTTGTGGTGGTGACTCCATTGGGGATGATGAGGGAAGATCCCGAACTGCGCGAAGAGCTGAGATTGGGCTCGTTCCTGTTGGCGGACCAACTTGATGGAATGTGGAAAGGCTACCATACGCTTGTCCAACATCGGGGCTTTCTTGTGCATTCATCTTGTTGACAGGAAGCGATCCGGGCATTTGGCGAGTTCTTTGCTCAAAGTAGGTGTCGTCTAGGCCCATGAATTGTGAGCTTAGAAGTGACTCGGAATCTTCTACGCTAAAGTCGCAGTTTGCACGATACTCGACTGTCACACAAAGGGGCCCCACAGGCGAGTTGGTGGGTTCGATCGTGTTCAGTTCTGTGATCTTGTCATTCTCGTCGGTTGGGTACAGCGGCAGACTCAGAGTATCGACGTTGGGACTCCTGAAATCGCCATTTGAGACGCGGTAGTTTAGCTTCAACGAGGGCGCATTTGCAGGTTGCTTGGCAAGCACCTTGTTGTATCTGAAAGCGGGCATAAAGCGTAGATAGGCGAACAGCGATCGAAAGGTGACGACGGCCTTTTTGTACACGTTGGGGAGCGGATCGTTGAGCTCTGATGGTTGTATTGAGCTCTTATCTCCGACGTGTACTCTCCAGCGCTCAAGCACGATTTGTGTAGGTTTGCCGGCGCGACCTGACGATCGAGAGGCGGCATCTGCAGAGTTCAGCGCTGCAGCGACATCCCATTTCTTTCCCTCATCGTCGTGTATAACGAGTGATTGGTTGTGGCCGAGTCCTTGTATGTCCAGGTAGATGTCGATGCATAATGATGGATGCTGACCGGCCATAGCATCCATGAGTTTCCATTCGGTGAGTTGGCGTTGGAGCACATCGCTATCGGGAAGGACGACGTTGAACTACAGCATGTCAGTGGAGGTTGGAGAGGTTTGAAAGAGGTGTCACATACCCACTTGTTGTGCTTCAGCTTGCCGTCCTTGTTGTATCCTGGGGGTAGTGATACTCGGGAAGATATCACAGCAAGGGCTGATTTGGTGAAGAAGTTCTGATGCAAGTCAGTATACATGCAGTCATAGGTGGGACCACAAGGTACGTACCTGGATGACTTGGTTGACCTTTTGGTAGTGCCTCTGGTCCGACTCGGACGAGGGCTCTCCCCTTGACATCATCTCGCCTTCCGATTCTTCAGCACCTCGGTCGCTGTATGGTGGCGTGGTCGAGTATGCAGTCATGTCCTGGCTATTATGCCGCTGGTTGTTGGTTCGGGTGGGGTTGGTTTGCAGGTTGCTGGCGGGCGAGGCTGTCCGCGGCGAGGGGCGCGAGTATGGGTGCATGGCGGCGGCCTCCTGCAGGTACGAAAGGGCTGAGGGCGTGACTGGCTTATCGAGGAGGGACTCGGGCGTGTCAAGTAGGACGGTTATGGTTGCGGCGGAAACAGGCGAGGATGAATGCGCGTAGCCATCACGAGTGCAGCCAGTGTCAGGTTCGCGTAGTAGCCGTCAGAAATGTCTCTCAGGAGACTGGGGCACGCGGGGACTTGTTTAAAGGGCGGGTAGGGCTCAGGCAGCAGCCATGATATGCAAGGTGGTAAACCTGAGGTTGAGTGAGGTGTGTGCCTGGGGCGATGAAGCGGAGTTAAGCTGAGCACCCGACTGGAAGGGTGAGATGGTTTTGGCTGCAAAAGTGTGGGACGACAGCTGGATACGGATGATGAGTCTTGTTCAGAGAGGAAGGGTAGGCGGATGGCGTTGGAACAGTCAGAGAGCGTTGGGACGCATGCGCTGGGAGTCAGTCACGCGGCGATGTTGGAATGACGAGCGAGGAAGATAGCTAAGCTCCAGACAAGGGCCGGCCACGAGATAAACGATGCAGCACCTGTGCAGTAGTCGGCCAGGCAAGATAAAGCTACCGGAAGCTGCAGGAAGCTAGCGGCTGTGATGGTCAACGAGGCAATCAATCTTACTTGGGCCAAATCCGGGGAACATGAGGTGCTCGTCTCTGCGTGGGAAGCTTCGGCGAGCTCACGACGACATGGGGGAGCTGGTATGGGTGAGTGCCACTGCTTGATCCGCGCTAGCGCCCTTCCCTACTACCTCCGAATCGAGACCATGCGAGCCAGGCATGCACATCCACTCTCATATCCACCTTGGTCGTCTGGGGATGTGCAGCCCGCTACCGTTCTTTTCGCAAATGCGCAATCATGCTCGTGTGCAATCGTGCTCGTGTGCAATCAAAGACGACTACTATCCCGGCTGTCAATGGTGTCATTGACTAGTCAGTCCGGCTATGCAGCACCGTTCGACGCCTCACCTTATCTTTTCACAGCTTCTGACCGGTCATACAAGATCTGCTTTATCGTCTGTGCTACAGCGTTGCCGGTGAGACGCGGTTTTGTGTCGTAAATGAGGCACGTCATGGCCAGCGAAGCGCTGAGGAACAGGCAGCTTCGTAGTACTGCATAACAACGATCAATTACGCACAAGGGTATAGCTTCCATGTCCGAGTGCGGGTCTGAGCAGGACTTCTTTCCGAACTAGTACCTCAGATGAGAAGTTGAATGCACAATACATCTACTGCTGCCTATGTATGACCCATGCATGAGTAGACGTATCGACGACTCCTGTGGCTGTTCAGCTGCATATGCGCTGCAAGGCATCCATTACTTGCTTTTGATATCCACGGGCTGGCCTTGGCGTATCATTGGAGAGGCAGTCATCAATGCATGGCAGTCAAGATATGGTATCATGGTCTGCTCGATGATGTGCTTGACGCCGCGTCTTCGGACCTTCTATGTAGCTCCCTTGTCGTGAACTCATCGCTAGGTCCGAGTAGCTTCCAGAGGCTAGCTCCCACCCTGCAGCAGTTCATGTTTCTTTTACACTCAAGTCTCGCCCTTGAAGCGCACCCAAAGTCTAAAAGGCCCTTCCCAATCGTGACCACAAGCGCCAAGTTGAGCGTTTGTCGCGTCGCAGAGGTTCACCGCCAGTCAGAGTGGAGAAAACGCGTGCGTGGTATATAGCATAGGCGTGCCCGCCGTCGTCGCGCGCGCGCGCAACACTGAGCTGCTTTCCCAGCTCTGCGTCTTCCATGCCCATCTCATAGCCGAGGTCGGACATCCCATGACATTGAAGCCATGATCATACACCACTGTAGCTCCTCTAGACGGCTTACGTTGGAAGCAATGTCGACCTCCGAGGACAGCTTGTGGAGAAGAGGGCGAACGCCATTGGTTGATTGCCATGGGCTTCGATATGGCCATCCCACAACGCGCCCGCAGTTGCACCTCCGAAGCATATTCGCGATTGCCACCTATAACTGACCCCTCGTTCGCACTTGCCGGAAGCTTCAGGAAGTATAGCAAATTCACTCTGACTCATCTTGACTCTTGCGACACATCGACTCAGTGTCTCCCTTGCTATCGCCTCGGTAGTTTCGTCATAGATACCTAGCACCTTAACCCACACCCATTTCGCGCCCCGCCACTCACGCCTCCCTCGACAAATACAAACACACACACATCGCCCCAGAAGCTTGTCGCGGCCCATCCCCTACCTGCGCCACATCGTACCTCTTGCCGGCTTCTCTGACGACCGACAATCGCTTTCCGACGACTTGCCACCCTGCTCCTTCCTCGCGCATACCACGTACATACCGATACACGTATACGCTTCAGACTTCCGCCAACGACTACAACTAGCCTTGCACAGCGCCGACCAGTCGCGTTCGGCCCTCTCATTTGGAGTCATCCTCAGCTTTACAGCCAGCGCCTTTAAACACGCTTTGACCCCTTGAGGTTGAGGCCAGGTGCTACTAGTAAAAGCTTCGGACCACTCCTCCTTCCAACCGGCACATGAGCGGCTACCTCTGGAAATACTACCTCGAAGATGATGTCGACAACTTTCGACATGTCCTCGCAACTCCCACGCATACGAACCGGTCGGCAACACAGAAAGGCTTCGCTAGCTGGCAGGGCGGAGGATTTGCCACAACAGTGAATGGTAGTCCGGGAAGCTACAATGCATCACCGATAACGAGTGCCAAGGGCCGTAAGATGGGCATGGGTGCGGTTGCAAATCTCAGTCGATTCGACATCAACAGTCGCGATGCGGCTGGCATGACTATCCTACACCATGCTGCGTCATCGACCGCGGAGAGCGCTGTAGAGTTCGCGCAAGCACTGCTAGAACATCCTTGGACCGACGTGTACATTCAAGATGCCGAGAATGGTTGGACTGCGCTTCATAGGGCCTTCTACTTTGGCAATATCGCCATTGCACGCCTCATCCTGAATCGCGATGCGCAAGACATCCTTGGTCAAGGGTCTAGCGGGTTCAATCAGCATGCGCGGGGCCTGGTCAAGATCAAAGACAAGGAAGGATACGGTCCTCTAGATCTGTTCTCTATGACTATCAAGGATCGGACTTTGCGACCGGAAGAAGCGCCCGCCTTCGATACTGACTCAGATGACGAGATGGCTCATGGAGACAGTGGCGATGTGGATGATGAGACGCGCAGGAAGTTGATTGCCCCACCTGTACTTCTCGAAGGAGACGAAGTGTACACTTTTGGCAGCAACAAAAACGTCACCCTTGGTTTTGGTGATGAAGATGACCGCCAGTATCCAGAGCGCATCACTTTGCGCAGACCTGATCACCTCCTTCAGCGTTTCTATAGGGAGCATCGTGAACGACAGAATCAGTATTGGGCTGCGACAGGCGCCCCGATACAGGATTCTGGACTTCTTCAAGCGCGCAGTACTGTAGATCTTCCAACTCACATCCGGAATACTCCGATAGTCATCCAGGACGTACGAATGTCGAAACTGCATACTGCTGTCTTAACAACTGACCCGGTATCCAACCTGTACATGTGTGGCCATGGCCCAGGCGGTCGCTTAGGCACGGGCAACGAAACGACGAGATACCAGTTCACTTGTATCGAAAGCGGCGGCCTGGGTCAGAAGAAGGTTGCTGCTGTCGCCTTGGGGCAAAACCACACTTTGGCTATTACCGAAGAGGGAGAGGTCTACTCATGGGGTAACAATGCATACGGACAGTTGGGGTATGCGCTGCCGAAGCCGGCCGTAAAAGACGACGACCCGATCTCGACAATTCCTCGACAGATCTTTGGACCGTTGAAACGAGATGTTGTTACAGGTATTGCCGCATCACGGATACATTCGGTCGTTCACACTGCGACGTCCTTGTATACCTTCGGCAAGAATGAGGGCCAGCTTGGTATCGTGGACTCAGACGCTCGGTCGCTGGAGATGCAAATTATTCCCAGGAAGATTGCTGCAGCCTTATTTTCCAGTCCTATCCACTCGGTCTCGGCCATCGACGGTGCTACAATATGTCTTCTGGAGAACCGTGAAGTTTGGGTATTTGCGAACTATGGCTATGCGAAGCTCAGCTTTCCCTTGGACGGTTTCACCAGTAACTTCCTCAAGGAGAGCTGGTTGACTACCAAGTACGATACCGCGCCAAACAGGATCAGCAAGATTACATCTGGTGGTGACACAATCTGCGCGCTATCTACATCTGGTGAAGTCTTCACAGTCGCTGTCAGCCGGCGTTCAGAGGGTGCCCAAGATGCCGGCACATCGACCACGAACCCGAAGCAAATCAGAGGAGCTTTGTCTGCACCGTTCCGCATCTGGTCGTCTAAGAAGAGCCACATGGCAGCAAGAGATGTTGATGTCGACCAAGATGGTTCTATCATCTTAACAACCGAGGTTGGTAGCGTCTGGAGACGTACAAAACGAGCAACTATCAAGAATGCAAGCGTCACTGCTGCCGTCGAATCCAAGCCGAAAGACTACAAATTCCAGCGTGTTTCAGGCTTGACCCGGGTGATTGCTGTTCGCGCCTCCGCATTTGGTGCATACGCTGCGATTCGCAAGGACTGCGACGTTACCAGAAACCAGATAGGTGTGGACGAGGCCGGGCTCTGGGACGACCTAGCGCCGTTGCTCTCTTTCCATGAGATGACAAACTATGAAGAAACATCGGACGACGAAGAGCCTACACCAAGATTTTGGACCCGAGCTTCAGAAGCGCAAGGTCTACGCAAACGTGTTTTGAAGTCGAAAGACCTGGAAGCGGAAATGACTGACATCTTGCAACGTTCGTTGATGACACCAGATCGAACGTACAACATGGAAGTAGGATCTACTCTATCTGATGTTCGCATACCCGTTCACGAGTTCATCTTGACTGGACGCAGCCGTGTCTTGCGGGATGCTCTGCTCGACTTTCGGGTCCAGGGCTCCGACTATGCGATACCTGACCTGCTGACTGTCAAGGCAGAGGGAGGAAGGGTTCTCATACTCTTCCAAGGACTTGATTTCCTTACTATTTTTAATCTTGTTCTTTACGCGTATACCGACTCTGTTGTGGACTTCTGGAACGTCACGCGGCACTACCCCACATTGGCACATAGGTACCGTTCGGTACGGACAGAACTAATGAAGATTGCTTCTCGTCTCGATATGCGACAGCTCGAGCCTGCCGTACGTCAAATGGTCAAACCGCGGAGATCCTTGCATATGGATATGGAACTCGCCATCAAGGATCGGTCTTTCTTCGAGAGCGGCGACGTCATCGTCGACCTTGCTGATGGTCAGATGCTGCTGCATTCGGATGTTATCTGCCAGCGTTGTCCCTTCTTCGAAGGTTTGTTCCGAGGACGCGCTGGTGGTCAGTGGCTCGCAGGAAGACGGACCGAGGACTCTTCGCTTGTTCACATTGATCTGACGCACGTTGACACTCGCCTCTTCGAGCTCATCGTTCGTCATCTCTACACTGATGCTGGTGAGGAGATTTTTGAGGATGTCACAAGCGAAGACTTGAATGACTTGTTAGCACTTGACGAGTTGCTAGACCATGTCATGGATGTCATGTCTGTTGCCAATGAGTTGATGCTGGACCGCCTGTCACAGATCTGTCAAAGACTGATAGGTCGTTATGGTATGTATATCCATTCGCTCTTACTGCACTATTGCTAATCAAAGTGCAGTCAACGCACGAAATGTCTGTTCTCTTCTCACAGCAGTCGCACCAAGTTCGGTTGCTGAATTCAAAGACGCGGCGCTCGAGTACGTGTGTCTGAGCTTAGAGGCAGTCATGCAGAACGGCTCACTAGACGAACTTGATGAGGACTTGCTGTTGGAACTCAATCAGGTCGCTCATGATAACCAACTCGCTTACTTACCTTTTGCGAGAAGTGGACGAGCTGAAGCTCTTCTCTTCGATCGCTACCCGGAGCTTGCTGAAAGGATAGAACGTGGCAAGCGCGCCAAGGTCGATGCGATAGTACTATCAAACAAGTACGCGGACAGCGACAATCTCTCATCTTCTTTCAGAGCCCAGAGCCTGGAAGAAGTGGCGGCCTCCCCACTACGTCAGCGCAACCGAAGAAGAGTATCCAAGGAGGCGAAGAGTCCAGTAATGTCGCCAGCGCTGAAAGATAAAGCTTCGGCTCAAGACCTCATGTTCGAGATGTCAGATGGCGAAGATGACGAGGGAATACCAAAGAAGATCAAGCCTCCGCGGTTCACAGAGAACAGCGGAGATGAGAGAGCGCTAGAAACACCAGTTGGATCTCCTGAGACGCCCTGGGGCACGATTCCAAGACCATCACCGCATACAATTGACAAAGGGGGTGATATACCACTCAAGTCTGTCAGTCCTCTTCCTCCGCCAGCTATCAAGGAGGCAAGACCGCCTGGTCAGCCTTGGGTCCCCACATCGCTTGCAGGTCCTAAGCTTGAACTCAAGGATATTATGGCTCAAGAGTCTTCAGCTACACCATCAAACTTGTCGATCGGCCTCTCTCGAGGCGAGAGCGAACGGATCGCGAAGGCTATACCTGTAAAGATGTCGCAAAAAGAACGTAACCGTCTACGACAAGCCCAGAAACTTGGTACACCCATCGAAAAGCCACAGCCAGTGCCACCAGCTGTATCTCCTTGGACAGCAGCTGCGCATCGAAAGCCAAGCAACAGTCCTGTGGTGGCCCCAGCAGTGGCACCATCGCCGCCACCGAAGCCATCGCCTGAGCCTTCTCGAGCATCAAGCACGCCTCAGCTTACCATGCGGCAAACTGTAGCGAAGAAGGGTGCTGCATCGAAGCACAAGGACAAACGAACCGCCTCACAAAGTCAAGAACTAACAGGAGCTGCGTCGCCTTCCCAAGCTCGTCCCGCTGCTTCAGAAAGAGGCATGTCAGTCTCGACCGATCCCATTCCGACGCCTCGATCTGTCCGCCATATTCCTTTGCCACAACACTCGCTGACGTCTCCAAGTCAGCATCTTAGCATGATGGAGATCCTGTCGTTGCAAGAAGCCGAGAAGACTTCAATACGTGATGCAGCAGCTAAACGTAGTCTACAGGAGATCCAACAAGAGCAAGAATTTCAGCAGTGGTGGGAGCAGGAGAGTAGACGTGTTATTGAGGAAGAAGAGCAGACCAAGAGACTAGTAGACAAGCTTTCCAAGCCTGCTGGTCGCGGTCGAGGCAAAGGTCGTGGTGGAAGAGGTAGCAAGGCTAAAGGTCAAGACAACAAAGACGGCGGAGACGAGGCTGACCGTGGTAAAAGCAAGCATGACGTCAGCGCTGGGCCAGTCACCAAGCCGAACCCACCACCAAAAGCGGGTCCAAAACAGGATGCCGATGGTCGCACGCCTGGACGCGATAGTGCAGCCAGAGGCGGCCGTGGCAGAATCGGCCGCGGCGGTCGAGGTGGCGCAAGAGGCGGGCGTCCACAAGGACCACCGAGAGATGGTACCGCTGTATCTGCACAGCAGGGACACGCTCCAACTCCCCCGACATGAGTTTGGGGATCATCATTGTATATAGCATCTTGACGAGCTTGTATATTTATACCATAACATCTACAGTAGCATTTAGATCATCGAACTATCCATTTCATAACATGATGAGTGCGCGTCTTCAAGCCACATTGAGACCGTGATATTGTGCGTCGCTGGATATATTCAGATCTGGTAACCGCCCATTGAAGACTCCCGGACAACGGGTCATGGTAGTATCACCCCCCGTAATTTTAAACCAACCCAGAACCGACAGCAATTTTTTGAAAGAGCAAAGAAGAGACCGGCCATACGCAGTTTTTGCGTAAGTTTTGAAACAGCGATTTTCAGATGCATGAAGGAGTAAAGGAGGTACCTCTGGAAAAGGTGTTTATATACTGCCGCCCACGACCCGTGCATCGGGTGGATATAGAACATTGAGACATGGACCTGGCAGTTATGCAATTCTTCTGGAGAGCAGAAATAGGGGGCAGGTCTGCTCATGAGATCAAGATTTGATGTTTCTGAGTGAAGATAGAGGACAGAGGAAACCATTCACGTTAATCCTGTTCTTGCTGTTTTCGAAAAATCGCAGGAGCGCGCAGCATAAGCTTCTTTTGCATACTTTTAGCGATATGATGCGTGGATATGGAGATGGAAGAATGAATTCCAGAAGCTCTTAGATGAGATGTAGATACTCGGGCAAAGCTAGCACATGGCCCATCTTGTGATGCCGCGCAAAAGTGGTTGTCGAATACGTCGGTGTCACCTCGTAATCCTCGGTAGACGTTCAGTAGGCGCGATGATATATAAGTATCTTGGTCCTACCACCTCTATCTCTTGTTCATCATACTCCTTCCTACTCTATGAAATCAAATATCGACACAGAGGCATTATGTCTCGAGACCTGAACTGCCCACTATCCAGCCAAAGCCACTGTTTCAAAAGTCACTACATGGGCTTCATGTATTCAGCCTGCTTCTATGTACAAAAAAAGCACTTTGACGTCAAAAAAGCCCTAAGAATACCGTTGAGTCATGACTCATAGGGCCGCGGGTCTACAAAAGATAAAGCTTCAAGCTTCTCTCCTTCGTATCATCTATCCATAGGAGTATGCTCTCATTCTCCAAAACAAAGACCGGCTCAGCTATGTTTCTGCTTCCGAAAAATCGAAACGATACAGATATCTGGAGCAAAACGGGAAAGCCAAACGGTATCAATGAACGTGTCCGTCCCCTCTTCTGCGTTGTTATAATTTCGCAAGCCATACCCATAAAAGATATTCAGAAAAGCATTATGTGGAATTGACCTGATTCTTGAAGTTCAAAAACCTCGTCTTCAACCCCCCATGGTGAGTTCACATCGACAGTCTTCAAATGACATGTTGTTCTGTAGATGTACAGAGCCCACCGACGTAGAGACTGCACCAGAGTTGACGAGTTCTCCATTCATGTCTGCGTACGCCGTCGCTATAAATTCTTCTCGTCACTGGAGTACATCGAGTTAATCATCCACTCAATCTTCTCTTCAACAACACAGATGAGCATGAGTCGCATGTTGAGTCTGGTTGTGCTGCACACAAAAAATGCCACATATCGCCAATCATAAGCAGTTTCTACCAAAACGTCTGCCACATCTTCTACGACCGGTGAGCTCGTTTTCCTTCCAAAAATGTTGAAAAAGCACCATGTCTTCGCAGCCCAATCAAAAAAAAAATACAAGCAGCGCTCAGGCGAAGAGAGACTCACCATATGAATACTTCGTCTTTCCTGCAATAAAACTCTGGTCATACCTCATCACTTTCAGAGGAACGAAAACAAAACATGCCTATCTCAGGCTGGTGGAGAAGAGAGCTGCGAAAAAAAAGCTATGTGTGACAACGTGGTCCGTAACCCACGACGGGCACAGAGAAGCGTTCATGGTTCCCCAACTTGCAGAATTGATGATAAGCATCATCGCGACATACAATGATGCACTATGACAAGTGTAGAGTTGGTATAGCTTGGAAGATCCATGGTGTGATGCGGATAGTTGGTAAAAGATGCAACGTACCTGGATGATTTGGAAAGCACATATGGTCAGCACCAAGATGAACATATCTAAAAGTAACATACGCAATGCATTAAACCAGTTTCCGCACAGAATATCTATTATACACATGTCGAATCGAAGTCGCTTTTCCTCTCCAGTCTAATCAATACCTCCTATACATGCTTCGTTCGCAAAATCGTTTCAACTGACACCCAAAACTCAACTCCTGAACCCTTGTAGGATCCCCACAAAACGCTCAAGGCTGCATCCAATCCACACCTTCCTTCCGCAGTTGATGGCATTCTTGATCATGCACTCTGCCGTACCGAGGTCATCCTTATTTAGCAGGATGCATAAGTCATGATCCTCTGGTTCTAACGACTAGTGATCATGACGTTGCGGTAGTAGCTTGTGCTCAGGTCGATTGAGTGCTTGAGCCACAGGTCTTCGGTAAGTGGGAGCTTGAGGATGGCGTTGCGGTTGGTTCGCTGAGTACATGTTAGCTTGAGACTCTCGTGACCAAGAAGGGCGATTTGATATACCTGAGTCTTTGAGATCAGATTGGCAACGGTGCCAGCAATCTCCATGAGCGCCACACGCTCTTCCAAACCGCAAGTGCCTAGCCTGTCGCGTCCAGCAATTTCTAGTGCACGCTGTAGCTTGGTAAGAAGCTCTTGAACTCGGTTGTCCAGCTCCTCGTCAACGCGGTAGTTCGAGCGTTGGCCCGTCGTATCAATCAACTCAATGTAGTCAAAGTAGATCTGACCACCTTGAGCCCAACCTTGTAATGCTTCCTTCGGGCGAGCAGATGGTGACTTAGAAACAAAGCCGCCCATGAGCTCACGAAGCGCATCGTAGTCGCGAGAGACGATAGCCTCCGGGCCAACTTTGCGGCAGAGTACTTCGTGCGCCTCCTCGAGCTCCTCAGCCTTGATGAGATGAGTCGCCTCACGTAGAGCATCGCCACCTGACTTCGCTTGCAATGCAGCGGCAGCGTGAAGCCATGTCGCAGGGACCTGGAGATCGCGCGTAAGGCAGTCGTAGGTGGCATCACCCTCCTCCAAGGAGTACGAGTTCGAAAACTGGTTGACAAGCGAGCGGATGTAGTGTTCTCGCATTGCTGGAGATGAGAGATGCGAGTATACCCAAATCGCAGTGGTCCAGTGCTCTGGTGTATGTAGCGAAGCGGCATATGTGAGCGTGATCTTATCACCCAGCTCGACAAGCGGGTTCACGGCTTGCACATCGTCTGCAGCGCCAGGTGCAGACCATGACTGGAGCGAACGGCGGAAGTTGCCGTCATCTTCATCTTGACCGCGAGAAGTGGGCATAGCAACCTTGCGCTCATCTGCTTCGCTCTCATCATCTTGTCGAGACTTGAAGAGCTGGAACAACTGAAATGAGAGACGAGCGTTGAAGGGATTGCCGGACACATTCTCGGGAGCGAGAACGTCCTCAACATTGGCGGGAAGTCCCATTTTCTCCGCCGCGTAGAGCTTCAGGATGCCCCAGAGCAGGTCTTCTCGGTGCTCAGCATCCGGATCGTTCCAGCCCATGTCGGCATTGTTTTGGATAAACCAAGGCACCGGCTTGACATCTTCATGACCATCTCTAACAGCGTCCGCAAACTGCGCAACAGCCATCTCGATGGGCTCGTCGATCATCGTACCGTACCACAGGCGAAGTCCGAAGGCTCGTCGCCAATCAAGAGCAAACCGGCTCGAGATATTGAAGGTAGAAGCCCGGTTCTCTCGGCCAGTTCCCGCTTTGCCTTCCGACTTGGTACAATTACCGGAGAGAAGCTCGTAGAGGGCACGCTGGGGATCCTCCATCTCGGAAAGCACATCCAGACGACGCCACTCTTCAAGCTGAGTGACCATGCTTTGGCGCATCGTTTCGTCACCGCCGATCTGAGAAATCATTGTGGCCAGCCGTAGATCAAGTCCATCCAGCAATGTATGACAAGCATCGGCAACATTGTTGCAGCTGAGGTGAGCGATTGCGCGCTCTTCAGCCGTGGCAGCTTGCTGGGCATGCTTCTGCGCATCATCCCAGACAAGCAGCTTCCAGAAATCCGACAGTCTCTCTTTCCGATACACGTTGACGTTCTCTTCGTGCACGTCACCCGGAACCCGATCGGCGTCATCGAACAAAAGGGAGAGCAGTTGCCAAGCTTGCTGCTCGTGAACGCCAGGCGGCGCGTCGAGCGCGACAGCCTTTGCCATACTGGAGAACTCGACTGGAGCAGGATCAGTTAGGAGTTTTGCTGAAGGCACACCATCAGTCGTGACGATCTTAGTGTGTTGTTTCTGAAGCGAAAGGGTTTCAGGTGCGGACTGGTTTTGGTCAGTACTCATACTACGATAGCCATTAAACACCATAAGCTTACATCGCTGAAGGTGGGCATCTTCAAGAAACGCATGTCCTTCGTAGCATCAACGAGTGGTTCTTGAGCCGTTGAGAAGATACCGCCTTCGAGGTGTGAGGGGCCTTTGTTGCCGTAGATCAGGACGTTCGTTTCGCTGAAGTGGGGTTTGCTGCAACCGTGGAAGTCTTTGTCGGCATCGGCAAGCTCGTCGAGATCGGAGGCGGTTTTGGGTCGCTTGGAATAGGGTAACTAGAGACAAGAGTTTCAGCAATCTTGTCCCATATCAATTTTTGACTACATACACGGGCGGACGTAAGGTCCAAGCGTCAATCTATGAAGGAGAACCACGTAGGAAACCCGCCACAGACCGCGCCCCATTAATACAAACGCCAATAGGGAGGGGAATTCAAACCTCAATACCATGTCCACCACGCTTGGGAAACTGTTGCTTCTCCGTCTCTCCGAACAGAGAGTCCATCAAATCCATTGCAGTAGTCATCTGTCGTGCACCGAAGGATTGGGAAAAATTCGTAGGCTGCGATTCGTGTTCTCGTAGCACGTTGCCCTGGCTTTCGCGGAGAGCATATCGATCCTGCTTCTTCGGGCTTATCGTGCGCTGGAGCTGGTTTGCCCAATCGTCATCGAATACCGGCTGTGCTTTTGAAGGTGTACCAGTGCCAGGCTTCATGAACTGGCTAGCCTTCAAGATAGACTTCGGCTTCAATGTGCTCCTGAATGGATCTTCCTTAGCGGTGTCTTGCTCCGTGGTTCGAATTGGTCCGGACACAGAATCCGCCATGTTCTGGTCGCGTGCCAATTCCAATTCGCTTTCTTCAGAGTAGTCAGCATCCTGCTGCCCATCAAGCGAACCCACGGAGCGCCGCCCTAAAAAAGACTCGCCTCGGTTGTCTTCCATCTCTTCCTCATCCATATAAGCCGAATCATCGCCGAAGCCACCAGGCACACTCGCACGACCACTACGCATTCCCTTCTTGAAGTCGAACGTGTCGTCAGGGCTAGACTGTGACTGAGTAGGGCTGACGAAGGAGTCATCTTGGGGTGTGCTCGTCATCTGGCTCGAGCGATGTTGCTGCTCAGCTGGGGTATCGGGGACGTCGCTGAGATCGCTTGACGCATCATCGTCTTCCTCATCGCTGTAGTCGTCGTAGTCAAGACCGTAGGACGAAAAGTGGGGGACAGAGAAGGTCCATTCACCAGTAGCCTGGTTGTACCCGATGAAAGTAGTTCCGGCCACACGCTTGAGACGCTCGAGATGCTTGACATCCTTCTTGCCGGCCCTGTTGCGAGGCCAGGAGTTACCAAGGACGATCTCGGAAGGCTGGTTCAGAGCAGTGCCTAGCGGTGGCTTTGGCAGGCAGGTGCAGCTCTCTCCATAGACCGTAGCGTTGCGTGCATTGAGCTGTACAATGTCACCGAACAGCTTGTCGAGATCAACTTCAGATAGGTCGACAGGCTTGCCGTGATGGAACTTGATCTGACCAATGTTGTGACGACCGACAATGAAGTCAGGCACGCTCCTAAGCTCCTGCTTGCTCATCTTCTTCAGTCGATCCAGCGAGGGGCTCGACCAGTACTCTCCTGGCTTGGGGTCTTGTCCAGGTTGTATGTTGAGTGATGCGGAAGACGTGGAAGAAAGCACGTGGTCCTCAGAAACACGAGCAAGCTCATTTCCATTGACTTGCTGCATGGCCGGGCGAGGAGCTTCGCTGCCGGCGTTGTTGTTATTGCTAGCCCGCGGTGAGGCGTCTTCCTCATCCTGCCTAACGACCAGTGCAGTCTCTCCGTTGGTCTCTCCGTTGGGACTGTCGCCACCAGCAAAGCTGACACGCTTCTGCGAAGGTTCATCAAACAATGGAGCCCTGCTGCTGATATGGCGGTTGATGTTAAGTCGCTTCAGACTGCCGTTGCCGAAGTTGCGTCCGGTGTTCGAGAAAGCACCTGGTGCAAGTATGCTACTGGTTTCGGGTGTGAAGCTGTTCCGAAGATTGCTCGTAGACAGGCTCTTGCCCAAAGATCGTGAGAGGCTGCCGCTTGCAAAGAGGCTACCGCCGAGGGCTTGGCCGCCGTTCTGGCTTGCTCCACCGGCTGGAGTGCCGTAAGTGGAGTATGTGAATCCATAACCGCCCCTTTTGGTTTGCGGAGTGAGAAGACGGGTCGATGCGGCAGGGTTAAGCTTGTGCTGAGGCAGTATGGCGTTCTTCTTGTTCTTCTGGCTGCTGGACAAGGGAGTGGCTAGTGGGCCAGGGCTCTGAGTAGGGGTAGCGAGTCCAGCGAAGAGGGCGTCGTTGCCATAGGGGTTGGTGTTCATGGATGTGTTTAACAAAGAGCTTCCCGAAGCACCGAATAAGCTGTTGTTAAGGTTCGGCTGCTCCTGTTGTTGTTGCTGCGAGAAGAGAGAACCGCCCATGCCTGATTGGTTGTTGTTCGACTGTCCAAGTCCGCCACCGAAGAGACCACCTCCAGTGTTCGTGTTCGACGTAGAGCCACCAAACAAACCGCCAGGCTTTTGTTGGTTGTTGTTCTGGCCACCACCGAATAGGCCACCACCTCCTGTGTTTTGCTGGTTGTTGTTGTTACCGAGGCCACCGAACAAGCCTCCGCCAGTTGATCCAGTGTTCGTGTTGTTAGCAGTAGAACCGCCAAACAAACCGCCAGTAGCAGGCTTTTGACCGAACAAGCCACCTCCAGTGTTGTTGGTGTTGTTGGCAGTAGAACCGCCAAACAACCCGCCAGTAGACGGCTGGCTCTGGTTTGCTTGACCACCAAAGAGGCCGCCACCTGTGGCACCAGTGCTTGCGCCGCCAAAGAGTCCACCCGGCTTCTGTTGGTTGTTGTTGTTCTGGCCGAATCCACCACCACTACCACCGCCAAACAGGCCTCCAGAGTTTGTGTTTTGAGCCGGAGCTTGGTTGTTCTGCCCGAAACCTCCAGCTGTACTACCACCAAAGAGACCGCCGCCGGTGTTCGTGGATGTGTTGTTGGCACCAAACGCTGGAGTGGACGAGGTTTGGTTGTTGGATTGACCGAAGAGACCACCGCCGCCAGTGTTCGATTGGCCGAATGCGCCACCGGTGTTTGTTGCACCACCTCCAAAGGGTGTTGAGGTAGTGTTAGTCGCGGCACCGCCCCCGAAAAGACCACCACCCGTGGCAGGCTTGTTCTGCCCGAACAGTCCACCGCCGCCAGTTGTAGATGAGCCGAAACCTCCACCTCCAGAGCCAAATCCTCCGGCAGTGTTGTTCGTTGTTGAGGCACCTCCAAAGAGACCTCCAGTTGTACCAGTCGTGGTGTTGTTATTTGAGCCGAATAGTCCGCCGGTTGCAGGCTTATTCTGACCGAATAGTCCGCCTCCCGTAGTATTGTTGTTCGCTCCGAACGCGGAACCCGTGCTCTGACCAAATCCTGATGTGGTAGCAGTGTTCGTGTTACCGCCACCGAAGAGACTGCCACCGGTGTTGGCAGCTGCACCGAAGCCTGTAGATGCGGTGGTATTGTTGTTGTTGCTACCAAAGCCACCAAAACCAGTGCTCTGTCCGAATGCTCCAGCTTGGCCATTTTGGTTGCCATACCGCCTGCCTTGATTGTAGTCGGCTACGCGCAACTCCTCGAGGGAGTAGTTCGTGTACGGTTGTTGGAAGGTGATGGTCTGGTACTGCGACTGTGCGTTGCCTGTACCATCCTTCTCCTGGAATGGCTGGAACGGAGTGTTGGCAGTACCGTTGTTTGGGGGTGGGTTGCTGCCTCCGCCGAAAGCACCTCCAGTGCTGGCACCGAAGCCGCCCGTCGTGGTGTTCGTGTTGGTAGAACCGAATCCGCTGCTGGTGTTGCCGCCTCCAAACAAACCTCCGCCTCCTGTTGTTGAAGCGCCGAAGCCTGTCGCCGGCTTGTTCTGGCCAAAGAGACCACCTCCAGTGTTTGTATTGCTGGAACCGAAAGCCGAGGTTGTGGTATTGGTGTTCGTCGCTCCAAAGCCACCACCAAACGTGCTGCCACCTGTAGCGCCACCGCCGCCAAAGAGGCCACCGCCCGTCGTCGAAGCGCCGAAGGGTTTCGAACCGAAAGCATTGTTGTTGTTTGTTGCGCTGGCACCGAAGCCACCTGAAGGGTAAAGTTAGTTTTTGATCGGGGCAAACTGAAATTTATGGATCCACGCGAAAATGTACATCGCCGCAAAAGCGCGCCGGAGAGCGTAGTATCGTCGGCAACCCTGATTCGAAGTACAAAGCGACCTGGGTGACGACGTAGTGATCCGAATCGTGACGCGATAGTGAAGCGCAACCGTTCCACATACCTGAGCCCCCAAAAGGCGAGCTCGAGCTGGCGTTGTTGCCGCCCCCGAACATTGTGCTGCCCGTGTTGTTTGCGCCGCCGCCGAATATGCTCGTACCGGTATTCGCGTTTGAGCCGAAGCCTGAGGCGAAGGGCAAGTTAGACACGGTTCGTCGAGGAGGCCGTGGCGATGTCGCAAGGCGCATCGAAGCGGTCGCGTGTAAAGGAATCCAAGAATTCAAGCAAGACTTCGCACTTACCAGTTGATGTGTTGTTGTTAGATGAACCAAATCCACCGAAGCCAGTAGACTGGTTGTTGTTGTTGGAGCCAAAGCCCCCGAAACCACCGCCGAAGGACATTTTGAATTTGTCCGACGGGTTGCGCGTGTGTCGGTTACTAGTTGACTAGCAATGCGCAGTAGAGTCTTGCGGATGTAGCGTGGTTGATAGAATCGAGGTGCAGGAGCTCTGATAGAGGCAGGTGTTGATGAGAGCTTCGCGGAAAACGCGCCAAGGAATGGGCGGCTCGAAACAAGGCGCGGTGGGGTGTTTGCTGCGGGCGAGCAAAAGAGTAAAGAGTGGAATTAGTAGGAAGAGGTCAGACACGGCACTGATTAAGTAGTGAAATGGCCGTCATGGAAGGGAAAGAGCGACGGACGCGAGAGTTTGGAGAGACAAGCAAAGGTGAGGGTGCACTTAGGAGGAAGGCACGTCAAAATTGCGCTAAGCTGTCGCCGGGGCGTCACGTGTACCTTTCCCAAGCCCACTTCCTAGCAAAACACTCTTTGATACGGTTGCGGCCGCTGCATATATGACAAAGCAAGATAGGGACTGACGAATGATACGGCACGTTTCCTGGGCGCGATTTGTGTGCGGAGATGCCTGAGGGATACCTGTCGCTACCTACGGCTGCCTGGTGGATGGGAGACACGTCGCCACCAAAATCGTTCCTGCACAGCCAACTAGACTCACTTTGCAGGGAAAGGACCGGTCTAGCCATAGATAGTTGGCTATGAGTTTGGTGAAAACCAGCTGTATGCGAAACAGAGGATAGGTTGATTTTGTGAGTGGTGAGACTGCTCGCAAGCCACAATCTCTGAGTTGGTGCTTTCATTGTTCCGTCGCTTCACTCCGTCATACCCAGGTAGTCCCATGACATGCCTTTAAGATCATGTGATACTCCGGGGTCTGAAAAGACGTCAAAGTCTCGACTGCTTCTCTTGCCAGCAGCGCCAATAGTTCCGACGCCACTAGAACTGAACTGTCCGTTTTGTTCGTGGGACGTATTCCAAGGTTGCGTGATTCGAGATACTACAATTGCCCTGTGATTGCAGCATACACTATATAGATCATGTTGTCCTCGCTCCGTAGCAGCAGTATAATACAAAGTAATCCAATAGTGTTTGGGTGACTGCATCATAGCCGTATACCTAGCTCTGCTCTCAGCCCTACCCATCTCAATTCCCCACCACAACCAAAATCGCGCTAGAGCTGCAGCTAAGCTTCCACGCCCAAACGCGCTTCGCGTCCCAAACAACAGCGTATCTTTACGACATCCACAAAGAATCTCCAAAAAGCAAAGTCCATATTGTCGCAACCGAACACGCTATTCTCCTATCATCCGTGGATTGGTACAAGCTCCCTTGAGTATATCCCGCGCCCGCCAAACCGCGCCCGCGCATTTGCAACAACACCATATCGCGCACCCCACCAATCCCACGACATCACATCACTCAACTACTACCACCACATCCCACATGGCCACATCCTCCAACCCCCTGGGCCCCGGCCCCCGCTATGGCCTCGGCCGCACCGTACCACCGCAACAACCACAACAGCAAGCTACCTTCAGCAACACGCCAGCTTTCCCACCTAATCCCAAAAACGCCCAACGTGTCGAGGCTGACCGCCTGGAACGCGAGCGCTCCGCCCGTGAAACAGCCCAACGCATGGAAGCGAGCGGCGCCGCTTCCCTCGCCGAGCTCACAGAGGAGCAAAGGGAGGAAATCGGCGAAGCCTTCAACCTCTTTGACTTAGACAAAGACGGCTACATCGACTACCACGAGCTGAAAGTCGCTATGAAAGCACTAGGCTTCGACCTACCGAAACAAGAAATTCTGGGCATTCTGCAACAACACGGGACGTCCCAGCAGCAACAAAATGCTAAGCAAAGTTCGAGACAGCAGCAACAACAGCAGCAGCAATATGCGGCGCCAGGTCGCCAGTTGTTGAGTTTCCAGGCTTTCCAGACGCTCATGGCGCAGCGGATATTGAGTCGGGATCCGAGGGATGAGATTCTGAGGGCGTTTGAACTTTTCGATGAGGGTGGCAAGGGGACGATTACGCTGCAGGATCTCACTCGTGTTGCGAGAGAGTTGGGCGAGGCGCTTTCGCATGATGAGTTGGTGGCTATGATTGAGGAGTTTGATATGGACAATGATAACGCCATTTCGAGGGAGGAGTTTATCCAGATTTGCATGGGGACTTGAGTTGTGGGGGACAAATGACAATGTTTCTAGTATTCTGTTTCGCAAGGCGTTTTCGGCGTAGCTGAATCTTTCACGCAAGAAGATGTCATGTGCGAGTCAATTTCAATCTTGCTTTATTTGCGCCGAGGAACTATATACAGCTCAGCTCTTCAAGTAATGCCACGCCGAAATCAAAGCTCAAACACACAAAATATGCATAGTACAAATCTCCCAGCTCCACCTTTACTGGCCAGGCGAGACAAGAAGACCCTTCTTGGCGGCATCGTGTGCCCATCCACCTGCCAACGCCTCGCCACCGTTCTTCAGGCCATAGTCCTTTATCCTGGCCTCAAGCTCTGGCCTGAAATGCCTGATAAGACCCTGCAGTGGCCACGCGAACGCCTCACCCAGCGCACAGATAGTGTGACCCTCAACCTGCTTGGTTAGCTCCTGCAACATGTCGATCTCACGCTCACGAGCCTGTCCCTTGGAGAAGCGGTCCATGATCTGGTGGGTCCACTTTGATCCCTCACGGCAAGGTGTGCACTGGCCGCAAGACTCGTGGTGGTAGAACTTGGCAAGACGGGTAATAGCGCGGACAATGTCAGTCGACTTGTCCATGACGATGACGGCAGCGGTACCGAAACCGGACTGTGAGTCCTTGAGCGCGTCAAAGTCCATCAACTGGTCATCGCAGATGTGCTTGGGAAGGACAGGAGTCGAAGAGCCACCGGGGATGATGGCCTTCAAGTTGTCCCAACCACCTTTGACACCACCGCAGTGCTTATCGATGAGCTCGCGAAGAGGAATAGACATCTCCTCCTCGACAGTGCAAGGGTGGTTGACATGGCCAGAGATGGCGTAGAGCTTGGTACCCTGGTTGCGCTCACGACCGAAGCCTGCGAACCAGCTACCTCCTCGTCGGCAGATTGTGGGCGCGACGGCGATGGTCTCGACGTTGGCGACAGTAGAAGGGCATCCGAAGAGACCGACAGCAGCAGGGAACGGAGGCTTCAAGCGGGGCTTTCCGGGCTTGCCCTCTAGTGACTCAATGAGCGAGGTCTCCTCACCACAGACGTAGGCGCCCATTCCTCGGTGGATGTAGACATCGAAGTCGTATCCGGAGCCGCAGGCGTTCTTGCCGATGAGGCCGGCCTGGTATGCCTCCTGGATGGCACGCTGAAGTACGGTTGCCTCATGGTAGAACTCTCCTCGAATGTAGATGTAGGCGGCGGTAGCGTTCATGGCACGGCCAGCAACGAGACAGCCCTCGATAAGCTTGTGGGGGTCCTTGCGCATAATCTCGCGGTCCTTGCAGGTTCCAGGCTCTCCCTCATCGGCGTTGACGACCAGGTAGCGGGGCTTGGTGTCCTTGTCCCAGTCCTTGAAGTTCATGAATGACTTTGAAGGTCAGCAGATGCATTGTTTTGTATGACTTGATAGCGAAGCATACCCATTTTAGACCAGAGGGGAAACCAGCACCACCTCGGCCACGGAGACCGGAAGCCTTGATCTCAGAAATGATCTGTATCCGTCAGCCTAGATTCATATGCCTTGTATATCTGCCTCTACACACCCATTCGTGGCCCTTGAGAAGGATTTCCTTCGTCTTGTGCCAATCACCGTACTTCTGCGCGCTCTTCAGATCCGCACCGTGGTGTCCGTACAAGTTCTGGAAGATCCTGTCTTGATCCCTCAAACCACCATATGTCCTCTTTGGTGGCGCATCCTGGACTGTCGCAAGCGTTCTCTTCTGTGTGCGGTTCCGGGGGGCGGCGGTCGAAAGGCGAGTAGCTGCCGAAGCTGCGGGCAGCGCTCGGTGGGCAGCCGCGCTGAGCGTCGATGAGGCGGGTGCGTGTCGTGCGAGCATCGTGATTGCTGTATGTGTTTTGTCTCGCGCAATTGATGCTCGGGGATCCGGCGAGCGTTCGTTGTTGGCGATGCGAGTGGTGGCGGTCGTGAAGTTCGATCTGGATGACCTACGCTTTTCTTGGCGCTTTTGATTGGCCCGAGCAACATCGTTGACATCAATCCGCCAGGAAGGTCCGACTAGACCACTACCGCATCATCAGTCGAACCATTCACGATTTGGCCGCAAACTTGCTATATTTCACTACCTATATGCAAAAAACAGCTGGCATGACAATTATGAGACGTACAAGTGCCCAAGTGCTAATCATTGGATGATGAAGTTGGCTTTTGCATTTAACCACTGCAATCTGCCACCATACGAAAAGGTTCGTTTTTGATAATTTGTACTGCATCACCTAAAAGGTACCCTAAAGGCATCTGCTGTGACTCATGGTATAAATCTTGCAGAATCCTATCAGTGTATACTTCTAGGGTAGACTTAACTTGCCCGACCGATACATGTCGACACCTTTTTCAAGCCTCGTGGCGTTGAGGTCACACTGGGTTGTCAGGTAATCTTCACCTCCACGTGGATACTGGCCTTGATCCCCGCTGGAGGCACGACTTCTCATGGTCTGTTTAGTCGGCGTCTCTCCTCCCACTATCTGTCTTTCCTTCCACTCCACTATCTTCTTCCATTCAATAAGTGCTCTTGTTATCGATCCTCCTTTGGGTCTATTCAGTCGGCACTCACGTATGTTCATTCCTTCTACTTCACACTCCTTCGACTAGCTATTCGAGCTTCTCTCCTTGTCCTTCTTTTACTGCCGGGTACGATATGGTAGTCGAGGAGCGCAAAAGCTCCACACACCAACAAAAAGCGCCCTTTCTTTCGTCGAGTCAGCATCCAAACGCCAACATGGTGATCAAAACCGGGGATCTGGTGGCTACTGTCCCTGGGAGTTCACCTACCATGATTTCAGACGGGAAGAGAATGCGAGTACCTTGGGTGTATGATACGGTGATGGAGATCCAACAAAGAGTTTGATCGATCGCTCCAAGACAACTATGCGAGGGCATCCAACATGGAAGTTGTACGCTGGGGATGTTCCGAGCCCTATTTGCTGAGGCAAAAGGAAACCACCAAAATACGTGTACCTTGACGATCGAGCATGTTATGCGATCTACAGCTCACGAGCCTACAGTGAGAACCATCTGAAGGTGGATTGGCCATACGACTTCGATAACCTCGGTAGCACCAAGGTCAATAGACTAGCAGGGGCCGGCCGGCTTATCTCGAAACTGCCTGTACAGAATTCACCAAAGGCCCATTACGTGGTAGAAAAGCAGAAGGGTACGACTTTTGTGGTGCGCCAGTGTCTTCAGGCAAACATGTTCCTCAGTGGCGTATGAAGAAAGAAGCAGAACGGGCACATGCAAAGAAGGTCCAGGATAGCACTCAAATCTCGCTAAGTGGCACCATTCCAGTCACGTCTTCCCCGTCTACTGAAGAACGCGTTGCCACACCAAGAGGTTACCCACTCAGCGACACCGACCGCATCTATCCCACACGACCTGTATAGAAACAAGAGCAGCCCATCGGCAACACTTGCATCAAATACGGGCGTTTCACTCCCCCCAGACACTATGAGTCCGGCCCTATCGATGGCAGCCTAAAGCCATTAGGCATAAGAGAAAGGCTATCCAAGGCTCACCATACTTAGACATTCCGGTAGCACTGTTCGGAGGCGATCGAGGCGCATGCCTGGTGACATGACTGCAGCATACGCAGGCCTCAACTCTAAGAGAAATGCCGACAAGGCGGGTACTGAGATCAGTACAAAGCAGAAGAGAGTTAAGGTCGAACAGCGGGAGGGAGATCTAGGTGAGCCAATGGCAGAAAAGGTGAATGGTCCTGAATGAGATGAGTGACCGAAAGAGTATTCAAAAGTCTATATTTGTTGGCGTTCGGAGGACGTTAACAGGATGACTGGGCGTTCGTGGATTTTTGGCTTGGAAGCAATACTTAGTCTGGAGAGATGCACAAGGCTGTTACTTGCAAATCTGATTGAGACGCTAATGCGAAGACATCTCGGCTCTATTCCAGCTTCCACCCTTTCGAGGTCCGCGGCGCTTGATGAACCGCTATATACGATGTTGTAGGAATAATAGGCGTTACTCAAGTCTTTGCCTATACGACCGGAGTCTCGCTGCAGCCCTCGCAATGTACATTCTATCCTCCTAAATGATTGTTATCAGGGCTGGAGATAGAAGTTTCCCGCTTCGGAGCTTACAGATGTCAAGACGCCGCTTCTAGTCAACGTCACTTACCATAGTAATTGAGCGATCCGGCTCCTAAACCCCTAATTTCCTTTAATCCTAGCAATTTGCGTCATCCACCGGGCAGTCAGCCGACCCCAACTGTACATTGTGCCGAAGAAAGGGGGCTTTCCGTCATTGATGGCTGATTCGCCGGCTGGGTGAAGATGTAAGGATGCGGCGTAGTTGCCTCTAGAGCTGGATACGGTTAGCTTGACGGTGATTGTATCAGCCACATGTACTTTCATGGAGCAAATCAGCTTCAAACTCTCACCGGTGACTGTGATCATCACCCTCTCACGTTGGTGATGCTTGTTGCCGCGTGACTCAAGTATAACCGTGCTTCCGCTTTGGACACACCTACAGTCTTGGTTCAACATGCCATGATATCGCGCGCTCGGGCGGTACTGCGTGCATACGCTAATTGCCCGTACTGCCGTTGCTTTTTCTTTTTCCTTGGAAGGTATCAGCCTTGCTCAGATTGCTGCCTGCTCTATCGTGCTTTCCCAGCTCCGTTTTGAGATGGATCGTACGATGTAGCCTATTTCTCGCTGTTATCAGAGAGATATTCATGGTCCTTCGAATTCTTGGCACGTCTTCGCAGGATCCGTCCGTACCTGTGATACACAGTTGATGAGATCCTACCGAAAGCATGGGCATGCCGCAGCGGCCTCGACATGCCTGCGCGGCGTAACTAACACGCAGATGTAGCAACGGGGCCTGAGCGGGTTCCCTGTCTGTCGACCGGGGATATGAAATGTTGGAAGGAACATAGCATGGTACCCACGTGGCTGAAGGATATGATGTCCTTAGATCAGATTTGGGTCTGTTGCATAGCGCACAGTCCTTTCCTTGCAGCTCAACAACACTCTAATCAGTATCGCCACACAGTAAGCGATTTTGGAGGACCTCTTGATTATTGAATGTTTGAAGCATCCCTGTGCTAGAGAAAGTTCTCCGAGATTACATCTCGTAGCTAAGAACCCACTTTCTGTACCTATAAGACTCACGGCTCGAGGCGAAGGACCCGAAGCAGGGATCTGTGATCCGAGCTTCCTCGAAAAGTAGCTATTTCGGCAGCGCGGACGTTGATTGATACCTGGAGATGACCGGTGAGTTGGATCGTGCGATGAGAGGGCGGAATCCCTATGCACACTCCAGGCAACTCGCCGCGGTGCCTTTACCGGGCATTTAGCTGCCGAAACCCACGGGCCGTTCTTGGTATGTAAGGCGCAGCGGTTTGAGGTCATTGCCATCTTGTTACAAGTCACAGAAGACACTCCTCTTTCCGTAGATCAGCCTTACAGCACGACACTGGAATTTATTTGAGTACGCGTCTTACCAGATCGTATATCACCTTCCTCATTTTTCTGGATTCAATACAACTTAGTCTTGCGGAAAGCACCAACAACGTACGATAGATCTTCCTCTATCTTGGAGGTACATACAGTTCTACGTACAACTGAGAAAATCACTATATGACTAATGTATGAAGCTAGCAACAAGGCCGTATTGCCACAACTGTTTCCATGCCCCCAGATTCTGCTTCTCTGATCGAGGAATGCACCAATGGAACGACTAAGGCTGGATTATACTTATCTCGCCTGGGACTGGAACAAGAGTTCAAGAACCCCAACAGACCAGGCAGGCCCAACTTTAAATCAGTTCCCGAACTTCAAGGCTTTTGGGTTGCGACAAACCTGGAAATCAAAGCGATTGCAGCGCTTTATCAGTCAAGGAAAGCCATACGCGAGGCGCTCAGAAACCGGCTCATATGCCTAGACGAAATCTCAAGAGACTGTCTCAACAGTTACGGTCAGCAGATCTGGAACAACGGAGAAGAAGCAGACTTTGTTCTTTCTGTTGATACCACTACCGCACCTTCGAAGATCAAGGGTCATGCCCAGGTCGCAGAGGACAAATATCTAAGGCACCTGATCTACGAACACCCCAGTGATGAACGCAAGTAGGTCAGCCTGAACGAGCGACTTTTAAATCGGCGAGAACTAACGTCTTTCAATATAGAATACGGCTGCAAGTCTCTGCATGGATCATCCAGCGCGCCTGTCGAAAGGCCGAGGACGATCGTCGTGAAGGAAAGACCGCCCAGAAAGCATACGGGAAGGTATCAAACAAGTCTTCGAGCTTTGTGCAGGCAGCCAGTGTGAATCGCTCCAAGCGTACCCGCAGCACATCATTGTCGTATGATAGCTTTGATGAGCTGAACGACAATTACTCTGCCGATCCTGCAGTGAGATCCAAGCATACAGGACACTCTAATACTGTTGATCAGTCCCAACGACGATCATCGAGAAAAGATCATGATATACAGCACACACCGGCAAAAAGACGCAAAAAACAGATTGTGGCGGTTGTAATACCCCCAAGGAGGTCTCAGGATATTGAGGCCACAGGAACGGCTAGCAGGAAGCGTAAGCGGGGCGAATTACTATACAACAGAAATACGGCCATTCGCTCTATACGAGGCAAAAAAGAAGACATCCCTAGGGAAACACCACAAACACCAAATTCACGCCGTACGACGCGGGGTCACACAAGAACGAAAGCAGGCGGTGAGCGACCCAGTAAATTTGGTGCTGAAGGCAACCGAGAACGACTGGTTCGCCAGCTAGATGATGACCGAGATGCCCTCGGAGAAGAGCTTCATGATCTTCTATTGCCGCACAACCCTGGATGCCACTACCTTGCTGATATCAAGCGAACAACTGGACTCATCGACTCCATAGCGCTCAACGATGCCGAGGGCATCCAGAAAGCACTGGGGAACGCCCACGAGAAGCACAAGATTGCTCTAGACAGATGGTTGGGGTGTGTCAAAACACTTGTCGAATTTCGCGAGATTACCAGTCTCGAGGGCGATGAGGTTGTTATTGAGGCCAGATTTCCGAGCCTAACGTTAGGCATCAAGAAGAAGGCACGGTTTCTTCGGAATAAAAAGCGTCGAGAGATTTTGAGCTGGTTCAAGAAGGATAAGTTCAAAATCTTCGATTTCTCCCAAGAGGTGGCCTCCATACTCTTGAAGATGACTAGCTGGGGTGGCTTGGATATGGATCCTGAAGAACTTCTCGACGATATGATACCTTTCACAACGCGGCTGTTGGAATGGTTCAGGGCCGTGCCGTCCAACTCTACTACAGGCGTTATAAAACCCTAATAGGTTTTACCCATGTCTTGTTTTTGTTTGTAAGTGTTGCACATCTATAGGAGTTAATATTAGAGGGGGCATAGAGGAACTGTTATACATGTATTGATAGAATGTGCGAGGCTTTGGTTAGAATAGATGTAATTTACCTGCATTGCCTTTAGGGGGGCGTTGATGACAATGAGAAGCTTATGTATGCGGTGACTAACAACGATAGTCGGTTGTGGATTATAATTCGTTGGAACCTAGCTTGTATTGCGGGCATGTTTGGGTGGCCTTGTGTAGTTCGATTGGCTGTGACTCACAGAGTGGTGAGGCAGATCGCTCGTTCGGGTGGTGCGACGCCCTTTTTCTGACTCTATCTGCACATCGCCAACATCGAAGTAGAGCATGTTCTTCGGGTGCGTTTTTTGAGTGCCAATTGTAAGTACCTATTGAACTTGCTTCTGAGGTTGTTCCATTTCGCGATATCCTAACTGGCTCGCTGTTCGTCAGTGCCACAATACGATCGTTGCAGGACCCGCAACATGATCACTGTTAAAAACGTAACCTTGGAATGATGAGGACATTCTGTGACTCAAAGAAACCGGTGTTCTTCCAAAGGTCCTATAAAGAGACTCACCCCGACAGATTAGCATGATAAACAGAACATCTAAGCCATACAATCCCATCAACATCAGCAAGACAGCTCCACTTTCCTAGAGACTAGCAACACATTACTCGGAAGGTCATCACAAATTATTGCGCTCATTGTGTCCTTCTCTCAAACGCGAACATCAACCCGAACAGCGCAGTATCACCTCGATGTCTACCACCAGCAAGTCCGAGCAAGCCGTCGCTTACGCCGCCTTGATCCTTGCCGACGAAAGCATCGTCATCACACCTGAGAAGCTTCAGACACTACTCAAGGCTTCAGGAATCGAGGATGTCGAACCCATTTGGACTACGCTTTTCGCGAACGCACTGAAGGACAAGAACGTCAAGGAATTTCTAACCGCGGTCACGGCTACGCCAGGCGGTCGCAACACCGTTACCGACATCAAGCCAGATGGAGAGACACCTGGGAAAGATGGAGACAACGAGAAAAACGAAGATGAAGGTATCGATATCGACGCGGACTCTGATGATGGCTCTGCCTTTGGAGATCTATTTGGTTAGGGAGCTGAGGACGGTAACTGAGGACATAAAGAGAATTGGGGACGATGTATACAATTATTCAACATGGGTTGGGAGAGCTTCGAGAGTTCTGAGATACCACGTTAGTTGCGAAACAAACAAAGGAATATTTCTTTCGACGAGTTTTTCACCTCTCCGATGTGCTAGTGATGGGCTGCGCCACGCGTGACGTACAATGGCTGTTGAATACTCATCACCAGCTTGACATGCGGACGCGCTGACACGCTAACACGCTAACGGCCTAATACCGCAAAGGCTTGGAAAAAGTCATGCGTTACTTGGCTGTTGCGCCTAGAATTCAAAGGAGACTTGGCAAGGTCTGAAGTTTGGGAGTGGAGATAGAGCTTCCGTCTTCAATCCGACAGCGCGGTCAGCGGTCGATCACCGAAGCAGCTGATTCATGCTGCCAAGACTAGGACATCGGGAACGGGATACCACGGTTCGAACTTGACGAAGGTGTGGTTACAATAGAGGAAGCTATTTGGCGAAAGTACTTGGGATAGCCGAGTAGGCGTTCCGTTGTCCGTAGACGGTACGACCACATTGTAGATTTGATGCATGCTTACTCAGCCTATCGTAGACGTTACACTGCGCTTGAACATCCGGGATATCCCAGGTAAATGGCATGCATCCGATCATCGTTTTCCGCGTATTTTTCTCGGTAGCACGCCGTCTGACCTGAAAGCCACACCTAAGAATCCTCTCACCCCGCAGAGGCTTGTTAACGGTTGACTCGGACCCGGGCGACTGGGTTGAAAAGTCCAAGACTGTCGGGCCGCTGCGATAAACGTAACGAGATGTGTGGTGGCGCCATACTGTGAGGGCCTCAATGGCTTCGGATATAATAAGCAAGAGAGTGCTTGGCTACGAAAGTACGTGGGCTCGTGTATAAGGAATGCACATGATCGAAGAGCATGCTGTGAACCGTCTCATAGTTCTTCCAGTCTGTGGCAATAAAGGCCGATAGGTGATTATCACATAGCCCGAATCTTAACTGAAGCGTACTGGTTCTTTTCTTGACCGATCGACCTTGAGGTCAAACACATCTAGTCGCTGATATCCACCTACAACATCATGATATTGTTTGCCCTCAATGCAATCGTCCAGGTTCATATCAGCGTACAATATACCTTCTTGACCCTGCAATGCCTGTACATACTCTTTCTCCGCACCCCGGTAAGTAAAGCTACGCAACGGTGCGCCAGTGGGATCCAAGAAGAAGGTCGCCGCTCGAGGCATAGCGCGTAGAGTATCGGCCACAACCTCTGGCTGGCTTGCACCATCGATGATTGTTTCGATAGCGTCTTCACCGAGATGGCCAGAGCATGCTACACCGAAACACTTCGCTTCAAAGCAATGTGCTGCGGCGCGGGTCCTGTTTGCGGCTAGATTGTCGTAATTCATCCCACGCGCAACGCCCGCACTAGACTGCTCACTGCTATCGTCGGTGGTTTGCGCGGTGTGATGTGAAGTTCTTGTCGGCCAAATTGCGGGCCAGGTTGAAATGTGTACCTAAATTCCGTCAGGCTCGAGCGCGATGGCCAGAAGAAGAAACATGTACCTGCTCAGCCTGCGCGATCAACGAGTACCTTGCAAGCGCATTAGTGTTCTCGCCACAAATCAATGTGCCAATGCGTCCGGATTGTGTGTTAGCCACACGTAGCCCATGGCCGTCACCGCTACTCCACGTAAGCTTCTCGAAGAAAGTCGGAACCAATTTGCGATGGTGAACTAAGACATCGCCTTCAGTTCCAATGAAGATGTTCGAGTTGTATAGGCAGCCGTTACTGTGTCTGGATCTTTCGCTGAAGCCAATGCTGACTAGGACGTTATGCGATCGCGCCGCTTCACGCATCGCCTCCATTTCAACACCATCAGCATAGATAGATTCCTGAACCATGCGCTGGAATAGCGAATGGTTCTCAGTAGGCGGTCGCAGAGAACTCCATATCGGGAAAGCAGAGATGTAGGTCTCCGGAAAGACCACAAGCCTGGCCTTATTGGTTGCAGCTTGCTTAATAAGTGAAATAGCTTTGTCGGTCGTTCGGCGTGCATTGAGAAAGACTGGGGCTGCGTGACATGCTGCCACACGTAAGAAATTCGCCATAATGAACGGTTGATTGTGATTATGAGTGAAGAAAAAGGATAGTGTTGTTGATCGTAGACGCCTGACCCCGCGTCTGCAGCAATTTCCCCGCACCTTTAAGAACCTTACACCCTGCCCACATTGCCCTGGTAAAACTTATAAGCTTTGCACTAGTGGATACGAGAATCTGTTCGACTAACAAAACTCTTATAGACATCGAGTACTTTCTAGATTATAGATGCGGAGGTCACTGAACCTTGAAGCATACTTGAAGGCTGGCGCTATCTAGGTACCATTAAGTCGCTAGGAATGTGTTACTGCACGGGAGGGATTTAGACATGACCATGACAACCACGTCCTATTAACACTTCCAATGAGCATCCTGGTAGCCTAGATTCGTGCCAAGCTGTGAAAAACTAAGGTACTCCAGTCATCTGGTATGAGCGGCCAGGTTCCGTTTTGTTGACAGTCGCGTCGTCAGTCGACTCTTCACGATAGCTTTTCTAACACAATGTTTCCCAAATTCGGACTTATCAGAGAGGCGAACTCCAGAAGCTACATATGTGGCTGGCGTCTCGCTCAAGATGTATCGAACACAGTCTTTCGCAGAGAGTGAGCGACGGGAGGCGGAGTTCCAGTATCGACATATTCGAAGTTATGGATGTGCTTTTTCCCCTCGCGGATGCTGCCGGCACCCGTCTTTCCGATGAGTAGTATGAGCTAGCTTCGACACACTCAATGGCGGCTTGGTGGGGTTGTCTTCGGTGTTGATAGAATCAAGTGTCCGACGCGAACCTTGGAAAGGTGTCTTGACCGTTGTGCGCTAGGTATGGCACTAGCGTGTTCGCATCGCCCACCTGTCAACTGGTTTCAAACTGCTTGGACCACTGTTCACTCCTTCATCATTCCTTGTCATCACACCTACCCCACTCGTGCATGTAACCGCACGAAAATTTGGTTCAACAAGCAATCTAGAGCAATGTACGACTGTGACGATACGCAAAGACTTGCATTATAGCGCACCGAAGTTCAGATATGCCCCCGGAGCTGCGATCCAATGCGGTAGCACCGTTCCTCCAAATTTCAGTACAGATAAAGAGCTAAAATCCGAAGACAACGAGTATCCTTTAGGAAGTCCGATATGCGCATGGGCCGATCTAGCTCATCGTTGTGTAATCACTTGAATGATGGCCAAAACAAATTCGCCTTCTTTGAACAATGCCCAGCAATAGTAAAGTCGGCAACCATGTCACCACGCGTACCAGAGAATCTAGTGGAGGCGCAGCGGAATCATGTTTCGTTGGCTTTGTCATCTAGTCCAGAGGGCGGAAGACGTTTCGCCTATGCCGGTGGGAGAAGTGATGTTCCAGGTCCGGCAATGTGCCGAGCAACCTGGGAATCCCACGGCTGTGAGCGAAAGCCACCTTCCACGTTTCGGTCTTGTTCCGGTACCTCAATTTCAGGAACTGTGCAGCGATTACCATCGCCCTGACCAATCAAGCTACTACGACGGCACCGATGGATTCGAAATTCCGCTGTGGGTCACCCGCGTGCCTGGACTGACAATCCTGACATGAACCACATCGGCCCGATGCAGCTTCTGTGCCCAGTGCGTTCAATTCATGCTAAACAACAACCTGGTCGCAACGGCCTCTGGAGCTCTTGGCGACACAGCAGGAGATAACCGTGCTCCACTCTAGACGTCTTGACAGGCTTGTTTATCAGATGAAGGGCGTTGACGGCCCTTCTCCGATGACGCAAATGGTTTCGAAACCTAGATTGGCAAGTAACGCCATGTGTATTCTAGTTTGGCACACATGGTGTCCAGGCAAGGGTTGGATGACATGCAGGATTTTATCCCCAGACTGATTACATGCAAACTAAACGCGGTCCTGCACAGGTGCGGTTCCAATATATGTCAGGCTTGACTGACGAAGTATAAGAGTCCTGAGAGCTCCCACCCGATTACCATTCACTCACAGTCGATCTTTCCTCCTCACACCATACTAGTAGCCTCTCAAAATGCGTTACTCACTCATCGCTTTCGCTACCTGCGCTCTGGCAGCGCGGCCTTTTTTGAATGAACCCGACACTGGCATCGATGAACAGTTGGCTGGATTCGTCGCCAATGATACTCTGCCACCTCTCAGCTCCCTGGTTGGTCTGCCAGACTTCCAGTGGGTTGGTCGCCAATACATGAACACCTCGTCCTACACCTACTACCGCAACGGAGCGGCTGGCGAATGGTCGTACCGCAACAACTTGGAAGTCTTCTCCCGCTACCGACTGAGACCACGCGTCCTGCGCGATATCACAAACATCGAGGCTTCCATGCCCACGACCATCCTTGGCCACAACTTCTCAGCACCCTTCTTCATCTCACCATGCGCGCGGGGCGGTTATGCCAACGAGGACGGCGAGCTTGGTCTTGTCAAAGGTGCTGGCGAAGGTGACATCCTCTATATGCCCGCGCTCTACGCGTCCAAAAGCTTAGAGGACATTTACGCTGCTCGTCCCAACGGTTCAGAGCAAGTTTTGTTCCAACAAGTCTACCTCGATGGTGACATGAACGCCACGCAGGTACTTTTCAAGAGGATCGAGAGTCTCGGCGCGAAGGCTATCGTCCTGACCGTCGACTCGCCTGGCGATGGTGTCAGGCACCGTGCTGCGCGCTACGGTGTCGGTTCCGCAGATGTCAACCTGAGCCTTCTGACTTGGGATCTGTACCAACAGCTATCCAACATGACCTCTCTGCCTGTCATCCCCAAGGGCATCCAGACCGTCGAAGACGCTCGCGAAGCCGTCAAGCAGGGCGCCAAGGCCATCTTTATCTCAAACCACGGCGGTCGTCAGACCGACACCTCGCCATCGTCTCTCGAAGTCGCTTTGGAGATTTATAACGAAGACCCAGAGATCTTCCAGCAGATCGAGGTTTACGCCGACGGTGGTATTCGTTACGGAACTGATGTCCTGAAGCTCCTCTCTCTGGGTGTTAAGGCTGTCGGTCTGGGAAGGCCCTTCATGTATGCCAACATCTACGGTGCTGAGGGTGTCGCAAGGGCAACGGAGATGCTGAAGTACGAGCTAATCAACGACGCGGCCAATATTGGTGTAACAGACTTGAAGAAGATTGGACCGGAGTTTGTTAACTGGAAGACTCCTGCTGTCAGCTTCAGCGTTTAAACGGTGATGGGAGCCGTCTCTTGCTGCGCAAGACCCCATATACCCCATTTTCTTCGATTGCATGTACATACTTTTCAGGAACAATTTACCACAACTTCTCATCAACCTCAAGTTTGCCATTGTGATCTGCCAATTCCAATGTTGTGTTTATGAGAGCTTCCGTAACCCAGTACGATCGCCAAAATCTAGCCATGTTGAGCGTACTCACTGGTTCTAGTCAATGTCGCCACTCAGTGGCACTCACAAAATCATCCCCAAAAGTCCTACCACGATCGATTCTGTGACCGTTCCCTCGTCACAGTACACATCCTCGTCGTGGTCCTCGTCTTAGTACTCTATGCACTGCCACCAAGCCAGTACTGCAAGACCCAGCGCACAGCATATCGGTGCCTCACCTAGCGGAAGCATTCCATGGGTTGATCGCCATAAGAACTTCAGCCATAAAGAGGAGTGCAAATCATACAAGTGGCACAAGTCGAAGGCGAAAGAGCAACACACTGCGTAGTGAACTTTGGTGTTGCGATATTCGTCAGTGGCAAGATTAACAATCAGGCCCAGTGTATAGTTGCTTGCGGTCCAAAGGCAGTGTTCTTGACGCGTCCGAAAGACTCCTGGTTACAAAACACGCTAGCCACTAGTGTGTCGCGCTCCTTCCCGAGGTCCCGTCTCACAATTCCTGGCTTCTCTGCAACCTACAACGGCCGTTCACCTGCATCACGTTCATCGAGTAAAGAGTATGGGGCTTTATACAACAATTTCCCACAATCCACATCACAACCAGAATGTATTCAAAGTTGCTGGCCTAGCTATGACTGGGAATCACCCACTGCTCATCCGATACCTTATCGCAACCTTATCGGCCACGTGTAGGGCGCATTTCCAACGGTGACCATGACAATGCGTTGCCTCGTCAGCCCTTTTATTGGTGATGCCGCGCTGGATTGAGCTACGTTTAGGTAATGAAGTCGATGACGCTAGACATTGAAAGGCAGGTGTACGCCGGACGCGACGACGTCCTGCACTAACAATTTTCTTCGTGCATCACAAACGCCTCCAAGAACAGAAGTCCTACCTCAACACCGTTCACTTGTCAATCTCAGTCTGAGCAAAGTTACTGGAACATCCTATCTTGAACCCCTCACACCCACAATCCGTTCTATTTGCGCAATTTCAATTGACAAACCAAGCCATGGTACACGCGACCGAGGACGTGAGTCTGAAGCCGCAAGAGACGATTGGACCTTTGACACAGGGCGTTGCTATCAATGACCAAGCGAACAACTCTTTCGACTCCCATGGCGACGACGTAGTCATCAGCTACCGTGGTGGTATCATCGAGAACAGACATGACGTACACGCCGCTATTGTTGACGCATCTGGTACACTTATCTACACAGTTGGCAACTATCAAAGAATGACACTGGCACGATCTTCAACGAAACCGATCCAGACGCTCGCAATCTTGGAGACTGGGGCTGCAGAGCGTTTCGACTACGATGATGCCGATGTAGCACTCATGTGCGCTTCACATAGTAGCGAACCGCGACACGTCGAACGAGCGCGAGCGATGCTGGAGAAGACGGGAGAAAAGGAAGGGATTCTTACATGTGGGGGACACCCGGCTCAGAATCCAGCGGTCAATCGCGCATGGATCAAGGAAAACTATATACCGACTGCTCTCTGCAACAACTGCTCTGGAAAACATGCTGGCATGGTAGCAGGCGCTCTGTCTCTGGGCGCTTCGGCTCACGATTATTACTTGCCTGGGCATGCAATGCAGAAACGCGTGTATCGAGCCGTAGAAGATCTGAGCGGGCTTGGGGAGAAAGGCGTGCATTGGACTGTCGACGGATGCAATCTTCCAACGCCGGCGATGCCTCTCCCAAACTTCGCGCTCATGTTCGCAAGACTTGCGAATGCCGCTGATCTATCCGATGACTCCACAATGGAAGCAGTCGATCAACGAACGCAACATTTAGCTCGCATCCACAAGTCGATGTCTAGGTACCATGGGCTGGTCGCTGGTGAAGGTCGATTCGATACGGCACTCATGGCAGCTTACGATGGACAGATAGTCGGCAAGATTGGGGCGGACGCTTGCTATGGCGTCGCTGTTCGCGCACCAACCGACGCTAGCATGACCGGGGCATGTCAGGGTGCTATTGGGATCGCTGTCAAGGTTGAGGATGGGAATCTCGATGTCTTGTATGCTGCCGTCATGGAGATCCTAGAGCGATTGAAGATCGGTACGAGTGAAGTGAGGCAGTCGTTGGATGGTTGGCGATATCCGAAGATCGTCAACACTGCCGGTGCTGTCACGGGTGGTTACAAGCATTGCTTCAAGCTACGAAGCGTGGTTTAGCAGCGGGTAGTCTGCAGTCTCAGCAAGCGGACGCTCATCACAAATACAATGTGAACTGCTTCGATCTTCTTCCCGCATCGCAGAATGCCCAGAAGATATTCGCTCTTGAGCGTCTTGCGATAAGTAGAGTGCTTCTACTCATGTATACAGCTAACCGCACTGGTCATTGCTATGTTTAGTCTTAGGCACGGCATGTGTGCGAAATTCTTGGAATACCGAAACACGTCTGCAAAGCCAATCAATTGGTGGCTGACCTTTGGACAACACGTCCTTTGGTACCATACATTGAGGCCCAGAATCGATTTCGGTAGCCGTTATATCCAGGTCGTAGCCTATCCAGCGTTGAGAGTGTTCAAGACCACTTGTCATATCAACCATGGCTCGCTAAACATGATTCTGCTAGTACGGAGTGTATCACTTGGTTACTTACGGGTGTCAGTTTGGATCGATACCTTCTCAGCCACCAAACATGATGGCTACAACTAGTGAACGTAACCCTCAAATTTTGTCTTGGTGCTGATAGTGAGGCATCGTTGCTTTATATCTCTATAGATCTCCTTCCAGTCGCATCCTTCGTAAGGAGACCTAATCATGGCTGCACTTTGATTGGTCGATGAAGGGGATATGCATTGCCCGATGACATGCCTCGCCATATACTTCTGGCATTGGGAAAGAAGAGATATGCACGCGTTTCTAGATATCAATAATGCTGCCTTTCAGCAAGCTTCGCGAGAACGTCTTCCTAGCTTGGAAGATATAGCCGTTGCACCAGGTTCCTCCATGCACCTTCTACCACGACCTCCTCATCCCCGAATATCCGTCTTTTTATCTTCTAATACTCATCTGTTATAGTGAAGAAGTTTCTCGTTTTATATCGCATTCTCGTATGTGTATCGTGAACATGGCAGAGGTTGAGAGAAGCTCGTGACGCTACAACTCATCGCAGCACCAAAGTATTCAAGTGCAGGGCGCACGCTGCAATATGAAACACAAGTGGACTTTATGCCCTCATCGCACAACTCAAGAACGGTATTCGCATCCCGTATCGTATCAAGCCCAGCGCCTTCTTGTGCCTTTATGCCGACTGTCGCGTCATCGACTGCCTGGGTAGTATGAGCCTCCACAGGTAGCAATGAGGATTGATTGAGATGATGGTTGCCCATCGCAGCTTGTGTGCCGCATGTCGTGTCGATACGTTCGGGTATCTCGAGGTTGCTGGGTAGACGGGTCCGTGAGGCTTGTACATCGTGTTGCGGTCGCTGGTGCTACGTGCAATCCAAATCGCAGGGTCGCGGGCCAAAGCTTACGCGTATTCCGTATAGCGAGCGTATTGAAGCGTTTCACTGCCAAGGAACTTCACATTACGAGGGTCATATATAAAACATATGCTGCAAGACCCAGAATGTGTTCCATTCACCTAAGCCACTACTATGGCCAAGATTACTGCGTACAGCATTTCGTTACTGCATATGTTTGCCGGTACTGCAGCCCTAGGCGCTATCTTACCCCTGTCAGCCGACAACAACCAGCAGGCCGTCTTAGGCGCCTCTCCAAACTTCCCAGGGCCCCCAAAGCCCGAAAACATCGACGTCGTTGAGCTTCCTCTACCTCCAGTCTCTGCAAGCAGAGAAGTTGGCGCATGTACAGCGGCGCTGAACCCAAGTCGGACGGGTTGCATCGCACGGGAGCTTACGGATGAGTTCCAAGCTGGAGACTTTACTCCGAACGGCCGGAATGTGGTTGTCACAGTCACCTTCGTTGGAGCTCCCGCAAGCCCAGATCCGGCGAGCATCTATAACGGCGTTCAATTAATCCTCATCAAAGTGGACGGCACGAACTTTAGCAATGGCGACCCGTGGAAATGCCTGACGTGTGGCGTACCGGCTAAGAGTACAAGAGAATTGGATCCGCAAAGAGACTACCCACATGTGTTCAGAAGCGGCGACAAGGCGATCTGGGGCCATAACATCCTCGATTGCAATAGCAGGCAATTGGCCAGCGATGCATGCACGCCTGATGATATCCACATATATCCGATCTACTGGCCGAATGGTGCTCCTCGTGAGCTGCGGATGCATCCCGATGACGTTCATATTGGCTGGAGTTCGTTCACCAATCACGCTGGGCAGTATTCCTACTTCGGTCGTTTGGAGTTCAACGCAAATCCTTCAGGGACAGGCCCTGCTGTACCTCGCTATGATCTGGTCGACGTTGACCTGCTCGTTGATCCGAAGCGCCGGGCTTTCATCACAGCCAATGGGAATGAACTGGAACTCCAACCTGACTCTATCACCATTGGCGAACTGAGAGGCTTCAGCGGTTCTGGCGACGAAATACTTTACATCGGTGCACCAACGGAGTCCACGAATATAGATCTCTACGCAGTCCATATTGAAACAGGAATAGTTCGCCGCCTCACTAGTCATCCTGATTATGCTGATCCTATCGCCTTTTCCGCCGACGATCATTGGTTCGTCACACAAGATACGCGTGCCAGCGAGCGCCAGATGTGGATGTCAGGCATGCGAGGTATCCCACCTCTCATCGATATCGTCGCAGTCGCAGTCGCAGCGTCCACACGCAACAATGGCGCACGCCGCTTCTTCCAACCCATCTTGATCGATCGTTATGGAGATCGTGGGTCGTACTATGGGCAGCAGGTCAACAGTAAAGGCGATGAAAGCGAGGGGGGTATTGACGACCCGAACTGGAACGGGCGAGCCGATCCGGCATTTTCTTTAGATAGTACGCGCATTGTGTATTGGCAAGGCATCGTCACCTCTCCCGCTTGTGGTGGCATCAACCCGCTCTCCTGCCCTATCTCCACTGCTCCGGGTGGGCGCGAATATCGTGTAATGCTCGCCCACCTCACCGACCGTAGCCCCAAACTACCCGCTCCTGTTTATAAGGTGCCCAATCGCATCCCTTGGGCGACACCATTCCTACCCGGAGCCGAAGTTCCTCCGCTCCCCACACTAAAGCCAGGCCACTATATCCTCCGCGGTAAGGTATCAGGGTGCGCGGAAGTCAGACTTATTGGGAACACGGCCTATCCTGAGGCAAGCTCGATCAAGCGGGTCGTGGCCAATTACACCGACTTCTCTGATGATGGTGATCACATCATCAACGGCTCCGAAGACGTCGAGCTGACTATCCTTTTTCCAAATGTGTGGGATCAGAAGCTCGATTGGTACTCCGACATCTCGCAAACGGGATCCTCAACCGGGAGCAAGAAAACCAGTGCAAGTGGATTTCATTTAAGGATTGACGTGATGGAGAATGTACTCGAAGCGAACGGGACGCTGACCACGACTATTGATGGTGTAGAGTATCATCAACCCGCCAACGGTACCTAATCACGACCTGCTTTAATGTTGTTAAATTCCAAATTATCTACCTCCATTATTTTCGATGATCCGCCTGTGATAGTGAAATACTCAGCCACCCTCCCCGCTCGCCACTGCCAGTCAGCCTCTCCAAAGCTGGCACTGCTTGGGTCGTGACGAACGTCCTCGTGGGTAGCGTAGGGATGTCGATAATGCGAGTTCACTGGAGAGATTTTCCTAAAGCATACCGTTTGCCGCCTGTGGTGGAGTGAGTAAGCGGTAAACCGAACGCCGGGTAAATGGCAGCTATCCGAGGATCGATCTGACTCGGCACGTACACGGGATCGTGGGAATCAATGGCGCTTACGTCCCGCATGGCCCACATGGTTGCCGTACCGTGCCGTGTGGCACGGTGATCTTCCACTTTTAGCTCTTCACCTAGATTGTTCTACTATACACTCATATGAGATTTCGCTCGATGCGAACGTTATGTAAATCGACCCATGAATCTGGGTGACATCTGCATACCCATGCCTGCCCTCGCGGCAAGGTGAGCTCAAGCGCTTGCACGGCTCGGTTCCTAGCCGTTCGCTGGTCTCGTTGGAAGTATTCGGGAAGTTTTGCCAGACGCCACCGTTCTTAATTTCGCCTTCAATCACTTAGTATTGCATCAAGAAGAAGTGTGGCCTATATCGGAGTCTCAAAACCATGATGGACGAATAAACCCGCTAACTCAGTTGAGGCCAGTTCGCTCTCGTTGTTGATATGTTTGACCACTTTCGTGCGACACTTCGATTTTCACGCTCACGAGCAGCTACGATTCGATTGCTGACCTGGTATTTGGCGACTTGTCCACAGATTCGAGTACCCCTGTACCGCCTATCATCTCAATGGTGCCGCATACATAGAGGTTCTTCTCATTCAGGAAATCCGCATGGCTTCAGCGACATCTGCCACCATGCATGTCAGATCGCAGCACGATTCACAGAGAATGCACGCACTCATTTTCGTTAAGCCTGATGTCATTCCATTAGTGGCGGCCGCCAGTATGTCCAGCAGCAGTACTGCAACCCCAAGCAAGGTAGGTGTCATCGTTGGTAGCAACGCGAGAGTAGCTGTGTGGTTCGTTGAAACGACCAAGATGGCGGAATGCAGGAATGACATCACGAGGAGAGGCAGTGTTTCGACGCTGCAGCTCGAAATCAGCTCACACACTCGCCAATCTACCTGGCAGTTCGGAGTCAAACGTCCGGCCATCTGAGGCTAGAGTGACATCGAAGCTCATCCATGCAACTACATGATCGAGACGGGCACCTATGTCCCATTTACATGCAGAATTGACGGGCCCGGGATGGCTTCCAATACGTGCATCAGTGACTCGAAAGACGAAGGAATAACGATCCGGATCGATCGTGCGTCAACAGTTGTAGGAGCGGTTCAAACGAAGGGGGCGCCCTTGATGGAAATGGAACCGAAGGATCACGGATGCAGCCACAATCCATTAGACAGCATGCTCTTATGCTATACGGGCTCCTACTGCAGAAATCTTCCATAAGCGCGGACTAGTAGTACGTGTCAGCCAAGTTCGGGGTGTGCGTTGCTTCTCGGCATACGTCGACGGAACCAGTTGTCTAGCATGCGTATTAAGCATTCTATTAGTACAAAAGGGCGACACCATATGTGTAAACGGCATCTCAAAATTCTCTACTCCCCATCAGTGTTGCTACAGCGCTATGGAATCGCGTGCCTTACTCGAAAACGCATCTGACCTCTCATACGAGGACCAGAGTTTTGTCTCTCGATTCGGACGCGGTCCAATAGTTCCCGTCTCTCATGGCACTGCGCATGAAGCATTTGAGAGTATCGTGGATGTTTATCCCGGTATCGTGGCTGCTATACATGGATCCAACAGTATCACATACCTACAATTGGATCTTGCTGCCAATCGTCTGGCACATTACCTCATTGCATCAGGGCTCCGACTAAGACAACGAGTATGTGTTGTAGTGCAACGATCGATAGGGATGCTTATCGGATTCTTTGCTATAATGAAGGCAGGCTGCCAGTACGTTCCGATCGATGGTGGCGTGGCTACTAACGAAGCTTTGCGACATATTTTCGAGGACACAGAAGCCCGATTCATTCTGTCTTTACCCCCATACTGGGATAGAGTCAAGCAATTTGCGAGTCACGATGCTATAGTCCTCGAACTAGGCATGAACACAGGAGCATTCTACTCTCCTCTCAGACCAGGCATCCAGGTCACGTCGAGTGATGGCGTGTACGCAATGTATACTTCAGGCACGTCTCTCATGTATGACGGCTCCAAACCGTGCTAACTACTAGTAGGAAGTACTGGTGTACCTAAGGGTGTAGACGTCAAACATGGCACCAAAACTAACGCTCTCCTTTCAGAGCCAGGTCGGTTGAGGATAACCGTTGGCTCAAAAGTCGGGCAGATGTTGAGTATCTCTTTCGCAATGGGTAAGCTCTGATAACTCCGATGATACTGGCAATATACTGATGATTGCTGTAGGGGCATGGGAGATGCTGGGTTGCTTGATGAATGGAGGAACATTGTATCTTCGAGAATCTGACTGGGATGCAACACTGAAACAGGTTGGTAGAAGCTCCAACTATCGCTTACAAGCCGCACTAACAAGCTCGATAGATCGACACCTTGATATGCACTCCTTCCATTCTCTCAAGGCACGAACAACAACGCTATTTGAACATCGAGACGGTCGCTGTAGCAGGGGAAGCATGCCCACAAGCGTGAGAACGTTGTGCACACTGAATCAATGGTTGCTGACTGTACCTTAGTCTTGCTGATAACTGAGCTCAAGGTAGATCTTTCTGGAATCTACTTGGTTCGACGGAAACGTTCTTACTTTCTCCGCAAAAGCATGTCGTAGGCAAGCCTTTGTCTATCGTTCGTCCTCTGCCCAATACCTCTTCCTACGTGCTCGAACACGCTGGTAGACTCGCGCCCGTCGGCCAGAAGGGCACACTCTGGGTTGGCGGTGCTGGTGTGGCGAAAGGCTACATCAACCTACCTCTGACGACAGCAAAGAAATTTCAACCAGACAAATTCACAGATGACGGGTAAGCCGAGATATTGCTCTTGCCGTAGTCTCGCTAAGCTTCTAGCAGCTCCAAGATGTACGATTTCGGGAACATCGTGTGCTGGAGACCAGATGGCACTTTGGATTCTTTGGGTCGAATGGACGACCAAGTCAAGATCAAGGTTCGCTATCACTGCCGGGAAATTTTAATCGTTGTTCTGATGATTTCAGGGATTTCGTGTCGAGCTCGATGGTGTTACTGCTACTCTCGAGGTACGCGTATTTTTGCTGACCCTAAAACTTCGCTAATATCACATGCAGCGATTCGTTGGTATTACACGAGCTGCCTCTCTCGTTATAGACGGGATACTGCACGGATTCTACGCATCCTCTGCCTCCGTTAACGAAAAAGAGCTCGATGACTTCATCCGAAAGCAGCTTCCTTACTACTCTGTACCTGAGCGGTGGCTGCACCTTGACAACATTCCACTTAATCTCAACGGCAAGGTAGACAAGACGCAGCTAAAGAAACTCGCGACAGAATGCGACATTCCTAAGGTGGATGTGAAGCGTATTGAATTGATGCATACTAGATCAGACTCAGCTATCGATGCTTTGGCGCTGCCCACAAAGGTCGTGGTTCCCCCAAAGCTCATGCGGACTTCGCCAAATGCCGATCTTGGGAAAGCTTTTCCATTGGAAAGTATTGAACATCACTCGTTGGTGGAAAGAGATGAATCGCTCAACAAACCATCCAGGTTACCGGAGCCGAAGGTTCCGGATGTTACGGCTTGGCTACGGTATCGTGGTCTCATCGCGTACCGCTGGTTTCTATTTCTGATCGTCTTTGCCAACATTGGTGTTGCGTGCTGGCTCCTCTACAGATACGCGGAGAGCGACAAGTACCCGTTGTCATCTACCGCAACCGCTACAGCGTCGAATCTCTGTGCCGCGATTTTGATACGGTCAGAACCAGTCATCAATTTGCTCTTCTTTGTTTTCTCATCCGCGCCCACCCGAATACCACTTGGAATACGAAGGATATGCGCAAATGTGTTCCACATCGGCGGCATACATGTGGGATGCGCCATCGCTGCGGTCGTCTGGTTCGTGATATTCACGGTCGGTGCTAGCCTCGAGTTGGTGAAAGATGAGAGAGTTATCCCAGTAGCTTCGACAATACTGTCTTATCTCATCCTGTTCTTGTTGCTCGCTATGAGCTCGTTATCGCATCCAATTCTTCGGAATCGACACCACGACTATTGGGAGGCCCTGCATCGCTTTGGTGGGTGGATGGTGCTCATCCTCTACTGGGTGCTCGTTGGTCTATCCACCAGAGATCGGACCCAGAAACGCAGATTATCGACCTCCGAAGCATATTTACAGAATCCGTCGGTTTGGTTGATCACAGCCGCAACCTGTGCCATCATCTTTCCGTGGTTGTTCCTTCGCCGCATTCCTGTTCGACCTGAGATCTTATCCTCGCACGCCATCCGCCTTCACTTCGACTCGGAAATAGCACCAGGCAAGGGTGTTCGCCTTGCGCAACACCCACTTCGCGACTGGCATGGCTTTGCTACTATCACGAACGCACCTAACGGGAAGGGCTACTCTGTCATCATCAGTCGAGCCGGAGACTTCACAGGCCACCTCATCGATACCGCGCCGACACACATCTGGAGACGCGGTATCCCCACGTCAGGTGTCTTGCGCATCGCAACATTGTTCAAAAGTGTTGTTGTAGTAGCCACGGGCTCCGGCATCGGCCCATGCCTCTCCATCTCTCCCTACCGTCACGTCACCATGCGCATCCTTTGGACTGCACCCAATCACGAGATTACATTTGGGAAAGCTATCGTTGATGCTGTCCGTGGAAGAGATCCAAGGGCTCTGCTTTACAACACCCGAACGTCCGGCAAACCTGACATGAGCCTATTAACGTACAGGCTCTACAAGGAGAGTGATGCAGAAGCGATCCTGGTCATCAGTAACAAGCGGTTCACGCAGCAGATTGTGTTCGATATGGAGAAGCGGGGAATTCCGGCTTACGGCGCCATCTTCGATTCTTGAAACATGATGGGGGGCCAAAGCATAATGACGTTGAAGAACATTGTTTTTTGTCACACTGTGAAAGCGGGCTCCTCAGGAGGGCATACGTGTAGTATTTCCTTCTCCAGCGAGAAATTGGTGAAGATAGACAGTGTGTTAGATGGCTTTGCGATTGTCTCGTGATGCAACTGTACGGGTGATTCCAAGGTTGTCGACGTAGCGGCCGGACAATTTCTCCTGGCTAAGCCCGAAGCACGTGGCCCCTCTTGGCGGCGGGTACACACATTCCGCTCCACCACCGAGGCTTGAATGCCTGTATCACCAACAACGCGTCGCACGTGTGTGATTTGCAGCCTTCGCGAGCAATCAGTATTCCGTGCTTTTACTATACAGTCGTGTATTCATCATGGCTTGTGCGACCGAACACCCGTCGGTTGCCGACGTTACCCAATGCTTCGTAATACAGCGACAACACCGCAGCATCACCCACATTGCCAGCACGTATACCCGGCGAAGACTCCTTCTTCTGACACCTCCCTCCCCTGGAATGCCAAGATGCAAGTCGATAGCGATTGACCAGCCATCTTCAGCCTATGCCAAAAAGGACTTGCTTTTCGAGACCAGTTAATCTATCTTATCTAGTGCTGCACATCACACAAGGCAGCTCGTTCCAGTGCCCATGCATCTCTGGATCTACTTGATCCTCCCGGGCAGGTGCATCAGTAGTTTCAGCGGAGACCAGACGAATAGAGAAGGAGATGAAGTTAGCGCCCAGCGCAATTCGCGAAGTCGGCCAATGAACGGCCAGCCACACCATCACCGCTCCGATGTGTCTATGCTAGAGTATCACCTGCCGACCATTAAGAGAAGGTCAATCTTTGTACAGAAATGGAAGGAATGTATAAAATCAATGTCGTTTCACAGCATGCTGTAGAGCACCGGCAGATCCCTCCTTCGTTTGTCCATATTCCTTCGTTTCAAGCAGTCTCAAGATGAAGTACGCTCTTGCTGCAGCTCTGATTCTTCAGGGTACTACCGTACTTGGTAGCCTTCTACCTGTTCACTTCAAGGCACCTTCTCCCGCACATTTCCTCGATATTGTGAACAATGGCACATACGATCTGGGCTGCAGACCGAAGGCAGTTCCATCCGAGCAGGGCCATTTCGAGCTTCATGCTCTGCTGACCGAGGACCAAATCGCGTACCTGTCCAAGGAGTACGAGAACTCTGAGGAGATCAGCCTACATCGCCGGGATCTTACCAAGAGGGCCGCCGATGCTCCGATAGGTAGTGGCGACCGCTGGCAGGGTGGTGCCGTTACACCATCTGGTCTTGGCACTAAGGCTGCTGGTACGACTATCAGCAGCATCATGAATGTCAACGAGATCAACTCAGCCATCAAGGGTCTTGTAAGCGGATACGGTATCAGCACCGTCACACTCCCATTCAGGACCTTCAACGGGGCTACGCAAACCGCCGGATATGTCGGCGCCGGTACAGACAAGTCCAAGTACCGCCTCTACCTGTCTGCTGGCATGCACGCACGCGAACGTGGAGGCCCTGATCAGCTCATCTACTGGATCTCGGATCTTTTAGCCGCAAACAAGGCTGGAACCGGCCTCAAGTACGGTAGCAAGACTTACACCAATGCCCAAGTCAAGAGCGTCCTCGCTGCCGGTATCGTCTTCTTCCCCCTCGTCAACCCAGATGGTGTCGCATACGACCAGTCATCCGGCTCACTGTGGCGCAAGAACCGCAACACTCGGTCCGGCACTAGCGGCGCCTCAGTCGGCGTAGACATCAACCGCAACTTCGATTTCCTCTGGAACTTCAGGAAGTACTTCGACCCCTCCACATCTCCTGCTTCTACCTCGCCTAGCTCAGAAGCGTTCTACGGTTCAGCTGCTGCATCTGAGTCGGAGACCAAGAACCACGTCAGTATCTACGATTCATTTCCCAAGATCAGGTGGTTCATGGATATCCACTCCGCCACTGGCGACATCTTGTACAACTGGGGCGACGATGAACTGCAGAGCACCAGCACAACGATGAACTTCCTTAACAGCGCATACGATGGAAGGAGAGGCCGTCTCGGCGATACAACATACAAGGAGTACATGCCCTCGGCTGATGCGACAAACATCAGGAACGTTGCTGCTAAGACTGCTACTGCGAGTGAGTACTCCTTCGAGAATTTCTGATATGTTCGATACTGACATCACTTCCAGTGCGCGCCGTGGGCGGACGATCTTACACCTCGATGCAATCAGTTGGCCTCTATGCTACATCTGGTGCTTCAGACGACTACGCTGCTAGCCGCGTGTACGCCAAGTCTGGTGCTAACAAGGTCCACGGATGTAAGTAGCCATCGCGCACTAAGTAGACTAAAACGCATGCTGATTTCTCTTTCCAGTCACCATGGAGTTTGGATACAGCACCAACTTCTACCCAACACTGCCCGAGTTCAACACCAACATCCTTGACACCAACGCTGGATTCATGGACTGGGCACTTGCTGCAATTGCCGTTGGTCTTGAGTAGTCGAACCACATAAGTGGCAGGATGTTACGGCGTTTGTGGAAAAGTGTAATGCGAGCCTGTAGTAGTGTGAGCGGCTCAGAGGAAGTGTTCCTAGAGCGCATGGCGTTGACGCAGACATGAAGTTCGATGATAGACGATTATGTATTTCGACGGCCGAAGTAGCACGTGCAGTAATCTCATAGCGTTCTGAACACTCTGGTATTCTTTGTGATACCCTAAAGAACCAGGAAATGCAACTTGCTTCGAAAACTCCCATACCATGTATGTTCTCACGACCCCAGTTTGAAACCTCCGCCACATCCCCTCTGGAAGAACCCTTGGGGATCAACCACTTTACTCACACCCTTCAGAGATTTCATACTCTCCTCCCCGTACCCCTCAAAGGGTCTTTGCCACGCCGCGCAATAGTTCAGATAACGAAACCGATGACCCGTCCCATGTTCAAGGGCAAAAGCATCAATCTGCTCGATCGCCTCCCTAGTGATAGCCCTCACCACATCATCATGCTCCTCCATCGCCCAGTTGACCGTAAACTGAACATTTACCAAAGGCTCATCAGATCCTTCATCTAAACCCAGCGAATTTGCATCGCCCTTCCTTGCCCATGAAGGCAAGCATGGCTGTAGAACCAGAGTCCAGCTCATACCCTTAATGGCATGATTCTTAATCTTCGGAATCGCATCACGATATGCTTTGTGAGCCGCCTCTAAAGTCTGCCTATCGTTCTTGATGGTCGTAGTGGCAAATTCTTGTTGTCGTCCCGGTGGATTCAGGACACTCAACTCGTCTGCTGCACTAACTAGGCTGCGAATCTTGAACGTACTCCACACACGCCACAGCTTCTGAAAACCGGAGCTGCGCCAAGATTCTGGCCAGCCCTTCTGCTTGGTGTCGGGGCCGGTGTGTACAAGATTCACGGCTATAGCTTGGATACCAGGAGATTGGAGGTACGTGAAGCATGTCAGCGGGCCGGCAGCGTGAGGGTCGAATCGATGTTGCAGCTCGCCGGCCAGTGTTCGCGCAACAAAGGAATGGAATGCTGCTAGAACATCTGGGGCTTTGTATGGGAGCAGGTAGAGGAATCCGCTCCAAACATTCTTTGCAGCGAAACTGCGGATCGTGAAGCTTGTTACGATACCGAAGTTGTTGCCTCCGCCCTTGAGTGCGCGCCACAGATCGGGGTGGTCTTTCTCAGAAGCGGTGACGATAGACCCATCTGCCAAGATGACCTCATATTCGAGGACGTTGTTGCATACGAATCCATATTGAGGAGAGAAGAACGATATACCCCCGCCGAGCGTCAGGCCAGATACACCGACGGCGGAGTTCCTTCCACCAGCTACTCCAAGACCTTCTTTTTCAAGAACTGAGTATACGTCAATCCACTTGCAACCGGCGCCAATGATCACGCTCCGTCCATCTTCGGCAGGGATGACTTGATTGAAGAGTGATAGATCGATAAGAACTCCGCCTTTAATGCTTGAGGCACCAGCAACAGCAGAGTGACCTCCTCCTCGAATGGCAAAGATGGACTCAACCTCCTCTTGCCTTTCTTTGACCTTTTCACATCTAAGATCAAACTCACGTTTGAGAATCTTGACCGCCTGCGCCAATTCCCACACGTTGCGGGGTCGCACAATACATGATGGTGGCACCTCGCACGCTTTCTGATCCCAGTATGCGTTCATTGACTCTTTGAACTCTGTGGCTTTCTCTGACGCGATTACGATGTGCGGGATAGCTGCGACTAACTTGGCCTTCAATTGCCGTCCGGAAGGCGTCAAGCCATCGTCAAGCCTAAGACGACCAGGCTTCTCAGCCTCTGCATCGGACTCGACTTGGGATGATCGAACACGAATTCGTTGCCTGATATAGACAGAGGCGAGAAGAATAGCTATACATGTGTATGACAGCCACGACAAAGCCATCGTTGCGTATAGGAGTTATGGAGTCGCTGACGCCTAGAGCGCAAGAAGATAGCCGTAATGTGGTTGAGAACACATCAACGTAGATTTTGGAAGAGTTCAGGATAAAGGTAATCTGGAAACCGCAAGATACGTGATAAGCGATGCGAAGTGTAAGGGGTAAGGCGTAAAGGCACGCCCGGCAGCGAAGTCAGGGTGCACAAGCGGATGACGTAATCACTTGGCATAGTAGCACCTCCTAAACAGAGGGTGCTCACCGTAAACTCGATTGGGCAGCGTAAATATTGTTCTAACCAATCTCTCAGATTATGATTCATGTTTACCGAACAGCGCGACTCACGTGGTGCGACGACTCGTAGACAATGGGCCGCTCACGACCACCAAAGTTCGAAAGATGTCCACACGAAAAGATACTCCAATTAAGATGAGCGCGACAATGATTGCCTCGCAACTGACAAGGTACTTCATCTCGCTGAGTTCGTCTTCCCTAGTGCAGCGATCGACGTCTGGGACAACTACCATGCTGTACTCTTCGAAGTCCTACCAGACGCGCATTCTTGATAGCCTACCGGTAGGGTCATTGGTGTGTGACTCCAGATCATCCAACGAAACGAGAATGATTCCGCAGCTAAAGCACTGTCGCATCGTCCGAGGTCGTTGTGTACTTCCGTTGTTGAGACAAATCGCGGTATAAACTCAATAGGATAGAACTTATCGAGTTGTTGTGAGCCCGACCTCGTAGTGGGATATTCTACGTAGTATAATCGTCAACTTTCCAGTTCAGGAAACCACTTCTTTACCCATTGATCAAGGACTTTGGGCCCTACTGGCTTGGTCAGAAACTCGTCCGCGCCAGCTTCGTCTGCAGCTTTGCGATCATTCGAAGAATCTTGGCCAGTAACAATGAATAGCACACTTCTCTCGTGCTTATGCTGTTTCTCAAGCCGTCGTATTTGTTTCGTTGCATCGATGCCATCACATACAGGCATCTGAAGATCCATGAGGATAAGCTTGAAAGGTTGTTGGGGTAGGTATTGTCGTAGTAGCGGATCGTACTTGGGTATGAGAGCATCGGAAAAGATGTTGACAGCCTGATGCCCATCCTTTGCACTTCGGAATGGTATGCCACGGCGACTGCAGTACATCTCTAGTAGTCGGAGATTGACCGCATTATCGTCGACAAGTAGTGTCAAGGGTTTGCTCGATGCCGTTGAGACCTGTGTCGTAGTGGACGAATGCCTGGTTTGAATGCGCAAGTTTCGTACAGATTGCGCCAGTTCCGTTTGTAGCTTCTCTGGAAATATCGAGCCTCGCTCGGATGGAAAGCTTGGACGGCGGCTCGTATGGGATGCAGCGGATGGGCTGAATTGCTCAATGGCGACCCCGCCGGCTGCGCAGACCGCTGTATCCGGTGTGGACGATCGGAATCCAGCCGAAATCACATCTGCGTGTTCCAGCGCTTGTTCAAACGTCTCTGACAAGAACGGGCCTTGAACATAGACAACGTTCCCCTGCCGTCTTACACGTTCAGTATGAAAGTCGAGAAAGCATGCGCATTCCGGAACGAGGCAAATCGCAACCTGTTCCGCGTCTATACTTGACGTATGCCTATAAAGTTCAGCAAGATTTGGTGTATAGTCGACGATAACGAAACTGTTATGGAGCTCCTTAGACGCTGACCAGCCAGCACTTGAAAGATACTGAGTGAAATAGTGGCCTAGAGACGATGTTGAGGACTCGGACGCGAGGTGGTGAAAAGTTGGCGGAAGTCGGGTAAATTTGTCCTTTACTGCACGAGACCGTGGTAATGAGCTGGCACATATGGGCTCGTTGAATGTAGCTTTGATATGCGAGCCTGGACCTTGGCTCGAGCCCACCAGTGTGATCTCGCCACCTAAAAGGGTTGCTGCCTTGCTCGCCAACGTCAATCTCAAGGTAGATTCGGTACCGCTGAGATCGATCTTCTCGTGGGCGTCGAAAACGCGGTCATAGTTTCCCTTGGATGCCGTACGCCCACTGTGCTCGACATCTACAACGAGAGACCGGCAGCCTTCCGTAACTGACAAGGTCACTGCTACCATGCCGCCAGCAGCGTTCTGAGCAGCGTTGACCATGAGTGGCTGGATGCAGTCCAGAAAAACCCGCATATCAATCGTAAGCAAGTCGCAGCTTGTGGGAAGACGGTGCTGCATCACGATCGATGGCCTTGTCGATAGATCGTCTGAAAGTCCTAATATGGTTTCCTTGAGCAAAGCGTCTTCGATCTCGGAGATCGTATGCATCGTGAGAACGCGTTCCGCCTGCGCGATATCTGCCCATTGATTCAATTTGATGAGGCTATTTACTGTTGAGATGAGCTCTCTTGCTGAAGTCTTGATGGTCTTGATGTAGGTGTAGGGGTCTAGCTGTTCGATGTCTGGGCTGGCAGTGGGTGACGAGGCAGCCGTCGATGGGACCACGTTTCGTGATTTCAATTCTTCCGTCAAAAGCTCGACTGAACCAAGGATGCCATGAATTGGCGTTCGAAGTTGATGCGTGATACCGCGGAGAAATGTTTCCTTGGCGCTGAGTGCCTCTTGGAGTGCGCGGCCTTGCCAATATTGACACAATATCGCCTGCATGTAGGAATGCATCAGTACAAATCCACTTTAAGGAGTCTATATTTTGCTGCTTACCGCACACATTTGTACGAACCACGAATCGATATCATCAAATACCATCTTGAGATCGTTGCTGGCTACTACAAGGAACATTGCCGCTCGTTGGGTAGTGCACTGTGCCGCAATAGCTCGTACAGCGTGCGGCGCAGTCATATCCAAATGATTCAGCTTCTCAATGGCATAGTCAAAGTCTATGGAAGAAGAAAGCGCCAGGTCAGTAAACGTCACACATGGATCTGTACGTTGCCACTTACAAGCAGTGTCTTCCCAAAGGCCCTGTTCCAGCTCAGAAGTGCGAAATTTTACACCACCACCAAGGATGATTTGGCTGTCTATGGTCTGGTTGATACTCACTTCTGTGTTGAGGTACACTTCCTCGAGCATCCGAGGTATCGCTTCCTCCATATTGACATGGTCGTCGCACTGCTGCTGAGCTTGAGAGAGTAGCTCAAGCATCCGTCTCCGTTCTCGTTGGCGGCGACTTCTGGCACTGTGTACTAGGTCCGCAACAATCCAGTCAGCGAGTCTAGCAAGAGCCTGCTGTACTGTTTTGGAAAGCGGTTCTTGGGGAGAATTAGAAGCGACACATAGGGAGCCAAAAGCTACATGTTCTCCAAATTCGGTCTCGAATCTTAAGGGCACACCAGCATACGCGCGCAAACCACCCTGCTCGACATGCGGCGACTTTTCGAACCGCCAGTCATTGGCCATGTTTTGCAAGGCGAAGACAGTCTGTTTTCATTAGCTGAAACGTATATGTAGAAATCGACGTGCACTTACGCCTGGTGGTTGGTTGATGGTGTGGGCGCAGGTACTCTCTCGACGGGGTAGAATTGCGAGGGGAAGGTTCACAGTGACCATCCGAGTGTATGTGCTGTGGTTGAGGAGGCCAGCAATAACAAACTCCCAACCTATTGTCTCGTGCGCAAGATAAACCTTCTCTTGAAGGCGGGACATCAGCTCTACATCCTCGAACGCCCCGCGCGTATAGTAGTAGAGTAATGTTAGCCTCAACCTCTCGTTCCGCGTCAACACGGGGAAGAGGTAGCGGTTCGCATAGCACTGGGAAGGACATTGCGCTTTAGCGGGTATGGGCGCTGGTGTCCAGAGGTCGTGGTGGCCTGGATACACGGCTGTGACTTGCTCCGGAGTCCACGGATCAAGAGGTTTTTCGGCATTCTCAAGATCAAGTATTGGTGCTGTGGTGGTTGGACGCTCGGATGTTGCCGGCGGAGAGTGCCTCGATGCGAGGACGGCCGCATCTGCCTTTGGGAAGAAAGCGGCGCGCTCGCCGCCCGTGAGATGCATAGATATACCCTTATATCGGATTACTATCTAACATCGAAAGCAGAGGTGGCGCAGGGTGTTATGCACAGGTGTGGTATATTGCAGGAGCTAAGGGCTGTCAAAACGACGCGGCGGGTTGACGTTCTAGGCCGGTCCAAAAGTTCGACCCTGATGGTGGCGGCGATGGAGTAGGATTGGAACTTGAGTGACGATCGCGACCCTCTATGTGGCTCTGAATGCTGAACACTGTTATGATGAAGATGAGCTGTTCACATCCGCTTGTCGTGTTCACCTCGGGAGATTTTGTTAGTCACATGGTATCCCCGGCATGGCATGTTCCTCCGAGCCGAAGGTCATCGATCGATGCGATGCCTTAGCTGCAACATTAAAATACATCGTTAAAACGGATGCTCAAGACTTAAGCAAGTGCTTTCGAGCTATGGTCGCCTGGAAGTCCGCTGCTATAGGTTGAGCGTAGTCAGAGTGCCAAACCACAAGAAGAAAGATTCGGATGCGGGGCAACAGCGCTTCCGACGCGTCCTATTGGCCATGGCAAGACCCACTATTAACCGAAGACCTCGTTTCCTCTGGCAAAGACTTGCTGAATCTCTTTACGACGCCATATCTTCGTCCCCATCACTCTTCCAACTGCTGTCCTTGGTTACTGCGAAGTTGCTCATACCGGCTGTTGATAATTTGCCTTCAGGAAGAGTCCCAGACAGCAGCCTGATGAACGTCCCCGTTGGAAAAGCCATATGCTGGAGGTGACGAGAGGAGCGTTCCTGTCGATGGCACAACCTGGAAACCCCAGAAGCGTCCTGGATGCCAGATTCTACATAGAACCACATCATTCGACCTGAACATACATTTCATTAAGAGACTTCTGTCTCGACACATGGAAAGCTTTTGGCGACACGCACTGGTACCATTGTCGGCCGGTTATTTGTTCATGGACTTGGGTCCTGCCCGTCGCCCCTTATACGGCGCCTAAAACGTTTGAAGTCATGGCATGAACGAGGGGGTTGTACAGCACCATGTCTGGATGAGTAAGCAGGCGATAATCCGCATACGGTACCGCCGAGATTGTTCTGTCCTTGCTGAGCACTTGGCATCTTCGGGCATCGAGCCGCTTCATCTTGCGAAGTAGCAGTCTGTGTCACGATCGTCATTGCTGCCTCCGCACGTCGCATTTGCCGTTTCACGCTTGACTAGGTCACTAACGACATCTTTACTATTGCTCTCTTCTCTCGTGATTATCCCAGCCTTGACTTAACTTCGGAGACTACATTTGCTTAAGCTTTCAGAAAAGACATGTAGGTTTATGGAAGGGTGATTTGATGGAATCAGCAGTCAAAGGCGCTAAACGTCTCCATGCGTAGCGCAAAGCAATATCAGCTTGATCGATGGTAGACAAACAATGCCAATCATTCCGGTTCGTACAAAGGTAGTATCAGCCTTAGTGGCTATTCACTTCAGTGGCCTTCATTATGTATTGCTCACTGTATCTTTCATAATGGCATAGTAGGGGCTTCCTTTACTTTTTGTGTTGTTATTGTCATCCGCTTCACGTCATCGCACCGATCGCTGCACAGAGTCGCCGCCTTGCCACGTACAAACGAAACTTCACTTTCACCTTCACTTCCACTGTGCACATGCCACTCCCACACTCCTCATTTCATTTCTCACAATTACGTCTGCGTCAATCAACGATGTGAATTCCGGCTTCGTTCAGCCTGGCGCAACACTCCCACCAAGGCCAAACTTCACCCCCAAGCCGCTCCGCGCAAGAAAGAAGCGCGGCCAGGACTACGACCCTAGCTTGACTGCTGACATGGGCCCACCTGATGTCGAAATGACTGCAGGTCCTCCCAACACGGACACCACACGACAACGTTCGATGACGGAAGAAGAGAAGAGCGCGAGCGAAAAAGCTATCAAGGACCTAACCTCGAAGCTCGCTTACTTCAGAACCCGAAGTTCTCCAAATGACACGATCGTGCGACGAGAGCCTGAGGGATTCGCTGAGCAATGGGTGTCTGACATCTGGAGGCAATTGGTGCGAAACTCCAATAACAACATCTGCAACTTTGAAGATGCAATCTCTTCGGCTCTTCAAGAGCTGGACCAGTTGGATGACGAGTGGAACAAAGCTCGGATGGGTGAGGATGGGAAAGAATGGACTGGTGCACAATTGTTTGCCTTCCAAATCGACAAGTTGAACGACAAGATGCTGCCGATCACATATAGACCACAGTCTATAAGCGCTTCTGCCAATGATGATCAGGCGTACCCTGGTTCAGATACGGGTTTACATAACCCTGCCGCGGATGCGGTTGAAGCCATGCTCGATGCAGACCAACCTCATAAAGACCTTACGCCGGAGCAACGACGGCGGAGGAGCAACCGCCGAGCCTTACGAGAACACATTTTGGATATCTGCAAATTGTTGAAACCTGTAGATCAGACAATGAACCTCGACGCTGTTGCGCTTGCAGCTGATTGGGAGAAGAGACTCTGGGATACGTCATCCAAGCACAGTGACGGGACTGCTACGTACAACGAAGACTTCGAGGCAGCGGACGAGGATCTTCAAGAGTGGAAGACATACTGGGATTCGACTGAGGGTGACTGCTCAGGCAACCGGACCGGCCGCCAATTCTTTGTTGAACATGTCCAAAAGTTTCACGCGAACGAACCACGACATACCACGTACACGGGATCTTTGGACAAACTGAGTGCATCGACAGTATCCGCTACAACGTCTTTCGAAGACAAGGAACGTCAAAACCTACGCAACGTCCTCGCAGAACAGCTAGAAAACATGAGAGCTTTACTTCCCCCTTCTCATAACCTGTCCAACTTCCACATTGCGCAAGTCGTGCGCACATGGGAAAGTCAGAATTGGACTGCAGCCTGCCAGCAAGGCTTCGACATCAACGAGCATGTAGAACATACGGAAGCTGAATGCGAGGAGCTAGGTATCTGGGCTGAGTATAGAGACGACTATCCTGATGAAGATCTTGATATGACCGGTGAAGCCAGATTCTCTGAATTCATACGAGAACGCCTTGGTTCCGAAGTTTCTGCCACACCCACCCAACATGGTGAGGGGCAAGAGACACATTACTCTGGGGACGACTCATACATCAACGAGAATGACAGTGATATCGGTTCGGAAGACGAATACGATGACGAGGACATGGGCTACACAAGCAAGAAGGCCTATCTTAAAGCATCTGTGGAGGAACACCTATGTCACTATGCAGAGAGTTCAGATGCCATCATCGACCGATGGGATGAGAAGCTCCGTTTACAGGCAAGATGGGAGAGTGGCGGCTTCGACGAATACAAAGAGGTCCTGAACGATGACTTGGATACTGTGGACACCTGCCGAGATAGCTGGAATATGGTTATTCCGGGCAATGGAAAGACGGGTCATGAGTTATTCAGCGAACTTGTTGAGGACTGCTCAGAAAAAGCTATTGCTAGGTTGAGAGAGCGAGTGGAGCATAAAGAGAAAATGTGTGAACACGAGCATCTGCTCAACTCGGAGAAGTTCAACGGTGCTCTCAACGTTGAAGACCGAAAGCGAAGGGAATATCGGTCAACAATCCGGAACTCCATCAATGATGCCAAGGAAGTCATGGACGACGCGCACGAGTTATCAGACATCCAAGTTACGGAACTAGCGGCGCGCTGGGAGACGCAAATTTGGACCGATCATCCTGAATTTCGCACGTACCTTATCGCGATGGATAACTTTGAGTCGGACCTGATGGATTGGACGCAGAATTGGCATTCTGTCCTTGACAACGGAAAGACTGGCGAGCAGAACTTCATTGAGTACATTCAACAGAATCCTGATCGTCAAGTGCTCCAGTGTGAGCTCCGCCGTGTTCTCGATTCAATATCCAGCACGCTCTCACCAGGTGACCCATTGGCGGGCTTCTTCACCCAAACGGTACCTGAGATTCGGGAATCAAGCGTTTGGAGTCTCACTGAGGAATCTATGGTCGAACATGTGAGAACCATCCAGGAAGAGTGCGAACAGTTGAACCAGTGGCATACGCACTGGACCAACGTTTGCGATCGTGACCTCACGGGAGAGCAAATGTTTCGCCAGTACTATAGCGAGTTGTTTGGAGTGAGCCATCTCCCTGATCGTACCCTGGAAGATCATGGCCTCGATTCGCAGACCGTCGCCGAACTCTTCGACCTGGCTGGAGGCAACGACACGCCGTCGGACCGTTCCGCAAGCGACGCTGGAAGCAGCGGACTGTCTGATGAGTTTCTTGAAAGCAATAGCCAAGAACTTGTATCTCCACGCTTTCCAAAGTCCTATGACAGTAGTGAGGATGACGACACTGACGGCAGTCTTGGAAGCGCTGCCCAAGATCGGTCTGGCAATCAGTCCGCTGCTTTCGATATGCCTACCGGCTCCTCATCTGTTCCTTCATCCGACATCCAGATAACAAAACCAGCCCAAACGCACCCTGTAATCGCCTTCCACGAAACCTTGGCCAGCTCTAACCGGCTTCAGGTAGGAAACACTTTCAGCACTGTCGGCATCACAGCTGCTATAGGTACCCCTCCTCATGGTCTGCCGACAATCCCTATCCCTGGCCACAATACCGTTCACGTAGAGGAGGATATGGCCATGGACGGTCTTGCTTATCACCCTCTGTCCAAAGAGGTGGAGATGTTGGATAGGAACGCCGACCTGCCCGCCCAAAAGGAGGCGGTGGATATGACCCCTGTCGGAAGATTCACTGCCGATTTTGCTACATCGACTGAATATGCGGAGATGGCTGGAAGCGATGTTTCCGAAACATTGGACGACAATGGCAAGCCGTCTGACCCTTCTGCTACGATTGCGACTGGAAATGTCTTTGGCTTCTTCAGCCCGTACGCCACATCGAGCCACTTCTCGCCTGCTCCCCAGTTGTTCAACGGTCCGGCTTTAACTGCGAAGAACGAGTCTATACCTTCAGGCACTATGTTCATTTTGGAAGGCTTGAGTTTCCAAGAGAAGACAACAACAGTGAGCGCCACTTCTATCAACAGTGCAACGCGGGAGTCGGTTGTGCCTCAGATCACTTCGCAAGCCTCAACACCATCACGTCAGTTTGTTGAGGAACAGCCTGGGGAGCCATTGACCACTCCCGCTAAGGCTGTCTCTAAGACTGTATTCGCCAACTCCCCTCCAAAGGAGGGCGAAGAGGACGGCAAGGGGGGACTGGCAAAGAAGCGTAGATTCACTGAGTCCGAGACTGTATTAGTGGCTCCTGCAGTAGTAACTGCATCTCAAGTGGCATCGAAATTTACCTTCAGGCCTCCCAAAGGCGGCTTTCTGCCGATACTCCCGTCAGGATTCGACGCTGGAAGCTGGAGAGGTGGGTTTGACTTCAAGCCTCCAGTTGATGACGACAAGGCCGATACTACGTTTTCTTCGGGTGAGGTTGGTAGCATTCTGAAGACTACCGAAGTCCAGAAGCCTGAGGTCTATGGGCCAGTCGATGGGGTTGGGGCAGACGAAGGCCATGATGTCCTTGGCTCTGCCGCAGCGGGAATTGATGTCGATGTCGCGAGCATTCCGGAAGACACAAAGCAAGAATCATTGGCTGCTGAGGATGAGTCTTCCAACACCAGTGACGCGTTGGATGTGATGGATAGGTTAGAAGCCAGGATGTCAAGCCTTAATTCGCAATGCGTCAGGATTGACGCGATGAACACGGAGGCTGATGAGCACGAGCGAACCGAGGCCCTACAAGGCAACATTGAAGATGCCGAAGAGAATTCCGAAGATGATTTTGAAGATGAGTCTGAAGATTGCTCGGGCCAGATTAAGGAGCTTGCTTCCACCATCAATACATGCAGCACCTACTGGCTGGATGCAAACTCCGGCAATAATGCTCCTTCTGCCTTCATCAAGATTGCAGAAGATTTTCAAATCATTATGGAAAACATCACCAGTGAAGGTAATTGGAAAAGTCCATAGGCTTTGAGCAAAATGGAGGTTCTCTCCACGAAATGGCAAATGTTCATCGCCACCATCAAAGCCTACATCGATATCACGACCCACTTCCATCCCGACTACGACTATCGCTTGGAACGGTTCCTAGAACAATATCGTTCGGATGTCGGAATGATGTCGGAGTACGAAAGCTTGAGTCAATTGCCGGGTGCTCCAGATATCTGGCGCAACGAGGCCAACAAGCGGCGTAAGGCGAGGGACAGCAAATTGGAGTTCATCGTCAATGAAATTTCCATCATGCAGAATCTCTACCAAGCATACTACAGCGCGCTGGTGACGCTGCGGGTACACATCGACTGCGAAGCGCTCGAGAAAATGGCAAATGAGACGCTGATTTGCTTTCACGCAAAGATCGTGAGGGCGAGTGATGATTTTGGTCTGCAGTATATGGAAACTTTCCAGAAGCCTTCCGATCCACTAGACTGTGTTGGGTGCACCAAAGATGCACAGGAGACCTCAGTGTATACCAAGCAACGCAAGGCCCCTCCCATCTCCACTGCTGACGATGAGGAATGGTGAGTAAGTTGCAACGCGCCAAAGCACGAAATGCAGTCACACCAGCGAGCAAGCGAGTCATTTAGCGATATCTATCTTCTTTTGGCGATGCCATTGTACGCCATCAACAAGTATTGCATTACAAAGAGGAGGATAGTATGGAGGATTCAGTGCATCGGAGAATTAGCGACACCATGTTGTTGTTTGCTAGGGAAGATAACATAGCACAAATTGTGATGTCAGAAGGGCGATTGATGCGGGAAAAAGATGTCGCGGAATCGTATTCGATACCTGGTCACGAAGAAGAAAGATCGCCAACTGCGAGATTTACAATTCTGGACTGGGATGAGCAGACGGCGATTAGGTCATGAGAAGGAATGGGCGTTATCACATTGACAGTCCAGGATAGATGATGAATGCAATACTCGTTGACCCAACCTCCACGAAAACCTTCGACTGTAACACTCACCCGCCAAAACAGTGAGCCTTAATAGAAGGCATAATGTGAGCTAAGAGGATGTGTCTGCAGGGATCGTCATCCATGGGTACGTCGATAACGTGTGATGTATTTCTTGACCGTTTGTTAGCGACCGTGAAAACTCGCTTGTTGGTGCTTTGTCGCATTCTGGCATGAAGTATATTTGCGCTCATATCTCGTCTAGTCTTCTATCATGATCAGAAAGATTCCCTTCCACCTCCTAAATCGCTGGGTGGGGCCTGCAACACTGTAGATATGTCTTCGTCTACTAGCATTTACACACGCGACACTGCTTTTCGTCCCGCCACTACCGGGGACGAAGCCCCATCTGCCTGCCCCATCTGCCATGAACCCATAATCATGGAGGTTGCCCCATCTTCATCTATTTTAAACAAGTCTATTTCTACTACCGAGCCTATCTCTGAGTTGGCAGTTGTTGTCAAGCAATGCGGACACATATTCGGGCGCGACTGCCTTACGCGTTGGATGCGCGACTCCAAAACTTGTCCGATGTGCCGCATCGAGTTCTTTGTATGACCGTTCGAACAGACAACTGATTCCAGTGTGGAGACTATTCATCACTATGGCCCAGGCATATATGGTGGTATGCTGGAAAGCGTACGGGAGCTGATGGTTTAAGATGAAGAAGATCTAAAGCAAAGCTTGCAGGGCCGGTCAGCGAACACGGAAGGAAGACAATTATCAGAGTCAATATTGGAAGACTGGGTCGGGAGATACTACGCATGATCGACTTTTCTGTTGTAAGTGCCACGTTTCCGTCGATGCTGTTATGTACAGGCGAATTGATGGAATCCATGTCCTACTCCAATTGAATTAATCACATCTAAGAATGAAGACCCACTGCTATATCCGTTCCCAACACTCAGACTCTTTTGCCTAGTTTCCTGGTGACAGTAAGTCTCGCGACTAGAACACATAACGCGGAAAGGGTCGCAGTTCCACCAGCATAGAAAATGGCAGGCCGATAGGCATCAATGCTCTGACCTGGACCGCTGTTCCATCTACCACTTGTAGCCTCCAGCAGGTAGCCTGCAATTGGCGCGCCCATCAGATAGCCAACACTCCAGCCTGTAACCGACATGCTCATAGCTACCGCAGCTCGTCCAGGACCGAAAATTCCAGCAACTACGGTCGGCTGGGTCGTAAAGTATGCGCCATTCGCAACGCCGTTCAAGATCGCAAACAATACGAGTGGACCCAAAGTGCTGGAGACTGGCCAGATCGCAAGCATACTCGCCGCGTTGAGGACCATCGCGATAACGAACATGTTTAGTGGACCAATCTTGTCGCACAGGGGACCAGCGATAAAACGGCCAAGGGCATTGCAGGCATTGAAGGCTGCAACCAGAGCGGCACCTGTACTTGGACTGAGGCCGATTGATTGCGCAAACAATGGTAGGTAGTATGGCGGAACGAAAAGCGCAAAGACACCGATGGCGCTGGCAGCAAAGGTCGCAATGAAAGCTGGAGACCTGAACATGGGAAGGTCGACGAACGGTGCCTTCCTAAGCGGTACACGATCTTTTACCATCCAAGCAGCAGGAAGGCCGACAGCCCAAGTAAGAAGTCCCTGGATCCGGAAGGTCCATTCGATACCGACTCTTCGATACAAGGCCTCCAAAGCAACGGCCATGACACAGCCACCCACGCCACCGCCGAGTTTGATGAGACCATTTGCAAGCCCAAGACGAGCGCTGAAGTATTGCACAGGAACTGTGTTGTTAACAGTCCAGTTCAGCGACATGCCAATTCCACCAATGATGCTGTATGTGCCGAAAAGACCAGGCAAATTCGACGTACAGAAGCTCGCCCCGATCAAACTTAGGCCCATGAGAAAGACTCCGAGTAGAATTGTTGCCTGGCAGCCTATCTGTCTCATCAGACGCACGGCACCGAGACCATATAACGCACCACCCGCGAGCCCCAATGAGCCAACGTAAGAAAGTGTGGACGGAGGAACGTCCTTCAAAGTCGAGTCTAGTAGGGCAGCTTGCAAGACACCCCAGCAATTGATTATCGCGTTGTTGCAAAAGCTCGTCGTGAAGCCACCGGCAACGACGACCCACCCATATCCCCCGTCCGGTACTGCCGTGACAGAGTAGGTCGCGCTCTCGGGCAATTCGTCATGACTGTTAGTCACGGACGTTGGGCGTGAGGCGGAAGGCAAAGATTTGCTTGGCAGGTGATGAGGAGTGGCCGGGAATCTGGTTAGTTCAATGCGATCTTCCGTGATGGTAGTAGTAGTAGACATGTTGGAGCAGAAGACTTTGGTGGCGATGGAGTTGTGTCAGTAGAAGGACTTATGAACCTCTGGGGGAAGGCTGCATTTATACGCTCTAGACGCCCAAGTGGTTGGCAGTAGTCAATACGGCCCTGAGAGCACTCGGTGCGATGAGCCGATTTGACCTCGCATTCCGAGCGATTGTGATACCGTGAAGGGAAAGACTAAGCAGCTTGTAGCTTGAGCTGTTCTTGACAGAAAACGACTGTACTCGTCCATACGTCGGCATGTGAGTACCTTTCATTCAGTGACCCCTTCCATCTTTCGGACCGTTGTCGCACCCCGAGATGGTCGCCTACATTGATGGATCTCAGCCAGACGTCAAAAGAACTTACACGCTAATGAGACTTTCGTGAGTAGATGATTTGCTCTCGGTGCATAATTACGTCTGATGGCAGGGAGTTCTCAAAGGCAAGGGCGGGACGGAGCGGGGAAAGCTGCGGAGGGCGTGATGTCGTACTTAGTCATCTAAGGTCCCCACTTTTCAGGGTCCAAGGGTCCATGAGCAATCACTCATCCCATATCTACGCCTTCTAGTGTAATGAACCTCGCAACTGATTCATTCACAAACGTAGTCTCTCGGTATCCACGTCTGTCGTAACAGATTGCTAGTTAGTGCATCTTCTCGACAATGGAAGACCAAGTTTGCACACCCAAGTTCCCAGTTTTACAGTCTGGGCGCTCAATGCCGACTCGCTGAGACGCGACACGCCTCATTCAGCATCGTATCCTTGACCAGTCCACGTCATGGCAGTATCCCTGGCAGCACCTAGAACTACACCGCATCAAATCTTGTACTGACATTTCCAACATCTATCCACTTACCTAGCTATCTCATAACCTACAGACACAGTCCCAACATGGCAACAGAAGACACCGTCGACCTCAGCGCAGCACACGCGCCGCAACCAGCATCCCTCGATGCATTCGCTTCTGTCCTCGACACCGTCAAGGAAGAGCTTGTTAAACTACGTCGCGACCATGATAGTAAAACAACCTTCCTACCTACGCTCCGCCTACACTCCTGACAAGTTCACCAGAGCACGAACCAGAGTACTTTCGTGCTGTCAAGCAGCTTTCCGACGCTGATCTAGTATCCTTCGCCGCAGACGACCTCGAATCCGTTCGCGTGGCTGTCACAGCGTATGGTCTGCATCTTTTTGGCAAGGTCAAGCTGCCCGCTTTGGACAACGGCTATATCCACATCCGCATATTTGGGGCTGCTAAGGACGGGACGGACGGAAGTAGTTTGGACGAAAGAGAATATAGTCTGCATAGTATTCACACTGAAGAGGTTATCAAAGACGACGGGGATAGAGTTTATAGAGCGATATTCGGGAAACAGGATGAGCTGGAGTGGTTCGAGACCTAGGCTGCAGCTGGTGTGCAAGTAGATTTTCCTTGGTAGCGAAGTCTTCCATCTACTGGTGGCGACATAACCCTTCAGTCTTCCCTTTTCGGTACCCTCACAAACCCTACATGGGTATGCGCCTCCTTCACCCCAACCCTCTTCATCTCTTCCTTGCTCGCAAACTTACTCAAATGTTCAATCGTCTCCCGACCCCTTTCCTCGAACCCCAGTCGCTCATATAACCTCCTTGCAGCATTATCCTCCGCCGTATCCAAATACGTCACCACGCTCCTCTCATCAGCCATAACCAGCACATGCTCTATAAGCCTTGCCGCTAATCCACGTCCCCGGTGTTCAGGATGTGTAGCCAGATTCTCCAGTAAAAAGTGCGGTTCGCTCCCAAGTATACGTTGCCTCAGTCTACGAAGACCAGCCGTGAATTCCAGGATAAGAGCGCGATTACTCGATGGAGGAAGGGAGTTGAAATATATTTCGTCTTCAAATGTTTCCCGCTCTTCTCTATCTGCCCGCTGTTGTGCTGTTTCTGTTTCCCTATCTTGCTGCTCCGCATCTTTTGTGGAGGTACAAGTAGGAGCCGTCCATTGAGCTACAGATGCAACCTCCCTAGTATCTGCTTCACAGGCTATCATGAAGAGCATACTTTTCTCCTCGATCTGCTGGGCGATGCGAGACGTCATTGCGGTGGCTAGGGCGTCTGGTTCCACGCCACCGAATTGGAGGCGGGAGAGGGGGGATTTCCATGATAGAGAAAATAGGGATGCTATTTTGTAGGCATCTGAGGGCAATGCTTCGGAGAGGGTGTATGTAGGCGCCATCGTGTCTGATATGTTTGTTTCGTAGTTGTCGCGTGTGTGACATATTTGCCTTGATGTGCCGAGGCATTAGTCATTATGCTGACAAGAGTGGGTTCCAGGTTGGTTTAGGCGGTAGCATCCTTCAAGACTAGAGTAGAAGAAGTACAACTGCCGTACACAAGACGCAGCAGAGACGTGCCATAACTACCTCAAACCATCGTATTCTATACCTAACAAACATCTACCGCAGAAGAAACACAAAACATTCCAAACTCTCAATCTTACACCAACAAATTCATACCAAGAAGTGAAAGTGAAAAGCTAAGATGAAGAAAGTTCATTGCGTCATTCAGTCGTACCACCTACCACCCTATAGTCTTCAACAGAAGAAGAAGTGAGAAAAGAGCCGGCACTGCATACGAAGCAGTATGAAAAAAACCGAACTCGTGTGGTATAGATATGATCTTTCAGCGCGAAATCTCGTTAACATGAACGCAGACCTGCTGGGACCCTCCAGCTGATCCCGCATGTGCGATGGATAATGATGTGTCGATAGAGAGGATATTTGTGAGCAGCCCAACCCAAATTTCGCCAGGGTAATGTTTCGCCCTCCCACAGGATATAATAAAAAGAAAGCAGTGTATGTCGAATAACGCCATATGAACGCCAGAATCAATGCCAAAGTGTAGCGCCCGTAATGCCAAATGTGAAAGGAGAACAGAAATTTACCGTTGACAGAAAAGTTCAATCTCGCCTAGTCCGCCGCCAGGGTTAAGATTGCTCTGCTGTTCTTTCCAGTTCTCGAACGCCTCTTGTACGTCATCATCACATTGGATGCTTACGTATGTGTTGTCGCTGTCCAGATACTTGAGCTTGACTTGGCCGGAGCCAAGCGATACGGACGTCGACCGTTGAAGTTTCGCGTCGATACGATCCTTGAGCGACTGGTAGCTGATATTTGTGCTGACGACCAAGACCATGGAGCTACCGGCAGATGGGCAATGGACTTTGACCTTGAGTTGAGTAGGTATATTGGAGTCTTGGCCAAGCGGTGGCGACATATTCCGTGAGTCCATGGATGCTGGTGTTAGAGTGCCCTGACTCCGCTCAAACGATGATGCAGGCGTCATTGTGCGCATTGGGGGATAGTTGGGATCGCGACGCATGGCAGTGTTGTGGTACTCGTTGTTCGCGTTGGCCAGCTCCGCAGCGGTTCGTTGCTGTATCAGACGGTCTCGTTGGATTGCCGGAGACTGAGTTGCAGCTCGTGGCGGTGGGTTGTTGGGCGAGTTACTGTTACTGCGATTGACAATTGCTGCGTTGTAGGCGTAGTGGGTAGGGAAAGGGGGCACATCTGGTACTGGCTGTGATGGCGGCGCTCTTCGAGTTTGTCCTTGGAGATGTGAGTTGATATCGGGGCTACTAGCTGCCCGCAATCTACCTTGAGCTGAAAGAGTGGCATTGGCCGGAAGTGATGGGCGTTGCATCGCACGGCCTTGTGGATGCTGAACATTCTCCCCCCTAGATCCGTGACGTGACTGAGCAGGGGCTGTGTGACGGTTATTCTCTTCGTGGGAGTATCCATTTGGTGGTGCTTGACGTGGGAAGGGGAAGGTGCCGTTGGATGATTGGCTTGATCGTGCGTTAGAGTGGGTTGACATTGGCGTTTGCATCGGCGTCTCGGCCGTGGGCGAGAAGTAGGATTCTTGGTTGGCGGCATCTTGTATTTGCTGGGTGCGCAGAGTTAGTGGAGGCTGGCCGTTGTAGCCCATAGGAAAGCGTGGAGGTGCTACCCTTGAACCTCCATCGGAGGGGCCGCTTTCACCAGTGGTTGACCGCGAGCGTATCGAGGGGGTGGAAGTGTTCTGTCGTGAGTAGGGATAGCCAGTAACGGGATCGATGTCCTCGTCACCATCCTCATCGTCGTCTTCCTGGTACGGGTTCTCTAGCACTTGGTCGCGCATGTAAGCAAACTGAGTGTCTGATGGCTTGGACGCTGTGGTGCTGGCGCTTGTTCGTGCCTGGTCCTTCCAGACGCGGCGTTGAGTGTCGACCTGCATGGCCCATTTCTTCATGGTCTCTTCGGAGGTAAACTTGATGATGAAGTTTTCGATTCCAGGATCGCCTTTCCAGAAAATCTGGCAGGTGTATGAGCCTGGAATAGTTAGCGAGTGTGACGGACGAGGGTTGTGGCAATCGTACCAGGCTTCTGCAGGGAGATTGTCTCTGTGACGTTCTGCATGAAGATGCGGCCCTTTAGCTGCAACTTCGGCTTTCCGTCTTTGGTGACTAGGGATCGAGTGGACATTTTGTTTTTTGGCTTGTTGACGTTGATCTCTTTGCAGCAGAGGAGGATCATCTCGAAGAGGTATATCTTGTACTGTAAGAGAGTTAGCAGCGCATGCGCCGGTATGGACTTTGTTGGTACCTACTTCTCGCTCTTCATTCTTCGAGCTCATGCTCTCGCCCTTCAAAACAGTATATTGGCCGTGTAGAAGAAGGTCGCCGAAACCTTCTATCCGGTGACCCTTCCAGTCTTCCACAAGCGTTTTGAGCTCCTCCACCGCCTCGACACGTTCTTCGCGCGCAATGGCGTCGTTGGTGCCTGCGAGCACGGAGGAAGCTGCTTCGATACCGCGTGCAATGTCTTCTCGTCGTCCTTCGTCGAGGTCGCCATTCTTTTGGAGTTCCTATGTGTGTTAGCAACAGAGTCTGAGAGCAGGATTTGTGGACATACACGAAGTAGTAGCGGATATTTGGTAAGTCGTTGGAAGGGCTTTAGGAGGAAAGACGCGAGCAGAGTCGGCGATTCGACCATCTGTCGCATCTCAGCAGGTCCACCCGTCTCCTTTAGTTTGTCAAACTCGCGCATAGCAATCTGCTCGCACTTCTTCTGGTTCGCGATATACGGCTCGTAGACCTTGAAGGCATCCTTGTAGAGCACAAAAAGGTTTCCCCAGTTTTGTTCGTCGGGGTGCTGGGCGTTTGTCTGCTCGACGCGAATAAGGAAGCGGCGCTGGAAGTCGAGGAGGGCGTTCAAGTTGAGGAAGATGTCGTGTACTTGGTCGCCGCTGATGACACCCTTCTCCTCGACCAGCTTCTTGAACTCCTGCAACAACTCGAGATGCTGTACATAGGTGCGCTCCGTCTTGACCAGCTCGTCAATGATGTGCTCGCGCTGGGTGCGCTTGGTGACGACGCCGCCGGCATTCTCCAGAGATGCGGCAACGCCAGTGATCTTGCCCTGGGCCACGAGCTCGTCCAGCACGCGATTGACCACGTTGGTGACCTGTGGATCTGTTAGCGCGGGCCTACCCCACAGTCTTGCTAATGCTCACTTTCACAAATCCGGTTGTGTCGTCACCGTACAAGTCGCCGAGAATGAAGCAGCTCTCCTGGGGGATGCCCAGCTCGGCAACGCAGCTCTGGATGAACTTGTAGCAGGCCATCTTCTCGTTCTTCTTGAGCGTCTTCTCGTCCTGCTTGGTGCTGGGGATGCTCAGCAGGGTGCGGGGCCCCAGGGCGTTGTACAGCTCCATCAGTGGGTAGCCCCTCCGGAAGGTGCGCCATAGCAGCGTTACGGGGTCAGCGTCGTCGTCGGCCTTGTTCTCCTCCTCGGCGATCCAGCGGTCAAAGCCCTCGATGGCGCGCAGGCGCATCTGCAGCGTCAAGCAGCGCTGGAAGAGCGAGGTGTCCTTGTCGGCCCGCTTGTTGAGGACATTGTCCGAGGCTTCCACGGGGCCGCCATTGACGGGCGTCGACGACGTCGGGAAGCTGGGCGGGGGGTTGAAGAGGGTCGAGTTGCTCGTGGCCTGGGTGCTCTGCGTGTCGCGCGCGCTGCTGTGCGAGTAGCTCGAGTAGGTGCTCTGGAAGCTCTGGTGCGACATGAGGGCAGGCGGCCCGGTCGAGGTCATCCGGGCGTGTGCAGTTTGCTTTGAGGGCGACTTTGGTGGTGTGTGGGAGACGGCGAAGGTGGTATGGGCTCTCGCCAGACCCGAGTGAAACGATAGTCCGCCCTCCATGCTGCTTTCATCGATCTCCTTGCGCTCGCGCTAGGCCCCTAGGCGGTCAGGGTCGAAGCTGCTAAACCGAGCAGGGCGGCGAGACGTGGATCGTGCGGCGACTGAAGACAATTTCACAGCCAGGCCTGCAGCACGCGGGTCGCGATAACGGTTGCTGATGTGGATAGCTTCGCTGCTATCTTCGCAGTGGGATGTCCAATGTCTAGAGACGCTGCAGCGGGTCGTCCTGAAAGGGGGAGTTGGGCGTTTCACCCGCATATGCGGCGTTGCAGAAGCCGCACGTGACTGCGACTACAAAACTCAAAACATGTCACTGTCACTACTGCAAATCACTGGCGTCCCAAGCTTCCCACTCTCCGTTGGGCTCTCTCTTCGGACCAACGCGCATGTTTGCAGCGACGGTGACGGCCTCGGTGTCACCCCCACAGCCAGCCGGCGCGTCGTCGTTCCACTCATTTCCAGCCCAGTCCTTTGATAAACCGCGAGTCTGCGATATATGACAGCTGACTCACGGCGGCGAGCCGCCCTCGCCCATGGCAGCGCTCATGACTTGACGGTTTAGCAATGTGAAAGCCTATCGCGGTACATCACCCACTTCACCATCTGCCGCGTGCGTGTTTGTTATGTCGGCACAAGTGCTGCCTTGGGCCGCGATCGTCCCTCTGCCTGCCTGTCGCGGACCCATTTCTCCAGCCTTGTTAACCGGGAACTCAAACCCTTGGTACACCACGCGGCTCATGCGACTATTGTTGGAGCCGTTTGTTAAAGCGGTGTGGAAGAACACATCCCGTTCTCTGGCCGTGATGCCATTGTGGTAAACGACATGGAGCCTCCTTAGGCGCCCATTCTCACATGCTATGCAACGAGAACAGCGTATTGGTCCAGCTCAGACGAACGCGAGAGCAGGTGATGTTGCCCGATCGGCGCTTGGAGAGCATTGAAATATCTGACACAAATATCCGGGCGAGGTATTAAAAGCTTCAGTATTCCATGGTTACTCGTAAGGTGAGAAGTGGAGCAGGTGTCAGACTCTCGACGCGAAGTTGTCAAGTCTGTCACCCCGCAAGCACGTCACCGTCACGAATCTCGCAAGCGAATACCCAACAGTAAAACTCAGACGGCCTGCACAAACTCCGCCGACTAGTCGCTTCATGTACATTATAAACCTTGACATGTGCACGTGAAGAGCATGTAATGACATCGGGGAATTCTTCCATTCTTCTAGACTGCATCCTTCCACTTCTAGTGCATCAGCCGTTAAGCGGGCAGTCTAGCGTTGGTTCTCCTGGTGTGTCTCAGGTGTGAGCGACTTGGCCGCACGAGTAGTAGTCCGCATATCTAGGCAGCTCGGCTAGCGGCAGATCTGGAGTGAATGAGCGCGGGTGCACGGGCATGTGTTGCGGGAAGCAATGACATGCACTGGGCACCTCTCGAGGCTCTGCGAAAGTCGGAGATTCCCATCGCAAAGTCGATATACTCGCCTTTGCTACAATACAAAACACACAGCATTCGTCATAGTCCATCCGCGCGTTCATCGTAATACCTCACCAGCCGTCGCTTTCCGCACCTCCAGGACCCTGATTACCAAGACCGTCAGGCAACATCAGCCCGACCACCCTGGCAGCGCATGTTTGGACGACATAACATCACACTCTCGCTGCAATAGAGCGCGCTGCAAACCGCCACAAGATCGCCTGTCAACTAGCGACCTTTGTCTCCACCCACCCACCTAACCCGCGCGCACCATCATGGCAGGCCCTCTAGGCACCCCAAATGCCCAATTTTCTGCCTCGCCCTACATGCATCCTTTCCGCCCTGCCTCTTCCATGAGTGCAAACCGCTTCGACGAAGGCTACTCCGAGGATACCAGGAGTCAGAATGAGGGCGATATGGTTATGCGCAGCGACGTGCCGCTGACCGACGGCGTCATGGAAGCTGACTCGCCCTTCGTCCTGCCCGACTGGGTCATGGCTCTGAGCGAGAACGAGCGAAGTGGTAAGTACAGGTTGCCGCATGTCAAGATTATGCACTGACATCATGTATAGAATTTGCTTATGCCATTCTTCGCTCGCTGCGGACTTCCTCGATCGCCGGCATCGTCGAAAAGCTTAACCCCCTCCTCCACCTCGACCCTGTAATATACCTCCCGCCCGAAATCACATTCCAAATACTCTCATATCTAAACCCCGAGACGCTGTTACGCGCGTCGACACTATCTCGGGCATGGAGGGAACGAGTGCTGGATAGCCCCCTGTGGAAGCTGCTGTTCAGATTGGAGGGCTGGAACTCCAACTTCCCCCAAGTCCGCGCATACGAAGAGGCCCAAAGACAAAAACGCGTAGAGTTCAAGGAGAAGGAGCGAAAGACGCGACATAGAGCCGCCGAGGATACCGACTACGGCAAGCCATCCCACAAGAAGCGCGTACGGGAACGACAGTTGTTCGGCGATGGAACCACCTTGGAGAATGGCGCACAGATTACAGCAGGGTCGAGCTCTACCAGCAATGCCTGGGGTGAGCAGCATGGAGCAGTCGAGGCCGACGACAGTCCGTCTGTCAAGTCTGAGGATAAAATGGAGGGCATCTCCTTCCATGGCGCATCCCCTACAGCCTCGCCTACTGATGTGGCACGTAAAGAAAGAAGACAGGACGCCTCTTTTGGAGAGACGTCTTCGGCAACCGTGTCAGCAGACACGAAGGGACCCCCCATACACCCATCACTCCTGCTCCCCGGTCCGGAAGCTAGGATCAATTGGCAATATCTCTACAAGCAGAAGAGGAGGTTAGAGGAAAATTGGAGCACCGGGCGGTATTCCAACTTCCAGCTACCACACCCTAACCATTCAGAGGAAGCTCATACTGAATGCGTGTATACCATACAGTATTCTGGGAAGTACCTGGTTAGCGGCAGTCGAGATAAAAGCATCAGGATCTGGAATTTGGACACTCTCCGCCTAGTGCATCCACCGCTTACTGGTCACCAAGCCTCTGTCCTATGTTTACAATTCGACGAGCGCCCTGAGCAAGATATTGTCGTGTCTGGAGGTAGCGATTGCAAAGTCATTCTGTGGAAGTTCTCCACTGGGCGAATCATCAAGGAAATTGAGAGGGCGCATTCCGAGTCGGTTCTGAACCTAAGGTTCGACGATCGTTACCTTGTCACTTGCTCGAAAGATAAAACGATCAAGGTGTGGAACCGCAAAGAGATGATGCCAACGGATGACACCTACCCATCTTCTACCATGAAGTCGGGCGCTCGATTCCCTTCCTATATCATCAACATGCAAGAACATGTCGAGAACCAGCACCTTCATTTCAAACCTCTCCTTCCATACAGCCTCATCATGACTCTGGAAGGCCACGGCGCTGCAGTCAATGCCATCCAGATTCTTGACGGTCAAATTGTTTCTGCATCTGGAGACAGGAGCGTCAAATGCTGGGACGTTCGCACTGGTGCATGCACGCGGACATTTTCGGGTCACACCAAGGGTATTGCTTGTGTCCAGTTCGATGGACGACGGATCGTTAGTGGAAGTTCAGACGAGAGCGTCCGCATCTTTGATCGCGCAACAGGGGCTGAAGTTGCCTGCTTGAACGGCCACAGCAATCTTGTGCGCACTGTGCAAGCGCAGTTTGGTGACCTTCCTGGCAATGAAGAGGAGCTCGAGGCAGAAGCACGGTCCGTTGATCGAAATTACTTCGCGGCACAAGCTAGCGGTCTACTCTCTGAGCAAAACCTCACTAGGGCGGAGCGACGCGCACGCAACGCAGGATCCCGCGACCCATCTAAGATATTTGCTTACGGAGCTAAACTACCACCGGGTGGTGGTGGCAGCAAATGGGCGCGCATAGTCTCAGGCTCGTACGACGAGACTGTTATTATCTGGAAGAGAGGGCCTGATGGAACTTGGGAAAAGTCACAAACACTTCTCCAAAACGATGCTGTCCGAGCTGCTGGCGGCCGACCTCGAAGACCAGTCAATCATGCCGCCAACGCGAACCACGCTGCCCAACACCCCAATCAACAAGCTAATGCTCAAGCTCCTGCGCAACAAAACAACTTCCAGGCTCTCGCGCAGCAGGCTCAGGCTCAGGCCCAAGCAGCTCAGACACTAGCCCAGCAAGCTCACGCCCTCCATGCAGCATCTCAAGCGATGCATGGCCCTGCCGCAAACAACGCGACCGCAAACGCAGCGGGTAACAACAACGCAGCAGGAAACAACCAAGCCGCCGCAACAGTAGCAACCGCACAACAAGGCGCTGCAGGCCCAGCTAATGTCGCACCACACCACCATCATCACCATCACCACCACCCGCCTCATCCACTCGCAGCGCCCCTCAACACCAACGGCACTAATTCGAGAGTCTTCAAATTGCAGTTCGATGCCCGGAGGATCATCTGTTGTAGCCAAGATCCCACGATTGTTGGGTGGGACTTTGCGAATGGTGATAAAGATATTATGCTTGCTAGTCAGTTCTTCGGCGACTCGTACTAGGGGTGGGAGGGATATTCATTACTGCTTGACTATGTTCTGAGCGCCTAAGGGTTTGCTGCTAATGATTTTGTTAACATTTCCTGTATGATGATTATGTAGATAACGCTGCGTTTCGCATTGCATTCGGGATGGAATGTTCTTGGACGATATGCTTTCCAGAGCTTCTTTTTTTGTGGCTTGTTAACGACAATTCAGATTACCTTCATGTCTTATCCTCCAATGGATCGCCAAGTTTCACTCGTGACATGAATGATTTTAATTGGCCCCGTGCACGGCAAAACTCCATGGAAGTGGCTGTGCTTATTGGAGGCCTCCCTCAGCAGAGATGTGCTAGATATTTGAATGCGCCCGCACTTCATCAGTTCCTGAGTTCAGTTTTCCACATATCTCCTCTCAACGTCATCTCTTGCGGTCGTCCCTTGGTAATTGCCAACTCGGGCACTACAACATTCAGGTTGCTGGGAAACGTGATATGCGCGGCTCGGATATCGAAGTTTCGCATCTACTTGGTTGATATCAACATATGCGCACCTGGTGGAAAAATCACCGAGATTCCTGATTCAGCTTAAATGGCGTACCGGACGCAGTTCTGGCGGTGGGCTTCCAACATCAGCTCACTTCCGCTTCGTTTTGATAGATGGCTGATTCCGCTACCGATCGGATGGAAGCTATCGTTTGGGTTCTGGATCAGATATACTGTGGATAGTCCAGCGGCTCCGCCCTCTATCGCTTTTGTGCGTTTCCCTTGACCATGTTCAGTCCAAGCACTAATTCCTGTAGGGCGATGGAGACCAACCGGCAAGAAACACGTACGAGCTATATACGCCTCTCGACAGATCGCAAGACCAATTTCGTCTGCTCAACCTCTTACCAGGCAATCCTGGAGACGTAATACGAACTACGTTACACATATCATGCCTAAACGCCAGACCCTCCTACGAAGCATTGTCTTACGTCTGGGGAGATTCTGGGGACTCGCGTGTCATCGTGGTAAATGGTCGTCCCGTGAAGGTGACCAGAAGTATATACAATGCCTTCGAGGCTCTGAGAGACCCGTACTCGCTAAGAACGCTCTGGACCGACCAACTATGCATTAATCAAAGCAATATGGAGGAAAAAAATCAGCAGGTCCAGATCATGGGCGACATTTATAAGACTGCAACCAGTGTCGTCGTGGATCTGGGCCAGCCTACCGAACACACCGAGACAGACATGCAACGCCTGCGATCTTTCATGGAACCTCATGCTCAGGGTGAAGATGCTCCATGGTCGCATATCGCTATACCTGATCTCGAACGAAGCATAGGCAGTATCCTCTCAAGACCTTGGTTCACACGGATGTGGACAGTTCAAGAGGTAGTATTGGCCAAAAAGACTACCTTGCAATGTGGCAGCCACCAAATTCGATGGACCTGTGATCTACGAACCTTGCGAGCTCTAGTCTTTCGCATCAAATCTGCAGTCGTATCACCGGTTTACGCCCTACATGAACGGCCTGCGAGCGGACTGGACTGGATGCCATTGCTCTACATTCTTGAGTCACAGATGAGGCAAGCGGCACGCCGGGAAGGTGTGGTATTACAACGAAACCTACTTGATGTAGCCTTCGACTTCCGAAACCGGCTCACGACTATGGCTCATGATAGGTATTTTGCTATTCTGGGGATTATCGAGAATGATCAGGGAGGATCGTTGTGTTTCGGTCCGGACTATGCCTCGGGCGCAGATGACGTGTATCAAAGGTTTAAAGCCGAGATTCAACGTGTCAGTGAGATAGAGGATGTTCCGCTTGCGTGAAATTGCGATTCTTCTGGTCACCGCTTTCTCATGGTATGACCGCAATAGACGCATGTAGTAGAATATCGTCAACATGGCCTACCACTACCATAAACAATGTTAGCTGCATCCAGCCTATCAAGAAGTTTGGTATGGATGAGTATCAATACACACGCTGAGCAGAGTTACACGTGATGTTCTACCCCTCTAGCCTATCGACGCAAAATTCAGCGAGTACCTTTAGGGCAGGGGTTTACCAGGTACGACTGAGAAAACACGAGCTTCTTCATGCTACCTGTGAAGATTTTCTGAGTGCAGATGAACATCTCAAAAGAAAGGCAACAGTGTATTTTGTCTGCTAGAAATCTTCGGCGGATAGTAAACTCATCTAAACTACTAGTTCAGCGAGGTACGAAGGCATTACCAATTTTCCGACATCGAGGTCGACTCTTGAAGCAGTATCAGTCATTGCTGGCCCAGACACTAAGTCGAGAATGGCAGGCGTGTCAAGGTGGAAAGTGGTGCAAACTGTGACCTGACTTCACCAGTTACGTCTTGACACGAAGCGAGGACTGTTTGGTGGATGTACAAATCTTCGAACACAATGGAAGAGAGCAATACCGATTACAACAGCCAAGATCTCTGGCTTCAGACGGATACTTGTAGAACTCTCACCTGTTAGAATAATTTAACGTTGTGTCATGGAGATCGGAGCAACTGTGACGCGTCTGGATGCGCGTCATCGGGGGAATGCTAGTGTGCCAAGTCTGATCGGCGCTAAATACCCCTGCGGCGCAGGTAGCGCGGGCCGACAAGCACGGGAATCCGCGCCCACGCCAGGCTGACAGCACTCAAGATGGACACAGCTCGCGACTGTCGTTTACCTTGCACCGATTCGACCTTTCGTTCACTGTAATCTTATGTACATATCTTGCCTATCCTTCTCTGATATATTGGTTGTCATGCGCGAATAGCGAATTCTAGATCTACGAACGACCCTCGCGAGAGCTCCGCACATGATGGTTGTTAGATCTGCTTCAGGAACGCTGGGCGGGGTGTCGATGAAGCATCTGTCACTTGTAACGGTAAGCGCATTTCTGCGCCTTTTTCTTATGTATGTGCATAAGCTAATCGTCGAGCAGCTTACATTCCAAAACTCAGCCCTTATTTTGGTATGATTACTCTCCACGGCAACCGACTACCCGAGCGCAATCGAAGAGCACAATCAGAAAGCGGATGCTATAGCGGGCGAACCGGAAAGTGCCAGTGGCTGACGCGACATCAGATTATGCATTACTCAAGGGTAATGCCTCTAACTGGAGGGCAAAGATACCACGCAAGCACGAGCGTCTTCTTGAACGAGGTTATCAAGCTAGCTATAAGCTTGACTATGGTATGGCAATAGTATCGGCAAGCATGAGTTGTGGTCAGGCTTACAATATCCATAGGCATTACACGAAATGTCCGGCAATCTTCCTTCGAATACAACTGTCCCGACCTTGTTCCGTACCATGACGACCGCGATGTTTACAAACGAGAGCTGGAAGCTTGCGATACCCGCTGTGTTATACACGATACAAAACTCTCTTCAATATATTGCTGTCAGCAACTTGGATGCTGCGACCTTTCAAGTTACCTACCAACTCAAGATCCTGACGACAGCCATTTTCAGCGTCTTGATGCTAGGCCGACGCCTCTCGACACGCCAATGGCTATCTCTATTACTTTTGATTGTCGGCGTATCTATTATACAAGTACCGCAAGCGACTTCACCTTCAACCACACAAGGCTCAGAATCACAGTCGTGGACTAAGACGCTGGAGCAACTACACGATCTGGGCGAGAATGTTGCGGGGCGGGTATTGAAGCGATCTGGCTCATACGAGGGTATACACGAGGATCGCGCAGCTCAGGTACCTCGCATGAACAGTCGTGTTGGGCTCGTCGCTGTCTTGATCTCCTGCGCTCTTTCAGGCCTGGCCGGAGTCATATTCGAAAAGATAATAAAGGAATCAACGAGCGCAAAGCTGACACCACTCTGGGTGCGCAACTGCCAGCTCTGTTTCTGGTCGCTTTTCCCTTCGCTTTTCCTCGGCGTTATATGGAAGGACGGAGAAGTGATAGCGAAGACTGGATTCTTTGTCGGCTACAACTGGGTTGTGTGGACGGCCATTGGTTTTCAAGCGGCTGGTGGTGTTCTCGTTTCGCTGGTCATCAAATATGCTGACAACATTGCGAAGAACTTTGCGACATCGATCTCGATTTTGATCAGTTGTATAGCTAGCGTGTACTTCTTTGACTTCAAGGTGACGCGATCAGTAAGTTTAAAACAACATCGTAAAGTTCATGATGCTGATAATTCGCAGTTCTTCCTAGGCACTTGTGTCGTGCTGTTCGCTACTTATCTCTATACCAAGCCCGAGCGGGGCACGCAACCATCACCTGTCAGGATCGCCGACTTTGAGAAGACCACGGTGGATCAGTCTTACGATACGGACGTGCCTCGAAGCCCAACAGGGTATAATAGTGTTCCTAGATCGATGCCGGAATCACCTACGATAGAACGGCATTCCCATAAGCGAGAGGCTTGAGTATCAATATCACAGCTATATGCAAGAACATAGCGAAGTCGTGGCCTACTTGTGACTAACGCAGATTTATTCGCTCATCGGTGGTAGAGACCATTCGTGATTGAATATTGCCTCTGTGTCATGTCGCGGAATTTTACTGACACGGCAGGCCGCGACTTCCTCCATTCGTCGCTTCCCTTTCCATCCCAACCCTCACCTAACGCCCCATTGAACACTCACCCTTTCGTCCTATGCCACGTCGTACCTTACTTCACCTCTGGCATAGCTACATGTAGGAGTCATGGGCGACGAGTACTACCCGCCGGGTGACTTCGAGCGGCTCGGCGCTCCCCGTGGCACATCACAGTACGAAGTCCTTCGACCTCAGTTCAAACAGCCAGGAAGACCAGCTGCACGTCGAGATCGCTATCGCGTGACTCAATACGACAGTCACAGCTATGACGCGGTCGAGGATGATAACGTATATGATCATGGCCCGCAACTCGATTCATTCGGTACATGAGCATCTTACTTCTGGTAGTGCTTCGCTCACACTGTGTAGATGAGAGGCTGCTCCAGCAACCGTACCCTAACCGTCAGCGACAAGCTGCACAAGGCAGGACGCGGCTATCGCTTGCACCAGTTCCGTCCACATCCTTCAACAATACAGAGCCTACTCGATCTCATCAGCCTCATCGCGCTCGTGACAATCGCACATACGACGACGAAGGTACTTGAGCCCTGACCCCAGAGACACAGCTGCTGACCGAGAAGCCGGGCATCATCCGCGTCCTGAGCAAGCTATGCAGGGTCAATTGAGTGAGTTCATGTCAAAGCTCTGGTTGTAAACGTCATACTGATCAGTGCCCAGGTCATTTCGCCCACAATGCCACACCCTTTTATGAATCAAGTTCCGATGTACCAATTGGCCCTTCCTCCAGTCCAGCATTTAAGGCAAGTCAGCGGCGTGTTGACCAAATCACCAACATTACGCCACAACGCAAATCACAAGCGCGATTCTTCGAGAATGAGCGTCAATACGCTTCCGAAGAATATCAGCGACAATTTCAGCGCCTTTATAAGCAGGTTGTACGGCCCAGCTTTCAACAACAGCATGACCAACGCCGACCACCTGCTATACAACAAAGAGAGGAAGCTAACCTTCAGTATCATCAACAAGCTCTTCCGAAGCCACAGCCGAACCCAGTCGATCTGTCTCATGCTACTCCCACGTGCCAGGGCATTCGTCTCGTCCCTGTTACAACTCTACCTGATCGTCTCCGGACCGTGTTCCCTTATCCGACCTTTAACGCCGTTCAGTCCAAGTGTTTCGAGAGAGTATACAATACCGACGATAACTTTGTGCTTGCATCTCCTACAGCAAGCGGCAAAACCGTCATTCTCGAGCTGGCCGTGTGTCGTGCTGTTGCCAATAATGCAACGGGTCAGTACAAGGTGGTTTACCAAGCACCGACGAAGGCTTTGTGCTCCGAACGTCAGCGGGATTGGGAAGCCAAGTTCACCAAACTCGGCCTCAAGTGTGCCGAGCTGACCGGCGACAGCGATGTCCGAGATCTCCGCAATGTACAGAGTGCTAACATAATCATAACCACACCTGAGAAGTGGGACAGCATGACTAGGAAATGGAAAGACCACGAGAAGCTGATGAGACTCATTCGGGTGTTTCTCATCGACGAAGTACACATACTCAAAGAAGATCGCGGTGCTACGCTTGAAGCGGTCGTATCGCGGATGAAGTCCATCAGTACAGATGTTCGCTTCGTAGCTCTATCGGCGACAGTACCCAACTTCCATGATATCGCCGCATGGTTGGGGAAGAATTCGTTCGAGCCAGATATCCCGGCCGCCAACGAGAAGTTTGGTGAGGAGTTCCGCCCTGTAATACTGCAAAAGCATGTTCGGGGTTACAATTCAAACTCCTGCAACGATTTCGGGTTCGAGAGGTTCCTCGATGCAAAGATACCCGAGGTCATTGCTACGTATTCCAAGCGTAAGCCGATGATGGTTTTCTGCGCGACCAGGAATTCTACCATCAATACAGCAAAGCTCATTGCGAAATGGTGGGAATCGACATCTGGTAGGGATCGCATGTGGAGATCTCCATCCAGGCCGCCCCTACTCTCCAACAAGGAGCTTCGAGACACTGCGACCTCAGGTGTCGCTTTCCATCACGCAGGGCTTGATTTGGATGATCGGCTGCAGGTTGAGAAAGGTTTTATCGCCGGCGAGATTAACGTGATCTGCTGCACCTCCACGCTCGCCGTCGGTGTCAACTTACCCTGTCATCTAGTCATCATCAAGAACACTATGGCTTGGGATGCGGAAGGCCTTCATGAGTATTCGGATCTAGAGATGATGCAGATGCTTGGCCGTGCGGGACGACCTCAATACGACGACTCGGCAGTAGCGGTCATCATGACTCGACAAGCGAAGGTCCGCCGTTACGAGATGTTGGTAGCTGGTCAAGATCTCGTCGAAAGCAAGCTCCACCTCAACCTGGTGGATCACTTGAACGCCGAAATCGGGTTGGGGACGATTAGCGACTTATTATCGGCCAGAAAGTGGCTCAGAAGCACGTTTCTCTACGTCCGGCTCCAGAAGAATCCCAGCTTTTACAAGTTGGATGGCTCTAGAAGTGGTCAAAGTATTGAAGAACAGCTCGACGATATCTGCTTTCGTGACATTACTCTCCTGCGCGAGACCAATCTCGTGTCCGGCCAGGAGTACTTCCGAAGTACAGAGTTTGGTCAGGTTATGGCACGATATTACGTGAACTTCAATACGATGAAAGTTTTCATGGGACTGGAACCAAAGTCGACAGCCTCTGAGATCGTGAGTCAATCCACCGCAGTGTCAACTAGCATGATTGTATTGACTCTCTCGCACAGCTCTCCGCTATCGCACAAGCTACCGAGTTCTCTAAGATACGTTTTCGACAAGGTGAAAAGTCCTTTTACAAGCTCCTAAACAAGTCACCTTCGATCCGCTGGCCCATACCCGTCAATCTTGACCTTCCGGCCCAGAAGGTATCCCTCATCATACAATCTGTCCTCGGATCTGCCGACATTTCATGGGACGACGAGACGAGCAAACACCGTTCAGAATACACGACCGAGACGCAGATCATCTTCAAAAACACAGGCAGCCTTATTCGATGCATTATTGACTGTCAGATCATCCTAGGAGACTCCTTCAGCATCCATAGTGCTCTGATGCTTGAGAGAAGCTTAGGAGCGAGGATTTGGGATGACAGCCCACTACAGATGAAGCAGATTGAGAGTATCGGTGTTGTTGCCGTCAGAAAGCTCGTCAACGCTGGACTGAGATCTATGGAGGATCTTGAAGACTGTGAACCTCACCGAATCGAAACTCTTGTTGGTCGAAATCCGCCGTATGGTCTCACAATACTTGATAAGGTCCGATCATTCCCAAAGCTTCGCGTGTCGCTCCATGCGCAACTTTCGACCGTAACTATGTATCTCCATGCTGATGTACGCAACCTAATGAGGTCCAGATGATCAAATCCTACGACGGGGTGAAACTCCAGATCAAGGCAGACATTGGCTTTATCAACGAACAGCCGCCGCATCGTTTCAACAACAAGCTGATCTATGTGTGCCTCTTGGTAGACACCTCGGATGGTCGCAAGATACATTTCGCTCGTATCAGGTATGTGATCGTGATGTGGGTATCACCCTATACTAATCTCTGTTTCAGTGGTCCAAAGCTTGGCTCAGGTCAAAGCATAACGATTCCAGCTCTCTTGACAAACCCAGAGCAATCTATTAACTGTTACGTTATGTGTGATGGCATAGGCATGTACTGTGTCTCTCACATGGCGGAAGTGACTAATATCTGCCAGCTGGCAGTATGCGTTTTACCACAGTCAATCCTCAGATAGACGCCTCCATGTTTCCCACATCGAGACTCCAGGAGTCAGACGTCACAATGTCGCATCAATCCAACATGTCGGAGCGTCGCACTGATACTGCGAGACCAACTCGGAAGCTGTCGGCCACTAGCGAAGATTTTGGAGATTGTGACTTGGACGACGATGCACTTGTGGGCGCTTCGTTTCAAAATCTCGATTTCGACCACATTGAGAACTATGCCGACCCTATCGACACGGTCACACGAAAGAATACTGCGAAGAACAAATGGAATGAGGACAAAATCATCGGAAATAAGAAGAGTATCACAGGGCCGCTTGCTGCTACTACTGGTGACAACGATCAAGAGCCAGTACAGTTAGCCAATGGCAAGTGGGCATGCAACCACCCATGCAAAGACAGACTCGCATGCAAGCACCTTTGTTGCAAGGATGGCATGGACAAGCCACCAAAGAAGAAGACTGCTGCCAAACGCGTCCCATCCGGAGAAGATCGACCGGAGCCGACGCAGAAAGTCCTGGTTTCAAAACGCAAAGAAACGCAGACTAAGCTTCAGCTTCCATCATCCAAGCGAAAGGCTTCCGCGCCGATTGAAGAGCTCGATCTTACGCGACAAGAGAAGAAACAAAAGGCTAACTATGGCATCAACGGACCAAGACACTATCGCGGTCTGCACCAGCTGTACAAAACTATCCAGGGCAAAGAGCTGCCTTCTTCCCTCTATTCAGTCATGTACAAGAAACCAGCTTACTGTTATTCCCAAGGTAGTGAGCATAGTCTTGACTTTATGGGTCATTCTACCGCCGAGCCGCCTCCAACTTCGAGTGACTACGGAGATATCCCACTAGATGAGCCATCAGCCTACTTCGACGATCCTCAACAGCGTCATGCTGAGACCACAGCGCCTGCAATTTCTTACGGATCCGATACGTTTGGCGATGACAACTCCTTGGTCGAAGATGCTATGATCGGGCTTGCAGATTCTCAGAACCTGCAGGAACTCCGTAAGAGTGATTTTGTTACTGTGCAACCTCTGAGGGAAGTTCTCGACGATGAAGACGGTATGTGCTACGACGAAGACAACAATCATATGGATGTCAGCTTGCCAGCTTGTAACGACCGGGAGTATAGCGCTCTCCCAGAGCCACCCAATCTTGCCCATCATGATGAACCACACGAAGTACCAATCAAGAAATCTCGGTCGCTTTTCGTCGGTAGTACAAGCAGTCCTCAGGCTGAGCTCACCAGCTTCATACCTACAAAGACACTGGCCGATAATCTCGCAATGCTAAATCTACAACAACGGACCGCTACACCACACCACCCACATTCAACTACGGATGAGCAACTGGCATATGCTAAGGATGATATAGCAGATATACTTTGCATGTTCGGCGATGAGCCGGCCAGGGATCCGCCTGTCGAGGAGAAACCAGTATCTGAAGCGTTCGAGGGTCTGGAACCATGGCTATTCCAAGAGTTTGGTGATATCGTGGAACTTGTTGATGAATGAAAAAGGTCTGAAGCTAACGAAACGCAACGGGAGAGCAGTGTGATCAAATAGGTGCGCCTGGAAAACGTGTGTGACTAAGGAGCTTAGTAAATGGCAACGCTCGCGACCTCTGGAGGCTAATAATCCCCTTTCCTTTCGAGTCTCAGCTATAATCCTCTTTGTTTTCTCGATCGGACGACTTACTGATAACGGCGTCAAGCAATGTTCAACAGTGCCATAACTTGCGATGGAAGTGTGAAGATTTAGTGTTTAGGATCCTTGGTGTTCTGCACCCGTGGTACTCGACGTTCGTGTCATAATCCATGTCTTGACTTCTGATAATTAGTCCCCAAGACCACGTGGTACATGACAAGTCAGGGAATAGCGTTCATAACAGTTTTCAAAATACGCATGGTGGATTCTAATATAGGGACGGTGAGAAGGGTGAGAAACATAATGCACGAGCAACGATATGACGAGCGGTGGCAGACGATGTAGCCGCTGGGCTGTGCTATGGATCGATACATTCACAATTACTTAGTAAGTGAAGTCCACTATCCGTAGTTTTGTATCAGCCAAGCAATTTCTATCGTACAATACTACAGCCCACCCGACGATACTTTGTCCTATGTGAGATGGCAAGATTGTAGCAGATCAACTGTATAAGTACAAAAGTGAAGAAACAAGAAAAAGGTGAAAAAAGAAGAAACGCTGTGAAGGTCTACCGTTCGACTCCCAGAACCTTTCGTCATGGACGGCTGGAATCATGTCAACCATTTATTACGCCTCGTCAATGGAAGAAGCGACAATCAATCTGCCAAGAAAGAAGACGCAACAAAAGCATCACTCGTACCTAGGACCGGTGTTTGTCGCAACACAACACCGGACTTTGCAAGAACGTGTTTCAACAACGCGACAAAAGTTGTCCTGATGAGACCAATACGCAAGATGGCTTAGATAGCTGGCCAGGAAAGTAAACAGCCGGACGGCTATCTGTCAAGTGCCCACGTCGCGATTCCTCTTCCCGACCCGGGTAATGTTATAAACTACATGTTTAAGCCAGTCTTTGCGGGCGGCTACGACCATGCAAAGCCAGAGTGACTCGAGGGGATGACTCGGACTGCTAGTCAGGTTGTGTCGCTAAGATTTCCGGGCTAGTTGTGCTCTCCGACGTCGTGAGCCTTGACAAGCGGACTAGTGACAGTATGGTCGCAGCCAAAGATGCCATCAGGGTTACGAACGGGAATTTCCAAGGGAAGGACGTGCTGAGGCGGAGTGAAGGGACTTTCTGAAGCCTGGGAGAATGAGGGACGAGTTGAGCGGATCAGCTCGGGGGTCGTTTGCTCGTTAGTAGCATCAGTGTTGTGAGGTGCTAGGGCATTGTCAGTCAAGATGCGTGTAAGAGCTGTGAGCGTGTATCTTACCTCCAAGAGTAGGTGAAAGGGCGGCTTGGGAGTTGATCGGCGAGTGCGCAAGGCTGATCAAAGCAGCAACGGCGTCAACCTCTTTCGCTTCCATCTCCTTGTTGTCTTCCTCCTCTTTAGTCACATCCTGAATCTCGACATGGTCGGCATCTGGTAGATGCAACAAGAAGTGCTGCCAATCCTCAAGATGATCCGCATACTCCGATTCGCACTCAATACCCTTGGCTGCAATGTCTGCCTTCATCGCCTTGTACCTCTCCATCATCTTGAACGTAATCCTGGGTATATACGTATCGCCTGACTTGCCAAAGATACAGCTATTAAGTCGAGCCCTGAGAACAGGATACATGCGTTTGAACTTTGAAGCAAAAGCGTTGGACTCGCGCTCAACACGAGGCGGAAGATCGTTGCCAGCCCTATCTTGAATCACGCTACCCACGAACGTCGCGTTGAACGCATCGCGGACTTGTCTGCTCGCCGGAAGCAGGATACCGCGCTTGCGTGATTCTACAATCGATAGCTGGAAGTACAGCTCGAACCAAAGATCCTCTTGTTCGTACCACAGGCTGACGGAGCGGGCCTTGAGACCGGCGCGGCCGTAGATTTGGTTGCGCCAGGCGTTGATTCTACTGATATGATGGGCGGAGTTCCAGTCGATCATTGAATGGGGAATTTTGCGGAAGTGCAGCTCGGTGACTCTGTTTGTGGTGGAGCAGTCGCAGACCATGCGCAGGAGGGATTCATCCTTGTGGCTGATGCTGGCCTTCTTGCGGGTACCGCGTGGGACGAGAGTCGACTTTGATCCATTTGCTTTGGAATTGGTTGCGACGAGCGTTTTTGTGCCTGCTGATGCGCTATTTGATGTTGGCTTGAGCTTCTTAGGTGACAGTGCCAGAGCTGGATCGTCGGTGTGCTCGTCGGCAGAACGTTTACGCCTGTATGCGGAGAGTGAAGTGACTGTGAGCGATGACTGCGGATCTTTCTTGATCTTCTCAAACGAAGATTGAGAGGGAAGACGAGTTGTTGGCTCCTGACTGATTTGTTCGCGCTTAGAAGGCATATTGTTTACGTGGGAGGAGTGAGCAGTTGAGTTCTAGGGATAGGGCTTGCGGTGTCGCTGATCGTTTGCGACGTGGATTCGACAACGAGCTCCAATGACACCAAAAGCGAACAAGTGTGTGTAGCTATTAGAGGTGGTTGCGACGTTGCGGATGCTTTGGTTGAAGTTGTTTGGGCACGGTCGAAGCTGTGTTGTGTTGTTGTGGGAATAGAGATCTGAAATAGAGACGAGATGTAGGATAGAACTTAGCTTGAGAGATTCTTGACGGCCCGTAGTGACTCGAAAAGTTTTCACGAGGGCGTTTGAGGTGAAACAGAGTGTAAGTGCACGCAGTGTACGCGTTGTTGATGCTCCGCGACGTCGCCACGGAATTACCAACGCTAGCTATTGTCGCCCTAAGATGGAGGAGGTGAATGTGCAAGGTAGTAAGACGAATAGACTTAGAAGGCATGAAACAAAAACACCTGGTAAAGAGATCTCGTATAAGGGAAGAAAGCTGTGGTGACTGCGTGCTCTCAACTGACGTCGCCCCCAGCTGTTGTTGGTTTTCCACGTTCACCTTCACCAACATACGTGCGGAGTTTCAACATTTTCTAGTTCTCTCCCAACTTGAGAGTGTTGAGAAGCTTTTTCGTAAGACAATGGCTCGCAGATACAATGATTGCAGTGAAGAGGCCGCCTGACAGTGACGCGCGGAGCTTGTGCCTTGTTCTAGAGTGGCATACCAGAGGTAGCGCATGCATCTATTGTCGTTATCCTCCATCTTTTTTCGTATTTCGAACTCCCGTTTGAGGTTCCGCTCGATTCAGGTGGTGATTGCCTCCCGACTCCAGGTTCAAATGGATTGGCATTGACTTGAATGACAGGAAGTGTAGCGAAGGCCTGGCCGCACAATCATTGCTAGCTAAACCTTTCAATAAGGTTTCTGCTTCGCCCGGTTGATTGAAGGTCGAGTTGTTCTCTATGATCCACTATCGAGATGTATACTCCACGCACTCGACGGGTCGATAGAGGCGGTTTTCCCTGCTCTACACTAGTTCGAAGTGAGAATAGCGGAATACTCCCAGGCGCCCACCAAAAGTCATCGCCTCAACTACGCCACAATCTCACAGCATGTAGCTGTCTTTCCCGTACAATGCTAGATATTGCGCCAATTATCCGGAAATGGGCCTGAGTCTGGATGCCTGCAGTCGAGCGAGCTGCGGGATGATCGATTTTGCTACGAATCAGCATGCCTCGTTAAAGAGTCTCTGGAGAGCCCTGGGCACTCAACCTTCCACGCGCTCCTTGCGACAGCGACGCAAGGCCATCACTCACGAACGTCCTGTCGAGGATTCTCATACGCGTGCGATTGACTGAGGCAACGCGCAAAGATGAGAGCCACATGCCTCGCTCTCATTAGAGTCCTCACGGTAGGCGTGATAGCACAAGCCGGCAGCGGCGTCTTTGAGCCGCAAGATTTCAACATAACGGCGGCTCTCGAAAACCTCGGCATTGACGTATCAGCTCTACCACAGCCAGCGAATACATTCAATGTAAGGTCTTCAGATGTGCCATGCTCAAACGCTGTAAGTATAACCATCGCATAATGGGGTTAAATAACACGAGTTGACAAAGACCCTAGTGTATCGCTTTAACGATACTGTTTGGCGCTGACAAAGTCTTGGCTGAAGGGGCGACCGCATACAGCGGTTTCACGGCAGGATACTGGTCTGCTCAACAAAGCTCACTACGACCTTCCTGTGTCTTCAAGCCCACCAAAACCCTAGACGTCTCAACACTAGTACTCGCGGCTAGACTGTACCAATGCCCTTTCGCCATAAAAGGTGGGGGTCATGCGGCATGGGCCGGTGCGTCCAGCATTGAAGACGGAATTACGGTCTCGTTGGAAGATTTCAAGCAGGCCGTTGTTGCCTCCGACAAACAGACAGTTGATATCGGCCCTGGGCTCCGATGGATAGAGGTTTACAAGGCTGTCGAGAAAGACGGCCTCAGTGTTGCGGGAGGGCGTGTAAGTCTACACATCTACTTTCATTATATGCTACTTTTGCTGATAGTGGATGAAGATGGCCCCTGTAGGCGTACCTGGACTCATCCTTGGAGGAGGCATATCCCACTTTGCGAGCAAGCGCGGCTGGGCATGTGATAACGTGGTGAGTTTTGAACTGGTCACAGCCTCTGGCTTCGCTATCAACGTCACCACAACTTCTTATCCTGATCTATACTGGGCATTGAGAGGAGGAGGTAACAATTTTGGGATTGTCACAAACTTTAAGCTTGACGCCTTCCCACTTGGTCAGATGTGGGGAGGCCAGCGGGTGTACCTGGAGGATGCAACTACGGCCGTGCTGGATGCGCTCTACCAGTTTACCGTATCTGGATCTGCCAAGGACGAAGATGCCGCCCAGATTGTGGTAAGTGCGCTTAACTTGTTCATCTTGCGTGGAAGACTGACATGTACAGACTTTCGCTAGCGCACCCGGAATCGGCAAAGTCTCTTTTGCCAATTTGCATTACGCCAAGCCGATTGCTAACGCGTCCGTCTTCTCCAGTTGGAACAATATTACTGCCATCGATGATACCACCGGCCTCCGGCCAATGTCCGGGATGGCTGACCTCCTGAACCAGGGAGCACCTACACCCGGAGCTTACCAGACCTGGTGGGGCATTAGTTTGAAGATGGATAGAGAACTCCTCCAGTTCATCGTTGACACGTTCTACGCTCAGGAAGCGAGCGTCGCCGATGTCGAGAAGATATTACTCATCATGGCCGTCCAGCCCATCACTGAGGGCGCGACCAAAGCCATGCAGAAGAACGGCGGAAATGCTTTGGGTATCGACCCAGAAAACGGCCCATACTTCGTACTTAACTTCAACGCGGCCTGGGATAGAAAGGAAGACGAACCCAAGTTTCACAGTGTCATTGCCAACGTCATCAAACTTGTCAAGGCGGAAGCAAAGAGGAGGAACCTTGACAACGACTTTGTGTATCTCAACTACGCATCTGAATATCAAGACCCCATTGGCAGCTACGGGGTGAAGAACAAGAAGCGGCTGGTAGAGATATCGAAGAAGTACGATCCTAAACAAGTCTTCCAGTACCTCCAACCTGGTGGGTTCAAGCTGGTGAAGGGCGCGCCGAATATGAATACTCCGAACGCGTCATTGGCCATTTCTCACGAACTTTGAAGTGTCTCGGATTCAAAGTACGTACTACTAGTCGTCTTGTACACTAGTGACTGCGGAGAGAGAAGAGGCAAGGTGGTTGCATTGCCCGGCATGAATGTCGCAGAAAGCGTTAGAGCAAAGATCACCAAAGCATCAAAAATCTCTTTTCGTCCTTTATGCATGCATTTATCGCGTCCAGCACTCATTTGTTCGCACTGATTGTACAATGCTTGGCATCATTGGGACGCGAACGGTCCTGTGAGCAATACGTTCACGTCCAGATGACAGGAACCATCAAAGCTTTAATTAGAACGTCGTAAGTGTGGAAGTACTGAACCTTATGCCTCCCGGTCAATCTACCAAGGTGCGCCACTCGCTAGGTCTGTGCAACTCTGCATGAGGCACTGGTAACACTGTCAGTCTCAACGACCTTTGGCTCTTGACTCAATAACTTCAAGTCAACCACTGCTGCGCTGGCGTTTATTATGCGAAAGACCGCCGTTTACGCGCTCCTCATCTCCATCCTACTCCACGAACCCACGCTTGAGGTGGTCATCAACCTTCTCGTCAACGCACACATCTTCTCGTGCATCTCGTTCGAAGTCCTATGCACCTTGATCAAAGGTCACTTCCCACCGGTCGCCTTTTTGACTACGACTATCTTCTCCAATACACGCGCCTTTATATAGCAACAATATGGATGGGCAATATCAAGACTGGCGTCGTTCGTACGTGTTCAGCTGGTACATCTGGTGCGCTGGGCGACAGGATTGCTCACAGAGAGCCCGCGTTAGTTGTGCGAGTTGAATAAGTTAATCATTGAGACTGGAGATGACCCGACGTGGAGACTACAGGATCATACCGATGGAAAAGTGTTGGAAAATGGGTTAGTCGCGGGAGAGACAGTGGTAGAAGTCCGCGCAGAAGTACGAAGAAGGCGTATCCAGGCCTCGCCTAGGCTTGGCAGTACGAGCATAAACACACATGTGTCAAGAAGAACAATCCACGAACGAGGCAAAAATGCTTTAATTCAGATAACCAATGGTGACTAAGGAGCAAGAGATCGTTGCATACGCTCGGTGCAGTCTAAGTGTGGTAAATAAGAACACCAGTCACACAGATGGCCCGACGATACAAAATTGCGCGGTCGTAGGAACAGTAAGATGGAGAAAATATCGCGAGGGAGAAATACTAAGAGATCCCATACGTCTCAGTTAACATGATCGGAAGACCTACCCACTTTGTATCGATGGATGCTAAGCAGACCAGTGATACTGCTCCAAAACATAGCCTTCCTCTTATGACCTAGGAGGAGGAGGAGGAGGAGGAATAATAGGAGGGAGAGAGCGATATGAGCTCGGACCGTTATCACGGGATCTATAGTCAGAGTCATCTCTTCCGGGCGTGGCACGCGTACCATCTGGGCAAGGCTGATCGTGTGCCGCTCACTGCTGAGTACGCCCGCGGGTGTCAGTAGCACCTTGAGGAGTGTTTTGATGCCGTGCTGGAAGTGGGTATGTGATGGTGCGCGAATCGCGTTGTGCTGCTGGCTCCCGCGCGATCGGCGGACGTCCTGTCACACGGCTATTCGCCGAGCCTGAAGCTGCCGATTGATCAGATCGCGTAAGCATAGCCCGCAGTGCAAGAGGAGGATTGAATCCCGGAGTACTAACCTGACCCTGTAACTGCTGCACCCGAAGTGTTGGAGGATTGTAGTGTAGGCGATTGGAGGGAGCGCTTCTACGGGATAACGAACCATATGGATCGCCCAGGGTATTTTGGAGTACATTCGCCAAAGCTGTAGTCCCATTACGGTCTCGCTGGTTCTTTTGGTCCATGGCAGCCTGTAGATCTCTAACATGGCACCTGCCTAGCACTCGTGTGCTCTTGGACGGCCGGAACGTGATCACATTCTCCGTGTCCATAGCAGAAACTGGAAGCCAGTTTTCAGGCGATCGGATACGAAGCGGTAGGTTACCGGTTGGATTTGGCGGTGCCGGGTGACCTTCAATATGTATTACGAAGTACGTGGCTAACCTCACTAGGGTTCTGGACTTGCTGAGAAAGTTGTCGTTATTGCTCGTAATCGCGAAACCGGTCCGATATTCATGATTCCCGCCGATGACCACGACTCTACGTTTTTCCGAGATACTAAGACCCCCCGATGAAGGTATAGTTTTCCCGTCGCCCAGGTATGCGTTTGAATCTCCAGTAACATCTGTCTCATCGATTTCGGCTACATCGCTGATTTCTATATCGTTCGCGTCGGTAAGGGTCGCCTTTCTATCGTCTCCCTCATAGAATTCGTAGTATCCAATCATATTCTTCTTACTATTAGGCGTTTTGTAAAGAGATAGATGTTGATTTCTAATAGCGCTACTTATGCCAGATAGACCTTGGCGGGGGCCACAGTGAGTGATATGAGCGATAATCGGGCAGCAGGTTACTGCGATAGTCTTTGTAATCATCTTGATCTGCGTAGGAAGAGCATTTCGGGATGGGCTTCTCCTTGAGAGGGATCGACTCCGTGGGTTTGACTCGTGTACCCTCAGACGCGGCATTTTCGGTTTGAGACGGTTTATTACAATGAGTGTCAGCTGGAGCATCGAGCAAAGGAGTCGTTTTACTCTCTCGCGGAGGCCTGTTCTCTTCAGTAGGTACAGCGTTAGACCTAACGGAGGGTACTGGCTCTTCAGCACCTACATTGCTCCAGCGATCACCCAGTCCCCCCGGTTTTGGATGGACGTTCGTTCTTGGGACTCTTCATATGGTGGTGTCCGGCGATCTTGATCGTCGTTCAGTCTACCCGGTCGGTTTTGGGGCACTAGAGACCTCGACCGCGTACGGTTTCGTCCTCTAGAACTTGGAGACCTCGATCGCCTTCTACGAGTGTGGTACGAATCCCCATGGCTCGGTACATATCTATCGTGTCCTTCTTCGCAACACCTCCTACGTTGGTTTCGGTTGTTCGCCATGACTTATCTTTCCGGACCAGAGCACCAAACTTCTTGGTTCCTTTCGGCTCTCGGTTGTTGAGTTCTCGGCGGGGAGCATTAAGGATGAACAGGGTGCATGCCGCAACTCTGAGCTTTCATGCAGAGAGCAACCCTCGCGAGAAGGCACTTGTGCGCCTACGTAGAATTCGTTTTTGCATCGTGAAAGCTCACTCTGGCCCACGTCCATCCTTGGGCTAAGAGAAGTTCAAGATTCTGCCGATTACACCCAGCAACTATTCATCAGCCAAACTTTTCAACCTCAGTTCTTTGTATATATGATAGATTTAATCTGGGGAAACATTTTCGTGTAGGCATTTCATCAACTGCTGGATTCTTGAATGGCTCGGCGTAGTGTATCAGTTCTCGCATTTTGTGAAGCTACACATGCTCCAGCGCCGTCGCGAAAGCCAGATGCGATATGGTTTCTTATGTTTGTAGTATTACTCATTCTGGAGGAACTCTGCGTACATTTATTGTATGCGTTGCGACATCCCCAATCGCTCTCTCACAATGCCTGGGACATGGGTTGTTAGTGCCTTTGAAGATTCAGCACCATTCACTTTGTTTATTGAGCGTTAGCAAAGCTTTGATCAATTCATTTGTACAAGTACTTGCTTGTTTTTTGCTTGCTATTCTCCCCATTCACAAATTCTGACCTTTGCAAAGCAGCAGCCGTTTCGCAATTTCAATATAAGACTTATCCAGCATGTCTCGACTTGTGAGCCAAAAGGGACCTCTTAACGCCACCACGGGCTCCAGTGACAAGCGACAGTTTACAAATCTCCTTGGCAAGCGGGCACTAGATGATGCTGACGGGTCTCAGATAAAGTCGGCTCCAGCAGCGGCTCGCCAGCTGTCTCCGCCAGGTTTCAAACGCATCTTATCCAGCAGTGAACCGTTACACTTGTACAGCCGCCGAGATCCCATAATTGGCACACTCCCGAAAAGGACAAAACTCACAGACACACTCAAGGCTTCGGCAAGCTTGTTGAAAGGATTGGCAGCCGAGCCGGGAGATAAACATCTGCCCTTTTTTGTTCAGTGCCTGTTGGCTGGCTGTCTCCATTGCTATCCTGGCGAATACCATGCTATCCATCGCGGCTCCTCGTCCTGCGAGGACTGCGCATATCGCCCCCCGGGATACGACATATGGCGTGTTTGTCATACTGCCTCGGACGAGGATATGTTTACAGAAGGTGATGCAGTCATGTCTCGGACTTATGACGGTGAGAAGAATGTTCTGTCCCTCGTCCTCGCGCGTCGACTATTCAAAGCCATGCATAACTCGGTGCTTGAGGGTCGCCTGTATCGTAAGACGAGGAGACGAATAGATGCAGAACTAGACGTAATATACTAAGATGCACAACCAGCATGGCAAGAGTATAAATCTGCTATTGCAGACCTCAAGGCGTTGAAGAAAAGATTGAGTCTTGCACAACTCCCACTCTACGAGGAGCGATCCCATCTGAAAGACGCAAGGAACAAACTCAAGCAGACGCAACACTGTTACTGAGCCTTCGAGACGCGCGAACTGCAACTAAAGAGTAAGCTGTGGAAGGCAGAGGAGCCTTGGTTCGCGAGCTTGGTGGATCTTGACTATTATTACGCCTTGGTTCTAGAAGACGCCGGAGTAGTATCGGAAGATAAAGATAAAGGCTGTGGATTAGACGAGTATAAGTATCATCGTAATGTTCGGTCCCGGAGTTACGGAGACAGCGATGTGTATGATGGTGAAGACACCGATACCGATTGCTCTGTCAGCGAAGCGTCGCACGTGGTCAACGGTAACTAAAGCCCAGTGCAGGCCCCAGAATTCCTTCTCGACGAAGCAGACGAAATACGAGCCGAATGGTTGAGGTATGTCGCATATTTTGAAGCGAAAGTCGAGTCTGCAAGGCAGATGCACGAGGATGTTCGACAGACCTACGCACCCTTGCTCACGGATTACATCGCGGACAATCCCGGTAGCAATCTAGACGATCTCAAAGACGAGGTTGGACCGCAGCATGTACAGAATGTGCGCAAATACATAAAAATATTACAGGATGCAGAGAATGCACTAGAAACCGCAAGAGAGGCAGCGAGAAAGGCTGGGATAGATCCAAATGCGGAACACGCGCAAGACCTCGACTCAGACGAAAATGTCCCCAACATGTGGGTTACGTGGGAAGTTCAAAGGTTGATAGCCGAAGTCGATCGTAAGAAGATCTCTCGATGGTTGGATGTGTCTGGAAAGTTCGAGCCATGGCCACTCGGATTTCCAAAATTTGACACATTTTCTGAGATTGAGAGCAGTTTCGAAGGCTGTGAGTTGTTGACGAGAGGATCATGCAAAGTTAGGCATAAACAGCGTGATACCAGCTCATCTCGGAACAATTTGCCCAAGCCGTCCGACCATCGGTTGACGACAAGCGACGTGCGTCTAGATAGCGTCAGCAGGTTCGACGACTATGATTACAGGCGCCACCACATCGACGCATGGGCACAGAGAGTGCGTGAAGGCTATCTCTAGGTTATGGAGAATTGCAGCGCAAATATGTCGCATTTATGGTGGAATCTGCTTGTGCTCTGGAATGGAATAAGTGATGCAAAGCGCTAATGGACAACCCGTCATCCAGATAGACAAAAAGAGCTTCCTTGCATCCTTCCAGCCGCAAGCTATGAGTTGACCTTGTCTGAGTAGAACGCCAACACTAACTCTGGAGTGTTCGCCTTTTCCCTTACTCATAGAGGTTCAAGACCAAGGATAACGTATCGCCCAGAGTGTGCTTTAATTTCGCGTATAACCTATACAAAACGAGCATACCCGTAAACATTCAAGGCTTTTTAGGGTCTGTCACGCGGCGTGCTAAGAGTGGTAATCGATAGTGCTGCGTGGGCGGAGAGCTGGGAAGTGAAGAATACAGCAGCAGTCACTTGTAGTTTCTTGATATCACAGTTGGTTACATAAAGTCACTGTCGCAAAAAAAGATAGACGTTGTAGTATGCTTGATGAGTAGGCTGGGAGACGAAAAGAAAGAGCTGCTGAGAGAATTGAAGGGACAAGTGAGGTATTGAGATGAATGCGACAGGGTGAGCCAGAGTTCCGATACTAGGCCTGTACAGAAGAGGAGGATCAAATAATGAGAGACGCATGCTCCGGTGTTACAATGAATCCTGCGATGTGATGATTCCAGACCAATTTTTTCCACATTCTGTGATGATGGTGTTCGCGTGTGTGAATCGTGGTGGTTGATGTATCGCCAAGTAAAGACGCAATTTGGTTGAAAAATCGATGACGTAATCGAGACGAAAATCGGCCATCGTACTCGTCACATCACGTCTCATGACTTCAGCCTTGCACCCAGCCTTACCCTTTGATGCTCATAGTCGTCACAGTCACCGACATATCCTAGGGTCTACACTCTACCATAGTATCCATGCAAGGCGTTTACCGCTCATTCTCCTGGACGTACCACTGCATGGCCGGAGCTGCTCTTGCCATGTCACGGCTGCATGTGCCTCATTGGGGTAAAAGTCGCGGATGAACTTGTTCTCCCAGGATCCGCTTGATGCACAGTCAGCCTACGTCAATGCGCGTGCACAAACGTTACAAGACCACTTTGGAAGGCTAGTGTTCCTCTCAACAAATCCGCCCACCAATGGACTGACCTGCTTGTATTGATTTCGAATAAATACCACGTCCTTCGTGGAGTCAGATGTAACTTCACGGCATTATTGGCCGCATGCGCTGAAATCACGGTGAGGTCGCATCCCTGCAGTAATACAGCATGCTCGCAGCATCGATCATAGGGCTGGCTACTAAGGCTGACATGCAGTTCTGACCCTGGTTGGCGATGCTCTTCCGTGCGTGAGTTACATCAGCCCTCTTACCATGTCGAGCAGTCGGCTAGACGGAGGTATAGCCGTTTTACTATTCACCGTACCATGAGTACTGCTGAAGGGTACAGCATTCCAGCGCGTCCACACTTATGCAGGCACTGCGCGACTTTGAGACAACCTTGTTTCCAGCACCATGGATGCGATGAGACATGCCCGGTGACTCGGAACCGAGATGCTTGATGGGACGCGCCCACGCCTGCGGAAGGAAAGCTGCCGTTGAGACCCATCAAAGGATGTTCGGCACACACATCGGACACGTGAACATCCACTCAGAAAATTCCCTGCTGGAGACGTGGAGTCTGACACTGCATCGACAACTTTCCAAATAATGTTGGTGTGGGCGCCGCGTTCATCGTTCCGTCCTGCGGTAGGGAAACGCGGTCACCCCAGAAATCGCTCGAGACGCCGAACGCAGAACATAGCTGAAGCACCGAAGAAATGCTTCTCGGGGATTTACTGTACCCTAATCTGCTTGTACAGAACTCGCAAAATCACACCACTGTCATTGCCATACGATGAAGGGGAGCCAATATTGTGGGAAGCGTTTTGGCATCACTATCGTATGCACCCAAAGACGGCGAGCATAGTCGCTCACCTCTAAACCTCTACCAGATGACGCTTTTTTGGTAATATGACAAGACAAGAAGTCGGTCAGGCTTGCAGCCGTAGTCGACCAAAACAGGCTACTTGGCCGCCCCCAAGGCTAATCCAGCAGCACGCATTAGCCGTCTGGCGCGATTTCCACAGAACGACAACCTCCCTACCGTTTCGCGTTGCAACCCAGCACTCTTACTCGTCGTCCGTCCGTGTGTGCAGCTGAAGACGCAGGCCGATGCAGCCGCATCCGATCACCGTTATTCTGTCTCTCCGCTTTTTGCTGTCGGCGAAGACTTCTCGTGCATACATGGTTCGGGAGCTCCGCGGGCAGCTGATTCGTAGCGGCTTGGAGAGCGGGGGTCCAGCGGCTGCGCCGAGCAGCGCCCTTGTGTCTGACTGCCCCACTTCTTTTCTTACAGGCACTCGAAATACCACACCATACATGGCAGTTCTGTGAAGCTTCGTTGGGGGCTGAGAAGTACATCAACATTGCCAAACATTTATTAACCACAGGGCCCCCAATGGACGCCATACGCCCCAAGAAGCATAGCCAGCCCCTGGGCATTCGGGATCTGGCACTAAATTAACAATGGCATCGAATGGTACTCACAACGACTTCATCAACATCACAACTCCACATTCCCGGGCGCCCAGCATGGTTCAGGAAACGCCAGCGTCCGCGCCGCGGCCGCGCTTGTCAGTCAGGAAACAAGCGCCTCAGAGGAACATTGACGAATTCTGGAACAAGTTTACGACCAAACATCCCGGCAAGATCTTTACGATCTTACCCGACAACCTGTATGCGAAGCGTGCCGCCGCACATGCGCCGAGAGGATCCATACCCGGTGTCAATGCGCTTGCATCCTACGAGGAGGCCAAAGAAGCTTGCACTAGAAAGGTTGACAAGATCGTCAAGGAATGCCGGCGATTGAATCAAAAGTATCGAGATCCGCATTTCGACATCGAGGCGGACTTCAAACGATCGCAAGCACTTCCTGACACACCAGCCGACTGTCTGACTGGGCTCAATGAAGACAAGACCGATTTTCATCCCTTATCGGTCAAGAGAGTTGAGGTACGTGTGTTATGTAGCATTGTCAAGACTTGGCTAATATATCACAGGACATTTTCGACGAACCACGATTCTATATTGGAGGCGCTACAGCGAACGATGTACGGCAGGGCAACGACGGCGACTGCTGGTTCATGTCAGCGCTGGCAACAATTTCGAACAAGGAAGAATTGATACAACGGGTATGCGTTGCACGCGACGAGCAGGTTGGTGTATACGGCTTTGTCTTTCACAGAGGTACAGACACGAACACACACATCCGGATAGAATACAGACTAACATGTCTCAGACGGTGAATGGATATCCGAAGTTATCGATGACAAACTATACCTGATCAAAGAAGACTTTGACGAAGCCAAACTCGAGCGCTATCACTGGCTGGAGCTCCAGAACCGCAAAAGCCCTGAAGACGAATATCGTACCGTAATGCAGACCGGTTCGCGAGCGTTGTACTTTGCACAATGTAGCGATCCCAATGAGACGTGGCTGCCATTGCTCGAAAAGGCTTTTGCCAAAGCACATGGTGACTATAGTGCCATCGATGGTGGCTTTGTTGGGGAAGGTATCGAGGACCTCACTGGGGGTGTCACGTCAGAAGTCTTCGCGACCGATATTCTGGACAAGGACAAATTCTGGCGCGAAGAGCTCATGAACGTCAACAAGACGTTCCTCTTCGGGTGTGGTCAGATGGGCGGTATCTACGGTGCCCGCAAGGGTATCCAGGAGAAGCACGCATACTCCGTCATGGAGGCACGCGAAATCGATGGCCAGCGCTTGTTGAAGCTTCGAAACCCCTGGGGCCGGACCGAGTGGACTGGCCGTTGGAGCGATGGATCGGAAGAATGGACCCCGGAATGGATGAAGAAGCTTGATCACAAGTTCGGCGACGATGGCGTCTTTTGGATATCTTACAAGGACCTGCTGCGCACCTATCAACACTTCGATCGCACTAGGCTCTTTGGTCCGGAATGGACGGTCTCTCAGCAGTGGACAAGTGTCAACGTTCCTTGGACTGTCGATTATCTCGACACCAAATTCAAGATACACCTCGCCAAAGGCGGCCCGGTCGTTATTGTCCTCAGTCAGCTTGATGATCGATACTATCAAGGTCTTGAAGGGCAGTATGAGTTCAATCTGCAGTTCCGCCTACACAAAGACGATGAAGAGGAGTACATTGTTCGCAGCAACGGTACATATTATATGAAGCGCTCTGTCTCTACAGAGCTTGACCTCGAAGCGGGCAACTACACCGTCCTGCTCAAGATTAAAGCAACACGAATCCCGGATAACCCAACACCGGACGAAGTTATCCGATCCACGTGTACCAAGCGACGCGAGAAGCTTCTATCAATCGGGCTTTCTTACGATCTTGCCCATGCTAAGGGGCAGTTCAGGGAGCAAGAGAAGGACAAGGTCCAATATGAGAAGGAGCAGAAGATTGAGCGAAAAAAGGCCGAGCTCAAGCAAGCCCATGAACGTCGCAAGAGGCTACGCAGAAAGGCCGAGCTGCGCGATCAGAAGAAAGCGGCCAAAGAGACGCGCAAACTCAACCGGTCTGGTGACATGGCAGAAGTTGAGAGGAAGCTACAAGACCTGTCTGGTCTTGGAATCAACGTCGACGAAGACAATCGTACCTCTGGTGACGAAGAGGCTAAGCCTGTTCACCAAGCCGTCTCCAGGCACCATCGTGCATCCAGCCTTGATCCACTCCGTGAACGCTCGGCAAGTCCTAGTGGCGGTTTCGGTGGTCGAGGTGGATATAACAAAGGCCGAGACGGCTACAACGCATCGCTTCCTGGAGCACTCCAAGGTCGTGGCGGCTACAACCGCGACAGTCACGGCTCTACAACGTCTGAGGTTCCGATCCTTCAGGGACGAGGCGGGTATAATCAAAGCCAACAAGCTTCTCCTGCTGCCCACAATCAAGGCTTTCAAGGACGCGGGGGCTACAACCAGAATATGCCGGGTGAGTTTCAAGGGAGAGGAGGTTACAATCAAAACATGCCTGGAGAGCTCCAGGGTCGAGGAGGCTACAACCAAAACTTACCTGGGGAACTTCAAGGCCGGGGTGGTTACAATACCGAACTGCCTGGCACCTACCAAGGTCGCGATGGGTATAACGAAAGCCAAACGACGGACTCACCAATACCTACACCATTGCCAACACCTCTTCCAACCCCGATGACGGATGAGTTCCATCCTGGAACCCCTGGTCCAAGGACCTATAGCCCTCGTCCTGAGCGCCGATCGCCAGCTGCCTCTCGCCGGGCCACACTTACCCCTATCCCTGGTGTCCGACCTGGTATCCAGGTAACCCGTGGGCGAAGTGCTAGCGACTACTCCCACCGCGCTCAGCATGGAATGCACTCGCCTGACGATATGTCAGACGACTCTTCCTGGGATTCTGAAATCGATGGCCCTTGCTCGCTCGATTCTGACATTTCCGACAATGAAGAGAACATTCCACGCATATTCTCCGAACGTCAACCCCGATACGTATGGTACAACGGTGCGCGCTACCCATACATCGAAGATGAGGATGAGTTCGAGCGCGACCCCTGGAACGCTGTCTGTGTCGTCGGTCTTCGCGTCTTCAGCAAGGATAACACCGACGTCACGATCGAAGTGCACAACGGTGAGGGTGAGTCCAGAAAGAAGTCTGATGGAGATGATGCGAGTGTGGCGAGCATGGGCACGGTTAGACGTAAAGAAAAGGCGCTTGATGTCGACGACAGTGCCGCAGATGCTACAAGTCCGATGCGGACGAGGAGTACTGGTCTTGATGATGAACTGAGCGCACGATTGAATCGGACTGAGGAGGCGGAGCTCGTAAGCCATGTTGGTAGTGCGCCGGCAGGCATGGAGAGGAGTCGTCAGGGGACGTTGAGTTGAGTAAGATGATGGAGTACTACGGAGTCTGGGTAACTCATAGTTCGATAACGCTTTGCTTGGTATTTCATTCGATGTACGTCTAGCGAGCTTGGTGTTTGGGGGAATTTGTATAATTCAGGGTAGTGCATGAAATTGACAACTTGGTTTTGTTACTGACAACCTTTTCATGATATTCTTCGTGTTGAAGTCGAATTACGACAAGCGCATGGAGTGGGGGGAAGACGTCATGCTTGAGGCTTAGCAGCCGCCATAGGTCGCTGGCAGTCTCCTCATCAGCGGTTATCCATCATACGACGTTACATCCATATCTACTTTCTATCTTTGCGCATTGATTGATATTGCCTCATAATGGCTTTATTTGAGACTGCAATGACGTATAATGCATGCGTCAAGGTTTGCGAAGATTTGAGCCACGAAAGACGCAAGAGCAGATCGTATGTTGCGTCTAAGAAGTACAACGTCATCCAAATTGAATGGTCCGGGCTTATTGTTGAGAGAATTGGATTCGGTGAAGTTGAGTGAGAGGCAGTATTCAAGCCTTGTCACCGACCAATGGAGTAGAAAGAGATTCTACTCGGATAATAGCTTTCTATTAATCATGTCTTTTGACAAACCTTTTCTTCAAACGTTCAAAATCTAGACCTCGCACTGTTGCACGCACCCTACTGGGAAGGAACTAGACGGCTATACACGAAGCAGTAGGAGATGATTGCAGGATGTTTCAGAGGTGCTCATAGAAAGAGAACTCCTATGTAGTCGCCACAAACCTGGATAGATGTTGCATCTAGCTGTAGATTATTGATGTCACATGTCAGTTGCGCATGGTCTCGTTCTGTTTTCGCACGCGATGATAGCAGCATAGCCAGAACAACGACACGCACCTCAAGGGTATATCTATGTTTCATTGAATAGTTTTGTTATCTTATCTGGCGTGTTATCACGCATTTCGTTCCTTCATGTCACTCTAAGCGCTTAGAACATGAATAGGGCGGCAAGAACACCAAAAACGCTGGCACCAACGGTGCCTTGACCGAGACGCGCAGCTGCATTGGTGGTTTGTTGAGGCGGTGCACCAGTCGTCGGTGAAGTACCGTTGCTAGTGCCATTGCCAGCGCCAGGCGTGTTCTCCCTCTGGCCATCGACCTCCTCAATACGTCCGTCGAGCTCGATGTTGACTGGGGTCTGGCTCAAAATGTACGAGGTAAGGACTTCATCTTGAGTATCCAGGGTAATGAAATCGGTTGATGGCTCGAAGAAGTTGTCACCTCCACCAGCGATGAAGTCAAGAGTGACCATCTGGTAGGTGGTGTCGTTGTTGAGAGGCTCGTCGCCAATGGTTACAGCGATGAGCTTGGTGTTGTTGTCGTTCTCCGGGTTATATTCGACCTTGATGCCAGTGCTGATCTGGAAGAATGACGTGACCTCTCGACCATTTCCTACGTTAACACCGGTTACGATACCCTCGAGAGATTCCCAAAGAGTCTTTCCGTCAATGGCGACTTGAACAATGGCGTTGCCGAAAGGGAAAGAAGTCAAGACCTCGCCGCGGGTAATGTCACCTTGGTCAATGGTAGCACGGATACCACCAGCGTTGATGAGAGCAAAGTCAACATCGTCGGTGTTGTTTTTGCGGTAAGCGAGCATAGCATCGGCCATGAAGTCACCAAGTAGGCACTCCTGCTGCTGGCAGGTAGTCTGGTCCAGTTCGACCTCGCTGGTACCGAGAACCTCAGCAGCGAACTCCTCAAATGGAACGCGCCACTCCTCAACCTGTGCTTGAAGGTCCTCGTCCTGTTCGGTAGTATTGGTAAGGTGGATCGGAGCGCCATTGTAAGCAAGGATCTTGCCCTGAGGGTCGTATGTGACGTCAATGTAGCCTACGTACTCGCCCCAACGGTAGGCGGTAACGATGAAGACCTCATCACCGTCCTGGTTCTCGACAATAGTAGGGTATTTGCCCTCAGCGTCTTCCATGTCGCCAAGAAGGGTGTGGCTGTGGCCACCCATGATGAGCTGAAGACCAGTGGTGGCTTTGGCTAACTCTTGGTCCTTGTCGTAGCCAATGTGAGTAAGAGCAGCAATCCTGGTGATATTGGTAGTGGCCTTGATCTCATCAATGGCGCCTTGGACGGCCTATAACAGTGGTCAGTAGCAATTCAGTGCATAAAGGCTTTTTCTACACATACCTCAACGGTATTGGAGAAGACTGTAGTAGCATCGGCGTTACTGAGACTACCAGTCTCTTCCGCGGTGACACCGATCAATGCCAAGCCGTGCTCCTCGAAGATAGTGTAGGGCTTGACGGTTTTGTTGACGTTCTCATCCTGCGAATGCACGTTCGCGCTGACGATAGGAAACGTGAGATTGACCAAGAATTCTCCTAGCTTCGCGTCACCGCCGTCGAACTCATGGTTACCCAGGGTCATGGCATCAAATCCAAGCTGGTTCAAAGTCTCGGCGATCTTCTCGCCGCCGTAGTAGCCATAGAACAATGTGCCTTGAAATTCATCACCGGCATTCAGCCAAAGACTATCCTCGTGGTTTGGGCGTTGCTCCTCGATGACTGTCTTCACGCGCGCATAACCACCATAACAGCCTCGCTCCGGTCGTGTGCAATCGGTTCCGGAAGAGCTGAACTCGTCAAGATGCGCATGTACGTCGTTGATGTGGAAGAAGGCTATGTCACGTGAGTGGAAGCAATAGTGGAGTCATGCATGCTGACTTACAGATGTTGTAATTGCCGTCCGCGTCGATGCCTCGCTTCACCATGCGTTTGCTGTATAGCGCATCCTCCGCTTGAGCGATCGTCATCAACGCCGAGAAGGCGATGAGGCCCGCGCTGGATCCAATGGCGGATTTCATCTTCACCTGAGTCTGGTGGAGTTGTTGATGAGAGGGTGAGAGATGCGAGCACGACAGTCAGCCTCCATATTGGCGGCCTGTCACTATATGTACCACCCAAACGGGCGGACGCCTCCGTCGCAACAGCTGCAGTCACCGGCGCTGGATCTTGGCAGACTTGGCCGTGGCCGTGCGCTATTCTCGGCAACTGCCTCTTGAGGTTTGGCGTCCTGCCGTGCCTGATAACAGTTCACCAATAAGAGGGACACGTGCGACATGGGAATACAAGATGCAGGTCCGTCGCACGAGGACCTGGATGTCGGCGTCGCTCCATGCATGAAGACGATGAGGGTCGCCGTCAACACGTGGGCTTGGTATACAGAGCATCCAATGGACGCGTTATTTGGAGGCATCGTAGTTCTACTTTCAGGACCGCATTATCCGGAATGAAGATTTTGCGGATAGTAAGACGGGCGGACTGATGGGTTTGATAGCCATGCCGGCAACGATCCAGAAACGGTATGTCAACCCCGGAAACCCCAAGATATGGACCCCGGAAACTAGCGCCTCGAACTTCACATCACATTAGGCGGAAACATCGGATTAGATCGATGTATGTTGCGCTATAGCAATGAACTACTACTAGCATCGCTAGGGGCCGAACACGGAACGTCAGACGCCAGAAACCGAAGGAACACAGTACTACCAACCAACTTCCAACAACACGATCGTCATATGTTTTGGAGGCCTTTGCCCTTCCTCCTAAATTCTTGTGTGGCACTGTGTCCAGTATTTGTCGTCGTCAAACTGATTCTCGGTAATTGCGGGGTCCCACAACTCGCCCCGCCCTGTCGAAAAGGACGCCCCGGTTTTATTACGTTCGAGAAGACCCATTGACGTGGCTAGAGACCATCAACAATGATTAAACACATTATTTCACCATACATCCATCGCCCCTTCCCATGTCTCTGCGGTCCTCTTCTTGTCATCTCCAAAAAGCTCCTAGTGTCTGTTGTCAGCGAAAAAGCATGAGCAACACTGCACGTTCATTACCTTCAGTGATCTTCTTAGTTATTCATCCAAATCCGCTACCTGAGGACACTTCGGATGTTGCGTTGCTTCACGGTATCTTTACCTGAGTAAAAGCGTGGCTCGGATGGTCCTTCAACGAAGCAAACGTGCTTCTTGTTCGCGTTTGAGTTCGTTTTGCGAACGGATATTTAGATACAGTACTGGCCCTGCTCAATGGCGCGCATCTGACTCTACTGTCGACCTGCTTCTGTGCGACCGACTAGCACTTTACTTCAAAGACTGGATAGAGTTCAACTCGGAGGTCGTCAGTAACGTATTAACGGTCTTTGACTTATCAAAAATAGTGATGTAAGTGCCTCGATGCGCGAAAGAGGTCTTACACGATACTGCCAGCGGAGCTGCTGGCTTACGAGCCTTTTGTATAGAGACTTTACTACCAACTAACGGGGCAGCTTTGCTCCCCCCCTTACTTAGCTGTTGTCTCGTAGGTTTTCGACGAGATATTTGAGCTGATGACCTTCGCTAAAACCTTTGCAACAGCTGCCGATGCTGAAGCGATAACTTCCGTGAGGGCAGGCGCAGCAATAGCAACTGAACCTAAAAACTATCAGTAACCGTAGTATCGATTGACAGCACAGACCTACCAATGATTCCATCACCCCATACCACATCAGATCCTACTCTCTTCTCAGCTCGCGGACGTACGCGCGCTATACTAATTAAGTCGTCGATGTATTCACGACATCGAGCCAGTCGAACAAACCAATCTCTATTGGTTCGAAGTCCCAGATCAAGCCGCTTCGTACTCACTCACAAACTACTATGTTCAGGGTACATTCTGTCTTGTTACGTATAACTAGGAAAATGTTAGTTTTCTTTGTATGAATTATGATAGCAGGATGTTATCTCGAGTTGTTCAGACCACTTGTGGGACAAGAAATCGGCCCTCGTTCATTCTACATTCTTCACGCGCATGTTATGAGCTGTTTGTGTTGGATGTTTTGTAATTATTATGAGCAATCTTGATAGAGAAGAAGAGGAGGGGGAGGAATGGGGTTATCGGGTATGCACAAGTATTCGGCAGCTGATAAGCTGGTGCGCTTATTTCCGCGATGATATGAAGCAGCAAGTTGACTTCCTCGGAAGACATCCCACTTTGTAGATCTATCGGCATGCGATAACGAGCATGAACTGCATGGCAAGTGCGGGGTCAACCGTTTACGTGGGGAGAACCTACAAAACCATTATCCAACCGCAAAGTAGGACCTACTCATCTCATCAGACGATAACCTACTACTATGTCTATCCTCACACGGAATACCGCCCGTTGGACTTTCCGAACTCTCCGTCCCACGATTCCGTTTCGAAGCACCTCTCTCACAAGAACATACTCCATCTCCGCGAACTCGCCCTTGGCAGAACACTTCAAAGTGAATGGAGACCGCTTATGGTGAAACAACTCAGCCCTTCGCCAACGACATGCTGCTGACCATCGAAGGGAGGATATTCACTACACAGCGCAATGGAGCGCGCCGTCTCCTGGTGGTATCACCCGCCTTTGTGCAGATGAAAACGATAAGAAAGCGAGAGACTGGTTCCGCGAACAAGTCCTGGCACTCGGAGCTGACTACAAATTCAATGCCACTGGAACGCAATTTGCGCTGGTGACCGGCGAAGATAACAGCATCCCGCCTATTGCCATGGGATCGCACCTGGATAGTGTCGCTACAGGTGGTAAATTTGACGGGCCGTTAGGTGTAAGTATATCTAACAATGGTATTTATAAAATATCTATTGATGGCTGAGAAGGTCATTGGTGGTCTCGAGGTCCTCCGCTCGATGCAAGAACAGGGCGTGAAGACTCGTGCGCCGCTTGTACTCATTAACTGGACCAACGAGGAAGGTGCACGATTCTTCCCGCCATTGGGGAGCTCATCCGTTTATGCTGGTCAAAACACGGTTGAGGCTGCGCATGCTTCAACATCGAACGACCACTCAGGCCTCACGATGGGTGGGGAGCTGACCAAGATCGGATACGTTGGTGATGGGCCAAACGCTTTCGAAGAGTTTCCCATTAGTGCTCATTCCGAAATACACGTGGAGCAAGCAACAGATCTTGAGAAAGCCGGTAAACCAGTTGGCTGGGTCGAAGGGTGGCAGGGCATGACCTGGTATTCCCTACACCTCAAGGGTGAGGATGGCCATGCGAACACGTACCCGATGTATGGTCGCAGAGACACGCTGGTGGGTGCCGCAAACATCATCACGGCAGTCCATGAACTGGCATATAAGCACAATGGTCGATCAACGGTGACCAACATCCTGAGCGGCCCTTGGGGCGCATGTAACATCCAAAGCTCCACCAAAGTTTCGTTTTGCCTGATGAACTGGGAAGCAACAGGTCTTGAAGACATGGGTGCTGATATCGAAAAACAGATCAAAGGCGTCGCATCAAGACACGGCTTAGAATTGTAGATGAAGCGCGATGTACATCTGTTGCCAGGAGACTTCTGGCCTGAGGCGATCGACTGTGTTAGAGAGCATGTGGGGAGAAAGGTATCGCCAGCCGCACTGGCACAGGTCACGACAGTACAATGACCACGACGCTGGTGCCAACAGCGATGGTGTTTGTAAGAGCCAAGGACGGAATCAGCCATTGTGCGAAGGAGTGGAGCGATAAAGACGACTGCATGGAAGGGGCGCTGGCGCTGGGTAAGGCCGTCTTAAACTATGACGAGTTGCTAAAAGCAAAAAGTATCAAGCATTGAATATTTCAACCTACTCCAGAGTAGACGGTGGCAATTGAGGTGGCTGGTGTTTAAGGTATGAGGATCAGGAGGAACGGACGGCTGGCCGCCGGAGGCTTACAAGGGTCACGCGAGATCATGACGTACACGGCCGACGCTAGGCTTCTCCTGACTTCTCCTTCGATGACAATGCGCCCTCTTATCTAAATGTCTGTCGTCGACTAATTTACCTCACTGCAATCAATTCGACGTATTCTTCCGTGCGATCGAAATCATGGGATTTCTTTGCAAACGCTCAAGCGTGGTTTGGTAATCGAGACAGGTCGCTCCGCAGTTCTCACTACATCACCATCATACCAACGACAAGCCTTCTAGTGACATAGCTAGTTAAGTTCAGACGCGAATCATGATCTCGTACATCATACTAGAGTATCTAGCTAGCAGTGAGTACAACCCTCCCACTTTCCAGACCCTCTGCCTTCGCCTCAATAACAATCTCCCCATTAGCGCCCGCCTCGCTCCTCACAATAACCAGTGCCAGCCCACTAAACGCATTCCTCGTCGATTCTGGGAATGGCCTCATATCAGTAGGGTCACCATTATCGGTAGCAACAACAACACCGGGCCCAGATGAGACCTCGAAATTAATCTCGTTGTCTGCATCAGGAACCACGACACCATTCTCGTCAAGCACGGAAACAGTGACGAATGAGAGATCGTAGCCATCACCAGCTATCGTTGTGCGATCCGCACTCACGTTGAGTGAAGCAGCGGAACCAGCCGTGAATTGCGATGCAGTAGCCCATTCCTTGCCGTTCTTGTATGCGACGACGCTGATGTTTCCAGGACGGTATTGTACACCGTCCCAGCGAAATCTGTAATCGTACTTGCCCTTTGATTGGCGGCCAGCTGAGATACCGTTGACGAAAAGTTCCGCCTCATCACCTGATGTGTGAACATGTACCGGTGTGATCTCGCCAATTTGGTCTTCAGGCCACGTCCAGTGAGGAAGGATATGAGCCATTGGGAAGTCTGGTCTCCAGCGGGCTTGGTAGAGGTAGAAGCGGTCTTTTTTGAAACCAGCGAGATCGATGATGCCGAAATAAGAGCTGCGGCTTTCGTTGGCATAAGGCGTGGGCTCGCCGATGTAGTCGAAACCAGTCCAGACGAATTCGCCAGCGACGTAAGGGTGCCTGTCTTGTTGCTCGAAGACTTTATCGGGTGAAGCGGCCCATTGTGGTGCATACAGATCGTAAGAGGAAACAATGTTGTTCTCTGGATCTCCACCTTCTAGTGGCCCGCCACCTACGATAGCACTCTTGTTGGCGGTAACGGGGAAGAGGTATTTGCCGCGTGTGCTCAGGGTTGATGCTGTCTCTGTACTCCAGATCATCTTCTCGGGGAAAGCTTCTTTAAAACCGGAGAAGGAGGCCACCCAGGAGTCTCCTTTTCCTTCACCTTGGTAGTTGAGACCAACGATGTCGATGACGGCGGCTATCTCGGTCTCGGCATCAGCCTCGTTCATGCCGATAGTTACTTGGCGTGTTGAATCTTCTTCACGGACGATATCTTGGAGTGTCCTGCCAGTCTCCGTACCAGTCGAGTTGGCCTGTTCAGGAAGCTCGTTGCCTACACTCCACGAGATGATGGAAGGATGGTTGCGATCACGGCGAATAAATGACCGAGTGTCTGGCTCATACCATTCTTGAAAAATGCGATGGAAGTCGTTTTCTGTCTTGGGGAAGTTCCAGGTATCAAAAATCTCATCCATGACCATAAGACCATAGTGATCGGCAAGGTCAAGAAACTCGGGTGCAGGTGGGTTGTGCGACGTTCGGAGGGCATTGTTGCCCATCTCTTGTAAGATCTGGATCTGACGCTCCGCAGCTCTTGTGTTGAAGGCTGCCCCTAGAGCACCCAAATCATGGTGGTTGCAAGATCCTTGGACATATATGCGTTCACCGTTGATGAGAACGCCTTGGTTTGGGTCGTATGCAACAGAGCGGATGCCAAAGACAGTCTCATAGGTGTCTACCGCCTCACCTCCAACTGATACAGTAGAGATGGCGACATACTCGTTGGGTGTCTGGCTAGGCGGCGGTCCCCAGAGTTTGGGGTTCGCGACAGCTACTGAGCCTTGTACTGATTGCTTCGAATGGCCTCCTACATCCGCGTTCGCCGTAGGGAAAGTTGCGATAGCATCGCCTGTAGCTTGCTTGGATGCTGCATCACGTTCGAAGACTTCCGTAACTACCTCAACGTGCTGGCTGCTATTACCCTTGTTTTCGACCTCGAGTACCATCTCGACAGTAGCCTCATCTTCCGAGATGCTTGGAGTAGTGATGTATGTTCCCCATTGCCCAACATGTACTGGGTTGACGGTTACAAGCCAGACGTTGCGATAGATTCCAGCGCCCGGGTACCAACGCGACGAGTCTAGTTTGTTGTCGAGACGAATTGCAAGAGTATTCTCGCCAGCCTTCGTGTACGGAGTGAGGTCAAGACGGAACGAGTTGTACCCATAGGGCCATCCACCAACGAGCTGACCGTTCAGCCATACCGCAGCATACGACATGGCCCCATCAACATCGAGGAAAATAGATTTGCCAGAGTGGAGGGTCTCTGCATCAATGGACAGCGCACGGCGGTACCAGCCAATTCCGTTGATAGGCAATTTACCTAGACCTCCATCGACCCCAGGGGCATCGAAGGTGCCTGAGATAGCCCAGTCATGCGGAAGGGCGACAGCTTCCCACGCCACATCGTCGAAGCTAGATTGAACGTAGCTGATGTTGGCACCAGGAGCAGGAGCAGAAGGCCGTTCGTATTTTTCTCCAGTGATGAAGTCGTTCGCGCAAGGCAGCATCCATGGTTTTAGGCCCTCATAGCTTAAGCCATCCGGATCCGAGGTGAAACGCTCAAAACGCCAGTCCGCATTGAGTGACGTGCGTTGACGGCCTGATGATTGTGATTGACGTTTTGCAACCACATGAGCGGTCGTGCTGTCGAAGCAGATTGAGAACAGGAAGCCTAGGAGTAGGAAGCTGTACGAGTTGTACAGCGTCCGAAAGGAGCCCGGCATTTTGATGGACAATAACAGCCTGAAAGAACAACCGATTTCAATAATTTCTCATCTGATAAGCAGTTGGAATTGTTGTTCCACTGAGTATGAATGACAAGCGTAGTGCATTGAGACGTCCGTTACACAGCTACTTTGTATACGAGCAAAACTATGTGATGAGATTGACCACACCACGGGTTATCTCTCTCCGTCTCATGCATATGTCTCGTCATGGCCGGAAAAAACAACATGCCTTACCGTCTGGGCAGTACATAAACCGCTGCCCGTCGAATGTTTCTCGCAATTTACTAGCCTGCGAAGGTACTTCCCCGCCATGCAAAGTGCGGGGTGGCTGTCTTGGCTATACTTGGCCGCGGGCTTGAAATACGTCGCGCCGGGTAATGGGTCCACTTTTCATGGGGAAGCTTTCACGTTGAGCGCGGAATGTGACGATCATGGAGGTTGGGTAATAAGCTTCGAATGTAGTGACGTCGCGAGCTAAGCCGGATGTGGATATCGTTCCGCTTGCCGTCTACTCAGGGTTCCGCAAGTGGGGTCAGCGAGTACCCTGATCAAACGAGATCATGGATGATACATAGTGGTATAAGTCTATGGTATACGGCGAATATGCCCGAGATATCCACGGACGAAAAAAGATATGCGGCTGAGGTAGCGTTTAAGCAATGAGACGAAAAGGAATCTTCAGTAGCATTCGGCGGTATAGAGTTCTAAAAAGAAAAACGGACATCAATGGTATGGGAGTATATCAACGTCGGATTTCAGCAACATTGCCACTAGGCGACTTCGAATATTCAACTCGGTTTTTGTAGTCATCATGGCCTGTATACGATTCGGCGACCATGGATACCACAGGTCCGTGCGCTGCAGCGTACCTCTTGCGCCTGCGGAAAAAGCTATTTTATAATGAATTAGTACTTGGAACAGCATCGCAACAATTATGAAATGTCAGACTTACATAACAGCTCCAATGATAGCAGCCAGAATGGGTAGAACCAGACCTACGCAAATACCGGTGATAACCTTGTTACTAAGACCTCCAGTCGTGCCGTTGACGCCGTCGACACCGTTGATGCTATTGATGCCGTGCTCGTCGTGCTCGTCGCCACCACCTTCTTCAACAGGGGGTTCGACATATGGTGTTGGCTTGCCAGAAACAGCTCTCATGGATTTCGCCTGCGCACCGAATGCAACGGTTTCCTTTACGGCGTCGTATGTTTCCACCGGCCATGTGGCTTCTACTCCTGACGGTACGGATGTTGTGATGGTGGAGCTGATTATCGTACTAGTAGTGACTTGCTCGGAGTTGGGGCAGTTAGCTGGGCCCTGAATTCTGCAGCTGATACCGCTCCTGGTGATCTCAGTACTGATCACTGTTTCCGTGAGATCTTGTCGTCTCTCCGGAGCAGGTGTAATTGTGGCATGTGCTGCGGTTGGATTGCCCTGTATCCCGCATACCTCCGCCAACGTGGTTGTAAAGATGGCAGTAGATGCTTCCGCCACTGGTCCCCATGTCCTTGTCTCATTGAGAAACTCGACAGCGACTGATGCACCAGCAATTGCACCCACGGCAAAGTTGTATTCTTGGATGACCTTCAACTCACATTCGTCGTCATTAGGAGCGTATGTGACGTTGGTCTTGAACTCGGCTACATTTGCGTAAACGGCGACTTCGATACCAGCTTGAACTTCAGGAAGCCCCAAGTCCATGCCAAACACGTTAATAGATGGCGTGTCTGGCGGCACAACTTCAAGACCGCAGTGAGCACCTATGCGTAGGGCTGCGGCTATCGAAACGCTCGCACTTTCCAGGGTTACAGGTAGAAATTCGAATTGCCCGCCCTTACTAGATGACTAGTCAGTTTCTTTTCCATGCTTCGGAGTGCAGTCACAAACAATGGAGATGCGATGTATGACGAGCCGTGGAACTTTCTGGATATACTGGTGCATGTTGCAAAAGCAGGGAAATAGAAGGGAATTTGCTTACACAGTCATATTGGCCACTTCGTCTCCAAATAACGGCAGGTCAATAGTGACGCCGTCATCGAGCCTAACGTGAAATCCGCTGCTAATGTCGATAGCACCTTCTACAGCCAGAACGAGATCAACTGTGAGAACTGCGCCAAGCATTAAGTTTGGACCTATTTTGATTCCGGCAGGGCTTTGTGTGGCAAAGAGAGTAATTTCGTATGTCGCTCCCGCGCTCAGAACCGTGCCGATCTCCAGGTATAGCTCCATGCCATCGAATTGGAAGCGTAGATTGGCTTCTGGAATAGGCGGAACGTTGAGGTCGAACGCGAGATCAAACGTTGGGAACTCGAAGTCCGCCTTGCTGATCCCGTCGGTCACATCGAAGTTTTCCGTGAAGTTGTCCCATGCTTCAACTAGTTGGTTTTCGAACTTTCCGGTGAAATTTCGGACGGTTGCGTTAACTGAGTCGATGGTGGTTTCCATAAGTTGGCTGAAGTCGCCATCAATTGTGAGTTCAGCAGTAGCAACTCCCTTCACGTAGCACTTTATACAAGTGACTTCTATGCCGGCTTCAAGCTCCAGGGTCCCGTTCTTGTAGTCCTGTGACGGATTTTGCGGAAGTTCCCTGTGGAAGACCGTTAGCCTTTGGACAATCTAGCGAATCTAACTAGTGTATAGAAGCACTTACACCGACAGCAGAGTGGCACCGCTCCAGCTTCTTGTTATATCCATTTGAGTCTTGTAGGGCTCACGTTTCTCCAAGCTGGCAACAGCCAGACCTCGCTTGATGGCTACGTATGTGTCTTCCCCAGAGTAGCCTGGAGCATTACGAACCTGTACGGCAGATTCGACCACTGCAGCTGCAGCGCTAGCCCACAAGACTGCCCATGATAGGAGGAGGGTGCGAAGAGACGCCATTTTTGCAGGGGGTAAACAAGCAAAGAATTATAAAAATATGAGGTTGAAAACAATCCAAAAAGAATGGCAAAAACCTGATGCTATAGAGGCAGGATCAAACTTACTGACTTATACATCACCTCTCCTCACCCCACAGTACTTCTGGGTATGTATTGTTGAACAGCACGAGGCTTTGCGGCGTAGCACAACCGGGGGCCGAATATGCGGGATGGAACCGAATACGCTTCAGTGTAATCCTTCGCCGCCAGCACCAAACCAGATGCGGCGATGTTGTAGGGCATAGCATCCTTCGGACTTACATCGACTAGGCTCTGATACATGTAGGATGATAATCGCCCCTTACTTTGTAATCCTGAGAGCTTTCCGGTAATAAGATATGCGGGCTGGGATATATCCCCTAGTAAAGCTAGAGCGCTGTGAGTGGTCAAGTAACAGGCTAAGTCTCATCTGAGTACTGAATAGAGGTAATGAAGGCAAATCCAGAGCCAAGAGTTGTATACGACAAGTGTATGCATTTTGCTGTTATGGTGAGAATTTGAATGTACGTAGACCGTCGCGCTCAACCTCAGCCTTGCGGGCCGGCCCATGCAGATGCGGTCGAGCAGTGTCGATTTGCGGGAGTGTCTCGGCCCCCAGAAGAATACCAAACCCGCGGGGAGATAGGAGAGACTAGCGCAGATAGTATCCGTATACTATTTATGGGAATATCACTCCACGAGGTTGAAACTTTTGAGCCCTTTGACGCATAGGCTAAGTGACATGCCACACCTATCCCGCAGTAAGTAGCAGTATGGCGTTGTTGTGATGGTTGCTTTTCTCCTGGCTGGACATGCTGCCGTTTGCGGCGTAGTAGATGCACGGTACACATTTTCAGAACACTGCAGCTCGTGAACGACCCTGCTGCGTTTCGAGTTGATAGCTTTACGAAACGCAGCCTTCACCGGACTGGCGTTCGCACACATCCCATTCTTCGATATTGCGGTGTACAGAAATACATGGATGAAAGACAGAAGCTACCTTCAGGCGGATTCTAGAATGCATCATCTTCGAAATGCCTCGTCGCAGGAGGTAGTACTACACTGTTCTCCGACAATGTCCATGTGCTTCTCAATTGTCTGCCCTGAGAATTTGCATGATGCAGTGATTAGTGGGAGGAGTCCATTCTAGGTGAGATCACGCGACACTGAGAACGGAGCGCGATTGTCGAAGATGATAGCAGTGGTAAGGTTGGAGGAATACGCTGTGAGAGCTGCTGGCGAACCGCAGCTTCCCCAGACTCGTGCGCGCCTGAACCCGCCCGACCACGCTAACCCCATCAACTCAGGGTCCCTTGGCGCCCCGAACGTCACCCGTTGGCTGTCGCGTTGAAACAGCCACATACCCAAAAATCTGCCTTGAGGATACGCTCAGTACACGGCTAGCCACTGCAGAGAGACTCGTACGATCTCCGAATTCGCGACTCCCCACCCCTAGCTACAATACCCTCTCAATCCGAAGCAGCCAACGAAACCCAGAGGCGCAAATCGCAACCATGTCGCAAGCCTACGAGCGCGAACAACAAAACAACTCCCGACTCGATGAGCTGGCTTCAAAAGTCTCGGCACTCCGGGGTGTGACAATAGACATCTATGACAACGCGCGCGACCAGCATGTCATTGACAGCACAGTATGTTCCCTCCAGGTCGCCTGCGCAACAACCTCCCTTGTCACATGCACTTACAAGACAATGACTACAATCTTGAGAGCAAGAAAGCACCAACTTAAGCACTACTAACATTCAAATTCACAGAGCGATACCTTCTCCTCCTTTTCCACAACCCTCAAAGGCTCGGCAACACGCCTAACGCGTATGGCATCGTCAGGAAACAAAGTCGCCATCTTGAAGTTGTCGGGCATAATAATAGGGACTGTGGTGGTTCTGTACTGGATATGGCATCTGATATTCTGAAATGTCAGGTCGTATTCCAGGCATCTTTGGCTAAGCAGAGGGGCGTTCTGAGAACATGAACGGAGTCATAATGGCAGGATGGTGGAGCAAAAGGCCGACTGAATCTGCCCATCTGCGACTGTGATGTGGAGAAAGCACTGGAGACTATTGGGTGAAAGGGATGGTTATAGACTTGCATATCGATCAGACGTGCTACAGGGGAGAGGCGTATTGGCTATCAGCATATGTGGCGTTCGGAGCATTCTCAAGTATCAGGTATGGGTGTTTATTGTGGTTTCAATTCAGCGGTCTATAAACATCATGCTATGTACATTATGCTTTATTTCAGGATTGCTTCTTGGATCTTCCTCTGCTAAACGTCCATTGAAGTACATAAGACCCAACAATCGCCAGGCCGGAAGTCATCCATTATGCGACACTCTTATTCCCAGACGTTCGAGAAGAGGTCATCGCTGCCACCTCCGAATCCTCCTGTAGGCTTACTTTGAGTAGTGGTGGTGTGTGTAGTATTGGTTGTTTGTGTGGTGGTGGTAGGCGCAGCACTGCTCCAACCCCCAAAGTCATCGTCTTGTGTTACCTGCGGTGCGCCCCAACCAGGAGTGGTAGGTTGAGCATGTGATGCTGTGGATGTAGCAGCTGGTTGACTAGGGGCAGAAGAACCCCAGACATCGTTGCTACCCCAGGCGTCCATGTTCGAGAATCCTGAATAGTTCACGGTTGCAGGGGCCGGGGTGGCCTTGGGAGCGGGTGCCGGTGCAGGTGAGGAGAGGTTGAAAGCCGAGTTTGCGGGTGGCGATGCCAGTGGTGGGGAGGTGACCCTAGGCGCAGGGGCCGGTGCAGATGGCATGGATAGGTCCAGAAGATCGTTCATACCGCTGGCTGCTGGGGCTGCAGGTTTGGATGGAGCGGGTGAAGAGAATGCGCTGAAGTCAGCTAACCCAGCTGAAGGGCTCATGGTACGACTTTGCGGCTGGTTCTGGGGAGCAGGCTTGGAGTTGAAGAAGTTACCCCCGCCACCGAACATGTTCGATGAAGATGTCGTAGGCGGTGACTTTGCACTTGAAAAGTTGTCAAGGCCGGAGAATGGCGAGGGCTTGGGTGCCGGAGCGGCGTTGAAAGACAGGCTGCTGAAAGCATCGTTCATGCCACCAAAGGCCGATTGTTGGGGCGAGGACGGCCCCTGAGAGGATGCCAGTCCACCAAAAGAATCTTGACGTGCATGCTGCTGTGGTTGGGGTGGTGCTGCGGGCTTGGAGGCATACAGCGACAAGATCGACTGCTTGAGGTCCGGTCTTGAAGGCGCTGCCGCAGCAGCGCCCGTACTGGATGGACGAGATGGTGCGGCAGACGATGAACCACCAAGGAAGTCCAATCCCAGCAATGAATCTCCCGCCTTGTTTTGTTTTGGCGGAGCTGGCTCTGCTTTCGGGGGCCCCCTCGCAGCAACTGGCGGACCAGTGCTCGGTCGCTGAGGAACAGGATCGTCACCAAATAGATCGATAGTTGGCTGAGGCTGCGCTTGTCGCTGCGGGGGAGGCGGCTGGCTGGAGCTCTGGGCTAGACGTTGTGAGGCAGAGCGTTCTATTTGAACCTTCTCCTGAACCTTCTTCAATGGCTAAATTCATTGTTAGTTCCTGTCCTGCCGCAGATATCGCATTGTCTTCCAGTCACTCACCACGTCGTCATCGTCTGCCTCCAGAGTTGAAGGATCCGGCATAGGTCCGTCCATGACCCAGCGCTTCGATTCGTACTTTGTGCGAATAAAGTTCTCAATCTTTGCCTCTGACGGCACATGGCCAGGCGCCAGTTTCGACTCCCAGTACTTGTTCGCTCGCGCATTGCCCCATTTCAACACGCTTTGTAGTTGTTCGTCGGTCCAGGTGTCGAGGTCGACTGATTTGACTTTGCTGATATGTGTTCCCATACCACGGTGGATGCCCGAGCACCGAATGCAGATGAAGACGCCCAAGTTCCAGCTGGCCCATCGTGGGTCTGCAGTAGCCGTTAGTAAAGGCGCATCCATCTATAGCCTTAAGGAACATACGCTTGTTCCTCTTGCAGTCTGAGCATGTCTTGTTGCCCTCGAGCTTGACCAAGTTCTTGAGAGTCGCACGATTCTGTTCCGCCCGATCAGCGGCAGGGTTGGGCCGTCGCGACATTGTGGGGTAGACGGTCGTATGCGGAGGTTGTGTTCGAAGTGCGAACTCGTATCTCAACGCGTGTGTATATGAGAGAGCAGTGTCTCGCGAGGGCACGTGTCAGTCGAGGGTGGAAACGGGCGAGTGGGGTTAGGTCGTCTCAATCGTGCCCGAAGCGTTTAATGTTTCTCCTCCGGGCACCAATGACGCTCGGCTTGGCGCTCGATACCGCCATCCCACGTACCAGGGGCTTGCTTTTCAAAGAGATGGTGCAAGTTGGTCAAGATGTTTGGAAAAGCAGAATAGTTCATCGCTTCTATGTAATGTCGTATTCGAACGGCAAGGACAACCCTGCTACGGCTGAATGCATTAATGCTTGGGAACGCCTGACCCCGGGTATCACAATGGTGGTATGCTACAGTATAGTACATGCGTCGACCGCCAAAAAGCCTGCTGTATACAATGCGGTTATAGAAATCAAGCGGGACGGAACCTCCAATCGTCCCAGTCTTCGTCGTCGTCGGACTCGCTGTCTTCGTCATCTTCTTCGGCGGGGGGAGCTGCTGGCGCAACATCCTCTGTCTTCATCGTTGCTCCAGATGTAGAACGCAGGGCTTCCCTCTGTTCACGCAGCCGCTTGAACCTCTCCTCAAGACCTTCCATCTCCTCGAACTCATCTTCTAATGCTCGCGCAGCATCCTCCTTCTCGCCCTCCATCTCCTCATCCCTCTTCGCCCGTTGTGCACTCTGGTCTTCTCGTGCTTGTGCGGCGATCTCGGCGGCTGTCATGGGCGCGGCTTCAATAACAGCGCCCGAGTAGGCGGATCTAGTGGGCGGTGGTGGCATGGGCTTCTCGGCGTTCATCTCGTTCAAGAAGGCGTCGAGCTCCGCTTGAGCTGTAGCATCGAGTTGCGGTTCGGCCGCTTTGGGTGGTTCCGAGCGCTTGGTGTCTTGTATCGGCGCGCTCTCCTGGGCTGTGGGTTCTGGCGCAGCTTCTTCGTCGTCTTTTGCAGCTCCGGCATCGAAGAAGCCCGCCGGCACGCCAGCCTCTTCCTCTGTTCGCGTGCGTTTTCTCTCCTCGGCCGTCTCATCCGCCGCCTTACGCTTTTTCGATGTGGGTGCTGTCGCAGGAGCTGCCGATTGCTTTTGGGGCTTTTGCGCCTGCTGCCGTGCTGCGCGCTGTTGTCGCAAAAGAGCTCGTGCGTCGGCCATGATGACTTGGATGATGTCTGGTCTTTGGAGATATGGGATCACGGTGAATGTATCTATAGTTTGATTCCACCGATGTTCTTGTTGAGATTGTCTCGCGCTTCTCCAAGTAGCTCCGAGCCTCCAGCCCAGCCGGCCGCCGCGCAAAGGGTCCACAGCTCGCTAGTGGCCAGGATTACGGCAGCCAAGACGTCGGCAAAACGCTGTGTCAAAGCTCCACCTCCTCACTGACACCACTCAGTCCAACACCACACGACACATTGCGACTCGATCTGGCAACTCTTTCACCCCCCACTGCCGTCTTTACAGTGCGCTCACGATCAAGCGCATGCATTGAGCTTTCATCACTCCAAGTTGACATCTCTTTCGCGCCCTCACATCGCGTGGCACCGGCTCCGCACTCGGCAGGTACGCGCAAGAGGCAGTTGCGACTCATAATCGGCAGTCGCACGACGCATCGCGCCTTCTGTCTGTACAGTTAGGCAGGAGCGCCCGTTTGCACTCGTTCACTAGTTAGAGGCCGGTTGATACGGCGTGTCCGTTGGCCCGCAGTGCGACGCGCAAGGCAGGATTGGGGCTTCCGTAGAGACTTTTTGAATCTTGTTTCGCACATAGCATAAGCTGCACTCGTGGTATCGTCTATATTGAGCCCATCACCCGTGTCCGACACCATGGCCGGTAAGCAGACATCATCTACGCGCCTCGACTTCATGACGCCGCCGAGTCGCGCCCCTCACAGCACCTGCACCACCACGCGCAAGCCCACCCCCAAACCTCACGCTGATGCTGACATTGCCGTTACAGACGAGATTCGGCGCTCTGGCCGCGCCAACAAAGGCCACCACACCAAGAACCAAGATGCGCTCGACGAGCCCTCCCCCGCTCCCAAGGCCAAGGCAGTAGTACCGCCAGCCTCAGAGAAGAAAGGAACAGCGCAACCCAAGAAGGGGCAGACAAAGGGACAATCACAGCGTGCGCAATCATCCCAGTCCGCTGAAAATGACGAAGAGGAGGAGGACGCCATCATCCGCTGCGTCTGTGGCGACCAGCGCGACATTCGTGGCCGCCAGATGATCTGCTGCGACAGCTGCGAAGCCTGGCAACACAACAAATGCTTGGGCTTACCCGAGGGCGATTTCTGGGAGGGCAAGAACTACTACTGCGAGCAATGCAAGCCCGAAGACCATGTCGAGCTACTCGCTGCCATGGCGCGTGGAGAGAGACCATGGGCGCGCAAGAAGGGCTCCAAGCCCAAGCCCCGCCCCAGCGACGTCAAGCAAGAAACCGTCTCAGAGAAGGCGAACACACCTCAACCGTCGGCCACCCCTTCACAAACTGCACCAGCTCCGGTTGAGGCTCCAACGCCTACGCCTGCTCCTGCTCCTGCTCCCATCAGTGTACCCACACCAGAAGCTTCCAACGGACATGCAGAATCCAAGGTATGTCATTGCCATCTAGAGGTACTTTCACAGACTCACACATGTAAGCAGGAAAACAAGAGTCTGCCACAATCGCCTGTTGGTGAGAAGCGTCGCCATGAGCCTGCTACTGAAAAGGCCAACGCAAGCAAGAAGCGCAGAAAGTCCAGTCATCACGAGAGCAAGCCTACTTCTCAATCAGCCCCAGTCGGCGACATCGATGCGCTGCCGCAAAACCAGAGGGCTGTTGCAGAGAAACTTCGGGATACCCTGGTGCCGTTGATCAGCACTGCATCCGACTCTAGGGGATACCGCATACCAGATGGCCAGACTGCCAAGTCTCTTGCCGCCAAGCTCACTCTACAGATGTGCCATGCTGCTTTCGATCTCTATGGTGAACCTACAGGATCATCTTCGCCGTACTTTATCAAAATGCGCACCATCATGTTCAATGTCAAGAAGAACACGGTCCTTGTAGATCGCCTCCTGTCTGGAAGTCTGAAAGCCGACGACCTAGTGAGCATGGAGGCTGAAGAGATGGCGAGCGAAGACAAGCAACGCGAATACGCCGCCATGCGCGAAGCGGCCGAGAAACAGATGATCCTAACCGAGGAGACTGGACCACGACTACGCAAGACACACAAGGGCGAGGAGATTGTTGGCGAAGACACCTTCGAAAATGATCATGACGATTTCAAGCAACCCAGTCTTCGCGAGCGCGAGAGCATCACCGAAGACACAGCAATGCATTCACCTATCGGCACACGGCCTCCAGAGAGTCCTGCAGGCGCAAATCGAGGACCTGCAGACATTGACACATCGCAGGCCGAACACGCACGACGGGCATCGGCCAACTTTGACATCAACTCCGTCTTTAACAAAGTCCGATCGCCTCAGCATGACCAGCAAACCTTCCTTCAGCGTCGTCAAAGCTCGATGCACATGCAAGACAAGCCTCAAGCTGCGGTTGATGATGCAGACGTTGACCGCTTACTAAAGGACGAGGACAACGACGTAGAGATGTCAGGTTACTCTTCGGACCCGACTGTGTGCTGGCAAGGATCTATCAACATGCAATCAATGGAGCCTTTCGATGCGGTCGCTAGATTCGTCGCTGGTGGAGACTTTGGCCAAATCGTACCATGGGAGAAGCTGCTGACCAACACTGTGGCGATCCAAGGACGCATCGAAAGTACAAAGGGCAACGATTACATTCAGAACATCGGCCATACCGAAAGCCATGAAGTCTCTATTCTCGCCGTCAGCCCTGTTACCACAGATGGACGCACGATCATGGACCACTTGTACGAGTACTTCCACTCACGTGGTCGATGGGGAGTTGTACCCGTCGAGGGCAACGACATACTGCGCGACCTCTATGTTATTCCCATTGAAGAAGGTGGTAGCAACCTCCCTCCTTTCATCGACATGCTTGAGTACTGCACAATCGAGACACCCCGCAAGGAGCACATGTTGATACTAGCCATGGTTGCCAAGCTGCCTGAGATCAAGCCTCAGCTTCCACCTACTCAACACTTCGAGCGATACCCCGAACAGGAGATCGCAACCGGTCAAACTCCTCAGCCTGTATTCAACAACGGCCCATCTCCGTTCACCAACCCTCATGCTCCTCAAATGTCGCCTGTCACTGCGGCCTATCCACCAGGCCAGTACGGCAACCCATTCGCCGCACCCCCTGCAAACATGGTTCCTGTTCAACAACCGACGCCGCCCATGAACGCACCGCCACACCACCAGATACCTAAGGCACTTGAGATTCTCGGCCCATATATTGATGCACCTGTCATTGTCACAATCCTTGGATCTAGTCTCTCCCAAAACTCAGCGGTCTCCGAACTACAGATGATGAACCTCAGACATATTGTTGAAACTGTACCTGAAGCGCGCGACAACATCACCGTGCTTACAAACCACTTGCGCTCGAAGAACGAGTCAAATGGGCAACAACAAGCTCAGCCATCTGGACCCCCTTAGAAAGTGGCTATAGAAGTGCTGGCTCTTATGAGGCTGTAGAGCGTTGATTTCGAATGAACGCGAGAGGGGGGACTTCATATTCGGTGTTTTGCGGCGCTTGGATAATACACGGCTTCCCGAAGTAAAGCTGGGCTAGGGTGTTGGCGGCGGCGGCGACGGTGGGCGGCGCTCTCTTTTCTTGTATTTGATACCCACATGTGGTGCAAACTGTTTTGTGCAATGAGGCAGAGCGGTCTTTGCCTTTCATGACCTCATTGCTTACTTCCTTGTACGCTCATTGCTTCTTATGTTTATAAATCAAACACGCTGTTCTTCGTTCAACATCACATGCAACCAATATCAGCCGAGAGTGACAGAACATAACTCTCAATATCAGGCGTCCAGCTAGGCCTCTTGTTTTCCGTCTCACCCTCTTCTGACCCGTGCGATAAGCGAGATTGACGGTTCACTGCAATCCATACTTTTTTCATCCTTCTTCCTTTTCTTACTGAATCTAGTAATCATGGCCCCTCCTTCGTCTACCCTTGTCCTCGCATTCTCGCATCTCACCACATGACAAATGAGAACTTCTGTTCCCCCCACTACTAGCCCATATGTCGTCATGCAGTCAACCTACTCCGGTGACGTGCATGCATACATGAGCAACTGTGCAACTGTGCAGATGCACCTATATTCTACACTCTCCCCGCAACCTTCTTGATGCGGCATGTTGAAACGCTTGGCACGAAGGCGGCATATGCAGTGTAAGAGCAGTTTGCCTGAGAAATCGATACCTTTAAGTCGACTTACTGTTTACAGTATATAAGAAGCATCCTGACACGAGAAGGGAGCGGAGAAACGCGCATGTGTTGTACGATTGTTGCGTATGATTCGTGCTTGATCAAGGTGTCTACGGAGGCAGACAGCACCTAGAATTCACACTTGGCCTAAAAGTTTCTTCATTGAGTATATTTGGCGGGGTTGATTTGATGACTGCAGATGATGTACTCAGGCGCATACTACAGTGCCTCCAATATACTGCTGTGATACGGCATAGGCTGGAATGCGGGCCGCACTATTGAGTACCACCACCCTTTTATCACAGCACTATTATCAATGGCCAACGTGGAAGTTACTAGATGCAGTATTGTCCCTATGCAGCTCGATGGTCTGGATTCTTTTCAGGTGCTACCAGTAGTACATAGTAGAAGGTAGTGATTTCCCATCGCCTGACCGGTGCACCGTCTTTTCTCACAGCACATCTACTGTCATCGACGGTCGACAAGAACTTGCTTGATGCAGTAACCCCTCCCTGTGACCAGTTTCAACAGATTTTGAGGGAACCTGCCTAAGGTGGTAACCCTTTTCCGTGTGCGAGTTCTCATTGGCTCCACAAGGAGACTGTGTCCCTATGGGCGGCAATCGATGGTTTTACAGGAAATTGCCGAATGCGGGAGCTAGCCCTGATTTAAAGCTCTCATGATCCGCACAGGGACAAGAAAATAGGACTGAGGCTCTGAACTGCAATCGACGAATCGATGAAACTGCCCGATACGGTAGTTAGCCGATAGAAAGACTTCTGATTGGATACGCAGTGAGCGCCTCACCGAGAATCCACGGGCATCTAACTTGTGTCGCGGAGCACACTCGCACAGCTTTACACAGCATAGCATCACAGTCGATATGGATGTATCTGCAGGGAGAGTGAACCAGTTGTTTGTTGAACGCCGATCCAGCTTTCTCCCATGTTGTATCATTGAAAGTCCGCGATTTGGGTACCTTGGCCCCTCGGAGCAAGCCTACCGGTACCTTGGTACTGGGATATCATGACGATGGGCAGGATGCAGGCACTGACAAATTTCCAAATCCAAGGGCAAAATCACCCAGACCAGATCAGCAACACAATGAGAGCGAGAACGCGAAAACGAGCACAGTGATCAACGCACATCGCAACAGGTACTACATCTGGGTACAGAATCAACAGCTCGAACCAGACCCAATCGCGAGAGCGAGCACTATCATCAACACATTTCACTACAAATGCTGTATGCAGTCATGGAAGATGGCGCAGCCGAAAGTTCCATACGAGATAACAAATGCGCCCACCGATAATGGACGGAGTTTGCCGTGTGCGATAATGGATGCGAATGCGAGTAGGGCACGGTTCTGACTAAGATACGTACGGACGAAACTCGTACAATCCTACACACGCTACAGATACGCTACTGGTGATTTATCTTCAAGTAACACAAATCGCTTAAGAAAGAGGATACGAGTGCGCACGCAGTTATCGATGGACAGTGAAATAATTACTACTCACGGCAGTCTGTATTTCGAGTAAGGCGGAGCTAGTGTTGTTGTCGCATCGAGCCAAGATACTTAGGTAGTTACTTATTTGTGATAACAAGGATCTCCCAGAAAGGAAATACGAACGCGAATGCAGTGATCGATGCATGATGGACTTATTACTACTTACGGCATTCATGGAGTGACACTAGAGGTGGGCAGATACCAAGCCAGGATCATTACTTATTTGTGATAGACAGGGCACCCCGAAGATGTAAATACGAACGCGGGTGCAGATATCGACGGGAATTGAATAAAATTACCACACACGGCGATGTGGTGCGCTCAAACGTGAGGCTAGAAGTAAAAGAACAAGGTCGACCCTTTCTGATTGACAGATCTGCGAATGCATGCGTTGGGTGTTGTTCCAATAGACGGTGTAGACGTGGCGTGAAGCGAACGCGAATGCTACGACCACGAAAGAGAAAGAGAACGAGAACGAGAATGAGAACGAGAAGGAGAGCACAGTGATCGGTGAGTCTAGTTATCTTTTATATTGGGTAGAATAGAGACGGGACAATACGAGTTTGAGTCCCTTCAAATAGTTAATCGATGCAAGATAACATGATTGTGTGTTTTCTGAAGCGTGTACATATCTTTTAAACTCCCTCCCCCGACTCTCTTTTATCACACTTCCTCAACACTAACCCAAGGCTCAGAAATGTATTTAGAACAACAGTTACCCTTTCTGCTCAGTAACTGTTCCTGTCTGTCAGGATGATATGTTCATTGTCCTTTTTTTATCGCCGCCTCACTCACACCCAGGCTAGAAAATCGAGACAAATTTTCAAGCAGTAGACATGACTAAACCAGCTTGCAGGGGAAATCATCTCAAGGGGTTAGTCCGCATCCACGCTTTTGTGTACTCTCATAAGGGGGGAAATAAGGGGATAGGAAGAGCTTGTTAGTAATGTGCATACGTCTCTCACGAGTGGGGGCCTGAGGTGATGGGAAGAGTATTGAGGAAGATGATGAGAGAAATGAGAGTGGTGGAGAGTGATTTTATAGGGTTTGTGGGGAGTAGATTGCGGTCGAGAGTGTGCGGTTGTGAGTAAGCGGACGTATGCCAAAGATGAGGTTTGCAAGGCGTACCAGTGGTACTGTGGACACAAACGTGTGGACCCAGATTCCCGGAGTTGCAGGCATAGCAGTTGATCTTGTTGTATTGATGATGTTCTTACAACAAAACTTCAGCGTATGTATTAATTGCATGGGTATACTACTCCTTCAGGTAACTCTTCAAGCCCTCCTTCCCCACATTCATCGCTCGCTCGATTTCTGCTTCCTCCTCACGTAATCTGCCCTTACCATAGGCCAAATCGCGCTCTTGCTTTCGCTTTTCCTCACGAACACGTCTCTCGCGGTCTGCGAGAGCCTTTTCTCTTCGTTCGCGCTCAGCCCACTTCTTTGCGCGTTCTGCCTCCTCCTCGGCTGAATAGACGACACCTTCGGGTGCAGGTGGTAGGGTGGAGATGTAGGTGTTGATAAGGCCTTCGCGTGTTGATGGTGGGAGAGAAATGTAGCAGAGATCGCTAAGCACGGCAGAGGGCAAGGTATCTATAGTCGTGGAACGATTGAGGAGCGCGAGAGGTTGGGCTCGTAGGAGTGCCGACAGATCGGATTTTAGATCGGATGATCGCATGGCCAGCCGCTTGATGTGGTCGCGATACAGCTTCTCCTTCTCTTTGTCTGGAAGCTTGGTGTCCTTCATCTCAGGCTCCTTCTTGTACTTTCGGCGGAACTCAGGCCAGTACAGCTTCGGTGTTGCGTGTCGGTCGAGGAAGGCCAAGTACGGTATCCGGGGGTCGCGTTTTGACTGTCGAGCTTTCTCTTCCTTGAGAAACTGGGCTTTATCTCGCGACCACTCATTGAAGCATTCTTTACGAGCCACCATGTTGGGCAAAGCCTTGTATCGCTCGTCGTCGTATAGTATGCCGTCTTCCAGAACCTTGTCCCAGGGTGTGAACGGGCTTACTCGAGTGTCGTCCAGTAGCTCCTTGAATAACGCTTTGCAGTCTTCCTCAGACAAAGCAGGCTCCTCCTCATCGTACTCATCGTCGTAGCCTTGATCCATCTCCATCTCCTCCATCTGTGCCAGTTGCCATGCAAGATCGTCGTCTTCCTCTGGTGGTTTGTCTCCAGATGGCTCTTCGGTGCGCTGCCGCTTTTGCGCGTGTCCCGACGCTTCGCCCTCGTCATCGGTCACTTCCACCTCTTCATACTCCTCGTCATTCTCCATGCCTTCTTCACCGTCTACTTCGACGATTTCCACCTCCTCTTCCGCTTCTGCCAGCTCGGCCTCGATCTCAGCCATGGCGTCATCCTCCTCTTCCACGTCGCTCGGCTCACCGCGTTCCCTGCGTTCCTTCTTTTCGCGCTCCTTCCGATCGAACTCGATAACGGCCGTCATAACATTGGGTGGGAACTTCCAGAAACTTTCGTTCGTGTCCTTGTTCCAGACGAACCGCCGTCCGAACTTTGTCTTCACCAACACCCATGGCGCGCAGTTCGGTATGTCTTGGCGATGTTTTGGTTTGTCGTCCCGTTCTTTTCTTCGGTCGTTGAAATTGTTGTGCCCTCCGCGCATTCCTCCCCGGTGTCCACCTCGTGATTGTTGATGCGCCCCGCCATGCTTTGGAAACTGTTTCGGCGCGCTTGCAAAGATAAAGTCATTGATCGAAGGCTGCGGCTGCGAAGTGATTTGCGCTTGTTGACTATTGTGGCCAAGGTCGTAGGTTGGAGGCGCGGTATAGGAAGCAGGTGCAGTAGGCGGCGTTGGATTGTGATATTGTGGAATTTCGGCAACAGGTCGCGTGTATGTTGACTTTCCTGTCTCTGCGTTGTAGTAGTATGAATGGCCTGTAGCACGTTAGTTGAAGCATGTGACGCAAGTGAGAGCTGTGTATAGCTACCTGAGGGTGCTTTATGCTCGGTCCAACCTGCAGGGAGCGCTGGCGCTGGCGCAGGTGGTCGCACTGGTATATCCGACATTATGGTGTCACGCTTCAGTCAGGAAATGAAGCTATACAACCCTTGCAAGAAGAGTTGGTGATGGGAAAGTCGGTGTTGCACGTCGCGATCCAAAAACTGGTCGGTGCCAAGCAGCCTGAATCGCCGACGCGCTGCGTATGAGCTTGTGCCTGGAGCTTCCATCAACACCAGCCCACGCCCCGACTTCCCCGCCGCCCTCTCCTTCTCTCACTGCTGTCTACACCCCCAATACAACCCAGACTGCCAGAGTAGACCGCAATCATGTCACGGAGATACGACTCCAGGGTACGGAATACCCCAAACTACGCCAACGCCGCCGCTAATAGTGCATAGACGACCATCTTCTCTCCGGAGGGTCGCCTCTACCAAGTCGAATACGCTCTCGAAGCTATCTCGCACGCCGGAACAGCATTAGGTATCTTGGCACAGGATGGCATCGTTCTCGCCGCAGAGAGGAAGGTCACCAGCAAGTTGCTGGAGCAAGACACATCAGCGGAGAAGCTATACATCTTGAACGAGTGCGTTGGACCCGTCATTGTACCCGGATATGATAACTAACAGCCTTGTAGTAACATGATCTGCGCCGTAGCAGGTATGACTGCCGATGCCAACATCCTCATCAACTATGCCCGTCAAGCCGCCCAAAAGTATCTCCTCACGTACAACGAAGACATTCCCTGCGAGCAACTCGTCCGCCGTTTATGCGATCTCAAGCAGGGTTACACGCAGCACGGAGGTCTCCGGCCGTTTGGTGTATCCTTCATCTACGCAGGATGGGACCCTCAGCGACAGTTCCAGCTGTACCAGAGCAACCCCAGTGGCAACTACGGCGGCTGGAAGGCAACCAGTGTCGGCGCGAACAACGCCTCTGCCCAGAGCTTGTTGAAGCAGGACTACAAGGAGGAGTGCGATCTGAAGGAGGCATGCGGACTTGCAGTCAAGGTGCTTAGCAAGACCATGGACTCGACTAAGCTAAGCAGCGAGAAGAGTATGTCCACAATTCATACAACATGCCGGGGCAGTGCTAACAAACTGTAGTTGAGTTTGCGACAGTAGGAAAGACCAAGACAGGCAAGATCTACCACCACCTGTGGGGAGCGGACGAGATCGATGCTCTGCTGAAGGAGCACGGCCTGGCCAAGGCTGAGGATACCGAGATGTCCGAGACATGAGAAACACGACCAATGCACGATATGAACAGGCGCAACGGAAATGTCTCTGCATGATAGACGAGGCTTGTAGTATACCATATCAGGTGAGAGCTATGTGGCATCTCGTAGCTAATCTCACTTTGTCATGACACGCTTTTGTATATTCTGAGTATTACCTGCCTATCATGCTGTCACGTGTCAATCGTTTGAAGCTATCATGGCAGTTGCCTGTGTTAGAGCCTGCTCCTACCTTGATCATAGCCCAACTTCGACGCCTTCCCCCATATGCAACCCCCGATCGAGTACTTGAGCGGTCCCACCATTCTCCCTATTCCACCTTCTCAAATCCCGTCTCGATCATATTGTGTCACCGCCAGCATCATCAGCATCGCCAACTCGCATTGCTTACTGATCTATATCTGAGCATTCTACCGCAAAATGACCACCCCTACTCAACGTCCTAGCTACAAGTCTTCCAGTAGTACTGGACCTTCCGGATCTTTCCTACGCCAGCTGCTTGACGGAATAAGGTGATAGGTTCCAACTGTTACAGATACGAATGTGTTAAATGCTGATTCTACTAGGTCAGATGCAAGTCAAGAAGGCGTCGTCGCGATCAAGACCAACACGAGTCCTGAGGATTCCCACGATGGGACCAATACAGCGCCACGCCTGCGTCCGTCACTCAGTCGCCTGAAAATCCCATCCTCAAGGTTTATCACTCGTCCAGCTGCTATTGGAGAGGATCTCGCCCAACTCAAGTCACCATTAATGTTCTGTGAATCTGATATCTCCTCCACACCCTCCCCTGACGAGCCCCCAACCTCAGGATTGACTGCATCTTCGAACGACACGACGCTTCCAACGTCTGCCTCGACTGTGGGTTCGACGGATACCACGATTGTGCCGCTTCCAACCTCGGCATGGGCCTTGGCTTTGACAGATACTGCCACTGCGCCTGGATCGCTATCTAAAGAAATGCGCACCCTGACCCTGCCCGAGACACGTAGCCAATTTAACACAACGGAGGACAAATCACACAACTCTCTGGCAAATCGAGGCTTTTCTGGCAACAACAGGCGTGTAATACGAAATGCCGCTTTCATCGAGAGAGCACCTGTCCCACCTCACAAGATCTACTCTCCTGAGAAACAGCCCCCCGAACTTTCCTCTTTCCGCCCTGATATTGCCACACCAGAGGGACTCGCCCCTACCTCAGCTGCTCGAGCCACAACTCCAGTTCGACATACAGCGCGCCGATCCTCATCTGCCAGTCCGGAACCGCCTGAGACACCGAGCTTTCTGAGACCACTGCACCTGTACGATACAAGCAACGATTGGACTCACGATATTTCCATCTACAAGAACACTCAAGGCGAAGAATGGAAGAGGAACTCACTTTGTAGGCATTGTTTTCAGCTCCGTGGAGCCTTTAGCAGGATCATGACGTACGGTTATGAGGCGTGCGGGCGAGATGAGCGTTTGGATAGCCATTATTGGGAGCCTTTGGCTTAGCTACAGTACTACAAAGTTGTTTCTCTTTACTAGACGATAGCCAGACACCTCGTATAGTAATTTGCACATCGTATTCCAGGTCCTAATACAGTAGCAATGGTAGAATACTTGTAGCAAATATCTTAGTGATTTCAGTGGTATCTGCTATATCAGCATACATCTGGGATGATGAGGAAAAATGAGAGTAGAGGGAATACGAAGGGTTTATATATGCGCTGAATGCGAGATGTGGGCTGGTACAACCGTAGAATGAGGTGTTAAGCGGGCGAAGGGCTTGGGTCGTGTTCGTAATGGGCCTGTGTATGATGGGACTGTACCGAGTTTGCGTACCGGACTTCCGTTCTTGGGCCAATCTTTACCTGTCGCGGACATTGGGATATAACTTGTCAAGGAGAAGATTATATACGTAATGCGTGTCGCTGCTCGACTAAGCCTGAATGCCAGCTCCGCTTTTCGCTGACATCCCAGAGCGGATGGGAAGCACGAAGCAGTGACGAAATTCACCGCATTACCATAAGAAATACTCCACCGCCATGTCTTTAGTGTTCTCGAAGCCGATAAGCAGCTAGAACGGGTCACAAGTTCAAATATGGATTGCTACATCACAAGCAGAAAACACAACCACAGTAGAAAGAAAAAAGCTATTTCGCGCAAGCGTACTTATCTGAACGTCCAAGAAATGTTTGCCTCCTCATCAAAAACAGCATAGGACACTGTCAACGTATCAAAAAACACTCTGAGTCGAGATCGCTGCGAGAAAGCCGTTTGATCTGCCCGCCCAGATGGTCACAAATGCTATCGAAGGGCAATGTGATGTGGTATCCTATTCTAGGTACAGACATAACACGGTAGGGGTCTGGTAATTCTCATGAAATATACAAATGTGTAAAGGGAAGAAAAAGAAAGAGAAGGAAAATGGTAGCGACTAGGGGTGGGAGCGAGGTTTTGTATGGGTTCCGTGGGCGGGCACCTCTTGCAAGTGTCGAGCTGCACTTGCACCGAGTTCGAAGGCAGTTGCGTGTTGAAACAACATGCTGGATGTTCTAGCGCCAAGTGTCATTTGCAGGGAAGGAAGGCCTTCAACCATCTACAGCAGGAGCAGCGAGTGATGTAGGCACGGCGAGGGACGTTAAGAAGGTGTGACGACGTCGGCACGGGAGGAGCCATACGGATGTAGCTTTTCTCCAGTCATTGTGATCATGGGCTGTCGAAACACGGGATGCATGTCATTATCAAGTTATTAGAATGCTGAATGGTACATGGATTAAGAAGACAATTATCAGGGATATGTTAGTCGACTCCATTGGTCAATCATCCCCCTTGGCACACTGCGTTCAAACGGTGTATTCCAAGACGACATTATTCAGAGGAACTCAAGATATGATTAGCTCAAAGGGTTGCATCCTCGTGAAATGTACATTGCCTATGGTCTTTCGGCACATTGCAGCACATCAGTTCCAATAATGACGTTATAAGCAAAGCTAGAAGAGCAGTATACTCTTAGTGAGCCTTGTACAAACTCTATGTTCTTTCACATCCTCACTGTAGATACCCAAAGAGTTAATGTTCGTAACATCTTCCAGATTCAACTCGAAGGCGATGCACGCGCTCTACAACGACGGAGGCAGTTCTCGAAGACATGTGTGTCACAATACAGTTGCACAAATCACTCGTTACTCCGACAGTAAAGCTTCAGCGCTAGTTACTTGATTGGAACGGCATTTTATTGTACCTAGATAGGCTTAGCATGGAAGAGTCGGGATGGACATAAGATCCTCTGATATTACTATGGAGATGACTCTAGTGTATCAACCTTCCAGACGAGATGTGCATCTTCCGAGCTATATGATACATAGTGCCTGTTCGACATCATTACAATATTGTAGCATGCTGCGCGCCTACTAAGTACTATAGGGTCATTGAGTGTGCAACGTCTCTTTACAATCTCGCCATGCACGATGAATGAAGAGAGATAGGCGTCCGCCATTTCATTTCAGGCGTGCTGGCGTTTGATTTGCGTATTTGAGTAGCTACGTAGAAACGTCTGAAAAGGAAAGCCGCTTCCTTCCTTTTTCCTTGTCAAAGCTTGTCAAATCACCTAGTGCACCTCCCACGTGGCGCCGTTGTTGAGGGCGGCAACAGCCGAGGACGTCAAAGTTCTACATGTGGTGTCATAGCATACGTTGGAGTTACCCCAGATGCACAACCTCCTGCGAAACGTGCAACTGTCGCGTACATTGTTCTCGACACGGAGCTCATGCGCCTCATCCTGGAAGTTCGAAGATGTCATGCGCCGCGCAGACCCTCAACCGCTGGTTGTACAAGGACTCTAACACGACATTAGCTAGGACGAGCTACGACACCACAATAAGGCACCCCTTATTGCAAAGAAATTTGCAATGAAAATCACGAGAGTAGAAAAGCTTCACAGTCAGTACTCAGGGCGAAAGCTTTTCCGAGCGGATGGTTTTGCTAAATACGACCCGCTAGTCTTCGCCAACGGCATGTCTTGCGCCGATCGCGGCAATTGAAGAGCGAAAGAGATGAATCGCGCAGTGGAAAGGAAGCTTATGAGAGACGTTGAGAAAGCAAGGTTGTTTCCATGAGGCATGCACGAAGCACTCTGGCTTGCTCAAGTCGTCTCCAACATTCAGCCTTGTTTCCGACGAATCCCAGCAACATGTTCATGCCAAAACCCTAGCCGATCTCTTAGCCGGATGACGCACCCCAGGGTTTCGAACAAGGCGCCGTTACGATAGCAAGACGTCACTCCACTTTGCGCAACTGCCGCTCTAGAGCCTCTGAGCCGGTCGCCGCGGGACAGTATGGAAGCTTAATCGGAGCGCAATGTTTGCTCCTAAGGTGTACCTTGTTGCCTCGCGTCTCTTCATACATTCCTTCGCCTGTTGGACATGTGCTGCTTCGCCTAACCAGGGTTTGTCATCAGGGGGATCTTAGAAGCATCTTAGCGCGTTATATCCGAGCGACAACGGCTATTTCCAGTGGAGTGGACTCTAAGAGATTGGCGTGTTGCTAGCGAGGGTCATTTGGTACTTATCGAACCTTGCGTTTCATTCCAACATACAAAAAGCGACGGCCAAATCGAAACGAATGGAGTCAAAGGAAAAAACGAGCCTTGGCTCAGCACGGGAACAACACGAAGACAGCGCGTCAAGCGAGTATGAGAAAAGACGCGAATCTACTGCCGATATCGAGGAGGAGAATGTGGTTGGACTGGATGAAACTACGCGATCTCCGACAAAGGAGCGAGATGGCACAACAGCTGAAAGAGGCCGCAGCCAAAGCAGACGTTCGCAAGATGGCAGGAGCTTGAAGACGATCAGATCGCATCACTCGCGAGCCGGAGGGGATGGCTACACATGTCTCGACGCTGAAGGCAATGTCCAAGGACCGAACAAATCCAGAACCGGAGCTGTAACGGAGCAGCCGTATCTAGTGACTTGGGATGGTGACGCAGACCCAGAGAATCCAAGGAGCATGGGCAAACTACGAAGATGGCTCATCGTACTGATATGCGCCAGCAGTTCACTATGCGTGTATGTCATGGTCTTGTTGTGTCAAGTATTGCAAAAGCACAAACTAACGAATGCCAAATGTAGGACATGCACTTCATCGCTATATACGTCAACGTATAGTCAGCTGGAACCTGAGTTTGGGGCATCCCGCTTAGTATGCACGCTTGGCCTATCTATGTTTGTTGCAGGACTCGGCGCAGGACCGATGATCCTCAGCCCCCTCTCAGAGGTGCGTATAGCTGCCGGAAATCACGGCACTTCAATGTATCCCTGATGGACTAACCAGTTGTAGTTCTACGGTCGACGACCTATCTATATCTGCTCTTTTACGTTCTTCCTGATCTGGATGATACCATGCGCAGTGGCACAGAATATCCAGACAATGTTGGTTGCGCGCTTTCTAGATGGACTTGCTGGCTCAGCCTTTCTCAGTGTAGCTGGAGGCACCGTGGGTGATATGTTTGGAAAACACGTCAGTCGATATTGTGTTAGCCAGCGTTTTATTTCTGACGTGAGTTTAGGAGCTATCTGCGCCTATGATGGTTTACACAGCCAGTCCATTCGTCGGTCCAGAAGTTGGCCCTCTGATAGGAGGTTTCATCGTTGAGAACACTACGTGGAGATGGTAAGTGCTTATTCGAGACCCACCTCCCCCACCTCCTCCACCTTGTCGCACTACACCTGCACACCCGGTGGTGCTGCTTGGGCTGATCGCATCTGTCTTGGACGTTCGTATCGAGAGCACCTAGAGCAGGCCTCGCGGGAAGCTTTTGGCGGTGTGTTGACATGAGAACAGGTGTTTCTACGTGCTCATCATCTGGTCTGGAGTTCAGGTAAGGTTGTGCTGCACACCATGTGCACCAGACACTAACGCTAGACCTGTAGCTTTGCCTAATCGTTCTATTCGTGCCTGAAACGTACCACCCCGTTCTCCTCCGTCGGAAGGCTATTCGACTGCGAAAAGAAACCGGCAACCCAGAGTGGATAGCGCCCATTGAGAAGATGGACAGATCTATTGCCAAAACCGTACTGTGGTCATGCATCCGCCCATTTCAACTACTATTTTTCGAGCCTATGGTGCGTCTTCGCGCTCGATGAGGCCTTGATTGGTGGACTGACCGTCGTGTTCTAGTGCTTGAACCTGTGCATTTTGTCTGCCATTCTTTTGGGCATCTTGTACCTCTTCTTTGGCGCCTTTCCGCTCGTATTCGGAAACAACCATGGCTTCAGCATATCGCAGACTGGACTTGCATTCCTAGGCCTGTTGGTTGGCATGCTCGTGGGTATATCCACGGACCCTATCTGGAGAAGGATATACGGCAGGCTCGTGCGGCAGCGCGAAGAGCAAGGAGGCGAGCCCGGGGGGTCGGAACCTGAGTTTCGGCTGCCTTCAACCATTATTGGGGCTTGGGTCGTCCCTGTCGCACTCTTTGGTAAGCTTCGGCATGACTTTGAACCGGACAAGCCTCTAATCACAAGTATGCAGGGTTTGGGTGGACAACATACTCATCAGTAAGTTCAAAGTGCTTTTGATATGGAAGGTTCCATACTAACCCTTCGACCTCTGCAGGTTCACTGGATAGGTACGACATCATCCCGCATATCGTCGAGTCGCAATCATAACTGACCATGACACTGCAGTTCCAATAATCTTTTCAGCGATGTTTGGCCTTGGGTACGTTTTTCTTCTTTTAGACGCCTCAGGTGTCATCGATGAGAACAGCTCACTGACCGCTTTCCATGACGTAGTGTCATATGGGTTTATTCTGGGGTCTTCACATTCTTGGTTGAAGCTGTAAGTTACCACGTACCGATATCGGACCAGGCTCTTGGATACAGAGATAGTAACATCGCCGAACAGTACCCTGTCTATGCTGCATCAGCTCTTGCGGCCAACAGCTTTGCGCGGTCGTACTTTGCTGCGGCTTTCCCGTAAGCTAGCATCGAATCTTGGGCAAACTCCATCACTAATTAATGAAATAGACTATTTGGTGTTCAGATGTACAACAGTAAGTTTCTGGGAAGGCGCACCATGGTGAAAGAGCGGTCACTGATTTGGGACAGATCTCGGCTACCAATGGGCAACTACTCTACTTGCGTTCCTGGCACTAGCAATGGCACCGTAAGAGACCCAAAGCAACAGTTGTAGGACTCACTAATGTATGTTGTCGCAGATTTCCAATCTTGTTCTTTCGCTATGGCAAGCGCCTCAGGGGAGGCAGTCGATTCGCATCAGCATAGTCGGCATGGAAGCGAAGCGAGGGCATGTTGCAGACTTGACTGGAAGCGGACTAATAATAGAGAGTAACACGGCATTTGCATACCATAGAATTTTATTGAATCAAGGATTTTGCGCCCACACGTGAGACCACATGAAGCAAGCTGGCCGGGCTTTTGTGCGACGGAACATGAGCGCCACGAGGACGGCCACGCCAGCTCGAGGGACAACAGATACACAAAAAACTAAAGCGGTTGCGGATAGTACCGTTGCCGAGGGCGGTGCACCAGCGTGCGAGAACGTGTTCGGCAGACTGGAGACAGGGCGAGGGAGACATTGAGGGCACACATAGCGAGCGAAGAGTAGACGAGCGAGACGGAGTATGATAGTTGGTAGTACGAGCGCGCGGATTGGCTCACGACAAACCAGTAAGGGATTGGCGCCAAGGCTTTGCATCCAACACTGCATGCATGCCTCATAACCGAGTTTGAGGCACTTTGGGCATGCCGGCTGCTTTGTTTTTTGGGTATACGCTGTGTGGCGTGAGGTGTCGAGGTGGGAATTGCGAGTGACTGGGCAGGGTATTCTGCAGCACAGTGCTCAATCTGCAATGATATACAAGACCCACCATGTGCTGATGATGATCTTCTGTGGCTGAAGTGCTAGTGACGTCCAAATAGTGAAGCTGGAAGCAAAAGTGCGTGACAGCGGGCTAGCGTGAGGCCAAGCACGCGGCTTACCGGTCGACAGGGACCGAGGCAGCTGCGTGGGCTGCAACTTCCAGCAAACCTCGAACAGCCAATTGCGGGGAATCGCAACTGCGCGCATCTTGCAGAGAGAGCCCCAATCTACCACACACGACCAGCGCCCGACGCCTCGAGCCCACTCTCAACTGCACACAGCGCTGCAAGTGCCCTGGAAGCTCGTCAAACCCAGCAGCACCTCATTCGCCTCGACCGCGCGCTCCGTCGCGACTTGCTTCCTGCCTCCCCAGACGATCATAACCCATCGCACCTGCCCCAGCGCCGACCGTGACTTCTCAAGCGCTGTACCACGGCGCTGGTCCACCGTGTAACTCTTTCTATTGTCGAAGCGACGCCCCAACCGTGACTGCCACGCTGCTGCGCTCACCTTCCGCGGGCTCGCCATACGAACCCCGGCACCGCTCGTAGAACCACACTCGACTCCCAGCAGCATGGGCAGCGCGTCTAGGTAGCGTCTTGCTATCAAACATGGTTCTGTGTGCTCCTGGAATGCTCCCTCGATTACATGGACCCCGACCCCGTACCACAATAGCACTATCCCATACCTGTCCGCCGGATTGAGAGCCCTTCACCACCTGCGTCCCCTGCACAGCTTGTCATTGGACCTGTCAGAGTGTTACGGCAGCGTCCGTTTAAGCAGCCAACGCACGCGTGATCGCACTTGAAAACACGCAGCTGGAACGCCTCCAGCCGTGCACCCCAGCCACATTGGCTGAACCGTTTCCCTGGGAACACCCCAAGATCACCACTGACGGCTACACGCAGCACTAAGCGTCAAGTCCCAGCGCCTCAGTCCACAGCAGCCAACGTCCGTGCTTGGCCCAGTGCCTGCGCTGAGTAGAGGGGATATCATGACCACCCCAGACGCCCAAGATGCATCTCCCTCGCCCGAGTACAGGAGCGACTTGGACGACGACGATATGGCTGCTGAACAGACCACAGACCGCCAGTCTGGAGATGCTGAATCCACCCAGAAACCTACCAACGGGAAGCCCAATGCAAAGGACCCTCTGAGACCGCGGAGGAAGAAGGCGCGGAGGGCATGTTTCGCCTGCCAGAGAGCCCACCTGACGTGTGGTGAGTCTGAACTACGAATTGACCCAATGAAGAAATTAACCATTTCCAGGCGACGAAAGACCATGCAATCGCTGCATCAAGCGCGGCCTCCAGGATCATTGCATGGACGGCGTGCGCAAAAAGGCCAAGTATCTACACGACGCGCCCGATGGCGCCCTCATGCCAGGTGTAGGCGGCCACTACCCATACATGAATGGTAACCGTCCAACACCAATTCCGAGCCACGAACCGCAAACGGTTTCCGTCTCCCCACAAAGCAACATGTACAATCAAGCGCAGCCAGCGGCATTTTACCCGCCCAACTCGATACCGGGGCAATTGCCTATTGCTCAGGAAGGCCACGCCTTCAATAACCAACAGTCGCCAATCTCACCTCCGTTCAACCAACCACACCACGGCCCGGTGCAAAATGCACCGAGCACTATGCCTCAAGGTCAGCAGAGCCAGTTGCAGCAGTTCGGACCTCTATTTGACCCAAGTGACCCAGCACTGTTCAATTTCGACATTTCAAGTCTGAACTTTGGCAACCATTATGGAGCACTTGAGTTTGGTATGCTCGGCCACATGTCATCAGGTGCAGTGGATACCCCCCATGATAATGCAATGATGAATAACATGAACGGCGCCGTGAACATGTACAACCAACAAATGCCCTCTACTTATGCGGATCAGAACAACGCAGCAACCGCAATGGCATACAACCCCAACGGACTTCCGGCGGGTGAATGGCAAGACTCGCATTCGCGGCAAGGTAGTATGCATGTTCACACACCAAACACTTCGGCCGGTCATGACCACCACGGCCTTCGAAACGACAGCCTTAGTGGTCCTCATGCATTCGTCATAGGCCAGGGGCCAGGCTCTACAGCAAGCCCGGCTTCGACGGACGCATCTACATTCGAGGGCGACAACCCACTAGCTACTGCAGCGTTCTTCGCCAACACGAATAGGCCACATGCGCCGCACTCTCCAGCTGTCAACCGATCACAGCGCGAACACAGACCCTCGAGCACAGCAATTCAACCGACGAATTCAAATGGCATTCGCAAACGTCAAAGAGATACTAAGAGCATCTACCAAGGAGTCACCAAGCCATACGATTACGTCAAGGGCTATCACAGGCTGTACCAGCTCATCGACAAGAATTATTCGAGACCATGGGTTGCTAAAGCCCAGCAATACCTGCAGAATTACCGACCTGTGTTGCTGCAAGTGAGAGAAGAGTTGAATAGGGACGACTTGATCCATCAAGAAATGGGTCTACAACGTCAGGTCATGACATTGCAAGATCACTTCGCAGAAGTCGGCACACCTTTCCTGATATGCCGTCGCTCAGGCGAGATAGTCGGTATCAACAAGGAATTTACTATTCTCACAGGCTGGAAAGACTCCGTTCTCCTCGGCCACGAGCCAAACCTCAATTTCAACACGGGCACGAATCGCGACACAAGCGAAAGCGATACCGGTTCGACCCAGAATACAACACCCAACCTCACCGCGCAAGACTCTGAGAGTGCCACGCCCAGTGTCAACATTATCGAGCTCATGGATCCCAAATCCGCTCTCGAATTTCTACAGCACTTCTCCGAACTCTGCTACCAGGATCCTCACGGCTACGCCTCTCAACGCGTCAACATGTTGAGGTACCAGACCAAGGCCGATATGGATCGCATTCAGGAAATGAAGAACGCGAATACCGGCTCTGATGTCAAGGTCGATCCGCTCGTCAAGGTGGAAGGCGAGAGTGCTATGCAGAGACTTGGTGCGAAGAATGGTATGGTGGATTGTATGATTTGGTGGCATATCAAGCGCGATATGTTTGATATGCCTGTGCTTGTTTGCATGAGTGTAAGTCGGACCCAGTGCTTCGCGCAGGTGAAGTGGCTAATTGTGATTAGGTCATGCCTGTTCTCGATAAAGGCTTACAATGATTGGAATCGAGTTGGGCTGGATGTCAAGTTCCTTCCAAAGCCTCACATTAGGCGGTTTTCATTGGTGTCCTCTCACCTGACGAACGGTCGCAAACAAACGGATGATGTAATCTTGACAGTTAATGTGCCAATACGTCATGGCGGGAGCAAAAAAGTGCTTTCATGTTTTTGGGGTTGCGTTCAGGAACGGCGCATATGCATGGATGTATATCTAGGTCGACTCACAAGACATGCCTGTCTGGTAAAGGTATAGCTCGGGAAATTGCTGTTGATTAGTTCAGGTGTTGAGGGCGCACATCAAGGGTGTAATTGGAGTAGACAAGTCGCCAACATGGGCGCGATACCAATGCTTTCATCGCTAGAACATCAGTATGATAGTAATGTTCATTCATACAAGGATATCGCTATGCAGGTCGTCGAATCGTCTATCATCTATAACCACGACTGTGTCTTCCTTTCTCCCTTTTCCATCACTTCATCTCCTTTGTCTAATTCATCATCTGCGAAATCCCCACTCCGTCCTTCTGCCCCGCCTGATTCCAGTTAATATTTGTATCCTCGCCACCCCTCAACCACTCATCCTTCTTCCAAGCCTCATACCCCCCTCTTGCCAAACTCCTCTGCGCAACTCGAATATCCTCCCTGATATCCTCCACCAACGCGTCCTTACTCACGTAATCGTACTCTGGCCGTATGAACCCTAGTATCATCAGACTGAGAGTCGCGCCATAAAAGTCTTGCTTGAAGTTATGTAAGATGTGAATCTCGATGCTACGTTGCGTGTTCTTGTAGTATGGATTGTAGCCGATAGACAGGACGGTAGGGTAGATGGTTGCTGGGGTAGGGGTCTCGGACGAATATTCGAGGTCTGACACGGCATGGGAGGAGGATTGGCTGGGGACGGAAGTATCGTCTGTGGCGCTGGGGACGCTGGAAGAGGTTGTGGAGGAGGCAATCGAGGATGTGTCGAGGGTGCACCAGCCATAGTAGATGCCGGATTCTAGCTCGTCGTGGCCGCCTATGCTAAGGCCCGAGAGGGGGATGTTGGCGGTTGGTATGCCTAGCTGTTATTGTTAGCTTGTGGAGATGGCTGAGAATGTTATTTGGCCTGTACCTCTTTACTTCCGCGTCCGAAACCCTTGACTACTGGTCCTCGGAGCTTTATTGGGAATGGCGGTTGTGGTGTATCGGGACCAGCGATAGGATCGCGAGGACCGTCTGGACGACCCATGATGTTTGATTAGGTATGGTATGCCTAGAAGACGAAGTTGGGGCGTAGAGAGAAGGACAAGGTGGTTATCGCGAGCAAGTGTGGTGTTGGTCGATGTACTTCGAGCACTTTCTGGTCGGGATGATGGAGGTCCGATCGGAACCTTGGTGGGGCTCACGTCAGATGGCAGGCGTCACTGTTAGCTTAGTCATACCGGGTACCTTGCATCGTCATTCCCGACGTGGACATGTGAACATGATTGCATTGGTTTGTCAACGGAAATAGGACATGACATCCAGGCATATGGCTTCGTCGATTGCTCGTCGTTTTGCTTTTATCTACTCCAAATCTTCCTCGAAGCCCTGCTGTAGTCTTCCATCATCAAACACACGCACTATGGCTTCTGCTTCGACCACTCAAAGTATGTCACGCCTTGATGACGATCAACCTGCATTCATCTACGGTACTGCCTGGAAGAAAGACCAAACGAAGAGGCTGGTGAAGGAAGCGCTCGCTAAAGGTTTTCGTCGTGTCGATACAGCTGCACAGCCACGGCATTATCAGGAATCTTTGGTTGGAGAAGCGCTCCGTGAAGCGATTGAGGACGGCATCTTAGAGCGAAGGGAACTCTATGTGTGTTTATTCTTTACGAGTGATTTCTCTGACACTCATCTTCCATAGTTACAGACAAAGTACACCACTCCTGCCGGCCAAGATCTGAACAATATGCCCTACGATCCTGAAGCGCCCTTGGACACCCAGATACACATATCTGTCGCCTCTTCTTTGAACAACCTGCGGCATGATGGCCATTCCGAGAGTGGTTCATACATTGACTGCTTACTTCTTCATTCGCCGTTACCTACTATTGACCAAACACTGCAAGCTTGGCGGCTACTCGAGTCGTACGTGCCTCATAAAATTCGATCTCTCGGTATCTCCAACGTCACTCTCCCCGTTCTTGAAACTATATATGAGCATGCTACAGTTAAGCCGGCGGTTGTCCAGAACCGCTTCTACCCTCAAACGCGCTACGATGTACCGCTACGCGCCTTCTGCCGAGGACACGGTATCATGTACCAGTCGTTCTGGACTTTGACCGGAAACCCTTCTCTTCTCAGGTCCAAGCCCGTTGCCGCATTGGCTCAAACGACGAATATCGGACTGCCAGTCGCACTTTACGCCCTTGTCATGGATCAAGGAGTCATGGTATTGAATGGAACCACTTCGAGTGATCACATGCAGGCGGATCTGGAAGGTATTCGAAAGGTGTGTGAGTGGTCGGCGTCGCACCGTGCTGACTTCGAGTCCATCAGCGATGACTTCAAAGCCTTGGTTAGATGATAAAACATATGATGTGAACTTCATCACGCGAAGGGTCCTTGAAGTGCTAAGTGGATAGCCTGTGAAACATGTCCGGGGGGATATCAATGTAGCTCGAGAGTGCAACAGTGGGTGGGTCTTTAGGATACACTATCGATACGCTGGTCTGCTGCGACCTGGATACTTGCGGAGGGTACGAGTAGTCACTTCAGAGGTCACAAATCAAATGCAATCTATAATCACCTTGGCGGACTGCGACAATACTGAAATCCGTTTTCGTGGATGCTGGAACCATGGAAGCGTATCAGCACGCCGTGAATCCTCATAGAGTTGTCCCGGCCGAGCGCTAGCACCCTAGTTTCAAACTCGGTACGATCGGCATGTACCAGCAACATGGTAATAAATGCATCCTTTTTGCAGTAGTTCAGCTACAACGTCAAGGAATCGACTGAGAAAGATTATGGGTGTCAATCAATTAGGCAATATCGCAAGTCACAACGCTATGAGAGAGTTCTAGAGTGCTTTGAATAGTTGCAACTCACCCGCTAGCTAACCTTGGAAGCCCCGAAAGGCTCCACGACTTTTACAATTTCGGGTGTGATAGCTTGCCTAGCAAATCTATGAAGAAGCGTGATAATCTGGCAAGTATTTCCTCTTGTGAGAACATTGACAAAGGAATGGACAAGTTGTACCCGCCAACATGCATCCTGCATCGATGCTAGTGCTGCAGTAGTAGCACGGGCCAAGGGGATGGCCGGCGTTTTTGTCGGCCCGGCCGTAGCGCGTTCTGGCATATCAGTTCCAGAAACTTCTGCCTCAAGCTCCCCTCTACATAACTTGCAGAACTCTCCTCCTGTACCCTACACCATCGCTTGAATTTGCGCCTCGTGTAGCTCAGTGTTAGAGTCTGCGCTTTATCTTGTAAGTACTCAACGCCTTTCTCCAATTTTCGAATGATGAGACACAAGCTGGCACCAGTCTGAGAAGACTTGTACTCTTTGCATGCGGATCAGCTGCTTAGACTTTTTAGTCGCCTTCTGACAATACTTCCCTACACATCTATCTTTACATCAGTGGAAGAGGCCGAAGCTAACAAGCTTTTCACAGAAATCGAGTAGTAATTGAGCACGCTCACCGGACATCACCATGGTCCTCCACAACCCGAACAACTGGCATTGGGTCAATAAGGACGTGTCAGGATGGACGCGAGAGTATCTTGACAAGGAGCTTGTCCAAATATCTGCGGAACAAGATGGCGTGACAGCAAAGATCGACAAGGTTGTAAGCATGGATGGAGACGTAGATGTTAGCCAGCGCAAAGGCAAAGTCATCACCATCTTTGATGTGAAACTGAAGCTCGAATACTCAGGTGCGTCTTTCTCTTAGTCGTACTCTTCTTGGGCGAGCTGACTCGGTCGGCAGGCAAGAACAAAGAGGGCGAAGAGGCTAGCGGCACCATTACCGTCCCGGAAGTCGCTCACGACACGGAGGAAGACGAGTATGTCGTATGTTCCCTTCGCTGGCACCCTTTTTTATTTCTATGCGTGATGATGTACATTGTCACTAACAGTTTGCCATAGTTTGAGGTAGACGTATACTCGGACGAGAGCAGCAAACAGCCTGTAAAGGACCTAGTACGATCCAAGATCCTACCGCAACTGCGTAAAAGCTTCTCACAGCTTGCGCCAGCGGTCATGGCGGAACACGGAAAGGATATCCAGCATGCGCCAGGCGCCAACCCTGGTAGCGGCTTCACGGCCCCAAAGGTATACTCAAGCTCAAGCGTGAACAAATCCAGCTCCAAGACGGAGTCGTCCGGTTCTCAAAAGAGCAGCTCTGGCGCAGTTGTCAATGTGACCACCATCACCGACAGCACAGAGTTCCGCACAGATGCGGCGAACCTCTACCAGACCTTCACAGATCCGCAACGCATTGCCGCGTTCACGCGGGCACCACCACGGAACTGGACAGGCGCACAGCCTGGCGGTACATTTGAGCTCTTCGGCGGAAACGTCACTGGAGAGTTCACCGAACTCCAGGAACCTACACACATCGTCCAGAAATGGCGACTTGCACAATGGCCTGCGGGACACTACTCCACCCTGTCTATATGGTTTGATCAGAACGATGTTGATGCTGTGACGGTCATGAGGGTAGAGTGGAAGGGTGTACCAGTTGGTCAAGAGGAGCCCACCAAGACCAACTGGGACCAGTACTATGTCCGAAGTATCAAGACGACTTTCGGTTTCGGTACAGTATTGTAGATGACCAGTGCCTCAATTGCATCACAGCATGGCGTGGAGTACGAGGCGTTGGGAGGACTTAACGATTGCATACGAAGTGACGGATATGGGAAGAAATAATACCTACCGTAATGGTATGAAGTCCAATGAGACATGTTTGAATGACAATCTTGCCTTGTATCTCGTGCCTGCCTTTCAGGCGAACTCGTTAGTAATGGCGCTAGCTGTTCCGGTTAATGACGCGACAATGTGCCTCCGTACGTAGTATTCTTTCCCAAGTAGACCTACTGAATCTTCTGTGCAACACTCATACGAGCGATATACAGCATAAGTAAGCCAACATCGGTCCTACAATGGATATCAGCAGAAACTACCGAAGTGGTGCAGAAGAGACCTTGCCTGCCCGTGCGCGCTCGGATAGCCGTTGCCTACTACCTGCCCTTACAGGCATAGATCGTCTGCCACTATCAAGCCATGCAAGCTTGTACAAGCTCTTGCCAATGCGAGCTTGGGACCAGATAGCGGGGTATATTCCTAACATCGTGTCGTTCGGTTGACGGGTTGCAGCCTTCATTATCTTCATCGGTCTAATTATGCGAGCTCTCTTGCCTGAAATGCAATGAAGTGGCTAAACCATGTAGATTCAAGTGACCAACCTTTGTACTGGCGAATCATTCGTACGGAGTCCGTAGATAGCGGAGTGCGAAATGCGAATACATGGAACTATACCATGACGTCGTTGGTACGAGCACTGGATCACGGCCGATGTTTACGGCACCGAGATGAGTGGATGCTTAGCCTACATGGGAAGGTGAGAGCTGGCTATCGGGCCTGCGTAAGCTTCCAGAAAAAGTGTAGTACTGCTCATCATTCAAAGATCTGCTCTCTCTTCTCCACTTACCTTTGTTCTCTCTTCATCCTCACCCATTGAGCCGGATCAGCTCATTGTTACACGAAGACTTACAACAAAGTCAACAATGAAGCGCACGAACAAGCTACTTGCAGCGCCTTTACTGGCAGCTGGTACTCTTGCGCAGTTCGTACCTGCGCCTACGGACTTGATTACCAAGGAAGGCTATGCGAACATCAGTGTACGGTACAAGGAGGTACCTACCGGTATTTGCGAGCTCAACCCGAATGTGAAGAGCTACAGCGGCTACGCAGATATCGCGGAGGACCAGCACGTCTTCTGGTGGTTCTTTGAGGCGCGCAACCAGGATCCATCCGAGGCGCCATTGACAGTGGTAAGTTGATTCTGCGATGCAACTTGCGTTTTTTGAACCATATATCTGGAGGTCCCCACAGATGGCAGTACTATGTAGATGAAGCGAAAAACCATGAATATCTTTGGGGCACGATACAGGAAACACGAACTTCTGACAGTGAACATACAAAAACAAGATACTAACGCCATCTGTAGTGGATCAATGGAGGTCCAGGCTCCAGCTCTATGATCGGCCTCTTCCAAGAATTAGGACCATGTGGTATCGGACCAGACCTGAAGCCGTTCAACAACCCGTACTCGTGGACCAATGCAAGCAACATGCTGTTCATTGATCAACCTACAGACGTCGGCTTCTCATACTCCATTCCTATCCCTGGCTACACAGACGGCAGCACTATTGTTCAATTGCCGAACGCGACTTGCCCAGACTACGCCCAAAATTATGGAACGTGCGGAACATACTCCAAGCCAGACCACACTTTGACCGCCAACAGCACTGAAGGTGCAGCGCCAGGAATGTGGAAGACGCTGCAAGGATTCATGGGTGCGTTCCCTCAGTACTCGCGTAGCGGCTTCAGCTTCACAACCGAGAGCTACGGCGGCCACTACGGACCAATCTTCAACTCCTACTTCCTCGACCAGAACGCGAAGAACATTACCGGTGCGCACAAGATCGAGCTCGAGAATGTACTTATCGGCAACGGATGGTTCGATCCACTTGTCCAGTACCAAGCTTACTACAACTACTCCGTTTACCCTGGCAACACCTACGATTACGACCCGTATAATGATACGGTCAAAGCGGAGTGGTACAATAACATGTACGGTTCGGGTAACTGCTACGACCGGACCAAGCAATGCTACGAGACTGGAATCAACTCGGTCTGTGCAAGCGCGGATGATTTCTGTTATTCCAAGGTTGAGAATCTCTACGACATATACAGCGGACGTGATGAGTATGACATGAGGTTCTTGACGCCAGACCCATTCCCCTACGGCTACTTTGGTGATTATTTGAACTTGCCCGAGGTACAGCAGGCGATTGGCGCATTCCAGAACTTCTCCCAGAGCGCCAGCACAGTCTCTTCAGCATTTGGCAACACTGGTGATGATGACCGTCCATCCGGCACGATTGCGGCTTGTCAGAAACTGCTCGATGCAGGTGTTCAGGTCATGCTGTACTATGGCGATGCCGACTACAACTGCAACTGGCTCGGTGGTCAGGTCGTCGCAGACATGATCAACGCAACTGGCTACTCCGAGGCTGGTTTCACCAACATTACTACCAGTGACGGCATCGTTCACGGCCAAGTCAAGCAAGCGGGCCTCTTCTCTTTCCTCCGCATCTACGAGTCCGGCCACGAGGTGCCCTTCTACCAACCCCTCGCATCGCTCGAGATTTTCGAGCGTGCGCTGAAGCAAGTTGATATCGCGACTGGTACGGAGAAGTGTGACGCCGACTATCTATCTGTAGGCACGCCGACGAGTGAGTATAGAGAGGGCAACGCCACGATGCAGTTCGAGGTAACGCCGGCAAATGCGACGTACAACACGGCGCTCAACGGTCCGGACGCTGAGCCTACGTGGTCAGCAGATGCAGAGGTGGCAAAGAGGGCACTGAGGAAGCGGGATGTTGGAAGGTTGGGAAGGCCGATAAAGTCGAGGGGTGGTAAGAGGCGTGCTTGAAATGGACGAATGGCTGGGTAGACTCGGCCTTGATGTATCGTCACATGAATGTTGAATAAAAAAGCACCTCTCATGACATAGTCTTATCGCTTGATTGTGCTTATGGTGGGGTTGTAATACGAGGCTAGGTGACTCTCGTTTGGCATCCGCTGTGCATTAGTGCAATGAGCTTCAAACGTCATGAAGGTCTGTCTGATTGTAGATTATCGGCTGTGATGTGAACTGGCATCATGCCTCCTTTTTCTAGACGGTTTGGAAGCATATGCATGGAAGTTCTAGCGTACCGAGCTCTCGCAGGTGAAGAAAGTCTAGGCGAAGCCGTTGCAAGAGCGTTCCAAAAGTCGCGGTTAAGAGGGACTGGTGCGGGAGATTCCCTGCTAGCGCGCGTCGCATGAACCTTGGTGTTGGGGAGAGGAGGTCGCGTCAGCTTTCACGGGCAGCCACGACGAAGCAGACTGAATTCAACAGTATCGAACCTCGTTTTGCGTACACGAGACGGTCACGATATTCGGCAATTGCTTACTAGACTCGGAAACGTGGAAGACGCAATTGACATAATCGCATCCCGACACGCGCATTCCGAAAGTCGTGCCACACCGGAATCGCATCACCAACTTTTCCAACCAAGGCCCCATAGCCCCAACAACGCCGCGGCCAGCTTCTCCCCACCCGGTGATGGTGCGTTTCGGTGCATGGCCTCGCTGAGAGGCACAATCACCGCCCGAACCAGCCCCGCCTGGTAACAACGTCGCTCCCTGCAGTCCGCGTAGAAGCAACGCGATAGCGGCCGCGCGGCGACACGAAACACAACCATGGCGCCCTCAGGGACTTCGATGTTCTCCAAGCTCAGGCCCGGTCATGCGAAGCGGAATGCCTCGAGTCTCGCTTCACCAGAGCCCGTTGCAAGCCCCGCCGCTCACGCCCATCCTCTACCCTCGCCGTCGCATAATCCCGAGTACTTCTCCTCACCACGCTTCAACGACAATGCCAGCTACACCTCAGGCTCCCCCATATCGCCCTATCCGCCCCAGCTGCCGCCCATTACACGCGTCACCTCGAAGCTCGACAAAGCCGCGTCGCCTAATAGCTCCCAATATACCACCAGTCAGCATTCGGCGAGTACTGGGGGCAGCAGCAGTAAGATGGCACAGGATCGCGGCATGCTCTCTCCGCCCCAAAGGACACAGGACCACCTGTCCCCTGGCTATGAAAACAAGCCGCCGTCTGCACGCTCACACGCTGGAAGCACACCCACGAGCGCTCATCGACCGACCCCGGGCTTCCCTCAAAAGACAGTACCTACGCCAGCGTCCGAGACACCTCCCCAACCATCCTCCCATCTAGCACCTTCCGTCATATCTCCCAGCTATTCAAACTTCTCCAAGTCACAGACATCGCTGCTGAGTGGCATCAGCGATAAACTTACGGGCAGTTCCAAGAGCACCTCGACACCGACAGCCGCCCCCAGTAAGTCAAGATCGAGACTAACCCTGCGCAACCCCATGTCGCTTCTAATGCGACGGAGGTCTGGACAGACCCTGGATCCTCTCGCCGACGAGTCGCTCGTCACTCAACGCTCGCCTTCCAACGTCCCTCCCATGCCCGACAACTACGACCCCAGCATCCGCGGAAAGATTAGACACGATTTCGATGCGCCTAGACTAAACCGAGGTTACTCCTACAACAATGCGTTGGAAGGGGGCGAGGCACAGCAGGAAATAGGTCGTGTCAGCCCGCCCAAGATTGAGAAAGAGCATACACCCGTGTTCCGTGAACACTTTGACGATGACACCAGCTACGAGCAGTCGCAAGCTGCTATAAGGGCAGAGCAGTTGGTGAACAAGGACTTCCTCGCAAGAAATTCTGTACAATTCCCACCACCCGAACGCTCAGTTCCTCCCCCACCACAACCCATGAACTCGCCGCCACCGCCTCCGCCACCGCCACCGCCTCCTCCACAATCGTCTCCACCACCCCAGCCGTCATTCCAAGCGTTTGAAAGCGGATCCTCGGTCTTATCGCCCGTACAGGAGTCGGAGAATCCCCTGGACGTGTCTACAGATGTCACCCCACGGAAGAGGAAGTCGACCAAGTCACCACCACCGCCTGCACGATCAAGGGCAACATCCGTTACAGACCCATCGTTTCAGCCAGCGGGGCTACCAGCACATTTCAGCAGTCGAGCATCCAGATTCAGCTTCCAGATATCCGGTGGCACGGATTCTGCGCAAGAGAAGCTGCTCGAGGAGCGACACAAGGCAAAGGAGGCGGAGAAGAAGCAGGCGCGGAACTCTACCAACTCAGTCGAAGACGAGTACGATGACTACGGCATGGACGATTACGACGACATGGACGGCGGTTTTGATGAAGAGATACCAATGCTGGGTGAAGAGGACGAGTTTGGGGGCGGGCTAGGAGATCAGACACTGGATTCCGGAATGAACGCTTTCGACTTCTCATCTCTGTCGATACAGCAGAATATGAGCAACACAGCGAGCCCAATGAACCTAACGCAGACGCCTGTTGATATCAACGGAAACCCTATCGGTTTTGCCATGTCGCAAGAGATGCTCCAGCAATACCAGATGTCATTGATGAGCGGTCAATCGATTCAACAGAATACAGCAAATATGCAGACTTATGGACTGGGTCTAACCAGTCTTTCGGGTAAGCCTGCTGAGTCCTCTCCGGTCAAATCTCCCGAGACGTCTGAGAATGCAGTCCCCTCAGACGCCAACCAACAAAGCTTCGAAAATATTGATCTCGATGACGATATGTACTTTGACGATGGACTTATTGGTGACCAGGACGACATCGAGTCTACAGAATTCGACGAGAATGTCTTCGATGACCCTAATGGGCCATTGTACGAAAGGAAGGTCAAATTTGCTGAAGACGAGTTATCGCCGGCTACTCATCAGCCCCGTGGGTTTGATGTATTGAGCTCAGAGACAGGCTATGAAGCGGATGATGACACTGTATCAAAGCACCTCGAGAAGTCGGAGCCTTCACTGGCACACAAGACTTCCATCGCACAGCAGCGACCTGTGCCCAGTTTCGACAACCTCAGCGCATATCACAGTGCTCTTGCCGATGCCGCTACGCGTGCTGAGGCTGCTGGCCGATTTGCAAGGAAGGCGAGCGTGGACGCCGGTCAAACTAACTTTGACGTCGACGATCAGTCGTCGCTCAGCAACTCGCGACCCAGCCTTGTTCCTGACGATGGGCGTTTCAGCGTAGATACCCTTAGCTTCCCGCAGGATGATGAGATATACGGCATGAGCTCCGGTTTCGTTGACGACTACGACTACAGCGACTTTGACTCTGCTATGGAGGATGACCCCATCATTGCCGAGGCAAATGCTGAAGCCCTGGCCTATGACGATGAGGGATTCTACGGCCAAGAGTTTGGTTTCTACGCTTCTGCAGTCGGCGAGTCACCAAGCGCTTGGGGTGGCTTCTTTGGACCATCTGGCCTAGGTCGCACAGTCAGTGGTCGCAACGCTGTGCGAGAGCCGAGTTTGACACCTATCACGGAGCGCAGCGAGTACAGCACGCGCAATTCTTTCATCAGTCTCAACCACTTCCGCGATGGACAGCAACCAATGTCGAGCCCCGGCCTGGCACAGCTTGCTCGTATGAGCCCGTATGGCTTTCCTGGACCTGCAGAAGAAGACATGAGTCTTGATACGTTAATGAAGTTGCGAAAAGGCGCCTTTGGTGGAAGTGTGGCTAGTCTACCGGCCAGTGCCGCTAATAGCCCACGCAACTCTTCACCCATGGGCATGCAGTTCGTACCCCGGGCGTCAAGCCCTGTTGGTAATCGCATGAGAGAGCAGCCTTCCGACTCCCTCGAGAGCTCATATTCCTCCAACAATATCTCTTCTGATTACCAAGATGATCATGAAGGCCGCGAGGAAGATGATGACGGACTCATGGATGCTGTTAATGGCGCGTACGAGTCTGGAGGATCCAGTGAAGAGGACTACGGTGCAGTTGAACGGCCTGAAAGCCCTACTCTCACAGCTAGCGATTATAACGGTGTCGCTAGCCCAACTGGATACGGCATCGGGAATGAAGCACCACTTCTTCCTCCGATTTCCGAACTGTACGCTCAGCACAACATGAGTCTAGCCTTGTCCCCAGGTGGTATGTCCGCAACTTCACCTTCCAACATTTCCCTTCCCGTATCGCCATTCCCAATGCCGCTCTCTTCGCCATACCTACCGCAACATCAAAATCGACCGCCGAATCCACCTTCAATAGACACGTCGCTTTCCTCGCCATCCGCGCCCACTGTTTCTACATCCGGCGGACCACGGAGACAGAGTATGGGTCTTAGTCCGATCTCTAACTCTTCTCCCATCACGCCGAATGGTGGAAGCGGCGGTGGATGGAACCGTGGACATAGCAGGAAGGGCAGTGCGGCAGATAGCGTGACATATGTACGTGAGCACGACGAAGCTGGTGAGGGAAGATGGGTGCTAGAACGTCGACGAACGGCTGAAAGTGGTGAGCTGGAATTAATTGGCAGGGAGATTGTAGAAGGCGGACGGATATAACGGGCTGACATGAATTGCCTTTTTCTCTTTTCAGAGACAAATGAGCTTACTGGTAGAGCATATTCTACGCTCGAATTGCATCGACGGCGTTTTGTTTTTGTTTTTAGCATGGAGCCTTTTTGGACGGGTACATGAGCAATGCGCATGCATCGCATTTGGACTTGCCTCTTTTGGGAAGCGATGACGCGAAGGATAGAGGCTGGTTCCTTTTTGATGAGATGCATGGGTGGATGATACTTAGATACCTCGATTATTATAATCATGATGTTTTTTATTACTTGCACTTTGGAACTTCTATGGATGCCGCTGAAGACGGGGGAGCAAGGACGACATGCTGTTATATGGCCCATAGCTGGAGTTTTGAAGTAACGATGCACTGTTCAGGTAAAGCGTATAAAGGCATCTTTCCTCGTATTGCTTCTCTTCCCTTGTATACCAAATTGACCTTCACCTGTTGGAATTGTGCTGGACAGATCTCCTTTCTGTGCTTTTCGACCACTTTGCGCTTCGACCTGGCCGCCTCGTCGCTGGCGGGCGCCCGATACGCAGAGATGGGCAGACATGCCACGACTAAGAGCGTTGACGCCAAGCACGATACTTCGTGCCAAAACCTATGCGAACAGATGGTCACCGTGTTGCCAAGGGAACTCAGAGTCCGCATCTACGAGCATGTCTTAGGTGACGTAGTGAAGTGTGTGTTACAATGCCAGGACTCTACCTAGGTCCATGCACTGCTGCCTAGCCCTAGCGCATCTTTATATAATCTTGTTTTAACATCTCTTTGTAAGATACGCTGTGCTCGCTTGTATCATGAAGGCAAATTCTAAAGTTACTAGCGCAAAAGAAGTTCTGAAGCTGCTTCGGCAGGCTATCGCGTATGTTTTGGCAAACCATGTCAACATTGTCACTTACTAAAACAAACAAAGTGCACGTCAACGTGTCAAAGCGCGTGTTTACCATGACTACCCGGAGGGTGCTACCCGCGCCATTCAGAAATTGAAGATCTTCGATTCATATGCGCAAGCCTCGTGCCGATTCATATGCCAAGAGATCCTCCACTCTCTGCCAACCGAGTTATGCGACATGATTATTGAACTTATCATCGGCCGCAACAGCGCAGATGTCACGGCAGATCCGTGTTGCGAGCCAATATACCCCATGGTGGACTCTCCGCCACTCGAGCATTACTGGAAGGTCGAATATGTTGGAAAACCTATGTTGGCGAGAATGATGACTGTCTGGTACCACAACAGCAGCTTCATGGTTCTTTGGAGGCACACATGTTTGAGAGTCCTTCTCGATGAAGAGGCTGCTTGCATTCATATTCCGCGCTACAAGTTGATTACGAAGATTTCCATCGCTGTGTGGCCGGACAGTCTTGCGTTGGATAGGAAGAAAAATCGTCAGAATCGAAGCGTGATGCCTTCGTACTACCCACCGGAAACGTTGACAGGGCTGATTCAAGACTTCGAATCATTGTTCAAGTTGAGGAGCTGTGCATCGATACATATCCTTTTCAACTACCCGGAGCGCTCTTCTGTAGGGGATGATGATCGAAGAAGTCTCTTCTTGAAAGGCACCGCCATGATGTCTGCATCTCTGTGTCGCTTGAGGAACGCTGGATACATTCTCGGCGCCAGCATTCACGTGCTTGGGGGAAGTCTACGACCACATGATACCTTTGAATATTTTCTCGAGGAAGGAAAATTGCAGGCAGGATATTCTGACTGTCTGCCTGCAGACGACACGGGTATGGTTTGGCGGTAAGTGCTCATTCCGTATCTTGTCTATGTTCCCCGGCTGACGTCAATGCAGACCATCCAAACCAAAAGCTTCTGGCACTTAGAGCCAGGAGTCCAGTTTCTATCGATGTGAAAGCATACTTCTCAATCTCCTCTTGCTGAGTCTCCTTGATTCTAGCAGCAGTTCAGCAAACACGATCCTAAATTTATTTGCATATTTTGCCAGTTTTGTTTTCAGTTGTATAGGCAATAGCGCATACCTTCAGACCACGTTATAGAGTCATGTACATGAGAGATACGCGGCGAAGTCCTTTGCCTAGGTGAACGGCTTGTCTCGCATATTTTTCCGACCGCGTGGTCACCGGGGCGTTACTTTCCCAAGGTGGCTTGCGTCTCTTTCCGCGCAGTCGATACAAACCCGAAGCTTTCTCGCACCTCGCTATGGCCGCAACAATCACCACTACATCACCCAGTCACCACCCGGGAATATCTTTTAATGCTACCTGCTGCGTCAACCTTAGGCTTTTGTACATCATCATGAATGTCTACTGATCTCATCTTGAAGCAGGATGACAAGCAGCAATCTCACTAGTGTTTCCGCACAGAACGCCACTATTTTCTCCGACAAGGACTCTTTTGCCAATACGACTTCGACAAAGAGGAATACATCAGTACCAGTCTACACACAGATATCACAAAAGTTCTGGTGAGCATGGACGCCCGCTTTGACTTCCGCGCCCGCCACGAGCTGCTGTATGAAGTGTTCGCGCACTACACATCCGCTGAGCACAACAACATCAATCCTCCTTTCAAGATAAACGGCTAGCTTGGTCGTCATAGAGCGCTACCTGAAGGATCGTGAGGCTGTGCTCGCCTATCTCGGGAAACTCTCAGGGCTCGGTAGAGGCGCCAACATCTACATCATCATTATCGAGACGGGCCGCGGCACCCAAGCTCAGGTCATCCACCAAGTCCGGCGCATCCTTAGTATGGTCCTTTTGCTGCTCAAGCGCCTTCACGACCTCGAAATCCGCATTCATGTAGTCGTCAATCCGGCTCATGCTACCTCGAAAATCAGGAACAGCAGCGGTATCACCTATGATTGACCATGGCGATACGAAATGTCAACGGGAAATTCCACGTTCACTGTCGAAGGCTTTGAGAATTGTCTAAGAGAGTGCTTCCAGGAGCCTGGCGGATGGTGGATCTCGAAATTTCCGCCGCGATTTTGATGAGCAAGAAGACTGGAAGTACATGGAGTGATGTCTTTCGGGAAGTGTCGAACCAATAGGATATATCACGGTAGAGGATGTACGATATATCAAAGTTCCTCTGTAGTCGTCAAGGAGGTTTTCAGATTGCAATTCCGTCACATAACATGATAGCGCGAAGTTACTCAACCAAGCCCTACGAATACTCTGTAAACCCAGGATATACCGGATGCCCTGCTAACTCTTAGTAGTAGGCTTAGTAGGGCTAGCTGACATGGTAGTCGTCTTAGATACAACAACAACCCACTGCGTTAAGACGTGAGTCTCTTGCATACTCCAAAGCGTTTCCGTCATCGGTCCCATCTCTTTGCCCAATCCAGCAACCACACTAGTAGTAGTGACCTGTACTGTTCGAGTAGCGTTCCTCATGCTAGCACCGGAAGCCGGATGGAACCTGCCTGTTCTCATAACGTTGGCCAGGAAGAAGGCTCCCACTATGGTGCCGCCTACTATGATGAGGAAACAGAATACGCCTACAGCAATGCGACATTTGTTCTTAGACCATAGGCGGGCCCAAAATGAGCGCGACGTTATACGCTGTGGAAGGTGTTCGGGAAAGGACTTTGTGGACTTAATATCCGTCGACGAAGTTGCTGGAATCGAGAATGGCGACGGCAATACTTTATGGTGCATAACTTGCTCCGACTTTGTAACGTCGGTGGTACTGGAGGCTTTAGATGGTTCTTGAGGTTCCCGCCTGCTGTTGGCATATTCCCTAAACGGATTTGTGTTGGAAGACATAGCGCGAAAGATGTATGCCTACGAGACAGTAGTTGTGGTATGAGTGATGTGGAGGCTTTTGAAATGATCGGAACGAGGCTGGAAGAATCGCGAGGGCGACGTCTAGCTCTTTTTCTAGTGCATCGTACCTGTATATCTGATACTATCGATTTACAATGTTATGTTGGGAGGACTAAAAGTGAAAGTGTTCTACCTTAAAGAGCTGCTAAGACGTTTGTGTTATGCTGGTGTAATGGCGCCTATAATTGTGACGATTACTGTAGGAGTAATATAGCTAATAGATATAAATATAGCGCATCCACAACTGGTCGTCTATCTACCACTTCTCTTATCACTGGACCGAGAAGAAAGCCTTGGCATCTGTAAGCGGACAGATCACGCACGTGAATCTGCCGGTCTAAACTCCACACACTGACCTTTTGCCTGTCACGTCACAGTTTCCTTTACATTCTTCTATAGTCGGCCAACTACCTTTGCTAGTACAAGTCTCTTGGGGAGGATCTGCTGAGGTAGGCCGAAGTGGTGCTTTGAATGGTACTGTGGCTGTAGGTGTTGGACCGCCTGGAGTTGTACGAAGTGTCGTTGTGATAGTTGTTGGTTCCGGCGTTACTTGAATGGTACCTCCCGTTGATGTGGATGTGACGATAGTTGTTTTGTAAACTAACGCTTGCTCGTTAGGACATTTGGAAAGGCCTATCTTGATGCCGATGAGCAGGGAAGCGATGACTAGTCCTAGCACGAAAATGAAGCTGGGGATGATTAGGAACTATTTATTGCTGAAGTATGTGCAGGCGTTGCTATGTGAACGAGACGGCAGTTGAGATTCGGCGTTAGTAGGAAAATACGGGTGGTTTGGGTCGACGTAATCTGCAGGAACACCTATTGGTTGGGGAGCAATCTTGGATATCTTAATGCTGTCGCGTTAGGAGGACATGCTTGCGGCTGAAAATAGAGGGCAATAGATTCTAGTATGCTGCCGTTATGGGGAATTTCTATACTTGATAGGAGCTCTATCTGGGTTGTAGCAGGGACGTTATGTAGAGACTGGGACCTAGTGGATAATGAGTTACGGAACAACATTATGAGAGAAGAGTGTGCACATCGCTGAAATTGCACAAGGTAAAACCAGTAGGGCACATAATAGAACTTATAGACTATCCTCGTCCTTCTATACCGCTAGGCTAGCATCGTTATAAGTTTTCATCACTGCTCGAACTCCGCGCGACCTCGTCCCGCCACTCCATTCACCTCTGGAAATCTAACATATCTCCTTGAGCATAGTAATTCATTGGTATAAGCCGTGAAATGTCGTCCTATTAGCCATTGCAGAACAAAGCGCCTAGAAAACCCATTTCTAACGCAGACAAAGTCGATGACAAGACCTACATTAATGCGTTATGCGACGTATATGTGGAAAGAAAGACGACGGAAAAGGAAATAAACATGTAAAAGGACTCGAGTGAGCACTGACAAGAAGTTGACGAAGAAATACATGCGGCATTTGATCGGTGCGTGCGTGCTACAGGTTTGTATGTTGGGTTGATGGTTATGAATCATATCAGCTTGAAGCCCACAATGTATCAGATTCACACGAATTACCTTCGGTGAAGTTATATGTCTCCTTCTTAACAGCGGTGATACGCCGCGCCGTTGTTGAAGTCATTGCCTTGGCTCTCCTGACCACGGTTGTATGTTCTAGAGACTCTGTCTCTGTAATGATGGCCATCTATATTACTGCCTTGCCTGTCATTGGGGTTGTAGCTCTGGGGAGGTAACAGTTGCCCAATGCCAAAATTTCCGAGCCGGGTACCGATGCCATATGTACTCTCTGATGTAGGTATTGGCGCCTGCCCATAGGGACGAATCAAAGACGGACGAGCGACCCCACGCCCAGTGGGGCCAACGATGTCAGTGAGACTCATTGCACGTGTACTCTTGCTTCGGCTCGTGTCCACGATAGTGGGATACTCGGTAGTCATGTAATCACTAGTAATTGGTTCGCGTTGGCGATTGTGATCGAGACGGCTGAGAGGTTTTTTAGTTCGTTTCTGTGGTCGCGTTAATGCATTCACCCTTCAGAACAAGATAATCATCTTTTGACTTACATATCTAATCGTGATTAGCTGGCCATAATTTCCGGTCCGTATCCTCTGGTCATCGTGCTGCTGCTCCCAGTTGCGAACTGTCTTGTATTTGTAGCTATCCTGCTTCCCAACATCTGAGCTTTCACGGCGACGCTTCGATCCTGGTTAGTCTTCGTTCTCCCGCTTTCTGACAAGCTGCTCCTTCATCTGGTCTAGCATGCGCTTTGCTCTGTTGAGGATCGGCTCAATCTGCGCTACTGGAAGTCTCGGGATAGACGTGATCATGGTCGCCTCCATGCGCAAGGCAATGATCTTGTTGATGAGACGTAGTGGTAGTGTATCGATGCATGAGACGCGTGTATCGAAACAAACAGTCACGGTGTTCGGCGGTCTTGTATTAACACCATGGATGGGTTTATAACGGAAGCCCTCAGGCAGTTCCAGGACACCTAGTCCAGGTTCCACAACCACTAACCCTTTTTTCTTATCCCGGCTCTTACACAGGAATCGTTCCCTGTACTTAGCCAGCCCAAGGCATCCGTCCAGGTGCTCCGATGATTTGTATAACGGTCCTGACCCGCCATTGCTTTCTAAGACGATCACCACCATGTAGTCGGAATGCTTTTCGATGACAATTCCGTATCGAGGTTTACCGGATACGTCTCCTAGTGGAGAGAGGATGATGCCCCCCAGTGAGTCCATCTTCATGGCGAACACAGGGCCATTGATGATGTCTCCCACTCCATACTTTGCTGCGGATGTTTTACGGTAGATGTGATACCGTAATTGTTCTTCTTTCATGTCCGCGAAGGGTTTGCATGGTGATCCGATAGAGCAGCCAGCGATGGAACACGGATGAAAGTCGCTGATTTCAGGCTTGCCCATTCCATGGCAACTGAAAGATCTTGGTGTTGGTAGGTTCACGACGAGCCTTGTTGAAAGTGTGAGATCATGTGCGGGAAGTGACTGGGCTGTAGGGCCGGGATCTGTCAGCACGCTTTCCTGATGGGAGTGTACATCATATAAAGGCTGTGCGGCGGTGATGCTACGCCTCTGTTTGGTTGATTGTGAGCTGTTTTGATCTTGAACATTGATCTGAAAAGACGCACCTGTTGTGCGCTCATGACGCCTGGCTCTGATGTACGCTGTGGTCGACCGTCTTCTATGATCTCGGGTTTTGGAGCCATCATTGGCAGGTCCAATCAGAATGGTGGTCGGCTTGGTTCGATGGGAGAGCGCGGTGTGTAGCCGTGAGGTGCATGCCCAGATGATTCGGAAAAGGTAGTATAGTGCGTGATAGACTTTTGAATCTTGGAGCAGACCAACCAAGCGCTGGAGCTTGTCTGCTTTCCGCATTTGGTATTTTATCAAAGCGTCTGTGCGAGCTCTCCAGTACGAACATTTTGGTGTTGAGTGAAAGGTCTACATTGACACATGCCAGTCACGCTAAGGAGTATATATACCCCACAATCTTGTTTGTTTGTACTTCATCTTTCGACCTGTGCCAACCCGGAACATTGACTATCGCGTACTGTGATCGACCAAGATATCATTCTCCATAAATCAAGCTAATATCCGCAAATAATATTGCTTCCCAATCCAAAGGTTCGTAACAGCAGACGCGATGTGCAAGATCACAATTCCGGAAACCCGTCACCATCACGTTGTGACTCCTCACGTCCCGCGGGACCAGCAAAGCCTGCATTCTGCGACATCGACTGCGAGCGTCAATGTCCAGAGACAATTCGGCAGTCCCGCTCAGCCTGGCGTCGCATCGAACGAGGACTCTTTGAGCGGGATTGAAGATGGCGGACAATCGATCGGAAGCCTCGAAGACGCTGCGTTTGCTGCGATGGACATGTACGAAGCTGAACTCACTCCACTGATAGACGCGAAACGGTGCGCGAGGCAGGTGGCGGAGTGCAAGCGATCAGACATTAAGCAGCTGAGGACGGTTATCGGCAAACATGGGCGGCCTTCAGAGAGTCATTTGAAGCAGCTGAACGCGCTGAGAAGGGAGTATCTTGAAGCCTGTCACACTATAAAGACCCTTGTAAGACGCGCCGATATTGCGAAGAAGCGCGCAGTAGCGGGTTTGGTAGAGGAAGCACAGATATTGCACTGTTCATGGGGCGAGGATATCAGTATCCCATCTTTCGGCGACTATGAAGCGGCAGCGACGTTTCTTTCGCATCAATACGCAGATAGAGGAACCATGGCATTTACCCCTTCGAAAGCCACCGAACTCGCCAATCTGCAAGCAGTAGTCGCTACCTGTCAGTCTCAAGTAGTGCGAACCACCGAGCCGCCAACACACGACGCTCACCAGATTAGAGCGGTGGGTAGTAAAGCGCCCGTAGCGCGACAAGAGCAGTCTACCCAGATGATTGGACTACAACAGCGTGAACTCCATGACGGTAGTAGCCGTGATGATATCGCTAAGACCAACTGCGATGACTGGACCATGGATCAAAACGCCCTTACTAAAGCGGCAAGCATTCTAGTTTCCCCAGCCCAGTCGCCTAGCGTACAGGAAACGGACCAAGAGCGCGAGAGAACAGAGGAACACCATCTAGAAAAGATGACACCCGTGGAGATAAACGTGTCAAACTACGTTACGCGAGATCGATCTCGAAGAGCGCCCGCCACTGCGGACGCAACGAGGGTAGAAGCTCCGAACGGAGATTGTTCAGAAAGATCGGAGGATAGACGACGTTCGTCGTTCTTCGAGAGTGCATACCACTTCCCAAGTTCAGATGGATCCATCGTGTACAATGTACCGAGCTCAGACGGATCCGTCGTGATCGAACCGACCGACGAACCTGTAGCGATCCCAATCGATCCATGCACAGTAGCCTTTGATAATCTCAAGCGATGGGAATTGGAACACTGGGACCGAAAGAATGACCTAGAAAAGCATCTTGGAACATACACCAGCCAATTCGCTCAGTACTGCGAATCCAATCCAACTTCTCGCCCAAAGTGGCTGGCAGACGCCTTCGGACAAGAGTACAACAAGCGTACTAGAAATTTGACCCTGTTGTTGACAGAAGCAGAAGAACGTCTTCGCTCAGCTCGCCTCGATGCAAAGAATGCAGGTGTTCCAAATCCCAATTCGCCCGATCAAACCTCCGACTTTTTTTCAAACCCGAACGATGGACCCGACCAGGAGGTCGCAAAGTTACTCATCGATTCATGCGATCATGAGCGCATTCTAGAGTGGCAGAAGGCCCCTGTGAAAGCGAAGAAGATGGAATTGTCTGAGTTCAAGTTCGCGACATCAGGAGCTGAGGTAGACACCTGGAGCAGTTTGTCCGCGAGAGGTAGCCCTAGTAAGCGAAGGAAGATCGATGTGAACTTTCAATGGGTCAAATCGGATCCGGATCTTGTCAGCGATGAGAGCGATCGGTCGCGGCCACGGAAAAAACCGGAACGTTGGAACAGGCGACGCGCCAAGTCAGAGACAGCGTGTGTGAGGAAGCCGCTGTTCCTGTTCTCTGGTATCCTGCCGGGTGATGACACTAATTACCAGTTCAGTTTTACCCATCCTCTGCTGGATGACACTGTGAGTATCATTCGTCTTGCCACCACACCGAGTACATTTTACTGACAGAACTGTAGGTTTGGGCCAAGGTAGAAGAATGGGACGACATTATTATAGTGGACGATTGAATGCCACGGATATTCCAGGAAATATGAGCGAAGCCTTGGAATATGCAGAATAGTGGATCAAGCAACGGAGGAACGCAACGCGATAGCGAGACTGGTCGATCGGACAAAAGCAACCGACACCCATAGCAGCCAGGTGTGGTCGCCCAGTGCACGAAGTCGAGACCAGAAACCTTGAATACGGCAATGGCTAGCAGTAACGCATCCCAAATTAGATGTCAGCTGAGTATCCAGGCTACAGAAGAGCAAAGATTGTTCCAGTAGCAGGCGCAGGTCTAGCGAGTCGCTGCACCAAACAGGATGCCGACGCAGAGGGCGAAGCACCATATCTCAAAGTGGGTTTCTGTCAGGTTGCCATGCTAAAAGAGTGACCAAGACTGTCACAATAGCATGTGAGACACTGCCACAAAACAAGCCGCCATGCCATGGAATAAGGTTGGTTCATGACTTCAAGCGCGCGCCAGACTGAACGTATTCTCGAGAATCGAATCTTGACGTCAGGTTTTGGGCGTCCAGACTCGCCCGCTTCATCTTGTCCGATACAGCCTGTCTGCCATATCAATGGAGCGCCGTGGAGCAAGGCCAACCCTCCTCAAGTGGAAGTAAAGAGTCGGGACTTCAAACGAGGGTAGGCAGGTGCCGAGTGGTGGATGTCATACCGTTGCCCAGTGAGTAAGTTTGGAGAAAGGCCAAGGAGCGACGCGGCACATCATATCGCGATTACGCAGAGAGATTAGAAAGGAGCAATGTGACGCGTCAGAACGCGGTCATACAAGCAAAGCAGAAGAAAGCATAATGTCCAAAAGACGATGTGTCATCATATGGGAAATAGAGGACGGTTTGCAGGGACGAGAAGAAGACGTTGGACATTAGATGTGAAAGAAGGGAGGCTTATCTGGGAGTCTCAGAGATAGATCGGTCAGATCCGAGGTACTTCCCCATTCTGTCCACCGGGCACGTTTTGATGAAGCAGCATATAGGGGACGCATCATACTGCGATCACATAGCAAGAAAAATATGAACCACATCAGGTGACCAAAGTAGCCCGGTGTGACTCGAATCATTCCAGCATCTAGAGAAAGGTGGCGATCATGTTTCTGGACCTCGAATGCTTGGGAGTTGTTGTATGGAGGCCTGAAGAAGTTAATGCAGAGTTAGATGCAGAAATTAGGCATCTGCTAAGAAATCTCGAAGATCGATAGCGTCATGGCGGCGAATTGTCGTACTGGAACGACAATATTCTTACTAAACTTCTTCACAATCGAAATCCGGGACATGACGAAACTCGGCTTTGGTCGGTTTATTGTAAAAGAACGCTACACTACTCATCTTATGAAGACCACTAACCTCGTCCTTGTGTAGAACGCTTTAACTCGCACGAGAGGATTCAATTCGGTCCCGGAAATTACTTATCATGAATTCAAACAAGAGATTGCCTTGATCGATCTCACTAGCCGTTTAGATATGGAATACAAGCCTTAAATTGTCTCACTAGGGTACTCACACCAATGGATTCTGTCACTGAAGTCATGGACGCCAAAGCGGGAGCCGCTTTTCTAGAGATGCTAGGAAACGTTCCTGTCTGGAATATCATTGAAGTAAAACCCTTCCTTCACCACCTTGTTGCCTGTGTCTCTAGCCACGTCTTCCTCAGTCCCGAACTCTCTGATAATGCAGAACAGTTGAAAATTGCCTTACATTACGTCATTCAAGGAGTTATGGCAGCTCAGAAGTTCCGTGGCTTGCACCCAATATTGCGACCTTTTGCGCGGTGGTGGCTTCACGAGAGCCGCGTCTGTAGGAGCAAGTTGCCAAGGTGCGGAAGATAATTCATGCACTCGTGCAGGACCGTCTGTAGAGAAAGCCCAATGGACAAATCACCAAGAAAACTGCTAATATGATGATACAGCTTGATAACCAGGCAAAGACCAAGGGAGTGGAGATTGATCGTGCAGGGTTTTAATTGTTACTTGTAGTAGCAACGGTGCATACGACTGCATACGACTGCGGAGACAATCTCGATATTCATGGCTAATTCAATTAAGAATAAGGAGGCAATCTCACGAATCAGACAGAAAATCGCTTCGGTGTTTTCAACTCATGGCTAGAAATCGCCGTCGTTAGCTTCGATGACGCTGCTTGACAGTTCTATGGAAGAATCCCAGCGTATGAACCTAACCACTAATCGTAAGTAATGTTCACAGCTATGCTAATAGTTCCGTTTCTCAGACTTACAGTTACAGTGGAACATATCACTTTGACCAAAATCACCCCCACAGACGGCACTATCATCCCAAAGGATACAGGCTAACCACTGAACACCGTCTCCAAGACCCATTCCTATATCTCAACGTCGATAACTTTGAACCCGATCGTTTCCTGAAGCTACGCGATACTAATTCATGCAAGTTCCATTTCGTCATCAGTTCGCTCAGGCACCTTGGATTTAGATACGGGAGACATCCATGCCCAGGGCATTTCTTTGCTAGTGATGAGCTCAAGGTTGTTGTACACATGCTTGTCAAGTATGAGTAGTAGTTTACTAGACAAGACAGATTGCCAAATATGTGTTCTAGGATGGACCAGTTCTTTAATCCGAGGCAAAAGGTTATGATGAAGAGTAAGAAAGTGGAGATCAACCTAGGTTCACTTTAGACGGTGTGTGCGACGATTTGAACTCCTGCCAACCCGCGAAAGTAAACACGATTGTAGCACATTGCAATCGCTCTATGAATCAAATATTCTTCGCAGTAATACGCATGGCCATACCGCGCTTGTCAGAGACAGAAATGTGCGCGGGGCGTCTGATCATTGATCGGTGCAATAGGCAGGCGCCAGCATTCCCTAAGGAGCGCATTACACGTGATCCGGCGACTCCCGGCGCGTTGTCGCGTTGTCTCTGTTTCCTCTCACGTCTAGTCTGCGAATATCAAATACCACAGACTAGGTTTGATGTCGGCGCAACGACTGCACGCCAAGAAGGGGCGTAACACCTGAAATCCTGTGACTCTAGTGGCATCTGCCAGCAAGTGGCAGCCTACACGACGATGTACGTAAAAATGGTTCGCAACCACGTTCTGTGATCGTTTCGTCTCGGTATGCTTACTGCCAGCGAGTTCAGCTCGTCAGGCGTACTGCAGCGACTGCTATTTATAACCGCCATTCAGCTTCGTGGGATGCGGGGCTTTGCTAGCGCACCTGGGCAGGCTCATGAACAATACGATTCCTCGCTCTAGGCAACCATGCCTAGATCCCTTTGTTTGCCTAGAACCTCTACTCTTCCGCCTTTTTCCAAGACAGAACACCCTATCGGGCAAGAACTGAATATGCAGTCCATCTTGAGAGGTGTGCCAGACATTGAGGCCGCCCGAACGTAGGTTGAATAGCCTCTAAACATAGGAAATGTTTGACGTGAACACAGTCTGGAGCAACGCCTGAGCGAATACCGTGAAAAAAGGAGAATACGAAAAGAATTGCTTGCGGAGCAGGAACATCATATGAGGAAACAACTTGACGAGATTTCCGAGAGGAAGAGGTTGCTGGAGGCAGCGCTTAACACCAATCTGGAGCAACAACAAGCCGACCCGGAGGCAGAGACACTTCTGCAAGAGTTAACGACGATGGACCGAAGTAGATGCCGGCCACTGTGCGAAGGGATGCAGCGGTACCTGCCACGCGAACTTCGCGACATGGTCTACGAGCATCTTGTGGGTCCCGCAAGCCGACATAACAATAACCACAAGGTCTATGTACAGTCGTCGAAGAACTCCAGCACACGGGAAGGCTTTGTGCTCACACGCATGTATCATTTTGTGTTCGATGTTGGACAGTTGGATCACATGGGACATAAGACATGGCAAGAACTGGTGGAGCACTGGTACACAACTTGCACTTTCGACTTCGGCACAAACATACATCTCATCGAAGCCTTCCTCAAAGGAGATGTTGCTGACTCTGGCTTTCATGCTCTCGATCTAGTTCACCAGCTAGCAATAACTCTCGTTTATAATCGCGATACAGAATTGGTTTTAGATGAAAGGCGTATCGTCGGAGCTTTGGCACATCTTGCTCTACTGGAACGGCCGGCCCGACTGCGCATCATTCTAGATGGGATCGTCCGCCAGCAGTTTGTGTGGATGATTGATAAAGTTCTACGTCTGCTTCCCATTTTGCCAGGCTGGACAATTGAGTTCATCATCGAGATACTTACTGACAGGCATCCACCTATGCATCCTAACATTCCCGACACAGTACCGGGGTATCATGTCAGATTATTGATACCTGGCGATTCAACGTTCACACCTCATCAGTGGATAGAGTCATACAAACGAGTATGTGATGATCTCACCATGTTCCCAATGACCCGGCTAACTTTGGACGCGAAGCTCCAGTCAGAGTTCGAACAGTACTACAACGCTACCCTGGACGAGTCAAGTGACAAGGATGACGTGGACTATGGGAATGACGAAGACGACTATTCAACCGGTTCGGAAGATCATAGCGAGGGACATACCGACGACGAGTGGTATGAACAATTACAGCCTAGAGGAGATGAAATCCTCGAACTTTGTCATGAGCTCAACTGGTGTCGCAAAGATAAACTCGACATGCAGCAGGGGCTGCCTGTGATGCATGATTCACTAGCTTAATAGGCGGGGTAAACCTCCGGAGCTTCGCATGTAGCTATGATGGAACCATCGTTATACGACTTTTCTTCTTTACGGTGGGTCTCAACAGCCAACATACAGTCATGGCCACGAGACGTTTTACGAAGTACCTTTACTTGACAACACAAGAACTGGACTTGGTCGTCGACCTCATCTTCTGCCTTCTATCACTTGACGACAGACTCACCTGAATAGCGCCCTCGTCCTCACCGCGTGCCTTTACACTAGCTTGGTGAGCCTCGTCTACTACTTATACCCAGTCTTTGGACTAAATCTCCTTCCATCCACCTCTATCATCGTCGACAGTCCATATCACCTACCACAATGGCAACTAAATTGGCACCCTCTAGTGACAGCGAGCGCTTACGCGCAAAGTGCGATGCGTAAGTTGCGTTCACTAGTTCTTCGCAGTAGCTAACATGTTCAGGGCGTTGAAGGAAGAGCGCAAGACAAAGCTCATACTGAACACTTTGCAGAAGAATATGAAGAAGTTGCGACGCCGTTACACTACTCTTGACGAGAAGACTGGTACCGATAAGATTGAAACAGCCGATGCGTTCCTGGCCTTTGCGAAGAATGACTGCATTGAGTTCTGCACCAAAGTCCACAAGGCGTTCCCTCGCGAGATTCGAGATACCATCTACGGCTACGTCACTGGCTTCGAAGACGTCTATATCACTTGTCATCCTAAGGGCAAAGCACACGGAAGGATGAAGAAAGTCAAGCACGTCTCCCGCCTGCAGGAATCTGAACTTTGTCTTGATGCTTTGCAGGATGAGGCAGAACATGGTGGAAGCCTGAGCACGTGGGCGCAGACATGGTCCGAGAGATCAGGCAGAACTATTATCGCTCTTCCTGCTTTCTGTTCGAGCACGACATCACCGACATTGGCCGGTTTCGCGTGACAGACCAATTCGATTTCGGCTTCTTACCAGTGGAATTCGTCACCAAGGTGCAGATTGTAATCGAGTGCCACGACTGTAAATTCGAGCTTGTCGATCATGAAGGCACCGACAATTCTGTTCACGGCAGTCCGAATCGAACGTCAGATTGGGGCATGGATTCGATATTTGAACGCAGCAGGCACACTCAAGAACATCTACTTGTCGAACTAGAGTCGCTCTTCGGTTTCAGATCTGGCACTGCGATTGACATCAAACTGTCGTCAGGTTCCGGTAGAAAGGCTACTGCGCTCGAAGAGCAGGAATGGATGTCACACAACGTAGTCCCCGTCATTTTCCCTGTTCTCCAGCGACTCAACGATGCCGGTTGCCGGGTTCGCATACTTCTTTCCAGTCAAGGACGGTGGAGACCAACCACTTTTGCTTCGAGTTGGAACCCGGTGTCTCTTGAGGCTTTTACGGCAGATTTCTGGAGGGTATGTACACGTTCCTTTTGATGTCCTGTTGTACAAAAGCTGAATTCCGCAGTATGTCAACCACGAACAGAAATGCATAGTACAGGCTGAGCTTGACGCGGAGTCCGACGAAGGTCTCGACTTTGGCACAGATTTGGATACTACCGGCGATCAATCGGCATGGCTTTAACTCGGCTGGTGGAGGTGATTCAGCTCATGCTAACGATGGATTGTATTCCTGGTGAGCTTAACGGTCAGCCGAGGATTGAGAATCGATCATGTGGGTAGGGCAGATGGCCGATCCAAAGTGCATGGAGAAGACGCCAACTTCACCCGCTTTGCCTGTCCGCAGAGATATGACTGCGATATCTTTCTGGTTTTGAGCGGTCTTTCATCCGAAGAAAAGCGGCTTTTATTTACTAGGTCGAACAGGGACAAGCATAAACAACCCGATGACCAGGTCATGCCCAAGGATACACTTGCCGAGGGAATTGCGCGACTAGGGCGGATGAAACAGCGATTGGTGCAGCTCCCTTAAATTTTCTTCCAAATCAAAAGTTCTTGTAATCTATCTTCCTATAACTAAGTGAATTCACTTTTTCATCGTAGGACCGTTCTTTCCGATCCAAGCTTGTAGTTTCTCTGACCCGGTGAAAGTGATCTTGCCTGTCATCGCCACGAGGAGGCCTCGTAACTTACCTTGATGAGGGTTTAACGACGCAATGCTCGCGCGTGAATCTACGTTCTATCTATAGGCAGACGCATCAACGCTTCCCTCACTGCTCTCTCTTACCTCGAAACAAACAACATTTCCCACTACTAGACCACGGATCTCCCGACATGAACTCAACCTCCGCCACAACCACAGCTCTAGCCTGCAATACCTAACCAACGATAGCTCGTCTCACCTCTTGAAAATATGACGAGCCCATCGCCATCAGAAGAAGAGAACAAGCGTCTTCACGACGATTGCTACCGGTGCGTCTTTCAGATACCATGCAACATTTAGTGAATTACTGATGAAAGCTAGGTTACTTCGTGCTGAGGTCAAGCTTCAGGAATGGCGTGACGAAGAGGTGAAGCAATACGAAAGGCACTTGCTGAAGCAAACCATTGAGAGAGGCAACACCTCTGATGCGCTAGAAAAATACGCGCGGACTTCTTGCCATCAGCTATGCGACAAGGTGCTGGAGGTGCTCCCAAGAGAAATGCGAGACGCCATCTACCAACACGTTCTCCCTGCATCTCCCATCGTCATGAATATCTTTAGAAATAATGCATGCAGATGCAAGTCATGCCGCCACGGTAAGAGTACCCTTTGGGACCCTACCCATCTTCCCCAACATCTCGATGATGTCGACTACGTCCCTCAAGAATTCTACCGGGAGCTAGTAGAGCAACTCTACCAGACGACCACGTTCGATTTCGAGGAAGACTTCCAGAAGATAGCAGACTTTAGGATCAATGATGCCGGAACAACTGATATTGTCCCAGTCAATTATCCACTCAACATCTCTATCCTCATCAAATGTCACGTATACGATTTTGCAGGTACTTCATCGCTCGGGGACCAGCCTGGACCATCCAGGCCCCGACGTGCCCTCTTGACAGACTTGGAGGCACTGTTTGGGTTCAAGACCGGCACGAACATACGCATCCATTTGCAAGTGGACTCCATCCCAGGTACGGAGAAGGAAGCTTGGGAGTGTGATACTGTGGTCCCGTTCATCCTACCTACGATGCGAAGACTTGTCGCACTTGGCATGAAGGTGAAGCTGTGTCTCGAGGATGGTGGGTGTGAGCTTGTCATCAAGGATGATGGAGTTACGATGGAGGAAATCAAGGACCAGTTCGAGAAGGTGAGCAGAGGTTGAAAACATATGTATGACCACGAAGCTGACTGTGACCAGGATCAGGAGGCTGCGCGGTGGTCGAACATGTTCGCCGAGTGAGCATTCTTAAAGTCCAGCGTCTACTTAGCATGCGGGTGCTAGTTGCATGGATGCATCTCCGACCAAGGGCGCCTGGGTCGCAAAGTGTCAATTCGGCTTGGCTTTCGGTGAAGTGGCCTCAGCAGTAATTGGTGAATGCTAGATGGCGACAACCCCACATTCGGTTAGTAATTGTCTTGTCTCGAAGTCGTATATTTCCTTCTGTGTGGATTAATATCTCGTACGAAGGCGTAACGGTCGGCATGATGACCGGCTTAGTGATTGGCGTAAGCTGAGTGCATTGCTGAAGGTGACAAACGCGGGGTCAAAGCCGAGGACGTCGCATACATATGCAGGATATGAGTACCCCAATAAGCGATCAGCCGCACCCTGATAGACAATAGTACTACACGCTTGGGAAAGAAGTTCAAACTCATCCTGATCCTTCTTCAGCTCCACATGCAACAAAACATGGATGTAACAATATCTGAGACCTTGAGAAACACGGGAACTGGTGAGTGTGATTGCGCATGTGGACAGCTTAGGAAGCGCGCGTTGAGGTACGCCAGAAATTCCTGCGTCAAGGCAGCTTCATGTTGAACCATCGTACTGAAATCGAATATAGAACACTCTCCGAAGAAAGCATTTGCAAAGCCCGTGTTGCAGCGCTGCAACAAGAACTTGCACTTCTAGAGAAGCACCTTGCCAGCATCACACCAACAACACAGGACGCAATCGAACAACTCGCAAAAACGGAATGTCGGCAACTCACGCACGATATCATGACCAGGTTGCCACGTGAGATACGGGATATGATCTACGTCCACCTCAGTACACGGGATCGCGAGCTCATCGAGCGCGAGCATTTTCGGGTAACCCTAGATCCGCTAACAAGACTGTACTCGTACGACTTTGAGCGATGGAAAGCGCAGCACTTCCCGGCGCATTACTGGAATCTGCAGTACGTCTCGCAACTCTTCTTCCGCGAGCTCGTAGAAAACTACTACCGGACCAGTACGTTTCTGTTTGGTGACGACCCGGGAGTAATGAAGCGGTTTCTCAATGCGGACGAAATGAAACTTGGGGTTCTCCCAAAAGCGCTGGTTTCCAGTGTTGAGATCAGGCTTAATGCTGTGTCACATGATCGCGGCTCTTTCCGCGCGTACATGTTTGGCATACCAAAGTCACCAGAGCGCATGCGGGAGGCTCTCGATGGCATCTTTGAACTCAGGCCTGGGGCTAAGATTGTGATACGATTTGTGAGTGAGGCAAAGACGAAGGAAGAAAGGGATGCGCATTGCAAAGGGGCGATGACAATGCTCCTTGAGGAGGCACAGGTGGAGAAGATGAAGATGTATAAGGTCAAGTTTATAGTTGACGAGGGGCAGGTCTGGGACCTGACGGAGGCGATGAAGGATGAGTTGATGGCGATTCATGGGTGAAGATACCTTATGACATATACGAAGTTCACCATGACCGATTTGATGGATGAAATAGACCCTGATGAGATGACAGTGATGGTCGGCAGCATGCAAGAAGCACGGAACAAGAGGCTCATGATGGCCGCTAGCGTGTTATCACTGTCAGCTCTCATTGGCCGAAAGATGACGCCATCAGGGTCCAGGGGAAAGAGCACCCCGCCCTGACAAAAATTGTTATCGCGATGCTGCCCGATGCCCCTCGGTGAATGCTTCCACGCGTCAAACTCTTTCCAAGTGTCTTTAAGCCTCAATTCACACCTCTTACTCAATCCCGACGCGTCTCAGTTCCATATCGCAAGATGGCCGGCGTTCCTAGCACCTACGATGGTGCGCATCTTCCCGTCCCATAGTTGGCCCGCCTATTGCTTACCTCGTAAACAGCGCCCGTTCATATCGCCGTCATAGGTGGCACTGGTATCTCCTCCCTACCAGGCTTTACCCTCGCCGCAACTCTCGATGTCGATACACCGTGGGGCAAGCCATCGTCGCCCATTTCCATCCTACAACACCCATCGCCTTCCTCCGGCAAGCCTATCCCCGTCGCCTTCCTCTCGCGACACGGCCTACACCATGAACTTGCACCACATGAGGTCAAGAACCAAGCCAACATAGCTGCGCTGCGACACCTCGGTGTGCGCACTATTATCGCCTTCTCCGCCGTAGGATCGCTGCAGGAAGAGGTACGGCCGCGCGACTTCGTCGTCCCCGATCAGATCATCGACCGTACAAAGGGCATCCGGCCATTCACCTTCTTCGAGGGCGGCATGGTTGGCCACGTAGGCTTTGGCGACCCCTTCGACAAGCAGTTGTCTGAGATCGTCAGGCGGTGCGGACACGCGCTAGAGGGAGACGGCGTTACTCTACACGACAAGGGAACTCTCATCTGCATGGAGGGACCACAATTCAGCACACGTGCAGAGTCGAACCTATACCGCGCGTGGGGTGGTAGTGTCATCAACATGTCTGCTCTGCCCGAGGCGAAGCTTGCGCGGGAGGCTGAGATTGGATACCAGATGATTTGCATGGCGACGGACTACGACTGCTGGAGGGGCGATGGCTCTGAGGATGTCAACGTTGAGATGGTCATGGCACACATGAAGGCAAATGCTGAGAACGCCAGGCGGTTCGTTGGTGCGGTGCTGAACGAGCTCACCAAGGAGGAACATGAGGCACAAGTCCTCGCCAAACACCTCGATGGCCAGATGAGGTTCGCAGGCGCCATGACGAAGAAGGAAGGACGCGGACAAGAGGCGGAGAAGAAGCTGCAATGGCTCTTCCCTGGCTACTTCGACTGAGCGTGGGCTGCCAGCAAGCGCGCTATTGACAGAAGCGCATGACATATGACTACAATTTACTCTGGTACTAGGTACTTGGGGTTGCGCTATCCATATCAAAAAACTTCTGCATGCGCCCGACGGCTCTCCAAATTGTTGGAGGTAGAATGCAGCCAGGAACGCCTATTGCGGAAGGTCGATAACATAGGTAACTCCAAATACATTCCGTGTTTACATCATGGAAAATATACGTTAGCCATATCGATAACTATCCGTCGCCAGTAACCCGTTAGACGTCCGCGGGGACTTGTCAACCATTCGATCTCACGATTCGTTCCCTTAGCACCTTCCTTTCTCGTCGAAGATCTGCATGTATAGCTGCCGTAATCGCAGCTGCACTTTCCCAGACTCAACAATGGACTTTTGAAATCAAATTCGACAACATCAAACACGGCTGAACCATCAACTGAAGATTTTGGTAGCTCAGAGATCTTTGTTCGAATCACGCGGATGTACTAAGCTGATCGGGTATCAGGGTATGGCAAGTCGATCAGATGAACAGTACCTGCATACCGACCGTTACTGCGCATCAAGAAACCCACATTGTAGCGTGGTACCGAAGCTCTGTACTTCTTATCATGCAGATCGATATACTCTCAGGATCAAATTTGCGCCGCGGGGAAGACGCGTGCGCAGTCTAACCCCGGTCTGACATGGGTGAACGACGGCAGTCGTCCTCGGGTCGACACGGGAAGCTTGACTATAAGAAACATGATGTTGTACACAGTCGGGAAGCAGACTCTGCCCGAACTCGTCTTCGCATCTCAATTTCCTACCGAACGGTAGCAGTTGCGACCGCCATCATGGTTTCGGCGTGGTTCTTGACCAAGGTCTTAGTGGCTTTTGCGCCACTTACGACGATTGTATACGCGCAATACAATACCACGACGGAACTTCCTCTACTGCTCGATGCTACAGCAGATGAGTTGACCGCTGGCCTTGAGGCTGGTGTCTTTACAAGTTTGGATCTAGTTCAGGTAAGTTGATGACTATGTGTATAGACATGGATGTACGTTGGTCCGCGTTGCTGACATGACGTAGGCTTATGTTGGTCGCATCATCGAAGTCAACAAGACCCTGCACATGGTATTGGAGATCAACCCAGATGCTTGGACTATCGCGAAAGAGTTGGACGAGGAGCGCTCTTGCGGCAAGCTTCGAGGGTTTGTCGTACTTCACGAATTGTGTGGTCTACCGCTAATCGAAACAGTCCTCTCCATGGCCTCCCAATTCTCATCAAAGACAACATCGCTACTGCCGATGAGATGAACAATACAGCCGGATCTTGGTCACTGATGGGCGCTAAGGTCCCACGCGATTCTACAATGGCCGCGAAACTCAGGGAAGCTGGTGCAATCATTCTCGGCAAGACTAATCTCTCTCAATGGGCCAACTACCGCTCTTCGAACTCTTCGAACGGATGGTCTGCTAGAGGTGGTCAGACGTATGGAGCTTACTATCCTGGCCAAGATCCCAGTGGGAGCAGTAGTGGTAGTGGTGTCGCTGCTAGTCTTGGTCTAGCTTTTGGAACACTCGGCTCCGAGACTGACGGGTCTATCATCTCTCCTAGCGAGCTCAACAACGTGGTTGGTATCAAGCCCACTGTCGGCCTTACCAGTCGAGCTCTTGTCATTCCGATCTCCGAGCACCAGGATACCGTTGGACCAATGGCCCGCACGGTGAAGGATGCTGCGTATATCCTCCAGGCTATCGCTGGACCTGACAGCTATGATAACTACACATTAGCTATTCCGTGGGCAGGAAACACCACCAACGCTACGAAGCCTGACTATGTCGCTGCGTGCACTCTGGATGCTTTGGAAGGGAAGCGCATCGGTGTACCGCGCAACGCTATTGGTACGGCGGATCCCTCGTCAGCACCATTGTATGCTGCTTTCGAGGCCGCTTTGGACGTCCTTCGCTCTGCCGGTGCGATCATCGTTGACAACACCAACTACACTGCTTGGGACCAATATCTCGAGTCTAATGCTGAAGGCATTGTTCTCGATGGCGACTTCGCACCCAACCTAGAGCACTACCTCTCACAGCTCACATACAACCCAAACGACGTTCAAACTCTAGAAGACGTCCGTAACTTTACCCAGAACTTCCCCGCCGAAGATTACCCAGACAGAGACACAGCGGACTTCGACAGCTCAATCGCTCAGTCCCAGAACTTCTCTAACACCGACATCGAGTTCTGGAACGCCTATCAAAAAGATCTGTACCTTGGCGGCGAAGGTGGTCTCCTCGGCGCACTCTCATCATACAACCTCGACGCTGTCGTCGTTCCCTCGGCCTATGCATCTGGTATCTCCGCCATCATCGGTGGACCTGTCGTTACTATCCCGCTCGGTGCGCTGCCGCCTAATACGACGGTTGTCACAAACCGACGGGGTGATTTGAATGCCACAGCACCGAATATTCCATTCGGCATTTCCTTTGCAGGTGCGCTGTGGAGCGAAGAGAGTTTGATTGGATTCGCGTATGCCTTTGAGCAAAGGACTATGGTGCGGACGAAGGTCAAGCCGTATATCCAGCCGGGTATTGAGATTGAGAATGTGGTCGGAAGCTATTAGGTCGTGTCTGAAGAGCGGTAGTGTCATGGGATTCTAAGAACAGGCATACCCTCGGCACATGGGGGCCGCCGAATATCCAACTTTCTTGGTTACACTACATTCTATTGCACTTCCAGTTTACGATGTTCTAGATTGATCCCGGAGATAACAGTATGCCTTCACTTGGATCTGTGCTGTGATTGAGCGGTGATACAGGCAGACAACGTCTCAATGGTCTGAAGTGGGTATGGGTGGTGCCGCACGGCGATAAACGGACTTAGGCGAATACAAGCTGACATGACGTACGAATCACACGGGCTGTGGCTTGTCTTTAATCTAATGTATACGACGTGAGGTTAGCGCCTTCACCGGTACCCAAAAAGGGTATCATGAGAATTGGGGGTCAAATGTCGAAATGGAGGGATATAAAAATGTGGACTACCTACTCAGTATACAACTTGTAATATATCACCAGTAACGAATACCACCCGGAACACGCATCAGACAGTCAAAAATTATCCAGATTTATCAACTCTATACGGTAACTTTTCACTCCAGCAGCAATGTCTTCCAGCAACCAGCAGCCAGATTACATTCGCAAAGTTGCTCTCATCGGCGTACGCCATCCTTCTCCCCCACCTCTTCTTTTTCACCTACTAACACCAATACTAGGGCTCCGGACAAGTCGGCTCCTACATCCTCACTCACCTCCTCGGCACCTCCAAGCACCAAGTCACAGTCCTAACCCGTCAGTCTAGCGATGCTTCCTTTACCACCAACGACAACCTCACCGTCGTCAAAGTTGACTATGATGACGACTCTGCCTTGACAGAAGCCCTTCGCAACCACAACTTCCTCATCATAACCCTCAGCGCCCGCGTCCGAGACTCCCTGCACCCCCGCATCGTCGCTGCAGCAGCCAAAGCCGGAATACGTTGGATCATGCCAAACTACTTCGGCTACGGCCTCAATGACCGGAAACTCGGTAAGCAAGATGAACTAGCCGACTTCATGCGGTTCATCGAGGATGTGGAAAAGACGCCTGGAGTTGACTACATCGCTCTCGTATGTGGCTTTTGGTACGAGTTCAGTTTAGCCATGGGGGAGCGTTGGTTGGGCTTTCGTATTCGAGAGAGGAGTCTGACGATGTATGATGATGGGAACAAGAAGATCAGTATGAGTACGTGGGATGCTTGTGGGAAGGCTGTTGCTGGGTTGCTGTCGCTTCCCGTGCAAGCAGATGGCGAGGAATCTGCTGTGAGCTTGGAAACCTGGAGAAACGAGGGTTTGTATATCTCGTCGTTCCTTCTTTCTCAACGCGACATCTTGGAGAGCTTGCATCGTGTGTTGGGTACTACGGATCAGGATTGGAAGATTACGTATGAGCCTATTGAGAAAAGGTTGGAAGATGGGAAGAAGGAGTTCAAGGAGGGGAAGATGTTGGGGTTTGCCAAGGCGCTTTATGCGGAGGTGTTTGCGCGTGAGTGGAGCGATTATGAGACGGGGAGGGAATTGGATAATGGGAAGGTGGGGTTGGAAAAAGAGGATTTGGATGAGGCTACGAGGAGGGCGGTGGAGATGGCGATGGGACCGATGGGGGAGATTGAGGGGAAGCTCAGCAAGTAAAGGACCAATTAACGGTCGTAACATTTAGCAAATGTAGAAGAAGCTGTGCGAGTACCGTCATAATAAGACGATTAAAATCGACGAAGTACCATCGACCACCATGGTTCATGCACTAAAGCCCGGACCCTCATACCCCACTTACACTTCTCTACAGCATTCTCATGCAGATGCTCTAGCTAATACATCGCGGCAAGATCTCCTCGACTTATGCGACTACCTCAACCGCCTACTCTTCTCGTTCTCGAATCCTTTGACGCTCGCACCTAGGACGCCCCATTGCGTGGAGCTCCCGCGCACATCCCAGTTTCGGTCCAAATGACCGTCGTCATGAAAGTTCCTCTCTTTCCAGTCTTTCCATCGCTCGCGCAGTGATCTCTTCTCCTTGCTTTCGGGCTCCGGGTCGGCAAGGAGGGCTGCAACTGTTGATGCTGGGGCACCACTGTTTGTGTGGTATGCCTGTGGGTGCGTAGCATTTTGCAGCTTGACTGATGCGCGGACTGCAGCATTTTCATACTGTGGCGGCTGGCTCGATGGCTCAGAGTCGTAGTATACTGGTAGGTCTGGGTCTGCATCCGGCATTGCTAGTGCTGATGTGGGTTTCGGTGTTGCGCTCTTTGTAGTCGTCTCGCAGTCTTTGGAGTCCATCTCGTTACTAGTAGACGTTCGTATTTACAGCGTGTATAAGATCTACGGTGTATTGCCTGTTCGTAGGGTCCGGAAATATTGGTCTGAAGATGCTACTATGTTACCAGCTGGATATTTCTGTTACATATTACCTTTGAGCGGCAGTACGTCGACTTGGAGTCAGCCTTGGCCTACGTCCATATCCAACTTCAAGACATGTTAGGAATGCCTTGTGTCACATGGGTATGCCGAAGACCCGGACACTGAAGAGAAGTACATGATGATAGGCCAGCTACTTCTTCACGAATCGCACGGACCATCTAAGTTATGGCGACAAGTCGACGCGGCATGTCTACAATTGTCACACAGGGCCTGAAGCCGAGTTTTGCGACGGCGAAAATGTCCAAGGATGAAGCCGCAATTGTGATGGCTTCGGAGTCATGATGGTGTTGATGGCGCGCAACAATGGTGACGTAATATGTCGTGGCCGTCAAAGCTCCTAGGTGGCGCGGAAGCTCTCCGCCACCCCTCAGCGTTATCTCGAAGTCGTCGCAGAGTAATCTTTCTTTCCAAGTAACCATCGCCATCCTCCCATAAAACAACTCCACATGCGCTTCCCTTCCCTCCCAACATTCATCCGCGCCTTCCACACCGTCACCAATACTACCAGCGCTTTTCTCCGATCGAATCCTACCAGTAATCTCGGTCGCACTATCTACAACACACCGCAGCGCGCAATTATTTACCGTTCGATGCCAAATATCCCCTTCTTGGGCGCTCTTTTCGGATCTTCTAGCAGCATGGCGGACAACACAAACTACCCGGTACAGAAGCCTGAGGGCGAGTGGCAAGCACAGCTATCGCCAGGTATGTCAGCTTCAACCTGCTCATCAGTGCACACCCACTAACCCGCCTACAGAGCAATTCCGAGTCCTCCGAAAGAAGGGCACTGAGATGCCTGGTTCCAGTAAACTCGACAAACACTACCCTGACGCCGGTGTCTATACATGCATTGGATGCGACGCGCCTCTCTATAAAGCAAACCACAAGTTCGACTCTGGCTGCGGATGGCCCGCATTCTGGGATGCCGTACCTGGCGCTGTCGGACAAAAGCCCGACCCTGGTCTTGGCATGATGAGGACAGAGATTGTCTGCAATAATTGTGGAGGTCACTTGGGACATATCTTCAAGGGCGAGAGGTTCGGAAACCCAAAGGATGAGCGACATTGTGTAAACGGTGTCTCTATCAACTTTTCCCCGGAGGATAAAAACTAAGCAACGTAACCTGGTCGTGGAAGAGCTAGGTGGTGTAAACGCGAGGATATAGTACCATATGTATTAGTGACGACGAAATGAGAGACGACGTTGAGAGATGACATCCACCTTGATTGGACGTACATACAGGATCTTGGTCGCGGCGATATATACTAAGCTGACGACAGTTCTGTTCCATTCAATGGGATACTATTGGTGTTAGGTCAGTGCGAATAGTCCCCATTTGTCATTCTTCGAAAATCAAAACAAATACAAAAACGTTTCGCTTAAACCACAAGATGACCAGCTTGTATATGAGCTTGCTGGTCACAATCATCAGCCACACTGCATCGCCTCTTCAGCATGTGTCTCATTAAGTGACGCGGGTAGCAAGCAATAACCGCACACACATACAGCGGCCACCCGCTGAGTACAACCGACAACTACATCATGGCTCCTGCGATCAACGACCCCATCTCAGCCACGATGAGCAATCTTTGTGCCTCGTGCCCCCATTTTTTCCATCATCACTTGCACAGGATGTAACAATATAAAATACTGCTCGGCAGAATGTCAGCGACGTGACGCACCACAGCACAATACCCTCTGCAGCACCTTCAAGGACTTTCAGCAACGAGCGAGCGATAATCACTAGGGAGCGATCTACTTCCCCGCCAATGAACCTAAGCCACGATTTATCTTGCTACTCTTTGACGGAGGCCGTGGTTTTCAATTTGTCAATGTTGATGATCTGGCTCAATACGTGTCAGGCCAACGCTATGGAGGCTCCGCTATCACTGAACATTACGGTATCTCACCTCCTCGCCGGCTCAAGAACTTCATGTGCACTCAACACGACCAAAACTTCTTTGGTAATAGGCAGTCACCCAATCAGTGTTTTGGTATGATTATGGATTCGAATACAGCGGAGCGTCGCAGAGGTGGTCATGTGGGACATGCTTACAAGTACATATACGACGACGAAAAGGAGGCACGGGATGAGCTTGACCAGCAGTTGAATCCGGAGTACACTCCTCTGATTGCGTTGGACTAGGATACGACTTCTCTGGGTCCATTGTTGGCTTACATCGAGATGACTACGCGTCCATATTCAGGTTGGTGAGGCAGATTGATAGATACGGAGTACCTAGGTGTATCGGTTTTGCTGCCTTGCGTGATTACTCTGTTACTTGCTCCATACACTTGCATCATTGGTGAGTATGTATGACTCAGCCAGTAACTGATAACATATGCTGTCGGGTATTTTTCGTTACCCAACGATGCTACATGTAGTTTTCAAGTAACCCTTCCGGACATTAGTACTTTGGTTCACCCTCCCATCATTGGGTTGGATTTGTTTGCGATATTTTTGATTTGGCAAGATGTTCTCGTATGGGTATCCCCCAGATTGTTGTAGTTGTGAGTGGCCATTTTTACTGTATGCGAGAAAACCTTGTAATGACAGGCATTGAAATAGTGATCTTCGTCGTCACGAACTATGTGCTCGACTGTTACCAAAACCGCGTAGTTTTCGAAATACGATTTCCTATTTACAAGTACGAAGTGTATTTATGGACATGCGTGTGAATGTGTGGGTATGGAAGCTGTCTATGTAAAGACGCAGTAGTGTGCAGGTGCATGAGCTGCAGAATGAATCGTCGACATCGATATGTTGAAACAGACTACTGTTGCTTGACATACTCGACCGGTCCATCGTACTTGTGCCTACCGTAAAGGTAGTAGTAAACCATGGAGAAAATAACAAGACCACCGAACATAAGGCAGGACCAGTTCATGTCGGCTAAAGACGGGTTCGGTACAGACGGGAAGAGGATTACGACAACGGCGAGTGAAAGATAACAAACAGCGATGGCGTTGATATAAATTCCCGCCTTACCAAGGTCAAACCGGGAGGGAAGAAGAGGTTCTCCACGGATGCGCTTTCTTAGCATGCAGCCAATGACGATGATGTTGGAGATGAAGATGCTAACAGCGCTCAGCGATAGGATGATGTTGAAGGCGAACGTAGAGCCGATGATAATGAGGCATAAGATTGATGTCGATAAAAGCGTGAGAATTACCGCGTTGACAGGAATATCCCACCCTGGAGGCACCTAAAAGAATCTGTCAGCCCAATATTTCGTAGAGGAGACGAAAGATCATACGTAGGAAAGCCAAGCTGAGCATGGGAGCCCTTGATCTCGGGCAAAAGACCACAGCTGACGCGATGCGGCCGTCACTTGGTTAACCGAACAAAACAGGAGCAATAGACACACGACTACTGTCATGATGTTGGTGGCCACTAACGACTCAGTTGCGTTTAATAGAATTTGGATCCAGGGTTGACCAAGTGGGGTGGAGATGAGCACAGTGATATCGTCGCCTAATGTTGAGAAGACAGTGACTGTCATGATGAAGGCCAATGAGTAGTTCACGACAGATGTGGCTACCATAGCTCTTGGGCTGACCCAAGCGGCGTCCTTGACTTCTTCAGCCAGATGTACGGCTAAGTCAGCACCTCCCAGGGTAAGTATAGGACCGAGAATCCCAACGATGGTAGCAAGGCCTGTATTACCCCAGCCACTAGGGTCTTCGAATTGGGTCCATGTTCTTCTTGTATCAGAACGCGGCCCCATGACCCATAGCACAACGAGGAAGGCGAAGAATCCGAAAATGTGGAGGACAAGTGCGATGCCCTCCATCAGTGGAAGCTTTTTCACCAGAATAGTGTTGAATACGATCGAGCAGATGGTGATAGCGATGGAAAATAGAGTGCCATGCCACCCGTGGCTAACATACGACGGCATGTTCAAGGCGATGAGGCCTTGGATCTGTTGAGTCACCGCGAAAGCCGTACTAGCCATGCCGACCTGCCATCCGATGACACACAACCATCCTGGAGCATGCGCTTAGTACTAGAAATCAATTTAGCAATGAAATAGAGCTTACCAACGACATAACTGAGAAACTTTTGGCGCTTCCTTGGTGCCAATTCCGAAACCCAATGATACTGCCCACCAGCTATTGGGGCCCTGTCAGATTGGTGAGCTAAGATCTTATTAGTGTCAGCGATCCTAAGACTTACATCGACACCATTTCCGCAAATGAAAGCATAACAAAGAACATGCCAGTACAGACGACTACCAGCATCCAGATACCACCAGCAGGGCCGCCATTGAAAAGAGAGATGCCGATACCGCTGCATAGGAACCTCTATTAGCCAGCGTTTCGAACAACTTGCACTCTTATCTTACATCAAAGAGTATTCCCATGTGTTGCCAAGGATTACAGCGAAGCCAAAGATGGACAGAAACTTGAATTGTCGCTGGTGATCTTGTAAGTGTATCGAAAACTCGTTGGAGAGTTCATTGACCATACCCTTAGCTCAGGGATCTTGCCCATACGCTCCATGTCTCTCTCATCGCCATGTGTACCATGTTTCTCGCTCACAGCAACCGTGTTGGCCAACTCGATGCTGTTGCGAGAATCGGTGACATGAGAAGGACCTTTCAAGATTTCGTCGCCCATCTTCGTGATGGATGTATACTACAGAATGCAGAAACAGTGTGAGTGGTGATAGAAGCGAATCCAACCCGACAGGATGCGTCCCAACTCTATGGCACGGAGGCTTGATATCCACTCCGAGGGTTCGCGGCGCTGTGGTCGAGTGCGTTAAGACTTTCCCGTTCGGTTATAGATACTACATAACCATTGGCAGGAACTGTTGAGAAGGATTAGAAGGAGCAGGACGCAGAGCAAGGGTCCTGGTCATCTGTGGAATTTACCTGCTACCACAAGCACACGTGCCGTTGCATGCGGCGTACTCGATATCGAACCGAGCTTTGGAATCACACAGTAGCTCCCACTCTGCTGAAACGATATTGTAGAGCATAGCTTACGCCTTCAAACTTCTACCTCGTCAAAGCCCGATCGAGCAGATGCAGTGACAGTTTGGACGCTGTTCGCGTATGCATGGCAAATTGGCAGTCACAGAGCGCCCGGAAAAGTGCCAACGATCATACATTATGGCATGCAGGGTATAGCCAAGCGGAGGATTGTCGCTTGACAGTGCCTGTCTTCTGCATCGGCGATATGACCCAATCTGGACGTGATAAATGATGAATGTAGTTATCACGAATATGGTTGAGACTACAGCTCGTTGTCGAGCTGTTCGAGTCAAGTCGTTGTACTGCACGATATAGAATGGTGAAGACCACCGGCAGGACAGAGATAACGAACGGAACTTGGTTGTTGTTGGTGGAGTGGCTTGCAGGAAAGGCGGGAGCGGGAGGACGATTCAGGTCATTAGCGCGAGGGGGGAAGTCGAGCCGGGCCCGCGTAGGTCAAGACGGAACAGCCGTCCGGGCGTGCCCCCACGCGCTGTCCTTCCATCGCGCCGCCTCGCCTCGCAGCAACCACCGCTCCTGTTCAATGCCTAACGCATACTGGTCGAAGCCTCTCGGAAGACAGAGACCTAGTTTGGCGATGGCCGGGTACCTTTGTCGATCTATTCGTCAACTGAGTTTTCACAGGATGCGGCACGGCTCGTTTCCCACCATTGCAGGGCGTAGCCCGACGCACACATCCCCAAAAGAGATGACTGCATAGTGGGAAATTACCGCGGCTGATTGCTGCAGTGCAGCAACATACCAGCATTCTAGGGTCCGGAACCGCGAGCAAATAGTGCACTAGAAACAAGTCGTTTTAGAGCAGTCTGAGCATTAAGGATGCGCAATATTGTGACGCCGATTCTCACATCCTCAGGATTTGTTCGTATACTTTGCAATCTGTGGTGTGATGGGCTGGCATGAGTGGCACAGTATATATGTTGCTGGATGCGTCTGTGCCCTAGCAATTCTACGCCTGATAACGGTGCATCAAATACAAAACACATATCATAGCTCTTGATCCGTCGATGTTACGCAACGGATGGCATTCTCAACCATTCCCAAACGCCTTGCTAAAGACTCAGACAGTCGCTTCGCTCGTATAACTGCAAACGATCACAGCGCCAAACTTTGGGTCGTCGCTCTGCTATCAACGATATATGCGATCCTTGTTTTAGCAATCCGCCTTGGGTTCACGAAATGGAAGGCTTACAGCCTCGACGACGTTATTGTTACAACAGCGTATGTACGTACTGTGCTACTTTCGACACAAGTACCTGTAGAAGTAAGAATTGGCTAACCAAAGTGCAGCTTGCAGCCTTGGGTATGTGGGGATCGCTTTTCACATCACTGAGAAACGGCCTTGGAAAATCATATGTCCTCCTTGATGATGCAAAAATATCAAGAGTGCAGCAGGTTAGCAGAATCCCTCTTCTTTGCGTCCTATATACAGTTAGAATAAATTCGTGCTAACGCTATCGCGCGATTTTAGTACTTCTTCGCAAGCCAAATACTCTTCTATATCGCACTCGCCCTGTCGAAATGCTCTATCCTCATACTAGTCCGCGCCGTATTCACCCGGAACTCCAAAGTGTCAATTGTGGCCATCATCACTACGGCTTTGGCTGTGATCTGGGGCCTGTTTGGCGTTGTGGCATCCACAGTTGCTTGTTCAACTAAGACCATCTTACCAAAACGCGGCAGCGAACACTGCACCAGCTTAGTAAGTCTAGTCTGTTTCCTACAACACCTAAGCCCTACAGATTCCTATCACTCATAGGGCGATGTACAGGTAGGTAACGCGTAGGCTATATCGCAATGTGCACAGAGCCTTGAGTTGACCACGAACTGACTGCTTAGATTCCATGGCTGAGGGTACTGGCCGCTGGCGACATGTTCACTGAGATAGTGCTCATAATTCTGCCGATTATAGGCTTCTACAGTTCTCTCATGTCGATCAAACGCAAAGCCGTGGTCGTGGTAGCCTTCTCTACCAGAATACCGTATGACATAATACCATTCTCACCAGAAGCGCGAGAAGATATACTGATATGCACACCTCGCAGAAAAATTGCATTTGCTATTATGCATTTGCTCGCCTACTCCAAGTTCATCAGTAGCCGTCAGCCAGCCATCAGCATTGTACCAACTGTTGCTTGGCAAAGAGTCCTATTGTCCTTCAGCCTCATGTCGGCAACAACTCCACTACTGAAGGGGTTTACACAAGATTTTAGAACCGCCGGCGGGCCTATAGGTTACTTTCGCGAGACGGTGACAACGGGCGGAGGTAGTGGAACCTCACGCAGCTACGAGCTACGATCGCTTACGAAGACCAAGTCAAAGTCGAAAGCCTCCCCGCAGGATAGTATAACTTCACAATCACGCGTTACTTGGGCCCAGCTGGGGAACGTGAAACCAAAGTCCACGGGGTTAGAAACGGCATTGGAAGACGACTCGCGGTGTTATCATGAGAGCGCATCTATTGCCAGTCATGACTCCCGTCAGATTATGATCAAGCGGGAATGGAAAGTCTCGGAGGAGGTCCTCCATTAGCTCGTTATTCAAGACGTGTACCATGGATTACTTCTCTATATACGTGTCTGAAATTCCGTGGCCTTTTGTTTATGTTTGTGTGGACAGCTTCGGCACAGTGTTTTGCTAGGAGCTTACATAAGCCGGGATTACCCCGCCAAGTGGCGACGCGACCTCAAAGCCCGACATCTTCAGGCGACCGACCGATAGATTTTGAATCATCTCTTCACCAATGAGACGGCTACGCTAGTCTTTTCCATGGCCTGTTTTTAATTCCGGCCGCAGATAACGGTCTTGATATAGCAATCATGATGCCTCAATCATCTCTCGTCTTCCTCCATATCTCTCCTTTCCTGCAGCGCGACCCATCTTTTGCACGTCCTCCAAGCTAATGAAACCCGGTTACGAATCTAGCCATGCCACGTCTCAATCATCGAGTGTGAGCGTCAATGCATCAGTATCTGATAAGAGTGATGGGCTTGGGAAAGCCAAGAGACCGTCGCGGGACCTACAACTAGAAACCCAGGCGGACACAGCGATCCCTCATGTCGACGACATCGAACAAGATAAGGCTGCAAACCAGCCGGTATCATGGAGCGCACTGCCCCGAAAAGACCAACTGCTTGTGTTGATGCTTGCACGTCTCTCCGAACCATTGACGCAAACCTCACTAGGCGCGTATCTCTACTACCAACTTCAATCGTTCGACCCATCACTTCCAGAGTCAACCATCTCATACCAAGCGGGAGTCATCGGCGCAGCGTTCCCAGCGACGCAATTCATGACAGCGATGCTGTGGGGTCGGTTCTCGGACTCCGAGTACGGTGGCCGAAAAAGAACCATCTACTTTGGGCTGCTTGGTACAATGCTGAGCATCATTGGCTTCGGCTTTTCGCGCAATTTCGCAATGGCAGTGGCATTCAGATGCCTCGGAGGCGTATTGAACGGCAATGTTGGAGTGATGAGAACTATGATCAGTGAGATCATCAAAGAGAAGAAGTACCAGAGTAGGGCCTTCCTGATCTTGCCCATGATCTTCAACATCGGTGTCTTGGTTGGGCCTGTTCTAGGTGAGTACCATGGAGTGGTATGCATAGGAAAAACTATTAATAAGAAGCAGGTGGTGTGCTTGCAGATCCATTTGCCAGTTACCCATCACTATTCGGGCCCAACTCAGCATTCGGTGGCAAAGATGGTGTACAGTGGATGAAGCGATACCCTTACGCACTGCCCAATCTTACGAGCGCCGTCTTCCTATGCTTGTCATCGTTTGCTGTTCTATTTTTCCTCGAAGAGACGAGCGAATTGTGCAAACACAAACCCGACCCAGGTCTTCGCGTTGGTCGATGGCTACGTCGACGGATCTTCCGCCAGAGAGTCACATCTCAAGTTGGGTACAGCGCCGTCCCAGAAGATGACTTTGAGCTACAGCCAACACCAACTTCGACATATGCAGAGGGTTCTGATGTTTTCGACAAGCCGAGCAACATCGTTCGACAACAACTACCGTTCCGTCGCATATGGACACGAAACCTGGTAACGACGCTGTGCGCCCATGGTGTTCTGGCCATGCACGTAGGTAGCTTTAACGGTCTTTGGACCCTCCATCTCTCTACACCTCGCTTCGATCCTGCTCACCCATACCCTCCTGGCTTAGTGCCTCACGGTCTTTACTTTACGGGAGGCTTGGCAATGCCTCCAGCGCGTATCGGCATCGCACTTGCCATCATTGGCGCCATCGGTATACCTCTACAGATCTTAGTGTATCCGCGAGTTGCGCATCGTCTAGGAACAACGAGATGTTATCGAGTCTTCCTTGCCTTCTTCCCTTTAATGTACACCATCACTCCTTTGCTTAGCCTGGTACCCAGCTGGACATCCCCTCCTGACGGTGTGAGTGGACCTTGGATATGGATTGCTATCACATGCGCCTTGTTCATACAAGTACTCGCTCGCACGTTCGCCTTACCGTGTACAGCCATCCTGCTCAACAATGTTAGCCCGCATCCGTCCGTCCTAGGTACCGTTCATGGTATAGGCCAGTCAGTATCTAGTCTCACACGGACGATTGGACCGGTACTTTTCTCTTGGTTATTTGGCAAAGGACTAGATATGGGCATGGTCGGACTGGCCTGGTGGTGCATGGGTGCTGTGGCAGTCGCTGGTTGGGTCCTCGCTCAGGGAGTTAAAGAAGGAGATGGCCATGAGATACTGCTTGATGGAGAGAAAGAAGGACGTGAATAACAATTGTGGCTGAAAATACACCAAACGGAGCAGTGCGTTGAGATGGAAGCATGACATCGTACAATTCGACGGATGCTTGTGATATACGACATATACAAAGGAGTAAGGTACACTTGATCACTATCCAGTGAGGACCGCAATCTTGACCTAAGAGCCTACTCTCATTTACTCCCATACAGAACCTGATTCCGGGACGCAGTCCATGTCTCGATGACGTACAGTTGCCGACGTCAAACTCTTGTTTGTTTCCACGCTCCTTTTCCGTGCCACGCCGTATGCTTCTCGTACCGACATTGGTGGCAGATCTCACATCGACTGCCGTCGTCTGTACGTCTCGTTGGATCGCCCAATCTTCATTGGAGGGTGAGTGGCTCCTTGCAGTCGGTCAGCCCTCAAAACTGCTTTTCATCTTAAGCAATCTCCTGGTTGAGGTCCTCCGCACCACCGAGAATAACGAATACCTTCTCAAGCTTTGCTTTCGTATCCGCAGCTATCCCAGTTGCATCTTGACCCACATCCCCCTCCAACTCCGCCCTCAAGATGTTGAGCTTGCCGCGCCACCATGCGACATCGTCTTCCAATTCAATCTCGTCATCGAACCATTTGGCTTCGTGGCTGTCCGTGATCCACTTCAAGGAGCGCCAGAGGAAGACGACATGAGTCCCCTCAATGTCTTCCTTAGCTCGGAGAAGCTTCTTCAAGATCTCCATCTCGTCACCGAAGAGTTCCTTGAAGTAGGGGTTAGAGAAGGCCGAAATCTGGTCTTTTGGACTCCGGATGTTTGACGAGCCAAAGGCACCCATTCCCAACTCAACTTGTGCCTTAGGCGCCTCTTTGGGCTCTACCAGAGGAACAATGGGTCGGCTTTTAGGTCTTATTTTGGCCCTTGATGACTCCGTGGGCGCAGTGGCGTTAGCCACTGGAGAAGAGAATACAGCTGATCCAGCGCCCTCTACTGGAGGTGGTGTTGCTATCGGCTTGGTGTTATCCGCCGGAGGTGAAGATACAGCCGGCTGGGTACTGTTCACTGGAGGTGGAGATACTGCAATTTCGGTGCATTCCACCAGAAGGGAAAAATCAGTGTCCCTGGTGATCCTCACTTGGGGTGACGATACAACCGATTTAGCGTCTTCCGCTACTGCTGAAGGCTGCGAATTCAGAGGTGCAGTCACAGCTTCCTCGTGCTGTGAGAGAGGAGCTGGTGGCGGTGCTACAGCTGGTACAGAAATCTGAGGCGCATATGGCGACTCTCTAGTGGCTGAAGCCTGCGCCACTGCTACTGACTGTGGTGAAGGAACCGTCTCGGATGTCAAACGCCCTGACGGTAGGAATCCTAGGCTTTTGAATGCGGGCGAGTCAACCACGACAGTGTTCGTAGGCTCAGATAGCTGCGACGGTGGTGGTGCTGGGACAGCGGCGGTAGCACTGCTGGACGGGGCGACGACGTGATCTGTAGACGCGTCTGGTGCATTATCCATCGTTATATCTGAAGACGACGGCTTGCTACTGACGACAGTCACGCCGCCCGAAGATCCGCTGACAACCGCCGCGCCAGACTGAGAGGCCACGGGACTAGTGCCAGTACTGATACTGAAGGTCGACGCAGTAACTCTGGACACAGTCGAGCTAGCGAAGGTGTTGGTGCTGGAAGTTGACGTGGTAGGGACGGTGGGAGTATAGCCAAAGATGCCCCCGCTCATCTCGAAGGCAGTGCGCGGATCCATCGTGTCGTATCCACACTCCATGTCCTTCTCGTACTGTGCGAATGGTAGAAAATTGAGTGTACCCCCCATTTCCACATCCTTCAGCTTGAACTTTTCTAGCCAACGGGCAAACCGCTCATCTTCTTCGTCTTGGTCAAAAAATCCATGAGCTAGCGAGTGCGCGGTCGACTTCTGCTTTATGAAGCGTATGTCGAGTGATTTTCGCACCAAGCTCGAGCGAGGAACAGGAGCGATATCTACACGGTGAGTTGATCTGCCACGCTTCTTGCTCGTTCGTACTGCTTGGTGTGGCTCGTGGCCATCACAGAATAGTCGGCGAGTGATGTGCGCTTTGTTCGTGGGCGTCTTCTTGATAATGCGCTCCTTGTGGAGACGCTCGCAAGGTTGCAAGTCATCCATATCAATATCGTCGGTCGCAACTGGTATGCTCATCGTTCTTGTTGATTTGTGAGAAGTGATGACTATGTGGATTGATCGGTGGTCGTGAGTGATGTAGTGTCAGGTCTATTCGTGCTCAAAGGTCGTGTATGACAAGATATCACGCTAGGATTTGTGGTAATGAATGTGACGGTGAGTGTATATCATTGCCTAGTTCGAGTCCAAGCTCTTTCGGTACTACATAATGAGCGGTGGAAAGGCAGTGGCTAAGTGGAGGTGAATGAAGGTGAAATGGGGGCGAAATATCAGGGATGGGCAAGCTAACATCGCATGTATACCCCCCATCGCATAGTCGTTCTTCGATAGCTTAGTATAACTGCTTCAACACTATAGGATGTATAGGAATGGGTTTGGGAACATGGTAGGTTGATAGCGCATTGTGAATTGATATGCCCCAGGATTGCCTATGTGGCGCATAGAGTTTGATAATTGTCCGGCAGACTGTGTGGGCAAACGAGAATACAAGATTTCTAACATTTAACGGTATGAGAAGCCTCGAAATTCCTTGAAATTACGTCTCACCGACGATGATACAATAGTTTCGTTGTACGTACAATTACCCCAATTCCTACAGCGTGAACGATACCGTAATCCCCTTATCATACAAGAGAATGGGGAACTAAACTGAGTAGGATATGACTACAAGTATCATTGCTACAAGGCAATCACCAGAGAAATCTCTGAAGTCATTACATGTTTTACGCCTTCCAACAGACTGGCAAGCTGCCTCACCTGACCATCAAACAAGCAATGACCACATGCCGATAGAACTTTTCCCCGGCCCCAGTCCTACGCTCCAATGTGCACCTACCTACATCTCTGGTATCATCCTTATTTACCACCCCCAAATTTCTTCCTCAGATCATACCGCTCAAGTTCTCCACGAACAGGCCGGCTCGGTCTCGGCTTTGTCACTCTGCTTGTTTCGACCTTCTTTTCTGGCTTTGCTCGCTCAACCTCTAGTCTACCAAAACTATCATTCCCAGCAGGAGGTTGCTCGGGTGCACGACTATCAGCCTCTCCAGTCCCACGTGCTGTAAAAACGAGTTCTCTCCGTCTTGCCTCAGCTTTTCGCTCTAGTGCATATGCGTCAACCGGCTCGAATAGTTCTACCTCCTGCTTCACAGTCTGCCTACTTTCCTTTCTACTCCTGTCCTGTATATCTCCGCGTCGGCGGCGTCGGTCTCCGTCCTTCTCCTCCTGTCGGTGTTGGCGATCGGCCTCTTGTGCTTGCTTCTTCTCTTCCATCTCTGAGTTTCGACGGTTCTTTGCTTCACGCGCCCGCTGAATCTCGGCTTCCTCTGGATTATGACGCTTTGTAAGCTTTTCTTCCTCTACCCGCTGCTCTCGCTCCAGCCGGCGATGGGGTTCCATCTTGCGTACCGATACTATCTCGTCTGCATCCTTCTTTTGTACATCATTCGCCCCATCTTCTCTCGATCGACCTTGCTTGTCAGTATAAGCAGGGTGGATCCCACCATGTATTCGTGAGTCATTGCCTATCTCACTTGCCACCTTATGAAGTCGACGTTTCTCTTCGTAGGTTCTCTCAGATCCACGTCTGGCAGTGCTTTTTGATCTATAACGGCTGCTAGTGTGCCGTCCAACAGGTGAGCGGCTTCGACGTCTAAAGTCTTGATGGGCTGGTGAGCTGCGAGGGCTGCGTTCATCTTCGGCTTCTGGTTCGTCGTTGCACATCTTGTGTAAAGTACTGGCCTGGGCTTGTTGACCTTCTGCTTGTCTTGAGTCCTCTTTATGTTTTGTGCGTTCAATATCCGTAGCTTTTGCATTGTCTCTCATCACGGAGTCGTTTTCGTCTTTTACGAAACGATCTTCTTGAGCATCCGTTCCAATTTCCAAGGCATTAGCGCTTTTATTCAAGATCTTGAAGCGCTTGGGTGAGCTTATGGCAACTTGCTCTTCCGGTTCATCATCAGACTTTCTCTTCTTGGTTGTAGTAGGACGTGTATTAGGTGTCGTGGTCGGGTTTGTAAGAGTCGACGCGACAGCGTCGAATATGATGTACTTGTCCGCGAATCTCGGGCCGCCTAACACCATCACAGTCTCTTCCTTCCTCGCCATCTTACCTGGTTTGTCTTTCTGCACTCTCGTAGCTGCATGTGGACCAACATCCAGACCAATTGTCTTCTGCTGTTCCCTATCTTTACCTCCGTATCCATTGTCGTCTTTCCCGGCGACCACTCTTGGAACGAGCTGGAAGTAACCATGATATTCGATTGATGCAGGATCAGATTTCCCGCTCGGTACACAAGGTTCAACAGTGCGAATGCGCTGCGGAATACTCACACTTTCGACGGTGTTATGTAGTAGTACTGACGGCAGAATTGGTGGAGGTGTAATAGCTGAAGTGGCACTGGAGGTGTAATGCTTGGTTGACTCGTTGATATCAGCATCTTGATAGGAGAATTCGGAGTGTGATTGTTCCAATGGCTCAATCGTCTTGGGCAGCGGATCAATCTCTTCACCATATATGTTTGGTAGCGATAGTCCGTCAACGTCCGCGTTGGTTGCGTTACCTTCGTCATCGAACTGAACGCTGACGCGGAACTGCTCTGAATGTATGATGTGCTCATCTCTGGTCTCGGACCATACTCTGAACCCTGCAGATTGAGCAGCGTCACGTTGTCTGTTGACCAACATTGATGCCTTGGCCTTCGCACGTAAGAGAGCCTTTTTGCATTGCGCAACAGCATCGGTCTGAAAAGAAGAATTGGTGTAATTTGCACGTTTCGTTGAAGCGACTGGGACAGAGAATGTGGTGCACAGGACTACGTCATAGCCATTTGCTAACAGTCCTGGCTCATAGCGACCGATTGCGGCACTTCCCGTCTTGCTGACGAGTTCTTGATTCGTAGGCTCACGATCATAGATTCTGTGGAACTGCTCGGCATTACTAGGCGGCAGTGTCTGCACAGCCGCACTGCGATATCTCGTGGCGTGTGTAGATGCTATTATGGCTGTCGGCTGAGTTGTCGGGTTGTGTTGCGACTCAGCAATATCCCGCTCGCATGAGGCTGGAACGGCACTGACAGTTCCGCTTTCTGACGGGGTTGGTTCACTCGTAACCACATTGAGAGGAGTGCTGTGAGTTGCAAGAGATGTTTCCTCAAGAGTGGCGCCCTCAACACCCGAATCTTGATGTGGAAAGGCGTTAGTAGCGGGTACGCGTTTAGTCATGATTATCAACAAAAGCTTCCTTGTACACGTGAAGTAGTTTGATTTGGTAAACAAGTGAGGTCGCGATATGTGTCAGTGTGAGTCGCGGATAGATAGCGCATGAAAAAGACTGGGTCCAATCGATAACAAAGGCTAGCGCGGAGCTAGATCGGGATTTTGGTACACCGCTCGCAACGTTGACCTTACACCTGATTTTAAGTGAATGCGGCTTGAGAGAATGAGCATTGTATTCTCATAGTGCATATATCGGCTGTTGTGATTTGAAGACAATACGTGAATTGGTCTTTGTCCTCGCCTTGAGTTGCCATTGGGTTAAGTTTAGTAGTGTAGACAACCGTCATTGTAGATGTTTCCACAGACAGATAGTGATAATTGTTAAAGAGCCCGTGACGTACCTCTAAATGACGAAACTTTGGAAAGATATTACGACAGCTGAAGAAAATGGAATGTTAGACGCGCAGTTTAGAAAACGGTTGCATGATTTGGGGATACGTCGGAGGCGAGATACCAAGGTTCTCGGAGAGCAAACTCACATCGGTGCATCGGGCAAATGGACAATCGTCCCTCATGAATTTTCGTATCCTACCCTTTCGAGCTTACCAAGCTCTGTATTCTTCAAAATCCTCCTCCAGTACCAGTCTTTCAGCCTGAACACTTCCGCATTGGTAAGCGGCCTCTCAGCTTGCGTAACGCCCAATGGGCTTCTCCTGGCCCCACGAGCTCGGAGGGCGAAAGTCTTGGTAGCTGACGTACTGCATCTCCTTTTTCTTCTGTCTCTCCGTGCTGTCTTCGCAGGGACGTGGCTCTGAGCTGTTCTTGCGCTTCTGAGCGTTCGGGAGCAGAACGGGCGATCTGTGGCGGTTGCTGCGTCGCCATCGTCAGCGATATGGGTTGATCACTGCGACTGTTGTGAATGTACATATGGATCAGCTCTAGCCTCCAAATGATGATGCCACTCTAAAGGGAAATGGATATTGGTAGCCATGACCGCGTAACGGATCTAAAGCAATGACGGTCCATTGGAACTACAACGCGTCTCGATTAGGGAAAGAGCACAATGGCATTGTCGCCGTTTTTCGCCCACTTGGTACATCAATGCGTCTAGCTTGACCGATGAATGGGACAGCCGTTGAGCTCGAAATCGCAGTTCTTATTTTGCGGAGTGGGTAGTAGCCTCAATACAGCATGCCTTGCGAGAAGCCTGCATGTCGCTTGGTCGAAAGACGCGTAAGCTAAAGTCTACCAGTTGACAAAACAATCGAAGATGCCAAGTCCAGGGGCGGTTGGCAAGCTTCGCTCGCAGACTGCCTAACAAGAGACTTTAGTTATAGCGCTGAGCTTGGAGACGTCGATGGGCTGCAGTCGTCCTTCGGTCGGCTGTGCTGCGGGCCGTGGTGAAACGCCGTACAGTGGTGCATTGCGCAAGCATTGTCAACATGCCACAGCCTACTCATTAGTAGCCTCGATTGAATAGCAGTATCACTTGCAATTCTCCAACGGCAGGTGGGATGGTTAGGACGATGATATACGAGCGAGCGAAGTGGAAAGAAAATGTGGTGGAGCAGCAGAAGAACGGTTCCCGCGAGGCTGACTTTCCTAAGAATAGCCGATTAGCGGGGGTTGGATCGGCGTCATTGGGCAGCGGCCCCCGGCGCAGTTGCAGGGATGGCCGTACAGCCTCATGGAAGACGCGTATCCGATCAACCATAACCACCTCGACGCCGCCGACCGTACATTCACTAACCTGCCAACACATCGCTCTCCCAGGTTCCTGGTCCTATATCAAGTCACACGAACGCATCAGAAGATTATAATATGACGCAATGTTAGACGAGAATCTCCCCAGTACGTGTACCCAACCATCTCGGCCAATCGCCAGGTCCACACTGGTACTAACTCCTCTCTAGCTTTCTTTCTCAAGGCCTCGACCGACAAGCTCAAGCACCACGAATCATTCTACTTCACCCAGAACGGCTCCGAGCCCGAAGCTCAATATGCCCTGCACCACGTCGACCCAGCCTCCAACGATGCGAAGAACACATACGCCGTAGCCTTGTTCGACTCGCGCAACCCCGAGATCTTGTACGGCGAAGTGCTTGCGAAGCCAGGATGGTCGCACCCAACACTCTCGCAGGAAGAGATACGCAAGAATGGCGGAGTGCCGCCCCCACCACAGCCCATCTACCCCACCGAGTTTGCCATCCAGCTATATAACCCTGATTCACGCGTCATCGTTAAGCACTCGACCGCGAAATGGAGCAGCACCGTGAGCTGGGAGTTCAGCATACCCCAGCTCACCTTCAGAACACCTAGCAATTCTGCTCTCGACCGTACCATGACGGATCCGGGCGCCGACGTGAACACACCTAGAGTCAACTTCGCGTGGCGCAAGGAGGGCAGGTTAGGCAAGGACATGACATGCTACATGACGGGCAAGTCGACCGACCCAACTGGCAAGAAGGTGAAGAAGAGTAAGGAGCCGGATATCGCCGTCGCCCTTTACTCTGGCTTGAAAGAGCTGACCATCATGGAGTCAAATCTGTACCGTGTCGAGATTGAAGATTACAAGGGCTTGGAGGTTGCTTTGCTCATCGGTGCCGCCGTCATACGCGATCTGTTCTTCGGGGACCTCAACGAACAATTCCACATCAACGCCAACATACGGAAAAACAGCGCGCCACTGCGCGCGAGGAAGGGCTCGTCGCCTTTAGAAGGCCCGAATATTACAGCACCAGTCATGACGCCGCAGCCTCCGCCTCCGCCAGCATACACACCTTCATCGTCACAATACCCACCCGAAAAGGTGCCACTTCAGCCTGCGGGAGGTGCTGGTGTGAACACACAAGTTCCTCCGCCCTCGTATACCAGCAACAACAATGCCGCCAAGCGCTCCTCATTACCTCCGCTAGCCACGAACCAGTCCCGTCCCAATCAGCCTCCACAGCCGCAACGACCCGCCCAACAGCAGCGACCCAGCCAGCAACAACGACATGCTCAGCCACAGCGTCCAACACAACAACGTCAAGAAGGACCAAGGCTGGACCCGAGAGCACAATGGGAAATCGACGCCGAGACTGCGCGATTGAAGGCACAAGTAGAAGCCGAGGCACGCGAGCAGAAGCGACAAGCTGAAGCCAGTCGCAAAGCTCGGCGTAGGCAGGAAGAGGAGGAGGAGCGGAAGACACTACAATTCCTTGAACAAGAACGGAAGCAGAAGGAACGCGAAGAGAAAGAGCGACGGAGGAGACAGGCAGAGATTGACAAGGAGACGGAACGCCTGAAGAAGCAATTTGGAGATCAATCCAACCTACTTCGCCCCTCACCGCAGCCTCAGCGACACTCCGCGCCACTTGTACAGGGCGGATGGCAGAATCAGCGACCGAGTCCAGCGCCTCGACCCGCCCCTGTCCCTACGCAGCCTCCGCGCATGCAGCAAGCACCAAGTGTGTACCTGCAGACGCCTGTTCAACATCGTCCTGCGGCAAGTCAAAGCAGTTTCTTCAGCAATGGCCTACCAAAACCAGTAGCGAAAGCGAAGAAGAGTTTCTGGGGATTGAGAACACAGAGCGAGAGCAACGCTGAGAAGCTGAAGAAGAAGAAAAGTAGCATGTTTTGATCAAAAGCTAGCATTGGTCTCCTTACGTTTGGGTCACGGCATTGGGTATGGAGTTTTTGTTTAGTGAGTATTTATGATACCAGACATTCCAATTCAGTCATGTTCATGCACAGTCCTCTTTGGTCAGATGTGTTCCTGTTGATCTGCAGTGTTAAGATGCTATCATTCTAGGCCTTGCCTCATTTGGTTTAGCGGCGAACTGCAACCTCTGAATGTGATGCCCCATACCAGCTTGGTCCTTCATCATCCACTTCCTTGCGACCAGATTCCTTCCAAGTTTTGGATCATAATTTCCTTTTCAAACCTCGTGCTATCATCTCATCCCGCCTTCTTAACTTAATGCTGGCGGTTGGTACGCGAACCAGGCAAACTTCGCTAATTGGAAAACTTGCTCACTTGAGCACATTATCCCAGGGTACGCATGCAGGGTCGCAGCTATAGCTCGCGCCACAACCACCATCGTAGCCACGAGCACACCGATTCTAGACTGTTGGAATAGAAGAAGAAGCTTTCATTGGTTCGTCGTATGCATGTCTTCGCTTTCCCAATCCCGTGGCTGCGGATAGACGAGTGGAAACAATCATGGTGTTTGCTTGGCGGCGGAAAGATGGCAATTCTTTTCCGTTAGGACGACGGCAATGCGGCTAAAGAGAGGATGGTAAGAGGGAGCTGCATAGGATGGGTGTGTATAAAGGGTACGGCAGCTGCATGTCAGATATCGTATGCTTGTTGAGTAAACACCTCTATTCTACCTTCACATCTCTCCGCCTTTCCGTTCCTATATTCATCACATAACAACCTAAAAGCGAGAACCGTCCCTAAACCCTAATATCAAACCTGCAAACATGTTGTCCAAATCGCTTCTCGCAGTTGCAGCCCTCGCCGCAGGCGCAAACGCTCACTTCCGCCTCCTCGCACCCACATGGCGCGGTAGCTCCTTTGAAGAGCCAGCTAGCCAATGGATCTACCCGTGCGCCAATGTAAATGAGACGACCGATATGGCGAACCGTACGCTCTTTGTCCTTTTCTCCCATGCAAAACTCCCCTAACCAATCCGCAGGAACCGTCTGGCCCCCCAGCGGCGGCTCCACAATCATCAACGGCTCCCACACATCCGCCCTCACAGCTGTAAACCTAGCCCTAGGCTCCAACGCCACAAACTTCAACATTACACTTCTGGAAATGTTCAACCAAACTGGCGCCGGCGTCTTCTGCATGAAAGAGACTGGACGGGCGAATTTGGAAGAAGGATTCAAAGCAGCTGGTTATTCGGGATTGGATGACGAGAGAATCAACGGGTTGATGGCAACGGTTCAGGTGATTCAATTGGGCCACAGTGGAAGTGCGCTTTATAACGTAAGTTTTCTGAAATATTGCAGGGGGATATGAAGGTGAGATTCAACGGCTAACGGGGTACAGTGCGCGGATATCATGTTCAACTCCACTGCTGAGCTGCTCTCGGACGACCAGTGCCAGAATGGAACGGGTGTGTCTGGAGTCGAGATTGAGAATGCTGCGACTGAGACGGCAGACGGTAACTCGACGGAAGCTTCATCTACCCCTACCGGTGCGGCGGGTAGGCTCAGTCCTTTTGTAGGAAGTGGGTTGCTGGCTGCGGTTCTGGCTTGGGGACTGTTGTAGGCGTTTCAAGCAGTTCATATCACCGAGATTTACGATGATTACGGAAAGGATATGAGTACAGGAAAAAGATGATACCTACTAACGTGTTGATGAAAAATACGACTCTTGTTCTTTTGAACATAGACTCAGTCTCTCCACTTTCAACTTCTCTCGATTCGAAATTTCTGCGCGAGCATCCCGTCTGCTCCTCATTATCCTGGAAGCGAACGGCTACAACATGACTTCGGCGGATAAAAGCTTAGTCGCTGCTCGTCGCCTTTCATGGGCTTTGGTAAGTTTAGATCATGGATCATGAAAGATCCCAACTACCTTTTGCGGTATCATGTATCGATTTCCTGCGCCTTCGAACGTCCTGCTTCGTCATCTCCTTTCCTCTTCATTGTCTTGCTCGTCATCCTCTTCGTCGTCTCCATCTCCTTCTTCCTCATCTAGTAACTCGTACTCTTGTGGTACTTCAACTTTAGCCGGCGTTTCGGGTTGCTCTTCTTCCGAACTTGATTCGCCTTCTGTCATATCTAAGACATATCGTCATCGGATGCTTAACGAGGCATGGGACGTTATGATGATGGAGAATGGAGAAAGCAGACCTGAATTTCTGTCGCGCGTCGATTTGTCGCGCCTCTGCACATGACTCGGCACTCTCTTCGTTTGGCCATCGGCAGATATCGCATGTCCATTGAGGCATCTCGGGTGGGACAGGTACCTAGGGTAGAAATAGAATTAAAAGAGGAGATAACTCGTTATCTGGCATGGCTATCGTGTTGCAGGATGCTAGGACGCTGTGACATAGTAGTGAAAAGCTAACGTATGCATACGACTACGTGTAGTAAGGTGCTTTTTGTCACAAGCAGTTCATTGTGAAGATTGTCTCAATGCGCTCCATCATGGCCCGCTCGATGCAATTCATCCTTTGATGGTACATTTGTATCGATTGAACGATTGTTGAGTCGGTGGATCCATCTTCTGCAGATCATAAGCCAATACACTTACATGGTGCAAAGATAGTGGGCAGTATGTCCCAACTTATGTGGATGCGATGGTGTCGAAGTGGCGTATTCAGTAGATTGTTAGTTCATATCGTGAGCCTTCGGGTGTATAATTTCACTATAATCAGCGATAAGCAAGGTGATCTGATCCCAGTGAATGACCCACCTGAGCCGTGTACTGCCATCTAAACGATTGCCGCTGTACCTCTTAAAATCCGATTTACCAATCAAGTCCGACGCTTTTCCACTTTTGACTAGTTCAAACCACAACTACTCACGGTATCCAAGCTTCCAACGTACACGAAAACTTGGTGTACACGTCGAAAGCTCCAAACCTAGTGTCGCAATCTCATATAGCATAGCCGTGATGTCGAGCTCAGTACCAAAAGCTCCTACCATCATGCGTTCAGAAAGCCATCCTAATCAAGACGAAGCAAACGGTCAAATAGATCACTGGCTAGCATCTGGACTACAGTCATATGTAGAGGAGGGCCAGCGTATGCGTGACGTATCGAACGGAATCTCTCCAGCAAAACGGCCAATCGTGCGGTGTAGCACAACACACACAGCAAGTAGGCATGAGAAGCGCTAACGTCGTCTCCAAACCCAGGCTCACGAAACACGCGCAACTCAATGGCGCCTAAGTAACGATAGTGATATCCCGCTTCGCTTACAACAACTGATGCGCAACGCTCAAGTTGAATTTCATATCACTATTAGCGGAGATAACCACAATATCCACCTCAACACAGGCACCGGGCAGCAGAACGTGTATTACAGCGGGCTAAGGGTCGACCGGAACGACTATGAGGATGAAGAGTGCGAAGACAATGATGATGGGTACGACGACAATGGCTACAACAATGATGCTGACGATCGTAATAGCACGGACTATGGACGGCCAGATTACGAACGTCGTGGTGCTAGGAACAACAACAGCTATGACGACGGGTACAATGTTCAAACTCGCAGTTCTGACTTGTCCCCCTGTCAATGCCGACACTGCCAGTTGGGTCTAGCTAATAATCGAGGTCATTATGACGGCTCTATTGACGCTGAAGGCTGGTGAGTTCAGAGTCAGGTATCCTTGTACTAGGGACCCTGGATCTGATCGTAGTTAATGCTTGTCTCATGATACAAGAGCTTTGCCTCACCAGGTCGATCATTACTCCAGGCTGTAGGTACGCCGGGCGGCCATTATCGTGAGCAATGTCTGGTTCTAGCGCAGCGATCTTTGGCTGCATCTGCTTCGCGACTTTTCTTCTAAAGGAAGGCGTGGTAGGAATGTGTGAAGGTGCTGTATTGGTACCTAAAGTGGCCGGGCGAGCTGCAGTCACAGCGTTCAATGTTAGATACGTAGTGTTCTCTTAGATATTAATGAATGTGTGATCTGCCTCTCACATCCATCCTCAACACTTCAGCAGAGGAAAATACTTCTCCTATCGAGATACTAGAACACTGGTTCTTCCCATCATCACTCCGAGATGTGTGACCCCGTATGTCAGTCACGGCCCGTCGAACCCTACATACAAGGTGTTGACACAGGTACATCCTTAAGCTTTACACAGACCCATGACCTTCTGATACTTCTCGTCAATCCCCTTGAACGTTTTCCCCATAGCTCCAGCATCTGGAAGAACCCTCCTGGCCTTAGCCGCGTCGGCAAAGGTTGCTTCGGGTTTTCCGCCTCTGCCTGCCGCACCCGCGAGAATACCCATAACGGCGAAAGGTGCACTCTCGGGATCTTCAATGATCTCGCCAATGGCTAGAGCACCATTCGCAACCTCGCCAGCCACAAAAGCAAGGCGTGCAAGGTTGGACAACCCTGCTACAGCGAAGCCAACCTCCGAAATGAAGGGGACAATCATGAGGATAAGACTGACGATGAGGAGAATGGTTTCCTTCTTCTTTTGCGCGGAGATCTTGCCGCCAATGTCTTTTACCTGGCTCATAGTGTCGACAGCTTGTGCGAGCATTTGTACTGGTGTAGCGAGTGCAAGGACAGCATCGTTGTAATCGTACTCGGTATCATACAAGCTCATGCCAAGCAGAAGAAGAGCCTGTGATATTTGACTTCTGAGTCCTTCGATGGTCGGAAGTGCATCTTCCATGATTTTCTTTGGATCTGGCACACTGATTTTGTCCTTTTTGCGTGGAAAATCCTTTCGCCGCCATTGATGTACTTCGGTACAATCATCCGGTGCGCCCTCGCATTCGGGGTAAGTATCGGTGTCTTTGAAAACGATCCAGTCGGCTGATATGCCCAGATCTCTTCCTAGTGCCTTCTCGTAGCCGTCTTTGTCACGGAGGGTGTATTCAATGTCCCAGCTTTCGTAGCCATACTCAGGGTCATCCCAGGAGTCCTTTCGCATGAGAGAATAGGGCACGGGACATGGGCCCGAATACTTGTTGCCTTTCTTTTCGTACTTGCAGTCGAAATACCTATTGCCAAGGCCAGTCTTGTTCTCTTCTCCCATGAAGAAGTTATTCATCCAATTCTGTGGCAAAGGACAGTCAGTATTTGGCCTTGCGCAGTGTGCGCGATTAGAAGGCGAGAATTTGTATGAAAATACGTACCTCCAATTGTGGGTTGACAAGCTCATCGATCCAAGAAGCGTAATATCCGAATTTACCATCGTAGTCCTGTTTGATTTCATCGAATTTCTTGAGTGTCTCATCCAGCAGAGTCGACATAGTTCCAACAGCATATTCGGCGGCGCATACGCCCGCGACGTTATCGAGGTCAGCCACAAGAGCGTCGAGGTTGGCATACTCCTGAATACAATCTTCATCGTGCACATCACCGAGATCGGACCCGCTATTGTCGTCGTCTACACTGTCTTTGTACTCTTGCAAATCGACAGCCCAGTCTGAGGTGCCGCCAAAGTTGAGTTCTTTCACCCACTTGGTGCGGGTAAACTTGGTGAAATCGTCCATGTAAGCTACCCAGTTACCATTCCACGTCTGTAAGAGTGGAATTAGGAAGTCAGTGTACGCCTCACATCTATCGCGAACAGCCCGAACTTACCATGATGTTTGAGTCGCTGGCATCGTCGAACCATGTCTTGACATTGCCGGTTCCATCGAATTCCCCGTTCTCAATCAGGGTTGCAATTTCCGCATCAGCGATGTAGCCGCCTGTGGCGGTACATTCTCCCGGTTCCGCGTTGCTTAGTTTGGGACTTCCACTGAACTTGCACATTACCCCAGTACATGTTGGATCTACCATCTTGAAACTGCGACCGTAGCTTGATACACCTACCATGATCTTGTTGGAAGGCACGCCTGCCTTGGTAACCATGCTTAGTGCTGTCTCTGTCTCTGTCTTGTTCACGTGGCTGCGTAGGCAGTTGCCTGTCTTGCAGCCGGGGTTGGAAAATTTCGATCCATAATCCCATTGCCCGTGCAGATCATACGTCATATAAATAAAATAATCTGTAGGTAGGGAAGCAAAACGTCAGTACATCTCTCATACACAGTTTGCCCAGTCAGTACTTACCAACAACCGCGGACATGAGTTTGACGGGAAATCCCTTTAAATACCAATAGCTAGCTGGTAGCGCAATAGAGAGTGACTTGTCCGATGGCAGTTTACTTTTGACGGACTTCAGAAACTTGAGATAGTTTAAGCCATCTGAAGGAGAACCGGGCACTGAACCTGCGATGTCGGTGGCGCCAGGATATTCCCAGTCGAAGTCCAGTCCGTCGAGTTTGTTGTCCTTGAGGAATTGAACCACTTTAGTAGCGAATAATTCACGGTTGGCGTCAGATACGCCTGTTGCAAAGATGGGCGATGTATCATGATCAGTGCTGAAGGACCAGCCGCCAAAACTCAGAATCTTCTTCGCCTTGCTTTCCATTGCTACCATCCTTCAGATAGTTAGTACATGCTAGTTAACGATGCGGAATGGAAGGGGAACACTTACTTGTCGAACTGCTTCTTGACGCCATCAGTCATCGCAATCGAATAGTCTTTCCCTATTGTGGCAAAAGCGAAATGTATATGGGTATAAGTCTCGGTGTCCATCTGTGTTATGTCCATATGCAGGCAATCTCGCTCATTATTGAAGGCCTCAAAGTAGCCTACATGTGCAAATTGGGCTGGCCCAGCGGCGTTGTTCACGATCTTTGTACCGCAATTCGAGATGCATCCGTTCGTGTTGGGCTTAGCAGTACCCTTGTAAAAAGTCAACATCGGGCTCGAAAAGGTTGAATAAATAGAGATTACTTACGATGTGTTCATCATCGACGTCAGAGCGAGTGCAGAATTCGTCGGTTGTGCCACATTGGCCCCATACGTCACAACAGGCGTTCAAGGGACACGGGTTCAACTTCGCAATGTCGTCCCAATTGGCTGGACGTTGCGTTCCGACGACTTGGGGACCGCAGATGATAGAGGGATCTTGCGCAGGCATAGGGGGGTTGCCCTTGCTAAGGCACACGATTGCTTTCTCCTTCAACGCACTACAACCTGCAAAGCCCCACGTCTTCTTGTTTACTTCTTCAATACGTTGTTGGTCGATACCGAAGCTTTCTGCTATCGACCAGCAGCCTGTGACGGGGTCAGAATCATAAACATGCCCACTCATCCGAGGAACTACTTACCATCGTCGGCCTTGACCTCATAGGTGAAACAAGTACCATCCCCACTGGGTTGGGGGGTATGATCAGAGAGGTCTCCTTGACTGCAGCAGACATATTGCTTGGGCTTGAGAGTGGCGCACAGATTGCTCGTCTTGCTGTTGTACTTGGTGAAATCGGAACCTGAGATTCCACATCTCGACGCTAGGGAAGCACAACTGTCATCTTTGATGACCTGTATGTCGCGGCATAAAGCTCGGGGATGTACTGAGCGGCCTGATCTTGTGGTGTTGGATGCGACAGGCGATCCGAGGATAGTTATTGGAATGGAAACGGGAGCTTCTCCACCTTCCATATCTTGAAGGTCGATTCCCTTACCGACGTTGTTGATATAACTCGCTAAAAAGCCTTGTACGGATGTCACGTTGCCAGTCAGATCAGCAAAGAAGCCAAGACGGGTGTCGAACTGAGCCTGGGCTGAGCTGCCATTCTGCGCGCCTGTGGTCTGCACGGCGAATCGTGCTGGGATAGTGCCTTCGAGGATAGACTCGGAGTAGGAACCTATGGTGTCGGCAACTGAGGACTTGAGTATATCTAAATAGTGGTGTATGAAGTCAGCATAGTTCTTACGTCCAACACGTCTCGGAACATCGCTTACCACCTCCCGCAAAAGCGCCTACTACTACGTTAACTGAGGAACGGGCGAACATGAGGTCCCTGCCGCAGCTTGCCGACTTGCGAAAATATTCTTGCAATTGTGAGAGGGCTGCGGAAATCTTGTCCGCACTAGCGCTGCCTTGACCGGACCACCTTGTCTCGACTTCAAGAGTAGCTTCCTGAGGCAAGGCACCACAAGAACCGTCTTCCGAGGCTACCATCTTCTCCTTGGGTACCAAAAGTTCTGGTACCATGTCTGGAGATGGAGTGCTCGTCACGTTATTCTGAAGAAGACCGTAGAAAGCACCAGCCTGCATCTGTGGACCGCTTTTCGAGGTGAGACAAGCCTTGATAAGAGGAGTCTCAGTGCTAGCTTGAACGTTAAGCGTGAAGAGGATCGTGTCGTTGCAAGACGAGAGTTCATCGAAATCATGATAGGACTAACGCAAGTGTCAGTACATGTCACATATGCGATTAATGTTCCAGAGTTACGTACGGTCCACGTTGAGCTGTCAGACGTGGCATATTCGCAAGCTAAGGGGCAGTTCTGCAGCTGAACATTGTGAAGTTGCACCTCTTGTTTGGAATCGTCCCGTCCTTGGAGAGATGAATGAGCGGAATGATGAAAGGATCGATGGGCGACACCATGGAGAGACGCGTGGGCAACGACAGGAAAAGGTAACGAGAGAGCAAATGTCAGGCACCAGGTTACTCCGGGCCCGTTCGGGCCGGTATGCCAAGCAATCGCAGTATATTAGCCTACCTTACCGCTGTTGTGGCTCGACAGCGGTTCGTCTCTAGTCTTACAAGGCAATATACCTCTACTTCCACTATCGCGGTGCATCTCGTATCTATAAAGACTCTATTGCTTGACATTCGAACCGCTCTCCCTACGATACCCATGTGCACCCGATTTTGTAATAATGAGCTCTAGAGCCGGTCTACCCAGCGCCTCAACTCGCAACTTAAGAAGGGCCAGCAAGCAACGGGTCGACCTAGTAGGGGACGTTACAGACCGCGACTCCCCGAGCCCTCGCATCCCAACACCAGACGTTGACGAGCAAGTTCGTCAGGAAGGGACCACCTCAACCGCTAACGACCCAGGACGCCCTGTTCTAGGCCAGAACACACGGGCACTACCTGAACTGGCTTCTCAGGAAGAGCCCAACACCACTGTCGGGGGGGACGCCCCTAGACAGGATGAGCTGGAACGAGAGCTGGAGGAACTCAGGCGTTGGCGCCAGCGGGAGGAAAACCTCCGCGAGCTGACCAAGCTAAGGGAACTCAAACGCAAAGTGCAACAGGGAGACTTATCTGTCTTCGATGAGGTCTCTCTCCCCGCACCATCACCCCGAAGGGTAGAGAGCGTCACTGATCTAGGCGCCCTCGCCCTAAGGACCCGGAGACGTTTGCAAACCGTGATCGCCAGCAGTATAACTGCTGGGCGCGCGACTGTGAGGCAATCTTTAGGGGATCGCCCTCACGCTTCGCAACGGACACCCAAAGAGTAGACTTTGGGATTAGGTTTCTAGACGAAACCGTTAGATCCACCTGGGATACATATCGCGAAGACCACCTACGAGAGGACCCCTTTTGGGAGCCCACCTGGGCTCAGCTTAAGGCGTAATGCTCGACTGCCTCGGGCCCTTGGAGATGCGACGTCTCCAGGCCCATAACGACCTAAAACGGCTCAGACAGAGGCATGATCAGGACCCGAACGTCCTTCTGGCTCGACTCAACACACTGTGGAGCGAGATGGAACACGTCTCCGAAGAACAGCGCCGCATGGATTTCATGGGCGCACTCCTCTCTGAGATACAGAAGGAACTCATGGGTAGGGACCCTGAGGATATTAACACAGTATCCAAGGTCAACACGGCGGCACGGTTTATTTGGAACAAGACAAAGCGAACCGCACCTACGGCGGAGCATCCAACCGCAAAAAGGGAGGGCCACGCCAGAACTACACATGAAGATCGTGCGGGGCCCCCTAAGACCCGGAAAAAGGCCAAGAAGGCCTTTGCGGGGAACTTCAAGAAGAAGCAACGCAAATCGGACCCTAGCGGCCCAAAAGACCCCAACATAACCTGTTGGGGATGCAATGAACCTGGACATTTCTAGAAAGATTGTCCCAAGCCGAAGGAGGCCCAAAAAGAGTCGGCCAATCCCAAGTCGGGGAAAGGCAGTAGGCAGAGGAGCTAGAGTCCTTCTTGTCTGCCCACATTGCACACTCCTCAGAGACTCGGGATCTAGGGCTCCTTCATGACGTGCTTTACCTAAAGCCAACCAAGTTACTGACAGCCAAGGTGGCTATCGGCCAATCAGGCTTTGTAGAAGCCTTGATTGATGGAGGTTCGCAGTTGAACCTTATTTCCGCCATGCTCGCAAAGGAGCATGACTTGACAGTCCGACCCTTGCCAAGATTGTTGGCAGAGGGGGTGGATGGTAAGGCGTTAAAGGTCTATGGAACCACAGAGGTTGCCATTAGGATCAGAGACGCGCGCGGAAAGGAAGAAACCCAGAATGTACCGTTTATAGTAGCTGACATTCAGAAGTATCAGGTATACTTAGGGTTGCCCTGGATAGACATGTACTCGCCTAAGATCAGCTACTCTACACGGAGAGTGATTTTTCGGGGTACAAAGTCTAAGGATAGGACTGTCTACAGGAAGATTGCGGTAGAGGAGGCTGAGGAGTTCGAAAAGACGATGCGCGATCCCACTGCGGATGTGTATGGCTGTCTTGTTGCCTCAGTGGTCCAAACCGGCCTAGAAGGGGCCGGAGGGGAGCAGTTACCCCCGCAATACTCCGAATTTGCCCAATTGGGATCGGAGGACGACTCAAGGGTCCTGGCGGACCATGGACCGCAGGATCTGGCTATCAACCTCGTGGAAGGGGCTAAGGTACCCCACCAGCCGTTGTATAACCTCTCCAAGACTGAGCTTGAGTTGTTGCGCAAGTATTTAGAGGAATACTTGGCGCGTGGCTAGATAAGGCACAGTAAGTCCCCAGCGGGGGCGCCTATCCTCTTTGCCAAAAAGAAAGACGGCACAATGCGTCTTTGTGTGGACTACCGGGGTCTTAACAGGATTACTGTCAAGAACCGGCACCCACTGCCCCTTATTAATGAGTCCTTAGAAAGGCTTGCAGGCGCAAAGTACTACACTAAGTTAGACGTCAAGGAGGCTTACCACAGGGTAAGAATCCAAGAAGGGGAGGAGTGGAAGACAGCTTTCCGTACAAGGTACGGCCATTTTGAGTATACTGTGATGCCCTTCGGCCTCACGAACGCTCCTGCGCAGTTCCAGGCCTACATTTACCAAGTCCTTGCAGGATTAGTTGATGTGACCTGTATTGTATACTTAGACGACATCCTTATCTTCTCTAACACAGAAGAAGAGCATGTGAAGCATGTCAAGGAAGTCCTGCATCGACTGCGCGATGCTAAGCTGTTCTTGAAGCTTCCAAAGTGCGAGTGGCACACTCAGCGCACTGAGTACCTGGGCTACATAGTATCGCCAGAAGGGATTGAAGTCGACGAGAAGAGGATTCAGACAATCCTGGAATGGCCGGAACCGCGCACGGTGCGCGAAATCCGAGTATTCATTGGCTTTATGAACTACTACAGGCGGTTTATAGCCAACTTCTCCCGACTTGCCCTACTACTTACCAAACTGACCCAGAAGGGGCCAGAAGCGGCCAGAGGCGGCCACGCCCAGCGAAGGGAGGAAAGTCAGGTAGTAGACTTAGACAAAGAAGCCAAAGAGGCTTTTCAGAGGCTCAAGAACTCCTTTAAGGAAATCCTAATCCTAGCTCACTTTGAGCGCCACAGGAAAACGAAGGCAGAAGTTGACGCCTCGGGAGGGGCAATCGCTGGCATTTTGAGCTAATGGTACCCAGAAGAGGGCAAAATGGGCCGTTGGCGCCCAATCGACTTCTTTTCGCGCAAGCTCATCACGGCAGAGTACAACTACGGCACCCATGACCAAGAGCTACTGGCTATAGTTAAAAGCCTTGAGCATTGGCGCCAATACCTCGAAGGCATCCACTTCGACATCTACACAGACCACCAGAACCTAAAATGGTTCATGGAGACGAAGACTCTCAGCCACCGACAGGTGAGGTCTTACCTTGTACTGTCTGGGTTCGATTTCACCATTGTTCACCGACCAGGGCCACTAACCCGGCCGACGGCCCATCAAGAAGGCCTGATTACATGGCAGAAGCCCAGAAACCAGCCCAGAAGTACAACGAAGCTTTTGTCCAGCCAATGAAGGACCTCCTTAAACACGGCAACCAACAGTCAGTACTGGTAGCTGCGGTGCGGACACGTTCCGCCTTACGCTCTGAGGAACAAGACGTCCTCACAAACGCGTTAAAGGAGTTTCAACTGGAAGAACAGCGCCAAGTCCCAGACCCCCGCAACATGGAGGAACGGGAGGAGACGGATGAGGACTCAGAGGCTACTTCAGACGAGTCAGAGCCTGAAGAGGCTCCTTCTGGCCCAAAGCGGGCCAGAACCACCCGGCGGACAACACAATACCCTAGAACCGCCGAGCAGAAGTCGCAGGCCATCCAGGAGTGCCATGATGGCCCGCTGGCAGGCCACTTTGGAGCGAGACGCACCTTAGAAAAGCTGCAGCGACACTACTCTTGGAGGGGCATGCGCAAAGACGTTGAGCAGTATTGCAAGGAGTGCCTCATTTGTAAAAAGTCTACTCCAGCTAGACACCGTCCATATGGACTCCTTCATCCTCTCCCAATCCCCAACTACCCTTGGGAGGAGGTAACGATGGACTTTATCATGGAACTACCTCCTAGCAAAATATCTGGGGTAGTTTATGATGCTATCCTGGTAATCATGGATAGATTGACCAAGATGGCCCATTACGTGCCAGCACGAGCCGATTGGGACGGCTCTGATCTAGCACAGGGCTGGATACGCGAGGTTATCCGATTACATGGAGTTCCAAAGCGAATTATATCGGGTCGGGGTCCATTAATGAACTCTAGACATTGGGACACGTTTCTTCACTATCTCAATGCTAGAAGAGTTTTGACGTCAGCCTTCTATCCACAGACGGATAGGCAAACGGAGCGTCAAAACCAAACACTGGAACAGTATCTTCGGTGCTTTTGTGCCCTAGAACAGGACGACTAGGCGTTGTGGATCTCAGTAGGAGAGTTCGCGTACAATGACAGTGTACACTCCACCACAGGGGTCACACCCTTCCAGGCTTACCACGGCAGGCACCCTCGTGGTGCAGACTGGCCCGAGATGGCCCTAGGGGAAGGAGAGAGCCCTATAGCAACCGAAGTCGCCCAAAGGGTAATCGAGCTGCAGCAAGAATGCCGCAGAAAGATTAAGGCAGCTAATGCCTACCAAGAGGAGTATGCCAACAAGCACCGTGCTCTAATCCCTTTTAGGGTGGGAGACCAGGTTTTAGTTTCCAATCGACATATCCGCTCTACAAGGCTAAAGAAAAAGCTAGACTGGAAGTTTCTAGGCCCAGGCACGATTACAGCCCAAATCGGACCATCGGCGTTCAAGGTCGACCTGCCAGGTCTTCAAAAAGTTCATCCCGTCTTCCATGCGTCGCTTTTAGAGCCATACGACCCAAAAGGGGCCATTCCACACCCTAATGTGCCAGCTCAGGACACTCTGCGCGAATATAGGGACGATGTGTATAAAGTAGGGCGAATTCTAGACAGAAGGCGTAACGAGGACAATAAGTAGGAATACTTAATCAAATGGGCTGGCTACTCAGAGGAGGAGAATTCTTGGGAAGTAGGAGCAAATGTTTCCGGCAACGCACTGAAAAAGTTCTGGGAAAACAAAGGAATCCAACAAAGAAGAAAATCCACTAAATCACAGCCTAAGAAGCGTGGCCGAGGACGGTCTCGTAAAGAAGGGGGATAAGTTAAGCCACAACGGGCCATTCCGGTGCAAACGGGGGCATACCTTCACCTTTTTCCCCTTCCTGAGGGGTTTTAGGGTGTTTAACGGTGCCTCGGGCTGGATTGGGCCAGTATTCCCCTTCTAGGCTACATAATGTGACATCTGTCTCCGTTAGCCAACCTGACCGGATCGCGGGCAACTAATGCTCTACAATTCTATATCTCCACATTCACAAGTCAAACGATGATGCAAGTCAAGCTTCATATTACTGCATAAGGGCCATAGCCCAGGGGTATAAAACGCCATCCTATGGGGTACCAATCCGGCCCATTCCGGCCCAAAGGACCCCAAAGTTTCCCATCATAAGTCGTTTTCAGTCATCAAGAGGCACTACTACCCATTCAGGCCACCAGAGGCCCTTGGGGGCCCATACCGGCCCATAGCATCGAATCCTAGGCCTTTTGGGCCATGAAATCTTCAATCTCCTTCTCCAGCCCCTTGATCTCCTTAGTGAGGGCAGCCTTAATGGACCTGGAGTTCTTGCTGCGAGGAACGGCGGCATGCTCGGACTCCTTCCGGCTGACCACGGCAGTAATCTCAGCAATCTTCATGTCGATAGCGGTGTTGGTCATGCGCTTTCCAGGAGCCTGCAGGTGTTAGCAACGGGCCATAACGGGCTCTAATAGGCCATATAGGGCCCAAATTCCCCGATAAGGGGCACAAGGGGGCTTCTGGGTCCTCTTACGGGCTTCTTGGGGGAACTGCCGGTCTTTTCGTACTGATCGACCGCTTCTGCCACCCGCTTGTTCCGAATGGTCTGGATAGCCTGCTGCTTGGCAGCCTTGGAATCGGCGGATTGACCAGAATCATTAGGGCGAATTCCGGACTTGGGATCATGAGTGCTGAGGCAACGACCATTATGCAACTCTAGATGCTGACTAGCCGGAGCATACAACTTGCTGCAAAATGTTAACATAAGCCCTAGAAAGGGTCATTATGGGCAATCATAGGGCATACTGACACCCTAGTGCCCCGGTAGGGGGGCACAATGGGGCATTCTAGGTCACTTACCTCTCAAGTACCCGCTTGACGCCCTGAAGCTCACGCTGAATCTTGGCCTCCCGAAGTAGGCGCTCATCTTCGGTGAGATCTCGAGTAACCTCATCCTCATCACCAATACCAGGAATCGTAACTTGACCTTCGCGAAGCTCCTTGACCAGAACCTCAATGGCGGCCAGGTCGACGAACCAGCTGTTAGGAGGCTAGAAAGGGTCAGAATGGCCCGTAACAATGCGGGCTGACCCCTTCTACGCCAAAAAGGCGCCATAATGGGGTAGAACGTGCTAAAAGGGGCCACTTACAGCAATACAGGGGCGATTCATCAGGAAACAGCGCCCACACTCGAGGATCTGGACGGCACCAGGCAAACCGGGGATGTTGCGAAGACGTCCCTCGAAGTCGGCCCTGTTATGGTCGCCAAGGACAGGGAAACAGCAGCCATATTGACCGAGGCAAAGGAATTCACCAGCGACCCAGGAATAGAGGCAGCCGGTGCAGACCCAGAACGAAGACTGAGTGCCAGCACCGGGAAGATAGCTGTTGGAGGCCGCTGGTTTGGAGAAACCGGCCATAATGAGCCGTACTGGGCTAATATGGGGATAGTCGAGGCGAAGTAGGCGGATAGGGTTCGATGGGGCGTAAGAGGGGCGCCTATGGGCCAGTTAGTTCCATTCCCACCTATATCGCACTAGAAGGGGCCATTTTGGGCCACTTTGGCGCTACCCTCCTCTTGCCCAGAATGGGGCAAAATACTCACAATTGACGGTCGAGGGGAGTGTGGAATAGGAAAGATGGTCCAGATCGGCCAGGAATACCCAAAAGCTTGGGCCTTCGCTTAGCTGGACCCTGAATCCTAGGTGAAGATGGATATTCTGGAGTTTTTCGAGAATTCCTAAATCGGTCGAGGTGAAGGTGAAAACCGCACCCGGAACTCGGGCCTGCCCTATCTAATCACCTCTCTTGATACTAGGCGTAGCAGACCCCGTAGGGACTGTTACGGGCTACTACAATCTAGCGTAGGCTAACTGTGCCTTGATCGGGTCGATCGAGTCTAAGAAGGGGAATAATGTCAGGCACCAGGTTACTCCGGGCCCGTTCGGGCCGGTATGCCAAGCAATCGCAGTATATTAGCCTACCTTACCGCTGTTGTGGCTCGACAGCGGTTCGTCTCTAGTCTTACAAGGCAATATACCTCTACTTCCACTATCGCGGTGCATCTCGTATCTATAAAGACTCTATTGCTTGACAGCAAAAGCTGTGGCAGCTGCTGCCAGCATCATGATTAAGTGACACGAGAAGGTCTAACGAAGGAATGCCAGAGACAGTGTCTGGCTACACGGATCTGGTCTTAAGAATCGGGGAGCGACCATAATACCATCAAATCCTCAGTCTAACACCAGCGATTCTCCACTCTTAGCAGGCAACCAATACTCGGGATAAATCTCTCCACGCCCGAGCCAGAGCTTACTCATTGAAGATTCAGACCGGAGTGGCACGACATAACATTCATTGCTGCAAGCTTCGTATGCAACGGAAATGGACAGGGTTGAGACGGCAGAAATTGGAAGAATCAAATGCAAAGTATTCTAGGCCTACCCGTAACATGCCATCTTCAGACTAGAAGGTCTCCTTCGTGAGCGGTGCAATGTAGTATGCTTGCATCGCCCGCGCCACCAAGTCTACTCAGGGAACGGAGGCCGCGAATGAATTCATAACGGTTCCGCTGGCCATACGACATACTGTCCAATTAGCTTTTCCATCATACCCTCGTGGGCAGACATGAGCAATACCAGATCCAAAGGGGCGAAGGATGAACGCGACGGGAACGATAGTCGTGCGTGAACAGCAGGGCGACGTAAATTGTAGCGGAGACAGGCCTGCAGGTCCGTTGCCCTGCTTTAGCGTATTGCTTAGCGTCTTGGTACGCCGAGGCTAATGTGAGCGACCCGTGCGTCGGGAGAAATCGAGCAGATTCCCGCGATCGCCCTATCCCATGCGCTGGGGCAAGTTCAGGGTTTGCTCTTGGCGTCTTCTACCCATGCGGTGCAGTATACCTGGTATACTCCTGAATTAATCTCGCATAAGCAGGCACTACTACCTTTTTAACGACATGGAAACACGATCACTTCCTCCTCTCACATCGTCTCTCTGGCACTCTTCATTTGCACCAATCACACTACAATGTCATCATCCATCGCACGGTACCTCGCCAAGACAGCTTTCAAACTGAGCGATTGTCTGTCAGCACTCGAAGGCCGGGCTCTTCCGACGAACCTAGGAAATCGCGTAGCGCGGCTGTGTGTCATCAATGGTCTTCGAAAGCATCTGGACTTTGCACTCTCAGCCGAGGTGGACGAACTGTGCAGCGTTGAGGGCCAAGAAATCTTTGCTCGAGCTCGAAATGCAGGCTTGATCATGAATGATCGAGTACCCGATGCGGACCTCATGCACAACAATGCATGGCATCCCTACTGTATATGGTCCCCACGTGTGGCTCGAGAAGATACCTACCGCCAGCTAGCGACAGTCTTCCCCGATATGCGCTACCAGGTCGGCCGTGCCTGTGCTGTCGGAGGGTATTCTCAACTCTACAATGAGCTCGGTTTGCTGCCGGACCCTTGCATCGCAGAGGAGGCTCGGGAGAACACTGCTGGTCCCGCGGCAGAGGGGGCCAGAAAGATTTACGAGCAAATCATGGCCAGTCCAGTTCGATTTGCAGTAATGAACGACTACGATCGCACTGTTCAGTTGCACACACCGAAGGCGTGCGCCCGTCTGAACGCTGATACGGCTGTGTTGGCATCTCTCGAGGAACGTCAGGTGTTTGAAGAATACTTCCATTCGCCCATTGATAGTCCGTGGATTTATTTTAATATAACAGAGGATCAGGGTATCGGTGACCATACGGTGAAAGTCAAGCCGCACGATCTCACCGACAGTGAGATCGCGTTGTTTACTTCTCCTCTTCCGGAAGACTTGCCGACCATGCACAAGGATCTTTTGATCCTTACAGCTGCATTCGAAGGAAATCTCGACCGCTATGCTCGTCTGCGTCGTCCCGGTCAGACCATCAATTACGAACTTCACTGTGTATTACCTGGCATCTACAAAAGCTTCGCTATGGCTATTTGGCTAGAACGTAATCCAGACATTTTGGAATTGATTGCATCCTCATGGCATCCGCGCGAGATCAAGACGCTGAGGGCAGCTATCCACGCTCGACGAATCATGAACAACGACATCCACCGTCTTCTCGACATGAAAAACGTTGTGCCTGACGATGAAATACCATACTGGATATGGTATCCCACTATCCCTGCTGAGTGGGCACTACTCAAACTCGCCGAGGCTCGTCCGAATATGCGACCCCAATGTGCACGTGCTTGTATGGCGGGTGGCATGCGTGATGCGTACACTGAGATCATGGATATGTGCGACGACGATGGCAAGCCGGTAGCGGTTGACAAATATCTAATGCTTGAAGCCCAGACCTGTCCAGGGCACGAATTTTTCGAAGCCGACATGCTTCGACGTAAGGCGGAGCAAGGTCTTGACGATCTTCAAGCCATCGCAGATGGCGACGAGGAGTGGAAAGATAATATTCCTTGGCGCCAAGGGGACGTTGGAAGCCCATACCTTCTCAGTAGATTGCAAGACAGTTGCCATAGTGTCGTACGTGCTGGCGAGGACTGGGGCATGTACGAGGGCCTAGGCTCTGATCTGGGCCGCGTCCGTTTGTACATCAGCAGTTCGCCCGAGGCGAGAGCACGCGCTGAGACGAGAGGAGGTGTGATGCACCTCGAGGATGAGGACCTTGTTGTCGATTAGGGAGATACTCCGCGTCTCCGACTCCTTCTTAGAGTTGCTCGACCAATCAGAGTTCTTGATTTCCCACGTGGTCTCACTCGTCTCGAACCTTTCCCGCGTCAGCCAGCGGGTCAATGACCGGCTCCTCCTAAGGAGCTAGTTCCTAGCGGGACGGAAACAAGGTTGTGAATGCCAAGCTTCAATCTTCCAGCCCAAGCGAGTATAAGCTCTAAACGGCTTCTAAAAAAGCCTTGAAACCCGTAAACCGATCGATTTTAGTTTCCGTGCCAAGGGCAGAGTTTGTCCTAGTATAGTCACTAGGGCGCATCGTCCCTGCGTCCCATAGACAAGCCTACACCCCCATCTTGTGAGACTAGTTCGGTTTAACTCAGTCACGGTAATAGAATCTGGATACACGTCCACCTCAACGTATCAAGCATCGAGACATTCTGCCTCAGGTACTGTGCTAAGAAGCAGGGGGCGGATGGGAAAAATCCCTTCACATGTGTTGGACAATGCTGCATGCATGAGGCCAGCCACACTCATCTCGCACTCATGTGTTCACATGTACAGTTCTCTCTCCAGGATAGCGCTCTTCAGGTTCGCATCTCGTCTCTACCGCCTACGTCTGGTGACCTTGAACACAAATTTGCATAATGCACAGACACCCATCGACCTAGGTGTAGCCGGCAACAGGGATTCAAATCTGGACTTATGAAGTAAGAGAGTTGATCTTTTACCATCGAACCTTGATCCCTCATTTCTTCCTGGCGTTCCCCTCTCGAATATCAATTCTGTTTCCGAGGATATCCAAACTCGAGTTCGGGGTGCCATCATAATGCGTTTGCCTCAGTACCTCTGTCGCTGGCTTGTCAGCCTCGCCCTTCTTCTTCCGTGGTTATCTTTCGTCGCTGCCAATCCACCGGCACATGCTCTCGAAAAGGTCACGCTGTTTTTCGCATACCGCAATGCTGTCATTGCCTTTGGCGAAAAGCAAAAATACTTGTTTCCAAGGCTTGCAGCCAAAGTTCAGTCTTCCTCCGGAGCCGATTTCAAAGAATTTCTCAACCACGTCACGGATAAGACCTACACGGAGTCGGACCTCAAAAGCGCCGGTGTGGACCTAAGTGACCCCGACCCGGAGAAGGCGACCAAGATGCTTCTAGCAACAGGAGGAACCAAACAAGTCAACGCCGAACTCATCCAAGGCAAGCCAACTTTGAAATATTGGGACCAAATCGCGAGTGTTGAAAAAGTCATGGAATTGTGTACGTATGAGTCTTCTTGGCTTGCATGGTGCAACTAGTCATGAAGCATCTAGTAGTATGTGTTAGGGTCATGCTCATGCGTCCGTTCTCGCGGCATCATTGGAACCCTTTGTATACAATGGTCTGGACAATCATGTATTCGAACGTTTTCTAACCTGATTTCTAGCGTACAAAAAGATGCAAGAAAACAGCAAGCCTACCGATGCACTCGATAAGAACAAGAGCAGAATTCTTACGTTGTTACGCGAAGTGGATGTTGTCCGCAAGTCCGACACACTGTCAAGCCAACCTGGCGCGAAGGTTCCAAAGGGCTTGATCGATGAAATAGGCACTAGGTTCCCTGGAGCCAAACTGGCACTGAACTCATCCCCTTACAAATGGGATAGTAGCCGCACGATATGGTCCGTGGACTGGCAAAAAACGCTTGCTGATTCAGGAACTGCTTTCAAAGATACTGCGGCAGTGCAGAAGGCAGTGAGGAGTTACGGAAGGGTTCCAATGGCAGTCAAGTACGACCCAGCTTTCACTCATTACAAGGTACACATGGCATGGCGTCATCACTACCTCAAGCTCAAGTTCGACTTCAAGTGTGTGGCTTGAGAGCCTCCGCCGCACTTTGTGATGCCGCCCCTCCGCCTTGTACTTAGAGAATGTACACTAGAACAGTCATGATTCACTCAGCAATGTTATGCTATGTTGATATTAGATCAATTTACCTTTGAACAGTGCTGTTCTCGGGGCCTTCGTACGGCTGAATCCAAATATACCTCTTGTTTTTCCACAACTGTCGCCGTGTCTCTGCTGATTCATACCTCATGTGATCTCCTCAGCCTTCATGAGCAGCATATGCTGATCGAAGAAAAAGATTGCTTCACATGACAAAATGCCAAATTTGCCAGTCTGGAAGCCAGAGCTTAGATATTTACCTTCCGAATCTGGCTAGTGCGGATCTGAATAGCACCACGGCCCCGTTCTCGTATATGCACGTGCACGCACTATAGTCCGGGCGTACCTGCGCTTGATCCCATAGACCCTGCCGAGGGGGTTTTCGATGCCCAGACTTCGCCAAGTGTACTTTCGTGAAGCTTACGGTCCAGCCTTATAACCGAGATGACAATGAGCAATGTATTAACTACACCATACCTCTTAGAGACTTCTAGATTGCACTCATGAGCTCTCTGCTTATCCGCTCTTCTACTCAGTATCTCAGTGGCGCCAAATAGCGAATGTCCAAAGACCCACGTGTTCAGACTCAGTGCAAACAGTTTGGTTCTGGGATGACGTAGGATGATGAATTTTCGATGCCTTTGTTCATAAAGTGGACACCTGATATCGGAGACGGCATGGGCTTCGTGCAGGAAGAGACTTGCAAGGGTCGCATGGCACAAGGAGGGACGAGGACACTGCTAGCTAGTACGGGAAATTCCCGGGACCACATGATGGTGCCCTCTCAATACTCGGAAGACCTTTCGCAGGCACCAGCGGAAGTAAAAGCCAGTTCTAGGCTAGGACACGATCCTGCTCAACAAGCATCATGGTACGCCTGGGAAAGGGAATAATTTGGTGCCGTTCCTGGCATTACGATATCAGCTTTTAGTCTCTGAGTTGAATATAAATTACCGCATGCTTCCCGTTGATATGGTCACCGGCCAGCTTGTATTCCAGTCTGTAAACATGGTTTCATCCACCCTCATCTTGAGTGTCAGTACACTGCTGCTCGCCAAGAGTGCTGCTTCAGCCGTGATTCAGAAGCGTGACTGTGGCTTCGTGTGGCCCGCATCAGCTGGCGACACTTGCAAGTCTCTAGCCAGTGATTGGGTATGTCTCAACGATTATATGTCCGTCTGTATAGTTTCATCGCTAATTGAAGACCTGACAGGATATCACAGAGACTGAATTCATCCGATGGAACAATGGTGTGAAGTGCGACGCACTCGTGACCGGCCAGAACTATTGTCTTCTTTGGGATGGCCCTGAACCAACTGCAAGTGCTACAACATCCAAATCTTCGGTGGTCTCTTCTTCCACGGTGCCTGCTTCATCTGCCAGTAAATCTGCAACGCCGACCACTACGACCGCTCCTAGCGGCCCTTCTCCCACCCAGAATGGAATTGCCAGTGACTGTGAGCAACGGCCGAGTAACCATATTGTTCTTACTACTTCTAACACCATTTCTAGGCAAGTCATTCTACAAGGTCTCTTCTGGCGATTCTTGCGGTTCCATCGTATCCAAGTACGGCACATTCAGTTTGACAGACTTCTACAAGTGGAACCCCGCCGTTGGAAACCAGTGCGCCGGGCTCTGGCTAGACTACTACGTGTGTGTCGGTGTAACAGGCACACCTACCACCAAGCCAACCACCACCGCAGCCCCAGTCCCAACCTCCAACGCCCCCGGCCCTATTCAAGAAGGTATTGCGTCCGACTGCCAGCGCTACCACGAGATTGTCTCTGGTGACCAATGCGCCGCCATTGTGTCCAAATACAAGACCTTCACGCTCCAGGACTTCTACAAATGGTAAGTTCCTTCATTACATCTCACGTGCGCTTTGTCGATCTAACCCCATCAACAGGAACCCTGCAGTTGGCAGCAACTGTCAGTCACTTTGGTTGAGCTACTACGTGTGCATCGGAGTGAAGGGTACGCCCACACAGCCCGTTACTACGACTGCCCCTCAGCCAACCAGCAACGTCCCTTCGCCAACCCAGCCTAATGTCAACAAGAGCTGCAAGAAGTGGTACAAGGCCGTCTCTGGTGACTACTGCGCTAAGATCGCTACGCAGTTCAACATCTCGCTTACGAAGTTCTACGGGTTGAACCCAGATGTGGGCAGCAACTGTGGTAGCCTGTGGCTGGATTACTATGTTTGCGTTGCTAACTAGGCGTTGAATTGATCGATTCGAGGTCGTGCTTGTCGACATCAAACCTCATTGGTCTAAACCCGTTGATTATGTACCATATGTACTAGATGTTACTCTTTCTTGATATGAACCGCAATGGCTAGACTGTGCCGATCAGACTTCGAGAAGATGATATGAAGGTTTTGATGCTTAAACTCATTTTATCGTGACACCAACCACGTAGACAGGAAAGTTCTCAATCCCGAAACCTGTCCAGTATTTCTTTAGGCAGTGCCCCAATTCACTTCCCTGCCTCATATATCTTCGCGTCTTCTCTACTCATCGCTGTCAAAACTGCCAACTAATTTCAGTCTTCTTGTAGATCAAGATGAAACTCTTGGAATGAAACACACTTTCGAACTTGATCAAAGTCAGCATTGTGATGCGATCGATCACGATACCCACGTCGATGGATCGGGTATCGGGGCTCATCACGGCCACAGCCTGAAAAACGGGTTCGTACTCGTGATTTGGAGCACGTTTGGCATGCTCATCTATGGAATGAAAACCAGTATGAGACGCGATCTGGAGTGGGAATTCCTGTGCAGTTGGCTTTTCAAACGCCGGAGGCGATTCGGGTACGGAAACTGTGGTTCTCACTTCGTGCATAAAGCAGTAGCTACTAACAAGAGTGTATCCCTCCGCCGAGAAAGCACTTTCTGCACTCGCGTGAATATCCATGGAGGTACCATGTCAGACAAAGCCGATGGGGATATGGTACTCAAGACAGTAAAAGGCACGATGCTAGGTAAAGGGCGCCCCGCAATTGTGGCCGACGTACTTGAGAATTACTCCCTAGTCGTAGAGCTTGGCCGTCGAGATCGCGAATACTTCTACGGACTGTCACTGCGAGGACTACTGGAGCATCGTGGCGTCATCTTAGACTTGGACGCAGATATCAATCACCACACCCTTTTCGAGCATCGTGGATTGTTCCGTTCCAATGGGGAGCCATTGAGGGTGGCTGCGTACCATCGCAACAGCCCACGACGACTATCAGGGCTGACCGTAGTGCAACCACATCGTGTCCACGCCAAAGCGTTTAATAGCCTTTGCTTACCTAGGGCCTATATTGTCAAGCAATAGAGTCTTTATAGATACGAGATGCACCGCGATAGTGGAAGTAGAGGTATATTGCCTTGTAAGACTAGAGACGAACCGCTGTCGAGCCACAACAGCGGTAAGGTAGGCTAATATACTGCGATTGCTTGGCATACCGGCCCAAACGGGCCCAGAGTAACCTGGTGCCTGACATATATAGCGATTGTACTACAAAATTAAAGGACATATAATAATTCAGCGAGCTAATAGGAGCTTAGGCAGGTTAAGGGTGAGAAGAGTAACTTCTGTGTAGAAGGGCAGACTATAGTGCCTTCGCCGTGGTTCGATTTCATCCTCTCTTCGCGGGATCCAGCGAAGCTTTACGTCACCGGATGCCACTAGAGCTACCACCTCTAGGCTTCGTGGTTACATGGCATGCTAATACACCGCACTTTGTTGGTTTCAAGATTTGTGCTAGAGGTCTGGTCTCCGACACTCCATAATGATATAACGAGATAGCGCAGGTGTGCGAAACAGCTAGACAGTTCAACGAAGCAAATGCGCTGAATATGAACTCTTTCTTTGCAACGATGCATCGTGAACTGCGTCCTCGACTAACTATGGTGTCACGCTCTCCCGCCATAATCTCATCGTGACATCTGACACCCAAAATATAGAACTCAACACAACTCATTGGTAGCATTGAACTACCCTTGCTAGCTTTCAATTGACAAAAGTCGGTCGTGATTCATCTTGTGTGACATAGCTAAAATCACTGCGGCTCACCCTTTGGTCATGACACCCCCACCATTAGTACCGACGACTTGTCCCGTGATCGACCCGGCCTCAGGCATACACAGTAAGCCAACAACTTCAGTGACCTCATCCAGATATACCGGTCTTCCACCCATATCTTTCGCCGCCGCAATCGTCTCCCCCGAGTCGATACCCTAACACACATATCGGCGACATACTAAATTTAACAAAGATCCTGTGCTCGTTACATCGCTAAGCGGCTAGTATTAGTATTAGAATTGTTCTTTAATTAAAGTTATTAAGAGGGATATATAAGCTAACTAAGCTACGATAAGTAGTCTTATCCTATCTATGCAGAAGATGCGTTCCGTCGCCAGAAACCAGGCGCCCTGTTAAAATCTTCCTCCCAACGCATAAGCGGCGGCCTTACATACAATTCCGGCCAGAAATCATCCTCCTGCAACTGATCCTGAACATCAACGTAGTCACTAGTGTCGACGTACATCCAACCGACATCTTCATGGTCATTATTTGTTTCTCCGCCCTCACAGTCAAACTTCTCGTCTTCTTCGTCTTCCTCGGCTTCGTCTTCTTCGCTATCGGACGCCCAGTTTCTCTTGACGAGTTTAAACACGGGCTTGCCCATCATCTCGATTGATTCGAGGCAGATGTCGTCAACAAGAAGACAGAAATTGTGGCGAGATCCAGCATGGTGCAGATAATCCGTGCTGCTGGCTGCGCTAGTTATTTCATCCTTCGTCGCAGGCTCGCGGTCGGCACGCCAGTTACGTTGTAGCTCATCTACGGCCCAGCTATTAAAATGCTCGCGGATCTTCTTGGGACCTGCTCCTTCGAATTTAGACTGATCATCTATCACGACCAACTCATGTCTTGCGAGAAGGCCTGGTTGAGCCTGATATACTGCTAGTGATGACTCGATATCTCGGCGGAGCACAGAGAGTATACGATGCCAAGCCGCATCGTCGTTGTACGAGGCACGGTACACGGCCAGACCCCAAGGCGCGTCTGGTTTGAGGATATTAAATAAGTCGTTCAACACCCTCAGGGGGTCAGCCGTTTCTGTTAGGACCTCTGCGCTATAAGCCTGGAACAATTCCTTGCTAACGGGATGCGCCCTAGCAGCCGCCTCGTGAGCAGCATTGACCTTGTCGGGATCGACCTCTGACTTTGTGATAACGGCCATAGCCTTGTCAAGATGATCCATGTGAGCCTGAACGCGGGCCCTTTCCGCGTCTGTAAGTGGCTTCGCCATGGCAGGGGCTGTCCGGGTGGACAGGGCACGGTGGTGGTGAAGTGGGAGGCTGAAGAACGAGCGACTGGAGGATTGGAAAAGACTCTTGCTCACTGTGATTGCGAGGGTTGGATGTATAGTACCCCTCAACCAGATAAGCATGCGGACTTGGATGAGATAAGGAGAAAGATAGGCCGAAGGGTGGGGGAAAGGGGGGTCGGGTTATTTTACAGCAGCAGTGCTAGTCAACAACGTGTTCCCCTACCTAGTAAGCTAGCCACACTAGTAAGCTACCCGCCCCACTCAACCTCACCCGACGTGACGTATAATAAATTTACAATAACATAATAAAATGAGATAAACTTTAAAGATTTGTTATTAAGCTTAATATAAAGTCTAAGTATATTCTTAAACCTAATACTTTATATACATTAGTAGCGTAGTTTGTAAGGGGCTACGCTCAGGGAGCTATCGCACAGGTATACTGGAGTTGTATTCGATAGAGAAGAGAACTACAGGTAGCTAGGGTTCTGAAGGTCGTTCAGGGGGCGGCGGCTCGGGATAACCTTCCGCCGGGCTCGCTTGCACAGAATCCGGGTGCTCAGGGGGGGGGCACCCGGAATCTGTGGACAGTGCGCCTCGCGCACGTGACCGAGATATCATCGAGGACTCACCAACTGGGCTCCAGCCCATCACATAGTTCAACTATGTTACTATACAATACATAATTAAATCATCTACCTATCTCTAACCCTAGGACGCATTTAATATATTTAAAAGCCTAATGGATCTTGCCACTTCAAATCGTTCACCCTATTAGCGTAGTATTCGCATGTATACTGCAACTAGGAAAGGTGAGCGGGCGTGGAAGTGCTAAGTCCGGCTGCTACCAGGTCGAACTTAACACGATTGTCCACCATAACAATAAACAATTAGGCTTTCTTTAGGACAGCCGCCTTGTACGTGGGCATAAACTTATCAAAGATAGCCTTAATGCCCTTGAGCTCGGGAATGTGATTTTCTATGTTAGTGATCTCTTGCGTGATGGCATTGAGTGTCTTGCGCTCTACAATCTTAGCGGTAGCATCGTTTAGGTAGTCAAAGACTGAGAAGACATGCTTGAGCACCGTTTCAATCTTCATGGCGCTGCCCTTGTCGCCCGCTAGGGCCTCGGCGATGTTTGTCTTAAGCTTGCCTTCGGCCATAGGGTTGTTAAGGCTAAAGAGCTGGCCCTTTACCCAGTTGACGTGCGACTTGACTAGGAGCAGATTCTCCATATTGCCCCAGTCACCGAGAACCGTCATGAGGCGGCCGGATGGCGTGTTGGAAGGCGGCACATACTTGCCAGGCACTCCCTTTAGGCGGGAATCCGTCTCGTAAAAGGTGTTGAGGGCAATGCCAGTGGCGTACTTCTTATTCCAGCTGGCCAGGAGAAGCGCCTCGTTCAACATTGGGGCTTGTAGCTTGATCTGGCCGATGATGCTGGGCAAGAGTCCTATGACGCAGGTCTCGAGGAAGGTCTTGGGAAACTGCACCTCGAAGAAATGCTCTGTTTGGAACGCTTTTTTAGGGAGATCCGCTACCTTGAGAAAGGTGAGGGCGGGGGAGGTGCAGATGGCGGATACTGCATCGTATCCTCCATTGACCAGCATGTTTGCCAGCCTAGTTGTAGCGCGAAAGAGATAGTCTCGCTTGTTGCCTGTGGGGTAGGGTCGAGAGTATCAGACAAGAGTGCCGGCAGCCGCCATTTTGATGGCGAACTCGCGTGGTTCGCCGGGCCTGGTCTTATCCAGCTCGCCAAAGTACTCGGATTCGTTGTCATCAATGTCATCGTCACCGCTGTCACCCACGGACAATGCCCTCCGGGTCACACTGCTGACCGCATCGCCAGCGCTGTCATCGCACAGGGACTCGCCGTCAGCGCAGATGTCAGTGTCGCAAACGCTTTGCTCCGGGGCGTCGGCGGAGGGCGTGCAGCAGAGCGACTTGTGCCGGCGCCAGTTGCAGGAGCCGCTGTCATCCGTATCTCCTCGCATGTTGATCCACAGCGTCACCTCCAACGTTGCGCACATGTTCTGGGCGCAGTCTCCCTTGCCGTCCCAGTGGCATTTGCTGAGCGGGACGGGATACTTCTTCTTGCAGCAGTACTCGTAGCCGTTGCAAAGGATGGTCGCGTAACCCCAGCGGTCCCACGCGTACGCCACCTCTGCCTCGTCGCTTTTACAGTCGCTGCCGCAGTTTTCCGTCCAGCGACAGTGCTCAGTGAGACTCTCAAACTGCGTGAACTTGCAGCAAAAGGCCTTTCCACCGCGGTTGCACCGGCTCACTCCCGAGGACTCGCTCTTCGGACTGGCGAAGGCTCATCGATTAATCTACGTTGGACGAAGAGGTGCTGAGAGACCTCCTCCGCTGGCAACGCAGCATTCTCCCAGGCTTCACGAGCAAGTTCGACATTTCGTACCAGCCTTGCTTTCTCCGTCTCAAATATTGTTTTTGCTTTTTCCAGATTCTGAGCTTCCTGACGCATGCGAAAAGCGACTTGATTCTCTTCAGGGGTCGGCTTTCGGTCCCGCTTAAGCTTCAACATACCTCGCATACGTTCAAGAAGATAATTTTCCATGAGCTTGTTATTTCTGAGCGCCCTATCCAACTCAAGGGTTGATGTGTCCTTCGCACGTCGATATGCTCGGCCAGCTGAAATTTGGTTATCAATCTTCTGTGCTAGCACATACGACAACTTCATCAGCATTACGGGCGGCCCCGAACCGGCCTTTCCCAACAGGAACATCTCGGAAGCTCCAATAGCATAGAGCTGCTCGAAATCTGCCCGGATTCCGTTATGTCCCTCTTCTAAATTCTGTACAGGACGACCGAAACCTTTGCCACCACCTTCAATCGTGTCTTTTTGATGCCTGGCAGTTTTCAAGTCTTCGTCGATTTCCCCCGCTTCATCCGGAAGCAACAACTTCTTGTTGATTAAAGGACTTCTTCCCTGACCGTAACGTACATTGTGTGACAGCTCCCCTCCAATACCATCGTCGAGTTTGGCGCGTTTGTTTTGTCTTACTTCCATTGCACCTGTACCTTCGATGGTTTCCGGATTATCATCGATCGCTAGCTCTCACTTTCTGGCTTTCTCGATCGTGTTCGCTCCATGCTGAGATCCTCGCTGAAATTGGTCATCGGTGTTGAGCATGTTAAAGTAGTTGTATCTGAGGCGAAGGAAATACTGGCGTTGGGTAGATGTATAGTTCTAAACGAACAAAGCTTCCCTTTGTACGTCTGCGTGTTGTTCTACATCACATCTCCTAGTGTAAAAGTCTCGAATCATTGATGACATATTCGCAGGTAAATTTGTCTGGTCAGCAAGCTGCCAACGGTGGCGATTCAATGACGGTATGTGAGCGACAGGGCCATGTTGATCCATGCCACGGCTATGCTGGTAACTCTCTGCCCGAGGCGGGCGATCAGTTGTCCAGCGAACGCTGTGAAGTAGTATACTCTATAACGATCAGCTATATGGTCATAAAGCTTTCTATTGCGATGTTCATGAACTGTGCTTTGAACCACAAGCGTAAATTCGTTCTCCAAATTCATCATCAGAACATCTCCATGATCTACACCGAATATACCACCAATACACCAGAGTTCCCAATCACAGTAGACTGCTTTCGATTTTGACTACGTCGTAGACCTACGCAAACATCTTCATCAAAACATGACGCAAAGTCATATCAATAGTTTCAACCCACAGGGGCCTTCAGGTGTAAGGAGACTACCTCCTCAACGCCGACGCGCAAACTTTTCAAGCCTCATCAGGAGTGACGCTGAGCTGAACAGGCCGATAATCCTAGCACTTCCGCCTGGTTGGGAAGTGTAATTATTGATCAGTTTCCCGGCGAACGGACCGAGGCTGTTCATCTTATTAAGGCTTCGAATATCAGACACGAGGAGGAATTAACAAAGTATGAGATCTCTGGGTTTGAACCAGGCGATCTAGTGCTAGCCAGGGTCCATGAATCGACCACTGATTCGAAGGGCAGGATCGGAGATGACAGCGTTACTCTCACCATCTTCGGTCAAGCGGTATCCAAGGATCGCTTCGATATTCTCCTGGAGCAACACCCAAAGTGTGGGGTATTCGCTCCAATCGCGTGACGTGGTTCGAAGGGATTACAGGGTCTTAACGAGTTCGAGCGAATTTCTCGCATTGGCTTTCGAAAGAAAGGAGAGCCCTTTGACGGTGACAGGCTTACTAGCGATGACCCTGAGTTCCTATCATGCCATGATCCTCTTGAGCTTGAGCAGGGCGTCCTGGACCCTTGGTCGTTCATGGATCTCTCCTACAAAACGTCATTGTATTGGTCCTCAAACATATGATTCAAAGGGTACCTAAAAGGCTCAAGCACATGCAAAGTGTTTGAACTGTGCGAGAGTAATCGTCGGGTCAACTCAGAGCTCAGCAATGGAGCTATGCTAACAGCTTCTCCTACGGACAACGATGTTAACTCAAGGACTACGCTACCTCCTGATTCTGAATCTTCGGAGAAAATTGTCCGTCCTCCTTCAGTCTTCCAAGAAATGTGGGAACAGGGAGATTACGAAGAACCAACGTTTAACAAGTCCGCTTCAAACGGCGTAGACGATCCAGATCGACCAAAAGGTACAGCAGAAGAACAGCATAAAGCCTACAGCATCCGCAACACAGATTTGTTATCAGCCATTCGAGCTCAAAAGGAAACCGAAGATAAGTTTTTCCGATATGTGGACGGTTTTACCCTTCGCACAGCCCAGACGGAGATACATGCTAGAAAGACACAGCTAGATTACCAGGACATCATCTCATCCGGTACAACAGGGGAGCATGCCGTCGAGCTGTTCAAAAAAGCGGCCGAACAAGCTGCACTCGATTGTGACACGGACGGAGGAAGAGCGACATGTTGACCGCGTTAGCTGAGGAAATGCTGGCGAATCTAGAACTGAGGCCTCGTGTGCCGGCTGGCACGGAAATCAACAAACAGCGAATGACTATCATCAACAACGCCACGAAGTCGCTTCAGGATTGTATATTCAGCATTGCCCAGCAAGATTAACGACGTTTGCGCGAAACTTTACCCTAGTCAACATCCACTCGTAGACGAGGGGCCAGTAACGATTACCGCATTGATAACAGCAGAGCACATACCAAGCCCTTCATTATGCATAGAGTATATCAAGGATATAAGGTGAAGCCGTAGACAGACGTTAAGTCCCCTGCCTGACTTACTTGTATGACTAGGCATGACCTCGACCAAACACATTGCATCCAATTACCACGATTTACAAGGTGTATCGATGAAGCACCCACAGCGCATATAATTTTGATGTCATACAATTGGAAGTTAACTAGCGGTAAGCAATGAAAACTCTCTCATTCTCAGCTTTTCGACCGACTAGCATCGCAAGATGGTCGTATTAACAGCCGTCTACTTCATTGTAGTGGGATCGTCGAACATTGACTGTAACCTATGTGTGCGGCTCGGTGATACCTCTCAGCATGATGCAGAAGACCTTTGAACCTCAGACATAGAAGTGGTAATGCTCTGGAGATGTTGATAACGGTCCTTCAAATAGAACATGTTAAAACATTAGGTATTATCGCAACAAAACATCTTCAACTCCAAGGAGCCTCGCTTCTGTCCTCCCGCGAAACCCTTATACACGCATCAAGTTCGATCCCTCAAAAGTGTCATACCACTCTTTCATCTCTCACCGTCTCGTCAGCAACTATTGCTTCGTCTTGATATTCTCGTTCCAGATATTTGGGATCGAAAGAGTAGGGCGCGTCGAGCATCGATTTGTAGTATTCGAATGCGGGGAGCGAAGACGCGAGGATGAAGAAGCCGGCGTTCATGAGTCTAGCGCCCTTGAGGCCTGTGCCAAACATGGGTGGGAAAGAATGGGAAGAGTCCCAAACTTCTGGGTTGGACGCGACGTGGTAGTTCAGCAGCAGTTTGGTATCGTTGGAGGGCTTAGTGGCGAGGAGTTGGGCGCCTGGGTCGTCGAAAAACTCCATGAAGCGATTTGCGCAACATCGAGTCAACATCGAGCATGATTATGCGGTCGTATTGAGTTATTTCCCAGGCGTGCATCTTGGTCATTACATCGTCCCAGCGGTGCAGCTTGGCGTGAATTCAGCTGTCGTTGGCGATATGCAGGGACTCGACGCTGTGAATGATTGCGCCATCCTTTTTCAACCGGCCCTGACGCGCCTGAGAGACTGTGGGAGTGATCGTGACGACGACATCGTGCTTCGTTCACGTCTCCAGCTTGTAAATGAGCTGCCAGAGGAGGATATGAACGGCTTGGAAGTATTTGTCATTCTCCAAATCATCACCTGCATCAACGGTTCCCGAGAGAAAGGTAACGTATGCTAGCTTCTCCGTCTTGTCGAAAATTTGAGATAATCATCGGTATGGGCCGTAGTCGCCACAGTACTCGAAATGGTGGCCATCAGGGTGAGCTTGCACCTAGCGCGCTGTGCTGACCTGAAGCGGGGTATGCCGTATATCAGCTCCACACGATGAGACGTTGGGACAACCAGAACGAGATAGGTGAGTAAGATCGATATCTTCGAGTTATACTGGCGAGATTGGTTAGCGATTGGTAAGACATTGGGCTGAATTGACGCTTATAAGATGTTCAAATGTCGCACTATACGTACGCCCCTCTCGCAGACTCGCAAATACGGTTCCTTCGTGTACGACGACATCCCGCTACTCTACAGCTACTCTGTAACTTAGAGCCGGCTATTGTCCCCTTCGGCGAAGGATATACAGCGCTTTCATATACATGGGGCGACCTTGCGCCGACACATAGCGTTCTCATCGAAGGCAGGATTCACAGCGTTCCCCAAAACCTCTTCGACTTCTTCCAGGCCTTTGTCGCCCATCCTTGGGGCTCATCTTCTATTCAGAATATGTGGGTCGACCAATTATGCATCAATCAATTCGATCTTGCCGAGCGGAGCAAGCAAGTTGGCATGATGAACAAGATTTTTCGATCAGCGAGCAAAGTGCTCGTTTGGCTTGGGTGTGACAGTGCTATGGTCGAAGCTGCGCGACGACTGCGATATGACGTGGGCGATTCCAATGATGCTATCGCGACATTGCTGCGCCATCCATACTTCTCAAGGGTTTGGGTTGTCCAAGAAATTGCGCTCGCACGTGCGAGAGTCGTTGTATGTGGTGATGTGGAGCTGGCATGGAGTGACCTATTGAATGCCGTCGCGAGACACTTCGATACCTTGAACCGCATACCAGCAGTAATCAATGAGACCGAACACTACAGAACACTAGAGATGTGTCTGTACAAATACTGTTGGAACGACTGTCACGACCCTCGGGATAAGCTGTATGGTCTCCTCGGCTTGACTGCTGAAAGGTGGCGCATCAACGTCAACTACGACAAGCCGCTACTGGAGGTATATCTGGACGCTGTCTGCGCGGTCTGCGAAGAGCTGTTCGACATCTGGGACCCAAACTGCTTTTACGATGGATACATTGAGTATCCCGTCAATCTGGAAAGTTATCGCACAACGCTCCTTGCTTTGGGCGTAGCGATGGGTCTGCCCAAGAGACAGCTCATGGGCCTGCGCCCTTTCATCGAAGCGATCCAAACGATATACCACAGCACTCTCCTGCGGAATGTTCGCTTTATTTTCACTGGGCTTCTCTATTCAAAAGAACGCGAGCAAGACTGTGCGTACGAAGCAACAGATCCGAAAGTCAGAATCACAGTCCGATGGGATTCGGTTGCCGCAACACGTCGCAACCCTTTTCTGCGCGACGTCATTCCTCGGATGGGGTTACAGGAAGCATCAGGGTCGCTGCAGGGCAGCGAAGGTAGTGGAAGCAATGAAGACGGGCCTGCCTGGGATCGATGGTGGTTTGAACACAACGGCAGAATACGCTACTTTCCCTGCCTACATACCGATGAATTCGCGCCGTCCACATCGGCATACTTGTGGGACGTCCCTTCCTGGGCTATCGCGTAGCCGGTGAAGTTCCGTTCCTCAGTTGGAACCATTGTGTTGATCGCATGTGTAACGATGGAAAAATACCTTTTTGTGTTCGACAGACTAAGATAAAATCTCTGCTTCTCTCTTAATTGCTCACTTGATACTCATTGAAGCATCTCGGTACAAGCCCAAATCATAGCTGTGATGAGGTGCAGCATGCAGACTCGATCGTCATACACAGAGCGTTTTCCAGCCCGAACACCCGTTTTATCAGCTTTGTAATTTCGAGCGGAGGTTTGCAGCCATTTGTGGAATCTCAGAAAGTGCGTGGGGTGGCTGTGTCGATGCCGTATGTAAGGCGCCTGCCGCCCCTGCACGCTAAGATTTCGCGTAGCGTCCCGCTACCCCCTCGAACCTGATTCCAGCACTCAAGCACTCAGTCTTCCCATCTCAGCAACGACATTTCTGATTGACGCACCGAACGGACTTTTCGCCGTGAAGTTTGAAATTACGCTGGTTCGAACGATGCAATTCGCGATGTGCAACAGTTCAGGTTCATGTTCTGCCTGTATCCCGGCTTGGCTACGCCTCTTCCATCTCCACAGTTACGAGGCTGAGTCCCGAGTGTATCGCATTGGTTGATCAGGCCTTTATATACAATTTACGACGCTTAGATACAGTCCCGTCACTTTTCCTCTTGTCTCCTCCATCACCAGCACTGAAGCCTAATATTTTTTTTAAGCAGGGATGGAATCACATGGCAGTCACGCATATCAAACACAGCCATTGGACGCCGGTCGAAGAGAAATTCGGCTGCTAAATCTTCAACCGCGGACCACCGACCACATAATAGCCACGCTCAGCGTAGCGGATCTCGCCAGTGCTGCTGGAACCTACGCATGCGTTTCCTATGTATGGGGAAATCCCAACGAAACGGTACCGATCGAAGTCGACGGCCACGAATTGCAAGTCACGACTAACCTGTTTGACTTTCTCCATCATATCAGAGATCCAAACGATATCCTCGTTCTCTGGGCGGATGCCATCTGCATAAATCAACATGATCTGGAAGAGAAATCACATCAAGTAGAAATGATGGGGGATATCTACTCTGGATGTTCACTCGTGCACGCCTGGTTGGGTGCATCCTCGCCGCCTTCATCGCTCGAGATAAACCCATTCACAATTTTCGACCATTTTGCGGATGGGAAGCATTGGCACGATCTTCCGGGCATTCTCGAGGAGGGAGATGACGAAGGAGAACCAAGTGATGCATTCATTGATCAAATGGCTGCATTACGTCTGGTAATAGACAGTCCATGGTGGACAAGATCATGGACAGTTCAAGAAATCATTCTACCCAGATCCACTATCTTGTGGTATGGATCATATAGCACGACCTGGAACCGTTTCTCACTAACCATCGAGAATAAGGATGCTTCATCTGTTACTTGCTGCACACAAGGAAGAGAGATGATGGAGAATTGGCCGAAAGTAAATCAGTTCAATGAATTCATGTCCACCATCGAAATGATTGATAAGCTTCGACGAAGTCGACATCAAAGCACCGCAGCTTCCATCGAGGCCTTGGCCAGCCATGAGGAACGTGTGTCCTTTCGGAGTATCTTACTTCACTTTTCCAATCGACAATGTAAGGACCCCCAGGACAAAGTCTTCTCAATCTTGGGTCTGGCACCTGGGCATATGTTTGATGCATACACGCCTAACTATAAGCAAACGCTCGCGGACTGCTTTACCGATATATACCGGAGATTGTTAGAGTACGATATAGACGTCTCGCAAGTTTTGTTGGGACGCGGATTTGGACCATATAACAGAGGAATGCCGTCATGGGCCCGTGACCTGTCTAAAGAACATGATGAGCTCATGTGGGAGCAGACGAGGGCGCGCATCTCCAACTTATACGACTGTTCTGCAGGGTCTCCGTGTACAGTCGCTGTGAAGGATAATAAAGAGCTTCACGTCAAAGCTAGAAAGGCCGATACTATCCGATTCGTGGGCAAGACACACAAACTTCAAGGTTTTGACCTGTCGTCATCAATCACGGTTATATACGAGTGGTTCAAGTTGGCGTCGGAAGTGCTGACCTGCACAAATGGAGTGCTTCTCTGCAAAGATTTCATACGTACCATTTGTGCAACAATTACACAAGATGTGGCAGATCAGGGGCAATGGAGACGTTGCGAAGATGCTGACCTACCCAGCCTTGAAACTTGGCTGAGTTTTATAACAGGAGAAAGTTACTCGTTTCCCTACTCTTTCACATCACCAATGTTGTTGGCTACGAAAAGTCGTTGTTTGTACATCACAGAGGCAGGAAACCTTGGATTGTGCTACCCCGGGACTCGACCTGGAGACGAAGTTTGGGCGTTACCAGGCATGAACGTACCCTTCGTACTGCGAAAAGCAAGTGGAAAGCACCAGCACGACGATACCTATCACCTGATGGGAGACTGCTTTCTGCTCGACCAAATGGATGGAGAGATTATGCGGAATGGTGAGGAGACAAAGTCAATAGTTCTGGTTTAAGCCCGCGAATTTAACTCCGTTCAAATGACACTCAATTACTCGTTGCAGAGACATGATGCATTGTACATGACTTGAGCTGTGGAGTCCGCTATGACATGTTGAAGACCTGGCTACCGTGAACATGGTTCGAATTTACTTACTGACTGATCTTGGAATTGTAGTTGTTGAACGTCGTGTTTCGGTGGCCCTGTGATAGCGATTAATCATGAATCTAATGCATACAGTATAAAATATGACTACTAACTTTCGATAGTAACGTTTCGACAACAGCTTGATGGAGTTCCTTGTCCTGTAGTGCGGTAATGTCTTGTAGAGCAAGAAGACAGTCACTAGAGCCGATTGTAGACGCTTCCGTTCTGCACAGCCTGCGCTGTTCTTCGAGTACCGCAGGGAACAGTTGCACGAGGTCGTTGACAAGGTCCGTGACATCTTCGATCAACCTCTTAAAGTGTTTCTCTTCATACAGTGCCCATTGCACCTTTTGTCGCAGAGGCGTGCTGTTCTGTCGCTTGACGGACATGGTGCGCATCTTCTCGTGTAACGACTGGCCCAAGGGTTCCATATCTGTGGCCACGTCGAGAATTGCAAGGTTCCAATCAGCTTCCCCTGTGCGGCTTCTGTATTTCTTCGAAATGCCCTCCGCGTTTGCGAAAAGATTCATAATCTGTGACAGCACTCTTTCGGCTGCGGCCACGTCTTCTGGCGGTCCTGTCGCTAGCTTGATAGCGTGAGCGTTGCCAAAGTCGCCATCCAGTCCGACAGACTCGCCCCATCGCGAAAGGCGTAATCGCGCATTATCTAGCTTTAGCAGGCTGGTTTGGAAGTTGGTACCGAAAGCGCGACCAAGTCGGACGTATTCGAAACAGTCTACGGCATTGTTAAACAGACCAGCAAGGGCGGCGATCCCAACAGCAAGACCGGCTCCCTCCATAGTGGACGATTGCAACGGTAACAGCAAAGCGGAAATTGGAAGATGGTAGGATAGTAGTACTGTCAGAAAGCGACGAGGCTCGGGTTTTCGTTGCCTATGTTTACGCGAGGCTGAAACGCTGTCCGCGGTCTGTTGCTGCATGATCCTTCAGCCGCTTGGGGTCTGCCTCGCAAAGCACCTGTCCGACTGCCTAAGCTCTGTCACCGGCACAATGTGGTCCTAAGGCTGACATACACCCATCCTATCTGGTTGTACCGTCCTTCTCTTTCTCCAATGTGTCGTTTTTGCTCGTCCTGACTGCTTAGCCGGAATGGATGCACGTACGACTGCACAGCCTGTCTGCTTCAACAACGAAGGTGGGAGGATCGCCATCCAAGCGGCGGAGTACCATGTTCATGGGAATAACACCGTGAAGTATGCGACACTACCTCAAAATGATAATAGTGTCTACGGTCGCTGATGGAGCTGTAGTGAAGCCCAGGATGCCGTGCTTGAGAAGCTACCGTATGCCGCCGAGGCGCCGTTCAACGCGTATACCAAGCAGCACGAGCCTACCTGCCTTCCCTCTACACGAACCGCACTCTTGGACGAGATATACAGCTGGACCGATGGACGAGATGAGCGATGTGTCTACTGGCTGAATGGCCTGGCTGGTACCGGAAAATCGACAATCGCGCGGACCGTAGCTCGTAGACATTATGAGCGAAAGAGCTTAGGGGCTAGCTTCTTCTTCACCAAAGGCGGCGGTGACGTTAGCCATGTGGGCAAATTCGCAACAAGTATTGCTGTCCAGCTTGCGCACAACATTCCAGCATCTCGCCAGCACATATGTAAGGCGATTGCAGAGCGCCCTAATATCTCGGAATACTCATTGCGCGACCAGTGGCAGCACCTCGTTCTCACTTCACTATCCGCGTTAGATAATTCAGACAACATCAATTCTCTTGTCCTAGTCATCGATGCGCTGGATGAGTGCGACAATGATAACGACATCCGGGTAGTTATCGAACTGTTGGCTGAAGCTCAGGAACTGAGCGGACCAAGACTCCGCATAATCTTGACGAGCAGGCCTGAAGTAGCGATCCGGCACGGCTTCTACCATGTCTCGGATGCATTACATCAGAGTTTTGTGCTGCACCACATACCGTCCTCCATTGTCGATGCTGACATAAAACTCTTCCTGGAACACAGCCTTACTATCACTGCTCGGGAACAGCGCCTACCTGCTAGCTGGCCCGGCCCTGAACTCGTTGCGAAGATGGTTCAGAGGGCCAGTGGTCTTTTCATCTGGGCTGCAACTGCCCATTGATTCATCCAACAAGGAAGGCATTTTGCGGCGCGAAGACTAGGTTCGATTATCAAGAGTGATGGCGATATTCAAGCCCATCCCGAAAGACACCTTGATAACATCTACACTACCGTTCTGCAAAACTCGCTTCATCCGCAGTATACAGCTGAGGAGAAGGAGGAGCATTACAAGATGCTGAGATTTATTCTCGGAAGTCTGGTAGTGATGGAGTCACCTCTTACTGCGCAATCTTTGAGTAAGCTACTGTACATGGCAGAAGAAGATATCCGGTCGACGGTAGAAGACTTACATGCTATCCTGAATGTACCGGTAGACGAAACACGACCACTCCGCCTTCATCATCCTTCGTTACGCGACTTTTTGCTCGACAAAAGTCGATGTACCGATGCCAATTTCTGGGTAGACGAAGCACAAATCCATACTGCCTTAGCGTCACGGTGCATGACACTAATGACGAGCTTTTTCGAACAGAATGAAAGACGGAGAAGGGAACAATCATCAAAAAGGCATGATGAGTTAATATCAAGGATCACACGCCTTCATGAACTCATGGAAGAGATCGAGAGGAACCCTAAATTAAAGAATGATACAGACATCAGATCAAAGTTTGGTGCAGAGATCGTATCACTGAAGCTTATGTTACTGAGCAGAAATACAGCCTTCACATTAACAACGCACCGTGGTGAGGCTGAGAAGACGTTTCACTTTGCGGAGTTACAGTACGCGTGTTTAAACTGGGCTCGTCACCTCCAACAAAGCGGAAAGAAGCTCGTCGATGATGGACAGGCTTACACCTTTGCCAGGAAGTATTACGATGACTGGGAAGGGGCATTGACGAGTGGCTTGGTGGGTTTCCGCCCATGGACAGTTAATTTAGAGCATCTCCTAAACTGTGTTTCCGTAAGTCTTCCATCAAGTTCTTGAGCTCAAATGTTAGTTGCACCTAGGAAGTCGATGCTCCAATACTTTGCGCTCTATTGCGTGAAAAGGTTACAGAGAGCCGTCATAGAAATCTAAAAAGACTGGACGAAGTCGACAAAGCTTTCGACACCCTCAAATCAACTATCGAACGGATAGTATGTCTTGAACAGATACAAAATTGATAAGAGTGGAACAATAATTCAATTGCGAGTTATGAAGTTTTGCACCGAACTAACTGAGAAGATATATGCCCAACCACCGGTGGATGGCAGGGGGTATCGTAGACCGAGAAAAAAAAAGACGCAAGAACCAAGAGCAAGAGGGACAAAAACATGCTCGCAAAAGTGCGCAAATACAGACAGCCTAGCGCCAAAGTGATGGAACAATATGCCTCCCCGCCCCTAAAGCCCAACCAACCAACATCCATATTATGTTATAATCGTGAGATCATCGTATCCCTTTGGTTCGAAATCGCGTCGACCGTCCTACTTCCTAACGTCGCTTTCCCTTCTATGACTAGGCGCAATACTGCTCGCAGCAATACTAACAACATCGCTCATGCTATCCTGATCGCGCTGGTAGCTATATTGCATGCCCGAGTCCGGGCCCTTGAAACCGTTGTCCCATGCCGAGATGCGCGAAAGAAGCCTAACACCCAAAATTAAAACGATTCTTCTAGCACAACATATTTATACATGTGTGCAAATTATAAGCTAAGTGGTGTGCGCTCACCGATCGTCTGGCGGACCGTAGTATTCTTCGGGAATGAGCTCGTAGTCGCCTTCGACGGGGAGGTAGAAGGCGGAGATGGCGATGCCGACCGAGGTTAGGAAGAGGATGGTCCAGCTTGCGGTGCAGAGAGACCATGAGAGGTCAAGGTGCCAGCCCTTCCAGAAGCGGTCGTCGTGGTCGAAGAGGAATGCCTAGGCGTGTTAGCATTGCTTTGCTTCTGCTGGGAGGACCCTGCAGCACGCAGGGAGAACGTACTACTATGGCCATGCCCGCGCACTGGACAATAGCGCTGAAGGAGAGTACGCCAACGCCCACCTGCCAGCCTGCGGCCCTGCGCTGCACCCCGCCAGACATGATGACGACGAAGGACACGATGGCGCATAGCTCGACGACGACGCCGAAGGATGTCAGGAAGCCAACTGTCCTCCACATGTTGCAGAAGGACGGGTCCTTTGTGCAGTCGCTCATCCTGGGGAAGGGAACGCAGGTGCCAGTGACGGCAGAGCAGCGGCTGTGTAGGCCGTACGAGTATTCGCGCTCGCCGTTGGGACTGTAGCTGACCCATCGCGGCATGGAGATACTGGCGATGGTCATGATGGTGCCTGCTCAATCAGTCTCTGCTGACAATACACAAACACTGTCATCTCTTACAGGCCAAGGTGAGGATGAGCCCCACGCCATATACAATTCTTCGCGTCATGGTGGGTGTATCAACAGACTTGTGATGTCTCTGGGAGGTGAGGAGGAGCCCCGGGTCTCTTGTCGGTGGCGCAATGGGAGGAGTTGCGGGGTTTTGATACGATGGGATGCGCGATTAGGTATGAGGCGTGCAGCGTGCAGGCAAGAGGCTCTAGGCGGCGGTACGAAGGGTTGCAGGGCGTTGTCTGCGGAGGCGCCACCGAGCGAACAAACAGCGATCCTTACTACTCTCTGGTGTAGTTGGGAAAGAGTTGACAGGTGACAGTATGTGAGGAGGGTGGGGAGAGCGGATTCAACCGGGGCTACAGTCGGTCAGAGATAGACACCATGATGTGATGATGGAGGGTGAAAAACGCTGCTCTCCCGTCTCAAGTCGCGCTAGGAGGGGAAGGATCGTGGTATGACAAGGTGTGTGCACTCAATGACGACAAGGGTGAGCTCGGACGCCTTTCCCCACGCGTACGCGCTTTTAGCACCCTTCCACCGCAAGGAAAACATCTCTACCAACCTATAGCGCATGCCGCCTTGTGGGTTTTGGTAGCCTTGACATGTTTGCACCTGCTCAGTTGGTGTTTATACATGATATCGCAAATCCTCCTCCAACACACGACCATGTCGTGATTGTTGGGTGTGTAGGCGCAAACTCTGTATCACATTTCAGAAAAGCGGTGTCAAATTCCCATGTGGTGCTTTGCGCCGCCTTCCGATCGCCGATCATGTCGTGATAGACCTGGCATGATCCTAGGCTCTATTACTTCCCTGAAAGCTACACCTTTGTCAAGTTTGTACAGTCTCGAATCTCAGAACCTGAATCTTGAATATCAAATTTCTGCATGTCACAAGTCGACGGATCTACCGAGTGCGATTTGCATACACTGATAAGGCTATGGTCACGCACACCAGCCACACCCACCGATCAGCACCAACATGCAAACACGTGGGGCAAAAATGTTACTTGGATGGTAGATTGTGGTTTAAACCACGCACAACTACAACAAAGCCCGTACTAGTCTTGCTCACCGCTCCAAAGTTCAAGACTGATGTTGCTATGAAGCTACTGTCGCTGGGCCAGACGCACCCCAGAGGTGATAAGAGGCGCTGGGCATGGAAGCCGGCAACAACCTAGTGGATGCACTCCGCACTGCAGCTGCAGCAGTTAGATATTGGCCTGCGGCTGTAATTGGACGATTAGTGCTGGATGGCGCATGTCTCACATGGAAGGGAGAGCGAATTGATAACGACGCACGTCGCTAACGGCAATTGGACGGCCCGCCAACCTAAGGCTGGCGCGTCTATAACTCAAAGAATTCGAGCAAAGTTCACGCTATCCGCCTTCCCATGGACATGTATGGAGTCATACATATAGTATAGAGAACAAACCCCTCAAGTCCATGGGCGTCTAGAAGACAACGTTCTCGGGTTCGCGCTCAGGCTGTGTCTTTGGTTTCTGCAGCATCTCGTAGCAAAGTATCGACGCTGCAACGCTGACATTTAAACTGTCGACACCAACCTCGTTGAACTCGCGTCCATGAGGGATACCGACTTTGTAACGCGCAAGATTGACCAAGCTGGCCTTCAACCCAGTGCCCTCTGAGCCCATCATGAGAATTGTGGGGTGCTCTGCAACAGGGCTGTGGTCGGCGGGAAGTCGTTTTCTAGTCTGCGAGATGCTGTAAACAACTTTGTTGGCTCCGGCTTCCATAGACCCAACAGTTGATGAGGCGATTGACGACGTAGACGGAACGGCGTCGCTCGCGTAAATGCACCAACCTGCGCTTGCGCTCTTCTTGAGAAATTCGTTCGAATCTCCAACTTTGAAGAGCGGAATGGCTTCAGCGGCGCCGGCAGAAGCCTTGACCGCGATGTGACTCCAGTTTGCAGTGTGGTGAGTCGGCGTGATGATGGCATCTGCACCGAGAACATAGGCTGAGCGAGCAATAGCCCCAAGATTGCCTTCGTCGAGCTGTTGTCATTAGCCGAATACTTTGGCAATCGTGTTTCTTACTTACCACGCCGTCAACGTAGAGGATCAGCGGATGTCTCCATCCTCCGGACTTGTAAGAGTATAGCTCTTGCTTGCCATTGACGAGCACGTCTTCTGCACTTTGGCTGTCGAGTGCGACGCTGAAGCTCTCGTCTTCGATCGATGCCGTCTTCAGCTCAGTAATAGGAGGAACAGGCAGAGGCGATGCCTCAAGTATCACACCATTGTGTGGTCGGCCACTGCTTGCTTTGTCCAAAGCACGCATGTACTCGTCCCCGACTTCGTGTGTGATTGAGAAGAGCTTGTTGGCTCTGATACGAGACATGAGGCCATCTCTGCCCGCACCTCGTGAATGCACATACAGGTTGTAGAATTTGCGTCGGTTCGCCTTGATCGCAGATACGACGCTGCCATGCCCGTATATAAACTCTGAGGCAGCGGTGGTGTAGGGAAGCGATTCCGGTCCACGAACTGAAGTCTTCTGCGCCTCCGTCTCGCCTCTTGTTCCAGATCTAGCATCAGACGACTCCCGCCCGTATCCCTCTCTCCTAGCACCTTTTGAATCTGGTCTATGGGTAAATCGTGGTCGATCATCTCCTGAGTCGCGAGTCCGCTGAGTATAAGAAGTTGAAACATCCTCTCGTCTGGCACCTGATCTCGTAGAAAATCGCGACTCACGTGCGTCTTCGTCTGCTGTGTCGCGGGGACGTGGTGTATAAGAAGGTGCATTGTCACCCCTTTCGAATGTCTTCTCTGGTCTGTCTCTTGGTGCAAAACTGCGATCATCTGTCCACCGACGACGTGGTCTCTCATCACTACCCTGCTCCCGCGATGCTAATCCTCGATCAGAGGACAGGAATCTGCTTTCTCTTTGTGGCCGATCCCGTCTCAAATCTCCCGTTTTAGTGAGTGCATCTGGAGACCGGCGTGCTATTCCGCTTTTGCCATGGCTGTAAGCCTTGTGCAGGCGCTCTTGGAATTCTCCATTGTGTCTCTGCTGGCGCCTCTGCTGGCGTCTCTCAGAGTCGTTTAGGCGCCGCCCTTCCTCAGGACCGCTACTTTGCTCTTCCTCCTTGAACCTACTCGGCGCATCGTCATCGCGGGGTCGTGGTGGCCCAATGCGTCCGAACCTGCTACTGCGAGGCGTTACATGCGATCTTTCACTGAAACTTGGTTGTGCATCGTCACGAGGAGGACCGAACTTTTCGAACCTTGCCTCGCGACGTGTCTTCACCGGTCTATCACCCTCATCGTTGTGGCCGGCTCGAGTCCGCGGTCTGAAGGGTCGGTCTGGTCCGCCCCGCCTGCCACTCTCGATGGCGGCAGTGAGGGATTTGTAGCGAAGGAATGTGCGAGGAAAGACCAAGGGATGTGACCGCAGTAGCGTGCTACTAGTCAGGCAAGAATAAACCATAACAAGATCAATTCGGACGTGGTTGAGATTTTGACCCTGCAATCACCGCAAAAGCGATGCGACAAAAAGTTCCTGATTGCCAAGCCAGGCGTTCGCACTAAGAATTAGCGCAGGACGCGAAGTCACGCGTTTGGCGTTCGGGCGCTATCGTCATTCACCGAGACGCGACGACAACCAAGGGTACGGCATCGCGCCCACACACTCTCATTTTCCACCCACCATCCTTCGTCCGTCGCGCCGATACTACGCTCATTAAGGATACTAGGAGACTACTACGTAAACCGCTTCCGTATGCTTTCATGAAGTTTGCCTACTCACTGCTGTCGACTTAAACTACCTGTCGCTTCAAACTACCTGTCGCTTCTTCGCAGAAGGAGCCTTTTTTTTAGATATTTTGTCGCGCATAGCAAGCCGCAATCATGAACAGTGACAAGGATAGCGCAGCACTTATGGCGGCATTTGAAAAGAAGCCCGCTGGACGCAAATCGAGTGCTCCCCCACTAGCACCCGCCAAGGCTGCGTCCTCTTCCCCGGCTACTATGTCGCTACAAGGCGACTTCGACGAGAATCTCAGCACTCTTCATACCGAAACCCCACCCCGCAAGCGAAGGGCACTGTGTGTTCGTATACCACGGAAGAAGCTAAAAAAGACAGAGTACATATACTACGAACCGAAAGATGAGGTGGAGAGGATCGTTCGGGAGATTTCTGGAAGGAAGGGTGATATGGTATATGAGGTCAAGCTATTCGGAGATCGCGTCAAGCAGGTGAGTGACAATATTCTTGGGGTTCAGAGCTGTCCCTCTTATCACTGGTAAAGGTAGCTGGAGCGGCAGGCACGACTGGTACTACTATATAACAGGTGGCTTGGGTTCTCCCTTCGCTACACTTCCACTTCCGAAATCTTACTAAATATCCATAGTTAAGTTTCGAAGAGCTCCTCGATATCTATGGTGGTCCGGAGGCACTGCAATCATTCCAACCAGATGACGATTCCAGCGACGACGACGGCGATATGAGGCTTCGCAACCGAACCACCAAGGCGGATACCGAAGATTTTGTGGACATATCAACTATCCATATATCCTCCTCTGAAGACGACGACCAAGACGAGCTTGCCTCCGATTCACGCAAACGTCGCAGTGGTCGCACACAAGGATTGAGGCGCGGAAGTCGTCGAGGACGGCCATCAAGAGGCCGCTCAGGGAACAATGGTCTTACCGCACTTTTTATAAGCGATGAAGACTCCGAAGACGTCGGCAGGAAGCGGAGGGGTAGGCCACGCAAAGGCATACAACAGCCCACCCGGCGTTCCACAAGACAGCCTATGCGAGCAAGCGGAAATGATGACGAGGAGGACGAAGATGACGAAGAAGACGATGGTACAGAAGACTCCAGTGCTTCGGACATCCTCCGTTCAGATATCCTACCAGGTCGCAAGCGCAAGGGACGGCCTTTACGTGCTGCGAAGCCTGAGAAGATTCCCCGAGCGGGCGTCAGGCAATCCGATCGAGCAACGCGTGCTACTAACAACATGCAAGAAGCGGGTATGAATGATGTCTACCGATCAGATTCCGCCCCCAAAGTTGTCGCCCAGAAAGTCTCCGTTATGCGCGAGGTCTTTCCGAAGCTCCCTCGAAGCGACCCTTTCCGTGCGCGTCACGCTGAAGGTTGCGAAGTCTGCTTCGACGGCCCCAATGTTGCGCCTCTGGTATATTGTCAAGGCTGCTCTCTGGCATACCACAAGAACTGCTTGGGTAATCGCTCCACTCGTGACCATCTAGTCACTAAGATTGGTGACGAAGAGTTCGTTCTGCAATGCAAGAGGTGCATTGGCTTCTACAAGAAGAAAGATGCTACTGCTCCTGATCTGTCCAAGTGTCAGGACTGCGCGGTTTCGGGGGCTTCATGCCGGCCCTTCAGACGTCGCAAGACCACACAGCAGGAGATGAAGGAGCGCGAAGAGAACGATGGCTATGATCCAGTCGTCAACGTCCCTTCTGAGCTTATCAACAACCATAACAATGTCTTGTTTCGCTGCACAAAGTGCTCTCGCGCCTGGCATTATCATCATCTACCACCCAACTCACAGTACGCTATGGATATCAATCGAGACGACGAAGAGATGGCAGATGAGCGGTTCCGTGAGTACTCTGGTAAATGGCTCTGCAAAGAGTGCGATGAGACCACTGATCAAAAGGTCGGCGGCATCATCGCCTGGCGCCCGTCTGATGTCGAGACTTATCGACTAGGTACTCCGTGCGAATTAGTTTGCGAAGACGACAAGCAGTACTTGATCAAGTGGGAGAACGAGTCTTACTTCCGAGCAGCATGGCATTCAGGAGCCTGGACCTGGGGCGTAACAGCTGGCGTTCAGCGCAAGGCTTTCTTCAAGCGCGAAGACGGACCGAAGATGCGAACTGAAGATGCCATTCCCGAAGAGTACCTGCGCATCGACATCGTCCTTGATATCAAGTACACGAGCTATGTTGAAGTACGTAGCGAAGAGATTGACAAAGCTCGCATCAAAGAGGTTGACAAGGCGCTCATCAAGTACAAAGGTCTGGGCTACGAAGATACTGTATGGGAGAGTGTGCCTACTCCAGAAGATGGTGATAGGTGGTTAGACTTTGTCACTGCTTACAACGACTGGGTTGCCGGCCGTTACGTTAAGATTCCCAAGCAGGGCCCTCTCAAAGGACGCATTGAAAAGGCCCGCAGTACGCCATTCGCTAAGCTTGAGCGGGGGAAGCAACCCGACAACCTCGTTGGTGGTGAGTTGATGAAGTATCAACTGGAGGGTCTGAATTGGCTTTACTACAAGTGGTACGACCAGAAGAACGCCATCCTCGCAGACGAGATGGGTCTGGGGAAGACGATCCAAGTCATCGCCTTTATGGCAACCCTCATCCAGGAGCACAATTGCTTTCCGTTCCTGATTGTGGTGCCCAATTCAACCTGCGCCAACTGGCGGAGGGAGATCAAGCAGTGGGCGCCATCCCTCCGTGTGGTGGCCTACTTCGGTTCTGCCAAGGCTCGCGACATGGCCTACAAGTACGAGATGTACCCCGAGAACACGAAAGACCTGCGATGTCACATCGTTGTAACGTCATACGACGCGGCAGCCGACGACAACTGCAAGAGATTCTTCAAAGGTGTTAGTTGGGCCGGTCTTGTCGTCGATGAAGGCCAGCGTCTGAAGAACGATAAGAGCCAGTTATACAAAGCCCTTACAGCAGTTCGCGCGCCATTCCGACTCCTGTTGACTGGTACGCCGCTGCAGAATAACGCTAGGGAGCTCTTCAATCTGTTGCATTTCCTGGACGACACGATCAATGCTGAGCAGCTTGAGGAACAATACGCTGAGATGACGGCTGAGAATATTAGAGAGTTACATGACCAGATCCGACCTTTCATTCTACGACGTACCAAGGCCAAGGTGCTGACCTTTCTTCCACCTCTTGGTCAAATTATTCTACCCATCTCCACGAGCCATCTACAGAAGCAAGTCTACAAGTCAATCTTGTCAAAGAGCCCCGAGCTTCTGAAGGCTCTCTTCACCTCCGACAAGCAACTAAAGCAGCAGGAGCGCGCGAACTTGAGCAACATTCTTATGCAACTACGCAAGTGTCTTTGCCATCCATTCGTCTACAGCCGCGGAATCGAAGAGCGAAGTGACATAGCCGCAGTCTCTCATCGCAATCTTGTCGAGGCTTCTGCAAAGCTCACTCTTCTCGAGACTCTACTCCCGAAGCTTCAAGAACGTGGTCACCGCGTACTCATTTTCAGCCAGTTTCTCGACATGCTTAGCATCATCGAGGACTTCTTAGACGGCATGCAGCTCCCGTATCAACGTCTAGACGGCACAATGGGCTCCCTTGAGAAACAGAAGCGTATTGACCAGTTCAATGCACCTGACTCGCCCCTGTTTGCCTTCCTCCTCTCCACTCGCGCTGGTGGTGTTGGTATCAATCTTGCGACTGCAGACACCGTCATCATCCTAGACCCGGACTGGAATCCTCATCAAGATCTTCAAGCCATTGCTAGGGCTCATCGTATCGGTCAGAAGAAGAAGGTGCTGTGTCTTCAGCTGGCGACGCGAGCCTCAGTGGAAGAAAAGATCATGCAAATGGGCAAGAAGAAGATGGCTCTCGACAAAGTCGTCGTTCAGGACCTGGACAGAGAAGATCCCGAGGACGAGGATGTTGAGTCGATACTCAAGTATGGTGCTGCAGAGCTATTCAAGGACGACGGCGCAGATCATGACATTCGGTACGATGATGCCTCCATCGACAAACTGCTCGACCGTAGCCAGATCGAGAATACCCCAACTGGTGACGATGACTCTGCAGAATCTCAATTCGGCTTTGCCCGAATCTGGGTTAATGAAAAGGGCGGACTGCAAGATGACTTCGATATTGCGGATGAAGAGACTGCTCCAGATCCAGGTGTTTGGGATAAGATCTTGAAGGAACGACAAGCCGCCGCAGCGGCCGAAGCGTTTGCAAAAGCAGAGGCTATGGGTCGGGGACGCCGGGCCAAAGCAGTCCGTAACCCCTCGCTTCTGATGAGTACAATTAGTAACATTACACAGGCTATCGATTATGCTACGGAGAAAAGGGATGCTGATGTTGCGTCTGTCGCAGCAGTAGATCATTTCGAGGACACCGCCGCCCCGCCTTCATCGATTAAGAAGCCGAGCAAGAAGCGCAAGAACAAGACAGGGTCTGGAAGTGATACGGACTTCCATGCCGAGTCTGAAGACGAAAGCGAGCCTGAGCTAATCCAAGACAACGTTGATGTCGCCAAGGAACTCGGTAACGGTCGCCGTCGCAGTACTACAAACATTGCCAACTCTTCGCTGTACCAGCAGAATGGCGCAGGTGTGTCTAAAGTTTCATCGAGTCTGTCAAAATTTCCCACTGTCACTTTTCCTATTCAGACTACGCCTAAGGAGGGTGGCGCGAGGGCGGCCAGGTCACCGCCGAAGCCTGTGAAGGTTACGCCATCAACAAGTAGCACGAGAGTCCGGCTTCAGCTCGGAACGCATTCCAATGGCGCCAGCCAGGTTCAGCCGAACGCTTCTTCCGATCAAGCATCGCCTTACCGTGCACCATCCGCCTTCATCGATCTCTCTACATGTCCACCAGAACCAGCGCCAAACGCACCAAAGACTAACGAAGCGACAGTCAAACCTTTCGAGCGTGTCACCATACCTATCCGTAACCCTCTAGAACCAACCTACGGCTCTTTTGGCATCCGTATCTGCGCTGCTTGCCACAAGAATCATCCTTCGGGTGCCTGTGAGCTCAGGGCGGCAGGCGCTGAGCACTGCGGTCTCTGCGGTCTAGCGCACTACGGCCACTCACGTACATGCCCTCATATCAAGTCCGAAACACAGGTCAGAGAGATGCTCCAGGCACTCAAGAACTCGCCAGAGAAGAAAGAGCTAGTCGATGCGGCGATAAAGTACCTTCGCGGCGTCAAGGGTGCACTGGTGCAGCAGAAGAAGAAGGACAGAGAGAAGGCGGCTAAGGCTAATGGTCAGCCTGTTCCTCTGCCTACATATACTGATATCGGTCGTCCTCCGAAGGGCGCATATACACGGCCGCCCGACGCTACAAATGGAACTGTGAATGGCATGAACGGTACCGGTGTCGGCACCCCAACTGGCGGTTCATCAGACGACCTACCTCGCCCGTACGTTTTGTATATGCCTCAAGGGTTGGGAGTCGCCCCAGATAGCGTGGGTAGCGTTATTCAAGGTCAGCAACGCACGTTCGCACAACAGCAGATGGTTCAGCAGATGGAGAGCCAGAGTTTTGACGATCAGCAAGTGGAAAGCGCTTTGAAGGGCTGTTTGTTCCAAGGCCACAACTAGGTGCATGACAAGTCTCTGGGATGGAGTGGAATACTGGTTTCTTCATTGGTAACTTCCGTTGGAAAGATTACAGGAAAAGGCGTTTTGGAACTGCACACTATCTGGCGTCTCATCAAGGGCTATGCATTAAGCTATCTTGGAGTATTTGTAGTAGGAATATTGATACCCCGTAATGAACGTCGTAGAATCGTTCATACAATGCAATGAAGTATTCACGAAGCCGCTTGCCTTTTCTACGTTATACTTGATACTTCAAGTGTACCTGGGAGGTGTTCGCTGTACTCCTTATCACACTGCTCGCAGAAGACCACAAGTATTGACCTGCAGGATACCTTTTCCGACACGAAAGTGCAACTCAGAGAAACTGAGTTCCGTATCTAACACTTTCTATTTGTGTTCTACTAAATTGGGTTGGTGCTAGCTACAATGAAGTTACCAATAGATGTCATACGCCTGGCCCAAGACGCCTGGCCCAAGACCTCCGCTTGTCTCCTCGCTCCTTCAGGGTCAGTAGGTTGATGATTCAAGCCGTAAACATCGTCCTTCGTGTGGATCCGAGGCAGCCGCTTCCTGTGTTTTATTCTCCTCCTCCCCTCCTTCTTCTTCAAGCGTCTCCCTCAGGCTTTCTACCCAGGCATCATAGTCTGCGTTCGTGTCATGAGCAGGACCTAGAACCTTGCCATTGGTTTTGCCTTGCTCTTCTTTCGCTATGAGTGCCCTCTCAAGCACACCAATTTTCGACTCGTCCGGTTCTTCTTTACTTCCTGTCCAAACGCCCTTGTCGTCACTAACCAACCCATTCCTCGAGCAAAACGCCATCCACTGACGCCAATGTTCGTCTAGCTCCAATACTTCGGGATTGCCTATCACAAACAATGCTTCTTTTGCTCGCGTGAGGGCAACGTTCATCTTCCTCTTCCCTCCAATAATACCCATACCCATCTTGTTGTCTTTGGCGACAAACGTCTTCCTCGTGCGTGTCGTACATAGTATCACGACACGTTTCTCGAGACCCTGGAATGCTTCCAAGGGACCAATGTTGACGTTCCACAGACCTGCGCCGTTGCCATATTCAGAGGAACGTATCAGCGAACGGAGGCGTTTGACTTGTGCGGCGAATGGTGACATGATGCAGACATCCGTCTGTTCTACGGAAGAGGAGACGACGAGGGTTTTTGCAATATTGCAGGCGATGCGCGCTTCGTAGACATTGTACCAGCTGCCGCCGTCGTATTCATTCTCATCAGGTCCTGCATGTGGGATGAATAGAACAGGCCACTTACGACCGCGCCAGAGATTAAACTGTTGGAGTGGTGTATTAGGTATCGCAGCCTCGGGGATCAAGGTGTCGTTGTAAAAGAGAGCACTTGGCACGCTAAGGATAGCGGGATGGGAACGGTAGTTTCGCACCAACAATGTGAATGGCGGGTATGTGATAGGCAACATGGATTGTTTGAGAACCGGTGGGCCAGATGACGGCTTTATCTTTGACCGTGAGAGAGGGTGGCCTTCGTATAGTGATCGCTTGAAAAGGCGGGCGAACAGGGACATGGTTACTCGGATGTCGCGAGATGCTGTTCGGGGGCCGAGTTGGTTCTCGTCTCCTGCCATAACAAAGCGTGGTTGAGGCGATGATTTCGGGTACAACGAAGGTGGACATATAATACTAATGGCAGGCAAAACGTCCAGTTCGGTAGCCTGAGCTGCTTCATCTATGAGCAAAGCTGTCCAGTGCAAGGGCGGGTTAGGTGTCTTCTCTTCCGGATTGAACGCTGATAACATTGTTTTCTGCATGGTCCAGAGATCGTTGTTGGTCATTCTTGCTTCTGCCAGAATTGCGGCGTCTTGACATGACGTTACCACGACGTTGAAAGCCATGAGCTCTCGGAACGGCGGTAGATAAAACATGTCATTCTCGATATGGCAGTACTGTAACAACTCCTTTGGTACTTCGTTGTCGGCTCTTCCCGGTCGGTTGAGACGAAAAAGCTGCGTTCTTGTAAGATAGCTCTTGAGTCGCAAAGCGAGTGTATCTGCGGCAGCCTCTGATGGAGCACATACAAGCAGGTGCGCAACGTCCGTGGTTTCTAGTAGCTGCATTACTGCTTCAACTAGCGTCTTCGTCTTGCCTGTGCCCGGTGGTCCACTGATCAAGTATGGAAGATTTCCATATGCGTTATTACATATATCGTTGACGGCATGGGCTTGCTCATAGTTAATGGCGCTGTCGAATAGCTTGCGACGTGGAACGTTGCGCAGTGTGGTTTGACGTGCTCCATGCACCTCTTCAGAAAACAGTATTCGGCGGCTCCAATCGTTATAGAAATCGTGAGGTTTGGTCTTTGTGCCTTCTATTTCGGGCGTTGCATACTTGGCACCAGGCGATTCGCCAAAGTGGTTCAGCATACGGCTCGAAGGCACAGGTTCACCTGGAAATTGACATAGGCTGGTTTGCTTAAGTTCAGAGCTGATATACATCAAAGCTCTTCGCTGGCTCTTGATGATATCGAATTTGAGTGGAAAGATAACGTTAGCGAACATGGGCATTGGCGGCATTCTACAGTCCGGCATGCCGAGGCCATCCGCTTTGATGTAGACTGTTTCTTGCGCACGACTGATACCAAACACTGCAGCGTCGTGCTGTATGCCCGTCCAGGACCTGAAGGTGACTGGAGGATGTCCGTTGTATCCGAATTGGTAGTCGTCCACATACATCGGTATGGGCATCATAGCTCCTCTTCCGTCAACACACAATTGACGTATCTGTAGCACGTCGCCCATCTCAACGTGTGGACTATCTTCCCTTAGTCCTGGCACCAACAAACTCCATAGGTCCCCGGTTGGAGGTGATTGCCAGAGTTTGACTCGATACATCGCATATCTTTCGTTCTCTACTTCTTTCGCCGCACACTCGATGGCGGCCACTGTAGCAAAGTGTTGAAAATATGTAGACTCATTAAGCGATGTAAGGGAATCTGTTGCTGATCCGGCCTTTTCTTCTTTGACCTCCGCGTGTGGTGTAGGTAGGAAGCTTGTTCCGATGAAGGTCTGCAAATACTGTTCGAAATCGATCCGATGTCTTGGTCTTGTTGATACAATGGCCGCCATCTCAGTATTGATCGATCGTAGAGTAGGGGGGACAAAAGGTGTCGCATAGACATCATACTCTCATAGAATGTCAGCTGAATCACTCTCAGAGGCATCATTGTTTCTGGAAGATCCTGATATACCTTGATTTCCTGTCTCTTGAGAGGTTTGTAGTCCCGTTGCTGGCGAAATCCAGTGCCCCGGTCCAGATGGCTGCCTTGGCGCAATGTTAGGTACGGCTACAAGTTTTGCGAGGTCGTTCTTCGTCATTTTTCCATGGTCGGTATGATCTCCGTTCACACCTGAAGCCACGTGCGATCGGTGTTGCGTCTGGGACATGGTACTGGGCATGAGATACGAGTATCTCTAGCGCAACAGCCAGGATAGCTGGAGATGCGTCTTCTCCAAAGCTAAGCGCGCTGGATCCGGTTTCGATCCTGGATTGAACGAAACTTCCAGATAGAGATGTTATGTTGACACTTGCTGATATAGTGGACGACTTCAGCGCAATGCGAGGACGGCGGACAAAAGGGGAGCTGCCTTCGGTGTCACTGCGTGCTGGTTTTCGAACACAAATGGATGCAACCTGAAGTAGTTAAAATATTAAATAGCACGGCCTACGTGGGAGATTTGTTTCCATGGACTAGACTATTTAAAGGGGTCTAAAAGGTATCAATATTAAATTGCCGATAGTCGAAAGTCAAGTGTTGTAATGTCGCGTCGCAGTCGTGGCAATGGGCGCCTGCTTAGCGCCGCGCTAAAAATGGGCTCGCTACTGGACGCTCCTGCTTTCTTTCCCAACCCCCCACTACAATCATGATTTCATCTAGGATATGTGCAATTCTACACACTGTCATCACCCCAGCACTCCAGTATGCGCCCCCTTTTATCTCAGTTCTCAGGCTGGATGCAGATTGTTGTGGTGGTGCGACTTGATGCGCTGTTTCGATCTTGTTAAGCCCTTCCGATGCAGCTGAGAACCCATCTGTACAATCCGTGACATGTACGGCACTTCAACGCGTTGACCTAATTTCTTTACTGGCAACTGCGGGTCGGTTGACCCGCTGAGCTGTACGCTGTCATGTTGAGATCGCCCCCTTCGCCCTTCCCCGCAGTACGTCATGATCCGAGGTTGTACAACTGAACACCAATTCGTCAGACTTGCAGCGTTAGTAAAGCATTTATATGGCTATCTGGTGATCTATAATCCTATTCTTCATCCTTTGTACATTCACAAATACTCCCTATCGTCAAACATGTCCAATCAACAGCTAGTTGAAAGCAAAGGCATCTTCCATGGCCTACCTGTGTACCCATCCTCGCTGAAAGGGCTCACGGCTATCATAACCGGGGCGAATGGTATTTCTGGTAACTACATGCTCCGTGTATTGGCCGAAGATCCAGAGCGATGGAGCAAGATCTATTGCCTGTCAAGGCGGCCACCTGCGATCCCGGATGGGTTACCGAAGAACGCCGAGCATATCCCACTAGACTTTCTACAAGACCCTCAAGAGATCGCAAAGGTGCTGAAGGAGAAGGGTGTCAAGGCCGACTACGTCTTCTTCTACTCGTACGTTCAAGTCAAGCCAAAAGAAGGTGGCGGCTTGTGGAGCGATGCCGAGGAGATGTGCAAGGTGAACAGTACGTGCTGATCGCTCAATAACGGCAAGGTTACGAGGCTGATATACTGCAGCGGCACTCCTTAAGAACTTCTGTGAAGCTCTCCCGATAGCCAATGTCAAGCCAAAGCGCATCATGCTCCAGACCGGCGCAAAGAATTACGGTGTTCACCTTGGCCCGACAGCAACCCCTCAGGAAGAAACCGCACCACGCGTCACTCTCGAACCCAATTTTTACTACCCACAGGAAGACTTTCTTTGGGCTTTCTGCAAGAAACAGGGTATCGACTGGAACATATGCATGCCATCAGGAATTCTCGGTGCTGTTCCGGATGCAGCCATGAACATGGTCTTTCCGCTAGGCGTCTATGCGAGCGTGCAGAAACATCTAGGTGAAAAGCTTGAGTTTCCGGCTGACCTTCAAGCATGGGAAGCCAACATATGCATGTCTAGCAGCAAGATGAACGCTTATATGGAGCAATGGGCTGTGCTGAACGACGGGGCGAAGAACGAAAAGTTCAACACGATGGACGGTACGACCTTCACGTTGGGCAATTTCTGGCCGAAGTACGCAGGGTGGTATGACATTGGATATGAGCATCCCAGTCTGGACGATAGCGCATACACGGTCACCACCTCAAAGCACGATCCGCCTCCACGAGGCTTCGGACCACCGGCAACACATCGCATTCGCTTTACGCTGACTGACTGGGCAAAACAAGAGAAGGTGCAGAAGGCATGGGAGGAGATAATCTCTAAGCATGGTCTGAAGGTGGACAAGCTGCAAGATATGGATGTTGATCGTATCTTTGGCTTCACAGATGGAATGATGGGCACTCCCCTGGATCTTACAATGAACAAGGCACGGAAGATGGGATGGCATGGGTTTGTGGACTCGAACGACGCCATCAAAGAGGTACTTGGAGAGTTTGCAGATCTCAAGATGATTCCTCCTCTAGAAAAGTAGTCGACAACTTAACCTCTGCTCATTATATCTACTGACCTGTGCTTACTCCATCGCTGAGCCGTTGAGAACGAACCCAGAGTTGCGACTGCACTACAATCCCGAAAATGAAAGCTCAAGCTTGACCTATGCCATGATACAGAGTCTCCACTATCAAAGAATATCCTGGTTCTCTCAAAACTCGATCATGTCTTCCGTTACCTCCCGCTGTGCTTTTCTGTCCTTGTTTCCTCGACGCGAAGGCTCTTGGGCGTCTTCTCGGATGCCGAGATAGCGGTAGTAGCCTCGTCTACATCACTAGTAGCTTCACTCGTTTACTCTCACAAGCAGCTAAGGCCGGGACTAGTGACAAAAGACATGATGGTGTTGGAGCAGAAGACTTATCAACTTACTCCCACGTCGATAAGATAGCGTTCGCTTCCCTGTACAGAATCTCGATGACCGTCAGAACATTGCTCTCTTGCAACTTCCGCTCACCCGTCGATCTACTCAGAAGCTCCGCCATCAGAAGATGCTCGACCACCCACGGCTGACCACATGTCGCCTGGCTGAGGATCGCCAACGCACCCAGGCAATTTCGGTCGAGAGGGTTCACCTGAGCTATCTTCCAGTTCTCCTCGATGATCCGGGTTGATAGCGAGATGGGGTAGCGAGCTTTGGCCAATTCCGAAGCGACTTTCGTGTAAGGTGAGGTAAGGCGAATGATGTTCTTGCGTTGGACAGCTTCCGAGCGACGCAACACTCGGACGTGATTACGACTGTCTTGACGGCTCATGGCCTAGAAATTCAGTATCAGGGCGGAGATAATGGAAGGGAAGAAGGTCATCGTAACTGCGTTGACGTACCTGGAAGATATCTCGTCCCATGTCGTTCCCCAGATACAACATTGTCTCATGCTTTATCTCGGGAGTAATCAGCTCATCCCTACGAACTCGTACTATGATACGCTCACCATTTTGAACGTTTTCAAAGTTGTAAACCGGGTCACCGTCAATCTCGATACCGTCGATCAGTTCACCAGGTTCACTGGTGCGGATTGGCTCGCCGTTTATATCGCAGGGCCAAATACCTTCCAGATCGACGTTAAAATCGTCTTTGAACCGGACTCTGATGCTCTCGACGATGTCTTTATGTGCAGCGGAAGGAGTAATTAAGACTATGTTGCCAGTTTAGTGTTTGCTTTCTTTCGGGTTTACTCAGTGAGCACGTACAGTCTTGAATAGTGAGATCTTTCGTCGGACAGTGAACCTCAACGATAACCGCATAAGTCTGCTGGCTCGAGATGGTGTGAAGCATGGTCAGGGTGTATAGAAGTCGTTTTGCCCGCGTATAAGAAACAACAGGTTAGTATTGGAAAACTGGTTGAAATTCAAGTTGAGTCGGCTCGATGAGATCCTTGAAAAGTGTTTTGAACTGGCGCTCCTGCGGCCGAAAGGTCGTTTGAGGAAAGGAAGCGGAATGCTCACGTATAGGCTCTAAACCCCTGGAAGTGAATATGTATCGGCTTGATCAGCCGATCGTAAAGAAAGGGAAAGTAAGTGCCACTTTCTTCAACCACCTTTCTCGCATTCAAAAGATCAATGAGCATTTAGATTCTGGTATCTGTATTGACCCCGAGCCATTAGAAACTCCACGGAGTTATTGCAGTTAGCTGGCCATTGAGCTATGAGTTATCTCCCTCGTCTACGACGAGATTTATCCTCATCACATCGTGCACGCAAGTAAACTGTATCAATGCCACAAAGAAGTCCGGCTCTAGAGGATCAGTGAACAGCTTCCGGGCGACACAACACCCAAGTGTGTTTACATGATCTTGGCGAATGGTTGCTTAGAAGATTCAGTACATGTTGACAACACAGCACTGTTAGGTGTGACCCTCTAGCCTCAGATCTGCGTAGCCTATTTTTGTGATGCAGGTGCACTAACTAACAGCGCGCATTAACTGGTTATCGTGCATCTGTCACTCGTGAAAGGCGGAGGACGCATGGCCATAGCAAACCCCACATTGGCAAAATACATTGGAGGAGCAGATGTCGTATGGATATGCAAGAACAGGGAAATCTCACGAAAATAACGCGACGACTAGGCGATGCGCACAGGGAGTTTGACGCGGGGGGGAGGGCGCCACGCTGCCGGTCCATCCGTTCTTGCTCAACGCTATATATCAGTGGTATTCTTAGATACGTGAAAGAATTTTAAAACTTTTGAACTTGAAAACCTTGAGGTTTGAGCCGAGTCCGGTGGAGCGGGCGCGGTACACGCATATGCGTAATGTTGGTGTAAGTAGATTGTGTGTATTCTGCTTCATCACCGAGAGGTCTGTGATCTAAGCTTATATTCATAGAGTAGTGGGCTGATTGGTCGCTGGATAATCCACGTGCCCATGCAAGGTACCCTGGGCTTACAGTTGGCCTACATTCTTGATTTAGTGAGATGTACGGGACAGACGGTTATCTCTCCATAGGCAATGGGAGTGGATTACTGAGCATCTGGAGCATAGGACAGAAACGCAGTAAGTCATGTTCTAAGGATTGTTCGATGCAAGTTTGTCGCGGTAGGTCGTGAGCAGTGCGCGTGTGCGGAATATTGATGGACCGCCTCGATAGCGGGGCTAGATTGTTAAACTCCCGATGTGCTGATTGTACTACTAGTCGCGCGAAACCCTCTAGCCCGTGTTTTGAGACTCGTTGAATAACAGCTCTGATTGGTCTAATTTTGTAGCGACTTGGTGGAACTGACTCAGCCACACTCTGGACGCCTTTCTTTCCCGGCCACGTACACGCTATGAGACGTCGAGCCATCCCATATGTAGTTTCGCTTTGAGATGGCTGTAAATGAGTCACTATGACTTCAGGTACGTGCCTAGGTATGGTGGAGCGTGTCAGGAGGATACAGGCTAACACAGCATCAATACCTAGATACATAGGGAGTATGTACAACTACACTTATATCTAGAGCGATTATCTATCATAACATCACATCTGAAAACCCCTTCACATCATGGCTTACATGAGTCCCGAGTCCGAAAAATCTGTGCTAGAGAAGATAAAAGAATTCCACGTACCAGGTCTTTCACTTGCCATTGTCCAGGGTGACGAGATATACTCGAAGGTAAGCAGGCTCACCTAAAACTAGCGAACCTCGCTCATCCTTCTCAGGCGTATGGTTACTCAAAACTACCCGACATCAAGACTACTCCAGATACTCTCTTCGATTTGGCAAGCACTTCCAAAAGTACCACCGCAGGAGCTGTCGCCCTTCTTGTAGACGATGAGAACTACTCAGAGATACAATGGACAACACCTGTTTCGAAAATCCTTCCAGATGACTTCGTTCTTCCTGACCAATACCTCACGGAGCAGGTCACGATTGAAGACATCCTAAGCCATCGCAGTGGTATTGCTACCCACGATGAATCGTACTTCAGCGTCCGGGCGAAACATCCAGACAATGCAAAATCCATGACACGTAATCTACGCAATCTCGAGTTCGTCAAGCCCCTTCGCACCGAACATATTTACAGCAATATCATGTTCAGCGTCACCGTGCATCTTGTTGAGACTGTCAGTGGCATGTCTTATACCGAATTCATAAGGACAAAGCTCTGGAAACCCCTCGGCATGACCAACACATTCCACGACGTCCCTGACATCGAAGCCAACAGCGAAATGGATCGCAGAACAACGTCATACCACTGGAATAGCGAATCCGAGTCTTATGTTGCACTGCCTCATTATCCTCCGGCGCCAGAGGGTCACGGCGCAGGCTGTGTCTTCAGCAGTGCAAGCGATTACGCGAAATGGATCCGCGCTCTTATCAAACGTGACCCCATTCTCTCCGAAGCTAGTCACAAAGCACTCGCAACACCTCGCAGCTTCGACCTACTTGGCGACGAGAAATGGTCGATACCCTTCAAAAGTGAAGAGCTCTACACCCTAGGCCTATCCCTCACAAGTTATCGTGGATACACATTGATCGGACATTACGGCTCAGTACCCGGATTTAGAGCCATGGTATGTTTCATGCCTAAACTCGACTGGGGACTTGTGATCTTCGGAAACTCAAGCAGCGCAACTTATGTCAGTGATATTCTGAAGTTCACGTTGCTCGACGATGTTATCGGTGTGCGGAAGGAGGATCGCGTGGACTGGGGTGTGTTCTTCAAGAATTTCCAAACTATGGACGATGCGGAGGATGCGGAGAAGCCTGAGTGGACGAAAGTGGAGAGTGTGGAGCCGCTCGGTATTGCCTTGGAGAAGATGGTTGGAGGTTATCACAATATTGGGTATAAGGGACTGGTGCTTGAGTTGAAGGATGGGAAGGTAATGGCGGATTGCAGCGATCGATGCTTCCCGTACGTGCTTGCTTTTGAACATCTGACTGGCAATAATTTCACTGTAGAGATGCACGGCATTTGGGAAGGCAGACTATACAGTACAATCCGAGGCGAAATCCGGACAGAGGGTGGGCAAGTAATGGCGATAGGTGTTGGGCTGGAAACAGATGTCAAGGGCGGCCTCATCTGGTTCGATCGGGTGTAGCATGGGAACTACTCTAGTTATAAAAATACGCATACGTTTCGAAATGATTGAAGTGCAGCGGCTAGGCTGCCAAACTCGTGGTGCGTAGGAGTGAAGGAGGCGGAGCTGACTCCTGGCGCTACAGTCCGTGCGCACCCAACGAGCCAGTTCAGTCAACGAGCCACCCCAACAAGATCAGACGACAAAAAAGATGAGGTTATAGAGCCACCCACAATAGCTATTATCGTGAGATTTTTTGGTGTATTGATATATTGACGCTACTAAAGCGTTTGCACTACTTGTATCTCGCTGGCGTCTTAAGTTGGCGCTCTCGCAAGCCAAATCTGGGTGGGGAGGGCGCCCGAGGCGGACTGGCAACCACCCGACTTGATGGAGCAACAACACGACGACGCTTTGTCGGTTTTTTTGCGGGTTTGTGTAAGGCTTCTCGCTTACGCTTATTTGCTGTATCGCGACTTTTTTGAGCGGTTGCAGCTTGTTGTTGCTGCTTTTTGAGTGCCCGTTCGGCAGCTTTCTCCTCACGCTGCCGTAACTGCTCCGCATCCTTAGCAATTTTGGCTTGTTGTCGAGCCACCTTTGCAGCTTCTTAAGAGCGCTTTTTCTCAGCTGCTTCTGCTGCTTTTCTCTCTCTATCGCGAGCTTTTTAGAGTTGTAGCTCCGCGGCTTCGTCCAGTTCTGCGGCCTTGCGCGCGCGGAGGATGGCAAGCTTCCTGGGACTGTAGAATACAGCTCCGCCGTGCTAATCGTCGCCCTCTTGAGTAGTTAGTGTTGTTAATTTAGACAGTCGGGATCTTATGAGGTTAAGTTCAGCGCGTAGCTCCGCGTTTTGGAGGCGGAGAAGCTCGTTGTTGACCTGCAGCGAGTGTAGGCCTTGGGACAGCCGTTTGGCTTCAAATTTGGCCTTGTCAGCCACCGCAGCGTCAAAATTTTTGCGCAGTTAAGGCCAGGTATCGCCGTCGCCTTGCTCCCCAATTCCTAGCTCGTTATCTTGTTGTTGTGGTTGGTTGTTGAAGCGTTGAAGTACCGGGTCAGCGTCCATCGGCCATACGCCTGTAGCTTAAAAACTCTTCAATATGAGATCGTGAGTCATTGTAGAGCTCTAGGCCGGCCAAAATTTGCTGTAGAAGTCGCGTTTGGTGATCCTCGAGATGCCTTGGGTCCGCTGGAGGCGTTGGGTAAGCTCCTCGGTGTAGTGCTTCGAAAGCGGCGAAAAGAGCACAACATCTAACGGCTGCAAACTGTGTGTAGAATGTGGTGGGTACACTATAACTATGATGCGTTTGGCTTCACAATACTCCAAAAAATCGGGCGTGAGGTAGCTGGCGTGGCCGTCAAGGATCAGAAGGCGCCATTGCCGGCGAGCTTTGGCTGCCGTGAAGCGTTCGAAGACCTGTTGAAGCCAGGCAAGTCCTAAATCATTATTTGACCATCCCGAAGCCGAGTGGGATACGAAGATTTGGTGTTGTTTGGCTAACAGGTCGTCAACCCAGCTTAATTGAACCCCGGAGATGCCCTAATAGATGAGAGCGGGCGGCAATGCCTCTCTAGAAGCGCATACGCAAGCCAGCAGCGTTACCCATTCTCTGTTGCCATCTCTTATCGCCGCGGTACGCTCCCCTGACTCATAAACTGCCTTAGAGAAGATCCTCTTCCTGCGGTGGGCGATGCCGGTAAAGAAGCCCTTCTCATCCATATTGTACGTGTTGCGCTCTTCAATCTCATGTTCTTGCATCTTGGAGTGCAGCAAGTTAAAGTACAACTCGTATTTACGCTTGTTGTCAGCTAAGTGACGCTCACGATCTATACCGGTGTCCCATTTGGAGATGAGCTCATCGGGATGACGGTGTCGAAACCGGGTAACCTAGTTATCCGAAACCTCATGCTGCGCAACCGCGCTGCCGAAATTCTTCAAAATACTCCTTGTAGGTGGTACGCCGTCTCTTGTTTGCCCTTCTACGAAGCTAATAAGCTTATCCTCTTGTTGTGGGTTGAGATTTCGTCGATGTTCGGCCGCCTCTGTGCCCCGGGGTTGTTGTGCGCCCCGGTGCCTCCGCGACAACGTCGTTCGATCAACTCCGAATATTTTTGCAACTTGGCGGTACGAGAATTTATCTCCAGCCTCACGCGATTCGATATATTCAATCGCTTCTTGAATCGGGTCCATGGTTGTGGACTTATGACGCGTCGCAGTTGGGATGGTTCATGAGGTTGCGGGGCTTCGGGTGGCTCGTTGACTGAACTGGCTCGTTGGGTGCGCACGGACTGTACCGTATCCGTGCACCCAATGCACGGAGTCAACCAATGCACGCTCCGAGCCTGTACGGCCACCACAAAAGTGAGGCTATAGAGCCACACACAATAGTTAATATCGTGAGATATTTTGATAGGTTAATCTATAGACCTATGCGACAAAGTTTCTCATACAAAGTTACTGATATTTAGTGGCGGTGCGGCCGCTGCGTGTCGTGATAGTTGGGCGTGGTAGAGGAGGCGTCACAGGCTTTGGGTGACTACGCGCACCCACAGCACGACGCGCAGGCTTCTGTTTGACAGCAGAAGCTTTTGAGGTTGGACGACTACCTCTTTGGGATAATTTGAGAGCTTTTGCAGCGTCGCGAGCCTCCTTATCCTTGCGTCTTTGCTCCTTGCGTGCATCGATGGCTGCTCGCTCCTCTGCCTTGGCCTGGTCTCTCGCTGCCTTCTCCCTTGCCCGCTGCTCACGCTTCTCTTCTGCAATCTTCTCCTTGTAGAGTTTACTAGCAGCAGCTAACTCTCTCGTCTCTGCCTTTTTGAGCTCCTCTTCTTGTGCCTCTTGTTCTGCAACAGCCATGCGCGCGCGCGCCTCCCGGAAGGCTCGAGGAGACCACATCATCGCACCTCCGTGATACTCCTGATGCTGCTGCAGGTCTAATTGCCTACTGGGTTGCTTCTAGCGCTTCCTGTTTTGGTAGAGCTTCTTGCGTAAGCCATCTACTTCAACTTGGAGTAATTCTACTTGAGATGAGAGATGGTGGATAGTTTGACCCAGCTTCCGTGCGCCCACACTGCGCGAATCCTTCATCTCTGCCTAAAGTGTAGTGCAAGCTTTGAGCCAATCCTCGGCAGAATAAGCCGTAGAGCCAGAGGAGACTGATTCTAAGCTGTCAGGGCTTATGTGGCGGAACCTATCGAGTATGACGTCGGGATTCACTGGGGATATGCCGGTGGCTGTGAAGGCCTTTGATATGAGGTTTTCAGTGAACGTGGATACCCAGGCAGGCCAGAACAGGGCAAAGAAGTCACCTTTGGACAGTGGAGAAAGGCCCTGAGATGCCTGGAGGTGGTTGTCGAGTTCACAGGAGTAGTTAGATGAGAGAGGCTTGAAGCAGACTACATCCAACGGCTGAAGAGTCTGGGTACTGTGAGGAGGCAATACTGCCAATATAATCCGCTTCTGGTGACAGTATTCGATAAACTCCTGGGTTAGATGACTCCCATGGCCATCCACAATCAAGAGCCGATACCTTAGCCGTGCCTTTGGCTTAGTGTATCGGTCAAACACCTGCTCAAGCCAAGCCAACCCTATATCATTGTTCGTCCATCCTGATGGCGATGAGGCGACGTGGATAGCGTGCTTTCCCGCCTCGATATCCGCTACCCAGCGGCTTTGGATAGTGGAGTTCTTTGACGCGAAGATGATGCCAGGGGGAAGAGTAGTACCATCCGCGCAGATCGCGGCCAACAGGCTCACCCACTTACGTGAGCCATCTTGACGAGCCTGCCTGACCTCCTTCTTCTTATATTGACGCCTGCTGAACACCCGTTTGGTTCTACCTAGCACCCCAATCGCGAAGCCCTTCTTATCTATATTGTATGTGTTCTCTGGCGCAATGTCGTATTGAGTGATCTTCTGCTGTAGAACCTCGAAGTACAACTGGTACTTGCATTGTGACTCAGCGTTATGGTGATTAGAGTCCATGCCAGTGGTCCATTGGAGGGTAAGCCGATCGCGGTGACGGTGCAGGAAGCGCTTGACCCAGCTATCAGAGCAGGGCTGTGAGGCAACTGAGGATACGAAATCTTGTATCATATGCCTTGTAGGTGGTAAGTGACGCGCCGAAAGCTCCTCTATATACTTGACTAGATCTAATTCCTGTTGGTTGCTGAGCTTTTGTTGGTTCTCGTTGGCGACGCGTCGGGGGACCTGATTAAGTCGATGCGCGCGCGACAACGTTGAGCGACCAACACCATGTTTCTTTGCTATATTTGTATACACAAGTTGTTCGCCAGGCTTCAAATTATCAATCTCTGCAAGCGCATCTGATATTCCTGTCATAGTGGTTGAGTAAATACGCGTTCAAAAGGTGGTGGTGATCGCGATCCCCGTGCATTGGTTGACTCCGTGCATTGGGTGCACGGACACGGTAAAGCCTAGCACTAGCAAGGCGGCGCAAGACTCCACCCACGTCGTGAATGGCTTGCTGTGAACGCGCTTCCCTCGAGAGTATTTCATCGACTGTTTGCTCGAATATGAGTGTCTAAATATTTTCATGATATAGTTCGCACTTGCTGTGAGTCGATTGCTAATTCTCTCAGCCGACCGATTCGCCAACTCAGTCGCGTCAAGAGTACAACGCGTAAACACCGACGGCGCGCCACATCAAGATGCTAGCCGACGGGAAGATCGACTCGCTAGATACACATCTAGAGCAATTCAAGCTCAACGATCAGAACAGGCAAATTGATTTAGCAGTACGTCTATACCGACATGTCGTTACTAATCTGCATCCCGGTAACCCCGCTTAGAATCTCCTAAAAGAGTACGGTCAGCTACTTGACGAATACAAAGACTTGAAGAAAGCCTATGAGGAAAAAGGCAAGATTGCTATTACCAAGCCTGCAGCTACGTCTATCACCGCTGTGACAGCAAGGCCTCAAAATCGTTATGTCTTGGTGTTGGTAGACGGCAACAATTACATCGTCAGTTTCATCAAAGCCTCGCAAAATACAAGCTGATAGACTCTAGTTCAACCATGAGCTCATTCGCGAAAAGGAAGAGGGTGGGATGCGTGCTGCTCGTATGCTCAACGAAGCTGTAGAAAATTATCTACAGCAAAGCACGTTTACCCGTGGCGCCCGCGTCCATGTCAAGATCTACGCAGACTTGACGAACCTGTCTAAGCAGCTTGCGAAGTCTAAAGTGATCGGCTTAGAAAAGCGATCGTTATCTCCATTCTCAGCCGCCTTTACCCGAGCCATCAGCACCTTCGACTTCATTGATGCCCTAGATGAAGAAGGCACTAGATTCAAGATCAGAGAACAGTTCAAGATCGCTTCCGAGGATACAGCTTGCTGCCACATCTTATACGCTGCTTGCCATGACCCGGCCTCTCTTTCTCAACTCGTACCCTTCAGCGGCGAACGCAACAAGATTACACTTGTCCAGGGTGCCGGGTGGAACCCTGGGTTCCACCAGTTCGACTTGAACGTCACTCAGTTCAAAACTGTTTTTAGATGGTCTGAACTTCCCGTTGCCGCGCCAGCTAGCAAAAGTGCTGCAGCTGCAGCACCTAAACAAAACGCAATAGCAGCAGTACAGAGATCAATACTTATACCCGGACTACCAACTCCTCGCAAAGAATCATGGAGGCGAGACGGCTCTTTCAGCGTGTCAGACTCCGCATTCGGCGACTTATCGCCTACAGAAACCAACGGCTCCGATGAACAAGACGGCGTTGGAAGGGAAGAGCAATCCGCATATCCCCAAACAGCAAAAGGCGGTCCCTCGAAACCCCAGAAAGACTCGCAGTTATGCAGGTACTTCCAAAAAGGCTTTTGTCGCTTCGGCAACAAATGCAACTTCCAACACGTCCCCAAAGGACTCGACGGCGTAAACGGTTCTACTTCGTCCCAACTACCCCGCGGCCCATCTTCATCTCAAGCTCAACTCGCTTCACTACAATCTTCTCAACGACAAAACAACAACAACAACAACAACAACAACAACAACAACAACACAACAACAACAACAACAACAACAACAACAACAACAACAACAACAACAACAACAACAACAACAACAACAACAACAACAACAACAATCCACAGACCACAGCAGCATCTCTTCCCTCCTCCCCGCCGCCCCAATCCCCGGCTTCATCCCCCTGAACAAATCTCACCAACGCATCGACACCTACCTCGCTTTCCCCTCCCCAGTTGCGTGGAAAATCTACAACGCACGCTTCGCAAAGGCTAAACCATGCAACACCTTCCACCTCCAACAGGAATGCTCCGCCGGCAACTGCACCTTCGACCACAGCGATATAGAGCCTGAAGCAAAGCAAGTCCTCGAGTATGTGGTGAAATGTAATCCTTGTTCGAGGAAGGGGGCTTGTAGGAAGAAGGATTGCTTTTATGGGCACCTATGTCAGAAAGATGGGTGTACGGGGCAAGGTGGATCAGGTCCAAAAGCTTGTCGGTTTAAGCCAGACTTACATTATAGGGGGGAGGAATGTAGGGTGGGGAGTTTGGTGCCGGCGGTGGAGGATGACGTGAGAGAAGGGGATGATTTTATGTGGTAGTGGCAATGATCACTGTATGGAAAGATAGACCTTTAGAGGAGATATAGATCATCTATGAGGATCTATAACCACAACCAAACAGTTACTAGCCGTTTATTTTAAAGACTTCTTCCGGAATGATCGCATATGAAAATATTCAATATCAGTAATAGCCCCATGCAAATGCCCATCCCAGTCAAACGCCACCGCTAAAACAGCCCATATGCATAACCCAAGCAAGGCAAAGTGGTATAAAACATCCTGAAGATACACACAAAATGCAACAGTCCCATCTACTCAGCTTAACTAATACTTCCTTCCTTTCCGCCTCGGCAGCCCAGATTCCATGCCCGTGGTCGGCGGCACACTCGCAGTAGCTGGTATAATAACCTTGGGCGTAGGAAGTCCCTTCTTCGGCGTAGCATCGCTGATCCCCGAACGATTTACATTCTCCTTGTCTCCAACCTTCGCTGAAGAAGGTGTTTGCGGTAGTACCACTTTCTTGGGAGCAGCAAGACGACTTTTGCGTTGAGATCCTGGTTGCACACCCACAGGTGCTACGTCTAGAGACGGGAGTTTGGCATCAGTTGTGCTGGATGATAGACCGCTGTCGATGGATGTAGAGGTTGAAGACGCAACGGGCATCTTCTTGATCTTGGTAGATTTTGGTTTAGGCGGTTGCTTATCTTGCGCTGCTTCTTTTTCTTCTTGCACGGCTTCGGGAAGTAGACTTGCAGGTGCTAGTAAGCCCTTGCCAGGTGTACCGTTTGTCGTTCCCAGACCACGTACTCTGCGTACCTTGGGTGTAGATGTCTTGCTGGTCTTCTCCTTTTTCTTCTTTGGCTCAGGAGCATCTGACATGCCTAGTTCGTCTGGGGTGGCTAGAGACTCCGCCTCAGCTAGAGTCTCTGGGTTCTCCTGGTAGTATGCCAATGTCTCGTCCCAACGTACATTCTTACCGACGATGAGTTCCTTTTCAGCATCGCTGATAGGAGGCAGATTGTATGCGTCCATTGCGAGCTTCATCAGACGGACGGTAACACAGAAAGCGCCTTGCTTGTTCTTGCGGGTGTTGTTTCGCGTCATGTCAGCTAGCACTTTCGCGTCGTCCTTCTTGAGTACGACTACTTCATTACCGTCGGCACGGCGAATATTGATCTTGGGTGGTCCTGGGGCGGGTAATCTTGACTTCTTTGTCCGTGAAGAGCGTCTTGATGCTTGTGCACTCTTCTCTTCAGCAGTTTCTGTCTCCTCCGCACATGGAGTAGGCGATGGAAGAGTTTCAGCCGGCTTACTTAGTGTGGGTATTTGCGATAGATCCAGCGTCAGCTCGGTATGCTGCTTGGAAGGCGAGTTGGGGTCCTTTTCTTCGAGCACCTTGCGGGGTGAGGCCAAGGCATGACGGACCACATCCGAGTCTCGTCGATTCTGTAATGACTCTCTCTTGTGTGTGGTAACGGCAGCCTTCTCAGCCTTGCTCGCGGCAGCGCGAGTGAGAAAGTCCTTGAGGATGGCGGTATCATCATCGAAAGCGACTGTCATGGTAATATCATCGGGTCCAGACTCAGGGCGAGGCGGAGGCGGAGGGGAATGCAGTCTGCGAGGGACCGGTGACTGTGCTTTGGTGGGTGTGAAGGAAAACGTCAATCCATCGGCAATATCTGTAGATGCGACAGGTGCGTCCGTCATGTCGAGGTCTATTGGCTGAGGAAGCTCGAGAAAAGAGAGGTCATTAGGTTGTCGGGCATCGATCTTTGACGTGATTACATCCTCCTTCAAGTTTGAGTCGCCGTCCATGTGTTCATCGGTGTTCTCTTGATCTACCGAAAGCAGATTATGCTCTTGAACCGCTGCTTGATACTCTCGCAAGATGTTCAGCTGCAGCGAAGCTTCTGTGAACTCTTCTTCACGGTCGCCCGCTTCAGGAGATCTGGGTATGTCTTCCTGAACTTCCTCTGTCGATAAGCTCAATTCAACTTCAGATAACTCATCGTCTTCGTCATGCGCTGGTGGTAGTGCTGAAGTCGTGGGATCGTCCAACGGCAAAGCTGGGTACTGAAGGCCCGTCGTAGCCTGTGGTGCCTCTGACGTATCCCCCTCTTCAAGCCCCGCCTCGTTGCTTTTGTCGCTGACAGCCTCCTCGGTTCGAGTCTCGGCCCCCTCTTGAAGTGTTCCACTCACGGAGAACAAACTCTCTGCACTGGTCTCCTCCAACACCCTGTTGCTGTCTTCGGTGGGTAAAGTTTCCGTCATGATCGCCTCAGTTTCCGCTTCTACGTTGTCGCTCAGGGGAAGTTCTGGGTATTCAACCTTCTCAGGCGATGCATTTGAGGCACTCGACATGTGCTTGAGTGGCGAACAAAATAGCTTCGCAATTGTCGCGTCCTCGGTGGATTCCAGCTCTTCTTGGTATGCGTCTACGGTCTCGCGATCGTGAAGTTCAGCTGTCGACGCGTCCACCGTGAAGGTGAAAGTCGATCTGTCGTCCTTCACAGAAGGTAGGTCTCGAACTGCTTCCATCTGTTCATCCATATCCGCGTTTGTCTCGTTGATGCTCTCCTCGTCTTCCATGTTGTGGGTACTGTCTTCTTCCTCTTCGCTGCTGACTTCGTCGTTGGCGCCGATTGCGGGATGTTCAATCTGTGTCGCTTTCTTCCCTGAAACCAGTCAGTGAATGCTATCGTATTACATTTAGTAACCCTACTTGGCAGAACACTCTTCCTGCGGTCCCAGCGCGTCGCTTTGAACACGCGCTTCTTGCCAAGTCTACTCGTAGATTTCTCCATAGCCTTCGGGCTCATGTGTTGCCGCCTCTTCACAGGCCTTGAGCGCGCATCTTGTTCCTCCTCATCCTCTGACCCTTGTGTTGTGTCGTCGGCACGCGACCTGAGATCGAATCTGCGCCAGATCTTCTTCTCCTTTCCTTCACCTACTCTCTTTACTTCCTGCTTTCGCTCCCATCCACGCGGTATCTTGGCAACTGGAAGGGTATTTGGGTCGAGAAATGCAGCATCGGTTTCGTTCCAGGTGTTGTCAAACGTTGCTGTGGGCGCGGTGCGTTTGCGCGGAGTGAAGACCATGGTGTCGGCGGTCGATTAGTACTATTATATATATATATATATATATATATATATCAATGGCGCGCAAACATGGATCCTGTGTCGTGAGGCTCGTTAGTATCGTCGTGAAGATGTGTCGTCTGTGTTCGCCGTCCGTCGCTAGGAAGGTGCAATCGTAAACAAAGCCGGACAGGGATCAAGATGGGGCAGGCACGCTAAGGAGATTGCCGCGGCGGAAACTTTTGAATCCACCGAGTCGACGACGACGACGCCATCGCATCCACGAGCCTGTACAACACCAGTACTCACGTCGCATTTGGATTGCAGCAATCTTTCGAAAAGCATCTACAAGATGGTACCGAAGCCCCAAGGGACCGCCGTCCAGTCGGCCACGCACCGACCCCTCCCGCCGCTACCAAAACTTCGCGTCCGACGACCGAACAAGCCAGAGGCAAACCCATGTCTAGGAGCAATGTCATCAGTTTTGGGTATGTCAGAATAAGAGCTGTAGAGTGAGGAGATTGAGATGTGATATCGGATTGCGCCGGAGGGTGGACTGCGGGGCCAAGAGTGCTCGAAAAGACAACCACGAATATGCGCTGACACATGGCTACAGGATGCTGGGCGTCTTCCGGCTACAGCGTACAAGGCTGTGCGCAGCTTGAGCAGAAATTACGGCAGTGTATGGATGCGCCAGTACGTTCACCAACCCCAACAACTCTCAGACCCCATCTAATCCTCCATCCAGCGAAACCCCAACCAGAAGAAGAACAACATCAACTACCACCTTTCGAGGATGTACCCCAAGATCGTCGGCCCTCACAAGCGGGACTAGACCGCTCACGCCATTTTCTTGTACACTATGTATACCCGTACGACAGCATCATGGGGGAGTTCAAGTCGTTGGAATCATCGACAGGCGTTATGGTTACGATCGTTGTATATAGACGAATTTAGGAAGAGTTGGCATTTGCGTTTAAGCTGCAGATGTATTGAATCACAACCAAATCGCCTATTACGTACAGAGATATCTGCAAGGGAAGAATGAGGCCACGAGCGGGCTTTGGCCAGTAGTTGTGTTAGCGACGGCTGCAGGACAGCCCTTTACGCACGATTACGACTGCTTTGTCTATTAACTTCATGTTTCAGTTTGGTCCATCATCCAGACCGACCACCATTCGAGACCATACCAACAGCCTATATCGAACCATCATCTGCCGAACAAGGCAGTGCATCCAATTCCCCACGTTCACCCACGTGCGAGACACGTCTTTGTATGTTTCATCGCTCCAAGGCCTAAATGCCAAGTCTCTACTGCATCACCAATAGCAAACGACAGATTCAATCGCATCTACTAAGGGATTACCGCAGTGTTATATCCCGCTCGTCATGATGCATAATTATGCTGTGCATCGTTGACCGAACACGCTCACTTGGGCTATATTTACCAACTTTGTCCAACGCCACATGCAGGCTTAGACCCACTCACTCTACACCCCACCAGCACGTCTACCAATGCGCTGCTCAGCCCCCAGTTGACCAAATCCTACGCCTACCTTGATCCGGCCGCATACTAGACCTCCCCCAACCTCCCAGTGGCCCGTCACTCACACGTTTTGTGCAGGGCGGAAAATCGTAGGTATGATTGGGCTGATGTGGGAAGAGGTGAAGGGTGTTATGCGACGCCTTTCCTGAAGCTACCCTCGCTTACCCGCATCGTCACCACCGCGAAACCGCTTTCGATTGGATCGCCAGGGACATGGCCCGATCTCTATAGCCAGGGAAGCTCTCGAGCTTACCCTGCCGCAACATGTGTTGCTAGGGTGCTGATTTCCCTCCCACATGCACTCAGCCGCGTAAGGTGTTGTGGGCTTCTTATAGTCTGCTGGATTGCGTAGCGATCTTCATCTTTGCACCTCAAACTACTCGAGCGTACGACTCTGCTGTTCGTCATACTTTGGTGTCGGTTTACTCGGATTGAGGGCTGTTCGTTTACATAATTAAAGAGCTGTGCTCATGGAAACACAATGACGACTAGATTCCTTGCACTCGTCTTGTTAGGACCGGCGATGGCATACGCGGCAGCTTTCTCGATACCGGAACCTACACAATATACGCCAACGGTGCATGGATGGAGTCCAGCGCCTACAGCAGCACCGCAGCTTCTTTTCGATCTGTCCAGACGGCAGCAAGGTGGTAGCAACACCTGTGGATTCGTTTCTGGTTCTGGTCTCCCAGGTAAGGTTACCTCAATTCAATCCTTGAAAAGTACTAACTCTTCGACAGTCAGCGCGGTAACATGTCCAAATCCCACGGATGTATGCGCTACCAATACCAACTTTGCCATCCACGGCTGTTGCGACCCGGCCCTAGGAACCTCCTGCACAATAGCCACAGCATGTATCGCCTCAACAGCCATGTCAGCGTCCTGCACAAACGACGCTTGCTCCTCCGACGCCGCAATAGCAAAGTGCACAGCGAGCTCCGCACCAGCTTGCTACCAGTGGCAGTTCATCTACGACAGAATGGTTCTCACACAGTATGGCTGCGCAGCCAGCGCATTCACAAGTACCGCATACCATAGTCTGGGGATGAGTGTATCGACGAGCTCAGCAGCGAAAGAAACAGTTACTGCGACCGTCACTAAGGAGTCTATCAGCATGCCAACTTCCTCCAATTCTTCTTCATCTTCCGGCTCGTCAAAACCTAGCCTAGGTGCTATAGTAGGCGGTACCATTGGCGCTTGTCTCTTCGTCTCTTTTATCGCTTTCGTCGTCTTCCTCGCGTGGCGCCGTCGTAAAGCCGCGGCAAAGAACAATCCGCATTCTGCTGGTGCTTTCCACCAGACGAATCCACAATCAATGGTTGAGTATGATCCATTGGGTTTCCCTTCTCCGGGCTTCTCGTCATCCGGTTTGCCTTCGCCGGCTAGTCCGTATGGCGATGATAGCAAGGGCTGGCAGCAGCATTCACCGAGAATGGGCAGGGGTTCAATAGGTATCGTGGAGGTGGACGGGACGTCGAGGGCGGTGGAGGCGCCCACGGCTGAGAAGTGAAGTGTTTTGAATACCTTATCGCTGTTTTCTTTTAGTCTTTGCTTGGTGGCGGCATGTGTTTTCTTGTTCCGGACTTCGGTCTTGGTAGATGATTACGTGTTTTTTTGTATTACAGCATGGTGGTTGATAGATTGATAACCGAATCTTGGGGAACTTTACGGGTAGGAAGATGGTTTCGCAGTGCCTCGGCTTACTGCACTTTGGGACTGTTCGTGTAATAGCATGTATACGATGTATGTTATTTCATTTTTGCTCGCCGGACCTTGGCGGACATATATATTCCATATATGCAAGACTTTACTGCGAATGTGATATTGTTGCACACGAACTTTAGTGTAGAGGTGGCCTGTACTCTGAGTAAATCCATTCGCTTGCATTACTACACTATACACGCTATCAAGATGGCTTATGATTATTCACCTTCAAGTCAACGGCGAGTTAGGAACGTTGCCCTGCCGTGAAGACGTCATCTCTACTGGAAGCGCTTCTCAGCGGCCTTCCAGTTGATGACGTTCCAGATAGCCTTGAAGTACTCCGCCTTGCGGTTCTGGTAGTCGAGGCTGGAAATGGTTAGCTTAATCAACCTCTGTCAGGATTTCATGCTAGAACTCACTAGTAGGCGTGCTCCCACGCATCAACACCCAGAATAGGACGGAATTGGCCAACGACGGGGTCCTGGTTGGCATATGTCTTGATCTGGATAGCGCCAGTCTGCGTGTCCTGGACCAACCAAGCCCAACCACTTCCTTGGATGCCCGCGAGTGCCGTGTTGAACTTGTCCTTGAAGGCGTCGAGGCTACCGTAGCTGTTGTTGATAGCAGCTGATAGCGCGCCAGATGGAGGCTCACCGCCGCCCTGGTTGGTAGGCGCAAGGTTCTCCCAGAAGAGGCTGTGGTTGATGTGACCTCCGCCGTGGAAGTTGATGAGCGGTTGCAGCGCAATCTGTGCCTTGATGTCTTCCTTTTGCTTGGCCTCGGCGATTTGCTCGCTAAAGTTGTTGAACGAGGTTACGTAGGTGTTGTGGTGGTTCTTGTGGTGCAGTTCCATGATCTTGCCGGAGATGGAGGGTTCAAGCGCGCCGTAGTCATCTACAGACTGTTAGTATGCAATGTGTCTATCAAAGTCGTAAGTCGTACATGGGAGGTCGGGCAGAGTGGCCTTGCCGCGAACAAACGTGGTACCGGCGAGACCAGCTCGAGAAGTGACGGGAGCTGCGGCTCTCGCGGCAGAGCGCAGAGCAGATGTGCGGAGGAGTGTGGTGTTCATGATGGCTTCAATTGATGTAATGGTTCAATTGTGTGTTGGTGGTATGAAGCTGGTATGAGCTGGTAGAACTCTGGGGAAGCTCGGGATTTATTACTGGCATTTCGTCATACTCATGCCGACCACCGACCACCGAGCTCAGAGCTCCTCCACTCCTCACGGCAGTGCGCCCTTCGACCAATGATAACACGCTGCTTTCGCCTTACGTTGGTACGATGTATGCAGGATTCGCGTCAAGACAATTTGCATTTTCATGTGAGAATGTTCAAAAAGAAAAGAGATGGCCGCTCGCGATATGGTAACTCCCCGGGATAGCCCCGCGCGGCGCTTTCAGAAAGAACTAGTCAATCAAGACGTGGGTGGCAGCTGTGCAGTTTTTGATAATCGCGTGCCGCAAAAACGAGACGCTTGATCCAAGTACCATATACTATCTCACCCCATGTGAGGTGATTGAGGTCCGCCCTGCATTTACGACAGCCATTCCAACGCGCTCCACAAGGGTGTCCCTCTTACAACTTACTTTAGCTACCCCGCCAAACGTCATCATGGCGCCTGTTAATGTCGTTCACCTGCCCAACGGTCAAAACATCACTGTCACGCCCGTCTTTGGGGGCCTCTTCTTCAAGTCAAGCGAAGTTCACATACATTCGCCTTTTCCGCCTGGTTGGACTATTGTGCTCAATTCTGAGGATGAATTGGCTACAGACGAACAAGAGCAGCAGCAGCAGGATGAGGGTGAGCTGTTCCCGCCACGACATATACATCGCTTCAAGAAACCTACCTTGAATGGAGACCACCTCTATATCTCATCCATTTCGAACCCCAGCAGCAGCGAGTTCAAGCCGGCTGCGTCGCCAACCCGCCAGATCGCTATGATGCTGTGGGCGACGCTGTACTGGTACTTCCACCAGCCCGAACCGACGCTGCAAGTCACGAATGCGCTTTCGAAGAACACCGCCGACGCTGGTAAGCCCAAGGGCGAATGGCGCATAAACATTAACAGGGAGGGTGTTTTCAAAGGCAAGGTAGTGCTGCCCAAGCTGGAGCGCATGGGGCTCATTGCCAGTGAAGATTCGACTGTGGGATGTGCGCAAGAAGAGTCCTCTCCTGAAGGCTGGACGCGCATGTTCGTCAGTCGAAGGACATTCTGGCAGCTGGACCCCAGAATATACCTGTTTACTCTATCACCCTTAGCCAACACCAACTCACCCTTCCCAGCAGGCTCGCCGTATCCCTCGAGACCGTCGTCCCCAATGGGTGGATCTGATGCGAAGAAAGAACAGCAGCTTGATCAAGTATCACCAGGCCTGTGGTCACCAACTGCGCCAGGCCCCTTCCACTCGAGCTCGCATCTACCAACATACTACCCGCCCCCGCCCGCGCAATACGTCTTCACGAACAACACGCGACACCCCATACGACCGAAGCCCCCTCGACAGGGCGAGATACTGTATACAAGGTACGTACCCAGCGTTGGGCAGTACCTATCGTTCCGAGTGGCTTCCATCTCCTCGAAAGCGCTTCGACACCAGGGCCCGGTCTCCAGCCCAAAGCGCAACAGCCAGATTGCAGCTTCCGACTCCGTCGTTCCTACCATGAGCTCGATGAACGGCGGAATGTCAGACTCGGAGTATCTACACAAATGGATGAACGATCCGCGTGTATCGCATTTTTGGGGCGAGGCGGGTCCAAAGTCTCATCAAGAGGAGTTCCTTAAGAATGGCTTACGATCGAAGAACTCGTTCCCAGTCATGGGATGCTGGGACGGGAAGCCGTTTGGCTACTTTGAGATATACTGGGTCAAGGAGGACAACCTGGGAAAGTACCTACCTATTGTCAGCGATTACGACCGAGGCTTCCACTGTTTGGTGGGTGAGCAGGAGTTCAGGGGTGCGCACAGGGTCAAGATCTGGCTGAGTGCATTAGTGCACTATTGTTGGCTCTCGGATAACCGGACGGAGAGGGTCATGTTGGAGCCGAGGGTCGATAACGAGAAGTGAGTCTCCAATTAATAACCAACAGTACACTGCTAACTTGCCAGACTCGCAAACTACCTCCAAGAAGCTGGCTTCTACAAGGAGCGCGAGATTAGCCTTCCACACAAGCAGAGCAACCTGTTTAAGATCAACCGAGACGTGTGGAAGGGGCCGGCGCTGTGAGTCCGCGGAGACGGTAATAAATGTGGAGTTGGAGTTGGGCAGAGCCGCATGAACGGGTTACGGCTCTTGGTGGATATGGTTATGTGGAGTAGCGCAAGTAAGCGCATCATGAGATACCAAGGTCTAGACTTCTATTCATGCTTAACATGCCACCTGCCGTGGGGGAACCCTTGGTCATTTCAATGAGTGTATCCCACGAAAGTACCATGACCGGGAAATTGTCCACCGAGGCGTTGAGACGTTGAGAGGCGTGTACGAAGGTGAAGCAATTCAGAGATTCTTCATAGAAGTCCATCGCTACAAGTCGGCTGCCCAGAACCCCAACAACGCGCGCGGGAAAATTTCTGCTACCCAAATCGCTATTTTGTCGTCGATCGGCCTCTTTCACCTTCCGACATCAGGATGAGAATCGACCATTGACGTGCGTTTCCAAAGGTGCGATAGTACCTAAATGTGGGGTTTAGCGAGCTCCAAAACTTTTTGGCTACACGTGAGGACGTCATTGGTCTTTGGGTAGAAAAGGGAGCCCACGACACTATGAATCATCGTTTGAATTCGATTCCACGATACCCCAATCTTCTTCTATAATCTCGTGATTACTGTGTTAATACACGGGTTGCTAATCACAGCAAAGTTGAAAGCAGACTTTGATACCAAATTCGGAAGACTATCGGACTAACCCACAAACGAACCGCCCAAACTCACCCCTCATACACCACACAGTCATGGCTACCCAGGACAGCTCCCTCGACATTCAGTCCCGCATATCAACTATGAAGGCTCAATCTGGCGCCACCATTTTCGATGCGTACCAGACTTCTCTCACAGGCCGGTACTGCTCGGCGGAGATGTCGCAACTCTTCTCGCAGCGCAGCCGACACTCGATATGGCGCAAGTTGTGGCTGTTCCTCGCAGAAGCAGAGAAGGAGCTGGGAATTGAGAACATCAGCGACGATGCGCTTAGCCAAATGAGGGAGCATCTGACTGTTACAGATGAGGATTTCGGAGTTGCCAAGGTCGAGGAGAAGAAGAGGAGACACGATGTTATGGCGCATGTACATGCTTTTGGACAGGTCGCTCCGGCTGCAGCGGGTATTATTCATTACGGAGTATGTTCTGATGACACGGAGAGATGGAATTATGGAAATCCAAACTAATCCTTCACAGGCAACAAGCTGCTACGTAACGGATAATGCTGAACTCATCCTTATGCGCGATGGTCTGGATCTTCTCATTCCCAAGCTCGCCAAAGTCATCTCCAACCTCTCAGCTTTTGCTCTGAAATGGAAGAGCGAGCCTACTCTGGCTTACACCCATCTCCAGCCCGCTCAGCTCATTACCGTTGGCAAGCGAGCAGCACAATGGGCACAAGATCTCCTCTTCGATCTTGAAGCCATTGAGCTTGTCCGCGAGACTCTGCAGTTCCGCGGCGCTCAAGGAACCACGGGCACACAAGCCTCCTTCCTCGAGATCTTCAACGGCGACAGCAAAAAGTGCGACCAACTCAACGAGCTGCTCTGCAAAAAGGCCGGCTTCCCCTCCTGCTACGCCATCTCCACACAAACCTACACCCGCAAAGTCGACCTCATCATTGCAAACGCCATCTGCGGCCTCGGCGCCTCTGCCCAGAAGATCACAGGCGACATCCGCCATCTAGCCGCATGGAAAGAACTCGAAGAGCCGTTTGAAAAGGACCAAATCGGCTCGTCAGCCATGGCCTACAAGCGCAACCCCATGCGCTCAGAACGCATCTACGCTCTCAGCCGTGAACTCATGTCCAAGCCAGCCTCATTCGCAAACACCCTCTCAGACCAATGGATGGAGCGTTCGCTCGACGACTCGGCAATCCGCCGCATGGACATACCAGAGATGTTCCTCCTCGCCGACGCTATCCTCCTCTCCCTCGACAACGTAACGTCCGGCCTCGTCGTCTACCCCAAACGCGTCGACGCCCGCGTCCAAGAAGAACTCCCCTTCATGATCACCGAGTCCATCATCATGCGTCTCGTAGCCAAGGGCGAATCGCGCCAGGAAGCCCACGAGCAGATCCGCGTGCTCTCGCACCAGGCTGGCGCGCAGGTCAAGAACGAGGGCAAAGCCAACGATTTGGTTGACAGGATCCGGAATACAGACTTCTTTAAGCCAATCTGGGGCGAACTGGATACTATGCTTGATAGCAAGCTGTATACGGGACGGAGCGAGGAGATTGTGGAGAAGTTTTGTGGCAAGGGCGGTGTGCTCGAGGCCAAGTTGAAGAAATACCAGGAGTACATCGAGGGGGCTAAGGTTAGTGAGCTGAACGTTTAAAATCAGGATGTGTGAATGAGAAAGAGAGAGAGAGAGAGAGAGAGAGCTGAGGATTATGAGCGTCCTTTGAGGAGTCGGGTAAATTCATTCGAGTTAGAGAAAAGTAATCAACTTACAAGTATCCGAATTGAAGTCCCTACTACTAGGTTGAAGACAAAGAAAACAAAGTCGTATATCATTCATCATCCCATATATATGTGCCCTCGGAATTACTCAACTATGCTAATTCTATGCCCAAACGCTGATATGCCAATGCCAATACTGCAAGAATACTCTATACGACGCTATGCCAATATGCCAATGAAATACCACGACTCCACCAAAACACCCTCCAACAAGCACCAAGTAAAAATAACAACGACTAATGTCTAATTCCCTGCATCCACCGATCAATCTGATCCCGCTGTCTAGGATCCATAGGTGGGCCCATCATACCCATATTCATGCCCATGGGCATCTGCATACCGCCCATTTGCATGCCGTTCATCTGCATTGGCATCTGCATGCCCATAGCATTCATTTGCATAGGCATGCCCATCATAGGGTTTTGTTGCATCATGCCGGGCTGCTGCATGCCCATTTGCATGCCCATCTGTCCCATCATGGGCTGCTGCATACCGTTCATTGGCATGTTGAGGTTGGGTTGCGACATCATGCCCATACCCATCATGCCTGGTTGAGGGCCCATGATGCTCATTCGCTGTTGACCATTCATCATCATGGGGTTCTGAGCGTTTTTGTAGGCTTGGATCTTTTGGCCAAGGGGTATGTCATCGTCGTCTTTTTGGTTGTTACCCACACCCTTGAGCAGGGGGTCCATGGAGCCGTAGCTGGAGGCACGCATGGTGGCTGTAAGACGTTGCTGTTTCTTGCGCTCTTGATCGAGGACGTTCTGGTGCAAGAGGCTTCCTTGGGGGAGGTGAGAGACAAGCTGTTCATTTGACACTTTGCGGGCTTGGTTGTGCGGATCGATGGGGTTGGCAGCGAGGATGTCTGCAAGACTGTTGGTAGAACCGAGACCAGGACGGTGGGCAGATTGCGGGGGATGTTCACCTCGGGCGGCGGCTTCGGCTTGGAGGCGGGCTCGGCGCTGGCCGAGTGTTTCTTCTTCTTCCTCCTCTTCCTCAGCAGCAGGCGGGGGTGCAACAGGTGCATCTTTTGGCTGCTCCTGACCAGAGGCCTCTGGGGCACCGAACTTGGTCATCATCTCAGAGGCAAAGTCGTCACTCACTGTGCTTTTACGCACGTCGCCAAGCGCTGTCTCACGCTCTCGCTTTTCCTTGATGCGACGCATGCGGTCAGCCAGTGACTCGCCTGGCTCCTCATCCGAGTCTGGCTCAGGGGTTGTGATTGTGGGAAGGTTGAGCTGGCTTGTAGACGCTCCTAGATATTGAGTACGCCGCTGATTTGGGTCAACGCCGAGTAGCCTGTTACGTCGACTACTGAGGGGTTCTCGGTCTTCCAACTCTCGCTGCTCGATAAGACCCATGCTCTTTTGTCGCATTTGTGGAGGTGCAGTCTGCTTGTAGAGAACGCCAAGGGGCACATCATCGTCAGAGTCTTCTTCCGGTGGTGCCTCCCAGGCGAGGTTGACCTTCTTGCGAATTCGCCGTTGCTTTTCTGCTTCAGCCACGTCATTCATCTGCAGCAGAGTTTGGCGACCATCAATCAATCCCTGTTCCATCAAGGTTACGTAGTTCATCTTCCTAGTTTGCTGTTTTGCCTTGCGTAGCTGGAGTTCAGCAAGAAGTGTCGTCGGTGCGCCGTATTGCGGTTCTGGCTCGCCCTCCTCTTCACTCGATTCCTCTTCTTCGCCGGCGTCTTCTGGGTGACCGTCTTCGAACGAGGGCCGCGAAGCATCGGGGTCATGTCCATCCGGTCCTCGTGCGTCTTCGTCACGCTCCTCCAACTGATCACCCAGGCTCATCCGACTCTCGCTTGCTTTGACGAGCAGCAGATTCATATCAGCTGAGCTGTTTCGTTTCTTCAACTTCTTCAAACGCTCTCCCTTCGCGTTATGGTCTGTATCCAGCAGATTGAATGAGCTTCGTCTTCGCGTCTCTTGCAGTGTTGGTGGAACTTCCGGTAATTTCGAACTCTTGCGCTTGTGCTCTGGTCCGTACACTTCACTGCCCACATGGCCAGCAAACGGATGGTCAGTGAAGGCAGAGACTGGCGCATTGGCAGAAGCATCCAGGATGCTTTCAAGCGTGTCTTCCGCAGATTCTCCCTTGACGGCAAACTCTTGGGTAGGGGCAGCTCGATTATCAAAGTAAGCGCTCGCTCGTAGTTGTGGTGGGAGAGCCATGAGACTTTGCCGGCTCTTCCTGTCTTTAGGCTTCGAGTCCATGAGATTATCACCAAGCAGCGGCATCGACTTCCTATGCTCCGTCTGCTGCATCGACTCGAACAATTGTGTGCGGCGTTTAGCTTGCTGATTCATGTTAGGTAACTGTGATAGACGCTTTGGCAGGTTCAGCATCTTGGGCACAGGAGCCGGATAGAAGACCATGCCGTCGTCTGGTGGCGGTGCACCTATCGAATGGACGCTCGGGTTGGCTCTATGCATAAAGGACTGGTTGGACGAATGTCGGCTATGGACATGACTACTCTGCCGGCTGTGATGAGACGGCTCAGGTTCCTCTTCGACAGTGTCTGGACAGTGGACACCGTCAAAGTCCTGCCATAGTGTATGTGCTTGGTGTGTAGTGTCAGTCGAGGCTGCTGTCGGGGGTCGGTCGGGGAGATCGCGGTGGTCTGTATACTGGTAATGTGTATCCTCGTGCGTGAGCTCGTCGGGTTCGGGGTGTCTGGGTGGAGTGCCTAGATGTATACTGTTACGCAGCTCTTCTGGCAACCCGTTCGCAACCTCATCGAATATGCGTGTAAAGGACGAGACCTTTCGTTGCGGAGGCGACGCAGAGCCGCGCTCTTCATCATTTCGTCGTCCGTCGTCCCGTTCCTCCTCGACTTCCTCAGGGTGTACAATCTGTCCAAGACGCGATGCCTTTGATTCCGAACGTTGGCGCTGGACGGAATTCGAGGGTTTCGGCCAGGGTCCCGTCCCCGAGCGCAGAGAACCGGCGGGCGAGGTGATGTAACCACCCGGCGAGTATCCGCCCCATCTTGCGTTTCCATTGAGGTCTACAATTGAATTGGCATGCGAGCTGATTGAAACGCCGCGACTCCGGGTACTGGCCTGTCTGGTGGGCTCGTCGGGAGAGTGTATGTCGCGCAACGACGAGCGCCGACTGTCGGTCAGCTTCAATTCAGAATACGTCTTTCGTATCTCCTCCTGCAGGTCTGAGCCGGCCTCGCTCATGCGTTCGGCATGTTCTTCCAGGCGTTCGATGTTGCCGATATACGCCCCTTGTAGCGACTGGAGATCCGGAACCGGATGGCGGAGGTCGACGTCAGCCTTGGGGGAAGTCATGGCCGTAGACTTGCTACTACCGACTTTGGAAATGGTCAGGAGTCTCTACTTGACTGCGGCACAACTATGGTAAAGGAGACTTTTGGCGTGTTTGTTGCACCGACCCGGACATGGGTAGAGGGTGATCGACCCCGATCCCTTCCAAGAATAGCACGCAGCACGTTACGGCAGGAGCGGCCGAGCCACCCAGGTTTAACGGTTCTTGGCGCTGTCACCTAGAATTCGCGACCGAACATCCTTTTCGACACCATCACCATCACCACTTTTACCCCACGCGCCTTCACCAACAAAGCCAAGCGCATACTCGCTTCTTTCATCCCAGACTTTTGCGACCCCGGTTGCGACACCAATTCTGCGACAAGGCATCTTGCGCGCGCCAACTCCTTCGAATCACCAACTATCGACGCTCAATAGTGCTCGTATACGAATATTTGCCCGTATTCACCATCTCGCGCGTCGCCCACCATGGACGAAGGTGGCAAGCGAAAGCACAGCTTCAGGCAGCAGCCTAACAAGAGGGCAAAGGCCGAGGATGGCAGCGCGCTCAAGTCTGGTTTTGGTGCCAAGATGCTGGCCAAGATGGGTTACAAGGGCGAGGGAGGTTTGGGAAAAGAGGGGGGTGGTATCTCGGAGCCTATTCAGGTGGTAAATCGAGGTACCAAGGGCGGTATCGGCATAGTGGCAGAGAAGAGCGAGCAGCAACGGCGAGAAGAGCGACGCAAGGCCGAAGCGAACGGAGAGAAATATGTCGACACTTCAGAAGAGGAGCGCGAAGAGAGGAAGAAGAAGAAGGCCAAGGCACGAGGCGAGACGCGAACATCGGCTCCTCGACCCAAGAAGACTGTTTTCGAGCTGGAAGCAGCTGGCATGCACGTACCGCTTGCACTGCAGTCCATCATCGACGCGACTACCGGCGCATCTACTCCCACCTCGGGCGTGTCCCTCCGCGGCCCTGATATCGTTCCATTCGAGAACTCTCTACAAGCTCGCGTGCGGAGAGACTTGAACAGTTTCTCTGAGGCATTCGAACAACTGCAGGTCGAGTCGCAGGCTATCCCTCCTCAGGAGTATGCGCTACAGAAAGAGCTAGAAGCGCTCGAAAAGCAGATGGACGAGCTTGAAGATCTGCAAGCGCGCATCGAATCACTGCGAACAGGCACGTTTGACGTTGTCTGCGAAGGACTGAAGAGCCTGCGCGCTGCTTATCCATCGAAGCCACTACACCGCGAATCCATTGCGGTTATACATCCACACTTTGCTAAAGCTATCGCGTCCTGGGAGCCACTTGAGGATGCGTTGGAAGGCATGGCGGCAGCTTTCTCTGAAATGGCGGATATCATACAGCCCAGAAGTAGGAGAGTTGCCTCTCAAGCCTATACTCACCCTTCAGAAGCATTGGTCAGCCGCAACACCATCGACGAAGAGGATAGGATCAAACGCGGCACTACATCATCATATGAGTCTATGATGCTCAAATACTGGCTCCCGACAGCAAGTTCAGCTGTGACACAATGGGACGTCAAGAACCCGCATCCCATGGTGCGCCTGTTAGAAGTCTGGAAGTCAGTCTTACCGCCATTCATTGCCAAACGAGTGCTTGAACAAGTTACACGAAAACTCTCCACCTCTATCCACGAATGGAACCCGCGAAAGTTCAAGAGGAGCCCGCACACATGGGTTGTAGAGTGGTTACCTTTCCTCAAGCCCACAGAGCTAGACCCCAAGGGATCAGGCCTGGTCGCTGAGATCAAACGCAAGATCCGACATGCACTACAGTCCATTGACCTTTCCAAAGGCCCGTTACCAGGGATGGACCAGTGGAGGAGGGTGTTTGGAAAGGGGGAATTTGACCATTTACTTACCTCTCATCTGGTACCGCGTTTGGCCGCCTACCTACGAGACAATTTCGAGATCAACCCCGCTGAACAAGACCTTGCACCACTCGAGGCTGTGTTCGCTTGGAGAGGACTGATATCAAATGAGGTTGTTGGAGAACTATTGAAAGCACAGTTCTTCCCCAAGTTCCTCGAGGTCATCCACCATTGGCTTACGAGTGAGGAAGTCGTCCTCGAGGAGGTCCACACGTGGCTTGAGTGGTGGCGGAACGAAATCTTGCAGGACGACATCAATAACCTGCCTTCGGTCGCCTCGTCGTGGAATGAGGCATACTCACTCATCAACGCGGCACATGATCTTGGCGACGCGAGATTGACAGATCTACCTCCGCCTCAGGTTGGGAGTATCGGAGCTTCGCCAGACACATCTCAGTTCTCAAAGTCCGTCAACAAGGAACCACCTCGTCCTGTGTTGCAAGATGAGGAGCCGACCTTTAAGGAAATCGTGGAAGAATTCTGTGCCGAAGAGAACCTTCTGCTGATCCCACTTCGCGAAGCTCACGACCAGACCGGTTTGCCACTATTCCGTATCACAGCAAGCGCAACTGGACGAGGAGGCGCAGTGGCGTATCTCAAGGGCGATTTTCTGTGGGTGCAGAACAAGAAAGATAAGAATCTGTGGGAGCCCACTGGTCTGAACGAAGCCCTCACTGCAAAAGCTGAAGGCAAGTGATTACCACTACTCCGAAATGCGTGTCTGCATATCCCACACCACGAGGTGCTTGGTACTGGCAGGGTAAGCTCAACAACCTCTCTTGGGCAGATATGTTTGCTAGCATTCGCTAATCCAGCATCGGTACGATGCATCCTTAGGTAGTGATAGTGATGTCGACCGCAGTCGGGCTATAATGAAGCCACCGTTATACCGTCATTTCTCCACAGCGTCTCCTGACCGCGATGATAAACGCCCGTGAGGCATCCAGAGTGCCGAAAGTTTGCATGACTGAAAGGTTGCATGAATCGTGAAGGAGAGAGGAGTAACGGCCAATGCGAGTTGCCGTCACAAGATAATCGGGGTGATGCGGCCTAATAATCGGTCCTTGCTGCAAGCCTAGTGTGTGATTTCCATTGCATCGCACAAATGTCGCGTAGAATTTGTGATCCGACTCGTTGCTTCAAGTAGTTTGTTCGGCATATGATCCTTGGAGGAGTTAATATAGTGGCTTCTGTGATTGCTAGTGTGATGGAGTGACTGTGCGCTGATTCGCATTATCGGGCGCTTAGAATAGACTTTACTGGCGAATAGGAATGCGAGAATGGGTGCGCATTTCTTAGGCTGCAGGGGCTGCCTCTTATGCATGCGGACCGTCTCTTCCCGCTGACTGTGCCTCGAGTTGGCAGATCGCCCATGTCCGGGAGGCTGGTAGTCGAGCAGTACTCGAGCGACGCTGTAAACATGTTTCTCATTTCTCGTGGTTGTTCTTAACACAACGGTGATGACTACCACGACATTAGTTGCAGCCTCTTACTCCTCAACGCGAAAGCTTTGAACGCTATCAACTGGTCTAAATAGTATTGTTAACTATCCCACCTCGTCTAGCTCGATAGAAGCGACCCCGCCTCAGCGGCTGAGAGGCTTCATCCACTGGACGCCCCAACGTAGCTCAAGAAATGGCCCAGCCAATCAGATCCAACATGCACTACCCCAAGCCATCACACCCAGTCGTCCGCTTCTTGCATCCGTCCACTTGCAGACCGCCGATCAAAGTACTTACCCACTTCCCATCCCTCTTCATATCACCATGTCGCCTCTGTTACACTCTGCATTTCACCCGGTTCCTCTCAGTCGGGAAGCGAATGCATTTGCGGCCCTAGATCGACGTTATACCCTGGACCAGTCTGAGGAAAGATAGACAGCCCTCCCTTTTCCTATTTCTTACTTATATTTCCTTGATTGTTCGAGCGGGAAACGATGCTTGAGAGAGCGCTTCCTCCAGCACTCATCTCTCTGCTTCTTGTTGCATCTGGTGTTTCTGCTGCACCTTACGACTTTCTCGACAACTATCGCGACCCCACACCAGCGGCTGACGAAGGCCCTCCTGCTTCATACCACGCTGTCCGAGACAAGAACGTTTTACCGTACGAGATCTGCGGTGTCGTTGGCGGTTACGTCTTTACAGTACTTATCTGGGGAGTCCTTCTCCTCACCGTTGGTAGAAGGATGAGACGAAAGGCACTTGACCCGCCCAAGCAGTTGGAGCTGGAACTTCAGGACAAGCCGACAAGACCAACCATTAAGACACCTGGTCTAGCATCGCCACCATTGTCGGCACGATTGTGGAGGAAGTTCAAGAAGAACGACTCTGCTGTTCAGAGTCCCGTCGTTCAATCGCCGAGCTCCTTCGACCAAAAGGTCCTCGACGCCCATAGGAATCAAGCTCAAGCTGATATGGAGCGCCTCTACGCCGCTGTCATGGACTTTGACGCCCAAAAGCATTCCTCCAAGGTCAGCATAGAAGAAACTGAGCCAGTCCCCCGATCTACGGAGCGAAGAAGACCATCAGCAATCAGCATCGCGCGACCTCAATACACCGACGACAGCCCAATATCACCTGTCAAGGCCATCTACCCACCGGGCTACTCAGACCGACCACCAACAGCACCCTACCAAGACCACCCAACCCGTGAGCACCTCCGCGCAGAACCACACCCACCCCCAAGCCCGCGCAGCATCCTATCCAAGCGCTCTCAAAACTCCAACCACACCACCACCTCAGGCAAGAACGCGCGATTCAACCTCAAAAACCTGCGCATCTCAGGCCCTATAACGAAATACCCAGGCGCAGACTCGGACGACGAAGCACGCACACCACTCTCCCCCGCTTACGCCAACCCCGGCGCCCCACCATCCCTCCTACCCAGACAAACTCACCCACCTCCCCTTCAAACTACAACGACGAATCCCTCGACCGTGTCCAACCCCTCCCGCGCCCGGCTCCGCAACGACTGGGTTCCAATGGCAACCATCCCAGTGCATTACCTCTGGCGCAACCCCCCACCAGCCAACTCAAGTCATCCCACGCAGCCTCGTCATTACCCCTCCGGTCCTTTGCCTCGCCCTTGGCCAGCCCAGGAATCCAAACAACGGTTCTCGACCGCCGCGTCGAGGCCCTCGCGCTAGGCACACCGAAAACGGGGGTTCCGTTTACGCCGTACAGTCCGTATATGCCGTTTACGCCTATTACGCCCGTCACGCCGCATCTGACGACGAGGCGCGATAGGAAGATGGAGAAGAAGATGGAGAGGAAAGGGAGGAAGGCGGGTGATGTGCTTGTGCAGAGTCCCAAGGAGATTTTTGGTGACGCTTATTAAGATGGGAAAATGGGGGTTTTTGCATTTTGCATTTGTGTATTAGCGATTTGAAGATGAAGGGGTTTGTTTTTCCCTTGTCTTGTCACACGCCGCCGGTTGGGCTGGTTGATGATTGTTTTTTTTTTCCAATGATGAAGAGACTGGATGAAGGGGGAGGGATTCGCATTCTAAGTTTATATTATGACTTTGTATCTTTATCTAGCAGAAATCATACAATTGAGATGTATACGTCAAGATCAATACTTCCTCATTCTACTTTTCCTAGAACGCATGGTGGCCGAGCGCATCTTGATTCGCGTCATCACTGTCATGTTGAGGGATAAAGTCAAGGACTTGGATCGATAATCAAGTGTACGATATTGATCACGTCTAGAAACGTCACAGAACAGCAGAGTATCAACAGGTTGCAAACACGACTGGACATCACTAGCTACTCTCCCATTAAAGAGGGTTATATTCTCCTTCTGCGCCAGGATAAATGGCCACTCTAATTTCCCCTCTGCTTAACGTCCAAACTTCTCCCTTTTCACACATCCTTCAATCCCTGCTCACCAAAAATAATAATAAACAAATACACACATGAATGTGCGACACCGGCAATACTATGCCCAATCTAACACGTCTCCAAACACCACAAACCTACACTAAAAGATGAAGAGCAGTAGTGGTAGTGAAAGGAACAGCACCATGTCCGGAAAATGCCGCCATTCCGAGGTAGCAAAATGTATCGAAATGTAAAAGTTGCCGCCAAAGCCGCTAAATGCCAATAGTTTGAGCTAACGATATCGCTTGGGATAGATCTTTGTAATGCCGTACCTTGTAGACTGGAAAATCCGTACTTGTAGAGTAAGAACAAAGGAAATTTGAAGCTGAATCTGGGATGTGATGGTAATCGGATGATAATGACACAAGGAAAGAGGACGCCAGAACGCCGTACGCTGTGATGTATGAGCAGCACTTTGGGTCGAGTATACAGATCGCGGCGATTGTGTACATGTATCGTCGGTTTGGTATTGAGGTAGCACACGGGGGCGCGCTATCTGCACCATAGTTACGAACTCTTTCGAACTATTTCGGCTCTCAAAAGTTGGCCAACCCGTTCTTCGAATGACGTTTGCTAAAGCGCTTCCTGCCCTTCATCGAGTCAGTATCGCCTTGATCTTTGCGAAGGTGGCCATGCCGCGAGGCGGGGATGTTGACGCCCTCGAGGGCGGAGTCTCCTCCCAACGTACTGGTCGGGGTGGTGTGATTTGAAACGAGCTCGTTCAAGCCTACGTCGGCAGAGTACGAGTTGGTCATGGTTTGCGCAAAGGCGTAGTCGCGCGCTTGTTCGATGCTGTCGAGCCACTCTTGGCTGGAGTACTTGCTGCCATCGGGGTCGCTGGTAGTACTTTTGGGGTCTTCGAAGACATACTGCTTCTCTTTCTGGGAGGGTATTAGTAATAATCATTCGGGCATGAGTGGCTCGACGTACTGTTTCCACGAGCCAAGCAGTAAGTCCCTTGGAATCTTGGAATGACCTCCATGCGCAGCCCGCTGAGAGTAGCGATATCTCTTCCTTCAACTTCTTATCATTCGTGCCTGCTGCGCACATCAGTACGCGTGCATTAGACGTGATCATTACAAGTCGTTGTCGCTTCTTGACCGTGTTGCCGCCGAAGAAGCGCGAGAATTTCTTGGGCTGCTCCACAGGCTCTTCCTTTCCGCCCACGGCGTGTCCAGGGGCGTGTTGTGTGACAAACATATTTCCAAGCTTCAATATCCGTTCGTCTCGCTTTGTGAGGACCGGCGACCAATCGATGTCGAGTTGGGAGGGAGGGGGTAGTTCGGTGATGATGCGTGGCTTCGGTCGTGCTTGGGGTTGGTTGGGTGCTGCTGGTGCTGATGCTGCTGGTGCTGCCGGTGTCGAGGGGCCTGGATGTGTTATTGACGTCTCCATAACAGTAGCAGGATTCATACCGTTTAGCTTAATCGGCTCCTGTGCGGGCGGACTGTAGGCTTTCAACCGCGGGGCCTTTTGTTTCCACAGACCCCTGCCCCATTGGATTCCTTCAAAGAATGGGTGGTTCTTAATGTGTTCCATGGGCAATCGCGTTAATGGATCCAGGACCAACAGCCGCTCAACCAAGTCCTTTGCAAGGGGAGGGAATCCATCTGGGAATGTGTATTCCAGGCCCACAATCTTCTGGAACGTCATATACTCGTTGGCAGCCTTGAATGGCGGCCGTCCGGCGAGCAGCTGGTAGATGATACATCCAAATGCCCACAGGTCGCTGGCTTTGCAGGCATTCTTGTCTGTGAGTAGTTCTGGTGAGACGTACTCGGCTGTTCCGACAAAGGATTGCGCGCGATCCGAGTGTGCCCCTTCCAATGGATCGCCGGTTGTCGAGCCAAGGCCGTTGTGTTTCTGCTCGAGTATCTTTGCAGTTCCAAAATCAGTAATCTTGACGTGCATTGCATCGTCGAGCAGAACGTTCTCGGGTTTCAGATCTCGATGTATTACGTCCTTGTTGTGCATGTAGTCGATGGCATCCAATATTTGCGCGCCGTAGAATCGTGTGCACTCGACGTCGAATGTGCCAATCTTCTTGAGGAAGCCCAAAAGCTCACCGCCTGCAGCCAAATCCAGGACAAAGTATAGCGAGCGCTCATCCTGGAAGGTGTAGTAGAGTCGGACGATGCCGGGGTGCTCCGTCAGTCGGTTGAGGGTGTCTTTTTCGATGTTTACGTATTTGACCTTCTTCTCCTTGATGATGTGGCGCTTGTCGAGCACCTTGATCGCGTACTCGCGCAGTGTCTGGCGGTCGGTAGCGGCCAGTACTGTACTGTAGGAGCCCTCGCCCAGTGTCCTGCCGAAATTGAAGTCCTTGACGCCTTTCTTGACCACGCGCGTTATCGGCCGTCCGTTCTGATCTAGATCCTGCCGGGTGCTTACAGCCGCGCCTTTGTCCTTCCACTCCTCGCTGCTCGATAGCGGACCGCCTTCGATGCTGTATGGGGAACTCGACAGATTTGCTACTCCTGCATCCATGGGTATCCGCCGTGAGCTTCTCCGGGGCGGGAGGGGACCGTTCATGGCTTGCATCTGCGCCGACTGGCGGTATGGGTCCCTCCTACTGGCTTCCCTGACGGGCATGGCTCCGGGCGCAACACGCGAACTCGCAGTCCGGCGCATATCTCCGGCCATTGCGTCGTCGTTGTACCGGTAGGTGCCCGGGGCAGTGGTGGAGGAAGTCGAGAGGTTAGGGTGCTGGTACATGCTCGTCGAGACCGGGCGCTCTCGCATGGGCTGCGAAGTCGGGGCCTGGCTGCGCTGCTGCTGGAGCAATGGGCCGGCGGCGTACGGGGGATACTGTGGCTGCTGGTGCTGGGCCTGGTGGGCTAGGGGCATGGACTGGCGGTGGGAGAGGCGCGGCGAGTGGGATGACGACGACGAAGTCTCAGCCAGGGGGGAGGGGAAGCCGGCCGGGGAGCCCGAGGGCGAGCTCTGGTAGGCATTGTCTCTGGGGTGGAGGGAGCTGGGGGCGACGTGTTCCTCTTCCAGGTACGAGTGTTGGGAGCGGGAATACGTGGGGTGGAGGTCCTGGGTGACGGTATTCGACGACGAGGCGCGCGAGGGCGACGGGGGTGACGTCGCTATATCGTGGGCGTGGTTGGACTGCTGCGAGGGCGGCGGCGAGTCGTCTTCGTCCGGGTTCGCGATGCGCAGTCCGCCGAGCGTCTGCGACAGACTCAGGTCGCCATTCATCGTGGCGGCCTCTGGGACTGGGCAGCAGCACTGGCAGTAAACGAGCGAGAGATGTTCTGTAGCTCAGGCACCGGCCGCGGCGCGTCAAAGTAGCCTCGATTAGCGTGCGGAATACGAGCGTGCAACGGAGGCATGGCAGGGGCCCAGAGGCCAAGTTGTGGGCGAAAAAGAACTATTGCCTGGAGTTGAGGATATGGGGCGCCCGTGACCGTGATGCTCAACCCAACGATGCCGACCGCTTGGTGATGCCATGCTCGGCAACGAAGCTGACCAACGCCGACATCAAGCTGACCCTCTGCAACATCACGACAAACTTCCTACCTTGACCTCAGCAACACAACACTACCAAATCTGCTGTCTCGAGATGCCAAAACACGTACAGAGGCACGTGCAAATTAAAGAGCACCTTTACCCTGACAATAATGGATGCAACATTGAGGACAATGGGCCCTTACATCACTAGCTACGATCATGGTAGCGATGCATTCACGTGGCATCAAGGCACGCACACTGCTAATCAATGCACCGTAATGACTGAACATCATGTCTCTAGAGCTGGAAGGCGCCGTTGTACACTTTGTCACTCGTCACCACCATCAACACTGCAATGGAGTTTCCTAGAAAACAAAACTATAATGACAAACGGTAGGTTCACTGGCTGTTACTCTTGCATTGCGTCTTCTCTCCCGTCTTTTGGACCTAATATCCCTTCAGCCTTCAGTCGCTCGCACGCTTGGAAACAATGTTACGTCTTAGACCATCAGAGCTTACCTTGACGCCCGATGATGTCAACGACACCTTTCGTCGCATAGCCCTTGGGCAGACCTCAAGGACGAGGATGAACATGCCACTCCATCCTACAGGACAATCAGGACAGCCCATCCTCAGACGCGGCCCTGAGAGGTTGACTCGAAATGCCATCACTGACCTTGGGTCTGTTCCCATACTGCAACCACAACAAGCAGTATTCACCACAGTCAATGAGGATACTGAGCACTCCTTTGCCCAGGAGGCGACACTATCGACAGAACATGACAATAGCGAGGAATCTCTTTCTCGTTTTCGCGGACAAGTCGAGCCAGCACCTTCGCGGGTCGATTCAATACAGTCCCCCGCGTCGCCAGCACTGTCACTACCCTCACCAGAATCACCACCTCGGCGCTCACTGCATCTTCCTTTTCGATTCGGACGAAGCCGTCGACCTTCGACTACGCAAGCTCAACCCGACGCGGTTGTGTCAGTCTCTCGTACGCCAACAAGACCGCCATTCGGACATGCCAGACTGGGCTCAACGGGAGCAAGCAGCATCGGTGGCACCAGTAACAGCTCTGCGCTATCTCCGTCTGGCGACTCTACCGAGAGTACATCCGGACTACGCGGAGGTGGAGGTCGAGTGCTTGACGTTCGTGATACGCCTCATGCTCCGTCTCCGCTACATCATATGCAAAGATTGAGTTCACCAGCATATCAAGAGCCTTCGGGAGATCCTACCAAGTCATCAACTACCCCTCACGAAGATCAATCTACACTCTTCTTGGAAGGATACTGGCATCATACTTCGGAAAAAACTAAGTATCGCATCCGGGAAAGCGCTGAGCATCGTTTCAAGAGGGAACCACCGCACAGTGAACCGCGGCGGAGTAATGTTCGTCAGGCTTCTGTTGTGCGAAGCTCCTCTTCAGCAGCTGTCCCATCTCGTCTTAAAAATCAAATCCGACCCTCTTCTGATCCCTTGTTTGACGATGTCTTCGTCACACTACCGGCGGTCGAACCTCGGGACAGACGGCATGCCGTATCTTCCACTGGATCTCACGGGGAGGACTATTGTTCCACTTCATCAAATATCTTCCATACTTCTGGTGGCTCGCTCCAGCCGGAGCACACGAGCGCAAGGACAAGACACTTTAGTAGCGACACTTCAGGTGCCAGTGCTCAGTTCTCTTATTACGGTTCACTTCCTCCTAGCACGAGAGTCTCCAGCACCGATCCATCACTGGAACATGACCTTTCTCGCCTCCAACTGGACGGAGCGACGGCCTCGAGCGAAAGCCATTGTTTCTCGGTATCTGCAGTTTCTCCTACAGGCGCCAACAACAACACTTCTCGTCCAAACTCTTCAGGCAGCTCAGTTTACTCCTCGACCGGCGTTGGTGGTTCTGGTCCACATGGTGTCTCGCCGCTACCTTCGATGCCATACACACGGAGCCAAAGCGATCAAACGTCACTTTACTATTCAGCCAACATAGCAAGCGGCTACATTGAGGCAGCCAGCGCGGTAGTGCAAGGTCTCGAGTCGCCTCTTGATCCCTTTTCCGAGCACTATCGGCGTCATATGCAAGCCCACCAGGCTCGACAGGCTTTTCCAGCACATCCCGCTTCTTCCCAGTCTCGTGCGGAAAGCTTTCAGGCCCATCGTTCAAGCCGTGGTCACGGTAGCCGGTCGCATCACCCGATTCACGTCCCACCTGGTCACAGGACGATGGTGTCTCGTCAGCCTCAGCACCATTCACTACGATCGATCCAAGACTCCTCTGAGCATCTGGCGATACATGGCTCACGGCCTCATGGCAGAAATGTGCGAGGCGAGCAACGCTCTGGCGAGAACGTGGCTGTCGTGCCGTCGCTTAGCTACGACCATGCTACGCGTCACGGCAGAGTGCAGGCGCAAAGGGCGGCTTATGAACGCTTGCACAACCCTAGGATGGCAATGCAGGTCGAGACCGAGATACAGCCCTCTCGTCACAGTATGCCACAACCCGCCATTCCGTACGATAGATCCAGTCGACCTTCATTCGCAACCATGGGAGCTTCCTACAGTAACGAAGAGCGCTCGAGCAGCCCGTTCATCATGCACCAGCAACAGCAACCATCCCAAAGTCAGACTACCCATACATCATTACCAGGCGCGCCGCCCAGAGTCCCTACCCGCCAAGCTTACCAACAGCATAACAGCGACGTTCAACAGCGTGCACCAACACGCGCTTACCGCCCCGTACCCGGCGCTCGCTACCTAAATGCCTCGCGCGACAGTCCTTTGACCGCTCTTGCTCTGGACCAGGGAAGCGGCACTACCAGTAGACGCTCGCATTCGCCGCTCGTTCGGGCTACCACCACGGCACGCACGCATAGACGCATTCCGCCCGAGCAGCGCGATCAAGAGAACGATGGAGATAGAACACTGATGAGGAGGGAAGAGGAGAATGTTAATGCGAGGTATGGGGAGGAGGAGCAGCAGAGGAGTATGATGAATGAGACGCCTCCGAGGGTTGGTCGGGTTGAAAGGAGGATGCAGGATTAGGATGGGGGGTGGTGTTGTATGAGGTATTCGATGCATCACAGGTCTGTTTGGATACTTTAGATTACTATCCATAGACGCCAATGTCATCAGAGTCGTTAGCTTGCGTATGTAAATACCGCCTTTTGCCTTGTCTACTACTCACTTCCAACACTCATAGTTCCATCTTCTATTTCTCCAAAAACACCTGGCAAGTCACTCATGGCGCCTGCCTTCTCCTCCACACCAAAAAAAACACTGGCGGATGAAGACATGTGCAAGTCACCAAAAAGCCTCCACTTGGAAAACATGTTTCCTCATTCTCCTGCCGATACTACCAATGCTACACTTCCACATCCACATGATGCGGCTTTGGTCTCTGCTCCACTGGGAAACTGGGCATCGAAGTAGACATGGATTTGCAGGATCTTTCTGAGCTGAACATACACCGCGCTTGAGGAGTACAAAAGCTCTCGTGGAGCTCTGGTCTTCCTATTTTCTCACCTCACATCCAAAGATCTATTCTCCAAAACCACTGTAAATTGATTCATGGGTTCTGCCCTGCTCTCTCAAACATAGTTCAATCCATATTTATGGGGGGTTGCCGGAAAAGTAGAGGGGTTCGAAGTATAAATTCGCTGGCTCGACACTACTACTACTTCTTCTCCTTCCTACCATCTTCAACTAAAAGCCCTGCTGCAAACAAAAGATCCCGAGTAAACCCCCACGGGGATTGTTCCTTGCGCTGCTGCCAAAATGAACGGAATGAACCATTATGTGGGTAGTCGAAAATTTTTATTGCGACTCCCTATGAGTTTCTGCCTTCGCTCGATCCAAAAACACCGATGGACTATCTATGTCGCTTCTTCAGCGTTCTGCTTTGCAGAGATCACTCAGGCTTCTTCATGGCTCTCTATTACGTGCTTGACGAGCGTTACGCGAACCCTGCGCTTAAAATTTACGGTCACAATGGTACAGCTCTTCCTATACTCTAAACCACACCATCATCTATCAAAAACAACGTCTAGCACCACTATGGTCGCTGTTCCTCTCCGAAACGCTCTCATTGCCATCCAACAACCAGCATCGGCCTCGAATCGAAGGAGCTTAGGGATTAAGACATTTGTGGTGTGCGCTTTGTCGTCAAAATACGTCAAGAAAGCCATGATGCTGGGACAAATCCTTGGATGTGTCTTCGATGGTTTCTTCTCTGAAATCATGTTATCCAAACTCGTTGGCTTCGTGCCTATGTGGCTTTCCGCTTCCCTCTCTTTGACACAAAGATATCGGGCAGTTATTCTATGCTGTCGAGACGTCCGTGGATATCTTGTTTCCTATGTTCCGCTCTCTTTACCTCGAAAATTCAAAATTTCTTCCTGGTGTCTATGTCGCTTGCCAGGCATGCGTAAATATGACTCTACATTCATCATAATCTACATCTTGATCGTGCTCAATACGACATGGAATTGCAGCGTAATCTTTGAACGAAGTACATGTTTTCAGGGGTTTACAGTCCTCACGTATGGCCCTGAGAATGCATAAATAAGTCCATTGCTTACCCTCTTCTTCTCTTCACTCAACATCTCACCTGTTCTTTCCAAAAAAAAATGGTTTGGATACTAGCTATGTTCTCTGGTCTTCTCCAAAAACGTAGACATCATCGAAACATGCGGCGGGCGTATTGACCAGTTCACTGCTCAACAAAAAGCCCTGATGACCTCCGCGATGCGGTCTTCCAAGCTTGTCTTCGAAACTACACCTGACCTAATGATGTTTGCGCATAGGCATCGCGCAATGAGGCGCTGTTCAAAGTCTTCGACTGTGACTTATCAAGAGCAGAAACGAGATGATGAGAGACATATAAAGTCGCTCTTTGCACCTGTCACACCAGTCTTCCCTACGTCCTATCTTGTCTTTATTCTTCCGAAAACAACAAAAATGCAGATTATGATTTTGCTTCTGCCGCAATTGCTTGTACGCCTCATACACGCACGTCATATTCGTGCGTCAGAAAAGCTAGAGCTTTTACTGTGGGCGCACGTCCCATGGACGGACGCATTGCGAAACTCTCACGAGCAATTATATCACTGCTTTGGTGTTTTGTCCTGAGCACAGTATACCGAGCTTTCACCGTCTCTTCAAACTCGTTCAGCAATGTATGATATGGTCTGGCACGGTTCCTATGATGCATTCGAAAGTAGACTGTGCAAGACATGATACGTGTCGACACGTCACGATTCTTTTGGGAATAGAGACAACAACGCTTCGTGTGCGGGGTTTCGCGATCGTGAAGGTCCGTGATTGCGAAAGTCCACGATCGTGAGTGTCCGCGGAGACAAAATGTTGATACGTGGCGTGGAAGGTCAGATGATGCTGGCATGTAATTATCAGCTGTTGGTGGACTGCGCCTCTACTGCATCGTGAGCCTCGGTGGTAGCCGGCACGCTTCGGGTCGATACCTAGGTAACTCGCCATCGCTATGAGCCATGAATTGCGTGTCGCCAAGATGTCACCGTACAGCAGTCGCCTCTCGATACGTGTTGAGCTGTTGCCTACTCTTTCATGAGACGTATGCCGGGTTTGACGTCGGCAATGTGGGGTCCGACGACGAGACAAAGAGAAGACGAGAACAAAGACTCATATTTGCAGCATGGTCGTGTAAAAGTCAAGAAACCCAAGGACGTGCTTTTGGGGGCCGCGACTCTTCTTGTGGCCCATCGACGACAACTGCCTGCTGAAACCTCAAAGCGCTGAGAATCGGCAGTCGGAACGTTGCACAGTCGCGTCCAACCGCCAACCCTCAAACAGCGACAAAGCAGATCTCCCGCAGCCTTGCAGAAGTAAATTGCGCAAGCAACCACGTACCGGGACAGCTCCAACGGTTGCGACAAGATCCGATGCTGCCATATTTGGGTGACACGAGCGCTTCTGGGTGGGCGGCTCGCACGAACCCGGCCTCGATATAGCAGCCGCGGGGAATTGGCGACTAGTGAAGAGCCTCATCTGGCGCTTCGGCTAGGTAACCATTTTGAGTCTTGTAGGATGCAGGGATACGGATTCGAGATTGGTGAGGGGTTAGTTGATCGCTTAGACGGAGAGACTGTCAAAGGCAGGTGGCCGACTCCACGAGGAAGAATTGATGCCACCCAGTAATTGACCTGCAGTGACTGGTCTGAGTTGGCCACGACCTTCTAGAATCGGCAGCCATGATCTGGAAGCATGATTGGCGAAGTGGGTGAGGCGGTGCAGCGGCTGTTGAAGGGGTCTCGAAACTGCGAGGCCTCGACATTGATTGGTACGCCTTAGTTGCATAAGTCCAGTCTGGTTGGCGTGAGTGTCTCCCGGCCGGCTGGCATATCGAATACACCTACCGGCTGTGCGTTGTAGCACGGCAGAGGACGAACATGGCGTTGGTCGTGCTCGCTGTCATCCGTCCTCGCCCATCCGCCTCGCCCAAAGAGGCTGGTCGTAATGTAGAATAGACATGGGATAGAAACAGGTGTGTTGAAACAAATATGACTTGTTTGCAATGCGCGTTAGCCAATGGACACGAGCTAAATCCCTGCGCATGACGGCGATCCATGGATCGTGGTGGAGATGCCCGAGCTCCGTCCACCATCTGGCCGAGTGGAGTCAAGATAGACACGCTGTCATGCGACTGACAGATGGCAGGGAGATGGTCACTTCGGATTTGATGCTGTATGCTGTGATTTCTGCCGTGGTCTTATGCCGTCCATTCAAGCTGCATACCAGTTGATGTTATGCTAATGGAGAGTCCAGTGGCGGCTGAGCCACACTCTTCAATCCCAAGAGCATTTCCTACCTGCTACGGTAGATGACACGCATGCAACGCGTGTTCGTGAGGCAAATGCTTTTCTACCCAAGGTTTTCACGATACCCAAACCGGGCTGGGAGAGGCTGGGCTATCTTGCATTTCGCCCACAAATTCGTCACCGTCATGTTGGCCGTCGTCTCCCCAGATATATGGGAGCAGGTGTGCTGCTACTGCGTGGTCGCATGCTATTCATCAACCGTAGTGACCTAGCTCCACTCTAACCCGACTCACCGCCTCAATATCTGTCTCCCAACCGAACAACGTGACCCAACTACGAGGCCAGCAGACCCTCTAGTTCCGGCCAGCCTTCCACAAGCACCAAGATTGTCGGAATACATATCGCCCACTGCTGCCGCAAACTCGAGGGCCTGTAGTGTAGCAAACTGTCGTTGACCGCTACGCCCACCTCGATCTCTCATCCACTCCCAGCACAACAACTCTCTCCAACCTGCATCCACCTAAAACATACTCGACTGCCTTCGAAACGCGATTCGCATCACGGCTCTATTGGCTGTCAATTTCTCACGCCTAGAGGGCCCTGCGCTGCGTGTAAACCATTGGCTTGCACTTGAAACAGCCTATTCCTGGGGTCCTGCACCTCACCACTCGCAATCTTCCAGGCACCCCAAACGAGCCAAACAGCCGCTGGCCTGAGTCCGGCGTGGCGCGCTACGTAGCTGTTTTCTGCCCGTAAGCCGCATCTATTGGATCCCACTCGCAGCCGCCGAACTACCCACCCAAAGGATCCGACCCTCGACTTAGCATCGCATCTCTACCCGCTCAAGGGGTGTGCGTTCTTAAGTATCACGCTTTCTGCCGTCGATACTTCTTCCTCACAGTCAGTCACCGGCTTCAATTCTCCATCCTCCCTTCTTTCCTCCCTGCCATCCTAGCGGTGCAGGTGCTTTCTCCACACTCCGGTAGTGATTCGCGCTCCACCATCCAAACTTCCCTCCGAACTCCCAGACGGCAGCGCCATCGACACTCCCTTTGATAAATCCCTTAAAAAAAATCGCACCTTCCGACTGGACTCGGAATCATCACATTAATAATTGTTGCCTTGCGAATTCTGCCGTCTCAACCTCGTCGTCAGCCACGCAGCCTCGGACACCAGCTTACCATCGTTCAGACCGGAATTGCGACTTCGCCTCACAGGGCATACAGCAATCACATACAACTCGACATTCACTTAAGACTTCATATCACCACCCGGAATACTCCACCTCCGTCGCCATGCCTTACTCACCAAACCTCGTCGCCGAGAACCAGGCTGCCCTGGACCACTTCATCCAGCTCCCAGTATCACATGACATGATCTCGTATCTTGCACAAAAGGCAACACAAGTCATTCGATGCGAACCATCCATCAACAAGAACCTCCCTCCCACACCACCAGCATCGCCTCCCCAGCATGCTGCCTCCAACATCCGCGAACCCGTCCTGCCATCAGTAGAAGAGTTCATCACATCCATCGTCGAGAGGTCTCATGTTCAGACTGCTACCCTCATGACCTCCCTCGTCTACCTCAGCCGGTTACGGTCGCGTCTCCCTCCCGTCGCCAAGGGCATGCGTTGCACTGTCCACCGCATCTTTCTCGCCTCTCTCATCCTTGCAGCTAAGAACCTCAATGACTCCTCGCCCAAGAACAAGCACTGGGCCAGGTACAGCGCTGTTCGCGGCTACGAGAACTTTGGCTTCTCCATCACCGAGGTCAACCTCATGGAGAAGCAGCTGTTGTTCCTCCTCGACTGGGATCTCCGCATCAACCCTGAGGATCTCTACTACCACCTCGAGCCATTCCTAGCGCCCATTCGTGTCTGGCAATCTCGCCAGGCTGAGAAGGCCAGGCTCGCAGAGAAGGAGAAGGAGCTTGCTCGTCAGCAGTACCAGCTTTCCGTTGAGAACCTCTCGCGGTCAACCAACCCCTACGCATCAAACTCGTCCCTGTCATCATATGCTCCTCGTCCCCAGAGGCATCGCGCACACTACGTTCCATCCTCCCGCGCAGCTTCGCGTACCCCATCTCTATCACCACCCACTCGGAGCTCCTCTGTCTCTACTTCTTCCGACTCGCCCGATAGCTTCCTCGACGAGCCTTCAGAAGCTATTCTCCAGCGCTACGACGCAGATATGGGTGCCAATCTTGTATATATCAACGGCCCTATTTCCTCGTATGCACCAAAGCAGCAACACACCCTCCCGCTGTACGACACGCAGCCCTCGAAGAAGGCCAAGACATCAGCGGGTGGCATCTTCAGCAGGATGTTTGGCCAGACTGGCGCCTACACCGGCCGCCAGACTACCTATTAATGCTATTCGCTACTCCACAACACTATCACTACCACACTGTCGCTTACCGGCCTTACGACTTTCCTTGTTTCCATGACATGATCTGATGAAAGATGCTCACTGGATGGACATCTTTTCGCCCATCTTGTCAGACTTTGCATCAACAGGCGTTTACACAATTAGCATTTGCATAACACAGCATTGTATCGGCGTTGGATATCATCATCATCATCTTGAATCGCATTTATATTGCGTTCGGCGCGACCGACTCAGAATGGTTTAGCTTAGCTATCTTAAAAATTTATCCGCTCCCTCTCTGCGGGTGGCGCGAGTAATGAATAAAAATTGTCAAACGCATTTTTCCGTCTCTCCGAAGTACTTGGCAACGGGTGTTCACGATTAATGACTCTTTTTTTCTATTGCAATTTCCGTAGATTGGGGACTGACATGCGCGCTAGGTTCGACGGGTATCTATCTAGTTAGTGCAGAAGGCTAACTTACACATTTGGTGACGTGCGACTCATCAACACGCGACTGTGGACACGGCATGAAAGAATCACCCGAGAGATATTGGAAGGATGGCGATCTATCGCTGTGATTTGGACGATGCGATGCCAGAGAAGATCAGGAGGGCTGTACAAAAATGCACCTTCGTGATCAGCCCAGGCACAATTCACTCCCGTCTATCCACATCATAGATTACACCGGTCGCTGATCCTACACATCTGTACAGTACAGCCACAAACTTCTCCAAGACCCGAGTTACTACAGCTTGCGATGCTGTCCAGTTGTACTGCCTTGTACGACACACTCTGCGGGCCGCCTGCGCAGCCACGATAGGCAGACCAATCTAGCGACCACACATAACCAACTATCATGCATGCTACCTAAACATCTCCTACAAGGCTACAACGCCCAATATCTATCGACCTCAACACTGAGGTCAAGCAAGGCTGAGCCGTGCCGGTGAAAAACTGTCCATCTCAATTCACTCCCCTAGCAGATCATAGTCAATCCCAATCATTGCCGGCGGTAAGCACGGCAGGTACCACGGTCAAGTCTCATCGGTACCGAGGCACTCCCCGAAGCACCGATGAAAGATGAGAGACTGCAGACTATGATGATGCAAGATGCAACGGAAAGACAATATCGTATATGCAGGAGTCAAGGAGTTTGGCCCGCGTAGATCAAACTCAGTTGTGGTGGGAGAAGAAGAACGCTTGCCTTTTTTGCGCATGGCAGGGTGGGGACGGAGGGTTTCACATATGCGGCTTGGCGCTAGAGTGTTTGGGTGTGGTTGGTCGGTTGGAGGGGGCGTGGTCAATCGAGGAGGATGAAGGCTAATGCTTGAGTTGCTGGCATCGTTTTTTTTTTTTGCATGTATGCGTTGGCGAAAAGACACCCATTTGTTGAGATTCGTAGGGTGGATTTTCGAGGATAGGATAGACTAGGGAAGTTGGTGATGTCATGAGCTTCGGCTTCGGGTCTTGATCGGGCGAGTCTCAGTCTGCGACGCGGTGATGCTATGCACCAGCACTCTTCATCGGTCTGGTCATACTTGAGGATACAAGCTTCAACTCATTGGCTGGATCGCATCGCTGTCCCGTTACCCTTGAGACGCGTCAGATGAACCGTTCATTGTGTTCCGATCGTGCACTGCATCTTGCCGTACCCAGGTATCTAGCTACTCTTCAAACATGATACTGTCGATAGACCACGTACTGTTTGTACCATCGAAAGTTCTCACGTTTGTCTAGCGCACTCGGAATCCGGCAATGTTTCCAAGAGCTCTCTCAATGCTTCTCTTCTATACTCAAGAAGACGCATTATTTGCCAACCTGACAAGACAAGCACATGAACTCAGCAAGGAGATCTCATACTCGTCCAGCGCAATATTTGCACAACAACGATAACTCGCACATGTACTCTTTCATGCAGGAGACGTTATGCTCAAACTTACCTGTTCAGGCCTTTTCACAGTGGGTCTCAAGTCTCAGGCATGAATCTCGACACACCTGATACAACAATTGTCAACACTTCCTTGGGGCACGGTAGGTTGGCATGCCGAACACTAACCACCGCCTAAACATGTTGACTTCGCAACTTCGTCGTTGTCGCTTTTGTATTCTGTCACTCGTTCATCCACCTTGAAGGTTTCTTTTCGTAACCGCTGGCCGGTCTCTTTTCATTTTCTTTTTAATTCTTTGTAATGGTTCGACAATTCACCTTCCAACCTAGCGATCGAAGGTCTACTGGAAATGACGGCAGGACGATGCGACATAGCCACTGGGGGCGCTACAATACCTTCTACGGACTCTCCTTCACGACTACCCTTTCGACGGTCCTTTTGCTTTCGCAGCTCAACGAATGGCGTGTAACTGGAGAGCTCTTCACCGTAGCCAACAAGTTTCCTGGTTCCGCAGCGCTTGTTGTACAGCTTCTCGCCGCTTTCTTTGGGCTTTTGCATATCGCAGTTATCTGCAAACTCATCAACTATGCACTTCGACTGCGCCTTGCGAATGTCAACGTTTCTCTAGATGTTTTGCGTACGTGGGTGGATATGAGCATCATGAGGGTCGACTGGGACTTGCCTCTGCGCTTCTTCTTTCCTAGCGTCCTTGTTGTCCTCCTCAGTCTTATACCTGCCGCACTCTGGGCTGGTTCGATGACGCCATCAGTATCGAGGACAGTGGGCAGTGGCATGCTCTTGATACCAAGTTATGAAGATGTTTCGATGATCAAGGAGTATCCGATGATGATTGGCAGCTCAGGACCGTCTATGCGCTCACAAAAAGGCTTCTTCACTTATTCGGTTGGCCAACAACAAAGCGGTCAGCTTCTTTCATCTGCTGCTCAAGCATCCTCCTTTGGCACAGGGCCGCATGTCCATCGCAAACTCGACAACACTCAGTTCAGCTACCGAGGTCGTTCATATGGCGTCGGCGCATCTATCGGGTTGAAGGACCAGGGAATCACCTCAAACGGTCAGGTCGCAGGATATATCTATGAAGAGGCGGGCTACCTGGCAAACGTCACCTGCACGTACAATGCGACTTCCAACTTCACTCTCTCTGGACCAGTCAACGAATGGATCTATGCGGCATCTGGTAATCTTCCGGACAGCGAGGAAGGCCCGGAGTATTCAAACTACATCGGTCACGACGGCAAGGCTATCGTAGCAATGGGCGTGGCGTACAGCGATCGCTCGCCTCGTCGCTATCTTTCCATCGCAGCTGGCGAAGCTTATTCGTTTCTCAACACCACGCAATGCGAATTCGAATTCACGCCCACGCTATTCAACATTACTGTCGATGTCGGAACCCTCAACATTACGGTGAAGCCAATACGAACAATACCCGATTTCAATCCTCAGCGCAACATCACACGAACCGTCGTACGCCAGTTCGAGCTTATGTCAAACGACATGACCAATTTGTATGTCTCGCTCCTGGGTGAAGCGTTCAACTCGAGTATCGCAGCATACAAGATGTCACGCGCATTCGCTACTAATCAAACGATCAACTCGATTCCACAGGAAGAAGCAACACTCGCCGGTCTCACCAACAGCATGGTCGCCATGGCCGACGATATGCTAGTAGCATACGCATCCGCGCAATTGATGGTAGGACGCATGTTTACCCAGCAGCCAGCCAAGGTCTATCTTTATGCCCTGCAGTTCGGTCAGCCAAGTTACATCTACGCCATCTTTTCTCTCAACCTCGTCATCATCATCGCAGTCGTCTGCGAGGCCTTCCGCACAACAGGCTGGTCTAATCTGGGCCGCTTCAATTACCTCGATCCCCGCGATCTCATTATCGCTGCGTCGAGGGGTGGAGGCGACATTGCAGCTGCAGCTGACGATATCATCGAGCGAAGAGAGGGCAGACGGATGAAGCATATTTGGTTGTTAAGTGATCCCGATGAGGGTAATGGGTCGCTTATCGTCAACTTGAAGGGAGATCAGGACGGGCATGTTAGGATCGAAGTGGGAGCTGGGCAGTGTGAGAAGGATGCAGGAAGTGAATACCCAGCGGATGAGAAGAAGATGTATGTGGAGCCTGAAGGTGCGACGGAGAGGGGACCGTTGACGCCCAAAACACCGTTGAAGATGAAGGTTGGCATTTTTGGATCGAAGTAGGGAGATACATGGGCTTGAGACATTACGTTTCGATCAACCCGACGCCCGGCGCACACGGTGCGCGTCGAGGCTTTGATCAAGATAGAGGATCAACTTAATCGATAAGACTTTGCATTGCGATAGACCGTTCCTCAAAAGACCATGCGTGACTGACACCAAAACAAGACTTTGGGAACAAGTTGACTGACTCTCAATCACGGCGCAAGGATATAAGAGCACATTTAACTTCAACTACCTCGAGGCCCACGAAGAACGCCGCGCCCGTGTCGAAGCATACATTCAAAATCGAAAGCGAGCTATTGACATTGTAAAGCGTAAGATTGATGAAACAATCTAAGGTGATATCTTAAGGATGGAGACCCGTCTAGATAACCGCCAGGCAGTGATTGAGGAATCGGGAAACCAAGCGGCTGAAACGTACGAAGCTTTGAATGAGAAGTACAAGAAGCTCACGGATCAGGAGAATGAGGAGCAGAGGGGGAAGCTGTTGGATGAAATGGAGGAAATTATGCAGGAGGCGGAGAGCAACAGTGACTACTGAGATAAACAGGTGATGTAGCTCTGACTTTTGGGTACTGTGCATAGCTGCCCAGTAACCGCAACAAAAAGACAAAGAGGTTGAGAAGCAGATGAATTGCAGGCAATAAACTATGCGAATGCTAAAGACAGGGATCGCAAACACCTAAGAGTACTAACAAGAGCAATACCAGAGAAAGCACAAACACCAGTCATCCGTGTCGTAATCTGTTTCGTCATCCGTGTCGTCATCCATACGCAGTGATTTCTAATACTTTCCACTGTAATAGTTCGACCAAAGAGCGCAGTCAATATGGCTGGTCATGTATACGACATCTTTGTCGAACTTGGCCTTGGTGGCGAAGGTGAGAATGGTTTGCATCTTGTCGCAGTTTTCGGGATAAAGATCGCAGAGATCAGCAATGCAGATGCCGTACTGGCCGTTGTCGTCCTGGAGGACGGAGACTTCGTCGCAATCGTCATCTACTTTCTCGTCGACCCAATCCTCGTAGCGTTCGCCGAACCACATGAGGACGGATATGAGCAGTTCCTTTGCCTGGTTGCAGCTGACTCCGTGGATCATGGGATTGCATACCGAGTACAAGCACATCTTCTGAAATCCGGGTCCGAGATCAGTCGGAAGAGGCTGGATGTCATCGCGGATGGCCACCGAGGTAGCTCCCGCGCAGAAGCAACTGTCGTTGAAGTGTCCGCAGAAGTCGCAGCCGGGTTCACACTCACAGGTGGTGCGGGAGACCTTTGGAGCATCGATGCCTGGGTATATCCTCCTGAACTCCTCCATAATCTCCTCACATGGGAAGCCCATGAACAGCGTTGCGTACTCAGGGTCACATGTATTGGGGTAGATGCTGCGAGCGAGAGACTCCAGGGTCGCTTCGTCGCAGTGTTCAATTCCGGGGTGGTACCTCCGGACAATCTCACATAGTGGTGGATTTGCTCCGTGTCGCGGTGTGATAGCGTCTGGGGTATGTCGAGGGACTGCGGGGGCGCGCCGTCTCGCTGGGTAGATAACCCTAGCCAGACATGGGCTGAGTATCAATAGCTTCTCGCAGCCTGGGCAGTCGGTCTCGCGAGCGTGAGGTGGCGTGAAGAGGCGCACACTGGAGGTGGAAGTCGTTGTAGAGGTGACATTGGTTGACGATTGGACATTGGTCGGCGATGAGTGGGCTTTTGCTGACAGTGCGGAAGGATTGTCGACGGAAGGTGCCAGTACGGATTCCGCAGTAGCCTCTGAGGTAGGCGGAGCGGTGAATTCAGCGGTAACCTCCATCGTATAGGCAAATTTGATTGAGGTCACGTCCCTTGATTCGCAGCAGTCTGTGTCCGAATCGGAATCGGTGTCGTCGTCTGCAGCAACTTGAAGACTGTCTTCATGACCTTCAGGAAGAACGTGATGATAGTCGTAACACGCCTTAACCTGCTCAAGAGTTGTTGGATCCTTCTTCGGCGTTGAGCGTGGTGAGGTATCGCACAACACTAGCTCAACGTCGTCGGTAGCAGTGCACTGGTGCGTCTGGACGTTTGGGGAGTTATATTGAACGTTGCAGCTGTGGAAGGCGAGGTTGTCTTTGAACACATCTCCTCGAACCGAGGAGAGGTCAACCCAGATCTTGCTGTCATCATTGCCGTCGACAGCGTAAGCGAAGTCGATCTCGTCGGCGTACTTGAGGATACCATTTGACTTGGTCGAGATCTTGATGGCAACACCGGGGTTAACGATAGAACCATGGCGCCATGGCTCTTGATATTGGCCACCAGGTTTGATTGGGACGTTGTCGGTGTGTGATGAGCTGAGGACTTGAGGTACAGACCACACATAGACGCTGTAAGGGCAATGATTGATGACGATAGCCCTGGCCTGAGCCAGAGCTAGGAAGGTGAGGATGGGAAGGGCGGGTCCAAGCATGGTTTTTGAGAGGGTTTAATGTGAGAGATGATTTCGGATAGTGGTAGTAGAAAGCACCGGATTTGTGAGTTGAAGAAGAAGAATGAGCTTTGAATGGAGAGAAGAGCTTTTATAACCAGCTGAGAGGAAGCGGAGGTGTTGCCATGACGAATGCTGGCAGTCATGAAGATACTCGTTGCTGCCGCAAGGTACAGCGGCTTAGGGAGGAGCATCGGTTGCATTGGAAGGCAGTGCCAATATACTGCCTGGGTCGCGACTCGATTCTCGATATCTCTTTCTTTCAGACGTCTAGATATAAAACTCCTACAACCTTCCGAGACGGATGGAATTACAGGAAGTGATCCATGTATGTTGGTGGCGTGGAAACCTGCCCTTCGGAGTTCATTATGCCTCCCCTTACAGCTAAAAAAGCGACCAATATGTTGCAGGGTCGCTTTCCTAGAGAAGTGATACTGATCGAGTACCACGGCTTCTCTATTTAGTATGACGTACTGACATGGCTCAGAAGGTGGAGTACAACGGATAGCCCGGGAGTCTCTTACGAGACGGTCAACATCCGATGATCAGACCACAAGACAGTGGTATTTTCCTATCTGAACGGCAAATTGCGAAACAGAGGTTCTTCTGAAATTCATGATGGTTGCTATATGGCAGGTTCAAGTTGGAGTGGGTGAACACGTCCGGCGAGGGAAGGCGCTTACTAACCCCCACTTCCAGCATGAAGCACTCCGGCTAGCTTCCTGGAGACCTGAGGCGCGAATGAAACACTGCAAACCTCAGCATCAGCGATAGTACAATAAGAACACCATGGTGCCGTATAATTGTCGCGCAGTTTGCGCCTCTTCACATAGCTCACTTCTCGCTCCTGGGTAGCATTGTCATCGTAGTACTTGCTTAGAACGTCCGATTCGCGTCCAAGCCTCGAATACGCGCCGTCGCGCCCCACCATCCTCCATGATCCAACAAGCCTCTTGTATCGACATGCCAGCCATGTCTTCCGCAATAAAAGAAGTACCCGTTCAGCTACCGAAGAGCTATGACCGACCTGATGAGCCATGGCACCACTACCTCAACATCGACATGATATGGTACGTCCTCGGATACACGCTCTTTCATCCGTTTGTATCATGGGTCGTGGTACTGTGTCTGCGGGCGCAGTATACGCCTTATGAGAACATCGAGATGCGCATTGCCACGGCTTGGGCTATGCTCATGACGGTCAACGGCATCTTCGGGCTCATCAGTGACCGGATCGCATGGGGAGCACCGCGCGAGGTAGACCTAGAAGAAGAGGTTATTGTTATAACGGGTGGTGTTGACGGTCTTGGTGGATTGCTTGCAGAGACGTATGGAATGCGCAACGCAAATATCGCTGTTCTAGACACGAAGCAAGTCGATGAAGATGAGGCGGAGAACAAGGGAGTGGTTTACTACCAGTGCGACGTTAGCGACGCGAAGCAGGTGGAAGCAGCAGCAGCCAAGATTGTTGAAGATGTGAGTAAAACTTGGCATACACGGTCATACTCTGCTAACAGTCGCAGCTTGGTGCTCCTACTATTTTGATCAACAATGCTGGCATTGTGCAGACCAAGTCAATCCTCGAATCGACCGCTGAAGATGTGGAACGGTATGTATACTTGCGAAAAGTTCTTGGCCTCTTCTGACATACCTACAGTACATTCCGCGTCAACACACTGGCACATTTCACTACCCTCCGCACTTTCGTTCCGTACATGTTGAAAGAGGGCCGCGGCACCATCGTAACCGTGTCGTCCGTTCTTGGCCACCTTGGGGCAGCCAACCTATCCGCGTACACGGCCTCCAAAGCAGCACTTCTCGCACTGCACCAGTCTCTACGCGCGGAGCTTGCACAAAATCCCGACGCGAAGGACATCAAGACAATCTTAGTGCAACCTGGCCAGATGGGCACAACAATGTTTGCAGGCCTCAAGACCCCAAGCAACTTCCTAGCACCAGTTGTTACGCCAGCCGACATTGGCAAGGATATCATACGGTTGATTGAGAAGGGTGAGAGCGGCGAGATTGCGCTTCCTCTATACTCGAAATATATCCAGATCCTTGGAGTGTTGCCTGTCGGCGTACAGCATCTTGTGCGAAAATGGAGTGGAATGGACAAGGCAGTTGGCAAGATGGGTGATGCGCGGCAGGGTTTGACCGAGAAGAGGTGATCAGCCTACTGAGTAGTCACGATCTAATGACCTACAGGAGCTGACAGCCTCAAATAACTGTACAATACATACAACTATTATCTGAGCGACTTCCTACATGCGGTTTTATTCTCCTCTTATTTCAATTCTCCGATCACGCTTTCTCCAACATGTTATAGCTCGCGCTTGGATTGCAGAACTAGTACACCAGTATATTAAAAACATTTCAGTTTTCGCATCTTGCATGTGAATGACGGTTTGCAGGGACCACTAGCGCCGTAGGGCTGATATTAGCGAGCGCTCGCACATCTCGCTATGTTGAAATCGCGACGACGACATCATCAACACCACAAGAAAATGTAAGGACATGCCTATCGCTTAGACAAGATATTCAAATTATGCGTGCGACAGCTGCTAATTGATTTCCAGACTTTCAGCACTCCAAATCAACACAATGGCCGACCAGAAAGCTTCCAAGTACTACGCCGCCGAGGAGGAGGCGCAAATGAAGAAGGTACGCGCGTTGTCTAGCGATGAATTCTATATCGGGGAAAAGACGTGTAAAGATGGTTGTTGGGGCTGTCGCGAACCTTGAGCTAACAACTCGATTCACAGGCGCGCAAGACCGCACACCCCACTAAATACCGCGAGTCGCTCACCCCCGGAACCGTCCTCATCCTTCTCTCCGGTCGTTTCCGCGGCAAGCGTGTCGTGCTTCTGCGCCAGCTTGAACAAGGCGTTCTCCTCATCACCGGCCCCTTCAAGTCCAACGGTGTCCCACTTCGTCGCGTCAACCATCGCTACGTCATTGCTACTTCCACCGTTGTCGACATCGCCGGTCTGGATGAGGAGGTCGTAGCACGCGTGAGCAAGGACGAGTACTGGGCGCGCGAGAAGAAGGACGGCAAGGGCGAGGACGATTTCTTCAAGGATGGCGAGACACCCACAAAGAAGGAGACAGACCCCCAGCGGATAGAAGACCAGAAGAAGGTCGACAAGGCACTCATGGCCAACATCAAGAGGACTCCTGACCTTGAGTCTTACCTAGGTGCCAGCTTCAGCTTGAGGAGCAACGAGAAGCCTCACGAGATGGTCTTTTAGGTGTCTAGAGGAGAACAGGACGAGAACGATTCGAAAATTTGCGGCAACGATCCATCCGGCAACGACGGTTCGAACGAGGATGAGCACCCGGACGCTACAAGCGATACGGTACGATTTCATATGTAGATGAGATACCCATGAACCAAATTCACAGCACCCACTCAATCCTGCTCGCATCTGCTCTACGAACAACTGCAACAATCCTGGCGATTTCCTTCCCGTTACCATTTCCTTGTATGAACATCGCGATCGGTATGGATTGCTGATTTGATGTCGTATCCTTGGATACTGACTTCCTTAGAATCATGTACCAGCGACCGCACTGCCTGTTACGGGCTATTTTGAGAGGCTGGGCCGCCTGATATATATAGTACAAAGACGTTCGTTTCTCACGAGTCCACAGCTCTAAGCTAAATTTGGTGTAGCTCTGCGACTCGTCAAAATCGGGCCCTGGGGCGTCTTCCTATACCTTGGTCCCTTGGCTTCGGTGGGCGTGTACAAACTATGTACCAGCGACAGGTTTTGCATTGTTCCCATGTTGTTCCTAAACTTGGATTGTGCTTGGCCAGATTAAGCAGGCACGACGATGCATTTCTTCTAAAATAACGAATGGGGGCATCTTGTATCGTGGATAGTGGGAATAATTGTAGTTGGACCATTTCTAATACGCCCCGTCCCGGCATTGTGTACCATCGCGCGTAGTACTTGATTTCTATGGTGTGTAGCAGCCTTACGCCCCGGACACTGGGAATGAGACGCTTGCAATTCGCTTATTGGTTGAAGCTGAGCAATGCGTCTCATCTTTTGTGCCTCGGGCGTAGTCTTCTCAAGCGGCTCGAGCTCGTATATCTGGAGGTTGACACCATACCTGTGGTACATGATCTATCGTCGACCTGCTGTTTTCCCACCATAATGGACAAAAGCCTCCTTAACGAACATGGGAAGGATGCCCAGTCTTCACAGACCCTACATCTATCCTCATGGAGGACTGGGTTCTGAAAACGCTTTCCTCGTTCTGGACTTATTGCTCTCATAATTGTGCTGGGTGCATCCGTCAGCACGGTTTGTATCATTAGCATATCGGATGACCAGCTTATCTCTTGCTGGAAGTTCTAACCCACTGTGTGCCTCGCCATTTCTTATATTATTGCCAATATCGCTCTGCAACACGCGCATACGCAAGCCGTTACAATCGCCTGGTGGGTCAAAGCGCTCAAGAGGTGCAAAAGTCCAGGATTTGCACAACACCTGGTCGTTTGGACACGGGCTTTTTCCAATTCTACGATCAGGACGGTCGTTCAACCTTGTTGCCCTAGTTGGACTCACTGTAACACTAGCGCCGATCAATGGACCACTATTGCAGCGCGCTTCCATCCTCCATGAGCGAACGCATGTCGAGATGGTAAACTTCACTATATCAACCGCCCAAGAATTTCCGGATGGTTACACAGGAAACAATTCAGGGCATGGTGATGAGAGCCCAGGCACTTTTTCTGTCTCCTTTCACATTATCACGAAGCAGTACAACAATCGCTCGCCAATGAGTGTCACCAATTCTGGCTGTTCAGGTTCGTGTAAGGGTACATTACTAGGTGCCAGCTACCAGATGAAGTGTCATCAATATACAACAAGCCCCTATACTATGGTAGTGGGCTTAGAAATAATGCGATCAAAAAAACAGAGATGTGCCTTATCCAGCTCAACTACCACTCTCTTCGCGATACAAATGCCCTGGTAGTGGTAGTAAATGTATCCCATTTTCTTGTTACAAGTCTGCAGTCATTGTTTGTTACATATTCTAGCTACCTGCTAATCACTAGTGCTGTGCTCGTTATGGTCCCCCAGTCCTATATCTAGGTATCAGGATCAAACCAATCTCCGGTGCTGAACCGATGCCCGCGCTCCTGACGAGACTTGGAAGAGAACGCGCACACTGTCCCGCAATTCCACTTCGGAGGTCTGAGGAACGGTCGGTATATACACGAAAAGCAAACCAAATCATTTGGTACTTACAGTTCCTCTTCCGGAGTAGCTAGGATGGCGCTCAATGCCGAATGACTGACCACCAGGAAGACATGTGAGAGTATAGTAGACAAAGAGTATAATTACTTCGATTGCTCGAAGAGCTTAGATTGTTTGGATGATGCCGTCTCTTCATCTACACTTCTATCTCTTATGCAACCACATCATTGGCCTCCTTTTCTCTCCGCTGCTCCTCTTTCTTCCCTAGCTTGCCCGAACTCTGATGGATACTCTCGAGTACTTGCTTAATCTCCTGTAGGAATCGATCCACCTCCTTCTCCGTACCCACCGTTATTCTCAAGCAGCCCAGACATCCATGCTCCTTTCCTCTGAACCTTACTACGACGCCCTTCTCTTCCGCCAGACCCTCGTACACCGCCAAAGCCGTCTCATTTGATGGCTTACCACCTTGGTCCGCCGGCGCATCGAGGATCTGGTAGAGTAAAAAGTTTGACTCGACACCGCCGTGGAGGTTGCCGATGCCAGGGATCTTGGGTAGTTCCTCTATCAGCCTATTTCGCTGCTTGACGATGAGATCCTTGTTGCTTTGCATGACTTGCAAGTGCTTCGGGCTCAGAGCTGCGCGTGCGAGCTGACTCGTCGGGTTGGGGATATTGTACGGTGCCTTCATGTTGTTGAGGATCTGTGCGATCGCCGGGTCTGCGAACGCAGCACCTAACCGGATGCCTGCAAGGCCGAAGGCTTTCGACAGTGTCTGCATGACTACCAGGTTGGGCCACTCGGCGACCCACTCTGCCAGACTTGTTCCATCGGGCGAAAAGTCAATGTAAGCTTCGTCCACCACTACGACACCATTCCACTGGTGTTCTAATATCTTTTGTACATCCTCTTTCTTTAGTAGCTTTCCGGTCGGATTACCTGGTGAACACAGATATGCCAACTTGATGCTCTTGTCCTCATCCATGGCCTTTAATATTGCGGGTACATCAAGATCGAAGCTTGGTGTTTGTAGGGGAATCTTGGCCAGCGACACGTCGTTGACTTGCGCAGATACGCTATACATGCCGTATGTGGGCGGACATGTCAGAATCTTCTCCTTGCCGGGGACGCAGAAGGCGCGAATAAGGGCATCGATTGCTTCGTCGGAGCCTACACCAACGAAGAGGTTGGCAGGTGTAATGTCCTTTGAGGTATGGGTGTGGGTATTTCGGAGGTTGCAGAGCAGTTGCTTGAGTTCTTCTTGATGGCTGAGTTAGACTGTCAGCATATTGTAATGCACGTTGTCGTGGTGTGCATACGGATCTGGGTATCGGTTCAGGCCAAGCAAATCGACGTCAATTGCTGAAGATGAGTCTGAGGTGCCATTGACGTTCGCGCCAGGCAGCTTGCCATCGCCATTTAACGCCAGTCCCGGTCCGTATGCGTTCTCATTCGCGTCGAGGAGGATGTTGGTGCCGTCATCTTTGTAGTCGCTACACGTCGTGAGCTTGGTACCTCGATAAGAGTCATTGATATTCACCTACTCGCGCGCGCATCGGTAGGGCTCCAATGCGAGGATGTTAGATCGCGCGCATTTCTGCAGATCAAATGCCGTGTTTTTGGCGACCATTGTGTGTAGAGTGTAGAGTGTAGATGGTAAGGGTAAAGGTTGGAGGGAGAACCAATGTCAAGTCGCAGTTGGTGTTCGCGGGGAACTTTTTGTTTCGCGGGGCGGGATGCGGCGATGTCGGGAGTCATCATCGGACATTTTGGAATAAACCATAGTTCGATATCAGCCTGATTGGAGGATATTTCGTAATGTAATAAGTAAAAGGAAACAATTTTGTGTCATTTGAATTAAGTCTGGTGGACAGGTACGAGGCTGAAGTCTGCATACATACCTGCTCGTCCACGCTAAAGATTGCATTGCAGTCACAAAGGACAAAAGTTGCGCAGCATATGCGCCAATCAATGGTTGGAGATGGTACCTAACCTGCCCTACAATCAACCACGCCAGGAGGCCTCACCAACTTCTTTGATTGGAAGGCCGATACTATGTCGAGGCCTGATGACCTCCAGTGTCATTTAGTAATGTTGTCATCCTTTGAAACTGCCTCAAGTCCCTCCTGGGCTAAGCATTCGTCAGTGATCGGAGAGGCTGCAGTTTCCAATTCTTTGCTCCGCATACGTCCAATGCAATTCATTAGAGATACAGGGAACTCTTTCCGTAGTATTCGGGAGTTCTTGGTATGCATGGGCTTGACTTCTACTAGTTAGTGTTGGTTCAACTTTGCCCTGCCCGCCCCCCTGACTCGATGGTCATGCAACAGCAATCCATTTGCTCTTTTCCATAATTTTGAGACGTTTATATTTGTTCCAATTTCTAAAACTTTCATCAATCAATCATCTCCGATATGGTCTAGTGGCTAGGATTTGCCGCTCTCATCTGCAGAGTCAGTTCACTGTACAGTGCCGGCAAGGCCCGGGTTCGATTCCCGGTGTCGGAAGCACCTTTATTTTGCTCTTTTGCATGACTTTGGTTGATTGGAAAGTTGTTGAGATGTCCCTGTTAGGACAGGGAGGCCAAAAGTTGATTTTTGCAGAGTTGACCCACCCAAGACCACCACCACACCAATGCAAATATCTCACAAATTACTCCCAAGATCGAGAACACATGACCTTAATCTATTGATCGGATGCCTGGTGGCTGGTCACTGTTGTGTTGAAGAGGTGGAGGCGCAGTCTTGGTCACACAATTGCGAGACGAAAAACACCCTTCAGTGATTGCTTTGCAGGCTACTTCTAGTGTTGGGGACACGTTATTTCTGCTATGATACATCGGCGTTCATAATCGCACTCGAAGTAGTCTTGGATCACGAAGTAATGTTTGGGACGAGTCTTCATCAATAATTCGTAAAGGCATCACTACAAGTAATCATTAAATCATGCCAACGCGCCCATGGGGTCCCACAACTCCAGCATCCTCGGCTTCTGCTCGAGCACCTTCTTCACCGACGAACTGACAACGCTAGGATCAACAACCGCCTGGTACACAAACTCATCCATCCAAGCATCACTCATGACAAAGTAGCCCTTGTCACCTGCACGCTCACTCCACGAGTTCTCCACCCTCCAGCGCACAGGCTTGCCGTCAACGACATGTACAGCCGTAAGCACCATAGCATGCGTCATTTGGCTTTCACCGGTTTGCAGACGCTCCGCCTTTGACATGCCAAGCTTGATATTGAAGCCAAGCTCGTACTCGAAGAGATCTGTGTCCATAATACCCTTGGTGGAATCCGAGTACTTGCCCACGTCCGAGCCAAAGAATACTGGCATACCTCGCTTCAACATGGCAATGCAGGCATCTTTGATCGTCTTCATGTCAACGTTCACGTAGGTCACTGGCCGGCCTTTCCAGACGTTGCCGAGTCGCTTTACGCTGAGCAGACGGTTGTAAGGGTTGCGCGGGTCGTTTACGAGCGAGAAGAGTGAATGCACGTCAGTTCCGGACAGTGCTCGTACGGTCTTGTTGTCTGAGAGTTCATTTGCAAAAGCAGTAGGTCGCGTACGGACAGTGCAGAACTTGCCGTCCTTGTCGTAGTACTCCCAGGTGAAAGGCTTGGTGGAGCATGGTGGAGGTCCCAGCATCAGTGTTAGGATCAGATGGATCTCACGCAGCATCTTCTCCTTCTCTCCAGCAATGGTCGCCTTGATAGCGTCTGGTGTAGCGTTGCTGCGTGCAATAGAACGTAGACGAACCGCATCTTCGCGCAGCTTGGTGGTAATCAGGCGGTCCATAGTCGACGAGTTGGACGCATTGAACGAGTCTGGGTATAGTGAGTGCGGTACAAGACCATACTTCTGCACGAGATTGGCCACCATATCCCATTGTCCGCCGTCACCGACGGGGCTAGCCATCAGTGCCTGTATGATCCGACTGTCAATCTCCTCGTCTTTCGTATCGAGTATGCTCTCGAGGAAGTAGTTTGCCTTCTCGATCTTGTCCCAGTAGAAGAGATAAGCCTGTGATAGCTGGAATTCGGATAGCTTGTACTTCTTCATAATGGCGACACGGAAGACGTTGGTGGATGCGAAGAGCCAGCATCTTCCGGATGAGGCTTGGTTTGTGACGGGCGAACCTTCCGTAGGGATCTTGATGTTGAATTTCTGGGTGTCTGCGATGACAGCTGATCGAGATGAGAGTACGGCGTTGGCGGAGTTGGAGCTAAGGGCTGCAAGGGCGAGGCGGTTCTAACAAACGTAAGCAATAGACCAAACAAGAACCGTATTTATGGTACCTTTGGGTCTTCCATGAGCTCCTTCTCCCACTCTGACACTGACGCGGCAGATACATCTTGTTGGTACTTGACGCCAGGATTGTAGGTTGGTGCTTCTACCAGTTAGACTTGTATAATATCATGGATGCAATACACATACGAGCTTCTCCACCAACAACGACAAATCCGTCCTTCTCATTCATAGGCCGTTCATCTTTCACGTGGAGGGCCTGGAGTCGTTCCATCAACTTCTCATTAACAGCTGCATCTGACGGTCGTGACTGGTTGGAACCCATGGTGAGGATCTAGGACAGGCTTCTGAAGCTATCGTAAAGCTCTCAATCAAGAGGAAGCTATGGTGTTGTAGTCCGGGGAAGCTCCAGCTAGCCATCAAGGTGTCACTCGTTATCGCGCTTATCGGGCGGGAACAACGCGTGCAAGGGTCGCGTGGCAGCCCCACTCGGATCAGATGGCTGGACTCACTGGAGGCGGAAAATGCCCGCTTTCCATACCTTCCACATTTGACCCATCTGCATCGAAGCATGATGCTTACATGCGAGACAAGGCCGACTTGTGCAGGATCGGGTGCTACCTTTGCTGTGAATTGTGCTACTCTTTATTGCCTGAAGGCCTCAGCCACCGCTGCGACCTCGAGCCTCGCCTCAGGGTCCCACCCATCTCCGCAGACCCTGAAACTCGTGACAGCCGTTTTGCTTCTTTCCAAGTCATGACAGCGATTATTCTGTCGCATCACTAGACACTCACAACGCATAGTCGCACACATACCTACGCGACATTCACGTATAGATGATGATACTGCCTCATCAGCCCCCAACAAGCGCGGGAACTAGAAACTGGCAAATGAAGATGTACAGGGCCGAACGCGTGTTTCATCAAGGCGCGCAAGGCGTCCCCTGAATTCACGCTTCACAGCCGCCGCAGCTTGAATTTGCGCCGAAAATACCCAAACTTCTCACGCTCAGCCCTGCCAACGAAGATATATCTCCTGCTTACCTCTCTTCTCGTGGCTCAAAACTTTCCTTGCACCGAGCTACCTTCGAGCAATAGCAGCGTGCATCACCAACATGGCGCAACGACCGGTATTTTGGCAGAAGCGCGTTCTCGTACCCTTCTGGATAGTGCGAATATGCATCATGATCTTGATCATTGCAGCATATGGATATTCGCTGCGGACTGTAAATGATCTGGAGGATGTCATCAAACCATCTGTTGGGTAAATTGCACCAACACCAGCACATACGCAGATACTGACAGCTAGCAGATCAGTCGTTGTCTTCATGCTCTTCATCGTTATAGTACTGCTTATCGACGTTCTCGCGATCCTCCTCTTCCTGCGTGATGGGCTGAAACCGGGCACTTTCCTCACCATGAATTGTTTCCAGACTGGGTTCTGGGCCGGCGTTTTGATCATGGACTTTGTCGCCATAGGCCAGGGCGCCAGCGCAGTAGGAATTGGATTCAGCATCTTCGTATTGTATGCTCAGAGCCTCGCGAGGTCATTTGCAGCACTGACGTATCTTAGCCTTACCTTCCTGGGTCTCCTCATCTACGCAATTGTCGGTTACCGTCGCGCGAAAGCAGAAGCCCAACGAGGCCAGTATGCGCCAGCGCATAACCCATTGCAGTCAGCGCCCGCAACGCAATCATCCCCGTATAACAGCCTACCCGAGTACCAGCAAAATACCGCATACCATTCGCAGACACAGCTTGATATGCACAACCAATACCTTCCACCATACCAGAGTGGTGCTGCGACGGACTACTACCAGCAGCCCGTAAAGCCCGCGCATATAGTATGAGTGAGGACGATGGAGATGACGAGGTTTACAAAAGGCGTTTTGGTGGAATAGAAAGGTCAATACCACGGTTAAATGGTGTTACGGTCTGTACTTTCACATGTCTCATGTATCCACCCTTGGGAAGCGGTCCAGAGGACTTCATAATCTTAGTGAGGAACGGGCCGTTAGATTATTGCGCACTTGCGCCGGGATGTCCCATTCGGCAGGTGTAGGATCAGTACCTCGAAAACTATTGATTCATGTATGGAAAGACATCCTCTGGCACCGAGAATCCATGAATGACACTGCAATGTACTCGCACGTGCGAACGGATATCGGACGTTCCTGCCCATTCGAGTGGCTCTTGCCGAGGCACTAGGCCGGTCAGGAGGCGGCAGCTCCGCAAGGCTTGGAAGTGTCTCCGTTTCGGAGGTCAACAACCACTCACAGCTCTAAAACCGACATTTACAGCATGTCATGGCCATGGTCATTTATGCGAGGAGCAATCAGATCGCTGCTACCCGCACGTTGCGACTAGAATATGGCGTGTGCCATGGCTGTGTTCCTGACTGCTGCAGTGTCTGTTCGCCTCCTGCGTACATTATGCGTGGAACGTTAGCGGTAGATCATGGACTGGGGACTCAGTGGCTGGCTCATGGATAGATCGGGAGGATAGGATTCTTATAAACATCAGGCGCCATCAGTTCGTTTTGCTCAGGTCACAGGTCTCTTTGTTGAACACATTCGCTTCATTATCTTCCACTCGTTCAGTCACGATGCGGTCCTTCTTGTTACTCGCTGCCGCGGCTCCATTCGCTCAAGCCGTTCGCATCGTTCAATCAAATGACGACGGTTGGTCAGAGGCAAACCTCCGTACCTTCTTCGACGTTTTGAACTCTGCTGGCCATCAAGTCGTGCTGTCCGGTCCCGCTGAGAACCAGTCTGGCAGAGGTTGGTAGTCGAGTCATGAACACTATACATATACTGACCTATATCAGGTTCATCCGACGAACCCCCGAAGACTGTCGATTCAGACGGTTGCATTCATGCGTCCTGCCCTGGTGGAAGCCCACCAACAGGCGCAAATGCGACAGACCCTCGCTTGAACTACGTGAACTCATTCCCAGTCACCTCCATCAAGCAAGGCATCGATGTCACTGCTCCCAAGCTCTGGAACGGTGCAAAGCCCGAACTCGCCCTTACCGGACCGAATGTCGGAAGCAACGTCGCTGTTCAGGTACCCTTCTCCGGTACCGTTGGCGCCGCTGCATATGCGGCAAAGACGGCTCAAATCCCAGCTATCGCCTTCTCTGGCCAGACAGGCGACCCTATCGCATGGAACGTGCCCACTCCTTTCCACAGCAAGATCTATGCTGATCTGGCTTTGAACGTTACCACCACCATCATCAACAGCGGAAAGCCCTACCTGCCAGCGAACACCTTCTTGAACGTCAACTTCCCCTCTGTATCTGAGACCAAGTGCAGCGACCCCAGCAAGTTCAAGTACATCTTCACTCGCATTAACACCGGTCTTCTCAGTGCTCGCGACGCAAACTGGTGCGGTAGCACGCGCCTACCGTGGGAAGCGGATGTTATCTTGATCCGAGGAAGCGATTGCTACGTTACTATCAGTCCTGGTGATGCAAATGACAAGACGACTACGAACGATGCTGCGATCCAGACTCAGATCATTAACAAGCTCAAGCCGATCTTGTCATGCTTGCCTTAGAAGCTATGAGGTGTTGGGAGTAACGATATGGAGCTCGGCTGTACATGAAGCTTTTATGACACGTAGTAGTACGACGAATGATATTATTTCAACATTCGTCCTTGAATCCGTTCTCGACAGCGGCAGTAACTGTGGCAATGACTCTTCAGCTTGACTACAGTAACTCGTGAAATTGATGAGTCATCGGTGACGTTGGGGTGAAAGAGGGTATTACTTAACACTGAACAGTCAGCTCTTCCTAACACGAACACGCCAACCATGTCAGATTCCCTCAACCATGTCAAGATGTCACCAGCAGGTCCCACCGACCAACCCCAACCTCTGGCGTCGCGCATGAAGTCGTACGAATCCCACTTCGACCACACTCTCCCCCTCGGCAAACCCATCATCCTACGTCTAGATGGCCATGGCTTCTCACGCTTCACCTCACACTTTGCGCGCCCATTCGACGAGCGCATACACTCCGCAATGATAGCCACATGCGCCGACTTACTCCACTTCTTCCCTCAAGCTACAGTCGCATACACGCAATCCGACGAGATCACCTTGGTCTTTCCGCAAGGTGTACAGAGTTTCAACGAAAGGGTGCAGAAGCTGTGTAGTCTGAGTGCGAGCTACTGCTCCGTTCGATTCAACAAGCATCTCGCAGAAGCCCTGAAGAAAACGCCCGAGCCAAAGGTCAAGGGCGAGGTAGAAGAGGTGCTAAGTACAGCACATTTCGATGCTCGTCTTTTCCCCGTGCCTTCGGTAGAAGAAGCGCTCAACAACCTTATATGGCGCTGTCGCAACGATGCTGTACGAAATTCCGTCTCTGGTTTCGCTCGAACTATGTACTCGACTAAGGAGATGAACGGCAAGAAGACGCAGGAACTCATCGATATGATGCTAGAGGAAAAGAATGTCAGGTTTGCGGAAGCGGTGCCGGAATGGGCAATCGAGGGCTGTTTGATGAAGAGGGAGCAATATGAGCATGAGGGTGTGAATCTGAAGACTGGCGAGGTCGAGAAGACGTTGCGTACGAGAACGCGGGTTGAAGAGAGAGGTATAAGGGTTTTTGGACATGAGGGATTGAAGCTAGTGACAGACAGGTATTGGTAGGGGTCTATGTGCCCTCCAGCGTAGCGGCGAGGTTGCGGTTGTATTATGTAAAAGTCGATTCATAGCAAGCACTCAACCACAACCATGCTGTCTTCCTGCACACAACAAGTTCCTCGCAGACCAAAAAGAGTGCGCACCCATTTACTGCCGTATGATTGTCCATTGTGAGGCGTGAAATTCAGCAAAAAAGAAGATGGGGCCTGACCGGGATTCGACTGGACGCTTGTTAGTACGCGTTTAATGTCGAACCTTGATGGATGAACTTACACCCGGGGCCTCCTGCAGAATAGGTAATATGACAGACGTCATCCCAAAGCAGGAATCATACCACTAGACCATCAGGCCGTAACTCTGAGAGAGATGATTGATGAAAGATGGTCCGTTTGGGGGTTTATGAAAGGCGCCGCCAACACGAAACTAGTGCTGCGAGAGGCGGGGCCTTAGTCGTTTTCGCGGCGCGAGGACCACCCCACGTCCATCGAGCCACATCGCATAACAAACCCAGCCTTTAGCGCCCAAGATCTAAATTATGTTCTCGTGCGTGATGCGCTTCCTGGCTATTTGAAACCTACATCTCGACGACTCTATGCCTTCGCCTCCCCGTCCGTCGGTCCTAGTTTATAACTTACAGATACCGCAACGCTTTTCTCCTACTTAGTGGACTTTCGCTTCTAGAAATGTAATTAGAATATCTCATGTTAAGAGTCATACGGGTACATCAGGAATTAATAGATTCGCGTTCTGAACCTTCGATATCTACACGAACCATCGCTACGTACACTGCAAGCGAGGCTGGACTGGCAGGGATAACGGGGATAGCTCCGCTCGTCCGCGCTAAAGATTGCAGTGCATGGCGAAGCTGAGCTGGATGGTAAGTATCGTTATGGTGGATGAATACATTGTGTCTTGTCTTTTCATTACATCAACGCGAAACACAGCAAACAACTTTAGGCTGTATTTTGCCAAGGTACATCGTTGAAACAAGTAACTCTTCGTGAATTGCTACCGCTACACGTCGAGGTAGCGTACACATAGTGGGAAGATATGCACGGTTCGTCGTACAATAAAGCGCAGTGGCAGCTGATAATATTCGATACATTTATCGTGTTCGCATCGTGGTAGAGTATATTACATAGACAAGGCAAAGCCAATAGAGCAAATCCAAGCATGTTTCAAAAAAGCTTCGCAACTAGACAACTCTCCTTGGATCGTCTATACGAGTAGAGATATGACAAAGAAAATGAACAAGACAAGTGAGCGCGTATCCAGCGTCACAGATGCACCGTATGCCCAAACGCCGATAATGGGTATATAGACCGTAACGAGAAACCAAGCGGACCGTGGAAGCGAGAAAGGACATCAAGGTCTACAGAAGTGTAGCTTAAGCACGTCCTCTGCCGCGTCCTCGCCCGCTGCCACTTGCTGTTCGCGTCATCGCAACACCACCACCATGGCCGCGAACGGCGAGTGTCTCCCTCTCTCCGTAACTTCCCAGCGGTGTGTTTCCACCAGCATCTGACCACCCTGCCATACTGCTTTGCGCGCTCATGGGAACACCACCCAAGCTTGCACCGACCTCCAAGTGTGGCGCCGTGCTCCTGAGAGCGCTTGTCATCTCGTGGACTGGCTCCGAGAAGTTTGGTGGCTGGACTTGGTAGTCGCGCGCTTTGACGGGATTGCACGCGGCTTGCAGGAGCTTCTCGTTAATATCATCGTCCGGCGGTGCTTCTCTAAGCATCAGCTTCAAGTCTTGCTCGACGTCATGTGCGCCAAGTGGAGTTGGTGGGGGTGCAGAGGCGTTGATCTTTTGGAAGATCTTAGCATCCAGAACGAATGGTGGGTTGTAGATGAATGGAGGTATTTGCCCGCTCACTATAGCCGCCGTGGGGTTCAGTGCTGAGCGTGTAGCGCCGCGGGTAGCGTGAGGATTCGACGAATGTTGACGCATCATATCGGTCGCGCCCGGTACATCGTCCGAATCTTGGTCCTGATCCATGGCGTCACCGTTTTCGGAAGCGTGGTCACCGTTGGTTCCGTTGGTATTGCCGTTTGTTGTGGCTTCCTGCGGTGCAGCCTCTGTATTCTTCATCTTGGCGAAAAAGTGGGAAGCGGCCATGGTGGCCTGATTCATAGCCATGTTGAGCTCCTTCTCGCTAAACAGGCGCTCTAGCGAGTATGCAGATGATTCAAACTGGGCGTTGACGGTGCGCGCTTTGGCTTCACGGAAAGGTGAGCCGATGCCCATTTCGGTAGGGCGACCAGAAGGACCTGGAGAGTCGTTGTCCTGGTCTTCGAACATCTTGCGCTTTCGTTTGTGCTCGTTAGCAGCAGCCAACTCTTCAGCGTCGCCGAATTTATGCCCAGTTCTCCTCGTCTTTCGGGGGGCTTGTGGTCCACCAGGGCTTGCAGGATGCCCGATGCTGAATTGGTTGGGATGGAGGAGCATCGCGTTGCTGTCGGATAGATCCAATTGTTCCTTCTCTCGCTTCAGTCTGTTTGTCCGTTGTTGTATGCTTGCGACTAGTCGTTCGCGGATGGTGGCAGCGAGCAGCTTATGCTCTTCTTCGGCGATCTGGACTTTGTAGTAGTGGGAATTTTCGATCTCGTTCTTCGTGTTCTCATGCTTGTTCTAATTAGCACGGGCGGTTAGCGACTCTTCCAAGTACAGCAAGAAACCGTGGGACTCACCCAGAGCATGGTTAGGTTGTAGTCGCGCTCTTCCATCGCATCATTGACAGCATCTACAAAGCGCGAATAGTGCTTTCCGCACTGCGCAATGTAGTCGGTACCAGCGCTCGGTGCGGTAGGTACGTTGTTCCCCATGATCTGTGAGATGAGCTCCGAGGCCTCTTCTCCGCTATCTTCGAGCGGCTGGTTCGCATACGGATCCGCCTTCATAATCAAATTGATATCGGCCTGAAGCGCGGCAAGCTGAGCTCTGTAATGACTGTCGCGGTTGTCGGAAAAGGTGGTCATCATCTCCGCAAGCTTCTCAGCGAGCATGTTGCGCCGTTTATCGCGCTTCGAGGGCTGCGGTTGAGGAGATGTCGCAGAATGACCTAGCGGAAAGTTGTCCGCCGGAGATGGACTGCCATTTCGAACCATGGCGATAGTCGATGCCCTCGAGGGGTATTGGAGGTATTGATCGTCTGAGACAGGGTCGTCACAGGGCTGCGCAAGTGCGTAGGTCTGCTTGTTTCGTTGGAGAAAGAGGTCCAGAGTCACTCCGCAGTATAACGCTAAAACTATAACAGATCACACCTGCGCGTCCGACGAAGCAATGCGAATTCAAGAGGTGCGGCAGGCGGGATGTGGTTTGCAAGAGTGAAGGGTCGGCAATCGAGCATTAGCATCACTTGCAGCATTACAAACAGGGTCTAGCGTAGAAGAAACGCGCTAGTTTACTTCTGAACCCGTGGACCGATCGGTCGCCAGCGGCCGAACTGAACACCACCTAATGCGATTAGGCTTATATGATTCACACAGCACAAGCTCAGGCAGAGAATCTTTAAACAATCATCTTGTTTGGAAATAAACTAATTGGAAGTTCGCAATCACCTTCTTGGAGTCTGACATCACGGTAGCTTGCATATGAAACCAGCTATTGGGTACAACGAACCAAGTTGAATTATACGTTGTGACACACGAAGCCCAAATGAATGATGTACGACCTCCTGACCTGAGCAGCCCTTCTTCGTCCATTACCACATTATCGTTTTCCAGCCGATTGCATTCCTTCTTGTCTCCCGCATCCACCACGGGCATTCCCGCTCGCCATTCGAGATCGTTGTCTAGGCTTTGAAGCGCCGAGCAAAGTCGTCGCACAGCTCGAGCGTCAAGCTTGCCTCACCGTGAGTATAGGCCTCGGTACCCTCCGGCCTATGGTCGCCGATCCAAACAATCTCCGTAACAGGCAGGCTATCGGTGTTGTGGATGCGGAGCTTCTGGCCTGCGAAGGCAGGACCCTTCACGCTACTCAAGCTGTACCAAAGTCCCTCCCCATAGGAGTACTGCATATTCAAGATCGGCGTGCCGGCAGCGAAACCATCTTCCTGAGCGATGATCTGGATATTGACACCTGTGCCGTTGTCCGCGTGTTTCTGTACTTCGGTCCACGTCACACCCGGCTGAATCTTCTGAAGCTCGGTTCTTGTATGCTGAACGGATGTTACCCAGACAGGGTAGTGGCACTTGTTGTTGACAATGGAGTAGGCTGCGAAAGCGGTGTTGGTCGTCAATGCGAGAGCGCCGATGAGGGTTGGGAGATGCATCCTGGAGGTATAGATCTCGAGATCGGGTTGAAAGTCGATGAAAGACGGTGATATGTTGGCTGAATATGATGAAGCTTGATTGAGTTGCCTGAGTTCGATACTGTCCATGCCGCGCTTTTGACCGGCTCTTATACATGACGAAGACGCCTCAGTAAGCCAGTTGTGCTTCCTACCGGTTGTGTGCTTGGATTTTTAATCAAAGCTAGGAGATTCCATGTCTGTACGATGCCACTACCCAAAGCAAGGTGCCTATGTCCGATTTAAGACGTGACAGCAAGCCATATTCTGCGATCATCCGAAAGACCTCATATCTGATGTGGGAAACAACGCACTCATTAAGACCAAAAGGCTCCAGTAACTGCAAGGCAAGGTGGGGCCTTGCTCATTCGGCGTGGTACAACAGACAATATTGCCCAGTGATCGTAGTTCCACACTGTTACTGCAGGTACAATCTTGCACATACCCGTGCCTACGGGGTGTGGTCCTTGTTATAGTGAGTGGAAGAAAAGACGGATGTTACGACAGTGACAAAACGGGTTCCGAAGCAGTGATCACCAACATGGAAAGTGATTGACGGGAGCAGACCGGTGAGCAGAAAAGATTGCGCGTCAATAATGTTGTGATGAAGCAATATCACAAAACGTGAGACGGGTGTCCCTACGACAGTCCTGTCAACTGTATATGCGGGTGACTGTACTCAGTCGAGAACTTCCTTATACAGTCACCACGAGTCGAGCTTCTCCGGATTGAAAAGTGAGTCTTGTATTACAGCTGAGCCTCAATGAGCAAACGTGCAGAGTATTCCAGACTGCGTGGCCGCCGTGACTACGCGAGGCCACCTACCAAGGCATGGTCTACAGCAGGTACGTGACATGTTAGCCGAACTGAAGGATGTTTGCGTAGGACGACGCGCAAGATCCAGGTTGGCAAGGTCAACTTGGTTGCATTCAAAAGGAAGTTGGATCTGTCGTGAAAACTCAGCGCTAACGTGACACGACGACAAGCAATGCTGGATGTCTGTCAGTTTACCTTTCAGAGTGAATGCGGAAGGAGATGGATGCAGGAAAACGACTAAGCCGGGCGGTGCCGTGTGCTGCCGAACCTCGGCATACATGTTGGGTCATCCATTCCTCCACATTCCGCCCGCATATGAGTTGCCCGCGGAAGTGTTGCCGCCATGTGACAACATCGCCTCGACTCGTTAGAGTCTTTTTCTCCGCATTCTCAGTATACTTTGAACTTTCTGGAAATCTTCATACAGCCATGTCTTCCTCTGCCCTTCGCACATCCATGAGAATGGCCTCGCGGCCACAGCAACGCCTGGCTAGCATCCAAAGACAGTTTAGCAGCTCTGCGCCACAAAGAAAAGAGATTCGAGATGCATACATTATAAGTGCGAGCCGAACACCAACCGCGGTGGTTAGTAAAACACCATTACAGGCTATCCTAGGTGCTAATTACGCAGTAGTTCAATGGCAACTTCACAACCGTATCCGCGACCCAACTAGGCGCCACAGCCATCAAGTCCGCACTCGAAAAGTCAAAAGTACCGGTTTCTTCGATAGATGCTGTATACATGGGCAATGTCCTCTCTGGAGGCGTCGGGCAAGCCCCAGCACGACAAGCAGCCATCTTCGCCGGCCTACCCACCAATATCGAAGCCACCACCATCAACAAAGTATGCGCATCGGGTCTGAAGGCAGTCAACATTGCCGCCTCGACTATCGAGCTCGGACAAGCGGAAGCACAAGTTGCGGGAGGAATGGAGAACATGACAAGAGTGCCATATTATCTCAACAGGGCCAGTCAACAACCAGCATTCGGCCACCAAAAGTTACAGGACGGCTTGATTTCTGATGGACTGTGGGATGTCTACAACCAAATCCACATGGGCAACTGTGCAGAGAACACAGTCAAGAAGTACCAAGTCTCGAGACAGGATCAAGACGACTACGCCATCGAAACGTACAAGCGCGCACAGCAAGCCTACAAGGACGGACTGTTCAAGGATGAGATTGTACCAGTCACTGTCAAGTCGAAGAAGGGCGAGACCGTCATCTCCGAGGACGAGCAGTACAACAAGCTCAAGCTGGACAAGGTTTCTACGCTGAAGCCGGCTTTTGAGAAGGGACCAGACGGCACAGTCACAGCAGCGAACAGCTCACCTCTCAGTGACGGCGCATCAGCATTGGTTCTTGGAAGTAAGGAGATTGCACAGCAATATGGCAAGGACAGCCGCGTACTAGCAAAGGTTGTCACCTATGCCGATGCTGCTGTTGGTACGTATCCATCTACTCCCGTCATCATCCACTCTCATTAACTCAACTCAGACCCCATCGACTTCCCCATTGCCCCCGCCTCCTGCGTCGAGAAACTTCTCAAGCAATCCGGCCTTTCAAAGAACGACATTGCCATCTGGGAGTTCAACGAGGCCTTCGCCGCCGTCATCAAGGCGAATGCCAAGATCCTCGGTCTCGGCACAGACAATGTAAACCCAAGAGGTGGTGCTATTGCTCTGGGTCACGCTCTGGGAAGCTCCGGAAGCAGGATATTGGTTACGTTGCTGCATCAGCTGGAGGTTGGACAGTACGGTGCGGCTGTCATCTGTAACGGAGGTGGCGCGTCAACGGGTATCATCGTACAAAGAGTCAGCGCGGATCAACTGTAGAGGGACACAAAAACATGGTATGTATACCAAATTATATAAGAACAAATTTCCTTGTTGATTTCAAGGAGAACATTTACTCCAACTTCAAGTTTCGTGATCTTTTCACATGTACCCTATCTAGCTTGCGACCACAGCTTACCGCACAGCCCAGCCCAACAGCAATGACTCACAATCAACAACACGGGACAAGCAAAAAGACGACGTTGGCCAGATTCGAACTGACGCTCCCTAAGGAACAAGATTTCAAGTCTTGCGCGATAACCACTCCGCCACAACGCCCTGAGCTTTTCTTATATTCGCCACTAAAACTATACGTATTATGTAATTGAGATTACCCTAGCTCAATAGAGAGTATGGAGGAGTGGAGAGGATATTGGGACGATAGAGAACAGAAAGAGTAGATTTTCGTTATGCGGTGGAGCACAAGGGTGGAGTATGCGGTGTGTTTGCGGCTACGTACATGGTGGTGATGGGTAGGTGCATGATTGTGGAACGACAACAAGGAAAATTGACGAATACAAGGATACGACGAAATATACGAAGAGAAAGGATACGATACGGAGTAACGCATAAGAGAATAGGCAGAGAAGTTGTATTATCAAGGTAAGAGGAGTCGAGTGATTGGAGGATAAGACGTGGTAATACGTAAGGGACGTGAACGAGTTAGGATTGGGAAGACAATCAAAGAAACCAAATTACATTCAAGGAGTGAAGAAAATCATCAATGTTATATTGTTCCGTGGAGCATAGACCAGATAAGTCAAGACACGGTTTGCCCCAGGTGTACGCCTGCCATGCCAAACACCGCGAGAGGCGACGTATGTCGTCAAGAAGAAAAGGAATAAATGTTGACGGGCAAGGTTATGAAGACCTTGATCCCACCTCATACCTGATTGAGATTCATATCCATGTCCGTATCCAAATCCATAGCAAAGTCCATATCATCCCACGGCATCGACGTAGCACCCTCAACAGCCGACATGCTGACACCAGTAGTAGTAATCGGAATAGTAGAGTTGTAGTCCGCGCTACTCGTAGGATTCTGCAAGTCCTCTGGTAACTGATCCCATGACGGGAACTGGAAATCGTCCACGGCAGACTCTCCAGCAGTCTGGCACTCAAAAACCGGCTGTTCATTTGTGCTGGTTGTAAATGAGGCCAGATGCGCATTTGACTCATCGAGCCAGTACCTCCTCTTTGGCGATCCGGCGGTTTTTGTAGCGAAGCCAATCTCACCATGCTCGCCGAAGCAGGGACCTGCGCTACCTGCTGCTGTGCATGCGAGTTCCGAGATGGGCTCGAATACACCCATAAGGTTGTCTGTACTTGCGGCAGTTGTGATAGGGGCGTAAGAGGCTGGTGAGGTAGGCGATCCGCTCAGCCCTGGTATACTATAGGGTGTTTCGCGACCTGAGGAGAGTTGTCGCGCATGCCCTTGAATAACGCCTATCGAGCCAGATAGAGCGAACTCGAAAGATAAGGCGCGCATTGGGTCGTCCTGAGACATCGAGGCGCAGCGGAAGTTGCTCACATCGAAGCTTGGATCTAGAGCAGAACCATAGTTGATGCCGAGATCTTCGAATACTTCGTGGTCTCCATTAATGTCTATACAAACGTCAGATGAAGGTACACCGATGTACGGATGTCTGATCGAATACTTACTCTTTATTGGCACTGTGTTATCGATACCGTGGGCTTTCTTGAATAGATTCAACCATTCAGGGTTATCGGCAGAGGTTTGGTTCCATGGGTCATCATCACCGTACAGTATATGACGTGATTCTGTTTGTAACATCTCGTCGGTCACGGTACCTGCCCCATGCTTCTCGATATACTCTCGAGCAAAGCGTCCCAATTGTAGTGTGAGGATCTCCCAACAGGTTGCGTTGGGGTTACCAACCGGCGACTCCGACGAAGAATAGTCTTTGGGCGTTGTCAGGACAATCGGTCCGATCGTTGAGGGATCTCTTCCGCTCTGGTACGCGGTAGATAGATCGTTCGTCGCGTTGTTGACGTCCAAGTTGGGTAGGAGATACTCAAGATCTCTGTTATTAACCGATAGATTGAGTTGCTGCTCAGAAGTTAGCCAAGTATACTTTGTCGAATACTCGCGTGCTGCTTGACCTCATTATAGGCCTGCATGTTCCCCACTGTGGCACGTACCTTGAGGCTCGTCGTATTGCTTGCGGAGAACGGGAACGGGGATTTGCTCTCATTGGCAATGAGATATGGCGGCATGGCATTGGTCACGTGGATCGCAACATGAGGATCCAAACCTCTGCATCCCTTCCAATTCTTCATGTTCGCGCCATTCCGGAACTCTTTCGCCAGATGATCGGTGCGATCTTGCCACTTGTCAAAGTTCATCCCGCAGAAGCCGCAACGAGATTTGATGTACTGGGCTTCAGATTTCCATGTGTCCATACTGGGAATCATCTTGCAACTGTGCATGAGTCGCAAGTGCTGTCGGAGATGGTCTTTTCGATAAAACGTTCGAGACTCTGGACCTTTCTCGTAACAAGCGGAGTGGTTGTGAGTTGCCAGATGGTCCTTGCTAGGATCCAGCTCGTCACAGTATACACATCTGGGCTTCCCGGTAGCCTTGTCAGCGACGATCTCACCAATAGGTGCGCATAGCCATTTCTCCAGAGACAAGTGAAGGCTTTTCTCATGTCGAGACCTGTGAGATATTAGCTTCTATTATCTTGACGTGTGTGAGGTCGTTATCGTGTAAGATATCACGACCTTGCAAATGAAGGTTGGTGCAATTTTGCTTCCCTGTGTAAGGCGAGAGTCCACACTTACCAGTCATACTTGGACTTGAAGGTATCGGTGCAGAACGTGCACTGGAATATGCGTTTGCCCTCATCAGGACTAGCCTTTGGTGCTCGGGTAGGAAGACGACGACGCCTTCTCCTCTCCTTAGACTTCAAGCTGTTCATCGAGCCGAGAGAGTGCCGTGAGCCGTGCGAGTAAGCTGTGTTGTGAGATCCAAGAGAGCCGGAAGACATCTGCGTAAGACCAGTCTCCAAAGATGAGATAGAGGGCGCCCTGAATACTGAGAAGCTTCCAGTGCTGTCATTAGAAACATCTTTACGGTAGCTGCTGCTCAGACTGGCAGATTCTGGAGGGTCGAAAGTTTCGACAGCGTGGGCGATAGCATTCATCGGAGCAGGTTCGTTCTCAGGAGGAGAGTGCTTCCATCGTTCAAGGGGATCTGTCGCGAGTTAACCGAAACATTCTTGTTGCTGAAGCACTGGCACATGAGAAAATGTGCCAGTATCTGAGTTTCTGTTCATATCTTCTGGACGCATGTCACCCACTCGGAAGGTCATGAACCTTCCGGTGGATGACGACGACAAGGTTTTGTGAGAACGGGTAAACCCAGACTCGGTAGACGTACTCATGCTTTCCCAGGTTTTGCCTGCTGGAATGTTGATAGCTTCTGTCGATGGCCGAAGACTCGGCGATGCGCTTCGCTTGGGTCGAGCCTTCTGTCTTCGCCGCGTGTTCGCCATCCAGTTCGAAATTTGACTGATCGAGAGACCAGTCTGCTGCTTTAGGGTTTCCTTCTCTTCGTCGGTTGGATATGGATGATCGATGTGCATAAGCATCCAGTCTTTCAGCGCCTTGACGGCAGCTCTTGGAAAGCGAGCTGCTGCAGCACCCTTCTTGGGACCTTCGTCATCCTCCTTCCCATCTTCTATAGGGCCGAGATGACCTAGCGATCGCATCTGCTTCCTGCCAGTAAGTCCACCAAAATGTCGCGTGTCATTCTCGGCCACGACATCTAAAGTGTCTAGCGCAGTCCTTTGTCGCATACCTGGCATCCTCTCGGGGTTGCTGAAGCTGCATGGTCGGAATAGAGCGTTGCAAGGCGAGCATCCTGATCGCTTTGAGCCATCGACGTTATATATAAAACACTCAAGAGATCTCGATCGACAGTACTCGCACGGATGGGCAGGCTTCTGGTATCGTGGAAGCCAGCTGCTAAAGTCTGTGTTGAAGTCTGTACTCGTGGGTTGAGCACTGGTGGACTGCTCCAGAATCCCAGAGTCTTTGTCTAGTGGAACGCTAGTACATGTTAGAACTATACAAGGGGAGTTTGACAAGTATGAGCCGCGATCCTTGGCTACCCGCAACAAGCAAATGTCAAGTCGAGGTTATACAACTAGGTACGAGGTTCGGTACACTCACCTCTCGTGAAACGAGGTCTCTAATACGTTGGGGTCGATTTCTTGTGACACATTGGACATGCCTGCTTCCCCGAAATCGACAAAGTCTGCCATATCGAAGGCTGCGCTAGGCGTAGCCATGATAGTGGTGCGCGATCTTGCAAGCAAGACTAGATCGTATTGGTCGGTGTCAATGACTTCCGGAGGATAAGAAGACAAGTGCGCGCCCTCTGTACAAACTTGACAATAAGGCGCAAGATGCAGTTGTGGGATGATGGATGCTAAGTACGACTGCTGGCTCAGACTCACACCTTAGGCCATACCCAAGAAAGCACCGCACACTTTCTACTGCCGCTAAACCGCATTCTGAAGGATGTCGAATTGAAGGGCGCAGTCCGTGCGTTTGCAGGATCATACAGATTAGCCACTCCTGCGTTTAGGGCGAGCTAGTCATCCGATAAAGAACACGCTCAGACCGCTGAGTCATTAGCATACGTCGCAGTGATGGTTTCTGGACGTGGAGGTTGAAGGTCGGCAGTGTTCGCGATGCATGCTCAACGTGGTTGAAAGAGGTCATTTTTTTGTACCTGATTTCCGCAATCTCATGTTGACCTTTTCAGCAACAGGAGAGCGTTCATGGTGTTGCAATAGCTGAAAATTACAGACGCGAATCTTACGAGGCTATTGAACCCCAGCCCCAGCACACTGGAGCTGACAAACCCCACATCGGCTCTGCGCGATGCACGATCCTGGCGGAAGTCATCCTCTAGTCTTTGTCACAGCTTTGCGATTGGTCGTAGAGGGTCTAGAAGATAGCAGGCTTCCGGGGGAAATGCATACTGCTATGGGGATACCGCTGGAAACACGTTGCGAAAGACGCGAAATCAGCAAGTGTAACCGCTACGTATGGAGGTCTGCAAGGCGTGCAGCTAGCGGTCAGGGAAACGCCGTTCATCGGAGGTTCGTAAACGTCGGCGAAGAAAGGTTAGCCATGTGCCGAACGAATAGCGGTCTTTCGGAAACACTTGCTCCGTACCCAACCAGCAATCGTGTGTAGCTGTCATATGGTGAATAACGGTGGACGTTATAAGCCATGCAAGATTTAGTATACTCCAAATATAGCAGAAGTGTACATTGTTGTTGTTTTCGCATGCAGAAGGTGCTAGTTTGAGCAAGTGTGAAGGGTGACGTCAGAGGATCTGCCGTGCTGTGAAGGTGTCAACAGACACAACTGTCTGACTTCATCTAAGGCTAACATACGGCCTCAGAAGCATCCCGAAGTCGCTCTCATCTCTACGATTGTTCAGAACTGTCCAAAACTACTTGCTTCACATGAAAGTAGAAACCGTCACGAGCGAGGCTTTGTCCGTGGCCTGGAACACTAAACGAATCTAGAGAATCGGATATGGAGCACCTACCATAAAGCAAGTGGTTATTGGAAACACGTCCGCCAGCTGTAAGAAGGCCTGCATGTTAAGAACATCGCCAGACGTACACCAGGTCAAAAAGGCCAGCTACGGATCCATGAGGCACCGAAGCCCAATCCATCCGTCACACGTTAGGTTTTAGGTGCCACTGAGACATATACCACTGGGACATAGTCTCTTTATGGCTTTGGACTCGAAACATGCTTGTGCTGGTCCCAATCGGATATATCAATATGGAGGAGTTGGACAAGGCTGTAAGCGAAGGCGGGGTAACGTGTTACGACGATCGAGTACTGACATGTGTCACGCAGACTCATGATGAAAGTGGTTTCTTTTTACCATAAGACGGTGAAGCATATTAGTTGACATGTCGCTAGCTTCCGATCGAGCCTACGTACTGTTAGATGTAAACAGCCTTGGCATAGCGCGAGGTTGGGTATCGAGCGGATCTTAGCGATTCTGCCAACTCATAACGCATCCGCAAGTCTGTCCAATCCATCAATCAGTCCATAAGCCGCACGAAACTAGCCAGTCCCCGTCACTGGCCTCCACAGTGCTCGTCATGTAACATGTCACTTGTCACCGCCTGTGCCTGATTACCAAAGCGCAACCATCCGTCTTGGGCTTGTCTTAAACCAACGATACTCCACCTCAAAGCCTCACTCTGCCTCCGCAGCGAGCATTGAGGCAGCTTCCCGAACGTGTACGGCCCACTCTGGACCGACGATGATTAGCAGTGGCTCTCCAAGCTTTAACCCACGAAATGGATGCAGCTCCCAACTGTGCCATCTGCAATGCGCCGCCTTATCCTGAATGCTCCTGCGAGTCGGAGCGACTACAGATCGCTGTCAAGCAGGCTGAGCAGCGTGCTATGGAGGAGCGGATGGGTGAGATACGGTACGGTGAAGATGCGCTCTTTGCGACATGTGCTGACCATGTCTAGGGACTGGGTGATCAATCATGCTCGCCAGCACATCCTCAACGCATTCGAAAGATTGACCTCGACACGCAAGCAAGCGCATTCGTCATATCTAGCCTCCCTCCCAAACTACGAAGTCTACATGCGCTACTCGGGCCATCCGCCGATACACCCAATGTATGTCTCGACGTTGCAAACACAGATTGCAGAAGCGCATGCAGAACTGAAGCGCGGTATCGACGCCGACTGGCGCGCATCGGTACTACGATACCCAGAAGTCCTCGACTATTTCTATAGTCTCGTCGAACTCAGACTGCCGGACGACCGCTCTCGAGAAGTTGTCGAGCCACCATTCGCTGCTGCGGGCTACGCGGATATAGGATATAGGGTCAAGGAGAAGAAGAAAAAGCGACGGGATAGAGAAGGATCAGTACCGCAGATGCATGTGGCCCTTAGCAGAGTGATGCGTGGGGGGCCGCCTCCTGTGCCAACACCACCAATTCATCACAACGGATCATATCCTCGACCACCGGAACCATATGGATACTGAAAGGGTCAAGGTCTGGGGCCCTATGCTCCTGTCGTGAGATCTTGTCGCAATCAACCATACTGCCACCATTCGAATAGCTTACGGAACAATGACGCATCGCCGTATAGCATGCACACACTACAGCATGTACTAGCGCTTTCTCTATCGGGCTTCGTTTTCTGGATATGCGACCGCTCTATACTCATAAATGAAATTAAGCATAGCGAGGAGTATTTGTCCTTGGGGTTTCATTCCAGTGGGTACCATCACTACTTCCGTTATATATTGGACACTAGGCAGTGAATTCAATACCAGAAATGATTCCAATACGATTAGAGATGTATTAGTTGTTCACATCGCGTTGGTTGAAGTACGCTACAATAGCATATGCCTAAGGCTCCACTGAGTCCGTGCACAGAAAGTCGAAGCTTGAGCTTATGGAAATCGCACGACGCAACACCAACAACTTGATCGCCCAAATTCTCCTTCACACCACGCGACCGTTTCGAGATTTTCACTATCCACTTGACCTTGAACTATTAACGATACATCAACGCGATCGCGAAGAGCGCACTCGACATATTCGCCCATCATGAGCGGGAAAGCAGGTGCATACGGAACGTCTGGCGGCGGCGACACAGATTTCAGGAAAACATGGGATCGCGATGAGATGGCGCAAAGGGCCAAGGACAGGGAGGCAAAGGACCGCGAGGAGGGAAAAGAGCGATATGAGGCCAAGTTGGCTGGCAAGACATATAGGCGGAGAGCGTCTACGCCTGACGATCTGAAGCAGACCGAAGCCAGATCAGAGCGCATAGACTGGAGCAAGATGATCGGAAAGCAGACCCTCACATCAGCAGCAGCCGCCGTCGGTAAGAGGGGACGTGGTGCAGGCGCATACTGTCAAGCCTGTGACCTCACGTTCAAGTACGTCTGCATTGTCGCAAATCTATTGACTACGCTAACCGCTATTAGGGACAATATTCAGTACGTCGAGCATCTGAACAGCAAGCAGCATTTGGTCGCAACGGGCCAGTCGGGCGAAGTACACCGCGCTACAGTGCAAGAAGTACGCGATCGCCTACGATACCTCAAGCGAAAACGAGACGAGGACAAGTTTTTGGAGGTGACGGACCTGGATGCGAGGTTGGCCATGACCAAGGAGCAAATGGAAAAGGACGCCGAGGAGAAGAGGCGCCTGCGCAATGAGAAGCGTCGGGCGAAGAAGAAGACGGATGCGAACGCCATGGAGTGGAAGGTTGAAGGCGACGGCATCATCCGCTGAATGGTGGTTGGCATTGAATAAGCACATACTACACGACATGGTTATGGCGCGATAAGACAGCGCTGGGCTGCAGCAAGACGACCGACCGGCGAGCATATGACGGTCTACTCTAAGCATACATCTGGCTGGTATTTTTGAATATCGAGGCTATGGTCTTCAGAGCCTACGAGAAGCAGCATGCGCTCATTCGTCGGGAAGGACATACACCGTCATGCATTTCCTACCTGTCGCAAGCCTCTTGTACAGCTCATTTTGAGCTTTGGCATCGCTAAATGCGAGGTTTCCCACCGAAGGCATTCACTCTCTCCTGACATGGGAATACGGGTGAAAAGGATCGGAAGTCAGGCGCCCAACAATCCCAGACGACATACCCCACACGTCGGCATCACCCACCTACCAGCACGCCGATGTAATACATTAGCACGCTGATTTCTAAGCTCAACGCCGAGCTGCGAGCTTCGACATAGCATCATAAATAAACGCAATTCGTCTCCGAGCGCCTTATAGTCCTGTCCAACTAAGCCTTATACCCAGCATCTGTCTCTGTCTAGTCGTATTCCCCGCATTATCAGCTGCATCTCCTAGCGCTGACATCATCTTCGACATTCTACATCGCCCATTATGGCTCAAGTCAATGGAAACGCGCCTAAAATCACCCTTTACACTAACCATGGCTGCCCTTGGGCGCACCGCGCACATATTGTGTTGAAGGAATTGGGTCTTCCATATGAGGAAGTCATCATCGACTTGGGCAAGCCGAGAGAGCCATGGTACCTCGAGATTAACCCAGTACGTTCAGTTTACTTTCGGTCTATTAATGCATCACTGACATCTTCAAAGCGCGGTCTTGTCCCTGCGATTAACTTCAATGGCGAAATCATTACAGAGTCTGGCGTCGTTGCAACATTCCTAGCCGATGCATACCCTTCCCACGTGCTCCCAGCATCAGGGTCCCCAGAAGCTGCCCTAACCCGGGCAAGAATCAACTTCTTCGTCGACACCTGGTTCAGCAAGGCAGGAAGCTATTTCTACAAGATCTTGATGTCAGGTTCCGAAGACGAGAAGGCGAAGCTGAGCCAGGAATTCGTGGACGTCGTAGCCAAGGAGATTGAGCCGCTGCTAAAGGACGCAAAGCCATTTTTTGGTGGCAGCCAGAAGGTTACATTGGCTGAGGTATGTTCTTCGTTAAGAAACTGTGAGCAATGCTAACGTATGACAGGCCCTAACGGCGCCATTCATCATCCGGACCTATGCCATGGCCAAACACGACATGCTCCCGAAATCTGTCGCTTCTGGCCTTGACGCGCTGCCCAACTTCTCGAAATGGGCTGCCGAAGTCATCAAGCAGGATAGCGTAACTTACATCTGGGACGAAGAGGCAATCATCGATGGCACGAGAAAGAGGATTGAGAGCCAGAAGGCGCAGCAGGCAGCTTCCAAGTGAGCGCTCACTGTACCACTACAATACGACATGCAATGACCATGACAAGATTGTAATTCACTCATCGGGGTACACCTTCTACCTATCTACACTTTTGAGTACATATATGTTCCAAACCGTTTAGTCCCGCGTACGCAGAGACACTAGCCTTATGCGAAGTCTTTTCTTTCCGATGATATCACACACGCTAACACGAAGTAATGCCAAATAGCGACACCGAGGCGCCAATAGCGCCTTCATAAGCATGAAATCAACAAGCCAGGCCAAATGCATTTTGCTTAACGAGTGTGCCGACAATGAGCGCTGGAAAAAGCTATGAGACGTCATGCGCTGACGGAAAAGGAAAGCACCACTGGCGGTATTTTAGTCATCGATCTCACAAAGAAGGCAGGGGATGCCGCTCCTAAAACCTCGAACCACGACGGGTTCGCTTCGTCGGTGGTATCGTCGTCTCCATTGCACGGAATGACAACAACATCGCCGCCGCATCAAGATCATCGTGTGTATGGTTGTCATCGCCACCGGACATCTCCACCTCAGAACCGTGCGCGCTGTCAATCGTGGCGGCTGTTTCAGAGCGAGTGAGGGCTTCATCAACGTAGTCCTCGTGAGATGCGACGTTCGAGTGTGTCCGCTTCGTACGAAAAATTCCGCTCTGGTATTCGCATGGAGCCGACGTTGGCGTGAGTAGCCCTGGAGGCGCATGAAGGTTGATGGGCGAGCCCATGAGCGAAGAGACGGCTGTGCTTGGCGAGTACGGGGATTGCGACCGGTTTATTGGCGTGAACTGAGTGCGAGGAGACACCTCAGGCGAGCAAAGATACTTGCCATTGCGATCGGTGTCCGTCCCGTATCCACTCTCGATATCAGCTGGCTGCACATGTTGCTTTGCGGCTTTCTCGTTCAGTGAGGACGGCCTGCAGTGCGTCTTGGTTGCCTCGACCAGCGACGATGCGTCTGATCCGAACACCGTATATGCCGGACCTAACTCTTTGAAACGGACAGTCTCCTGCGCACAGTATTTGACAATGTCTGGGTCTATGAGGAACTTCGCAAAGCATGGATCCTTCGGATGCAGACATGTGGAAGGAAAATCGTTTCCGAAGACAGGGGTGAGTGCCCATCGGATATCGTGGCAGAATGTCGCAGCTATAGCTCTGGCTGCGTGGTAAGGCATCCAATAGCCTGCAGTGGGTCAGCACTTTTCGGCATATGGCCACCACTATTGTGACTGACCTTGACATACTAGAGCACCACCGGTGATACTGTAGCTGATGTCCTTCAGTCCGGGGTTCTGTCTCAATGCCTTGGCGGGTATTGTCTCCACAAGTCAGCCTTTCATTCACACATAACGAGAGCCAGTCACTACCTTTGAGTACTTCAATGACTTGAAGAAGGGCGTCATGCGAACGAGGCCGATATTGTAGTCCCAGACCACGACGTACTCCTTGTCGTCATCGGGTCTCTTATACGTGTATTGAAACACTATCTACAAGTCAGCATTGAGATCCCATGTTGACGAGGAATACTGACTCTCAAACGCTTCGCGCCCGGTCTTCTCATGGAAGGCCTTCTTGTCGCTGTTGTACGGAATGTGCCTCACACCCTTTTTAAGGATCTCTCCCAGAGGGTAGATCTGAAACCGGCGATGCTGGTGCAAGAGTTCCTGGCTATCTCCAGCTTCGTAGGGTGGAAAGTTGATGTTACCGACGGTTCTGTTGCCTTCTGAAAAGATTGGGGCGTCTTTCGGAATCTTCTGTCGTCTAGGTGCTGGAACTGCAGTCACCGGGTAACAAGCTAGCGTTGGCGATTTCGGACTGCGATAATCGTTCGGGTCGCCGCAGAATGGGTTTAGCAAGTGCGATATCTTCATGGTCTGGATGGTACGAGAACCTTCTGGTTGCCGAAGCGAAGACAGTCGGTGTGGGTACTTGTTGTAAGGTACCAGTACTTGGCAGGGACGGTGGACTTGAAGACGCAGAGACCAGGTTGGAAAGCAAGACTAAGCTGCTGTGGAACGAAAAAGCGATTTGGAGTGGAGAGGTGTTTGGTGGCAGTGACGGGTAGAAGAGGCTGACGCCCAGTCCGTTTGCGAAATGCTCACGAGGACGAGATGGTCACCGTATACCTCTGGCCACTGAGGACGTGGACCGGAGACCACCAAGCCCTGGCAACCGATCTTCACACGATTAGCACCCCGTATCATATGGTACTGGTAGCCTTAACAACATACGTACCGTGTTGTGGTGAAGACTTGGTCGACAGCGCGCTCGATGTAGTAGACGGCGAAGAGACGTGCGATACACGTTGGTAATGACCCAATGCAACAATGGCACCGTCCAACAAACAGTATGGTCCCGTGGCGAATAGTTGGGCCTCGTGTGATGTCCAACGAATACCTTCGCTCGGCTATCGCAGCAGTCACTTCGACACGCCAGGTTAGCAGACATCAAGGAAAGGCAACTGCATAAATGCTATTTACCAAGATGGGATGCAGGTCTTACCGAAGAGCAGAAATTCTTACCAGGTTATCTTTTTTTTTTGGCGAGCTTCCGGCTAAGATCACTAGGACGGAAGTGTAGGGGAGGGTACTTGTGCTGTACACGGTTCCCTTTAATGGGTCAACTCTACCTTCAATTCGGCCCGCTAGCTGCTCACCTTTGGCGAAGTGCGTCGGCAAAGCTTGTCCAAGCGCCTTGCAGACGACGTCCGGTGTGTAAGTGGACGTGCTTTGGCCTCAGACGCACACTACATGGCTTGTCAGGGTACGCAGTGATGGACCCACTAATTGGACCAAACGACCGTTACCGAAAGCAAGTGCTCGGTGTGGACAATGCGATAGTGAAAGACGGATCGAAGATAAAGTGTCGTACGGCGTCAAACACTCCTCCCGCGCTAAACCCTGCATCCACACTAGGACATACATCCCATTTCCTTTATTCAAACGATATACGGATCGATTCCAACCAAAACATTTCCAATGAGCACAGGGACTTGCGAGCTGATAGCACTGACGCGACTCATCAATCACTGATAGTATTAATGAAGGATGCGGCATTTCATCTTTTCCAACTGACGACCATACATGTTTCCAACGGATTATAGCTGCCGGGAGCGGATTTGTCACTACGTTCCCAACAGCAGCGTCCCAAACCATTCGACGATCGCACCACTACACTGCACGTACCTTTTTTATTGCGCGTGGGTGGCATCACCGATCTCAAATCAGCCGTGTTCGGTCCCTCAGATAATACCAGGTCCGTTGCCTACTCCTTGTCGGTATGGCATGAAAGAACGAATAGGTTGCAGTGTTTACCTGCAGCTTTCCGTGTGGAAGCACAGATGCACGGTCTCCTTGGCTCTCGTTGCAAACGTGGCCCAATTTCTCACGTATCTCGGATATCTGCACAATTTCGAGCCCATAAAGCGATCTATTGGCGTACATACTGTCGATGTGTGCTTTCAGCCTTGCTCCCGTTGGCAATACTCGAGACATACAGCTTAGGTTCTGCTCGCTTGTCGCTGCGATCACAACCAAACTCTCCTTGAAACATTGCATACTGAACACACTTCTCACACTAGACATAGCTTCCTCTCCGCAGTGAGACATGGCGCACTCTAATGCAAGCCCATCACTTGCCTGCGAGGCGGACATTTCGAAAGTGAACTTCCACCTGACCCGTGCTTCACTGGATGCTGATTAACAAAATAATATGCCTCACTCACTTCGGTATGCGGTTGGATCAATTTCAGGTTGGCTCACGAAGAAAGGCGGTGTTTATGTCTCACTCTTGACCGCTCAAAGAGAACAAAAGTCAAGCTGCAGCTTTGGCTGCGGCAACCCGTGATCATTGCTTGATCAAAGGCGCCTTCAAGGCTCTTCTGGAACTATGACTCTTGATCTCTAGAGAAATGGCGCCATCATGCGAGGCTGCCTGGATACTCACTGCCTGGCCCGCTGTCACTGTGCGCAGCCGGTGGTGGGAGATTCGAACAACTCACACTGCCTTCCGGTCAAAGCAGAGCGCCTATGTGAGGTCATAAGTTGACTTGCTCGACGCCGCAGATTCGACAGGCTTGAGGTTAAATGCAGTCTGAGGTTTTAGGTCACTCGTGCGGCGCCCAAGCGGGGTAGGAGATGCGCACTCGCTATCAATCATCGTGCATATGCGCAGAGATTTTCCGCTTCCGTCGGTTACACAGAAGCCGTCACAGTGGGGTGACAGATGGCTCAAGCAATTCGGATTAGCCAGCATGAAATCGCTGTGCTGTGAGCTCGGGCTGGAGCTGAGCGGCGGATATCTGCAGATACAAAACTATGACCGACGATTTGTTTCAGTGGGCACTCAATTCCGAGTCTAAGACCACCCTCTGCAACAAGCAGATTCAGAAGATGGGGTATCTGAGCCATCTCTGAGTGTGATGATTGTGTTCATTATACATGAGGCTGGTGAAGGAGCATCTCAACCTTGTCGTACACAACAATGGGCGTGATTCGCAATATCGTCGTCGGTCCAACATCCGAAGGCCTTCATTGTACGATAACACTGTCCAAGAGTTTTGGACTTCCGACAATCTGTCTTCCCAGATACATAGACTTCAGCGTACCAAGCCTCCAGAAGTTGACCAGGGTCGGGTATAGTCAACGACCAGAGGCCGTCTGTATCCAATGAGTCAAGCAGTCCACTGCATGATTAAAGAGCAGAGACACGAAACGAATTCCAATCAACAGGAACAGGATATCCCAAGAATACAGGCGCAAGTGGAGCGTATCCAACTGCACGGCCATCCAGCACAACATGTAGTGTTGTAACACACCCACCTCTTCAATGAAGAAGTCGGTGGAGATACTCCTTTGGGTTTAACCAGAGAGAAAGAAGTGCGACAGTGCGGCAGCGGTATATGTACCGAACGAGTGTTATCTCATGTTTTAATGCACTGCATACAACTTCTGTGTCTACATTCGATCGCCTACAAATCGCATTCTTACACAACGATCGGTACCGTATTGGGAGACTGCTACCACACGTCGCTCTTGCAGCATGATAGTTGCTTCGGTTTCTCGCTCGATACTGAGCTACAGTTACCAGGCACTGGGCAACCTGTGTGTTCTTTCTCCAAGCAGGGTTTTTCTCACGATCGTGCCACAGCATTACAGCACGCGCAGAAGACCTGCTCACAACGTCGCAAAGCTATCTCATCCATTCGATTTAAACACTACTCCGCCCCCTTCGTTATGGTGAGTCGTGCAACCAAATTGTCAGAATATCCTTCCCTCGTGCCCGACGTGTGATGCGTAGAGACGTGGGTGACGCAACCTAACGAGGCGAAAGCAATGAGTGCAGTCGGTCCTCTCCCCCACCAAACCATTCCTGTACGACCAGACTCTCAATCTGCTTCTTTTTGCGCTTTCACAAGGTAATCTGGGGTCGTGCTCGGTAGTGCCTTTGCTCTGGAATCAGGAGTCTGCAGGGATGACCCTCGCATTGTCCACAAAAGGCACCCTGTCCAGCTAGCATCTCAGGAACGACTGGTAACAGGCGTCACAAGTGACGAAGCTTTGAGTACGCAACATCTTGTGAAAGGGTATTGAGGCACATAGCAGTCGAGGGAAAGTGCTTTGTACTCCAAAGTAGGTTCTGCCTGACAGCTGCGGTGATGCAATCAAGCTTTGTGGCGCTTCCCACACGGTACGACGACTTACGACGACACTCGAGCAGCAGACGCACTTTTTATGAAAGCAGCAAAGCCTTGCGCGGACCGCCACATAGATCTACTCGCTTTGTTTGGCTGCACATCAGTGTACTAGTTCGATAGAACGCAATTCGATGATTTCAATGCAACAAGAACGGCATTGCCCCGCCCCTCACCAATGTACAACCGTTGAGCTAGATACCCGTTATCGATACCACTGACTATCTGCGCTCACGCTATTTCAGATGACTTCTCTACGCTGTCTGGCGATCTAGAAGTCAGGGAGAAGCTAACATAGTGCCCGAGGCTCTATTGACCTGGAAATCCATACGGATCGCACGAACCCATGTACCGCTTCTGCTCGGCGATCAAGCAGAACTATCAGTTTATTGGGTCTCTCTTCGCCGAACCATACAAAACGACGCAGGAATCTTGCATGTATCGTGACTTGGCAATCGAACAGAACGACCCTAGTGCTTGCTTCGGGTCAGATGCGCAAATGAGGACAAGTACTACAACGGCTAGTTCTGTCTTAGGTACCACGAAACAGAGATTTGGCATGTTCCTGACAGCCCTGACAGGTGTCACAGTGCGAGTCTTTAGGTGCGAGAGTGATTGGACAGAGGTACAAAGGTTGAGCGGATTAGGGTAAGTACGCCTCACTCTTTGGGCTCTCGTTACCTTGTTCTCTATTTTATATATCCGCTGCTTTCCCGTACGTAGTTTTCACTTTTCACATTTAGACGCAAGTCACATGTTTCCTTCGCAGTACTCTCCTATTTGTCATTGCTGTTCATTATGCTGTGGACACCAGCCAGCACATCAAGTCACACACATACACAGTAGTGGAGATAGACGCCGCTTCCATCAGGCTGCCTCCGTCCATTACTTTCCACCCAAGAGACGCCATCAAAGCTATGCCCTGTGGTTCATGTACGTACCCCGTCCTCTGTTCCGGTACCCGGCCGATCTCACCCTATCTCCGCCCATCTTTCTGGAAAAGAAGCCTATCAGTGGGGGCGTAGAAAGCGAATATTACACCCAGCCCCGCCCTCCAACGTGGCCGCCACCATGCATCAAGCCGCAAAGCCCAAGATGCCTGCCGAAGACTCCGCCGGACGCCGTCTGTAAACCAATGACAAGCCTTCTTACGGGTCTTTGGATATCTTGTCATCTGGCTATAGGTGCCGTGGGAACGGTGTCTAACCAGTAGGCACTGCGTATGGGGAGGTATGGTACGACCCCACTTCTAGATGCCGTCTACTTCTTCGTCCGACCATGTCATGTCTCTGCGAACCGACCGTGTGGTACACATCTCCAGTGTGGGTTATACCCTATATTACACCTGCTTTATAGCTATGCAGACAGCCTACTCTGCCCCCTACCTTCCGCTGTCACTTCCTCTTTGGACGGCAAAAACTGCGTTCATAGCACTGGATCTAGAAGGGATGTCGTACGAGCGCTTGTAACGGCATTTTGGTTGGCTAGACGGGAAATGTCGTGGATAAGCCAAAGGATATTGGTCATCATCGTCGGGAATGGTGTCTTGGGCTACGGGAAAGGAAGAGTGAAAAGAGGGACTGTGTCAACAAACGCTGATGTTGAACTTGCACTACAATCTAGAAGCTTCGCAAATACGTTTGTAGATTGTATTATGCAAGTGAACCATCCACGCATCTATACATGACGTGCGAAAAAATTATACCACCATGGCACATTGCATGGACTATATGGCTTTTACTAATCTTGTTTATGCACTAGAATGATCACGCTGGTGGTATGTATTCCTCAAAGTTATATAGATAAAGACGACTGATTATCGTCAACACCCTTCCAATCAAAGACCAAATCACCATGTATGTCAAAGCTTCTCAGGTATCAACATGGCAATAGCGTCTTCATTCCCTATCGCTATACCGCAAATGATTATCTTAGAAGAAAGTAAGTAAGCTGAAAGCACTAAAATAAGAACGCCAGAAACAATCATAGCCAGCCACTCTTCGGGGCCGATGCTCGCCATCCCATCCTAAAAACACCTTTTCAGACAATGACCAAAACCAAGACCTTTAAGCACGCTTGCCTTCATGCTCATTCGTGCAGATCGTGATGCGCCTGAGACAAATATTTACACAAAATACACGAGTTATACGCCGGACATGCTCTGAACGATAATGCTAACCATGAACCCGAAAGAGCTGTCATGATGTCTTTTAACGAGAAGAACCTGATTGTTTAGGAAGCGGCGAGGGGTTGTATGTCCAGCCGCCGTCACGTACGAGACGTTCTCTCGCCTCGCGCTCCTTGCGCTTTTCCTCGGCTGTGACTTCGTCGTTGGCCCAGTAGGCGCTGCTGGTGCGCTCGCGGAAACGCTTGTGGCGTTCCTTGTTAGGGAATACCTTTTCCATCTCCAAGGGTGCGATGGGTCCGAAGATATGCTCAGGGTCCATGAGCTGTTGGTTGCTGAGCATCTCGCGTAGGTTGGGGGTATTAACCCAGCTCGGCTGCTCAAACTCGTTCTCGGAGTCCTCATCCTCTGAGTCGGTCATGATCTCGGGAAGCTTGATGTCGTCTCCGTTAGGGTATTGTATTTGGGGAGCTTGAGACTGCGGTTGGTATGCGGACTCAGCGAAGGGAATCTTGCCCTTCGCGAACTGAGCGTGGCCTGGGGTTGTTGGGTTGAGATTCTTCGCCTGCTGCGAAGGTCTCTTGGCTGGACGGTGAAGAGTCTCATCGCTCTCACCGGGGAACTGCCGCTTGGGAGGAGGCTTAGCAGGATTGACCGGAGGAATGTTAATACGGTTGGCGTCTTGGACCGTTTGCATCCGCGATACTGGTCGGGCGGCTCCGAGATCAGATCGAGGTGGCTGAGACGCTGAGGCTTTGGACTTCTCGACAACTGTTTGCGCTCGAGCAACTCTGGTTGCAGCGGGCTTAGCGATAGACTTTGCTGTCTTGGTTCCAGGTACAGACTTGGTAGATAGAGCTGAAGCTGGTCGAGATGACGCAGCTGGAACCGGTTTTGATGCCGGCCCGACAGACTTGTTTAAGTTCTGAGGAGCCGAAGGGAGAGGTTTGCTAGACGAAGGGGCTGGACGAGCCGCAGGGGGTGGGGCTTGACCGTACTGGCTGCTCTTGAGGTTGACCATGATCTTCTGTGGTGCTTTCGCTGTTATAGCGTCCTTGCTCGTTGGTTTAGCAAGTTTCCTAGGCTCTCGAAGAGGTGCTTTGGTGGTCTTAGTAGTAGGCAGAAGGCTCTTTGGTGGAGGCGGGGGTGGCATCTCGTCACCGGAGTCAATGTCTTGTTCTCTGGAAGAGGCAGTGTTCGATCGAGGAATGCCAGGGCGAGACACAGGCGGCTGGGGCGCTGCCTGAGCCGGCGTCTTGTTTCCAGCCACGGCATTAGGCTGTCTGAGGCTTGACTGAGACGACATTGCTGATGGTGTCTTCGCCCCCATAGCCCTAGCCTTCTGGGCCTGTGCAGCGGCTTTGCTTTGCTCCTTCTCGCGCATCTGCCTGAGTCTGTCCTCCGCACGCTGCTGCTGTTTAGTCTCGCGCATCTCCTTCTCTCGTGTATCCCTTTCCTTCTGCTTCTCGCGCTCGGTGGAGCTGCGGGTCCGGCGGCCATCGCCTTTGAGAGGGCTACCCGGCATTGTAACACTCTTGCCAGACTTGATAGAGTCTTTGGAAGGCGAGCGCATGTGAGTAAAGATGGAGGTTGGTTTCTCTGTCCGCTTGGGGCTGCTGAAGACTTCGTCTGATGCATCTGAGGAGGGCAACTTGGGTCTTGCAGGGCTTTCCTTAAGAGCGTCCATCTTGACCTGAGCGCTGGTAGCACTCGACCCGATGAGCTTCTCTTTCGCTGCGCGGAATGCTGAATACAATTTAGACTTCGATGCGCTGAGGGGGCCATCCATGTATTTCTTACTAGTCGGAGAGCCAACCGGCGTGGTTGATTCAGCAACTGCTGAGAGATCTGGATTTGAAATTGAAGTGAGTTTTGCGGGTACATGTTTGGCCGGAGATGGCTGGGCGTCAGCAGTATAGTTCTTGTTGTAAGCCGGTCTGGATACCTTGGGTGCGACTGCTGCTGTTCGAACCGGTGAGATCCAATCGTCGTCGTCATCTTCCTCCTGTGCGGCTTCGGGTGCTGGGAGACTCGGGTATGTTGGTTGCGAAGTCTGCACAGGTGCGACTTCTTCCTTTGCTTGTGTAGTAGAACTCTCGGGCTGCGACTGTGCGGATACGATATTCTGACTAATGCGTTTCGGTGCTTCGTTTTGCTGCTTGAGCATGTTGATGCGCTCAAACAGACGCTGCGTGGAAGTTTTGTTGTGAATCTTCGTTGTCTTCGACTCCTCCCGCTGGAGCTCCGGGCGCTCCACGTCGACGTCCATACCATCGGCAGGTTGTACCTCTGCAGGGTGCGCGAGCTGTGAACCGCCCAGGCTTTTGCCTCCTGTGAATCTACCCATATGGCTATTGCGAGCCTTGCTCTGGTCGATGTGACTGATGCGCGATACGCGGTTGCCCATGCTCTTCTTTGGGAGTAACGGTTCACGCGCGGGTAGAGAGGCGAAATTAAGACTGCTCTTCCTAACGAGCGGCTTCACAGGACTGGAGTTGTCCGAGGGCGAGCGCACGTCATCATCGATGTCCATCTGATCGTCGACATCATGGTGGATGAGTGTGTCGTTGTGGGTTTCGGGTTCGGGAGACGCGGGCGGCGGACCTGATGGTGTTGTGGAGTGGTCGAAGGCATATGTGGTCTTGGGCTCGGGAGCCAGAGCGCCGTTATTTGCTGTGTCGAGCGCCTCGTGGGTTTCAGCAGAGATACTGTACTGCTCGGATACCACGCGTGGTGGCTCGGGGAAGTCGGCCATATCCTCCATATCCTGGTCCTCTCCATTAGAGAGATCATGGTGAATCATGGTACCATCAGCCTCAGATCGCGACTGGTCAGCCTTGTACTCGTCGTCGACGTCCATCGCATCTGCGTCCTTTGCACGTGACGCGTCCCTCGAGGCATTCTTGCTCGCGAAACCTTCATTTGCTGAGACGAAAGAATCGCCAGTATCGCGGTCTTCCTCCTTGTCGTGTATTGAGTGACGGAACGACTGAGTTGGTTGCGTCGGCTGAGTGGAGAAGCTCTGTGGTGGTGAGAAGACTTCGCTGGCTTCTGAGGTCATTACTGTCTCTTGCGAGGATTGGATCGGGTTCCATGCTGGCGCGGGAGGCTGTGTTGGGCGCTTCTCGAATACATTCGCTTGGAAGCTGCTGTCGACGTTCTCCTTGCCAGCGCTCTCGGGCTTGGCAAACAGCTGTCGAGCAATGGGCGTGCGGATGACAGCGGGCGACTGTCGTACTGTGTTCTCTGCGTCTTCGGCAATCTGGAATCTGGCCTTGACGTTTCTTAGACTTTCTTCGGCGGCGCTTGTGCGTTTCTGCGCGTTCGCAGATTGGATACTGGCGAGGGGCTGCCCGGGGTTAGTATGGGATGGAAGACTACGCGCAAAACTCATACCTGGCGATCCACCGCCTTCTTTCGCGCGGTACGAGGCGTCTTGCCGCGTAACTTGCCGGGTGTCTTGAAGACATCAAGGTTGTGTCTACCGGAAGTCAGTATGAAACGCGTCGGCGCAGAGTAGACGCGACATACTGTCTGTCGCTGGCCAAAATATCGAACATGTGTTCGTTGAGCCATTCCAGCTCATTGCGCACAGAGAAGCCAAAATCCTCCAATTCCTGGGATACGAGCGTGTTCGATTGATGGCGTTCTTCGAGGATCCATCCAGCGGACCCAACGGTGGGTGCCTTGCTGCGGGCAGCCATGTCGAATGTGTGAGGGTGAGGGTGAGGTGAGGTAAGGGTGGGTAGTAGGCGCGTCGCGGTGCTAGCAGTCGCGTTCCGGGTGAAGGTGAAGTGCGGTCAAGGTTAGCTACGCATGTCGTCTTGAAGTATGTCAGTCGTGTATAGCAGCGCCAAAGGCAAAAAGGGCTATCCTGGGGGGTCGTCGTCCGGGGCGTTGGGGTGTTGGACCTTCAATGTTGTGACGCGGGACGAATCCAAACAATCGAGTGGGCCGCTCATCGCGCTGGCCATAGCGCCGCCAAGACCAGCTTCTCCCTTTTGGGACGACAGCTGCATCATACCTCTGAGCGATGCACTGAGTTTCTTCCTCGCTTTCTGGTTTCTCTATATTCGCTGTGAGGTCCAGTACCAAACTCCGATTTTTCCAACCTGCAAGCGATGGTGGTGGCTAAGTATAGTACACGGCAAAGGCCTGTCGAACGATCGCCTGTAGCCGTTGAACACTGACCACCTAGCTGTCTTTGTCGCTGCTTCTTCGCTTCCGCCTATCGATTAGCTACCTTCACCTCAATTGCTCCCTCATAGTTATCGCCCCTTATGGTCTTCGCGCTCGAGCCCGTATGGATCCCATCGCGGAAACTATGGTTGTGTAGTTTGGAAAGTCATCGTTGCGTTCAGCGCGGAAAAGGGGAGCATGATCTATCCCTATGTGCAGCTAAGCTTCTTCACGTGTAATGGGAGCTCGACTGTGTTCTTTGAATGTTGTAGTAATGTGTACGTGTGTGAGATCCAATAAGACTCTGGGAGGGTCATGGTCAGGCAACAGGAAGGCTACAAGTGGTCGCTTGGCTCCCGGAACCAAAGAATGACACTCAATATTTGGATATCATTCCCACATTGCTGACATTGAGCCAGACTCTTAATGTGCGTCGCTTGATAGGTGTTCCGCAGCGAATAATTTTGTCGCTGCTCATAAGGCTTCCGTACATTTTCTCTCCTTGCTTCCACCAAAGACTTCCATCTTCATAGCCTTCACCGATACCCACCCAGTGCTTCCGCAGTCTGGGTTGGACTATATTGTCTTCACACCATGTCACACGCTCTCCAAGATTACGGCTCCCTTGTTTCATCAGACGATACCAGAATCGCGATGGACTATAGTCGCAACGAAGGATTTAGATACTTTGGCCAACCACTCAAAGTTGATGACTCGCCCCAAATTCCGCCACCTACAATGCGTCAACAAGAAGATGCTGTGGATATCTGGAGAATGCCTCGGCGCCGATTAATACGATATGAGGAGCCTGTGCACCGCGACGTCGTGCCATCTTCTACAGCATCATCGCGACCAGGCTGGTGTACCTCAAAACCACCTACCCCCGGCCCAAAGCCAAAGGCACCTTTGCCTAAGGCCCCGGAACACTCTGCGCAATCAAATATTCATGCCACCAAAGACACGACTACCATACCAGAAGGTCGTCTACCAACTAGAGGCGATTTCGGTCAACTTCAATCGATATCCGTTGGCGAATCCACAGCATCAGCAAAGTCGTCCAGTGCCACCAAAGCAGCGAACTCGGCCGCAGAAGACAAGAAGGACTTGCCTAATAGAGAAGCACATCTCCTCTACGGCGATGAATTTATACTACCGTACCCCTCGATCGAATCCTTCGAAGAGCGATTCAATTACTCGTTCCACCCAAGCTCCACTCTCAAGTTACCATCCTCGACACCTCTACGTCTACCGCGTGAAAGTGCCCCGGCCCACAGACCATTGCATGACAAAGACACCGATGCTTCGGCACACCTGAGCGCTCGCATGGAAAGTCTTTGGCGGCAGACTTGCTCTGACAAGGAGCTCAATAAACCCCCGACAACAGCGAAACAAAGGGGTCAAAGCTCTTCAGATTATTCGAAGATGCTAAGCGAAAAAACCAAAGCTTACGCGGGTATGCAAGAGAAGGCTAGACAGCTCTATAGTACTACTTCTCAAAAGGCGAGAGACGCTCAGAAGAGGGTAGTCACTTCATCGGCCAAGGAAGTAACACCCGCACTCCTCAATCCCACGGTTCAGAATATCTCTGCACAAACGGCCAGCAAGGTCACTCACCGAAGAGTTGAAGAAGACCCGAGAAGAGCATCTCCTCTGATAGCTTCTGGTAGGCTTCCCACTCAATACACGACAGAGAAGACTACCTCGGCGCAACCGATTTCCAACACCAAGCGTGAGAAGTGGTTCGCTGTCGACAAGCCTAAAACGCCTCAAGGGGACGAACCTCGGGAAGAGTTCGTGGAGCTAGATTTGGAGTCAGACGAAGAGGGTTGGGAGAAGGTAGACGGCGACGATGAGTGGGAGGTTATTGACGATCCTAGGGTGGAGATGGAGCGAATCGCGAATCTTCAAAACAAAGCTTAGTCCACTACAGAGGTCACTATGGCCTACGACGTATAGTCACAACCATCCTGATACCAACCATACACTCGCTCAGAACCATTCGTAAGTAGCATCAGATCCAATATTTGGTTCAAAAGTGAGGATTTCCAGAGAACGAGCCGTCTTATGTGATCCTTTGTCTTGCACCCGTACCCTTCCATCGCCTTCATCTACCACAGCAACGTGAGGCGTCTCAGGAAAGGCTTAGCCATAGTAAACCTGTATGTATCGGTAGTATTCAGGCATGAAATTACATTTGAGAAACGATTCGGCATAGCCGTCTGCGTACCATTCGACGATGGACCAATCTCAATTTTATGAACTACATGTCATCTCCAAAGCTAGTCTCCATAGAGGATATGTCCCAAACGTTAGGGAGCATAGGACAAACAATAACATCTGACTTTGACCCCGTTCGCAAGCCCAGCTCTGTTTATAGAGAAAAGGTGAGCCGCATCGATCCAGATTGCAGGAATTTCTATTTTCGTTTTCTGAGTTTTTGAGTTCGTCCGTCTTCTCTCGGCCGACGACGGCATTGGGCGGTGAAAATGCCAAGCAGAGAGTAGTAATAGCGTCTGCATCCTCACAAGCTGACACGATATCACGCCGAAGCCATGATTCATAAAGTTTTCTCAAGCTATTGAAGGGTACCGAGACTTGCAAGGATGTGGCACGGGTGGCGCTCGTAGCCACGGATGGTCGGACATAACGGACGGAGCAATTCAATCAACAGAGAACGGAACCTTCATTGAGCTACCCAACAAAAGGGGTGCGGATAGAAATGGGTATAGACAGAGCAAATTCAGATGACAAGGAAACCTCTAGCGAAGGAAAAGTGTGGTATGTATGTACAAGAAGAGAAGAAATGATGTAATGAGTGGTGACTTGAGACCCCAATAGGTCCAGCCTTGGATGTATCCAAAAACGCCCGCCCATGCTATACCAAGCCCGTACTGCTGAACAACTAGAGAAGATCGCTGTGAGGCGGATCCAGATCAGGCCTTGTCCTTCTTGAAGAGGTCTTTGAGGCGAAGCTTGATCTTGTACATGTACCAATCGCCTTTCCTCTTGCTCTTAGGTCCAAGACCTTCAGTGTTGTCTTCGCTAGCCTTGGTCTTGTCTTTCATGCTCTTGCAGCGCTCAACCTTCTTCTCTTGTTTGCGCTTCTTCTCGTTCATGACGAACATGCTCGTGGGGCGCTTCTTGAGACCGGGGCCTTCGGTAACTCCTGAATCCCACATGCCAGTAGTGGTGATAGGCGCATACGCAGATTGTGTCTTTCGCGAACGTTCAGTCTCTGGCATCGATGGCGATAAGAGAGGAGAAGCGAGTAGCGGCGCGGGTGAAGTCGGACCTTCGGACGAAGGGGGTATAACAATAGGAGAAGGGATAGCAGGAGGGAGCGGTCGGGTTGACTCGGCAGACGGTCGCTCTATGGGTGAGGGCAATTGTAGCTCCTTGATGCGGAGTAGCTCCACGCTGCGTTTCATCGTGCGCTCTTCTGCAGTTTCTACCAATGTCTGATCTTCGAAGGTAAGTCCGTACTTCTTCCTCATGCTGCCCGATATACTATGTAGAGCGGTACCAGTCGAATTAGCACGTCGCGCACGTGTCTTTACAACGGCCACAGGAGAAGCATTCACTGCCGTCTTGGTGGATGCAGGCGAAGCGGGAACATCTGTGAAGCTCGTTGTGCGACGGGGAAGTCTTTCCAAACTAGGCTTAAACATTCGGGGGATCGAGCGGCGTTTCTCATCGAGAGTCGAAGCTGGAGACGGCGAGCGGGGGCAATCGAGGATAGACATGGAGAATGTGCGATTGGTGGTGGGACGAAAGGTTGCACAGGGAGCCAAGGTCGGAGGCGAGAACAAGTTAGGGCCCTCTGTCGTGAATTCTTTGGAAGCAACCCAGACACCAGAAGCTAATATGAATTGTCGAAGCGCGTCACCGGTCTCGGTAGGCAGCTTCTCTGTCAATGTCTCCATGAAGTTACTGGCATCGATGCTGGAGACGTCCGTCGTAGGTGACTGGGTGTAAGAGGTCATGCTAGGCGTTGATGGCGATGCAGCAGATGGCATTGCGTAAGTGTCCATGACATCTATGCGGCTGCGAGTCATTGTCGCAATGATTGGATGGCGTCTGGAGTTGACACTCAGAGTGCTGAAGGTGAACTTCCTGTCGTCGGCTGGCTCTGGGAACGATGGCGAAAGCGGTGTATTCGCAGTCATGCTAGACGAACGGCGCGAATGAGATGGTTTCAACACCCATCGTGCCTTCAGTGTCAGGCCATGCTCGTCAGTACTGTTGAACTCGTAGCCTCCGTTGGGCATGTCAGTGACCGCCCAGCGACTCGTCCCGTCGTTCATACAGATCTCCGTGGTCTCGGTGATACCCTTGTCGCACCTCCGTGAGCTGATGACGCCAATTACGTCGCGCGAGCTCCATCGATCCTCTTCCGACTTGTTCTCGTCATTGTGAATGTTGTATGCCTCTGCCTGGACAATAAGGAGATCATGCGGCCCTAATCTTTCCCTAGTGTTGAAGCTCCGCGAAAGACGTCTTGAGACTCGCTGAGGAACGACGGAGAAAGGAACGACTTCGTAGGCAGGCTTCGGTCGCTGTGAAGCGATGACTTGATGCAACTGTAGGAGAACCTTGGGGCGTGTGTGTAGCTTCGAGCGAGTGTTTACGGGTCGGGCGATGTTATAGGACGTCTTGGAACGAGAGGTTCGCTTCTTCGGCTTCTCGGCGGTACCATCGCTGCCGGAGGAAACAGGTCGTGAAGAAACGAGAGTAATTGTAGGTTCGTCATGCGGCATCTTCATCGCATCCTTATGCAAGGTAGGCGTAGGTGTGTCAGGGGGATTGGTTGTAGGGTCGGTATGGGTAGAAGTTAGGGTCGCCTGCGACGGTGAAGGTGTCTGTCCGCGCAAGACTGAACCGAGAATGGAAAGTGGCATCTGCAGAAAGGAGCCGTTGCTCGTGGGCGAGGCTGCACGTGGTGGTGAGCTCTCATGGCCGTGTTTGGCGGCGTCGGCGGTCAACATGTCCAGCAGCATCGCTCCAGCACTCAATCAAGGTGTGACATGCTGAATTACCCGTCAGCACAGAAACGAAATACAGCGAAAACAGAGGCGCAATCAGCGCATGGGACGCCATTGTTCTTATGAAGGCGGGACCCATGGGCTGTGCGCTGAAGTTTGGAGGTCGTGCCCCTCAAGCGTAATTCCATAACTACCACTGGGGCTGACTTACAAGCCACAACTAGCAGGAGCTGACTCTATGCAGGGAATGTGTTAGCCAATTAAACCCTATGATTTGAGCATTGGCAGCTGATGTCTCAAGACGCGGGTGCAGACAGAATCTCAGAAAGCGAATATGGATACAAAAAAAGAAGCCTTAGACGGGCCCCTCGTCAGGTCATTCATCAGCCGGGCATGGCCCTACTTTCTATCCGCATCGTCGACGCACAAGGCACACAGGCTCCAACGCCGGCAATGTCAACCGTCGTCCGTCCCGTTGGCGCAGGGACGCCAGCAAAGCCGCATCAGGCAAGGGGCTAGAACCATTGGTCCATCGTGCATATCATGCATCCTCGCTACTAGCCCCTCTTTTTGCTTGATCGGAAACAGATTACTCGGCTTCGGCGGACAAAGCTGGGGGGCTGCTTACTGTCGTGGTCATAGCTAGCAGGTATACCGTTGACTGTCTAGGTCTCAGTGCGGTCGATCTGAGTGAGGGCAGCACGACACGTTTCCGTAGGGATCCGAATACCTCATCATCTTAAGATTGATCATGCGGCACAGCGACCATGGAACCTTCTGAGGAAGCTCTGGGCAGTCAATGCGCGGCGTATTCGTATACGCCGTGTAGACCGAGGGGAGCTTCGATTGGCTAGCCTTGCGATATTTGCGCCGAGCACCACTGCCACTCCAGCCACACAGAAACATCCACATTGGATTTCATATCGAAGCATTCTCGTAGGAGTCGATCGCAGCTCACACGAAGCTTGTGAAGCTTGGGCTAGGTGCTACCATGTTCGGTACAACAACTCTGGAGCAGGGACATCCTGTAACCATCAACGCCTACGCAAACTCTACCATGACTTCGCAAGGGGTTTAGAACTAGCCGTTGCCTCACCGACAAATCCGCACACCATCACACCGTGCTGCACCTTGGCTGCACGACCCGCTACACTTCACGATCTTTCTGCTCGCTTCTGATCGTCGGTTCCGTGGTGTTCCGCATGCCGCGCCGCCAATTTTTCACCGAGACCGAGCTCTCGTCAGCTGAATTGCACACATCACCGTCGCGCAGTCGGGCCAACCGAACCTCCGAGATTCAAACAAATTCAATCCGGAAGGCATTGCGTGCGTAAGTTATTTTTGATTCGAAAATTCACCAGAGAAAGCCCGAAAATCAAGGCCACGACGTCAGCGGAATAGAATCAGCGACAGTCGCGAACCTCTGGAAGCTGTTGCAATTCTAATGGACCAAATGCCAGGCCAGAACTTCGGCTCTCATCCGTCAGCCGAGAGCCTCGTTACTTGGTTCACACAAAATGGGGGTCAGCTTAGTCCAGACGTCCAGATCGTCTTCAACGACTCGCGTGGCTTTCATATGCGCGCTGCGAGGCCACTGAGCTCCACTGTGGTGGCTTCATGTCCACTGAAGCTTACACTATCTTCTCTGAATCTAGACCCAAACGAGAAAGAGGTGTTGTATGTTGAAAGCCCTCTACAACAATGTCGAGGAAGAATCCCGGATCACGTTCTGCCGTATCTGCTGTTGATTGAACAGCGCAAGCAAGGCGAGAAGTCGCCATGGCATGCGTACATCTCCTGTTTACCGGGGCCTGAAAGTATGACTACACCTTTCTGGTTTGAGGAGAGCGATGTGGCATTTCTCGCCGGTACAAGCCTAGCTCCTGCGACCGAGGAGAGAAAAGCTGAGCTGCATCACCAATGGAGAAATGCCATGGTTGTCATGGAAGAACTTGGTATACCTCTTGCTGACGAGGTCGACCTGTAAGTCTCTAACGAGCGATATTCATCGCACGTCATGCGTTATCTAGCGTGCGTGCGTGTTGAAGCGTCAGCTCTACCGTTCATTTAAACCGAGACATTAAGCTAGCATTGTTGCTTTTGGCTGCCAACACTCTAGATTTGCACAGTGCAAGTCTTGCTTACAACACACTCGTACGCTGGCTACCTGGTGCAGCCTGCTAACAATACCCAGCGAATCATTCCTATGGGCAGCCACCATCTTCACCTCGCGAGCGTTCATTTCGACACACATTCTACCAGAACGTGAAACGCTTCCCATCCTCTTTCCGGTCGTCGATATTCTCAACCACTCGGTTTCCGCAAGGGTGGAGTGGGACTTCCAGCCTCACCAATCGTTTGCACTAAAGTGTCTCGAAGGCGAGTCGTTCCAGGCCGGTCAAGAGCTATTCAATAACTACGCACCGAAGCAGAATGACGAGCTACTTCTGGGGTACGGTTTTTGTCTAGAAGATAATCCTATTGAGCAGTTTGCTCTGAAGTTAGCGTTTCAGCCACAGCTGCAACAATATGCACAGCAGCTGAGTTTGCTCAATGCTGAAAATGTGCCTTTTGGCATGTCGACAGATTTCCTAGCCACAGACCCAAACAAAGAGCAGCATTTTCTTCGCGCTAAAAGCCATCCATTCGGCCGTTACGATAACCACGTCCCCTTCTTCCGTGGTGTGCCACCCTATATCGTCCACTTCTTCTTTATTCAGACGATCATTACTTCCGAGTTGGATATAAATACCATCGACGTCGCACGACCAGGGGCTAGGATTACGCTGCAAGTTTTGGTGCTCTTACACCAGGCACTGGAGCATAGATGCAGTACCCTTCCATTACATCTACAACAAGAGCCTCGAAATGACAAGCAAAGGTATGCGAAGATCTATCGCGACAGTCAGGCTAGGATCATCCACTCAGTGCGAGAAGAGCTCAAGGCTGCGATTACAAAGCTCCGCGCTTCGGACTCCGAACTTCCCGTTCGCGCTTTGCACAGTCTACCTGATATGCTCACGACCTTCGGCACTGATTTGCCTGGACCCGCTAAGACTTTCTCAAGCGCGCTTGATCGACATCGTATTCAAGATTCACAGAATGAAGGTCTGCAATGGACGATGCTTTTCACTGTCCTCGTGTCGTTGATGTTGACTACGCAACACACAACTGACATAACGGTCTTCGCCCTGGTGCGGGACTTGTGTTCAAAACATGCTCTGCCCGCTCTAGAGGACGGCATCGAAGACGTCGGCACGTACACCTTTATCGACGAAAACCTGGGCGACTTTGTGCAACTTCCTTCGGCCAATGCAAACGTCGCGCCAACCGATGCGCTGGACGATCTGGGGCTGACGTTTGTCAATCAATCCGCTGATGATACAACGCCTGTTTTTATCAAGGGACGTACGGAGAACCTCGGCGCGAAGATCATCATGTGGGCAATGGTAGTTGTGGAGAAGGACATTGTACCTGTTTTTGAGAATGGCCAAACCAAAAGATGTTTGTATGCTAGAGCGCAGACGCCGGAAGGTGGGCAGAGTGACGAGACGTGGATGTACGAGGAAGCTGCAGTGTAGGGGTAGAATTCAATAGAAACAAGCCGAGCAAAAAGTTTGCCATCCAAAAGGCATACGATGTGCTATACCAATATCTCTATCACTTGCCCTTCTATTCATAAAGAAATGGTTGTGATTGAACACGACGAGGCTCGAGGAAGCCCCGCACTAGCGTCCTCGTTAGCGCGCCTTCCCCTGCAGCGTCTCGCTTTGGCAACGCCAACGCGTAAACACAGACCCTCATCTAACAAAACACGCCTCCACATTTTGCTTTCTCACCACAACGCCTTCCTTTCGTCTGCACTCGCTACTTCTTATCGCTTTTATCGCCTAATCTGCACGATATAGAGCGTTTATCGTCTTTAATCTTTCTCTTTCGTCCTGCGGGACACGACAATAGCTTGCCATGGACGACTCCCTAATGGAAGACTCGGTCTTCGATGAAGGCGGCAGCTCCGACTTCGCCCCACCCGCAAAGCCAGCGAAGGCCACCAAGGCCGCCGCGAAGCCAAAAGCCGCAGCAACGAAGAAAGCAGCTGGACCTGCGAAACCTCGAGGCCGACCGGCTGGCGCGACCGCAAAGCCCAAGGCCGCTGCGAAGCCGAAAGCCGCACCCAAGAAGAAGGCCAAAGCCGACTCGGACATGGATGAGAACTCGGATGTAGACATGGACAAGGACCCAGTCGATGATGACGAGTCACTCCTCAACGACACACCAGAAAAGCCCAAGAAGGCGCCGGCCGCGAAGAAGTCCAGTGGCAAACCTCTTGCAGACATCGCGAATGAGAGCTTTGGCGCAGATGGCGACGATGTGCCCATTTCGGCGCCCAAGAAGGGCGGCGCGAGCAGCAAGTACCAGATGGTGAGTGTACAAGACATGCGCTGCGAGGCAACGACTAACACATGGATAGTTGACGCATTTGGAGCATATCATGAAGCGCCCTGACACATACATTGGCTCTGTAGAGCGACAGACAGACAAGATGTGGGTGTACAACTCAGAGAGCGAGTCGATGGAGTTCCGCGACGTATCTTACGTTCCCGGTCTATACAAAATCTTCGACGAAATTCTCGTCAACGCGGCAGACAACAAGCAGAATGACAAGAACATGAGTGAGATCAGGGTCACGGTTGACCGGGAGTCTGGCGAGATCTCCATCAAGAACGACGGCAAGGGAATCCCAATCGAGATTCACAAAGTCAGTCGCATCCCTATGCCAGCTGGGTTCGCTGCTAATTTGACTAGGAACACGGCATATACGTACCAGAGATGATTTTTGGTCACCTTCTCACATCCTCCAACTACGACGACAACCAGCAAAAGGTCACAGGTGGTCGCAACGGTTACGGAGCAAAGCTTTGTAACGTTTTCAGTACCGAATTCACGGTCGAGACGGTGGATTCCAAGCAGAAGAAGAAGTACAGGCAGACTTGGACTGACAACATGAGCAAAATGGGCAAGGCCAAGATCACCGATATCAAGGCGGAAGACTACACCAAGGTCAGCTGGAAGGCTGACTACGCTCGGTTCGGAATGACTGGTATCGACGATGATTTTGAGGCCATGGTCAAGCGCAGAACCTACGATATGGCTGGTACACTACGGGGTATCAAAGTCTACCTGAACGGTGACCGTATCAAGATCTCGTCGTTTGCCAAGTACATGGAAATGTATACCAAGTCGATTTCGCGCGACCAGGGCAAGAGCGAAGACGACAAGGAGAAGGACGTCATCATCACAGACAAGCTAGACCGCTGGGACATTGGTTTCGCCGTGTCAGACGGTTCTTTCAACCAGGTCTCCTTCGTCAACTCGATTGCGACGACATCTGGTGGTACGCACGTCAACCACATCGCCGACCAGATTATCGAAAAGCTCATGGCCATTGTTAACAAGAAGAACAAAGCTGCTGTCAAGCTGAAACCAGCGCAGATTAAGAACCATCTGTTCTTGTTCGTCAACTGTTCTATTGTCAACCCGGCCTTCACATCCCAGACCAAGGAGCAGCTCACGACCAAAGCCAGCCAGTTCGGTAGCAAGCCAGTCCTTAGCGACAAGTTCCTGAACGCCATCGCGAAGACCGAGGTCATCCAGAACATCATGCACTTTGCCCAGCAAAAGGCCGACCAGATGATGAAGAAGACCGACGGCAACAAGCGCAACCGTATTAGCAACGCAAAGCTCACGGACGCTAACAAGGCAGGAACCAAGGATGGACACCTCTGCACACTCATTCTCACTGAAGGTGAGTCGGCCAGTGTACTTGCTTTGGCTGGTCGTGCCGTTGTCAACCAGGATTTGTTTGGCGTTTTCCCGCTTCGTGGTAAGCTTCTCAATGTCCGAGATGCTACTGTGGACCAGATCATGAAGAATGCCGAGATCCAGAACATCAAGAAGTTTATGGGACTTCAACATAAGAAGGAGTACACGGTAGCGGATATGAAGAGCTTGCGATACGGTCATCTCATGATCATGACCGATCAAGATCACGACGGTAGCCATATCAAGGGTCTTCTTATCAACTTCCTTCAGTGCCAGTTCCCGAGCTTGCTCAAGATTCCTGGCTTCCTCTTGGAGTTCATCACTCCTATCGTCAAAGTCTGGAAGGGCGACCCCAAGAACCCACGCAACATGCGAAGCTTCTTCTCTATGCCTGAGTACGAGGAATGGAAAGAGCAGCACCAGCATGAGAAGGGATGGGACCATAAGTACTACAAGGGATTGGGTACCAGCGACATTCCCGATGCTCAAATTTACTTCAAAGACCTCGACACGCATATGAAGCGCTTCCAGGTCATGCGTGATGAGGAGGAGAAACTCATCGAGCTTGCGTTCTCAAAGAAGAAGGCTGATGCTCGCAAAGACTGGCTGCGCGACTTTGTGCCTGGCCAGCATCTCGACCTCACCACCCCAGACATCTCTTACGATGACTTCGTGAACAAGGAGCTAATTCTTTTCTCCATGGCCGACAACGTGCGATCGATTCCCTCCGTTATCGATGGTCTGAAGCCCGGCCAGCGCAAGGTGCTGTACACCTGCTTCAGGCGAAACATCAAGAAGGACGTCAAGGTCGTTGAGCTTGCAGGTTCCGTCTCTGGATCCACGGACTATGCCCACGGTGAAGCTTCCATGCAAGGAACTATTGTCAATCTTGCGCAGAACTTTGTCGGTACCAACAATATCAACTACCTTGAACCTAGTGGTAACTTCGGTTCCCGTCTCAAGGGTGGTGCCGATGCTGCCAGCGCCAGGTACATCTACACACGCCTGTCGCCATTCGCACGACGTATCTTCCACGCCCACGATGACGCACTGCTGAAGTACGGTGAATCGGATGGTCACAAGATCGAGCCTGAGATGTTCGTTCCAATCCTGCCCACGATTCTCATTAACGGTTCGAGCGGTATCGGTACTGGTTGGAGTTCGGAAATTCCCAACTTCAACCCGATGGACATTATTGAGAACATCAAGCGCCGTATGGCGCCAGGCGCCACCAAGGAGGACATGACTCCTATGGTTCCCTGGTACAAGGGCTTCACTGGCACAACGACAGTGCTCGGTCCCGACCGTTACCAGTTTACCGGAGTTGTCCGACAGACTGGCGACAATGAGGTTGAGATTACTGAACTGCCGGTTCGCTACTGGACACAAGACTTCAAGGAGAAACTCGAGGAGATCATCAAGGCTGAGAAAGGTCCTTCTTACATCAAGGACTACATCGACTACAACACCCCAGACCGCGTTCACTTCATCATCAAGATGGAGGACAAGTACATGGCGACGGCTCTTGCTAAGGGTCTTGAAGAGATGTTCAAGCTTTTCAAGCCTCAGTCGACAAGCAATCTCGTCGCTTTCGATGCGCATGGACGCATTCACAAATATGCAAGCGTTCTCGATATTATCGAGGAGTTCTACCACGTCCGTCTGCGATACTACGAGAAGCGAAAGCAGCATCAGCTTCAAGTCATGGAAAAGGAGCATCTGAAGATGACGAACCAGGCCAGGTTTATCCAGATGATCATCGACGGAAAGCTCACCGTTTCAAAGAAGAAGAAGGCTGTGCTTGTTCAAGAGCTCAAGAAACTTGGCTTCACACCCTTCCCCAAGGTTGAAGATGCCAAGGCCGCTGGCGAGGTCGAGGATGTCCAGGAAGACGATGAATCAGAGGAGACTGAGGCGGAGGTGTCCGCCAATGACTACGATTACCTGCTAGGTGTAAGTGCTTCCAATTCATTCTACAACACTAAGACTAACGTTTCCTAGATGGCCATTTGGTCACTTACTCAGGAGCGCGTCGAGAAGCTTTTGAAGCAGATCGGCGAGAAGCAACACGAAATTGACACCCTCATCAAACTCTCGCCCAAGGACATCTGGAAGGTTGATCTTGACGCCTTTATGGAAGAATGGGATGTTCAACTGCAGGAAGAGGTCAAACGTAAGAAGAAGATTGCTGCTGTCACTCGTCGCCCGTCCCAGAAGCTGGGTATCGGTGCAGGCAAGGGTAAGGGAAAGAAGAAGAGAAAGGCGGATGGAAGTGACTCAGACGACTCTGGATCCGACTTTGGCCCGGTTAAGAAGAAGGCAAAGCCAAAGAAGGAGGGATTGCTCAGCTATCTTCAGCAAGAACCAGCCAAGAAACCTACTGCAGCGGAAGCTCTCAAGAGCAGTAGCGCATTTGGGTCATCTGCGCCGCAAAAGCAAGGCACTTTGCTCGCACATCTAGTCAAGAAGAAGGAGGAGACTCCGCAGACTGAGGGGGGAGAGGATGGCAGATCAGCTTCTGCAGATTCAGTGCCAGCACCAGCACCAGCCAAACGTGGCCGCCCAGCTGCTGCGAAGGCTATCAAGAAGGACCCAATCTCGGACGATGAAGACTCGGATGTTTTCGCTGTAGTCGCTCAGGAGGCCGCGAAGGAGCCCTCGAAGACGGCTGCCTCTCGCACTGCTCGCAGCGCAAAGAAGGCGGCCCCCAAGTACAACCTCGGCAGCGACTCCGATGATGATGATGACGATGACCTTCTCGGCGATGTTAGCACTATGGTCAAGACTATCGGATCCGGTACTAGTGGAGTCCCAATGTTCAAGGCAACCACTACCGCCCGCCCCGCTCCTGTCACGAAGAAGAACAGCATTATCGAAATCGACGGCGATACCACGAATTACGAAGGCCTGATGCCTCAGTCTTCGCCACAACGCCCTCCTCCCCGCAACATCCACGACACAATTATGAGCTCTGACGAAGATGACTTCGATCTCGGCGCAAAGAAGCCTGTCGCTAGCAGGCTAAACGCAAAGCCCGCTGCGAAGCCCAAAGTTGCGGCTGCTAAACCAGCACCTAAACCTAAGACCGTCACGAAGAAGCCCACTGCACAGAGTCCTGCAGCGAAGGCTTATGCGAAGAAGCACGGCAAAGACGCGGAGGCCGCTAAGCCTGCAGCCAAGACTAAGAAGCAAACCACCATCGACTCTGATGAGGATGAGGAGATGGAAGATGCCGACGCCATCGCGAACGACATCTTATCTGATGAAGACGAGGACGAGCCAACTCCTAAACCAGCTGCTCGTGCACCTGCTGCTCGACCTGGTCGAAGGGCTGCTGCCAAGCCAGCGAAGTATGTGGTTAGCGATGATGAGGCGGAGTCAGATGAGGCTTCTGAACCTAGCTTCGATGATGACGACGATAGCGAGTAGATGGCGTATTGCGGGCGCATGCGAGTGCTTGGGTGTTCGATACCCGGATAATCGGCGTTTGAGGCGTGGGACATGGTCTCTCGTTCCCAATGGGAGACGGGACTGATCCGGCGATTCATGGAAAGGCGTTCGGCGTCGGCGTCTTTTTTGACATACTATACCACGATGTATATTCACCAAGACATATTTGAAACTTCGCTAGAACCACAGATTTTGTGATCGTGTAAAACCATATGTCCATTGCGTTAGAGTGTGTATGTGATATATTGTTCGATCTACTTAGAGGCACATGCTGTTGTACTATGAAGAGCATTGCCTTTCGGGATGGCCGAACCCGAATCTCGGGAATTGAGCAATCAATTGTAATTAGGGCATTTCCCAGTACGCCGGACGGGAAGTATGCCCAAAGCCAAGCCGGCAAAATGAGAGCGCCCCATAAGCCACAAATGCAGCAGCGCCTGCCCTCCGGCGCTAACAGCTAAGGCCAACGCTAAAGCATCGCATAAGGCCGTCTAAGCTTTGTGGGCGTTGTCACGGGTCCGGACTTCGATGTCTACATTCAGCAATTTTCCTGTAGGATCCAGAGTCGAGTGAAGTATCCGGCGTTTTTTTTTATAAGTCTTGGAATCGTGGATAACACATATTTTGTAGCACAAAGGTTCAAGAGATACTTGATAGCAATATATATAATTAAAATCAGGAAGATGGGTTTTGATCGTGAGCTGTTCACACTACACGTTGATCTCCCACTACACAAGGATATGGCGATGACGCACAAAGGCGTACAGAAACGTAGCTGACGAACAATGGTGGACTGGCTTATGCCTTCTCGATATGGACCTGAGCCTCCTTGATGCTACCATTGCGGTTGCCCAAGCCCTTGCCGTCAATGTCAATGTCAGCAACTTCTGCGTCGTCGCCGTCAAAGATGCGGGCAATCTCTTCGAGAGTAGGACCACTAGAGGGAAAGTTAGCTTCGATTTAAACTGGCGAGGACGAAAAGTGACATACCGAGTCTCGACGTAGAAGTAGTAAACCCAGATCAATTCGAGGAGAACCCAGCCGGAGTAGCAGGCAAACAGCTTCCAGTTCTCACCGTACCAGCCGCCACCCTCAGAGATGGGGATGGGGTTCACGTAGTTGTTGATCGTGAGGGCGACTTGAACGGAGATGTTCATGATGAATACACCCTTGGCGCGGAGCTTGTAGGGCAGAATCTCGACGGTGTAGGCAACCAGAAGACCAGACCAGGCCAGAGCGTAGGCGACACCGTGCAGCCAGACAAAGACAATGTTGGCGTAGCCAATGCCAATGGTATCTTTCACGGCGTATTGCTCACCAGTGATAGTAGCGCAAACCAAGAAGAGAAGCATACCGGCGGTGCTATTAGAAGTCAGTCAATTTGTTGAATGAAGCGAATGGGCACACTTACGCAGCGAGGAAAAGAGGGCGTCTACCAATACGGTCGACCAACAGAGCGCATGAGATTGAGACAAACAGAGAGAGGACCTTGTTTCCGGCGTCCAAACCCAGCTGATCAGTCTGGCTAGTGATACCGGCACCCTTGTAGATGATAGCAGCGTAGTAGCTGATGAGGGCATTGCCAGACCACTGAGAGAAGAGTCCGAGAGAGACGATCATCATCAGTCGCTTGCGATTACCCTTGGTCCTGATGAAGTCCATGTAGGAGGAGGTCTTCTGGTGCAAGAACTCAATGCGGATAGTCTCCTTCATTTCAGCATACTCGAACATGACGGTAGAATCGCTATCGTTGCCGTCGGCGTGGTAGTGGGCAAGCATGCGGAGCGCCTCGTCGTTCCTGTCCTTGGACAGCAACCAACGTGGGGACCTAGAATTCAAAGTTAGCCAATCGCGAGAGACATTTGGCAATATGAAAAGAACTCACTCAGGGATCCACCAGATGAACGTGAGCTGGATGATGGAGAAGACACCTTGGATGAGGGTTGGGATTCTCCAGGACCAGGAGTTGGGGATGTGCTGTGTGCCAAAAGCCAACCAACCACAGATCAGGGCACCAAGATTCCACAAGCAGTTGTAGATGGTAGTGATCCTAGCACGATGTTGAGGATGCGCGATTTCGGTGATAAGCATAGGGCAGGAGAGTTGAGCCATGGAGTTGCCGAAACCCATGAAGAAACGTCCACCCTCGTATTGTGGGCGGCTCATGGAGGCGGCCTGAACGGCGGCGGCAATGACCATAATAACACAACCGATAGTGATGGGAGTTTTGCGCCCAAACTTATCGCTGAGCCAAGGTACAACGGGGAGAGAAACGATGGAACCGATCGAGTACATGGCGCTGAGGCGACCCAAAGTATCCTCCGTAGGGTAGTCCATGGTCTCCTTCCATGAGTTAAGAATCTGAGAAGTGTTCATGAGAGATCTTCGCACAGTCAGTAATTGGGCCTTTTCTGTTTGCAGGACCCATAACTCACCCATCGTAACCGGTGGTGGCCGAGCAGACGCAAAGAACCATGCAGTAAAAGTAGAGCTTGCGCATGTTGGGTGACTTGCTCCATGATACCGATGGAAGCACAGGCGCAGCTTCCTGTGCCTCGACCACAGCGGCCTGGTTGGGACGCTTGAAATGGGGACTCATTGCGAGTAGTATTGACCGACAGTTCCAGCGGCCGACGACGATTGCAAGGCGGAGGTGGAGTAAAGACTGGGGAAGAACTGGAGCACAGGGGAGTGCTTATACTTATATGCCAGTCCATATATCCATGCGAGTCCATATATGCGGACCGCACAACAGGATATCCCAAAGGTCGGGGTCGATATTATCACAATTAGGCTAATGTTTTGCCAGGCCAGATCGAGGGCGACTCCGTTGATTGGGTGGATACTGTGTGCGGCTTAGCCACCAACGCTTCTAGAAGTATTGAACCGGACCTAACACCCCGGAATCCCGGACCTGACCCCGGAATCTCGCCCCGGTTGAGCGATGCCCAGGCAGGACCTGGGAGCTTACCCGACTCAAGAGGACATGAGAGATGCATGATCACTCGATACGGGACGAGAAGCCTCCCCTGTGAACAGGCCAGGATCAACAGGCGAAGGTGTTCTGGACCACACTACAGAGGAGTTCGAAGTAGAGGAGGGTGGCATAACGACGACAAACGAAGCGGTGTAGCATTATACGAAGCTCGGGAAAACGTTATCTTGGCAACATACTCAAGCCACGATCCATCTTGGCGCGAATGTAAGCTTGTGAAGTGTATCGTACTTCTATCGAAAGTGTAATAAGCCATTGTAGTTAAGCATGGATAAGATTGGTGATATGGCAGCTTATCGCCACATCACAGATAGAAGCCTACGCTGGTCAATACCGAGGTTGACGGCGTGATACCCAGAACGGCATAATGCCCGCTCCGAACACCAAGACAACGATCAAGCTTGAGGCTAAACAACTACGTACAGTAACTATCAACGCGATATTTCTTGGTAGTGAGGCGTATAGACCTCAATTGATATGTATACAGCTATCGATACTTAGCTTGTAGACCAATTTTCCTGCCGCATAGTAACTGAACATGTACAATTAGGCGCCTGTGGAGAATGCGACGCTAGATAGACGACGCCTAGGCTCTCTACTAGGGCTACCACAAGACCCTCCCCCGCAACTGACTACGGCAAAAAGAAGACGCCAATGTCGCGTGGACGTAGCTGAGGCTGGACGACTGGTGGAAAAGGAATCCGGACCGAACAAGCTGCGGCGCAGTTTTCAGAGGCGAGCGCTTCATCAAAGACCAACCGTGGCGACTGCTTACTATCTATACGCTCAACAACACCTCTATCTATTTAAGGTAGTGCCTAATGTGGCCAGGGCACTGATGTGTAAAGCTTGCTGCACCAACGCACGCGGGTGGGGCTGCTGATACTCGTGACATGTCCACGTAAAGCGAACCAGGCTTTCAGCGACGCGCAGTGGCGCGACCGACTTTACCAATGCGGCAGTCAATAGTCACTTCTGTGTTATGCGCGTCTTGATACACTGCCTAATCTCTTCGTTCTGAGTCTTTGTTGTATTGATACTGCTTGTATTGCATGATCATCCGTCCCAGCCAAGTCACGCGATTGTGGACAGTAATATCTGTAATGTTCTCTTCCAGTGTGCCAATTCGAGCGCCACAAATATATTCCGTGAAAAGGCTTATCCCCTTGACTGAAGGCTTGTCCAAGAATGGTTGCTCGTGTAATGGATCAAACCCACGACACCCTCACGCGATCACGCGATGTGACACGTGCTTACACTAGCGGGACCCCGTCCCGTGTGCGAGGAACATCAAGGTTCGAGCCTCCCTGTACATAGACCTGTATGCAGAATCTCACATATTGAACTCAACTCGTGTTGCGCCTCCACAGCTCATGACTAACGCTCTGTTCGAGAACATTCTCTGGAAATCTCAAACTTGACATGAGAATAGAGAGCATTCTCCGAATAGGTGGAACTCACTCTTTCCATAGCTTTCTAACATATCGAAATTGTTTAAGGGTGCCCACTTTCATCCGCTGTTCGATTTCCTGAGTGGAAAGCGGATGCGAAGCCCTTCTTTGTTGCGCACGCTCGCGTAGGCTTGTCAATACGATGCGGCCCCCGAGCCCGCCATTCCGGCCGGCCCTCGAAGGGTTCAGGAACCACCACGATCCCTCTTCGCTTTCCCTTCCCAACCATCCTACGCCGCACCGCAAGGCATGTTTGTTCACAGCAAAGAAGAATGTGTAATAAAAAACCCCCAGAAAGGGAAATGGTGGCCGAGAAGCATGAGACGATTTCCAACACCGGCGCAATAGTTTTGTGGGCACGAGAGCAAAGCGAGCAGAGGGAAGTGCGTGAAGGGAAAAAAAGAAAAGAAAAAGCCCCCCTCCCCCCTCGAGGAAAATGCAAGGTACGCCATAATAACAAGTCATCTAGACAGTTTGCACCATGTCTGTTGATAGTCGAGTGTAGCACAGTTGGGGTCGAAGTCCGTCATCGAACACCAAATGCAGGATTACGACTTTGTGGGATGGTCCTTTTACGGTATTACGACAGATGACGATTCAGACAAGAGAATCAACGTTCAGTGTCCTATAGTCGTATTCGGAAGAAGTGGTGGGTGATGATGCTTATGCTTATCAAGATCTCAAGAACGCTGAGGCTGCGTTTAAGTTGATCGACGCAGGTCTACTACAGACGACTGTTCCCGAGATCAGGGGCCTGATGATTTGGGACCGTCAGTTAGAAGAGCGAAGGGTCCAGCGCGATGGCACAGCTACACGCATTACTGTGATTATCGAGGTCGATGGCGAGCGTAAGCCTATTATTACCGAGATGGTAGAGAATCTAGATCCACCCCCAGTATCGTTACTTCGCTCTTGGAAAAAACGGTGTGGCCATCGTCTGAACTAATGAATCTGCGAACAACGCAGTCCTGTTCAGAAATCGTTAAAGACATATCTTCAAGGAATTAGACAGCACGCTCTTATTTCACCAGATAGGAGCGATGGAAGATACGGAAGAGACTCGTAGTCACATATACGAACCTCAAAGCCTGTTGAGGAAGGGTGGGAAGGAAGAAGGAGAAAGACCTACGCGCCTCATTGTGCGTCTTGGGATACCGCTTGCTGCATACGTCATCTTTCTGATTGGCTACTTAATGGTGCTCGCGTGCATTATCCGCTGCAGTTTGCATAGCCTCACACTCAGCCTGTCCCACCTCTTCATTCATTCCTTCTCCCGCCTTCCATCTCTCAATCATCCCCGTAGGCACTTAAGTGATTGACGCATCGACCGCATTGGTGATGGATATATCGATCAGAGATGTCCTGAACGATTGGTCCGGGACTGGCAGAGGGCGCCACGTCGGTTTCAGTGTAGACGAGGCTATAGCATTAGGAACTGGTAATTCAAGGTCACTCTTCGGGGCCAGTGCTAATAGATTTGGACACAGGAGATTTCCTTGGGCAAGGTGCCGACGCAATTATTCACGAAACGACCGTGCAAGGACTCAAAGTAGCTTAGAAGAGAACGTCACGCCATAGGAGATCAAATGCGCATGTCAGGCTCGAGATCAAGGTCCTGAAGAAGTTGAGCCATCGCCATAGGGTCCTACTCATCGGCTCATATGCCCATAAGGGATCCGTCGGGTTGTTGTTGTACCCAGTAGCGGTTTGCGACCTTGGCACCTTCTTCGAGGATGCTAAGGCATACTTACAAGACAACGCGGCCGATGATCAAGGATTGCGGATTCGGAAGCTCGGATGCTCTTCAGGATCATCCTTGAAGCACAAAGCGTGGCCTATCTACTCGCAAATCGGATGCCTCCTTTCGGCTGTCGCCTATCTACACAGCCAAAACATCCGCCACAAAGACATTAAACCCTCCAACATCCTTCTGTCACGAAGTCGGTTCTGGCTAAGCGACTTTGGGTTGGCTCGGGACTTCTCCGACCTCTCCGATAGTGGAACCGATGGTGGTGCAGGAACAGTACGCTACAAAGCACCAGAAGTAAACCGAGCCATCATATACAGTTCACCCCTTACTGATATTGTTTCCCTTCCAGGTAGCAGACTTCGAGCGTAGCGGTCGGGAATCAGATATGTTTTCACTTGGATGCGTGCTTCTTGAAGCCATGGTCTTTGATCAAGACGGAACGTTGCAGCGCCTAAGGCCTGAATCTCCAACTGCAAGGTTCGTATATCATGAGAACCTGGACAAACTCAACTATTGGCTACCATGGCCTGGAGACCTTAATCTTGTCAAGCACCTCCTGTGTCTCGCAATTCGGAGGAGTTTGCTCTCAAAGTTTCCAAAGCAGCGACCCGGTGCGGACGAGCTCGTTTCACGAAGCACCCCATGTGACAACACGATGGAGCACGCACAAGACCAGATATTCTCCGACTGTTTGTCGCATATCATACTTCACTGAGCAACAGTTTGAAAGCAGAATCAAAGCACTGTAAATTCAAATTCTCAGTCTGCGACGAGAGAAGCAGATTGAGCTGATACAGGCAGCTCAGCCGCTCAGCCGCTCAGCCGCTCAGCCGCTCAGCGACCTCGAAGCTCAAGACTGGAGAGATTCGGATTACCAGTGTCAAGCAAGGTAGTGGATGCAAGAGAAGATATACAAGGCTCTGAAGGCGCCCGAGAAAGCGAAGATCTTCATCCTTCTGTTATGTCAGCCTTCAGATCTTATACCAAATATCAATGCTCACATGATGTTTCAGAAGTCATCGACCACCAGAAAGGCGGAATTGCAGAATGTTATATATTATTCGCCTGATCGAGTCGAAAAGTTTGTGGATATCCTCATCACATGCCTCATCTTCGTGTTGTTTTTCCTGCCCGTGGTCGCGATGTTCCAGCTAACGTCAATCGGCGATAAGAACGAGATGATCCAGTTTGGCATACTTCTCGCCTCCAGTCTGCTCTTCTCAGCTGCCATGTCGCTGCTGAGAAGAGCCAAGGAACATGAACTGTTTGCGCCATCTGCATTGTACTGGACGGTACTGGTGATGTTCACCAGCAATCTCGATAACAGTAGAATTTCACCCGCCATTGACGAATGGATCCGAAGAGGTCTCAGACTTTGTATTCGAAACGAAGCTGTAGTATTGACTTCAATAAATCAATAGTTCATTTTCATTGCGGCTTTGGATGGTGCAGTGTGTTGAGCATCCTTTCAATGTATAGTTTACCTTTCATGCTAACGCTCGACCATATCGAGCATGCGTACGTCATCTGAGGGAGCGCGGTGCTCTCGTGTATTCGCCGCAGGTCGAGAAGGCTGGCGCCCCAGTTGAATCCTCCTAGGCATCTAGGTGCGCTGACTGTCCTCGTCGGGTTTCCGCCTTACTTCCCCTATGTGCTCCTTCCAGTGTAACCTCGCGTCCATTGCCAGTCCAAGGTACTTGCAGGTCGCATCGGGCTCTAGCAGCTCTACTAGTAGACATGTACATGTACCTACTACCGTGCCACTATTTCGATAATGTCGAGGACGTCGTCGTCGCTGGAATGTCTGAAACGCTGCTTCATGCGGCTTGCTGAACGAGCTCATCGGTCTTCGCATTATAGTTCTATATCGACTTTACAAGACTGTAACACGTTCAAGATGGAGGCGTCTCATACGTAACTGACACATATCAGTTCCATCATGTTTCTCAGCCTAATTATTCCTGATACCTTGCCACAATATGCACGCCTTTCGTAGCCTCTTATACACCAGCATCACCGCCTCTCCCGTCTTCCAAGAAGCGCAAAGCCGGCTTCACTTCCGAGACACGGGAGACGCGTGAGAGCTAGCACGTCTTGGGATAATTTTTGGGCGCACAGATATGAGAGACAATACATTGGCAAGGGATGCGTTGAAGATTTTCTGTAAGACTCTAGCTGTACGATGACGCGAACTAGAAAGATGAAAGATTGTGTTGGCTTGTTCGTACGTGTAATTGTAAGAACTTGAAGTACCGCGAAGTTTATTACGCGACTGCTGTTACACAACAGCTTGTTTTGCGGACCTATACGCAATACGATACGGGTAAGGCGGCAGTGAGGTTGCGCGTCGTGATCAAGGATGTGTGGTACGACAATGAAGACGGTGGAGTTTCTTATGTTCGCGTGGATGTCGCGGATCAGATTCATAAACATGACGTCATAATGAGCAGAACCTTTTACCGACTACCAAATGCAAGTCGATGTGTAAAGTTTTGGGTATCGTAATTCAAATGGTATTAGCTATGGCATTATTATAATCGCTAAAAATCAATCCAAGCGCCGCATGTCGTCGTAGACGTGTACTGGTATCCTCATATCCGTTGTTGTCCAATCATTCTATCCAGCATCGGCATCAAGCGCGATGTATCATTCATCTTCGTATCATACATGTTTCAGATTGTGACGCCCGGCCTTGATGCGAAGAATCTCAGACGTCGCTGACGTCTGATCTTGTGTTCCAAGAGCCGAATGAATACGGTTCACAGGCATTCTAGACCTGGCTCATGGAAGGACCACCACGGCGGATACCGCCACGAAGGTTGGCGCCGCTACCGCGTCCGTTCATGATATTGAGAACAAGGGTAGCAACGAATGCGGCCCATCCGAACCAGAGGAAAGCGGTGGTGGCCTGAGCCTGGCGGCAGTTCTGCTCGGTGTCTCGCGAGCTGTTAAGGACGCTGTTGGAGTGGGTGTATGCCTGTGTGAATTAGTTTATGTTGCTATTTTACTGATAGAAGAAGAACTTACGCTGTTCGAGCAGCTGTGCGCGCCAATGTATGCGGGAAGAGCAACGGCAGCGCAAAAGCCGAAGAGGACGCTGAGCGCATCCATGGCAATGTCGACAATAGGGATGCTGAACTTTTCGATGAAGGATGTAGGTAGGAAGTACAGCAATGTGAACAACCACCAGATACCGACGAACAGCGAGTAGTTGACGATGGAGTGCACTCCCGAATAGGCGCGCGCAACGTTGTTACCCATAAAGGCGGTAACGAGAATGGCGCAGATCAACTGCGTGATGTTAGTGAATTTCTTCCATGTATGCATACCAGAAACATACCTGCCAGGCACGAAGGCCCATGGAAACTGCTCTTGACACCATTTTGTTGATGTGTATAGGAAGATGTGGTGGAGGAGTGTTGTATTGATGCGAACGAACAAGAGCTTGTCGTTTCTAGAAAAGCGTCAGGGTTTGCGGCGGAGATGGAGAGGTCGGGTGGCTGGAAACTGATGAATGCTGTGCTTTTGGAGTTTGGGGCTGGGGCTGGAGAATTATAGCAGTGGGCGGGAGCAAGCGGGTCTTGTCGTCGCAGCGTCATAGGACCCTATGTGACTGGCAGTGACGTATGAGGGTCCAATCGTCCCTTCCATTCCGGGACTATCGGTACTTACCTTGCTATTTACGCCGATCACGATATTATCCTGTAACTAGGAATTGTTGGATGCTGTTCAAGTTTGAATTAAGGCGCATTCCTCTGAGCTTCGAATACTATATACACAGTGTATGATTATACGTCGTTACGCGGCTGTTCTCTTGGTTGCCGCGCAACAACAGTGATGATGCAAGCCTACGCAGGGATCACTGTCAGCACTATCAACAACGCTGACGTCCCAAGGCGCTTCGCTCGCATGACCACGCCGTCACTCTAAACTTTTCTCCGAGGGAGCTACTGCAGTCTTCTACGTAAGACCTTTTACTATGACATCTGCTATGGCTTCCAGACCATTGGCGGCACCAAAGTTTGTATTGACGACATGAGGTTTGAAGTTGGTTTGGCTGTGGGTTTGATCTGCATCCGCGAGCTCCCCGGATCGACGGCATGATCGTCATTGTTGCGCACCGTGCGAACTGTCTGTGTGATGCGGATGGACCACGTTTGCAAGTCGTCCTCGAACGAACAGCGCAGGCTATTGTAATTGATCGTCAATGGTGACAAACATGTGATCTCTTTGGTTGTAAAGCGCCGGTAGGGATGTTCGACTTTTAGTCCTTGATTTCCTGGAACGGAGTCGATGTATATTTTTGAGTGGCTCGGCCCTTGCGCGATAGCAGCGTTTTGTAGAAGCCATCTTCGCATTGCTGTACACTCACAATGTTTCACGAACATTACATCTGGGCGCACACAATAAACATGGAGACGCAAGGAAATAATTAATCAGAGAGAACGTATTGCATTCATCTACAATATAATGTCCAACCCGCATCTGTATTGCAAAGACAAGGATCTCAGTCTAGGCGACTTTTAAAGGCTGGTCGTCCAGGTACCCATCGCTGCTCGGAAGCAGGAGGGTACCATGAACTGATTCATCTTCGACATTCCTTTGACAGCGGCGCGGCGCGTCAACATCTCCCCATACCAATGAGAGGTTTTGAGAAGATGGATTAGTGTCGGTGTGGTCCAAGCTGAATGCAGGGGTTATTGGGACCTCACAAAGAGAGCTCCAAGGCTTTGGATTAACCAAGATCGTTGGTGTCATATCGCGTCATGTAGCTCTCAGCGAGCGTTCCAGCGAGTCCAGTCCTTGAGTATCCGCAGCGTTTGCGTCACCGTGCGAGTGCATTGTGTTTGTACTGTCTTCTAGTCGAAGCTCGAGTGTAGTAGGCAGGAGGGAGAAAGCAGAAAGCAAGAACCGACCGGCTCAGTTGAGTAGTGAGCATGTCGATTCTGCAAATGCAATACTTGATCAATGGGCGTTGGTATAGTGGAGGACGCTTAGGCGTGGATTGGGTTGCCAGGTTGTGACTGCGCTCCTTGTCATATTGAAACTGTGGCCAAAATAGTCTACGGCAATAAGTCATCTTGCTTACCTTCCATGAAGCTTACCTTCCATGTAAACTCTAATGCCGTGGCGGCCAGATTGACCTCTGTTGGCAAACAGCTGATCCTATAGTATGATGGTGGTTTAATGCAAGGACCCATTGTAGGCTCTTACCGCGGAGGTGTCTGGAGTTGGGGGTGTTTGCCGATACCTATCTGCCTCTGCATGAGTGTGACACAGATTGTAGCGATCTCTGGCGGTGTTTGCAGCTGCTCATACTGACCTCGGTCTCTCAAGAGGAGGTAGGGTGTACTCCGAAGAGCTTCGAGAGATTGTTGCGGCAGTTCAAGGGCTTTTATGTTGGTGCATCATGACTGCTACCGGTGTAGAAGAAGGGAGAGAGAGGGATGGGGAGCGTTGCTTGGGAAGCTGAAGCGGCGGCGGAGGCTCTGAAAAGACACGAGGCGCTTGTGGGGGCAAGAGGATGAGAACCCCGGAGGTATTACAGGGGGGTTGGTGGTTCTGCAGCTCTTGAAGCATTTTTTTTGCTGGAAGCGGTCGTGCTAATGTCGGAGAGAAGGAGGGGACGGGCGTGGTGTTTTGAGCCAAAATCGTTGTCTTGGCTGCCGAAGGAGGGTCAAGGCGGCGAAGGGAGGCCGATGCAGAAGAAGTAGAGCAGGTCAGCAGCCAGGAAGAGGTTCCAGAGGGAAGGGAGCAGCTTTGAAGAGCATCCAGGGGGCATTGGCCTTCCGAATCGCCTTCATAGCAGCCCGTTTTCTTCCGTGAATGGCGATGTTAGTCTCCGTACCCCCTTGGTGACCACAATGCTTTTCAGCTTTACCTGCATGACTCCCAAATTGCCACCTCTATCCAACAGACAGCACTCTAGCTTACCTCCCCTACTATAGCATGGAAGGTAAAGGTGAGGTGATGCAGGGGCTCTCCAACCCCTGAGATGTTTTCCTTCACATCACTTGTGATGTTGTGATGTGGTTGTGGTGTTGGCCTGGGGTCCTTCCTCGGGCCAGCGCTGCAATGTCCGTGACGTTGCCTCGAGCTTCAACCAAAAGTATCAGATTACCCCACTCACACGAGCCAGACAAGCCCCCATGAAACTCTGATGAAGCTGTCAGAAGATTGTGATCTAAACGGCTTCAACTCTTTGCGTCTCCGCCTCAAAATTTCAGCAAACTCTTTCTGACCTTGGCCGATCGCGTCCTCAACGTGCAGCCGAAAGACTTGCAAAACCAAGCCAGCGAATGCTCGACTGCCTGCCGGACTCCCATACAAACGAGAGCTCTACAAAGAGCGCAGCCACAGCTACGCCTCATCGAAGACCGCCCTGGCCTCCTCGCCATTCGATCAAGACAGCGAGCGGAAGAATGCAGGTGCTCAGCTTGCTCTCTGCACGAAGATGACTCCTGCGAAGATCAACAAGACCACGACCTTGCACACGGAGCACCACCTTGTGTTGCGACGGACTACCAGGCCGATAACGTTGCGGAGTTCCACCGAGGAGTCTTTCCGTACTCGGCGGCGATGCCGAAAACACATCTTGTACAAGATGGCGGAACACCATATCGACGTGGAGGAGACAACCCCAGAACTACTACTCTTGGATATTGACGGCCGACCAGATAACAAAGAGCATAGCTAGGGACCACCGAGAGCCCACAGTGGATGTAGCAAACTCTTTGGAACGAGAACTCTAGAACATCTCCACCATCGCTACCGTAAGTGGGTATAGAGACTACCACTTTAACCGAGTCGGGCAGGATACCGAATTTCAAGTGCCAACCAAATTTTCAGCAGTGACATCCATCAAGTTCAAGCGCGAAGACAAGAAGATGAGAACATTCCATGGCACCGGACATAACGGCAAAGTGGACACCATGGCCCATTCCGCGGGATACTGTCAGACACCAGGAAACCAGGACTCGTCGAGAACACCGGGTGGTACCCCGCGCGTGACTACGAACGATCCCCCCTGCGAGACCTCGAACCACAGCACTTTACAAACAGCACTTTCGAGATCGATGTAGCCTCTCGTGGCAGGCTGGAACCGCGACAACAACACGAAGCTTGGTACACCTGCACGTACTCTGAACATACTCGTATGAGAAGCCCATGACAAACAACCACTGGATATGTCTATACAACCACTTGGAACTTCGAAAGCCGGGAACATGCTGTATATCGGGTCGCGGGTCATCGGCGCGATGTACTAGTTCGGGCGTTCAACGACGATCGGAAGGCCTACACATCGGACCGAGGACTTAATCAATGTCCAAAAAGGTGTACTAACGTCGGTTACAACAGGGTTCCCGGAAGGTCATCTATTGGTTCTGCCGTTCAGCAAGGGCGTACGTCCCTCAACGTACTGATATGTTCTGATGCGCCACCTTACCTTGACACATCAAAACCAACAAGTATTTGAGTTCCCAACGAGGAACAGGAGACCATCCGGAGAAAAACATCAGGAGACGGCTAGCCATGCGGGCGCATCGTTGACTGGAGGTACCCGCGCAGCTTGGTTGTGCTTAATAACGCCAATGCTGTGCGCAAAATGCGGGGTTGACAGGATGCCTGGCAGCCAATATGCAAAACCGAACGAGGAGTCTGTCCAACAGCATGTCGTGCCTCATGTGCTCGGCACCAGCCAGACACACTGTAATACCCTGTCATCTGCAGATGGGAAACGTCTTGCGAACCACTCAGGAGTCTTCGCGAAGTCGTTCGTAACTAGTTCCAGGAACGCTCGTTGTGTAGCCATCGTTCGCTATACGCATGTCAAGTGCGGCGTCGAATAGGAGAAGCTCAGAAGTGTCCACAAGATCACCGCGTCGAGCGGGGCATGCCGCGGGTGCGTCAAGCAGCTAAGGAGCTTAGTATCCAGGCCATGGTAGTCGTCGAGAGCGCGTGACTTGTTACACTCTAGGGCTGAAGGTGCCCGTAGTGCTGCTCAAGTCTGTTCCGGGGGCGCAATAGCCTGGCGGGGATGCAGCGTGATTGATGGCGCTTGAAGCGAAACAGAATGGCGTGCAGCAAGCATGAAAGCCCTGGAAGAAATGGGATGGATGTCTTCCGACGGGCCCAACCGAGTTCAGACAGCAAAAATGAGGGGTTCATTGACGAAACCCTGGCCATGCAGCCCAACGCGTCGTCGATCAGCGATCGGGCTAACAGCGAACGATGAGTTCTGATGAGAGTTGATGAAGCTGTGTCGTCAAAGGGTGGTTACAAGAGGTTTGATGAAGACAGATGGTTCGAGGAGCCGGGCCCTGTCCGGCCAGCTTCGCTACCCCCCAACAGCGCAGCAATTTGCAGGAGTTCGCCTGAAGCATACACGGCTAGCCAGAGTTGGTCTGGCCGTCTCCGCATTTCCTGCGCAACGACCCTTCAGAAGCCCCTGACCCTTGGCCAGCCGTGAGCTGCAGAAGCCCCAAAAGCATTGCATGTCTGCGTGTCTTCAGACTTACGTCTGTTCTCCTGTAATGAGCATCTTGTCTCGCCGTCCTTATCCTGTCTTCCTGTCAGCCACCTCTCGAACACCTTGAGATCACCGTAAACTCGCCGTGCTTGGGCTGGTGGAGTCGTCTCCTGATCTGACAAGGCGCGCGGAACACAGGGTGTCAGCCGCGTCTGCTTCCCAACGTTTCGAACGATCGCCAAGGCCAAACTCTACCGCTATCAGTCTGGCCTCTGCAGAAGGTGTCCTCCTCATTATATTCTCTTCCTCTGCCGTCCGGGTTAGAGGGCGACATGTGCTCGCTCTAGTAGTCGCACGTCCATCCTCCGAACAGTTGTCCGAACAGTTGTCCTAGATCTGCGGGACAGCCTTGGGTTTAGCAGCGTGGCGCTTCCCCACACTCCAAGGACCCGGTGCCTTCTTGCCGATCCTAGGCTGGTGTGATTCCATGCCACGACTGATGCCATAGCGGATCGTGTTCGTGTTCGATATCTTCGAGAAGAAAGACTAGGGATAGACTGGTTCAAGAGTTTGGCGCTTGGTTTGCGACGTTTTGAGGTACGTCTTCGCCGATCTGCGACGAGCGTGCCCGCGCAGTATCGTGTTGCAGTGCTTAATGCTCACAGTTTGTGCTAGTTATCTTCCGAATCCGTTTATTTGAATAGAATCACCGTGGGATAGAACTTGCCAGGTACGTACCCGTCTCTCAGCAGCCCGCGCCGCGGAAATGCCATTGTCGCGCCCGTCTGCTGCCGCATCAGGTTTGCGGCATATATCGGGCTCTGCATTGCGCTGTGCTTATGTAATGCCATGAGGCTGACGATGTCGTGTAGGATATACTGTTCTTCTCCCGATAGATCTGCTTTGGGCATCGAGCTCCGCGTCGCGTAATTCTTCTAGACAAAGTTCTGTTAACTAGGTAAGCAGAACCAGACTTTCCTTGTTATCCCTACTGCAGCTGCCCCCTTCATCCGCTGTCCTTGTGATTAGCCTGCAGACGCGCTGCTGGTGGGTAAGTGATGTTGTTGAGAATGTCGAGAGGCACCGGCGTTGGCGGAGTTGAGGTTGTGGGGAAGCAGGTCAACGCCAGCGACACCACGCACTGCACACCATTCTGGAGGTGTATAAGCGCTCCATCTACCTCGCAAGAGTCTCTGCATAGCATCCCGAGGGGTAGAGCTGCGTGCATCGGAATCTTGGGGGTGTCGAGATGGTGTGTGGTGTGGGCGGGGGCGGCAGCAGGCAATTCTCCTGAACAGCATCGCCTGAACAGCTGCATGTTTTCATTCCTACGTCTCTACGAAGAGTACTATTGGGAGCAAATGAAGCTTTCTGGTGTTTTCATTCTGTCATTTGTCAACGCATCTTCCCCCTACTCACAATGTTCCTTGCTAAGACGACCATGGCCGACAGTAATCTCTAAAGCCATCCGTGCCCGGCGCTCCTGCCTTGAGCATCGCCAGCGATCTCTCCTCCAGCGCTTCAAGGCGGTCATCGAACCAACTGACCGTCGCCTTCCAGTGCTGACCCATAAAACCCCGCTTCTAGCATCGTTTTCTGCTTTCTTCCTCCTTACCCACCATCTTCCCCATCATCATCTCTCTCTACAAACCTCAGTTCGCTCTCCACCTGCTTTTGCTCGCCCCTGAACGTCATTCAACACCAGGGAGTGAGCCTGAAGCGCCCTCAAGCGTACCTGCCACCTTTCCTTCGCCCATCCATCAGTCACCGAGGGGATACCTCAGAGGCTGCGACTTCAAATCGCCTTGATAAGCAGCCGTGAATAGAACACAAGTAGTATACACGCCTGAGATCTGACCCGGCTCAAATCTCCACGATCTACGGTCAAGGTATGTATCCCCATCTCCTCATCTTCCTATCCTCGGGCATACTTGGCGAACATCACGTTTGCACAGTGGTGGCATAGCATCAGAGTACCCCGCGCATTCACCAACTTTGACCCTTTACCTTTACCGTTTGCCTTTACCTGCCTCACCCTTGATACCCAGCCCCTTACTGCCTCTTCTGATGACGTCCACGCTAACACATGGCAAGTTTGCCTTCACAGGTGAAGGGTACTTATAGACACATCGCCGACCTAGACGTTACATCTTCCTACACACTCAGTCACAAGAAGCTGCATCTACGCTGTGCATCATATACATCTTCTGTGTGCAGGTAGAGTGCATCAAGACACCCCCTATTCATCAACAATCTTCATTCCTACTAGACTTCAAGGTACGTTTGTCAATTGTCTTGTTGCATTCAAGAGGGATATCGCTGATGTACTCAAAGTAGACGACTCATCATGAGTTCCAATACATACAAGGGCGGTTTATCCGTTGGTGGTTCAGCGCTCGACAAGTCGAAGTTGCAACTGCGTCGTCCAACCCCTGACAGCGATGTCTTGGCGTCCAGCGACGACGACCGCGAGCACGTGGCAGTGCCCGTTCGCCATGCACCTGGTACATACCCTCTTGCGGTTCGACGGCCTTCTTCTGGTTGGTTGCAGGATATACAACCAAACCGGAAGTTCTCGCTTCCCTCCGTGTCGTTTGCCGGTTCGCAGCCAACAACGCCGTCCCTCGAGCTGCCCCAGCAGTCGCGGCCCAGCACATCGTCATTCCCCTGGAATACTCCGAGCTTCAGTGGCTTAGTTAACAACCGCTCTAACAAGGAGGTTGCTCCTTCCCCCACCTCTGCCTTTCCCCTACCGACAGGCCTATCCCCTCCCCCACAACTGTTGAAGGCGACGACGGCAACGGCATTGGCTTTCTTCTTAGCCAGCAAGCACCCAATCCTTTCCGCAAGGCTGTCCGGTCACAATCCTATAGCATAGGACAAGGTGACTACGAGCACAGTCCGGTCAGTCGCTTCTCGCGCCAGCCCAACACCAACGCCAATCTCCGCCATCGCCCGTCCAAGCCAAGCCTTCTTGGTGAGTCTGCTGTCGGTCTTTCGCAGCTTCGTGAAGACGAAGCCGACGAGATCGAGTCGTCGAACGGTTCAGAGCACGGAGTTCGTCTGCCCGCCGGCTACTGGGAGCGTGAGCACAACCAAGCCTTGCTCAAACAAGCCGCTATGGAGAACGCCCGCGCTCGCAATCGAGCTACCTCGACCGGCTCTCCTGTCTCGCAGTTGCAACAGCAGCGCCGCAAGACCACTGCCGGTCTACGAAACACTTCATACAACACCGCCGCAGAGTACGCTATCGAGGAGCTCGATGACGCTGAGCCCTCAACCAACCGTCCTGCCCCAGGTCTTACCCGCCGCTTCAGCGAGCATGTCGGTATCCTGACCCGCGATCACGAAGTCGAGATTGTCGACAGCCCTCAGAAGCCGCAATGGACCACAGGCAATATATCACCTGCTGAGATGGATCCTCTCGGTCGTCGCCACTCGTTCGCTCACTACGGTAGCTACAACTCCGCTATGCCGCTCTCAACCTTGAGCAACACCCAGGAAGAGGAAGAAGAGTACGTATCGCCTCGGCAGACCCCACCCAACAAGGACGACAACGAGCCCTTTGATGCCTCTGCCTATTTCACCGGTTACGGTCCAGCATCGCGCGCCATCAACTCCTCTGCCATCTCAGCAGCTCATCCTGATCCCGTCGTTCCCAACACCGCCATGTCTGCTGGCAACCCCTACGCGGTTCCGCCGAGAATTGGAAACCCTACCCGCCGCTTGTTCATCGTCACTTTCAAGTGCTCGCGCGCTGACATCTATTACCTCTACGACAACACCGGCCTCGAGATCCGCCGTGGTGATCTTGTCATAACCGAGGGTGATCGTGGATGTGATCTGGGTCAGATCACCCATGCCGACTTGACCATGGAGGAGGCTAAGAAACTCAAGGTCGAGGCGAACGAGGAGCACTTCCGCTGGCTCGTCATGTTCTCCCAGTACTCCCTGGCCGGCACTCAGAACGACTCTGGAATGCTAGGCGCTCTTGCGCGAGCTAATGGATTCGCAAATCCCATGAGCCGCACTCCACTGACTGCTTCCGGAGAGCCAGAGCCATTCAAGCCTAAGATGATTAAGCGTTTAGCTCAGGCCCACGAGATTTCCGCGCTCCGCGAGAAGGAGGGTGGAGAGGCCAAGGCCAAGCGCCTTGGAGCTCAGAAGGCTGCCGACCATAAGCTGCCCATGGAGATCCTCGATGCTGAGTACCAGGCGTAAGTTAATCATCTCCACGTCCTTGTCATCATCACACTAACACGTTCAGTGATTACCACAAGCTCACATACTTCTACTACGCCGAGTCATACGTCAACTTCAACGAACTCGTCACAGACTTGTTCAAGCAGTACAAGGTTCGCATCTGGATGTCGGCTGTCAACCCAGCATCGGTTGTCAACCCAGCCGGCATGTCGCAGATCCCGCCACCTTCTGCTATTGGACCTGGTGCGATTATCAAGTCAAACAATGCCAACGCTCCCCCCTCTGTTGGCCCTGGCTTCGGCAACAACGCGCTTCAACACGCCCAGCAATACGGTGAGTGCATCGTCATCGCCTCTTAATAAGGGATTATCGTTACTAACTGTCCATCAGGCCAAGGTCAAGCTCGCAACCATGGCAACTATGGCAACTACGATGACGGCTTCCATGCCTTCTCTCACCAGATCCCCGCGTACCCTGCTCAGCCTTCTTACAACATGCAGCAGACTTGGGCTCATGGCCAACAGATGGCGCCGCAGCAGATGTACCGCGGCTACTACCCTAACGTCACTGCGAGCGGCAGCCCAATGAACTATGGGGGCGGAGGCTACTATCCACCTTCGACTTACCCTTCGTCTTACGGTGGGGGCTATGGTCCTGCTACAACTACCGCTGGATTCGCTGCTTCACGCAACTATGCATCCAACACTGGTCAGTCTTTCGGTGTTCAACAGGCTTCTTCGTACAACGGCAGTTCTCCGTATACCTCTGGCGCTGGCTATCCCAATGCCTACAGCAACGCTCAGTACACCTCGGGTACTCCTGGCGGATACCACGGCACATCAGGTGGACGTGGCAATGGCAGCTCGGGCGCCTACAATGGTGCTAACACTCCTACTACTGGAGCTCGCCCCAGCACTGGCACCGACGCTGCCTTGATGGGTGCCATGCAGAACATGTCACTTGGTAACTAGGACAGCTTGATGTACTGTAAGGGCAAGGTCAAGGTCTTTTCAAGGTTTCATTTCGGTTGTTGATCATTATGCGGTATTCCCTTTCACTTTCTCTTCATTTTCACGATTCCATGGTCATCTAAGCTGGCAAGCCATTTCACCTTCTTGATTTGATTCATCATCCCCCAAAAATTCCCCACGATGCGTGTAGTTCATTTAGATATATGCCCATATGGCGAAATTAAAATGCTTTGGCACCAATATGTCCTTTAATGGGTGAGCGTAGTGGCATTCGCCAGGCCTCCATATCAGGTTTGATGTTGTGATCCATATACACCTTGAGGAACTCCTGGCCTCATTTCCATAATTTCCCCAAAGGTGGGAAATGCCTCAAAGGTCAGTAGGCTTCGCCAGCGTTTCTGAAGATTGTGCACGGAATCTATGCCTTCACAACCTCCTGGCCTAATTTTCAAAGTTTCTCCAAAGGCTTGAAGTTTCTCGAGGACCTCCTGGCTTTACCTTCATAATTTTTCCAAATGTGAGAAATGCTTCGAAGCCCTACAGGCTCCATCCGGATTTCGCGAAGTTTTGCATATAATCTACACTTTGACGACCTCCTGACCTAAGTTTTGATTTTCGTTTGAAGGTTGAATGTGGTGTGAAGGCCTGCAGGCCTCAACATGGTGTTGACATCAGATAGCTCCTTCCTTCCTTCATCATCTCACGTTGACTCACCAACACTTTCACCTCAACCATGGCACGACAACGTGCCCATACCGCAGCGCCCGAGAGCCGGCAGATGCTCGCTCTCAGTCGTATCCTCGAGAAGACAAAGAACGGTAACCTACACGTGCAGCGATTCCGCGAAACGATAGTGGCCGACCAGAAGCAGCTCAACGGACTGCTTGCAAAGCGAAAGCTCGAAGCGTAAGTCAGGGCATTGAGTATATGCAAGGGCTACTACAACGTTGACTCAAGTACTGACAGCTGCTGCAGCAAGAGGGAAGAACAACGCCGCCGTGGTGAACTCGCATTTACGATCCTCGAAGCCCTGCAAACCCCAAATCGACCCGTAAAAAGCGAGGCGGCAACTTTTGTAGGCACTCACATCGCTGGTAATGCGGTCTTCACTTCTGCCAACATCATCTTGAGTGCATCCGAAGCCCTCGTAAATGAATACCAAAGACTAGACGGCATGATTGCAAAACTACGCGAAGAGCAGCCTGCAGCTCTCGTGAACACATGGAAGCAAGACGTCGAAGATACAGACCAACAACTCAAGAAGGGGGCTCGGGTTGCATTGAGGAACGTTAAGAAGGTGTTGGGTGCTGATGTGGAAGATTGTGTGATGGCAGAGGCGGACGAAGATAGGGATATGAATATGGAGGGAGGGGAGGAGGTTGAGCTGAACTTTGAACTGCAGAAGAGTTTGAGGTATACAGAGAGGGAGGTTAAGAGAATGGTTAAGGGATTGCCGGTGGATGATGGGTGCTAGGTATAAGTGACGCTGTAGTGTTTCTGGTGGTATGTGGGTGGGCAAGACGAACGAGGCAAACGCGCGCTTCTCTTAGAAACAGTACTTCGCATGACTTCTAGTGGCGTAGCATGGCTCGTGAACAACACAGTACCCAAGATCCAAAATTCCTGTCTTTCTCTTCTCTCTAAATGTCGTTGAGCAACAATTGTCATACAACCTTCCACCTATGGTGTTCGCATCTTCTCAGGTTCGCGTCATGCTCCGCGCTGACGATTTTCTGACCGAGTCATATCAGTCTAGCGCGATGCCTCGTCAAGCTAGCGTCTTGCACGGGCCACCCACAGTCGAAATTGATCGGATCTATCATCTTTTCGCAACCTCCAGCACGACAGCGTCGACAATCTACTAACCAACAGTCAAGGTACGTTACCACGATATTGCTGATTCTTAACGACTCTATACTAACGATACTACAGATGGGTGCCCTCAAGTGTAAGCGCACATCGAATATCGCAATTGCCCGCTCGTAGCTGATCCGCCGTAGATGTCGAAGAACTTCAGAAGAAGAAGCAGTCGGACATGATGCGCTTCTTGATGCGCGTTCGCGTATGTATACACAATTGAGCTGGACAAAGACCTTTGCTAACGTTGCGACAGTGCTGGGAGGTATGATTATCCTGAGACTCAAGTCTCAATTGGTGTACTCGTTGAACTTTGCTGAGAGTGCATCGATAGCTTCGCCAACTTAAGGTCATCCACCGCGCAAGCCGCCCCTCGCGCCCCGACAAGGCCCGCCGTCTCGGATACAAGGCCAAGCAGGGTTACGTTATCTACCGCATCCGCGTCCGCCGTGGAGGCCGCAAGAGGCAGGCTCCCAAGTACGTGCTATCCTAATCTTAGAGAAGGAACCAATGCTAACATTCGCTTTCTAGGGGCGCTACCTACGGTACGCAGCACGCAATCGCTTCGCTGTATGAGCAGAAAACTGACAAGTGAACAGGCAAGCCTACCAACCAGGGTATCAACCAGCTCAAGTACCAGCGCTCGCTCAAGTCCACTGCTGAGGAGCGTATCGGCCGCCGCTGCGCCAACCTCCGCGTCCTCAACTCCTACTGGATCAACCAGGACTCCACCTACAAGTACTACGAGGTTATCTGCGTCGACCCCCAGCACAAGGCCATCCGCCGCGATCCCCGTATCAACTGGATCGTCAAGCCCGTCCACAAGCACCGCGAGGCTCGTGGTCTCACCGCCACCGGCAAGAAGAGCCGTGGTCTTGGTCGTGGACACAAGTTCAACAACACCACTGCCGGCAGGAGGAAGACCTGGAAGAGGCACAACACCCTCTCCCTTTGGCGCTACCGTTAAATGCATTGAGCATGTGGTGTGCTTGGTGCAACGTCTGGTCGATTGTTTTCAGCGTATGGGCTGGCGTGAATGGAATAGGGTGTCCTGGGCTACGTAGCTTCCGAGCGGCATAAAAGCTGTCAGGACTTTCAAAATCAATACCATGGATTCATGATCTTTACGAAGACAACACTTAGGCTGTTCCTCTGCATGTGAAGTGAGATAATTGTATACTCAAGTGTGAAGAGACCTCTGCGACGACAGATGTGGTGTTGTACAGCACTTGTTCCAAAATAAGCGATTATGCCTTGCTTTGCTTATAGCCAAGAAGAGATAGATGCATTTCCACATACGTAGCTGACCGGTACCGGTAAGACAGCTGCACCATCGACGTCAGACGAAATGTCAAAGCAGGATATGTGTACGATGTTTACTGTAACCTTCAATGGGCACGCCAATGACAATTGCAATATACAGGGTTTTGAGGAGGGCAGAGAGTGATTAAATCGGGTCGTCGTGGGTCAGCTAGGGTGTTGCTAGTAGGCTGTCACAAGCGTTGCCTGGGCCCCTCTCAGCCAAAACATCTCAGCCCAACTCATAACACATGCAGCACCTTGACGCCAGCGCAACAAGCGACTAGAGCTCCAATAGACGCAAAGGGTACACACACACACACACACACCTCTGCAACACTGACGACATGCGGCTGACGAGGTGATTACTCCAGGCTTTTGCTGCTGCTGTACTGAGGTTCAACTTCCGATACACAATGTTCCGACGTTCACGCGCGCGACCAACCATCGTCATCTGAGCAGCACTGCCCTGCGAACAGACGAGGCAGTGAAAGGGCGACAACCACCAGGCTATTTGACGACTAGAGCTGCCTATAAGAGTAGAGCGGGCGCACTCTGCAATACACTGCTTGCCTTAGCTCTCAAATCTCGCCGCAAACACCGCCGCCATGGTTATCAAAGCCGATCCCTCGCGAAACTACTATGCCGACCTCAAGGTTCCCGCCAACGCCAGCGAGAACGAGATTCGCAAGGCCTTCCGGACGCTGGCGCTGCAGTATCACCCAGATCGAAACCCTGGGCGCGAAGCCGAATTCGTTATTCGCTTCCAAGAGATCCAGGCCGCACACGAGATACTATGTGATGCACCCTCGCGAGCAAAGTATGATTCCGATAGAAGGAAACACCGCAATGTGTCTGCTCCTGGGAACACACCGAATACACCGAAAACGAGACCGCCGCCACCTCCACGGAACGCATACTCTACAACCACGCCCCAAGGAACTTACTATCGTGCTCCTCCTCCGAAACCACAGGCCCAAGCACGCCCTCCCCCACCGCAACACCATAACACATACAACAACGGCGCGGACAGGTTCACGAATAGAAACTTCCGCCCGCCACCAACGGCGCAGCGACCAGACGCAAAGGCAAGGGATGCCGAGGCTCGGGCGAATGTCTTCACAGCATGGCAGAAAATGAAGCAGCCGCGGGGCGAGGATCCTCGACAGCACAACCCCAGTGCCCATAACACTTCGCAGAGCAATCCGCAGAACAACCCCAACGGTACTCCCTTCGGCCGCAGTCAAAGTACAAGAGTTCCTTCTTCCAAGACAGGATTTGACCCCTCGACACCAGGCGTCGATGAAGGCCAGGCACGGTCAGCGTATAGGAACTATGCCCGTCCGGCTCCAACTCCACCCACCTCTACGACTCCCCCGAAGGACAGCCAAGCCGACGATGCCCCATATTCCGAAGCCAACCGCGTTCGCACACCATACTACTCCCATGTATCGGGCGAGCGTACTTCCATGTTTGACGGGATTGGAAGGTCCTCTAGTGTGCGCAACTCACCGACACATACACACAGAGCAAGCCATTCGCAAGACGCTGGCGCATACTCAGACTCGGGCCGCAGAACACAGGGGAAGAAGTCCAATGCGAAGCCGAATCCCTTTGCTCACGGTTATCCTGACTCTAGCGATGAAGAGTCCGAACCAGAAGTCTTCAACAGCGGCAACAAACACCGTGATCCACCACCTCCACCACCGCAAAACACAAGACCGCCCCCGCCAACCTGGGCAGAAAGCAACTTCACAACCCCCGACCCAAAACGGCAGAGTAACGGCGGGACGGGGAACATACCCAACAGCTTCAAGAGCAGGAGTGAAGAAAGCATCAATATGAAGTTCTCGCCTTCGGACTGGCACGGCAAGTTCGAAGGCAGTGATAGTTACTTTGCTCCTAACATGCAAAAAGGTGCCAACGGGAAAGGTCGAGCCTCTCCAACCCGCGGCAGATCACAACGAAACGCGACGGATCGCAACCCATTCAGCACACGGCCAATGGGTCCCCCCGTTTCGCCATTTGGACAGTCGATACCTCCGCCTCCTCCGGGGCCACCCCCTGGCATCAACTTCGCTCCGCCTAAGATGGCGCCACATACTGCCAAGTTCAGTCCTCAAGACTGGCAAGAGACGTTCAAGGATCCGAACTGGGTGTACAACGAATCGAAGGAGACATCGCCTCGTCGACCGTCGGAGACTACAAAACGGCCAAAGGCTGCGCGAAAGGCGTCTGTACACCAGAACGGAGCTTCGAAGGCTCAGGAGTCAACTGATGCGTCGCGACCTAAATACCAGGCATTTGCTGAAGAGCCAGTAAACGGCGACGTAGATGCCATGGACATCGACTCTGGCCCACTATCGAACGCAAAGCCAGCTAAGAAGGGCACACGCACAGCGCCAACGTCACCGAAACTAAACACATCGGGTGTAGGCGCCATGCCGAACGGCTCTGCTACTGCACCTTCGTCCGCTACTACCGCAAAACCGCCTGTTGGAGGGCTAAATAGTCTCGGTCCAGACATGATAAATCCAGTTGTTGAGCCTCAAAGCAACGGACTTTCTGGGATGGGCTCTGTTGGGGATGCACTCCCATTCCCTTCACAAGCTTCCAACTTACACCCCGTCAAGACCAACGCTGCCAAGAATCTCAAGTATCCCGAGATACCTTATGCACCTCCCCCACCAGCCAAGGTGGATCTGGACTCCGCGAACCACTATTTTGACCGCATGCGCATCTACGTCAAATCATACCGAAACTACTGCAAAGTCCTTACTGGCCACTTTGCTGCACGAAGCAGCGAGATGGAGGACCTGGACGACAATTTCATCCACAACCGCGGCGAGACAACCAAGAAGCTTGGGTTTGCGAGCTATCTGGCTAAGATGGAGGAAGACGAGAGCGTCATGGAGACATGGAAGCTTGCACAGGAGCGGCACATTGCTGCGCTGCAACAGTGTGAAGATGTGCGGAACAAGACCATGAAGCTGTACCAGACCCTACAGACTTGAGCCCGGTGCTTCTGCGCTTGTATTGAGTCTGCAGGTGTACTGACATCTCTTAGACAAGGTCGTTGCCAGGGAGTGGGTAGATGCCGGGACGTTCACAACGTGGCTGAAGGGATGGAAGAGTTTACTCTCAAAGAGACCCAATTCGTTCTTACGCATGTGGCATCTCCACGTCGGCGTACATCTAGTTCAGTTCTTGGTATGAGGATTTCGAGCGCGCTTCGTACCGCTGCATGCAGCCCACCTAACTTGGACGGTGGTATTGAGATTTTGACAGGTAGAAGTGCGTTGAAACCTCAGCCGTTGCTATTGAGGAAGAAGAGGTATCCTGTTCTTGGGTAGTGGCGTTCTAGGCTGAGCATTAAAATACCCCCGGTGCAACTTGCGAAGCTATTAGACATTTTTAAGGATGCGTGTGAGTGTCTTTCTAGGAACATGGATATTACTTGTAGTATATAATATGAAAGGTATGGAACGAAGGAATGCAGACTTTCCATAGACTCCTCAGCCGTGTACCAACTTATACCTCACTCCCTTGCGACACTTCACCGTAGTCCTAAATCTCCAGGGCTGCATATTGCGCGAACTTCCCGCGGTTGCAGCGCATGACGCCCGCACACCCGAGGCAGATTAGCACCAAAATGACACGCTTGTGCGGCGGAAGAATTGACGGCTAAACACCACGCCGAACTTCCATCATTCTCTTCATCCTTCGCGGACACCATTGTACCGCCATTGAGCAATACTAAGTGGGATGACTTTCTTGGATCCAACTGCAAAGTGCTTGGCTTTAGGATAGCCGTCCCGCCGGGTAAATGTGAGAGCCTGGTGCACCGTGGGGCTGAATACCCCTCCATACATAAGACCCATGGGGATGCCTACATATAGCCATACGACGTTGTTATTTTCTTCAGTTCAACTTCCAGACATTTACGACTAAACACATATATCATGGCGGACAAAGAGCCTATCGTCACCCACGTTTTCACCGCCGACCCTTCGGCCCATGTTTTCAATGGCAAGCTCTATGTCTACCCCTCGCATGACCGCGAGACAGACATCCAAGACAACGACAACGGCGACCAATATGACATGAACGACTACCACGTTTTCAGCATGGAAGAAGTAGGCGGCCCCGTCACAGACCACGGCGTAGCCCTCAAGCAAGAAGATATCCCCTGGGTGCAAAAGCAACTTTGGGCTCCCGATGCCGCCAGCAAGAACGGAAAATACTACCTTTTCTTCCCGGCGCGAGACAAGGAGGGCATCTTCAGAGTCGGTGTAGCCACCGGCGACAAGCCCGAAGGACCATTTAAGCCAGAAGCCGAACCCATCAAAGGCAGCTTCAGCATCGACCCAGCCTCCTTTGTCGACGAAGATGGCTCTGCATACCTTTATTTTGGCGGCATCTGGGGCGGCCAACTCCAATGCTGGAAGACAGGAAAGTTCATCCGCGAGGACTACGAAACCATGGAAGCGCAATCCGGCAACGCTCTCTGTGCAAAGGTAGCAAAACTCTCCGACGACATGACATCCTTCACAACAGACGTCAAAGACGTCGTCATCCTCGACGAAGCGGGTGAACCCATCAAAGCCGCAGACCATGACAGACGGTTCTTCGAAGCCGCGTGGATGCACAAGTATAATGGAAAATACTACTTTTCGTATTCCACTGGCGACACACATTTCCTGTGCTATGCGACCGGTGACAGCCCGCTCGGTCCGTTTACCTACGGAGGCAGGATCCTAGAGCCGGTTATTGGGTGGACGACACATCATAGTATTGCCGAGTTCAAGGGCAAGTGGTATCTGTTTTACCATGATTCGAGTTTGAGTAAAGGGGTGAATCATTTGAGGTGTGTTAAGATTAGGGAGATTGTGTATGATGAGCAGGGCAAGATTAAGCTTGCTGAGAGTCAGCCCAAGGTTATGTAGTTTGGCTCCATGTTGGGCTTGTTGATTTTATCATGACAAATGCAGGCACCTCCACCAAAAGCATTCCTTGATCCACGCCATTTGTGAGCTCTTGACGAAACGTTTTCTGCTTGTCCAATGTCACACATCAGCTCGCCTACGAGGCCACTCGGCCACGATCCTCGTCTCTCTTCTCCCTGTCTGCCCATCCACCTGGCCGCGCTAAATGATGCGCTTGTAACGCAGCCTCCCTAGCTTCCAATGGTGGATTTCTTCATCATCGCCATGCTCTGCACCATGGAAGCCACATTCTGGCTCTTTGTCTGCACAGTCTTCTTGAAAACATGCATTTCCAAAATAGTAGTTGATGCGACGGCACTGCTCGCTATCGACGCAGAGTATCCTCAGACATATGAAGCGCATGCAGTTCAGCATGTTATGGGTGATGTTGTCGTGAGTGGCTAGTCATTCGCCATCATCGCATCCTTGGCCGAGATGGTGTCTATTGCAGCACGTTTTGCCACCGTTGTCCGTTACGTGACAGTGATACTCACCCCAGCAGGATGGAGAGGGGGGTGGCCCGATGTTTGGGTCGACGCGTCGGTGAGCTGCGTTGACTGGGGTATATCCAGGCTATTAACGTCGATCCAAGCGTGCCAGGACGCACGGTGTAACGGGACGCTTTCTCTTCCGGGCCTTCGGATTGTCCCTAGTGTTCTCTAATACTCTGTACAGATAAATGCAATGCGCATCTATTCTGCAGCTTCTGTTATCTTAGCACGTTAGTCTCTAACACTAAAAAACACGTTGTTAACCGTGCTGTCGCTCGTTCTATTAACGCCTTCTCCTAACTCTCCTCTAACACTCCCCTGTTTAATTGTGACAGCACATATCTAAGCAGAGCTTGGTGGGCTGGGAAGAAAGCTAGGATAGTAGAGATTAAGACTGCAGTCTTAAAAGGGCAATAGAGATACATCTCGGCAGTTTCTCCGCGCAGATAGCAAATTCATAAAAACGCGTCGAAGAGGCCGTGCGTCTTTAACAGCTCTTGGTATGCGGCAACTTGCCGTAGCGTGCTAAGATATCTACGCGCCTGCCCCGCGCCTGCCCCGCGCGCTGTGGCTAGGAAGCTAAGCTCATTGCCTTAAACAGCTCTTATTTCTAGATAGCGGCTGCAGCATCCAACTTCACGATCTAGTCACAGATAACGGTAATATAATAAAGTTGTCTCATTATAGATTCATTCACACTCCGCCCGCCAGTTACTTAGCATGTTAAGCGAAGACTGTGTATTAGGGTGTTCCTCGCCAAGAACCTGCTTACTCAGCTGAAAGCATCTTTTCATTAGTGCAAAAGCTTCTTCGTGACGGGCTTGCGACTGCAGAGTGAAGGCGAGATTATGCATGCTGGTCAGCGTAGAAGGATGTTCGTCGGTAAGCACTCTCTTCCTCGTCTCCATCACTTGCACGTCTAGCTCTTCCGCCTCCTTCCATCGCCCTTGGTTCCTGTACGTCGACGCTAGGTTGGCCATGCTGGTCAGCGTGTCAGGATATTCGCCGGTAAGCACTCTCTTCATTGTCTCTATCACTTCTACAAACAGCTCTTCAGCCTCCTTCCACCGCCCTTTGTTCCAGTATGTCAACGCTAGGTTGGCCATGCTGGTCAGCGTGTCAGGATGCTCGTCGGTAAGCACTCTCTTCCTTGTCTCCATCACTTGCACGTCCAGCTCTTCCGCCTCCTTCCATCGCCCTTGGTTCCTGTATGTCGACGCTAGGTTGCCCATGCTGGTCAGCGTGTTAAGATGTTCGTCGGTAAGCACTCTCTTCATTGTCTCCATCACTTCTACAAACAGCTCTTCAGCCTCTCTATATCGCCCGTCACTCAATAGAGTCCTAGCAAATTTCGATGCAAGGCGCAATCTTTCGTCGTCGTTATCATCTGCCAGACTATGCGACAGAACATACTGGGCATGCGGAAGCAGTCGTCTCCACTTACTTCTGTTACTATGGTCATCGTCTGGAAATACCCGAAGTAGCTGTTCGATAGTGCGTTTAGTCCATTCTTGGAGCTGTCCCTGCACTTGCAGCCACTTGCGTAGAGCTTGATGGACTAGCTAATGAACATCGAGCGCAGACTCAGCGGGTCGCCTAGTGACGAGCGCATACCTATCAAGTATCCTGATAGCGTCTTCTCTTGCTTGCGTCGAGGCTGCCTCTAGAAGATCGAGCGAGATGTCTTTCTGGTCTACGCATGCAGCAAGAAACAGATAGTCTGCGGCAGACGTATTACTATCACTAATCTGGTCTATGGAGAGAAACAGTGCAGCAGCGACAGGGTCTTTCACGCTGAAACCTTGTAGTCTACCCTCAGACCAGTCACCGCTGAGCTCGGTAATGAGTCCTTTGTGCTCGTCTAGTCGTGATCGATACTCTTGCACCGTCATACCGCTAGCCTTTATACAGGCCGCTGCTTGCATGACTGCTAGAGGGAGATACGATAGCTCTTTCAGCAAGTGCTCGGCTTCTTGCTGCTCAGTGTTCGTGATTGGCCTCTCTAAGCGGACTTGCAGCATTCTTAGCGCCGTGTCTAGTGTCAGCTCTTGGAGCGCTATAATGTTCTGTAAAGCAAGCGCCTGAGCTGTGTCGGTGCTAGTTGTTGTAAAGATGACAGAACATAGCTTAGACTGTGGCAGATAGTCAGCTAAGTCCGCCGCTTCTGTCGTGGACGAGCCGCCAGATCGCAGAGTGGTGTGCTCTGTGTTATCGAAGACTAGCAAACACTGCCGCACACTAATCTCTACTACACAGCGTTTCATAAGCTGCTTTATGTCGACCTGATCGTCGTCCCAGCCTGAAACGCTAAGCTTCTGCGCAACACTTGCAAACGACTGGTAAAGACTGTCTTTGTCACTCGCGTCCATCCAAAAGACTGAGCAGTTCTCGTTGTTCTGCCTTGTTCTGTGTGCAACCTTGAGCGCGAGCTGCGACTTGCCTGTTCCGCTAGGTCCAACGATCGCTAATGTAGTAGTGGTTTGTTCGTTGCTAAAGAGCGTTGCTTCTAGCTCGGCGAGCTGTGATTCTCGACCAACGAAGCGGGGATTTTGTGGGAACGGAATGATCGACGGTGCGTTACTAGCTCCTAGTTCAGCCTGCAGTCTGCTCCCTGCACTCTCCTGTCCTTCGCCATACGCGGTGGGCATAGAGACACTGAGAATCCCAAGCAGGCAATATACAATATCTTCTTCTTCTTTTGTTCTGCGATTTCCTACCCATCGCCTTCGCTCAGATGTCTTGAATTCGTTTAAAGGACAGTTGCGTAGTGCTGCGAGCGGGATATTAGTGATCTCGTGTATGAGCTCGTCGAGCGATGTTTTGTCGCCTATGCGCCGTCCTTCGCACGAGAAGAACTCAACTGAAACTGGCGCGATAAGCTCTTGAAGCGTCCATCCCCGCGTGAACCATGCGCTTTTGCGGAACGACGCCTCCCAGTCGCTGCGTTGGACTAGCTCTATCGTGGTCGACACTGACACATCTGACAAGAAGACATAGCACCGTGCCGCGCTCTTGTACCACTGGAACATCGAGTTAATTGCTTTCGAGCGCTCATTGTTGTTCCATCTGTCAATGCAGCATGTGTCGATCCAGAAGTACTCAAGCTTGTCCTGCGCCGCCTGTTTAATGCAAAACTGGAGCTTTCGATAGCCTTCTTCCTTCTTCGTGTAGTTTCCGCTCGATATGTCTTCGATAAGGATCTCGGAGTCGCTCCATCTGTGAGACAGAATGGCGTAGGGCGGGATCGGTTTGCCGCGGAAATCTGTCAAGACAAGCCTTCCTAGCGCGTTATAATGGAGAAGCCGCATAGCGTTTGCAATCTTAGCTTAGCCTAGGAAAGGCGAGGCGGGAACAGCTTTAGAGGTGTTGAGAGTAGAAAGGCATAGTCGCGACAGACTAAAGCAGGCAAAGGAAGCTTACGCTGGGCTGCTGTGAAGGCTGCCTGTGGAGGCAGTGCATGCGACCAGGCTGAGCGGATGCTGGGCACATCGAGCATCCTGCGCCGCGCCACTTCACAGCTTGCACTGGACCATTGCGCACATAGGCAGGTGTCAGCAGAAGAACAGTTCTACTTAGACTGCCATCGTAGCGTCCCACAACACTCATATTAACGAGGAAGTGTGCGTAGGGATGTAGGTCGTGTAGACGTAAAGATACTTTCTTGTTGCACCACTGGACCAACGGCTACCTGCAAAGTCGGAAATAAGAGCCGCTTAGATCTGCGATTCTCAGCCACAGCCCGCGGGGTGGGCACGTAAATATCTCAGCATGCTACTGCAAGTTACTGCATGCGAAGACTCACTAACTGCGCACGACTGGCTGGACGCGTTTCGACGATCTTACTGTTTGCGCGGAGAAACAGTCGGAATTAGCGTTTTCTATCTTTAATTAACTTTTTAAGGCTGCAGTCTTGATCTTTATTATCTTATCTTGCTTTGTAGCCTACCGAGCTCTTTACAGATATGTATTGTTGCGAATAATTAGGGGGCTGTTAAAGGAGAGTTGGTGAACAGCACTAACAGAACGGGCGATAGCATAGCCAACGAAGCGCTTTTTAGCATTAGAGGCTAATGTACTAGATGAATGAGAGCTGCTGAATAGATGCGCATTGCACTTGTCTGTATCTAAGAACACTAGGGGCAATCCGAGGGTCTGGAAGAGAAAGCGTCCCGTTACACCGTGCGTCCCGGCACGCTTGGATCGACGTTAGTCTGTTACTTTAACCTTGCTGTTGCACTTGAATCTCAAGACTGACTGTTGTGATAGGGACATGAATACACTCATACACTCATACAAGAGACCAAGTACCACTGCTCCTCCCCCCTCGCTTACAAACTCTTATACCAAAAGCCCACAAGCTTCGCGCCCTGGCGATGCTCCGCGCTACGTCCCTGCCAAATTAATGATTGTCGCCTGTTGGAGTATCTGTCTCGGTATCCTTGCCTTCATCAACTCCTACTGCGTCTGGCAGAATAAGAAGATAGCGCAGATCGGTGAATCGGCAGGATACCCCAGGATGGAGAATCAAGAGTGGTTTGATCTGACGAACAGGGGAACCCATGAGTCTAGCTACACTTTTTGAATGACCACAAGAAACCTCTCACCATAGCTGAATATAAATTGGCCTACTGTCGTCTTTCCTCAGTTTTGTTTGGCGTCTTTTAATCTTACTCCATCTGCGGCACCTTCTTGCTCGCCCTCCACCTGGGCCAGTTGATTCCAGTCGATGTGATGAAATAAGTTGCACTAGCCTTCCATTAGAAGTCATCTATTAAAAAGAATACGCGTTCGCCTTACCACAACAGCAGAGCAATCGCCGCGCAAATTCCAGTTAGCACACAACTACTGCCCGCACAACGTCCGCCACCCATACACGAGATGATAAACGCCGTAAACCACAACAAGCAATCCAAAGTATCGAGAATGAAATTTGCTTTTAGACTGGCAAATTTCCTGAAACGATCCATGTGTGCGGTCAGGTATTGGTAGAGAAGAAATAAGGCGGATTTGATCGAGTAGACGAGTACTAGAGTCGTTGATCGTGACCGCGGCATCGATGAATCGGCCATGAGGGCACATCCTGCGATAAAAGCAGCAAGTACGAGCGTAGCTTGCGTAATATGGATGGGACGGTTGAAGCGGTCGGTGAAGGCGTAAAAGGAGTTTAAAAACCCCATGGTGATGGCTGCGGTGTCTAGTTGCGAAGTCGAAGTTGATCTTGTAGACTATTTGTGGTGGAAGCTCGCTTGAGTTGCGTTGGTTGAGTGTGATTTGAATGTCAAAAGAGTATGTTGGTTGTATGTATCTGAGGATAGGGCACCATTCTTGCTCTTATATACTTCCGTGCGCATCATCTCACACAGCCTTCCGGCACACGTGTCTACAAACCAATAAATACGACAGAGATTGTGCAAATGTGAGCGTACTATCGCAGTTATCGGCAGCGGAAACTTGCATAAGGCTGAGCTAAGTCATTGTCGCTGTTGTGACATTATACGCTTCACCGCTTCGGGTGTAGCCCTCCGTTGCCGTACTCGCTTATCTACGTGTACGAAGTTACGACGAATTTGCTAAGACTTTCTCGCAAGCTTGACTGTTCTAGGAAGCTATGATGATGAACCGACAATTTGGATCCTTGATCGATGCTTCTATGCTTTCTAGAATTCTTTAGCTATCCTTGATACCTTGCTGATGGCGGTGCTACAACGGGGACCATTCACTGTCACGGAATTGAACCATTTCGCTAGCCTTGCTCAGAACCACTACCCGATAGTCCTGAAGCTCAGTCAGATCGGTCTTGAACCTAACCATGGGGACCACCGCCTTGGTGCTTTTCGTAATCACGAAGGTGTTAATTCTCAGACACGTGGGATCTAGATGTACATGTGCGCTGAATATCTAGATATGACCTGATGGTGAAACGCATAGCGTCTTCCAATGCTATAGGATGAACATCGACTTCTGAGCTGTCCTAGACGAGTTCATCGATATACTATGCCTCGTTAACAATTACCCATCGATGATGGAAGTTTGAAGCTATGTGCAATCATACCAGAAAGTTACGTGCATTGACAAAAGACTTCCACGTATGGTTCATTGACCCTGGTTAAGCTGCGTGTAGCACCTTGGGCTAAACCGATCTGTCCCTTTTGGTAGTTATCAAAACCGCGATTCTAGCACATGTTTAGATCTTGTGCCTTGCATCATGCCTGTCCTGGATGGCACGTGACGTTTCCAACCACGCCCACGAGATATGAGAAGCAGATAGAAGAGACAGACCTGGGGTCGAATCTGAAGTGGTGACTGATGGATACGAGAAGAGATAACATAGTCGCCAGTGTATGTGTGATCGAGAAAGGAGCTTACAATGACTAACCACAGTAGAATAACGTTACCATACTCTAGAGTCTTTCTAGATGTGCGCCTCAAGATGCTTCCAAAATGCGTCCGGCAAACAAACCGCCCAAACAAAAGAAATGAAACCCTGGTATATAACAGTAAACCACTAACAATATCTCACACACTCCTCACCAATATCCCATCTCTTCTTCCTCCTCTCAACATGCTTGCCCTCTTTAGTCTGCGTCTCCTCAAGCTCCTTCAGCCTCTCAAAGTCGATCTTTTCTTTCTGCTCTTTCTCATGTTTCTCTTTTTCCTCGTTCTCCAACTTCATCAGTTCCATGATATCCTTTAGTTGTGCTTCCTCCTTCTCTTTCCGATACTCTTCTTGTTCATCAAGACGACCCTGTTCATTATCCTGCTCCAGTTCATGCAGCCACACACCCTTGCCATCCTGGAACACTTCTTTTAGTTGTGGCAAGGTCCCGCAAACGCCGTCGACTTCGCCCCAGGGTAGCCAGATCTGCTCGGCCTCGGTCCATATGCCACCTCGTCCACCGCGGTTATCCCAGTAGCGATCACCGCCCACGAGGTGGTTGTGGTATCCATTCGGAGACTGAGGGGCGCGGAAGTAATTTCTCAACATGGCCCGTTTGTATTCTGCATACCACATGTTATCCCAGCTAACGTTTGCGACTGGCGGACGCTCGCTGCTGGGGTGCGAAGAGCTGCTTAGGATGATGGCCGGCACTGAACCGGAGTATGTGTTCTGCATAAGAGGAACGCTTTCCCAAGGTAGCTTGCGGCTCGGCAGGCCATCAAGTTCCAGAGTGAACTCAAGATTGTCGATGTATGCTGGCTTCTCGTTCGGAGATGGGTTATGCTCAACGAAATCGGGACGCCAGAATGGAGGCTTGGTCTCATTGAGGGCGGTTGGGAGGGAGAGGTACTGGGTATTTGAGTCGGAATGGCTATATTGCGACAAGTCGGTCGAGTTGTCGTGTAAGAGAGAGACGAGTTCGTCTTCGACACAATAATCCAAAGGCTGGAAAAGCGCATGTGTGTAGTCCAAGCCAATGGAAAACTCATGTCGCGTAGTGTTTAAGAGCTCGGTATTCGCACGCTCCAGTCTTCGCTCAGCCTCAAACTTGCTTGCTCTACCAGTGATGAAGTCCTTAACTTTTGTACCAGTGTGCTTCGATGCCACTTCCTCCGCATCTCGTCGCAGCTGTTGTTCGGCAAACAGAGTCGTGAATACCGACTGAACCGTCTGCGGCTGACTTCTCCCTTCTATGAACTTCTCTAGCGCAACCTGATATAGCGCCTTCAAGTCGCTCGCTGGACCCATGACCATTTTTGAATGGATGAACTTTGCTGGGGTATCGGATATACGTCTACTGTTCTCCGTTCCATATGTGCTGTCTGGCAGTATCGACTGGGGCACGTACTTGCAGGCCATATCGTCGCTTTGGCACATCTTCTCCGCACCGAATACGATCGTCTGATTAAACTTCTGAAAACCATCTTTGTTAACGCCATACTTCTTCAGCAGCCGCATGTTGGCATCTGCCAACAACTTCTTATACTGCGTGACGATCACATCGCTTGGCAGCTGAAACCATGATTGCTGGCCATCCACGATGAGTATCAGATCTTGATCCTTGACCAGTTTCCCATTACTTAGGTAATGCAGTGTACTGTTCAATATACCCCTCTCCAATTCCATGTCTGATTCGTACGACGTGTACAGCTGAACTGCGGTCGGTGGAGGGTAGTTTAGAAGCATAGCAGACAGAGTTGTCTTGCAAAAGCCGTCTGTATCGCGTTCGGATGGCATGAGGAGGTGGAAGTTGGGCGTCGTCTTCTTGAGTTTTGGCGGTACATGGTCGAGCTCGCCATTCTCGATCTGCAGCGTCATGTTCGAGGGGGTCTTGAACGGCGAATGTACGATATCGGGCAAGGTTGGGAGGTACGGTTGCCATGGATAGTAAGAGGAAAGGCTCTGGTATTGTGAAGAGATCGCCTGAGGGGGAGTTAGCTTGTATCCGAGAAGTAACGACCAGTTCCAGCGGGGCACGTCTCGCATGTGCTTGACAGCCTCTCTGATGTCTGGAGTAGATTGAGCGCACCTCATGATGCCTAATACCCGTCAATCCAAGCAGAAGTGTGAGAAGAAGAATCGTCAAGACCATCATCCTCCCTCGACGCGTACACGCCCACTGTACCGCCGCATTTCCAAACTCCTTTGGAGACTGTGTGGGAGACATTGGCATAGCCAGCATCGCATCGCCCGCCATGATGGATTTGTTGAATGGAAAGAGTGACGCCTTAGGCTTTTCCTTCCTCGCTCAAAATGGCATCGGTGATACGTCGTACCGCTGTATGTAAGGTACAATGCACTATCTGTATCATCTCAGTATCCCCTCCGTGTCCCTGCACCGCAACGCCAGGGTCTCAGTCGTTGTCAGACGTCACGGTCCGATCATGAACGCGCGTAGTCTCCACCATGTTGCGGTCCTTTGTTTCGAAACCACGTGGTAGCCATGTTGCGTGCGCGAACAGTGCAGAACTCAGGATCGACGCAGTTGTACTAAATGTGGACTTGTTTGTAGACGGTGCATTCCTCAATGGGAAGCAGAGTTGGCGATACAGCCAGCCATTGATAGTCTGATGGGTGTAACCCTTGTCTATCGTGACGCGTCGCTAAACCCGATAAGCGTTAGTGGCGGAGCCGCTTCGGCTGTCCTTGCTCTGCAGATCCTGATCAGGCGTTCGTCATTGTTGTTGGTATGTGCATGTGGAGGCTATGGAGATCCGACTATTTCTGCGACATTTTCCACAATTATTTGAGTAGACTGCAGATGCTACAAAGTCGAATGCACGTACACTCTTCTAGGAGGTTGGGCCTGCGGCTATAGCTAGCCTCTACACAGATCAGGGCTGACGAAAGGGGGGATCCGAACTGATCTAACTAGTTGTGCGACATTTGTGGAGAATTGTACGACAGTTGCATCGCGATAGCTTACGTTGCGATGGTAGATCGTTGCTTCATATCCTCTCCCCCATCAAGTAACAAAGCCTCTTTACGATAAACCACCAGTCTTCGTTCCCTTAGAACCCCGCGATATACCGATGCTTGTCTGTAACCTCTGTAACCTCAAACTTCATCCCGACCCTGATATCCCCGACTGTCTTCGGTACAGCCAGCATACCATAGCAAGGCTTGTATGTAATTCCCTCGTCGATCCTCCGATATTTCATCAGCGCATCCCAGGGCTGCGTCTTGTGCTTCTCGGCTGAATCAGGGTGTACGTTTGGCACCTGACAGCGCGCGCATCGCTGGGTGATGTCTAGGACAATTGGTTTTTCGCCAGCCTCAGGTGTGATTCTGACAGTCTTCCAGCGATCTTCGTCCCAGGGCGCGTTGGCATCACCTTTGACGAGGATATTCGGTCTGAACCGGCGAACATCAATGGTGAAGTCCTCTGCAGCTTTGAGGCGTGTGTTGAGTTCGTCGATGCTGCTTTGATTGCCGACTAGCACAGGCATCAGATCTGGGAAACAAGTTGATGCATCTCTTCCTAAGACGTTTGGTGCACCGTTCGATACGAGCGGTCTGGGGTCCTCGGAAACTGGAGGCTTGTACACGAGTCGCACCTCTTTGTCGAAGAAGCTGTTAAACGGACCGGTCATCTTGGTAGAGTACACGCGAGTTCCCGTCGTAGTGCTCCATATCTTTGCCGAGTGCTCCTCGGTGTTCTCGTCGAGCCATTCTTTCGACGGATGAGCCGGGATAGAGAACTCTAGCTTCTCATCCATCGAGTTCGGCGCTGGTGCAGTGACGGTGAGGGTATCAGTCTTCTCGTCGTAGGTTGGCCGGATGAGTGTCATTTTAGAGTTTTGGCGGATCGTCAGAAACTCGTAGTTTGGGTAGCTCACCCACATCCATTGCCGATCTGGCTTTGTCAGTACAAACGAGTTGTCCAAATGCTGACTAGAAAATCGCACCCAGATCAAGACCTGTCGGCAAGAGCTTGGCTGACTTCACAGACAAACCATGGCATGATTTGATCGGGTGTATGAAGAGGCCCGTGATCTCAGTCGCTGGTGGTAAAGGCCCAACAGTGCTCTTTGCTTGCTGGTTCCTCGTGAAGTAGATATATGTAAGAATAGGCAAGATGAAGATGGACAGTAGAACCGCGATCTGCGTAGTGGCTGGGAGCGCCATGTTTGTGGTGTCGTTGAATGACCGGGACACAAGGTCTCGCAAACTTTCAGCTAAGTTAATCGATAACAGCCGTGCTTTGTGAGTTCTGATGGTTTGCAGGCTACGAGCTTTTCTTCTTGTATCGAACTGCACTCATCCGGATGCGGTTGTAGGGCGTGGTCTCACAAGTCTGAATCAGCGGTCCGATCTAGAACAGCATCAGATCAATTTTCTTGCCTAATTGAGTGACGCAAGGCGGATTTTATAGCTAGAAGTGACAGTTCACAATGATGACGCAAAGTGGGGGGGAAGTGTTCGTTATGTAAAGGGCTAGCGCTGCCGAGTTCGCGTCTGCGGCTTCTCTGCGGCAGTCGTACATCGCGTTCTCCCGATTTTGGCAACCATGTACAAACCTCCCACCATGCATGCTCAACTTTACTCTGTGCTTTCCGGTCGCATCCTCTTGGACGGCTTACCATGATCTTCCTCGTCCTCGTCGGAGCTTAACACCTGATCGCAGCCTCGCTTCTCAATCTCCGCTTCCAACTGGGCACAATACGTGTCCAAGTCATCCATCTGCTTCACCTTCATCTCCAGATCTCTCATGCGCTGGAGTAACTTGATATTAATCTCCATGCGAAGCATGCATTCCTTCTCGGCAGCATCCCCGCGCCGCTTCTCCTTCTCCAGCTGATACTTGGCGTCGTCCATAGCCCTTCTCCGCAAGCCTTCAGATGTCTCGTACTCCTTGAGGTCTCCCTGCGAGCCCAAAAGCTGAGACTCTTTATCGAAAAGCTCCCCACGCAGTCTTGCAGCTTCTCGTTTGATTTTCGTACACTTTTTGTTCGTACAGAAGTCGCGGTCCCGAGCCCTAATGCCTAGTGTTGGGGATGCGCTCTCCTTCTGTCCACGATAAGCTGAAGGGGTGTTGCAATCGATTGCGCTGTCTGGTACAGTGTCTTCCCATTCTTCGCGCACATGCGGTGTAGACGGCGTAGTCACAATAGTCGCCATGTAGGTGCGATACTCCGCCCCGGACATGCCGACTTTCTCCTTCGGCCCGCCAAACTTGTCGTAGTTGAAAGGGTATCGCTGATGTAAGGAACCGTTCACGGATGCAGTGATGTTCCGCTCTTCCGGTGAGTACATATCTTCGTATCGCTTCATTGCCTCTCGTTGATAGGCTACGCCGGTCGGTAGGTCCGGATACCCCTGGTAAGGGCAGTGCTTCTCTATCGTAGACAGAGTAACATATGGCCAGGTCTTTGGGTCTCTCTTATCATAGGTAGGAACAACGCGCCGGATGTTGTCGTATAGTCTTGAAGAGGTGAAACTGAACGTGCCATCGTAGCGGGGTAGATGCTCCATCTTGCGTTCTAATCTCGTTAGCCATTTACTTGCGTCGGCTTGTATTATATACATACCTCAAGAGTTTCCAAAGAGTAGTGGAGAGTGAATTGCTGCTGCTGGAAATTGAGAGAGTCAGGAAGCGGGTTGTTACCTGCTGAGCCCTTCTAGATGTTCTTATGCCGCTACTTGTTCGACTGAGTTTAGAGGGTTTACAGTAAGACAGTGGACACTCCTCTCTCACCTTCACCTCAACTCGTATTCACTATGGGTTGCCATCAATTCTTAGGAAATTTCTTGTATAGAGTGCCGAACGAGGGTGTTTTCAGGGATATCAGTAGAAAATAAAATGTAAACACATCTGCCCGGGTACCATCTGGACAAAGACGTCGATATCAGAACGTATATTTGCATAACACCCTTAGAATTACGGCGACGCCCACCACATCGTAGCTAGACACAGTACTCGTATCGAAATCACGCTGCAAGATGTTCGCGTGAGACACAAACCCGTGCCACACCCTCGGCCCGATTGAAAGGATGAGGATGGGCGGGCAAGGCGCTCTCCTCACCGATCAGGAAACCCGCGTCATAAACGCACGGCACAGACGCCGCAACGAAAGAAAAAAAGCCCCCGATCACAGCACAGGATAAGTAGAATTCACAACGTGCGGCGGTAGTCCTATCGGTAAAGCACATGCACACGGGACGATTCCTGGCAGCAGCGCCCGCGGATGCATATGCAGGTACGGTACATTGCATGTGTAACCTCCACGACGCCCATGGAATACCGATGTCAGAAACAGAACTAGGAACGGGGGGAGAAGAGCTCTATCGGGTTCATGTTTCATTACTAGGTATACTATATAGACAGCTAACTCGTACTGTTGAACCAACTGTCGTATCTGTTGGACCAGTGAGCTCTGCTCATACCCATAGAAGGATCCTCCAAAACGCCCCCAGAATCTACCTTTAATGCAAGGGTATCAAAAGAAAGAAGCTGATGATCTGTTGCCCTTTAGCTTCATACATCAAGTTCAACACCCATACGAACAGTCTTAGTCTTGCGTTGGAGCGCTGATACGTGAGACGACAGCGTGTAGCGTAGAGAAAGACAGTCGTGATGGTGCCAAACACTTTCGTCGTGGAAGGCAATACCATGAACATGAAGAAGATGATAATAGCGCCTAGAGTGGCCGACACTTGAATGGTGCAACATCCAAGTGTCGGTACTTCAGACGCATCATGACCGTGAACGCACAATAAGAAAGAGGGTCAGGATACCATGGCGCCCGCGATGCTGGTTGCCGTATCGACAAGACCGGCCTAAGCCTTTGTCAAAGTCTTCCTGACTGAACCCTTGTTGGAGAGGCGGGAAGGGGTCTTGGGAGACTTTGGAGACTCGGGCGACTTGGGTGTGCGAGTCATGGCCGGGGTCTTCTTGGGTGACACAACCTTGCCAGGGAGCTTGGGGAGGAACTCGATCGAGGGAACTTGCTCAGTCTCCTTGTCCTCAAGCATCTGGAGGATGACGTCGACGATCTTCTGGACCTCGTCGTGAGTCTTGTCGAAGCCGACCCACTGGTCCAGCTCACGGAGGACGTCGATGGGCGCCTCGAAGTGCTTACCTTCCTTGGGCTTGACCTTCTTCGCAGCGTCAGGTTGCTGAAGACCTGCAGCAACTTGACGGGAGTACGTGTTGAGACGAGCTTCCTCAGACTTCTTGAACGCGATGTCGTAGGTGGTACCAGGGAACTCCTTTTCGATCACGTCAAACTGGCGAAGGATGAGTTGGACCTTGCGGATCTGCCACTTCTTCTTGTTGTAGGTCGCGCGCTGGTAGTGCTTGCGGCAGAAGAGAGGCCAGTCGTTGACGTCGCGAGTGCATGCCTTGTTGCGGCCGAAGTGGTCCGAAATGACTTTGCGCGAGAGGTCCTTGGTGTACTGGCCAGTCATACAGCGAGTATGCTCGTCGTTCATGCAGATGAACTCGCGCTCGGAGTCCGATACGTCCTCGCCATCATCGAGGGCCTCGTTGCCAGAGACATCAGGCTCGTCCTTCTGTCAAGCAAACCTTGGTGAGTCTACGGCTTCAATGGTGACTCACGATAGTGTGAAAGATACAAACGGAAAGAAAACTTTGTACTTACGGGTGCGGTCATAACGGTATCAGGAGTACCGACGATGGGCGACGGATTCTCTTGCTTTGTCGACTTGGGAGTAGAAGGCAGTGCAAGCATAAGGTCGGAGGTGGTTTCGGGAGCATCAGTCGGGCCTTCGACGAGGTTTTCCATCGACATCTTATTGCGAATGATGTCGGCTTGAGTGGCCTCGGTCGCAAGGGAAGCGCCGGAGGCGTCGAGGGCGTTGATCTTGTAGTCAGTGGACATCGTGAGTGAGTCCGCGGGTATGTACTATCGAGTAGAGACAACAACTAGTTGAGAGGCCGTCGAGTCGGCTGTACTCGATTTCACAAGAGTTCAGTTATGGAGAAGCAGGTCTCGAGGGTGGTGGGCGAAAGGTCTTATAGAGGGCGAACAGCGGCGGTACAGATGCGGTAGGCCGATGAAAAGTGAAGTTGACTCTCAAGTGACGAATTTGCTGCTGTTTGACCTCCCGCCGCCTGATCAATACCCCGTCACCAAGGACTAGGAATGAGCTCATCCACGTTCCAACATATCGTCCATGATTCACATGGCCGTCGCACGATGCAACGCACTGCGGCCCGAGACCGCTCAAGCCCTACCAAACGGCGGCCATCTGCCTGGTAGCTCGAGCCAATGGTAAGCCCATGAGCTCACGATAGTTGTCCAGATGCCCTGCCAAGCCACCTGTTTGCTCACACTTTGACCAATGCCATCATCGAGCCGCGTATGACGTTCACAACGCGAGAATTTATGTGAACCAACGCTCACATATCAATCACGGGATGGACGTGAAGTCGAAACAGCCGCCGCAATCGATACCCGAGGGGCAAGGCACTCTTGGAATTGTGGCACAGACTTGGAAGTGGGTTGAACCCAGAGTAGACCCACGGAATGCTCTCCAAGTACCAGTGCTGGTGATATACGAGCGAGACAAACTTCTGGATTAGGGGCAATTGGGGTGAAGGAATGGATCGTGAATAGACCATGAATGTAAGCAGCGAAGGATAGGAAATCGAGCATCGAGATGTGACATAAGGAAGTCAGTGAGATTGACTCAAACGACATGATTCGTGTGAACGTATAGGCCCCCGCACTGATTGTCAAGCGTCATAGCCGCAATGATGTACGTCCAAGAGCCCAGAGTCGATGATCAAGACGTCTGACCAACAATTCACGAATTGTTCCCTGCGAATAGGCCTACTTGCGGAAGGGTGGACACAGACGAGCTTCCACGCCGTACCCTGGTGTTGGCGTTTCCCCGTAACTGTACATGTTGTCTAGGTGTCGACAAGTCCAGTACCTCGCAAGAAGCCGCGCGGCGCTTATTTGATGGACTAATGAACAAATAGTCTTATGGCTCAGCCAATCCAGAACGAGCAGTTTTGATGTACATGTCGGTATGCTGTATAGGTATCAGGCTCGAACCGGCAATGCTGTCCACTACCAGCCTCAGACTGAACCAGTCTACTACGCCACATGGATCCTCAGGGCATCACCAGTCGCATTCCGAGCGGCTATGGCGAACGACTGGATTGGTGTATATTCTCCTAAATACAGCCAAAAAGGATACTAGCTTTTCCACATTCTCTAGACTCATACCTTTGAGGTGATGTGCCACGATGGATTGGGGCCAAAGCCGTCCATGGAGCTGAACGTCTATATGGCGGCGGATAAAGTTGAGAAGGATGAGGGAGCCCTGGAGGTGTGAGGCAGCTTAGTCACCTATCGGGCAATCTAGCGCCGATAACCGGAAAACACGTGCGCATTCCGTCAACAGTGTTTAGCGTCTTTCGCGCCTGTAGCGTCAACCTGCAGTGAGGAGCTCCTGTTCTGCGGATCGTCACGCTGCACCCAAAAGGCAAATCGCTGGAAACGCCAGCAAACCCCTGTTTATCGCTTGAGATGCGCTCACTCGTCATTCCTAACACGCAACTTCTTTCTAAGCACACAATCCTGAGCTGAGCGCGTTCGAACTTCGCGGCCACTTTCCTCGCCTTGCTACCCACAGCGCCCTCTCAGCCACCATGCCTCCGACCACAGGCACGAGAACGTCTACAAGGCAGGGGCGGGCTACGGTCCGACCTACCAACTACTATGCGCGCACCTTCGCCGGCCGACTCGCTGCGAGCGGCATGGAGCAGACGCCCGAAGCTTCCAACAGCGCGCCCGGCTTCCTGCCTGCCCTCACACACTTTACTGGCGCCGTAGATGCATTCCCAAAGGAGGTCATCAAGCATTTCTCCATGTTCAAGGAAGTCGAGGCCAAACTCCACGACCCGGAGCAGATGCTCAAGGAGCTGCTTGACGAGATCGCCCAGCAACCCGTCACCACCAAGGCCCAGCTGGCTGCTATAGAACAGGCCTCAGTAGCGTCCGAAAACAACGCCAGTGTAAGTTCAATGGAGCGCATGGCAGTACCCCAGACTTATCATTCGCAGCTCAATCCTTCTAACCCCGACAACCTCTCTCCCGAAGAGCACGTAGCGATACGGAAGCGCCAGCTCTTCTTCCGCCTCCGCATGCTCATCGCGAACATGCTCCCCACACTCGATGAGAAGCTCGTAGTGCTTCAGGGCGCGAGAGCTACCAAGGACAAGGGCCTCACGCGCATGCACCACTCCTTCGCCCAGCTCGACGGCGAGATTAGCGACGAAGCGCGATACGGCAGCCTCACACACTGGGCATATGCGGACAAGGAGGAGAAGAAAAAGGGTGGGCAGTCCCATGAGCGGCAGAGGCGCGAGGTGGCTGCGGCGAATAATCTGGCTGCGGCGGCTCAGCATGTGCACGACGTCGACTCAATTGCTGCGAAGAGCGAAGCTAGACGTGAGGCCGTGCAGGCGAATAAGCGCAGTCGACACCACCAAATCGACTCCGACTTCGACGATAGACCAGCCAAGAGGCCGCAGAAGAAGAAGCACATGCCTACAGAGACAGCGGCGCTAGACAACAGAAACCTCGGTTTGGGCATCTCGAGCAATGGCACCGGTCCTCATGGAAAGCGGAAGAAGACCGAAAAGACCCTCGCCGCAGCGGCACCCGCAGCCCCGCCCATGGAGCGATCACTGAGCAGTGCTCTGAAAGCTACTAGCAATGGAGTACGGGGTGGCTCAAGTCCGCGGGGAACACCAGGTCCAGAGAACGGCGCAGTCAAACGCAAACCTCGCGCCGCTCCCGTGCCTGCGCAACGCAAGAACCCGCTTCCGCTACACTCGCCCCCCATGGCCTCGTCACCCCTTGCCGCCAATTTCGCCATCAACAAAGCAATTGCCGGCGCATCAGAACGAACACTGTCCGCGCGTGCACGGAAGAACTCCACAGCCAACTCAGTGGCGTCAGTCAAAGAACAAGAGGCCCCAGCTGCCCGTCGCCCCTCGTCTTCCCATTCTGTACAACAAGCCGCTAGTAGTAATGCGATCACGGAGCTTGAGCAGGCTGCTGGCATCATGCGGGATAACATCTCGGCGAAGCGCGCATCAACTCCAAAGGAGAGTACAGAGGTCCCGCCGCCGTTTGATACATCGAACATGAAGGTGGAAGACTTGGGACAGCCTGAGCCAGAGACTATGGAGATTGACGCTCCTGCACCGATACCAGCCGCAGTAAGATCCGGTCGGACTTCAAAGAATGCGACACCAGTTGTCGGTGCGTTCCCAGAAATACCCATGGCGAGAAGTCGCAGCAGCCGCAATACGAACAATGGCAACTCAAATTCAAACACTTCATCAGAGAACAACAGCACGACGGGCACTGGATCGAAACGAGGCCAGAAGAAGAACACACAATCTACTACTTCCACTGCTTCTCCAGCCATGAAGCCCACCCCGAACGCAAAATCGAACCCTCCTTCCTCCGCTGGGAGCTCCGTCGCACAAGAACAAGAATACCAAGAGGTTGAGGTTGAAGCTGAGCCGGAAGCGGAATCAGAAGAGGACGGCGACGAGCCGCGATACTGCTATTGCAACGAGGTTTCCTACGGTAATATGATCGCCTGCGACAACGATGACTGTCCCCGCGAGTGGTTCCACCTTGGCTGCGTGCATCTCGACAAACCGCCCACTGGCAGAACGAAATGGTTCTGCAGTGACGATTGCAAGGAGGCATACACCAAAACCAAGGCAAAGGGGGGTCGTCCAGGCAGTAGTAGACAATAGGAATTAGGAAGGAGTTCAAGGCGTTCTGGGACGGGTCCAGCGGCGGCTGGGTCTAGGCAAGGCCCCAAGGGTAAGGGCAAGGCTAGGTTAAATCTCTGGGATGGTTGGAATGCTCTCTAGTCAGTAGCTTCCAGCCGCGGTCTGCGTTTTTCTTTGGATTCTTGTGTGGTTTATTGCGGCGTTTCTTCTTCTAGGCTTTGGGTAGATGGCGCGCAATCTCTCCCTTGTTATGATCATGATGTTTGGACTGGTGATAACCGCTCTGGAGGACACTGGCGTTTTGCATCGTCCGGCATATGGCATCGAGAAGCACATTCCTTGTATTTTCTGTCAACACTACTGTACATGGATTTGCGTTGGCTCTACTTGATGGAGCAAGTATATCAATGGTGAAGTATTCGTATGCATTAAACAATTGTGTCGCAAGAAGTCTGAACTGCACTAAGCTTTATTCAAACATTGTCCTTGATCTCCGTACAACCGGCGTCCCTAACACTCACCACGAAAACTCCCTGTTCCATCAGACCGCCCTATCCGCAGGCTTCTCTCCCAATGAACCAGACCGACGCCCACGTGGTATAGGTCGCCCACTGGATTACGCAATTTGCAATTATGCTTTTGTCGACTATTCTCAGCTCAAGCAGAACCTCCCCATAATCCAACTGCTCCTCGAAGCCGGTGCTGACCCTAGGCTTCCTTCCAGAGATCCTCGTGGCTGGTCGCCGATTGATTCTTTAGAGGCCTGGTTTAAGCAGTATAAGACCAATAAGGATTAATGGGCAACGCAGGGGTTTGGAGTTGAAGCTATTCTTTGAGAAGCCATTGGAAGCTATGATGAAGGCCAGGGACGAACTTGATGGTGAGCTTTACTTTATTAACGTGCTGTGCGTTCGTTGGTTATTGGCTAACCCAAGACGCGTTTAGCAAAAGATGCCATTAATGCCGCCAAGCAAGCTCATAATGAGAGATCGTTGTTTGACAGGCTGAAGTTTTGGTGATGCTGTATTACAAGTCTATCGCTGGAATCTACTATGTAAGGTTCTCATATATGCCACGCGGCAGCGGTACGATACCCGTTCAGCCTCAAGACTGCCCCTTGCAGATCCACTGGCGACTTTGAATGGGCATCATCGTCATTGGTCAATACGAGGTCGCCATGCAGCTGAGCCTGGACCCTGAAGCGCTAACTGCGATTGATGATACGGGCAGCAAGCTCACCGCTCGAACACGCGACACGAATGCCTTAAGCACTATTACTTGACGATAACTTTCATCCAGATTGATACACGTATGATATAGACTCCGACTTCATTATGGCACCTACAGACCACCCTTCAGCGGAAGAGTTGCTCATATGCGAGCCAGAAGGTGGCGCGCCGAATGCCCCACCAGACCTCCGTTTCCTACACTACAATGATGTCTACCACGTTGAAGCGGGGTCCAGAGAGCCTGTTGGCGGATATGCGAGATTCCAAACTCTCGTCAATTACTACAGGGACGACGAGAGATTCAATGGTCAAACAAAACTATTGACCTTCTTCTCGGGCGATGCGTTTAACCCGAGCATTGAGAGTAGTATTACGAAGGGTCAGTGAGCCGCACCGCTACGGATTATGCAAGGAGACTGACTACTAAATTCAGGAAGCCACATGGTCCCTGTGCTGAACAACATTGGCACAGACGTCTCTTGCGTAGGAGTACGTACATCATAATTCACGAAGATCGATTGCAACTGACACCCACTCAGAACCACGATCTCGACTTCGGTGTCAAACAGTATCGGTATCTCACAGCCAAATGCAAGTTCCCATGGCTCCTCGCAAACGTCCACGACCCAGCCCTCGGCGAAGGCGTCCCACTCGGAAACGCGAAGAAGACGGTCATGCTCACAGCATCCAACGGCATCAAAGTCGGCGTGATCGGACTCGCAGAACGGGAGTGGCTCGATACAATCAATGCACTACCACCTGACATCATATACAAGAGTGCGTCAGAGACTGCAAAGGAGCTTATACCAGAATTGAAGGAGCAGGGCGCAGAGATCATCGTTTGCGTGTCGCATCAAAGAGAACCGAATGATAACAAGCTAGCAAAGCAAGTCGGTGGCGGCTTGATTGACATCATCTTGGGCGGCCATGACCACTACTACTCGTACAACTTTATCAACGGCACACAAGTGTTGCGGTCCGGCACAGACTTCAAACAGCTGTCTCATATTGAGGCATGGCGGAAACCCGAGGGCAAGGGATGGGACTTCAAGATCATACGGCGAGACATTGTGAGCAGTATACCACAAGATCCCAAGGCCATGGAACTGGTAGAGGAACAGACACGAGAGATCAGGAAGCGACTAGATAAACCCATCGGATACACCGCTGCACCACTCGACGCCCGATTTACCACTGTACGGACAAGAGAGTCAAATATTGGCAACTTTGTCTGCGATCTCATGCGGTACTATTACTCGGCCGAGTGCTGTATTATGGCCGCGGGAACGATACGTGGCGATCAGATCTATCCTCCTGGTTTGTTGAAGCTTAGAGATCTTGTCAATTGCTTTCCATTCGAAGACCCTGTTGTGGTACTAAAGGTCACGGGCAAGGCGATACGCGAAGCATTGGAGAATGGTGTCAGCAACTATCCAGCACTAGAAGGAAGATTTCCGCAGGTATCGAACATCACCTTTGAGGCGGACTACTCAAAACCACCACATTCGCGAGTAACAAACGTAACCATTGGAGAGGAACCTGTAGACGAGGAGCGAGAGTATGTACTTGCTACCAGGGGATACATGGGCCGTGGGAAAGGTACGTCACCCTGAGTGAAACAAAAATACTTTGCTTACCAAACATTTCTAGATGGCTACACATCCCTCCTAATCGAAGAAGAAGGCGGCGTCGCCAAAGAACTCGTATCAGAAGAAAATGGCGTCCTCATCTCCACGATCCTCCGCCAATACTTCATGTCGCTGAAGGTCCTGGGCAAATGGAAACGCTGGGGCAAGTCGATGAACAGCAAATTCCTCTCCATCCAAACGAACCTGCAAAAAAACCACGGCCACGCCTTCCACGACCCATCCTCCACGTCCCCCACTCAGTCCCGCAGCAACAACAACAACGACAACGCTCCCGTGGATCCAAACGTGAACAGAGTCATGGGCGAATCCAATAAACGCGACAACAGCCCGCAAGACACGACCGATTCAGAAGACCCAGATGTCGACGAAGACGAAGATGACGGGCCCATGTACGATAGTAGGGTGCCGATACAGTTTACGGATAAGCAAACGGAGATGATTAGACGGGTTATGCGCAAGTGGTGGCGCGTCGCTGGACTCAAGGGGAATCCGAAGCTGTGCGATGAGTTGGGTGGAGGAGAGTTCCAGGTTAATTGGACGAAGGCTATTGCACCGAGGTTGGAGGGTAGGATAAAGGAGATTGGGCCGGGGGTTAAGATTGAGGCGTGAAGGGTAGATCTCAATATGGATATGTCACTATTGTAGAGAGAAAGCATACATATACCACCTTTCAGGTTTCTACACCTTGCTCTATGACTACAGTTAGACCCCAGAAGAACAATCAACCATATATTTCTTCATGTCCATTTTCTCTATTCTTTTTCACTTTCTTCATCTTTCCATTTATGTGTACAACCCGTTATCTATCGTCTATCAGGTTTGTCCGTCAAGCATGCGCACAGGTTGTTCATCGTATGCGCTGCGATTGGTAAGCTACCAGAACGGTTCGGAATTATCGAGCGTTGCCCACTCATCTCTCCCGTCACTCCATTCGCTCCAAACCTCTTTCGATACTATATCCAGCTGACCATGGCGAAGCTTTGCAAAGTCCACGTTGAATGGATGTGGCTTGAACGTCTTCCCTTGGCTAGTAGCTTGGTTCATTAGGTCGATCTTGTACATGCGGACTATCCTCGCAGCGGCGCGAACAAATAGCTCTTTCTCTAAATCATCCTCCCAAATGTCTTCTGTAAGCATCATGGCCATGTGCGATATTTTGGGAAAGTCGCGTAAGACGTTTGATAGGCTACCGTCCCTAAATCCATTCAGGATTATCTTTGTAACGGCAACTTTTTGCAGCTCTTGGGGGTTGCAGCCTGTCGCACGTCTGAAGTGAGCCAACAATCCTATTTCGGGCGAGTCATCGTAATGTTTCACGCGCTTCCCTTCTAGCTGAAGTAACAGTATGTCGGTATCGATGCGGAAGTGAAATTCGCCACGGCCAGTACCTGGAATATCCGACGGTAGCTCCACAATATGGTTTGCTTTCATAGCCTGGTAACGAGCTTCTTCGCGCGACTCATGACATATGTTTACCACCGTCGGCGCAGGGCTAGGAGAGTACCGCGGGCAAAAGTGCATTTCGTCATGATTTTCGTCGTGTGGCTTCGTCTCCAGTGCAACCAGGCGAGGCGGCTCATTGTAGTACGCGAGAGCCCAAATTTGCAGTCGTATTTCTTTTGGCAACAATGATATAGACATATCTGGAGGTGGATTCGGGGCAGGTATTGTGGAGGCCAAAGAGCCTTCCCCATGCAGACATCACGTGCTGTCGCGATCCCCAACATTAGTTTGACTTTCTGCCATTACGAGGCCTACCCACTTCGCTCCACTTGGCGCGGATGCCTAACTTTATATCGGTAACTATCCCACGTCCAAAGCAACACATCACACATAACGCATGGTCATGTCCGATGCTCGCACCTCCGAGATTCCAAAAGCTGTGTCTCGAAGCTTCTCCGGTTGTACCTCACCAAAGTCCAGAACATCTCCGGAGGACCATGGGCATTGCAAATTGATCGACCAATTGCATGCTGATCATACTTGACATGGAATTTTGTGTGGTCGTTCTGCTGAATGCCATCCATGTATCCATCCAAATCATCGATCAGCACTGTAGTAATTGCTGTGTGGCACAGCACGATAACGAGTCATTGCCGAAGTTGAACGGTCTTTACTGACATCGCGTCAGCTCGTCAGAACCGGCAAACTTGGTCAACAGCTTGGTGCAATGGATGTTGAATGATCGGTGAAGGACTTCTGAAGTCTGGGGCAAGCCTGCGAGCTATATTGTCAAAAAAGAATTCGAGCACGGTGCGCTCTGTCGTGATGCCGCTGGCAGCTTCGTGAGGCTCTGGGTGGATTCGATGCGGGTATCCCACCGGAGCCCCTTGGAGTCCCACTGGAGAAATACCGACGGCGTCTTCTTATGTGGACCTGTTGGACTCGCGACCCGCTGTATGTGAAGTCACACTGACATGCGCGCGGATGCTTTGCCGGGCAAAGAGTCTAGTTTTGCTAGCATTTGCCTGATCGACGATGCGAAGACCGATCAACGGCTTGTCTCTCAAGCTCCGGAGGAGGCTGAAAGATTTGAGGCTCCATGTGACAAGGCTGGGCATCTTTGCTGTCGTGTTGTTGGTCGTGGAGCTGTTCCCCTCCCCCGCTTTAAAGGCAAAACCACCCCTCTTCGAGCGTCATACCGCAGATACCGCATAGGAAAGGCACGCGCTCGGATTCCGTTGCCGATTAAACACCGAAACCTTCGTCCCTCTACGATGCTCTTGTTGCGATTCTCCTTCTACCACCTCAACTTCAATTCATAAGCTTATATACACCAAAACTCGGTGTTCTTTGTCGCGAGAGCACTTTCGCAGCGCACCTTCGGAACAACGTCATCGGCAATTGCGCTTTGCTGCGGCACCGCACACCCGCACTCAACTCGTCGCAATTCAGACATCCTTCACCGCGGACACTGCAAAGAAGCTAATCGGTTGTCGGACCTGATTGGCTTGGTTAGAAATTTTTCCGTACCTTCACAATACCCTGTACCATTCTTGGTATCGAATTTTACAAAGCAACACTTCGCGATCAATAACTGCACCCGTCGCGCATATTCCACGACTCCGACCGCGGACGGAAGACATCTTCCGTATAAGTACAACGGGTCGCGTACACCTTTGGAAACAACCAGCAGAGCTTTCAGCATGGCGACACAAGACGTTTCCGCGCACGAGACTGAGCCGCAGCCAGTTCCCAAAGAGGAAGTTGCAGAAGAATCGCAGGCGCATTTGGACGAGGGGAGATTGAGGCAGTTCTTCATTGGATCCATAGACCAAGGAACTACAAGTACTCGCTTCATTATCTTCGACGGCCTCGGTGAGCCCGTAGCTCAGCATCAGATCGAGTTCACCCAAAAGTATCCTCAGTCAGGGTCAGTACTGCCTATATCTCGTGACTTGACATGAATTAATTAGCGCAGATGGCATGAACACGACCCGAAAGAAATCATTCAATCCGTAGAACAATGTATTGATCGGGCTACGAACATCTTTCTCGATAACGGCCACGAAATCGAGGACATCAAAGCTGTTGGCATCACCAATCAGCGTGAAACAACAGTTGTCTGGGACACCAATACTGGTGAGCCATTATGCAATGCGATCGCTTGGTATGTACAGCATATGCACGAAATATTAATGGGCTGTGACTGACTCCATGCGAATCTAGGCCAGATACCAGAACCAAGGGATTGGTCCGTGAGCTCAAAGATCGCGAGGGCGCTGACGAGCTGCTCCAAATCTGTGGTCTTCCCCTGTCGACCTACCCATCATCGGTCAAGCTCCGGTGGCTGCTTGACCACAACGAGGACGTTCGCAAGGCATACGACGAGAACCGACTATCGTTCGGTACTATCGACACATGGATATTATATAATCTGAATGGTGGAAAGGAAGCCGATATTCACGTAACGGACACCACCAATGCGTCAAGAACCATGTTCATGAATCTGTAGGTCATCCTTTGCGTGCTTCACTTTTAAGCGATCAGACCCGCTTATGCACTTACAGGCACACCGTTCAGTATGATGACAAGCTCTTGGAATTCTTCGGAATCGACCGCAACAAGGTCAAGTTGCCAAAGATTGTGCCATCTTCGTCGCGCGACGCTTTCGGATTTTTGCGCTCCGGCATATTGGAAGGTGTTCGAATTGCAGGGTGTTTAGGTGACCAATCGTCAGCTTTGGTCGGTCAACAAGGGTTTACGCCAGGCTCAGCGAAGAACACGTACGGCACTGGTTGTTTCCTGTTGTACAATGTGGGCGAGAAGCCTGTCATCTCTTCGCACGGTCTTCTTGCTACCGTCGCATACGACTTTGGTGGAAAGCGGAAACCCGTATACGCACTCGAAGGTAGTATTGCGGTCGCAGGCAGTGGTGTCAAGTTCCTCATGAACAACATGGGCTTCATCACACATTCGCACAAGATCAGTGACCTGGCCGCGTCTGTCGAAGACAACGGTGGATGTGTCTTCGTGACAGCCTTCAGTGGTCTCTTCGCTCCTTACTGGATCGACGACGCTAAGGGCACTATCTTCGGTATTACGCAATTCACTGAGCGGGGACACATTGCTCGTGCAACTCTAGAAGCAACCTGCTTCCAGACTAGGGCAATTTTGGACGCTATGGAGCTGGACAGTGGCCACAAGCTTAACATGCTTGCAGTCGATGGTGGCATGAGTAATTCAAACTTGTGCATGCAGGTAAGTCAAGTCACCTAGATACGCCAATGAAGCGGCCTTGAACTAACCATGTCAAACAGACCCAGGCAAACATCATCGGCATTCCCGTCGACCGTCCCGCCATGCGCGAAACTACAGCCTTGGGTGCAGCCATCGCAGCTGGCTTTGCTGTCGACGTATGGAAAGAGTTCGACGAACTAAAGGAGATTAATCAGAAAGATCGCATGGTCTTCAAGCCGAATGTTGATAAGGAGGTGGGCGAGAAGATGTTCAAGAAGTGGGGAAGGGTGAGTGACTTCCACGAACCAACTGCAAGAGTGACATGTGCTGACTTCGATTCTCCAATTAGGCAGTCGAGATGTGTCGCGGCTGGTTAGATGCTGGAGAAGCCAACGGAGAGTTCTCATGATCTACGCGTATTATGGAGGTTTATATATCCGCAATTGGCGTGATGCTTTTCTTTGCATCCTCATATGAAGAGTAATCAACTTGTTCAAACGAACGCATCCTTATGTAGGGATCTGGTGATGGGCATGCGTTCGGGCCGCTGGGTCTTTCAGTGCCGTTCGGTATCCGTTTTCCTTCGGGGGCGTGTCCTGCATAGGTTAACAGCCTCTGGAACATATAAAACCCAGTGATATAGCCACACCACTGCTTCTGGAATTACCGCCGGGCTGGCAACGCGGGGCATTATCGATTCAAGATACGGTATTTGGTCAGCCCGTTCACCGTTCTGGTGGCATTGATGTTGTCATCCATGTCTTATGTTCAGCCTGAATGCCGGTGGTGCTGGCCAACGAACAGTCAATTATCTATATGCCGTGTGAAAATTCGAGGCAGGAGCCAATAACATGCTTATGATATTCTTGCATACTCAACAAACCGGTAAGTGTAGACAACGCCTTGTGTGAGTTACTGTTATGTAAAGACCTCGTCAAGGCAAGTATTGCGGGTTGCTGGTTCTGCGGAGACTGTAACGTCCAATGTGTATTTGCTCACAAGTAAGGGATATGGAGCTGTGCCGCAGGTGGTACGAGGAACGTCTGATCTACTTCGATTTCAGAATGAGAGGTGCATAATGCATATGTATGGGGTGATGGTCCACCACAACGAACTATCTCGCGTGGATGATGCGGCTTCTCAGAAGCTCACGTCTAGAGCGAATGCCAGCATGTGGGCTTATCAGATCAGCAACGGACAGTATTGGGTATAAAACTCAAGGTGTGCTTATTCCAGGGGGACGTGATCCTGGTACGTCCTGCAGGTGTTTACAACTTTGGCCGCCGTACGAGAAGACATCCCGCATTGGTTTTCGGTTCATGAAGCGGCAGGATCCCAACTCTCCTACGAGGCCGTCGCTTCTCGAGTCTCGGTAGGTCTAGTCTTACCGAGAAGAATCCAGGTCCATCAAGGTCGTAGTATGTCATGCGTTGTTCGAGCCCATACGCAGTCGCTTCACCAGTCATATGCAGCCGCTTAGTCTCTCATTGCAGAACGCTCTAGAGTCTTACTGCGTGTGCATACTACCAGATTCCTGGTCGATCTATATGCACATGTCTCCGCGTTGGTGAGAACTTCCGTGCAAATCGCAATGGTGGCTGTTCTTCCATGCAGCTATAGCACAGCGACTCGGGCACAAATCATCAATGCGAGAAGCCTACCTAGGTACAATATGTGGCGCCATAACTGTGCCGCAAGAGCCTATAGACTGCGCAGTTACCATATAGCGGGGGTCAATGTAGAGTAGCATGTGTGGAAAGATTTGCCAACTTCAGGGACAGTGTTGCGGCAAGTAGAAGTCTCAATCTTATGGCGTCATGCGGATGAAACGGAATCCGATGACAACAGCGTTGGGTTCATCGGACGCTCACAAAACCACAGCATCGCCCCGAAACTCAAAATGTAATCATCAATCCATCCTGCTAACAATATGCCTTGAACATTATGCTCACGAAGTCAGAAAGTGAGGCCAGCGATCAGAGCCCCACCATCAGCCACCAACGGTGGCATCATGTCGCGCAGCCGCGCTCACCGTACACGGGACGGCATATGATGATTGCGCAACACCCGACCTCCGGATGCTCTCGCGATACGGACTGGGTCCGGGGAAGCGGGAAAGTAAGCATAAAGGACACACATCGGTGGAAGCTCCGGTGTAGTATTGCCGAGAAAGGCACGGCTAGGATGAAACAGGCGTCACGATGCAGCAAAGCCTTACTCTAGCAGTGTATAAACGATGCCGTTAATTGCCATCTGGTATACAATCGACCAGTTTCGAGACCTGCAGGATGCGAAGGAAGGGTGACCCTTGCCTCCGAAGCTTAGTGGCTGCCATGGTCAAGGATTTCCCAACGGCTGCACCACCCCACGCGCCACCTTAACGTGGAACCGTAGTCGCAGATCAAACTTGATCTGTGCACGTCTGATAACTTTGAACTTAGTGCACACTAACGGACAAGGCGGATTGGCGCATTTCTAAATGCTATAAGGCTTCGACCACTGAGAGACTGTCATTGCCTGCCCGCTGGCTAATTGTACCCTGAAAGGGAGACGGAGGTCCTCGACGCTTGCAACTATCTTCTTCAAATACGGCGAGAGGACCCTGTAGTCCCTCTCGGCACCTGAGTTGGGCTGCCACCTTTCTCCCTCAAGGTTCGTGGAAGCGAGAGGACTTCAAACATGAAAGTCCCCACCCAGGTCTATGGTGTGCAAAAGGCTCGACCACTCTCGGGCTCCCGGGTCCGTTGAACATTCACGGCCACTACCATGATGCATGTCAACGGACGAACCAGGTTCCATCGACATGGGCTAGCTTTGCATAGCTCCTACGGGTACCTGATCGCACTGACGTCCGTCTGCTGCTCTGTCTGGCTTACTATAACATACCGGACCGTCGCGCAGCTGCATGCTAATCCAGAGATTTCACAAACGTACCAACAGAATCGCTTGCTTGCCATCCATTGTTGTTTTTGTACATCGCTTTGGATCTCTTACTTGTCACTCGACTACAACGCCTCACAGCTCCCCTTTCCAATCATCATGTGCGACTACACACAAGTGCAGTATAAATGCACCCACGTTCGTTACGTCGTCAAAGCCTGGTGTACCAAATACCAAACAACGCATGTAAGGTGTCCTGCCAATGTCACGGCGGTGTAAGTGCTCATCATAATTCACCATATTCCTAAACTGACTCTTGGCCCAGAGAATACAGACTCAACGAGAACTGCGGTTTGTAGCTCCATCTCACAACATGCACTACAAAATCCGTTCTGACACATTCAAGGCGACTGTAGACGATAACACGAACCATGCCCTCGTCACCATTCCTTACAGTCACGGTTGCAATATAGCACGGCGTACACGGCGGACAGTTACACAATACCCATTTTGAATCCTTTCCTTACTTTTTGGATAGTTGAATATATCACCACTATCAATTTCAAAAGTCATCTTCCATCACTCTCTCCAATACTCTTGGCACTTATCCGAGATTATAGTCATCAATGTCCGGCACAAGTCACCAGCCACGATGGCAGAGCTGCATTCTGCTCGTGATAGCAATTCACAAGAATACGGTAGCCTCAAGGCAACCCCATGGTTTGAAAAAAAGGGTTCCGTTTCCAATCAAAGTTTGAGCGATATTGTGGTTGCATTAGCCAAACCAAATCGTGGGTGACACAACAGATCTTACCCGACGGCCACAACTCCGAAGCACGCAATCGGCCACCAAGCCAACCGCCACTTACGTGGAACACGAAGTAAGCACGGAATACACGCCGAAAGGTCTTATGTTGTTTTCACTTCATCTGTCTACCCCCTTCCGAGCAAGTGTCCTCGAGAATCAGACAATCTCAGTGTGTCGGCTCAATGTCGGCGACCTCCCCGACCTGTCTCAGTTTTGCAGCTTTAGAATCTCTTGAGCACCCACATGGACAGTGCCTGCCTCTGATTCTGTCTCGGTTTCGCATCGCACAGCTTTCAGCATCCGTCACGCGTTAGACTAGAAAAGATGTCGAGATATTGATCGGCCCAATATCCGCTTTTGGCGTCCTAATATATGCTGCTCGCGCGGTAGCGCCAGGTCACTACCTGCAGGTACGACAGACTTATGCAGGCCACCATATTGGTCTGGCTTACCAGGCCCTTGGAGCGCAATCAAACCACTGGTAGAGCCATTAAAACCCTTTGTTAATTATGCGGTCTAGCCAATCACGAAATTCAGTTCGCCAAAAGCACGGCCTGGTGGCGCGTACGCGACCGCATGTCGAAAGCCGTCTCGACATATTGTTCGCATAGTAACACGACCTATACACGAGTCGCTGCATCTATGTATAGCTCTAAGGATGTTGCCATTGCTACCGGCGACTGGCGTCGCGATCCTCCTTACCAGGCCTCGAGGCTTCGTGGGTGTCAAGAGTCAGGACCGTCCGCTAATCATTCTCCATCCACAAGAAGATCGATTCGTCCGTCAACACATTGACCAGGGTTCTCGAGACGGACGACGCGAAACAAGCTGACTACTTCGGTGCTCTATTACATCAGCGGCTCCGTATGGGGAATTCCGAGTGTCGATATCACCAGATGCTGACGATTACACGCTTCGCATGTGTGGAGAAGCTATGTGCATGACGCCACCCCCGTTTCATCGACATAGAAGATGTGGCTCTCCACCTCCACGTGGTACGCGAAGGTCGACTCGATGGTGGGGCCTTCATTATGTCTGCAAGATGAAAGAGAGGATTTGTACCATATTATCCAGAACCGAGCACAGTGGGCCAGGAGATGGTCGCCTACGATCCACTATGGAAATATTCTGGAAGGCGAATCATGATTGTCTCAAGGCTGCACGGGAGGATGAGGATCTGCGCTACTGACTCACCATCCAACCGAATGATGAGCCAGGAGCAGGCAGGATCACAGCGTAGCATGTTGCTGTTACCTCTGGATAATTTATGAGGCTGAAATGTGCACCCTTGACCAGAGTAGGAAGTACCAATCAACAAGATGTGTACCAACATACTTGCGTCGGCTTACTAGATGATTGTACCCTGAGCCGTGTGAAGTCATAACCGGCGCCGTTAAAATGCAGCGGCACGACTCGTATCCAAAGTCGACTTCTCGACCACTCCGCCCGCCACAAACGTCCTTGAAAACTCATAGCCAGGTAAGAGTGCCACATTAGTGGCGTCGAAGAAAATGAAGTCGCGGCGAAAAGTTGCCGCCATCACCCCACTATGGCCCTGATCCTGATCCTGCTGGCGTTCTGATATTCAGCGGTTACGGCTTTGATCCCGCTCCCATAGACAAATCCAACTTGAAACCAGTATGTCAATGACAGGACCGCACGTCATGACGAGGCGGCTGGCCTAATGACCGCAAACGCGGTTGTGTGGTGCCTCTCGTAAAATGCAGCAATGTGGCTCCACCCACGAATGTTCCAAGGTTTCCCGTCGATCCTTGCGATACGGACGATTCCGGTCTTGTAAGCTTACATCCCGCCGCCCCGCGTTCAGGAGGAACCGAATTCTGGGTTGACATGGGGCCGGGACCAGGTGAGCTTGCGTTGCGCTCTCTAACGACCTTGGGATACTGGATGATGGCGGGCAATTACGCACCCGGTTACGGTGCAATGCCACTAGGTGGGTCTACCAGGGCACGGTATGTGACTCGTAGCCATTCGCGTGGATAAACCTCCGGCATCCAGATGTTGTGAGTTGGCGAAGAAATGTGCCCGACTGGATATAACAGTTTTTACTAAGATTAATGCCTGTGCAACAAAGCTTGGAATGGTATGATTTCCGTATGTAGGCGCGGTCATGTTATCTGCTGCAGTCTAACCCCAGTCATGGTGCGCGCCTCGTAGGCCGCAGTCACTCGCCCAGGTTTGCGTCTCCATGAACACCAAGGTGTCGTCAACCTACGGTAACGTTCTACATGCCACTTCCTGGTGCTTACGATACATGGGTCAATCTTAGTACGACCAGTACGACACCGAACCGATGAGACATTTAATTAGGTTTGCCGATCGCACCCTAATATACCATCTGATAACAATACCAACGTACTTTTGCTCCCATATTTGCACCGCGGCCTCTTTCTCGTTCGTCCACTACAGAGCGCCGGAACGAACCTCCTAGCCAACGGAGGGCGTCTATTCCTGTATGCCGGCACTTGCAACCTGTACCGGCACTTCCGAGCCCACTTCGTATCGAGTTTCTGTAACGCATACACCTAAAGTGAGGCTTGCGACTGTCATTTTGAGCCTGACAGGTGACACGTAGTCGAGGAGGATCTTGTTTCATGCCTGGTGCCTGAGCCCTGAGGATCCGCAATTGGTGGCCTATCCGGCACGGCCCGGGCTGTCACCAGCAATGATGACCAGCGCAAGGTCAGCTGTTTTGCTTTTTGCGTGCTGCAAGTCCCAAGTTCAACGGCCCGACTGTGTCTTATGTAAACATTCAGGACGCTTGGCCTGGCACTTGACGAGCACGTTTCTGCATACCTCCAAGACCTCGACACAACTTCAACACCATCAACCCGGCCAGGGTCCCATGTATTCGCTTGGGGACACGGAGTGGCTTGGAACGGCGGGGATATAGCAGCTGAGTGTTTTGCCGCCTTCACAAAGTTTCGTCATTAAGACAAGTCCTTAAACGGAGCATACCGCTGACATTCTAGTATGAATGAATGTATACGTCTTGCCCAGCCTCGACCGTTCGGAGCTTTCACACCGACTTCGTAGCGTCGCCGTAACGGTGCCGAGCCATCGTCCGCTATGAACATAGCGGAGCCTTCTCCGCCCCACTGCGGACTCGGCACAAAGTCTGGCCTTTTCCTAGTACGATCTGAGACGCAGGTAAAGGCTACAGATATGACGTGCATAACGACGTAGAGCTAGTCGTGGATCGTCTCGGAGCTTTAGCATCGATTACCATGCCCATGGCGTGGAGACAGCTCGCTATGCACAACAAACGCAAAGTATATTGGGTCTAGATTGCGATTTTTGTTTCCGTTCAGAACACCCTTCATACTACTCTAGTTGATCGCCTCTGCTACCACAATCTGCAGTCCAACGCAAACCAAAATCGGAAACATGCTCGGTGACGCAAGCCCAATGCGGGCCTTCTTCGGTGGCACATCTTGACCTCCGCTCTTCCCCATCCCGTTGGTACCGTATGAGGTTGAACGTATACTGTATAACCTCACGTTCGCTAAATTCAATAGTTCAACCACGGGTCAGCATGGCATGATTTTTCTGTACACAATGGTACAAGGTCACTACAAGGGCCGATGGAGCACTACAGGCCCTTCCCGCGTCGGGCTGCCGCGAGGATGGAAGTATCAGATATATCTTTATACCTAGCCATGTCAATCGCGTGGTCCTACCGTAAACGCACCCCACGTGCCCATCCTTGTAGCAGGGAGAGCCCAACCACGAACGAATCGTAAGCTCGGCCGTAGGCGCATGTACGAAAGACTGTCGTGCTGTGAGGCGGGTGATCATGTCTCCACCATACCTCGGCGTTTTCACCGATGGCGACAGTAGTCAAGAGGGGCGAAGCTTGCAGCAGGGCTGACCGCAAGGTTGGTGTGCATGACGAGTAACCTCTTTACAGTGCCCTTTACCATATCCGCGACAATCCGACAGAACTCGCCGGCTTGTGTCTAGGCTCTCAGGATTTGGAAAAGACCCTTGCGGACGGTTTGATCTGGAGCTTGATAGGTCACCGGCTGACGCGACCAGAAGTGTACGTACGCAGTGGCATACGACGTCTCTTGGCGAGGTTTGAGGGACACCTGATCTGCGGAGTTTTCCAAGTATCGAATGGGAGGACGACAATTCAAGAGCATTAGCACTTGGTATACCCCTAGGCCCATATTGTAGATCACTTAGTGATACACGATCAGCCATGGAATACTTGCGCAGCGATCGCGAGAGTGCTACAGGGTCCGTGTGGGCATCGAGACTGGAGAAGGCAGACTATGCAGCCAGAATCCATCCCCATGATAGAGTTTGAATTTCTCAAGTGTAACTCTAGCAGTTTAACACTACCTGCACATTCTGATCATCTTGGTTCGTAACGAGGTCGGTGTTGAGAGTGTTTGCGCGATGCAAACCTTGTTTGCAAGATTGATACCCACAGGGCACGTCGAATCGAGATTAACCGGTAAGCCATTAGAACTATTGCAACCACTGTTTATCATGCGCGTTTTGGTGTGATCTAAAGAGGGAGAAGTCAGTTCGAAACAGGAGCTCTGTTCACATGCTCTTCAAACTGTCCTAGTAGCATACTGGGTTTCAGTAGTGCGGTGTGGTAGTTTCCTCGCAGAGTAGAGTGCCAGGCCTAGGGGCGAACATGCCCCTACAGATGATGCTTCTGAATGCGTAGTTGATGATGGCGAAAGAGAGAAGGCGTGCGAGAAGGTGATGTTTGTCGTGATTGGTCAAAGCGCGCGCCCTGGTGAAGCGAATCCAGGAACAGGTAACGCTCACCCTAGGCGCATCCTTTCTCACATCAGCGACGATGGCTTGCCACGAAGACACACCCACCCCCGACAACGGTTTCTATGTCCTCGTCACGGGTGCGAATAGGTTCGTGTACCCATTGTCCGCTTGTGCGTGCTCAATTGACCCGCCTGCAGTGGCCTTGGGCTCGGTATCGGAACCCGCTTGATTGACGAATTCCTGCAAACCCGCCCCCAAGACGAATCCCTCGTTCTCATCATCACAACACGCGACCAGCGCAAAGGCGACGCGGCCATTGAGAAGCTACAGCAGCACCTCGGCAAGGTCATTCGCAGCCATGAACAAAGACTCCCGGGCATTGCACAGGTGCTGCAGAATCGTGTCTTGTTCCGCCAGGAGCGACTAGATCTTCTGAGCCTGGTCTCGGTACAGAAGCTTAGCAAGAAGCTCCGGGAAACGACGCCAAAGCTCGATGCAGTCATTTGCAACGCTGGCATAGGCGGATGGACTGGCATCAATTGGCCAGGCGCCGTGTGGTCAATTCTCACCAAGTGGTCACAGGCCATCACCTACCCTACATACAAAATCTCTGGTGTTGGATGGCTTGCAAAGGCTCAGATACCTGCGGACAAGAAGACGGAAGAAGAGCCTCCGCTAGGCGAGGTCTTCTGTGCTAATGTCTTTGGGCATTATCTGCTAGGGCACTACCTCGCACCTTTGCTAGCAAGACATCCTAAGAGCGAGCAGACACGGGGCAGGATGATCTGGGTCAGTAGCCTGGAAGCGTACGAGCACGTATTTGACATTCAAGACATTCAAGGCATCACGTCGGATCTGCCATATGAGGGCACCAAGAGGCTGACGGATGTTCTGGCCATCACGTCTACGCTACCATCAACGACCGAAGCTTTGGACCAGTACCTCGACCACGCCCAAGACTCGGACAAGACTACAAAACCGCGACTCTACGTTGCTCACCCAGGCATATGCGCTACCGCCATCGTACCTCTCCCTCTCATCCTTCAATGGTGCATGGTCGCCGCATTCTACATTGGGCGATTCCTTGGCAGCGAGTGGCATACAATATGGGCTGACAAGGGTGCAACTGCCATGGTTTGGCTGGCACTTGCAAGTCAAAGCACACTGGACAACATGGAGGCAAAAGAAGGTGTGGGCAAGTGGGGAAGCGCGGCGGATTTCTGGGGCCAAGAGCGTGTGGACCGCACAGAGGTGGCGGGATGGGGTTGGGGAGGCAAGATGGGGGAGTACAAGAGGAAGGGAAGGGATCCATACGCGAAGGATTTGACCAAGGAGAGCCAAGAGCGCTTTATGGAGACGGGGAGGAAGTGTTGGGAGAAGATGGAGAAGTTGCGCATGGAATGGGAGGATCGGCTGCGACAGGCTGGACTCGCTGTTGAGATGTAGTGATTCACAACACACTCGCAAAGTTACGGCACCCCACAGATACAGCCGGCACTCACATACTCTTTTACTCTTCGACAATGTGTAATAATTCTTTCTTGCGCCCCACACATGTACAGCACACGGGCGTGGTTCAATCAAGCATGCAACACAACAACCCATTCTGTACTTGCCACATTGCGAAACGTTCCAACTTCAAACACAAAACACAAAACTAACAAAAGAACTGCCGAACTGACAGTGTTTGTGCCGACATTATGCAGGTTGACGCAGCAAAGACAAGGTCGGGTTGCAGGATTGTTTCTGTGGAAGACTTGAAATCGCGAAAACCCCATCGATGAAGTTGAGTGACTTCAGAAAAAGACGAAGGACAATTAGAACTAGGAGACCTGGACAATGTCGCATGCCACATCACAAATCACCTCGGCGACGACGACCAAACGACAGGATACTCCTGCGGCGGAGGCAGCGCTACTGAGCATAGTTCGAATAGTCTGGGAACGCGCCACATGGCGTTGCGGTCGGGTTCACAGGCGCATTAAAATCATGTAATATGCTCCTTGTTGGATGTGAAGGAGGGCGGAACACGCCTCGAGGCAATCGTCATAATCCCCCCCGCATTCTCAATTCTCTGGTTCGTGATGTTTCTTGTGACGACATAGGAGCTCATGCAGCAATCCCAGGAACCGCACTCTTCAAAGCCAGGGGCTCGACTAGGGTCATCCCCACTCATCTAACAAAAACAACAAATAGGAAGTCTTGACGGCACCTGCAGACCGCTGTGCTGGGTCGCGCCGGCCAGGGCTCCCGCTGTGCCCCTTCTCGCTTGTCCTCTCTGGGCCAAGTCTCCCTTCTGGCCCTCTCTTATCCATCCATCTCTAATTGATGCCCGACGCGACTGTTCGTCGCCATCCCCTAGACATTTGCCATCTTCGACTCTTCTTCACGTCGCACAAGTCACTCCAATACCACCGCTTCTTCACTCTCTTCTCTCAATCGCCTCAGTGAATGCGCCCGCTGTGAAGTGAAGATAGACGCCATTACAGCCACCCCAGTCACGTCAAATTCACCACTTTCACCGCTCATCTTCTTTTACCGCCACAACCCAGGACGCGAGCAACTACGCAGCGAACCTGACGATAGCATTGTCCTGGCTATAGCGCGAATGGACCCCAAGAACGACCCGCTCTCGAGCGACTATCCACCTATCTTCGCACGCGACGTCACTCTTCAAGTGTCATTACTATCGACAACCCTCGCATAGACTGCGCAAACCTCACCTTCAACTCGCGCATACGCTATATAATACCTCGTCACTTGTCTTAGTCGCGTCACAACTGCGAGACTGGAGGGGCGCACATTGTTCGCGCACAAGACTCGAGTTACACAATCGCATTGTCAGCGGCTGCCTTCTTTGAACGAAGAAAACATTGTTCCTGTTGGCTTGAGAACATCCCAACCTATTACTCTTAACTCTACCGATCATAATTCTTGTCTGGGACCTTACATCAACATGTCGAGCGTTTCGTCATCGCACAGTTCCTTGCGTGGAACTGCTTATAGACCATCCACACCCGACCAGACAAGATCTACGCTTTCACGAACGAGCACATACTCCGTTGCGCCAAAATCAGAGTTCCTACGAAACGCGCTTGAAGCGCGAAGGGCACAGAACACACCGACTCCTTCACCTCAAGATCTTAAACCGTTACCGCCATCAACCTCGATGCCTCTAGAAATACATACTCCCAAAACTTCACCAGATGTCTTCGATGAGTTCGCGCTCACCGAGGAGCAAACGACACCCGTCTCGCCCATCCGACGGCGAAGACCTAGCGATGTTGGCCCTCCGCTCTCCAAGACGAATCGAGAACTCACAAACGAGATCCAGAAACTGAAGGAGACACTCATGACCTCCAACATGCGAGTGGAGCTGCTGAAGAAGGACAACAGGGAACTACAGCATGATCTGACGGCTGCCAAAGAGCAAGTCGAGCGACTTGAGCCACTAGAGGACGAGAACTATGAGCTGCTTGCAGAGAACAAACAACTCAAACTCAAGCTGGAGAAGATGAGCGAGGAGATATCAAACCTACGAGAAGCCAACGAGGATCAGCGAAGGAACAACGAGGAGCTCACTGCCATAGCAAGTGAGAGCGCTGCGCACTTCACAGACCATGAGACCGCTCTCGAAGAAGCCGCCGAGTGCATCATTAAGATGGAGGAGGAGAAGGAATTGCTTTCCAAGGAACTCAAGATGCTTAAAGAGCGAGTAATGATGATAGAAAGCCATTCTCCTGTCAGCACGCTTGTTAACAGCCCCGGAAAGTATCCGCCTCGCGTCTACAGTGTGGACGAGGAACGGCCTTCTACCTCTCACTTTGACTCGGATTACTACAGCCAGGCAGAAGACTCGCCGCAAGTCAAGCCGAGCAGTGAATCGGTCAGGTCGTTTACGCCTTCGGAACGATCAAAGAAATTCCTTGGTCTGACTGAAGAGCGAAGACGATCTGCTCGCGATCTGTCTGAGCGTATGTCAGCTGTATCTTTAAAGGCACTACGCGAGGCATCTCCGTCTCCAATTCCAGAAGTGCCCCAGGTTCCGACTGCCTACCAGCAACAGATTCCGACAATTATCGCCGATGACAGGTCTTCCACTCCCTCAAGGACTCCCGTGCTGCATCGACAAGGTCACCAGCCATCCTCGCGTTGTTTGATGGACGCAGCAGAGATATCTCCGGCTCGACCGCATACAGTTGCTCCACAAGCTCCTTCCCGCCAATCGGAAGGTCTACGAGGCCTGTACAGTCCCCGTAGAACTTCGTCAAGCAGGAGAACAAGCGATTGCCGCCCATCTAGCTACGTCGAGCGTCCTACCAACGTCACTGGCAGTTTCGCTGGACGCCAGCAGTCTATGACCGAAGCATCCCCTCATGTGCTTTCACGCACCAACAGTAAACACACGAACACGGTCAATCCAAACGAGCACACTCAACGCCACGTATCACGCCGCCTTCTATCCGATGCCGCCCGACCTACCAGCCTCTGTATCCCACGGTCGAACCTGGACTCCGTATCTTCAGGGTGGGAAATGATACCCTCAAATCCCTCCCCTCCTGCCTCCAATGCCTCCACAACCGATCTAGTCTCTGTGGTAGATCCACGAGAAGACAAGGACGGATGGTGGCGCAGCTTAGATCGTCTGACTCTCCCACAAGCACTGGCTCAGCAGCAGCAACAACAACAACAACAACGCGATCAACAGATACCGCAACCTTCTAATAACGCTGGGTCACGACCCGGTGCTCCTCCTCCCCCTCCCCCTCCACCACCTCCTGTTAACACAGGCAATCCCGTCCGTACAACGAATGCTCTGAATGCCTACGTTGATTCTTTGAGGAGTAGTGGTACGAGACGGAAGGGCGAAACTACGCCTTTGACGGCTCTCAACAGTCACCCTGTTGAGAAAGACTTTTTGTTTAATGCCAAGGAGACTGAAGAAGACTTTCTGCGCAAGGCGAGGAGTAGTACGGGGCCTTCGCGCAGAGGTTAGTTTCTCGTTTGGTAACATCCCTTTTTTTCTATTATCTCGTTAATTCCTAATGATTGTACGGCCTGACTCTACCCTGCTCCTTTTTTTTGGCGTTTGATCAGACAGTGAGAATATACTCCGCGAGGAGGTTATGACGGGTTACCTTTATCTATCAACAGCGTGGGAGGTTTATATCTGAGGTTGCGACTTCCGTTCGCCATGAACATATATCTGCCTGGATAGCAGTAACAAAACAGCTATTCCTATCACCAGTCGAGTATATTGACATCATGTAATACTACTACAACAACTACATCTCCCTGAAACCGAAGTCGCAATGTCAAGTGAAGTAAATGTATTCCAAGCCTTCAAACATTGACGCCTCCCAGAAATCAAACCATCCATCTATGCCCTTTTCTCTCACTTTCTACCCTCTCCCCTAAACTGCTCAGCAACCATATCCCCCAGCGTTCTCCTCTGCCTCGCCTGCTGCCCACCTTCAGCCAAAATCCCCGTCGCCAGTCCCGCCCCACCACCTTCCCTCTCCCTCTCAGCATCAAGCCTCGCTCTGAGGCCTTCAAACCCACCCTTGGTCTCCTCACCCACCATCCACCCGGGAACCCTCCAGCGCGCCGCTCCAGGCAAAACATCCCTCCGATACGCAGTGCCCACACCCCATCCCACGGCCGCCGCTAGAAGCGACCCTGGGAACTGCGAGAGCGCGAGTTGAAGAGGAGGGAGATAGGACAGTGATTTCGACGTCAGAGTCAGGCTTCGTGACCAGAGCGCTGAGAGGGTCTGGGTATTTGGTTGCTGCGCCGATGTAGATGATGGTGATGATGTAGGTGCAGACCAGGGAGAGATCTTATACCGGTAGGTGTAAGGAACTGCGGCGTAGTAGTTTGCGAGGAGGGCGAAGAGGATGGGCGTGGGACCTGCGGGGAGGTAGTTTATTGCGCCGAAGGTTAGGGGCCGAAGAACGAAGGTTAGGAGGAGAGGGGGGAGGAGGGTCGTATAGGGGAGGGTTGAGAGGAGGAAGGACTGTGAAAGAGAGGTATTAGTTAAATAGTCTGGATTCGGAGAGGAAGAGGATAGGATTATGTTTTTGGGTAAGAGGGATGTGTTGTGGAGGTACGTACAGCGAATTTCCTGCTCCCCCATAATCGTTCCACGACGCGGAGTTGGTAGAATGTTAATACTGCGAAGAGGACTTCTGTCGAGTTTGTAAAACTCAGCTGTTGGGCCATATGTCAGCGTCTTTTCCTCTTCTTCTTCTTCTCCTTCTCCTGCTATCCCCTCTCATCCACTTGTCTCTTTCCTCCCAAAGTAACGTACCTGCCAAACCGCAAACCTCCAAAACTGCCCATACTGCCAAATATGCGGCACAACCTGGATATGTAAATAATACCTTGAATCCGTAATCGTAGCTAGCAGCGCGCCAATGACAGTACCGAAGACGAGGAATTGCGTCACGGGCGCGTTTGTGAAGCCTGAGGAGATCATCGCGTTGAGAGGAAAATGGAAGAAAGAAGGGATTCAATGCGACCAACAGCGCTTCATAGCATGGTAGGTAAAACGTCCGCAGTGTAAGGTGTAGGACTGGTGTGGCTAGCTGTGAGCGATGACGATGGGGAGTATGCGCGCGAAGTGCGGAGCCAATTGCGGAGGTGCCACAGTTGCCATTGGGGCGCGCGACTCGTGTCGGCAGACCATCACATGCGCGAAACTCACAATCGTAATTCGTACAGCCAGCGGACAAAACAAGTAATTGAGCAAGTTCGTTTCCAGATATCACACGCCATAGAAGGGTACTCTGAACTATATACACAACGAAAACATCACCATGGGCCCCTCGCCGAGAACGCCTGTAAAAACGGAAAAAGATGCTCGCCGGCTCAGCCATGCTTTGTCTCATGCTATACCATTCTTCTCACGCAAGCTTATTTCGTGCCCCTGTCATCGCTGCGCGCAGCGTGCTTCTTCTTCTCCGCAGCCGCCTCTTCGTGCTCAGCTAGCTTCTCCTCAGACGAACCCTCACCCTTAAAGACCTTGGCTCTGTCGGTGGCGCCGGGAATGTGCTCGGGTAGCTCGCTGCGGCCGATGAGGCTAAGGACGATACTGGCACCAACAATCATGGTAAGAACGAAGCGGTACACGGCGTACCAATTAGGTGTCCAGCCCAGACGAGATGCGCCTGTAGATTTGGTATTAGTTACAATACATATGAGCGAGTGATGAGGGTAAAACTTACGAGTATCAACATAGTACAACGCGACGAAACCCAGGAATTGCGAAATCAGTGCGCCCTCAATGGGCATGAGCAATGTCCCCCAAGCTACCATGGGTGCCACAACACCGATAGCGTAACGCTTGTAGCCCTGGTAACCTCCGTAACCTGCCCACTCAAGTCCCCAGTGGATGGCACCGAGGAAGCTCAGGATGGATGCTCCGTAACCGATTTGCAGAGGCTCGACGAGGGAGAGGAGGTATGTAGCGTCCTTTTCAGAGAAGATCATACCATAGCCCGCATTGCTGTGGTTCAGTTCCCAGGATAAATAGACGGTGGAGATGGAGGTTGCAAGGTAGGGAAGTGTGCCGGCAAGACCCATGTAGTATGCTTCTCGAGGAACTTCGGCGAGGGAGAAGGTGTCTTTGATGGTGTCCTGGTGTTTGTTAGCGTTTGTGATCGAAAGAGAATATATAGAGATAACATCGTATACATACCACGTCGTGCCTGACTCCCGCCATCATATCCACCTCATTCTGCGGCTGCTCTGCCCCAATCTCAGAGAACATGGGATGCGTCGAACTGGTGCTAGACACAGTCTCTGGTGTGGGCTTAATCTCTTCCCTTGCATATCTGCTCTCTGCCTGCTTCTGCCCTTCCGTTAACGTCTTATCGGCAAGGCTGCGGCGCAAGATGGCAGAAGCCGGCTTCAGTTGCGCTGCGGTCGCTTGCGCTAGTTGTGGTCTCCTTGCAGCCAAGGAACCGAATTGTGTTGTCCATTGAAGTTGAGGTGTTGTGCGAGTGAAGTTTGCAGCTGGTCGTGCCGATTTGGGTGCAGCTACCGACCTCAGCGCGAGGCGCGACGCACCGTTGCGTAGCATATTAGATTATCGAAGAGAGGTAATATGTGATGTAGAAAACAAGATAGATGCGAAAAACAATTCGTGATGTACACACGACAAGAAGCTGGGTATATGGAGGAGAAGAAAAGAGAAGATATGGCAAGATAGAGCTGTGTGATTGCGATTACAGCTGCAAGCTTCAGCTCTCCCCCGCAAGTTGACGCGCGACGCCAGTCTGACGTCACGCAGTTTACATCATATCGCCGGTCATGCTTCGGCACCGCAGTGGCAGGTGGATCTCAACGGTGCCGCGATCCGTACATAGTTGCAACCAATCTGTCACAATGAGACAAAATGTGCCGTCGCACGGTGGGTCTTTCCACGCAATCGCATCGACTCGAACATAGCTCGGCGCAGCCTCGCTCTAACCCGGCAATACTGATAAATCAACATCGTGGTTTGTAGTACGGCATGACGCAAGATACAAAGCTTGACGGCCTTACACTCTCATCACAGGAAGCCTTCTATACAAGATCTGCACAGCAGTAACGCTATCCTTATCTACCTATAATCAACACCGCGCATACCATTAGGCTCTGTTTCTGAATTTGGGCCCACACTTTCAAGTTTTCTGAAGACATATTTATTAGATCTCTATCCTCAGGGCCGGGTCGCGTACGCATCTTCCGGCTACACCGGTAGACCTCAGGTGATGATGATGCGGTTCTACCAGGGCGGTTACGTTGAAGAATATTCAGAGCGGACCCGCATCCATCATTCCATCAGGCATCGCCATCTTAGAAAGAGTATCTCATCTAGCAAAGGCCCATTGCAAAAAGTAGTAAACATTATAGGTCGCCCAATCGAAGCCGAACCCCCATTCTGAAAACCCATCATGGCATGTACTCGTAAACTTCATTACACACGCACAGTTCCAACCCAATCAACCCTTCGCGTTCCACCGGTCATTGTACGCATTAACCCCAACAGCAACCTGCCGATAAAACCAATTCCTGCTTCCCTCATCGCTAACCGGAATAAACGGACCATTCGTCCCTCCCTTCAGCGTGATACCTAGCCCGGTCCTCTCTTTACTAATGGTCTGCACGTCCTTGAGCGGTACATCCCATTCAGTTTGTAGCTTCTTCGTGCGCACCATCATCAGGCCGTTGTACGTGAGCATGACGAGCATCTCCTTGTTCTGCAACTCGAGATGCGCAATGTAGTCTTCGTTGAAGTACTTGCCGTTATCAAGTGTCTTCAGCCAGAACTGGCCGAGCGCTTCGCGTTGAGAATAGGGGCGCACGATACCATCTGTGCCGATGAAGCGGGTGAGACGTACACGATCGAGTCCTTCTTGGTCGAAGACGGTGGTTGTGTTGCGGACACCCTCTGCCATGTTGGAAGCGAGATCGAAGGCGCCGATGGCTGCCTTGGTAGGTACACCCAGCAGTCCTTTGCCGACTCCTTTGACGAAGCCGAGAGCGCCTTCCTTCTCAGCGCCTTGAATGGGATGACGGGCGAGACCACCGAGACCGCTGGCAAGACTGCTAGCAAAGGCGTTGCCTCCAGAAGTGATGCCGTAGAGGGCGTGCTTGGGCCTGTTGCGAGACCGCGACATACGACGCTGATCCTGGAACTCCTTGTCCAAGGTTGCCGCAGAGAGACCCTTTGACATACTACCAGTGAACTTGGCCATACTGTCTGAGAACCCGAAAACGGATTTCTTAACGAAGCTTGACGCGCCCTTTGCGATACCGATGCCAAGGTCCTCCGGACGATCCGACTTGACAAGCCCTTGGTACGGCTCGTAGAAAATGTCAGCAACACCAGAGCTGATGTTGTTGAACAGGCCAACCGGGTTACCGAGGAAGTCAGCGGATCCGATGATGACGTGTACTTGTCGCAGGGATTCTTGAACGTAATGGTTCTTGATGTTGTTGATCAGTGCGGTGGTAGAAATGCGGGCGTTCTCCAGCATTAAGGAGTTGTATCGCACTGGCGCATCGTTAACGTTGCCAATCGACATGGTGAGGACATTGACGGCGAACATGAACGGATTGGAAGTGCTCATGGTGTCCTCGGCGTTGATTCGCTCTGTACGAACGAACGACAGATCGATCTGCATTGGCTGCAAATGTAGCAGCTCAAAGTAAACGTCCTGTCCAGATTGCTCTTGCTTTGGCTCGGGAATACTGAGGTTATCATCCCACAGCTTACCCTGCTTCTCTTCGGACCAAGAAGCGCCGGGTATATTCGCGAAGTCGATCATGGCGAAGATGAAGTCCTCATCAATCTCGATGGTCATCTGTTGGAGGAGGAACGTAAAGTACTTGATGTAAAGTACTCCATATGAGTCATCCTTGACCTTGGTGATGGTTGTCTGGAAGATAGGATGTGCCTCCATCTCCTTGCCCGTCTTCGGAACGACACTGGGGTAGAAGATGATAGGGAAGATGCCGCCGTATAGTTGATTGTCAACTTGGATCCACTTGACTTGCATGTTGACCATCTGATAGAGGGGCGAGTCGGAGTACTTCATCTCAATATCGCGGAGCGTGACATATACTAGCTCCTTCAGGTGGCGGTTGACTAGCGATATACCGATACCAGCAAGTCGTAGCTGCGCCTTGAAAGTGACATCGGTGTCCATGTCCTTGACCTCAAATCCAGTCGCGGAAGAAGATGTGCCAGCGGACTTTTGCTTGTACATACTCTTGGAAGGCTTGTAATTCGATACCTCGAGAGTTTGCGTCGGGCCTGCCGCGACGACGTTCAGATCGATGACCTTCATACCGCCACGTTCTTGGCCAGGCGGTATCTTGAATGGGATAAGCGGTCCAATCTCGGCAAGCTTGACATGTCGCTCCCGTCCATTGGCGCTGATGACGATCTCCTTGTTCTTCGCCGCTGGGAAGTCCCATGCATATGGCATGATACTCCTAGGAGGCAGGCGGTACCTGATGGGCCTAAAACCAGAACCGCGGTCATCCTCATCTTCATCCAGATTAGGGTTGGCTTGCCAGTACAAGAACTCTTGGTCACTCATATTCTTGAACGAGAACGGCCAATGCTTGTTCTCGACGCTGACGTGGCAGAAGATTGTTGCTGCCTCCATCAGGATATCCACACGAACAAGCTTCTGGCGCTGCCCAGCCTTAGAGAGCTTGACGTGGACATTGCCGACGTTAGAAATGTTGAATGGAGAGGACCACTGGTTATTGACACCTGGATAGCAGAGAGATAGTTGCGGTGCTCCGCCTTGTCGTAGCCAGCGAAGAGGGAAAAGTTCTCCATCCTTTACCGTCATCCAGTCAGATTGACCAGGTTCTCGGATGAGCAGTTCCTCCTTCATCTTGTTGTTGACAATGAAACGTGGTGCAATAGAAACGGTCTTGGTCAAGTTGTACTTGCCCTCACCCTCCGAAACCGAGACGCCCAAGTGCATGTCCGAGCGTGCTTTGTTAGAAGGTAAAGCTACGGTGTATGTGCTACCAATCGCATCGAAACTCTGAGGCTTGCTCCAGTTGGAGTCGCCCACCTTGATAAGCGCACGACTCTTCTTGTTCTCGGTTGGGTAGGAGAACATGAACGGTAAAGCCTTGCCGGAGTCACTCTGGTTGTCCGTAACTATACCTTGTCCGGCAGCAGCTCTGGCTTGACCCATAAGCTGCTGAGCCCGAACATCGAGTTGAAGACCGGTACGGTTAAGGATGATGTAGGGACTGTAGATTGCTACTTTGAAAGCGCCACCGCCGTCAGGGAAGTTACTAGAGATTGTCAGTACCTTTAGAACTAGGTTGGAGCGTAATGTACTTACAAGAAATGCATGTTAAGGTGCAAGATGGTGTCATTGTTATCCTTGACTTCCAACACTTTCTCCCTCCTAAAGCTCTCCCGATCAGTTGAATTGATGATGCCAAACTTGCTTGGCTTGAAGGGCCCATCCTGCATTTCTACACTGATGAGAAGAAGATGAGAGAGTTCAACGACATGAACCGGGCTGATGCCACCTTTCCTAAGGAAGTTTGTCCAGTCTTTCTTCGTGTTGCTGTCGTAGATTCGATACTTGAAGTCGTACGGAAGGAGGTTGTGAACTTCGACAGGCGCCTGAAGGCGAAGTCGCATGTATGGGTAGACACCAGTCAAGGGGTCCTTCTTGTCATAGGCTGCATGCAGTTGAAAGTAGAATGGTGGTGCTTGTTCGTCTTGTTCGCCACGGCAGGTGATCGTCCTCGTGGGGCGCTTGAGCAAGTCCTTCCAGAACAAGCGCTCATTCGACCAAGCATAGCCGAAGCCTTGATCGGGACGAATGACGATGGAGTGCATATGGCAGGCGCCCACAGGTGCTGGCCGAGCATCTCCTGGAGCGATCTTATCAATCTTGAGGAGATGGCCATCTTCTGGACTGTACATGCCGAGCTCGATCGGGATCTGCGTGTTGTTCTCTACCAACAACGGGGAGCGAATGGTGATGTTCTTGATATTGTCGGCGCCAAGCTTTACCTCGATCAACAAACGGTGTTGAATGCGGTCTTGCTTTGGCTTAAGGTTGTACAGGAACTCGCCCTCTCGATGTACGGGAACACGGGTAAGAGTATCAAAGCCACTGCCCTGCAGCTTGATACCAAGCATGCCGGTTGCGCCGTCTGTGGAAAGCGACTCTCTCGTCGACATGGGGTCTTCAAATCGCCATGGTTGCTCTTCTCCATCCTCAAGTTTAGCTGCAAAGCCTTCTTGCTCTTTGCCCTCAGCCCAGACATCGAGACTGAAACCTGTGTAATTGCGTACGCGGTACGGAGCGTCACTACCTCGAGGTTTCGATAGAATGTCATCTTCGCTCGTGAGGAAGTCGAATGACTTAGAACCCAGTGCAATCGTTGCAGCTGTCACTGTGAGCTCCATGGACTTGCGGGAGTAGATATCCACGGCTAGCTTGTCAGGGTTCTGGTCCTTGGACATGTGGAACCCGACGCTCCAGGGCTCAATCAGCGGCTCCCACGCAGACTTGGAGAAATTGTACACGTTGATCAGTGTGTCGAGCGAGGTATCGGCGACCATTGCTCCTGACCAGTCTCGTACATCGACACCGAACTTCTTCACGCGCCAATCGAGCATGGGCATCTCGTGTACATCGCCGATGAGAACAACACGTATGCCTTCAAAGCTAACGTGGAGCTCTTCTCGCTTGAGTACAGCAGAAGAAGGAGGTGCTTGCTGCTGTGTGACCTGTTGACTGGGTCGCTTACTGGTGGCGAGAGACTTGGTTCGAGGCTTGTGAGTAGACGCTTTGCCTGCGTGCGAAGTACCTTTCTTCGATGGCGTGCCTGACTTGAGTTGCTTGGCTTCTGCGGAAGGCATACTCTTCTCAGCAGGCGCTGCCATTGCCGATGCTCTGTTCACGATCTGCATTGCTAACAGAATATCGCGTAGCGACAAGCGAAGCACGAGAGGCTCGATATCGACGGTTATGCTCATCATCGAAGACTTTGAGCTTTGGTTCCTTATGTCTAGCGCTGTTTGAATACTGAAGTCGTCGAGGATGCGCATGCGGTTGGTCTCAAAGCGATCCATACGGCACAAGAACATGCCAACTTTGTCGACTTGTAGCGTCATTGCCTGTTGTTTGGATACTAGCACCTGTTTTGTACCGAGTACAATAGCCTCTGAACTGGCCAGTGCTGGGTTTGCGATGAGGACGACTTGGGCATCTACTAAGTTGACACGGAATGACACATTCATGCCTCCATCAGTAGACTCTTTGGCAGGCTCCGGTTGTTCCAGTGTTCGAGAGCCATCGGGAGACATGATGTCGTCATCACTGTCTGTCTCGTCCTGTTCGACGGGTTCTTCTTCGATAGCTAAAGGCTCATCGGTGGCGAGGCCTGCGTTTGCGAATGCTTGGAGAGCAAAAAGGTAATCTAGAGCAAGAATGATCCTTGGGCTGTCGATGGTCAGAAGTGCGATCATGTTGCGCTCCTGTCCACCTGAAATCGACACACTAGCCATGAACTGCTGCTTGACGTCGTTGTTGATGAGTGACATGATCTTACGGAACTTGTTTGTTCCCTGCGTACGACTATCTCGGATCGTGAAAGATTGCACGACTAGCTCGGCCTCCATAGCTCCATCGCTAATCATACGGACCTTGACATTGGTGTCGTTGAGGGAGAACTTCGAAAGGCTAGCGGCTTCGACGTCGCCCACAGGCTCACCATCCTCAGATTTGACAAGCTCCAAGCCGATGGTGCCAACCTTGAAGACGAAGTCCAGCTTCGTCCACTTGCTGTCGTCGCCGGAATGTAGTTCAGGTCCTTGTGAAGTCACTACGTCCTTGGAGGGCTCTTCTTCCGTGGCACTCTTGTCCGTCAATCGTCGTGCAGGCTCCGTCGTCTCATTAGGCAGTTCAGCCTGGACGTCTTGATCGATAGCGTCGGATTCTGTGGCAAACGCTGCGGGTATTGAGCGTGACAGTTCTAGTGCGAACTTCATCTGTTCCGGCGTGAGCTGTAAGTTGATGTTCGACATGTGACCGTCAATCTCAACATCTGGGCGCTGCTGTCCTGCTTTATGCTCGACCATGGTAATGTTGAAGTTGAGATCAACCTTGTCAATTAGTTGTAACTCTTCTGATCGGTTTTCATCGTAGTGCAGCTTTGACGTAAGCTTGATGTTCCTGATACCGGCTGAAAGCTTGTTCGCGGTCTCCGCGCCCTTGGAGTCATCAAGAGGCACGAAGCTGTTTTTCGCATAGATCTCTCCCAGGTTTGCAGTAAGAGTATCACGATCTGGCTTATCGGATACTACCATACGGGGGAAGACAACAATAGGCGTCGCAATGGTGATGTCGAAATGGAACTTGGTGGCTCGTTGCTGAACCTGCGTTGCCTGGTTTGCCGCAGCCTGACGAGCCGCATTGAAGATGGCTTGCATCTTACCGAACTTGACGGCAAACTCCATGATCTTACGGAAAGGCTCCGTCAGGAAATTGATCTTGATAGAGCCTGTCTTTAGTGCGACGGCCATGTCGTACCCTGGGTAGCTCTCCGCATCAGCATCGAAGGTTTCGTAACTGAAATCGGCCAAGTTTTTGCCCTCAATAGTAACCAGTTGACGAAGCGACGACTCTTCGGAAACACCTTGGTTGATGTCATCAATCAGCGACAGATTTCCAAGTCGTCCACCGATGCGCATCGTCTTGCCACTGAGGAAGATGCCAACATCTCCAGAGTTCAAACTCAGTGTAGCTAGGCGTATACCGTCGTTGTTTAGGATCACAGCAATGCGCTTGAGCTCCGCTCGGATGCGTATCTTGTCGGGCTCTACTTGTGTTTGGCTAGCAACCGGTTGCTGTTCTTCCTTGTCGGTTATTTGAGCTTGTTGGTTTTGCGGTTGGCCTGGATTGGTAAAAGTATCGAGGACGAAATCCAGTAACGTGAGCAACGTCCGCCTGGTTACTATCAGGTTGATTGTCGACACGGCAACGTCCAAGTTGGTCGCAATGCCCTCATACTTAGTTTGAAACTCTGGAGACTCTTTATTCACCTTGACAAACTTGAGTGAGAACAGATCCTTCTGTTCGTCCGCTGACACATCTTCGGAAGAGATGATGTTCTTGAACTCGGGAATGGTAGACTCTTCGACGTGATCTTCAACAGCCAAGCTCTTAAGACGAACATCCGCAGCCATCTCGAAAGCCTCCTGGTAGAAGTCGAGATCAAAGCTTTCAGCAATAAGCTCAACAAGCAGTTGATCAGATTTTCTGCCCTCTGGATCTGTTCTATACAAGGAACCCTGAAGCTTGTCGACTGTAAACTTGAATTCGAAGTTGCGCTGATGCAGATGTGCCTCTTTCTTCCCGTCTCGGATCTCTGGAGCATCCGAGAACTTCTCGTCCGCCTCACCTTCGTGACCTTCTTCTTCCATGACGAGCTCATGTTCTTGCGCAGCAAATGCGAACGATTTTGATCGCGACCGTCCTAGAGGATCTGAATCAGCCTTGGCGTCGCTTGCGGGCTTCAAGTTCGCTGGACCCTTCGCACCCTCAGTCACTTGCTTGCTTGGTCCATCGTTGTCGAACTTGGGAATAGCCACGTCAATCAGTTTCATTAAGTTCTTATACTTGGAATCGGATACTGAGGCATGAAGCACCGGCAGGTTTCCAGAGACACGGAATTTGGTCAGATCCGACGCCTTGGGAACGATGCATATCTCGATCTTGAAGTCCATGTTGATCCGGTCGACGATGTGGTAGTTCTTCAAGCTCGAATCTTCGTCGAGCTGCGCGCGAGTCTCTTCGATGGACGGTCCTATGAGTACTTGTGTTGAGTGGAGCTTCAGGTTGAATTTGTCGTACATAAGCTTCTCTAGTTTGCGGAAATCCTCATCAGTGTACTGCTGCTTTTGCTTCGCTTGTATGTCACGAAGGGTGTCCTTGTCGACAAGTTCGCTCGTTACGCTCACATGACCAGCATCGACAATGAGACAGTTGCTTGACTTCTTCGTGACGGAATCCGGCACAATGATGAGTGGCGCTTGCAGGTCGAGTTGCGCGTTGATGGTCTTGTGTTCGGTAAGGGCAAACTCGAGACCTGCGCGTGTTTGTTGCCGGATGCCTTCAACAGTCGCTCCAGCGGTCTCCATGAGCGCACCAATAGACTCCATGTGCCTCTCTGGAGGCTTGAAGAACTTGGCTACCTCGACTACGAACCTAGGGTTGTAGACGAACTCCATGCCCTTCAACTTCATGGTCAGGTTTGTGTCGGCCGCTCCATCCAGTGGGTTGTTCTCAAAAGTGAGGAAGAAGAATGGATCATCTTTCTCCTCACCTTCTTCTTCGTCCTCTGCGTCCTTGGGCGATTCATCATCATTGAGCTCTTCGATGCGCTTGTCATCTGGTACAGGCGGTGCATCTTTGACCGTGATGATTTGAGGGAAGAGACTGCCCTCTGTGGTACCGTCATAAAGGCGCATACCTTCAAGCGCGACCTTTACGAACATGGAATCTGTACGTTGTAGGAACTGAGTACTGAAGGAGTCAAAGAGCAGCCGGAGGATTTCGTTCGACTTGCCGTGAGGGTCGCGCTTGAGTGTGAAGCTGCCGGTTCGCAAGCTCATGTTTACCTCTAACTTGACGTATTCGCGAGGCATGTCCACCGACTCGGTAATGGCCTTCTTCTCGTCCCAGTCGATAGCGTCGTAGAGCTCTTTCCGTTGTTGTTCGCTCATTTGCGTGTTCTCGTCGTCGTGATGCTCTTCCTTCTTGCTTCCCCACACCCAAGAAGACCATGTTTGCTTGGGCGGCGGTTTCGGGACAGCAACACTCTCCTTGCGTAGTTGATTCCGAGCCAAAGAGCGCCAGAAGCGAAGGTCCTCGTATTTGAGCTTCCGCTCGAGCTTATCCAGATCTTCAGTCTCGGTAGCGTCGAGCTTTTCATCGCGCTTCTTCTTTTTGAAAAGTTCGATGTACCGTATACGGTCGTCGCGACGCTCTTTGAAGTAGTCCCAGCTCCATTGTCGGTTCCTCTCATGAATCTTGTCAAGCACAGCCTTGCCCGCAAATCGAAGCCAGCCAGCGGGATCCTCCTTGGGTGATGACTTGGGCTGCAGCCTCTTGTACTCTTGGTGGCGGATGAAGTAATGGAATAGGTCGACCAGCATGAGCGCATCACGGTATTGATCCTCGTCGATGATAAAACCAAGCTCGTCAAACAGCAGTCGAGCCTTCATCTTGGCCCGATCTAGTTTACCGGTCTTGTCCATCTCCAAACCAGCACGACCACTGATAGGCTTGAGAATAAACTGGTGATCGCCCAAGTCCGGGTTATCGCCTCTAGGAATCATGCCCTTGGCGCGTTCAATGAAGTCTGCTCGGTCGATTTGCTGCTCATCGCTACTCTGACCACCCTTGCCCGTGCCAATGAGCTTTGCGTCTGTATCCCAATATACCGCTAACGAGCCGAGTGTGGCTAGCTTGTGTGTTGAAGCCGATGTGCCTTGGATGAAGGTAGGCTTCCAGTTCTCGTCAGTGCTGATAGCGCTGAAGTCTGCGAGGGTAACACCAAGGGCAAATGGGTGTCCGGGGTCGGCGATGGAGTCTTCGTATCGGATGTGGATGTTCTTGACCGTGACTTGAACGTTGTCGACGATTGCAGTTATCAAGCTCGCAGTAAAGCTCTGGTTTTTCTGCTGCTCCTCAGCGCTCATGCCTTCTGTGTTACGCTCCTTCAACAGCTCCGCGCTGTCGAGCTTCTCCATCTTGACAGCGTGCGCACGCTTGTCCTCCTCGTCTGCGTCGTAGTCTGCATCTTCCTTGGGCGCTGCAAGCAGGAAAACATCTTCAATGTTGACCTTGAGCGGCTTCCCTCGTAGATTTGACCAGGGTATTGATAGTGTGAGCGAGCCAAGGTGTCCTTCGACGACATTCAGCGGTAATCGTAGCTGGTCAAGGGCTTCGCGACGAAGTTCGAGGTCCCGCAGCTTGACATCGCCGGACCAGATGCCGACATTTAATTGCTTTGGATCGAAGTTCTGGACATACATGCCCAAGAACCGATTTAGCAGTGTTGACACGAGTCCCTCGAGCATAGTGGCGGTAGGTGGCCGTTACCCAGGCCGAGCTTCGAAGGGGACAGGTAGGTAGGTGGGGTATAGGGTATAGGGTATAGGGTATATCGGAGTCGGAGGGGGATCGCTATGTCGTAGAACTGCGTGGAGTCATAGGGAACGGCCGTCAATGCGTAGATGCCACGATTGGAGGTAATTGTACGTGGTAAGTAAACCCAAGGTGGGGCGGGTCCGGCACAAGTCTGAGTGTTGTGCTGCTTGGGGTATTACCGAGGCGGCGATGGAAAACAGGCCGCAGGGAGTGTCGAGAATAGAATACAAACTCAAAGACAGCAGACTGTACAGTAACGCTCCAGGAATTAGACGAAACACAGGACGCGTAAAGGTGGAGTTAAAGTGATCTCCAAGGCAGCTGCAAGTGCGATGCATGACGTAGCGTATAGTCTTCCCGCTCACGTGTGCGGGCCGTCTTAGGTTTGATTCGCCGGAAGTGTCCATGTCTATTGCGGATTTCTTGAATTTCTGCCCACGTCTCCAAGCCACCGCGAATCGCATCTAGGCCTAGATACCAACATACTAGCCTTGAAGCAATTGTGCAATCACCCATCGCAGTAGATTGGCCAGAACTTTGTCGCGATTTTGAATTGCGGTAACTCACGCCATAGGCTCAGTCCCCTTAGCAAAGCTTCCGAACAGCGCGTCCCTTGTACCACGTCGAGTCTGATACGCATACTCACACACACACCTCACCATGAGCTGGTGGCCTTTCTCAAGCTCAGGCGCAGATGCTGCCGCAAAACAACAATCACCACAAACAATATCCACCACCGCATCCCCAGTCCAAAAACCCAGCGACGCGCCCACAACAGAACCACCTTCTCCCCATCAACCCCCTCCGCTCCCCACGACCCCGACTTCTACGCCGCCCACCCACACCTCGCACCCCCCTCCTTCTCCACAGCCACCACCTCGCCCTCCCCATCCACCTCGACCCCCGAAGACTTCGACCCCACACTCCCGCGCTCCATGTCCTGCCGCGCAGCCTTCGACAGCGCCTTCTACTGCTCGTCCCTCGGCGGCCACTTCAACGACATATACCGGTATGGACAACTACGCAGTTGTTCCGACCACTGGAACGACTTCTGGTTCTGTATGCGCACCAAGAATAGTTATAGCGGGCCGGATGTCAAGGAGAGGATGATTCAGGATCGGTATCGCGAGAAGGAGCAAAGGGTCAAGAGTGGGCCGAACAGTGAGGATGTTTGGAGGAAGAGGGGCCCTGGAGAGGAGGTTAAAGGGGCGTTTAGTAGGGCTGCGGAAGAGGTGGAGGGGCAGTAGGGGAGGAGAGCTGTATGATAGGTCAGGACATGTGTCAGAGTGAACCCTGAAGGTGAACAACAGGCGCACACATGCAGGACATTGAGAAGCAAGTGCTTGGTATACGTCAAGGAGGTAGATTTGCCAGGGCATATACATGCCCAGAAAGCGTGAATCCCTCGGGGGTGCTGAATTCTTTCGCTGACGGAAGGGGAAGACCTTCATGGTATTTGCAGACGGAGTCACGTGTTGAGGCGTAGGGAGGTTAGAGTTGTTGCGCAAGTCGCGACATGTACAATAGTCATGATACCCTCAGATAGCATAGCATCAAGCATCTATATATATCGCACTACAAGGTACCCTGAAGATATACACTGAGTTTTGCCTAGGCTCTCGACACAGCAATATGTATGCCGTATACTCTGATGTCTGAGCCCCGGTATCCTTAGTGACAGATTGCTGCTTCTCGTTGTGGATACACATACGAGCCTTGCATTCCAGGGTTGGGTTAACTCTAAACTTGCGTCCGTAGTGATACTCATAGATCCCATCTCGCCCGCGTTGCATCTTCTTGAGCTCAACGCCAGTACATGTGTCAGACATGTCCTCGTCGTGAACACCCTGTAGAGCAGATGGTGGGAACATAGCGTATACCTTCAGGATACAGTTTAGCAGATCTGGTGCTGACTCCTGCATCGACTCTCTCAAACGTAAGACACTGTGTATGCCTTTAGGGTCTGGCTTCAAGTCAAGGCATATCCTGAAAGCCGTGGGCACCTTCGCGATATGCACTTTGCATCCATTCTTTCAAACATCACAAAGCAAGTCAAGACCAAGTATTTGAAGTATTCGCTCAATTCTCTACACAGGACTACTATATCCTACTATTAGAGTACATGCTAATCCACCTAACTTTTCCTCCCAATCGTTGATCGTTATTCATCCGATGCATGAAGAAAACCGTGAAACGGGCTCATATTGGCCGTGAAACTCCGTGAACTACCACCCATGAAAGAAGAAGTCTATGCTTGAAGATGCACAAGGAAAGAAGACGAAGAGACTGCTGAAAGCGATCCGCTTAGTCGACCTCCTCGACGGTGGGGCCGTCATCGCCGCCGGCACCACCTGGGGCACCGCCGCCGGGCATACCGCCACCGGGCATACCGCCGGGCATGCCACCCTCACCACCAGCTCCGTAGAACTTCATCATGATGGGGTTGGCGACACCCTCAAGCTCCTTCTGCTGAGACTCGTACTCGTCCTTGGTGGCCGTCTGGTTGTCGTCCAACCACTGGACAGTCTTGTCGATCTCGGCGGTGAGCTTCTGCTTGTCGCCAGCATCGAGCTTCTCATCGACCTTGGAGTCGGAGAGAGTGTTGCGGAGCGAGTAAGCGTAGGACTCGAGGGCGTTCTTGGCCGAGATACGGGCAGCCTCAGCCTCATCCTCAGCCTTGTACTTCTCGGCCTCAGCCAACATGCGCTCGATCTCCTCCTTGGAAAGACGGCCCTTGTCGTTGGTAATGACAATCTTGTTGGTCTTTCCGGTACCCTTCTCAAGGGCGGAGACGTTGATGATACCGTTGGCGTCGACGTCGAAGGTGACCTCAATCTGAGGGACACCACGAGGAGCAGGTGGGATGCCAGTAAGCTCGAACTTTCCGAGCAGGTTGTTGTCCTTGGTACGAGCACGCTCACCCTCGTAGACCTGGATAAGTACACCAGGCTGGTTGTCGCTGAAGGTGGAGAAGACCTCGGACTTCTTGGTGGGGATAGTGGTGTTGCGCTTGATGAGAGCAGTCATGACACCACCAGCAGTCTCGATACCGATGGAAAGCGGCGCGACGTCGAGAAGCAGGATCTCGGAGGTGGACTTGGACGATGTGTCACCAGACAGGATAGCAGCCTGGACGGCAGCACCGTAGGCGACAGCCTCGTCGGGGTTGATGGACTTGTTGGGCTCCTTGCCGTTGAAGAAGTCGGAGACCATCTTCTGGACCTTGGGGATACGGGTAGATCCACCGACCAAGACAATCTCGTGGACGGAGGACTTGTCGATCTTAGCATCGCGGAGGACACGCTCGACGGGCTCCATGGTGGAGCGGAAGAGGTCCTGGCAGAGCTCTTCGAAACGAGCACGGGTGATGCTGGTGTAGAAGTCGATACCCTCGTACAAGGAGTCGATCTCGATGGAAGTCTGAGCGGAGGAGGACAGAGTGCGCTTGGCCCGCTCGCAGGCAGTTCGGAGACGGCGGAGGGCACGAGCGTTGGAGGTCAAATCTTTCTTATGCTTACGCTTGAATTCGTTGGTGAAGTGGTTGACCAGACGGTTGTCGAAGTCCTCACCACCCAAGTGAGTGTCTCCAGCAGTGGACTTGACCTCGAAGATACCCTCCTCAATAGTCAAGAGGGAGACATCGAAGGTACCACCACCCAAGTCGAAGATGAGAACGTTACGCTCACCCTCGGTCTTCTTGTCAAGACCGTAGGCAATGGCAGCGGCGGTGGGCTCGTTGATGATACGGAGGACGTTGAGGCCGGCAATGAGACCAGCATCCTTGGTAGCCTGACGTTGAGAGTCGTTGAAGTATGCAGGGACAGTGACGACAGCGTTGTTGACGGTGCCACCGAGGTAGGACTCGGCCGTTTCCCTCATCTTGGTCAGGACCATGGATGAGATCTCCTCGGGTGTGAAAGTCTTCTCCTCGCCCTTGAACTCGACCTGGATGACTGGCTTGCCGCCCTTGTCGATGACCTTGAAGGGGAAGTGCTTCATATCGGCCTGGACCTCGGCGTCGGCGAACTTGCGACCAATGAGGCGCTTTGCGTCGAAGACGGTGTTGACGGGGTTCATGGCGACTTGGTTCTTTGCGGAGTCACCAATGAGACGCTCGGTGTCAGTGAAGGCAACGAACCTGGGACATGTTAGTAGGCTGTGTCAACTACATGGGTACGTCTGACTTACGAAGGTGTTGTTCGGTTACCCTGGTCGTTGGCGATAATCTCAATGCGGTCATCACGGAAGATACCTACGCAAGAGTAGGTAGTTCCAAGATCGATACCAATCGCGGGTGCCATGATGTCGATGTGTGTGTGTGTGGTGGGGTATCAAAGGTAAAGAAAAGTTCGTAATATGCTCACAAGTCGGTGACTTATAAAAGTGAGGCTTTCGCAGTGTAGTGTGATGTGTGTTGTGTAGTGGAAGAAGAAACAGTCCCAAGGCGCGGGCAGACGAAGTTTTTGTATCGCTGGATGCGTGGTGTTTCTACAGAATTCCAGCGCCTTCGACGCGCCAAGCAACCAACCAGAACCTTCCCGCAAGCTCGCGCAAGCTCTGCGACCCACTAGAAACAGCTGCCTTGCACGCTGTCCGGGGGCAAATACCTAGTTTCGTGTCATTTGGGTTCCACTATGCGCCGATTGTACCGCTTGTGTGTTGGTACCAACGCCTTTTTGCTTGAATGTTCTTGCAGCTTCTTTTGCCGCTGCAAAGGGCCTTCGCCGTCGCAATGCTATGACGGAGCCCTCACCCCACCATCATCTCAAACGGGTGACATAAGCGAATGCCCCGCCATGAGCGGGTCCATATGTCATGCCGCCCATGGCAACCACGGGTAGCTTCAAGTAGCTTCCAGATGTTGAGGATTTTTTCCAACCACCGCGATCGAATGAAGTCATGAGCGGGAAGGCAAGGCGCCATGTTGCGGTTGTACCGTCTCCTCATCACCGTCGTGATTATGCTTGAGTGACAACAACTGGTGAAAGAGGCCCACCACAATCACACCTCACCCTCATAGTGCTAAGTATACAAAACCAGGCACATGTACAAAACGACCATGTACGTCGCGATGAGTGGGGATAGGGAGTACTATGGATTCTAAACTTATCCATTCAACTCAGCATATGTGTGTTATCTGCTGCTGCCGACGTCACTATCTGGATATCGGTTTCTGCAATGCTTATGCCTTTTTCCTTATCCTTTTTACTTTTCACACACCATCTTTTTGGTGTTGATGATGGTGCGTGTCATCCTCACGACTTTGAGATGGCATACCAAACACGCTTTAAGCCCAAGGCAGTGAAGGCTAGGTCTGAGATATAAGTCTACGCTTTGTATCTACGCGATGAATGGTCCATTTCGCGCATATGCCTGTGTTTCACTAAACAGTTTGCATAGAAGTAAATCCTTCCTGGCGAACAGTACGGCACACCACTGAGCTAAGAGACAGTCACATAGTCGATGCAATGAGGTGAGTTCGTACCAGTATGCCATTATGGTTACATATAACTACGTAACATGCGCGCGTTCAAAATTCCACATAACATACATATATCCATCCTTCAGAACGCCATGCCAAAAGGACAAATTATGCAATAGTGAGCCTACTTCCACCGTACTGTAAAAGGACTTTTCTGTACCCTCCTGCTCCTCAACTTTCTAGTCTCAAGTCTCAGACCATCTGGCAAGCGTGATGCTGGTAGTGTATACCATGGCAACAAGTCCGATAACCATCATGGAAATATCGCCAAACTTCTCCCAAGGACGATTGGCCACACCCTTGTAGTGCAGGAAGGCAGGGTAAATGTATACCAGAGGCACACAAGCAAAGCTTCCAATAAGCGCGACAAACTTGTCCAGATCGCTAGCTCCAAGAATAGCAATGAGACCGCAGAAAATCACGAGAGTAGTCCTAAAAGCGTTCTTCTTCCACTTGGTCATGTTGCTCTGCTTGCCAGATGCGCGGCCAAAGATTTTAAGCTCGATGTTACGCATAGCGGGGAAGAGCTGCACCGGTGTGCCGACTAAAACAGCCATGGAGTAGAGGAACTGGACAGCGTTGACAAGCTTGCTGGTCTGAGGGAAGTTGGTGATGACCTCGACGGAGACGTTCTCGCCAAAGGTCCCGTAGCAGAGCACGCCGACGGACGTGAAGATGACGGTGATGATGAGCATGACAAGGTATAGTAGCTTGCTGAAGTGTTCGGGCTCCTTCATGCTGGACTGGATGGGAAGGATAAGCCCTATGCCCTCGAAAGTGAAGATGGCTGAACCGATAGTCATGGTAAAGTCGCGAGGGTTGAAAAGCTCAATAGACGGATGGAAGCCTCCCATCTTGGCGATCCATGAGATATCGTACCAGTAGATGTATGTGAGGCCGATGAGAATGAAGACGTCGGCGAGAAGAGCAGCAGGTCCGAGCTTGGAGATGTTCCGGATGAAGGACATGGGGATCAGAACGGCGACCTGTATAGCGATGAGCGCGTTAGTTGACAGCGGCTCCTCTGCGTGAGTGACAGCGTCAAGGAATGATCGGAGGTTGTCTGCTGTGAAGATGAGACCAGCGCATACAAAGCCGATTTGCGAGAGCGTGATGGAGACGAGGATCAGGGCACGGAATCTTGGTCCTACGACGATGGAACCTAGATCACCATAACCTCCACCACCGTATCGCTTCCTCGTCGCCAAGAGCAACTCAAAGCACAGCGCGGTGATGGCTGATACCATGATCATGGTGATGGAGGAGAACAGCATTCCGCCATTCTTGAATGCTTTGGGCAAGAACATGATTCCGGTACCGATGAAAGCTTTCAGGAGAGTAAAGAAGGTCTTGACTTGATCTGCGTCACCCTGAGCTCTCAGCCTCTTCGAACTCTGTCGTCGTCCGAGAAGTGGTCTGCGCTCGCCTTGCCCCTCTTCTTCCTCATCTTCAACGGCAGACTCTTCGTCCGAATCCTCGTCAAGATCTTCACCAGCAAACTGACCGTACAACTCAAGAAACGAGATGAAGTTTCGCGTGACAGGCTCCGAGATGTAGCTGACACGCTTGCTTTGCCGCTGTAAGTATTGTCGTCTCAGTCCGCCGGGTGCAAGCTGGTCGCGAACGGGAAGTTCGTCATGATCAACGTCTGAAATTGATGGTGCACTGTTGCGGCCAAAATGAACTGCGTCAGAGAAGGTTGCTGCTCGTTGATGCAACTTTTGCCGTCTGTTCTGTGCGGCAATCTTGTACAGGTCACGGTGGATGTCGCCACCTTGTAGCCGCAACGATGATTCCGGAAGTTGACGGTCGCCTGAGTTGGAAGCGCTGTCTGTGCCCTCTTCCTGTGCTGGTGTTGCTGGGTCAAACTCCGAGAAGTCGTAGCTTGGGTCTAAATGCTGTTCGAGGACCCTGGCCTCCTTGGGATCGGCACCCGCAGTCGTCTGTGGCGTATCTGTCATCGTTGCGATGGCTTGGACGACTGTAGGAATCCTGCAGTACTATGTAGACGACAGAAAATATCGACGGAGCTACGAACTTGGGCGTCTGGTAGCTTGGGCCTGGCGGTGAGGTCCGAGTGATGAAACTAACGGCCAATCAGGGTTTGCGAAGCTTAAATGGTCCGTGTGCCTGACATCACCGTGTTGTGATGTTTGGAGTTTGCGGTACGTTGTAACAGAGTAGGAGTATGAGCACGTGCGAGATTACAACAATGATGGTTAGAATTGGAGAGGAGAGCTACTTGAAGCAAAACAAGGGACGAGAATCTTCGAAGACGAGACCGCGACGGACCTGGGAAAACATGACGATCGCGCTGGCGTCTTGGCAAAGAAGCACCTGGGCACGTGGTGTGGAGAGCGTCCATCCCTGCGTCAGCCACCTGATAATTGGCGCAACAGCCGACCGCTGCCGCGTCCTAGAAGCTGGACCCCAAGATAGCCGTTTAATCAATACACATTGCCGGCAAAGCAGAAGAGCCCTTTGATCCGCACTTGACACGTTTCGTCATTGCCGACGACAGCATAAAGGCTGGAGAGCACACTGTACGTGATGACTGCCCAACAAACCTCGAAAATTGTCTCACCATGGCCCCTCCAGGATTCGGGCCGCCTGGGTACTCTGTCCCACAGCGCTACATGCATCGCGAACCGCCCCCAGAAGGGTCCGACACAAACACCCGGCCTTATGCGATCTTCTTCTCCTACCTGTTGACATGTCTTTCTGTCGCCATACTCATCGTTTTTAGGCTCTTCAAAAGAGCCAATGTGCTTCAAAAGTCGACAACCGCGCAGCTCCCACCAAGAAGACATGTCTGGCTGTTCAGTGCACTTGCTTTGGGCAGCTTACTCACAACATGGACGTACATGTTCCAATACTTCAAGGTCAGCTATCAATCGTGGCTGATGTGGCGGAGCTACTACGAACTTGAGCCGCATCATAAACATTGGGGGTTGTGGTTGAAGGAGACCTCCTTGTTCAGGGAAGCATGGGAGACAGTCATTGTCGGCAACGCGAGGTACTGGTGGTCACATCAAATCTTTTTCTTCGCATTAGGCCTGGGACTGTATCTGGAGCAAAAAGGTAATTGACTAGAATTGTTTTTCAATGGCAACAACTAACGGATTCAGGCATTCGTCGTGGTATCAGATATACCTGGGCGTTCATGCTGCTCGGCCAGATTGTAGCCATCAGCTTTGCTACGAACCTCTTCTTACTCACCCTGCTTCTGAGCCCGCCTGCGCCTGCTCCTTCATCTTCTGGAGTGCGTCGGCCAACATGGTTAGGCCCCTGGCTTCTCAATCTCTTCGCCATCTTTGCAACGGCTTACCCCGCAATGCAATTGGCGGATGATCATTACTGGCATCATCCTACACACTTTATGCCAGTGCTCATGGCTCCGCACGTGGCTCTAATGGTCTTGCCAATAGTCCGCGCTATCGTGCCACTTGAATACTTCAACAACGATACCCAATTTACCGACAAGATCTATAACTATATGTGGGTACTGGTTGTTGGGAACGCCGGTTTAATGCTGGCATGGACGACCGCAAGAGCATATACCTACAGTGGTTTCGTAGGAATCCAGAGTGCTTTGTTGGAACACCCAGCTGTAAGCAGTGTGGGATTCGATGTCATCTTCTGCTGGATCACTTGGATATGCTGGTATCTGATTCAACAGAAACCTGATTATGGTGGCGCGAGGCAAACGGCCGAGGTCAAGAGCGCGCGTGCTGACGATGGACCGGACACCGCTGTAGGAGCCAGTGGATATGATGTCGGAGTGAGACGTCGCTAATGTGGTGGTTCTTCGTCTTCAGGGTTGGCTATACGATGGCTCTGCGTTTTACGGGCAGGCAGAGGAGACTCTGTGTACTGTGGCTGTACGGGGGATATTGGTGAGGCGTTTGCGTTACTGTTGCATCCGTAGTCTACAGCTTGTCAGCCAGCGCCCTGTAGGGGAACAAAATCTTTGGGCGTACACACTCTATTGTAGCTTGTAGATATGAGCGGTTACTCTGAAGGCATCTATTCTCACACAAGAAAACCTAGAGTTGTAATGATTGCATGAAAGTAGTCTGGTAGCTCAATTGTTCATGCTCCTGCACGTTTGGCACTAATAGTCGCAACCAGCTTCATCATGTATGGAGGCCACTCGCGAGCTCTTGTAAAAGGCAAGCTACCATCGCAAAGGAAGCAATTCGATCTTGGTTGTCATGTCGAGGCTGTTGTTAGGTTGTGAATCCGGCAGTATAGGATGTCACATATCCAGCGACTTTGGAAGTCGATAAGATTTGGCGCTAACAGAAACTCCGGCTTATGACCGGCCAAACTCATGCGTCATCGAGAGCAACCATTATGTTCTCTCATTCTCAGTATTGTACTAGGGTACACAATCAACCACAATATCCAATGCATCAGCATATCACGAGCAATGTCGTATATGGCCTCGTACCAGGCTTAATCAGCCCACCACATCAGTGCTTACAGTACATTTCCATATTGCTCACACCTAGAACCGTAGCTTTTCGCCGCATCATTGCTTTTTTCACCTGCATGTTCGGTACTGAGCTATCGAATTACTCTTCGTATCAACAGCTGATCCTCACGCTATATGCGCCCTGAGGCCCTGCGCGATGGTGGCACTTTTGGCACTTTATGCAAGGCTTATCCGACAGGCTGGGGAGGCTTTATTCGCTAACGCGCGGGGTTGATCTATAAGTGCCCTATTCGAGGTGAACGGTCCCTCATCGGGCATGCCGTGCGGCCCTGAATACGGAGCGAACGCAGCCGACTGGAAAAGATCACCATGGGTGTGGCAAAGCGAGCGAAGCTACCGGCTAGCGGAACGTCATGGGCTGGCTGGGTGCCGCAACCATGGTACACATGACCGTTGTGCAGGTGGAACCTTTGGGGGGAGCTGCGACGAGGCTGCGCGAATACGGCGACTACGAAGGTTGATCGTGAGTATAAAGCCCAGCTGTGCCTTTGTTGAAGAAATGCACCCATAACAGCATCTACATACTCGATCCACCCCTAACCTACCTCACGAAACCTATTCTTGCGTCAATCGCCTATAAACCCAAGCAACATCAGTCAGCATGAAGGCCTCATCAATCGCCCTGACCCTTGCGGCAGCTGCCATCACCAACGCACAAGAAGAGCCGTACTACAACATCACCACTGCACCTTTCTTCCTTGTAGTCACATCCGAAGACGGTGGCGTTAACGACACGCTGAGCGCCTGTCACGTCGGTGCGGCCCTTGAATCGCTCTGCTTGAGCAATGCCGGCGCGGGTGACGCCCCAGAACCTCTCGATGGCGCACACTTCCAGTTCAACACATCCATCTACTCCCAGGCACCAGAACCCTCTTTCGGCATACCTGGTATCTTGACTTGGTGGCTGAACACCACGACCCTTGACGTCCCATCATCGGCGGCTTTTGGTCTCAACCCGATCTCCAATCTCGCATCCATCACCATCAGCCCCGGCAGCGATGATGCAACGTTGCTAGCTTTCAACTCTCAGGACGAGCTGACCCTTCAAGCTTATGTTCCGGGTGAGAATTTTACAGGCAGTACTCAGGAATTCTACCGCTGGTATGCTTGCGACACATCCTACTCCAGCTACACGTACAACAACCTGGTGTGGGGACTGGGTGCAGGCAAGCCGGATAACCCGACCTGTATCTCAGTCAACGTGACGAGGGTGTTTGTTTAATGCGGAGAGGCCGATGGGACGAGCTAGTGGTAATGGGGCGACCATTGGAAGATCAGAACTAGAGGAGGATTTACGACTTTAATGTGCTACGCAGATAATGCTAATCAACGATGAACACTCGTTTCCATGTGCAACTTGTCTCACACGTGCGACTTGTCAGTTACCAATCACCGTGACGTTAACCAGCATCCTTCTATATCTGTATAATTTCAGTTCCTTCCCTCTCAATTCGGATCTCAATCCAACACCATTACGATATTTACTTTTTCCCCCATCCTTCTTGCTGTTGAGGCCAGGACTGGGCCTTGCATGCAGATCCTTCCAGAGCTAAGGAAATAGCACATGATAGGGCGCGAGGGTGGGAAGGACTTCGACAGTAGTGATGTGCATAGTCGGTGCGATGCAAGGCTTAAGTTCAGTCCTCGAAGCTTAAGCGGCTAGCGTGACGCGTGAGGCTAACTGGGGCGGGCGTCATTCTCCATACCGCGTATCCAGCCACCTAGCTTTCTCTCTCTCTCTCTCTCTCTCTCTCTCGCCACCATTGAAACAGTCGAGACTCTGTTCATGACCCTCGGCAATGCTATTTGCATCTACCCCGGGTAATGGAGCGCTAATGACGCGTCGATATTCACCAGATTGCCGCTCTTGACAGCCATGTGTGCTTCAAACCACCACAAGCTCGCAGGCCGCGAATACCAGACCCACCGCTGTCGTACGAAGCACCATGCGGCTGCTGTTAGGTCTATAATCTCCGATCAATTTCAAAGGCGTTGCCCAGGACGGGTAGGTTTTCGAGGCGGCTGCATTTAGCCTGCCCCGCGCAGATCCGGAGACAACGTGTGATGGCGTTCGGGGAAAGCATGCCGTCATCGTGCTTTCCGTCGAGTGTGAGCTAAGATGAGCCACCAACGCAATGGCAGTGTGATAGACGGTCCTGAACCCTTTTCTTCAATAATCGCAACGGACAACACTGTTCGTATGCCGACTTTGCATAACACTTGCTAGCCAGTACTTTCGTCATTCTTTCGCATCGCATCGTCCTCATGTTCTCTTTCACCTTACTTCTCTTACCATTGGTACTACTCACAACACCTGTAATCGCGCAGTCTTCTTCCTTGTCATCAAACACGCCTATACCTAGCAGTGCTGTAACAACGATCACTGGTGCCTCTAGTACTCTTATCAGCACGTACTCTGCCGATTTCTCGAGCGGCCTCCCAGGCATAGTTCTGACCACGACTACTTCTGGACGGCAAAATGCTACTGCCACATCTTCGACGACAACCGAGGAGGTCACAGCTATAGTCGGCTTATCTCCTTCGACCGAGTCCGCAAACGGTACCGCTTCAGCGACAACGTCTGCTCGTCCTCGTCCGACTAACACTCGGCCATGCAACGGATACGTCGAGTTTTGCGAACGGAGGTTCTCAAACATCTCTATGGTAGTCGCACACAACAGCCCATTCGTGAGACCGCATAATGCAGCCAGTAACCAAGACTATCCAGTGCTTAACCAGCTGGCCGATGGAATTCGAGGGTGTAAGCTACTGTTACATGACAAAGAACGCATTGGCTAACATTCCGCGATAGTGCAATTTGAGACCCAGAAACCCAACGCGTCCTCCGCGATCCGCCTCTGCCACACCTCTTGTAATCTGCTCGACGTGGGCACCCTCGAATCATATCTCACGACGGTCAAAGGCTGGCTCGACCAACACCCATACGAAGTCATTGCTATCATAATGGGTAACAATAACGGGCAAGATACCCGTATACCAGTAATGGACTATGTCGCACCGTTCCAAGATTCAGGAATTATGGAGTACCTGTGGACACCACCATCGGCTAGTCTGAACCTGACCGACTGGCCCACGTTGGCCGAGATGATTATTAGAAACCAGCGCGTGGTGGTCATGATGGACTACGGCACAGACCAGAGTCAGGTCCCGTGGCTACTGAGCGAGTTTGACTATCAATGGGAAACGCCCTTTTCGCCTACAGACCCCGCCTTCCCATGCACCCAGCAACGACCTCCAAACCAAGCAGAAGATGTCTCACGCAATCGCATGTACATGATGAACCACAATCTGAATATTCAAGTCAGTTTCCCCGGCGTCAGTAGTATTCTCATACCAGCATACTCGCTGCTTGACCAAGTCAACGCAGTTTCAGGTAATGGTAGTGTTGGTCTCAACGTACAGAATTGCGAGAAGACGTGGAATCGTCCGCCAAACTGGATACTTGTCGACTACTACAACTACGGCAACTTTAATGGATCTGTCTTCCAGGTGGCTGCGACGGCTAACAATGTTACCTACAACGACCGCTCGTGCTGTGGTACAGAAGATACCAGTGCAGGGCACATTCTTACGACTCAAGGTCTTCTTGCAGTTTCGTTGGTTGTTGGTGCTTGCCTGTTTTGGTGAGCACAGAAAAGTAAAGATTGCGTACTTCTACGTTGGACTATCACTTCTAGTTTACAAGTAGTGGAGAAGCGAGGCGTTTCAGGAGTTCGGGAAGGTGTACGTCTACTAAGACCTGTATCTACCATAACACTCAAACAATCTAAAGGTCTTTAATGTATTCTTCTTGATCAAAAAGCATCCCAAGAGTAGAGCGTAAAAGTATTAACATGTCGTTCCCAATCATACATTCGAACACGAAGAGTCCATATGTATTACTACAAGAAACTGGCCAGGCTCTATCCATATATATGTATATGCCGTTTTTCTAGGCGTCATTCACACTTTATACTTTGCTCACTTCTTCGCCGCAGCATCGGCCTTCTCCTGCGCCTTCTTCTCCATCTTCTCAACAGCCTCATCGATCTTGACGAAAGACCAGCTATTCCAGAAAGCGGGATACAGAAAAGGCCGAAGATCAAATCTGTTGTCATCAGGCGAATAGCTCTCGGCATGGTATGCCGGCGTCATAACAGTCATCTTATGTCGGTTGATCTGGTAAAAGTGCGTAAACCTCTTGACCTTGTCTGCGACTTCTCGAATAGGCTTGTCATGCCAATCTGAGCTGAGTCTCATAAACATGCCATAAGGTCCAAGTTTGTCGCACTTGCGCAGACGTCCAAACGTGCTTAGCTCCGCGTATGTCATTCCCATGTCGGTTTCATCGTCCTGGACGTAGTCTTCTGTGATTGGCCGCAGCTCTGCAGTGGGTGTGGCCGAGACGAACTCATCCAAGATTGGTAGTTTGAACTCGACGGCGGCCCAGGTGAGGAAGCGGCGCAGATCGACTTTCGAGATGGATCCGATGGGGTTGATGTCGGCGCTGGAACAGTCGTATTTTGTTAGATATCCTCGAAGACATTCGTCTACATTGCCTGATCCAAGGACGAGTAGGCCGCCTCCGCCTGGCCTTTGGCGTACTGTGGGTCGAAGTTGTGCTTGCATGTACGAGACTACGAGACGTATCCGCGCCTGGAGATTTTGGAGCGCAAGATCTTCAGTTGGGGTTCCGGAGAAGCTAGGCTTAAAGTCGTTGCCTTTTTCAAAGACATCTTGGAAAGTGTGGAATATAGGGTCGATGGGCACGACGATGTGATCCGCTCCGATATCCTGGGCGAGACGCTGAGCACGGTCTCTCGTCTCAGATGAAGACTGTTCTGTGTTTGGAAGATAGGCTGTCGAGAGAATGGAGCCACACAGTTCCTGTGCATCTTTTGGTAACCAGCCTTTTGGGTGGTAGGGTCCAGCAATCCTCTCGACGTCTTTGCGAACTTGCTCGTTACCCTCCTGGAGAGCAGCTACGACGATTCGACACATGCTGTAAACCAGGGTCGCCGTCGAACAGGAATCGAGGCCTCCAGAAAGAGGTATGAAGAAACCCGCAGCTTTGGAGTGTCGTAGATAGTCCCATAGCCAGCATGCAGGTCCATTCGCAATCTCCGACTCGGGAACATGCGTGACTAGAGGGCGGGCTGGGCTGGGACGGATATCTCGATCGAAGGCGTTGTCTGAGGGTGATAGCCGGTAGTCGACCTTTTCACGGTGGTAAGGGGGGATGTTGAGGGCCTGCAGACCTCGGCTTGGACTTGCTCGATATGCCCAGACTTCTTCGAGGTCGACGGTACATGTGACAACCTCGACTTCGTTCAGCGAGAATTGAGAACCCTGTGCTCGGATGGTACCGTTGACGATGATCATGGCACAGCCGTCGTAATAAAGTCTGTCTCCATCACACCCCTGCTGGTTTGCGTACAGATATACACCTCCGCACTTGGCTGTTGCCTCCTTGATGAGGTTGATGCGGGTATTCAGCTTCCTGAGCTCATGGTGGCTACCACTGCTATTACAGATGATATCGGCGCCGGCAAGTGTCAATGCGCCATGCGGGCTTTGAGGTGTGAACAATTCCTCGCACGTTTCGGCGGAGATTGAGCAGTCAATCGCATCGAGGATGCAGTCGCCGATTGGGACGGTAATGGAGTCTTGTTTTTGCAAAAGCTCATCAGGAAGATCTCGGCGTAGATCGTAGGAGTCTAACATGTTCTTTTTCCAGGGCGTAAACCACCTCATCTCTCGATAATTGCCGGTGCCTGCAAGATCTTGCTTGGGTCTAATGAAACATATCTTGCCGTCCAGGGCAATGACACGAGCATTGTAACGTATGCCGTTGTGCATGACCGGCATCCCTACATCGATGATGATGCCATAGCAAGACTCATCGAGAAGGATATCGGACATCATCTGCCACGAATGGAGATATGTGTCGTTTTCCAAGAAGTGGTCTGCAAAAGTCAGTATACACGTCACATATATTTCCTATAGAACTCGCCTTGACATCCATAACCAGTGATTTCCAACTCTGGCCCGCACCGTAGTCGTGCACCTTGAGCCTTTGCGGTGCGAATAGACTCTTTGATGCGGTCCCTGTTTTCCGTCCATGCTCTGAATAAGGTTAGTAGCTGCTCGGCGTGTTGTTGAGAAAGCAAAACTTACAACGAGAACTGATGTAAGCTACAAGTAGAGACGGTGATCAGTCGCATGTTGAAGTGTTGTGTATGCAGCAAAGCCGATTATAGAATTGTGCAATGCAGGGCGCAGTTTGGTGTTGTATGATGTGGGAACAAAGGTAATGGACAAAGTGACGCAAGTGGTGATTAGGTAAGCAAACAGTCGGCTGGTGAAGGTCGCGTTGGAGTAGGAACCATGGTTGAGGCTCGATGTCTGTTTGGCGGGGCACTTTGGTGGTGGGGGTTGTGGCACTAAAGCGCCAAGATCGCTTGGGCTGGTCGTGCGCCTCACCAGGGTGAAGACGCTACCATATCGGCGCCGTTGACTCGGTCGGGGGTACAATGTCAGGTACCCAGTGAGTGGGCGTATCTACTCACTGGCTTTTCCTCTCCACCGTTGCACAGGATTCCCGACTCATCCTCCTCCTGCATGACCTCTGCGGTCGCAAGGCCCCGCTGGATCGTTTAGCAACTACGAGAAGCACCGTGATTTGGCTCGGACGTCGGCTAGACGTTTGTCACTTGCCCTGCGTTCTGGCCATCTGTGTGGTTGGCTGGGCTTGGTGTCTAGATCTGCCCAACGTTGAGCCGGCCACTGCTCTAGTCATCGATTAGTGGCTGCCGTGTGCCCAGGTGGATTCTTTATGGTAAATCCATCTCCGCAAAAGGGTCCTGGTATCTACATGCTTCAATGTCCGACTCACACGACCATGCGATTGCGCGTGCCCAAGCTCGGAGACGACGAAGGATCGATCATGCGGATTTAGCGAAGGAGCGCGAGAAGGCTTTCTATCGGTAAGCATCTCCATGGGCATGCGCCACATTGAGAGCTACACTCACACCATGCACAGTTACTACCCCCGACCAGGCTCTCATCTTCCCCAGACCGATGGTCCTGGAAGCCGCCAAGCATCGCCGTCGCCTGCCCCCAAATCGCAAACACCTCCGAACACCCCGCCGCCTTCTCTAGACTATACCCCGCGAGCGTCGGACGATAAGGCCTTGACCGCATTTGCACAGTTGGGAGCTCTACGCCTGAATGCGCGGAGGTGTCTCATATCCTTCTTCGACAGGAACGACTGCTTCCTCCTCGCTGAAGCTACACGCACCTTGTCGCTACAAACCGGAGAGCCCGAGTTCGACGATGACCGATTATGTTTCGGCACCACCATCTTCCCCAAGGAGCAGAGTCTCTGCAACTACACCGTCAACCTGGCTCCGAAATACAGCACGCTCCCTATCGATGATCCGAGCGACTTGCCTTCCCTCGTTGTCAACGACCTTAGCAAAGACACACGCTTTTGCAACTTTCCCTTCGTCAAGGGCTTGCCCTACTCGCGCTTCTATGCAGGAGTGCCAATTCGCAGCCCAAGTGGCCACAGCATCGGTACCTACTGCGTGCTGGACGAGAATCCACGCGATGGGTTGTCGCCGCACCAGCTCGCTTTCTTGAAGAGTATGGCCGGGACGGTAATGCGACATTTGGAGAGGACCAGGGCAGCCGAAGATCACCGCAGGGCTAAGATTATGGTCAAGAGCTTGGGTTCATTTGCCGAGGGGAAGAGCGGGCTGGAGAATTGGGCCAATGACCCTTGGGATGTAGACCAACCGCAGGTGCCCGGCTTGCCAGATGTTATCATACCCCAACGGCAGCGTCCTGCTGCCACGTCCGATGCTGCGCAAGAACCTGTTGTGCTCAACGGACACGACCACACAGAGCCGGGTATGAGGAATCCGAATGATACCCCACCCCTAAGCAGTGTGCCACCGGCCATAGTAAATGGAGAGACGATTGATGGCATGCGCCCAGAGATAACTACTACCACGTCGTCCACCTCCACGAAAGGCTTCACCAAAAATGATCAGAAGGACAGGGTAGCTCCAGAATTGAGAGCTCACTTCACACGGGCAGCGAACATGATCGTGGATTCAACCGAGGCGGAAGGCGTGGCATTCTTTGATGCTAAAATCAGTACATTTGGAGGTCTGGTCGACGACGACTTCGATCCCGATCAGCTACCCGAACCGGACAAGCCTTGCGATATCTTAGGGGCGGCTCTTTGCAGGACCGACCGCGATACTAAGCCGCTACCCAACAACACCGGTGAATGCATCTCAGAGAGCGTTCTCAGACACCTCCTACGACTTTATCCACATGGTCAAATTTTCCATCTTGACGATGATGACACTACGACCCCCCTTATCAACTCGCCGTCAACTGGCATCGAGGACGTCGAGTCGGTCGATGGCTTTCCATTCAGTACACCACGCAAAGCCGAATCCACTCGAAGCTTGGACGACGAAACTTATCTCAGAAAAGTCTTCCCGACTGCTCGAAGTCTGATACTGTATCCCTTGTGGGATCCGCATCGCGAGCGCTGGTTTGCGACAGCTGTCATCTGGAGCTCTGAACCGAAGAGAATCTTTACAACTGAACAGGAGCTCAGCTATCTGGCGGCATTCAGCAACTTTGTCATGGCTGAAGTTGCTCGTCTGGATACAAAGCTTGCCGATGCTGCAAAGGCGGATTTTATTTCGTCCATCAGCCATGAGCTACGCTCTCCCCTGGTACGTATTCCACGAGATGAAGTTGGAAGCACACACACTAAGTGCATCTTTTAGCATGGCATACTCGGAATGACCGATTTGTTGAAAGATTCTTTTCTGGACAGCCAACAGGTATCCCATGTAGCAACCATCGAGACATGTGGGAAGACTTTACTGGAAACCATCAATCACGTAAGTTGTGATAAGCTGCATCAGATACTGCCACTAATTTCTTAGGTTCTTGACTTTGCCAAAATCAACAACTTGACACGTGGGGTTTCGAAACGCCAGAAGAAGCGTACACAGAGCGCGAAGCACATGATCAGTCCAGGTCAAGCTCATACCAATGATATCATGACACTGATCAACGACGTTGACATGAGCATACTGACAGAAGACGTGGTCGAGAGTGTTTTTGCCGGCTATACATACGCAAAGACATCTGCTCAAACATACGAGTTAACCACCTCTAAAGCGAACAAACCGCCAATATCTATCATTCTCGATATCAACCAGAGCGATAACTATGTCTTCCGCACACAGCCCGGTGCATGGCGCCGAGTTATCATGAACTTGTTCGGCAACAGTTTAAAGTATACACCTGGCGGATATATCAAGGTCAAGCTGGAGGTGAAGAGGAAGCCTGAAAATGAAGACGAGACGTGCGAATTCCGATTTTCGGTTACAGACTCTGGTATTGGAATGTCAGAGGATTACATCAACAACAGGCTATTCCACTCCTTTGCCCAGGAGAACCCGCTGAGCCAGGGTACTGGCCTGGGTCTGTCAATTGTCAAACAGATTGTCGAATCTCTGGGAGGTGAGGTAGAGGTGCGTAGTGAAAAAGAACGCGGCACCAAATTCACGGTCACCTGTCCTTTGAAGGAGTCACGGATGTCGCCTAACTTCTGTGCGACTGGCCCAGAAGGGGAGAAGGATTTGCAGCTACAGCAAATTATCAAACGCACCAAGGGATTGAAAGTGCGATTTGATGGCTTCAACGAGGAAGAGGAGTTCCATGTTAGGGACCTGAAGAACAAAACAGCCTCGAAGCTATCTTTGAAGGCGCTTACCAGCCTTTGCGATGAGTGGTTCGGCATCGAAAGATGCGAGGAAGGCGATAATGCGGCAGAGCCAAACTTGATAATCGCCACGGAGACTTGCGCCAAAGCATTGCGAACTACGTACAGCCAAAATCCTGGCAGAGTATCTCCGACCCCTGTTATTGTCGTTTGCCAGGGCGCTGCAGCTGCGCAATCAACAACTGCAATCACAGTGCCGGGCATAATCTTCGAATGCATTAGTCAACCTGTAGGACCACACAAGATGGCCAAGGCCCTCTCGTCATGTCTCGATCGCCACACAAAACGAGCAGAGACACAGACTCACAAGATCGACTCCGTTATCCACCGGATAACAGAGCTAAATCTAACAGAGAAGAAAGCAGCACCCCGTCGTATCGACCAACTGCACGTCGTAGAATCAACTCGACCTCAGCTCACCAGCATTAATAGTGCCCCAGAAATGCGCTCAATCAACAACCCCACTCCGCCCAAAGCCTCGAAATACCTAAAACCTTCCCGGGCGCTTCGCTGTCTTTGCGTAGACGACAACCCCATCAACCTCCGCCTCCTCCGTACCTTTGTCGACAAACTCGGCCACCACCACGTCCTCGCGGCCGACGGCCTCGAAGCCCTAGAAGCCTACAAAGCCGCCACCAACGACGAAACAGAAGAATCGCGCATCGACGTCGTATTGATGGACATCAACATGCCCATCATGGACGGCCTGGAAGCTACCCGCCAAATTCGCGCCCATGAAATACGGTCCGGATTACCTAAAGTCACAATTATTGCGTTGACTGGCGTAGCCGACACGGACATTCAACAAGAAGCTAATTCGAGCGGGATCAATCTGTTCTTGATTAAGCCAGTTAGGCTGGCTGATTTGGAAGTCATACTCAAGGGTGTTGTTACGGGGCAGGATAAAGCGAATCTAGAGCTTGAAGCTGAAAAGGAAAAGATCAGACTGGCTGAAGCGGAAGCTACACTCAAGGCCAAGAGTGTGTCTACAGATGAGAAGACGAGGAGTATCAATGTTGGTGTTGCTGTGGTGAAGGGCGAGGAAGACGATATCACAAAGGCCGCTGCGGTCAAAGTGTGCCAACACAAGAAGAGTGCGTCGATTGTATGAAAAGAAGGAAAGCCCACATGAGGAGGATAAGGGCCATGGGATCTGGCCTCCTTTTTCTGCTTGCGCATATGCTAAAAAAGAATTACGCCGTATAGGTCGTTCACGGGACGCTTCTTCGAATGACGGATATTCGCCTCGCAAGGCGTCTACGCGTATCTCATCGTTGATAACGAAACTGGGTATGGACAGGGAGTAGTAGTGAAGAAAGAAAAAAAAAAGAGAGGAAGAAACGAATGGAAAAGAAGAGAAAAGTTATGCATTTTGGCGTACATTCGACTGCAGTTTGGGCGGTTCCTTTTCTTTTTCTTGACGGATGGGACACAGAGAGAGAGAAGTTCAAGAAAATGCTTGGCGACACACACACAAAAGCAACGAAAGAGAGGCGGCATGTTTAGGCGATTATACCCTTCTCCATCTTGCATTTTCTTCTTCGTCCTTTTTGTTCTCTCATGGTCATAGGGCGGATGGATGAGCGTTTTTTTTTATTACGATGGCGTTCTTGTTGTTTACGAATTCGTTGACTGGACATGGTAGCATAGCGCGGCGTTTTCGTTTTTGTGTGAACACATGGATAGACATGGTGGACGGATGGATGGATGGATTGATGGATGTACAGGCGACACGAACAGCGTTCACAGTCAGCAACGATTGTGGTACGTTTGAATTGGAAAATCAAAGTAAAATCACTACTGCTTTTGCACACTGCTTAGTTTTTTTTGTGAATATTACCAGTCCAACTTCTCGTTTTTCGTTAATTTCTAATACAATCGTGTTGCTATGAAATGATGAGTTCAAGGAATGTGTGTATGTGTATGAGACTTGCATGTGGCTAATCCGATCATCGCTTCCTCCAACGTGGTACTAAGGCCTAGTCCAATTCAAATCCATGTTCAGTCTCTTATCCAAAAAGTGGCCCTCGCACATGCATGCAAAAGACTCAAGAAGCGTTGTGATCCGCAACAGCCTTACGAACAGCAGGGCCCATGGTAGCAAAGACCTCCAAAGCAATAATATGCATGACAACGACGAACATGCCAACCATGATAAAGAAGTTCTTAACAAACAACTTGATGAGGCGACGGCGTGCCTCCCAGTTGAAAGACCTCCAGGCATCCAAGAAGCTAACAACACCAGTTCCACCCATCATCTTGCTCACGACCTTGCCGCCAAAAGTACGGTCAAAAGGCACAATGGTGTCTTGGTCCTCGGGGAGGATAGAAGCTTCAACGCGGACTAGCGTAACCATAGCAGGGAGACAGAGGAAGAGCGTGCATGTAACTGCGAAGACGACGACGGCGAGGAAGCGGGCGATGAGACCGACCTTCTGGGCACAAGTAACATGGCTCTCTTGATCCACCTTGTGGAGACGGAGGAGCATGGCTACGCCCACAGTGAGGTATACGCTAACGTACGGCATAACGGCTTTGAGCGCGGCGGGAACGGCGAGAGTCTTCCAGTGGGATTTGGAGGGGATGCGCTGCAAGAAGGTGGCTGAGGTCGGCATACTAACAACCTTGTGTGTCCACGCAGCATGTACGTTAGCGAGGAGGGCACCGGTAATGGCAGCGCCGAGGACGGCTTGACCAGGCATGTTGGGCAGAGCGCCGCTGAAGAAGGTGGCGGTGGTGCCAGCGAGGACCGAGTACAGCGCGTGGATCTTGAAGCCGCGGAAGCGCGCGAAGCGACCGGCATTTGCGACGAGGTGGCGGAGGGTAGCCCTGATAGACGACGTGATGGGCTTTTGGTTTACGAGGGTGATGGTGGGACCGCTTTCGAGGAGCGTTTCCTTTTCGTCGGCACCTTCTTTGTCCGAGGGGGACAGTGTGGTGGAGGGCGTCTCGGAGACGGTTATAGCAGCTACGGGAGATTCGACCATGCAGAGAGTTACGACGACTTCGTTGAGCATGTAGGAGAACTGGTTGTGAGTTGTTAGTACAAGTCCGTAGGGATATAGGGAGACGAAGGAGTACGTACGAGGCTGATGGCTACCACAGAAACGAAGATGGTCGCATAGACGAGGACGGCACCCCAGATGGGTACTTCGTCTGCCCAGTCTGGTGTCCTTCCACCGTTCCCATTGATGGCGCGCTTGACAAACGTCGCCGTGCGCGGGTGCGACACGGCGCGACGAGCGAGCTCAACGAGGACCGTCATGTTGCTTGCCTCGCCAGTATTACTGATTGATAGATAGTATGTGGAAAAGGTCGCAGTCGCTCAAACGGTAGAAAAGGGTAAAAGAAGGGAAGAGAAGAGAGGCTGACGACAGGTAAAAGGGTTGAGTGACAGGTTGGCGTTGTCACAGCGGCACGGCGTTGAATACGGATGAGCGTCCAAGGAGGCGAAGTCGAGCCAAGAGGGCCGCCCCCATTGACGCAACAAGACGGTTGCCTGTTGCGCACTGACCACGTGCCGACTTAGCCGCTGATCTATAATAGGCCTGGTCTCACGTCTACAACACAGCATCGAATGTGCTCGAGGTGATTTACGTGGATCGCGTTCCCATGTATGCGCAAACTTCTTGGGAAAGTCCTGGGGCGTTTTGTTCCACACTGCAATGCTGGCCTCTGCCAAAGGTCATGTTTTGGTGTCATAGAGGAAATATATCTGAAACTTGTTCAGCGTCGCTCAGTGATGGGTGAGCCTGTGTCCAATACTCTCAGGCACCCTGTTTGACCATTGGAGCCAGTCTTGGACGCCTGATCTCTTCAGCATCCACGCATGACGAGCACTTGTTCACGCCCATCATATCACGCCTTCAAGCAAACAACCATAACAAGACAATATTTCATTACACCTCCCGCCATTCATATGACGAGACAGACAACTCCCATATTACCATGATTATCGTACCGGAACCTCACCCATGTCAGACAGGATTACTTCAGAAAAGGTGAATGTAGAGGAGAATACAGGAAGGCGCTAGACTAGAGACCAAGAAAAGGCTTTTTAAAGGAAGTGATACACAACGCTGGCTTGTTTCCAATTTCAGGCTTCGTGGACTTTGCACAGAAACCGAGCGTAAGTCATCATACGTGAGGCATCGTGAAGATGTGTGCGTGTCAGAGATGGATAGTAACGTATTCGAGGTTGCCATGAGCTGGTGTGAGAACATCAGCTTATAGGGCAGGATGGGCTGCTGCGATCTTGGTGCCCTCGGTCTCGGACTCGTCCGAGGAAGACTCAGCCTCAGCAACGGGTGCGTGAGTGGGAGCAGAGGGGAAAGCCTCCTTCTTGACTTCAGGAGATGTGGAACGCCCGCGGTACTGGTTGACGGTCTCCTGGGCCTTGGCCGTGGCCTGCTGGGTGTAGCCTTGCACAGTCTTCATGGCGTTTCCGGCATGCTGGTTAGCAAGGCCCTTGACCTGCTGAGCCTGCTGGTTGGCAATGTTGTAGCCCTTCTCTAGCTGAGCATCGATGACCTCCTTGTTCTGGATGTATACGAGGGGACCGAGGAAGGTGATGAATGTCGAGATCAAGGCCAAGCCCCAGAGCGGGACGAACTTGATGAGGAAGTAGGAGATGAGGGAAGCGAAGAAAGCCTAAGTGAGTGACAGTCAGTTTATGGAATCAAGACCAACATGAGGGAACTGCTTACAGCAACAGTGACGTAGACGTTCTCAGCGAACATGATACGCTGAGACTCGATAACGAAGAAGTTGATGAGCTGCTCGACGTCGTCGGTCATGCGTTCAAGCGAAGCCTTGGGAATCGTGTAGTACTGGCGTGGCCTGAACTGCGAAGTAAGACCACGTCCGATAGCCACCTGTCCAACCACCTCGGCCGCCGCCGTAGCACCGAGCACCATGTAGGAAGTCTTGAAGATGTAGCGGATCAGGTTCAGGTATCGTGCCGCGAAGATGAAGACAACGGTTGCACCGAAGGCGATACCGGTAGCGCGGGGGTTCTTCCAGCTCAACAAGCGGTAGAACATGCTGTGGTAGTCTGATGCCTGTTAGCTCCTTGGTCCATATGGGCAACTCAGTATAGCCTACGAGTAAGGTTCTGGCCAGTTGCCGCCTTGTGCTCGGGAATCGTCTTGGAGTTGGCTAAGTCAGCAAACTCGTCGCGCGTCTTCGCGCCCTCTGCCTTGACATTCTGCGCAACGGGCCCTGTGGAGTTTAGCAATGGTCGTGTGCACATGACTCAGATATCTGCACGCTGTTAGCTGTCGTCCAGAGCATGTAGGCATCAACATGTGCACATACCTTACCGTTCATAACGGTCTGCTTGGCGTTCTGCACGCTGGGGTGGTTGTTTGCGGCGTTCATGGCGTGTGAAGCTGCTTTGTGGGTGTGAGTTCAGGAAATCAGGTGTTGTGCGGGCGGCAGATAAGACTGCGATATATGGCGTTAGCTTGCGTCTCGGTAAGGGTCGAAGGCGTCTTGTCCCACTCACCTTACTCTCCAGAATTCCGTTCTTTGCCTTGATTGCGCTGTTTTGCAGGTCCTGGTTGGCGCTGCCGTTGGTCTGCGAGGGGGAGCCGTCCATTTGGTTTATGAGGTCCGGAGTGCCGTTGGGCGTCTGGAGGTCGAAATCGGTTTGCGTGTTATTAAGCTCAACTCGTGGAGCCTCGGACATGTCTTCCGACTTTATGGTGCGAGGGGTAGGATCACGGGTGGATTGAGGGGAACAAGTATGCGAGTATAGTGACAAATTGCTGGGGTATGCGGGAGTGCGAGAGGTAGAAGGTGCTGGTATGGTTTTGTTCGGGCATGTCGTGTGCGCACTTTGTTGGGCATATTCACCAAAACGTCATGGCTCCACCCTGGTCTGGCCATGATTTGTTTTCCACTGCCACTCACAACGCACTCCTGCACATACAGGTTTCACGGCAAACGATGTCATTAGGATACCTGTGCATCATTCCCGCAAATGCCTGAAACTGCTTTGTTGCGTCTTGACTCGTTCTTTCCGCGGGATGCAAATGATTGTTCAGTTGGCAGGCCCAAGCTCGGCCGGTTTGACATGTGAAAGACGGCCAGGTGGTCTTGATTCCCCTCCATGACGCAACGCTGGTCCAATATCACACACAGTCTCACACAGTCTCACGATGCAAACTCCCCCAATGTACGCGTATGAGATACTTGTCTTTGCCTTGTGCATGGTGTTGACCTCCTGATCTACTCTTGCCCATGTCGGGTCCCGGACAGATTCCCCTGCGTCGATCTCCCTTTCATCCAATATCAGATTGTCTCTAGCATGGACCGAGATGTGGTTTGCTCCTGTAGCATCTGGGCATACCGGACATTGGCATTGCAGCCTGCGGGTGACGTTGTCGACAATTTTATCATCCAGTATGCACTTGAGCGTCATAAGGGAAAATGTATCCCCACTTACCCACACTGGTAGTGGACAAGCTCGTATCGCGCTGAACGATGATGTAGGCGCTACGCCTTGCCTCTCTGTCGTCTCGCTCCTCTAGGTTTGGCAACGAGTCGATACGTTAGCGTGGCTTTTAGCTATTGAACATTGCAAATCCCCCTTGTGGTTCGTATTATTTTGTTGACTCCGTGGACCGCGCCGAAATGGTTCGATTGATCGTGCGTCGGAACATCTGGAACTAGTAGGACCAATCACGCAAGCCTAAGCCTTGCGCACATGTCCACGATGGAAGCTATGGATAAGGTCTTTCGCAATCTGCACGTGAATGATTCGGCCATGTATGACCCTAAGCAACTCATAGTAGTTGACTACTGGCACAAGCCTTCGAATGTAGGGGTGCTTTGTGTCTTCGTGAGTAGCGCATGAATGATCCGGCAGACAGCGCTTTTGGTGGGTAAACCCATCGTTTGTAGTACGATGAAGCTCGTAGCCATGAAATCTGCGTTTTGGACATTCCAATCCTATACATGGATAATTAAACATGTTTACTGTGTACAGACCCCAATACGTTGTGCCACAGGGCGAAGCAAAATCCTCGGGTGTGTGTTAAATGGACGAAGGAATGTGGAGGGGAAATTATTGATGGTGGTCACTCCGCTGTCCCTCCGCGGCAGCGACGATGACTGATATGGCCGTCCACGAAGCTGCAACGTCACCCCTCAGCAAGGGCTATCTGCTCGACATATTATTCTGGTGTTTGCGCGTTCTAATGTTATATCTCCTGTCTATGTAGTGGTGCATAATGTCCATTGTTGTCATCGGAAGGAATCCCTTCGCAGGCAGGTGCGAAGAGGAAGGCGGGGGTGCAGGGTCTCACGAGGCAGGCACATGCGCACAGGGCACACTACCACGCGACAGTTCAAAGGTGGGGGTCGTCCCTCTTCGGTTGCTGCTCTGCGAAATGGCGCATCTCATACAGCATAGTCGGGTGAGACTCACGAGAATTGTGCGATGATGCGCACACTTGTGCATCAACTGATTAGGTTGAACGCCATATCGACGGCCTCAACCCCGGGATTCGGGTCTCTTTCAACTCCTAGTCCAGCAGCTATCAGTGTGTCATGGACAGTTGATGAATATCTCCGTTGGCGTGCCGAAGCTGATTTCTCTTGGCCTTGGGTGTGAGTTGCCAATGCTTCAAGGAGCCTCCGAGCGGTCAGCGCCGCTGCGGAGAGGTCTGAGGGGTGTTTGACCTCCCGCCTCCTCGCCAACAGGCCCCAATCGCCGTTGTCTGGAGATAGAGAAAGGCCACAAGCGCCATAGCGGAAGCGTAGCACCATTGGAATTATGCACGTTGCCACAGGGATGACTCCGACGGCCACCAACAGGTCCTCCCGTCAAGATGCTCACCGTTGGACTCGAGCGGCGATTGCCAGAGTCATGCTCCTCACCCGAGGTCATTTCCAGTGCATGTCACAGCCTCGTCAGGTAACGCCTATCAGCGAGGACCAGGAGCAGGATCCAAGGACGCTGGGGTTGGCAGGACATGGCAGCAGGCTGTCCGCACGCCATGGGCGATCGAGGCGGGCTCCAGCGAATATGTGGCGTACCTCCGAAATCCTGGCCAAGGTCTGCCGTTGCGATAAGACCCACCCACACGCGCTGCGGCTTGCGTTTATCACACCTCTCCCAGCCGGTGACTTGTCTCTCTCTCTTCATCTTCATTCACCGCACCCCTCGCACCGTCGACAAAATCGCGTCGAGGCTACAAGCTTAGCTTGCGAGCATACCCACTCTGCCAGCCCAGGTCCTCGGTACGCCAGCAACATCAGCCAAAAAGAGCGACATGGTCAAAGCGCTCATCCATCGCCATCCCCAACTCGTCACCGCTATCGCTGCCACTCAAAATCGGCACTGAGCACGCGACATCCAAACAGCTCCCCCTCTGCGGAGGCGAGAGTCTGTGAGGACTGCTCAACAGCAGCATGATAATACCACGCGATTTATACAATGGCTCTCCCCCTCTGCGCCGAAATCGCCTCGCCAACAACCCGACACTGCTGTACTCTTGGTGGTGCACCGTATTTTCCGCTGTCATTATCGGAATTCGACTGTCTGGCCGCTACATTCGCAATGAACGACTCTTCCGCGAAGACAAAATCATGGCACTCAGCGTCATTCCACTTTTTGCGCGTATGGGTTTCGCTCACGTGGTCCTCATCTGGGGCACCAACAATGTCAACGTCACAAACTTGACGGACCCTGTCATCATCCGTCATCGCGAGATTGGCGCTCAGATGGTTCTCGCAGCGAGGATTTTCTATGCATTGTTGTATGTGCAGTCAGCGACTTGGTTTAGAGTGTGACTAACCCACACCAGCATCTGGATGGCCAAGTTCACCGTTTCAGAGTTCCTGAAGCGCTTGACGGAACGTTTCTGGAAGAGGGGATATGATTGGGGGTTGCGTGGCATACGCATCTTCCTCGTCGTTACTTTTCTGGCGGTTCTCATCGCCACACTGGCAGAGTGCCATCCTACTACCCATTACTGGCAAGTCGTCCCGGATCCAGGACCGCAATGCCGACAGGGCTACGCACAGCTACTTACCATGGGCATTTGCGACATTGTCACCGACGTTTTCCTCATCGCCTTTCCGATCCCGATCATTGTGCGTTCAAGCATGCCATTAAAGCGGAAGATCTCACTCATTACCCTGTTTTCCCTGTCGATCGTTCTGATTGTTGTCACTGGAGCCCGAATGCCTCTGGTCATTCAAAGACAAGGTCTACAGCAGTTCCGCACTGTATTCGCTTCTTCAGAAATTCTGGCTGCAACCATCGTTTCCAATGCCATCGTTCTAGGCTCCTTCCTTCGCGATCGAGGTGTCAAGAAACCCAAGTTCAAAGCACCATCCACCACAGACAGTATGGAACGCAGAGGATCAACACGCCGCTTCACAGATCAGACCTGTAGTAGTGATGAAGATCTTGCCCGGTCGCTGGGATACCGTACAAAGCCTGAGTTGCTCGAGAAGTCGACGAGCCTACCGAGACCGGCTCCTGTCGCGGATCTTGACCTCCTGTCGTCTTCCAGACAACCTGGTCCTTTTATAAACAACAACTGGAAATTCCCCGATGAAGAGGCTGGCATGCTCCAGAGCAGCGATCAGTCAAATACGACAGTCGAAGACATACGGGACCCGATGCCCAGTCCTCGTGCGAGACGCGTATCGTGGTTCGACGTGGGTGGGTTGTTGGAGAACCCAACTGTAGCTCCCTCACCCACTGACTCGGTCATCGCGCACGACTTCGCAGCCCAGCCGCGGCGAGGTTCCAGAGCCTCGAACACAATCACACCAAGTGCGCGCCCATTTCTGCCTCAAGCACGACGCAACTCTCGACTTTCACAACAGTCGGAGGACTATGAGATGTCATCAGTTCGGTCCACCCATCAATTGCAAGACCTCGGCGGCTTGCTCTCAGAAGACCGCGAGCAAGAAGAAGCCCAGTCTACCCCATCTCCACACTCGAGCTCTTCAGCCGGTCCTCCATGTCGATACGCGCCTATACAACGTACATCGACGCGCTCAACGCAAACAAGCTACGATGTACCATCCCTACAAGATCCTGGAGGCTTACTCTCTTCCGCGCCCCCTCCTCCGTCTACTCGACGCAACCCTCCCCAACAGGGCCGCAAAGTGCCGTCCTTACAGGATGCTGGCGGTCTTCTTGGTTGACGACACCCATTCCTCCTTTACATTTCCCCTGCGTGATACCCCGGCCTTTGCGGCCTCTTTTGCATTCGCATAGCCTGCCGACTGCTTTCCAATATGCTTTCTTTTTTTTGTCAGTACCCGCGCGATATCCCCTCCATGGATCGGCGATGATGGATTTACGATTAATGGGCTACGACATTTCCGGATGCAATACCCTATGGAGCCATCAGAGATCTTAGATGGATATCGGAGATTAGATTACGATCTAGAGTCGGGCAGCAAGACATGTGTGTATAATAACAATATATCCCAACGCTTGACGTCAGTCAAGGCGGTAAATTGCCGACATATGAATAAAGTGTTAATATGCATTCTCGGCTTTTTTGAACCCATACTCCGGGTATGTGGTACATGCTGTAGGAATGTAATACCCTTTCTACGCTAAAAAAGTAAACTCTAAAAAAAACGTCGATTACCGAGTACATGGTTCAGCATCTAACGCTTGGAGCCCCTGTGGAACAGATAGCGTTCGGATATTATTCAACAATGTCTTGGCTGTTCAACGGCGCGGCAAGGAAGCTGCAGGGCGTGACGGTCATAGCTCGCACTATTAGCAACAGCAGCTGCCATCATCTCCCTAGCTTGGCACCTCTCAACGTCTTCAACACATACCATCGCAACGTGCAAGTGGTGCCATTAGATATGAGCAATGATGCGCCTACGCTCCGAGAAATCATCCAACTAACTCGTCAAGAACTCACAAATAGGCACGAATTCGATGCGATTCGCGAATGTGGACGCGCTGCGCTGGCGCTCCTAACTGAGGATATCGAGCTGGGCTTGAAGCTTGCGTATCAGAAACTACACGATGTGCCGTATAAGGAGGTGAAGACGTGTTGGCGCAGGTTATACACGGATGCGAGTCTGTGGAAGGTGTTGAAGCTGGTAGGCGACCAGCACGGCCAACCTTCGACGACTGGAAGCGAAGAACAACGAGATACCAGGGAGAAGAATGCCTCGATTGACGACGTAGTGCGAACACTGGACATGACGCTTATACTGACCGGCGCACCTGAGAGAGAAGAGCTTGTAGAGCTATGGTTTGCAGCGCTGAGAGCTGCCCTAACACCTCCAGAACCACACCTCGACATCGAAACTTCCGAACGGTCGAACAAGAGAAGAAAGTTATCGTCTTCACTCCAATCCTCGCACATACGGACAAGCTTCCCAACGGTGCTTCCTGATCCCTCGCCCACCCTTCGACACGCGATACCTCGAGCGAACGAACTCAGTCTAGAGGCTTTCCAGAAGAGACTCAGTGATATGACTATGCACACGCCCGTCATCATCGAAGGTGCGATACAACATTGGCCTGCGCTTGAGGAACGGCCATGGAGTGATCCAGGGTATCTGCTGGAGCAGACGCTGGGCGGTAGGCGACTTATACCAGTGGAAGTAGGGAAGAGCTATACGGATGAAGGCTGGGGTCAGCGCATCACCACCTTCCGCGACTTCATGGAGACATATATGCTCAAAGGACAGGCAGACATTGTCCCAACTGCATCACACACGGACGGGACGGATGGCACGTCCCAACCATACTCCGATAAGAACACACCAATACCAACCGGCTACCTAGCCCAGCACGACCTCTTTGCTCAAATCCCCTCTCTGCGCGCCGACATTAGCATACCTGATTACTGCTACTGCGAGCCCGCTCCATCCCCCCACCTCGCACATGTCAAACCTGTTGCCAAGCTCGAAGAACCTTTACTCAATGCTTGGTTCGGGCCTGCTGGTACTGTGTCACCCCTCCACACCGATCCGTACCATAATATCCTCGCTCAGGTTGTAGGATACAAGTACGTGCGGCTTTACGCACCGGGAGAGACCGAGCGGTTATATCCGAGGAGTGTGGATGAGAGTGGTGTGGATATGAGTAATACTAGTCGAGTCGATTTGGATGAAGCGATGGCGGTGTGGCCCGGGATATCTTGTTGGGAGGGTGAGAGAGTCTGTGGAGATGATGAAAAGGAAGTACTGTATGAACGAAGAAGAGCATTTGAAGAAGAATTTCCTAGTTTCAAGGATGCGCGGTATGTGGAGGGTATACTAGCACCGGGTGAGTGTCTTTACCTTCCTGTGGGCTGGTGGCATTATATACGTAGTTTGACGCCTAGTTTTAGCGTAAGCTTTTGGTTTAATTGAGTCTCTTTCCATCATTGTATTATTGCCATTTTTAACCATGTTCACTAGACAAATCTCAAACAATCATTTTCCTTTTGACCACCACAGTATGCACGGCATCTTATCTCCATTCCCCTCCCCCTTCATCCACACTTACCCAAAGGCCGGAGAAACAGCATACCCCACGACTAACTCTTCCCCTTGCTTAAAACAACTCCAGAGATTCCCCACGCCTTCATCCAGACCCGGGCTAAATACATTGCCCACATAGCAAAACACACTCTCATGCTCCTTGACACCCAGTCTCTTGCGAAGGAACCGTACTATCGTTGCAAAAGTTTGGTTGGTAGACAGCTTGAAGATGCGTTGGGTTAAGTGGGGGGCGGAGCCTATGGGTTGGAGTCGGATTGTTACTGTGAAGGGGTGAGTTGGGTGTTTGGGTGGGACGATGCGGGAAGGGGCATGGGAAGGGGAGGATGCAGGAGAAGATGTTTGGTGCTGGTGACCCCAGAGTAATATGTATGAATGAAATGGCAATACGGCGTACCTTTTTGCACAGCAAGATTACCGGCTGTTTCCAATGCTTTCGAGGCGTCTTTTGGAAGGTTGGTTAGGACGACTGAGGCGGCCATTGTCAGAGGCGCTTCTGTTGTGTCGTCGTCCTCTTCCGGTATCCTCTCTTTTGGTGATTGAGACATGGTGTGGGTTGATGTGTATTGTTGCGAAGTGAAGAGAGCAAAGCTTGGGTATAGCAAATATACAAGTGCGATACTTAGAAGAGTTAAGATAACGAGGAGGTCAGATTCGGGCAAAGTGATTGTTGGTGTTCGTTCGAAGTAGGAACGATGGTCACGAAGGAAGGTGTAAACGCCAACCTAGCCAATCAACGCCCCACCACACCAACATCACTTGTCGAATAAGCAAAGACGCCCAATCAACCATATCATCTTTTGCATTGATATCTAGTGTTCCCTACATATCCGATACGATAATGATATATAACATAGCCTCCAGTAAGGCGCTCATCCGCTCATTCATCGCCAAGTCACCTCTTCCGTTTGGTAATGTTCTACAAACCTCCATAGTAGTACCAACCCTTGTTTTACTGAGAAACACACGCACGTGTAGCACACCACCAGCCGGCCGGTTTGCAAATCGCAATAAACCAGCAAAAGTGTGACCCGAAGGCCACGACGCAATAGTTATATACAAAGGGGAAGGCATGCATCGTTAGCCACCAGGGATCGAAGATCGTAGGCCTATACTGTGTAAGGAAAATGGAGTCAAGTCGAGCTTTGTCGCCAAAAAGGGGAAAGGTAGAAGCTGCGCCTCGAAAATGCTATGGGAAACGGGTATTCGCTCGTAGAGTAATGCCATGCGCCTGGGGGCGAGAAGTGAACAGGGTTTGCGAAAGGAAATTATATCGTGGGTATTAGTGAGGTCGTGCATTACGCCGTAAGGAATGCAATGTGTGGCCGTGTAGTCTGCATGAGCCGCGAGGCTCATCGACGATCAAGTTGAGCGAGTAGCTGATCAAGCTCGACCCAGTTCTCGGTGGTGACTGCGAATTTACGGTGCTTGCGGGAGACGACGTGCTGTAGATGGTCAGTATGATTCGCAAAGATGCATAATCGTAATTCGTACCTCTTCGAAGTCGTTGAACTTCTCCCTGCAGTTCTCGCAGTAACCAGGCTTCAACTCCTTCTCAGCAGTCTTGCGCCTACGGAGAGCTGCTGCTTTACGAGCTTGTCTCTCTTCGTCTCCGTCATCGTGTGCGTGACCCATGTTCTCCTGGGCCTTGCGCTTGGCTGCTCGCATGGGTTGAGAATGCTCATAGCTGAGCGCAGCCCTCACATCGTTTGTGACGGACGAGTGGCCACTATTCGTATTCGCCGACGGTACGCTGTTCTTCTCTAGGACCTTTCGTTTCAGTTGATTCACTTCCTTGCTGTTTCCAGCACGAGCGCGGCAGCAGTCGAGGATATCATCTGCGAGCGGATGGCAGACGTGATGTTGGATTGGTGTAGACCAGACGCGACTGGCTCACCCGCAATGAAACGGGGCATGGCTCGGATGCTAGCCTGAGCACTGCCAAACATAGGCGGTGGGCCATCTGCCGTGTTGCATCGCTTGGGTGGGAGGGCCTTCGGGGGATCTAACGGCTTCGCATCCGCCTCTTGTTCTTCCTTGACGATGGCAGCAGGGGCACTGGGACGCCTGGCCAAGTTGTTGTTTTCTACCAGAGCACTCTTCTCTTGCATGGCCGAGACAGCACGCGTCCGTGGGGCTTGGGCGGCCTGCCTTCGACGTGCTTCCTGCTCTTCCTGCTGTCGGCGGCCAAAATGGGGATCTTCGACGAAGGGACATTTGCCATTACCTGAGGCACGGAACTGCGGCCACTTGCCCTTCTCTTTCTCGACTTTCTGGTATTCTCGGATCATGACGGGTCGGGTGACTTCGTCCATGTCGTGCACGTAAACGTAGTAGCCGCGAAGAGGAATCATATCTTGCGAGGCCATGACGTAGTCGCGGTCCATCTTCTCGTTTTGTAGCAGCCTCTGCAGGTCAGCAGGACGGCCTTTCTGATGCTGCGTGCCCACAGCCTGGCGTGTCGGATGACTAGACGCATCTTCACCCGTCTCCTTGTTGAACATGGTGTCGACCATCCGCTGCAACTTCTCAACGGACCATATCTTCATGCCCAAGCTCTTAGCCTTGTACAGGATGTCACCGCGGTCGGACTTTTCGAGGGCGGCATCGAAGACGGACTTCTTGTTCTCCAGTTGAGCCGGGTTGACGGTGCCCTTGTGGGTGGATGAACTGCCATCGAGGTCGACAGGAATGGAACGCGTCGTGATGACGTGGGTAACTTCTCGGGAGAAGAACTTGACCTCTCGCTGGAGACTGTTAGCACGATGGGGGGAGGAGAAGACAGGGCAGACGTACGGAGCCCAGGACCTTTGCCCTGCTCATCAGCTTGTCTTTCTGGGGTTCTGAGACGCTGTCAAAGTAGAAAGCAAACTGGGGAAACAGCTTGCGATAGTGACGCTGCCACTGCCGAATCGTCTCCAGGTCGTTGGCTGCTCGCTGCACTGCCTGCTTGGACGGGGCTTTGGTCTCTCGTGCTGCCTCGAGCTTCCGGGTCAGAGCCGTGGGTTGGGCCCCACTCCGGCGGACCAGGCCATGGCGGCGTGCTTCTGCATCATCCACCTCGATGATCTGTTTCTTGGGCGGCGGTTGGCCATAGGGGACATCGCGCTGCTCACTGGCGTGTGAGCGTTGGCGCTTTCCTCCTATGGCCGTCGCGCGTAACGGGGAATTGGTAGCGTTTTGCAGGTTGGCGAGGGGGACGCGCCGGTTCGACATGACTACTGGAACCTGGGGCGACGGAGGGACAGCTACTGCTGCCATACGTGGGAGAGGGGCGGGGATTGGGTTCGAGGTGTAATAGATGGTATGCTGGGTGCGAGGGGCACGTGTGCGTGTAGCTCACGACGCGACGATACAGGCACGTCGAGGATTTTCTAGCAACGCGTAGCAGCCATGTCGATGTGCTGGAGCTTCGGAGACCAAGGTACAAGGTGACGGCAGAGTAATTGAGCGAAAGAGAAGCGCGTTGCAGACGTCGATCTGCTTTCATCGACCAAGGAAAGAGTAGTCTTTGTTTGGTCTGGAGGCTGGTACAGTATGATGCAGGCCGAGCTAGGGCCGTTGTGGTTAGCCTGAAAATCTCGCGCGAACCATCCACAACATCATTTGCCTAGACAACGACCTGGGCAAACAAAGTACCCTTGCCGACAACACCGTCAGTGCGCCCTGCACGACATCTCGCGTCTGCCAGTCTCGCTGCGTATCGTCGACCTCTGATTCAGCCTCAGGGGAAGATTTGCAGCTTCCGCGTGTGGCGCCTCTCCTGCTACTTCCATCTAACCCCGACCCCACTTCTCCTATCTCCTGTCCTAACAATTCCACGTCCAGCGCTGCACCACTGGGTCCGTCTCATCTCACAATTCAAGACCACCACCACTGTTGAATGGCACCTGCGTCTCTTCACTTCCCATTGCATGCCCTACGGAAATGTGACAGGTCCAAACTTATTCAGGGTCTAGATGGTGGAGGCATTTGTGGATAGCCCCCAAGTGTCACGCCCATCGGCCGCGAGTTTGTTGTATGGGTCGCAAAACACCGGATGCGTCATAAGAGGCGCACACGAGGAAGGCAAAACAGCAAAACCTATAAAGGCGTCATCCCGACCTTGCACGCACCAGGTGTTGTTGTAAACTATTTTCGAGGTATCGTGCAGATGACACGCAAGTTCTCATTCAAAGTGTCATACAGTGCCCGTTCATCCAACACTCCGCTACCTCGACTCAATCCATCAAACCATCAACCTTGTTGCCCAGTCAGTTGATTGTTAGGTATACGTCCTTCATAGACCAAGACGAGACATGCTGCTAGAACCCCACGGTATTGCCTTCGATCATCTGGGACCGAACAATGAGCACCCTTGCTCGTGGTACAGGACTCAACTCCTTACTTATGTACTCTCAAAACAGCGACGCCACGATGTACGGTATAGCAACTCTACCAATCAGACATGCGTTTCGATTCATGCCATCTTTTCGCATTTAATAGCAAGAAATGGCCCCACTGGCAAAAGGCTCTGAACTTGTTTCACCTCACATACATTGTCATCTCACCTTCTCGTTCATGTCTGATCAACATGACAGCGGTCATGACTGAAAACTTCACAGGTACTTCACTGTGGAGCATCGTTTCCCCAATGTCCCTACCGCCACTCCTGACCATCTTTACCCCTCCAGCTTCACGCGCAACACGTTGGATACAGCAGGGTTATTTCACCACCGACATCTTTAGTGGAGTGGACGTCTCGATAATATATTCTGCCATTGTCGCTTCCTCTTATTACTTAGAATGCAATCCGTACGGAGTAGCACCTACTTACAGCCCAGGAGTTTGCGGCAATGCTCATACACTCGCCGAGATACGGAAATATTACAGAGATGGTGGTTTGTTCTGGGCCAGAATCTGTTGCAATAGGTACCTACCTCATGAGGCTCCATGCTACCCACACGCTTACATGCTTATTAGCGAAATGTCTTGGCTTGAAGACGCGTGGTGTGTGAGATCCTTTTCGTCCCAGACAAATGCACTGGCTGGGTTCAACACTACCTTAGTCGATGGCGCTGGGCAGAGCTCCACGTTTTCCCTAGTTGATACTACTACGTTTTGGTGCGGCCCCACGGGGTGCGAAAGCCTTGATCTCAAGAGTGAGACTGTATTGACCTCAGGCACGGCTTGGGCGGCACCAACCTACGTGTACTGGCAGCCCAGTGACCTTTCCTTGTTTCCAAGTGAGTACGCATTCTCCCTTGCAGCGGTCATTGGTGTCCCGTTTGGCAGCTCCACGACATCTTCCTCACCACCATCGACTACCATGACCTCCACTGCCTCATTTCCAGTGCCACCCATAGCCTCGCATAGTTCCAGCTCCGAGCTAAATCCAGGCGCTAAAGCTGGTATTGGAGTGGGAATGGGAGTTCTTGCCATACTCGGCGTCGTCTTCCTCTTGTACCTATTGCGAAGGCGGAAATGACAACAACAGCAACATCGGCAGAAACAGAAGCCACAGCAATTAGCGCAAACCGAGATACCGGAGATGGAAGGAAGCTCGCGGGGCTTGAAGCGTCTCGTAAATGGGCAATGGAGGGCTGAGACGCATGGGACGTCAGTGCCAGTCGAGGCTGGGTCGTTGGCGCTAGTAGAGGCTGGGCAGGCAAGTCTGCGTATAGTACCTGGGCCGCCAGTGGAACTAGATGGTAGACACGCAGGTGAAGAAAGGTTCGCCACACGGGGAGATCCGGAGGAAGGGGTACCGTTTTGAAATGTTGCACAACAGCGTAATATTAACATCAATCTGAAGCGTATCAACTGCACAAGGAGCAGCGGCATGGAGCGCATAAAACTTGACGATAGTATTGTGTATTGAACGGAGTTATGAGAAGGACGAATGACTCCCGACCTGTCTACCTCCAGCCTCGACATTCATTTTTACGTGCGATACCATACAGGACAACTTTCGAGTAAGGGATGTTGTCTCGATCACCCACATGCACAAACCCAATCGAGAGACCGCTCTCACTGGCTTTTGCATGGACAAAAGTTGTATGGATGACAAATGGAACAAACAATTCCTAGTACGCCGTGACAAGTGAAGGCCTATGCCTTGAGAGTCCAATAGTATACACTGATTCATCAGTACAACAACGACGAAAATTGCGAACTCAATTCGAAAGAAGTCGACGTTGAGAACATTCATTGCAAAAATAGTCTATCTAATAATACTAGGGGGAAACTCGTGCAAAGATAACACCGAATATTCCGAAAAAAAGCAGATCATCCCCTGACAATACTCGTTCGAACACTCGTCCTCGTTCCAAGTTGGCGTTTCTCAAATCATCATCGCAAACCATGGTACTCTATTCAACGACCTCTGCCCTTACGACCTCGCAGCCTTAACTTCGATGCCTTGCATCCACGGCTACTGGAATATCCCTCATCAGGTTCATCGTTGTCGGATGCATCACTTGGTACATAATCCCCATCATCAGCGGCATCGTACACGTAGTGATCGCAGTCGTTTTCATCCTCGTCAGATTCTTCCTCATACGTATCATCCTCTTCTACCTCATCGGAAAGAGTGGTCGGTCGAGCCGACCGTCGAGATAGGGGACTGGGTGAATGTACACGTCTTGGTACGGTATTCTCTCTCGAAAATTTCGGGATAACCTTTGAATGAGATGCAGGCCTTGGTGGCATGGAAGGTGAGACCAAGGGTCTCTCTTCAGGCGGCGGCCCGACAGACCTCGCTCTCCTGCGTTGTTCGACTTGGTCACCGTTCGGAACGAAAACAGTCGGAGGCTTCGGATTCGAGCGAATATGAGCGATCCATCTGCATATCTCAGGCTTTACTCGTTCGTACACCCATTCACGCATGTTCTCGATCACCATACGCAGTGCGAAGACGCCCCAGGTAAGCTCTAGGGAAGTCGCCCAAATGCAGCGCATTTCAATGTTGTAGTTGGTCTAGCGGATGTTAGCCATGCGTGACGTCCAAGTTACTACAATCGCACTTACTTGGTTCCTGAATGTAAGCCAAAGCCGAACGCTTGGACCTACTCAAGTGAAAGAAAAGAGAACCAGAGCATCGCTATTTGGGTCGCCTATCTTCTTGGCCAACTTCTCTCGCATAATGAGTGCTTCAGCAGACCCATTTGCAGCTTGACAGTAGCAAAATTCTGCCGTATCACCGTTCTTGGGGTTCCAGGTGCTGGTCTTGACTTCGACGATAGCCCAGGGGAAGCACGCTAGGTCTGAAGCACCTAGTGGTTTCGATCCCTTTGGATCCCAATTGTGCAAGCTCGTTTTCGGGGACGAGACCACACGTCTTGTCTTTCGGAGGTCGCTAAGAACTGGAAGTGTGAAGTTTTCGACTCTTGCATCAAAGCGATAATCCTTTGCTATGCCGGAAGCGGGGCCTATTATGGGAAATGAATAGGTAAGATCCGGTTTCGGTTCAGTGCGCGCTGGGCTTGTCAAGGCTTTCCTCGATAGGCATTCGTTCCAAAGAACGTCAACATGGCTATACCAACGTAAGCATGTGCTCAAGTAAATATCGTGTTGCAACTTACAGTTCCCACCGACAAAACAGGTCCCTGGAAACAGTCAGCGAAGAGTCTTTGGAATCATTACAAAGATGTATACCTGTGCTCATCTTCGGTGTTATACACCTCCATATATGTCTTGAAGAACTCTGTTCGTAAGAGCGTCAACCAGTGAGACTCTAGTTCATTCCTCTCACGCAGACGTATTGCCTTTTTTTTGACTTCCCAGCAATCGTCGAGTGACTTCTCGATCTCGGTTTCCAGTTTCGAGCTCTCTTTGCTGAAGCTCTCCCTGGCGATGTATCCCTTATCGTCTGGAAGGGGTTTAAGACTCCAGCCTGATGACACAGCAGTCTGCCCATCCTGTCCTGAGCACTGGAACTCTTCGAGCTCGACCTTGATCATCTTCTCGCTGTGTCTCGGAAGCTTTGTGCGCGCATCTCTCATCCGCCGGCGTGCAGGGCGAAGCCAAGCAGGAAGACCCTTACTTTCATGCACATCCTCATAGAAAAAGACGTTCTCATCTTCCAATATCTTTCGGCTCAATTTGGGCTTCCTGATATCTCTATTTGGTGATTTCATGTCTTGATGGTTCTTTGAGGGTTGATAGTATGTGCTATACGTGAAAGCAAAGGAAATATAAAGATTCGGACAACGTTTGCAAGAGGTAACTGTGGTAGCGCAAGAAAGGTACCTGATAGTGGTGGTTCGTTATAGCCATTTTGTAATAATCTGATTCTCTGTGTAAAGGTGTACTATGATGGAAGAGGATGCGGCGCAGTACTTCGAGTAGGCGAGGCTGAAACAGCGTCGCCAACGCATCTGCCAGTTCAGCCTCCGAGCTTCAGCCCCACGCTGCAGGAGTAACGCGATCAATATCGAAACTGGAATCGCATTCATCTCACTGAAACCGAAATCATCCATCGCGCGCTTTCCAAGCTCGAACCGAGAGGTTTTAAAATATGGGGTAGTATCATATCGAAGTGAAGGATGCAGGATGAATTCGGCCACGCGAAACAGCTTTCCCTTGCCGCGGCCTGTGCGCAAGATCAGGATGATACTAACGTCTTATCGGAAAATGCCCAGTCCATGTAACGCAATTCCAACACGACGAAAGATTTCGCAACAAGAATAGCATATGGAGGATCTTTTGATACACACGGCGATAGGGGTGCAGGCTGATGGTGGTCGGTGCTGCTCAGCGATGTTTCGACATCCCCCATCGAATGCCTCGAGGATGTCTAATATCACCTCACTATCATCGATTAAGCATACTCTGTAGTATCGTACAATCGATTACATGTAGGAGTCCGGAAACAGGGGTACTATCTGGAGTGTCACTCAATAGCGTAACATTAACACAAACACGAATGGTATCGCGATTCCAGAAGGAGCTACGACGTGCGCCGCATGTGTGTGCTTACAGCATCTTTACAGAGTGTAGCGGAAAAGAAGACCGGGTCCATTGGCAACACCCTCCAATCCCACAGCCTGATCAGACTTGCGATTCAGCTTCTGCAGCCAGAAGCGCAGCACCAACGACGCAGTTGCGCAGCAAAGCAGTGCTACTGTCAACACGATACAACCCATGCGATAGAGACTACGTTACCCAGTTAGTGTACGCTCGTCTAGCATGTACTTTGTTACTTACGGTGCGCTCCATGCAGGATACAAGTAAGCAGTAGCGATATTAGTCGCGTTCGACACAGCCGTCGCCAGTGCAAGTGTAACCGCCCTCTTCGCTTTTGGCCGTGCGACCGTTGCAGAGACCCAAGGCAGAATGAGCTGGAAAGCGGAGAAAGATCCCATGGCCTGTAAGAACATGGCAAAGTAACGAGGTCCGGTTTGGTATGTCGACATGGAGATGATCTGACCAACTGCGGAGATGACGCATGCGGCGACGATGTGGAAGCAATGCTCACCCGAGCGCCCGGAGTGCCACGAATTCAGCACCGAGAATACGAAAGCCAGGAAGTAAGGAGGAGCGGTGAGCAGAAGTGTTTCGACGCGGGGAAAGCCGAGTGTCTGGACGATAGAGGGGAAAAAGTAGGTGAAGCTCATGGATACGACAGCGCATGTCTGGATGAAGACGAGTAGTGGCTATTATGGCGTCCAAGATCAGCAACACGAACTCAAACAAGGGCTTTCAACTTCGCTGTATGGCGAACGTTGTAGAGTTCTGAGGAAAACACCATAAGGTAGAAGAAGATACGTACCACTTTTGGGTCGGAAAAGGCCTGCCTCAGTCCGACGAAGACCGAATCGTTCACTTCGTCTGCCACACCGTCGTTTTCGCGGTTGAGTCGCCACTGTGCCATTGCAGTCTCTTCAGGCGATAAGAAAGAGGTATTGGAAGGGTAGTTCGGCAAAAGAGCATATCCAGCAAAAGCGATAAGAATCGTCAAAGCTCCTTCCAAGATGAAGATCCTGCAGCGGTGGAGGTACGGAGTCAGTGTATGTCTCATGCGTTTGGTACAGTCGCCACTTACCAGCGCCAACTCGGATAGCCACCAAGCCCTTCCATGCCATCGACGATACCCGCTGCGATCAAGCCGCCAAAAGCCGAAGACAAGGTGTAACCAGAGTAGAAAGTAGCAATGCGGCTTGGTAGCTCTTTCCGCGTATACCAGCATGAGAGGAAGAAGATACAACCAGGAAAGTATGGTGCTTCCGTAACACCGACAAGGAATCTCAGTGCCACCAATCCAGCGTGGTTCTGAACGAATCCCGTAGCACCAGACACGATACCCCAAATGATGACAACCGTCGGCAGATACAACCTGGGCTTGAAGATGGAGAGAAGCATGTTCGATGGTATCATCATGGAGATGTAACCAGCCCACAACACCATGACAGCGGTCTGATACTGCACATCGTCGATACCCAGCGTGGCTTCCAGACCTCCAAGACGTGCATTAGCAATAGCATTCCGATCGAGCACGTTGAGCAAAAACAGAACGATCAGAATGGGTAGGGCCCGGAAGTCGATTTTCCGCACGAGTTTCTTCTCGAGAGCTGTGAGTTGCTCGGGCGTGTGATTGCGCAGAATCTCAGGGACGGGGTTGCGAGACTCTTTTGCAGCTTCAATGTGCTCACATGCTAGGTCCTTCTCGAGAGAATGCTTTTCGACGTCCATGCTGACGGGTTGGACAGTGCCGGGGATTAGAAAGCGAGAAGTGTAATGTAGCACTATAAAGCAGGAGCGTGGATGGCACTACCCCACAAACCTGGGGTAAACGACTTCTTATACTACCGGTGACCTTCCACTTCCCCATATCACGTTATCTTGACTGTTACAGGCGACTGACTAGCTTAGTGTGGGATGGAGTGCGGGGGTACCCGCAGTGAGCGACATGTTCTGACTGGGTAAGATCGTCCTTTTGGATTACAGTTATGGTGGTCAGCCAAGGCTGTGGATCACGGCGTGTTGACCGAGACGTGCTCGAGACGAGGACGGGTAGTACACCATCGGCTCTTGGGCGACTTAGCGACGAGCTTTAGAGAGAGCGATGAGGGGAGAACCGGGAATAATGCCGATCACGGTACTTTATATAGAGCCGATCGAGTGTGCCAACATGCAGCGCATGCGTCCAGTCACTGGAAGTTGGCAGGGTTACACTGCATATCACAAATATATCAATATAGAATGAGATCATCAGCGTGGTGCGATCTCAAGAACGATGGTTCAGATACTGAAGTAGACCACTCATAGGAGAGACGAAGCGGCCCTATGCTATGAAAGTTATGCATGCATATTGATGCCTACTCGATAACCATTATACTATCAGTGAGAACGGACAGGTTCGTAGGAATATGCTTCATTAATATCTCTGAACTACACCATAACCTACAATATCACGCTGTTACTTCCACCGCATTAACCCGTACATTTTCAACCTTCTGGCTCGCCACTCCATTCCCCCTCACACTCGCTTTTGGCGCCGAACCCTCCACATAATCCCTGACAATCTGGTCAAACCCATTATCCCTCACAAACCCAAGATTCAAAGCCTTTGTGTTGTCGAACTCTGCAGGCCACGAATAAAGTATTTTCTTCAGGGCAGGCTCGTCCTTCATCTCAAGTAGTGTGAGTTTATCACTTCCTCCTACCCTGGCAAGTGAGTCCATCATATCCTGCACTGAGACGCCGATGCCTGGGAAGTTGAGGCAGCGATCGAACTTTGCGAGGCGGTTGATGTCGAAATCTGTAGCAGCATAGACTAGGTTTTGAACTAGAATACGAGGAGAACAGAGCCAATGCCGCCATTGCTTGTCTTCTAGTGGAATGACGCATTTGATGCCATTCATCGGCTCACGGATCATCCCACTGATGAAAGAACTCGCTGCAGCTGTGGGTTTGCCTGGCCGTACCGAGACAGTAGGGAAGCGGAGCGAGATACCGTCGATGAAGCCGCGCCGTGTGTACTCAGTGATGAGGTACTCGCACATCATCTTCTCTGCACCGTAGCTCGTCTCTGGTGTCGGCATCTGTGATTCCGTGACAGGTAGTGTAACTGAGTTGTTGTATACCGCTTGACTTGAGGCATATATTACTCTTGCTCCAGGGCATGTCTTTCTGATTGCTTCAAGCAATGCGCGGGTAGCGTCGAAGTTTGCTTTCATGCCCAGTTCGAAATCGGCTTCGGCGCCTGAGGACATGATGCCATGGAAGACATAGACGGCATCTATGTCGTTGGCAACGACAGTGTTTGATTCCGTACATAGGTCTGCCTTGATGGCTTGTGCTTGGCTTGAGTAACGGGCATCTGACGGAATCGGTGGTTCAATGATATCGGTGAGGATGACAGAATGCGCGCCTTTGTCGTCGTCGAGTAGCTTTTTCGCGACGAGTTGGCCGATGAAGCCGGCAGCACCTGTGATTAGAACTCGCATCTTGTTTGTGGTGGGATAAAGTTTGTGTGAAGTTACACACAACTATGCCGAATCTTACTGATATACTTAACGCGCTCTGCGATCGAAGCGGTGCTTAGGCCGACGGTACGTACTCGCAACGCAGACATTTTACTCGCGACACCTTCTCCTCTCGGTGCACTATATCCGGGTCTTCAGATGCTTGATAGTGATGGTAGTGTCGGCCGCGGCTGTAGATGTTGAAGGCTCGTCGCTGCCGGCGAGCTATCGGTGTTTCCGCCGGACCCACTTCTCCGCAATCAACATCGGTAGAACGCCAGCGAGGTAACTTCCGCCACCAATCGACAGCCTCGCAAAGCTTGTAATTGTCTCTAATTTGACTTTTGTTCTTAGCACGATTGGAGTACCCGAATCCGTTGTGACATTGTTGATAGAATGGCGGACAAGATGGTTTCTGTGGAAGAAATCCAAAAGCATGCGAGTGAGCAGGACTGCTGGATCGTGGTAGACGATGTGGTATGGGACATAACAGAATTTATCCCCAGTCATCCTGGTGGCAATGAGAGTAAGTGATACCTGGTATATAGAGACGATGTCGAAGTCTTAAGTATCTTCTGGTATTCCATGTAGCATACTCATCTCACACCCACACTCTAACTAAACACCCAACATCCTCCTAAAACCCACAACTAACATACCTCAGTAATAACCAAACATGCCGGCCTCGACGCGTCCTTAACTTACAACTCCGTCCACTCCCCCACCTTGATATCCAAAACCCTCTCCCCCAGTAAACGCATTGGCAGGATCTCTTCCTCAACCCCCTCTTACGACCTCCTGAAACCACCCCCAACAGAGACCGCTCAACCCGCCCTCTCAATCGGCTCTAAACCTCCTTTAACCAGCCTAATCAACAGCTATGATTTCGAATCTGTAGCCGAAAAGGTTCTCGGCAAGAAAGCATGGGCTTTTTACTCCAGTGGCGCAACAAACCTCGTGACGAGAGATGCGAATAAAAGCATGTTTGATCGAATCTGGTTTCGGCCTAGGTTGTTGAGAAACATTCGTCATGTTGATACTAGCACGAGTATGTTGGGACAAAAGGTTGAATTGCCGTTTTTCGTTAGTCCAGCTGCGATGGCGAGACTTGCGCATCCGGATGGGGAGTTGGCGCTGGCGAGGGGGTGTGAGGGATTTAGAGTTGCGCAGTGTATCTCGACAAACGCCTCTTTTACCATGAAGGAGATTACGAGTTCTGTACGAAAAGATTCTATACCGTTCTTCTTCCAACTCTACGTCAACAAGGACAGAAAGGCTTCGGAAGCTCTTCTCAAAGATGCGGAGAGGAATGGGATTAAGGGAGTATGGTTTACTATCGATGGGCCTGTACAGGGCAAACGAGAAGGAGACGAGCGCGTAAAAGTTGAATCAGCCACCTTCGCCAAAGCAGCAATCAGCGGTGCCGCTGCAACAAACGACAAGAAAGGAGGCGGTTTAGGTCGCACAATGGGCGGATACATCGACGATACATTTAACTGGGATGACATCGCCTGGTTACGCAAAGCGACAAAGCTACCCATCGTCGCTAAAGGTGTACAAACAGCCGAAGACGCAGTGTTAGCTATGAAACACGGTTTAGACGGTATCGTGATAACCAACCACGGAGGCCGGAATCTAGATACGTATGTCACCCATCTCTATCCATCGATCTAAACACTACCCTCTACTGAACTGAACTAACACACCGTAGTTCCCCACCCTCCCTACTAACTCTCCTCGAAATCCGACGTCATCACCCAGAAGTCTTCAGCCACTTGGAAGTCTATCTCGACTGCGGGATCCGGCGCGGAACTGATATAGTCAAAGCCCTCTGCCTGGGAGCGAAAGCAGTTGGTATGGGTCGTCCGTTCCTCTATTCTTTGACATACGGACAAGAAGGTGTGGAGCACTTCATCGAGATCATGAAAGACGAGCTTGAAACGACGATGCGGTTACTAGGTATAACATCCTTATCGCAATGCCATCCACGGTATCTCAATATAGGAGATGTAGAGCACTTGATTCCGAAGAATTTGGAGTCGCCGTTGCCAGAGATACCAGAGCGCGAGCCACGGGCTAAGTTGTAAGACTGCGTATATGTAGAGAGAAGACAAAAGAGGGTGGTAGATGTAGACTTGGGTTATTTTTCTATCTCCAGCCCAGAGTATTCTGATCGACAACTGTTGCAGTTCTGACGTTCAGATCGCTTGGGTAATCAGGTGATCATGAGGAAGGCTTTATCAGTCAGTCGGTATATAGTGCCATCGGTTCATCCGATCTTACTTCGACAGTTATCTGATCAACATACTCATTTCAACCCTATTCATCAAGCTCTTTTGCTCCAACAAAAACACTTTTCTTCCTAAACTTCTCGTCCAACCCTACTGCCTTCAACACCGCATACCTCACATGATCAATACCCAACCTCTTCCCTTCCACCAACGTCTCCGCACTCACACCCAGAATCTCTCCTAGCGCACCCCCTCCAACCGGCGGTTGAATATCATTTTTCAACTTCTCCATCGCTTTCCTAAGATCCTCCGCCGTACCTTTCGGCGCCAAACGTCGGAGCGCCTTCCCATCATGCCTTCTAATCTCCTTGGCATCGGGTATATACAGTTTATCTAGCTTGGAAAGAATGACCTGGTGACTTACACCAGCTAGACGCAATGAAGCCAAGAGAGAGCGGTCTTTATCCTTGATACCGTGTTCGGCGTCTATGAGAATGAAGACACGGCGGAGTTGTTTGCGATTGGTAATATACTTCATTATCTCTACGCCCCAGGATGCAAGCGAGCCTTCGCCGTACCCCGGCATATCGACGATAGTCATTCCACCTATACCTACAATCTTGTCGCGCCCATTAGGCTGCTTCTTGATCGTGACGCCGTTTCCTGCGCCCAAACCGTAAAGGTTCATCGTCTTTGTGAAACCTGGCGTGGAAGAGGTACGCGCTAGCAACGCTTTGATATCAGCGTTTACCACGGCGTTGAGCAGTGAGCTCTTGCCCACGTTGGATCGCCCGACGAAAGCTACTTCCGGTACATCGGATTCGGGGAAAAGGCGGAACTGCGCTACGCTGCGGAGAAGCTTTGCGTTGCGACCGTGGGTTGTGAAGAAGTGGTTTGCGGTTGTTTTTTGGGCGATGGTTGGGGGATAAGATTCCCAATACCAGTTGAAACCTTGGAGTTTGTTGTTGTTGAGTGAGACGGTACTGATTGGGGTCTCTGGCGTGGATGTTGTTGTTGGCTTTGGCTTTGGCTTTGTGCCTAAGGGTGGTGATGGTGGTGATGGTTGCAGCTCTGGACCAACATCCTTTCCCTTACGCTTCTTTCGAGGCACTAATTGTGTGGTAAGTTGTGCCTCAAATCGTGACAATGCGTCCCCCATCACATCCTCTCCTGCTTGCGCATTTCCCATTTGCTTCTGGATTTCCCGATTGATTCGCCCTGGCGATTGTGCGTTCTCCACGGATGCAACTGCCACTGATGTAGGTATCCCCGCTCTTCTCCGTTGTCTTCTTTCCCGCATTGACATTGGTCGTTTCTCATTTCCAGACTGCCTTTCCTCAGTCACAGACGGCTTTTGCTCGTGTATCGACTCCAAGCGGAGACTACTTCTCCTCTTGCTCATGTGCAGTGTATTCCTCGTTGGTGCTGTCACTCTGAATTTCGCCCTGGCATCGCCATTCCAATCCTTCGGTATTCGTAGCCTCGCGTTCGACGCATCATCTTGAAATGCATCGGTGGATTGTGGGCGTAATCGTGGTTGTGTGAGAAATGTGGAGTGTTGGCGCGATAACCGTTGTACGCAATTGCGACATATGTAACGCGAACTCGGCGGTAAATTGTTCATTACGTTTTGTACAAGAAGTATGGGGAAGATAGTGGGTGGTGGACATGGAGTTCACGAATGGTCCGAGCTCTACCGCATCTTTTCGCCGCAGCACTTCCGGAGTGAACTTCTTCAACACCACATCGAAACGACAACCATATCTGACTTTAGACGTCTCCGCTGCCATCGCATATCTTTAAGAGTCCCGCGAACCAAACCACTCTATTTACCCACCACCCAAAATGGCACAAACTCCCCAAATCCGATCCATATACCGCCGCCTCCTCCGCGAACTCCCCTCCACCCCCCAAACAACACGCACCCAACACCAAAAGCTCTCTTCGCCTTCAAAACTCCAACAACGCATACGCTCCACACTCTCCCGATCACCCACCAACAGCAGCACACAATCTCAACTTCAACAAGCGGAGCAATTCATACAATACGTGCAGGCGCAACGCACACATTCGACGTTGCTGGAGCGGTATAACCCGGGTATGGGTATGACGGAAGAGGAGAGGGTACGATTGAGTGCGAGGAGGGTAGGTATGAATTTGCCCGTCGAGTTTGAGGAGGAGAAGTGAGAGGGAGTGCAAGGATGGGTATACATGTGGGTCGCAACCACTGGAGAAGCATGGGGCTTAGGTTTCGAAGCAACGAGGCGCTGCTTGGGTGGATGAGAGCAGGACATGCAGTGTGAGACGACAGGCATCGCGACACGATTAACGCCAAAGTCCTTTTTAGATGACACATGGATTGACTCGAGTGGACCAGCACGTAAAGACGAACTAGAAGTGTGAATATGCAATGTAAGAGTAGAACATGTACAAATCTATAAATTCAAAACGTTCAACACAATCACCCGTCCTTCTGCCAACCAAAATCTTGTAATAGTATCGCCAATGAAGGGTATGCTGCTTTTGGTATAACATAACTCCATATTCGCCTTGTTCTTTACGCGCCCATATCGCATGTTTCCCTGTCTACTCTTGATACTCTCAAAAATATTTCGCACATGGCCTTTCCTCTACGCAAGCTGCCGCCAACAGTAGACAAAGGACCCTACATTTAATCCTCAAACTTGATACCCTTTCCACCAGAGGTATCAATCATGCCACCCCTGTAAGATCCCCTCTTTCCCTTGTTCTTCTCCTTGGTGAAGCCCTTGCCCTTGGTAACAATCAACTTGGCGTGTGCGCGGTCGGCGTAATCATAAGAAACGTAAGCGTTGCTTGCGAGCTTAGGGTCGACTTTCACGTCGGGCTTGATGCGCTGGAAGCGGTTCTCGACGTGGCTTCTCTTCGATTTGGGAGCGTCTTCGGAAGGAGAGCTGGCTTTGCGCTTGTTGTTGGTGGGCTGGGGGGATGCTGCTGGGAGGGTTGCAGATGAGTCGCTGCCGGAGGTCTTACGCTCGAGTGCGGCGGGTTTCGTCTCTTTGTCGGAGTCGGAGTCTGAAGAGCTGTCTGAGTCGGAGGAGCTGTCCGAAGAGCTATCGGAGGAACTGGAATCGCTTGAAGATGAGGGTGTGGAAGCTTTCTTCCCACTCTTCTTTGTTTTCTTTGTCTTGGCTGGCTCCTCGTCAGAGGAACTGTCAGAGTCGCTGGAATCGCTCGAGTCTGAAGAGTCTGAAGAGCTCGAGGCAGACGATGATGAGACGGAAGCAGCCTTCTTGCTCTTCTTTGCCTTGTTGTCCTTCTTCTCAGCTTCCGAGTCGGAGCTACTGTCGCTAGACGAACCACTGGAATCGCTGGAATCGCTGGAATCGCTGTCTGAGTCGCTCGAAGATGAATCGCTGGAGGCATCGGAAGAATCGGAGTCGGGAAGAGGGATGTTCGCAGGCTCGTCTTCGGAACTGCTGTCGGAGCTGCTATCAGAGTCGCTCGAGTCGCTCGAGTCGCTGGAGGAAGACGCAGAGGATGAGGAGACGGACTTGGCCTTCTTCGCCTTCTTCACTATGGTTTTGGCTTTGGGTGGTGCGCTTTCTTCCTCAGAGTCAGAGTCAGAATCGGAGCTTGAGCTGGACGAGTCGGAGCTGGAGTCTGAGGAACTCGATGAGCTGGAAGCATCTTCCTTGGCGGGCGCCTTCTTCCCAGCAGTCTTCTTGGCCTTCTTTGTCTTTTCCTCAGCCTCAGATTCGCTGCTCGAGTCGCTGCTCGAGTCGCTGCTCGAGTCGCTGCTCGAGTCGCTGCTGGAATCGCTGCTAGAGTCACTGCTGGACGCGCTTTCCGCGTCTACGTCCATTGGCTCAGGCGCATCCTGGGTCTTGGTGGGCGCACCATTCTTCTCCCATTGCGCAAACTCCTCAAGCTTGCTGGCAGCGTTCTTCTCCCCCTGCTGCTCAAGGAACGTCTTCACTACGTCAAGCGGTGCCTGGACGTTTGTCAAAGCGGCTGCTTTCTTCTGCTTCTTGTCGCCGCTCGACTTCTTGGAAGCCTTCTTTTCGGCAGCCATTGCGCGTGATATGTGTCGTGTATTGTATATTATTGCGGGGGACTGGGTGTGTTGAGGTGAAAGTAGCAAATGTTGCACGAGAAAAAAGTTAGGGCAGGCGGAATGGTTCCAATGGCGCTAATCTGCAAGCGTGATCCCTGTCCCGCGCGCCTGCCGTCTCATATGGAGTACACGACGCCAGACATCTCTCTCCGCACAGTAATAACACATTGCGTCCTTTCACTGCAAGCCCGCGTTCTCCCTTACTACTGCGCATTGGTAGCAGTTCTCTCGGGATTACCGCATCGAGCACCCCGATTGATACACACCGCTGCTTCACCCGTTGACGTCGTCCCGACTAGGCATCGCAAGACTCATTATCACCTTTCGCGATTCATGGCAGCTCTCAGAGGAGCTCTCGCTAGCGCCCGGCGGCAGTAATCGGCGCATCACTAAACATACACCCAACTGTCAAAGCGGCCTCATAAATAGCCTCATATCAAGATGGAGGGGAGGCCACGCAACTACACCAATGGAGCGGGGGATCCTCGAGCTCCTGCAAACCGCCCACCTGGCAGCTCGCGAGGGGCTCCTTCTGCCACCAGCTCTACACCTTCTGGCATGTCGCGCGCAGAACGGTTCGACGATGAGCGCAAGAGAATCACCGAAAGCTGCTTCTCCAAGACGGATGATTCAGGCCAACGTACGTGTCAACATGCATGCCCGTACAAGCTGGGATACACGCCTGACATCTAGTTTGGTATGCTATAGCAAGAACTAACATGCGCCAGTCACGGAATCCTACATCACCCACATCCGCGTCCAAGAAGATGGCGGCTACCCCCAGTCCCCTCCTCCACCGAGTTCGGCCCCATCGAACAAGAAGGCGAGAATCGTTATGATATCCGTGCGGAACACAGGCAGAGTGAAGCTGCACAAGGCTAGGGAGAATGCTAATGGCACCTTCTCCATCGGAAAGTCCTGGCCTATGGAGGAGCTCTCTGCCGTTGAGAATTACACACATCTCGTCCCCGCCAGCGAGGAGGAGGTACAGCGCAAGCTATGGGCAGGAGAAAAGGGCTTCACTGTGACCATCGGCAAACCTTACTATTGGGAAGCTGGCACGGCGAAAGAGAAGGAGTTCTTTATTGGAAGTATGGTTAAGATCTACAACAAGTACACTAAAGGAAACTTCCCCATCTTGACCGGATTCAACGTGAGCGAGCTGAACAGTCTGACCAACGGACAGCCGCATTTGGCGACGCCAGACGGACGAGCTGCATTCGCAGCTGGTGGTCAAGGAGGCCAAAGCCCAGCGCAAAGACGACCGGGACTACCAGATCAAAGGCCCATGCCTCCAAAATCACCTGGACCACCACCGAGGAGACCTGGAGAATCTCCGACTATGTCGGCTGAGCCGCTGCCACCTGGAGCAAATCCGAATTTCCGGAGACCTCCAGGAGCGCTAGATGGCCCAAGGAGACCGGCACGACCAGATGATGTGGGTAGGCCGAGTACTGGAGATAATGCCCGTAGGCCTATGCCTTTTATGCCGCCAAATTCAGTTCAGGCTGCGCCATCTATGCCCGATCTCCGCCAAAAGCGGTCCATGGACCCAAGCATTCGCTCTCGGCCTAGCGGTGATAGCATCCGGCCTCGTCCTAGCCAAGGACAGAGCCCTCTAGGACAAAGCCCTATGCCACCAGCACCACAATTCGCGTCACGAAACCTGACACCACAATCCTCAACTTCCGAATTCTCTGGTCGGCCACGAACGCCGGATTCGGGCAATCTCCCAGCAAGTCTCAGTCCAGGGCGGGGGCCCCCGCCACGTGAAGATGCACAATCTCAGCGGTCAGAGAGATCCTTTGACGAACCACCTATGGATGGTGCGGCTCCAGCCATTGCGCCGCCAGACCCACGTAGACAGAACGGGTACCCCTCGCCTAGGAGAGATCCGTCTCCCAGGGGTCTCAGACCTGGAACAGCCCAAAGCGCTGCAAGACCTGGTACCGCTCAAAGCAACACCAGTTCAAACTTCACTCGAAATGACGACATGCCTCCAGAAGAACCTCCGCAGAGGAGGAGGCCGCTCATGGAACCACGTCCGTCCCAGATGTCGCAAAGAAGTGTTGAAAGCCAAGGCGCAGAGCCACGTTCAACTTTCCATACACCTTCGGGCTCACCTGCTCCACCAATGGAAGTGCCACCCCGGAGACGACCTCAAGAGATACCAGAGAGACTGAAGCCTGTTTCTCAGGAAAACATCGCACCTCCAGCAGAGATAATGCCCCTTCAGCCATCACAGCCTACTCCACCCCCCACCACACCACTTCCACAAGTACCGACAGCGCCAATACCACAAGCATCACCGGTGGATGAAGTAGCGGCACCTACAGCACAACCGACTCCGACTGAGCCAGAGCCTATCGAACGTACCAACTCGATGCCCCGGGATTCAGAAGATAGCGAATCGCAGCGTCCTGGTCTTGGGCCAATGGTCAAGAAGACGTTGGTCAACGACAATGCTGCAACCAAGTTTCGCAACCTTGCGAAGGCGGCAGGCGCATTCAAGCCACGTGCTGGCGGAGCCGCTGCGAAACTCCTCAACAAGGAGACGAAAACATCTGACGAAGCAGACGGTGTTAGCGCTGTGTTCGTGCCTCAACGGCCAACACCCAAAGAAACTCCAAAAGAAGAAGTAGAGAAGAACCTCGAAGAAGCTCCTAAGCCTAGCCTGGACAGAACGCCCAAAGAGCAACTGCGTGTTAGTACTGAGGTAGTCCCGTCCGTCACAGTATCCAGTCCGCCCGATCCTACTTTGGCTGGGGCTGTCCAGGAGGTTGGAGAGCAGCCCGCTCCACCACCTCCAGAGAAGGCAGCGTCAAGAAATATCGAGCCCGAGCCGGAGGTGCGTCGAAAGAAACGCAGATCCAATCAGCAGATTGTGAATATATCGAAACTGGGCATAGATCCAAGTATCATCGACGAACGGGGCTTGGAATTTGAATGTTTGTTGTCTGAACTTGGTTGGGGAAACACCGAGCTGTCTGCCAAGCATATCGAATCCCTGGAGAATGACATCAAACGTGAAATTGCTCGCGTGGAAGCAGGCAGCTGGCTCAACCACTTGGAGCAGAAGGATGACCGAGTGGAGGCTGTTGAGCGCATGTTAGACCGCGCGATTGCCGAATGCGACGAGCTTGAAGGTCTGCTTACCTTGTACAACGTCGAGCTAAGCAGTTTGAACGATGACATCGCTTTTATCGAAGCGCAAAGTCAGGGTTTGCAGGTGCAGACTGCTAACCAGCGACTACTACAACACGAACTCCAGCAGCTAGTCGACACAATCTCCATTACATCAGACCAACTGGAGCCGTTGAGACGTGCTCCTATAGGAAAGATTAACGGACTCAAAGATATTGAGTCTTCCTTGGTTCTGCTCTACAAAGCGCTCATCACAATTGATCCTGCGTTTGTTGCTGGAGCTCGTTCAGGCACGATCACCAGGGGACCAGGGTTTGGCAATAGCGATTTGGCAACGATGCAGGCCCTGCAAGAGAAACGAGACAGATACCTCGGCGAGGGCGCCATGTTTCTCGATAGGCTGAAGAAACACATGGATATCACGTTTGGTGCCGCTTTCTTGTCGACGAAAGATGCACTTTCGAGACTCGACCAGGGTTCTGAGCCATCTTTAAAGAAGAATGTGGAGGCCCACGATGCAGGTCGGAGCGAGTTATGGATGTTGAGCCCAGTCATGCTTTTCGCGAAAGAGATTGACAGGGCTGCATGGGACTCGTTGCTCCGAATGTATCAAACTCAGGCAGCGCAGTTATATCAGCAGGAGGTACGCGACAACATTCTGGCATGGAGAAGGTTTGCGAGGAAGCCTACTGGCGAGGAACAAGAGTTGCTCTTTACTACACAAGAAAAAGAGCCTGAAAGTAGCAGTAGTACCCTGGGTACGGCGAGGAAGCTGACCGTTAAGCGGAGTCAGACCCTAGCTCGTGGCCTGAGATCAGCTTCTGGGGACAAGGAAGGCAAGGCAAAGCCAGCAGCTCAAGACGGCAAATTCCATGCGTTCAACGTCTTCGCCAGGGTTCTAGAAGATACTGGCCCGGTACTCTTAACGGAACAGAACTTCATCACAGAGTTCTTCCATGCTACTTCAACAGACTCGCTCGACTTCCCCGAGGCCGTGCAAGCCGCACCCCCGGAAGCCCGCCGTGGACCGAATCTCTGGATACGCAAGCAGTTCGAGGCAGATCGAGCCATGGCAAAGCATGTTACTGGGGTTATGGAGGAGATTTTCTCTTTCTGGCCTGCTGAGATACAGAGTCTTGTCGACTGGGCTACCAAAGCCGATCCTCTGTAAGTCTTACACCCGAGGTATATTGTTCCCCCACTAACTATTCGTAGACAAGGAGTAGGTATACTTTGTGCAGTCGACCGCAAGTTACTAGATATTGAAGAGACAAACCAAGACTTCTTGACAAGGAACCTGCAAAAGATACACGAACGTTTACAAGGGTTATTCAGCCGCTTCCTGGACGAGCAAATACGAGCCATCGAGGATACAAAGGTCAAGATTAAGAAGCGCAAGGGAGTCATCTCTTTCATGAAGACCTTCCCTCATTTCTCTGTTGCGATCGAGAACATGCTACCTTCTGCTTCAGAAGGCGGAGACCAATTAGAAATTCGGCGCATGGTCAACGATGCGTACCAGAGGATCAACAAGGCCATGTTCGAGAGCTTGAAAGTCATCGCAAAGGAGTCACCCACTGTTATGGCTTCACAAGGCCAAGGCGACCCCGAAGATAAAGAGGCGCTTAACTACCACATTCTGCTTATTGAGAACATGAACCACTACATGGAGGAGGTCGATGCCCGCACCGTTGCAGTCCTAGACTTCTGGAAGAGCAAGGCCCAAGACGAGTACAACGAGCACATGAGCCTTTATGTTGACGCGGTCATCCGTCGACCTCTAGGCAAGCTTCTGGTAAGTACACTCACCCACCCTCATAGCCCTCACCCATCTAATACCCAATCACAGGAATTCATAGAATCAACCGAAACCCTTCTCTCCCAGCCCGGCGCAAGTGCCCAAGCCATCGCCCAACGCTCGTCGCACTCGCGCTCCGTCTTCAAGAAACTAGTCCACTCCCACGACGCCAAAGAAATACGCAAGGGTATCGAAGCCCTCAAGAAGCGAGTCGACAAGCACTTTGGCGACGCCGACGACCCGACTATCAGTCGTGATTTGGTGTTCAAGGTACTCAAGGAGTGCGAGAAGACGTATGAGAAGGTGAGCGAGCGGATGACGACGATTAATCAGGATGTATATAGTGGGGAGGTGGAGATTGATTGGGGCACTAAGGAGGTCGACGCTGCGTTCAGGAGGTAGAGTCTTCGGAAGAGTGGGAGTCGGCATCTTCTGGGATTCGTCTAGACTTTTATTGCTGTTGTCAACTGTTGTTTTTTTGTTCTTAGGGACTTTGTATATTGGTGGATTAGGGATGGGACGCCTGTTCTATGATCGCATGGCTGAGTATGGCACTTGCATGGCGTTTTTTTCTCACATGCAGTGCAAACTATCCGACAGCGATTATATCAATATACCTCTGGGCTTCTTCACATCCTCGTCGTCGTACATGCATGAGCTTGCGTCTATCCTAGACCACGATGCAGTACGTCAACACCCCCAATGCTTATGCACGTAAGCAGGATCTCGTATCTTGAACCCCAGTCCGCCGGCGTCCGATGGTACCGAGCTCTACGCACTGTACGGACGATCCGGGAGCTTAACCTTTGTACCCCTGTTAGAAGTGGGAGGTAAGCGAGAAATGACGGCATCGATCCAGACTACGAGTCTAGATCGCCAAACATTTTGGTACAACGGTATGCGCCGAGTGTACAGCCGAAGCGTGTGTTTGTTGGTTGTAGGTGCATAAAGACCCTGGAGATCCTTTGACTGCGAATATATGTAGACGATGTTGAGATTGTTCCCAACAACACTCGCAGGCTCGTTGAAGTATTTCCTCTGCAACGCAAACAGTTAAACAACATGACACTCCTCCAAACCCTCCTCCGCGCAACAGCGTTCAAAAACCCTCTCCTACGTACACTCGTCCCCTCCGTCGCACTCGCATACGGCATCCAAGCTGCCGTTGCCGTGCCATCCATCGCAGCACAAACAGAACGCTACTATGACCTCTCTGGCAGCTTCACGTACCTGTCTTGTACAGCGCTCAGTCTAGTTCTACCGTATATGCGCGCAAGAGCCGCTGGAACCATCACAGGCGGGTTGACCGAGTATTTCAGCACGCAAGGTCTAGGGCAGGGGACGTGGTGGTGGAGACAAGCGCTGCTGAGTGCTGCAGTGGGCGTTTGGGCTACGAGATGTACGGTTCCAGAACTAATATGAGATTATGCAATACTGATGAAAGAAAAAAACAGTGGGTTCCTACCTCTACAGGCGCATCCAAAGCGACGAAGGAAAAGACTCCCGTTTCGACTCTATACGCGTCTCCCCACCCAAATTCCTCGTCGCCTTCTTCGCGCAGGCAACTTGGGTATCGCTTTGCACTCTCCCTGTCATCCTGGTCAATTCCGTTCCACGATCTGCATATGCGACAAGCCTGCTCGGTCAAGCCGTGTCAGCGAAACCTTACTTCACCGATATCCTCGGTCTAGCTATCTTCGTGTTCGGCCTCACATTCGAAGTCATTGCCGACCGCCAAAAGGACGCATGGGTACAGGGAAAAAAGCAAAAGAAACACTCTGAAGAGTTCCTCACACATGGCTTGTGGTCCAAGTCGAGACATCCAAATTACTTTGGCGAGGCGACGTTGTGGTCTGGTATTGCTATTGCGGCAGCGGGATTGCTGGTTAGGCAGCCGGCGCAGGCAGCGCTGGGATTGAGTGGGGGGCTGGGAGGACAGGTGCTTGTGGCGGGTATGTGTGCGGCTAGTCCGGCGTTTGTGAGCTTTTTGTTACTGAAGGTGTCCGGGGTGCCGTTGAGTGAGAATAAGTATGATGAGCGGTATGGGGACAGGAAAGATTACCAGAAGTGGAAGAGGGAGACACCAATGTTTGTGCCGAAGATCTGGTAGGGGGTGTGAAGGGTAGACGTGTGTGTCGGATATTAGGAGGTATCAGGTATGCGCGAGATAAAAGAGAAGATGCTAGCGGCTGAACCTGAATGTCTGCTGTCAAGACCGATATTAGCTCTGAAGAAAGTTACTTTGGTCTTCTTCTTTCAATTCTTCGACGCATTCCCTGTTACCTGCGAGACCTCCTAATCCATAAACGTAGCCCCCATCAGCGCCTCAACCGCATGGCCTACCCAAGTCTGATGATTTCGTATTTCTACCTCCCTCCTCGGTACTTCATCGGAAGCAGGAAACAGACTCGATCCAGACGGTTTTACGCCAAACACCATCTCCTCAAGACGACCTCTTGCAACTTGATCAACATGCCAACTTCCATGGGCCTTACCATCAACGACATGCTTGTCTGTAGTGTCAGCTAAACGGATAAGCTGGTACCGAAGGCCATCAGCGCCAATTTGGTAATTGTGATCATGTTCCAATTGGAAGCTGCTCGCTGCATCGCCAGTTGCGTTTAGGTAGGTCCCGGCTTCAATAGAAGAGAGGCAGAGGATATATAGGCCTCAGTGCGTGGGAACGAGGGGAGATTTAAAAATAATGATATAGAGAGGCCGGGACATTTTTCGTTTTGTTGTGTAGAAAGTTAGAGATCGATGGTATGTTGGGAGTTATGCTAAAGCTCTTCGATTTTGGTGTGCATGGGAGTGCACAACGCTAATGCACCGTGCAGCTCCGCAAAGACAGGTGCCGATGCAGGTTGCCCCATCGTACAGAACAGTCAGTCATATAAAAGTCTGCGTTTTTGACTCAATCTCCCGGGTAATATTTGGATATAAATACCTGGTTAGCCCTCGTCCCTTTAGTAACGTGCCAAAGACTTTCTTGAGATACCATGTCTGATTCTACGGACGAGCGCCTTGGGCGGGTAGTACCAACATCGCCTGCTAAGCCCCCGAGCAACGACATCAAGCTCTCTGGCCAGTACGCAACAATTGTCCCGGTACATCCCGAACATGCTGCAGGCTTATACGAACTCATCAAAGGAGACGTCAACGCATCGCTTTTCGATTTCATCTTCGACAAGCATCCCAAATCTCTCGAAGAACTCCAGGCTAGCCTAGCAGTAAAGGCAGCAACAACGCATCCCTGGACCTACACCATCCTTCGAAACAACCCTCAAGATGGAACATACAAGCCAGTAGGAATGGTGGATCTGATGCGAATGGATCTCCCAAGCCGCGTCATTGAGGTGGGCAATATACAATACACGCCCGCATTGCAGCGCACACCCGCCGCTACGGAAGCCATGTATCTGCTCGCCAAGTACGTTTTTGAAACTCTCGGGTTCAGGAGATATGAGTGGAAGTGCAATAGCCTCAATCACCCGTCGCGTCGGGCGGCAGAACGACTGGGATTCACGTACGAGGGCACATTCAGGCAGCACATGATTGTCAGGGGCCGCAATCGCGATACCAATTGGTATTCTATCCTGGATTCTGAGTGGGATCACATCAAGAGCGCGATGGAGAAATGGCTACATGCGGATAATTTCGACGATGAAGGGAAACAGAAGAAAACATTGAAGGAGTTGAGGGAATCGTAAGGAAATGCTTCGTCTCGTAACATAAGTCGTAGATCTGGATCCATATATCGCTTTATTCTGTGTCAGTGTTCTGTACCTGAAGCCATTCCTAAAGAGACAAGTCCAGCCGAAGCGCCTATAAATGGATCGCTGCATAAATCATGGCACCGCATGACTTGCTCAAGCCTATTCCTATACGAGGAGACTTTGAACTGTGGACGGGCCAAGCCGGATACTGACGGCGATGACTCACTGTCACATCTCAATGGTCAGTTTGGAAGCAACAAGAGGCCGCTGACGGTAGTAAGCCCATACGTACCAGGTCCAAGAACATGACAAGTCGCCATTGTCTGGGTGAACGACTTGATAACCAGTGCAAATTCCTCTCAAAACTTGAACAATATTCACGACAGGCTTCTCAGTAAAGAATCAACGCAACATCTAACATGCTATGTCGTCTCAACCGCTGAATACCCTTGCGCAGCGCCTCAAAGCTCTCCACGCACCGGGCAAACCCCTTGTCTTGACGAATGTCTGGGACGCAATGAGTGCATCCGCCATTGCGGCTCTTCCTGGCACGAAAGCGCTCGCAACAGCAAGTGCCGCCATCGCCGCCGCTTCTGGCCTGTCCGATGACGACTTGACTCTCAACGTCAACATGCGTGCTGTGGACCCAATCGCCAAGGTAGCAGTTGCATATAACCTACCTTTGACTGTGGATCTGCAAGACGGGTTCGGTAACGAGCTGGAGGAGGCTGTGGAACGGGTTATTGCATTGGGTGCGGCGGGTATAAACCTTGAAGATTACGGACGCGAAATCGATGGTCTCTACGGTATTGATGAACAGTGCAACCGCATACGTCGCGCTCTGATCGTGGCCAGAGATAACGGAGTTGCCGATTTCGTTATCAATGCGCGTACAGACGCGCTCTTTGCGGGTAATGGAATCGAAGATGTTATCAAGCGTGGGCAGGCATATCTGGATGCTGGCGCATGGAATGTTTTCGTTTGGGGTGGACCAAGCCGAGAAGGCTGGGGTAGAGATGAAGTCGAAAAAGTATGTCGGGCTTTTGACGGTCGCTTGAATGTTATCCTGGACAGAACTCGCGAGGGTGGCCTGACCATCAAGGAGCTGGAAGATATTGGGGTTGCAAGGATCAGCGTCGGGCCCCAATTGATGCGTCAAACGGCGGCACTGTTGGCAGGTGAAGCTCAGAAGATACTTGATGGAAAATCTAGCGCGGCTGAGCCATGAAGGCACAGTTTTGTTATATGATACCATTTCCCAGCGCAGGACCCTATCGTCTTAACACATGCAGATCTCCATCCCAGCAACATACTTGTCTCCGCTGAATCTAATCCTCGCCTTATGGATGTCGTAGATTAGCATCAGCCTGGCTGGTATCTTGCATACTGGGAGAATTGCAAGGCTCGTTGGACATCTCGCATTGGCGAAGAATGGAAAACCGAGTATCTGCCAATGTCCTTGGATCGCTATGTTGGCTATGACTATTTCGACTAACTTTTGTCTTTGCCGTTGGGTCTGACCAGGTTTTCTAACGGATGGTGTCCTACTCCCCCATCTTCTCATCCTCCGTACCTTTGTCCATCTTCCTCTTTCCCTCACGCTCCACCTTGTCCGCCTCCGCCACTATCCCTTTCATATTTAGCCCTATCGGCAATGACCTCAGCACACCACTTCACAGCCTCGTTCCAAGCCCTCTGCATCTCCTCATCATTTATCGTACCTTCTCCAATCAACCCCGGCAACTCGTTAACAACCCCCTGCCTAAAAAGCCACCAACTAGGCAAGAAGTTCAGTTTCGCCAACGCCGCCAACTTCAGTGGCGAGAACATGGCGCTGTATCGACAGGCGCGTTGGAGTGTGTTACCGTACTCAAAAGCGACTTGCCACATTGTGTGTGCGATGGCGTCTATGTGGGTAGAGGCTATAGTGGAGAAGGGAGAGGAGGAGAGGAGGAGAGATGGGTTGACTTGGAGGACGTGATGGAGGAGATCGTTGCATAGTTGGGTTGTTTGGGAGATGGTTGGCCGTCGCGGGTTTAGTGTAGTGGCAGGTAGGTTTAGTAGGAAAGTGGATGGGGGATTTTGGGTGGACTGGAAGGGGGTTAGCATGGAGATGTCTCGGGGTAGGGAGGCATGCAGATCTCTGGGATCTGTCGAAGTCCAGGTTTGGACGTGTCGTTTCCAGAGCCGATTCGACTTCGTTGATCGTGCAACTGCTCATCAAGTGCCTGAATGACGTACCTCTGTCTTCATCTCTTCAATCCTTTGCTTCTTGGGCAGCAACTCGAGTTTGGCGTCTAGCTGAGCGGCGCTTGGAACCGCTCCCTCAGCCTTACCCTGGAGGTCCATCTTCGTTGGCGACTCTTCCTACAACATCGTCAGTCTCACCTCCAATGATCGACTGAATATCATCTCACTTTAGCCTCGATCTTCCTCTTGTCGCTCACCACGATTGCACCCTCCATAGCTGGGCTTTTGCGCCGCTGTTGAACAACGAATTTTGGCGAACTTTGAGTATCCGAATTCTTGCGCTGCTGCTGTGTCTTTGTCGCAGCTTGAGAAAGAGACACTTTCCGCTGCTGTTGAGATTTGGCAGAACCCTTTGAGTTTGGAGACGACGTTACAGGGCCCTATATTCATCAGCATATCGTTTCCTGCTTGTTTAGTATCTGAGAGCCAAACATACCTTCCTCGCCGTAGGAGTCTTTGGGCTAGCGGCCATGGCGACATCCGGCATTTTGTTGGTATGGACCGTCTCTCGAGTAAGTTGGTGTTGGAGGCGAAGGGAACTTTGAGGGACTTGACGGGACGAGTAGAGTATGTGAAGGATTATTGTTATCAGTACGTTGTTTGCGATAGGTAGTTTGAGAGGAAAAGCTAAGGTGAAATAGCGTGATGTCAAGCGTGGAAACGCGCCCTGAATGTGATTATGGGTGAAGGACTAGGCGGAAAGTAGACTTGACGTCGTAATGACCTTAAAAGAGATCAGAATCGTTTGCTCGACACGGTTCTGAGCGCTTACATGTGAGTGGAGCGTAGAATTGCCGGGCAAGGCGATAGCTGACAACCATGGTGAGTGAAAAGACACGGAAGGATTACTAATGACGACGGTGAGGTGATAGAGACAAATGTTCACTTGACAAGGCAACACGAATGCTTGGTCGTAAGAAGACAATGAGTTCCGTGGATGTGTAGAGTGAGAAATGTGAAGAGCATGGAGGCATCGAATAGACTCAAGGAATTTTCGAAACAAGGATACCACATCATGTCGAGTGCTGCGGACTGTACTAGGTTATCATCAGCGAGAGTAAATTTCATTTGTGACTCCCGAAACTTGTGCTTATGCAAGTTATTATGGTATATCATCCCATGAACGCCACCCATTCATCGCTGTATGCAAAAGCTTCCTCACCCATCTTCGAGTCTCCAGGCTCAATGCTAAGCCCGCCCGCGTGCTCGTGTTGCCCGCGCTTTAGGCTTCGCTCTTGACTTCTTCGGTGCGGGCTCTGCCTCTTCTTCAGAGTCGCCAATATCCTCCTCATCAAGATCCATCTCCTCATCTTCACTCTCATCCTTGGCCTTCTTTTTTGAGCGACCGCTCTGCTTCTGCTTCTTGCGATTGGCTTCAAAAGCCTCTTCTGACGGCTCCTCCATGGGTGTCGAACGCTTTGAACCTCGCGACTTGGGCGCATACTTGGCCTCCAGCGAATCGAAGAAGTTGCCCGCTCGTGCCTTCTGGCGCCCCTGAATCAGAGCCGCTAGACTTGCCATGTCATCTGTGCCACTCTTCTTACCCTTCGGCTTCGCCTTGGCCTTGCCGTTTGTGGCTCCCGCCTCTTCTTTTTGAGCGTGTTTCTTATCAAAGTCTTCACGTCTCTTCTTCTCGGCGTCTTTGGCTTTTTGACGTGTCTCGTCTGTCTCGGCTTCGTACGCAGGGTATGAACTGACGTTGCCGTTTTCTATCTCCTCGTCTAGGATTTGTCTGAACCGATCGTCGTCCTCGAGGATGTCAGACAGCATGACGAGGTCATACACCTTGTTTAAGTTGCCCTTGACCTTTTTGAACGCTTTGACCAGATCGCGACGCTCCTCTTCGCTGCCCTTGTATTCGTTCGCGACGTTGTTGATAGCCTCCTCGTTGACGACATTCTCAAACTGCTCGCGGTAGAACTTCAGCCAGTTGAAGTCATCATCGTCTTCGAGTGTCTCGGCTGTGCTGCCAGTAAGATCATAGCGCTTGCGTCTGCGATCGTCGGAGAGTACGGCGTATGCGAATGCGATTTCTTGGAAGGCCTTGTTGGCGGCTTCCTTCTCATCGGGTGCAGCCTTGTCTGGCTACAGTTTAGCGATGCCATGGCAATCTGTCTAGTAAGAACACGAACCCGGATGACATTTGAGCGCTAGTTTGCGATATGCCTTCTTCACCTCATCGGCAGTGGCTTCTACCTCGAGTCCCAGCACCTCATACGGGTCGATGGTAGGTGGGCCGTCTTCCTCATCCATGTCGTTCTCGTCTTCGCTCTCGTCGTTGTTCACGAAGTCATCTTCTGCGTATTTCTCGGGAGTACGCTCCTTTTGTTGTTTTCGTGCCATATTGTGGAGGTGTGTTGTTGATATGAAGGCCGCGTTAGTACGGCGTTGATATGTGAGAGAGAACGCGACGCGACCGTGAGCCCGGACTTTACGGAGCTAACGAATCAGACCCACCCTTCCCCCATCACCGAGCGGCCAGAACGCCAGTTACATCACCTTCACTTTACTCACACACCAAAAATGCAAGTCAACTACGATACCGGTCCTGTGCGAACCTGGGACGGCCCGGTGCCCCCAACTCAAGGCCCAGACCCCAACGATCATCTACAATACATGCGACTAGCGCTTGACCAAGCACAAGAATCACCACCAAAACCCTCAAACTTCCGTGTTGGCGCCCTATTAGTCGATGCAGATACCGGAAACATTCTTTCCCGCGGGTATACCCTGGAATGCGAGGGAAACACGCACGCAGAACAATGTTGTCTCTTGAAGTTTGCTCAAGCGCATGACTTGCCGGAAGATCGAGTCGGCGAAGCATTACCACCAAACACTGTCATCTACACTACCATGGAGCCTTGTAATCTCCGGTTAAGCGGCAATTTGCCATGTGCGGACCGCATCATTCGCACGAGAGGGACAAATGGAGAACAAAAGATCAAGAAGGTGTATCTTGGAGTCAAAGAGCCGGAGAAGTTTGTAGGTGAGAACGAGGGACGGAAGAAGCTGGAGGAACATGGCATTGAATGTGTTCATATACCTGGGTTGGAAGAGAGAATACTGAGTGTTGCTACTGCTGGTCATGATCAGTAATGACACCTGATCTGGCAACGTTATCAAAAACAATAATACTAAGCATAGAATCCTAAGCTCGAAAGTGGTGCGACAGATGCGCCGCTATACATCGTCAATCCTCAACTGCTGCTTTGTCTCTGACTCTGCACCCTCGGATCTTCTGCTCTCATATTCTCCAGCTCCACATCTTCCGCCTGTGCCAGCTTCCGTCTGTTTTTCGCTTTCCCTCTCCCAGTACTTTTCATCTTCAACCCCATCTCGTACTTGAATCGCTTCCATCGGGTCTTGCGAATCTCCGACGGCCTGACTCCGCCTGCTGGCCGAATCTTGGACGATGCCGGTTGTGTTGTCTTGACAGATGCTTTCTGTGCTGCCTCCATGGTCTGCTGGTCGGCCGCATCGTATTCGATAGCCATCGGGCTGACAGCCAGTAGTGAGACGAAAAGGGATGCAAAGCGACTTTGTTGCTTTGTAACTGTTACTGAACTCGTAGTGTCTGATGCTGCTCGCTTGTTTGAGGTCGTTGGCCTGGCTTTGAACGTGGTGCGGTGCTTCGACGTTGGGTTACTCCAAGTTTGCGACTTGAACGTGACACCTGCTTTCGAGGCGCTGGTCTTGCGCTTGTGAAGTGACGCCTGTTTCGGGATGCGCCAATCTTTGGAACCTTCAGTCTGCGAAGGGGTGCCAGCCATTTCCGATGCTCTGGATATCGTTTGTAGCGCGGCCATGTTGGTCTTTGTCGCACGGGAGTAGGATGCCTGATTGAAAGAGTAGTTGGGCCAGGAACGATGGACAAACAGATTAGATACTAGCACCAACAATTGAGAGCTAGGTTTAAGCTGGATGAGAGTAGAAGCGTGTTTTACAATGTATTCAGACAGCAGCAAGCTGTATCATTATCGCCGACCTCACGCGCCAGGGCACCAGGCCATCTCATAAGTCCTTGCAAACAGACAATACAATTCGTATAAAATTCTACCAGGCGTCCAACCAAACAGTAACGAGATGAGAGCTTCCCTTCTTTGGCGATTTGGGGCTGAACATCCCTGTCCAAAAGGATCAGCCCTGCCGTAAGCAAGACCCAGCCGAAGTATGAAGGCGGGCGAAGTTTAGGCCATTTAACACATGATAGGAGCTGCTTCATCTAAGAAGCGTCTTTTGCGATTGCCAAGCGACGTTGGCTGGCTGGTCGCGACGCCTTGGGACTGCAGGTCGTGGTCGAGAGTGCGGAAATAGATCTTGGCTTCAGCTGTGCCATACGCTTTGCTAATTCGTAGTTGGCCTTTCTAGTTATAATCCCCAGAGGAAATTTCGAAGATCTTCATAGCCTGCGTTCTGCGATGCTAAAATATCGCGTTGCACATGCAGGACAGGTGCGATGCCTAGGAGATAGGGCGTCAATGCCGACGCACATCAGGAACAAACCTGCCTAACAAGCTGGACGCAGGGCAAGTAGCGACACTTGTGGATCGCACGACCTCTCCAGAAGTTTACAAGAGAGCGTCTATGAATTCGACATTAACGTTAGTGTTAACGTCTACAGCCGGCACTCGGAACAACCCATCCCCTACCCCGCTAAAACCCGCGTACCTTAACCCCCGACCCGAAGAGATCGCCTGGCGCAAATCTCAGCTAGGTATACCATTGCGTCATGACTTATCCTCATCGAACAAATGCCATCACCAGTATCGATCAGCACCCATATCGCGTAACCTCGACCACATTAGACCACTTTATACCAGCTGTCTCATCATGACGCAGTGCCAAACACATGTGATTGGCCCATAAATCATACGAAGAAGACGCCTCATGTACAGTACATAGCCCAAAGAATACATATAATAACCTTACCATTCAATCCCCTTTTCGAATTTTTACAATGTTAACTTATATCCGCCCATTTGCTACACAAACCTGCAACCAAACCCTCCGTACTCTTAGCAAACCAACCTTCTCATCAAACATATCAAGAACCACCGTCGCCAAAATGTCAACAGGAAACCTCAACATAGAAACTAAGAACGTCCAAACTGCCCCAGGCGTCAAGCTCTCAGAGCAACAAAATACAATCGTGGGCTCCGTCCTCGACCTCTTTGCGGGCCGCCCTTCTCTCCCCAAACTAGCCTTGTGGCGCGACGACGCTACCTTCACCGACCCCATCACCATTGCTGAGGGTAGGGAGAAGTACTCCGCGCAATGGTACGGACTGCAGAGTGCGTTCTCAGAGATTGAGCGGCTGAGCCACGAAGTCAAGGATGCAGGGAACCCCATTATGATGGATCTGAGGACGAGATATGTCATCAAGGGGATTGGCAAGGAGCAGACGATTCAGAGTGTTGTTGCTATACATTTGGATGAGCAGGGAAAGATTGCCAAGGTTGAGGATAAGTGGGATGGAAAGTTGCCGGATAGCAGTATTGCTAATGTAAGTGGCTTTTTTTTTTGCGGAACCGTTATTGGGATAGTACGCTAACGTTTTGTGAAGGCTTTCCGACACTTGAACGCTGTCACCGTACCCAAGTTCGTCGGTGTACCGAAGAATGACCAGGAAGATAAGGAGAGAGGAAACCAGTAGTTATATCCTGTTTGTAGCGAGTAGTTTAGCGCCGAGTACGTGAACATACCGCGTGAACTCGTAATTCGTAAATTCATTACAACATATATCATCTTTCTTATCGTGCACCAGATATATCGTACCTCTCGTTATACCCCGTTGAACATCCTGCCGAGCGCCAAGTGTAAGAATAGCCCAATTATTCCAGCACCTACACCTAGTACTTTCAAACTTGGTGCTCCCGCAACAATCAATATTGTGCCGCATCCTCCTTGCTCCGCTCTCGGTAGACCAGGTCCGTCCATCGTGATTGTTGCGCAAAAGCCGCCTTGCACTGTAGCTGGGTTCTGGTATACGGTCGTTTGCGGGGGTGGCTGAGCGTATACGACCGCGGTTTGCTGCTGGGGATACACAGTGACGGTGGTGACTTGTGCGACATTTACAGCGCCTCCGCATTGGTTTCCGCTTGGACAGCAGCCGATGAGTCCGTTGGAGTTGCCGGGGACGGCGCATGTGTAGCCTGATGGACAGCACCTTGGCTTGATCAGCAAGAGCAATGCCGCCTTTAAGATACCTTACTCACCAACTAGGTTGGTTGACATTACTGCAGCTTACTGACGCCGACGAAGGACACCAATTTGCATCTTGCGCCACGACTTGTTGGCCGTCTGGGTTTACAATATACACGGCGCCGGAGAACGGCGCATTATTCGAGATTTGCTGTGGTATAGCCTCAGGCTTTGCGATCGGTTCCGCGACACACAATGTCAACGTCGCGACGACCAGGCTCCATGGCGCAAAGGATCTCATAGCGATAGTAGTCGCAGAAGCTGGCAGAGAAAGCTGTCGAGTGCAACAAAGGTTTGCGACGAACAATAACAGGGAACAGTAGAATATGCTGTTGGGTTAGTTTGCAACGAAAAGGCACAGCCTCGAAAAGATGAGAGATCAAAATCAGCAGTCGTCGGGCGCATACCGGGCTGCTACCCTGCCCTTAAGACTGACCGGATTACCTTGGAAGCTTCTCTTGAGAGCTGGATAGCTCCACAAGCTTGCTGCAGGTTGGACTAGCTCGTCATGAACAGCTTCATGCCGGCCTAGTGGGGAGGCGCATTATTGGTAGCCTCAGCGGCACCGAGGTCTAGTTCGTGGTAAAGTGGTCCGGCTTAGCTGCTTTTTGCAAAGGCTCATAGTCAGGCATGATGACAAAACGGCGGTGTTGAGGTGTGATGGGGCTGCAGTGACCGGGTGGACCCAGTGAAGGATGCTTGCTGCCCATCGGACGACGCATTTGCTGGCAGCAGAACCGATGGTCATCAACGCGAAAGCCTTGATTGCTCCCTGCAATGTGTACAAGCCACAGTCTTGGGAGCGGCTGCATCGGATGGCATCGCGTGGTGAGGTGCATGAAGATAACTAACGCCTAGGCGCCGATCTTCCGATAGGTTCAAATTAGGTTAGCCGGCGCATCGTCTGCTGACACGTGACAGCGTAGAATGCTGGCGATCTGGGCTGTGGGCGCGTCGCGTCCCTTTCGCTTTCATCCCACTTCACGCATTATCAACACAATATGACATGTCAACGCATTCATCATCGCGTCCTTATCGGTTATACCCCGCATATTGTTTCAAAGCATCACCTACATACAATACATGGGTGAAGCTCACTGCTGCAGATGTACAAGCCCTTCGGTCAGAGAAGGACTTCCAAGGTAGTAGTTCCGGCCAGCAGTATGTATGTGGCTGACTTATATGAGCAGCGCAGCGACCACTGCTCTACTTTCACCTCAATCATCCCATCCGTTATGTCCGCATCATCGGCGTTGTAGTAGCTATCGATGACATCAATCTCAAATACACGGCGCTCACCATCGACGACGGAAGCGGCGCCACCATCGAGCTGAAGATCGTACGAATACTTCCCACGGAGCAGAACCCGGTAGACACATCATCGAACACAAAGATCAGTAATTTGAACGTAGTCAGTCGATTTGGCATCTTCGAAGTGGTTGTGGATGGCCAGCCACTAGATATAGGGTCGGTCGTCAAGGCGAAGTGCACTATTTCGGAGTTCAGAGGCAACAAACAGCTGGAGTTACAGCGCATCTCAGTCATCACGACGACCGATGAAGAAGCACGAGCTTGGGCAGAGACCGCTGCCTTTAAGCAGACAGTTTTATCTCGACCATGGCATATCTCGTCAGCCGAGCACAAGAAGATCAAGCATAAGATCAAGGCGGATAAGAAGAAAGAGCAGGAATATGAAAGACGCAAAGCCGAATATGAAGTCAAGAAAGAGGAGCATAGGCTGGCCAGGGAGGCATACCTTGCGCAAAGAGAAAAAAGGCTAGAGGCTCGACGCCGGAAGGAGGAAGTGATGCTGAATAGTGGTGCCTTGATATGAGATGAAGTATTTTTCCCAGAAAAGGCGCTTTCAGCATGCCAGCGCGGTTGAATGGGTGCGGGGTTGTGGTGGCGCAGCACATGGCTTCAGCCTGATCGCGTACAACAGGTGCCTTCTTCTCCTTCTACTTTCCTACCTTGCGTATACTCTGGCTATAGCTTCGACACATCTCAAATTGGTCGGTATTGAACGACTGTTAATCAGGGCCATGGTCGATGTTACCATAATTCAGCCTCATGTCGATGAACGCCCATGTGAACCTCCGCATCCGGCTGAGGGCCCTTCCACGTCCCAAGATGCAAGGACTCCACTTCAATATGATGATCTGCCACAGGACCACAGCATTCGAGTCATCGATTTGGCCCCCGGCGCCTGGGACGAGCCTGTTAGGTGCTCCTTGAGGACAGTTCGTTTAGACGACAATAATCTTTGCTACGAAGCGATCTCCTACGCCTGGGGAGACCCCACAGACCGAAGAACCTTAGTTTGCAACGGGTCCGTTGTCAGCACAACACGCAACTTATTCGAGGCTCTGCAGCGCTTCCGGTACGATGCTACTACGAGGACGCTTTGGGCAGACGCGATATGCATAAACCAAGCCAACAACGAAGAGCGAACATCTCAAGTGCGGCTGATGAGTTTCATCTACAAAAGAGCTGTTCGGGTGGTTGTATGGCTGCAACATGACGATGATCAAATAGTCCAAGATTCTCTGAACGCTGTATGCCGATTTGCACGCAAAGAAGATGGTTTCACTCGAATCGAGATCCAAGGACCGCATACGCCAAACCAGAGCACGCAGGTCTTCTACCGATGGCGTGATGTAGATGTGACCAGCATTACTGGAGAAGAATCATCCGAGGTTACTAATGTCGCCATCGACGCTCTGTGTCATATTTGTTCGTCACCTTGGTTTGGTCGAGGATGGGTGATTCAGGAAGTGGTATTAGGCACCTCGGTGTCTGCATTCTGGGGTCACGCTGAAATCGGCTTCAACTGGCTGGGCATTGCTGTTAGTTCTGTCATATCGAATCATTCAACCGGCTGGAGTCACAAAATGGATTACTGCCTTCTCCTCTACCAGATCTCCGTGTCACACCGTAATCTCAACGGTACATGGAGATCTCTCTACAGTCTGATTCACTCCACTAGCCACTTTGTGTTCAGCGAACCAAAAGACAGGATATATGGGCTACTTGGATTGAGAACCCTTGAGTGTGACCCTGTAAATGGGCAGTCTTTTGTCGACCCTGACTACAGCATTACGACCACGGAATGCTATCGTCGGGTGGCTGGAAAGCTACTTTCTGACTGGCACGATCTTAGAGTACTTTCCTGGGTGTACCATAGTTCCGAATTCGCCAGTAACTGGCCATCATGGGTGCCAAATTTTGACGAAACGGATGTTAATACATTCATAGGCTCTCGAGAGCCACGCCTCAAAGAGAAGGAGAGACCTAGTCTTGTTGATATTTTCGAAAGTGTCACCGACGAGAAACAGTGTATCAATATCCCAGGTTTTAGAGTCGATGCCGTAGATCGGGAAGTTGAAGAATATGCCAATCTAGGAAACCTCAAAGTCGATTGTCACGCACCTACACACCTGCAAGCTGTGCTCCGCACGTTGAGCCGCCTATACGATGATGCATATCTTGCCTCTACACTGGGGAACTGGCAAAAAGAGCTGCCACTGGACTGTGGTCGCATTGCGAACCTTGTGAGCGAATATCGTACGTTTATGAAGAGAGACTTTGTTCAAGACATGTATTTGGAGGCGCTGTTAACGAGACTAAGCTTCGATTCTGAGTCTTCTTTCGAACCCCACGCGGACAGGTTCTTTCGTCGATGCCTCCAAGATAGAACAGGTCGTACCCTATTTGTCACCAGCACGGGAATGCTAGGTCTTGGTCCGAAGGTCGCACTCCCAGGCGACATCGTAGTAGTTCTACATGGCGCCTCAGTACCTTTCGTTCTCCGACCTGCAGACAACGGCTTCTGGAGACTTGTAGGAGAATGCTACCTGTACGAAGTCAACGAGGGTCGCTTTCACAGAGAATGGGAAGAGAAAGGCAGCGTATCGGAGAAGTTCTGTATCTACTGAACTGCCAATACGGCAAGCACCGAACGATCACTCGCCTCTTCACTCGCATTGGCTCCCTGAAATCTAGTTGTCTACGCATGATTCAAAAGCCCAAAATGACGCCGTATGATAGGGACGTCACGCGCCGTCCAACTGAACGCATTGGACTATGATGTGGGAGTGTCTTGGACGACGGGATAGGAACGAGTCACTGCAGGACGTCCGATCAGTACTATCACGATCGAGATAAATAGCGATAATATCCATCCCCTTTCGATGTCACTACGTTGAGTACAATCCCGCAAATGCTTGTCGATTGTAAGAGTCTCCTCCAGCAGCAATCTCTGGAGCCTACGTGATATAGAGAGGTGATGTGAGTATATTCAATCCGAACCCTGAGGCTGATCTAATGCTAATATAAGGCTCGAAGTTGACCATCCCGTGAAACTCGAAATCTCCAAGCTGGCACGCTACGCAATCCCATCTACCACCTTTTCTGGCCAGTCAGTCCGAGAATTGCTTCCCAATCGGCTATACTACCGTTATATTGGGGTATCCGCTCTTAGCAGGAGGACCGTTAGCCTCTTCGTTGCCTTTCCCGTGATCATGGGGGTCAGTGCGGAGTTTGTTATATAGACTCTTTCGCGATCGATATTTGGTCTTTACCCCATACTTATCAACCCCTCGATTTCATTCCATTATCTCGCTATTTTGCGAGCGATAAGCGCCACAAAGGTTCGTGAACACCTCCGGCCTGCTCTTTTCGCACTCATACACAGCCGAGGAGCTTAACAGTAACTGCCAGACCACACGCTGTACCTGTCGGCGCCTGCTTTGTGCGTTGATCAACTCAAAGTCCCGCGAATATACTATATCTCCTTTGTCGCATGTCTTCGTACTACCTCGAAGAGTGGAGAGTCATGAATCTTATTGTGGAGATCAGGCGGAAACTGAGCTAGGCAAAGAATGCGACAACATTTCTGATTAGAGAGCTCGCACGGCCTATAAATCAAACCAGAGCATGGATACAAAGAGAAGATCCTGCATATTTCAAGATTGCTTTTCTCGGATTGAGTGGACCGGTAGTTGCACGTGGAGAGTAAGGGAAACTGCGAGTGATCAGTTACAGCAAACACGAGCATCCTTAAAAGCTGCGTCTACCGCCCAAGTCTAGCACTCCACAACCTCTTCATACGAGAACCATGAGCGAGAGAGCCGAGCAACTAACGAAAAAGTTACGAAAGGAGTTTGGTGATGTGCCACCATGGAAAACCGCATCAACCCAGACCCGTCTTGACGAAGGGGACTCTGAATGGAGCATCACGAGGAGGTATTATGAGAGGGCCCATGACTATGACAAGTTTCTCCCGCTTGCACGCATGTTACATCGAAAGTTAAAGAAGGAAATTGGCCAATGCCCAGCAATCACGGAGTACAAGATCAGGGAATGGCTTGCGTTAGAGTACTGGACTGACACCCAAGTGAAGATAGAATATCGACTGGAGTTCGACAAGGCACGGCCCGAAGTGCGTCGAGCGAAGAAGCTACTGGTCGAGATGAGACGCGATCTAGGGGACTGCCACATGGTCGGCGACCTCAAGATACTCGGTTGGATTGAGTATGGTTTGACAGACAAACACATCAAGGACAAGTACCAAGGTTTCATTGTAAGGGCGAACCTTGTAAGTCGTGCGGAAGCCTTACAGTATCGTTTAGGAGATGAGGTGTCTCGCAGGCTGAATGTTTCGGTTCCTGAGCTACTGAAGCATTTCGATGATAATCTCGATGAAGATCAGATTGTGGAGGACTATCGAAAGAGGACATCCAAGCCTTGAGGCGAAAGATGCAGTGGCGGCACACTCATTGCTTACTGGCGCGCAGAATGGAATGTATTCGGAAGTGACAAACGCGTCTCTGTAGAAGCTCATGTAACTATCATCAAAGTGAATGTCGCGAAATAGCTGTTTCACTTGATCCAGAAAATTCGCACGTCCGTGATCGAGCTAGCAGTAAAAGTCCACCACTATCACAATCCGCGCCGACACAGACCCTGCGAAGACCCCTCCAACCATTTGACCGACGGTATTCTCAGATCACACCTTCCCGTCAAGACAGTCCATTGCCCAAGGGCCGACACATACATTTATAGATCCTGTCCGCCGCTAAGTCTTTGGCCTCAGAACAGACTGCGACTTTCGCGCTCGATCCTGAACCTTGGAGTGCCGCAACACAGATAGTACACCATGGCCGAAAACGGTACAATCTCTGCGATGTACAAGCCCACGCGTCCTTCGCTGGGCGACTGGAGCCGGTCCGAGTATCTTTACATCCAACTACATAGCGAGCTGCTCTTTGCCGTTGCGTATCTACCCGCCGCACCCTGCCCATGCATCGACGACGCCTCTCAGTATATCGGTTACTGCCAGTACTTCGCTATTCCCGACGCCACAACCGATGATCCTCTGGAAGAGGCGGGAAGCGGCGTGGTAAAAGGCATCAAAACCTTCATCGACAAGCGAGACGAGCTATCTGGATGGGTGATGTGGGCCCTTCGAGCAACGAAGATGAAAGCTATCGTCAACAGTGATGACTCTGAAATACGTAACGTCAAGGTATCGCTAGCCATGCTACAGGAATATCGCCAGATACGGGAGCGGATGGGCGTCGATACATACGTAGACAACCCAAAATTCTGCCCAGCCCTTTGGTCGTTCCTTCAAGATGCCGCTCGCAATCAATTTCCTCGGTTCAGCGGAAACACTACCCAGGCTGAACCCACACAAGATGTCGATACCAACGCTGACATGGACATGGACATGGACTTTACCTCTATCACCGGATCTGTACCTGCCAACGACCTGGCGGACACATCAGACCACGACTCAACAGACGAGAATAAAATACCTGACGCTGAAGACGACGTCAATCCTGGAACGACCCGCCTAGGCCCGGATGACTTTGCAAGAGAGACTGGAACAGTCAGGTGCACGCGATACATGCCGTCTAATGGTCAGCGGTGCCGGCGACGTGCGGCGACAGAAAACGAAGACCGTCGGTCGTGGCTATGTCACAACCATGACCCGGTGGAGAAGAAGAAGATATTGGCTGATCGTTTGGCGAGGAACAAGGCGGCAAAGACGGCAAAGGGATTTAGGCCAGCGAAGCCCAAACAGCAGAAGAAGCAGAAAAAGGTAGGGAAGTGAGAGGACACGAGAGCAAGCGCGAAACGCACTTGGAAAGCTACAGTGGTGAGTGAAAGATAAAAAGCCCTACCACGTAACAAGCCTTCAAGGTGAGCGTTGTGGAACGACATGCAACACACGCCGGTGGAGCTAGCTTTCAAGCTGCTCTATACAAATCGGGATGGGAAAGCTTTTGACGAAGGCAGATTTTGGCGGATAATGCAACGGGCAGGAAAAACATCGGCAGTGCCTTAACTCTAGAGCGAGGTGTTGCGGAACATGATTTAGCGAGGCATTCATGATGCGTCAGGAGTTTTGCGGAAGGTATTTCGAGGTTACAGTGTTAACCGGCTTACTGTTCTAGTAGCGGACCCTGTATAATAAGTCAAAGGGTTTCTTTTTTCTTCTTTTTTATAATAATCAACGGATCTTCTGCATGCTCACCTGTGGTTATATAATAGTATCGCTCGCCGTCGAGTCGTGAGAGTCAGCTCTTTGCATACTCAGGTCCGGCGTGGAGACGAAAGTTTGAGAAGGCACAAGTGGAGGACGTGTGCGAAGGCTGGAAAGGAAATAACATTGAAGTTTGCAGCACGCTATGACATCATCATCATCGCGTGTTGTTGACAAGTCGAGCTATCAGCCATCGTGCTACGCGTACCAGACACCCAGAAGCTTACAAGGGATTGAGACGAGTATAGACATGTAAGCCTCAGCAATACATTTCAAGGATATCTAATACTAGCGGGTGCCGTCATAACTGTTGGAGGCGAACTTATGCAAGGCTATGGTAATCAATACTACTAACGTGTTTTATAAGCGAGTCGTCCTTACAAGCGAGTCGTCCACCCCACCAACTTTGATCACCTTTGAAGATCAAATCAGTTATGCCTCAACGCCAACAAGCTCTATTGCGCTCATCTGAAGCTGATATGCAGCTTACTATATCATCTCTTAATAGCCACCAGATCAAGACTGAGAGAGCTGCTGCTCGCGCGTTTAACGTCCCTCGAATGACGCTACGCGACCGACGCGCTGGCAGGCTTGCACGACGCGATTGCCAGCCCAACTCAAAGAAGCTTACCCAGCTAGAGGAGGAGGTAATTATTAGACATATACTCGACCTTGATTAGCGAGGATTTGGGCCTACGTATACAGCTGCGCGCGATATGGCTAATAAGCTGCTTGCTGCGCGTGGCGCAGGTCGCGTTGGCGTCCACTGGCCGCGCAACTTTGTCAAGCGTACAGACAGTCTTATGACGCGTTTTAATCGATCGTACGATAGGCAGAGAGCTCTATGCGAGGATCCTGTGCTAATCAGCCGCTGGTTTAAGCTGGTAGAGGAGACAAAGGCCAAGTACGGCATCTGTGATGAGGACGTCTACAACTTTGACGAGGCTGGCTTTATGATGGGCAAGATCCAGACTCAGCTAGTTATCACAGGGTCAGAGAGGAGAGGCAGGCCAAAGACTATCCAGCCTGGCAACCGCGAGTGGGTGACGGTAATTGCTGCAATCAACGCTGCTGGCTGGACAATCCCACCGTTCCTCATCTTTGCTGGCAAGTATCACCTGTCAGCCTGGTACGAGGAGGATATCCCACGCGACTGGGCTATCGCAGTTAGCGACAACGGCTGGACAACCAACGAGATAGGAGTAGAGTGGCTAAAGCACTTTATTAAGCATACTGAGGGCAAGGTAGTTGGAGCACGCCGCCTGCTTATCCTTGACGGCCACGAGAGCCACCAGTCTCTTGAGTTTCAAGAGCTCTGCAAGGAGAGCAATATCTACACGCTCTGCATGCCAGCTCACTCATCTCACCTACTGCAGCCTCTTGACGTAGGCTGCTTCTCGCCTATGAAGCGTGCGTACAGCCGTGAGATTGAGGCTCTAATGCGCTACAATATCAACCATATCACCAAGCTCGAATTCCTGCCAGCCTTTAAGGCAGCCTTTGATCGATCGTTCACCTTAGCCAATATCTGCTCAGCTTTTCGAGGCGCAGGCCTAGCCCCTCTCCAGCCAGACGCTGTTCTATCAAAGCTCAACGTGCAGCTGCGTACGCCTACTCCACCAGCTGCTCTCGCAGAGCCTCCTGGGAGGCTCGTACACCAAGCAACGTACGTGAGCTTGAGGCTCAATCAACGTTAATACGTGATCGCGTGCGGCAGCATAAGAGCTCATCACCAGCCTCGATTATTGAGGCGATTAACCAGCTTAAAAGGGGGCTGAGGTGATGATGTCTCAGCCGAGCTTATGCGCGATCAGATTACCTGCCTTGAGAGAGCCAACGAGGCAGCAACTAAGCGTAGGCAGCGCAAAAAGAAACGGATACAGAAGCGTGGGACCTTAACAAAGGGAGAGGGAGAGGATATACTAGCTCAAAAGGAGGCTGACCAGCAGATTGAGCGTGAACAGCGTCAAGGTGGTGAGCGATCAGGCCTTAGCCGCCAGGCTATTGCGCGCTGCAGGAGGTGCAGGGAGACTGGGCACAACTCACGAACGTGCAAAAAGGATGCTGTAGATACTATTTAATCTACTATATTAATCGCTTTGTTCTACCTTATTACGTTGTTGCGTTGCGTAGCTTTGAAGGTGATCAAAGTTAGTGGGGTGGACGACTCGCTTGTAAGGACGACTCGCTTATAAAACACGTTATCTATTTGGCTCCAAACATGACTCTCCTACTGTAACAACTCCTCCATAACATCAGCAGGCGTTCTCTTCGGCGCAGCAATCTCCAGTACTTCTTTGCTTGTTGTCTCTGCCTTCGCCAGACCCTCCCATGCTGTCTCCGGAGCAAATTTAATAGTTTTTATCACGTTCTTTGAGTGGCTCGATGCAGCAGCCATGTCGTCTATGAACGAGACGTCTTGGAACTTGACATCCTCGACCTTGGCGCCAATATGCTTCTCAACCATCGCTACGATCTGATTTCCCGTGATATCCTCAGGGCCGTTGAGGACATACCTACGCTTGTTGTGCGCAGAAGTGTCGTCCTGGAGTAGGAGATGCGCAGCGAAGACCCCAACCTCTGAGGGATCGATGATGCCAACTGGAGTATCAGCGTTCGCCATCAGGCGAAGTGTGTGTTGCTTGCCGCCATCGCGGACGGTTTTGATGAGTCCAGCAGCGGGGCCAAGGTAGAGTTGTGAGAACACATTGGGCTGCAGAGATGACCAGTGCATACTTCCAAAGGCTGACGAATCAAGCATGGCCTCAATCGCCCAGTGCGCACGCGGATAGTACGCTTTGCAGTCTGGACGAACATTTGCGGCTGTCGTGGAGATGCGCGCAACGTACTTGACGCCAGCACCAAGGGCCGCAAGGTGGAATGTGGACTCTTCCGCGAAATGGGGTGGCTCATTGTGTGAAGCGATGAAAGCTCTGGCAACCTTATGTTCGCGCAGCCACTCCGTAGTGATCTCGGTCCAGTTGTATTCGACAATTTCTACATGCGGAAATTTGGCCAGTGCTTTTGCCGAGGAGCTGTTTGCGGAACGGGTCATGGCGAGGATGCGATAGCTGGAGAAGGTCTTGCTGGCTTGAAGTTGGTTCGAAAGGGTCTCGACCACACTGCGGCCGGTATTGCCTGTGGCACCAACGATGAGGAATGAAGAAGCCATGATTCAGCAAGGTAATGCAACAAGAACTTAGTTAGAAGATGGTATTTAGAGTGGTTTGACGATGCAAGCAAATTGAAACAGATACTCAAGTTTTTGTACATAGCTGCGGAGTGACAACAACTCCGTGGTGTCACTAGCTGCGGAGTGCTATTAGCTGTAGAGTGGTACGGCTTGCATCACGCATCCGCATTTCGCCCGAACATCAAACCATTAAGGGGATGACTGCTGCAGAGAACGACCAATCAAATCATCGGAGCGCTACAGCCGCACGCCATTAGTAGGGTGGGGCGAACACCGCAAGAAGGTGCAGATCGCGCAGCACCATGGACCTGAGCAAAACGAAGGCCAGTGTGACACCACTATGACGATATATCATAGCTCAGTAGTAAAGTAGTGCTTGCGATCGTTTTCCTGGCTATTATTATTCAGGATGCTTTGAAAGATTGTCCTTGGCAGTTCTAGTACTAGCCATGAGCTTGTAGCTGACCTTCAGGGCTATGGAATAGAGATTCCATTCCGTTTGTGTCGCATAATGCAAGCGGTTTGGAAACTGCATTTCACGCATGATCGAGGGCAAATACAGACGAAGAGTATAAGATATGTAGAACTTCCCACTTGCATGGTAGTAAGCCTTATATAAAATCAAAAACTTGTTGTTACTACACGCACTAGTACAAAATCTCAATGACACTACGCGGTCTGGTCGGCGGTGATACAACGCTACGGAACGACAAAAGCCATACCTCGTGTCCCCCATCTACAGGCTCTCAGGACGCTTGTAAAGACATTGTTCAGCCACTTCGATGCTTACCGAGGACTTGGGACTACAATTCGTTGTCGTAGTTCTCGTCCACCTCGATGTCGCGAGTAGCATGAACGTCGGAATCGACCTGGATCTCCCGGCCTCTGTCCTGTTCCTCGATCATCTCCTCGGTCTCCTCCGCATCGTCGTCTCCTCCTAAGGATGGAAGGGTATCGTCATCGTTATAGTCGACGGCCAGCGCTAAAAGCTCTTCTTCATCATCGTCGAGCTTGTCTTGTCCGAGAAATGGGTTGGCATTGCCAGAAATCTCCTTTTCCGGCGAGCGCATCTTTGGCGTGTCGTCATCATCGTCGCTCTCCTCAGTACCACCATGTGCTTTGTCGTGAGCACGCTCTTCAGCTTTGCTAGGTGGCCCAAATTTCTCTGGAATCTTTTTCGCCAGTGCGATACCTTCAACTGACTTGTCGCCGCGCCATCTCACCACCGGTGCCTGACCACGGTCGTAGAACGGCTTGTACGCTGTGTACTGATAGCGGACGCTCTCTACTGTTCGACCAGTAGATAGGCTACCCATGGCAAAACCAATGTTTTCCTTGAAGTCTTTGTTCATGAAGCGATCATTATGAAGCTCGGTGATCTCCCAGATTGATGCATCCGGGTTCTCCTGGAGCAGAGAAGCCAGATAGTGTTGCTCGATCCGTGTCCAAGGCCCATCCATTGTCACGCGATCGATAGCCTGGTAGCGACGATCGTTGAGAGCTTTGATGCTTTGCCTGTATTGCCAGTCCTTGGGTACTCTCCCGTAGCAGTAGACTTCTGGGATTTGCTTTGGCTCGGGGTCCTTCCTCGGGTGCTTCGGCCGCTTGTCGATTAGCGGGACTGGGAGCAGATCTACTTGGTCGCGATTTTGAGGGAGCAGTTCAATGTTGTGCGGGTCAAGATTGTAGTGGTGCTTCACGTATCGTGTACCCCGCTTGTATCGATAGCCACGGTTCTCGAATAAGGGAGGGTTAGTCTGCCCGTTGCTCGCACGAGCAGAGGGTTGATCAGGGTGGGGCCGAGGATCACCTGAAATGGGCTTCCTACCCCAGAAAGGATTCGACGGAGGCTTGTCTACAGTGTGGACATACGGAAGAAAGCCATCTCCCACAGGAGGTTTCTGCGCTTTCGCTTTCGAAACTCCAGCCTTGCTGCCCTCTTTTGGGACAGAAGCTTTTACACCATTTTCCTTTATGGCAAGAGCTTTTTGACCCTTCTTCTTTGGGGTAGAAGCTTTTGCTCCTTTCTTATCTTGGGGGGTAGAGGCGACCTCGTCAGATACTAGAGAAGTGTCCTGATCATCATCCACTGGCAATGCGGCCTCCTCTTCAGTAGATGCGGTGGTCTCCGAGATTCTCGATCGACCGATCCTGTCGATAGGTGCGGCTTCGATGTCGGCGGTCTTCTTCGTTGTCTTAGGTTTCTTGGGCGTCCTCTGGGGGACTAGCGGCGATTCAGCGAGTCGCTTGGTCATGTTGGGAGGATGCAGCTCCGTATCGATGCGTTGGTGAAACTCGGATGTCTCAGTGGTTGTTATGAGAGGGCCGAAAGGGTCGAATCGCGATGCTGTGTGGTCGTGCGTCGAGCTTTTCGCGAAGTGTTTTGCAGAATGGACTGCTATCGTCGAGCTTAGCGTGCTTGGAGGTGTATCCTGGTTGAGAGTCGTGGGTCTTAGTATTCGAGACATTTCCAGAGGAGAGAACGAAGAGTAATAAATATGAGGGCCAATGACCACCCCTAGATCGTAAGTGAAAGACTACTTCGGTGTACGAGGCTGGCGCTTTGACATATAAGTTGCACAGTGTGAAGTTGATATTGTCAGTTGGTGTCCTTTGTGCAGGGCTCTCGTTCACTTTCAAAGCCAGCAAATTGGTAAAACAGGCCAAACTGACAATGTCACAAGCGGACAAAGGCGATAGGAAACAATACCATCTCTTCATGTGCACGCCTGGCGATCTCCTTCTGTTTGTCATCATATGGAGATGACCATTCAGGTGTCCTCTTTCTCTCGGAGCTCAGGGTCCATTGCGCGCGCAGGGAAGGTGACCGCGCAAAGACGAACCTGTAGGTGACTGGGCCAACGGCTTCTGACACGTAATGTCGGTTAGAACCGAGACGCTGTCATGGCCACGTAACTTGTCGAGAGTCGCAAATCATGGGTATCGTAACGTCAAGGCCCGCCCACTCCTGTCGCTGGAAAACCACATACGTTTCTTCAAAGATTGTGTCGGATAATGGAAAGGAGTTTGCAATCTGCGTTCTGTCGATGTGTTGGTTATCGACAGTAAGGTACTAGAGATGACATGTCGTTGAATACATCTATGCATTTACTTGCGATTGAATTACTATTAGGACTGATTACGTAGAGCATGCTTAGTACATGTCTAAGCATTGTACATTATGCATATGCGATTAGGATGTCACCATCGACTCCTAGGACTCTCATTGTTTATTCTTTAAAATTGCTGGGCTTCCAAGAAGGCATCGCGAACAGCCAAACCTGGGCCATGTGCGAGACTCTTTGGATCAATACCTGATAGATCCAGGGCGATGTTCACTTGGTCGATCCTATAGAGCCAACAACGACAATGCATACGCGGAAGGACGTTTGTCAATCGCAACAAGGGATACTGGATATGTCGACGTCATTGATCTTCACCTCAACCAACCATCTTTCCACACGGTCATCTGGCACCCGAGCCGCGCGATCGTTGTCGACATCGCGGGACAGCCGATTAGCGGCGGCTGCTGGCGAGGCTAATGGTTTGGGACGAAGCAAGTTGTCCAGGTTGGCGACATTTTCGTGTGCAATTTGTACATCTGTCGCTGAGTTCAGGCTTCTTTCCCAGCGCTCGCCTGGGCAGCGCCATGAACTTCTTGCATCGCATATCGTTGGCGCTGCCTGCGGATTTCTGTTCGATCCCGTAACGAGATTGTGGTGGCCATAGCGTACGGTGTTGATGGGCGGCCCAGAACGATGGGCCATGACAGCGACTAGTGCACACGATTATGCGAACACTTGTACCTGCATGACGATATCATGTTTTGTTTTCAGAGACTGGCGTCGCTAGTCCTGCTTCGTTGGGAGAATCGTCGATACCAGGTCCTCATTTTGCCGAACAAAGTGTAGTCGCTTGTTTGGTCATCATCGGGGAATGGGGATGGAATTTCGGGTGCGGATTGCTTGCGATGCTGAAGGTGTTCTTCGTCCATGCGCAAGAGGTCTGCTGCAAACTGCTCTATCATGGTGAGGGCGGGCGAGTATTCAGGGCTCAAGTGGTTCGGAAGTGGTGGTGGGAAGGCCTCTTGGCCTGCAAAGTAGTGTAGTTGGTGCTCCATGTCGTTGATAGGGTGATGAGATGGGATGCAATGCGATGCGTTGTTATGGATGAGTTGTTGGCATCTTTCCAGAGGGTCGCGTCGCGTTTATATCACAACAGTACATGTCGTCATGTTCTCTTGCTCATCCCACACGCGCTATGTCGCGTGGCAGTGACCATATCCCACTTTCTTCCCGTGGCCGTGCGCGGTTTCAATACAATAATAAAATAAGACGCTCCGATTACATATTGTTCCCAGATCGACTGGTCACCAATATCGTCATTGCCTTGTTGCAGACGATACCCCTGAAACTTCCCGCTTTCCGGGGTTCAATCGATCGTATCGGCGTCATCAGGGGTGTTACATCGTCCGGGCAAGATCCAAGTTCCACCCTAGCAGGCAGGCCCGTGCGCGACGTGGAATGAGTACAAGTTGTTGATGATTTCTTGCACGCGATCGTGAGTCTCGTAAGAGATGTCTTGGTGTTGCAGGCTGGCATCGGCTCGCGCCTTCCGACAACACCCAACCTCGGCTGATCGGGCGAAGACGGCCAATGCAGTGACGTTCCTCACGAATACATCAATGACCAGCCGTGAACACCCTATCGTCATTGCAACGACATATAGAAATAATGCTCATCCCCACACCTTTCGGCGATTTTCTGCCCGCTACTTGAGATCCACCATCTGCATGCCTTGCAGCTTACATAGCGAAAGCCATTATATGTAGACGGAACTGCCCGAGATGCCTACCCCACCGTTCTCCCAAGACCGCCGAGATTGGTTGAGCGAAATTTCTGGACTGTTTTCGCAGCGCAAGACCAAGGACATTAAAAGCACACTGTCCACATCTCCTGTGAACCTTGGACTTGGAGCCTCAAAAGCCTTTGACTCTACTTCGACATTCAGCTTGAAAGATGACGCCTCCACAAAAGATCAAGCAATGGCTTACGGGCCAGGACGGGCTCGATAAGCTCAGGATGGACGAGGCGGAATGCCCAACTCCGGGAGAGGATGAAGTACTGGTTGAAGTACATTCAGTCAGTTTAAACTACAGGGATACTGAAGGTAAGTCCAACGCGATGTGGTTGTGCCAACTTCTGTGGCAGGGTTAAGACGGCCATTAGAACGACGCTAAGCACGTGGACAGTCGCTATGGGCCTCTACAATCACCACCAGTCGGTAGATCATCCCCCCGCCATCGTACCATGCAGTGACATGTGTGGTGTGGTTGTTGCCGTTGGTCCAGCCTCCAACAACACTTCAGACCCCTTCAAGAATCCGGCTTTCCAGCTCAAGGAAGGCGACAGGGTCATTAGCACATTTGCGCCGAAACATCTCAGTGGCCAAATCAAGGCCACAGACATCGCAAGCGGGCTTGGAGGGCCAGCCCCGGGAGTGCTGACGCAGTATCGTGTCTTCCCCACCTACGGCGTCGTCAAGATCCCAGACTATCTATCCGATGACGAAGCGGCTTGCTTGCCAATAGCAGCCGTGACCGCCTGGATGAGCTTGAACTGCATGCGGCCGAATGGCGAGATAATTGGAAAGGGCGAATCAGTCGTATGCCAGGGTACTGGTGGTGTTAGCATTTCCGCAGCTCAAATCGCGTCTGCAGCAGGCGCCGATGCCATCGTCACTTCTTCCTCTGACGAGAAGCTCCAGCGGGCCTCCAAGCTTGGTGCGAAGACAACCATCAACTACCGCAACAACCCCGATTGGGAAAACGCAGTCCTCTCTGCTACTTCCGATAACGGCGCTGATATCATTATCGAAGTCGGTGGCGCGCAGACACTGCGCAAGTCATTTGAATGCGTACGCTTCGGTGGATTGATCTCTTGCATTGGCTACCTCTCTGGTAAGCAAGACGAAGCTGGTGACAGGACAAACACAAACCTGTTGTGCTTGAAAAGGAATGTTACGCTCAAGGGTATAATGAACGGCCCTAGGACTGAGCTTGAAAGAATGCTTAAGTTCTACGATGAGAAGAAGATCAGACCAGTCGTCGATCGTATTTGGAAGTTCGAAGAGGCGGATCAAGCGCTCAAGTACTTGTTCAGCGGAGGACACTTTGGAAAAGTTGTCATTAAGGTGAAGGAGTAGGTAGTACAAGAGGTGTGTCATGGCTCAAAAGAATCCATCATCAAATACTTGTAATGCACAACTCATTGCATCATGAGAGATTGTGCATTCTTCTTCACGCGTCATCGATATGCATTAACTACAAAGCTTCTTGGTTGCTCATGAGGTTACCATTGGCGACTATCCTATTTCCTTGATGCCTGTCGCTAATCGTTTACGATGTCGGATCGGTGCAGGCTATAAACACGTCAGATAGCTACGGCCATACATCAGATTCGGCAGCGGGCAAGTGCACAGTCGTTGAATATCATCAAACTGCAAGTGCCGCCAAAGACAATAATGGAGTTAAAGATCACAAGGACGAAGCCGAAGATCTGCGGTTGACAGAGTTAAGCCAAAAACTGAGCGCGCCGCTGGGTACCGACATTCACACCCCACTTGCGGAAGACGCTGGCAAAGTGCTGGGTATCCTCGACGGCGATCTTTTAATCCTCCTCGACAACACGTTCCTGGTACCAAGCATGTTCAGCTTCAGCCAGGAGTGGACGCCAATCCTTGTCCTCTTGCAGTGCTACAGCTAGACCGTGAACGCCGATGCGTAACAACCACAAAACAGCGAACACCTTGAAGCCCCACAGCTTGAAGCTCTCTCGACCCACCACAAGCCAGTCATCTACATTGCCGATCACGACATCGATGACGTGTGACTTGTAGGTATGCGTGGTATAAGAGTTGACTAATCCTCCGCCTAAATTAAAACCCAGTTTCTTTTCAGTAGCAGCTACAGTTGATAGCCAGAACCAGATTTATACGCATACCAACACGGGGCCAATCAGTATGTCCCCTTCGGGGCAATTTCAAATATACAATGACACAAGTGAAGAAGCCTCTTTCATCCAGCTGGTCAGAGGAAAGAAGGTAGTCATCCTCTCTTCATCCTTTGCTGCGATTGCCGCCCACCAGGTCCTCTCAGCCACAGTATCCCGCTTGCAAGACCAGTCGCGTAGAATGTAAGCTAACTTCCTAACCGCACATTCTATCTTCGTTAATAGACTGATACCCACTAAGCAGAAGGTAGGTTACCATGGTATTGTTCACTACTTATTTTTGTTTATCTTTTCCGTTGCTTTTGTCGGCCATCTTCGTCATCGTATCAATGACTCGTCCCTTCTTCGTGCCTCCGTCATCGTCTTTCTTAGCATCGCTGTTCTCGAAAGTTACAATAAGTTCTTCCTCACGTTCTGGGAACTCGCTGTTTGTATACGATCCGGCGGTGATGGTAGAAGCTACATCAGAGTATGAGTTGTAATCGACTTCAACGAACTCGTAACTGTTGATTAGTTCTTGGTCTTCGACAATGTTTTCGTCCTCAACAGTGGTAGAGTCATTACCGAGCACATCTCCGCATGATTATTTGGTGAGCATGATAGTGGTGCTCTCTTTGGTGGACCTGTCGTTGCTGTTGACTGCGTGCTCAGTGGAAGACACTGACGTGACAGTAGGTGAAAGAATGGGGTAGATCGCTAGGAGGTGCCGCGGTAGTCTGGTATATTCACGCTTTGGGTTTTAATTGTGACAAAGTTCACCGGGAACTGATTGATATATGATCAGTCACTGCCACGAATTGACAACATGAACTTCTCCATGCTAACGTGATTGCGCCTCTATACGCAGTGAAAATTCCACACTAGAGCTTGCCACTGACGGAGCATCTTGATCGACCTTTCACTAGTTTTAGTGCAAGACCACGCTGCTGTGTTCGCAATCCAGTGTAGGCTGTCAATTGTCACACCGGGGTGATATACTCTAACGGCTACCGATTCTTTCACATACGACCAGAGGGCACTAAAAATTAGTTCACCAGTCTGATCCGTCAAAAGTTCATCACGTCGGTTGTGGTCAATTTACTGTTCTATACTTACTGAAAGCAGAAACAGTTTCGATATGATTATCGATAGCACACACGAGTAGACACAGGTCCATGAAATTCTATTGTGTAGACAATCGTCGAATAAGCCAAGTGCCAGATCCGTGCACACGGGGCCAGTTGCCCTATCTGTATGCACCAATCTATCCTGTCAACTTCTTCAGTACAACCTCGCAAAGACTTGTCAATGTTCGCGCTCCTACAATCTCAAGCACACTCATTTCGACACCCAATTCCGACCTCGTCCAATTCCTCATCTCCACCGCAACCAGACTATCAACTCCGTAATCGCCTAGCGGCCTCGAAATTTCCAGCGACTCTTTCATGCCCAGACTACGCATGAGGACCGCATTCATGACCTCGATCGACGCTGCCAACAGCGTAGATTTCTCCACGCCGTCTTTAGCCGCATTCTTGAGCAGTGCAAGCTTCGTGGCCGCAGTACCAGATCCACCGGACCCCGCAGCACCAGATGCAGCAGCACTGCCTGCAGGGGCACGAAGCGAGCTGAAACGGTGTAGCGGCTCGAAGAATGGAGCGCCAGGCATGATTCCCGTGCAAAGAATGCCCCAGCTACTCTTGTTGATGCTGTGGGTCTGCTGCATGATACTGGCTCGCAGTATACGGTACAATAAAGACTCGTTGATGAGATGCCAGCCCATGGCTTCCAGGCGCCGATTCGCATTGTCTTTGTCCTTGAGATATCCGACTTCATCGACAGGACCTAAGTCTACGGAGCACGCTGGCAGGCCTTGTTGGATGCGCCATGAAGCGAATGCATCAAGGAATGCGTTTGCAGCGGCATAGTTGGATTGACCCATATGACCAAGCAGACCGCTCACGGAAGATAACATGGTGAAGAAGTCGAAGGAAAAACCATTGGCTTCAGAATGTTCCTGGCCTGCCACGTGCAGGTTCCAAGTCCCGGCAACTTTGGGTTGGCCAGGGAGACGGAACTCTTCTGGTGTCATTTTAGTGAACATACGGTCGCGGATCAGCATCGCGCCCTGGATCACGCCGGCGACGGGCTTAGAGGCGGCAGAATAGGCGCGGCGGACGTCGGACAGATTGGTAATGTCTCCGGTCACGAGATCGACGTGGCAGCCCAGCGTGTTGCAGTCATAAATCGTCTTCTGAGACCGTTCATCGTCGTAACCACTGCGAGAGATTGTGACGATATTGGTTGCGCCGTTGCGAGCGAGATAGACTGCAAGAGAGCTGTTGAGACCCTTGAAACCGCCTACTATGAAGTACGAACGGTCTGGTCGAAGCTTGAACTGGGGCGTCATGGGTCGGACAGGAACCTTGACGGCCCTGCTGTTCTCGTAGGAGATGACGACTTTGCCGATGTGTTTGCCACGTTGCATGTATCGGAACGCTTCAATGGTCTCTTCGAAAGCAAAGACTTTGCACACATGAAGAGGTCGGATAAGACCCTGCTCGACCAGATCCATGATTTGCTCGCCAACCTTGCGAGTGACCTCGTCCGTAATGCTGGGACGCGACAAATCCAGCGCGCGATATGAGCAATTGCGATCGAAAGGTTCCATCGAGAGACTATTGCGATCGATCAAGTCCTTCTTGCCAATCTCGATCATGGTACCATTTTCAGCGATGCAGCGCCAAGATTCATGCAGCATGTCGCCGGTCAGGGAATTGAGACAGACATCTACGCCGCGTCCGCCGGTTGCGCGCAGGAGCTGCGCAGCGAATGTCGTCGAACGGGAAGAGAAGACGCGATCTCTGCGAACACCATAGTTTTCAACGATGAAGTTGATCTTGGCTTCTGTGCCGACGGTACAATACACCTCGGCTCCAAGGTACTTGCACAAGTCGAGTGCAGCAAGACCGACGCCGCCAGATGCAGAGTGGATCAGGACGGACTGCCCTTTTTGGACATTGGCAAGCGTGATCAGACCATAGACAGCGGTATGCACAGCGATTCCGAACGTCGTTCCGTCGACAAAGGATATGTGTCCCGGTAGCTTGTACACCGCGTGCCAGCGATTACGGACGCGATTACCGAAGCAGCCGCCGTCTCGTCGGACCAGAAGGACTCTGTCGCCAGGCTTGACTGTTTCCACATCTTTGCCGACATCGGTGACTATGCCCGTACATTCGAGCCCGATCAATTTCTCGTTGCAGGGCACAAAACCCATGGCGTTGGCCAGATCTTTGAAGTTCATGCCAGCTGCCACGACTTCAATCTCAACTTCGTCGTCCTCCAAAGGTGGGACCTCAACCTGGGTGTACACCAGAGTATCGAGCGTACCAGGACGCTCACTGGTGAGACGAATAGTCGACTCATGACCATGTATAGTCATATCTTGAAGCGATGGGCCATCTTGGCTCTGCTTCTCCGCCACGTTGATGGCTTCGTCGCCAATCACCCGACTGACATGCAGTAGGCCGTTGCGTTCCACAAACTCGTTGTCGATTCTGCCGAGGACTTTGACGGTACCAAGGTGCTTCAACACGGTGTTTATGGTCTCCAAGCTGGTCTTGCTCATGGCGGACTCCACGTCTAGGCACATGAGGATGTTGTTGGGATACTCCAGGACAAGAGATCTCGAGGCACCGAACATGAGGCCACGCTCTGGATGTGTGACAGACATCTGCGAACCTGCAGTAACCCAGAGGATGCGGCATTCTCGCTCGATGATGGTCCGAAGTGCTTCGAACTGTTCGTCTCTGAGGTCTGTCAGAAGAGGAGCAAACATCTCGTCTAGGACAACGACCGTGCTCTTTTCTGGAATGTCGTTGAATGGTAGTATGTGTTCAACAACACTCCATCCACGTGTTTTGAGAAGGTCCCGGATCGTATCAGTTGCGCCAGTAGGCTTGCCGAAATGCGCAAGGCAGATGTTGTTGGGGAGGAGGGATTCGGCTGGTTCTGGTCGCTGACTTGCAAGATAGATCAAGCTCAGCGATCGCGCCGCAATGCCAGAGACACGGGACAAACCATTTGAAGACTCTGAAGTGGACGCAACCAATTGCCCGTCAATTTCAAGTGATTCCACACGTTGTGAAGACCACTCTGCGCTGTGCAGTACCGCGATATAGCCATTGTCCGTAAGCGCGCCGCGAGCGCTTTTCAAAACATCTTGAAGATGGGAGGTCACTTCGGAAATCTTTAGGATGACCAAATCAAATTTGTCTCCCCCAGCGAAGATCGCGTTTGCGTCGTGCACGACATGCTCAATGTTGGCTTCGCTTGCATACTTCTCACGTGCGTTGAGGCCTGATTTCTGGGACGGCAAGGAAAGCCGATATGCACAACCCCTTGCAATAGGCCCGGCTTTGGCGCGCAGCTGGTCGATCCATATGCTTTCACTTCTGTCGTCGTCGATGGCGAGCTCCAGGATCTTCGCCGTGGGACGCTTGTGCGCGATGATTGCCGCCACTTTAGCGACGCGCGCTAAGGCGGGCGTGTCTTCTCCTTCGTCCGACGCAACGCCCTGCAGAACACCAGACATCTGCTCGGGCGACAGGAACGCGACATCTTCAGACCACACCACCTGCGTGAATGCGTGCGGTTTATCGACACTGGCATTGATGGCATGGTATCGCAGTCCTTGTAAGTGGCAGAGCATCTGGTGATCTCCCTCCGAAAAAGTTCGGATGTCGCTCACGAAGCGTTTGTTGTCGTCTGGTCGTCCAACACCACCATATTTGGCCTCGGAGGCGACAATGCCACGGGAAACGTCGCCCGCCGATTGGAGTTTGCGCAGAGGCTGTGGGAAGATGATGAACTCGTCGATCAACCTCGGTGGCATGAGCGTGTCGAGCGCTGATCGGTGCCCACGGTTCAGCGCCACAGTTGCAATTTGCAAGCACCCATCCATGGCCGCAGGATGCATTGCATAGTTGCTCTGCTGATGTTTGGACTCGGGAAGTCCCAGCTTGATGACGGCGCGGCAGTGACGAGCATCGGCTTGCGCCTCGATTTCCTGGCACGGCTGAAAGGCATCACCAAACATGTATCCGACCTCGCGCATCGATTTGTACCATACTGAACCTGGGACGGCATGCTTTAATGGACCAACATCAGCTTCTGTGGCAATTTTGCTCACAGCATCGCCAATGCTAATAAGTCCAGTGGAGTGCTCGTCCTGAATGTCCTCGCCTTCCCTAGAGATACTGGTAATTGTGAACTCGTGCCACGACTCCTTGGTACTGGAACATGGCGTGAGAGAGAGCTGGATCATCGTCGGCGCTGAATCGCTGAGTACAAGCATGCGCGGAAAGGAGACATTGCGAAGCTTGTATGTCACATCGTTGACACCGATATTCTCTGCCAAACGGCCTGTTGCTTTACTTTTCTGGAAGATAGCCTCTATCGCCATGGCCATATACGCTGCTGCTGGGAAGATGACTTGCTCGCCGAGCGTGTGATCCCGAAGCCAGGGTACATCGCTGAGTCGGAGCCCGTTCTTCCATGTCGGGCTGGTCCATGGGACGCCCAGCATCTTTGATCCAAGCAAGTCGTGATGGACAAACTTACGGAAGCGCCAGTCTTTGCTAGATTCGGTCTCATGCCAATACTTCGTCGAGTGATCCCAAGCATAATTCGGCAGGTCAGAGATGAAGACTGGGACCTCCGTCTCATCGTCGTTGAAAGGCGACAACTTAATGGAACAACCAGCGATGAAGAGTTTTCCGGCACACTCCAGCAACGTATGGAGTGCATCAGGCCCACGCTTCCACGCATTGACGTATGTTACGTCTGAGGATGCAGCCTTCTTCACTTGACCGACGGGGCCTTTCAGAGCATCGCTCGGTCCGATCTCGACCAGGAAGTCGACGCGGTCTTCCTCGCATGTTATCATTTTACGGCACGCCGGTCCAAACAACACGGGCGACACCATATTCTTAACCCAGTAGTCCGGCCCAGGCGTTGCTGTTAAGGTCTTGCCTATGGTGGAAGAGAACATCTTGATCCGCCGGCTTTGCACCTTGGGTGTTGCACACCAGTCGACATGCTTTTCAAGCAGGTCTCGGTACAATCCAGCGACTGGCTTCATGTGCGATGAATGATAAGCTGCATCGACAAGAAGTGCTCGAGCGAAGTGACCGTCGTCTTTCAACTTCTTCTCAACTTCAGCGAGCTCTGATTTTGTGCCTGAGAGAGTCACGCTCTTGTCGCTGTTGATACAGGCAATTGTGACAGCGCTGCCGTCCAAATATGGGTCGACGGTGTCTGGACCAAGACCGGTCGCCAACATACCGACTGGGGTGTCGTACTTTGCTTCTGCAGTGGCTTGGCCTCGGTAGTATGCAATTTGTATCGCTTGCTCTGGGGTTATAAGGGCTGCAGCTACAGCAGCAGCAATTTCCCCTGAGGAATGGCCTACAACAGCATTGTAGTCTACCCCAGCAGCATCGAACAACGCTAGAATGGCGATCTGGAGAGCTGTCACAAGCGGTTGCGAAAGTTCGGGTAGGCGCATGTGCTCCACACTTCTCGGACGAATAATTTCATCGAGAAGACTCCAAGAAGGGGCTGCATAAGAGTTCTGAAGTACTTCGTCTAGATGTTTGATGGTGCGCGCTGCTAGAGGAAAGTTGTCGACGAGAGCCTTTCCCATCTCAGGCCACTGTGCACCTTGACCCGTGAATACGAAGCCGATATTTGGCAGCTCTGGACGAACGTGGCCGCGTTGGAAGCTTTGCATGTCCAACTCAGTGCTTGTTGCAATCGTGAAACCGCGATGGTAATGGCGAGATTTTCGCTCACTCAGAGTATAAGCAAGGTCATTTAGTTTGATGCCGACTGCAGGATCAGATAAATGCTTATCCAGCTCCGAAAGCTGTGACTGCAATGATTTTTCGCTATTCGCGGATAGCACCAGAAGCCGGGGTCTTTCTACAGTCTCTTGGAAATCATACTCGTCTTCATCCGCGGTGTACGAGGACGTGTGATACAAGCCCAGGCCCTTAGCCTCATCAACGACGGCATGGGCATTCGAGCCACCATAACCAAAAGAGTTTACACTCGCCCGTTTGATCGGTACGTGAGGCCAGGGCGTTGCTACACGAGAGGCCCGAAGTTTCCATTTTTCGAAGTCGATCTTAGGGCTCGGGTCGACAAAAGTTGGGTTCCCTGGAATGACACCCTTTTCTAGGCTGAGTACGGTCTTCAGTAGGCCCGACAAGCCAGCTGCAGGCTCAGAGTGGCCGATATTACTCTTCACCGAGCCAATCCGAAGTGGCTTGGCAGGGTCACGTGACGGCGCGAAGACATTGGCAACACCGGTGGCCTCGAGCGAATCGCCAACTCGAGTGCCTGTGCCGTGGAACTCCACATAACTGGTCACGTTCAAGTCTCTAATACCTGCGTTCTTGTACGCTTGCCGAATAGCAGCAGACTGCGCTTCATGATTTGGAGATGCAATACCAGCGGTCCAGCCATCGCTGTTTGTGGCCGTGCCTCGGATGATGGCTCGAATTGGGTCCTTGTCCCTGATGGCATCTTCAAGACGCTTGAGATATACCATGCTAACGGCTTCTGCTTTGATGTAGCCGTCGGCCTTGGAGTCGAAGGTGTGACACTTGCCCGAGAGAGACGCAGCACCATTGGCGCCCATGTAATGATCCATAACGTGCTCCGGGCTACAGTACAAATTTGCACCGGCCACGATGGCGGAGGTTACCTCTCGCGTCTGGAGGTATCGCATAGCGAGATCCAAACCGATGAGTGCACCAGAGCACGCGGTATCGATTGTCATTCTAGGCCATTGTCAGTTTGGCGGAACAAGATTAGATCACCAGAAGAAGATACGTACGAGGGGCCTTTTGTGTTTAGGAAATGAGAGATTCGGTTGCTCAACATCGCTCGACCAACACCGACTGCAGTAGCCGATGCACGATTTTCTGGATCTCTGGCCTGCATGTCGCCATAGTCACTTGCGAAAGAGCTCACGAAGCAGCCCACTGGCGCGCCTGACATCTGCTCCAGAGTGACACCAGCATTTTCGAGCCCTTCGTAAACAACTTCTAGCAACTGCCGCTGCTGCGGATCCATAGACGTTGCCTCAATGCCGGAAAGCTTGAAGAATTGCGCATCGATGTCTCGCGGATCGACGTTCTGGAGGAACATACCCCCTGGCGAGGCCATCGTTTGCGGTTTTAGCGACCCATCGTAGTGTGTGTTGATATCGAACCGGGTACCCGGCGGTGTGTTCACGGCAATCTTGCCCTCGGACAAGAAGTTCCAGAACTGCCGCAGGTTGCTGCATTCATCCGGAAGGCGGCATGCCATGCTGACAACGGCCACCGGATCCTGGACATAGGCGGTCGATGCATCAGCTCCGTTGGTCACAGCATCTGCAATAGACTCGGTCTTGCTCGAGCCATTCGTATGGTGGTGACCATTGCTGTATCTGTTGCCATCACTGGCGCCCTCAATGTCAGGAATAGTTTGATGTGGAGCCATACTGCAAGTTCTACAACGAGGAAGTAGTGAACGGGTTGGGTGCCTGTTGTATAGCCCACGATGAAGAAATGGGGATGATGTTGCTATTGCACTTAAACGCGGACAAGTCTTATACACAATATCAGTATCGACCACTGACACATCTATCAAGATGAAGATAACAAGCCACTTTCATGAAGTGGTTGCATGCGATCGGAATAGCATTTTGGCACGGCCTTCGCTTGGAGGCTCAATTCTCCATTGGTGTTGGATCTCGCCGCCACCATTCGACATACACGTCCATCTCGAGTCTCGGACTCCTACAAATCAGGCCCCCATACAACCGGCACACCTTTTTCTCACTCCAGCGGTAACAAGCTGATAAGCATCACACCTTCTAGGCACCTTTTGGAGGCAATTAGCCTAAAACCTTCAACGCACCCTAGCGCATATCATCACAGTTGGCCTCCGCTGCATCTCTGAAGGATGAGTATGCTAGCTTGCAGGACTTAAATTTCGAAAAACATGGCGTATGCTGACCATTGTCTACAAAACGTATCGGTCAGATACGGTAGATGGGCCGCCATGTGTCAATTGGTATTGGGTTCCAAACCTCAAACATGGAGCTGCATGGAGGATGACTCCTGCAGTACGCATCTTTGCAGGATACATCATCCTCCGCACCGTTTTCTCCTAAACATATAATCAAACGCAACGTCGATAGGCAAGGGACCCTGCCGTTCTGAGGTGAGCACGCGAGCATATACCTGTTACCTTGTCGGTAGTATCCTGGGGCCCTGATCGTTCGATGAGTGAACTATCGCCGCCGTATCGGCGTAGTTCATGCGTCAAGACGCGCGACTAGAAGGGTCCGGAGTCGCCGCCTGTTACTGGTAAGCCTTGAAGAGCGGTCAATCACATTGCTGCAGTCGAGGCTGACACTTGAGTGCAAAGTATCCTTGTCATCGATGCATCCACTGCTAAAACTGGAAAACACTCGCGTGCCTCTTTCCGAGTCCACTTTATGCTTATGCACAAACTCAGTCGCGGCCGCTCCGAGACGGCGACTGCGACGAACGGCTTTTCCAAACAGCTATGTTTTGGATGATCGCAGCAACACCTGTAATGATGGCTTATACCAGTCTCGATTGGCCTTGTTGATTGCAGGAACACCGATTCTGATAGTGTTGCTTTCATGCTCGCATGCCAGAGCAGTTTGTAAGAACCCGCCTCGCTACCGTGGAACAACGAAAGCTCTCTTTTTCGATTGTACTTCTAGTGCTGTAAGAAAGGATGTGTCTGACTCTAAACAGCTGATTGCATATAGAATACAGTTGTCTGAAGCCCTTCACTACCTCATGTTGTCTTGCCGTTAGCGTTGCAAAGATTTGCGAGCGTCTTCCACTACCGGTATATTGCCTTCCAAGGCGTGGCAAGAGCGTGGCTCGGTTCAATTGCTATCTGGAAACTCTGTCATCCTCTAATTACTTCTGAATATGGGCTGATCTTGTTTCAAGAAGGTGTGCTAGCAGTCTTTCCCGGGAGCGCCCTGCACATCCCGCAAGAGGCAAAATTACGGCACAACGAATGTGCTCCCCAAAGCCTTGGTAGATTTGGCCAGGGTGAGCGAACCACGCCACACCTATGCCGCCCAACGGTATCACTACCAATGAATTGAGCATCAGTACTGCACGTAGCACTAGATTGCTTACCCGAAAGCATGCCCCGGGGTTGGTACGGCTTCCGCGGTCTGGGAATGATCTTACTTTGCCCAGTGACGCCTGCACCCGGATGTGTCATCATTATGTGCTCAACGGCATAATAGCGTTCGGCATTGCGATGCTGACAGTATTGCGCATGGATACAGTGGAATCCCTGGCAACTCTTTCTACTGTACGTTCATGTAGGGCACACAGGGGAAGGGTCAAAACAAAGGAACGACTACTGGAGTCACAGTAAGTAGCATGGTTTTACAGTACATATTCTTTAAGTCCTCTATGCAGCTATAGTGATATGGTATTCGCTGACGGAGTTTAGAGTACGGAAGAGTTTTCTTGTTAGACACCAAGATCAGCTTTCCCGTACCTATCAAGCTGACTTCCCAATTTTGCCAGCAATCGCGTCCCTCACAAATTGCACCTGTACCTCATTGACATTCCGCGAAGATTCCGGGCTGTCCAGAATATCCATATGCTTTGCCCCATTCTCAACATGAAGCCTCTTTGGCGCCTTCAACGCCTCATAATGCACCATCTGCCTCGCCACCGGAATGACCTGGTCATGCTCCGCAAGCAAAAATAATACTGGCTGTGTGAGGTACTTGCTCGCATGGCCGACGTCCCAGAGCAACATGTGCCGATAAGTCGCGACTGTCGTGCGATTGACATGTCCGGGCGCCAATTCTGCACGCAATGGGTCGGTCTCATCGTACTGGCCCAGCAGTCGCATTATAGCATCATGCTCGAAACCTGGGTCCCAGCCCACGGGACTCTCGCCTTTCTTCGTGAGCATAGGGACGTAGAAGGGCCCATTGCCTTTGATACGTGACTCGCGATCTTTAGCCGCTTTCATCAAAACATTCCGCAGCTTCGCCATATCGTAGCTCGTTTCTGAAAGTGGATGTACAAAGTCAGTGTTTTTCTCAAATACTGTCCGTACATAGACGTTACGTACCTGTGCCTGGACACACTGCAACTACGAACTTTGCGCGTGGGTCCACAGCACCGGTTGCCATCGCGATTGCTGCACCGAGTGAAAAACCCCAGAGACCAACGCCCAGCCGCGGGTCGACTGATGAGCAGCTAGATAAGTAGGCTAGAGCATCGGACAAATCCTCGACTTGTTGAAATGGGTTTATGTTGTTGCGAGGCGTGCCGTCACTTCTGCCCACACCACGAGGATCGAAAAGAAGAGCGGTAATGCCAGCTGCCTGGAAAGCGAGGGCGGTGCTTGGCAGTCCGATCATTTCTTTCGTTGCATTGAACTCATCTGGAGTTAGCTTTCATTTGTTCTTCTCGTTCTTGGAAGGAGAAACGTACACCAGGAGACATGACAACTCCCACGCTACGGGTTTCCGCTGGAAAAAGCCATCCTCGAAGGATCACGCCATCGACTGCTCTGAACTCAACAGACTCGTAACCTGGCATCCTGAGTTTGGCTATCGTTAATAGCACGGTAACGGCGAAGCCTGTATGAGAAGTGAAGATAGTAAGACGAGACGAGTTCACAGAGTGCATGTAATTCGAGCAGCATTTTTGCCCACCGCCAGTTCTCTCGGGGTTGGGCCTGAATTCCTACATTCTGTCATAAATCGATGTTGATGATAAGCAATGGGCGGCATGCGGGATGGCGCGGCGTACAACCGCCCGTCTGACGTGTATAGCTTACCGGAGAGGCGGAGGCGGTTCGGGTCGCCTGCAACTACCTGCTTACGGTCCGCATCCTTGAACGAATGGTCAGCATTCCTTAGCGTGGCAGGGGTACCCAGGTATCACCAGGGTCAGGTGCTGACAAGGCTTCCCACCAAGACCCGAGTTCATTTACACTGGGCTTGTCCTAGGAGAGAACACCAACGTTTCGTTCAACTAGACTGTACTTGATCCCTGCTAGATAAGCTGGGAAGGATTTGAAATGCTCCAGTGGTCAGACACTGCATAGCACCCTGGCTCGCAGTATTCTATTGCTTCAAGGCCTTCTTACAGTAGTCAATACTGTTTGCATAATACCCTGCCGGTCAATGCTCAAGTGCTCTACCGTCACGGGCATCATACACAGTATACGAGGGCAACCGGTGGAAGGATTTAGGCGGTGTTAGTGTAAGTTATGTATAGAATCGCGGCACAGTGTTAGTGATCGAATGTGCCGACACAGACGGAGCAGCCCTCGGGGCCTCACCAAAAAGTTGCGGTCGTACAACAACCCGTGCGCAAACTACTTCGAGTCTTCTCGGGAAAAGGAACAACCTCCCGGCAGCTGTGTAACGTCCAAGTCTCTTGTCACCGGCCAATGTCAATTGGAAATCACAATTTTGTGAACCAAGCCTCTACTGACTACGCGACTTGCCAATCCTGGTGGTGTTAGGGCTCGTTAGCTGAGAGCACACGAATTCTGGCGTGGCCTGGCGACCTTATCATTCTCGAAGTCATCGATCCTTCCGTGCTTCTAAGAAAGGTGCTGTCTCGAAAGGTAGCATCCGAGCACAGCAGACATTAAATTTTAGCTAAGCATTGTGGTTGATGCTGTATGCGTCTTCGCGAGTCTTTAAGCAACGGGGCATATACCAAAATCATGCTATTGAGCTTAGCCAAGAGTGTCTAGCTAGTACAGGAAACTGTTCGGCTGACAAGCAGAGTCGACTGCATTCAACGTCGCGGAATGTAGCTCGCTGTGACTTTGTGAACGTGCTCGTGTCTATTGCGTCAACCCTCGGGAAACATTGAACGCCGAAGCTCGTGACTCAAAAGTACAAACACTTGAGAATCGTTCGCCTGTTTGCCAAAGGCTCACTCTAATCTGCTAATCTACAGACTACGTAACCACCACCAGCCAGACCGTAGTACACAGTATTGAGTTGACCATCAGTTGCTGGAACACAGCCCACAAGATGGTGTTCAAGCACTTTGGTGTGAGCACAGTCCAAATTGACGGGTCATTTCTCTTCCAGATGCAGGCCAGCACTACCAACAGTGAGGTCGTCGCCGTGAACATGGTCTGCAGAATGAGATGCTCAACGAAGCCATTCCGCGCATGTCGCACTTGCGTCGTTGAGACATCTCTTTGCAACCTATCCGTGGACAGTTGTGCCGAAGCTACACGATACGTGTGGAAACTACTGAGGTGGCCGTTGGCCTCGGTGTTCAAACCAACACCCTGTGGGGCGCCGTGCGGGGTCTCGGTATGACTGTCTATAGAGTGCTTGCCGTGTTCCTTCTCATCGAAATCTCCCTCAACGACACCATGTGCAGATCCATTAGAATAGTCGGGCTTGCGGTTTGTAGGACCCGAATCTGCCTTTACAATGTCGTCGAAAAAAGTGGAGGTGTTTGATGAGCTGTTGGTAGGGACGTTGCGGCCTTCAGTCCAGGCCACCAGCAGTCGCAGACTCGATAGCGACCACCACACGGGCCCAAAATAGTTGCTGAGAAGAGCTTGTATGGCTACTACAACTGCGCGTGATGTCTCAATACCATTAAAACCGTTCGTGAGATCGAATGAGGCGAAGGAGTTGCTATGACCACTTGCAAAAAAGGCACTTTGTCCGAGGAGGAGCGATGTCACCGCGATACCGGACGGGTCCAATTGGAGTTTAGAGGATACTTTTATACGAGTCAGCAATATGTTCTTTAAAGTTGGAGGGCAACATACAAAGCCACTGCAGCTGAAGGTCGAAGATCGGGAACAATACGAGATGCTTTGGCCGAGCCAACGAACGGAGGTATAAGTTAGCCAACTCAACGACTCCAGCAACTGTAGCTATTTTGTTTTATTAGGTGAATGAGCTTCCAAGATATTAACGTTGACGAACCTTTTCGGCTGAAGCGACCCGACATTCTGGACTGAATGACAACAGCCACGAAGCACGCACCCAGTCCAATCCAGAAAATGTTCAAACTCTCGTTACGACTGATGCTTGAGACGAAATGTTTGAACCAAGATGGTGTAATGTCTAGAGAGTCAGGGCTAAGGCGTAAAGATGCTGATAGGCGGGACAGTATCGCCACAGCGCACAAAGCAGTCGACGCTAGCATTGATGTCGCTGAGCCTAGGCCAAGATAATTTGTTACACTGGACATGGCTGAGACATATATCAACAAGCCTGGGATCCAATATAGAACTTGGTGGCCGGAAAAAAGGTCGTGAACGTAGTTGACGATGGATAATTGTGGGTTCGTTGCCTCGTCAAGGCTTTGACTGATGAATTGAAGTGCAACAGGGTAAACAATAGCCTTGAACCAACGTTCGCCAGCGTTCATCCTATGGTAGTCAGTTTAGGTGAACGGCCGATGGGTCACCGTGTCAAGAAATGGGAAAATACCTCTGAAAGCCAAGGTAGGCGAGCCATAGCGTTGACACAGAATACCAATAGTGGTGCTCCTCAACGACTAGTTGGTCTATGAACATCGTAGGGGCGTAGAAGATCATTATCGATCCGAATACCCACACATCGTGATCGTGCGGTGTTTTCGACGACAAATACATCCGTAACAGCAGTAGCATCGAGATGCTGAGCGTAGCGATACTTGCTGCAAGATATATATGGCTCGGGTTGTTGGGAGGAATGTTAAGAAGCCTCTGTGCATGGATGCAGAACTGTCACTCTTCTTAGTGATGATAATGCGAATTGAAGGTCTACACGGCACTATTGGGAAACATTCGGACGCGTTCTTCTGCGTAAATTTGTAGTAGCTGCTGTATGGGACTTCGAACTTACATTGCGTGTAATTTGTTTAACCGCTTCGATGGCTTCTGGTTCCAAGACATATTGGCTTTGCTTGTTGACTTTGAACTTCTCCAGCCAGCAAACCGCTCCGCTGAGATCGTCTGAACATGCACTGCACTGCTCGGTGCAGTATACAGTGCTCATGTTAGAAATGTCATACTGGGATCTTAGCAGGAACTCGAGCTGCTGAGCGTTGTTAGAGAGTATTTTAAGCCTGTCTTCGGGCTTGTCGAACAGGTCCAAGAATTCTGGCACAAATACACCCAAGCTTCTGGCTGGGGTTGCGAACCCCATCAGTCCTGCCAGCGTCGGGACAAAGTCGACCTGGCTGATGACGGAATGGTACTCAAAGCTCTTCGTTGGTGGGACAGGGCTTCTCATCCCATGCGAGATAGAATTTAGCTTCGGAGATATGAAAACCATGGCGGCAGAGATTTCGCCTGGGGAGCCACCTCCATGGTTCCCTTGGTCTGTCATACCGTGGTCCCCAAGCATGACGAAGAGCGTATTGCTGAGATGGGGCTTCGTTTTTAGGGCAGTATATACGAGCTTTACGACGCTGTCCATTTGAGCTTGTTTTGGTAACATGTGCGCGCTACTACGAATCAGCTAGTGACACGAGTCATAGCGTGGGACAATGGAGACTCACCCAGATGGACCTCCTTGATGTGCAATGTTATCCAGTCCCAAATAGTGCAGCACGAGTGCTTTCCAGTCATCTTTGTCGAGCTCATGGGGTAGATGTCGAGTGACGTTGCTGTCAACGGTTGTGAACTCCTGTTAGATACAATTTAGGTTCGCACCCGAGAAGTTCACGGTCTGACAACTCACAGGAAGGTACCAAGCGTCGGTTCCTTCAAATCTATCGAAAATATCGGAGTATATGTCGAGCCAAAGATCGGCGCCATAAAATACCATCTTTCGGTCCAGATCTATTTCTGTCTTCAGTCGAGACAGCCATGTGTCTGCTCCTACAAGACTTCTAGCACTTTCTGATTCAAATACGTTCAGCCAAATATCCAAGAAGGACTGACTTGTTCCCTGAGTCAAGGCTTTTACGCGGGAGAGCGTCAAGGTGGGCGAGGCTGCGCGCGCAGTGTATGGTATGGCCGCGCCCGATCGAATGAGGCTATCAATTGTAAGTTTAGTGATGGGAAGCTATACACATGAGGGGATGGTGTTACCTTCGAGTGTATTCGAAGCCAGTACCCTCTGCGTACACAAAGTCGCTTCACCAAGCTGTCAGCTTTATCTTTGTAGAAGGCCGGCTCAATACCTTCGGAGAGCATCGACCATCATAAAAATGATCTTGTCAAAGGGAGCGGCTGCGGAAACATCATTTATACGATTGCCAACATCGAATGATGTGTGATGTGGAATCAGAGGTCGGCCACGGAAGAACCCAACAATGAAGAGTATCACTCCAGCTGTGACCAGAATATTAGTACCTGCGAGACGAAGGTGATAAAAATGGTTTATCATGTTGAACAAATCTGGAAGGCGTGAGGTGTAATGCTCAAAATTGAAAAGTCAACATGGAACTGAAGTTGAACAAATAAAGCAGATGTCATCAAAAAACAACGTGTATGAGTATCCCTAGCTCGAATATGGAAGAAGATGGCTGAAACTTGAGCCTGGAATTAGAGGATTGCGCAAGAGCACAGCGTCTAGTTGATTGTATCCGAGGTCGATTAGCGTTATGCTCAGTGGTGGGACACATGAGGCGGTTGGTCTCCATCGCGTAGGATGCGGCCAAGTCGCCCATTCATGGCATAATCGATATGATAATGTCATCTGAGCTCACTCTGCATGATGGTGTTGTGAGGGCCGCACCGCTGCCCGTCAACCCTTGTCGCCATGGTGTTCCCCAACGTCAGCGTGCACGGACTCGAGACCGAACCGGCATAACTCCACTATCATGATTTTCAGCCGGTAGGGGCTCGTAGGATCTCCTCGACATGATGACAATACATGGACTATGTACGCACTGGCCGCTGTTATGCGTGCACATGGAACCCCGGACTGGCTACATACTGCCTAGGTAAGCCGACCACGGAATGTATGCAGCCGTGTCACAATGGTGCGTTGCTTACGGCCGCTGGGAAGATTGCTATGGTGATGGCCATGAACGCCTGGGTATGAGTGACTTTGGGAGATATCCTGCCAGCATCTAGCTCGACCACACTGCCGCGCCTCATCTATCTTGTACAAAATTTGAGAGTTCACGAACATGGTTCTGTTGAGCAGTTCTTCTCTATGCCTGGGAGCACTGGGTCTCGCTCTTTGTCTGTTGTTCAGACGCCTCAAAGAGTACAAACGACTTTGCCACGTTCCAGGACCACTGTTAGCTGGCTGGACCGATCTCTGGCTACTTCGCTACGTTATACCGGGCACGCTTTGCACTAAACTCGTCGATGTTTGCGAAAAACATGGTAAGTCAGTAGCGAAACATGGCAGAACTTCTTATTGATTTTGTACTCAGGCCCAATAGCACGAATTGGCCCAAACTGGGTTGTCTGTGGCGACCCTAATGAAATTCAGCGCATATGGGCCATCCGTTCTGGGTTTGTTCGCACTCCATGGTACAAAGCCACGCGACTCGATCCAGAAGAAGACAACGTCTTGACTGAGCTGGATACGAAACGACATCATCACCGACGGGCAAAACTAGTACCAGCGTACGCTGGAAAAGGTCTCGACAGTCAGGAGAGCTTACTAGATGAGCAGATCGAGAAACTCTACGATCTCATCGATCGCAGATACCTATCCACGACGAGCAATGTCAAGCCTTGCAACCTTGGTCGCGTCATGCAATATCTCACGCAAGATATCATCACCGCCGTCGGCTTCGGCAAGCCTGCAGGCTATCTCGCTGCAGATGCAGACCTAATGGGCATCCTCGAAACATGCGAAAACCTGTTAGCTCCCGGCCACATCATCATGTTCCTGCCTCTGGTACGGAAGGTGTTGGAGTCAGGTCTTTTGAAGCGATTTCTGCCGAAACCGACCGATAACCACGGTATAGGAGGCCTTCTTGGCTTGATTAAAGCACACGTTGACACTCGCTACGGTGAATCGAAGGTACACGGTAAAGATATGCTACAGAATTTCGTAGATTCCGGACTCACTCGACCGCAAGTTGAAGCCGAGTCACTGGTCACGCTTTTCGGCGGGACCGATTCCACTTCGACCGCGCTTCGGATGACGATCTTCTTCCTCTCCACCAACATGACAGCGTATCGCAGACTACAGGCTGAGATCGACGCTGCCGTTGTATCTGCCGTAAGACCGGTCATTGCAGATGAGCATGTCAAGAGACTACCATATCTGCAAGCATGCATTCGAGAGGGCATGCGGCTCTGGCCACCTAGCATGGCATTACTACCAAAGATGTCGGAGATCGATCAACTTGTATGTGGACAGCCAGTTCCGGCAGGCACATACATTGGGTGGTCGGCAATGACCATAATGAGGGATCGAGGAGTTTTTGGAGAAAGTTCAGTCATTTTCGAGCCTGCTAGATGGCTTGATGCGCACCCAGAGAAATTAAGGCAGATGGAAGGAGTATATGGCCTTATATTCGCCACGGGGACAGGATGGGAATGCCTTGGAAAGAAACTGGCATATGCGGAGCTCGGCAAGGTGCTCTTCGAGGTGAGTCGGCCATAATTATTAAGATACTTTAGATTGACACCTTGCTTCAGCTGTTTTTGCGCTACGACTTTGCCATGATCGATGCCATGCATCCTTATGACTGGACCAACCATGGCTTCACAATCCATCGAAACATGAATGTGCGTATCACCAGCAGGGGCAATGTGGGTGGTGGGTAGATATGTGCGAGGCTGTATGGGTTCTATGAGCATCAATCAATAATGGTACCACATTCAATCGTCTACTTCCGTTCATCAAGGCATACCCTCCAGCGACCTATTGCTAGATTGAAAGACGAATATACTGACTTGTTAGCAAATATGCACATGAAGCTGCACAAGAAGTACCGGTGACACCAGAGCACGCTCGTCTCTAGTGGTGGGGATTGAAGTCGCGTCGCCTGCACAGGATTACCATTCTGCAACGAAACCTGCATCTTGATTACTGCGGACATGCGGCCTGACATCGAACCACCGTCAATGACAAGAGAATCAGGCCTCCCCCTTAGCACAACGGCGGGTATAAGCTGACTGCATAGCAGGGTGCGCCAACCCGACACGGTGGTACCGAGGCTGACACTTTACGCATGTTCCCAAGCATTTGGAAGGTGATCGCGTGTAATAAGTACTGAGTCGTTCTGAGTCAAAATGGTACCCAAGATTGGTGTCCTCGGCTGCCATAGGAGTGAAAGACGTCAAGCTGGCACTGTGCTTTGAGACATGCATGGTGGCAGGACGCATGTCAGACGTGGGCGATATTATCCATGAGTGCCGAACGTGAGGGTCAACTGTAGGTATGTCACAGACTCGTTCTATGCGTACAGGCCGCTCTGCTAGACAGGGCACAGTGGGCCGTTCCTGTCCGCATTTTTCTGGGTCTGGACATGGTCTCGGGTTGTGCGCAAACATGCAACCTCAGTGGAGTATGGCGTGTTGTATACTAAATACAATTCCAGAGGAAAAGTTCAGAAAAGGCAGTGTGCAATTCCCGTTTAGCCGTCTCTGCTAAATCGCAGAAATTTACTCACAGATGCTGGTCATGAGATTGGACGCCGAGATTGAGGTGACATGATCCAGATCCGTGCCATCTCCGAAACATCCCCAGAAGTTTGTCAGCTTACCTCCAAGAACAAGCAGACCATGTTGCGGTTTGCGCAAGGGCTCTTCTTCTAGATTCCGAGCACTTCATCGCGCGATAAATCTCAGACTTTGCACTGTCGATGTTGACGAGCTAGATGTCGCTGCGCAACTCCTTCACTGCAAACGACTTTGCGCTCTGGCTGTCGTTTGACCGTCATTCGCGACAACCACATTCCCGTGCTGAGCAACCAGCAGCAATGTCGCGACGAACAAGCACGAGACGATCATCTGCGACACTGCAAATCGATCGCCAACATACTCAGGCAGCGCTGACTTGCAGTACAGATCGGGAGACCACGCCGACACCCGTTATAGGTCTTAGTAGCGCAGAGACTATGGAAAGGGTACTTTTGCCAGACGATGTTCAGGAGGTACCACGCCGAAGATTGAAAAGCACCGAGACTGCGAGAGCGATGGCGTCGCAGGATTTACCTCAAGCGGTGCTCGCAGACACCAAGTCCATCCGCAACCCAGAGGCGTCAACAGGCGACGTACTTCCGTACAGCGTACCGACGACACTACCACCTACGACAGCCACAGACTCCGAGAGTACTACCAAGAAACTCTCAGCAACAGCCATCGCATTGATCATGCTACCACTCTGCCTCTCGGTGTTCCTGTCCGCCCTCGACCTCACGATCATCACACCCGCCATCCCTACCATAGTGCGAGGCTTCCACTCTACCACGGGTTATGTCTGGATAGGCAGCGCGTTCATCCTAGCAAGTACAGCTAGTACCCCAGTCTGGGGCTCATTGGCAGATATTTGGGGCCGCAGGCCTATCCTCTTAATCGCGCTGACCATATTCCTTGGAGGAAGTTTACTCTGCGCTCTCGCGCCGTCCATGCATTCTCTCATCGCCGGGCGTGCATTGCAAGGCCTTGGATCCTCTGGTATGGGCACGACAGTCAACATCATCATTTGCGACACATTCTCCTTGCGCGATCGGGGGCTGTATCTCGCCATAACGTCCGTCGTGTGGGCGATCGGCAGCGCTATTGGACCAGTCATCGGAGGCAGCTTTACAACTAAAGTGAGCTGGCGATGGTGCTTTTGGATCAACTTGCCAATTGGAGCAGTGGTATTTATCGTATTACTTCTCTTCTTGAAACTTCCCTCGCCGCACACGCCTATTTTTGCGGGTTTGAAGGCGATCGACTGGGTGGGGAGTATCTTGATCGTTGGCGCCGCATTGATGATCTTGCTCGGACTGGACTTTGGCAGTATCACGTTCCCGTGGTCTTCGGCAACGGTTGTATGCCTCATAGTCTTTGGACTCGTGACGATCGGCGTCTTCATCGTGAATGAGTGGAAGTTCGCCAAACATCCCGTCATCCCACTACGTCTTTTTACAAACCGTTCGACAGTTGCTGCATACTTCGTGTGGGCTTGTAACTTTTACATCCTCATCGGCCTATCATACTACTTGCCTCTATACTCTCAATCCGTGTTAGGCGCCAACGCTCTCGTCTCCGGCGTCCATCTCATACCGCTCATTGTGGCCTGCTCTTTATCCGCCGCATGCACAGGCGCATATATTCAGAAGACAGGAACATATCTTCCGATCACATATATTGCACATGCCTTCCTATGTCTTGGTACCGGTCTACTCATTAGCGTTCGGGTTGGCGAGAGCCTGACGAAGCTCATCATATTCCAGGTCATCACCGGCATTGGAGTAGGTATGAATATCGAACCGCCACTCATTGCTGCGCAAGCTGCAATGACGGTCGTGGATACAGCGGTCATACAAGCGACTATGACTTTTGTACGGTCGCTGGCGACAACTGTGGCGGTTGTTGTTGGGGGCGTGATCGTACGTAACGTCTATGAACGAAGTACATGTGAGAAAAACACTGACTTCTTACATCTACCTTTAGTTCCAGAATCGGATGAACGCTGCTAGTCATGGTCTCGTGGACAAGATTGGTGAAGATCTGGCGAACATGTTTGGCGGTGACCAGGCGTCAGCGAGTGTGGAGCTGATCAAGACTTTGCCCGATCCTCAACAATTGCTCGTAAAGGATGCATACTATCGCTCGTTGAGATCTGTCTGGCTTATGGTACGCTCTCTTCCGCTTCTTAACCAATATATCGGCTGACAGCTGTAGTTCGTGGTGGCCGCAGGCCTATCGTTCATCGCCAATTTCTTTCTTCGCGCGCATCATTTGAGCGATACATCCGAGACCGCAGTTCTCGGAATCGACAGAATGGAAGGTTTGAAGCATGAATCAGCAGCGTATGACGGTACACCTATGACAAGACTGAACAGATCGTCTGGGGGCGATGAGGATGCGCTTGGAGCGCGGTCTTCTCAATATGGCGTTGCACCATAATTTCACATCTGGCTGATGGAATACTGTAAATGGCATTCAATGTCTCATTACTGATGACGACATCCGTTTTGAAGTAAATCGTAATTTGACTCTGAAGGAATCATGTTACCTATGATCTATCTCTGATCCTCCCCAACGACCTTCTCCTGCAACTCTCGCGCTTTCTCACCCATCTTCCCCACCCATGCCAGCAACCCTGCACTATCAAAGAATTGTAAACGATCATCAATCAGCTTCCCCTAAGAACACATCAGCACCATAACAGTCCAGAACGTCATGTCTCTCATTCACAGACAACAGATAGAAGGAGGACTTACATCCGTATCACATCCCAAAACGACGACATACTCATTGCGATACGTCCCCATGGATACTGTCTCTCCCACACCCTCCACGAAAAGTACAACCCTCCTAGTATCCTCGTCCACAACCCTTGGAGCAAATTCGTTGACTTCAAATGAAGTCCAAATAGTGAAGAGATCCTTGACGCCTTCAAGGTACGCGGCGTTGCTCACGGACGGGAAAATGGGCGTCACGGGCGCCGGGTAGTTCGAGTGCTTTGCATTGGGCGAGTAGACGGATGCAAGAGCGGTTGGGGAGAGGGTGCGGTGGGCATCGAGGTAGGCATCTGCAGTCGCGGAGAGTGTTTTGCGGAGGGAAGAGGAAGACATAATGAAGTAGCTTGAAGTGGTGATTTGATTTGGGAACAATTCTGTGAATCGCGATAGGACTGGTTGGGTACTGCAATTTTATACGGTCAGTAACACATGTCACAGTGTACTGGTATTGAAGGTTGCATCTGGAGCACTTGCTGACAGAACCATGTGCTTACCGGGGTTCCCATCAGACCGGCTATCATCATACCAAGGTTTGTAGCGCCAACACGATGTCCCAGTATTAGTGCGCTTACGGTACCTCGGGATTAGGCAGAGACGCTTACAACAGATCCTACAATTGTCGTGTCGCTTACCCTTATGAACTAAAGCTCCATAATGAGGCCATCCATAAGCTATATGCGGAACCCGCATATGCACGCGCTATGACAGGGAAGTTACTCGCCTACCTCGTTCTGTTGAAGTGCAAAGACACCGTACTGGACGACCAGCATTAAGGTATCGAGGGCTATTGCCGTTGCTCCCTCCATATGCGGCGATGTCTGCAGGGCGAGCTTGCTGGACTGAGTAGATAAATTGTAGCTGACGGCAATGATGACTAAGACTATGATGCATCGACGCAACGTAAGGATTAAAAGATATCAGTAACAGAGCGTTAGAGACTTTAATATAAAGAACACAGCTAGCCTTCATTTTGCACGCAAGTGTCAGGCTGGGCTGACGATATATACTATCCTGCACCATGATCAGTATCTCACTGATCATACGTACTTTTTTTATTGCATAGCGTTATAGCCTGCTTACCCGCTATCGTAGCTTAATAGCAGTTCGTTTCTAGTCTTAAAAGGCAATATACTCGTACTCTAACGACTAGTGTGTATCTAGTATTATATTAGACTCTATTGCTTAACAGCTAACCGCTACCTCACGCAAGAAAATTAGATGCATCTAAGAACCCCTTGATCCTTTTGCATAAATGGTAGTCTGTGAGTATTGTTTTTATGGAACGGGATGCTTCTTAACGATTATAACTTCGAGGCTACAACCTCTTCATACTCACTCAAATCCTTCTTATCACAGTTCCTCGGGCTCTCGCCAAACTCCTTACCCTTGCGACACTGTAGTTCTTCCGCGCTTTTCCATTTCCAAGCGGTATCCTTCTCCTGACCATTGCTCTTGCCTAGCAGTACATTACACATATAGTTGCCGGCGACGGGAAGGAATCTGAATAATTGTCAGCACCATCGCCTTCAGTTTTACAGAAGCAGTAGGGTCTAGAGTCACTTACTTGTACGAGTGGAAGCTGCCACCAACTGCGAGATACAAGTTGGCGAGCTGTTTATGAGGATGCTGACACATGAGCCAGTCTTCAGTGGGTGTGACAGCGTCGTAACAGATTCGCCAGCGGTCTGGTTGCCTGCTGCGCGTCCACTCGGGCATGGCGTTGTGCATTATCTGTGAACTTTCCCGCTTTAGCCTCTCTGGAACGTCGTTTTGGTTTCTTCGTGATGGCACGGTAATGGTATGTCCAGAAGGCGTAGTGACTCTATTAACGATCTCCGTCTTGAGATCATTGATCTTCAGCGTTCGGTTTGGCTGCGAAGGTGGGATGATGTCGACTTCTCCACCAATAACGATCACGGGTACTTCTTCGTCGATCATGCTTTGGGTTTCTTGTTCGTTCAGTGTATAGTACGCAGACACCCGTCCCACAGCGGTGATCTGGCGCTCGATGCAGTCTTGCTCCTGGATTTTCAAAGCATCTTCGATTGGCGACATCAGAGAACTTGTCCATGCTCCCGCTGCTAACACAATCTTGTCGGCTCTCAGAACTTGACCATCTCTCAATTTAACACCTGCGAGGCGACTTTTGTCGGCGCTGAGTAATAGCTCTTGCACGTCTCCAGTCACTCTTTTGACGCCCGACTCTAGTGCAACCTTGGTGAAGCTCTGGGTTGCTCTTTCCGCATCGCACCATCCCGCTTCACGATTGAAATAGCCTTTTCCGTATCGTTCGCTCTTGATGCCTTTCGTCACAGAGTACTTGTCCAACTCTTCAGCTGGCAAATCATGCGTGTAGTCACCTCCTCGTTCACAGAACGTCTTTCTTATCGCATCACCAAAACCACCATCTTTCTTGTCTAAGACGACCCAACCAGTTTTGTGAAAGTGACCCTGGACTGCTATGCTCCAAAACCAGAAATGGATAGCTTCATTGGCGAGGTTGCAGTAAAGGTGGGACTCGTAATCGGTACGGATAATACGATTGGTGTCGATGGCTGCTGCCTGCTTTTGTCCAAGCGATGCATTGGTGTTCCAGCGGTCGATGATAGTAATCCGCGATGGATCCTTGTACTGTCTGCTCAGATGGTACGCAGTTGACGCGCCAAAGGTACCAGCGCCTAAGATAAGTACTGTCGGCTCGTTGTCTGACATCTTCGATGTATAACGATGAATAAGTATTAAGGTTCGCAAAGCTGTCAATGATGTCTATGATAACAATGAGGCTTCCTGGGTGGATGAGACTGCTCGCGCTAGTGCTGCGGGGTCTTTTGCGGATCCGATGTACCTGCTTGGCTGAAAACGTACATTGGCTCGCACGATCGGGAAGGGAACCCAAGAAGCAACACCAGAAGTGTTGATATGTCAATACCGATAATGTTTGTTGAGAAATCCAGTTTTATTGTTAACCGATGAAAAGACAGAGCCTCCGTGCTTAGGGCTACGAGGCCGTTTGAAGCAGAAGCTATTCCACATCTTTTCGTTGTCGTTGTGCGCAGCGAACAAGACCTTAGAAGCCACTGCTGAGATGCTGTGAGTGCATACGCCGTTCGAGTAAAGAAAGAAAGAAAGAAAGACCACAGCAACTTAACGAAACGTAGGTCCTGATAACTTTGCCTACATAAGTACCTACTATCTTAGGGATAGACTGTGGTTTGTCGTGCGACGCTCGCGCCAAGAGAGCGTAAGAGGAGTTTGTCCCACCAGCGATGAGCACCAGTACATCAGGCGTAAGGATGATAGCAAGCGTCGCATCGGTCGTATCGCCTTGAGAGTTCCTATTGCTCGTTGAACCTGGAACAAAATCGGTCGGGTCGCAATGGGATAGACGTAGTGCGCGATACTGAAGTTGCATTGTATGAGGTGCCTGGAGTTTGTGGGACGTAACTCCCCAGGCAGGAAGCCGCTAAGCGGAGCTGGGTGGTGCCATGGCTCCCGCCCAAATATACCAAGTCACTTGCAACACCAAACATTATTCATCGTACGCATGTGTATTGTCGGCAGCATCCTCGCGTGTCGTGGTCACCAGTGCGGGTTTTTCAGTGCGAACAGACTTTTGCCCCGCATGTTCGACATGCGTATGATAGCATCGCTCGATTCTCGTGTTCTTTCCTCTTCAAGCGGTCCTCCGTTGCCTCTTTCGACCAAATTCACATATTAACTGGTTCACGCGCTTCACAGCAACTCTCTTCCGCAGAGACACAAGCATGGCAATGATTTGGTCAAAAAAGAAAGAGCTGGGTCACGGTAAGAGGCTCAAGGAAGCAGGCCAACAGCCAACGGCTAACCATGGATGTGGACCACCTGGGCAATACATCACTCAACAACGTGTCGTAGAAGTCGACGTCTCGTCCTAAACTATTGAACGCGTGGAGTTTCCGAGTTTCATCGTCAGAGGTACATTTACAAGCGTTTTGGTCTTCTTCGAGGCACGAACTCCTCCCATGAAATATAGCCCAGAAGTAGTTTAGCGTGGGCAGCAGAACTGACGTCGCTCGGCTAACCTTCCCGCTTGGATTGGATTTTGTATCGAAGAAACAAACGGTATAGCAACCACGCAGTATAAAGTGAGACCTGAAAGTTGGCAGCGTCGCTGTAATTTCAGTGTATAAAAGGATTGAAGATCATCAGTGTGCCTATGTTGTCACTCATCAATCTCAGATTCGCCACAGCACGATAGCACCCTGGTGACTCAATCGGCAAGCCCCACCACCCAGAATACAGTGCAGACTCAGCAACTCTGAACACCAACACCACGATGCCTCCAAAGATTCATATCGTTCGCCATGCGCAAGGAGAACACAACGCGACCGTATGTCCCAAGTCGTAAGCGGGGACGATTACAGCCTCAATACTGATTGACCGCAGCGCGATTACAGCATTCGTGACGCTGTCCTGACCACGAAAGGCAAAGAGCAATGTCGCACGCTCAGTTCGGCATTCAAGCATCACGCGGAGATAGAGACGGTGTTTGCATCGCCTCTGCGCCGAACGATCCAGACCGCTGCGCTGAGTTTTGGTCCTGTGCTATCCCGGAAAGAAGTGCCGTTTGTGCTGTTGCCAGCCTTGCAAGAAGTCAGCAACATTGGGTGTGATGTTGGAATCGCAGATACTGCAGATGACGTGCAAAAGTTCCTACCTGAACTCTTCCTAGAAGGAGAGATCAATTTTGATATCAGCAAAGTTGACGCCTCAGCGGTGACAGCGGGCTGGAATTCCAAGGTTGGTCGATCTCCCGGCCTGACATCAACATGCATGCTTACTAACACGTTCTACAGCAAGACTATTGGGCGTACGAGAAGCGCGCCATATCGAAGCGTGCTTCTGATCTAAGAAACTGGTTGTACCAACGGCCTGAAACGCAGGTGAGTCGGCTGTCGTTCTTCTCAAGGACGGTGTGCTAACGGAGCAGGTGATCGTCGTTACTCATGGCGCATTCGCACACTTCCTCACCGAGGACTGGGAAGTCGAGGACCCGATGCTGGGCACTGCATGGAAGAATTGTCAGTTGACCTCCATATCTAGTCCCGCATTGTAGGCTAACTAATGTACAGGTGAGCATCGTATATTTGTGTTTACACCAGAATCAACGGCAGAAGACGCCCACGTGAGCGAGACATGGGAGAGTAGGCGAAGCAGGGGAACCCAAGAGGTCGAGACCGACCCGCATGTAGTGGACGAATTTCTCAAAACCGCGGCGTAGTTCAGTAGTGTACAGAGGCCGCGGCCTCGATAGCTTCCGACAACGGCTGTAGTATGCCGTTCGGTCCCAGAGGCGGAGGTGGAGGGTCTGTGGAAAGACCCTGTACCCGATGCAGTCACTGCAGTAACTTGTCCGAGTACGTTTGCGCTCGTCGCGCGGCACCTTGGGCCAGTTTCTCCTAATCTGGAGTACCACGGCTGTTCGGCAAGAGCGCGACATGCTACCGTGTCCCTTGAGGCTTCTGAGATCCTGGGGTAAGACCGTAGCTATCTCCAAGCAATCCCAATTATCCCCCATATCATTGGTCGGCGCAAAGTTCGGCAATGCACTCCGCAAAACCCTTGCTGAATAGATAAGCCGCGGCCACGCAACGCTTGCTATCACGCGTCCAGAAGCCAAGATGCAATCCGCGTCCAGAAGCAAATCACCGAGATGTGTCGTGCATTACCGCGCTGGGCTTAGTCGACGGGAAGCTTCGGGGGCGCCTCGCTCAGAGTTTGCACCCGGTACCTGTTCGGTTAATCTACAAGCCCCGCCGAGGCCCGGGATGGCGCGGCTCTAAAGGCTTGTCGCCGCCTCCATGCAGCCACACAACCAGCCCTACGCGACGCCTCTGTCGCCATCGCACTCGTCACAGCGCAGTCAGACTGCTTGTCCCCCATCTCCAGGTCGCCGCGTGAGCACAGCAGCTCTCTTATCTGCGACCCGCATGCACGAGCCGCCGTGATGTCACCTAGTCAGGATTGAGGCGATGTCACATCAAGCACGTCCCAAGCCTCACCACTCAAACACGTAAAAAAGAGAAAATTTTACGTCAACTACGACGCACCATGTGGACCGCGTCATTACCAACGCCACTAGAGAGCGATACTGCTGGCTGCACGCACCATACACTGGTACGATACGAGAAATGAACCGAAGGTCGCTAAGGCCCTCGATAGCCAGCTTTCGGTCAACATCGGTCGCCCAGCATGCTGGGAGCGCGCGGGGGAAGGCCGCTTGGAACATTCTATTACACATGCAGAACGTGCGGAGAGATAAGGCTCGTTGATATAAGAAACAACTATAGCCGCTGGCGTTGAGGAAAGGGTTCTTGTTGTGCTGCTATACTAATTCACCTCTCCTCCGGTTCCACGGTACGCCACAGAGCGTCGATATCAAGCGCCATCCTCTTCCCGCTTCCGACGACTGGACCTGTGACCTACACTGCAACTGCTGCTTTTGGTGTACCGGGCAAATTAGCTTGTCAGCAGGCGCCAAACACCAAAAAGTCGCGAGTGCCCTTTGAACTTCCGACTTGACCACGACTCCACCCCACCGTCAAATTCAAAATACCAATATTTGAACACTCTATATATTCCAACATGCAGGAAGTACCACACGCCAACGGGTTGACGACGGGCAACCCTCAGCCACAATATGCCACCGCGGGCTCCAACGGCGTCAACACCGGCATTCCCGCGCGGCACTACGCTGCTGCACCGCCAACCTACCGTCTGGATGATCTTTCGGATGAGGGCAAGAAGAGCGACCCCGAACTGATGATGCCTGTCGACAAGACTGCCACCGTCCAGGAGGGATCTGAGAAGTTTCACCGCCTCGGATGGGCGCAACTCACAGTATGCTTGATCGTCGAAGCTATTGCGCTTGGTTCCCTCAGTATTCCTAGCGCGTTCGCGACCCTTGGAATGGTTCCTGGTGTCATCATGTGCGTTGGCCTTGGTCTCATTGCCATCTACACATCCTACGTTGTCGGTCAGGTCAAGATGCGCTACCCGCATGTTAACCACTACTCGGATGCTGTCGAAATCATCTGGGGAAAGTTCGGAAAGGAACTTACTGGTGTCATGTTTGCGCTCTTTCTGATCTTGCTCGTTGGATCGCACGCGCTTACCGGAACAATCGCCTTCATCAACATCATTGGAAACTACACCACATGCGCGCTTGTATGGGGTGTCGTATCCATGATCATCTTGTTGATTCTTGCTCTCCCACCCACGTTCCACGACTTCGCCTTCCTGGGCTACATCGACTTTGTTAGTATCATCGCCGCCATCTTGATCACGATCATCGCCACTGGTATCCAGGCACATGATGCTCCTGGTGGATTGAGCGGAGTCAACTGGTCCGCATGGCCTCAACCCGGAACTACATTCTACCAAGCTTTCCTGGCGACCACCAACATCATCTTCGCCTACTCATTCGCCGTTTGCCAATTCTCCTTCATGTCCGAGATGCACACACCCAAGGACTACGTCAAGTCCATCTGGGCCCTAGGTCTGATTGAGATTTTCATCTACACCATGACTGGTGCTCTCATCTATGCTTTCGTCGGCCAGGAGGTCAAGTCCCCTGCTCTTCTTTCCGCTGGTAACACTGTCTCCCGCATCGCCTTCGGCGTCGCGCTCCCCGTCATCTTCATCTCCGGTTCCATCAACGGTACAGTAGTCTGCCGCTACATCATGGACCGTGTTTTCCCTACCTCGACTATCCGATATGTCAAGGATGCGAAGGGTTGGGGCGTCTGGGTTGGACTCATCACCCTCGTCACGGTAATTGGATGGATCATCGCTGAGGCCATTCCCTTCTTCAACGCACTTCTCGGTCTCATCTCCTCGCTGTTCATCTCCGGATTCACATTCTACTGGCCCGCACTTTTCTGGTTCCAGCTCGTCAAGGAGGGCAAGTGGAATGCGAACGCGAAGAACATCTCTCTCAGCATCCTGAACGCCATCGTGTTCGTTATTGGACTTGTTGTGCTTGGCGCGGGTACATACGCGTCGGTCGAGGACATCATCACTCAGTACAACTCCGGTGCTGTAAGAAGTCCCTTTACCTGCTCTGCGCGGTCTTACGCATAGTTGTGGGGTGACGAGGATGTGTATATATATATAGACCAAGAAGCCCTTAGATAGGTGCTTCGTTTATTACGACTTATGAGTCTAGCGCCAGCGTAGCGATAGCCAAATCAATTCTCAGTTAATTCAACACGACATCAGCTTGGATCTTCTTGTGATGGTGCGCTTGAATGAGACACGGGTGTCTAATCTCCACCTCTCATCGCGGATGTCACAGTCGAATGTGCTTGCAAGCCGCAGAAATTCATCTAAATTGTACCGTACAAAACGCACCCTACAGGTATTTACCATATTGTATGCTTGTACGCTTACGAGCCCTGACATAATTATGCCTCTGCTTGGTGCATTTATTCCACTCCTGGTTGCGCCTGCCTTCACTTTCATGAGAGCGCATGCGATCTAGTACATATGGGCACTAGTGAGGCTGATGACGCAGCCCAACACTGTGCACCTGTGCACCTGATGAACCTGGGTACGTGAATAATCCTGTATCAGACTACAAGCAACGCTAATTACTTACAACCGACTAGATACTGCAACCACCTAGGCATGGAGGGTGTTGACTCTACGCTCACTGCGCTAAGCCTCGCGACTAACGACGCCTCACACGTAACTACCACTAACGACACCATGCCTCTCAATTTCATCATCACTGCTCTCCACGGCTTTATACAACAAGAGCACAAGGCGAACTTCTCGTTTCTATCACGGCACAGCCACTGCTATAAGCATTAATACGAGCTACTTGTGGTGTCCCAGGCAGACACCGAAGGTATCGAAGCTGTCCATAAGACTGTCAGGCGCGATGGGATCATTATCCACAATTACTGGTATACCTTCGCCGATCCGTTGAGAGCTGACGGCCTTGTTCGCACTGTCGCGATCGAGAGACTATCCGAAGGCGACGTACCCATAAAGGTCGATGATCTCACCATCGTTGAGGTCGGTCGGGACAACAAGAACCCGTGCGAAGCAGCTGCCTGGGTTCGCGATACGTATTGGACTGCCGACGATGACATGTATGCAATAAGATTTTCTGACATGCAGTACAACGATTCACGAGGCTTTGCGCACCAAGTAGCACTAATCCTAGTCCCTCGGTGCCAGGAAAAGATATCTGGACCAGATTACCGCTTGTGGCAATGCCTGTCAACTTTCTGAGGAGAATACAGCTCGAGATTAGCGCAGCGGATTACCTGGAGTTCAGTGGCCTTTTTCCGGTCAAGGGACAACCGTTGCGTAGATCTGTTACCTTTCCGTTCAACATGTCGACTTTGAATTCTTCATAGAACATCGACACAGTCGACCTCCGCTTCATAAGTTCACAGCACGAGCTCGCGGCACGTCCATGGGATAGCCCGCACTCATGCCAAAAGAAGTGGATCGACCTCTTCCCTGTTTAAGCATGGGACGCTCTGAATATGCTCAAGGGTTCCAAGGAGTCAAACACACCCTGAGCGGATGCGTGGAGACCTTCGCGCGCGACTATTGGACTCAGCTTCTTAACGACAAGCGCGTTAATCATACGGCTAGTGTCAAGCTTCTCGAACAGCATATCCAAGCTACTTTAACAAATGAAGCGTCGCTTACATGTGAATGCTTCGATCCAGGTGTTGATGGGTTACGATGGTTCCAAGTCGAGCCGCACGAGGCGAGGTTGATGGAGGGGTTGCAGGCGGAGATGAATAAGGTATATTGTGATTTTGACGACTAGGCGCATGACGTCGTGAGTTTCTGACTGCGATGAATGTAACATACTGCGAGACGTATACCGATGTGGACTTCTAAGATGAGGTTGATTGCAATCTAATGCGAGTATAAACACGGTCTTGCTTCGCAATTTTCTCTTTTTGCTGGGGTAGGGCAAGAAAAGCTCCTTCAGGCTTTCATGTTGGAGCGTATCTTGGTGCAGCCTATTATTCTCTGTCGCCCTGATCAACTTCGACGTGTTTAGAAAGATTAACAACAACAAGAGTGCATCTATGGATAGTGATCTACTACGTCATGACCTAGTTCCGATATGGTTAGCGTGTAGCACAGATCATATTGCCATTCTGCCCGAGATCTCCGCATCGAGAGACGCGCCAACATTTGGCGATGCCTCCTTGCACAGTGAATGCGCGTTTCTGGATCGAAAGCCCAACTTCATGCAATACGGTGAAGAAATCGATTGCGACTCAGCGTATAAAAGAGTTATAGATATGGGGTTGACTAGAGTGCATGTGCAATCGTGGTAGGTTTTGAGGCAGTCCCCTTCTGATAACTCCGACAGCTTTCCAATATGATCGGAGGAGATATCGTACGCGAGATATTGATCATTAGACAGAGTATTCACATTGGTTTTACCTTACATGAAAAGGGCGATCCACAATCATATGGTTAGCATCAGGACTGGCACACGTACCGGTGGAGTCTGAGAGCCATCCGCATCTCATGACGAGTGAACATACTCAAGAGAGCGCCGCACAGCGGATGAGTTTTCCAGAAGGCGGATTGGAGCTATAGAGAGTTGGAGACTACTATACAAGGTGGAGATTGACGAAATGATAGTCAGTGGAGTATAGAATTTGGGTGAGCTGAGCACAGTTTTAGTTCGGACGCTCATCTACACACTTCCTTTACAGGGCATGACCAATACTCCAGATCCAAGGAACCTAGTATCTCAATACCGAGGCTAAAGCGCGATACTCCAACACCATCTACACGGCATCCCAACTACCTCAGCACCCGCACAGCAGCTAGCTAGGTAGCATCACGCTCTTCACATCCCCTCATCCAGGCGAACCACTCGATGGGCCCATTCGACACCCAACATCCTAGTTCACCCACAAAGTTCACGCCGCTGATGCACACATCCCTCCCGAAGTTTCTATACATGCCATCTATTGGTATTTCGGACCGCACACGTACCCGTTACCCGGTCATTCACCAACGGCACGGCGCGGTCTTGATCTTTCAATCGTGGTTCTTCCCGCGCGTGCAGCATGCGAAATATATTGGTGGACCTTTGATGTAGATGATTGGACCGGTTGATGTCGTGCAGCAGGTGTGGCGTACATTGACTTCAACAACTCCCTGCTGAACGAGAAGATGCTGCTCAATGGATATTTGCCATGTCGGTGGCTTACGGACTTCTGCGATGACGGGCCATGGGTTGGTGAGTGTGATTGGTTGCTAATTCTGGTGCAGTACGCATGGCGATGTCGGCGGAATCGGCGTGTAAGAGTAGCCAGTGGGAAATAGGTGGATGGTAGAATGGACCATCCAAGCGTAACAACCTCGTGCTAGATGTGATGGTTGCCCGCAGAATGTGGAGGCAGCATCGTTCGGGCTGGATGAGGAGGGAATCTGGAAAGGTATATAAGACAATTGCCTCTACCTCATGTCTATTCAACTCATCATCCCTTCAACTCAAACAAAAAACGCGTTCAAGCCGTCATCATGCTATTCCCCGCTTCCACCCTTTTCCTTCTCTCTTCAACAGCGTTCGCCGCACCGACCGATCTCTTCTCCCGTGCTACTGCTCAATGCGGCCAATACCAATCCCAATCCCAAGGTCCATACACGCTTTACACCAACGTCTGGGGCTGGTCCTCTGGAACTGGATCTCAATGTTCACAGATTGACAGCCTGAGCGGCACCACTCTAGCTTACTCAACAACTTGGTCGTGGTCTGGCACACCCAACCAGGTGAAGAGCTACACGAATGTTGAGACGACTTTCACCAAGAAGCAGCTCAGTGCTTATACGAGTATACCAACGACGTGGAAGTGGGGCTACACAGGAACTAACTTAAGGGTTAATGGTATGCTTCTCGCGTTCTCTTTCTCTTCTCAGATTGGGGATCACGGGCTGATGTAGATGTGATGTCTTGCAGTGGCGTACGACACTTTTCTTGGTGCATCAGCCAGTGGCTCCAACCTCTTTGAAGGCATGGTCTGGCTCGGTGTCTTTGGTGGTGTATCGCCTTTGTCCTCAAACGGCTATCCGTTCACACCCATCGCTACCGTGACTATTGGCGGCACAATTTTCGACCTCGCATACGGTCTCAACGGTTCGGTCAAGGTGTACAGCTTTGTGGCTCGCGGTGGTGCGGCGACGAACTTTAGTGCTGACTTGGTAAGCTCTTCGCTAGATCCAAGTGGCGGTTGTTGGGGATGCTGACTTTTGTGATATAGAACCTCTTCTTCAAGTACTTGTTGGCCAACTACGCGAGCAATGGGTTTACGAATAGCTTGTACTTGCAGACTGTGCAGGCGGGGACAGAGGTGTTTACTGGGAGTAATGCGAAATTGACTACGACTGCGTACTCTATCGCTATCAATTAAGTTGTGGTGTGTCGCGTGTTTGGTCGCACATGTACCCTCCATGCGGGACTAGGAGACACAAGATTCAGAGTGTGTTAATTGTGCGAGAGCATATAGCAACATACGCAATGAATTTAGATTCATATACAGCCCTCAAGAACGACTCTGTTCGGATATTTACCAAAAGTTCACCAAATTCACCAAGGCGTGGGTAAAGGCTCATGACGCTCCGGAACATGGCCTCGGCGCCAATGTCCCAACCAAATTGAGAAGGACGGCCTCAGTAAGGCATGAGCTTCGCGGTGCTGCGTCTTATCCGGATTTTCGAGCATTTGACACAAGCTCTCTCTGGTGTACCAGTCGTGCTTGAAAGGACAACGTTCCCGGCGAGGACACCCGTCACCCTCAAGAAGGTGGATGTGTATACATGCACCGCCATGATTATGGTCGTTCAAACGATATCTCCTGGCGAAGAATTGGTCACCCAGTTTCACCATGCCAGTGATGGCACCAAAATTGGAAGTCCCGACACGAGGTCGCGCAGAGTCATATGGCTTGTTTATCTCCACCCAGAAATTCTGCTGACGAACGGAACTCTCGGTTCCACGATCAGTACCTGTGCCGCGCTGCTGAGCGCCACCTCTAATCCGGCCTGCATCTCGAACTCTAGCGTTAGATGATACATATCGCGGGATGTTGACGTTCGCTCCGGTCGGGTTGGCCGCAGCCGTATCGCCAAGGCCACCCATACCCGTTGTCGCTCCACGGGAAGAGCCTCCTCGATCTTTGGTGACAGTGGTAACATTTGAACGCCGAGAATAAGAATCAAAAGTCGCTCTACCATCGCTAAGAGCGGCACCTGCATCCATGGGGGCAGCAACCGAGAAGACTGTCAACATGGGAACTGTCAGGATAGTAACGTTCTCGTGTGAGGACACCATCGCAAAAGCAAAGACGACTGCTTGTACAGATTGGAACAGTTTTAAAGTGACTCGAGACTGAAGTGGACCATGTCGAACTAGAATGTGAAGCCGTCATGTATAAAAAGGTCGATTGTAGATAGGCTCAGTAGGAAAAACATCTGGAAAAGACTTGACGATGTACCGACGTGACAACGAACTCTTGGCTTCTACTTACTGGGCGATCTGGCCCTTATACTATAGGATACGTATTATACGGTGTACCAGAAGAATGGTGTTCGTTCGAAAACACATACCAAACCACGCATCTATACTTCATAAGCGGACAACCACCATGAGAGTAATTGCGACTATGGATTACGCATCTACTTGTTAGCTTCTTGTTCCCGTACTTGACGACGTTGTTTTGCCCGACTTTGTAGCGTTGTCCGTGCTGTTGTGCTGGGACTTGGACGACAGCAATAATGTAGAGCTGCATTTATATGTCGATAGGTATTCAAATGATTCCCATGCTGCTTTTTACGTCTTCGATACACGCCTTGAGTTTCAGACCAAGAAATTAGCTCAACCATCTTGGATGTGTAGGCTTCCGGCACTAGGATCAGCGTTGAGATGCAGAACATGCTGCTTTGTCTCAACTTCTTGGGCCAAGTATGTCGCGGGGCCGTCAAAACATTGTGCCACCATTGCAAAACTTGGTAGCGCATGGAATTTAGGAGTTTGAATGATCGAAGACCTTGTATCTCAACAGTACCACTATCATCGTAGATCGGTAGGATGCCTTCGGGGTAGAAGCAGGCAAAGTTGTTTCCATACTCCACATAGGGCGCAGAAATGCCATCCATAACATGCAAAGTGTCTTCCACTACGTTGATGAAGTAATTTGTGAATTCAGGATCGCCCGGACGGATGCCTAAGATACGAAGACTGATCTTGGTCCAAAAGTCAAGTTCATCGTAATTCTCGGTGAGGGCTGTGTAGAATGGGGAAAGTTCAGGCTCACGTCTCCTCTCTCCCAGTCGATACATCAAAACAGAGGGCTCCGTTAACACTTTGGCTGTCATGATCTTGCGATATGTGGAAGGATCGAAGTTGGCCAACCATTGACGTAACACCTCGTTTACCGTACGCTTGTCATTGGCAGATGGAAGTTGTAAGATTGGTGACTGGTCTCTGATTTTCTTAGCTTGCACATGTGTCTCTATGTTTTCGTCGCCGAGAAGCGAAGCTGCCAATGATTCAGCGTGATAGACTTGAGTCACTTCACTCGAGCCATCCGAGCTATGAGCATCTTCTTCGTGAACCCTCACGTCGGAATTGAAGTCTCCACTCCTATGCACTTTTGCATTTGACGGCTGATCTAAGCTCAACGATGATTTCTCAATGTCGTGCAGATCAGTTATATCTCGCGTCGATCGGACTCGGGGTACATGGGACCTGAATTGTAACTCTGAACGCTTTTCGTCAACGGCCGGTACCTGATCCGGACGATGTACAGTCTTGACTACTTCATGGATGGCTTCGGTCGATTTTTTATGTACCCGGAACCGATACGACCGACTGCGCCTCTTCGGGGATATAGAATCTGATGATCGTATTGATGAAACGCTGGTAATTCGTCCACGGCCGGGGCTCTGCGTATTCTCTTCGACCGTCAGCTGAGAGCTCGTAACATCATAATTCAATGGTTGCTTTGATGATGGCAGTATTCCTCTCGAGAAAAGACGGTCTGATACTACCGTGCTTGTGTTGGAAGCCGGAATAGTTGCTTGGTAATAAGAGGAAAGGACACTTTCAGCGACAACGTATCCCCCATTACAACAAAATCCAGAAAAGCTGATTGTTACATCACACTCAGAATTCAGAGTTTGAATATCTTCTGTGAGTGATTGGATGCTGCAACGGGCCAAAGTGTCGACTTCTAACATCGAACTAATCCACGGGCAAGGTACACGGGCGTCATCGTTGGTTCCAGATGACAGCATATCGCACCACTCTTTTACGGCCGGAACGTTGGCATAGTAGAACTTTGATTTGGAACCATGGCTTTCCATATACGAGATGAGTTCTGATGTTGAGTGGTGGCAAAGCTCTGTCCATATCTCGAGAAAGACACATCCCAAAGACCAAATGTCTGCGGACGCATTTCGGGGTTGGTTTGTCGCAACTTCTGGTGCAGCATATCGTAGTGTACCTTTCGGTGCAAGCCCAGTCGTAGTACTATGACCTACATCGAACCAATCCAAGGTGGTGCCGAAGTCGGTGAAATACACTTCGTGCGACTTCACCAGTACATTCTGAATGGCTGATCAGTAGCTTGACTTTGAGACTTGTATGTCATCTCCCACCTCTGGTTTAATGTCTTTGTGTCTCAGCTTGTTCTCATGGAGATAGCGAAGAGCACCAGCAAGACAGCCGTAATAAGTTCTGACAAGGGAACGAGTATCTGAAGGCAAAGGGTGAGTGTTCAGTAGAGCCCTAAGGTTGCAGTCCGCAACAGGAGCCATGATGATGCCAACATGACTAGTACTTGTCAGCTGAATCCATTGTGAGAAGGATGGCACGTCTTACTATGGATCTGTGTAGCTTCCAATCAACTTGACAATGTGCCGGTGCGAGACCCTCTTAAGCGCTTGTAACTCGTTTTCAAAGTCGTGTAGTACATTCCGATCCTGGCGGAATGTACGACCCCTAGGAATGAGTTTGCGGGCATATTCCCGGTAGCTGACGGTGCTAAGAACCTTATCAACATTCCCATAGGATCCTCTCCCAAGTTCAGCAATCTTTTTGTACGGAATATCATCCGGATTGGAGAAATGACGATGCTTACCGCTCTCCTTCTCCAAGGCGAGCGCCTTCGTAAGCACTCTTGACTGAACGTCTAGGAATCTCACTCGAGCCGTTTGGTCTTTGAGAACCCCTGGCAAGGTCCTTTTATCAAACGGAAAGGACAGATCGGTGATTCCACGGTCAAGAAATGCATCGATAACGTCCATCTCGTTGATGAGCCGTAGCGTGGTATATATGCGGGGTATGCGACTCCACGAAAGCTTGCCGCTCCGGTACAGCAAGTCAGAGATGTCTCTCAAATCGGCTTCCGAGAAAGTCGTGTTCGAGGAGAGATCGGTACTGCTTGTCGGAGGGAACCAGGCCAGCATAGCCTCGTCCAGCAGCGCGTGTTCGTTCATGGCAGCTTTGTTTCGGTACGCGGATGTGTTCGGTGTTGCCTGATCTAGCATGTGCACTTCTTGAAGGGCTGTTGGAAGCGAAAGCGTGTTGTATCGCAATGCTATGAGAGAGTGTTACAGGGAAGAGAGAGGAACAGAGGTCAATCAGGCTGAGCGCGAGTGCCCAAGCTTCAGCCGCAGGGCATCAGAGCCAACGCATGATGATCCCACGCAGAAGCGCCTCTATTGCACTGCCCCACGCCTTCCGCTCAAGGTCGACATGTCTTACAGATGATGATGTTTGCCATCGTCTATCTCTTCATTTCAAAGATTGTACAAGTGTTATACAGATAGCCGAAATCTACGCGACGACTCAAATATGAAGATCCATCGTTACCAAAGTTGGTATACCCGAAAACGCCGATTCGCTATGTCCAAATACCCTTCGTGCCCCTCATTCAGCTTTCCCGAGCATATGCCCCTCAGCCACGAACATCAATCTCGCGGGGGTATGCAAGCGCGACAGCCTCGCCTTCAAAGTTTGCACCAATGCTCAGTAGGTCGACTCTAAACCTTTCGGTGTCATGTTGAACCTTCAGCCGAGTCCTCGTAAAGTCGCGCTCATCATCCACACGGGACAACGCATCGGACAAGTTGGCCAATGACTCCACCGATGAAGCCAACTCATCTCCCATTGAATTATGCGCGCGATAGTAACGTTGGCGCACCCAGCGAAAGTATACGGCAAGCGCGTCGCGATGATTTGGGATGCCGATAGAAGCGAGCGGATTACGCGACGGGAGCTTGACAGCGTAATGATAGGCTAGGAACATGTGGGTCAGCAGAGAGATTGGGGAAGCTGGAAATCCATTGGCGCAGTGTGCAAATGAGATTGGACACTAGACTTCAACAAACATAGTTCGCCTCATTGTGGCGCAGCCAGCCGGTAGTGAAGAAGAAGTAGGATCGTATGTGGCACGGGATGGTAGACTGACTTACTGTTGCGAGACATCTTACACAGTGGCGGGTACTTCGTATGAAGTTTGGATGTCGTTGGGCGTGAAGGCTAGTAAGTTGGGCGGTAGTTGGGTATGGCGTAGAGAATGAACGGAGTGAATGTATGATGATGAACCTCGTGTAGCGAGCGGCTCGCTTTTTGACCGGTGTTCGATGTTCAAGGCGTCTATGTAGTGTTGATGTGCAAGGTGACGATGTGGTCGGCAAATGGGTTCTTCAGCTTGCGTACGCAAGTCAGTATATCCGCAAAATGAGCAGGAGTGAAGTGCGCATACGCGTCCACAGCATATTTATGACTGGCTCAGTGGCCGTTTTCGTGACCATGTTGAAGCCTCACGATCATTGCATATGCCCTTTCCCGAACGAGTCGCTTGACTATTGCGTATCGGGGATTGGGCCTTTGACGACCCGTGTCGACGTCGCCCAAAGTCTATCCGACCAGCAAAAGCGTTACGTCCGATCTGGGCATAAACTCCCAAATCCAGCTGCCATAGTTGGGTGTCCTGCACCAAAACTAGGATTGTTCGCGAAAGAAAGACGTCTGTTAGTCCTGATAGGCGGGGGTTGTGATGTTGTCGAACCGCGTCTTGCGAAAATTCGCTGCTGTTTCAATCCTCACCGGCAGAACGCTGCAGGAGAAATGCAGGGAATCGGGGGGCTGAATCTTTGACATGTACTGCTTCTACATCATCGGATGCTCTGGAAAGCTCCTGCACATCACGCGAATCAAAGTAAGAGTTGCACGCCCACGCTAGCCACTTCGGCCGAGCACACTGCCCGCTTCTGCAACGCTGTGTTCGTAGGTAACTCCTTGGATGTGCATGCTACGTACACTAAGAGCCACTCGAGCAAAGAACACGTGGGCCTCAGAACGGCGGACATAGCGGCAAGCGCGGGGCTGCAGCCCTCCAGCTTTCTGCAAGGGTCTTATAGCGTCGCTAGTCAGGGCCGACAAAGGAAAGCCACTCCAATCGCCCCCCATCACTGCTTCAACTAGGCATGCAATAGACGTGGTTTTCCAGACTCGCTTTGCACGTAGTAGTTAGGAATACACAAGCGCGCCAAACGATGTGAGAGGATTCGTCAGCATGTACGTACGGACGGTGTGCCTGGCTGGGGGTGACTCTTGCCCTTGGATGTGTGCGCCTCAGCAATCCATGCTTTCGCTTTCTTTTTCCCGTACTTCGTCCTCAGTCCTCATCATCCTGCAGCTTCCAAGCTTCTTGCTGGTCGCTGTGTGCAGTCTGTATGCGCAATCTTGTTACCACTTCAAGACAATGCTTTGAAGCGTCGACTTCGATCGGCGCATAGATTGCACCGTCTCGTCAACGTAGGTATACTCAGGTGCTAGACTTGGGTAGCGCACTCTGTCTTGCAAGGCACACCGCACTAGCCACAAGCCGAACCCTGAAGGGACGGACTCTGCCGATCGGTGTATGATACGCGCCACAGCGTACCTGGAGTCGCAATAGGCCCAGTCGAAGGATGGTCCTGTAGAAAGTCAGAGCGCACAGCTTCGATGACACGGACCAGACGTGTGCGACGTGTCTTCACGCTGTCGCATTTGCGTGCGGCCCCCCAAAACTCAGCAGCCAAGCACGCGTAGTTTTACGACAGGCCAATGTCTTGGAGATTTGTAATATTATTCCAACTAAAGCTTTTGTTCACATCAGGGCGAACCGATGATATGGGACGACTCCAGGCGTAAAGCGCGGAAGGTATACGATGTGATCGAGAGACAGCAACGCGCAGAATTGTTTGCTCAACGGTTAAGGGACCTACTTTGCTTACGAAACATGTTTCAGGAGAGTGAACTCCACACGCATCGAGATAAGCATCTTTTGCTGAGCTGTTCAAGGGAATCCAATTAACCCATTGTTGTGGCCGAAGCGACATGTGATAGAGAAGGCGATGCATGGAAGCCGCCGCCAGAAAACTCCAAATCCCACAGAATTTTACATTACAATTTGACAAGAAATTCCTGCCGGCGTCTCGCATAATCGTAGTCGCACAAGGCTGGGTTGGCTGGCGCCACGAAGGTGCTGCGGTCAGCATTTTGGCGAACCACGCCCCAACAGTACCGATCCGTTGCATGTGTAGTGGAGCGCTGCAAGCGCCTTTAGCGTTTCCCGTGTCGTCCTTCTACCATGGAGTTGTTGCAAGCACGGCGGTGTCGTCTTCGGGTTCTCAGATGCTCGGTGTCCCGATTGCGAAAGATCTCATTTCCTATGAGTACCAGCCCCTAGGCCAAATCTGGTGTAGCCCTAGTACCCATAAGAAACGAGTCTCTTCGCATGCTGCGTACACAGCTCAGGCAGCAACAAGGCTCTCGTCCACAAACAGTGTGCAGCTTCTTCCAAACACTATGCAGTGTGGTTCTTCGCCCGACGTCCCTAGTCGACGCATGGAGAATGGTCAAAGCATAACCAAAATCTTCTCTCATGTGTAATATTGTTGCACGGTCCCTGCTGACCATTTACTCAAGTCAGCTTCCACATACTAGCCATTCGGCACCGTCGCTGCATTTCTTGCACGTTCTTCATCGTGATTCGCCTCGGGCACGTCGCCCTGTATGCATGCGTACTTGGTGCGTGCCATGATCCTTGGTTCTAGAAGGAAGCGCTGCTTGACCGGTCGCCGCGACACAACACGGTACAGCGCTTGAAACACCAGCGCATTTTTTTATGTGTATGGCTGCACAAGACCCTAGTCAGTGCAGTGCGACACAGATGCAGGTGAAGGTTCGATGCAGACTGCGGCCGCCCTATCGAGGCGCGAGCTCGGGCTGGTAGCAGCACAGCCTCCATGCGGCTCTGAGAGCTGACTGACGCATTCTGAAGGGCTATAGTTCTGTGACGTACGATCAGAGTTAACGAGAATTCTGTGGGCACGTCTGGTACCAGCGTTCAGGCCACATCGCATTCCATTCCCATCCGCGAAGCAGACAGTAGCCTCTCACGTTGTCACTCTAAGAAGAGAAATCAATGTATCATCTCCTCGCGATAGCTAGGTGCGCTGTACAGTAATCAATCCGTTTACATCCAGCACTCAAGTCTGCACATCCCAAGATTGAGTCCTCTTAACCTAGATGATGTCCATCTGGCTCGGCTTTGTGGCGCAATTCAATGGCGCAGTCCCCTCGCCATGGTCATTCCAGTCGATGTACCGCTGAACAGGACAGTCCTCTCCATTATCGTTACACTGTGGCTTCGCGTAGCCGTTCATGCTGGAGTAAGGCATGATGCTTTCCAGGTCGTATCTGGAATCAGCTTTGATAAGCCAGCCGGGCTCAACAAAGTTCTTGATGGAAGAGACACAAGTGCATTGGTCCAGGCGAAAATCCCAGGCATGGGTGGCACCTTGACCATTATGGCCAGAGGTCGTTTCAAGCTCTTCGAAAACTCCGCCTAACTGGTGGCTCACATACCATTGTCGTAGATGGGGAGGGCGTGCCGTAGAAAGGACCGTAATTGATAGTCGGCTCATTGATAGCGACTGCAACCGCAAGAGCTGCGAGCTGTAGCAAGAAGAAGAGAAAGGTCTTGGTAGACGCTCAAGTTGCAGTAGGTGGGGGTGGAGAAACTGAGAACGCGGCTAAGAAAAGATGCGATTATAATATGAACTGGCCAAAGGCAGAATGATCATGAGAAACCTGTAGCACGTGCGGCTGATCGCATATCGGGCTGCGGAGTAGTGGGAGTGGGAGTGAGCGGAAGACCGTGTAATGACGTGGCTGCACACGAAGAAAAGACGAAGGCGGACACTTGATAAATAATGACAACATAAACGGCAACGCACGCATCTCCTCTGTTCTACTTGTGGTGTCCTCGGAGTAGACAAGGACAAGAGATGTCAACATTGTTACCGCTGCAGTCCCACAAACATGGCTCAAAGGCTGTTCAGACCACAATGATCCATCTTTTTCTCCCTGAATAGATATGGTGGTCGCCATCATACATCGGAAGATCTCATCTACTGTATCTTCATGCGTCATTGAAAGCCGGAGAATCACTCATCAGACCTAAGAAGGCTTTGAATCTCAAGCAAAAGAAAGGGTCTTTAACCTCTTAAACCGAAAAAAAAAAGATGGTGGGTCCTGCCGCGACTCGAACGCGGGGCCTCTCGCAAGCTGTGCTCGGGTTTACCCTAAGCGAGAATCACTGATAATGGTGTTAAATATTGAACGGAGGAATGTAGGTATGGATATTACTCACTACCACTAGACTGGAGTTGTTGTTAGTGAGATGGTCGGATCAATTGATGGAACCGGAGGCGACGTACCCACAGGACCGTTTTGCTGTTACTTGATGAGAAAAAAAAAAATTGAGAACAAAATATAGTAACGTTAAGCTTGGTGTTGAAGGCCTGGTACCCACAAACGGTAGTCTGCCCCTGTACATCTGATACATCCGTATAAGCTTCCGAGAGCAAAACGCTGTCTGAACCTTTGACTTCGTAGCGCGAGACCCGTTGTGTGAAGTAGAAACACCTTCGGCTGGTAAGCCTAGTGGTGTGGGAGAACTTTGAACCAGGGACGTCGCTCGATAGATCGTCTGGCTCAGAAGGAGCTATACCGCGAAGTGCCCATGTGAAGCGATCGTTGCTGCGATAGACGGTGGCTGTGGTAGGGGAGGAGTTTCGTTTGTTCGTGGAATCTCGGACGAATACTACGTTGTTCAGTAGCTTGACGGTAGCAGGTCCAGATTGTTAGAGTAATGCTACTGCTAGAACTGGGGAGCGGGTCCAGACGTGAGCAATACTTGGAGAAGTTTGATATACTGCTAGATGAATAGTAGGTTGGACTAACGGATACGTGGAACGACTGAAGCCGGGATGGCCTATGGCCGACCTCTGAAAGCGTCTACCGTCGCCATATGTGGCTCTCCGTTGAAGCTGTTCACATCAATTGCGGAACAATGATGTCCACAGGAAATAAGACTAAGCCGACGCGTATTGTGACGTCATAGTCGTTCCTAGCTAGAATGTCAAACCTTGTACTAGCGACACCAAGACGTAGACCCCAGGTTGTCGGCGCCTAGCGACAAGGGCGCGGCGAACCGTTGGCGTGTGAGAAGACGGGCTGTACAAAGCTGCGGAAGGTTAAAGACGACCAGTTGACGCGTCGTTCGGTGTTGGCATCGAATCTCCCAACGTTGCCAAGTCACTAGTTATGCACGTGAACGGATCCTTCATCTTTCCGATCCTCCGGGCCGTCAAATTGGAGTTCGTCCTTCCGTTCCTTACCGCGGTGGACTCTGCGAAAGATGTACCATCAATTACTGCAACTTCGGTTGCACACTAGAGGGGGAGTTTAATGCATCCGCTGATGAGCAGGAGACGGCCGCAGCAAAATATTGACAATATTAAATTATTTAGATGCGGAGCTAATTGTAACACCAAAATGCTAGTCAACCAAAAGAGAAACGAACACAGTTGCGAGCGATGAATGGAAAGTGTGAAGCGATAGTATTATGTTATGTCGCCATGACGACGAGAGTATCTTGAACGATTAGTGTAGGGGAAGAGACCCATGCTGCTTGTGCAGGAGTGTCTCATACAACGATAAGAGCACCGTTTAGAAGACGTTGCCCTTGGTCTGCTTGCCCTCCTCCTCCTCAAGTTTCTTGACGTTGGTGTTCTTCCAAACCCAAATACAAGCCAAGCACAGCGGTACAAAACAAGCACCCGTGATGACCATCTTACGTTGCACGTCGCCATAAGCACCAACAACGGCATCCCGCTCCGGCGTACCGTCAAGGAATGAACTCTGAATCACAATACTGCCAAATATCTCTCTGTAATCCGCCTTGCTGGACTCAGGTAGACGCTGGAGCAATTGTTGAGGAAGGATGTTGTTCCACATGGCACCAGCAATGGCGTATCCGATGGAAGAACCGAAACTACCGAAGAGACCCCAAATTGCATTGATGACAGCGATTTCCTGGTGAGTGACGGGTACCATGACGGCGAGCTGGCCGCAGGTGGCGAAGAAAGCCGTTCCGAGACCAACAAGTACTTGAGTGAAAGCAAGGACACCGGGATTGGTGGATGGGTTTCGGAACGGGATCAGCAGAGCGGTACCTAGCAGGACGATCGGTACACCAGCGGCGGCCGTCCACTTGAAGTTACCGGAACGATGGATCCACCACGCGATAAGCGGGCTAATGGTGGACGAGGTGAGTGAGAAGGCGTTAAGGATGTATCCAGCATGCGTAATGCTTTGCCTGTGTACGACGATCAAGTAGGAATAGAAGTATCCGTTCCAACAGAAGACAGAAAGGAACATGGCGCCGTAAAGCAAGCAAGAGCCGATAATAGTGGGGTTCTTGAGGTACCTCCAGGGTAGGAACTGAACAGGCGCGAATTTGGCTTCCCAGATGTAGAAGACGGGGAAAAGAACGAGGCCGAGGATGATACAAGCGATGATGTATGGGGTTCTCCAGCTTTGCGGGGCGTAGGCGACGAGACTGAATGGCAGCACAAAGAGACACCATCCGCACATTAGGAGGATGATACCGAAGACTAGACGACGCATTAGTGAATGTGCGACCCGATTCCGAGCTAGTATGTAGCTTACTGTCAAACTGTACAAAGTAATACCACAGCGATTGAAAAACATTGCGATCCGAGTTCACCTTCTTGATCAGACCAGCTTTCTTGGCCCTGCGGTACATGACTATCATCAAGATCATCGCTGGAAGGGAGATTCCACAGAAGATGATAATGAAGGCACCGTAAGCCCAACGCCAGTTTGGACTGTACCAGAACAGATCAGCGATCCTAGGTCCGGCGAATGTAGCTGCAATACGAGGGGTTCCGTTGATAGTGAAGATGATCATGCGGTTCTTCAGCGAGGTGATATCGGCAGCCATGATGTCGCAAACGAATAGAACACCAATGTGACCGGACCAGTAGAGAATGTGACCGGCGAAGTATGTTTGTACATTGGTACAGGCGGCTTTCATAGCCATACCGACGACAATGATGCAAAGCATTACGAAGAAACCCTCGACGCGACCGAACACATCGATGACCTTGGCAATAACGAGCGGGATGCAACCACTGAGTGCAGTTGCCATTATGCTTGCAACGGTTAGAAGGCCGTGGCTACCGAATACCGAGGTGATGTATGGGCCGAGCGATGAGTCCATGGCATTTTGCAGGAAAGCGACGAATTCGATCAGGTATAGGCTACACGAGTAGGTCAGTCTTTGGATCTCATTAATCTAAACTTTGATGTTTCGACATACAAGATGAACATGGTGATCAAGGTCTTCTTGTCCCAGATCTCTGTGATTGCGCGTACACGCTGAACACCGTTTTGGAAGTTTTCCGAATCAATGGACTTGGTTTCGCCATCGCTACCAGTCTCGTGGGCATTGATGCCCGTTTCGCGATTCTTCTCCATGTCGATATCATGTGAAGGACGTGCGAAGCCCTCTACGGGTCGCACCACATCGGTAGCAAGCAAGTTCGACATGACAAGATAAGGATGCCGAGGAAATGCCGGGTAAGGCAGGGTACGAAATTGAGACGCAGGTGGGTGACGATCGCAACATAGGCAGTCCTGCCATTCTTAAGTATCCCCAGGGCCCACTCTCCGAGAACCGGACAGGGAATGTGAGCTCAGTTACAGCGTATGAAAATTCTGCCATGTGTTTCCCACCCGGCACCCGGTGGCTTGGGATCATCTCCCACCGTCCAGGTATCTTGGGATGCCCAGACAGCATTAGTAGCGGGCTAGATGATCAGATAAGTGCTAGATGATCTGATAAGATCCAATCTCGCCTTGAGCTGATCCCTGACTTGTCTTGGCTGTGCCGCAACTCTGCATAGCCAAGGCCTTGGCTCGTATTGTCAGTGGCGGTCGTAGCTCCCGGCTCATCAAATCGAGCAGTGTGCGCCGAAGCTTCTTTCCCGTGCGGACCAGCCTGAGGGTCTCGCCTTGTGAATGAGACCACACCAGGAAGAGCGTCCTCGTTGAGCAAGCGCGTGTGGTTGCATGATCGCTTGTACCGCCGTTCCTGGCGTCTTCTAGCTGGCTGCAGGTATAGCTGGCTGCAGGTATAGCCGGCAGGGAGCCAACGTTGTGTTGGAGCCCGAGGCTGTCCACGGGCATGGGCAGAAACTTCGTCGCGGCTAACTGTGTACCTATGAGCTTCCCGATTGATGCATGTGGCTTTTCGTAGTGTTGGTGTAAAACCAGAGAGGTGGAGTGTTGGGAAAGTGTTCAGCCACGCGTTGCGCGAAATGCCCCTCATGACACCACTAGCCGGCTTTGCTGGTCACGATGACATCTAATCTTATCAGATCATCGCATCTCCCTCGGTCGAAGTGGCCGTCTTTGCGGCAACTGGTCGTCCTCTAGGTTAGGCAGTGGGGGCCACCTGTGGAAAGATGGGTCGGGCCCTGCAGGGTCACGAGCAGTCGCGGTGGTAGTATTGGAGGAGCAGCCACTATCACTATTGCCCCACCGTCTCCTGGTCGCCACGCGATCCTGCCGCGACAAGCTTCTCATTTCTACGTATAGCTCGAAACTGCGCTCGAGTTGGTGCCTCTCTGGATGAAGGGTTTTCCTGTAGAACAGCGGGTACCAAAGTATCAACTCAAGTGATGATGTGGGTGGCCTCGGGATCTTCCGGGACGCTGAACGCTTTCCGCTTCTTTCATTCGACATTGACAGGTGCGATGTAACACCATAACAACAGCCACTGACATGATTATTGTGGAAGAAAATACTTCCTTCAAGATTCCGTAGCCGAAGTCTTCGTGTTATCCAGGCTATATCAAAGACATACAGGAAAGTTCAAAACTGAATAACGACGAAGTTGGGAGTAGATTGCAAGCTCGACTCCATTTACTCGCTCTTGTCTGCAAGTGGCATGCACGACGCGTTTTGTAGGACCGTCAGATCGAGCTCATTGCGATCATCAAAGTTACGAGATTACAGCTTCAATGGATTACCCATCTATCAAAATCCACGCCGTGTGTTTATGTTCTGCGGATTGTCTTTCCTTTAAAAGACCGAGCTAGCTTAGTTCTTAACGGCCCTTCCTGTTACGGCAATCATGATCCTTCGCAGTCAAGGGGGTTGTGGATGTCTGGATCATAATCGTTCTGAAAAATTCGATAAGGCTGATACGCTCGGTGCCAGGGATATTCGCCCTCGAGGGGAGGCCCATTGACATTCTAGAAGTCGCATACATTTTCTCAAAAACCTGGTATGGGTCTGTTATATCAGGTTAGCAGATGCGAGATTTCGGATTGTTTTCTTTTGGATACTTCCAGGTAATGCCAGGGTATGGACAGGATAAAGTTGATGTCTTGGGAGCAGTCGCGAACCCTTTCTATGGACTCTTCTTGGAAGATCGTGTCCCATTTCGCTCGCGTGCTGTTCTTGATATGACCGGAGAAAGTGACACGGGGGATGTAGCGCAAATCCTCGAAGGCTAGCGGGAGAACTCAATCGACCAGGATCTTCTGGCATGATATAGATTTGTGCTCGTGCAGACTCGAAATGCAGGCCCAAGGGCCATGCGACTTCCAATAGGCCCCCACGGGCCGGTCAATACGCCGTCCTGGAGGACTTGCCTAGAAACAAAAACGCAGCTGTTGGAGTGCGACGAGATTGCGCAGCTGAGAAATACCTACATCCTCTGTCGCTGTGAACGATGTCTTCCTATACTGTGACATGAAGCCAACAAAACGAAATATTCGGTCATTGGAGAAATGGATTGAGACACAACGGAGCGTATCGCGCAGATAGATAGCTTGAAGGTAAGGTGTGAGGCGAGCAAACGTGTCATAACACTGGAAATCTTTAGGCCTCGCAGCCGCCCAGGTAAATTGCGTGACTTCGTTCAACAACTGCTTGCTGACTCGAGGCAGTGCGACGGAACCAGAAGGTAGTAATTCTGCTTGTGCGTCTCCCGCCCCTGCCAGTATCCGAACCTTGAGGGCCATTTCTCGTGTGATGTCGTCGGGCGGAAGACCCGAACGAGAATGTCGTCGCCGTGCTCGTCTTCGAAATTACGAGTTTCTTCGATGTCGTGAGGCCATGTGTAAGGCCCAAGCAGGTGACCATACACAATCCCACGGATCTCCGGTGGCTGATCCATGAAACAAAATGAAGCCCCAGTTGACCTCCACCAGTCATACATGGTGAGGGCAGTGGGTTCTACCGACTCCAGAATCTCAGCCATCCATGTCAGGAACGGTAGCCAGCGGCTGTGCGATCCGATCTCAAGAGCAGCTCGAGCAACCGCTGAACAAGCTGCGAATCCAAGCTCGCGGCAAATGGCGACCGCAACCGAAGAGTTCACCGCATTTTGACTTGAAAAGTCGTAATTGCAGTACGACAATGAATCGTCGTCCAATACACTCAAACTTTTCTTAACGTCAACAGCCTTTCTCCAAAACTCGAAATCAGTACGATGTTGATAGTAGATGTACGACACCATGGTCTGATAAAGAGACTCATCATTGAGATATTCCCGCGTGTCATCTTCATGCGCTGCGTTCTTGATGATGGGTACGCGCAACCTTTCGTAGTAGCCCAGTCTACCCTGCTACCCTTGGCCTTTTGGTCTGGCTTTGATCTGCTCAATGTCTTCGGTCTCTTCCGGATATGGGTCATCATTGTAGCGTCGGGTTAACCACTCCTGCAACAGTAGCCAATGGTCCTCGTTGCTCTTCTAACGTGACTCCGATTGTTGTGTTTGATCCGAGATCAACCCGGAAGTCATCGACTGTTCTCGTACATCTAGCTATACGTCCTCTACTCCAGGTTGGATGAGTTGAATGGAGCAAGGCGGACTTGATGGAGACCTTGGGACTATGACGTGTTCGACTCGCAGTCCTATGGAGTTGATCATGAACCTCAGACTCGCACTTTGTTGGTCTTTGATATACGCCTCGATCTCGGTAACAGTGTCCATCTATATCCGCTGTCAATTATACTGCTGCTATGCAATGCCAATCAGTTGGAATACAACCAAGGTGCGTAGACGTCTTCGTTCCTGCATTTCAGTGATCTGTATCGGTCTAGATTTGAGGCAAGTTCTGGGAGCCATCGCGCTTCTGGTTGATCAAAGGGGCAGGAATGTCAGTGTATCCGCGGGTTGATCGGTGTAGTAGAGCGGACATGATTCAAAGTAGGGGGTATTATCCTTGTACAGAACGAAAAAGCCTTAGGCAGAGAACCAGTATAATTGCGAACAGGCTGCACCCACGTTCGCAGTGAGTGGTCATGGTGGTGCCGCCACACCCTGGTGACGAAAGCAGATCCAATGTTTCAACCTAGTAACTTCGTTTCGAACTCAGCAGCCAGAACACTAATCCTCAGGTTCAGTCTCACTACTAGGCGCCGACGAAAGCGACAGATTCGAACCAAAAGAAACAAGTAAAGACCCTTCGCCACCCCTACCCTTCTCTTTCATCGGCTGCGGCGGTAAACCTTCCGCCATCTCTAGAACCTCTAGCAACCCTAGTAATCTCTCAGAACTTGCCTGCATCAGCCTCTTCGCTTGGTCTTCCTCCTCAGCGTTGCCTCTCTTGCCTTTACCCGTGCCATATACTTTATGCCGTACTTCGATACCAGTCTCCATGGCTTCACGAAGAGCGTCCGTTGGAGTGAGAGCTTTCTGCTCCATCATGTACATGAACATTTGCTCCAGAATAAGCGAGATCTTGGTGTTTGCCGCAAAGCTCTTTGTTGTGCCCTTGAGGGGAAGAAGTGTCTCTTCAAAGTCCTCCTGCATGGGGTTTCTGATGAAGTAATTCGGTGGCTTGCCGGTTATCAAAGGGTGGAGGAGGTTGGCGTTGAAAGCGACTCGGATCTTGGAAGGTAGCTGTATGGTAGACAGTAGGGCTTGGAAGATGATGGTCGGAAGCTGGTTGAATTCTTCGAGGATGTTGTCGCAGAAGTCGAAGAGCGGGGTGAAGAGGCTTGGTAAGGCTTCGGCTACTTGGACGAGCTGTTCTTTGTTAGTTGCTATTCATGCTAGAAAAAGGAGAGACGTACGAGTGCTATGAGACGTTGTCGCAGCTCGATCGCATCCTGTCCACCAAGGTGCTCTATAGCATCGCGTATGTTCCTAATAGGATCATCGCTAGTGTCCCAAGACGTCTCGTTTGCGCTCTCGTTGTCGCTACCATCCGGCACGTCCTGCATGTCATCGTCGCTACCATAGTCGGCCAACTCTCCAGTTTCAAAGTCAACGTCCTTTACATGTTGGTCGTCATCCCTCTTGCGTTTCGGCTCCACTGTCTCCTTGTCCCATATCTCCGGGTAGTCTTTGAGTGATTCGGGTGTTGCCGTCGCAAGTATAGCCTTGACTATCCGACGTCTTCTGGCGCGATTTGTCGGAGCTCTCCCATGCCCAACAATGTAGTGCCAGATCAGACTCTGTTGTAGGGCTGTCGTGTCGCTCGTCCCATCTGGCAACTTGCTCTGCTTGACGCAAACATGCCAATCGGCTTCTAGAAAGTCAAGCATATTCGTCACCCATAGCTTCCATCGGCTCCACCGTTTCTCATGTGCTACTGCGCAATTAAACGCCCATCCCACAATGTGCCAGAAGTCGTCTGCGCGATACCACAGGCTCTTCTGATTGGCAGCCTCGCCTGCTATTCGTTCAATATCGCCGCTCGGCTCGGGTGATGCGCTTGCGTCGTTCCTATAGCCCGGTGCGCGCCGTCTATTGCGCTCATCTGGGAAAGTGAATGCTTTCCTTATGGTTGTGTACGCGGGATCGTCTATCGTCGCGCGTATGCATTGTAGGTAGCGCAACGCAGCATTGGAACCCTTGACCGCATCTCGTGATTGCGCTTTAGTCGTGAGTTTAGGATCGGGGACTATGGAGGAGGCGAACGCGATGTACGCAGGCGGTGCCAGGAAGCCTATATATGGCTTTGCGGGTGTAGAGATGCTGGTACCGGCGGTAAGGAGGCTGCAAAGGAAGTCATAACCGCTGGCGTCTACAGTCAGTGTAAGCTTAGTAGTTCGTGGTTTATGCTGTCGCATACATTGTCCGCCCTCGAGATAGGCTTTGGCATGGTTGGTGAGCTCATAGGACGCTTGCTTGGTCGGCCGATGTAGTTCTTGTCGTGGTAGAGTCCTCAACGCCGCCTCGAGCGCTGGAGATGAGGCATCCTGACCGTTATTGTTTGCGAACGATTTGGGTGTTTTGGATTTGGAAGCTGGTGTCGCAAGCCTTGCCATTAATGCGATGCGACAGTCGATAGGGGTGGTGCGGGGGAGTTGTGGGCAGCATGTGCGCGCCCGCGTCTAAGCGCGCCATCACGTGATAGGCGCTGGGTATCTAGATGCAATGTGCAAAAAGGGATCCATCGATATATCTTTACCTGACGTGATCACTACGTATGATGAGCACAGTACAGGGTCCAAGACAGTTGTCCATTATTCCTGGAGCCAGTAGGGTGTGATAGGGTGTTCGCTCAAAAAAGTGTCGCGCTCCAACTCTCCAACCACCCGAAACTTCACTCCCCCCAATTCCACCACCACGCAAAAAAAGTAAACTCCGTACTCTGACAGGCTTCCGAATCCGGGAATCGAACCCGGCTCTTCTCGGTGAAAGCGAGATATCCTAGCCGATGGACTAATTCGGAGGGATTGATTGATGGAAGAAGAATGACTTTAGAACAAAATAAAGTCACTGTTGGGTATGCTACTCCCTCTACAATCAGCCCATCAGAGATGAGATCGGGCTGGTCCAGAGGCCTGATTATCGGCTCCGTGGTTTATTCCTATGGCGTCTTTTTGCGGGGCGGCGTGCATACCCCTCCACTAAAACCCACAAGCGTTGGAGACATTGACAAACCAACGCCCTGGTCCTGTGCAACATGAATCAAAGACGATGTCACACCCATCTAGCCAACATGCGAAAGAGATGTTCATCAAGCATCGCACTCGAGATACGGACAATCAAAAAGTAGAGTCACGCCAAGTTTTTCGTGGTTGACTTGAAGTTGTTCATCATTCCTAGTGGCATTTTCCAGAAGCTCGCTGTGCTCGCAGGATTTGTCAGGGGCTCGGCAAACCTTAGAACACCAACATTCAGAACCTATCACCACCACGTCACAACAGGGAGCTACATCGCCCGGTTAACTTGCAGATGTCATATGTTTTCGAATATATCTACGCAAATACTTGACACACTTAGTCTATCTAAGTAATTTCAATGGAATCGCAGGGTTAATAAACATTAGATGTGTGGCTGTACCGTGTGCTGATCGCGTGCCTTGGGCGCTGCGCTGTGTCGTAGAACAAATACAAGACGTGTCGCGGCCGAAGTGCTCAGAACACTGAGAATGCCAATATCAACCGATTCGCGAGATCTGTTATATTCCCAATAGCGACAATAGTGACTCCTGTCGACGGTCTTAACCTACAAGTATGAATGGAGAAAGAGCAAGAGAGGCTTCGGTGGCCAGATTGCGTATTCAATACCTAGTCGATTGTCAGGCAAGGTGCGCATGATCGTTACATCTGGTTACGAGGATTTGCTGCTACTCAGTAGGCACTTCTCGCTACCCAAATACAGGTCGTGACCACATCACTGCTGCCTCCTTGAACGACGATACGAACGCGCCTGCCAACGCGCATCACGCAACGAGCACCTCACTACGACCGTAACAGCGATCAACGGCGCAATACGAATGCAACGGGTATTAGTGTAGAGCAGTCGTGATCACGACAACGGAGATCGCTAGGTATGGCAGAGAAGTAGCTGGCCGTTGAAAAGGCATTGAAGAGTAGGAGCAAAAGGCAGCTCGAGGGAGGCACTACCAACATGCGCAAGAAAGTGCACGACCAGAGCCGGCCTCGGAAGAACCCTATGGTTTGAAGACACTGAGAAGCCAAGCACCTGAAGATCGTTTGGCACCATAGATGTGGTACCCAAATCCACAGCGGAGACTTAGTCATTCGCTGGAAGACTCAATAGTCCCGCTATACACCAAGCTTTCCATCTCAATTTCGTCACAGGGCAGGCGCTCCAGCTTCACCCTGAACGATTGGCAGGCTGTGCCGCAAAATACCTCACAGCTCAGCATATCTTTTATCTCCTGCAGCTCTTCGATGTACATTGTGGGCAGAGGCGCGAATGCCCGGCCGTATGCATGTCTGCATACAAGAATCGTCAACCAAAATCTAGGCCCCAAGGCAAGCGCGCATCCTTCATATCAATCTTCCCAAGGGTAACTCTAGTACAGTAAAACAATTCGCGAACCAACATTAACTGTTTTCGGCAAGACCGCCGTTTGTTAATAGCAATAAGTTCCTATGCCATCAACACACAACTCAAAGAATTCCATCTGGGAGTGCGTATCGCTGGCGTCAAGGTCGATGCCAAAGTCTGTAAAGATGGTACCGTGTCATGGTTTACATCTGCGCAGCCTGATAGAGCGCTGATAAAGCTGTACACTCGCTGTCGCACGATACTCTACAGAACCACTACCTTCGAAGTTAGAGGTTGGGTATATACAAGTCCTCGTTCGGGGATGATGGTTTTCATACTTGACTTGGATAGGTATTGAATATGTGTCGCGCATTGGACAGAATTACACCCTTTTGATACAAATGGTCAGTCTTTCCGTCTCATGAACTTGTCCTATGGCCTAGGTATCTGCGTCTACAAGCAGATCACAACACCGTATACATGGCCACATTTAAATACAAGGGGATATCTTCGCAAATAAACGCTGTCTGTTCGTAGCATGCGTCTTTTCGGTGCGTGTTTCCGACATGCGCCACACGGCCATGCGCCTCCGGCACCAGCGACCCTCCCGGCTGTCAGCAAGCAAGTCGCCGCCGAATTCCATAGAGTAGCCGAACAGTACTCAACACCACACTTCCTCTTCCCCGAACACCTTACTGGGCTATATGTATAGCCTCATTTCGAGCGTACATAATGTTTGCGACGGTTGCCAGTAAGACAATTGAAAGCCTTGATCGGTGATCGTGTATCAAGTACGGAGACCATTGGTTCGGGTTGGAAAAAACGTCTGAGTACTCCGACAATCCTGCAGGTAACCGAACACCCCAAACCTCGAACATACAGTATGTCTGTAAGCAGGTTAGGGCAGAGTTCTGTAAGGCCACTATGTCATCGACGATCCTCCACTTCCAAGATCATCAGACGCTCGAAGAGCTGATACCTGGTTTGCAACGCAAATGGCTCCGCCATATTTCCCTCGGTTTTCCCAACTGCTTTAATTCCAAGTTTTTTGTCTTGAACAACCGACTTCGAACCGGAAACCAAGGTCCTACTTGGATCAATGTCCTTTGCAGCATTCCGACACTACACACGCTTTCCCACCTTACTATCACCTGTTGATCGTGTACGTCCGAACTTTTTCTTGACAGCCCTCCTTCACGCTCCGGCAAGCACCTATGCCACTGGTGGAAGGAGTTCGGACCACCTCCCGCCGGCGAAAAGCCCAACTTCGAATTACCATGGCTTTCGGACTCAAATTATCAGCATTACGATCCTCAACTCTACGATCGGTTCGTATACGAAGATTGAGGACTTTGTAGTATCAACAAGATCGGTGTAAGAATAAGGATAGATCCTATAACGATTGAACATTGCCAGTGCAAGCTAGCGATCAGACGCAGCCAGAGGAGGTGGCCAGACAGCGCGAGGACATCACCAGGATAAAATCAATTCATGAGATATTGATAGCTGAATATCGCGACGCCCGACTGATAGTGCATGTGTCGTAAGCTCCACGTTCTGGTCCTTTTGTGGCGCCTTCCCCTGTTTTTCCCCGCATCGCACTACTGACGTAGCGCGAAATAGCGCGGCTCGGCAGTTACACAAGTCGCTCTAAACCTCACTCACGATCATCATGCCATCACTCTTTCGATCAATGAGCCGTGCGGTCGGCTCAAATCTCGACTAATCCTGTGAAACATGGCTGGGTCAAAGTCGAATACAATTGCCGCACACTTCATCCGCTTCCGCTCGATCTTGGAACCGGGGGTACAATCCCGGGCGTGTGGCGCTGCGAACATGGGCACATACTGATGTATGGAAGCTAATTTCAGGCTATCTCGCCTTCAAGGCTCTCTACTGGACAACACTCGCGAATATGTGCCGTCGTTATTAGCCCACGAACGATGAGCCGGCACAGGCGCTCACCACGTGTGAAGGATGCGGAGAACCTGGCTGCTGGGTTGTAAGCTGTCTCATAAGTATCTAGACGCTCAGCTAAGCGTCGGCCCTACTGATTTATACACCTCTCACTGAGCCTTTTACCTTGAAAACGGCCCCGATTACAATTGCCGAACCATCGTGTCCGATCACGGCGCTATTCTACCGAAGTTCGACGCCAGATAACGAGTTACTGCTAAGTTCTCGTTCGAATGGGATTGGAAGTCGGATTGCAATAGCACCGAAATCCGCCACATCAGGGCCCTTAGGTGGCACAGTTGCGAATACAACAACTGATACAAATACTTGGCTGCATCCTTGATCTGAGCACGATCATCGCCACTCTCACACATCAGTCGCTTGAATTACAATGGAGGCCCACGACTACAATGAAGATGTGAGTGTTCCATCGTGGTTATTGTTTCACAGCCCTAATAAAGAACCCAGGAACGCCGGCAACTCGAAGCCGAGCTACACATGGAGATTCTTCCTGGCACGGAAGTCATGGCAGATGTAGGCTCACACCACTTCGTCAAAGGTACACATCGCCAAGTCCTCGTTCCACAACCTAGCGACGATCCCAATGACCCTCTGAATTGGAGTACTGGTTGGAAGCTGGCATGTATCATCTCGGCATCCATGGTCACATTTACACAAGGATTTGGACCGCTAGCTCTCGCGCCTATGTTTCCAGCACTCATAACAGCTTTCGACACCGATCTGGCAGGAGCAGTCCAGTTCACTGGCGTGTGTATCTTAGTACTCGGATTCAGCAATTTCATCTGGTGAATACACACAACCCATTATTCAAATTCTAAGGCTAACAGACAGTTTCTAGGGTTCCAATCAGCACGTCTTTCGGTCGCCGTCCGGTTTATCTCGCATCCCAGATGATCAATTTCGGTACATCGATATGGCGCGCCAAGGCCAACTCCTACAACTCCTTCATGGGCGCATGCATCGTCAATGGCATCGGCGCTGGACCGGCTGAGACCATCATGCCCGAAATCATCGCCGATATCTTCTTCTTGCACGACCGTGGAAAGTGGAACACTCTGTACTGGGTGGTATACATGGGCTCGCTTATGGTCGGTCCTATCGTTTCCGGCTCGATGACTGAGACGGTCGGCTGGCGCAGCTTCTGGTGGCTCAACACTGGCATCTTAGGCTTTTCGTTCTTGATGGTCGTTTTCATGTTTCCTGAAACAAGGTTCAAGCGCGTGTTACCCGAGCACTTAGGACGGGAGAAGGCCGCCTCTAGCTCACTAGAGGAGAAGACGCGGGCGACGACCCAAGAAGAGGTCAACAACTCCGATGCCGAGAAAGAGACGAACCGCATCCAACACGTCAACACAGCTAATTCCATCTTACCGAATACCACTGGCCTTGAGATGTCTGAGACCGCTCAACGCGATCCATTCCTTGGACGCGGAAAACCTGGCAAATGGCAATGGAAAGTCTTCCAACCAAATGCCCACCCCTTCCGTTCTATCTTGCTCGACCTTTGGATTCCTTGGAAGTTATTTGCATTCCCCATTGTCGAATTCGCCGCTTTCGTCGTCAGTTGGTCATGCTCCAGCTTTCTTACCATCAACCTTACACAAAGTCAAGTCCTCTCCTTACCACCATACAACATGAAGCCCATGACCGTCGGCTTTACCAACTTCGCCGTCATGGTCGGTGCGTTCATCGGACTCTTCACTGCTGGCCCGCTCAGCGATTGGGTTTCTGCAAGGAGCACGAAGAAGAACAACGGCATTCGCGAGCCTGAGATGCGCTTGCCCGCTATGATACCATATGTCATCATCATGCTCATTGGTAATATTGTCGTCGCAATAGGTTACGAGCGCAAGTGGCCCTGGGAGGCTATCATCATCATCGGCTACACATGCGCTGGAATCCAAGTTGCAGCGCTACCGGGTATTGTCAGTACATATGCCGTTGACTCTTATAAGCCGGTCGCTGGGTCTTTGTTTGTCGCCATCACCGTCAACAAAAATGTTTGGGGCTATGGGTTTGGCAAGTTCATCACGCCCTGGAGTGAGGAGGCTGGGTAAGTCTTGTGAATCTACCTATATAAAGGCCCATTGCTAACGGAAGTAGTTTCATCTCGCCTATCATGACCAACGCAGCTCTGATTACACTATGGTGCTTGTTCGGTATACTCTTTTGGTGGAAAGGCAAGACGTTCCGTCGCTGGAGCAGAAACAGCAGCGTCCACCGACAGGGCGCTTTGTAAGATAACGCGAGCCATGTAAAGTACCGTTCACATCAAGCTGCTATAAAGTAGTATGTTAATCAAGCAGAAGACTGCAAACATCTCTTTGTCGTCACATGCTTTGTCAATCTGCACAAAACTCATACCACGCTGATCATAGTACAATCTCTTCTCACCTTCACTCCCATCTTCGCTTCCACCCTCCACCTCCACGCATTTACCTACATCTACGTCATCACAACAACTTACTCTCACTTACGCGCAGTATTCTCAGCTCATGGTTTCTTCTATTGTTCTTACCCCAAACACTCCTAACCCGATATCTAACCCACCATTTCCATCTCAATATCGCTTTTACATCCTTCCCAAGGAAAGAAGAAATGGCAACACCGACCAACCCCCGCCGAACCTTCCAGCGTGCCTCCCGCGCCCAAAGTATCATTTCCGATTCATCCTTCTCCACCCCTCGTCCAACACCACCTCCGCCATCGACGCGACTCGGCCGCGGCGTTCGCGCCAACAGCGTCGTCAACGAAGCACCAACCGCAGCCGAAACCACAGCAGAAAAAGGTGCACAGAGAGCCGTAGTAAAGTTACCAGCGCACTATTTGCTCGCACCTACATCCCCCAGCCCATTCATGGGAACATTGGAAGCAAGTCTAGACGCGATCCAAGAATGGGGACGCATGAACACAACCAGCAACGGGACTCCTACGAAGAGCGTACAAAGTATCGTCGACGCACTGTTGCGTCCCGTAGATTCCAGGACGAATTGGCCCATTCTCCTATCCGCCCTCCAACAAGAAGAAAACCCCCCTTCAGAACGGTGGACCCGATACCTCACCGAAGACGTCCTCTTCCTCCTCACCCGAACACTGTTACCTGAACAAATCCTCGAAAACAGGAACCTCATGGCCCGTCTCTACAACGTGAAGAAACAACTTGCCATGCGACTCGTGCTGCGGTACGACATGTTGCGGGACTGGAAAATGGAAGCTGGGACACATCACCGCGATCAGGCTGTTGCTGTGGCGTCGGTGCCACCACCATCATCAAAGGGACTCGCTGCTGCTGCTGCTGCTACACCAGCGTCAGCACCTGTTGCTATGAGTCAACGGGCGAAGAAAGAAAAAGGAAAGTACCCTTTCCGACGCCCCCTTCTCCCTAACATCATACCTACGCTCATCGCCGCTCCGACCGGTGGTTTCACAACACACGGCGTGCGCGAGCGGATGAAACACCACGTCACGGACTTAGACTCGTATCTCTTGTTAGAAGACGACGAGGTAGGCGGGTGGACTAGGGCCAAGCTGCTGGGGAAGTTGTGTCAGGTTGTGCTGCATTGGCAGTGGATGAGGGGGAATAATGAGTTGTTGGGTGGCATGGAGGTAAGGGGGTGGGAGGACTTCGAGGGCAAGGCGGATGAGTGTGAGTGGATTGCGGAGGATGTCAAGAGGAATGTGGTGGGTGGGGGAGGGAGGAAGGCGGTGGCTGTGGCTGTGGCTACGGAGGGAGAGTAATGGGCTGGGAGGATGGAAGATTGGGGGGCTACGCAAATGCCTGATACTGTTCAGGGAGGATTGAAAATAGAGAGAGGCGCGCTTCTGAATGCGTTATGGTAAATTATATGGCGGCATGTAACTGGTGACTATACACGATGAAACGATACTTTCGCTGCCAGATGAGAAGATTTCTTTATTTCATTTCGTGAGAGACACTACGCTTGAAATCACTCAACCCTTGATAGCCTGCTGTTGCATCTTCTCTCCACTCTCACTGGCAGGCTCAAGACCCATCTTCGCCGGTCCACAAATCTGCACACCGTCCTTGCTAAACCGCGAACCATGTACAGGGCAATCCCAGCTCTTCTCAGTAGAGTTCCAGCATACAACGCCCTTGAGATGCGGGCATAAAGCCGAGAACTTGTGAATCTGACCACCCTCATCTTTGTATACAGCCAGAGGCTTGGTAGGGTTGGTGTTAAGGACACCACCCTCACCGGGTACAAGGTCTTCGATGTCTTTGATGTCGGACTGAGCGAAGCGCTTGTACTGTGCGTTGATCTGGAGGTCGTGGCTGATCATGCTGCTAGCTGACTTTGCGATGGAAGATAGACGCTTAGGGTCATAGAGAGAGATCCAAGAGTTGGGTTGTTCGGTGATGGAGTCTGCGATGAGCTTGCCAGCCAGAACGCCGTGGGTAAGACCATTACCAGAATCACCAGTGACGATGTAGATGTGCTTGTTGCCTTGGTTCTTGCCAATGAAGGCCATGTAGTCGACCGGCTCGAAGATCTGACCACTCCACTTGTAATCAATCGTGGTTGCTTGTGGGAAGCGGGCGCGCGTCCACTCTTCAAGCTCCTTAAAAGGCGCAACAGTATCGCCCTGGCCGACTTTATGGTCACCTCCACCCACTACCATGTAGTCGTCCTTGTCGTCGCACTCGGTAAGACGCACGTACTTGTAGACTTCAGCAGAGTCATAGAAGAGAACATCCTCGACTGAGCCCTTGGGCACACGGATGGCGATACAGTAGGTACGGTAGTATTCCTCCTCGGCGATAACGGACAGCTTCTGGAGCGGGACGCAGGTTGCTTCGACGGCATCGGCACACTTGATGGTGTTTCCGTCAGCCGTCTTGACGTAGACGTCCTTGTGGCCTAGACCCAGGATCTCTACGCCCTTCTCATGCACGTCGATGCATCGGGTGTTGGTGTAGCACGAGAAGTTGGGCTGCTGCTTAAGAAAGTCGAGAAGGCCGACGACGTATTTGGTGGGGTGGAAAGTCGCCTGCTGATGGTAGATTACAGCATCGGTTTGGTCGATATTGCCTTCCCAGCCCTTGAGCTTGAAACCCTCCTTGTATTCTGTAGCGATACCAAGCTCCTTCGCCTTGTCGCCGTCCTCGATCAGGGTCTTCATGTCGCTCGCATGGTCTTTCGAGTCCTTTGGGTATTGAGAGAAGTCGTAGCCGGGTAGATGACGGTACTCGCACTCAATGCCTAGCTGCTTCGATATCTCGCCGACGCGGTTAAGCGCCCATGTGTGTGACTCGGCAGCAGCCTTTGCGCCCTTGTCTCCATGCTTCTTCGCAATCTCCGTGTAGCCGTCATCGAGGTCGTTGGCGAGGTGGCCGCTCGTACGTCCAGTTTCACCCGAAAGTACCTCGCGGCCCTCGATCAGCACGACATTCAGCCCACGAGTGACTAGCTCGTAGGCCACTGAGACACCAGCTATACCAGCACCGATGATGCAGACGTCCGTCTCGAGGTCCTTGTCCAGCTTGGGGAACTTGGGGATGTTCTTGTACGGCAATTGGTGGACCCAGACAGCATCAGTCTCTCCATTGGTGTGCATGAAGTGCTTTGGGTCAGAGGTCTTGGCCGTAGCTACCGACGCGTCACCACTCATGGTCGCCATAGTCGCTCGTTGTCTCGCAAAAGGGTATTTGGGCGCTTGCTGTAGGCGGGGTGCAAGTCTGCTGTATGAAGCTAGACGTATTGAGGTTACTTGTGCGGTGTTTCGTAGGAAGGTAGAACGGAGGAGACGAGGAGCAGACAGCGACATGTCTTAACAGCATGTGAGAGGACCAGCGTGGGCGCTGAGCACGTGGAGCTACATGGTGTTGTATGTGCCTAAACAGTCAATAATCATGACGGTTTGATGTAATAGCATGCGCACCATTGGCTGGTTGCATCGCAGAAATCAGGAGGAAGCATTGGCAATGGTGTAGCCTTGACGATGCCTTGACGATACCATGACGTGTGTTGTGCGACCTCCGAGGATCATCAACTGCCCCACGACAGGAGCATGTTGGAATGGAGACGAAGACAGTTGAAAGAATCCGACGAAATTGCAGCAATGTGCAAGGCTTACAGAGATGTAATCAATACAGGAACAATGAGGATGTCGCGATAAAACGGGATGTTTGCGAGAAAGAATGACGCGCTAAATTTCAGCCGCGGCACGTCCACACGTGACGTTGTGCTCACTTCCCCTTCAACATAGCCTCCGCCACATCTCTCAACACAAACTTCTTAATCTTACCGCTGCCCGTCAACGGTACCTCAGCATCACAGTCCTCTCCTAGCCAGAAGATATGCACGGGTGCCTTGTGTCTGCCCAACACCTTCCGCACCCACGTCTGTACCTCTGCCAAGTCTGGCTTGTCCGTGTTGGGCTCGTGTAGGAGGAAGGCAGCGGGTACCTCGACGTAGCGAGGGTGTGAGACGCCGACGACGATGGCGCGGGTAATAGACGGATGCGCGACGAGTCGTTCTTCGATTTCCAGCGGATAGATGTTCTCGCCTCCTAACGTCCTGTTAATACTGACGACTGGAGACATGTGCTGGTTCCAAGGGAAATGCTTACCTCGAATGATGATGTCTTTAAACCGTCCGGTGATGGTACAATATCCATCCACGTCTAGAACTGCTTCATCACCTGTGTGTAGCCATGGCTCACCGTACTCATCGCGCACGATGAGCTCCGCCGTCTTTTCAGCATTCTCCCAGTATCCGCGACAGACTTGGTATCCAGCAACGCAGAGTTCGCCTCTAACACCAATCGGCACGATGCGATCCTGATGGTCCACGATCTTGACCCGGGCATGCGGCAACACCGTTCCGACAGTGGTCAACCGCGCATGCAGCGAATCGTTGGTGTGTGCGTTGAACACTGTAGGACTAGCCTCCGTCAAACCATACGAAGACGTAAAGTCCGACATGTTGAGCTCATTGACCATTCGCTCCATCAACCACTTGGGCACCGGACTTCCTGCCACAATGCCCGTCCTGAGATCACTTGTCCAGCCCTCCGGCCGTGGGACATCCATTATAGATTCCATCATAGCTGGTACACCGTGTAGGGCCGTGCAGCGTTCTGCGTCAATCGCGCGCATGCAAGCGACGGGGTCGAAGGATTCGGCTGGGAATACAATCTTCGCACCGTGTGTGAGGCAAGCGAGGAGACCGAGGGTGAGACCGAAGCAATGGAAGAGGGGCGGCGGGCAACAGAGGGTGTCGCTGGGTGTGAGGTCCATGCGGTCGCCTATGAAGCGGGAGTTGTTGATCAGGTTGCTAGGTCATGTCAGTCGCGCATCGGTTCGAGATAACAAGAGACACTTACTGGTGTGTCAACATGGCAGCTTTCGGGTTCCCCGTACTGCCACTTGTGAATTGGAGGTTTGCGACGTCGTAGGGACTTATTATGCCGTCGAAGATGTCTAAGATGTGCTCGGGGATATATTGGGCCTCTTCGATGAGGGAAGAGTATGAGATGAAGTTGTCGTGTTGACCACGTATCAGGCATACGGTCTTGAGGTCTGGCAGTGCCGAGGCGACATCGTTTTGGCTGAGCCTTTCCAGTAATGGTCCGTTATCGAAGCGCGCTATCGTGGGAGTCGTGAACAATATCCTGCACTCTGCCATGGTTAGTCTCTTCCCCATACTATCTTCCAAAGTAACTTACTTGTGTGCTTGAGCGCGTACTCCATCTCCGTCGCTGTATATGTATTGTTGAGAGTAACACAGATACCCCCTACCCTTGCACACGCAAAGAAGAGGGCAATGTACTTCTCGCAATTCCCGCTCATAATCCCTATCCTATCTCTCGGCCTCACTCCTTCTTTCAGCAAAGCTCTTGCTAAGAGACTCGATTCGTCCCATAGCTGCTGGTACGTCCACCGTGCGCCCGTCCAGGGTATGACAACAGCTTCGTTTTCCGGATAGCAGTCGACTTGTTGCCGGAGTAATTGTGAGAGTGTCAACTGGAGTAAAGGTGGATCCAACGGTCCGGCGACGATGGAGAGATTAGGATATGGAGGTAGGATATAAGGATCGATTTGAAGTAATGTTTGGTTGAGACGCTGTAAGGCGTCGTTCCGAGATTGGTCGTACAGTTCCGCCATCTCGTTATCAGATCTTGCGCTTCTTCTCAAGGAACGTCCGAAGGTTTACTGATCGATTACAGTACGCGGCCGGACGGTTACCCAAACACTAGGCCTTTGTGATGATAGGTATAAACTGGCGACTGAGATGATGGAAGGCGTAAAAAGAAAAAGATAGAGAAGCAATGGTATACAGTAACACCCAGGCGCAATCTCGCAGTTGACGATGAACCTTCTCGGTACCAACTCTGGCCATAGCTTTCCAGCGATAGCAACAGCAGTGATAACGACGGTGCCTTTCGCCGATGGCTCGGATCTAAGAGCACCAGCAGGACCAGACCATCTTGCACTCCAGTCTTGCCGTCTTCCGGAGATAGAGAGCGACGCGATTGTGGATCATCTCTCATCCCTTGGGATCGAACAAGCCATGACATGGCTGGCTTGCTGAACTGCCTCGACGCGCAGCCCTACTCTTTCCGGGCGTAACGCCGCGGGCAGTACTATGGCATGGCTAGCAGAGACCGTCAAGTGATGGGCAGAATTTTTGTGCTCACACCGGGTGAAGATCGTCACTGGCTGGTCGCCGTGGTGTAGGACTTGAACAGGCCGGGGCCGATGACAGCAAGCGGCAAAGCCACCATTGTCAGGGTAGTGTTAGAGTAGTAGCCGACAGGGGTCGGGCGTTCGATTTGATCTGATAAGATTAAACCGGTCATCAAAGCCGGGGCGGCTGCGACATCGGTGCATGTCGTATGTGGTATACGAGGCGCATGCATTGATGCAGGCTGCAAATTTTTATCAGATCAAAAGAAATTTCTAATCAGATGAAAGTATGCACGAGTAAGCCCTCGGGACAAGCTGGGTGTGGATATGGGAAGGAAGCCTAGCGTCTGGGCAATAACTATTTCGCAATCCTGCTTGTATCCGCTGCTTACTGTGAGGGTTCTGGCCTGCCCCATCAGGCATCATGGTGTCATGCTGGTGCATCTGATAATTTTTCATCGGGTGCGTTAGTGATCTACCTGTTTCGAGAAGATATCCCGCGGATTGTGTTGCTAGCCAGTCGTAGTGCTGCATCGCCGTTACGTGTTGCATCCACATAAACCCCCCCACAAAGTGACCGATCCTAGCATAACACGCCCCAGGCGGTCAAAGGCACGCACACTGCACGTCCAGCCTTTTTTAGGCGCCTGGTATTTGCGCTGCCACGCAACGACGGATCAGATAAAAACATTGCGGCTAATTATCAGATCCGCGTCCTGCATATGCTAGAGCCGGGGTTGCACCGGCATCATTGGACGACTGGGGTGCGAGGTCATGTCATTCGTGACGTGCGTGCCATCGCTTAGCGTGGGATATACGAGCGTACCGGAAGAACGCTATACAGTAACTATTCTTGTTTGCAATGATGCTGAAGCTGTCTAATGACTAGCGAAATATTGCAGCCGTCTCTAGGCAAAACCCGGAAAATGGTACTAGTGTAAAGTTGATAGTTGCAAAAGTAGTCGGGGAAAAGATTCATACCGTACTGAGTCGATGGTGAACAAAGTTACATATTTACATTAATCGAAATAGCTGTGGTGATGTGGTATCAGGAACGGAGCGCACAATGACAATTTACAACTTCGCCTTCGCACCTGCATCCAGGCTTGGGCGGACCTTCTTCTCTCCATCCCAAGTAAAGGGACTCAGTGTGAAGAACTTTTCCCGATTCACCATCATTAGAGCACTGCGCTTGTGCGGAAGATCCATGATCTTCTCAACGTGGAAACCGTGGGCGAAATCATATGCTAGCACAGTGCTGCTCGTTGCTGCTGGCTCACCAACCAGGTTCCAGGTGCGTGGCTCATCAAGGAACATGTAGTGCATAAGACCAGACCACCATGCAGAAACTCGGTAAGGTCCTCTAAATCGTACGTCGCCGACAAGTGAGTGCCTGCCGCGGTCATAGGGCGACGACTGGTAGTGAGCACCCATGTGATCCTCCTGTAACATCTGTTAGTCGAAAGATTGCAACGGATCGGAAATGATCTTGACTTACCATCGCCCAATAGACTTCAAAGTAGGCAAACAGTATATCGTCAAAAGCAGCGAACATCGTGAGTACGTGGGGGTCCTCATGCAGCTTTCGGAGATATTCACGGTGTTGATCCAATGTGCCGGTTTCATTCCAACCTGCAGCGACACGTGGGTCATTTTGCCACTTGTTGAATAGGCGGAGATGCTCATCATTGGTGTAATCGAGGGCCACCATCGTGAAATGCTCCTTCAAGTGTGGCACCCATCGGCTATAGATGATCGAGCCCGGCTCGGGCTTTGGTTCACGAACAGGGTGTTGCGTGTGCCGTGGTAGAGCCGGGAACTGAGTCGATGGTGCATTTTGAAATGGGAATGGAGGATACTGTCTCTGGATCGGCTTTCCGGAGGCGTCAAGGTGCGGTGCCCAAACTGGACGGGCACCGAATGGAGATGCAGCGCCCTGCCAGAATGTTCCTCGGAAGAGGAGGTGGCCGTCGTGAGGTGCTGATGCATTTGATGCTCTTGGATGCGAATGGAAGAGACCAGTGGCGTACAGCTCATTGGCTAGTGCCTGCGAGTCTTCCCCTGAAAATAACACGCGGAAATTCTCAACTAGGGGATGTAGTGAGACCAACGCGTAGGCGATGAGCCAGAGTTGCGGGACGGATGGTCGATCCTTGTTCCAAAAGACCGTCACGTATGGGGATCTTCGAGCGCGAGCCCAAGAGCTGTTGTCACCCATTGATGGTACTGCATCTTGGCTCAACGTGCTAACGTCGCTGAATGAAACAGTTTCGTTATGCAGAGTTGTGGGCGGAGCGACTTCCTTGTCCGTAGTGTTTGCTGAAGAAAGCTGAACCTGGTAGCTTATGGGCTGGCCTTTCGGAGCCACGTTAGCTATAGTGTATGCCGTGAGATATGGGTGAGGAAGTTTGAGAACAAGCGGCTCTTGCGCGGTACTCGGCTTTGCTTGTTGCACCATGGCGACGTGAAATGATAGAAAAAAGATGAGCAGACAATAGAATATGCAGTGAAACGTGCGACAGCAATGTGCGAGTAGCTATAACCCTGATGCTCGAGGTCGTTCAAGATGCTCAGGACTGCAACGCGTGAATGTTTAACCGAGGTCGTTCCTAATATCCGGGCTAGCTTAGCCCACCGCATTACGCAGGCTTAGGCGATGGTGGTTTTCTTACCCATCGTCCGGCAAGAAAAACTGGTCACAGGGCTGTCGTTGGGACGTGGCGTGAGGAAAGCTCCGAATGGGTGGCTTGTCATCCCATGTGGGCCTTGGGCTAGCACCCACAAACTCATGCAAGCGGGCGTACGTGGACGCAGGAGCGCGCACTTGTGCCGGTGACGCTAGCCATCGGTGACATCGTTGTTTTGAGTGTGGGCATCAACACATCTAGCTGATAATGGCCAATGCGCAGGGTCTGCAAATTGTGCCTGAGTTGTGCGGTTGTGTCGTGGTGCTGTAGTTACTATATTTTTAGTGTTGAAACACCTTCTTGATGTACCAACCTGGAGGGCGATAATCAACATCTGCTTCAAAAAAACCCAAATTTTCATCTAACATGACTTCGACGGAGAGAACAACTGCTGCACCTATGGCAGATTCGTCGCCATACTACGACCTTGTCTGCGTCGGCTTTGGCGCAGCGCAACTGGCGACGGCGATCGCCAATCGAGAATCCAGCAAACCCTCCAAAATGCTCTTTGTTGAGCAAAAGACATCTTTCTCCTGGGGATCAGATTCGCACATGTCGAGAACACGAATGGAAAGCCCATTCATGTACGATCTGGCAACGCTCCGCAACCCAAGGACTGCTTTCAGCTATGTCAACTATCTACTTGCTCGCAAGCGCCTCATCGAGTTTGCAAACTCGGACCGGCTCAACCCCTTACGAGCGGAATTTGAGGATTATATGAGGTGGTGCGCTGAGCACTTCAAAGATCAAGTACGCTATGGCAGCGAGGTGGTTGGCGTAGCTCCAGAGGTCGAGGCGGATGCTGTGCAGACCTGGAAAGTGGCCGTCAAGGACAACACCGGCAAGACGTACGTGGTGCGGGCACGAAGTGTTGTAGCACCATCTCCGTCAAGAGCGAGCAGTCCAGCTGCAGAGCCGTTGCCCACTGTCGACTTTCTGTCTGGGCAGCGAATAATCTCCATGCAAGACTACCCAAGCAGGCGGAACGAATTGCGAGGAGCCAACGAGCGACCACTGAATGTCTCTCTGATTGGATCGGGCGGAAAGACTGCTGAGATTCTGGACGATCTGTTGTCCTGCTCCCGCTTGGGCAACATTACAGTGGTTACAGAGGACGAGTCGCTGGCGCCATTGACGGTTCTCGACGACCACAAGCCATCCCAACCCCAACTTTGCTCCATCTGGGCGAAGCCAACTAGCACTCAGACAGCTTCTGTCACAGAAGCTCCAGAGCTCGTTCAGAAAATTTACGACCGCGCGTACGAGAAGCAAGTTCGATCTAAAGGCGAGTTCAGACTACGCGTCATTATTGGGAAGGATGCCGCTGGTGCATGCTCACAATCCGACTTCATCATTAGGGATACGACAGCAAGCCCGCTCTCGAACAGCGCATTATTCCAGAGCATCGACACACTTATTTTGGGCTGTCGGCCAAAAGGAGATAGCCTAGAGGAAGTGCAATTCAAGCGTGGCGCTGTCGCTGAGGGCTGCCGCCTGTGGCTGGTGTCATCAAAGTCTGAGGGAGGACGTGCGCTAGCCAAGGACATTGCCTTGATGGCAGGTGAGATCGTGCGCAAGGTATCGACAGGGTCAGATACTGTACGGAATGGCGCCGGACTACAAGTCCAGGCTAGAATATAGGGCGGGTAATGGTGTGCAGGTGATGGTGTGCAGGTGTGGGGTCTTGTTTCCAAGGTTTAGGCGCTAGATGATGCAAATTTTTATCTAATCTGATGCGAGTTGAGCACAGATCACAATCCAAGTGACACGTCCTTCTCTCCACTCACAAGCCTGTACTCACGAACCACCAACCCACACTACTCTCCACTACACATCTTTCTTCACGTGACGCTATACCCGTTCACGTTATGCTAGCAAATTGCCCTGCTGCTGCACTATGTCGATCCTGGCCATCGCCTCCTGGCGGGGCCATAGCGCCCTGGCGAACCTCATGCAGGCGGCTTCGCGCAGCTTCACCACAGCATCAGCGAGAGATACTCTTTCTCGAGCTTCTAAACTCGTGTCACAGGCTCAATGCCTTTCAGTAAGCCCTCGGGGGCCTCTATCAGGCAGTTCTTTGGTTTCCTCCACCTCCTCTTCTACGCCGACCCGACATGGCTCGACAAGATACTGGTTTTCGTTGGCGCTATAGCTGCCATCGCAGCAGGCGTACCTTTTCCACTCATCGGAATCGTCTTTGGTCAACTGGTCGATGAGATCAATACAGCAACATGCAACAATCGCGATGGTGGCTCCAATGGGGATGAAGAAGCCGATATCACGCCCAAGATCCTATTACTCGTCTATATCGCTATTGGCAGCTTCGCTTGTATCTACATACACCTTGTATGCTGGAATTTGGCATCGCAGCGATTAGCTCAACGCATCCGAGATCGCTACCTCAGGAACCTTTTACGACAGGACATGGCCTTCTTCGACAATCTACAAGCTGGTGAAGTGTCATCTCGACTCAACGGCGATATCCAGGCCATCGAGAGCGGGACTGGTGAGAAGGTCGGCGTTGCGTTGACTTGTCTCTCCTTTTGCGTCACGGCCTATATTGTTGGCTTCATCAAGAATGCCGAATTGGCTGGCATGCTTGTCTCCCTGATCCCTGCGTTCCTGCTCATGGCAGTGATAGGCGGTCACTTCGTTGGAAAGTATAGTGCTAAGCTCGGCGGGTGCTTTGGGTCTGCCAGCGCCATCGCGTCTGAAGCCCTCAGCCACGTAGGACTCGTGCACGCGCTTGGAGCGAATGCAAGACTAGAAGAGAAGTTTAGGGACCATCTGGGCAACGCTCGTGAGGCAGGTATCAAGAAATCTACGATTGCTGCGGTCCAAGCTGGACTGCTTTATTTCATCGCCTTCTCGGCCAGTGCCCTGGGTTACTGGCAGGGTAGTCGCAAGGTCGCAGACTCTCTAGAGGGGAAAGGTAGTGCGACTATCGGAGAGATCTATACTGTTACGTTCATTCTTCTAGATGGTCAGTAGCTCTTTGATCATATTATTCTCATTAGCTGACGTTACTCGACCAGGTGCTATTGTTTTGAGTCAGATCGCACCCATGTTACCACTGTTTGGTGGAGCGATCTCAGCATTTGAGCGCTTGCGGAAGGATATTGAAACTCAGCCCACCATTGACAACACTTCGTCATCTGCGGAAAAGCCGACTCACGCTGACGGTACTGTTGAGTTCCGCAATGTTGCGTTCACATACTCTTCCAGGCCCGATCATCCCGTGCTGAACGGGATCTCGTTGACCTGCGAAGCCGGCAAAATGACTGCTATCGTCGGTCTCTCAGGTAGCGGCAAGTCCACGGTCGCTAGTCTCATCAGCCGCTTTTATGATCCGCAATCCGGAGATGTGCTTCTGGATGGCCGCAACGTCAGAGACATTAACATTAAGACTCTCCGAGGATTCATCAGCCTCGTGCAACAAGAACCATCGCTTCTTGATCGTTCTATTTTGGAGAATATCGCCCTTGGCCTCGTCAATAGTCCACCTCATGCACATCTTGAGAAGACACTGTTGAGTGGGATCCTTGCTCAAGTCGCGGAAGACGTCAGGGGTGGCCAGGAACTCAACCGAGTTGCTGAGAACGCTGGCCCAGAGGTTGCAGAGATCCTCAAGTTGGTGAAACAAGCTGCAGTTCTTGCCGATGTCGCTGTGTTCATCGACCGCCTAGAATTCGGTTTCGCGACCGCAGTCGGTTCAAGTGGCAGCCTCGTCAGTGGTGGGCAGAAGCAACGCATTGCTCTTGCTCGAGCCCTTGTCCGTGACCCTCGGATATTAATCCTTGACGAGGCTACGGCTGCCCTGGATTCGGCCAGTGAGCAGCGTATCCAAGCTGCTATAGATCGGGCTTCCCAAGGCCGGACGGTGATCTCAATTGCGCATCGATTGTCAACTATCAGAGCTGCCTCGAAGATAATTGTTATGAAGAAGGGTGATATCATCGAGCAGGGTACTCATGATCAACTGATGGACTTGGACGGGTCGTACGCGGACATGGTTCGCCTACAATCCGTTAAAACCGAGGACGGCCCATCCAGCTCGAGGACCAGTCTGGATTCGCGCGACACCGACACTATTGCTGATGAAAAGTTAGCACTGAGCGCGCAGGAGCCTGATGCTGTCCCAGCAAACGATGTGAAGGCCATTGAATCCGTCGAGCATACCAAGGGTGTTGTCATTGCTGGTTCCATCAAAAAGACCATGTTCCCGTTGACACGACCCTACCTGGGTATTGTGGTGCTGGCTTTCTCTGGAGCACTGATAGTAGGTGGACAATACTGCGGGTCTGGCCTTCTATTCGGTAACATTATGGGTACCATGTCACCTTGCAATTCTCCAGACTACATCAGATCTAGGGGTGAACTGCTCTCCGGAATGTGGTTTATGCTTGCCTGTGTCGCCTTCCTTGCCAACTTCACCAGCTGGGCGTCGTTCGGTCTTTTGTCTGAACGACTGATCTACAAGGTTCGCAACTTGTCTCTGCACACGCTACTCCAACAACCGCTTCAATGGCACGAGTCTGAGGCAAGGAACCCATCCATGTTGCTCGAGTTCATCACCAAGGATGGCAATTCATTGGCAGGCTTCAGCGGCTCCATTGTTGGCACACTTTTCTCCGTTGTCGTCAACTTCGTGGCCGCTATCATTCTCTCTCACATCATCGCATGGCGAATCGCGATTGTATGTCTTGTTATCGTACCACTCCTATTGGGTGCTGGTTACATGCAGTTGCGTGCCATCGGCCGTTTCGCTGTTAAGCATGCTGGCGCTTTCTCGTCCTCTATCGGTGTGACTATCGAGGCCGTCTCGAACATCAAGACTGTACACGCACTGTCCATTGAAGAGGAGATTCTGCAAACCTATCGGAGATCGCTGAAGGCTCCGCGTAGGGAAATGGTGAAGCAGAGCTTCAAGACTAATGTCTGGTTAGCTGTCGCCAATTCTTGTGGCAGCTTCATCTATGCTTTTGCGTACTGGTGGGGCTCGAAGAACATTATTGAAGGAAGATACACCCAAACCGAGTTCTTCGTCATTCTCATCGCCATGCTTGTTTCCGCACAGTTGTGGGGTCAATTGTTTACCCTCGCGCCTGAAATTGCTAAGGCCAAGAGTGCCATCGGGCGTATATGTGGACTCATCGAGCTCGGCAAGGATGCACCTGCTACAGGACGTGGCAAGGCATTTTCCGACCCTAGCTCTGCGGAGAAAAACCAGGATGATGTTGAGGCACATGCTGATTCACCACTTCCCGCCTCCACACAAGGTGGTGCCAGAGTTGTCTTCCGAGAGGTCGGCTTCTCGTATCCAGCACGTCCTGGCGTTCCAGTTCTGACATCACTTTCCTTGACCATTCAGCCGGGTCAGTTTTGCGCCTTGGTTGGTCCATCAGGTGCAGGCAAAAGTACTGTCTTAGCCCTTCTTGAGCGATTCTACTCTCCTTCCGCGGGCAGCATTTCCATCAATGGGTTCGATATATCACGCCACCACGGTACATCCTTCCGTGATGATATCGCTTATGTGCCACAAGAGAACGTACTCTTCCAAGGAAGCATCAAGTTCAACATTGGGTTAGGAGCAAGACCCGGACATGAGCCATCCGACGAGGAGATCCAAGAAGCCTGTAAGCTGGCAAATATACACGAGACCATTGTCGATCTTCCCCAAGGCTACGATACTGAGTGTGGCTCGAACGGCAATCAGCTGTCTGGCGGCCAACGCCAACGTCTGTCCATTGCGCGAGCTCTTGTCCGCAAGCCAAAATTGCTGCTACTAGATGAAAGCACGAGTGCGCTCGACGCAGAGAGCGAGAAGGCCTTGGAGCTTGGCCTTGAGCGGGCCGTCAAGGGTCATGGTGTAACCGTCATTGCGATCGCGCACCGACTGAGGACGATTGCTAGAGCTGATGTGATATTCCTTGTCGAAGCAGGTAAGGTAGTGGATCAAGGACGCCACGAGGAATTGGTCCAGCGCAGTGAGAGCTACCGTGTCAACGCTCTCCACCAGATGCTGGGATAAGTCTTGTTCAACTTAATACATATATTTTCTCACCTTCCACTATCTCGGCGTTATGCGAGCTCTACAGACTTTGGTAATCTCTTCCCTCCACCTTTCGGCAGCCAGACATATAGTGGAACTTCCTGGTCCTCCCTCGCACCATTGGTCTTCTCTGGTGAAATATCTTCCGACCTATGCACCACTTTCTCCTTCAATCTCCGGCTTCCCATCTTCTCGTAAAGCCTGACACCTTCGCCCGAACTTTCTATGTAGGTGGGCAATCCTGTCTGCTCTGATATGCTCATTCCATACTTGAAGATCATCTCGCCAATGCCTTTCCGTTGATATTCCGGATGCACTGCCATCACGTGGCAGTAGATATATCTCTCGTTGAGCCACAACTTCTCTCTCGCGTCCCAAAGCGGCTTAACAAGGGCCTCGGCTCGCTCTCGTTCTTTCCCCTGCAGCCATCCGATCTCACCCTTCTTCCAATCACTTGGTGCAATGTACACGTCGTATAGCGCCATCCCAACAACCTTGTTAGTCTCGGTGTCAATGCATTTCAAGGTGTATTGCGTTGCACTTGTTTTCCAATACTCCGAGACATGGGCGGTGTGAGCCTGTCTTTCTCTGAGTCAGCTCACAGATCGGAACCAAAAATGGGTACTTACCGAAACTCCGAATTCGCGTCAGTGAAGTCTTTCTCGGTAGCCGAAGGGAACAGTGCGCGCGTGAGCGGGCTGTCCTTGAATGCTGCGAAGTACACATCGTACACAGCGCTAATGTCTGGTACCAGTGCGGGAAGAACTACAAAGCCCATATTGATCGGCTTGTTGGCTTAGTGGGTTATAGCTTCGGGACTTGAGCAGCGGGGAAGGATCTAGACCATCTACTGGCAAAGATTGGAACTCAAGGTACAGGAGGTTTTGGCGAAATGTGACAAGTTTAGCAGAATGCTCGACCCAAAGACATGAACTTGGTAGTACTGTCACTCGGATACAGAAAAAAATGAACGATCCACCCACGATGCCCAGCTTTCTCGTTGAGAGATCGTCGGTCACGCATACAGCATGCTTTGAGTTACCACGCACCATGGCTGTGCCAATCTCTCGGCTGCCAGAGGAACCGCCTGCTTCACAACGCTAGATGGCAGGGCGCGAAACTAGTTTACAAGACCCACACGTCTAGGAGTAAAACTCTCACGCCACCGACGACGACCAGACCTTCTCCATTGAGACGCTCGGCCGTTATTGCTGTGCCTCCCCCTCGCATGTGCCAACTAAAGTTATCTGATCCGTTCTTAGCGAGGCTTTCCCGGAGAGGATGCATCATCTCAGCATTACTCATAGCGCACAGAGCGCACAATGTAAGAAATATCGTGTCCATGTGCAAAATCATCTTTTGCCGCGATCAGCGCGTGGAAGGGAACTGTACCGTGCCGGCAGGTTCATGCGTGGGATGTCCATATTTCGCGTAGCATGCATTTCCACAGCTCCGGGCCTTCTTCGTCGACCAGCAAACCCCGTAATGAACAATGCACAACACCTAAAGTCGGCGGATGCTGTCGATCGATGCAAGAATGGCGCATTGATGCCATGATTGGCTTGCAGGGCTTCTCCGAACATCGGCCGTTATCAGATGAAAATGATTTGCAGCGCCAGCGACGTAACCCTGCATGACTCCTACTCCATCGGGCAATTCCGTGCATGCATCGGTACCACACCATCAAATTTATCAGATGAAAGCTCATGACGCCGCCTTTCACGCTAGAATTATCTGATCCGCTAAGTGTGGGGATAGGTGCGCAGGGTTAAGAGGATTTTTGTTACGGCTAAACCATGGTACTTACCCGATCCCACCATCGCCTCCGCGTTTTACGTTAGACGATGCGCAATACGGCCTGTATCGAGAAAGACACGATGTCGCGAATAAGCGGACCCTGTTACTACGTCGTAAGAAAAAACTATGACGCCGACGGCTGTCCGACCGAGGGGGATGGATTAGTCGTGGTGGACTGGTGTGTTTGTGCCGGAGCTATGTCCTAGCTCAATATGTGGAAAGCTCAGTGCATGTGCGAGACGGGAGCTCGACAGAGAGGTTGATGAACTCGCGGCTTTGCAAGACTTGGCCATTGCTATAGAGGAGTCTGGGGTTTGGATCATCAGACGCGGAAATATCTTCATCCCTTTCACACCCCACCTTCTCGGATAACATATATCGACTTTGAAATGAAGAGACCACATAGCAGTTTGAGCGGCGAGATGCATCTACGCAACGGCGAACATGTATCACACTTCAGTGGTGCTCAAGATGAGCATATCGCAAAGAAGGTGCAGAACAATGGCGCCTCCAAAACCCACGAGCAGGTCTCAACCAAGAACGGCAACCATGTAGCCGTGAACACGAACGGCCACAGCTCCAAGGTGAACGAGGTTCGAGCACGAGTCCCGAGTGACCTTGCTCCGGACGCTGTGTTGGACACCATCCTGGCTGCCTGGACGATACTCATGCACAGATACCAAAGAGATGTTTTCCATCAGTTTACTTGGGGTGTGGTCAACGCCAATGGCCGAACGACACAATGCGTCAACACAACCGAGCTCAACTTGACAAATCAAAGGACCGCCGCAAGTTTGAAAGCACAAATAAGCAATGTGCGATCGAAGGACTATGATGCACACAACGTCACCCTCTTTCTCAATGATGGTTCAACACATGAGGTACTGATCGACCCAACCATCTTGCCAACAAGACTGACATGAACCAGTGGACTTTCGAGGTATCGCTCGATAGGGAAGGAGATTCACTCCACCTCACCTCAAGATGGCAGACAAACACCATGTCTCGTCATCAAGCCGTATCACAACTTCATTTCTTTGTTTCGATCCTTGATACCCTTTTTAGCGACCCTGAGTCCCTGCTATCCTCATTCATGAATGTTTCTGAAGAAGAGCTCGATGAACTTTGGAGCTGGAATAGCCCTCTGCAGCCAGAGTTGAGATTCTGCATGCATGAAAAGGTCTCCGAGCAAGCTGCGCTGCATCCAGAGAAGATCGCCATAGATGCATGGGACGGCACTCTGACATATCGTCAAGTGGAGGACTACTCTACCAATCTGGCCCAAACTCTACAATTGTTGGACGATTCACCGAATCAAATTATTCCTGTACTTTTCGAGAAGTCACGATGGACTTCAGTTGCGGTGCTGGCGATCATGAAGGCTGGCGCATGCTTTGCGTTGCTTGACCCAGCACAACCTGAAGGCCGACTACGAGCAGTAGTGCAACAAGTCAACGCCAAGCTCTTCGTTTCTTCCAAATCTCAATCTAAGCTAGCTGCACGTGTCGCTCCTGCGGCGACAATCATCCCAATCTCGGCCTCCAAGTTCGACAAAGTGTACTCTCCATGCGCTGCGCAGCAACCTAAGACAACTCTCCCACCAGTATCACCGGATCAGCCCTTGTACATCCAATTTACCAGCGGCAGTACCGGTCTTCCGAAGGGGTGCATCCTCACGCACAGTCAGTATACGTCTGGTGCGATACCGCGAGCCGATGCCGTAGGCTATCGATCGCATTCTCGCGTGCTGGACTTTGCGAGTTACGCCTTCGATGTATGTATTGACTCCATGTTATGCACACTTGCTCATGGTGCTACGCTTTGTACACCTTCCGATGAACGTCGTATGAACGATATGAGCGGCGCGATGCGCGACTTCCGCGTGACATTCGCTGGCATGACTCCTTCGGTTGCTCGGACGCTGGATGTGGATATTCTCGACCACCTAGACTCTATCGCATTGGGTGGCGAAGGAGTTTCGACTAGCGATGCGATGTCGTGGGGTCAGAGGACCAGGGTTGTCAACGCCTATGGACCGTCTGAAGCCACTGTTGGCGCAACCATCAATGAAAATGTGGCCGCCAAACCATACATCACCATGGGCAAACGTAAGGGATGTGCCATCTGGCTTACGGAGCCTGAAGATCATAACAAGCTCGTACCTCCCGGTGCAGTTGGCGAATTGCTCATCGAGGGCCCTATTGTCGGTAACGGATACCTCAATAACCCGGCGAAGACGATGGAAGTTTTCATCGAAGATCCGGAGTTCTTACTCAGAGGTAGCAAAAGCTTCCCAGGCCGACATGGACGTATCTACAAGACTGGTGATCTAGTTCGTTTCGATCCGGACGGTAACGGTGAGCCTATCTTCGTCGGACGGCAGGACCAGCAAGTCAAACTCCGAGGCCAACGCATTGAGTTGGCTGAGATTGAGTTTAACATGCAGAAGCATCTTCCTGCAGACACTCAACTTGCCGTCGAAGTCATCAAACCTAGTGGGGGCGGTGAGCAGACACTGGTCGCTTTCCTCGTTGAGCAGAAGAAGAACGGCATGCGGCACCTGGATGGAAATGCCTTTGGCAGTTTCACTACCAAGTTCCAATCAGCTCTCAAAGAGATGACCAAACAGCTTGCTATCGACCTTCCCGGCTACATGGTACCCAGCGCTTACATACCGCTTTGGAAGATGCCATTACTCGTGTCTTGCAAAACCGACCGGAAGCGGCTTCGCGAGATTGGTACGTCGGTTACACGTCAAGATCTCAGACGCTTCAACTCAGTCATCTCCGAGAAGAAAGAACCCACAACCGAGACGGAGCTCAAGCTGCAATCGCTATGGGCGAAGCTTCTTGGTGGAGATGCAGATTTTAGTGCCAACGACAACTTCTTCAGCATGGGTGGAGACTCACTCAGGGCGATGAGGCTGGTCGCCGCTGCAAGGGAGGCTGAGCTCGTGTTGAACGTTCCCGATATTATGCTGAACCCAACACTTTCAGCTATGGCTGCAAAGGCAAAGCCATTGTCGGAAGAAGCGACGAACGACGTCCCTGCTTTCTCTTTGATTGAGAAGAGTTGGGATGTGAAGTCGGCCAAGACTGAGACTGCTAAACTTTGTGGTGTCGATGTTGAGGAAGTCGAAGACGTGTATCCTTGTACGCCGCTTCAAGAAGGCCTTATGGCCCTCTCGGCCAAGTTCCAGGACGCGTATGTCGCTCAGCGAATTGCGACATTACCATCGGCGACCGCTCAGCGTTTGAAGGAAGCCTTTGATACCGCCGTACAAGGTTCGCCAATTCTGCGCACAAGAATTGTCAATGTTTCTGGTCGCGGCTTATTCCAAGTTGTCCTTAAGGACGGGCAACTAGTGCGCGAACATGGCGCTGACCCTGCAGAATATCTTAGACGCGATCGTGAAGAACCTATGGATCTAGGAACCGCCCTTTTCCGCTATGGCTTAGTTCGTGAAGCTGGCAGCGACAAGACTCACTTTGTCATCACAATGCATCATGCTGTTTACGATGGATGGTCGATGCCGCTAGTATTTGACCGCATCAATCGTGCTTTCAATGGCCTTAAAACTGAAAGATCTGTTTTCTTCAAGAACTTTATCAAGCACCTCACTAGCCTGGATCCAGCAGAAGCTCAAGATTACTGGAGAGAGCGACTGAACGGTACCAGCCCACATCAATTCCCTCCTCTACCGCAGAAGGGATACATCACCCAAGCCGATTCATTGTTGGAACACTACGTTACTGTCCCAACAACAGCGCACAACAAACTCACTCTGGCGACTATCATCCGCGGCGCCTGGGCGCTGGTATGCTCATTGTACATGGGGCATCCAGATGTCGTCTTCGGTGAGACATTAACGGGTCGTTCCGCACCTGTGAACGGAATTGAGGAAATTGAAGGGCCCATGATCACGACCGTGCCCATTCGCGTTCGATTGAGTCTTGACCGACCAATTTCCGAATATTTGCAAGCCGTTCATGCGCAGACTGTGAGGCAGATTCCGCACGAGCACCTGGGATTGCAGAATATCCGCCGGTTGAGCAAGGGTGCCCGTGTGGCATGCGACCTGCGCACAGGTCTTGTTTTACATCCCAGAGAGGACGACGTCGGCGAAGTCGATATGGACGCCGTACCAGCTAATACTTTCCTCCCTGCCGATGATGCGGAAGCTGCACGCGAAGCACTCAAGTTCAACACTTACGCTCTGATGCTCGTCTGCACACTAGATGATAACGGCTTCTTGATCATGGCAAGCTTCGATTCGAAGTGCATCAGCAAGGACGCTATGGAGAGGGTGCTCGTCGTGATGAACCGTATCGTCACGGCGTTCTTGGGTAACCCTGAAAGCAAGCTGGGTGATGTCGCTGTACTTGATCCTGCCGAAACACAAGATGCGGAGGCGATGAGACCACGGGATGTCATGACTGACAGTGGTATTGGCACGTCGCCGGTCGATAGCCCGAAGCTGGAGGCGGCAATGAAGGCGTTGTCGCCAAACGAAGAGAAGCTGCGTAGTATCCTCGGCCGCATCTTGGGTATGCCTGAGACGGAGATCAATCCTAGCGACAGTTTCTTTGAATTAGGTGGTGACTCAATTGGCGCTATGCGACTCGTCTCCGACGCGCGCGCCCAAGGCCTGACCCTTACTGTGACTCAAGTCTTCCAGAGCCAATCTTTGGCTGAGCTGGCAGCTTCGATCGGAAATGAGAAGGAGGACAAGTTGTTGGATATCCTGGGTCGCATTCTTGGTATGCCCAAGAGCGAGATCAACGGCGGCGACAGCTTCTTCGAGCTAGGAGGCGATTCCATCGGAGCCATGCGCCTCGTCTCTGATGCACGCGCTCAAGGCCTTGAAATCACTGTCGCACAAGTCTTCCAAAACCAATCGCTTTCAGAACTTGCTTCGTCAGCTAAAGAGACAAGTTCGTCACAGACTCAGGCCAAATCCAACACACCTTACGCCGCACTTGGCAAGGAAGCGTCACTTTACAGTCCCGACCGCATCGGCGCGTATCTCCAGGACCAAAGTTGGGAGATTGCGGACATCTATCCGACAAGGCCACTTCAGCAACTTGCTGTTGAGGGTACCGTCGACCTGCCACGTTATTCACTCCGTTACGAACTCATCAAGTTCGCCACTCCTGTCGACCGCCAGAAGCTGGAGCAATCTTGCCAAGAGCTTGTGGCACGCAACGAAGTCTTACGCACTGTGTTCGTAAAAGACGAAAGCAAGGTACTTGGTGTGGTCCTGTCATCTCTACAAGTTCCCTACACCGAAATCGCAGTACCGGATAGCGAGGACATCAATGCCTTCGCCCAAGCAAACATAAAGAAAGACATCGAAGCGCCAAAGCCACATGGCTCGTCGTTCGTATCGTTTATGCTCTTCAGTAACGCCAAGTCCGGCGCTTCGACGCTCGTCTTCCGCATCTCTCACGCCCAATACGATGAGATCTGCCTACCCATTCTGTACGAACAGCTCTCAGCGCTATATGCAGGTACCGAGGTTCCAGAGACCATGCCATTCAGCAGACACGTAAACCACGTAGTTCTGGACAACATGCCAAAAGCCATTCCATACTGGCAGAATCTTCTCTCAGGCTCCCAAATGTCTATCATGAAGCCTGACATCCCGCTTACACACCGCGGACCAGCAGATGTTTACATGGAGTTTGACATCTCGGCCCGCCCAGCAAACATCACCATCGGTTCACTGCCAACAGCCGCATGGGCACTCGTCCTATCACGTCGCCTCAGCCTCAAAGACGTAGTCTTCGGTGAAGTAGTTTCAGGCAGGAACATTGGCGCGCCAAATGCTGATCGTATCTTTGGACCTACGTGGCAGTACATTCCATTCCGCGTGCCGTTCAACTCTAGCTGGACATACCTCGACTTGTTGAACTTTGTTCAGCACCAGCATATTACTTCTGCGGCTTATGAATCTATGGGCTTCACAGAGATAGTGGAGAACTGCACAGATTGGGATGCCAAGAAGGTTGGCTGGTTCGATACAGTTGTTCACCAGGCACCTGCTTGGGTCGAGGAGATGCCCTTCGGTAATGGCGTTGAGGCAAAGTTCGAGACGCTGTACCCGCATGGTGAGCCGCTGAGGGAGTGGAAGTGTCAGGCCTTTGTTAAGGATGGAGGAAAGAAGTTGGGGATTGAGATTGTTACTTTTGCCGAGTGGATTGATGTTGCAAAGGGGGTTCTGGAGGAGGTTGGTGAAGCGCTCGGTTGCTTGACGAAGAGCAGGGCGGGAGAGAAGATTTTTGAGGGTGGAGATGCGGGTGCTGTGAATGCCGAGACGGGAGAACAGAGTCTAATGGACTTTGAAGGTGTAATGTAAGTCGTATGTATCGTGGTGTTCGGGTCTATAGGCGTTAGTACGATGAATATGCTTTCCCTTTCGTGTCCTTTGGAAACTTCATTGTGTGAGACATCTAAGTATCTGATGCTGCGCGTGACGCCAGGCCTAGGCTCGATGTTGCTCTCTCTTCCCTCAACATCATCGAGTGGTTCTAGCAGGTATAGAAGCCTGTTTGATTGTCGCTCATCGAGTACGACTGATATGCTTGTCTTACCAATTCCTCGATCGTCATTTTATCTGTCATACTTGCCTAAACCCGACCAAGTCTAATCACGCCCAGTGCCCAACCTGGTGCATGTCCCGATGACCTGAACACCATGTCTGGTACATGAGTACCTATCTCTTTCCCACTCCAGTGTCGATACGAGGGTATTTGGTAACTTGATGTACTTTCGACTAGGCACCGAACGGATATGATATCCCGGATAAAAACCTATGATATTGTCGCGTAGCGTTACGCGCGTGCTTCTGATGGATCTCAAGTGTGACAAGAGCCCCTTCAACGACGTCTTGGTACTACATAGTCGAGATTTGAGTTAGAAGTGGGGAATATGAGATGGGGTGATTCATCTGCTCCCTATTGACTTGATGTTACGCTCTTTGTGTTAGCTGAGTGATATTTTGCATATAACAAGGCCCTCTTGCACACGAGATGTCATCCGTCTCTCGCCATCTCCTTACATGAATACCACTTCTCGACCAATATACCATCCAACCGCTGCCATTCAGGAAGACGAACGCGCACCGTTACGATGAAGTGTCTGTCAGCAATCGTCTCCCTCGCCGTCTTGACTGTAGCGTCCCCTTCACCAAGCTTCGGCAAGAGACAAGGAGCTCTCGTAGGCCCCGTTCAACCCCAAGTACCACTTGAGTGTGGCGATACCAACCGTGCTTACTGCTTTGACGAAGTCGTATGGGGGAAGGGTGTGTCATGCTTCTCCATTCCTGCCCAATCTATCCTCTTGCAATCCCACCCTAGCCTCTCAAGCCCCCACTCGAAGCGCAACGCTAATCTTCTCCAGGCCAGGATTACCAGACAGTTCTGCACAGTTACTGTCAAGAGCAGTACGCTGACGATGCTCTAAGCTGCCACGGATGCATGCGCCAGCCATTTCCGACTAATAACTGCGCTGCCGCGCCCGGCGCGTGGAACTCGGCGTTCATCTGTACAGAAGACGGTTACCGATTTGCGTATCGATGCGAGAACTGGTGCAAGGAAGGGGTATGTGTCTGATGGATGATCATATGGAGTTCATGTTGGGGTGTGGAGTGCTGCTGTGAGGGGGGGCAAGAGCAAGGGGGTTCTCCTCGCTTAAATTGATTAGCTCGTACTGCGCGCGCAAAGATGTCCTGGCTCTCCAATCGATCCTCATAGCTTTCAGCACAACTCTTGAGGCCATGGCAAAATGTAGTTTCATTCGCATCTTGGTCTCCCGATTTTTTGGTTCTGAAGGTTCCGAGGTTGTGAGCTCAGGAAGTTCGCTTTCATGCACACGTGCTTTCGTGATTAGCGCGACACTTTACCTAGCTTTTCGTCATGCCCCACATCTCGCGGCACTCAAACGATCATTCGCATATCATACCGCTTAGTAACAAATCGCTCTGGGGCGCTTATGCATCGACCCGGTTTCGCAGCTCTTCCTGGCCCCTGTGCCGAACAAGGTACGACTGCGTGCGTCATACAATGCAAGCAACATCCGCAGACACTGATACCATGAACGCAGTTGTCGAGAACAATTCAAATTGCCAGGAGCGCGTCCTGAACCGTCACTCGCCTCCCGAAGAGTCCAAAAGCACAATTTTCCTACAATTTTGAAGAATTTGTGAAGATACGCTAAGATGACGGCGGACATTCCACACCTTCCCGCAGAAATACATCGCCTTATCGCGCAATACATCCATCGTGAGGACCTCCCAAGCTATCGACTCGCAAACAGACAGTTGTGCATCATAGGTACCAAAGAGTTATTCAGCACGATCGTCTTCCACTACAGCACTGCGAGCATTGATCGCCTGGAGGAGCTCAGTGCGAGTGAACGCCTCCGGGGATGTGTGAAGACCATCTTCTGGGACGTTAATCTATGGAGGATACCGATGGTGCGGGACTTTCACGAATGGGAACGATACTTTGCCCGAACAGCAAGGATTAATGAGGACTCGGGAGAGGTACACGCATCCAGGTTTACCGAGCTTTCGCAAAATCGACGAGAATGGGAAGTGTATCTCGACGGATTGGCGGATGAGAAAAAAGCAAGGAAAGCCTGGAGACGCCTACAGGCGCTCGAGTGTTTCCAGAACCTACAATCGGTTCACGTAGTCAATGGCACGCTCTTGTTGGCCCACCGGGGTCTACGAAAAATAGCAGACACGTTTCCAACCCCTTTACCTGCATCAGCCATATTGCTTAGAGGACAAGGTACAAATGACCTTGACAATCTGTCAGGAGTTGAAGCGTCCCTGCCTATACTGCAATATTGCAAATCCTCGTTGAGAAAGCTCAAGCTGAATGGAGTACACCCCAGTTTCTTCCAACCAACAATGCTGGGCAATTTCGATAACTTGACAAGTCTCAACATCACGATAACGGCGTGGACGTATCACACTCAGTATGATTGGAAGCTGTCGAAGGGTTTGGTGATGGATGGATTAAGCATGTTTCTGAGGCGTTCACCACAGCTTGAATGTCTTCGAATTGACCTCAACAACGGGAACGCGAGAACGCTCGTGGGCAGAGCTGTTTCGACCATCCCCAAGGTTTTTGGCTCTAAGCATACGTGGCCGAAGTTGCGGAAATTATCGTTGTGCCGATTCTATGCTACGCCAGACACACTGGTGTCGCTTCTAGACAGACACTGTTCAACGTTGAAGGATCTCAGACTCCACGATATCCACTGGGAAGTGGACGGGAGCGTTACACTAGAGAAAGGGCTGGATGTGTCGTCGAGGTTCGTTCGGTACTGCGCATGGCCGCAGGTACTGCAAAAGGTGGCCGAGTGTTTATCACTCGAACATGCAACTGTATCAGGCATGCTTGGTGAGATTGGATGGTTTGGGTGGCGACTAGACGACGACGAGGAGCTCGCCGCTGCCATTTCGAATTATCTGATTTGTGGAGGGCAGTGCCCGTTGACAGCTGATGGTGTCGACACTGAATCCGAGAGTTACCATCCGAGCCCACCAAGCTCGATTGCATCATCGTAGCGCCATATCAGATTCATAATGCTCACAGATGTTCTTAAATTAGAACTTGTTTACGCCACTTTCGTTCACTCGGAGATATGCGACCCAATGATTTTCATCGCGCATGAAGAGATCAGTGTAACGATATTCACAATTCTTCGATCAATCAAAAGCGAATCTTGGATACGCATGGCATTATACTAGAGTATATACAGAATCGCTAATAATACCAATGCGCTAAAACAGGTAGAACTACCCAGACAACGCTAGTCAAGAAGCCAAACAGGTCCTAGTAGTTGTACTTGTAGCACAGTGTCGATCCAGTGGTGTCGAGGATATCCCTAATCCTGACATCTGGTCGGATACCGTAGACGTTGACGGTTGTGTCGAGGGTAAGCGGCCTGCCTGATACGTCGTTGCCGTTGATGGTACTGACACGGGCAGAGTTCTTGTTCTGCCAGATACGGAAGTTGCGGTCGACGAAACCGTGGTGCAGCCAGAAGATGGGGTCGGCGGGCGATCCGAACGTGTCTTGCATGACGGCTCCAATACCGTTGTGGCCCCAGGCGTGAGGACCACCCTCCGCGCAGGAGGCCATGCCAGCAAAGTCGCCGTAAGCGTTGCACTGGTTTACGTAGTCGGAGTTGCAGTATTGCGTCTTGGCGCCGTCACCGTTGCGTGCAAGACAATGGGGCTGGTTGCCCGGGCCGGGACCAATGTTGATGGCGAGGTTGGCGAATTGCTGTAGCGGGTCAGTTACTTTGTTCACAGGAGGCGTGTGGGACAAGGCTTTTGTACTTACACCATTGGTTACACAGTTTCCACCTAGCGCGATGCCTCCCAACCACCGGGCAGAAAAGATGGAGGATTGCGAGAAGCGGCCAGCATAGCGCGTCTCGTCGAACCAGGGCAGGGCTTGGTTGAAGCCACACTCTGTGCGCAGGACATCCTCAAATGTCCAGAGGTAGTAACGGTGCCAGAGCAAGAACTTTGAGTTTCCGTGCACATTAGGTGTGAGGGTTTGATGCAGCGCGACAAGATCCTCGTATCGGCTCTTGGATGCGGGGAATCGGCCTGAGGGGGCGCGGCTCATCAAGCACTTGACTGAATCGACAAATGCCTGCTTGCTGCTGTCGGGATATGAGTCCCACTCGATGCGGGTGCGTACGTTGGGACATGTTGCAGCAGCGGCGAAAGTTGTGACGCGGAAGGATGCAGCAGGTGCGTCTTCTGGCTGTGTGGCATTGTGCTCCTCGAAGATCAACTTGGCCGTTTCGAGAGGAATGGGCTGGGCAAATTTTGGTGTGTCGGCGAAGATGTTGACTGGGAGCGCCTTGGTGAGCTTGGTGGAGGGAATCTCCTGAGGTGATGGGAGCGCAGAAACGCTGGCTACAGTAGCCAAAGCGGCAGAGAAGAATGCGGTACGCATGATTAAGGTATAAGTATTATTAAAGTACTAAAAGTCCCAATTGATAGTAGTGTAAAAGCGAAGGACGGCAACCCAAGAACGAATGCGGGTGCTTGGTGTTGTTGTTGGGCGGGCTGTACGAAAGAAGAGGTCCCGATAATGTAGGACTACCGGTCATCCTTATACCTGGGACCTGCATCTTAGGCCCTACCGCCGGATTGCCTGCAGCGCGCGCCTCGTACTGCAGATCAATGGCAGTCCGCGCGACGAGCCGTCTCACCAGCGACACCTGATCATCCGCCATGGAAATACGAAGCGCGCATGTACCGTGGGTGTCAATCCGGCCTAGGCCTGCAACGTTGTATTGGAAAGTAAGTAAGCGTGCGCAGAGGGAACAAATGATAAGTGGAAAGCTAAACTGCTTTTGTGCTGTGGCTCATCAAAGGGAGCCGAGCTTCCACGTCAGGCCTACCTCGGTCTTGCTGGTCTACACACGAGGGTAATGCTGTTTGCCATGGCTCTTGGGTCTGCTTACTAGTACGAGGCGAACCCGAGTCGAGCGAAATTGCCAAAGGGCTGAGCCGAACTACTGTGGAGCTTGTCTTTTTCCTTGGGCTTCCCACGCTGCGTTCACGCGGCGGACCTGCTGGCTGCCGGCTGCCGGAATGCAGGGTCGCCTTGATTGGAGGACGCATCGTGTTTTTTTCTTCGCTTCCCAAAAGTTCCTCGCATCCAAATATAGTACCTCAGGAACGCCTGCGGTACCTAGCAATCTTCCGGTCGTGACGGCGCTGCCAACGTGCCAATACTGTCATGCAGTCGGTCACATCGCGTGTGGGCGTGTCATCAATCTGGATACGGCATCGTCATCTTCGCGCGATGACTGTATTAGCATTCCCCTATGTAGGTTAAGCCCACACCGTTTTCTCCAGCCGTGCCATGGTGGGAAATGGCTGAAGTTACGCTGCAGGAGAGAAGACTGGTGGTGCTGGGAGGATGAAAGGGGGATCGACAGCATGCATCTTCTTCCTTCGCTAAATTCGCACCCTCCATCTGCATCGTCACAATCGCTCCACACACGTACGGGAATAACCTCGCACGAACAATGTCCGTTATCACCACCTTATCATGCAATGCCACCAGCGCAATCTCCTGGCGCACAGGCTATCAGCCCGCTATTTTGAGGCGCAAACTCCACTCTCACTTTGGAAGCTTCAATTTCTCTTTGTACGAGGTTAATTCTACAGTACGAAGCAGGATTCGTGATGATGTTGCGAGGGCAGAGTGGCATACGGCCTACCCCGCCAACGACTCGGCGCTAGTCGTCTCCGACACGAGAAAACCAATAACACTACTGTTGGAAGGCTGAAGAAGGCTGACCTTAGCACCATGGAGCTTGACAAAAACCATCCCGTACATTCTTTTTTTGGATAGCCGAGACTGAACCTGCGTGCGCTATGCTTCTACACCGCCAACTTTGTTGGCAACTGTTGCATACATACACTTACACTGGATCAACGTCCAAACGGGCATGTGCCACATGAGAAAAACTCAATCTATGTGTAGAACGCATGTTCGAGCTACTAATAGGGCTTGTCTCAGCCTCATGGCTACCTTTTTGGTTGCACTCAACTATGAAGGCCTACCAGCGCAGCATCGTCAATGAGGAAAGTCACACCAGTTAGAGATACCGGTCCACGGGTATTGCTCGCGATGCGTGCACGTGGCGGATCGAGCATATGATGCTTTTGTGCCATCATTGACCTCTTGCGCACGCTACGCATTCCAAGTGTCTGCAGTCGACTCAGATTGCGTTTTGGAAGCCGAGTATAGTACATGTTCCTTACACCTTCAGCACTTTCCTTTGCCGTTGCGCGATGGTCAACGGTTTCTCGGACTAGGTTTGGGAAGCCGAGGGCGGTACATGCTTCTTACATCTCTGACACGGGCGCTTCTTTCTTTTTCTTCCCGTTGCCACGCTCTGATCTGCAGTTTTGGTTGGCGCAGTGATGCAGAGTTGCTGAAGCCGAGTATATAGAGTGGTAAATGCTTCTTGCCATCCGGCATGGACTTGTTACTGCCGCGCTCTGATCAGCAGTTTCGATATGCGACAGCACTGTCCTGAAACAAAGCGGTCATAGACTAAGCGGCGCGTGCGCGTTGCTTTCGCAGACGTTCCTCTTACTGCATCTTACAGTTGTCAGATTTCGCACATCTGTCTAAATGGGTGATTGCACGACAAATCACGTGTCTCGAGTTTTATAACTTGGCGAACCTGGACACGGGCGATCCGAACTAGAAAGCCATACGATGTACTCGAAGCTGCAAGAAGAGCCCATAAATAGTCACATCGTAATGAGCATCAGCCATGACACCCCGACGATGCAAACTCACTCAAGAGATCTTGGTCGAGTTGGTATTGGACGCGGAAGCCCTGCTTTCCATCGCATCTAGATTCGTCCCTGAGATCGTGCAAAGTATATCCATCGAAAAAAAGGAAAAGCACGGATGCAACAAGAACGTGCACATTCGATTCTGATTGCTGCAATGATCAGTGAAGTATTGCTGTGCTTCCGGCAACACATCAGTCTTTTTCAGCTTTACAACGAGCATCTACAGAGCTATGATCGCATCGAATTGGACGGGTGCTTCAGCAGCATAATCATCAAGCACGTATCTAATCAACCGTTGCAGTTTGTCCCAACTCAAGTCGTACGGCGTGTAACCCGCACCCAAAAATCTTCCATAACCCATATCCCCCCACTGCTTATCCGCGCCGCATTCTGCGGATGCACGGTAGAGAAATCAAACTTCCTTAACAGCTCGACAAATACCTTGTTAAATTCCATCAAAGCTACATTTTGACCCAAGCACTTGTACTTGCCGTAGTGGAAGACAAGGTCTACCGTACTGGTCATGTGCGCAAGACGTGCAGGATCATCCGAGGCATCGAGCCAGCGCTCTGGTCTGAAGAGCTCAGCGTCCGGGCCAAATGTGACTGTCGAGTGCTGGATAGAGAGATGTGAAGACCCAATCTGGGTTCCTGCGGGAATGAATTTGCCGGCGAGGATGTCGCCACCTCGAGGGACAGCTTTGAAGTTTGCGCCGGTGGCCGGAGGCAGGATGCGTAAGCCCTCTTTGATACAAGCTTGCAAGTACGGTAGTCGTCTTGCTTCAGCATCTGTGATGGGCGACGAAATTGTTCCATTAGCAATGCCGTTATCGATCTCAGCTTGCAGTTTTCTGTATGCGGGCGCGTTGGCCAATATATGGAGCATTACGGCGCGGATGGTGGATGCTGAGGTGTCGCTTCCAGCGACAATCTGGAGAAGCGCTTCGCTCGATGCTTCCTCCGGCGTAAGACCATGACGAATGAACGACCCCAGCATGTCGAATTGCGGCTTCGCCTCAGGCGCAAACCTCTCCGCGACCACATTCTTTGCAACGTTGATGAACGCCCCGAAGCCAAGCTTATCACTCTCCTTCGGAAGGAGTCCTCTCATTAGGCGCGAATGCAAAAGATCAGCCAGCCAAGGTACACTCCCAAGAGCCACCATGAAGGGAATATACGCGGTGGTGATCTTGATGTAATCGTGAAGATCCTCGTCCTGCGTCAGGTACCCGAATGGTTTCCCAAACGCCAATGCGCTGATGACGTCTAGGGTAAAGTATTGTACCTTGAGCGCGAAATCCATAGGCCGGTATTCAGTACTAGTGGAAACATACTTCTCATCAATGAGGCCGATAAAAGCAGCAATCTGCTTATCAACAGTGTCTTCCATGGATTCATTCTCTTTCCCCGAGTACCCCGCCGCCATCTTAGCCCTCAGCTTCATATGCGCAGCCTCATCGCGCATCGAAAACAAATTGTCTCGTCCAGGCTCCAACTTCATTGCATTGTACCATGGCCCTCGCGTGTATTCTGATCGCACTGCCGTTGTTCTGCGCACAATGTCTGTATCGTATGTCACCAGTTCGGTTGGGCTGACGCGTACCAACGGGCCATATTTATCTGTCAATTCTTTCGTCGCATAGGCTAATCGGCCGTTGAGCGACTGCTTTATCATCCAAAGACTGGAAATCGATGCGAAAAAGGGCCCGGGAACGTGCGACAGACGGTACCATTGTAAGGCAACGCGTGCGAGGTACGTCAGGAGTAGTGCGGTTGGGAGGCCAATCGTGAGGAGGGTGGTGTAGCCGCTGCGGGCGGGGCTTGGTCCGCCGGCGCCGTTATCAACGCTGCGCTCCATCGTGTTGTGGAATGTTTGAAGGAGATGAAGGATTGCGCAATGCGCACTTCCCTGTGGGACACCTCATGCTGCTTATGTGGAGTGGAATGCTGGGCGTAATCATATTGCGTTGTGCGTTATCAATCTGCAGGCGTTTCCAGCTTGAGCAAGGGCGAGGTTTTACTTCAGGCGCCCAGTATAACTACAGAACAGTCGCAGCATCTTGTATGACGAAGTATGGATAGACCTAGCGATAAACAGACCGTTAATGGCTTTACACTCATCTAGGGTTGTACATGGAAACACGCACACGCGTTTCCCAAAGTACAGTCAAGATGATGGGTTGAGATGGTGACTATGTTGACGTACACGGTGTCTACTCATGGCAATACCCCGCGCAGTAGCAATCTCTATCCCCTGTTCCACGGGTCGTAGTTCCGTCTTCATACATGCAATGTAGCCGGTGGGTCGAACACGTTGCTAATTCGAATGCTATGGGGACATCTAATGTCCTGAGATCTAAAGAGAGTACATTTATGACGGAGAATCGATATGCAAAGGAGCCGCCGTTCTTCATCGTCAGCCATACTAGTACAGTATTTCTGAGTATGACAGGACATCGAAGTCTCACGCCGCATTGATCTAGAGGAGGTGATTACGTCGAACTTATCACTTGAGACGCGCATCAGCTCCGGCTGGCAGTTCTTGAGCTTCAGGAGCTGTGTACATCTCCTGCATTCCAGGATGCATTTCATTCTGTTGTTTCTCGGGCTCTCCATACTCTGGTGGCATCGGTGAGCCACATGGATGCTGTCCTGGTGGGTGAAGGAAGTCACTTGGAACAACCTTCTCGTCGCGTTTGCATCGACGCCACAGGAAGATTCCAACAACTACGATGGTCAGTCTGACTATGAAGGCGGACTGCTTGCTCAAGCTCGGGACCAGTATCATGCGAACTTAAACCCTGTCCAGGTAAAGACTTACGTCGACGGGAACGACGCAACGTGGCAGGACAGCTACACTAAGTTGTTAGCATGGGACCAGACTCAGTACAAGCGCGTCATTTCCCTACACTCTGATGTGATACTGTTAGATGTACGTATCCTCCAATTCCGAAAGCTCGACGGTGATCGTTGGTGAAAATGTATCTTGTTGATATTCAGCAGCACATGGACAAGCTCTTTCTCCTTCCTGCAGCTCCAGTTGCAATGCCTCGCGCCTACTGGCTGGATCAGTTTTTCTTATCGTCCCAGCTTGTAGTTATCCAGCCATCGAAAGATAGCTGGCAGCGGGTGCAAAGCGCAATGGAGCACCACGAAAGCCATGACTACGATATGGACATCCTGAACAAGGTGTTCGGCACATCGGCCCTAGTGATACCACATCGCAAATATGATCTTTTGACTGGCGAGTTTCGAAATAAAGCCGATGATCATGATGCGTACCTCGGTTCGCCGACGGAAAGTTGGAATGCAAGAGATGCGTTGGCGGAAGCCAAGTTTGTACACTTCTGACTGGCCACTACAGAAGCCATGGCTGAACGCGACAGAAAAGCGGATTGCAGAGCAACAACCTCCATGCAAAATAGAGTCGGAAGAAGGGTTGGATTGTGCGGACTGTGATGTGTGGTTGGAGCTTCGCAAAGACTTCTCCGAGAGGCGCCTGGTATGTGATAGCTCTTCTTCCCCAGCGCACAGTAGATTGACAGCTCACAGCGTGTTTGTGGACATCCTTACGACAACATATAACTATGCTTGAGACACGTGCGGTATTACGCGCTTTTCGATCGCCTGCCGACATAGCAATTAATGTTCTTCACTGTATTGCGCAGAGAGTATCGTATGTTCGGTCGCACCAACCCCCTTCGTGGTCGTGCTGAGAATTTGAGCCAATTGTCACGCTGGCAATCAGGGCTCCCTCGTAATGCGATATTTGGCCTTCATCGATCGAGAAGTATATGCTGGATCAATTCCCTACCTTGTGAAGAGTTAAGCATGACCTTACGAGGTGACGAGGAGATGAATGGAGGAAAGTTGTGGGCTAAGCGTGTGTTGTAAGGAGCCAAGTGCGTCGCGTACCTGGAAGCCGCAATCACGGCTAACAACTTGACGTCATGAACAACCGATGGACAAGAATGCATCGCAACGTTATGCCTTTTTCCTTTCCAGTCCAGGTGCCTCCAGATATCGTAATAATGTTGGAGTGATAGGAACATATTCATTTCTCCCGACATGTTCGTTGCTATGACATTGAGTATGATTTCTACCTATGTACTTTACTTCCACACCTACGTCTACACAACGCTAATCCGGAATACACCTTCACATCGGGCATGATGCAGTACGCGCTACAGCACAAAAAAGTGCTCAATCGTCCTAACGAGTAGAAACTAGAGATTGGACAAAAGCATCTTGGCGCATCCACCATGAAACTGCTCTTGAGATTGTCCTCAAGCACGAGTTGCCACATATGACACCAAAGACACGAACTGCTTGCTTGCGTGGCGTCGTCTACGGTATGAACATGCTTTCAAGTAACTGAGTGGAGGGAAACCCGACTGATCTTATTGCGCACGCAGAATGCAGTGGATCAGCAGAACTGCGGGGAAAGAAACATGGAGCCTTCGAAGCAACTAACCATAGCTCGCGGTCAAATTGGTAAGCTATTTTCGGCATCATCGAGCGCATGCGGCATATGCCGATGGTGATACTTAAGAAGTGCTGCAATGCTACGAAAGTCTGTCATAGCAAATTAATGCTTTTTGAGAGCAAATTTCCAGCAACGCAAATTACTACGGAAAACATGTCGCACCTTCAATACTACGCATACCCCGGCAAGGGCGAATCGGCGAAGAAGAACTTCAAGTACAGCCAAGCCGTGCGTGTCGGTGATCGCATTGAGTGTGCAGGCCAAGGTAACCCATAACCCCATCTCCCATGATGGTCACATACTGATAACTGTGATCTCAGGTGGATGGGATCCCCAGACCAAAATCATACCCGAAGACATCAACGCACAGATCGACCAAGCTTTCGAGAACGTAGAGCTCGCTCTGAAGAATGCCGGTGGAAAGGGATGGTCGCAAGTGTTTCGTGTAAACTCTTACCACATTCCCATGGATGATGAGGCATTGGGAGCTATGGTGCGAAACTTCAAGAAATGGGTGCCTGATCATGAGCCTGTCTGGACGTGTGTTGGTGTGGTCAAACTGGGCGAGGATGCTATGAGGGTGGAGATTGAGGTATCAGCGCATGATCCTAAATAAGAGGATAATACTCGAAGGTTCCATGCGTGCACATCAGACGAGACCTTCTATGTCTACGATGAGTGATTCTACTGGATGGCGTCTGTTACCCGTGTTGTAACAGGAGTTGTGTGTCCTTGAATTATAAGCATGAGCTTGTTACAATGGAACCAATTCAGAATTCGATAGGTGCGACGCGATGTGGCGTGGTGACATGTAATATTGAGGCTCTAGGTACGAGAGCACGTGAAAAGGTGACCAAACTCGCCAAGGCCATCGGCGCAATTATCGCCGACCGTATTCTTCCAGTTCTAAGCTCTTGCGACGCGCCCAATGCTGCACGCGCAACTTCGCTACCGACTGCCTCATTACGAACAGCCCATCTCCACGCCTAGACGAACAATCTATACATAATGCCGAAGTTCTTCTGCGACTACTGTGATGTCTACCTCACCCACGACAGTATGAGCGTGCGGAAGGCCCATAACAATGGCCGCAACCACCTCCGCAACGTCCAGGCCTACTACGAGCAGATATCGAGCGACCAGACACAGCAAGTCATCAACAGTATCACCGACGCCTACAACACAGAAGGACAAGCGAACCCGCTGTTTCAGCAGAACCTGGCTGGAGGCTTCCCTGGAGGGCCAATGGCTGGAATGCCCCCGATGGGAATGCCACCCATGGGTATGCCTGGATTCCCACCGCCAGGTAGGCTACACCGAGAGTCGCAAGAAACGAAAAAATGCTAATGACTACAGGAATGCCTCCTATGGGTGGAATGCCACCACAATTCATGGGCCGTGGAGGTCGTAAGTTGCCTCACAGTTACCACCTACCAGTCCCATACTGACAGTACAACAGCTCCAATGCCACCCACCGGAATGCCACCGTTCCCTCCTCAAGGTATGCCTCCGGGCCCTGGCGGAATGCCTCCTAATATGCCACCGTTCCCACCACCACATATGGGCGGCGGCCCACCTCAAGGGATGCCACCGTTTCCCTTCCCACCACCAGGGAATGCAGCCTCACCTCCTGGAGGTATGCCCTACCCACCACCGGGAGGTATGGGCATGCCGCCTGGTGGACCCCCAGGCAGATATCCTCCTGGACCGCCGGGACGTTAGGACCGACCTGATGCGCATAGAGGAGTGATACCCGCGTTCGGTTACGACAACTACGGACCTGCTACTAGTGGCTTGGGGATGAAGAGGAAGAGTGAGGGCGATGAAGATATACCCGGAGTTTCTATGAGAGGTGGTGGACGAGAAGTGCATGGAGCAGCCACGGGTGCGAATGCAGTGGTTCCTACATGGATAAAGAGGGCATAACGCAGCGTACTGGATACTCTTGGGCAGAAAGATGCGAGAGCAGCTGATGCAGCTGCGAAGGCATCATAGCTACTTTTCGGCAACAAGTACGTCTCATCCACAGGCTGTCGCGATACTGCAAGCTCACGTCATGTAGTAATACTTGTCGAACAATCTATTCATAATCGTACGAAATGTACAGAAGAGAAAAGTTATCAACCGACCGTGCATAATCAGTTCTCGCAATTGCCGAACACGCTCTCACTTTCTAAACAGACCCCTAGCATATGTCTCCACGTCCATCATCTCCATGCTCAGCGCCTTGTTCACTGTCCTGTTCACGTCCCACCACACACCATCCCTCGCAAACACCAGTCTGTACTTCTTGATGCCGTCATCTGGCGCTGCCTCAAGCTCGCTCTTCAAATGCTCCATACTCCACACCTCCTGCCTAACACCTTTCCCACTCACCCTCTTAACAATATCAACCAACCGCCCATAACTTACAGTATCCCCTGCAACATACAATACACGATCCTCCGCCTCAACATCCCCCGCTACAATCCTAGCCACTACCCTCCCAATATCATCCACATCCGTCACAGTGATTTTGTGCTCCCAATCTCTCAAACACCTCACCACCACCTCTCCCTCCCCCGCCCTCTCTTTGCTTCTATCCACAACTCCCCAGAAGTGCTCGAAGAGGAAAGACATGAAGATCCCCGTACTGACAACCGTCCATTGCACGTTATTTTCCTCGGCTTTTCCACGTAATAAGTTTCGAACATCGCGCTGTGCACCGAACAAAGGCATTAAACCTTCCCCATCACCTGTGATGTCGTAATCGACACCCCACTGCCAGGGGAAGAACCACAACTTCCCTTTCCCTTGTTCCTGCCTAATCTTACCGGCTAGCAGGGCTTCATTGGCGAGTTTGAGGATACTGCTGGGGGAGGCGCCGAAGCCGGTGCAGGAGATTAGGATGTCGTAGGCTGAGAAAGTTTGCGCGAGGGAGGGAGAGGGAGAGGAGAGGTCGATGGCTAGGAGGGAGATATTGGGAGAGGAAGAGGAAAGATGGGTGTATTTGGATGGTGAGCGGATGCCGAGGGTTATGTGGGTGTTGGGGAGAGCGGAGAGGTGGGGGAGGAAAGCTGTGCCTAGTTCGCCGGCACCGAGGAGGAGGATGGATGTTTGGGAGGGGTCATTTTGAGTTGGAAGTTCTAGAGTGTGGTATGCAAAAGCTTTGGAATGGAGTTTGGAATGTTGGTGATGGGAAAGCTATGTATGGCTTGCTCTAGGTGGGATCAGACTGTATATACATCCACATGTGTAAGCTTGAAGGATCATGTTAGACGAAAGGAGAAATGTAGCGATTGGTTGTTATATGTCAGTGATGTTGTTCTGTGGATTTGTATATGTTTCTACATGGTGGGGAAGGGAGCGGAGATAAGACTTGGTAGAACGGAGTTAGTCGGTCTTGCTGGAGGAGAGACTGGCGAGTGCAAAACTAGGGAAACGTTAAGAGGGATGAGTAGGGATGTTTTGCTCTGCCTCGGTCAGGTATTGTTACAAGACGAAGATTAGAAAGATGAGCGATATGAGGTTAATATTGCCCACTAGTTGCGCTTTCTCATGTCAACAGGTAGCTAGGGTACCAGTCATTTTGAGTAGTAATGGAAAGATCACGAGCTCGGTTTGACGTTATTAACTTCCAAAGCCCTATAGTGATATATCACCTGGATTTGTATAAACTCATGTTTATTGGTGAGGTCAAAAGTCAGGTCCATCGTAAGGCTGGCCAAAATTGACGCTAGCCCCAAATGGCGCTAGTGGTTCGCCTATCTGAATTTTGAAGTCTTGCTGTGCGTCTCCTCGACGAACAACTTCAGGACTGTCCATTAACACCCGAGTGCGCCTACGTCCATCCTCACCACCACAATCATGGCCGAGCAACTCGTACTCCGTGGTACCCTCGAGGGCCACTCTGGCTGGGTCACCTCCCTTGCTACCTCTCTGGAGAAGTGCGTATACGCGGGAAGAGGGAAATATGCAGAATGCGCAATACTGACATGCGATTAGCCCCAACATGCTCCTCTCCGGATCGCGCGACAAGACTCTCATCATCTGGAACCTGACCCGCGACGAGACCTCGTACGGTTACCCCAAGAGGAGCCTCCACGGCCACTCCCACATCGTCTCCGACTGTGTACGTTCACTCTATAAAATGAAGCAATTGGCTAGCTAGGAAGCGGGGACAGCTGAGCTGACAATTGCTGCACAGGTCATCTCCTCTGACGGCGCCTACGCTCTTTCCTCATCGTGGGACAAGACCCTCCGCCTCTGGGAGCTTTCCACCGGTGTCACCACCCGCCGCTTTGTCGGCCACACCAACGACGTTCTCTCCGTCTCTTTCTCCGCCGACAACCGCCAGATCGTCTCCGGATCGCGCGACCGAACCATCAAGCTCTGGAACACCCTTGGTGACTGCAAGTACACCATCACCGACAAGGGCCACACCGAGTGGGTCTCGTGCGTGCGCTTCTCCCCCAACCCCCAGAACCCCGTCATCGTCTCCGCTGGTTGGGATAAGCTCGTCAAGGTGCGTACATTCAATCCTCCAGCAGTTCCACGATTCCCTTGTTTATATGATGATTTTCTATGTATTTGCTACTTCAGAGCTTCGGCTATGAGACAATTATCACCTAGTACTGATTTACACTTGTCCACTCGATCTATTCAAGACTACTGTAAATTCGAGAAGCTGACATTATCCAGGTCTGGGAACTTGCTTCCTGCCGCATCCAGACCGACCACATCGGTCACACCGGCTACATCAACACCGTCACTATCTCGCCCGATGGCTCCCTGTGCGCCTCCGGTGGTAAGGACGGAACCACCATGCTGTGGGACCTGAACGAGTCCAAGCACCTCTACTCTCTGTCCGCCGGTGACGAGATCCACGCCCTTGTCTTCTCGCCCAACCGCTACTGGCTGTGCGCTGCCACTGCCTCCAGCATCATCATCTTCGACCTCGAGAAGAAGAGCAAGGTTGACGAGCTGAAGCCCGAGTACTTGGAGGTTGGCAAGAAGAGCCGGGAGCCCGAGTGTGTCTCCTTGGCCTGGAGCGCCGACGGCCAGACCCTGTTCGCTGGATACACTGACAACAAGATCCGCTGCTGGGGTGTCATGGCGAGGGGATAAGGTAGTGCATGTTGGGTAGTGCAATGGGGCGTAACGGGAAAATCACGATTCCACATCTTCTGTAGCATGCCATGGGTTATGATTGATGCTCATGCGGGATGGGTTTGGGACTCTTCCGGCATTACCACGTCCAGGCGCTTAGAGTCAATGAAAATTCTCAAGTCCAATGCTGGATGTTTGCCGTGCGTGGTGGTTCATGTTTTCTTTATGTCGACTAGGGAAAAGTTCTCAGGTTAGTCTTTGGAAGTGTTGCTTGCGATACGTGCTGTGTACAGTTCATCGCTCGTGTACGGCATGTAGGTAATCGTTAGGCCAAAAGGCTTGAAGTTTGATTCCAACCACTCCAAAAGACTTTTGAATGATTATCCCATCTACAGTTTACTAAACTTGGGTGTCGTCTTCTTCAACCCACTCATCATAGCATCCTTGACATCCTGTGTCTGCAACATCGCCGCATTCCACACAGCCGTGTAGTTCAACCCCTCACTAATCGGCCTATCCCTTGAGTAATTGATAATCTCCTTTGTCCCCAACACCGCCACGGGTGACTTGCTCGCAATCAGTGTCGCCAATTTCGTTGCCTGCGCAACCGCTTCTGCCTTATTTTTGTACACTGACGACACAAGGCCGTGCTGCAGCGCTTCATCCGACCCGAAGATACGTGCGGAGAGCGCGATGTCTTTCACCCAGGACAAGTTTCCGACGGAGTGAGGGAGACGCGACAAAGTGCCAATGTCTGCGGCGAGACCGATGTCGACTTCCTTTACAGAGAACTTAGTAGTAGTGGTTGAGATACGGATGTCGCATGCTAGACTCATATCCAGCGCTAGGCCGAAGGATACGCCGTGGAGAACGGCGATAACAGGCTTCTCGCATTTCTCAATGTCGGTGATGCAGGATTGGAATTCTAGGATGTGTCGGCGGAGGGCGTTGGCCTTACGGGCGGAATCCTGGTCGGGGCCGGATGAAGACAAGGCACCGCCTTCTGAGGCGGCTTGCACGTCTAGGCCCGCTGTGAAGGCGCGGTCGCCGGCGCCGGTCAGGATGACGGCGCGGACGGAGGGGTCGTGGGAGAGTTGGCGGAAGATGGCGGAGAGGTTTAGCCACATGCTGGATGATGGTTAGTTGTGCGCATGTTAGGTTTGGTTCGTGGTATGCTGGAGAGGTTGAGGCTGAGATGAATATCCTTGGTAGAAAAGGTAGACCACAGATCCCCCCAGCGATATTGCAATACCAGTGTATGTCCTTCTCTTCTGTACCATCATGTGACAGTAGCCTTAGATCCCCGAAACCATGCATCACGGAGAACGGACGAAAGTGTTCTATACTCACATCTCCTTGAAAGCATTCAGCTTCTCCGGTCGATTAATTTCGACATGCGCAACATATTCCACTGGAAACGAAACGTTGAAGAACTCTTTCTGGTATGCTTCCGCCATTGTGATGTTTAGTCGCGTTGCTCTTATCCGATGCCTGACGTGTTTCCTTGCTCTTCCTCTTCTACTATGAAGCTAGTTTGCACGTGTTAAAAAATGGGGATATGGGTGGTTATTGCTGTGAGAAGCTTGAGATTGGAGTATGGATTGAGAGTAAAATGTCGCTGTCGGCTGTGATGACCTAGGCGGGCGAGTCGTTCGGTTGGGGGGCTTGTGATGGGTGATCGAGCCGAGGTAGAACGAATGCGGTTAGTTGATTACTCGACGCGATCTCAGGCGGGTCAACCTCTAACGGCTGACACGCGGAGACACTGGGCATGCGAATGTCACCTCAAGCAACCAGCAGTATCGAAACCTCAGCTTGCCCAAAATATAACACGCTTGATGTGCTGTCGTTGAGGACGTACGCAAACTAGCATGGCTTACCGACACCACGATGCTGAGCGCAACTCTTTTATTTCACAGAGGATCAACATGCCATTCAGTTGGGCAACTGACGCCTGGGAAGGCTCAAATTGTCGCACACCAGCTTGTGTATAGCTCTTGGTATAGTTTCTCTGTTCAAGGCTGCATGACATGAACGATGACAAGGCTGTGGCGGTCTAGTCATCTGACAGCCTTCAGCCTGATGCGCGCTTTTCCGTCACGTAGTACTCTCCCCCTCCTCCTTGAAAGTCACAGGCTCATAAACCGTCGAAATACTCCATCTTTTCCAAATGAAGTCGATATATCAGTTCCCTCAACGTAGTCGGGGTCATTATGTCGTTCAACGACCTCTGGATTTGCTATGATTGTGGTGCGGATAACCCATCCTGGCTGACCCATTGTCCGGAGTGTGGGGCTGACAAAGATGGCTTTGATAAAGGAGTTGGACGCATCTTTACGCCACCTATACCGGAATAGACACAAAGACCTTCGTCAAGGGCAGGTCACACCCAAGACATATCGTCAGATGCCATCACCGTATCTGAGTCCACAATGGAAAAGAACCAAATAACCCGCTCGGCTCCAATCAGAAACGATGATATTGAATACTCTGACCGCCCAAATTCAACAAAAGCGGATACGACAGGAATTGTCCCCAATGTGGGACTATTCGTGCCGGCAGCTAGAAAAGTCCTGCCTGATCCCTTGGATGCAGTCTTAAAGAAGCTTCATCTTGACAGAAGTGCTCTCACTGTAGAGGCATGTGAGTCGCTGTGCATGTCTGCGCCCCAGATACTCGGTACAAATTACCAACCGAGATTGGAAGACCAAGACGATCGCGCATCTGTTGTGTCCACATCATCGGACTACCAGGACTCCGTATTTTCCGTAGAATCCTCGGAGACCTCGGCCACGGCATTTTCTAGGAATAGCGGATTTTCGGTTGAGCAGACCCAAAGTGCTACACGAGTCTTTGTCTCTATCTTACAAGAGGATGACGTGTTGAAGCCTCTGTATGAGTTTGCTCGCAACAACACCAGAATTAGACCTGAGAGGCTGCGAAGACACATCCGTGCAGTTGTCAAGGCATATGCGGAAAATCTCAAAGAAGAAGCTAACGACCATCTCGGGTTTTCGGCTTCCCGTCTCGTTCACACAAGGGCGCGTTACGCTGCTCAATGTATAGCAAGCGAAGAGGACATATACAGGCATTCACAGAATTTGGTCAATGACCGCACCCGGACTTCCAAAGATGCCGAAGATAGCTCCGAAGAAGAGACAGCGGAACGAACAGTTGACGAAACGGATTTCGGGGATTTAAAATCTTTCCGTATGTTCTTGACAGGGAGTAATGCTTTTGTGGCACTGCGAGAGCAAACACATGCTTTTTACACAACGAACTCGAAGACGCCACAGTATAGGCCTACCATCGGGAGTCTGAAGTTGGCACCAGATGTGACAAGCGATTCACAAATTCCACAATCCATACAACACCCACACAAAGAGATACACCCAAGCGAGAAATATCGCAAGAACAACAAACTGAAGCCGCCGATTGCCACTAGAAGCAACATAAAATATACATGATGTGCATAGCAAGGAGATATACAGAACCTGGCAGGTAGTTTACTCTCAGGCTTTGACTGGGACATTCATAGAGAACTCTGCTCTATTCCTCCTGCTAGATGTTATCTTCTTGTTGACAGATGATTTTCTTATTGCCACAGTATACTTAGAACCGCCACTGGAGGTAGGCTGCACTCGGATAAGAAATGAATGTGTAGGTAGCTATATATGTCTTCGCAAATTGAGCCTCGCTGACCTTGACCATAGAGCTGTGGCGATCAGTTCTTCGACGACTTCAAGGAGCAAAGGATCGGTGGCGTGGCGACATTGGTACAAGAGATGAAACAATCCTCAATCGACGCCAAAATCACAGTTATTCCATATCGCATGGGCGCCACGATGCAAAGATATACTGCTAGTGTTTCAACATGGTTGCATCACGTCAGTAGCAGTTTATTCGCAGCATTGCGATGGTGCGACCGAAGCCCTGCAGGCATAATTCAATACAACGTCAGCGGCCAAGCTACTACAACAGGTGTCACGAACGCAAGTAACCCGCAGCACCACCAAGACCCAGTCCATCTTATGGCTTGCGTACATCGCGGTCACAATGACCGAGTGCTCCTCCAAGTCGATGCTCATGCCATCAGGAATGATCAAGCACTCTTCAGCCTTCTAAGAACCCAGATAACCCAACGCCGTAATCGTTTACTTCGTGCTGTATGCTGTCGTTCCATACAAGAAATCTTATTCAGCAAGGTCAGTGGACCGATAGTGATCGACTATACCAGGCGAAAGCTGACCTGATCTTAGTTCTCTCTCCGCAGCGGTGGCGGCGTTGATATTCGCGACCATAATGAGTCTTGTCTTCCTATAGTATCGAAAACGCGCTACTGCGACTGCTTGCCTCCAGAATATATAGTCGAGCCATTTCAAAATGCGGAGTACCGCTGCACTATTCCTCACCCTCCAGGTACTTGGCCGCCCATAGGGTCAAAAACACTCGTTCACATGCTCAAATGTCCCCGAACTATCAGCGACAAGAATACTTGGGTCTTGTACCGGGTGCCTAAACGTGTCACGGGAAAACTGTCAGGTGAGAGTGACCAGCCAGCTGACGGATGGGGCTTCTACTTCAAAGAAGGCTGGGATTTCGACGTGATTATTACGCTTAGTTTTGTCATGTTCATCTTAGGGATTCTGCTATTCGGAATATGTTGGTCTGTGTTGGAGAAAGACATTCAGGGTGCATTCGGTGTGAGTGCGTATATAGTAACCGCCTGTGGTTTGTTTGTTGCTTTTGTTGTGGGCAAGACAGGGAAAGTGGGCTAGAAGATCGGTGCTAATATTTGCAGAAACTCTGGGAAAAATAGAAAGACTGGCTTATAACTCAACCCCATTCATCCTTTCAACTCGAGCTAAACATTTACTACATGTTATCAAAATCCAAGCCCCAGTCATCATCTCCTCCTCCGCCATCCATGTCCATATACATATTCATGCCCATGTTATCCATATCACCGAGATTCAAGTCAGATGAATAACGCAGATCTGAGCTCCAATCGCCCGCCCCTGGATTACCATTACCAGCATATGGCATTTTGTCGCCTCCTGAACCATGTCCAGGACTGGTGTGCTGACCGCCATTGTTCGGGTTGTTGCTTGCAGGTGCCACCGTGGTACCCTGGTCTTGGCTGCGCATAGGTTCCATTTGCCGGTTTGCTATCTCACTGAAGTCAAACTGTTGGTTAGGTTGAAGTTGACCCATGTTCATCTGCTGGCCCTGCAAAGGCTGTGTGCTCTCGTATCGTCTCTTGGGGGGTGGAGTTGGTATTGGCGGTGGCCCTAGATCATCACCTCGTTCCCTTCGAGCGTCCGCCTCTCTTGCTGCCTGCTCCAGGGAAAGCTTGCCGGTTTCGACGAGACGTAGATATTGATTCTTGATCATAGTGTGCGTCTTAGTGCCCATGTGGTTTTCGATTGCTATCCAGTCTGTGCCAAAATATGCAATATTTCGGTCAAAGTCTTGTAACTCCGATACGGACCAATAAGTAGACGGACCAGGTCTCGCGCCGGGCTGGTCGGATGGGGGTTGCGGAGGTGCAACTGTAGGACCCAAGTCGATGTTGGGTTCAGGGGACCCATCTATCGTGCGCCGCAACTTTGCGGGTATGAGTAGAGTACTTGACTGGTTATGGTGTTTTCGCGTGTGTGCATTGAGTGAGCTTCTCTTTACAAAACCGATGCGGCTATACTAACAGGATACTGTCTGACAATTCACGCGTTGGACATGGACAGCTTCATGCTCGAGTCGAGATTCTGCAGTGGCAAATCCCAAAGATAGTCTGTCACAATGTGGAAAGCGGCAACGGAAAGCTGTCGAAGCATAAGACTCTTGGAAAGCCCTGAGTTTCAGGTGTGAGATACCCTCGACTTCGTCTTGCGCTAAAAGAAGCACGATTGCATTCTCGTATGTGTGTGCGAGTCTGCTGAAGAGCGTTCGGTCGTTGTTGATGACATAAGTTTCGATGTCTAGGGAACATTTTATGAGCTCATGGACAGCTTCTTACTGGGATGGCACGTCGAGTTTGGACTTACCTGGATTGCCGTCGCCATGGAATTGGCTAGCCAATTTTCTGAAATTTAGCACATCTGCCATCAGCCCGGAAACCAGCATACTGGAAAACAGCTTCAGTCGTTCATCTATGAGGTTGGCGTTGGGCTCTTCCTGCGCGCCAACTTGAGTTTTGGCACACCCAAGTGCATGCTGACAGTCTTTATGCTTTTCGTGCATTCGATTTAGATGATGCTGCAACGGTCGATCCGGGCCGAGGCTTCCTCCGCCCGAGGCGTATTGCAAGCAGTGTTCGATCCAGAACTCTATCGCATACGGTAAAAGCCTGTAGTTTCCAGTCGCAATTCGGGCCAGGTAGTCAATGGAGCTGCTTTCCAAACGTAAAAGATCGAGACCGCGCGCAATGACAACAGCGCAAGCGGATGATATGTTCAATGCAGCGTCGATTGCTGGGATAGTCTGTGGTGTACGCGACTTGAGGAGATATCTGTCTCGGTGTTAGACACTATAGGCTCAGCTTGTCGCAATACTTACTCTTTTACCGAGAAGTGCACTGGTACTATCGTTGAATCTGGGAGTTGTTCGACGAGTGGCTTGCAGTGGTCCAGTATAGAAGCGACAGGAATATCCTGCACCTGAGAGCTTGTGTTGTGTGGAAGGATCGATAGCGCCTGCAGTAGCTCTGACTTGTGCAAAGGTCTTCGTGCGAAGCATATCCAGCTCATGACACGCGATACGCCTCCGTACTTCTGAGCACCACGAGCGCTGCAGAGACGAGCCAGAATCCGCTCGTACAGGGCTTCCAGATCTGAGGGCAGATCGTCGACGATAGTACGTAGTTCTCCAGAACTATACGCCATATTGAGTGACTCCAGAACGAGGCTTACCCACAGGAACATACCTGTGTGAGTATTAGAGGATGAAATGTCAATTATCAGGTCGGGTAGAGGTTACCGTGAGACTTCTCGAGCAGAGTTTGCTTTACATGACTTAAAATCGACGCATCAGGATCGAGCTCATCGAAATGATCAGGAAGATCAGACAACTTGTTATCGACAAAACTTCCAATTGACCGAGCGATTGCGAGACCTTCGTCGCCATTGCTCAAAGATATTGCTATTGCTGATTTACCCTTCTTGCGCAAAGCCCACGAGATATCCATGGTCTCTCGACTAGCAATCAAGATCTTGCAGATATGGGAGGATTTATCGATCGAAATCATATCCAAAAGATCTTTGAGAAGCTCCTTTTGATCTTGTGAAACCCATTCGTCAACGCCGTCTACAACAAGCCGCACAGAGCTCAACCCTCGAAGCAGTTCAGGAAGAAGACTCAATAATGCCTTCTTCGTGGGTACTGGATAGGATTTGAAGCAGACGTCATGAACGTAAATTGCGAGATCCTGGTGTTTCTGGATCACCTGCGAGATGATGGATCGCAGTAGACGATTTGGGCCATCGGAATGGCTTCCGAGAAAACTGCAGAAGTAATAAAACACATGAAAGCCATTCGTCTCTGCATGTTGCACGAGAGCAGAACATATCATGGATTTCCCTTTGGATAGATAAGTAGATAACTAGTCGCAGTGATAGATGAACATACCCGCCCCCGGTTTTCCGCAAAGCCATAGAAAGGGATTCTTTGTGTTTTCCTCTAGCCATGCCCGGGTTGCTTTGTGTTGTGTAAACCAATCACAGCTACCTGGCAAGTAATTGCGAATGTGCCGCTCGAGCAAGTCGGCTGGGAGAGTATCATTCGTGCCAAGCCAAGCTAGGACTTTCTGAATTTTAGCCTGAAGTTTGCGTGCAGAGTCAGTCCGTATGTCTCATATGCGAAGTGCGCTGGTATATACTGACAGCGTTCCACTCGTGCTCTTGCTGCTCCCACTTCTCGTCGTCGGCTTTGCTACGTCGTACGGCTTCAGCAATGTCCGCCGCGACAGCCTCCTTGTCGGCTAGTTCACTATGGTACGCGAGGCTTTTCAAAATCCCGTCGAACCGAGACTCGAAACCCGCCCACATGGAGCCAAAGAAGATGGCCCAGGCTATAACTGGTGAGAACAACACAACGTTACATTGCTGGAAAACCAACATTTTTTTCGCACAAACTTGTAAGCTCGCCGGTGGAACTCTATAATGTCGGAGTATACCAAAGCTAGCACGTTCTAAAAGTTGTGGTCGTCGACAAGTGCATTGCCGAGACGATCCAGGCGAGGAAGCATGTCCCCGATCTTGCCGTATGCTTCAATGAGCTTTTCGAAAGCACTGATCGAGTCGACCGTGATCTGTTGATCACAGTGAGTTATAAAATATATGCGCGAAGGCATGTGGCTCACCATAAGCATCAGCTTCACTGGTGCCCAGATCCATGAAAGATAAGGTGTCCCATTGCACAGCACCTCGACTACCTTGGAGTAATGCTCCATTCCCCGCAGAAATGGATCAAGTCGAGCCATGTTCCGTTGCATGCGGCGCGCGCGAAGCTGCCGCTCGATCTGCATAACCTCATCCCGGACATTTTTGAGCTCGGTGTTGCGGAATAGTCGCTCATCGTCTGGTGTGACAGTGGAAGCAAACCGCTCAAACGCGCTCTGAAGCGTGAGGCGGGCTTGGGCGGAAGGGGCCGCCATCGGGCCGTGCGGAGAAGTCGCCGAGGCGTACACTAAAAGTGCGCGTGACGAGCCAGGTCGCGTAACGAGCCACCCCACCAAGATCGGACGATCAAAAAGATGAGGTTATTGAGCCACACACAAAAGCTATTATCGTGAGATTTTTTGGTGTATTGATATATAGACGCTACTAAAGCGTTTGCACTACTTGTATCTCGCTGGCGTCTTAATTTGGCGGGTGTGCAGGCCAAATTTGGGTGGGGGAGACGCCTCAGGCGGACCAGCAACCACACCACTTGATAGAGCAACAACACGACGACGCTTTGTCGATTTTTTCGCTAGTTTAGGTGAGGCTTTTCGCTTACGCTTATTTGCTGTATCGCGACTTTTTGAGCGGTTGCAGCTTGTTGTTGCTGCTTTTGAGCTCCGCGCGGCGGCTTTCTCCTCACGCTGCCGTAAATCCTCCGCGTCCTTCTCTATTTTGGCTTGCCGACGAGCCAACTTTGCAGCTTCTTGAGAGCGCTTTTTCTCAGCTGCTTCTGCCGCTTTGATCTCTCTATCGCGAGCTTTTTGGAGTTGTAGTTCCGCGGCTTCGTCCAGTTCTGCGGCCTTGCGCGCGCGCTCGCTGGCAAGCTTCCTGGGACTGTAGAATACAGCTCCGCCGTGCCACTCATCACCTTCTCGTGTAGTCAGTGTTGTAGACTTGATCGGGCGCTTTCGAATGAGGTTGAGTTCAGCGCGTAGCTCCTCGTTTTCGGCGTGGAGAATCGCGTTGTTGACCTGCAGCGAGTGCAGGCCTTGGGATAGCCGTTTGGCTTCAATTTTGGCCTTGTCAGCCACCGCAGCGTCAAAAATTTTGCGCAGCTGAGGCCAGCTATCGCCGTCGCCTTGCTCCCCAATTCCTGGGTCGTCATCTTGTTGTTGTGGGTTGTTGTTGAAGCGTTGAAGTACCCGGCTTGCGTCCATCGGCCATACGCCTGTAGCTTCAAAACTCTTTAATATGAGATCGTGAGTCATTGTAGAGCTCCACGCCGGCCAAAAGTGACGATAGAAGTCCTGTTTGGTGATCTTTGAGAGGCCTTGGGTTCGCTGGAGGTGTTGAGTTAGCTCCTCAGTGTAGTGCTTCGAAAGCGGCCCAAAAAGTACCACATCCAATGGCTGTAAGCTGTGGGTTGAATGGGGAGGATACACCATAACTATAATACGTTTGGCTTCACAAAACTCCAAAATTCGGGCGTAACGTGGCTGCCATGCCCGTCAAGGATGAGAAGGCGCCATTGACGGCGAGCTTTGGCTGCTGTATGACGTTCAAACACCTGTTGAAGCCAGGCAAGACCCAAGTCGTTGTTGGACCATCCCGAAGCTGAGTGGGATATAAATATTTGGTGTTGTTGGGTCTCCAAAAGGTCGTGAACCCAGCTTGATTGAACCCCAGAGGTGCCCTGGTAGATGAGAGCGGGCGGCAATGCATCTCCAGAAGCACATACGCAAGCTATCAGCGTAATCCATTCTCTATTACCATCTCTCATCGCCTGGGTACGCTCTCCCGCCTCCCAAACTGCCTTGGAGAAGATCCTCTTCCTGCGGTTGGCGATACCGACAAAGAAGCCCTTCTCATCCATATTGTACGTATTGCGCTCGTCAATCCTGTATTCCACCATCTTGGAGTGCAGCAAGTTGAAGTACAACTCGTACTTATACTTGCTGTCAGCCACGTGACGCTCACGATCGATACCGGTGTCCCATTTGGTGATGAGCTTGTCGGGATGACGACGGCGAAACCGCTTAACCCAGCTATCGGAGACCTCTTGCTGCGCAACAGCGCTTCCGAAATTCTTCAAAATACCACCTGTAGGCGGTAGACCATCTCTTGTAGCTCTCTCTATGTGACTGACAACCTCCTCCTCTTGTTGTGGGTTGAGTCGTTGTTGATTTGCTATTTTGGCTTCACGGGTGCCCTGCGAACCCTTGTGCCGCCGCGACAGCGTTGTTCGATCAACTCCGAATATTTTTGAAACTTGGCGGTACGAGAAACTATCTCCAGCCTCACGCGATTCGATATATTCAATCGCTTCTTGAATCGGGTCCATGGTTGTGGAGTTATGACGCGTTGAAGATGGGACGACGCGCAATGTTGGGATGGTGGGGTGGCTCGTTACGCGACCTGGCTCGTCACGCGCACTTTTAGTGTAATGAAAGCTGGGGCAGGAGCAGAGGTTGCGACCACGACAAACTGGTCACTTTTCGAACGCAAACTATATAAAGTCGACTCGAGAAACAATTATGTGAATCTGGGCTAGCAGCATACCCAAGGCTAACAACGCGTCTGCATAGCTTCATAGACAGCCATGCTCCGCCCCAGTGGCTTGCCTTGTGATAGCTTGCCGTATCCATGCACCTAGAAATTCGCTAGCTCTCGCGGCTCTCATACGCCGTCTACTATGTCGGTTTGCAAGACACCGCTTCTTGTGTTCTTATACGGTTCACAATATGTTGACATGTCTTCCTGAAATCGTTCTCGATGATCTTGCTGCTCCAGCTTCAAAACGACGGCGACTGGATACACCGCGTACGGGAGGCGTCGCTGTCAAGAGCGCTTGCGATGCATCCCAATGGAATCCCTCAGCGCAAACAACACCAGTACCGTCTACCGGCGCAATCACAGAAGAGATATGCGAGAGCACCTTGGTGTGTTATGGCATGGTTGGTCGCATTGCTTAGCTTCTCTCTAGTCTATGCTCACATCGCTCAGATATCTGATCTGATTGTAAATGTTCATCCCCATCACGTCGCCTCTTCTGTTTCGACCCAACACCCGACTCGCTTCGAACCTCCTCGCGCACTACATTATGGTATCACCGATACGCCAATCGGACGACTAGACGACTATGGGGGCGAGCTGTTACGGAGGCTGGTAGCCGACAACGAGCTCACCTTACAATACGTACTGTCGTCGGCTCCACTCGCTCCCACGACCGAAAGAAAGTTACCCCAGAATGCTTCACAGTTTCTTGGAGTCATGATATATGGCCCCAGACGCCGCTTCAGTGACGTCGGCGATTTCATGACCCAGGCTGGCTGCTACTTGGATGACCCTGTCGGCTGTGACTGGAACGTCCCCTACATGAACCCTCAATGTTTGTTCAGCCTTCACGAACGACCACCAATGACGTTTGAATTGTTACCGTTGCAGCAACCACACATCGACAATTTTACACGAGCTTCCTTCGATATTCTGTCTGCTTTCGAGACTACTGATGATCTCGAGTTATCAGCTAACCCGACTGCTCTGCGTACCGAACTAAAACTGTACGTAATCTACCGTGCGAAAGGTGATGCTGCTAAGACTGAAGCCGCAGGCATCAGAGACAAGCACTTACTTTCTTCTTGAGACGCGAACAAGGCATGCATCCAAACAAGGATGGGTTTGGTATATGACTGCGGAAGACAAGTGAAGGACAGTCTACGTGCGTATTGCCGAGACACCCTTTTAAAACCAACGCTAAACCTCGACGTGCGTTATATTCGTAAATGCTGTGACAGATGAAGCTCGATCTACTCCAGGCCCTATGTGGCGAGGTGGATTGCTTGCTGACGAAATGGGTCTTGGGAAGACCCTGAGCATGATAGCTTTGGTTGCTTCTGACCAAGATCGCAGTTCAAGCGACGATCCCCATCTTACGTGTGGGACTTCTATAGAATCAACTCTGATAGTGGTGCCGCTGAGCTGTAAGGGTATATGCATCGTACAGCCCTGCATGCGCTGACATTTCTTGCAGTATTCAGTGTCTGGGAATCACAAATACGAAGGCATGTCGTCGCAAACTGTGCGAATCGCGCTTGCTGACCCCCACCAGCCATGTGCATGACGACAGGTTGACATGGTTCATACACCATGGTAAACAGAAATTCAAGCTGAAGAACAAGAAAAGGCCGCCCGGTACGTCTGGTTGATGCACGTGCTGCACGTGATGCAGAGACTAATGCCTAATCCTATCACTAGAAATAGTGTTCACTACGTACCAGACCATCGAGAGAGAAAGTCGTCGTGGCGTTCAGAGTAGCGACTCCATATTAAATCACCACTGGAGACGCGTGATACTCGACGAGGGTAGGTTCGAAACATTGCCTCACATCTTGCGTCTCGATACTGATTGTCATCTTTTCTAGCACATACGATACGCAATCACAAAACCTCGACTGCGCAAGCAATCGCCGCACTACGAGCAACGTCGAGATGGGCAGTCTCAGGGACCCCGATCCAGAATAGCCTGCTCGACTTCCATGGCCTCTTCAGATTCCTCCATTTTTCGCCGTACGACGACCCGAAGGTCTTTGATGACGACATTTCAAATATGTGGCGCGTGAAACCCGTCAACGAGGCCGCTGAGACGTTCAAAAGACTGCTTTCATGCGTCATGTTACGCCGGACAAAGGCTATTTTGGATCTGCCTTGTAGAGATGACAAACTGATGCGTGTGCCATTCAGTCACGAGGAGAAGGAACATTACCGCCAAATCGAACAACCTGTTGTTGATATGCTGGATCGCACTACAGAAAGTGGTGGCCACACCCACGTACCATGGATGAATGCTATTCAACAGATCAACAAACTTCGTCTTGTTTGCAACCTAGGAGTCTTCGTTCCTTCACAATCCAACTGCTTCCCACAGCCCGGAAATATTGATGAGAAGACATCTGTCATGAACGCCCGCTACTCGATGGACGGTGGATCATGTGAACTGTGCTTGCAGCCAGTCGAAACCTTAACATTTGGCAGTGGACTCCGGGATACTACGCAGCCACAGGTCTACTATTCAGCCTGCAGCAAATTTTACTGCGCTGATTGTGCCGCGTCCCTTCAATATCGCTCAGCCGATCCGTGCGCCTGTATGGAGCAGTCGCCATCCTGTCAGCTCCGTCCTCTGGCGTCCTTTTTATTTACCCCTAGTCTCACGCCCACTGAAGGGCTCTCCCCTTCCTCAATTGATTGGGACCATAGCAATGATATTTCAAGCAAAGTATGGGCGCTTGTCTCGCAGATCAAGTCGCGTCCACAAGAAAAGCAGTGAGTCTATCGATAGCTCTAAACATGTTTTAAATCTAACTTGCTTCTAGTGTCGTTTTCTCATCCTGGACATCAAGTCTCGACATGGTAGAAAAAGCGCTTCGGTGTGATCCAAATAATATCATTCAATCAGTCCGGATCGATGGCACAGTACAGTCGAAACACCGCAGTCACGCTATACAACAGCTCCATGACGACCAAAGCATACGCGTCATACTGATCACGATCGCTTGTGGTGCTTGTGGGTAGGTCTACGTAGACAATACTCGTTGGCGGATCGGCCTTGCTGACAACTATCTCAGTTTGGACCTAACGGCGGCTTCGACAGTACACCTTCTCGAACCTCAATGGAACCCGTCTCTCGAGGATCAAGCACTTGCACGAGTCCATCGTCTAGGACAGACTCGTCCTGTGACAACCATACGCTACGTCATGGAAGACTCTTTCGAAGAGGTATGTATGCCGCCGCAAACTTGGAATTGATATCCAAAGGCTATTCCCCGTTGTTCCCAGTGACACTAACTAACACGTCCATCAATAGCACGTCCTCAAAATCCAAGATCGCAAAAAGCTACTCGCCACCACTTTACTATCAAACAGCTCTTCCCTCGAGGTAAGCAATGCATATGCGAATATATACACGTTAGCGATCAGGCACTGATGATATATCTCTAGAGCCTGCGTCGATTGCTCCACGAAAGAAAGGATGGCGCAGATTTCAAACAAGGCGCAACGACGTCTTAACGCTGAACCTAAGATACTCCTCGCTTCCATCGCGCATAGACTTCACACCACTTCAATGCAAGCCTTCGCTGAAACCTCCTATGCATGCCATTCCACAATTTCCCCGGGCTGGCTGCCAAGTCATGCAACAAGCACCAGTGAACCTCGGAAACCAGGGTTCATCTCTAGAGCTGAAATTGTCACTTGATAACTAACATGCATGGCTATAACCCAATAGGATGCAAAAAGAAGGCAAAAACATACAACAGCGGGGATTCGCTAGTGGTCACCCACCTAACTACTAATCCGCCGGTACACTGCTTGTATATGGCTGAGCGGACGGGAAGCCTAATTTTCAGTGTCCTATGGTCGTATGTACCAGTTTTGAAATTGATGTGGATTATGTCCGAGGTACAGATAGACGCGGCAGGCAGCCCCATCGACTAATCAACACTAATCGCTTTTTACGGTCTCCTCTTACTTCAATTCTTCAATCAAGACAGCTATGACGGCGTGCTACTAAGCGACATTGGCACATCGAGTCTCCGCCGGTACTGTCCGCACAACAGAGTTTTCGCAGTCCACCACAATCCTTACGACCTGCAGTTTGTCCGCAACGTCAGGAATGGTCTATGATCGAGATATGCTGGTTAATTGTATCAAGCGCGATTACGAACTTTTGGTGAAAGCAGCCTACTTCGATCCCGCAGAAGTCTGCTATCCTCCAGGTGAAGGCTGGAGCGATGAACAGCTTACTGTCGATGTTCTCCGTGCTTTTGGTCGCTCAGAAGTAATCGACCTCCTACGGCATCTACCTTTATGAAACAGCTAGAAGGGGACGACAAAGACGAAGTATACTTTGAAAGCCGGCATCTTGGCTACCTGCGCGATACTTGGCCGTTTGTGTCTTTGACCGCAGAAGATTGCCAAGGAAAACAGCTATCCGAAGGGTGAGAACTCATGGAATAGGACAATCCAGCCGTACAAATGGGACGTCGGAAATGTATGTTGTGTGTTTGCGAGTTTTGACGACAGTCTACTTATTTCTGCAATTTAGGTTGAGAGTCGAGCATTGCGGAAGCATGGCTGGCTTGATAATTTGGATCAAGATGGGTACCTCCAGGAGCTCCTGGAGGTACATCCAGAGAATTGACTGAGCCCTGTAGGTCACTGGGTTAATATTCGACCGGAGGCATACAGTTTCGAGGAGACACAACATTTTCAAGACAACATGGGAAAAGCAAGTCCCCATGATATCAAGTTTTAGATGGTCACAGGTTCCAATAAGAGGAGTAGTGCTTGTCCACCATCCATATACTGTTGGTGTTTTTCTAGCGGTAAGCGCCCTTAGCGCGGCGGACACCCGCCGTGCCAACCGACTTGGCATAGCTGTGCCTAGGATGCTGGTCTAATTGTATGAACTAATACGACAAATAAAATGATGGAAGGCCTTATGGATGCAAAGTCGGGCTACCGAGCCAGACCGGGCTGGTATCCGAACGACGACCTCTAGACAGAACCTTTCATACAGCCTACAACTGTAAACACGTTCTCGTTCCTTCCGAAGCAGAATCATTGCGCTACCTTTACCGTGTATCCTACTGCATCACTACTCTACTACCGCGTTGTAAGATCTGCAGGGAACATCGACATCCAGCCGTTCACCACTAGTGATTGCATTGCGTCTGTTTTTGCAAACCGCCATCATGTTCCGCCCGCTCCTCCTCCTCTGTCTCACAGCGACAATGGCAACGGCCGACTTCACCACAACAATGGATTTCAGAGACTGGCTCATCGGCGAAGAAAGCATCGGCCGCGAGTCTCCCTTCGGCTTCCAAGGCTCCATCGTAAACATTGATCAAAACAAAACCACAATACACGCGGTCTTCGACCAGGACAGCGGCGACCTATCGACAAAATATCACCAACCGAACAACACAAACTCCTTTACGTTTACTTTCGCACCCAATTACATCTCCGCGCAAGTAGCCAAGCCCGACGCTCGCGCAACAACATATGACGTAGATTGTTCAGGAAAAGGAGTCGGAAGCAGCAAATACTACGGCGAGGAAGATTACACGTGCACCATCTCGCTCTGGGGCTCAGCCTTTTCGTCTGAAAAATGCGCCGACGGCGCATGGGGGATCAGGAAATCAACACGTTCAAGTTGGTTTTGTGATGAGAATGGGGTGCAGAGTAACACCTGGACTGAAAGCGCTGACCATGTGACGACTGAGCGGAAACAAGTTGTTCTTACTGCTGGGTTGGAGAAGCTGGGTGCGCAGGCTACCGAGGCTACGACAACGCCTACGGCTACTCCGAGTGCGAGTGCGACTGTAAGTGGGCCAGCGAGGGAAACGGGTGGTGTGAGTGCAGCGAGGGTGGCGGATGTTGCGATGGTGTGGGTTGGTGCTGCTGTGGCTGTAGCTATGGTGTAGATTAAAGAAACCTAGATACAGTTCCAGTTCAACGGATCTTTGTGATTCCCAGTACCCTTGTACACGTTACGTGCCGGTCACTTGCAATGCCTCCTCTTGAAGTCAACACCGCTACTGGCTGTGCCGTTTCTGTATCTAGTCCCTACAACCACTTCTGGCGCGATATCCTGCTCCACCCACCGTACCATGGCCATGAGAACGTTCTCCTCTGGGTCAAGGCTTGCAGAGTTACGCGCTTGGTTTCCGATAAGACTTGCCCCGGGTCCGCCGCTGCAGTGCGACATGCCCGAGATACGGAAGAAACGATAGAAATCGTCTAGTTGAGCTGGCGACTGGCCCATCGTCTTGGAGACATGTTCGTAATATCGCGGCGAGTTCTCACTAGTGATGACACCGTCTATGAGGCCATGATAGTGAAGCAATTTACCACCCTTCGCTTTGAAAGGCGACAAGTCTCCATTCCAGGTGTCAATGTCGCCCAGATTCAAGTGCGATGAGAGATGCATATCGGCTAGAGAGAGTGTCATGGGATCCCACGAAGGATCTTTGAGGATAGCATATTTGAACCAATCAGATGAACCAAATACCCTCCCAGTAAACAAGGTAAACGGTGCTTCTGTGGCTTCAGCACCAGGTTGTAAGCGTGGATAGATGAGACTGCTATCAGAATCAAGGAGAGGCGCGTAAGTCCTGCGAACTGTCTGTACTTGGGCTGCCGTAAGACACGTATCGTTTTGTCCAGATGCGCAAAGGAGGCCGGACGGGTCGTAGTTACATAAATATGGAGATTCAAGAATACCGTCTGCTACACCGTCAAGCATGTCGCACTGGGCCAAAATGTCCTGATGGATAACGGGCCACATGGCGAGAGGGACGAATGTCGCAGACTCTGGAGTTCCGGTAAGAGGAAGGAATCCCGAACTCCAGGAAGTAAGATTGTTGAACGAAAAGGCAGGAGCGCCAGCGACAACGCCATCGGAATCGTTGGGAAAAGTCTGGACTGCTTTGAAACCTTGCCGTCCACCGGTGGAGCATCCAAGGTAGTAGCTCTTTGAGTGTGCTTTGCCATAGAATGTTTCGCTGACTTGCTTGCCAATAACAACGCCAGTGTGAACGGCACGATACGCAAAGTCCTCAATCACGCCGAAATTGTCGAGGAACGCCACGCCGGTCATTCCTTCGTGGCCATTATTCGTGCCCACAGACGCAAACCCGAGTGATGTTGCATAATCGAGGTCCTCGTATTGGATACACCCACCAAGTCCACCGTTCCCGGTGCTCAAGAAACGACCGGTCCAGTTCTGTGGAAGCCAGACCTCCATTCTGATGCTAGAGGTAGGTGAAGTTTTGACGTTCAATCCCACGCGGCAGATATTGGCTGATACCGCTTGTGACGGACGAGTACACGAAGGGTCGACTTGTGGAAACTGTAGCGTCGTGCCGGCAGCAACAAACTCGGTAAATGAGACGTTTCCTCCAGAAATTTGTAGTTTGGCAGTCAGGGAAGCGCATCGCGGAGAAAAGTCATCCTGGGCGCGAGGTTGATCAGCAGCCCCGAGAGAAACGACATTGAGGGCAGAACCGAGGAGGAGAAAGCTGACAGAGACCATGGTGGTGGGAGTGAATAAATAACCAAAAGGGTGCTGGGTAGCCGTGCCGGTTTACTGAGGAGAGGAGTAGAGAGGTTCATTGCTGCTACTTATAGCAGCAGACCTACTATGTTATCATTTCGGCACTGGGAAGCTTGTCATCGACCTTCTTAGCACTCTACCTTTCCTTCCCAACATCAGCCAGACTGACTTATCGAACGTGATTTCATTGGCTGTACGTCCGGTCAACCTTGCTGTGCAGACATGGCCGGACTTAAGAACTGGAGCCTCCCTGTATGGACTGTCAGCCGCTCGCATATTTGTGCAGATCTAAAGCTATGACTTTACAAGTGAACCTGGCAGCGTTTCAGGACAACTCTTCTAACTGCGGAAAAGCTGCTTGTTCGGTCCTACATGTCCCGGTTCCATGCATGAACACCGAGCGATCAGCAACGAATGACCATCGCGACAACACCATATCAAACCAAAGTAGAACTGACCCTGTAAAACCACCACACAATTACTATTGTCACGAGAACTCTACAGTGGAGGGGGATAATAATGCTTTCAATCGATTTCGCCCATGTATATCTACTTTCAAGTGTGATGTTGCGGTCATGGCGAGAGGTGAAATTACAGTGCTGACCACACTATCTTTGAAAACAAAGCTTGCCTGCGCGGGTACTGCCGCCATGTCAAGCTACAGCTCCCCTTCCCGAGGCCCTGCCGAGTTTGTACTTGGACCACCAAGACTAAAAACAAGCAGGCAAGCAGGCAAGCAAAGAAGAAGAAATAGGAAGAAAGAGGATTCATAATGTTTGAAATTAATGTATTAGAACGCGTTCATATCCAGTACGAATCGCTAACATGAAAATATGTATGAAACTTAGACAAATGAAAATACTACCATCTCGACTCCCATTTCCATGTCATGTCTGATGAAGACAAAACGAAACGTCCAACTCCAATCCCCCATACCCTCCCTCTTTCAAAACGCATCCCACACCCTACTGCCGTGGCCCAAACGGTCTCGGTCCCCCCAGCCTAGGCCCAACAATCTGCCTCTTCCCCGCGCCAATCCCCCCAAGTCTATTTTGATTATCGCCCCCCATGTATCCGTACTGATTGACGTCCCAGCTCTGACCCGAGCCTGTCCCCGCATTGGGATCCTTTGCGGCCTCTTGCAGCGCGCGTTGTGATTCTTCCCACTCCTTTTGGCGCTCGCGTTCGCGCTCCATCTCGCGCTCGAGAAGGGACTTGGAAGCCCAACCTGCGTTTTTAGTCTTCTGTTGGGCGGCAGCGCGGCGCGCATCTTCGGTGCGTTGTTCAGAGGTAGAGGTCAACTCTGGGGGAATGTAAGACTGTGGTTTGGGTGGTATGGGAGCGGGGTTCGATGCGAGGTAGCGATCTGTCCGGTTCTGCTTTGTGTACGCTGCTGGATCAGGAAGCGGGCGCGTCGTCGTTGGCTCTGGAAGTGGACGGGTGGGGAGAGATGGAGGTGTGGGCTCTGGCAAAGGACGTGCCGGCTGTCTTTGCGTCTGATCCCATTGTTTGCGTAAATACTCGCGATCGTCTGCTTGGGCCCATGAGACGTTGCTGTCCTGTGGCGAGGGGGCGCGTGGTGGAGGTTGAGGCCGGGCACGACTCTTGGATCGCTCGCGTGTACGGCTCTTGGACCGCGAGCGCACTTTCTTGTCTTGCAGGCGTCCTTCTCGCTCCGCTTGGTATTGGCGCTCGCGTTCTTTGGCCTCTTCGAGCTGGCGCTCCAACTCTCGTATGCGGTCTCGCTCAGCGTTGGGCTCTTCGCTGCTTCCCCGCCGACTGCGCGGTGACCTGACTTGTTCGGCCTGATACTGGCTTAGGTACTGTCCCTTTAGCCTGGCATCGCTTCCGGCTCGCTTTCGTCGTGTCTCAGCCTCGATCCTCTCCTGTGTCTCGCGCTCTTCTCGCTGTCGTAGCTCCTCGTCCAGCTTCCATTGGCGCTCTTGCTCCTCCCACTCGCGCTTCTGCTGGTCGAGTCGCGCTTGCTTGGCCTCTTGCTGCTTGCGTGTCTCCTCCTCCCACTTCTGTTCTTCCTCGATCCGTATGCGTTCCTCTTCGGCTTCGCGCTCGATGCGACGTTTGTGTTCGGCCTCCTCGGCTTGCAAACGCAGTCGCTCTTCCTCGGCTGCCTTCTCGCGTCGCAGCCGCTCCTTCTCAGCCAGGTTGGGCACGTGCGGACCGGCGCTCGTGATCTGCCGCCGTGCGCCGAATGCGATGCCTTGGTTGCCCTGACTCGCGCCACCCATGTAGCCATACTGGTGAATGTTCCATGCCGGTGCTGTGCTGCCTTCGTCAACCTTCTTGCTCCAGCTACTGACTCCGCCTGGAGGTGACTTGGGGAGACCGTTGGAAGTGTAGGATGTGTCCGAGCCTCCGGTACGCGCCGCACTCAGCGTCCGCTCAGCAGGCGGCCGCGCCAAGGGGTTAAACGTGCTGGAACCGCTGGTGTTGCTGGCTGTGCTGGGTCCCCTGCTACGTGAGTAACCAGGAGATGGCAATGCAGGGCTTGGCATGCCGCCTCCGCCAGTGGCTGAAGGACTTAATGCGCCAGCTCCGCCACGCTTAGGGCCGATGGTGGTGGGAAAGTTGGCGGGGTTCTTAGCATTGGCGACGCGGCTAAAGGCGCTGAGACATTGCAGTACCTGAGCTGGATCTTTCGACTCGTAAAGGTCGACGGTGAGGAAGCGGTCATGTGCGGGCATGTTCAGCGGCGGCTGTTCGCAGGCTCGGAGGAAGTGGGAGATGTTCTCCATCTGTATAAAGGGCATGGCCGACTTCTTGAACCTAACAGGAGTGGGTATCGCGAGGTTGACAAGTCTGGCATGGTTAGCTGTACTGGCCCGACTCGCTGGTAACTCTGCGGATATCACTGTACCTGCATAATACGGTCCCGTCCTTGAGCGCATCCAGCAGATCTCCCGTCGGCAGCCGCTCTCCCAGTGTGCCTTCTATCCAGCTGCGGACTTCGTTGGCTGCTTGGGGGGTATATCTGTCCATGCGCAGCTTTCGCATATCCTGATCTAAAGACGTTACAGACGCCATGGTGGGCGGTTTGGGCGCAAATCAGGCTTGTTTGCGGTTGGGCACAAAGGTTGCTGTTGTGTCTGGATGAGAGATGCACGACTTGTAGTGAGATAAGATAATGTATATATCTCTATGTAAAGAACTCGACTGCTACGTGTGTTGTTGTGGTGGTGTCGAGGTAGACAATGATGGCATGTGTGTGTATGGAGAAAGACTTGTGGTGGTGGGGGAATGCTTGCTTGCACATGTGCTTACGCACCAGCCACTTGCCCAACGTCACCGGTCTGCGCGTCAGAGTCGCCTTCAAATGTTTGCCGTCGAGAAATTACTTGCGGCAACACGAGACTCAGCATGGCCGGCGCACCAGGTCCAATTCGAAAAGCATGGTATCAATGGAAGATGCAGCGCTTTCCATGGCGCAAGAAGTGGCTTGTGGGTGAGTGCAGGCCTCGACATAGGTCTCTGGTGTGTCCTTGCTCCATGGCTCTAACACATCACAGGCTTCGATCTCCAGGGCAACACCTTCTGGGAGTTCAAAGACGCACTGCACGCCCTGCGCAATCGCAGAATAGCAAAATATAGTCGCAGCACACATTATGGCGATGTGCAAATATCGCGTTCGTGCCTTCCACACATGGTGTTGCACCGAGACTGACTTTGGCAGCGTCATGGATGCAATGGCTACGACACACGCGCTTCGAACCCCCCACTGTCGCCGAACAACAACAAGACATGATGAGGATAGAGCGGATGAAGCAGCTCGCGGCACAGGCTGACGCGAGATGGGCAGAGAAGCCATCAGCGCTGGATGCGCCGGACAAGCAACAACCTGTGCAAATGCTGCAGTCGAGAGACCCAGACAGCGGCGTCACGCAGATGAACGCCGATCAAGAGATAAGGGATAGCGTAGAACCACCGCGACCACTCGATCAAGAAGCCGCGAGGCCAGCGCCAGTAGAGCCTGAACAAGCCGCAGAGCCTCAGCCCATGCCACGCGACCCGCCAGCACCGGCTGCCGAGGATGATGCGCCTGCCTTTACACCGAGAAAGAGAATGAGGAAGGAACCCAAGGACTCGCCGTGGAAGCAGGCGGCTCAGAGTCAAGAATGGCAACCCCAAGGTTGGAGCCCAGCGCCAGCCAAACGACGTTCATGATCATGTACGAATAGCGACTGTACAAATACTTGTTTCAATACTGGCAAGCATCAGCAAACATATGCGATATTTGAATGTTACCAGACCCACGCTTGTATTCCAAACCAACTCTTCACATTGCGATATGCGACATGAATGACAATTGCTAAGACAGTCAAGTTTCAGGGCCCACCATGGTTAGCATCGATGCTTCAGAACCGTTGCACGCGGTCCGACTTCAAGCCAAGTCGGGTCTGGTCTGCGATCCCATCCAGATGTCCTCTCATCAGCATTCCAATGAAACTCTATTCCAGCATTATCATTAAACAACATATATTCACATCCCCACGAACAACACTATCATTCTTTGACCATGCAGCATTGTTTTCGAAATATTCACTACCACGATCGCCTTCGTGTTGCTACGTTTTTGCAAAATGTCAGTTGTCAACCAACAATGTGGTAGTCACAGTTAGGATCGTGAATGAGAACCACGGTTACGAAGAACTACTAACGATGCACACGATGGCGGACGGGCAATGCCTACATATGTCGCAATGTGCTCTTTTCAGAGTTGTCCAGACTTAACTTTCAGTTTATTATTCAAAGATATGGCATCCTTTTCACAGAGTGACGACGGCATGCCCCAGTCCACGGAAACCCACGATACACCCGCCCCCTCGTCCTCATCGGTGCCCGCTACAGTGCCTCCGTTCCTGATGATACTCAAAGTCGCTGCTAAGCATCTGCCCACAGAGTTGCTTCTCCGTGTACTGGAGGAGTGGGTTGGTCAACAGCGTGTCATCATAGACTGTTCCGGTCATTCAAATTACACACTATCCTACACCAATCCTGAGAACCCAGACCCCTTTTCTCTGATCTCCAAGACCAGCGATACTCCATCGTCTATCTTCAAGGAATACTTTCGTGTCCGGATCCACTCCTGGCTAACCGACACCAAAAACTTCTCCGACCCCTCAACATTCTACCTCAGTCATCTATTGATGAGTCTGAAGATGTTCGACCGGCTAGGAGCCTATATCCTGCCCACTGGTCAGCCCTGGGACACCATGCTACGCGACCCTCACCTCATTCTACGCGCCAATTTCCCCATCCTAAAAGACCACAACATGCAATACGCTCTTTTTCCGCACCTCGCCTCACTCCATGGCTTCGGAAAAATCAAACTAGACTTCACGTCTGAACAATACTTCGCCTTCTTCGACGTCTCCGTCCCGCCATTCCACTACGCTGACACCACCCGCACCAACGACAACCTCTACCCAGACCCCTACTCCCACTCCGCCGGTGCTTTTCTCGCTCACACCCGCGAACTCGAACTACATTTCGGTACTGCCTACAAATCCACAAATCCCTGGTATAACGTCCAAGAACCCACTTGGTGCGAGACTAATACGAGCTGGGACTACGGGGAAGCAAGGCTCCGACCGCGCATTTGTGAGAGTGGGAGGGTTATCGATTGGATATTGGAGTATGCGTGGTACGCTGGGTTTCTCTAACACATACGCAAAATTCGGTTGACGGGGGATATTCAGGAGTGGGTGAAGAGGAAGTGGGAGGATATTTTTCGACGGCATGGGGAATATGTTGACGAGTGTCCTGGAGAGCAGGAAGTGGGGATTTTCGCAGTGCACAGGCCTGATGTTGTTGAGATTGAGACGATTGGTATGGTGGGCGATAATTCGCATGACGATGATGATGATGATGATGATGATGAGGCGTGGATGCCGTGGAATCACTATCCACCGAGGTGTACGTGCGAGGTTGGGTGCTGGCGGCTTAGAGGTGGGGTGGTAGAGGAGGAACTGCAGGATAAAACTTGGGACGACTTTGAGCAATACGAGGTAGAGGTTATGGGGGATTGGATGGATGGTGTTGAGGTGGGGGATGTTGTGTATGACGAGGTGAACTTGTAATGAGTTGTGTGTAGGATTAGAAGATGTCTTATATGATAAGCTTGTTCGTCGATAGTCGGGATGTCGTTTCTTGCAGAGCAGTGCAGCCAAGGCTGGTTTGTGACCGTATAGGCTGCATCGACGCTATCTACAGAACTGCATCTCCATAACGTATCGCTTGAACGCTTTGTGATTCAGATACTTATCTATGCAATGCAAACTAGAGTCCTGGAACGTTGTCTTGTCATCGCCACTGCCTCTTATAGTTTCTCCCCTATCAGTGCTTATACTCATCCAGCAAGATAATTTCACTCCAGACCTTCTCATATCTGGTATTATCTTTGGTAGAGAATACAAACGCGAGCAAACTGTCATGGTGTCGATGTGTCGATGACGTCACCGCCCAACCTAGCAACCAACCTTGGAAACCTTCTTCCATTCCCCGTAGCCCATACATCACAACACGACTGAAACTTCATCTCGATAGACTCCATCGCGTACTTCTTCCAAGCCGATTTTCCCCAGTTTCTTGACAAATGCGGTACATCCCCCTGCCCGTTACCAGGAAGAGCGTCGGTGATCGTCCCGCGTGGGTCTAGAGGCCGTCGATCGCGCTTGATCTACATGATGGTTACCAGGTAGTGGCCGATCACCATGAGTCGCAGCCTCTTCCGTGGGCTGCATCGACTAGTGTCGTGAGGCTACGGCAGAACTATGCGGACAACGTGGCGCTATGAAAGGCTCCGAGGCATCTTTCTTGAGACTAGGGACAGGAGAGGGGTCAGCGGGTTTAGGATGGTGAGCATTGGATGTTGGTGTCGAAACGTAGGAATGCTTAAGGACGGCATGAGTCGCTGTTAGATGATGAGTGTGTAACTTGTATCGATTCCTACTTGCTAATTGGATTCTTTGTTCGAGGTAAAAGGACATAGCGTTTCATTCTTGAAAGATGCGTTCTACATTCGCTATCACACTGCTCGCTAGCGTTGTATCAACAAAAGGCCTTCTAGGTCTCCCACTCGATATCGGCGCATTGCTATCTTCACTCGGTCCAGCACCCGCAAACGACCCTCGGTGGACAGACTTCCATCCCGCAGGAACTGGCGATGGTACACCACCCCCCATCCCATCTTCCATTATATCGCTAACCATACCAAAACAGTACGTTCTCCCTGCCCTGGCCTCAACGCCCTAGCAAACCACAACTTCATCCATCGCAACGGCCGTAACATGACAATCCCCCACCTAATCGCCGGCCTGGCCGCCGGCCTCAACATGGGCGCCGACTTCACCGTCGTCGTAGGCGGCGCTGGACTCCTCGCATCACCCAACCCACTCGGCGGCTCCTTTGACCTCGACGATCTGAACATGCACAATTTCCCTATTGAACACGACGCCAGCATGTCGCGTCAAGACGCCGCCTTGGGAAATCCTCAACCTTTTTACAACCCAAACTGGCAACAGTACATTTCCTTCTTCGCGAACCGCGACCGCACCGATGTGCCTACGGCGTCGAAAGCTAAATTCGCGCGGACAACGGACAGTAAGGAGAAGAATCCGCAGTTTACGTACGGGCTGAGGGAGGCGGTATTTAGTTATGGCGAGAATGCTCTTTATCTGCAGACTATGGGGTCGGATCCCGTGTCAGGCAAGGCCAAAGTAGAGTATGTGAGGAGTTTGTTTGAGCAGGAGAAGCTGCCGTTTGCATTGGGGTGGAGACCCAGTGTGTTGCCGATTACGCTGCCGAGTATTGGGGCAATGGTTGCAGAGTTGTTTACTGTTGGGCCGGAACCAGTGCCCGAGGGAGCAAAGATTCTGGCGGATTCGTACAAAGATGCGCTGTTTGCGGTGGTTGGTGGGTCAAATATTTTGGGCAATCTTACTGGAGGGATTAGTGAGGCGCTGGGGTTGTAGAAGAGGGCTGTGGGTCAGGTTTACACGTTTCGTTGGTGATGGAGATTTGAGATGTACATTGAGATTGCAATGATGAAATTTGCTGCTAGGGTCAAGATGTTGTAACAAACTCTCATGCTGGTAAACTGTGACAAAGCCCTCGTGGCTATGGTAGTCTGACGCGTCTGGTACATCGTGCTCGAATGGCGTTGAGGGATCGCCTCATGAAACGCGAGTGTGGATTTCACGCATGGTACCAGCTATTGTAGTCTTTGAGAGGCGGGATACTTCTGTAAATACACTGCGTTACAGTCAGAAGCGGTGCTAATGACATCGTATCTGAACAAGGCCTATCCAGATCTGGGGTCACAAAGGTGAGGAACATTCAACAACGTTATTAGAGAAGACGTAATGTATGTTGATGTGTATTGTGCTGGTGGAATCGTGAGCAAGGTAGGTGTGCGGGTAGGCAAGGCAAATTTCAGTTTAGTGTCTGCAATTAGTATGCAAAATCGTGCGGATGCTGAGCTGGAAGTGTCGGACTCTGCACGGAAAGGGCAATTAAAAGCTACTTTCACCACCAAAACCAGAAGTTATACCAAAAAGATATTGTGTATGATGAACGACCAGTTTGTCGGGCATTCCAGGCGCTATAAACCGGTTCGATGATCATCAGGCTGTTCACAACAATCAGGACGACTACATCCATTTCGTAGGACACTTCCTCCTATGGCATCGTTATTTTGTCGCCACATACGAAAAAGCTCTTCGTGAGGAGTGTGGCTATATTGGCGGTCAGCCGTACTGGGACTACTCGTTGGATGCCGAGCCGCACAACAATCAATCTACCCGTATCTACGACTCTGAGGTCTTCCAACCCGATACAAATTTTGGTGGCAATGGTAACAAGATTGTACCTACACCTGATCAGAACGCTTTCGGTTTTCCTGAGGGAACTGGTGGTGGCTGCGTCCAAAATGGACCTTTCGTAACCTCCAAATTTATGGTCAACTATCCTGGTCCACCGGACTGCCTACGTCGCGACTTCATCCCCACTGTCATGAATTCCTTGGCGGACCCAGCACTTGTAACGAGACAGCTTGAAGCACAGATTACACGACTTCGACCGCTTGATGCAAGGTTCAACGACAGATTTTGCCCCCAATATCCACGGCAGTGGTCATTTCGGCATCGGTGGTGTATTAGGACAGGCGGGCAACGCTGCAAAATCTCCTACGGAGCCCCTCTTCCACCTCCACCACGGCAACCTAGATCGCAAGTTTTGGCAGTGGCGGCAGCTAGATTTGAAGACTCGTCTCCACCAGGTTCGTAACGTCCCTGTACGAATTGCATGTGAGACATACTGACTTCGTACACCCACCTTCAGGTTGGTGGACCTATTGTCCCGTTTGATTACAGCGGCACAAACGTTACGTTGGACTTTGAGGTCAATATTGGAAAGTTGGCGCCCAGCAGGAAATTGAAGGATCTGCTGAACACTGAGGCTGGTCCATTTTGCTACATTTACTAAAAGCATTGGTATGCATATTTTTCAATTCTAGCTCGCACGTGCAGTTAGAGAGGCAAGCGGAAGCCATGTTGGGTTTTCGAGGTTTGTTGATGATGTCCAATGAACAACAGCTTGGCCTCAGTGGTCGCTGGGTGGCCGAGATCTTAAGCACTCCCTTAGGCTTCTAACCCCTCACGACACATCCGGTCTGACCATCGCAACAAGCCAATGTAGCCTTAAACGTTGAACCATCATGCTCAATCTAAACAGCTCTCACTGCTCAGTATTAACTATCATCAATGAATGAAAGAAGGCATGTCACGCGACCCATCCGAACACAGGGTGCGGTTGCGAGGGATCTGACCTTGATCCGTATTTTAGTTCGCATCCATAGGGATTTACGCGATCGCTCCAAGCATCATCAGCCTTATCTCCGTCTCCGTCTCGATCGCTTTTAACAGCCGCGTGCCTGGATTGCTGCCGTCCCCAGGCGGTGGTAGTAAAATTATGCTTTCCCCATAATCATCCGTTTGCGGGAGGGCGCACATCGTCGGTGGCCTAGATATTGTGCTTAGCTAGTCAGTGTACCTGCTGCAGGGCATCTAGGCTGTTGGCTCGGATCTTTTAGCTCAGGCACGAGCCGCCTGTGAGGCGCGACCTCGCAAGCCACCAATAAATATGGTTTTCTCGCTTAGCTAGATGTGTACACTTTCGCCGGGGCAAACAATGTTCCACGTCCGTTTCCTGCATAGGGCCAGATAACTAACGGGAGCTGAGGATGGGTTCGGCAAGACCCTGACAGCGCACGTGGTGGAATAGCGCGGACAACAACGCCCACGTCCGAACCCCAGGCATTCGTGTCTTGATCAAGCAACGACTTGTCTCCTACGACATTGCTAAATTCCCCATCTACTCTAGTCCTTGCGAGCCTAAGTGATCTTCTTACCAAATTGGGAATTGCTTTCTTATCGGCTAATACTGCCCTTGGATACCATGTCCAGCCATTTTTGGTTCCCTAGTGCTCGGCAGCTTCGCCTAGGTATGTACTGACTCTTATCACCACGCGAGTTCTCTCCCTTGTTCAATTTGCACTCTCGATAGCGCCCAAGGCCTCCGCGCCGCCTGTTCTAGTCCGGTGATAAATTTTGAACGATTCGGCTGCAAAATGGTCCAAGCTTGGCATGAGGTGGAGTTAGTGGTACTGTCACCCTCTCTTCATGAGTGGTGACTGAAACCGAGTGATAATGTATTGATTCTAGGGCTTCAATCATATAACGAGTAACTTTGCGTGACAGTGGTTCAACAGCATTCTCTGGGTATAGTGAGGTTGCTGTCCTAACGGATCCACTGATGCACCGTCGAGTCACTATTTACACGCCGTTTTTGACAGCCGAGCTGAAAGACCCTGGTGGTGAGGCTCATTGAACTCAGCTCAGGATGGCACTTCGAGGCCCACGCCACAAATCTAGTGTATCGGCACCTCCGCTCGACTGCCTTGCTTACCTCCTACATGAAGAACTATAAAGGTCATTTATGCCCAGGTACATAGTTACTCATCAGTGTCATTCGCTGTCATCTTCTCGGCAACTCTGTACCATCCCTCGCCGTTCATCATGCATCCGGTTCACGCTTTCGCGGCTTTGGCCATGACAGGCTGCGCAGCTGCCCTGCCTCAATCAATTCCCCTCAATCAAGTCGCTGAGATACCCGCCGCACCAATTACGGAGACCCCGCTTGGTGATGGTGCCGGTACTAAGGTTATCCCGTATGCTCCTGATGCTGTGGTTGCCGATACATTCGCCTCAGTCCTTGCGGATCCAGCGTCTGCGGACAAGGCACTGAAGCGGAGAGATTGGGACTGTTCGGCACAGCCTCTGGGTGCAGGGCCAGTTCCAAGCCCTGATACTCCAGAAGCTTTCCTGGCCATGGAAGAGTTGTCGAACGCTGCCAACGGTGCCGCCGTGCCGGCTGGCTACGTTAACAAATTCAAGAACCTGAAAGGGAGCAACAATGCCGTAGCGTATCTTGGACACAATACCTTGGATACCTATGATACTCAAGCATGTGCAGACTCTTGCACTGGGAAGCAAGGATGTTCCTCATTCAATATCTGTAAGTGTTACTCTTCGAAGCTAGGTGGCGTTCACTAACACCGTTTATAGTCTTTGAGAGAGACCCCTCCGTAGTTCCTGCTGATTCCTGCGCCAACCCCGCTAGTACTACAGTCATCAAGTGTGTGTTGTGGGGTAGCCCCATTACCGCCGAAACAGCTGTCAATACCGGACAGTGGCGCAATGAATTCCAGGTGGTCATTGCTGGATCAAACGGTATGTCTCCGAGTGTAGAGTATGGTCTGATTGCGAGTTCTCTAACAGTATTTAGGCTATGTCAGCGAGCGCGTGGTTCCTGTTGATGGTTACAGCGGCGAGTCTCTTGGTAACGTTGCAATCAATGCCCCAAGCGACTGTAACGGTGACGATACCGTACGCACTGAATACCTTGCCCTTATACAACCGCTGACCTCTGTTTAGTACATGGGCTACAAACTGTTCAACGATGGTCAGCCATTTGAACCCGCCCGTTGCGCTGCTGCATGCGAGGCTGAGACCAAGTGGAACGTCGAGAATCTCAACAGCCGCATGTTGTGCAAATTCTTCAACACTTACGTCCTAATGAAGAATGGCGAGCCACAAGGCCAGTACTGTTCGATGTACACCCAGAAATGGGAGAAGAGCGTCGCTGTCAATGATGGTCAGTGGCGTGGAGAAGACCACTACACGATTGCGTCCAGTTTTTCCTACTCCAACACCGCCGATCCCGGAAAGCCTAAGCTCCCCTGCGATGTCGCCGCCGCAAAGTCTGCCATCGTTGCCTCATCTCTACAGCCCTTTTGTTCTACCATTCTTGGATACACTACTCCGGTTTCGACTGTTATCGCCACCGAGTTTACCACTGTGCCCGCTACTACTGTTGTGGAGACCGTCTCGCCTGTAACCACGACCACGACGATAGTCACTCAGGCTCCTCAAAAGCGCGATGTTGCCAGTCCAGCCACACCTGATGCTCTTGCCACCTTTGTTGCCAGTGCTGTCTCAGCGGCTTGCAGCCTCCAAGCAACGCCCTTTACAGAAACTTCTACAGTTTCTACTACGACCGTCGCGACCATTAGTTCCGGCACTGTAGCAACAATCACAACTCTCCCTGTCCGCACTACTATTGTTACTTCGACAGTTGCACCTGCGCCTACCTGCACTGCTAGCGGTGCCAACATCATTCAGAACAGTGGCTTCGAAAATGGCATGTCAGGTTGGTCCCAGACTGGCTACGGCGCTAAGGCTGCGCCGGCGGCTTCGGGAGTGATTGCGGGTGGATCCAGTGGTGCTGCCTCCTACGGTTTAACAGCTAGTAGCGCAGGTACTGGTGTTATCCTATCTCAACAGCTCAACGGTCTGACCACAGGTGTGAAGTACAATTTCTCGTACAAATACTTCCACACGGCATCTCCAGCTAGCTCAATCAACTGCGCTATATATAGCGTAGGAATGACCTCGCAGAGCGGGACGGGCAACAGGAATAACGTTAACTCCTGGCGCTCAGGGCCCGACTTTGTAACCACTTTCGTAGCGAAAGCAACCAGCGGGTTGCTAGAGTGCCTCTTTATTGCAAACGGTGCCCAGTCATTCCGCCTTGACGACATATATCTGGGATGCTAGCGAGAGTACTGTGATAACATAGAACTTAGTAAGGCATGAAAGCTTTGGTGGTATACTTAGTCAATCACCTAATATTGATTCGTTAAGCTTCTTCTTTACAATTGTTCTCTAGCCTTATCCTGTTCAATGCATCCCTCTTTACTTCATGCCAGCGAAACGAACCAATAGAACTAAATCATAGAGTATACGCAGCTCGTAGCAACGGTGCGCGACGAAGCCACGTTAGATGTTTAAGGACTCTTGGTAACGTCATACGAGTGAGCGCCAGGACCTGCATCACCCGCAACTGGAGATACACTAATTCCAGCACGCACCTTCTTCTCCCTCCTACTCCGTCATACACATCTATTCCGATCATCGCGACAACTAAATCTAGCCTGACATTTCGAACTGTCGTGCTTGCAGAGCGCCCGCAAATGCGAAGCGATTACCACGCCGCAGGACATGTACGAATCAGGTCATTATTCCATGTCTTGCTACGCAATATCAGAGGCATGATTCATTCATGTTGACTGCCAGTATAACCATGTGCGCAAGATAAGGCGCTGCTTTGAAGACTAACTGTCCAGTCATTTGCCGCACGTCATAGGCAAGGCTGCCATGAACCCCGCGGACAGCTTAACGAACCGCTAAATCTTCACGACAACCTAGTATGTTTTTGTCGCATCTTCACGTTCAATATTGCAGGAAGATTTTCGGTTGTTGAGGGAGCGAATGAAGAAGTGCATCTGCATGTCAGCTGTACTAACTCATGCGTCAGGCTGTGCAGATAGTGACCCCACAGTAGCCTGATAGGCAACGGCATCAGGCTGCAGTTTCCCGCATGATAGTTTACCTATATAGCGCCTGTCCTCCGTAAGTCGCTGCCATACACAGCTTGTCCGCAAACAGGGCTATCTGTCTTCTGCGCTCTGGAGAATATTAAGCCGCACAATGCCAAGCGATACCAACGCTGAAGACTGCCTTCCGAGCAGCTCACGCTCTTCTGCGCAACCCAAGGCCGCCGCCGGCTTTTAGTCATACGCAAAATATCTTGCGAACCTGGAGCGAACACCTAACTATGAGCTTCTAAATTCCACGGAGAACTTGTGGTTGGCAAGCTTTACCGAGAACGGTCGTTGTATCAGGTGGTATTACTGTTGCCCCTTGGATGAAAGCGCCCCGAGCACGCCAATACATTTACCCACCGTAGATGAAAGTTAGACTAGACCCGATACGTTAGCTCTCTCTCCCTCGGAATTTCAAACCCTACTGCAAACGACGGACGAGAATGTGGCCTACAGGGTAATCATAGTAACGATTGGATTTGAAGAACTTTGCTCCAGAACGAAAGATATACTCGGTCTTGGTCTTGATCTGGAGCCGGAAGTTTTTGATTACGTGGAGAGTCGTGCAGAATATACGAAACTCTCTCCGGAAGATAGACTTCCTCTGCCGTGGTTGCGAGATTGCCCTGCTTTACGTATAGGCGAACACGTTTTGTGTATCTTGGAAGCAACGCTAGGGAGAACGTCCGAGACTGGTATACACGAAGATACAACTTTGACAATTTGACCTGCTAACCATACGTGCAGCGATAATGTTTCTGGGAGAACGTAATCAACTGCCGCCGCGATACTCCCATAGCACCATGATGTTCTCGTCCAAGAGACCGTCACAAACCCGGGAGGGATTTTATCAAGACCCTAGTCACCATCCCTGTACCGACTACACATCGCTCGTTCAACGATACATTATTGAAGTAACAGGTTCGAATAACCGTTTCGGACCTGGGGCTTTCCTTTATGTCTGCTTGGCTGCCTTGCTAGAGCTTCATCTCTCTTCTGCGCCTACCTGTATTCTTCATATTGGAGTGAATGGTGTAGAAGAGCTGATGTTTCTTAGATACCGTGGCTTTTATAATCCCCACAATAAAGAATATAGCGTTTTCCGTAGTCCTCCGGGATTGCTGTGGAATCAACTGAGAAAGGAGCTCGATGAGCAGCGAACTACACTCCGCTGGATGACTCGCTTTTTCCAGAAACACTTCGACCACGAAAACCAAGATCTTCGAACAGAATTTGAGGAGATTAGGGAACGCTTCAAACTTCGAGTGGAAGATCTCGAACAAGCTGAGTCACAGCTCAGAGATAGCTGGGCCTGGGAAGGCATAGACAAAAGTTACCGCATGGCAGAAATGAGCATTCGCGAAAGCAAAAGAGTTATGCTACGTACGTGACTAGTACTACTCATCTTATTCATTCTGCTAACCCAGTTGAAGTGACGGCGTTGGCGTTCGTATTCCTACCATTCTCGCTCGCCGCTTCAGTATATGGAATGGTAAGACCATCCCGCCACCTACGAGTATACTTTCTCACCAGCCATACTTTCAGAACGTACAGCAGATAAACGGGACCGGTCATTCTATCGGAGCCTTTGTTATCACGGCAATTGTAATGTGCGTATCGGCAGTAGTGCTCTGGGCCTCTACTGCCGCCTTACAATCTGAAAAAGTCCGTTTGGAACGCGAAAAGGAGCTGAAGCCAGGTATATGGCGGACATGGACGTGGTACAAACAAATGATCGTGTTCGGTCCTCATGATGTGCTGCGGGATATATGGTTTAGGGTGAAGGAAAAATTGGTGCAGGCGAAGGTTGAACAAGAAGATGTCTAAAGAGCAAGCCAAGTCTTTTAGACCATGTGGATCCTGTACAATCATGTACAATCATGTACGTATATCACTTTTTGGTTCTTGTATCGTGCACACGCGACTTAGTACACCATCTGTTTGAAGCCGCTGTGGGCATGATTACAACAGCACAAATAATCAAAAGATCATGCGCGTAAAATGATGGCTGCAACCTCGGTGTGCGTTCTGAGCACCAATCTTAGCTATTCAGATCTTTCCGGGACGCTTGACTACGGCCTGCAGGCTCGAAAATGAAAGCCCTGTTGTTCAGGTAGCACCCAGTATTTCAACTGTGAGAATGTCCGCGTATTCACGGTGATTGGGAATGGGACGTGCTCCATTCCTCATTTGCGGGCGAAAGATGCCCGAACATGCAAACAAAGCATTTCTTTGTGTGCGTCCCTGCGCAAGGGGTTTCAATACGTGCTATGAGATATTTAGTGACCGAAAAACGGTGAACCTAGAAGGACATGAATGAAAGAATTTGGAGACCGCCTGCGAAGCCTCCAAGAAGTCTGCTCACAGCTTCGCCACGGAGACTGATGAAATAACTCAGTCAGCCACAGAGGCGGAGTCGGAACCACATACTTCCGTGGTGTATCCTCGTCGACAGCAGATGGCGCGCCAAGTATCCCTTGCCACGCTGTACTTTGTCGACAGTAAGACTCGGGCTTATTGCATAGCAGCCGGGCGCAAGCGGTGAAGCTGTTCGGGATGAGCGACGAGCACAGAGGGCAGTGTACTTATCAACGAATTTCATCAGCGGACTTGGCAACTCCATGTTGGCCTCAGGCTCGGACATGTGAAGCGCTCAAGACCTTGTTTGATTAAGCAGTGGGTCGATATGGATGATCTGCAAGCGGTTGTTTTGACGCGCATGGACCACTCCAGACTCAGATTTGATTCGGCGGGAAGGCGCAATTGGAAGATGACATCATCAGCTTTGCGTGCAGCGCGCACCGTGGCTCACCTTGTCCAAATTCACAAGAGTGATAATGGCAGGAATTGAGCATGGTGAGTCGAATATCTTGCAGTTTCTGAGACAGCGTGGCGATATGTGAGGGAAATATGTGACGATGTGCTCCACTTCCCCTGGGTAACCTGGCGGTTCCCGAGCTAACGCACTGGTGCCCTTGGCGTCTACACAGCCTACCTCACCAACCACCTCGTCATCCCGACCAGACGAGACGACTGCAAGCCAGCACTGCCCTCCCCCCTCTCGATAACTAACCTCTTTCGCCGGGCTCTCGCTGCGAGTACTCAACCTCAAATCATTTGCCAATTCCTCTAGCCTGCATTCCGCCAATTACAGAGCTTGCTTCCGGCAGCTATCTACGACCACAAGCTTGGCTTTGGACAGGTCATATACTGCTAGCTTTCCTGCGCCGTGCGCATCTGACTCTTCTCCCAAACAGCAATGAGTGAGTAGCAATGGCCCTCTTGATTCATTTTCCCGCACGCGGCAGTTAGCCGGCCTTGTCGTAGTCGCTTCGCAGTCTTGGTATTCCGGATCGACCTTCAACACCATCGTTGTTCGGCTTTCCTGACCAAACATTCCATCGCCCGCCGACGGACCGGGGGCGCAGCACAACACCCTCATCAACATCCATCGCGCATCTCGACTACGGATATATAGCTAACCTGTGCGTTTGGCAGAAAACATAAAGCAGTCTTTTCACCGTCACGGTCGAGCTCACAGTTTTCACCGCAATCAGCAGCAGACCATGCCGCAGCCCGCCAACGGCAGGCTCCACGATGAGCACACCCCGCTCATCGGGCGTACGCAAAACTACGAGGACGAGTCGCGCGTCAAGACTCTACCCAAGCACATTTTGCATTTGATCTATGCGACACTCGCAAGCAACTATGTCAACGTCTTCCTCGTCTTCGTACCGCTCGGCATCATTGCCGGCGCATTGCACTGGAACCCGACTGTCGTCTTCGTCCTCAACTTCATCGCCATCATCCCTCTTGCAGCCCTCCTGAGTTTTGCGACTGAGGAGCTCTCCGCTAAGCTTGGTCAAACTCTTGGAGGATTGATGAACGCGACATTTGGAAATGCCGTCGAGCTTATTGTAAGCTTACGCCCACATTCAATGCTCTGCAACACCTGCTAACCTCGGGATAGGTCTCTATCGTTGCGCTCAAGCAAGGCGAAATCCGAATCGTCCAAGCCAGTATGCTGGGCAGTATTCTGTCCAACATTCTTCTCGTGAGTCAAGTTACGCCATTACTGATACCTCAGCGCTGACTGTAACCAGGTGCTCGGATGCTGCTTCCTTGCCGCTGGCCTCACCCAGCATGAGAGCCGTTTCAACGAGACCGTCGCATCCACCATGTCTTCGCTCATGGCCGTCGCATCCGCCTCGCTCATCATTCCTGCTACCCTCTACGCAGTCATGCACGGTGACAACAAGAAGGACAACCTCGAAACTGACAAGAACATTCTTGTTCTTTCCCACGGCACCGCCATCATCCTACTGATTCTCTACATTCTATACCTCTACTTCCAGCTCTACTCGCACCACAGCCTCTTTGCCGATGTCGAGAACCAAGAAGGTGGCGACAATGAGGAGGAGGCTCAGATTTTGTCCCCCGTCGCTGCCGGTGTCGCATTGGTCATCGTAACCGTCCTCGTCGCTGTCTGCGCCGAGTTCCTTGTCGATAGCATCGACTCAATCGTCGAATCTGCACACATTAGCAAAACGTTCGTCGGTCTAATCTTGATTCCAATCGTCGGAAACGCTGCCGAGCACGTCACCGCTGTCATTGTCGCATACAAGGGCAAGATGGACCTCGCTATCAACGTCGCCATCGGATCTTCCATGCAAATTGCTCTCTTCGTCACTCCCTTCCTTGTCATCCTCGGCTGGATCATGCACGAGCCCATGACTCTCCACTTCCAGGGCTTCGAGACTATGATCTTCTTCATCTCCGTCTTGATCGTCAACTACCTGATCCAGGACGGAAAGAGCAACTACCTCGAGGGCGCCATGTGCATTGGTATCTACGCCATCATTGCACTTGCTTTCTACATCTACCCCGATAACGCAGCCGGCGACATTACCGTCGATGTCGTCAAGCGCTTCTTCGCTGTGAACTAAACTACGCACAAACTCGTAGCTGTAGCTGCGACACGAATTCGCGCTCGTTGAGCGGGCGCCAGAGGAGCTCTATTTCCTTTGTACAATTTATCCTACTCTAATATATCTTGGCACAGATTACTCAAGGGAGGTTCCTATTTGCTGTTCGATTTCCTTTTAGTATCTGTCGTAGTCTGGTCTCTTTGTACGAGTATCTGTGGGGCGGTGCAGGTTTTCTTGGCGTTATATCTACTTGTGGCAGTGCAGTCGGAACGAGCGGCAGCCGAAAAGTGGAGTGTGGCTTGACGATCTGAGGGGGCCCGTGCATGATGGGAGACCTCATGCAAGCTGGGAAGGAAGGGAGAGATGGGAATTTGTATATGTAGCAATCGAATGAGAAGGTAAAAAATTGTAGTTTGCTCCTTCTTTCTCTTCGTGAACAGGGTCGGTCATTCTTGCTCATTGGCTGATTCGCAATGGGTTGCTCTAACAACAAGGTACGACTATCTCCCTCCTTACTATCCAACTCTCATCATAGACCGACCATACTGTCCCTATTTCCAACATCAACATCCTCATCCTCACCTCCCTGCCTTAGCAAACTCTCCCAATGCCGCCGCCCAAACGAGATACCACGTCCTACTCGCCCCACCATCGATCCACCGCTCGTCCCAAAACCCATCGATCCCATCTCTGAAGAAACTATAACTTGCTTTGGGATCAATCAGGGCAAGGTTGGCATAGAGGATACCGCGCCAGCCGCCTTGCAGTGCATTAGCATGGAAACAGGGAGGTATGATAAGGTGAATCAAAGTATGGTAAACGGCAGTTACCTTCGACATTTGCTCTTCCCTCTGTGAAATAGCCCTCCCATTCCTCTTTTACGAAACCCCGGGGGCGGATCAGAGAGGTTGAGGGGTTTATGGGGACGATGTGGATGCCGTGGATTAGGGAGGGCGCTAGGGAGAAGTATGCTGTTTCCATTCCGTTAGCTCTATTTTTATCTGGTGAAACGTCTTCTTCTCCCCTTCTCTTTGTTTCTTTTTTTGTGAAGGAGGGAAAGGGCTGGAAGGCTCGTGGTGATGACGAAGCCAAGCTTACAGCAAGAGCAAAAGGTACTATGACGGCCGTACGTACTCGCGTGGTCGACTTTATTCTCAAACAGTATCCCCACGACTTTATTCTGCGTGTACCGTGCCGGGTGGTTGGTATTGTTCGACCGGAGATATATGTACGAGTTGAAAGAGCGGGCTTGGATAGCTAGTTGGAGATTACCTGTCCACTCTGTCAGCATCCCTTTTTCTTTCCCGCACTCTCAATCTTTGCACGACGTTGTCGCTCTTGTGTCATATGTAAACACGTCATACCTCTCTTCTCCATATTAGCATCCCCGCTAACCTTTCCCCACATCTTCACTGCAAAACTGCTAAAAGCATCTTCACCTGTACTCTCCATATCTTTCCCATCGGCTGCTTCAAAAAGCCCTTTCGCCCAACTGTGTCCATGCCACCAGTCAAACGCGCGTGAAAACGGGTAGTCGCGGCCATTATAGTCGCTCTCTGCGAAGTCCTTTACTAGCATATTCGTCCACACTCTGTTATCCCCCTGGCCCAACCACTCGGGATTCAAATACCCGACAACAGCAGCCGTGTAAACAAAATACGCATAGTGGAAGTGATGATCATTGTAATACGTATTCCCAAAATCAGCCTGCGGATCTGCTGGAAAACCAGCTGCTGAGACGACGCCTTTCCAACTATCGTCGTAGTACAAGGGGTGGCGTTGTGCGTTGTCGATGTATCTACTTAGTTCTTGTTTTAGTTTGTCGAGGCCGGCGTTGGCGATGGCATCGTGATTTAGCACGTCTTTGATAACCCATACGATAGTTGCGAACTTAGCTAGTGATTTTCCGGCAAAGTATAGAGAGTCTTGGGGTATGCGTTCGGTCATTGCGCGACGAAGGTCTCGTTCTGCGACTGCGGCGATAAAGGCGAGGACTTCAGGGGAATATCGCACTTTGGAGGTGGAGCTCATGGTTGGGTTCCATGGAGAGAAGTGCATGGTGATGGGGAGGTTGGGTTCGATGAAGGTAAGTTTGTCGCCCCAGATGGCTGTTGCCATGCCTTTGGTTGTGGTGCGCAGACGTAGGTGTGTGACTTGGGTTCTCATTTCTGGGTCGAGGGATGCGATGTGGTGAGGTAGCGCGAACATGAGCAGCGGTGAGGTGCCAATTTTGGTGTAGCGGAAAGTGTATATACCTTTGCCGTCTGGGACTACGGCTGTGAGCTTGGCTTCGCAGACGAATGCGCCGCTGGCTCGGTCGTACATGGCTTCTCCTTCGGCGCCAAGAGGGTTTTTGGCTACTTGGATTGTGCCTTTGAAGGCTGGTGGACCAAGCATCGTGTTCGGATTGAGTCTGACGAATCTTGTGGCATTGTAATCGAGACTCGCTACTGGATTGACGTACATGATCCAGCATTGCCCGTTCTTGTCCTTCAGACGATACTTGACCGTACGTGGTGTCATGACAATTGGTCCGACCAGATCCACAAAGCCGCGGCCGCCTGTTTGTATCATGGGTGTTGCGCCTCGGTATCCAGCCGTGATGAAACTCATGCCCTGCACAACGGGGAAAGTGATCTTAGGCTCCTGAGCTGTAGAGTGCGCGTTGAGGTTGATGTTGACAGAAAACGGGAGATGGTTATCTGTAGTAAGAGTCGTTTGCGTATCGAGTTCGACCGCGCTGAGGACGAGATGCTGCTTGTGAAGTGGGTTGATGTAGCCTTCTACAGGATCCCCAGGCTCAAACACTAAATCCCTTTCTTCAATATGAGTTATACACATGCCCCATGTCTGCACCATTCCGACATCTAGTATCCATTTCCCCCACCAGATCGAGTAAGGGTGCGTCCAGATAGGCTGATTCTGCTGTCCTAGAAATGCATTGGCGTAGAACTTGTTGGTATGCATGGTCGTCCTGTCGTCATCCTCCACTCCCGTTCTAGGCACTGGGTGATGACGCCCGATAGGCACTTGCGGAAGGATGTCATCTTGTTGTATAGGTGTGAAGATGTTCTCGGGAGGTATCTCGTCGCGAACGGTGGAGACATTGTAGCCGAGCGTGGTCTTGATACCTTGACGAGTCTCTCGCCATGATCCAAGCCATCCGTCCTTCTTGGTAGGGTTTGATAGCGCTCGAGCGTTGGGAAGTCGAGACTGCGCTGGGCCCATTAAAGTTATTGCGGGGGTTTGCGCAAGGTTCTGCAGCGGATAGCTCGACGTAGGGCGCAGGTTTGACTAAAGCAGTGAGCGGGTCTGCTTGTAGATGTAGTAATATCTCATGTATGAATACAGTCGAGGGCGGTCAATAAGATCGTACAGGTAGCTTGGGCAGTAAGAGGTTACCTGCAGTGGTGAGGAATGCATTGCCTGACGTCGCTACTTCGACGTTCGCCATGAGCCGTAGGAAGTGACGACTGCTCAGTTTGCTCGGTACCGTGAGGTTTGCGCATTTGCGCGGTCAAACGTCAATTACCACGCCGCATCTTGCACAAGCCGTTGCAAAGTTTCACAAATGAAGAAGACGACAAGTAAAAGTGTGCACGTGTGATGAGGGTCTTAGATGTAGTTCTGGAAAGAAATGGGAGCAGAACTAGAACTCACGATCCATGTGGAATAAGCTCGCCATCGCGACTTCTCCAACAATCGCCAGCACATGACACGAGTAAATATAGAAAGACCAGATATAGGCCCATATCGAATTGTGGCGCACGCCAAACCTACCACTCTCCTACGCCAGCGGTTTCCGCAGCGGCGCAATAACACCCTGCTTAACGATAACCCTCGGCTTCGTAACATCCTGATGCGTCTTCTTCGTAACCCACTCCTTACCCTTCGGTACGCGCAAACTCCTCTCATACTGCTCCCTGTTCTCGAATGGAAATGGCAACTGGCTAGCCATGTACTTGACGTTAGGTTTCACTCTCCTCTCATTGATAATGACCTTGTCCATCTTCTTATCCTTCCTCCTATCGGCATCGATACCAGGCTTCTTGATGACCGTTTTAGCGCCGAGGTTGCGCTTCTTTTCGGCCTTGGACATGCCGTCGCCTGTCCAGGAGCCCCAGCCGGGAAGGAATGAGACCTCCTCAGTCGCTTCTTCGTCCGCGATCGTTGCTTTCTTTTCGGCGGCGAAGTCGGCTTCTACGTCGTCGCCGGCGAATGCTTTTGCGGTGAGAGACTGGTTGTGCATGACGACATCAAGATCAATACCCTCATCCTCGATGCCTTGCTCGTCCTGGTCGTCGTCGTCGTCTTGACCGCCTAGTACAGTCGCCCAGCCATCGTCGTCGGCTGTAGTAACGCGCTGCTTCAAAAAGTCGTCGACTTTGGTTTCTTGAGGTTGTGCATCCTGCTTTGACCTCTTTTGGGACTTGGGCTTAGGTGTAGACTTGGGCTGAACGATGGCCTTCTCTTTTGTAATAGGACCTGCAACACCTGTGACTGGGAAGAGCTCAGGCTCCTTTGTGGCCTTCTTCTCCTTCTTGGCCTTGACTAAGAAAGGATTGGATTCCCCACTACCATTCTCTACAAGTGGCGGCGCAGCCTTACGATCTTTCCGAGCGCCGTTGGGAAGGCCGTTCATGCTGTTCTTCTTTTGGCCAGGCGCTCGAACTGCTGGTCCGTCTGCAGCAGGCTCTTCGCCATCCGCAGCAGGGTTGGCACCATTCTCGTCGTCGGAGCCATCATGCTCCTCGAACTCGTTACGGTTGATCTGTATAGCGGGGGCTGCGACGTTGGCATTGGGTCCATACTTTCTCCGCCCTGCCTTGGTAGCGTTCTCATCGATTTCAGCATTGTCACTGTCTTCTCCAGCCAGTTCGCGTCTGAGTTGTTCGACAGCTTCGTCGTTCTGGGCGCGTTTCGCAGCCTCAGATTTCTGCATAAAGGCCATCTGACCCAGCTTTGACTCCTTGGTGGAGAAAGGATTTTGCTTGAGTTTGCCGAGTGACTGTTGCAGGGCGTCATTGTCCGGTTGTTCATCGTCATCGTCGCTCTCCTCCTCTTCACTTGGCACATCAGATCCTTCATCATCATCATCGCGGATGGTCTTGCCCTCAACACGACGACGGAGCTCCTCGTTTCGTCGAGCCATCTCAGTCACACCATCGAGTGCGTCTTGGTCCCAGTTCGCTCTTCCAGTGGCCTTGATGCCCTTGGCCCATTTGCTCTCACGGTGCTTGGCACCCATGCGTTCCTCTGCTCTCCGGCGGTCATTGTATTCGCGCTCTTCTTCAGACAAATCCACGCCGTCAGCCTTGAGCTGCTCACGTTCCTTCTCCAACAACTTCTCGCGCTCCCTACGATGTACTCGTCGATAAGCCTTGCTCTTGATCTTCTTGATACGCTTAGCGCGAACCTCTTCGCGGAAGAGCAGCTCTCGTTGCATCCGCAGTTCAGCACGTCGCTTGAGCACCTCCTCGACGGGAAGTTTGTTCGTTTGGAGCTCTTCCCATTTCTGAATCTTCTCCTCATCTTCCTTGCCGTTTGATAGACCGCTCTGTTGAAGAATGGATTGGATGGTACTCTCGAGGTCATTTGTGGGCGCGGCGGTCGTCGTAGGTAGTAGCGTCTTCTCTCCCATGGGTTCACCTCCACTTGCATTCTGCAGAGGGAACATTAGATGTTCGGCGCGGCGGTTACGCTTGATAGTATCCGTCCACCTCTCGAGAGTCTCGTTCGCTTTAGCGTTGGCTGCGGCGCGGTCGAGCTTGTCTTGCTGCCGTTTTGGCAGAGGGGCGTCAAGTTTCCTGGCAATATCGTTTCGTTTCGAGGACTTGTCGTCTTGTAGCAGCTTAAGCGCCTTCTTCTTCTCTGCGTCGGCAACCTTGGGCTTGAAGCTAAGAAGGTCGACTTTCCTAGAAACACCGAACTCATCCGGTGCAGCCGACTCGTGAACATCCACTCTTCTGCCTTTGGGCTTGTCGTCTTCTCGCGAAGCTAATGAGGAGATTAGGTTCTGCAACTGCGCCTGGCGGTCCTCCTCGTCATCTTCTTCGTCGGATGAGAGGTCGGATGCGCTGTCTGCTCCCACATCTTCGCCTTCGCTCGGTTCCTCATCGCTATCGCCAAATGCAGATGTTTGCTTCTTCTTTTTCTTCTCTCTCCGTTCCTCAGCCTCATCTTCTTCGTATTGATCTAAGGCGGTAGCCAGATCGATAGCATCTTCGCCCAGATCGTCATCCTCTTCCTCCTCCCCATCTGCACTATCGCCCTCGTCAAGATCAATGTCGCCGTCCTCGTCCTCCATATCTTGTTCACGTTTGGACTTCTTTGCCTTTCCTTTGTGGTTCTTCGAGCTGCCTCTGAATGTAAAGCCTTCGAAGCGTTCTTCGTCGCTCTCGCCGAACGCTTCGTCGGAGTCAATACTCTCGTCAGAGTCGTCGTTGTCTACATGCCCCATCTGCCAGGTGTTGCCGTCCGAGTCGCTTCCTTCGTCGAAACTCTCGTCACCAGACTTTCTCTTGCGCCTCTTGGGACCCTCGTCCTCGTCCTCGTCCTCTTCGTCCTCCTCGTCGTCATCGCGCGCACGCTTGCGTTTGAACGCAGGGTCGAATTCGCCTAACCGGTTCTTGCGCACTTTCGCATCGTCTGGGTTTTCGTACTGCGCAATGGAGAAGGCGTCGAGGGCACGCTTCTGCGCTTTCTTCGGGTTTCGTGATTTTGCTTGCCCCTTTCCAGACGCGCCACCGCTTTGTATCGAGCTTCGTGCTACACGAGGCGGCATTTTGGGCGATGTTGTTGAAAGGTGCTGCGGCGGAGCGAGATCTCAACTTTGAAAGTTCGCACTTTTTTGTCGCACGGACCACGCCACCTCCGCTCCAAACTCCGCAAACTCCTCGAAGATTGATATCGCCATACGACGTCGTCGCATCGCCCGCTACATCGCACGGACAGGATCGTATCGCCGCCATGAGACCCACGCCGTCCCTCCAGAAGATGCTGCGGCGCCTACCGCTCTCCCCCAAACAAGCCGGCAAAGAATACTACAAGGGAAACCGCGTAGGGTCAATGGGAACAATCAACAGATTCGGAAACTTCACACCAGACTGGAGCAAGATACGGACGTTTGTGTACCCACTTCACGGCACCAAGAACAGCGAGGTGCGTACAATAATTTGAGAAGATTTGCGACGGACCAGGAAGATATACGCAGGACGGTCGAGACTAACATGCCCACAGTTGACACCCTTCGTCGACGCAAGTTTAGAAAAGGTACGGGAAACCGACGCCGGCAAGGTCGAGAATTACGAGAAGCGATTCACCGGCGAGGATTACCTAAGGGCGTGGAAGATGGCTGGTGGACATGATATTGTCGAGATGGGGAGTAGGGCGGTAGATACGGGCAGGAATATGCCGACACCGTTCGAAGAGAGGCCTGCGACCAAGTCATGAGTATAACGGAAAACAGGGAGAGAAGGATTATGACGGATCTGGTACGACACGGATATTGCGACGATGTGAAGGAGCAATTGGACCGCGACATTATCTTGCGGAGGACGACTGGCATACGCGCTATGCTGTCACTAACGCAGGTATAGCAAGGCGTTCGACATAGACGATGCTACGGCGCCGTGTTTGAATGCATCTAGAGAAGACGGCGTATGTAAACCGCCAGGCGGCTTATGATGTTGTATATATTGTACATTACTTGGGTATCATATACTCCCATTCCGCCATACGTCCGATAATCCTACACATGAACCTTCATCCCATCGCTTGCACACTCCCCTTTCTAGTCATCCCTCCTCACCCCAAAAAAGTAGTTCCCCCACTGCTGACTCCCCGCAACCTCCTTCCACCCCAGTCCCGGCACATACATAGTTCCCATACACCTCATGTTACCCCAGCCAGGCTGCTTACCAAACCAGTCCCTCAACTCCTCCTCATTAACATACTTGTTCCACTCATGCGTCCCCTTTGGCACGATCCCCAGCACATCCTCCGCGACCACATTCGTAACAACCCAACTCGTCCACGTCCTTGCAATCGTACTCATAATCAACCAACCACCCGGTTTCACATGCGGTAAAACGTGCTCCAGAAACGGGCCTGGGGCATTCACATGCTCGATGACTTCGAAGAGCGTTACGATATCGAAAGCCTCTGTCTCTGATGTAGGCCGAGGCAAGTCTTCGATGGAAGTATTTAGGTAGGTGAGTTTGCCCGGTGAGGTGAGTGTAGGGTCGCGACGTTTGTGCGCTTCGGCGATGGAGAGGACCTGGGGTGTAGGGTCGATGGCGGTAACGGATGTGGTGTTGGGTAGGCGCGCGGCGGATTCAGCGAAGATGCCGCCGCCGCAGCCAATGTCTAGGTAGCGTAGTTTCTCATGCGGGTTTCGTGGCGTCGTCGTCGAGGAGCGACATTCTGTTATGAACTCGTGGCGAAGGGGGTTCATCAGATGGAGGAGTCGCGAGGGGCCATGGGGGTCCCACCACGATGATGCGAGGGCATTGAAGTGCGATACTTCGGTTGGGTCGACGGTGGAATTAGGGGTTGGATTGTGTTGTTTCGGGGCGGTGGTGGATATGCATCGCGAGGTTGGTGGAGGTATTCGGAATGGCGATTGTGTGCCAAATGTTCGATTTCGCGGGGATTGAGATAGGCTTCTGTGTATTGAGCGAAATGCTCTGGCTGTGTTTTGTGGCTGCATCACGGCAATTAGAATTAAGTTGTGATGTTTGTGCTTGGAGGACGCGGTGCACGTTGATGTCCCCCGAAGTTTAGATCTGCAGCCGAGGCCATCTTGGGCTCTTAGTCATCCCGATTGGCACTATCCTCTAACGACCCATCGACTTTGGTTGTCAACACTTCTTCAACAGAATCAGATATCCTGTTATCTTGGCTACCCATATTTTGTGTTCGTCGACCTCAACATGGGCCCGAACCACTACATTGCGGCTTCATGCGCGGACACCTCCGCTACATCACCAAGCCCCCAGCAGTCTATACCAGTCCTCGTCTGCCAGATTTTCCATACCACATTAGTTTTTTTTTGCGTGAAATGTACACTCAACTATAGTCTTGGTCTGTGTTTCGTAAGTCTCGAGGCGCACGTCGACGAAACCGACAAATCCGATGCAGGGCACAATGTAGCCGCCGACTGAGCGAGTCGCGACCTTGTATAGCAATTCTCAGGGTTGCACCCGCCTCAACTATGGCACCAACAGTCAATTATCGGAACATTCACACGAGGGATGAGAAGTTGGACGTGGCTGAAATCTTGGAGAAGAAAATGAATAGGAGCAACAGATCAAAGGGGCTCAGGACAATCCAAGGAGCAAGACAGTTTTCGTGTAAATCACTGACTATCTCGTCTGCTGCCTGCATGATAGCTGGGAGCGTATGACGCAACGCCGGGCTTCGCCTACCGATCAAGCCCTACCGTGCCGCAATCTTCCAGGTATAAGCATCCATCAATACCATCGCCAATTACCTAGATACCTAGGTGATCTCGCCCGTTAACATACCTTAAAGGTGAGACTCTCCGTCGACGACCCGTTCGAACATCTACTCAAAGAGATCCAAGAAGCCATTGTATCCGGCGACAGAAAAACACTTCGAAGATGGCTGAGACAGTATCCCGAGCCAGAGTACGAAGCCAAACAAGACTGTCTTTTAATAACCATATGCAAAAGCTCCGTGGAAACAATCAAAACGATGCTTTCCCATGGCGCCACATTAAAAGATTCTTCCTTCAGCAAAGCAATCAGCAGGGACGCACCAGTGGTTTTCCGACAACTCCTAGATCACGGGTGGGATATCAATACAACAGGGTTTGGGTGCCCTGCTGTAACGTTTGTTTCCCTATCTATCCGGCGCTTCTACCTTGTGTAAGAAGCTTGCTAATACGGATGCAGCAGAGCTCTCCAGCACGAAACGCTACTCCGCTGGTTCCTTGACCACGGTGCCAATCCAAACACCAAGGCTGAAAGGCGAGGTGGCTCTGTCTTACAAGCCTGCACACCGCTACAATACGCAGCCTCACTATCCGACGCCGCACCTCTCAAAATGCTCTTGGGTTACGGCGCAGAGGTGGATCCGCTAGCCTTGTTCCATGCTATCGGAGTACGGAGTCAGCGAAATGGTACGTAACTTCCATGTATAAACAACATAGCAAGATATATACTGACTTGGTACACCTGCATTAGGCATGGCTACCACTATCGCGTTGATAGAGCACAATGCTGATGTGAATTACATGGCGAGGCTTTGGGCGACACCACTTCACGACGCGGTGAAATTTGGTGCGAAGAAGATGACGTATTTGTTAGAGAACGGGGCGGATCCTAGGATATGGTCTACAGTGAGTATGGTCACGGCTGCGGAGTGCGCAAGAGAAGGAGGGAAGGTAGAGTTAGCGGAGATCCTTGAAAAGAGGATGAGAGGGATGAGTAAGAGACTGGGTGGACTTTGAGCATAACGATCGTTTATCGGTGAAGCTGATCGTGGCAATGTCTTGGTGCTGGCATGTCTGAGCACCTAGAAATTGCCACGATCAGCTTCACCGGCTCTATCGTTACCGAAAAAAAGAAGGCATCGCGCAAGAAACGAGTAAGGGGATGGTACTGATAAGCTAGCATACCACACAAGGACGTTGCGTTGCGTACAGGAGTACGGCCAAATCACCCGCTACCATCCCGTTCGCTGATGGACGTGAATCCCTCTCTTAGGCATCCTTGTCACTAAGCCCAGTCGATCTCAGAGATAGTTCCCGCAATTTGGCTTCTCTCCTTTCATCACGAGCATGAGGGGCCCAACTCGGCAACACAAATGGCTGATTGGGAGTCCAAGGACCTCCAATTTGCACGTCGTTCAAATGCTCTCCGCCGCGCCCCTCCTAACACTCGGCAACCGCATCCCATACTGTCGTAGCAGCCACTAAGGTTAATATTGTCGAGGTCCGGCTCACTGCGACGGTGACCAAGCGACGAGACGTTGATAACGCGCGAGGCGAACCCTGGGGTCGCTGAAGCAAGAAGGGCAGGTTTCCAGCATTCGGGAGTATTGGGTTACCCCCTAGCTGCGTAGAACGTCATCATCGCTTTGAGCATTGTTCACCTAAATCATGTAGATCAGCAGCTGACGTTTTGCAGCGGCTCCGCGGGTTCGGTTTACCCAATCCTGAGCCAAGGCTACGATTGTATCGTCGTCTGTACGGTCGGTCCTTGCTGTTTTGATGTTGAACACTAAGAGCGACCGGTCTTCAATGCATCTGCATCAGCGCATTGTGATATGGCTAGCTTATTGAGGTGGTCTTGCTCAGTCCAGCCAGCAGATATGTTTCTGCGTTTGTTGGCTAATCTCACGGTTTCTGCCTGAAGCGCGCTTATATGGACGTTGATCTCGGCGATCTTGGGGCGCCTAGCGGGCTCAAAGTTCTAATAAAAGATAGCCAATGCTTCACTAGAGAATGCCCGATCCGACTTGAAATTAATCGTGGCGAAGTTCATTCTGTAGGAAGTCATCAGAAGGTCTTTGGATTTCTCGAAGACCTGTCGTCTACACATATCGAGTACGATTCTTCCACCCCAGACGCCTTCATTTGGAAACGTGTCCATATCAAGGCGAGTCACAACACCAATACTATTTGACCTACCTCCGAGGGTCCAGAACAGGTCGATGTTGGTCTCAATTTAGGCGTTGACTATATTTTTATGTTGCTCAGACCTGCTGTGAAGACAATCATGATCAGACTGATAATGTGGCCAGGGACTAGGATTGAGATGCAGAGTCAGGCGATTCTAAAGCAAGAGTAGCTCTTCTACAAAAGAACTAAACAGATTAGAAATGTGCTGCAATGACAAGATTTGGGAGGTTTCTCATTGCATTATACTTACTAGAGTTAGTGCAGAATTAGTCAAAGTCGCGCTAGCATTTGAGATATAGTCATATGTGTACGTTTAGAAGGCATGTCAGGTTATTGTGTAGATAGTGATATAAGTAATGAGGTGATTGGCGCAAGCTTGCCAAATTGGTACAAAAGAAATACAGCCATAGCGGTAGCCCTGGAAGAGCGTGTGTAACAAAATAGAAAGCAAGTGAAGTCTGCCTAGCTTAGAGTGCACATTTGTCGCACGAGAGGAACGGTCAGCCTCTACGGCTCATACTTGGGCGGCTTAACGCGTTAAGCTAAACCGTTATAGCGTATAACGGTTTAAGGTTCTTAAATCGTTATATCGTTACGTGAGCTCTTATTACGTTATAACGGTTATAACGCGATAAGAGTCTTAGCGCCAAGTACGCTAGTATTGCACATGGAGAAACAGAGAATCTGCTGTCCGGATGCTCCGGACCTTACCTAAAACCCCACCAAATATGTCGTGTATCACACATATACTAACGTGCCCCACTATCGAGATGCGCACACCATCGAAATGCGCACTCTGCCAAGCCCCCACCACTTTCAACTCTCTATTACAATGTCTTAACTACTAAATCTTGAACTGCTTTCTACTGAAGACAGAGTTATCTAGGCTATCTAAGCTATGAAATCTAACGCGTCGCTTACCTAGCGACAAGCCGCGCATCGCTACGATATACATGAAAGCACTCTCCGCAATCGACGCGCTGGGAAGGCTTTACGACGCGATACTCAACCTAACTGATTAAAACTCTAGAGACATAAAGAGGAGGCGATTATATAATATATAAGGAAGCTTAACGCGCGAGGCTTCGCCCCTACGCTTAACTATGTGCGAGAAATAGCTAACTAACTACTAGCTACACGTAGTAGTAGCTAGGTTAGAGAAAACTAGACCTACAGGCTTATACGCTAGAGACCTAAGATTAAATCTTAGGTAATAAGACAGCGGGATTACTAGAGAGTCCTCTGCAGCGACCTAGCTATTATTAGGCCCTAGTTTAATCTTGTACACAACGTTAAGGCTAAGTATAGGATTCTAGATAAAGACGTCTATAATTTTAATAAGACTAGCTTCTAGATAGGCGTTAGAGGGTCTGTTAAGGTAGTAACAGCCTCTAAGAGACGTCTTAAGCCACTTAGTGTTTAGCCTAGTAATCGTAAGTAGGCAACGCTAATTGCTAGTATTAACGCGATGGGGTAGTCTGTGAGGAGTAGTTGGGCAGGCACTAAGATATCGGTATAGGCTTGTATTGAGACGAATCCTTGAGGAGCTATCAAGCCTCTCAGAGGGATGATATATACCTACGTCACGTGATTGTGGCTGGTGTGATCCGACGGTGCCCCGAAGGGTTCCCGGTGGCTCACCAGTCTGTGGCTGGAATCCTGTGGTGATGGAACATCGTGACAATAGCCCCCCCCCTTCTTGAGAGTCGTCCTGACTTCACAACGGTCTTTGCAATGTCAGCGCAATACTTTTACGCTTAGAGCCGTCCGCGCTTCACGTCACCGTGTCGCTGTCGGCGTTGGTCCGATCACTGCCCGTTGTCATCCCGCGACCCAAACGCTGGGGCATGTGAAAACCTCTATGAGGAAAAATCTTACTATGCTCCGCGCACTTCGGTTGCCATGGCCGCAGCCACATTACCTAGCTATCTCCCAGCTTCACCGCGGTGAATGATGGGGTGTTTAGCCTGTTTGTCTTGTAACTGCCCAGCACGTAGCTCAGTGTTTGCGTGGTGTTGTTAGGGTGTTGAGCGCTTTTTGCTGTGTTTGCGACCCCATAGTGA